GCGGGCGCCTCTTCTCTCGGGCGAGAAGGGCCTCCTCGGCAGCGGCATCGTCGGCGTGCTGACGGGCCTCTGCCTCGAGCAAAAGACGGTCGGCGTCGGCGAGGCGGTCGCCCTCGACTTGGGCAGCCCAGAGGGCCCTCTTGGCAGCATTGTGGGCAGACCAGATGGCGATCAGGTGCTCAGTCGCAGCGGCATCTGAGGCGACCTGGCCCGCCGCGACCAAACCCTGCCGCAAGATGCCATACTCGGGGTCAGCGAATTCAGGGCACAGCTGAAGGCCGGGGTCTGAGGCCAGTCGAGGAGCATCGGCCATGGCGGAGAGAGTGTGTGTAGAGGGAGGCGCAGACGGAGACGTGAAAAGGAGACGACAAAAGAAAGACAACACTTAGATAGTGTTCAGATTGTGAGGTGAACAGTGTAGTCAAAAGCAAGCGCAATAACCTCAGCGCTTACTGCCGTGCAGACACAGACAATCGTCTTTGACGCCCACTCGTGCCTCGCCAGCGTCACAGAGTTACTATCTGCGTGAAATGGACATTTCCTGTCGACCTCTCTCTTGTCCCCAATAATGACAGGTCCACCATTCTCGAGTCAACGTGTACAATTCTGATTTTCGTTACATGACAACTGCCAGTCTCGGTCCTCGGACCACTGGCGAGTGGCGACAAGGAGCGTGTCTCGTGGCAAACGCTGAAGAAATTCTTGAAGTCGGGAGACGGCAGCTTTGTACGAACGGCAAGCGTCAGCTTGTATGCATATCAGACTGACAAACGGACGTCTGCGTCTGATGGCAGGGCATGAACGTTTGACGCGTGATGTGGCGTTCGACGCGAGCATCTTTCAACTTATGACCTACCTAACGAGGTATCACTCTTCAATTTCTATCAAGCGTCCCGCGATACCTACATCTCTCACATACCCCATGGTAGACGACCCGGACGATGGTAGGCTGACCTACCTCAAGGTGCCATTGCCCTACAGGCGCGACAAGAACGATTGGTCGCTGTCGCCTTCCCTATTCTCTCGTAGTGGCCGCTGCTGTATGCCCTGGATGGAGGAGCATCATGGCACTAGTGGTTGTCTCCTAGACCCAAACGACTGCCTTCGCCGACGATGATCTGTTGAAGGCCAGGGTGGCGGCGAGAAAAGCGGCTCTCTGCTGTCGACCCCTCATAGTGACCCGCTGGAAAGCCCTTCATGTCGACGCGGCGCACTCAATTCTCTCCTGATTCTTGTCTCAAGACATTCTTCAGCGGTATGCGTCGTCGTTTCCTGGAGCTGCATGAGACTACGAGTCTTTACGAGAGTCTGGTCGCCACATGACACCAATATTATTGCACTGCTGTCCGATGGACTTGGTCTCAGGAGCGCCACGCTGGGCTTTGGAACACATCAAGGCATTTCCACCTGACACAATAGCTTCATCACCCGTCGGGTCTCTATGCGTTTCAAGATATGGCCCGCCTTACCATGGACGCTTCTCTCGGCAACTTCGTCAACAGCTAACATCATTATTGTATCTTTGAAGGCTTGTCTTGTACCCTGAATGTGCGGGAACGGGTTTCGGCAATCAAAACGATTGTTTTCGAGAATTCGCATGGCGCTGGCGCAAAGAAATTGCACCAAATCCTTTGCCATCTGTTCTCGGATACCCTGAGATAATCCGTCGCGCTTGATTCCGCAATAATAGGCTACAAGCGTCGGGGACACGCGTTCTCCAGCTCATTGGATCTGTCCTTGCTTTAGTAACCATTGTCATCACGGGATGTACAGTGTCTCCATGGTGTGTAACGACGATTGATCACCCCAGAATCACTAGTATGTTGGGTCATCCCTGGAAGTCGAACTTTGTCATCCGAATCTCGACGATATCAGTCCGAAGATGCGGGTCCCTTGACTTTGGAGATCGCACATCCGTTGGTTGTTGCATCTACTTTGTAGAATGGGGCGACTAATTTGGAGGCTCCGAACAAGTAAAGAATATCAGGAAATAAACACACTGGCAGGTCAGTGACCATTGCTTCAAGCTGAACTATCCCTTTAAATTTATACGTGTACAGTGTGTCAAAGGCTGCCTCAATTAAGATCACAATCGTTCTCACGTAGAAATTGCGCTGGCCTAGAGTGCAGACGGGTTCGCGCCCGGATTGTTTATGAGTTTCTGAGATGACCTGTATGTAACGTTTTGCACCACTGGTCCCAGCAGACTAGTACTAACATCACGCAGCATTGGACTTCCACGAAATAGGCGAATCGTCTAGTGCCTATTTCGAATGGGAAAGGTTCAGTGCTCAGAAGAGCACCCTGCTGGTCGCTCCCGTCATGATATAGTGTATTCAAGCTCTCAATCTCGTGCGGAAGTTATATACAGCGAGGTACGTGTCATAGTGAAGTGCACTTGACGGTTTCCTCCAACACCCTTGGTGGAAGTTGACGGTAGTCTTCCTCTGGAGATTCGAGAATCCGTGAATGGTCGTTGCGAACGCGTGAGCGGAAATTCAAAAAGATCAAACCTTCACAATTATTTTGGCTTTAATGCTAAAATTATGTACACCCACGAGCATCGATTACCTGATATATCCCGTTCTCGTGTTCTCCTCGCGTGCATCAAGGTCGCCCACAGAGACAAAGCGTATTATTATGAACAGTTTGCACAGTGGGTGCAGATCGGTAGGAGCCGGATACTCCCGATCGACCCTGATCATGATCTGGCCAAGCTTTTGCTTCCGCGATCCCCAGCGGGCTATGGCGGGCCGAACTTATCTCGCGTCTTCCCACCAGGTGGCCCTCCCGCTCTCTCTGACCACAGCATAAGTTGCGGTCACAATCTCTGCTGGGCTGTATCTCCGAGCTACACCCGCCAACCAGCTCTACCAGACTACCCGAGAGAACCCGACCGCGGAAGTCATTCTACGCTCTACGGTCTCATGGTCAAGATACATACTGTGGAAATCATCCCTCCGTTGCTCAACTCATCATGTCTGTGGGCTTCGGATTTCGAGCAACTACGCGATCTGTATGACTCGCCACATACAGGCGCAGTGACGACGCGGACGGCAACACTTCATGGGTTTAAGGAGAATAGTGCAAACGCTGTGCGCAGTTCCTGCCGCTGAGCATAGAAGTTCTGGCTGACCTCTTACCGAACGGTACACCCGGAATTGTTTTGTTGCAAACGCCTATAACAACGCATTGCTCAGGTCGTCTTCTCTGCTGATCAATATACCACGCTCAACTCCTACGGGTACTCTCCTCGTCCCCTCGCGCAGTACCTGGAGTGGGTGGAGACATTGCTCTCTACTCCATCACCACGACGCAAGCCAATAATCCTCAGCATAACTGCCTCAAATCCTGTAGATCTAGGGCAGATGCTCATACACATCCAGAGTCTCCGTCGTCGCCTCCGCGAAGTCATTCCTCCGGACGAGATTTTCCCAGATTCATCTACCCTACTGGCGATCGAGCTGAATACATCCTGTCCTAATATCCCATCTGCGCCACCGCCATCCTATCATCTACCCTCACTTCGCCCACATCTTGCCATTCTCGCTGACGTGGCGCGAGAAGATCCGTCTCTCACCATAGGCTTGAAGCTTCCTCCTTATCCTGATGTGACGCGAGTCACGGAAGTCGTCAATTGCTTGAGCGAGTACACCTTCGAGGCGGAGGGTCCGCGAAACCCCTTCGCGTTTGTGACGTGTACCAACACGCTCGGCGGAAGCCTTTTGTTCACCGACCAGGTCGACAGCAATTACATTTCCACTGGTGACGACGTTCCCGCGTTTGCAGTTCCTCCAGCCATCGGTGGCCTCGGTGGTATCCAGATGCATCCCATCGCTCTTGGTACTGTCCTCGCGTTTTCTCGCGCTTTAGCTGCGCATGGCGATCCCGCAGTCAGGAAAATTAAGGTGATCGGTGTCGGTGGTGTTACCGATCGTGCTGCTGCTAGACGAATGCGTGCCGCTGGAGCCTCTGCGGTGGCATGTGCGACACTACTAGGGCGGGAAGGTATAAGGGCGTTTGAGATATTGACTGAGTGATCGACGTGGAATTCGACCTGTATAGCTGGCAATATAGTTCTTGTCCCTGATATACGAGCAGGCAAGCTTAGTTTGCTCTTGTACTGATATGTCAGATTCAAATGGGATGTACTTGTGCGTGGGCACACGGGTGTTCTTCACAAGCTGACAACACACTGCAGAAACGAGAATATTGATCGATTCACATTGGTACCGAGTACAGGAGCTAATGATGATACACCTCTCGAAACAAACAGATTACCAAGACGCGAAGACAAATGGAGACAAACGGAGGAATAAAGTGAGCAGAAGTCATCACAAAATCCGGGTATGAATGAGGTAACAAGTCCTTCGCAGGATAGGGCCGAGACAAATATACGCGCACGATCAACGCCAGCGAACGGAAAGAGGATGTGAGCTAAGTATACAATAAAGATACAACACGTCGAGAAGGAGGAGACGGCGGACAAAGAACCGGAACGATGTCAACCCGACAAGTCTGCGAGATCGTGGCAAAGATAAGTCCGTCCGCGTGAAGTACTCAGTTCCATGTGGAGATGTCGATCAGCGGCTCCGGGGCGAAACTGGGCTCACCGAAGAGCGTGCTGGAGTCGAAGGAGAACATGGTCTCTGCGAAGCTGGCAACGTTACTCTCGTTCGTCTGCCCGAACCCCAGTCGCTCCCACTGCAGAGCATCGAACTGCGGGAGATTCGTCCCCAACGCATTCGTCTCCAACGGCGAAATGTCCAGCGGCGAGTCGAGCAGACGAGAGGTATGCCGACAAGCGGATGCCATATCCACGATCTGCTGGTGCATGGACTGACTTGCGAGAGCATTGCTTGCCATGAGGGGCAAGTCGGATGCCGGGGAAAAATTGTTAAATGAGTCCATGATCCGCTGCATCTCGGCTTCTGGACGGATATCTTGCGCAAGCATCAGAGGAGCGGAGCCGTCCCCTGCGGAGAGCTAAGTCCACTTGGGATGAGAAACCCAGGTCACCACGAGAAGAGGAGTGCTCACAGTATTGTTGAATCCCAGCTGGGAGAAGGCGGTTTCGAGATCAGTGGCACTGAGACCGTCCTGTGGCACGAAGACCCCGTCCGACAGTGGCGGGAGGAGAGGATCCTGGAGCGCAGGTAGGCTCAGCCAGGGCTCGGTGTCGATTGGTGAAATGATTGACGAGGGCTGCCACGACATAGAGTCGAACACGCCAGTGGCGAAGCTCTGCGACGGCGGTATGCAGTCGTATGTTGTCTCGACGACGCCTACGTCGGAGGTGTTTGTCATGGTGGCGTCGAATTTCAGAGCCTCCGTCTCCAATTGCTCCATGTCCGCACCTCTTGCCAGAATCTTTCCGAGCGTCCTGGAACGCTCTTTGTCTTGGGGCCCATTGCGCTTTACGTTACGCTTTTTCGGCTTCTCACTTCGCGCCCTTGGGCTGAATTTGTACCCAGGGTGTTTCGCCTCATGGCACTTCTTTACGACAGCGGCGCGGTCGTACCAATACTTTTTAGCATCGTCATCGAGTTCCTTCCAGGCGGTAGACACTATCCGCGAGACATGTCGTTGGTCGCGCTCGATATGTTTGCGCGCTTTGATCTGCCGAGCCATGTCAACGCGGAAGAGTACAAAGGCGTTTGGGGGTCGTGGGATGTGGTCGGGTCCCTTGCCGCGCCTGGTGGGTTTCGAGCGTGTGGGCGAGGAAGATCGACTCAGAGGGCGAGTGGCGTCGAGGCACTCGGGAGTCGATGGGAGCGAGGAGGAAGAGATGGATGAGGACCCAAACGTGAAATCCATCGGGGAATTCATGCTCAGGGGCGAGTTGAATCCTGTGTCAAAGAAGGAAGACATTGTGCGAGATTGTTGGAGGTGAGGGCGAGGTAAAGGTGGAAGGTCGGGTATGTGGGGTGCTTCGTTCGCGCTCGATGAGCGAGGACGCTTGTATGTCGCTAGTCGGGGGACGGGGGACTCACAATACGGGGGAGCAGGCGCAGCAACGCCCGTTTGTCTTTATACACACTCCCTAGTCGAGGAGGACATGGACTTCAGCGCGTCTGAGTGCAGCACCCAGGTGTCGATCCGATCTCAGATCCCGACGAATATCTACCCGGGCATATTCACTTCTATGGACTCGTGACACAAAGACCGTATTCCGCAACACCGCCCCGGCCGTCTGGAATTCTGTGCCTACTCACGACGCCGTACATGATAATTGAGAAAAGAATTGTATACACCCGCGAACTGACCTCTATGATATTGATGTATAACCCCATAACTCATCTATTTCTTTCTGGATGACACTGCTGTGATGTAAGACTTTACTCCGGCCACAAGACTTGGTTTACCATGCATCTCAAGTTACCCGCTGCCAGCCTAATGCCGAATGCGCTGCCGACTGTATTCGACGTCCGACTGAACTGCCGCGACCATAAATATATTCCGTGGCATATCTGGAGAACCAACACGTGTTGGGCTGTGTTCCCTTGTAATCACCTCCAGGAGAACGTCGTAGCACACGGAGAACGTGTTCTCGCCGATATCTCAAGAATCAGCACTCAAATTGGTGCCAAGGATCAGATTACGGGGCCAATAACGGATGGTGTTCCGAGCTCGAGACGGGCACAAAACTGCACAGGCACCGTGAAAGCACCACCCAGAGACGACCAGTGGCCCTAAATCTGACTCTGAATCTGGTTCCGCTCACTCGGGTATTTCCTACTTGGGGAACAATGGGATATGCGAGCTATTGATTTACATACCGGAACCACAGTGTTCTATTGACCTTTTAGGAGGACAACAGAACGTTGACCAGTGGTCAAGAACGAGAGCATCAAAGCAATACACGCCTCTGCACGCCGTCCGCAGTTCATTCTCTGCTCATACTGATCGTTTGCTGCTTCGAGTGGCCAGCCGCTGAGTGGGACGTCCGTCCGCACGCGGCACGCACATGACGGCGATGCGTCATAGTACAAAGGTGGATGTACGGTACAAAGCCCGAAGAACACAGGTGGCATTGCAGAACGTCAAGAGGTGATGCGGTATGAAAGACTGAACCAGGAGATTGTATGGCCTCATCGGGGAAGTCATCAGGTACTAGTGGCACTGTGGCAGAGTTACTAACCGTCCGTCAGCTTATGTTCAGGACCAGGATGACGCACCATTTGCAGGGCTGACAGACTTCCTCAGATTATCTGCGCTGTAGTCGGTCTGTTTCGGGCATGTTTCAGAGGAGCAAGTGCCACTGGCGGTCGCGACTCGGATCCGCGACCCGATCGCGTCTGTCACGTGCTCGCGTTGAAGAGCGCCCACAAATTATTCGGTCTCAATTTGACGAGTGAGGTTACCGATTTTCAAAGTCGACTACGGTCGCTGATGATACTGAATCGCTGCCGAATCGTATGGAGGAATTTTGCACCGCGAACGTATCATTCAGACTGTACCCTTGACCCTTGAGTGACCTGACACATTTCCCAGCAATTGGTCTGCGTGACATTGCCTCGCATAGATGTCATCTCGCATCCTCGGGTATGGTACACGTATATACATGAATGTCCCTAACGATCCTTCACCTGTTCTTCGAGCCAGTTCCACAAGCGCTCGCCGATCTGATCGTCGTAGGCTTCCTTCCTGCACCGGCCCACCCGCGCCCATGGGATGAGGAACTGAATTTCGCGTGTGAGAACTTATAACGGACAAGGCATATTAGGCCCACAGCGTACCTTGCCGTTGTAGTCAAGTGTCTCGGGCATCGTGCCGGCCCACAGCTGCGTGAGCGCCCCCTGGGACGCGGGATATAGCAACAGGTTCTGCGTAGCGTGAATCAAGAATCAATATTGTCACTTCGAAGCACAGAGCTACACACCAGGAGTCTACGTTTGAGCGGCGAGACGTAACGTAGTAAATCGGTCTCGATATTTCCTGCGTATCGACACTGTAAGAGCTAGAAATGTATACACCATGTAGAGCATCATACCTGGGTTCAGCGAGGTGGAGACGATGCCTTTGTCAGCGTAACGCTTGGCAAACTCTCGGGCGACCACGACATTCCCCTACATGTGTTAATTCGTCATCTGGTACTGCCACCAGCGACATAGCACCACTCACGAATTTACTCTGGCAGTAGAGCGCGTTCGGCGACATCTTCTTCCGCTCAGCGCTGTCTTTGAAGGTATTCCAGTGCAGCGTCTCCAAGTACGACGCACTCGAGGATACATTAACGATGCGCGAATGTTGGTCTTGGGATGCTCCAGCCCCAGCGACCAACGCCGGGATGAGCAGCTTGGTGAAGAAGAAATGGCCTAGCAGGTGTTGTGTTAACTTTCAGATATGTTAGTACTCAGACTATGGAGCTGACCGAGGACATTGGTGCCAAACTGCAGGTCGTACCCGTCTGAGGTCAAATGGTCGACGGGCGGCCACATAACGCCTCTTGTAATGTTATCAGGCATATCGAACGATGTATGTATATATTCGGGGCTTACGCGTTGTTGACCAGGACGTGAAGCTCCGTCTCTTTGCTGCATAAACATTGTGAGGCATTGCTACGAGCGAGTAGGCAGTGTGGGATACATGCCTCATATACTCCTCCGCAGCCTTACGAACGGAGGCAAGGTTTCCCAGGTCCAGCTCCAAGAAAATAGCCTCTTTTCCGTCAGTTTGTGCCTTCAGTTCCTGAATGGCAGTATCGGCCTTGTCCTTACTGCGAGAGGCCATGTAGACCTTCGCATTGTGTTGAAGCAGCGCCTGTTAGACGTGAGTATAACGCGACGGCAGCTCATGTTGAAGTTCACCTTGATCGTCTCCTTACCGATCCCCACATTCCCTCCTAGGCAAGATAAGGGTGTCAAAGCCATGGCATACAGTATAGTTGCATAGAGTCTACCAGTGACAATTATGACCTGTCCCGACAGGTCTGGGATCTGATCTGTCGAGAACTTCGACTTTGGCGGGAAGGCCTGGAGGGCATTAGATAATGCGTTACCCATAGTTGCACGGAGAGGCGACTGTGGTACGGTTACGGCCAGTTCTTACAGCGGGTACGAGGGACGCGCACCGATACTCTGCTGGAGGAGACACAATCTTGTCAGAGAGGATGGCGTTCTGTGTGAAGAAACTGTCGCGCTCGCTCGCACGGGCGTATGAGCAACACGGAACATCATTTATTGGATATGGAGAGCGTGATTAGGCTCAAAATAACGACTGGGATGCCATGGGAACTGCTTGTTCAGGACTATGACGATCCTTTATGGTAGTCTTGGCAGTTTGTCCATAGGCGCCCATACAGAATTCGTCAAGGCCCGTGGTTGGCGCCCGTAGCTCAGTCTCGCGTTCAGAGTTTCGCAGCGTCCGACTTGGTCTTGCATCATGACTGCTATCTACGAATCTCTTCTCCTCAAGCTGGTGACTGTGCTGGAATTGACCCAGCAATCCGAGAGTACACCCACCACACAGACCAGGCAGGCACTTGTCCAAGCAGTACGCGTCCCTTCGGCCACTACGGCAGAGCCTAAACTCACAATCAATGCTGCGCAGACAACTGATTTCCGGGAAAGTCTCAAACAAGCTAAAGAACTCGCTAGCACGCTTCCAGGCGGGGAGCTTTCTGTAGACGAGCAAGAGGACGTTATCGAAATGTTATTCAGGCTACGAGATCGCAAACAGTCTGTGGCTACCCAATTGTTTGGTGCTTTCAAAAGTTGGCTGACTCCCATCACTACGCAAATAGGCAACAGCTGGCGGAATTTGCTGCCAATGTTCAATCCATGTTTGCGGCCACTGCTGCCGAAGGCGTCATGATGGACGTCGACTCAACCGCTTCTACTCCCTCTTGAACTCTTGCCGCCACTCAGTGTGCAAGCCCATGCTGCGTGCTGCAACTGCTACGTTCAGGTTCATTTGCATTCGGACCAGTCAACCACGAACCTCCGTCATGTCTGGCCACCCGCTGAAAACGTAATGTTTCGTTTTGGACCAAGGAAGGCGCGCGCACTCGTCAGCCCCTCTATCCCATATTATGTCCTTTGTTAGATGCTCCACATCTTCTCGTTCAACCTTTGTAGCCTAGACGGCGTACCAGTCAGGGCCGGCCCTGCACCTTCCTTTCCTTTCATTATCCACTCGTTCATTTCGGATTCGCGACCATGCGCAAGCCGAAGCGATTCTCGCTGCCTCTCTTCCAACTTACCATTCTCTCTGCGTCTCTTCGTCAAGTCGTAGGTGCTGCTCACAGTGCCTCTGTGACCTGGATGAGCCCGTCCGTCGGCGATGTCTTTGCATCGGGAGACACGATCGTCGGACAGTGGAGTTCGCAAGATGGATTCGCTCAGCCCTCGTTTAGCCTCTGCTCGTCTAGCGACGGTGACAGCGATGACGGCGGAGAGAATTGTGGAGCGGATGTATGGCCGATTGTGAACCAAGACAGTGGCTCGTACCTCATCTACCTGTGGGTCCATATCATCATTCGGCTCATGCATCAGACACCGAACATTCCCCATCTTATGATGACAGCTCAACGCCGGACATTTCGACGGCTGCGCGCGTTTATCTGCGGATGGACGACAATAGCGGACAAACAACTGAATCTCCTCAATTCTCCTTGAGCCGTGCGCACCTTTCTTGTGAACTACTGTAGCATCACCTCATACCTGGCCACATAGCGATATCGTCAAATTCGTCGACCGGCTCCTTAACGAACCCAAACGCCACTTCCATTCCCCTCGCATCTCCGTCCGCATCTGCTGCATCATCCCTGCAACCTCTGCCTGATCTCGCTTCCACGGCTATGCCCGCGCCCACGGCTGCATACGCCGTGCCCCTATCACTCGTCGTGTCCGTCCTGCTCGCTGCATGTGGTTTGGCCGTCCGACAGCGGCGCAAGCTCCAGCAGGAACGCGAACAGGAGGAACAAAAGCTGAAAGAAAAGACCTGGTATGAGCGCCAGAATGAGAAGAACGACGCCTTCACGCGGTTTCCTGGCATCCGAAGGCAGCGGTCGCGACTCAGTAACCCTGGCAGCGTGGGCGCAAGCGAAGTCGGTATGCGTGGCGGCAGTGCGGAGAGCATCCGCTCAGGATGGGGCTCGCGAGCCTCTTCGCCAACCGCCGCTATGAGTGCCGACGGGTCGTGCCGCGGGTTCCCGGACCTACATGCGGATTTTCACTCTCGCCTTCACAGCAAGGTGGACGACGACCAGCTCTCCTTGTACTCCGTCGCGTCGCTCAAACGGCAGCCCATGGTCCGCCGGGCGACCCGCGAGGTGTTCTGCCCTCGCCCGCAGACGCGCCCTGACATGCATACCCTCCCGCGTGGCCATGCGCCGGGGCGCACCCCTGGGCAGCGGCGCGCGGGCCGGGTCACCGCGAGCGCGTTCCGGGCGGGCGTGTCCCCCGTCCCGCCGGTGATGTCGCGCTTCCTGTCGGGCGCGTCGGAGTGGGACTACGGCGTGCGGAAGAGCAGCCAGCGGCGGAGGGAGGAGCGCGTGAACGCGTCCGTGGAGGACGAGGTGGTGGAATGCTACTTCATGCCGTCGCCCGTCCCGCCGGCGCAACCCGAGCGGCTGCACGTCAGACGGTACACGGCGGACGTCGACAAGCCGCTGCCCGAGAAACCGGGTTCTGAGAAGTGGTGACGTGCGCGCCTGCGGTGCGCCGGCGGGTCGCGGAGAAGGCCGTTCGGGGTTTTGTCCTCCTCGATGCCTGCTCTTCAATTTGCAATGTTCAACAATGGGACGTCAAGATGAAGGGGTGTTCTTCAGTGGGAAAAGATTATAGGCAATCATCGCTATCGTCTGGGGCGAGTCGAGCCCTACCGGCATCTGCACCCGCACTGGACTGCAGGGTCTCGGGTCTCGAGGATGGTTGATCTCGCTTTATTTGCTGCTCGGAGAGTGCGCTGACGGACGAGCGTCCCCGGGCTCTCTTTGCTGTACCTATGTCCGATAAGAATGCGGCTTTCATTCGCATCGCGGTCTCACCTGCTCTATGCATGGTTGTGAATATGGAAATTGACAGTGTGCGCGGAAATGTGGACGTGGAAGCTGGTCACCAGCACGGCGGGAGTTTCGCGTCCGGTCTTGTCCAGGTGCTTTTCTCCAAGTGCCTTCTGGCTTGGTGGTTACATGAGCGCTTGGACACAAGCAACTGAAGTAGTGCAGTATAGTAGCAATCAATAAGCGTGCTTCTCTTGTGGTACTTCTTTTGGTGAGTCTCAGTTGGCAGTTCTCATTCATGTTACTAACACAGCCTAGCCCATGCGTGTGCGCCACTGCGAAGCAGCGAGCGGTTTTCGCCGTTCTAACTGTTATGATTTTCCGAAGTCCGGTCGGCACGAAGCGCCAAAGAGCATCCGAGTCCTCAACCGTACTATTCGGCCAAATACCAAAATCTATGTCACGCAGATCAACAGTAGTCTCGTAACCAGACGTTAAGGGGGGGAGAAGGGATCACGTGGAGTGTTACTATATCTGGATGCGGAGTTCCAAAAAACCCTGCACGACTCCCCCCCTTAACGTCTGGTGCATTTTGCAGGGAGGGAGGGGGGTATCCGTCACGCCCTGGCGCTTAACGCGTCTGCAGCGTGTCTTGCCTGCGATGTGTTCCGTCAATCTATGTACGGCGCGTAGTATGGCTCCCGCTATATCCACTCTTGCCGAGTTCTCGTACGCTTTCAACGCTCTCGGTGTCTATCCTCAAGAAGGCCCGTGAGGAAGCAGCAAAAACGCACCAGTACTCGTCTGCAGAGACAGAAGCCCCGAGTGGTCGTCAAAGATATCGCTGCCCAAGTCCGAAGCCGGCGGGGAGTCCAGGTCGGAGTCAGAATCGTCAACGACACTGCGTAGCGAGCTCAGCCAAGGGCTCAGATGAGTAGTTGGAATAGACGACATTATGATTATGTAGGTTGTCTACCATAGCATACATGCGCATACATCGACTAGCGACTGAGTTTCGAAGTGCGCGGCGCGTCGGACGCATTCACGTACGCGAGCAGACGCGAGAGGTAACGGCGTCGTCACCAGTGACTTTGGTGACGCGTGATGGATACCCCCCTCCCTCCCTACAAAATTCACCAGACCTTATAGGCGAGAGTGTGTAGGGGTTTTTAGATCTCCGCCACCCAATTGGGTAATAGCACACGTGATCCGCCTATAAGGTCTGGAAACGAGACTAGATCAACAGAGTGTTTCGCGTACTTGGATTCTAGGAGAAGACAACAGGCTCAGTGAGTAGTCCCGTGTGCCTTCCATTTGTCAGGTGCTCAACAAGCGATAATGACAAGTTGACTGTTGATACGGCCTGGGCTTCACGAGTACTCAATGGTTATTGAATGAACTTCACTCACATTCACTACGAGAATCGTGCCGCTCCTCCGTAGTTTTTGACTACAAGGGGTAGGACGTGACGTTTAACATACGAGTGGCTGGCAGGCAGACAGCTGAATAGGCGCTGAGTCCAAATCGGTCATGCATGACATTGTAAGTAGCCGTGTGCACTCAGTTCGCGGCGGCACGGCGCTGGACCCTTATAATACCGTCACAGGAGAAACCTCCCGTGAAAGTTGGACCGAATGGACCTATGGCCCATGCTCGGGCGTGACGTCGGCAATGCCACACTTCGGTGGCCGAAGTGGACGTGGAAGCCGCGTCTGACAGGCTGCCACCAGCAAGTTCGCTTTCGAGGGCGTGAGTGTACACTGATGACGATGGCGTTGTTTGACCAGCGCTGTTGATCTCGCCGGCGGTGGCAACATGATACTGTCATGTCAGGGTGCCGCCGGTCTAGTACATCAGGGTGCCTTACGGGTTTCAACTTGATTTAACACATTCTGAGCAGGACGCCCTGTTAGCGCCGAGGCGATGTGCACGGCTACCAAGGGCGCACGCCAGCCAAGTCCGAGATGTATGGCCGTTGGCTGACCGTGGGCGCACGGCATCGAATGGTTGCGAGGAGTCGTGCGCTTGATTAGAAGACGCCGCGAAGAGAAGGCCGCGTCGTATTTGGATTGCCCAGCTGCGCGCTTTGTGAAGGCAGACTGGATTTCTAGACGTGGCCCGAGAGCAGCGTTGATCGAGTGGAGCCCGCACAATCAGGACAAGCTCGGAAGACGTCCTCGAGGGATCGGTCTCCGACAGACGCCCGTCTATCAACTGTCTGGTGCGTCTTCTTGCTGCGCTGCTTATGGAAACGTGGCCTCCGGATCAGGGTGACAGCTCCCCGAAAGAGGCAAATGTGGCGCTCGGAGGAGACGCAATGAGGACGAAAGGGGACGGCTTCCTGATACGCATTCTGTGTGTCCGGAGAGGGCGCGGCATGGCCCCTTCGGGGAGCCACGACCATCATCGTAGAAAAGACAAGGAATCGTCGCCGGATTCACAACCACGGCCAGGGTCTTGCTGCTCTCGGCGCCCACCCGTCCCCACCTCCGTTGCGCCTGCGCATCCTTCTTTCTCTCTAACCACCACCATCTCTTGTCCTTTCCTCTACATTCCTCTATTATACTACCCTAGTCTTTCCTTACCCAAATGGCTTCCCCTTCTGTTCAACTCCCCTCCCGCGAGCGTCCTTCGCCCTTCTCCCTCGAGGAGTTCTCAGACCTCGTCTGCTCTGCCTTCAACCTCGGCACTCAGCAACCCGCTCTTTCACTTGCCCCTACTTCCTCGCGCGATCTTCCAGCCACCGTGCAAAGCGCCTCCGTAGAGACTTCCCTCAGCTGTTTCGACACAGACACAGACGATGATCACATCTCCGCATACCTGCCTTCTCGCGCGCACTCGACAACCGATGCTAGCAGATTGTCAGTAACATATACCAAGTCGCGCGCAAGCGCGCTCAACATGCTGAAGCAAGTCCGTGTTCGCGCATCTGCGCTTGTCCTCCGACCCGCGAATACCAACATCGATTTCTCGAATTCGGAGCCATTGGCTCCTCAGTCACTCCCTCGCATATCCGTCTCGTCCCAGAATACAGTCACCTCTCTCACTAATTCTTCTTTCGCATTCTTGTCCCGACCGCACACACCATTTGAGACACCCCGCCCCTCGGTACCCTTCCCCTTCAATTCCACCACTGACTTGGCGCTATCCCGCTCCAGAACGCGCACGAGGAGTTTTCCAGGGCCTATGTCTATTCTCAAGTTCAGCCATAGACAGGTCACTCCGGCCACCATTTCTCCTGCTGTATCGGCTTGTACCACAGAGCCGCCGAGCGCAAGGGTAGATCTTCCCTCGTTTTTTGAGGATACAGGATACACCGAGCGTCGCCCCGTGCCTCCCACATACAGCCGCCCCACGACGCCTGTCACATCTGCTACAACGCCGCTTCGCGTTCACGCGCGACTCCCACCCCTGCGGAAGGCGAAGAGCGCGTCGACTGGTATCTTCCGCGGCCGCGGGACAAAATCTAAAGGACCATGTCCGGAATCCGCGGCAGTGGCGGCGGCAACAATTGATGGACAGTGGACCTTCGACGAAGGAGAGTTCATGCGCCCGCGGGACCCGCCACCTGTGCCGCCGATCCCTGTAAGACTCCGTGGTCTCGTAGGCGGATGGGAAGGAGAGGGCGAGGACAACGACGCGCTACTGGAGGTCCCGGACTATGTCTTTGCCAGACGAGGCAGTGCTACAAGCACCTGCACGACAAGCACGATGGTAAGCAGTCGCACTCATTCACTATCAGATATATTGCTTTGGGCCAGGTCGACTTACGGTTTGTATTGCTGACTTCTGGAAACCCCGTGTCTCATCATCTCTGGTGAGACACTGGGTTGTCCAGTTCAATTATGTGCGTCAGCCCCGGGATGGCTTGCCACCGGGTATCGCCGCGGATCATACAAGGATTGTGCTTCCGAGATCCACGAATTTGGATCCATTCTATACAAACAATCAGCAGGTGGCGTGCTGAACCGTCTGTAAGACCCTGTGGCCCTGAAGGCACGTTCGAATCACCAGAGATTGGCGTGATCACCGAGCCATTCTTCGTGTCTGGCCGATGTGCTTACGATATCAGCTCTCCCTTAACGAGCCATTTTTTTCGCTATATGGCCGGAGGTACCCGTGAAGACATCTGGGATGCATATATGCGTCATGCATGATGTTGGACAGCTCACCGTCTAACCGTTACGCGCGGCCTCCAACACAATCATCCATGTCTATGAATACTTAACTGATGTTCGTTGTCCCCGTCATTGCAGACATCTACCAAGACAACCTCTAGCTTGGGCGAGCGCATTGCATCCTTGCTTCCACTCGCACTACCTTCCAAAGCAAAGTTCCGAGCACGTTCGAAGCTCAGTCTCGCCACCACTGTAACAGCAGACTCGTCGCCATCGACGGACCGGACCTATTCGCCTGTTACCCCCACCAACTACGCTTTCCCTCCGTCAAGCACGGAAATCTACTCGAAGACTGAGCATTGTCACGGCCAGGACCTCGAGTCGAATGACTATGTGCATGGTCTAGAGCGCGTCTTCACTCTTGAATCCGATCCGTTCAAGAAGGCAGAAATCGAGGTTGAGCGTGGGGACTCGACGCCGACACCGCGATCGGGCACGCCCCTTGTTGGAAGGACCAGGCGCCCGCGTGGGCTTGGGATAGACATGGACGGGGCGGATGGTATTCAGGGCATCGATATTCACTCGTGGCGCGAGGGTGCGCGAGGCTTTTCAAAGCCCCCGGCGCGCCGGATCCCAACAGTAGCCGCAATCTTCGATTCGCCTTCGCCTAGATCTCCTGCCTATACGTTCCCCTCGTCATGTTCGGTGTACACAGACCAGGCCGGACGCGACGAAGAGGACGTACCGGATACGCCATCTACGATTGCGAGCTTCGGGGACAGAGCATTCCCGGTGTCGAGATTCAGCACGCCATCGAGCTCGAGATCTTTCCGGTCGTCGTGTTCGAGCATGTTAGACGCTGAAGAGGCTCGTGAGCGAGCCTTCGGCGGTGATATCAATGCCGACATCGATGCAACATTCGTATTTGGTTCTCCAGCGCCCGCTCCTGTTATGATCGAAGGTCAGACGATGGAATCAGCCTCTAACAGAAGAGCAACGGTGGAAGAATGTCCGTCGCCCGCTATCCAGGGGAACCCACAGTCTCTTGCTCGACGCGCCCGGGTGGCTGCACGGGCATCCATGCCGCCGTCTCCGCCTTCAGCACCCGCAAAACAGACTCAGGAACGCAAATCCCTCCCGCCGTCACCACCCATCTCAATGTCCAGGTACATCCAACGCAGCCCTGCATCGCCCACCAGGCGAAAGGCGTCCGTACGCACGGTCGCCTCAGAGCCGGCCCCCGGTGAGTCGCGTGGTGTGATGCGACCTGGTTCACCGTTTCCTCTTATGCGCGGCCTGAGCGATGGTTCGCCGAGGGGCCGCGAGGGGCGAAGGCGCAAGCTCCAAACTCGGTACGAAGCGAAGAGGGCCATTGACGACAACAAAGTAGCTGTTGCGGATGATCAGAGCAAATATGAGGAAGATCTCGACTTCGTGGACTCCGGGGTCATGATCGATATGAGCGTCGTTGTCAACCCGCCCGAGCAAACGGAGGATGACGAGGACGCATTGGAAGACTCCTTTGTCCTCCCAGCTGTTGAAGCTGCTAAACTCTTCCTTCGCTCAGATAAGGTATGCATACTTTCCATGTGCTGGGTCAGCGTTACTGATGTGCCCAACAGGATTCCATGGACATCGATTACGAGAATAAGGCGGTCCTCCATCCGCCCTCTCCTTCAGGCTCGTGCATTCGTCTGGGCGTCGCAAACGGCCTGCACTCGACGAATCCGTCTACTGACTCTGACGCGACAATGACCCCGGAGAGGTACCAATCTGCTCTTCGCCGGGAAAGTTTGCGAGAAGCCGAGCGCGAGGTGGAATGGGATAGATGTACCGCTCTTTCCAGTGCGACGACACAGTCGAGCTCGTGCTCCGCCGGCACGTTCTACAGTGCACGCTCCAGTGTCGAGTCGACGCCCTAGGCGAAACAGGTTTCTATGGGTGTAAGTTATAAAAATGAGTAAGATTCAGTTGTGGGATTACTGTACGGTCCCGTCCTCTCCCTGTTGTTCTCCCTTGTTTTTTTTCACTATCGCGCGCTATTCTGACGCTGTCGGCACAGAAGCCTTCTTGATACCCAATTCGCGTCGCGTCGCTGTCCATTAGCATCCGAGTCTTTGATGACCGGCATCATCCCTTCCTTCGTTCACAATTCTAACCTGTACTACTTCTTCACAATCCGTTAATTATTCATAATCGCCACCTATTCACATTCGCATACGCTACTGTAGGTTATAGTGTTTTACTAGTCGCACGTTTGACCGTACCTGTTTCTGCCGATTGTTTTTCGGGCTCTGGTTCGGTAGGACTTGCTGTAATTGTAGTAGCGCCTCAGTATTGCAATTCACGCTCTGTTGTGTTTGATGGCCATTGTGATTCCAGTGTCTTGATATTTGGCGTGCCTGATGCGCGTGGAGGTGTCGTATCTATGTAGATACACGCGGACTACATGTGCACGCCATGTTATCTTGTACCCCCGTGGTACCCCCTGATTCGTTTGCCCATCTTTCGCTCTCGTTCTCGCATTTATCGACCATCAACTGCTGTGTATGCCCGTACATGCGGAGCTAAGGCCTGACGCCCGAAGTCTAAGGCATCCGGTCATGCCTCGATATCAATAAGAACGCTTGTATGACGTTACGCGACGCGTCTCGACGGGTTTATCACGTGTGTCGCGTCTACCGATCGTATATTAATGAATTTGTGTGATGGCAGCGATGACGAGGTTCATGAAGCCGGATCCTGTATGGTCTGCGGTGAAGCAAATTCTGCATTCTGCATTGACGTCCAGTGGCTGCCTTCCGCCTTGCATAGTATGCACGCCTGCTCTTCTAGCTCGGCTTGACGCAAAGCTTCCGCGGGCGTGAGACGATCCGGATCCGGCTCTGTCTAGCTCTCGCCAGCTGCTTGGGCCCACCCGACGATGCTCCGGGCGCGCTGAAGCAGTGGCAGTGGCAGTGGCAGCTATATCTGCGGCGCCGCTCCGTGTCGAGTGGGGCGCTCCTCTTGGTACCGGTCCTCCGTGTGTCTAGCGCTCTCTGATTCGGTTTACGGCCAACCCCCGCGTCAAAGACGAGGATGGGCTCCTTCTTGTCCGATATGCGCCTGAAGACGTCTGCTCTGGGGCAGTTGTTCCCTCCGAGGGCCAGGTTTGACACCGAGCAGATGCCTGACCTGACTGGGAGAGTAACCATTGTCACCGGTATGTACCATACCTCTCTGGGCGCTGGCCCCCGGCAGTGGCACAGGAACAGCCTTTTTGACGTGTCCTCCCCGCTCCCCGATACGGCGTTCTAGGCGGGAACTCCGGGATCGGGCGAGAGACAGTGAAGGTATGCTCCCAGCCCGTATACGTCCAGAGAAAGGAAGCCAAACGCGCCGTGTGCCAAGGCACTGCTGGAGCACAATGCGATCGTGTACATGGCCACTCGAAACAAGAGGAAAGCGGAAGAAGCCATTGCGGAACTGAACGAAAGGACCGGCCGCCTCGCCATATATCTCGAGCTCGATCTAAGTAGCCTTTCTTCTGTCAAGAGGGCTGCAGAGGAGTTCATGAGGTTCGCCCGGCATAGCTGTGGTATCGCCGGGATGATCTCATAGCCGTCCCATTGACAGCAAGGAGAAGAAACTGCACATTCTGTTCAACAATGCGTATGTTGATGTCCATATCTCGTGGAGATCGTTTTCACGCGTTGCTATCTCGTCGCCAGAGGTGTGATGTGGTCTCCTCGAGAGATGCTCACAGCAGAAGGCTACGACATGCAGTTCGGCACGAACGTGCTCGGTATGTCATATGCATTCCAGGCCGGTTGCTCACCGCCTCCTCTCATGCGTGCCCGGCGTTTGAAGGCCACTTCTACCTCACTGCGCTCCTGATGCCTGCGCTGCTCGCTGGAAGGGACTCTTCACCCGACGGATACGTGCGCGTCATCACGACGTCATCCTCCGCCGCATACAGATACACGCTGAACTGGGACTCCTTCAAGGCGGGGGCGGCGCGCAGGAAGATGTCCCCCCGAACGCTCTATTGCCAGAGCAAATTCGTGCGTGCATCGGAACACTGTCTTCTGTCAGCGGCGATCTCATATTCCATCTCAAGGCGGATGTGGTGTTCGCGCGCCAGTTAGCGAAGCGCTACGGCGAAAAGGGCATTGTGTCTATATCATGCAACCCTGGTCAGCACGTCGTGTGCGCGACATCCGACGAGTAACTCACCTGTTTGTTCAGGTTATATCGACACTGAGCTGTTTCGCCATGCCTCACGTTTCATGCAGAGGCTAACCGTCAGCGAATGTCCTTATCATCACTCGACTCTTCTTACACTAACAGTACGCAGAACCTCATCGCCCATCCTGCGTCGAAGGGCGCGCTCACACAGTTGTGGGCTGGCACGATGCCCGAGACCGTGCAGTACAACGGCGAGGTCAGCCTATCATTTCAACAGTGTGCTTAATCCTTGCTGATCTTGATCCCACAGTTTTTGATCCCTTGGGCACGAGTTGGCAGGTGCAGAAGGGAGGCATACGACAATGCGTTGGGCGAGAGGCTCTGGGCATGGCTCGAAGAGCAGGTAGAAGGCCGCAGGGGATAGCTCAGTGTCGTTTGAGTGTCGTCGTTGTTCGCTTCACGCCCACCGTCGTCCGGTGGATAGTCATTTAATAGGATACCATAAATGGATGCTTCAGGCAAAATGAGACTTGGGCGTATCATATCATGGCGAGTTGGCAACATCCGCTACCGACATGCGTGGCGTTGTAGGGCTCCATCACATTTATCACCTCACGAACGAGAGGATGATCCTTGTACTCCTCGAAGTTACGCTCGTACGTACCACCTCTCGCCCCGTACAAATAACATACCGTTATGCATGTGCTAGTCTACCGTAATGGCAGTGGCAGAGAGGGAAAGAAACAGGAGATGGAAGGTACGCATAACGGCTGTAGTGAGACTCAGTCATTCCTCGGACTGGCCTCCCATTTCGTATCTTTGAGGGCAGTGACAGCAATCAGCTGTCGAAGGCCGTCAGTGACAACGTCCAAGACATGCAAGAGCAAACACCACTACTTGAAATTACCTCAAGCAGCGCCGCAACACACATGTTTCAGTTCGCGTTGTTAAATCAGAGGGATTGATAGGTGGCATGTAAAATTACAGTAATGATACACAGATTTCAGGTGGTAATCAACCTCCGCGCCCACTACGCCCCGCCAATGTCCACCTCTCTGGCTGACGACGTACAGACTGTGGAATAGATACCGACAACACGCGCTAAATGTACACTAAACGCTGACCTTTCACTAATAAAGGGGAATCCCAAGTCCGGAAACATCTCATCCTCGACTGGGTAACGTACAACACGACAGCAAGACTAGATGGGGCACCGCGAGACGGAAAGCGACGATAGGTATAAGCCAATTGCGAGATATGCATTTCTAAATGCGTTTGGGAGATTATATGGCCGAGAGAGGGAACCAGGATTGCCCGCCTTCAGCGGACTGTCGCAAGCACGGCGGCGGCGGGTGGTGCATGTTTATTGTTCATAGCCTCCCGGACCATTGAGGGAGGCCATCCAGATACGCGTTTTGTATAGACTACGGGATGGCCGAATGTGAGCGGTGGGAAGGTGGCAGCATTTGATCAGTACGTACCGGAACAATTCCCGCACGAGTTCACGGAAATCAATCCTCTTTTCGGCGACGAAATAGAAGGTTAGCTTGCGTCGATCCCTGAGAGATATCAGTGAGTCTAACACATTATGTAAATAGTGGTGACGATATCACTTACCACTGGTATTCGGCATCGACGACCTCCATGGGCAGTTTTCTCTGTCGCACTTTACTACGGCACAACTCAAGCGCTTTAGCCTCGTCCTGCATCTTCATGGCGAGTGACCTGGAAGAGTGTGTAAGGATTGTGCCGCTGGATAGTGTTAGACGCTACATACTGCGTATCCTGTGATGTAGCCTTCCCATATATCATCTTGGGGTTTATTTCCTTTGTTCCACCTCCACCTCCGCTGGTCGGGCTGGTAGGTGTGTCCGGAATCCCGCCATTGATTAGCTTTTGCTGCTTCTGGAAAGCCTCTACTTCGTGTAAGGTGATGGTATCGTTAATGACCTTGCCGAGGTCGCGCCCACGATCGGCCTCGACAATCACCAGGTCCCCGACACGGATGTCCAGCGCGAGGTCTGTGCAATAGAACAGATCTGTGCGCCCCGCCTTGAACTCAACTATGAACAGCGGCCAAGACGTCGGCACCGAGCGCAGTGGCACGCCTTTGCCAAGATCGGCCAGCGCCTTATTCCCCGCTTCGGACGCACGCCGCTGGATCGGCGGCGAGTGCGAGTGCGCGTAGCGCAGCCCGACGGGCGAGATCGGCGGCGCAACGCGCTGCTCAGGGATGTGCTGGATACCATGCCCGGGGACGAACCGTGCCGTGCCCGCGCCACGCATATAGCCGTTGTCCTGCGCCTGCGCCTGTGCCTGTACGAGCGTGTCTAACTGGAGGAGCGACGGGCTCCCACCCGAGAGTCCGCTATCACTCGGAGAGCCGATTGACTGGCGCGACGCGTACGAGCCGCCACCAGGGATGCTAAGGTGCAGCGGCTGGTACGGGGAGAGGCGGTCCACAGCAGACGGCGGGCTGCGCGAGAGCGGCGCATATATGGGGAGTGACGACGGCTGGCTGGGCGGATGCATCCCAGAAGAAGTGGGGCGTGAGTCCTCGCGCAAACTGAGCATGTTGAGGTCGCTCGCGAGGTCGTCGTCAGTGAGCAGCAGGCCGCCACCACCGGCGAATGATGCGGAGTGGAAGGGGCCCGGACGGCTCATCTCCTCAGTACCATCGCTGCCTGGCACGTTGAAGCCGACAATGGGTCTGCGAGGCTGCACGACGCTGACGCTATGTCGCCGGCTCGTCGTGCCGCTCCCGCCACCGCCGTGCTCGTCGTGCGTACCCGACCAGAGCTCGCGAAACGCGCTGCCGTCGTCGAGCAGGATCTGCCCGACGTCACGCACGAATGGGCTCATGTTCGACGGGTCGGTGATCGAGCCGTACCCACTGGAAGCTGAGCGGCCTAGAGCGCCAAGCGAACCGTAACGGCTGTTCCCCGGTGGTCTGAGCTCATTGTACCGCGAGGAGGGAATGTTTTTGGCACCCGTAAAAGATGAGTCATTCCAGAGGGCAGAGGAGCCGTGTGGCAGGCCACTGCCTATGGCGCCCGGGCGCGTGGTAGCCAAGGATTGGGATCTGCTGCGCGTTAAATCCGCTGCGTAGGTACGCCCACGGGTACCTTGGAAAGAGGGCCTGACGTACCGCTCGTCGTAGGCATCATAGGAGTCCTGGGCGTCGGAGAGCGCTTCAGACTCGTCATCCTCAAACGTGGAGGCAAAACGTGAGTCGCGCATGGCGGACGTGAACAGGCCCTGTTGGTTGGGGGGAGAGGAGGAGAAGGAAGCACTGCGCGTGGGAACAGACTGAGGGAGGGCACCAGAAGTATTGTTAGGGTTTAGGCCAGACAATCGAGGCCAGACACCTCCTGAGGGGTTTCTCATGGGCTGCATCGGAGAGGAGAGGAAACCTTGGCTTGTGGTTCTTGGCGGCTGGCTGGCGGCGCGCTCTCTGAGGCTGTTGGGCGTGTCCGTGCCATGGTCGGAAAGGAAGCGGTTACGACGATCCGCATCGTCTGAGCCGTATTGCTGGTGATTGCTCGCCTGCATTGTGACAATGGATGGCAAGCCGAGAGTACGTAACTGTTCGTAGTTCTGAGCGGTCGCCAGGATTGCTAGCTGATGTGATAAAAGATGGAGTGATGCTGTGGGGGGCGGGGTAACGTCCGAACTATTCTGTCTCTTGGCCAAAATCAGAACGTGCGGCCTCTAGAGGTCGTCGATCTATGGAAATGGTAAGTCGTGCACGGCGAGAAAGCAAGAACATACACACAATAGTCGCACCGGGATCGTAAGGACGTAGACTCTAATTGCGCACGCAACGGTTCTAAGCGGGCCAGTCTAGACGGGATCGAGGTCGTGGAGGCGGTCTAGGAGGATAGTACAGATGATGTTCTGGGTGAGAGTGGAATGCTACAGACTTGCTAGAGAGCGGTCTATGGAGAGAAAGAAAAGCGAAAAGAGTCAAGAGGGGAACATGGCGTCGGGGATGACTGAGTTGTCCAGCTGACGGAGGTCAGCAGTGCGCCCGTACACAAGCGCCCCTGTACATGCCTCGATCCGGCAACATTTGCGACCACACGGTCACAAGGCCCGCCCCGCCACTGCGCCCCGCGCCCTCCTCCTGCCCACTCTCCTCCTCGCTCTGCAGAGCTATCCTATTCGCAGCACGGCGACCATCCTATCCGCGCCCAACCACCGCATTCTCGGCGGCGCGCGCTGCAGCAGCTGACGCGGTCACGGCGGTCGCGTGCGCGTCTGTACCCACGCTCCTCACAAGGTCCTCAATTGACCCACTCTTCGTTCGCTGGAATCAAGATCCACTGAATGGTCCAGGCGAGTCAGACGCATCGCATTACCCCGTATCCGATATTCACAGCATGCCGTCTCCCGCGACCGCCCCGCAGCGCATTCTACACCCCGTCATGTGTGCCCGCTTCCCCCGCGCCATCTGCCACTCAGACCCCCGACCTGACTCAATCCCCTGATAGTCGACTCTGCATAGCCTTAGTACAGCCCCCGCAGTGACGTCGCGCGCACATTGTGCGCAACTATCTCAGCCGGCTAACTAATATGAAGCTCCCCGCGCAAAGTCTCCGCATCGCCGGGTCACCCAGCGGCCGCGTGCGAGCCTCGGCAATGTGCGTGTTGGAAGAAATCAGAAATGTCTCTGCTCATGGAAGGTAAGTGCGGCGCAGCAGCGATACAAAGCCCCCGCCGCGGGCCCTGAGTCTATACGTCGAACACCACGTCCGTCGCCTTGAAAGCCGTGTTCCCAGGCCATACCCGTATCGGCACCTCACACTCCACCATCTCTGCATTCACTTCCCGCCATTCAACTTCGTCGCCCAGACCCGCACCTTCGTCTCCATCTGAGTCAGACCCCGGCCCTTCGTCGTCTCCGTCGTGATATTCTGCCGACGGCCCTAGTAGCGGCGCGGTGAAGTACGATAACCATGTCGCCGCCGTGCTTGGCGTCGTTGGGCTCTGGACACCCGCGTTCGCGCGCAGGTCTGGCCGCTCCATAGGTGCGATGGATGCGGTCCCCTTCCACGATGCGCCCCAGTCACCCGGCGATCTATCGCGCACGAGCTGGCGCAAGCGCACACCGTCGGGGCCTCCTCGCGAGGTGGACGACGCAACAGCCACTAGCAGGCATAGACGTACTTTCCACTCCAGCCCGCCTGGTGAGGACTGGGTACCTGGGGCGCCATCGATGCTGACCTGAAACGCTGGGCTGGCGTCTGGTGGGATGTCCAGTGAGAAGGTTGTCCGCAGAGTAGATGGTATGAACGACGAGTGGTGCTCTGCGTGCACGCGACGCGTCTGTCGTGCGTTTACTGGAGACGATATTGAACTCGGTAACGACTCATGTGCTTCCAGCAATGCTGACAGCTGTGCATATCGTGAGTACACAAATGGATAGCATTTTAAAAGTGCATGGAGATACCTTCAACACTCTTGCGCGACTCGAGCGGTCGTTCAGCTCTACTACCCCGAGCACTGTCTCGCCTAACCGGTACGCTGATTTTGTGAATGTCAGCACAGCCACCTTGACGCCATCCTTGGTCACGTCGTAAGATGCTGTATTGAAACAACGGTAAGTCTAGAAAATCTTGTTCTGTCGCATTGACCACAACGTGAACGCACCTTTCCGTGGATTGCGCGTGAGCATCTCAATGGCTTGTCTACAGCCTGAAAGTGCACCGGCCTCCTCACGCTCGCGATCCCGCTCAAGCTCGAGCGCTTCTGAAGGTAGCCTGATGCGCACCCCGCGAGCGTTTGGATCATGATCGTGAAAGGAGGAGAGCAAGTTGCGTGCAAAGTCCTGCAAGTCTTCGAATGTGCCGCTCTTGGCTTGAGGATGTGATGTCCCTATCCACGATAATGTAAACGTTCGTCAGGAGATTATGAGAGTTGAAATAAATTACCTGGCGTTGACGCTTGCGTCCCCGTTTTGGGCAAATGCCGTGGCTCCTCAGCCACCTTGGCACTACACGGTGCTCCCCTCGATTTCCAGAACGATACGGGCCATAGCAGGTCGTACGGTGATGGTTGTCTTCCCACTGAGTATCCGATCAGAAGTTGCAAGTTTCAAAAACAGGCATGAGCCTCACCAACGACGTGATTGTACACACGTATGGGCACCTTCATGACCCGGCTGCTGCTGTTAGCCCCTGTCGGACCCTTGCCACCGGCAGGTGTGCTCGACGCAGCGCGACACACGCCGAGAATGAATTGGTATGACAGCCTCAGCGCCCTGCCCTTATATGTCGGCGGCAGGTTCTCCGGCAACACCACGGTATAAGTGTCTATAAGCATAGCGGTGATGAGGACGTGTCACGGGAGCCAGTTCAGCCCCTAACACCCGACACGCAGAGAGCATGGGAACTTACGCACAGCTACGCGACTCGCCCGGCGCCAGACTCAGGTCGACGGCGAGCATAGACGGCTGCATCTCGAATGTCGGCAGAGGCGTCTCCGGGTCGACGTCCTGCTCTGCACCCGTCCCCACGCCCGCCCCGAAACCGAGGCCGACCCCGCTGGGTCCTGGCGCAGGGTCCGAAGAGAAGAGAGAGAACATAGAGGGCGCACGCGCGCGGTGCGCAGGAGACCACGGCTGGCTGGAGGTCGGCGACGTGGGCATGAGTGAAGTTGGAGACAGGAGTGAGAATAGTGACGAGACAGATGTGCTCCGGCCTCGCGAGGATCGTCCGCTCTGGCCCAGATGCTGTCCATGACCGAATGGGCGCGAACTCAGTGATGGTGTGATGTCCATGCTGCCACCTCCCACCACCTGCCGCTTGAGGAGACGAGCACGGACGTCCTGCAATGTGCGTGCCTGGTCAGGAGTGCTCGGGCCAGCGGGCGTCAGCGACAAGGTGCCGACGAGCTGAGCATACGAATACAAGATAAGCTCGGTATTTGGCAGAGGAAAAGAGGACGAAAATGCAGTCCGTGGCGGCTGGTTTGGATTGAGTGTGCTGTTTGCAGCTGGAGGGGGTCCATGGCCAAGCTGGGGTGGTCGTCTAGGTCCTGCACGAGCAGCAGAACTGCTTATGTTCACGGCTGACGGAATCTGGGTGCGGAAGGCAGCTGGGTCTGTTTGAGGTATTGGAGAGGTTATGGCAGGTGTCATGGGCGGCATGGTAGGCGATGATCCGCTCTCAGCGATGGGGTCGAGAGAAAGCGAGTAGGTGGACGTTGACGCGCTGAGCGTCGGAGAGAATGGGGACAAGCTAGGCGGAGGACGCAGGTCCTGCACTTGCAGCTGCCCGTCCATCATAGATTGTTTGCGAGCATGGGGATGGTTCGGCGCGATGGGAAAAGAGGCCGATCTTGCAAGCGGGGATGAAATCCGAGGGGATGTCGGTGCTAATGTAAGTCAGCATCGCTCAAGGATTCTCAGTCGGAAACAGCATACTCACATGGGTATGGTACATCGCTTGTCCGTAACTGACTCAGAGGAGACTTCCCCTTGACAATGTCTTGAGGTGGACGTTGCAGATCATTTGGCGTGATGGAAATAGAGAGGGATTTCATCAACAGTCTTCTAGATGTGCTGGGCTCTCCAATATCAGGGTCCTTGCTAGTATCAGGAAGCCGGTCTCTGCCTATTAATCCTTTCCGAGCTATTGGACCGACAGACTCTGAGTGGCGTATGGGCAAAGCGGGTATAGCAGAACGAATGGTTCCGGGAGAAGTTGGCGGCCGCGCCATCGGTACAGAGCTGATGGAATGTGCACTACGCTTGTGTGAATGCGTAGCAGAATGTGAAGCAGAGCGAGGAGGGACGGCATCTGGGCTCCGAGTGTTGGTGAAGGTTATAGTCACGGAGAACGGTTCGCCAGCGAAGTAGGAGGCTTGAGACGGTGATACAACAACGCGAATGGCATCATCCGTATGTGGTTCACCGCTCATGATCGTATGCAGAGGTGTTATCCTAGTCAAAAGCGATGCAAGAGTGCGAGGGAAATGGTTGACGAGTCTCACGGTTCCCCTGGCAGATACAATCACTGATCCGTCGGAATGACTACAAGCGGAACTGAATCAAAGACACAAGCAGAAAGCGGATAGCTCTTGACGAAGAAGGCCACACAAAGTATACAGCTAGTACAGCTAGTACAGCTAGTACAGACTGGCGTCACGGGCGGTGGGAGATGGGCACCTCATCATTAAGGAACGATCACGTGTTATTAACCGAGAAGCAACCTATGGCCTGAGAGGCTCTACGAGTGCGCGTACGAAGACACGCGTTTCGAAAGTAGCAGCGCCATACCCATTATGGCTAAGTATCGCCATGGCCACAAAAACACTGTCACGAAGACGAACATATGACACTGAAGTGTGCTCCGGTGGTCTCTCAGTGGGAAGACAGGCCCTCAGCGACATAACGGACTAAGCGGAACCAAATCGTGGTTGAACGGTAAACTCAAGGCGCTTCAACCTTTGTACTGGCTGGAGTCTCGTGGCTTCACGCGACGCCGCTCGCCATCCTGTCGAGAAGCCTTTCCCGAAGCTGGATCAGCTTCATGTGTTCGTCTTGTGCGTGGCTCAATTGATGACGCGCTACGTCAATGTTCTAAGAAAGAAGGGCCTCTGTGAGATCGTCAGCGGCGTCGAGACGCGCAACGGCTCACCGGTGGAAGCCCTTGGAACGCAGCGACCCTTGCACGCTTCTCTGCAAGGATCTTCTCTTTCTCCCTGAGCTGTTTATGACTTGCCGCGAGCTGCGACACCGTAATGGGCGGGTCTTCAGGCATTTTATCCTGTGCGATACTGTTTAGCAAGACACCTCAACGAAAAACTCGGCATTGCAATTTTACCAGTAGTGTGTTCAGTTCCTCATGGTACTCCTTTGCTTTTGCGCGAACAGCAGTTCTGCGCCTCTCCATAGCAGGAACGTCTGACTCGGAACACGGCTGCGCTTGCAGGGCTGTCGTCCATCTGTCATGGCGGTGTCACTCAAGCCCGCGTCTGGACCGTACGCCCATGCACCTACTTTCGTATAAGAGCCTCTTCGTGTTGTGCAGATGCAAGATGCTGACTGAGTTCATCCTCCGCGTATCGCATAAGGAGACTCGACCGTTTCACTGAAAGATCTTCCTCTGAAAGGCTCGAGATAGTGGAAGAGTAGCTGTATCATGCACGGGTCGTATGGACAGAGATAGCGCACAAGATCTAAGACATACCCAGCGAAAGACATGTCATCAACTCCTAGGGCATCTGCAATGTCAACTAGCACATCCAGATATGATTGACTTTCAAATCCGTCGGATAGCGGGAAAGAAATCGGAATTGTACTGTGTTTTCTGGCTTTTGACTGATATTTAGTAACGTAGTAGTAAGAAAAAGTGATGATAGACCTTGCGATGCATAAAACATTTGTTCCCTGGGCGCATTATCATCAAGCGGTCGACACGAAGTAGCATCTTCTGAGGCCACACTTCGTCCTACTTGCTATGCATGGGCGGTGGGATGTTAACGTATACGAGTAAGCAATCGGAACGCTCACTTCTGCCATTACAGAAATGATCTGAGCGGATACAGTAAGAGAGCTAAGTTGTTGGACGTGATGGTTCTTAGTCAACCCCGCGCGTGGTCAATTTTGAAATCATCTAGGTCTGAATTTGACCGCGATCGAGATTGTATCTCGCTTACACCGACCACTTCGATCTGACACCAGCAGGCGGGGCATGCATATGTCAGCTAGAAAGCTCTATGGACTGGATCAGATGCGTCCGAGCACTCCAAGAAGAAGAGCAATCAGAAGCGTTCATTTAGATGGTACAGCCCGTTAAGAGCAAGTGATACAGGATGTAGCGATGATGAACAAGCCGGGTAGGAAGCGGACAATGCAGACCATGATAGGGACGCAATGGAGGAGGCTATATTACAAGATGCGGGTGCAGAGGGGTCATTCACTGCCGGTTTCGTTTGCGCTGTGGCCGGAAGTCCTGCCCTGATGGTGGCCTACTCGTGCTCCTTCAGTGTACTTTCACTACTACTAGAAGGCTCACGCTTACTTCTGGTTCCTGACCGTGGAATTATCTGTGGGCTCATCCACGTCCATGCTGTCCTTGTCATCCTCCTTTCCTTCTTGTTCAGCCTTTTCTCTTTCCCGCTGCGCACGCTCTCGCAACTCCCGATCTCTCTCGGCAATGCCTGCCGCAGTCAAACCAGTCTTGCCTGGGAAGTTAGCGGCCCGTATTCCCGCCTTGTGTTCTTTTTGTCTGTCAAGGACATCCTTAAGATTGGCTTGCTGGAGCTGATCATAGGCGTCCTGCTTGGCCTTGGATCGTGCGGCCTCGGAGGTGATGGAAGCAAGCCGCTCATCCAATGCTGCAAGTACGGCAGATGTTGCTGACGCCCTTGAGGGCTTGCATTTGAGTACGCTGTAGCCTGTAAAATATCACGCAGCACGCACCAATTCTGCAGTGAGTGCAGTAATGTCTCGATTTTACCAGGCTCAAGGTCTCGCCCCATTGTGTATTCAACATCAAACTGGTGCTCCTTTTGGTCCAACTTGCCGCGGATGACATCAAGGTAGATCGCGTCGATGATGAGATCTTCTAGTTCACGGATGGTAGGCATTTGCAGTGCCTCTAGGAGTTGCGAGTATGGAAGGATCTGGATTGTAATCGTGATTCGTGACACACGACGGCCACCGCAGCTATGTATGAACGCACCCGACTCTGCATCGCAAGAGATGCCAACGTCAGGTGCTTGAGTTTCGTGACCTGAGCTTGATTGAGAGCTGGTAGTGCATCCCTATGTTCTGTGTTCAGGCAAATGAGAAACCTGAGTACTTATAAGCAGAGACCTGCTCAACGGAGGTAGTCCGGGTATGTCTTGTATGCAAAGAGCTGCAGCAATGAGAAGTACTGTGAATGCTGTTCGCTCGTCGCGAGCTATTTTGATCGTCAGGAATTGTCCTCGCTGACGGAAGGCAAGACGAGCTCTTGCACAGCGCACCTCTTGGACATTTGGCATCTCAAGCAACTCCGCGAAGACGAAGACTCCGGGTGCAGAGGTGGCGTCTTGTACCAACTTGGCAGCAGCGGCGCCCTTTGCCGCCTTCGACATCAAGAGAAACGGCTCGAGTTTAGCGACAAAGTTCGTTCCGACCTCCATAGCTGCGTCGTGGAAAGCTAGTATAGATACGCGTACGATGGAGTGTGCCGTGCCGTGTGCTCGGCGTCTTACTGGGTATGTTTGTACTTGTTAGATCCGGAAGCCTTTGGTAAACAAGATCAAACAACCTCTTGCTTCGATCAGACACGGAAGCATAAAGTGAGTGTTCACTCTACTGGATTGCGGTCAACGCACAGCGTTGTTTCGGACAAGTATACGAAGACAAATATTACTATAATTTGGGGCTATGTAAAACAATATTTTCTACAGCAAGACGGCGTGAGACAACTATTGTCCCGGAAGCGGGGACATAGACATCGAAGGATCGACACCGAACTTCTCTATCAGTGTTCGTAACGTCTCCGTGACAGTTGGTTGTATTTTGAACCGTTTTGATGAAGGGACACCAGCTGTTATGTCCGCGGCATCATTGTCAGGTGTTCTTCGTTTGCGCTTCTTCGCAAGGAAATGTAGGTAGGCTAAGCTATGCCGAGGAGCTGGGCTATGCACCATGTCCACAGGAGGTGCAGCAAACCATAGCACCTCATTCGTCTCGGGGTCGCGGTCAAAGTGCTTCGCTACACACAACGATTAGAACTATTGGGGGAAGCGAGCCAGCGTGACAATTACCGGTTTCAGAGGGAAGCTTCTCAGTTACAATATTGCTCCCAAGATTGGTCCCAGCGGCAGTTACGATAGACCGCTCGCCGGCCCCACGAAGTGAAGTTGAACCCGACTGTGCATATTGTGTCTGGGCGGTTGGTGGGTATTGGTACGACGATGTCGATGCCACAGGTTGTGCCGTAGTAGACCCCACATACAAACCTTTGCTCGGTCCTGACCGGTCGGTTTGTTCAAAGCGAATTGCTGTGGCGGTCGCTGCGGCTGTCCGTTTTGGTCGCTTCCTGCCCGTGCCCCCACCCTCGATCTTCTCGCCCTCTGCTCTTTCGACAACGTCGCCAATGCCACCGGGAGCCTTGATGATTTTCCCACTCAGGAATGGACTGGGGAACCGTCGCGGGAAAACACTACGCTCGAAAGGGTAGATTGGCATGAACTCGGTGCTCTTGCGCACTTCTTCAGGCACACACGAGTTCCAATTTTTTATCTTGACGAAGATGCGCTCGCGGTCGTTATATCGGGAGTCGCATACATAAAGCGGCCAACCAGGGTACCAATATGGCGGCCGAGGCCGTCCTCTGATATGCCGTGCGGTGAATTGGCAGGCGATCTTCTCGACGACGTCCTCAAGAGGATGGTCGGCGAAGTGGCCTGCAGTCGTGTGAGTTGGTCGCTCTCGGTCTTACAAGGGGTGTACGCACTCGTCTTGAACACCTCATTCTCCCAGAATTGACGATCTGCGGGATGTATTGTCTATCCAGAAATCATCAGAAATCGCGATTTAGCCCATACAACGCAAGGCACACACCTGCTCTGGCCTATAGTACCAACAAACAGTAAGTCCTGGCCGTCCCTTCTTCCCTCTAAGCTGATGTCAGGAGGAGTCATTGAAGGGTAAAGAAATGACGAACGGTTCGTCGGACACGAAGCACTTGAACACCTGTCCAATGATAGGTCGGCTAGGATCATCTGGATTGCTCATGTGCACCCAGTCAGCCAGACGAAAAGTCCAGCCCTTAAAGTGCACCTCATCCACAAATGTCCTATCCTTGGTTGACACGCGGAAAGTGGTCACGCCATGGACGCCTTCGGTGTCATGAGTATGTAGTGGCTTGGCAGTGCCTGGTCCGGCACGGAGAGACGCGAAGTGAGTTGTGGATATATACGGAGGCCCAGGCGGTGGGCTGGACGAAGCGAGAGCGTGGTATAATCTCTGGATGCGGCATAAGACAATACACGATAGTGACGCGGGGGATGACGTACCTGAAGGACGAGGACATTGCCGTAGGCCTCGCTACCTTGCTCATACCACCGGCGCGCCTTGAGGAAAAATTGAGACGTCTCTTTGTCAAAGGCTTTCGATGACTGATAGTATTTCTCTCTAGATCGATTCTGGAGCGCGGAAATGAGCACAGCGATTAACTTCCTGAAGTGTGCATACCTCGATTAACGACAGAGAAAGCGGGACCTATGAATGAACGATCAGGAATAAGTGAGACCTCTCGCCCGAGATAGCGTACATTGTAAGGAAACTCTGGGATTGTTGCCTCCTCAGGCACTGCTTCGAGGCTTGCTGCAAGACGAGTGCCACTGTTGCATTATTACTTGTGAGATGCGATCATAATTGCCTGTGAGCTGACCACGTACTTTTGATCCTCATGGTTATTAATCGCGAGCACAATTGCGAGGTATCGACCCTAGCTAGAGGTCATAGGGTGGTAAACCGACAAGGTCTCAATGCCCACTCACAGGATCGACCTCTTCCATCCATCCCACATCGGCAAAGCCATCCCACCTGGGTAGACCCTTCTCAAGCTGCTTCACGATCTCCTCGCTTTCTTCATCTCTCGCCGTGTCGGTCGGAAGGCCCTCGGGCTCAGGCGTTCCACCAACATCAATGTCAACGTCTGGTGACTGTTGCCGTTCCGGGGACTTGTCCCCGTACGCAGACGAGTCCGGCTGTGGCGCAGGGGAAGAAGCTGCAGCGAGCGGCGTGGGGCGTGCTTGCGTCCGCTCCGCCTTCGACCCTGATCCAGACGCCTGCTGCGGCACAGCATAGACTCTCTGGGCAGAGACCGGAGGAGGAGAGGTACGCGGGATTGGGAGAACTGAACGCTGCTTCCACTCGTTCTCAAGGATCACCTGGCGAACTCATCTCACATGAATGAATCATTGGTTCAGAGACGAGAACTAACCTTCAATGCCGCAGCGTCTTTCGCAATCTGACTTCCATCCTCATTGTAGTACAGCGCATTGAGGAACACGAGCTGCAGGTCCGTGAACACGTCCAGTGGGTCCTTGTACTTGTTCCCCTTCAGATCCGCCTGAATGCCGTGGATGCAGCGCGGCTCAGGGATCACCTGCGAAGTCACAGGGTCAATCTTCACAACTTTATATGGACAAGGTTGCTCACCTGATAGTATTCAGGCCATGACTCCCGGTCGGGAAGAACCAAGAACATCCCGACGAGCTTTCGCTTAGCGCGCGGACTTGACGCGTTGAGGAGTACCGTTATCGTTTCTTCAATCGCATGCTTCTGTACTTGAGAAATGACCATCTTGAGCCAGGTCTCACCTCCGTCGGCGGCGGATGAGCGAAGTAGCGTCTACTGGTTCAGGCTGTATGCTCAATTCAATGTGCGAATGGTGCGAAAGGTGAGCAAGTAGCGTCACGCGGTCACTCCCATGCGTGACACGGACGCGTCCTGTCACACCGCGACTAGGGGCGGCCCTCACTTGCTAAAAACGAACCACGATCGTCGATCCTACGACTCCCTGAAATATTACCATTGCGCCCTCGTGTTATAGCAACCTGCATGAGCCAACCTGCATGCATTGTACATCTTTCCCGGGGTCCGATATTCACCGAAGGTCCATCCCCTGTAGTCCCCTCGTGCTGCTGCCCAGCTTCGGGTGTCGACCTTGTCTCAGCCTGAGCCTAATTGTTGGGGCGAGGACTCTCTATACTCAAGCTCAAGCTCTGGCCCGGCTCTAGGTGATACATCCGGTCTCATGAATGCGACACAGATTGTGGCGTTTTGAAATACGTCTTCCGCGAGATGGCCGCGGTAGCCAAGGGCGCGCCGCACTTAGCTTGCCTGCGGTCTCTTAAGCGCTCCCGCAGTTTGTCAACGCCGGCCAGCACGTCAGGACTCGGATGCACGTAAACGTTGAGTGATCATTCGACACCAGGTCTTCGGCAGATTGTGCTCTCGTATCTCGGGTTCAATTGTGGGTACTTTTGGAAGCATGTACAAGCACACCCCTTCCCGGTTATGCTCGTACTTGCGCCACTGAAATCTATCGGCGGCACGAGCGATAGACGCCCAGCTGATTCTGCAATTCATACACCGCGTTGCGACTTCATACAAGCGCAATGACAGGCAGGAAGGTTGTGGCGGTACGAGCGTAAACGTGAGTGCGTGCACTGTTATGTGCCATGCAACAAGAACCTCTGATGTCATTGTAGGGAACGGGTGAGGTGCAATTCGCGCGAGCTGTTTCCTCGCGGGGGCAATCGCGCGGGGCAAGCGGTCGGGTGTGCAGCCAGGCAGACTCGTTTAGGACCGCCCATCAGCGTCCTGTGATAGATCAGCCTCCGCATGCGGCCATTCAAGCCAAAATCGGCTGCTCAATTGCCACAGAGAGACGTTGACGGCGGTCAAATCCCGGACGGGGACCGGATATTGCAGCTGGGTTGCGTGTCGTGGCACAAGCAGAAGCCGCCGATGATTCATTTGCCCGCAGAACGTGTTGCGCGCCAGAAGCCTGTGTGAGAACCAGGCCGTGGCCGCACGGTGATTGGTCCCTGACGCGAGGCGTCCCGTTCTCCCAGGTCTTGTCAGTCGTGCAGGCGGGCGGGGCGTCTCTGCTGGGTCTGGAGTGCCTGGAAATGGCGTGCTGTCTCGGTTGCCACAGCAGGGCTAGGTTACCGGCGACATGATGGAGGCGGCAGAGGAGCCTGCAGTACGGGACGGACTGAGATGGACGGCGTCCGATATGGCGAAGGCCAGTCTGTTTCGCAGCTGTGGATGAGCGGCAAGGAGCTACTGGACCCGAGATATGTCTTTGATAGGTGGTCGAACCCTCGTGCATCGTCAAATCGGACGGAGGGAGAAGCCTGTGGGCCCTGCATGATTTTCCGCGATGACCAGTATCGAGCATGTGCGCATGGCCATTATCACTTGATGTGCCGAATATATAACAGTGGCCGCGACCCTGCGCCCGCAATCGAGAGGCGCTGCCCCTCGTTTGTTGAAGACCGCACGCATGCAGACCAACTTGCCGTCGGCGCTCTATCCACCGCGTCTCACGACGCCACCGCGCACTGTATACCAATGCCAGCCTTACGGCATCCTCCCTCCCTTCTCGGTCGGATCGCCTGCTCTGGGTCACACGTCCTACCAGGGCCGCCAGCCCTCCGCCAGCACCAGCGCCACCGGACCATCCTACCCTCCGTCAGGCTATGCCTATGCCTTCACATCCTCTGCGCCAGCTCCTGGCTTTCCAGGCCATTCCGCATGGCACTATGCGCCATCCGATAAAAGTCGACCGCCCTCGGCCAGATTTCCTCCACAACTCTCGTCCCGCAACATGGCCATTCCCTACTCTCAGTCCGGAGCCTCAGCGACGTCGCCAGTAGCATCTAGCAGCCATGATATTCAAGAAATGGACGTGCCGCGTGAGATCCCTTGCAGCGAATCCCCCCCGCCGCCCCAGGACGTGCCTCAGGCTGCGGGGGGCAGTGCGGACAAGAAGAAGCATCCCTGCTGGATGTGCCATAAACGCTTTGATCGGTGCAGTTGATCTCGCTTTTAATTTGACATGATGGCTAATGGCTTGCCCTCGGGCAGACCGTCCACCCTGAGAAAGGTAGATTCGTTTCTGCTGCCCTAACTGCCCTGTTCTGACTCGCGCCGCGCCCACGTTCAGCACCTGCTCGTTCATACTGGCGAGAAAGGTATTACCACAATCCCTCAGCGCACAGGCCATTTTTGACACTTAGTTCATCAGCATTCGCGTGCGATACATGCGGCCGGAGGTTCAGCGTGCAATCTAATCTTAATCGACACGCAAAAAAGTGCCCGTCTCGTCCCGTCAATGCGGCGTCGGCTGCCGCTCCTGCCTCCACCGCTATCGCGTCCACGTCTGCAGCCGCCTCTGCAGGAGCCTCCCCCGTGTATGCAGGCGTGGCGTCCGCAGCCTCTGCGCAGTCTGCGGCCGCACCTGCGGGGGCAGGCCCCTCAGGTGCTCCAATAATCCAAGAGGCCGGCGTCCCACAACTAGCCACCGCTCGCGGCCGCAAGCGCAAGGAGGTGCCCACTTCCGACGACGCCGCGGACCAGATGTCGCAGACCATCATCGGCACCACTCCCGGCACCGCGAGCAAGGGCAAGCGCGTGCGCCGGGCACCGTCACCGTCGCACTGGATCCCGGAGTCGCTCAAAATGTTTGACCTGGCACCGACCACGAAGAGCACGCCCGTGCCCCTTTCGCCCGTTCGCCCGTTCAGCGATCCGAATGGGCGCGTCTGGGAGGAAAGGGACTCGTATGACGAGAACGTTGCTCCGGCTCCGTACCACCCATCTGGATGGAAAGGAGTGCTCCCCGGCCCGGGTCTCATGGGCAAAGACGTCGCGAATACGAGCGGAGGGCGGCTGTTGATTTTCGGACGCTGAGCTTCTCGCTTCTGCGGGCGCCCTGGGATCTGATAACGCGGTGCGTCTGCCCGGCAATGTTTGTATGCTTGACTAAATGTGCCTTGCCTTCTTTTGCTTAGATGAACTTCGCGTATTTATGAACTGTCTTATCTAAGAGCGCGGATCTATTGAACGACACGGGGTGGATACGGTTCTGCACGTACTTCTCGGCGCGGTGCAAGCACTTGAGTCTTTATGCTTGTCAATCAGTTACGGAGGCTTCCATCGGAATGGCCGTTGTTTTTTGAACTGGGATAACTTAGGTATACACCGATAACACGTAGAAAACGTCACGTCCGTATAATCTCATCGTCTGTACTTGTTTCGACCACACGACGCATATATATATCACCCACAAGGAGATTGAGATGTAGCTCGCTGATGTATCTTGTTACTTAGTATGCTTATTCCAGAGTCTTTGCCCACCTGCATAGAGGTTGTCAGCATGTCGAGAATCACCGATCAAGGAAGTGTTCCTCGGTATCAAAGTCGAGCGCTCACTCTGTGCCAGGTTCTGTAGGCGTGCTTCGGCGTATCCGAGGGGATTCGATGAGAGCGAAGGTCTCCTGTCCATAAGCGGAGCGCCTGAGTTCGGATACGATCCGGGTCGAGGCGGCGGAGGCGGCGGCCCAGGGGGAGGAGGGTACGGGCCGCCATACACATTCTGGGGGCCCGGTGCCGGGTACGGGAACCCATACGGGTCTGCGGGACGTTTCAAGAATGTCAGAGATGTCTGGTCACGATGCGAATTGAAACTTGCAACTCACCCAGAGGCTGCGGTGGGTGCTGTGGTGCGGGGTAAGCTTGCGGGAACTGTACATCAGGACGGCCTGGAGGTGGACCTGGCGGAGGCATGTAGGAATAGTGCGGTGAGTGAGGCGGATGTGGCGAGGGTGGAAGATGGGGAGGAGGGGCATGAGGGGAATAGGATGAATGCGGTGAATGGGGCGGAGGCGGAGAGTGTGGCGCGTGCGGATGATATGCACCCGGAGATCCTGGAGGACCATTGAATGAAGGAAATTCATTAACTCTGGAATGGCTCGTTGCATGCGTTGATCCATAGGGCTGTGGGGGCGATGGGCGCGACAACGATGGTCGAGGCTGCAACGGGGGTGGTGGACCATTTGGTATATAGCCAGGGGCATAACCCGGTGTGTAACTCTGGTCATGCTGAGAGTGTCCGGGATATCCGGGATATGTCTGTGCCGAGTTAGAAACACCCCAATCAGTCGGAGGCCATGTAGCCTGAGACACTTCTGATGTCAGTCTGGCGGGCTGTCCTGGTTGGGCGGTATAAACATTGTGCGACGAAGCCCGGTTCAGCGAGGCCCCCTCATATTCAGCATCCTCAATGGTCTGTTTGCTGAATTGATCACTAAGAGTCTGTACTTGTGACGGGTGGGAAGAGTGTGTCCTCGACAGTGAAGCAGCTGCATCAGGACGAGAAGCACGATTGACCAGGGGAGGAACCCAGTGTGATGATGAAGAGGAAGATGATCCCGAAGAACTCGATGATGATGTGGACGATAATGTTGAACTTCGAGAAGGGCGCGTTGATGGTGGAGGTAACGGTGGTCCTACACTTCCTGCGCGCAATACCGAGGTCCCAAGATGTGTTGCAGCAGGTGCCGCAGGGGTCACGGGCTCGGTGGCAGGGTTCTCCATCTCTAGCGTATATGGAGGAGGGGGTACGTCGACATCACCCTCATGGCCTTCTAAGGCCTTGGACCATTCGGCGTAGCCTGAGGACTTTCCTTCACTAGACATCGACGGCCCCGCTTGCGCTTCGTTATCCTCATAGCGTGGTCGTGTCGACCAATAGTCTTCCAGTTCCTTGGAAGGGAAGGTGTCGTGAAGGATGCGCTCACCCCGAAGGCTTTCGCCTGCGAACCCACAGATACGCATATACCTACTCTTGGCATTAATTGTGAACTTGATAGCGTAATGGCAACTCACCAATCTGGCGGTAGGTCATATCCATCTTCGTCAAGGGCCATGAACTTGTGCGTCTCTAGCACAGGCACTTGGTGTTTCTTCGATACAACTGGTAGAAATGCGGTCCCCTCGTCGTACCTATAACAATAGGCGGTTAGGAAACCGGCATGCGAGCGAGCGAACCACTCACTCGTCCCACATCGCACCATAAACTGTGCGCACGCCGTGGCGACGCACATTCACTAATTGTCTCCACATAAATCGTCCACCTTGTCGAGGCGCATCATTCCATCCCCATTTTCCCTCAGAGAGATTGTGACCCTAATAGCGAAGACTTGATTTATGGACACGTTGAACTCAATGTACGCGACAGACTCACAGATCCTCCAGGAAAGATGACTGGAATGTAGTCAATCTTCCTCTTGACTTTGCCCTGCTCCCATAATTTGTTCCTCTCATTGATTAGCTCGACATCTCCCTTTATCTTCTCCTTCTCGAACCAATCTGCTGTCTCCTCGTTGTGATACCTGCCGATAGTCCAAGGAGAAAGTGCATCAAACTCCTCCAGCCAGACGTTGACAAATTCCGGATTGGGATCAGCATCGCTCACAGATGTGCGCCAGTGCGCAGGAATGCCAGCCATGATGTATGCACCGCCAGGCGTGTTGTTCCGTATGAACGCCGTAATTGCACGAATTGTAGCGGGATCATGTCCCGTATCTGCGAAGCCAAATCCCCATAGAGTGACGACTGCACGTCCACGTTCTCGAAGATAGCTAGGGCTATCTAGGACACCTTTCTCGTGGATGAGATGCATCCAGTCGTGTTCGATGACCCTCTGTATTCGTTCGGGAGACACGCCAGCGATGTCATACCTGTGAACGGGCTGAGCAGCAACCCAGAGCAGCGGATATAAGATACATGCATGATCGCAAAGACTCGACCTTCCTGCTCCGCAGCTTCTCTGACCCGGTCGCCTACCTCGTCCCTTTGGTTCCTGATCGCTTCATTTCCTGCTTCCAGGTCAGTCTGACCAGCGAAACGTTGCAGGAAAGCACCGTCTACGCCATGCTCTGCCATCCATCGGAAATGCCTCTGCACGGTCTTCGGGTGGCGCGAAGAGAATAGGAATGCTTGCTCGTCATTTGAGTACTTGAGCCCTGGGGCGGGATACAACTCGGATGGCGAATAATCCGATACGTCGGGCCACAAATCGGTATTAGGACGCCCTCCATCAGGGATAGGGTAGTTAAACCAGTGCAGCCAACCATGATGACCGGGTCCTAGGGGTGGTCCATCCCCAGCACAGGTGAACCACCCCTGATACCCAACCATGAACTTGTCTTGGATGGTTCTAGGGTCTGCGGGCTTCAGCCTGTGGCCATTACTAGGCGTCGAAGAGAGGACCATGACAGCAATAGAACAAAAAGCAGTTCGCAAGACTTTCACGATGCGAAATAATGAGAGGAGGATGAACAGGAGGACAGCGTCTGAATTGGGTCGTATAATATAACCTCTGGCGTGAACTACGGAGCGCAGCTGGAGTGGGAATACTAGTGCACCATGTCAGAGCTCCGCGAAGACTCGACGTTTAATGAGCACATTCAAGGCTAGCTCAGATATTTGGCTATCATGATTGGATGACAAGGGTTTAAATCATGTCTGGATATCAATATCTTGCCGGAGGGAGCACATGACGTTCTGCTCACAGAAGACTACTTACAGTGTATATACTCACATGCTGTTGGTTGGACATATTCTTCTGATTCATTACGCGGTATAGATGAACGCTTGTCTGTATCCATGTGAAGCCTGCGCGCATACTACAGGATAGGCCTCGGGCGGGCCTCATTCTTAACCCTAGCCTACCAAAAAGTTAAGTGTACCAAAGGCGCGCTACCGGGGCTCGAACCTGAGAGGAGTTTTATAGTGTGGTAGTCAATGCCGCACCAGGCCTGCAGCATATCTACTCACGAGCTACTAGCCTGAGGGTACTGATGCTAGACACATTCTTCGATTTTACCAACTTCCACGAAGACTCGACATTTTATGAGAATATCCAAATAAACTTCGGATATCTAGCCCTGACAAATGGGACGTGAACTTTAGGTCCACCGCAGGTCTCACCCTGAACCCTAACCCATGCCAAAAAGTAGGAACTTGTCAAGGCGCTACCAGGGCTCGAACCTGGGTTTTGGGAACAATGATTACGTGATTTCGATGTCACGTGATAGTCAGAATCCCAAGTGATAACCACTACACTATAGCGCCGATGCTCACGTTTCCGTCAACGTAATGATGGGCGGTGGAGGTTTGCGCGGAGGACCACGCGGTTGTGGAAGATACCTCATCGGGAAGGTGTGTGTATTTGGTCCTGTCTGGCAAGGCGCGTTGGTCATTGACAGCACAGCCACCCAGCACTCATTGTCACAATCATGTTCAAGACGTATGCAATGTGTGTAAATTTCAGTGATATTTTACAACAATCCATATACATGAGCCGTCCATAAGTCAACAACATCGTGTTCCCCAGTTACATCAACAAATCGTGACAGGTCGTAATTCTCGAAAGTAAACAATATCGAACACACAAACCACTTCTACCAAAAGAGCATCCACGTGCCGACGAGTAGACCAACAAGCACGCCGATAGCGCGCAGCACAAGTACGACAACCAATGCCTTGCGCACTGCGGCATAGAATGTCGTTAGCGCGGAGCCCGTCCAGTTTATTCTATCGACCATGAATGAGCCAGAGAACATGCGAGCGTGATATAGTACGCACCGCCTATCGTTCGTCCCAGCTGCACGCACGCTCGCCTCCCAACCGCGCATAACCGCGCGATAACGTTTTCCGAATACCCTAGTTTATAGTGTCAGTCGGGGAGCACGCACATCATCATAGGAAGACGCACCATATCCAAAAGTTTACATCTGGATATGAGAAGCGCGGAAAAACACTCGTCAGGCTAGGCACGACGACCGGCATGCGAAGGATCTCAAGCACTTCAGCATCTGGAGGCAGCAGCGCGCTTGCGCTTACAACTGCTTCTGCACCCTCTGTGGTTTTCTCCATCTCGCGCGCTCTCTGTTCCGCAGCGGTGAGACACGAATTGGAGGGCACGGCCATGTGAGCAAGTAGGTCGAGGGTCATGCCGAGCGAAAGGCCCCAAAGCTTCAGCTCCCCGTTAGGCGTGTTCCCGCGTCGGCGGCGTGGACGCAATTTGCTCAGAGATGGTTGCCTTTTGTGCGACCCGGCGGCGGTGGATCCAGCTTCTACTTGTGCACGTTTGGCGTCGATCGCTTGCCACTCATTTTCGGATTCGCTGTTGTACGAAAGCGAAGACGACGAGGAAGACGACGGCTTGATGACGATAGCGGGGAACTGCATACTGCCAATGAGTACCCGCATGAGTAGGCGGAGAACCGTCGAGTGTCTAGGAGCAAGTCGTGAGGACGCATCCACCGTGACGTGTGACCAACGTGGACGCGGGTTTCTGTCGGGGGATGGGAGCGGCAGCAGCTCGGCCAGGGGTACCCAGTGAAGAGTTGTACCGGGGGTCGGATCGACAGGAGTAGTGTGAGGGGAGAGCTGCAGGAACACATATGGCGAGAGGACCATAAGCAGGCGCTTTCCAAGAGAGGTGGTCACTTCGCGATCGTCTAACTGGCCTACAGGAGTATATGCGGATTCGGCCAGGTCGAGACCAATTTCCTCCCAAGTCTGGCGCATAGCTGTATGGGAGTGTCAGCGAGGATCAATCGATATGCATGGTGGGGCATACCAGTGTATAGGCCCCCTTCGTCGCCCTCTTCTGTCTTGCCACCCGGAAAGGCAACATGTGCTTCGTTTGGAGGACTGCTCACACGACTCCCGTCTGCAGCCGCATCTGGTTTATCTCTTCGAAGAAAAAGAATCTCTGGGCGTGCCCCAGGCGCATTTACCCAGTCAAGTTTGAAGAAATCGGTGAGGGAGGGAGCGCAAGCAAGGGCAGGTGAGGGGCTGTTTGTCGACGGTGAGAGGTAAGTTGGGGGTGGTGAAACGCGGACAATCAAGGCTACCGCAGCGCGGCGAGGTTCTGTTTGATATAAGTGGTGCAATTGGGGTATTTCCAGACGTCAGCAGACACACGGACGAGATAATGAAACTGACAGACGTGTTGCAGGGGAAGCAATGATCCTAGGCGGCGTTGAACGAATGTGATGCAGCGCCCGAGACAACAGCGGAATGATAGAGGGTTCTAGATGAATTCCAGCTCAGTATCACAATCATAGGCACGGATGAAGAGCAACGCACCGGTAATATCAGCCATGGCGGATACCGAGTAGACGGCAGGACCGAGCAAGGACAAGTCAGCGCCTTCGCAGTTCTCACAAAAAGTTGGGATCGGCACTGCTCGGCACACAACTTCAATTCATTGGGGATGTGACGTCACGCGTCTGCCTTCGACATGGCACTTGTCGCGACATCGCGCTCCTCGTCACTTCGCCGTCCTAGCAGTGTCCCTCCCGCTCGTTCCAGCTCATGCTAGCAGCTCTTGCTTCGCGAGCATCTCATTGGGCATACATCCACGCATAATTGGCGCCGATATCGTGTCTACTCAGCTTTGACATTGCCAATTGTTCGAATGTATGCTGTGTAACGACGTTGATTGGAGTTATCGACGACATCGACGCTGGCCGAGACTCGTGAAGGCCGTTCGAGCTTGTTGAGGTACTATTACTTACATTCGAGCGTGTCACCGTGTAGTAGCAGGCACTGCTAGAGGAATTCAGATTCTTGTTATAAATGACAAGTTCGTCTCAGCAACCCTCAGCATCTAATCCACTTAGCCAAGAAGTCCAGACAGCATTCCGCGTCGCTCATACGAGACGCCTTATCGCCCAGCTCCACCCCCAAATTGGCTTGCCCTACACGATAAAGTCAAACAAGGTGACCGACAGCGAGCGAACAGACTTACAGTTCCCTAAGAGATGGATCTGCCATGATCTCAGCCATTGAAGGCATGCCGCCGGATTGTACGCGGTTCATCTATGTAAAGAATCAGAACGAGAACACGGAATTGCAATTGGTGACGACACACCATATTTGCGACGGCTGGGTTTTGCATCAGACTGTCAAGACCTCCGTTTTGCATCATCTGCTGAGCCATCTGCATCATCATCGGGTTGTTCATCAAGCCTGCGAGGTCGGGCATGCCCCCTCCCGCTCCCCTGCCAACACCACCGCCAAGCCCCATGCTCGACAACATATCCGCCATGCTGGGTGTGCCCCCACCTGTAGCCGATCCTGGAGTGTCCTCCAACGGAGACAACTCGTGATTATCATCATCGGGGATACGCGCCTCCGCGTTTTTGAGACCGGTCTTGAGAGATGCGTTTGACGGGTCCAGCTCGAGCCCACGGCGGAAAGCAGCGGCTGCTGCTTTGTAGTCTTCAATACAGTATTGGGCGTGTCTGAAAAGCTTGTGAGTAATACCGCATCAAGACCGGCACATGCTTGTGTATACCGCTCACCCTAGCCTATGGTATGCCTTTATGAAGTTGGGATCCACTTCGATCGCTTTCTCCGCATCGACAATGGCATCAGCGTGTGTGTTCTTGCTCGAGTAAGCCGCGGCGCGGTTTGAGTAGTACACCGCGTTAGTCGGGTCCAGGGTTATAGCACGCGTGTAGGAACCAATCGCAGAGTCATACTGCTTCGAGGACATATACGCATTGCCCTCGGCCTTGTACTTCTCCGCGAGAGCCTTGTCCTCCGCGGTCACGGTCGGCGTCGCGGTGGTCGGCGTAGGAGCGGACCCGGAAGGCGAGCTCATCTTGTCCCGCGTCTTCAAGAACACATCGAAGATGGAAGGAAGCGTCGCAGGCTTCACGCTGAGGCGATCCCGCTGCGCTTCGTCGCTGGGATCGACTTCGAATGCCTCGCCAATGCATTGTACTGCAGAATTTGTTGAGCGGCGTGAGAGCAGAGAACAGCCAAGGAAAGAACGCACTTGCCACCTCGAGACTCTCCTTGTCGTCCTGCTTCACTGTGCCATCCTGGACGGACTGGTTGAGAAAGTCGATAATAGAAAGAACGAGCCGTTGTTTGTTAGACATCGTCGTAGAGAACTGAAAGGGCTATGAAAGGCGCTCGTAGTCAACAATCACAAACACTATGGCGCACTGCCGAGTTGGACTTGTTCGACGCCGTCCTCGTTCCTCAGTGTGCTCGTCTCGCACTCATCCTCGTCATGTTCTTCTGCTCAATCTCCGGCGAACCCCCCCAGGACCCTGTTATCTCGCAAAAGTCTGGTCATGTCTACGAGCGCAGGCTCATCCTCAAGTACATTACAGAGAATAGCACTGACCCCATAACGGGCGAAAAGCTGGAGGAATCCGACCTCATCACAGTCAAAGCCAGTATGTTCATTACATTCTTATGAACAACATAACAGGAAGCTCACTATGTTGTGAACTTGCTCGCAGACCCAAAGACTGCTGCTCCCCGTCCAACTTCCGCCACTTCCATCCCAGCCCTGCTCCACACCCTGCAAAATGAATGGGACGCGCTCATGCTTGAGACGTTTTCTCTGAAGCAACAGTACAACAGCGTGCGACAGGAGCTCAGCTACGCACTGTATGCGCAAGACGCGGCTACTCGCGTCGTTGCACGTCTCATGCGCGAACGTGACGCGGCCAGAGAGTGAGCATGGTACCCTCTTTTCTCCAGGCTACCTGCTTACAATTTCCTATGTGCAGAGCTCTTGCGAGCGTCTCTGCTACAATGGGCATTGCGCCGGCACCATCGGGAGACGACGTCGAGATGTCGGAGCCTGGCCAGGAGACTGTAGCACTCCCGGAAGAAGCTGCCAAACAGATCGAAGAAACACGCGAGACGCTGTCTTCGAAGCGCAGGAAGCGCAAGCCTCCTCCGGGCTACGTCAACCCTGCGGACGTCAAGACCTTCACCGCGAAGCACACCATCCCGTCGCTGCATTCCACGAGCCCCTCGGGTATCACTGCCCTTGCTGTTTCGCGGAGTGAGCCTTCGCAATTCCTCACAGGTGGGAACGACAAGGTGGTGCAGCTATATGACCGCAGCACCGACAAGGTCCTCGCGTCACTCAAAGGCCATACAAAAAAGGTCATGGCTGTCGCATTCCGGGATGCCTGCAGCGAGTCAGAGCCCACGCTCCTCCTATCCGCAAGTGCAGACAAAATTGCAAAGGTTTGGGCTCATGACAGTGCATCGGGCGAATACATTCCCCGCGCGACCATCCGCACGCACAGGGGCGAGCTGTCTGGCCTGGCTGTACATCCGACGAAGACACTCGTTGCACTCGCCTCCGCGGACCGTACATACTCCTTGCACGACCTTACAACCGGCAATCTCGTCTACCGCTCACCTGTTGGGGATGAACCATTTGCATCGCTCGGGGTGCATCCTGACGGCACCCTTGTCGCCGTCGGCACGCCCACCTCGACGATCAAGGTATTTGACATTCGCTCAGGAGCGATTGCCGCATCGTTGTCGCCGCCAGAAAGCACGCCGTTCACCGTGAAGACGCTGAGCTTCTCGGAGAATGGATACCACATGCTCGCCCCCGACTCGCTCTCTTCGGTAGCGGTTTGGGACCTGCGGAAGCCCAAGATCGCGCATTCCATTGCGCTTGGAGACAACTTCAAGGTCAACAAGGTCTCATATGACTACAGCGCGCAACTACTTGGTGTCGCCGGGAGCGAGGGTGTTCGCATTTTCGCGCACAAGACTTGGGAGGAGCTTGTCCACTTCGAGGAGGCTGGTGATGTTGCCGATTTGGTCTTCGGCGAGGAGGGCAAGGAGATCTGGGGCGCAAGTGGTAGGGAGGTAAGAATATGGGGTTTGCCTGCTTGATTGTAGTATGTAGCGTGTTCTTGTTCGCTGTGCAAAATATGAAGCTGCTGCTTCTGTTCTCTATTCATGGCCAGCTCTGTGCGTATCTCTGTTATTTGTGAATTATGAGCTGTGTCTCTTGCCTTGCACGCGCAAGAATGATGATTTCTCTATAATGCAATTTGCATGCAACCATTGGCGGTACTAGTACAACAATGCGCAGCATTTAGTATGAATCGTGAGTCCCAACTTTCGTGTCAATGTATATAACCAAGAAGAAAGATAGTACACCTGTTGCTACAAGTAAGAACGAAGTCGAAGCTAACTAGCCCAAGGTGGTTCACACAGTGACATCGAAGGAATGATGAAGGAGTGGACGGATGAGGGATGTCACAGATGAGATGATGCAGATAGGTCGTTAAAATCGTTCGTCATAATGATAGAGGGTTGAAGATGGTATGGTGGATGGGTAAAGCTACAGATGCAAGAAAATCATTACCAGGATGTCGGACCGAAGGTTCCATTGGGAAGCATAAACGGCATGCCCATGGCGTCGTACGTGTTTTGCCAGACAGTGTTCCCCCACCAGTTGAGCGTGAATCCGCCCTTGATGTATTGGAGGAAGAAGAAAATGAAGACGAGACTGAACGCAAGGCCCGAGTCCAGTGCGGCGGAGAGGATGTAGTTGTAGCGCATCCACCAGCGGAAGTGGAAACGGCGCATGAACCACTGGAAGAAGCCGCCGACCATGACCCACGACGAGTAGTTGATGCCCGTCGCGGGCGGCATTTGCCCAAGACCGGCGAAGAAGACGGGTGTGTTGACGTATCTCCACAGGGAGTGGGGGTAGCGGCGCGCAAGCATATAGAAGGGAATCGGTGCAATGGCACCGACGAGGAAGAACCACATGATGGGGTTGTAGCTGCATCGTTTACAGTCAGGTATCATTCTCGGCAGTGCTACAGTATGCACTCACATTTGTCCTTTCGAGAAGATGCGCTGCGGGCCAATGCCGCCCCAGATGATCGATGCCGTCGCAAAGGTGTCTACGTCAGGGCACGTGAAGTAGTCCTTCTGGTCGGACTGGCAGAAGTCAGGGAGATTCGCAAATTGCCAGATCTGCACGAGCACGCAGATGAATGCGGAAAGGAGCGTTGCGATCGTCTGTGCCATGAACATCGTGCGTGGCGGCACCTTCATGTAGTGGCCAATTTTGAGGTCGCTAGCGAGCGACAACGCCTGCGAGACGGTGATGAAGCCGAACGTCTTGAAGAGCATCATTGCGACCGGCTTTCCCGGGAGCATGTACCCGACGAGCACCTCGAAGAGCACATTCAGCGGGATCATCTGGTTGGTGATAGCGCGAATCATGCCGACAGGGACAATCAAAATCACTGCGATGACGACCGCGACGACCATCGCCCAGACAGGCAGCTCAGTGGGGTAGACCTCGATGCCTACAACACCGAATACGAAGGCCATGAGCCCGATCGTAGCGTACCACCACCACGGTACCTCAGGGTATACCATCATGAGGCGGGAGTGGACGTCACGCTCGTCCTTTAGAGCACGGCGGAGCTGGCGGGCAATGTCGTGCCTGTACCATACTGTACAAGCCTTTCATTAACAACGTGACTCATAAGGGACAGGACACGAAACTTACGGAATGTGTGTACGACAACAGCGGTGATGGCAGCAAACTGAACGCCATATGCAATCGCGAAGGTGGCGGGGAGGAACAAGGGCGAGTACGCCTTATACTTCGCCTCGTCAAATTGGCCGTTTGTAATGATATTCGAGATGTTGTATTGAGCACCGGTGTTGTCGTACGAGCCAGGAGACGAGATGGGCATGTACTTGGAGTAGAATGTATTCGTGACTGAAAGAGACAGTGAGTCATCATAGTGTATAATGAAGTGGCACAACGTACAGAAGACGATCGGCACGATGATCCAGTAGAACAAGACAAAGGCAACGCCGATGTTTGCCTCGGCCCACCACTAGTATTATGTCATAAACAACGGTATAACGCGAAATTGGGGAAACATACCGGCGTCACCAGCGGGCTACCGATCCAGGAGATCATGGACCAGTCGAATGTGAGGAAGCCCATGCCAAGACCCGTGTTGTAGCCGAAGAGTGCATTGACAGTCGGGTTCGTTGGTGCGATCCAGCACACCCAACTGAAGATGCTGAGCGCCGTGAACAGATACCCAGGAAGGAAGTACCACACGGTGCCAGCGATGAAGACATAGAGGAAGAATCGCTCGCGCGAGATGTGGCGGCTCTCTTTCTTGCCGTAGTTCCTGTGCAGCGTGTTGAGCAGCGCACATGACACCAGCGCGCCAGGCCAGATCATACTTGACGGCCAGACGAGGAACTGACGCGCCATGCCCGCGAACGCGTATCCGAAGAGCTGCGTCGAGAGCGACAGCAGAATTTGATAGCCAAATGTAAGCGACTGGTTGTAGAATGCCTTCTGCGTCGCGAACACGGTCGTCACGTATACATCCGTGTACACTGCGCTAGCCATTGTCGTGATGACTGTGTGCTCCTTGATGTTGAACGGACCGGGGTTGAGTGACCAGACGTAGCCGAAGGTGTTGATGCGCGTCCGGGGAAGAAGCCACTCCATGCCTTTCCCTAATGGAAGAGCGATCAACTGAACAACGAGAGGACTAATGACAAGGGATGGATCTTGGAGGAGTTCAGTAACCGTGACAGTAGCTTGACGCGACATAGCTTACATCGTTCCTCGAAGAAATGGTTAAGGCCAGCCATCAGACCTGAAAGTATGATTCCCAGGAACCACCTGCGAGGCGTGAGTTCCCTTGCATGTCGCGGAAGTTAATCAAACCTTACATTCGGAAAGTATTCACAGGCATCGAAGGGTCGTCCACACTAGAGACAGCAGCGCGGACCTCCGCGTAGGGGGAGTCACTGTGGCGCGCGTCAGCGTACACAGACAAGACATGGCGTAGATGCGTACTCGTTGAATTCTTCGAAGTCCGCCTCTTGTAGATGCGCCCTCGATGCCGTCGCTGTCTTGTAGGTTGTTGAGCCGATCTGCGAATCGGTGTCCTGCTCAGAGCTATGGATTGAGAACCCGCTCGAATTTGCGTGCGACCCCTTCCGGTCGAGCGCAAATGACTCGACGCTAGCGGTGGGTGATGCCTGATTTAGGTCCCAGTTCGGGTCGTTCAAGTGTTGCATGACATAGTCGACATCCTCGGGAACATCAGGGATGGGGTTGCGGTGACGCAGAAGCTGAGGGAGAGGAACGGGGAAAGACGAACCCTTCGCTTCCATCGTGTATGAAGACGCGGAGCGGGGAAAATGAAGGGGGAGGTATCGCTGAGGAGCGAGGGGATCTGGCGGGACGGACGATAAACGCTGCCCTTTTCACGGTTTCGCTTGGATCCCAGGAGGCGGGCCCGCATGCCTACCTAATTGTTTTTAGACCGCGCTATCACGCTGGGGCGTTGCCGAACTTCCTAAGGAAGATATAGCGAAGCGGACGAGTGCAGGACAATAGGAGGATACGACAGATCTCCAGATCGCGACAAGACATCGCGGTCGGTGACTTGTCGATGACGCCAAAGCAATGCGCACCCCTGTGCGGGGACTTCTCATTAAGGAGGAATTGACTCACCTCCGGAATCATATCATGATATGGACATCATCTAGCCTGGGATAGGCAGATGTATGTATAGGCAGGTATAGTCCACTACGAAACAGTGGTGAGCCGTACGGCATGGCGTCTCGCCTGGTCAAAATGTCGCAGGCATTTTCCCGTGAACGCCTAGACATGTGGCCAGGTACTAGACATGCTTTATTGTCTTCTGACCAGGGGCAGATACGAGCCGGTACTTCGCAGTCGAAATGGAGGCGAAGTGCAAAGACAATAGAGACAAGCGTGGAGATCACATGCGGGCGTGTGGGCCGATGAGATCAAACGCGACGCGACGCGTCAATCGCATTTATTTACGCGTTGTTTGTCCCGCATCTTATCGCGCTCCCCTGCCTAGCCCTGCTGAGCCGGATGGCCGAGACGGAGCAGCTGGTCACCACACTCCTCATCTTGCGTGCGAGCGATAGCTGACTTTTTCCATTGGCACCCATTGCAGTGGTATTGCGTCGTAGCCCCCCTCGATGGCGACAAACATAGTGCTTATATGCCGTATGTGCGGTCCCTGGCAGCGATCGCACAGCTGCTCCGACACCCACTGACACCACCATCGCCATGTCTACTGTCGAGACAATTAACCAGTCCATCACCGAGAGTCTCAGTTCTCTCAGCCTCCGTTCGAAGGCGCCAGAGAACAATGAAGCCGATAAGCCGGCGAACGTCTACCGCTACGCCAATCTGCTCCCAGTGTTCCCGCAAGACGAGCACTACCCACCGCTTACCCCGTTCGATCATGTCGATCCCGCATCGCGTGCGCTCAGCCATCCAGACCCCCGGGCCTTTCTAGCCAATGCCACTAGCATCGTCCAATTGACCCCCCACTTGGGCGAGGAAGTGCGCGGCGTCAATCTTGCGACGCTTGATAACGATGGGAGGGATCAGCTCGCATTGGAGGTACGCGGTCTGTTTCACGTCTGCCCGCAGCGCACGCGGGCTCATTGTGTCGCCTCATATGGCAATGTATACATAGGTCGCCAGACGCGGCCTAGTTGTCTTCCGTGACCAGCAAGACTTCATCGACCGCGGGCCCGACTTCTATCTCGAGTGGGGCAGGCACTTCGGCCGCTTGCATATTCACCCTACGTCTGGGCACCCTGACGGCTACCCTGAGGTCCACCTCGTGTACCGTGATGCCAACGCTACGTACAACTTCGAGCGCGAGAACCGACTGACGTCTACCACCTGGCACTCAGACGTGTCTTACGAGCTCCAGCCTCCGGGTCTGACGACATTCTTCCTGGTCTCTGCACCTGAGACAGGAGGCGACACTGCGTTCACTTCGCAGATCGCTGCGCTCAAGCGGTTGTCCCCGCAGTTTGTTGCCTTCCTGCGAACGCTTAAGGCCGTGCACTCGGGTTTCGAGCAGGCCCAGTACTCAAGGGCTGGGAACAGGGGCGGCGTCGTCAGGCGTGAACCTGTTGAGAATGTCCACCCTGTTATCAGACGTCACCCAATCACTGGCGAGGATGCTATTTACGTCAACAGACAGTTCACTCGTCGTATTGTTGGCCTGAAGAAGGAAGAGTCTGGTCAGTGTTGCACGTTATTGTCATTTTGACATTTCCCTGATGATGCGACCTACTGATAGATGCGATCTTGAACCTCCTGTATGACCACGTCGACAAGAGTGCTGATATCCAGGCCCGCGTCAAGTGGCAGCCATACACCGTCGTTCTGTGGGACAACAGGATCACCGCGCATGTAAGCCCAGCCGGTCATATTGTCTACTAGGTTTTCACTGGTATCGCATTCATTTTCAGTCCGCGATTGTTGACTTTGCCGGCACGGGCGAACGTCGACATGGTGCCCGTATTACCCCACAGGCTGAACGTCCCATACCCGCCCTAGATGGTCTTGACCTCAGTCTGGAACAGGGGGTGAAACCTCGCATTGTGTAACAAATGGACGTATTGTATGAGAAAGTTGGCAGTCGCAAAAGTGTCACTATTAGAGCCTCAGGTTATTCTTATTCCGTATAAATGAATGTCATGGGGTGATGACATAGTCGATAAATTTGCGAAAACAGTCGTGAAGACTATCCGCGAGAAAACCGTACGACGAAAAGATGTTCGCGGCCTGCGCGTCTTTGCAGCACTATCTGCGATGACGTTAGGGTGTACGAAGGCGAGGCTGAAAATGCGTGCTCACTTGGCTCTGAAGCCTGTGCTCGTCGAGCATGCGCTGACGAATTCCAGGAACGTCGTTTTCCTTCACAGCCACAAGGTAGAACCGACCTGTGGGCGATAGCAGGCTCTGCACACTTTGGTCAGCTGTTGGCTTGTCAGGCACAGCAGTGAGATTAATACCTCAACCTGCTGGAGTACTGTGTTTGTTATCTGCATCCCATCTGCTCCACCCGCCCACGCGCCTGCAATACCAGCATCATGCTGCGCATCATCCGCCTCGTCGGAGTAGGTCGGGACATAGGGCGGGTTAAAGAGCAGGACATCCACGGCATGCGACAGACGATGCATGAGTGCACCAGTGAGTGATGTCAGGATAGAGTCGATGGGTATCTACTACACGCACAATGTGCGCTCAGTATCTTTTCACGAACGCGGAGAGATGGTGAGGCAAGGAGAGCGACGTACCTTATTCTGGAGGCCAGTCCGCCGAGTGCAGCGACATGCGTGTAGATTGATATCCGTCGATATATATACTGGAGGATAATTAGAAAATGAGTGCTGATTATAGTTGGAACCTCACATACAAGCGAATGAAGACCCGAGAATGCTCCCGACAAAACTGGAGACACATCCTGAACCAGACCTTGCAAAATTCTTTAATCCAGTAATACCATTCATTTCCGGCACAGCGGGTGCATACCCAATTTCTAAGCATATAAGTGGCCTTGACCTTAAAAGTTCCGTTGCATCCTGTTCCAAGGCATCCAGGAGCAGGAAAGTATCCTCTGAGCGACATTATAAATTTTGGGTACTGGAAGAAAATGCCGCTCCTCATACCTGCGGGCTCGTAGACATGGTCATAATCTCCTCTCGACAAATGCGACAGATCTGGCGTTGGGATCATCTCAAGGTCGAGGAACGCGTACTTATGGTTATATTTAGTCAAGACAGAATGCCAGCGGCAGAACATCGATGGGCGCCTATGAGAGGCGTTAAGTATGATCTCCCAAAATGGCAATACGCAACGAGTTTCATTCCTTCGTCCTTTGGTGGCCATGTCATCCGACCCAGGTGCAACGTACTATGCGGCCTTCTGTGCTTTGGCTATTATGACACTGAAGGCTGTAAATGAGGAGGTGATAGAGCCATACATGGTGTGCACACCATCTGTTCACCCGTAGTATAGAAGTGTTCACCAGCATACATATTCCCAGGACGAACCCTTCCATGTCCCGCAGGCGCAGGCGTACTGCAAAGGGGATTATTTGACGTGGGACCCAAAGATTACAACGCCTCCTGGGCTGTAAGATATATCGCTCTGTCTGCATAAGCTTGCTAAGGGCGTCATTTACACAGCTATGCCTTGAGCGTGTTCATGAAGCGAGTCTTCATGGTCAAATGCAACTTGCCATTGTTACGATTCACGCCTACACTATCTTTGCTGGTACTCCCGTTGGTGTTGACGCGCCTTCTATGCTTTCACCGGCGTGAGAGGCCACCACATTCGTGGTTCGTGCCCACCACGGAAGGTGTCATACTTTCGAGCTTCCCCATTGCGTGGTTCTTTGCCTTTCTATACTACACCGAGTTGCCCAGCCTGGTGTTCGTCTTGGCAACAGTTGTAGTCGCCACGCAGGGGAAACACTGGCTCGCTGCTTTGGTGTGTCGGCCGCTCTTTTACACGGACATCAACTCATGGAGGGCAAGCGTGTTAGCTAGGTGTGATGAGCTGCACTTTCCGCCAGAACAACATTGTGTGGGTTCTATATGCGTACGCCGCCAGTCAACTCATGTACCTGCGGACGCGGCGTGCGCCCCCAGGTGCGCGAGCTGCTGCAAAGCTACACGACCCCCCAGCCCTTGCTGCTAGTCCAAGTGAGTAGGAAAGCGGTGCATCACGGAGTAGCGCATTGTAATAATGATTTGGGGCCCCCGCAGTGGATCTTACCCGATCGATCATGTCCTTCCCGCAGATCCTTCCGGACATCCTCCTGTCGTTCATCTCGTACGCTCTGGCCCTCGCGGCGTTTGGAAGCTTCGTCGTATGGAATGGCGGCATTGTGCTTGGTGAGATCGTCAATACCCTGATGATACGGCGAGTGTCTAAGTTCGGCAATAGGTGATAAGTCGAATCACGTTCCCGCGCTACACGTCCCGCAGCTTTACTACTTCGTGGGATTTGCCACTATCCTCGGATGGCCTGTTCTGGTCAGTGGTGAAGGAGGCGTGAAGAAACTAGCGCAAGATGTCTGGGCACGAATGTTCGGTAGTCGGAGGTACACGTCTCTGCCGCATTGCGGATGCAACATGGTGGACGGAAGGCTGATGCCTCTTTCAGAAACACGGTTATGACGACTTTGGTATCCGTTGTGATGACCATTACGGTGCACAAGTTCACGTATGTCTCTCTTCCGACCTCAGAACAGTTCATACAACTGAGTTTGTGTTCAGGATACACCACCCGTTCTTATTATCGGATAATCGCCATTACACCTTCTACATATGGCGGAGAATCTTCATGGTTCATCCCATTGTGCCATATCTGCTCATCCCCGGATACATATCTTGTGCCTGGGCGTGGTATCTCCGCACAGGTGTGTCTTGAGTACTGTGACTGATGAGAGGGATTTGACTAGCGGACGTCCGTTCACAGGACAAGACCAAACCTTGCTGCAGAACCTCATCCTCCCTGTATTCGTGCTGCCCACATTGATACCTACCCCTCTTCTAGAACCACGATACTTCCTCATCCCCTATATATTGCTGAGAGCGCAGGTTGCTGATGCCCCGTTGTGGGCTGTGATTGTGGAGGGTTTCTGGTATGGCGCCATCAATGGTGCCACTATGTATGTGTTCCTGTACAAGACGCGGCCTGGTGTAGGTAGATTCATGTGGTAGAGTAGAGGAGTGCAGAGCGCGTCTGAAGGGTGCGCGAAGCGCGTGGACCCTTGCGGACCCACATGGCGGTAGTCTCGTGACGCACAATGTTTACGCGCTATTTGTTGCCAGTTCGACTTGGAATTACGCGACGACCATCACGCGCCACATTTATGCGACACGGTCGTAGCAACGACTTTGCAACGACCCCTCCCCCAACGACCCACCACGGTACCTACGACGCCCTCGACACGACTCTGACAGACTAACGGACGGACTGCGACGATACTGACCGCCCGGGATACCTTTATATACCGCACCCATGGCCTCTCAAGTCGCCAACGGTGGCACTCAGCTACCCTCCAAACCCGTCACCCGATCTTCCATCCGTCAATCGCTCAACCTTTCCTCTGTAGGGAAAGCCCTTGCGGACGTCATGCATAAGGACGGCGCAGACAAAGAGAAGGTCAGCAAGAAGATCAAGGATGTGCGGCGGTCGAGCGCTATCGGTACCATGCCGTCGCGCGTCGCCGTCGATAAGCCGGCGGTGCTGAAGGAGGAAGCCCCATCTCCCGAGACGAGGAACAGGACGATCACACGTCACACACGCAGGGCCTCTACGCTGAAGAAGCCCACGGTTACAGATTCTGACGAGACATCTTCGTCCCCCCAGACCCCCAAAACGACGCTTTCCCGCACAACCTCTCTCCGCCCCAGGATGTCCAATGGGACGTCTGCGCTCCCCAAGTACAGGCCGAGGTCGATACTCGGAGAGGCGGGTGTGACGAAGAAGGTGTCTTCCCCCACGCGTATGACCCTGCGGTCGCGTGCCCCCAGTGCGCTCGACGATAAGGACACGGACACTGACGAGAAGCGCCCCGCTACACTCGAGCTACCGCGCTCTGCTGGAAAGCTTGGACGGTCAATCAGCCCAGTCCCCCACCCCTCAGCGTTAAAGGTGAACCTCACAAAGGCAATCAATGTGGGGCCCCAGACTCCGGAGAAGAAGTCCAAAGCCATGGCGCAAAAGCGGTCACCTCCACCCTCGCCTTCGCCCCGCAATGGAAGTCCTGCTCGTCCTTCGAAGACAGCGAAGACTTCGTCGAATTCATCTGCCTCGCAATCCGCACGTCCACCGTCGTCAGCCTCTTCATCCGCGTCCTCTCCGCGAACCCCGCGAACGGGCCTTACTGGTGTAAATGCGAAGAAACCTGCCGAGAATGTCAGCCGAAGAAGCACACCCAGTCCCAGCCCTCTTCGCAGTAGCGCCGAGTCTCCCTTGGGACAACGATCCTCTCGTAAGGCTGCTGAATTTGCTGCGACTTCAAGTGCACTGCAGCGTTCGTCTGTTACTCCAACTCCTGGCGCATTCGCAGAGGGTGACAGTCTTGACAGTCTCGACGCCCATGATGTCGAATACATGCTTTCGACGGTTGCCTCACCGACGGCACCTACTCCTGCCCTTCCACGGTTCCGCATAATGACGGAGCGGGACGGACGTCCTCGTACGCCGCCGCGACCTTTCCTACCAAACCGTGCGAACATGTCATATCTCTCTCCCGAAGCACCCTCATCCACCAATAGTTCGCCATTCCTGCGACCGTTCCGTCGCGGGCTGGGAAATGATCGTGGCTCCATCCTATCATGGGAGCAATTGGCGAAGCACAGCAAAACGCTCCAGGATGAGGACATAGAGCATATGCTTTCTGATATTCCTGCTCCTTTCCGCTCAGGCGCCGTCTCACCTAGCCTCAGCTCATCTACCCATGATGTTCCGGAAAGCCCAACCTTGAGCGCGCTGCCATCCCCTGGAGGCTACGGCTCAATATCCCAAGTATTGCTTCCCGAGGTCACGCCATCTCCTGCTCCACACAACGCTATGTTGTTCGGGGAGATGTCTTCCGACATAACGCTGGAAGATGGTGCGGGCTCGACCATGTTGCGCCTCCAGCTCGCATCTGCAGAAACGAAAGCTCGCGATCGTCTCGCCGAGATCGAGTCGCTCGAGAGCCAGCTACAGATGGCGAAGGCTGCGCGTCTACGTGACACTGAAGAGCTTGCGAAGCAGATCACGCAGCTCGAAAACCAGGTGCATGGGAACCTGCATGTCGATAGCGAGCGGATGGAGTACATCGTGTCCCTAGAGGAGCAGCTGCGCCAGGCGCAAGTCGTCCGTGAGCAGGCTGTCCACGAGGCGTTGGTGCAGATGCAGGAACGTGCGCAAGCGATGCATGCAGCGGCGATCAAGCAGCAGCAGGACCGGTGGGCCCTCATGTGTTGTGCGACAGACGTGAAGGACGCGTGGGGCACTGTCCGGGACACAGCTGAAGGAGAGCTCGAGCTCGTGCGGGCAAACAAAGACATGCTTGCTGTCCTGCTGGCGGGGCTGGATCAAAGCCGCAGGCAGCTACTCTCAGCGTCTGTGTAAATATTCGTTGACCTGATTCATCCGTGAGTATACTATTACTCTTGCTTTGAGGCATGAACTTGACCGTGTAACCTGTTCTACAGGCTCATTGCCCTAGTTGCTAAATTTAACTGTATGTTGGACACGATTGTATTAGTATCTTAATGCGGCTGGAACATCGCTGTTGTGGTCCTGTCACGTACTGTAACGTAGTATTGTGCGCTGCAGTGTAACTGTCCCACTTATGAGAATGCCATTTTTATGCTCAAGACGTGTTAGGGTGTTACGGGCGGGAACGTGAACCTTTCGGAAGTCTACGACCGCGAGGGAATCTGGGTCCCCGTGTACGTGTGCATGACTCGACTCGCCCCGTGTGCGGTGAGCTGGTCGCACGATGGGCGCCCTCCCGATTGGATCGTCGGTACCGATGCCGCTTGATGCGCCAGGCACGCGCCCGCCAGTTCCCATAGATGGAAATGCGGCCAAGCCCTTCGGGGTTGACTCCTTTTGTATGTTCAAGTTGCCGCTCCCGTCACGGCGCCTACGGACACCATAAATACAACGCCCCTGCTGTCTATCGTGGGCACGCTCCCGGAATCGTTTGTAACCATGACCGCGTTCTCCGACCTTTCGCACGATCTCGTCGACCGCATTTTTACCTATGTGCGAGATTTCGGCACCCTTGCTGCTCTTATTCGCACTTCCAAGACGATATATGAAGTCTTCGAAGCACGCCCGAAGTCTATTGTCAGGGCTGTGGCGGAGAATGTGATAGGGAACTGCGACGCGCTGCCCGCCGCCACAAGACTGGTCCGCTTCCAGCTCACCCTCAACAAATACACAGTTGAATATGAGGGCGACGATGCTGACGATACAGACAACCAGCGTCCTAAGGATCCAGGTCCAACTGAAGAGGATGCCCTGCGCGCGCCGTTGACACGCGCCGAAGCGAACTTGCTCGAGTGGCACGGCCCCGTAGTTCAAGAGCTCGAAGACATATTTAGCTGGAGGTACATCCCGTTCTGCGAACAATAATATGAGCGACGTGTGAGGCCCTGAGCTTCATTCTTGCAATAGGAACAAGGACCGCGCCTCCCCAAAAAGCACGCTCACACTCGCGGAGTCCAGCCGCTTCTGCAGCGCGATGTATCGCTTCTGGCTCTACTGTGAGGTACATGGCCCACCAGAGTACTGGGAAGACGACGAGCCACAGGACTTCTCGCAGGAATGCGCGAACTTCTTCAAGGCATATATGGTCGACGATATTTTCGATATAGCACGCGCGGCCGACTTCATTGCTGATCTCGTCGCATGGTGCGACGGCGCGCTCGGAGACCCTGCTTTGGCAACGCCCCCCAAAGGTAAATATGTCCGCTCATCGTGAGCAGCGAGGTACGATTCTGACCTGTTTGTACAGATTGGTTCAGGTGTAAATCGTCTATAGGCCCCAGCACAGTGCTTGGCGACTTCAAGAAGATTTCAGCAAGTCAGCCGGAGAACGCTGAGGAAGGCTTTTTCTGGCGCGCATATGAAAGTCATATGCGAACCCTGAAGCTCGGTCCCAAAGTGTGCAAAGAGAGGCTCGCAAAAGCCATTCTGACAGAAGTGGTCGGACAGCACGATACTTGTGCGTTGCCATATCACTACATTGTGAGGAAACATTTGTCAACTGCGCTCTACAGGTTTCAGATGCCATGCGGTTCAGGGTATAAATCTCTATGGCGCAACGAGTATGTGCTTGCGATGGTAGGAATCCCATATCTTCTGAATCCTCTCTTCAGCCTGGCCTCTCCTGCGCGGGCAACTTTGCCAAACCAAACTATTCGCCCTCATGCCTGGCAACCTTGTGCGCAATGTTTCCGAGAACCAACAGTTCCTACTGAGCACACATTGGGGCGTGTTCATCGGGAGCCAGTTCGACTACACAAAGATGATGGACGAGATTATGGATATACTAGATGACCAAGAACACATCTGGCAGAAAGACAAGTGGTACTGCTTCCAGTGCGTCGAACAACTGATGAAGGAGCGCCTGTGGCGGTGGTGGCGAGAAAGGAAAGTGCAAGGTGGGTCGTCATTCATTAGTCAGCAGGACTCGCCGTTGACTTCTGTGTGTGTGCTGCAGAAGGCAAGCCCGTACTTCCGAATTGCTGGTAAGCCAATATATGCTTGGTCGCGAATGGCGTCTGAGCAGATATTTATCACAGGTATGGCTGGAACTGCCGCACGATGACCCATAGACAACAGCATGCGTCAAGACTCAACGTGAGTCTTCCCCTCAAGTCTTAAGCGGGCTGGTGGGCTTACGCATATAAGAAGCATTTATGCAAACCTATGCGAGGCGATGGCCCGACTCAACCGCAGCCGGCTTCCGGACCAACGGCGCATACATTGGTATTACTGCCAGCTCCGGCCACAGATACTGCTGGTGCATGATGCACACAGAAACATTCTCTGCCCGTCATAGTTCATGATAATGTGTTCGTCATGGTCGATTCACTGTGTTATTGTAATTGCAGTGTCTGCTATTAAGTATTCCACACTGCTGCGCCTTGTAATCTGAGCCCCGAGGATGTAATGAACATGCGATATTGATAGTTACTGGTGCTCGATGTTCTGCGATGCTATATTTCTGTCGCGTCTACCAGTGGTTGTAAGGAAATGCCACAATGTTATCAGCTCGCTGACGCGATCAAGTGCGTTCCACTCGATCGACTTGGAGGATCATGATGCGCCGACCGAGACGCCGGGTACACCCTCTCCGCACCATTCCTACCACAACAATATCCTGCTATCTGCTTTCACTCTCTAGCGGTGAATGCGCCCCCCTGCTCGCAAATAGCCCACTGCTGGCCTTGCTCGGCAAACAACACTAACGAAAGCTCACGACATGATTCACGCGGTACTCATCTGTCTGGCTCTCGCTAATCCTCACCTTGCATCCTGCTCACATGCCTCGGCACAGTCAACACCTCAGGCGTGCCGCGTCTGACCAAGTTCTACTCGCCCCTTCATCGTTCTGCCCAGACGCTTGTGCAGAAGATCTTCACACTTGTGTCGCCACGCCCAGCCGGGCTCTGTAACTTCCTCGATGCACCTGAGCTCGAGGGGTTCCTCACCCCCCAAGATGAAGTTGGCGAAAAACTGCGTGTGGTGTATAGGAACTACGCAACACTGTATTTTGTGTTCGTCGTAGACAGCGCCGAGAGCGAGTTGGGTATTTTGGACCTGATACAGGTATGCGTGCGTTTTGTTTTGGGGTAGCCAGAGGCTAACTATGCACAGGTCTTTGTCGAGTCTCTCGACCGGACGTTTGAGAATGTATGCGAGCTGGACCTAGTCTTCCACTTTGATGAGGTGAGGCTACTGCGTCCGAGTACTGTGGACGTTACGCTCAATGGTGTAGGTTCACCACATTCTATCTGAGGTGATACAGGGAGGCCTGGTATTGGAAACCAATGTAGAGGAAATCGACCGTCGAGGTGAGTTGTACATCGCGTTCCACCTATCTATTGCTTGAGATCTTGTTCTCATCTCGTACACCGTACTCATCTGCATTGCAGTTCGAGACAGCGCGAAGGCACGCAAGGAATCGTACGCATCAGCGAATCCCCTTTCTCTTGGAGGCGGGGTTGTTGGCTCCAGGAATTCAGGACTATCAAGTCTCGGTTGGCTCACGGATAAGCTGACGGGTGTAGGAGCAAGATCATGAAAACAGACGTTCTGCATTGTACATTACAGATACACTCGATGCATTAGGTTACAATCTCTATTTCGGAGAGATTCGCCCTTCGTATTACAGAGAGCGCTCAATCCCTCACAGAACCCTTTGCGCAGCAACGGACGAAAAAGGGCAATTACTCCGTTTCAGTTGCCCTCCATCCCCATTGTAAACGAGCGGATGGTGGCGGCTGACCCTCAAATCCTCGAGGCTTCAGCGAGGCTACACTGCTACCGGTGTGAGCGTACGATCTGAGTGCTGCCGCCGAAGGCCGGCATTGCCCATATTTCGACACGGATTAGGACGTTACGTTCATCATTGTCGCGATTCCTGTCACATAGACTTGTCAGAAGACAGACAAGACAGAACCAGAAGGCGCGCACTCTTTTTCTTCTTCTTACCCCCTCCCGGGGGACCTTTCACCGGAGGCTGTTCTTGCGGCGTTGGCCCCATCTTGGGCGTCGCGGCGCGTGTTGGTGCGGGCGCCGGGGTGGCGGACGACCGTGGCTGTGACCGCAGACCCGGCGTGTCTGGCACAATGTCTTCCGCAGCCGCAGCGGGCAACGTGAAGGACTTGCTCGCGTGCACGGCCGTCGTGCGCATCGCGTTGAACAGTAAGAGGTTATTCTGCTGTCGTTCGTGGGCAGGGAGCTTGCGCTTTGCTGAGGGCTCCGCGAGCGCCTGGTCCTCCGTCGTCGATGCCGTCTCTGTCGCATTGCTCTCGGGGGGCTCGTCAGCACCATCACGCGCTTTGGACGCGTCATCCGGAGCGGCGGGCTCGACGATCGGCCACGCGAAGCCCGTGCGTGGCGTGTACGCGGGCCTGTGCGTGCGCAAGGTAGTCATTGAACTTTGTAACGCGTGAAGGGACGTGAGCTACAGCGGTCTCAGTAGCGTGCGCGGCGCGGGATCTCTCGCACTTACAAGGCGGTTGGAAATAAGGGTGTAGACGTCAGGGGATTGGTATATGCGGTTGTTCATAATGAAGTATGCCGCTAGTGGTCGCACTGGCATGGTTTGGCCCGTTGGGGGATTCTCGCGGCGGAGGAACCGTGAAAGGACACACCTTCATCTGGTGACAAGCGTTCTCGTTTGTGAATGATGAAGAGGGACGGAGGTTGTGCGTGTACGACGGCAAACTCAATGCCCGTAAATCGTCTTCAAGCGGACGCTTTCACGTCAGTGCATGTCACAGGAAGCAAGGGTCCACGCACCTCAGTTCCTCGGCCTCATTCTCCAGTGGTACCCCAGTATGCATTGTCTGCATGCGCAACACTTGGTTGTTGCTCTGTTTGTCGTAAAACATAGATGTCGCGAAGTAATCAAATACATTCTCGTTCGTGAGGGGACCATGCGCCTAAAATGCAAATGAGAAGGCCGCTCAGCGACATGCTGCCCCTAGGGAAGCACCTGTATCCATTCATGCCAGATGAAGAATCTGTGGCTGTAGTCATCAGGCGGGTGCAAGTCGGTGAGATCCATTGTGGCGGCGCTGAGCAGGGAACGGCGGCAAAGTACGCAGACATCATACAAGAACATATATGGCCTGGGGACTCGGCTATCACCTGCCCGCCTAGCTCAATCGGATAGAGCGTCAGACTCTTACTAAGCGGGTGTATCTGAAGGCTGCGAGTTCGACCCTCGCGGTGGGCTAGAGGAATCTTTTTGGAGCTTTTCTTCAGGAGGTCTTGCCTTGTATGCGCGCATGCGCGATATACAAATATACTTCGATCCACGTCAACGCGATTACAGGCAAGAGTCTTATTGGTACAGATATACTTATATGTATGCAGTACATAGATGGTGATAGTAGATACAATGTCCTTTGATTTGCTGGATGATACATATTACTTTTGTTGGTACACACTCGTCTCGCAGGTGCTGCGATGCGCTGGAGGACGCCATTCTCAGTACGCAACCTTCGACGTCAAGCCTTCCGCTTCGCGCTCGTAGCAGCGGTGCTTGCTGACCTCATACGCGAAGTTGGAGATGAAGCCCTTCTCGCCTTGAGCGATCTTGAGCGTGTCCGCGACCGCGGAGCCTGCGTCGTACTTGCCCGCGGTTACGACACCGTACGAGGTTGTCACGGAGTCGCTCTTCAAGCTCGATGCAAGCTGGACTCCTGGAAGCTGCACGGCCTCGCGGAGGAATGCAACACCTGTATGCAAATCTCAGTCAATCTTTTGCTCAATGAACGAAGCAGCACCGGCACCAACCTTCGCCGAGCGCGCCAATGGGCTTGCAGTGGCCAAACGCCTCGCGGACCCAGTGGATCGCACGTCCGTTCTGCGCGAGCCGTTGCGCGTGCTCAGCGCCGCTCGGGATAATAATCGAATCGAACAGCGTGCTGCGCTGGCCCTCGTGGTGGTGGTCCGCCCAGATACCTTCGCCGGTGCCCACCACCTGGCCTGCGGGGTAGACCTTCCCGCGGCGGGGCCCAATGATCCAGGTCGTTGCTTGGCCAAGCTTGAGCGCGGCTCGCAGGCCCTCGACCTCGGCGAAGTTGAAGCCGTCTGCGACAAGGATCGCGATGCGGCGCGAGACGATCGTCGGCTCCTTGGGTGCATAGTAAAGCTGGGAAAGCGTCGGCGTCGACTTGCCGTGGTTCTCACGCGCCGGCTTCTCGAGGATTGTGCCGCCCACATTGATTGCGACCTGCTTTGCGAGGTTGAAGTCGATGTTATTGAGGATCTTCGTGTATGTCTGGAATACAACCGGATCGTCGCAGTGGCTAAGCTCGAATGAGACGGCGTTCACGAGATGCGTCTTCTCATAGTCGGTCAGGGAGTTGTAGAAAAGTTGTGCCTGGTTGTAGTGCTCCTGGAACTTGGGCGTACGCACACGCTGCTTGATGCCCGCAACCTTCTGCGCGACACTGCCAAAGACGCCATCAGATATTGCATGCAGGATTGACACTCGATGGAAGACTCACTCAGCATAGCCGCCTTCTGAGGTGGGCACCGGAGCGCCAACAGCCTTACGGTTCGGCCAATAATTAATCGCGCCCTTCGTGATTTTGTGTCGCATCTGTCCGTCACGTTGGTGGTTCATGACGGGGCACACGGGTCGGTTGATCGGGAGCTCCTCCCAGTTAACACCCAAGCGCGTGATCTGAGTGTCGAAGTACGAAAAGTTACGTCCCTGGAGCAACGGATCGTCGCTGAAGCCAATACCGGGGACCACGTGGGAAGTGCAAAACGCGACTTGCTCAGTCTCGGGGAAGAATTCGTCGACAGTTTTGTTGAGCACCATCTCGCCGATGACCTCGAGCGGGACAAGCTCCTCCGGCCAGACCTTGGTAGCATCGAGTATGTCGAAATCAAAGTCATGCTCGTTCGCCTCCGGAATAGTCTGGATGGCGAAGTTCCACTTGGGGTAGGCACCGTTCTCGATCGCCTCCTGGAGGTCCTTGCGGTGGAAGTCTGCAGAGACTCAGTCAAGAACAGGTCAAAGGGCACAAGACGAATCCCGCATACCTGGATCCTGACCCGCAATTTTTAGGGCCTCATCCCAGACGAGGCTGTGCACGCCAAGCTCAGGAAGCCAATGGAACTTGACGAAGAACCGTTCGCCTTGCGCGTTTATCAAAGTGTAGGTGTTGACCCCAAAACCTTGGATCATACGGAGGGATCGCGGAATGGCGCGGTCAGACATGACCCACATAACCATGTGAGCGGCTGTAAAGGCCGATTGTGAGCATATTGGCAATTGTGATGACGACATCTATACTCACACTCGGGCTGCAACCCGACAAAGTCCCAGAAGTTGTTGTGCGCGCTCTGGCCCTGCGGGACCTCATTGTGCGGCTCAGGCTTGACCGCGTGCACGAAGTCGGGGAACTTGATCGCATCCTGGATGAAGAATACGGGAATGTTGTTGCCGACAATGTCCCAGTTGCCCTCTTGAGTGTAGAACTTAACAGCAAAGCCGCGGACATCGCGGACGGTGTCCGCGCTGCCGCGAGAGCCTTGCACGGTACTGATACGCACGAAAATGGGCGTGGAGCGGGAGGGGTCGGTGAGGACAGGTGCAGAGGTGTACTTGGACGCTTTGTCGTTGTACACCTTGAAGTAGCCATGAGCCCCGACTCCACGGGCATGGACGACACGCTATACGGAAGACAGTGAGCAGGAGTATTCCAAGGCGCAGCGCGTCATCGTACCTCTGGTATGCGCTCGTGGTCGAAGCGGTGAATCTTCTCGCGGCCAATCTATGAAACGTGTTACTATTGCGATGTACGCGACATTTGTTGAACAACCAACCTGGTCCTCGAGCAGAGAGGGACCGGTGGTAGTGCCGTTCTGGGCCTTTAGCCTGAAATTCGCGGTCAATTAATAGTCTCTCGTCTCGTGTGCGTATGAGCCACACACCAGTTGTCAGTGTCAGAGACATAGACACCATTATCAGTCGTTAGGCCCTTATTGGGCTTCGAGGCAGGGTCGATTGTGTCGGACTGCAGGTCAGTGACCTTGGCATTAGCGGTTCCGAAGAGCTGCTTGGCCGCATCGGCGATAGCTGAAGACATGGTGAATGGAAAGAGGGGGACGAGGGGGGACAGTAAGGAATGCGGTCCCACATAGTAGCCATTATATATTCGGTGCGAGCAAATATAGGACCTGAGGTTAAGGAGAGGGGAGCACTGTGGTACTAGGCGCCGACGTCAGAATGACGCAGTATACCTGCCTATTCCGGGCGAAAGTGGGCGTCGATGGGACCATGAGCGCAGGCTTATTCCTGTCCCTGTGGGGTCTCACGCGATACTCTGGCCAATCGCGGGCTAAGTATTCCTGCTTACACTGGTCACGTCCACGAACGCATGCTCACAAAGACGAACATTCCTTGTCTGACATACAGATGATGCTATTTATGACGCTCTCTACCGTACTAACAATTCCAACAGTGTAAATATAGTCTACGCATCATTCAGGCATAAAACACCGGAGAACAGGATATTCGGCTCATCAATATAAATACTAGTAGATTCGTGATCATTCGGAAACCAAGAGGACGGATAGAAGAGATACAAGACTGCGCACCGCAACGGTATCGCAATTCAACGTAGACGAAACCTTCATCAAGGAATGACAGACATGTAACGTTCGTAGAACGAGGGCTAGTCAGATGAGAGGCTGAGGGGGGATTAACATGTCCAAATCGCCGGGAGACAAAACGACCTGGACGATGCACCAGACGTCTTCGCAGTATGTAGCAATTCAGCGCGCAACACGGACACAGCGACGCCGACACATCGCCTCACACCACTCGGACGGACGTGAGTGTTGCCATAGCTGAGCGAAGTAGATAAGTGACGAAGCATAGACGAGAGCGGGATAGACACGTACGCAAACCATAAGAGTCGAAAAGCATAGGTTCAATCATAGCCATTTACTTCACCTCGTCGCACTCGCACTCGCAGTCCTTGTCCTTGCCCTTGCCGATCCAGCTCTTGCCACAGTTGTCGCACCACGCACGAGGACCCTTGTCTACGCCTATAGCCCTGTTCGAGGCGGACACCATAGACGACATCGACTCGGAGCGATGTATCGACACCAAGTGACGTGTCAGATCATGCTTGCGACTGAAAGACCTGCCACACGACTTGTGGTGGCACGCATACGGCTTCGAGCGGTTAGGGTCGTGCGTCTGTGTGTGGGTCTTGAGGTTGTACGCGCGAGCGAACGCTGTAATACGAGATGTGAGACATGAACGCGTGATGTCATAAGCGAAGGAAACTGACCTCGGGGGCACAGCGGGCACGGATACTTCTTCTTGGGGTCACGTTGCATATCCTCCATCCTTCTAGTAGTAGTGGCCGAGCTAGGCATAGAAGTGTGGGCGCCAATGGCGGGGACAGGAGGGACAGCGGGCAACTGGGGCGAGATGTTCGACGGCGATACCGTGTTCTGTCCGACACCCACAGCGGCAGGGTAGTTGTACTGCTTGTTAACCTGCGCTTGCGGGTAGTAGTCAGACGCAGCAGAGCTGCCAATACGGACGTGCTGCGGCTGCGCAGGCTCATAGTCAGAGAAGCTGCCACGCGGTGATGAGAACGACGTCTGCGGCGAGTAGTGAGCGATATGCGGGATACCGCCCGAGGAGCTGCGCACGGAAGGTGAAGATGGCAAGCCGCCGTAGGCACTGTGATCATCCGCAGTGGGAAGGCCCATGCGTTTGAAGTCCATGTCAAGATCCTGCGTGTAGGAGTAGTTACTGGCGGCGTAGTTGGGAGTCGGCGAATTGGCCGGGAAGTTGTAGAAGCTCTCGGAACGACCAGAGAGAGACTCGGTGTAACCAGAGTCATACCCCGACACCGACTCAGAGGAGACGGTGAAGGTGGAGGGGGGCCCGGTGGGGGTATCCGACCTCAGGAAGGAGAAGATGTCGGCGGTGCCGGTCTCGAGAGGAATGTGATTGAGCTCGGCGTCGAAGGCAGCGAGAGAGGAGTCTAGCTCGGACTCGAACTGGTCAGGGTGGGGGGCAAGGATGCCAGAGGACCCGTGACCGAACTGGAAGAAGTCGAAAGGCTGCTTGGCGTAGTCAAGCTCGTCGAGGCCAAAGGCACTGTCGTCGGCCTTTGCAGACTGGTAGAGCTGCGCGGAGGGGAAGTACGGGGCAAAGTGTGAGTCGGACATCCTTCGTGCGGGCTGCGGAGTGCGGGTTATGTAGGTGCGAGGAGTGCGGTTTGGGCAAGGATGAGCAGGAGAGAGAGTGCAGATGTCGTGGAGGGATGGAGTCAAAAGGTGCTGCGGAGACGGCACACACGCAGCTTCCCACACCGGGCGGTTGCCGGGCTGTGCAGGCGCCTCGCCAGGGGCACTAGGAAACCTCCCAAATAAGGCAGCTGTCCTGGCTGCCTCCCACGGTGGCCGTTCCCGGTTGCCATCACCCCCACTTCCGTCCAAATATGTCCGTCCCCTGATCGCGCTCCTCCTCCTGTTCATGGCGCACCTGAATCAGTCTCGCCCAGCAATCTCACAAAGCAGAGCCTATCGCCCAGACGCCCCAACTGTCACTGCCCGGTGCCGCATCCCTTCGTGACTCATACCTGTCTATCGCGCCCGTACCCACCCCTCTTCTCCGCATATCCCGAGGCGTGCATGCCGAGCGGACGCGAGCGTTGGCGTGAAGAGTCAGCACATATCGCTCAGAGCCTGGTCATGCTGCAGACACGCTGTCTCTCCGGGTCTTGTCCTCAGGGCCCACCCAGTCAAATGTGACGCCAGCCTCGGATGCGATCGTGGTCCAGCACCTCAACACGCGTCTGCTATGTCAACGGTGGCGTTCTTGTCCCGTTTTTGTCTGCCGTGCATACCAGGTGGAGAATGCCGCAGAATCAGGCCTTGTCGTATCCACCGAGCCCCTAAATAAGCAGTAGATCCTATTGTTGTCTTTGCAAATACAATCACACTGGTCTTGGCCGCCTTGTGCAGCGGATCATCGTTCTCCATGCCGCTAATCGACCACACTCGACCGCTAAGTGAATAGGTATAAAGTTTGTTTGTGGCCCCCACCCCCGCCTTCACTCTGTTTACCGAACGACGTGTGGACTCTCACCGTGCCTCTGCCATGCCTACCGCGAATCTTGTGACGGAGTTTGCCCTACCTTCAGGCTGCTTGTGACTGATGATGGAGGAGAACGAAACCTGCCCGAAAGCTTCTTTGGTTCCCTCGCTTACGTTTTGGCCTGGTATCACGGATCCAAACATGCACTTATAGCTTTATTAATAAACCAACCCCTCCTACCCCCTCACAGAGTCTCTAAGGGTCCTTGAACACGTAGCAGGGCTTCCGTGGACCCGCCCTGCCCGCAATGCGGCATGTTCATACTTAATTCATCTGCGCGGGCCCCTCACAATCTCGCGATCTGTCAATGATTAGAAGCTCGCGTTCTTGCGATCGCTGTCCATATCTCGGACCTGATGGGGCCCTGGCCTACGACGTCAGGTCTAACCTTCCAAATTTGTTCCCATCCCAACGGATCCGTATTCTTTCCACCCAAATGTACTTTCAACTTGGTGCCCTTGACAAGAGACATCTTACACCCATCAGTCACCCTTGGCCCATGACCCATGGTTATGGGCAAAATTCGGTGCGCTGTTGGGGCCGAACCCGTGATTGACAGCTGAAGCTAGTAACCCCAGTGACAGCATATCTCGATATCTTTGGCACTTCTGACCCGTTATGTCATCCCTTGAGTTTGTTCACCATCCCAGGACTCCAACGTTGCGAATATTCAGTATCAGAGAGCCTCAGATGCAAACGGATGACCGTCCCAGTCAGACTGAGGTCCGCGACATCGCACGGCCGTATCGCTCCGAGGCCGCAGATGCGTATCAGATATTCGTCAGACATTGGCCTCGTGTTGTGGTGCGTAACCGCGCCTCCGCATGCCGCCACAAGAATACGAAGACACCGCTGTGGCTGCGCAGATCGACCGCAGGCCGCTTCTCCCTACCTTGGTCGTCGAGCGCAGAGCGCAGCGCGCAGTGAGCTAGCCTGCTTATAAGGACCATCGCTCGACTAGCGACGCAAAACCTCATACCGCCGCCCTTTGGTCTCAAGCAATTGCAATTGCCATTGCTGACGAGCAGCTCCTATCGCCACGTTCTATCCATGCTCCGCCCGGCGCGCCCCCTGTGCGCTTCGTCAATCCACTTAGTAATTTCACCGCTGCATTCGTCTAAATTTACGCTTCCACTGCATACTGATCCTACTAGCTGTGGCAGATGCCCTTGGCACTGCACGGCTGGGCCTCCACCGCATGCGCACAGGCGGGGATGTATAATCCGTGACAGATCGCGTACTGTCTAACGGCTGCACAGCCTCATACCTGATAAGCGACCTCCCATCAGCGTCGAAGCTGTTGACGGTATGTCGTCAATTTTGCTCTAATTCAGCCGAGTCACTCTTCGCGATACTCGGAGAATTGCATAGGTGCATTCCTATTGTGGCTGAGCTCTCCATACCCTTGGTGTGTAACCAAATACACGCCTTTGGCGGGCAGGTCATTGCCTGCAGGCCTGCTTCTTTTTGGGTGGGCATTTAATAATAACACAGTGATATACTAGGTACTAGGACCCTGACGTGCAAGAGGAAAAAACACCCGCAGAAGACCTCGAGACCCTGGTCTTTGTCACACGCTGCTTTGCAGGCCCGCAAGAGGACAGTCGTGTCATTATCAAGTGGTGTTGTTATTCTCTTCAAAGATCTACCGAGGTGAGTCACTTCATCACTTCTTCCAACTGTTCCGTCCGATGCGTCCGCTATTCTCGCAGCTGAGCACAGCGCCGCTTCCGGGCCCAAGGAGCGAGGAAACAATGTAGGTGGTGGTTTGCAGCCAAGCTACCCGGTGGAACTTATTGAAGGGAAGGCTTCTCTATTGGCGTGTGAGGCGCAAATAACATGCCGCTTACGCATGTATATCGGCGCGTGGCGCGCGGCGCCCCGCCTTCACAAATATGTCAGGCCGGGTACCGTCACATCTGAACCATCGGACAACAGCATCCGTGCTGAGTTGCTACCGGGAGGTGTGAACTAGGAGGATGGAATTTCATTTCCGTCCCACTGTTCTTACCCCTCGGATCTTTCCCCTCATTGTTCCAACGACGGTGCCAACAGGTTGTCGCCACCTGTGTGAAGGATGGTGCCTGACTCCACGGACGCTGTTACACCGCGTTGTACCCGCTACATCTGCTTATCTGGATCACGGCCGCGATATATACCAATTTTGCTCACTGGAAACCTACTCGTAACATGCGATCCTTCTCAAAATGTTTGGGCCAACAAGGAAGGTTTGTCTTAGGAGACGTCTCCACTTGCCGGCTGGCAGGAGCGTGACGGATGGACGGGTCTGATTCCCTGAGTTTGAAAGTCTGCATATCCTCCAATGATGTGGACAGAAAACCTATGAACGCCATGCAGGATCCTCAGGCTCTCTACATAATCTCATTATCGTGAGGCGATAACACCTTTTCCTGGTCTTTGTCATGAAATGTCGCTCGGTTGAGATGATTGTATCTCGGGCACCTGCAGGCAGCGGGTACATATATATATGTTGGGATATCCTATCCTTGCGAAAAAAAGGCACGTTCTAGAATCATATCAATTTGCAACACCCTTCGCTAGAACATGTAAGATTGAAATGCGTACGAGCTGAGAGTACTTTCAATGATTATATCCAGCAGGCTGAGGCAAAGTTCGAGGCTTTGATTGACGTCATAGTATACAGCTACAAGTAATATAATTCAGTGCCCGCCTAGCTCAATCGGATAGAGCGTCAGACTCTTACTAAGCGGGTGTATCTGAAGGCTGCGAGTTCGACCCTCGCGGTGGGCTAGTGTTTTTGGTTTTGTTGCGGTTTCAAGCTGTTGTCATGGTCCAGACTCTACGCTCGTCATTCTTGCAGCCAGGAGACCACTACAACGCCTGCAATCTAGCCAGGCGTCCCAAAATTTGCGTGTTGCAACCTGCGAATACCTCAATCATGCAGCGGGAGTCATCAATAGGCATGGCATCGTTAGCAGGAACTCTGACGATCGGACCAAACGCCAGGACATATTCTCATTACATGGGCAGCTTAGGCCTAAACATCGACGATATAATTGAATGACACGGCAGTCACATAACTTACAGTGAAACCAAATCCAACATGCACAGAGCGGCGATAAACTGGATAACACATTGCGTAGATGTACAAACGTCGGAAGCATATCAAACGCCAACACTGCATTATGATGGTTAGCATCTGTCTCTGACTCGATTGATGCGCAATCACTCACCGGTGCACAACCTTATTCTGTAGCAGGATCACGATGTCCGATCAGCACGCTATACTTACATGACAGCACTGAGAACATACCTGTCCGGAGAACCTGATGATCTCCCTCTTCTCCAGAACGAACAAGGTTCGCTCTAAAGCGTGGCTCGAATATCCCTGTTGCGTAACAAACTCTCGCACCAGACTTTGATAACTCGTGCTCCATCCTATGGGGAGTCTCCGTCGAACCTCCTTTTCAATCTTGTTTATCTCGTCGTTCAATTCACCGCGAGAAAGGCCGTCAGCAGATCCGGCGGAGACTGCATCCATGGTCGAGCACTTGAATAGCCGGATGGCCTCTTCGACATGGTGGTTACGCACGACTGGCGAGAGCGTGAGCTTTGCAAGCGACTCGGAAATACGAATGATGGCCTCTAGTTGCCTACGAGCCCACCAGCAGTTCAGTGATGACGTCTGTCAGAACCCAGTCCGAACTGACCGAATAGTGATGGGGATGGAGCTTCTCTCATCGTTGTCTCGCTCGACCTGTTGCACCTGTTTCCGTAATGAAACAAAGTGACTGCTCAGCATCTCCTGGGCCTCTGGTGATAGCCGCGGAGCGCATTTCCTACTCCATAAGTCAAACACTACCCTCATAGTTGTATTGAAGGGAGACTCACGCCTTGCAATAAGCGATGTACCGCTTCATCTTGTCAATGTCAATCTCGCCCACCGCCTCTCCGTTCTCGTCAGCGTTTTGATTGGGTCGGTTCATGTGAATGTTCATAACATGTTTCGCAATCATCTGAAGGCAGAATCTCAGCGCCAGCCCTAACTGAGATAGGTACCAAGTACGTACTCGGTCACGTTGCTCGTTATGCTCGTCCTTCACGATGAATATCATGTCGAATCGAGACAAAATAGTCGTCTGGAAATCAATGTTCTGTTCTGTACTATGAGCCTGGGATGTTCCCATTCGATGCCTGGAAACACACCTCGCCAGGACTACGGCCTTCGTCATATCGCCCCCACACGGGGTTGGCTGCGGCGAGAACACTTGTTCGAGAGTTCAACACGGTCGTGATACCAGCCTTAGCTATGGAAATAGTTTGTTGCTCCATTGCCTCGTGAATGGCCACACGGTCCTCATCACGCATCTTGTCGAACTCGTCGATACACACAACTCCTGTATCTGCAAGGACCATAGCACCGCCTTCAAGATAGAATTCGCGCTATGGTATCACCACCGTCAAGTCAAGATGTGTTCCGACCAAGTATAAAGAGCGTGCTTTACCGATACTGCATCGCGCTGAACAGATGCTGTCAAACCAGCCGCACTGGAACCTTTGCCTGAGGTATACACTGCGATTGGTGCAACCTACAGCACAGTGAGAGTGAGGTATTACGGGATGAATCGCGGTGCAAACCTTCTCAACGAACTTCAGCAACTGACTTTTGGCAGTACCAGGATCTCCAAGTAGGAGCACATTGATGTCCCCACGCAACCGCATCCCATCTGGTAAAATCTTCTTTGACCCGCCAAACAAGAGACAAGTTATCGCCTTCTTAATGTCTGCGAGATCGTATCAGCAACAACACTGCATTTCAATGTAGAGGTGAGGGCGCGCACCTAGACTCCCAAAAATACTAGGGGCAACACTTTTCGCGAAACGTTCATAGAAGCCATCGCTTCTTGCCATATCGCCGAATTCCTCCTCTTCCTCAGGAGAAAATTGTAGGCCGAACGGATTTGAGCCGCTCGATCCCGACGCAGCTGGAGATGACACTTCCAGGTGCACAAGACGAAGGTAGGGATTTCGCAGCGCTGCAGCACCTCCCGACTTCTATGGGAACGGGCTAATCGTGAGATAATGGAACGAGGTCGGACAAATACAAGTCTCACTGATTTGGCAGATTGGAAGGTGGAGTAAATGCCCGTCGCAATTACTCGAGACCCTGGAACAACTTGACCGGTCAAATACCTGTCTGCTGAGAGCAACATGTGTCTCGGTAGCTCTCCCACTGGTACCATATCTGGTGCCTCCTGAAGTTTTAGCGTCTGATGATCTGAGAATGTCGACTTGGAGTGAACGATGAGGTAAGGATCCATAGGACAGTCTTTCTTTTGGTTCTCAATTTCTGGCGCATCACACCTCCGAGGCAAACCCCTATCCGATCCACCACCCAGTCCGCCTAGTCCACTTGGCGGGTATACGATTTTGGGCGAGCGACATGCACGGCATTGGAGGTGAAGCTTCGTTGCGCGCGCAGAGAGGACAGAAGCCGAGATGACGATGCCCGGTATTCGAACGAGCCTATTCATGGTATTCGCTGAGAGGTCACGGAATTGCTGAAGATTCAGACCAGCTTTCATAAGGATCTGAATGTTCGGGATGGTCTGAGAAGCAGAGTCGGCATCGTCGTTTTGGCCATTAGCAAGAGGGAAAAGGATGGTACGAGCTGCTCTTGTTGCAGCATTCTCAAACTGACAGATGGTAATAAGTACATGCGTATGTCATGGATTCAGGTACGGAAACGTACTAAAGGTAGAATCTCGGCGGGTTTATCCTGGATGGCATGAGCCAGTTCATCGTTGTACAGCCCAATGTGGCGGAGATCGACCTCCAACTGATAATGCTTTAGAAGAAGATTCGCGCGTAACTTCTCCCTGAAGAGACATATGTGCATAAGGGATTGCATCTGGATAACTGCAATGACGCGTACCTGTAGATGAATTCGCCTCCAACGCGATACTGGAGCAAGAAGTCGAGCAGTAGCCTTTCGGTTTGAGAAGGTGATTCAGGACCAGTCGGCTCCGGTACATCATGCACGGAGACTGAATACACACGATCCGCATCGAACCCGGACATGATTGCTCTTAAAAAAACGAGCCGGAGAATGAGGAAAGACGCGACCTCAATGAAACGCGGTCGTTATGAGGTTTAGGGCTGGTCGCTTCGCGTCGAGGCAGGCACAAGGGTTGAGATTATATATAGCTCTATAGCTTTATAGCTATTTTAGCAAGTCCCGTTTAGCTCAGTTGGTAGAGCGCGTCACTAGTACTGTAAGGTATGACGAGGTCAGTCGTTCGAGTCGGCTAATGGGAATGTTTTTGCCATTATACTGCTTCCTACTGAACGTGAACTTTGAGTGGCGCAGCTTCATTGCCTTGCGTCTCTTTCCTTGGGTGACTTTCAGACTTCTCCCTTGACTACTCCCCGTCATCATGAGTGCAATGGACACTGATGAGCTTCCCGTCGTCCTCCCGCCTACGCATACCTCTGGTCTTTCGCTATCTCTGTGTGTAACCTCTCAGCATACGTATGGCATTGAAGTGACCATTCACCAGCCATCCCCTGCCCATCTTGAACATCTCTGAGCATCTGACGCGTCTGAGACTGCAGACAAACTCCAGCCTACCGTTTGGTATGCTCAGCTTTCGTTGTTGTCTCGGACAAGGCTCACGCCATGTGTAGCACTTGGAGCTCTGCTTGGTACTCAGAACGGACGCGAGGTTGAAATTGTCAACACATTTGAACTAGCAGTGGGTGAAGATGGTGCCACAGTCGACCAGGCATTTCTGATAGACCGCAAAGAACAATGTGCGTCGTCATGTTGACCCGGGAAACGCACCTTGCCTGATCGTCTGCGAACAGACAAACAGGTATTTCCCTCGCTCGAATTCATCGGGTGGTATACCGTAGCATCGCGGCCCACAGCACAGCATATCGCTCTCCATGAACAAGTACGCCACGTTTGAAGGTGTCCAGACACTTCCAAGAACTTATCTCTCCGTTGAACCCCATGTAGTTTACAGCATATAGCTCCACACCACTCTTGCTTCTCCTACAGCCATCGACTGTATTTGCCGCCTCTTCAGACTTGACTGCGCAAACACTTCCTATCAAGGCCTATGAGCCTACCATCGAGATACGCGACCGCAAAACCCGGTCAGTCTTCATTGAGGCGCCTTTCACGGTGGAGACAGGTGAGGCGGAACGTATCGCGGTAGATTGGGCAGCAAAGGGTGGCGAGGGAGACAACAGTTGTAAGTGGGCTCAATGCTTCACAACATCCCCTGATTGCATGCATCTCTCGCAGTGGAGTCGCATTTGAATTCACAGCGAGCTGCTGTTAAGATGCTGCATGACAGAATCATGCTGCTTGCGAAATATGTCACCGATGTACTAGCAGGTCTGTGAACTACTCCGACAATACGTTTGTATCTCAACCACATGACACATTTTAGATCAGGCCGTGAAAGATCATGCAACGCTGCGCTCCATTTCTGCTCTCATCGCGTCACTACCAGCCAGTGAGCACAGAGACTTCCGAGACGAGTTCGATACCGTACGTGTGCATGGTGTGTCGACTTTCACCCTGGACTCATCGGTCTGCAATAGGAATATGAGGATGTCCAATTGACTGCATACCTCGCCACGCTCACCAAGTCTGCGAGCGTTCTCAACGATGTAGGTCTTTTCTATCGGATGGGGTGGCCACGGATAGACTGACCATTTGGCAGCTGGTCGACAAGCATCTTGTGCTTACCGCAACACGCGAGGATCGTGGTCCCAGTGCTCCTCGGAGGCGCGGCATGGGCGGCATGGGTATGGGCATGGGTATGATGAGTATGGGCGTGATGGGCATGATGGGGAGACACGGAGATTGGGACCGCTTCCACTGAGCGTGTCCAGCGTCCTGGACTACAAATTCTCCCTCGTCCCTGTCCCGTCCATTCGGAGTGTCTTACGGAACATCAATTCGCTGTGCATCGCTGTATTCCTGTATCTGCATTCCCAATACTTGCTGTAGTACTAGATAACGTCCCCCACTACGGTGTGTCAACAAGTTGCGGCGGATGCCTAGAGCATTGCGAAAGCTTACAGCTAGTGCCACCAGTGAGTTCCTCTTTATTTAATCCTATCATGCACAACACTGTGATTTCAGAAGGATTACTTCTCCGCAAGACGCTATACCGTAATATGTACCATACGAAAAAAGCTACGCTAATCTATGAACACTGCGCAGATGAAGAACGCGACGACTATCGGCAGGCAACCGAAGCCTGAGATATCTGAACAACTTGACCTAGCTGGTACACGAGAAAACGAGAACGATATGGAGATGTATGCTGATCCATGACAACAAATGGAGGGGGTCAATGCAGTAAGTGAACAACCGGATGCGAATGGAAGGATCGTAGATGCGTGCGGCGAATAGGAAGAGAAGGACGCTGAGGGTATTTTCCGCACCCTCTGTTAACGACGCACGGATGCAGAAGGGTAGATGTTGATGTAAGATCCGAATCAAAGACCAGTAGGTGGTGCCTGGTGCAATGGCGTATGGCGGTTGTCGGCAGCTGTTGATAAGTCGGTCAGTTAGTCAAGATGGAGTCACCAATAGACATGGGACATACTGTTTTGCCAGACGTTATTACCCCACCAATTGACACTAATACCACCCTTGGGGAACTAATGACGCGTTGAGTCTCAGAGGTGATACAGACTTGGTGCGAACACTCACCTCCAGGGTAAAAAATATGACAAGCAATGAGATAACAGTTCCTGAAGTAGCGAGTAGAACATCAGTTATCGCATGTTGATATTAAATGATAAGACATACCGCTATCCAGCGCTGCGCTCGTCACATAATTGAATTTGCTCCACCACGCGAAACTTCGCCGCCGAATGACATACTGGAAAATGAATCCCATCAGGAACCACGATGAGTAGTTAATACCCGTGGCTGGCGGGATGGACGAGATGCTCGTCAGGACAAGAGGTGTGTTGATGTAACGTATCCACGAGGTAGGGTAGCGCCGCTGCCAAATCCATAATGGAATTGGGAGGAATGCACCGAAGAGTAGCGCGTAGACCTCCGGATAGTACATGGACCCGCGGCCGAGCTGGCGACTGGGCCCGATGACCCCCCTACGCGCAGAGTGCGTGAGCAAGTAGACTACAGCGGATGAATGTGAAGAACACCGCACCATAATACCGACGCCTGGTAGAAGACCTCGTTGTGAGGACATGTCAGATTGTACTTCTGAGTAGGCGAGCAGATGTCTGGCACGGCGTTGAACAGCCACTGCTGCATGCCAACTTGGATGAACGCCACCACGAGAGTCGAAGTGAATTGTACTGCCAATACGCGAGGTCAGCTGCACAATAGAGGTGCAAGGACGATTTTACGCACCAAGGAATGTGGCCCGCGGCGGCACCTTGATATAATGTCCGAGCTTCTGGTCTTGAATGAAGCGCAATCCCTCCGCCAGCGTTTGTAAAGAATATGACTTGAAGATCTGCGAATCGCATTTACATCATTCTGCTTCCAATCCTTGCGCTGAGACATAGACTCACCATGTTGGGGATCGGCTGTCCAGGCAAAATGGTTCCCGGAAGTATCTCGACGATTATATTGATGGACACCTGCATACAGCCGGTGAGACGGGCATCGCGACATATTAACATGGGGCGTACCACTTGGCTAGTGACCGCGAAGATATATCCAGACGGAAGGATGTATATCATTGGGATCAGTAGAGCAATGAGGAGGAACCAGACGGGAGCGCCTGTTTTCCAGACCTACACCAACACTTATTAGGGATTGCATGATGGTACACTCCAATGCCATGCGCTCACCTCGACGGCGACGATCGCAAGCGCAAAAAAGCCCACAAACATCACCGAGTACCACCACAGCGGCACTTCGGGGTACGCCGCCATCAGTTTCGCATGGATGTCGTCCTTCTCGACTTTCATCCGATGCACGCTGCCCACAATCGTGCGCCAGTGGAAGAGGGCCGTATGCACCAGGACACACGAAGTGAGTGCGAAAGCCATGAGGTAAGTCATCGCCCACGATGCAGGCAGGTATAGCGGGGAGTAGTTGTTATATGCGTTCAGATCAAAGTCGCCCTTGCTGTCAAGCACCTTGCTAACGTTGTATGCGTTCCCAAAGCGATCGTACAGGTCGTCCGAGAGCATGGGAAAGTACGCCAGATCCCAGACCTGCGCATATGTGTCATAATTTTGCAATGGACAAAGGAGTTTCTTCACGTACATTCGAGTAGTACAGGGCTGGGGTGATGATCCAGAAGAAAATAACGAAACCAGCAAATACCTGGACCTGTGCCCACCATGGCACCATGAGCGGGCCTGAGATCCAACTGATTTGCGTCCAATCGAAGGTCAGGAAGCTCAGTCCCAGTCCTGACTCCATACCAAAGATCTGATTGACGGGTATATTATTCGGTGCAATCCAGCATACCCAAGAGAAGACCGACAACGCCGTAAAGAGGTATCCTGCGTATCGAGCAGCGCTTAGCACGAGTGAATGGGATGGTTAGCAGATACGTACCTGGCAATAGATACCAAAAGAATGCCGCGACGCCCACGTAGATGAGGTATCTGAACCTAGAGATACCCCCACGGGGCTCATCCTCCTCCGCGTGCAGTGTGTTGAGCAACGTGCACACAATCAGGTTTTGCGGCCAAATCATGCTCGCCGGCCAGACCAAGAGTCGTTTGCACAGACCCGCGAGCCCAAAGCCCGTCAATTGCGTCGCGAGAATGAGGACTGCATTGAACCAATAGCCGAGCTTCAGCCCATAGTTAACGTCGATCGCGATGGTCGCTTGTATAGCGTATGGCGGAGTCGTCGCAACATTCGCCATCATGTACACAAGAGCGTGCTCCTTTATGTTCCACGGGCCAGGGTTCAGGGAGAACTCGTATCCGCCTAGCCAGCGCGGAAGGCGGTATGTGCGTATTGGAAGCCAGTATGCCAAAAACTTGCCGAGGGGATGACATGCGAGGACAATCAACGTTGTGCTGATCGTCGGCGCGGGTTGGCGCATGTAGAAGAACATGTTCGCCGCGCTTAACAGATGTAAGGTGCGCCTACAAGGGAATGACACTGACCGACACTTACGCTGAGACGAAAGTGAGCAGCAAGCCCAAAACCCACATCCGCAGGGTCAGCGCAGGCATCTCGGGGTCGTCAATATTCGACACCGACGCGCGAACCTCCGGAAAGGGGCTGTCCTCTTCCTCCGCTAAATCATCAAAGTCATACTCCATTCTGAATGATCGTGAGTAGACGAGACATCAAGACGCTACGGCAACGCACTTCACAGAGCCTTCTGGTGTTTCGAGCTCCACCATGCTTGAAAAGCTGGCAGAGCCTGGAGTCGAAGGCAACGTTTTTAGCTTTGGCTTGGTCGAAGACTCGCGGTATTTCTCCTTCGCATCGGTGAGCGATATGCGAGCCCCCTTCGTGTGGACGGAAGAGCTCAGCCCCGTGAGAGGCGAGCTTGTGGGCCGACTCAAACGGCGCATCCGATAAGGGTCGCCATCGTGCGACTGCGAGTCCGTGGATGGCGGCGTCTCGACGGGGCTAAGGGGGTAGGGATGCCGGGGGTGTAGACTTGAAGGTCCTGGGACAGGCCCCACTCGGTCTCGCGCATGCAAATCGAAGGCGGGCGGGGGGAAGGATATTGGGGAGGCTGCGGTGAGCGGCGAGCCGAGTACTGGGGACGCGAGAGTAACCGTATTGGACAGCGGAGCCTGGGAGTACTGCTGCAGCGGTGGGAACTCGTGCTGTGCGGCAGCCTGAGCAGTAGAGGGCGGGCCAAAGGCAAAGACGTCCTCTGCCTCGGACTCTTCGTCTTCATCTTCGATGGTATACTCCTGGGAGTAGGAATATTGAGCATCGCGGTCAACATATGCGCCGGAGGTGGACGGGCGGGCAGTCCAGGGTCGGGCTGCGGGCTGTGGGCTGCCTGCCGAGCTCGGTGGGCGGGGCGCCATGGGCGCAAGGGCGGGCGAGGGCGGGGAGTTGAAGAGATATCGCGGAATGGGGGAGGGAGAAGAGGAGGCTGGGTATGGGAGATGGCATACAGCAGCGCAGACGCCGACCCCAGGCACACATCACTCTCCTTATCCCAGCCTGTACCTGACCCTCTTCCTTCCGTTTTCGGCGCGTCCTCTGTCGCCGCGTCCTCGCCGCCTCGCAGATGTGGCCTGCGCAATATATTGTGCAGTGCCCGAGCTTATTGCGGGGAGAGCTCTGCGAGTTGGTCACCCCCCTCCAATGCCACAAACTGCGCGCGGCGCTGTGGTACCGGAGATGCCGATCAGGTACCTGTCCAGTGTCCACGCTTTCGATCGCATTTTGGGCCGATAAGTCGTGATAATTTACTCGAAATATCACGCGGTCCCAGAGCTTGCTGGCAGTTGCCAACTCTCTCCCGCATTCAGCTCAGTTCACCGCCAACGGGACTGCAGTCCCCACGAAGTCAGGACTAGCTGGTTACTTCCTGCAGTCGACGGCGATGTCTGACGTTCTCACACTCTCCCCGTCGTCCTTCTTGGCACTCTTCAACCTACGCAGCCTGTACCTCATCACATATGGATGGCTTTTGGGCATGTGTGAGTGTCAGAGAATCTCTGTCCCATCGTGACATCTTTAATTCGTATGACAGCTATCTGGGTCTCGTTCTTTGGCGGTATGTCCACCAATAATATAGCCTCGTCTCCTTAACCGAACATGCCCTCCACAGGCACAATCGCCTTCAGGACCTTGCGTAAGTGTCATTTAGGCCTCCGGAAGCATGCCGCTCACGGCTGCCGCTCGCTGCATCCCCAGCGAGGCATCAGTTCGGAGCGCTTCAGCACCGCACCTTCCCTATCTATTTTTCAATGAGCATCGTCATGTCCTCCGGCCTCCTCGCCCTCTGGGCTCGCGCCCATCCTGCGGTATATGATCACATCTTCCAGCCCGCAGTCGCGGACGTCGCCCAGGCGTATGCCCTGGCGCTTGTTCTCATCTCTCAGGCGGTTAACTACTTTGTTATCGGTCCCTTGACTAGCAAGTGCGTCTTTGTCCCGCATTTTTGTGATCGGTGCCTCAATATGGGGTCTCCAGGACTATGTTCCAGCGCCATAAGCTGGAGAAGGAGGAAGGAAAGGCCTACAACGATCCTGGCGTGCGTGTTATCCCGCTCGGGTCCGCAAAACCTCACTGATTGGGTGCATATACCCGCTCGGCCAGGTGTCTGATGCCATGAAAGCTCTGAACAGCAGGTTCGGCGCGCTTCATGGTGTCAGCTCTCTAGCAAATCTGTCAGCCGTTTTCGCCCTCCTGTTCCATGGGCTGTGGGTCGGCAGCGTTGGCACTGGCATATGACATGCCGAGAATGCCTTTTGTTCTGAGAGGTATCTTCCAATTCCGCTTTCATCCTTGCTGTGAACCGTTGCATGTACACCTGATCTGTTGTTCTACAACTATGCCTGTACTAGCACATCTTACCCACTCCAATCCACAACATCCTACCTCACCATTCAGTGACAGCCTATTTGATGCGTAGGCATTGTGAGCTCAGACCACCGAAGACATACAAGAAAAAGCAATAATACAGATATTGTTGTACAAAGTTCATGCACCAACCGTTTGCATGTCCGGCAAGAATCCCTCTCTGAGACTTCGCTCAAGCCTCCTAATTTCATCGATTGATGTCGCCCGTGCAATCGCTTCCTTCACCTTCTCCGCTTCCTCTTTCGACATAAGCCGCCCTGCCTTTGCAGCGGCGGGCTTCGGCTCGTCTGTCGCGACGGGCGCTTTGGTAGAGTGTACCGAGACCGTCGTAGATAGTGTGGTCGCGAGCTGTGTCGGGAGGTTGTCCGCTGTAAGGAATAGCGTCTTTGCTGACTGCCGTTCCTGTGATCGCGCAAGGAATAAGTTAACAAGTTTGCTCGGGCACTGCGTCCTTCCAAATGACGACCCACCTTATCGCGGATCCGCTGGAAGTCTAGCACTCTGAGTTTTGGTATGCGCCATGCAAGCCATTCGCGATACCATTTCTTTTCCCGCACGGGGTTGCCGAGTAGCGAGAGGTACGTGAGGTTCCTGAGGTCCTTGAGTGGCTCGAGGTCGCCCAGCTCGGTGACGTTGTTGTTAGTCAGCACTAGCGTCGTCAAGTTTGGAACGGAGAGGTGGAGAGAGGGTGAGATGGTCGCTATTCGGTTGTTGGCCAGGAGTAGCGTGCGGATGCGGCGGAGGAGCGGGATGTTGCCCAAGACGATAATTGAGTTATCTGTCAAATCTATAGCATCATGCTGGTCCTGTGTTCCCCCGTCAGCACAACATAAGCACATAGCATAAGCGAAGCACATTTGCCTTTGTGATACCAAGGTTTTCGATGGCAGGAATTTTATAGCCTGTGAGCCGTTTTGTGAGCGCCCGGGACACGAGGGGATGCTACTCACCTCGGAGGTCGAGCTGGCGTTCCTTGACGGGGTTGAGTGTCGAGGGAACAGACTGAATGAGTTCGGGCGTGAGCTTCATGGCGGGGGAGGCACAAGGCAGGCGGACATGCACGGCGTTGGAACGGCGTGTCGAACCAAACCCGAGTGATCGTGACCGTTGACGCGCCTCGTACTTTCACGCTCAAGTTTGAGCCACGCCTCTGCCGCTGCGCTCTCCCTGCCCCACCAGTCCCACCATGAAGCCCCTTCACCAACGCCTCAACTTGTGCGTATCTAGCGCAATGTCTTCTGCGCTGTTACTGACGGCTGCGCCAGGTACACGAACGGCAATGAGACGTACACATTTGTGCCTGCGGAACCGGTCGGCGCTCGCTCGCTAACCATCTACCGCAATTCGGGCGATATTATCCTCAATGGTAGGCCAAATTATAGACAACTCGTCTTCTATGTGCAGCTAATGTCTGATATGTTATAACGATGCTCAGCGCCGAATACGCCGCTCCCCGTCACCGCTGAACGGTCGGGAAAGACAATATATGGCATCTACGGCACAATCTCTCTAGCCCTCTGTGCGTGCGCACCTCAGAGTCCCCTCTGCGTTTAATCTCATTATCCATTGTAGCGGAGTACGTGATAGTGGTGACGGGCAGGGAGCTGCGCGGCCGGCTGATGGGTCAGAACATCTATCGTGCTACCGACTACGACATTCTCCCTCTGAATCCCGATATCTCTGTCACGAATCCCCCACACCCCGTTGAGGCACACTTACTCGCACTCGTGCGCTCGCATTTGGCCGGCGGCTCGTTCTTCTTTAGCTATGCATGGGACCTCACGAGGAGACTGCAAGCGCAGTGGACTGCACTGCATGAAGACAAAGACAAACCGCTCTGGGAGGTTGTAAGTGCGTTTGATATGTGTATCTGTCCTGAAGTACTTAGGCTCTCTCAGGCGGATGACAGGTTCTTTTGGAACAAGTGAGCGTGCTGTGTGTGTCCGCTTACACACTTACCGACTTGTTCATGCAGATATCTGCAGTCTAGATTGATAGACGTCACACTGGGGAATCCAGATCAGAATGTATAGTTCTCCCTTGCATTTTTTGGAAGCTGTCATCTGACGTCCCCTTCAGCTCAGTCCCTACATCCTTCCTGTGATGTACGGAAGTGCGTATTCGTGCCTCCATAAATGCATCTGTATGCTGACATTAGAGACAGCCTTCGATATCCGGGCAGAGCGCGTCAATGGTCAGCACATGAGATTCTGCTTAATCAGTCGTCGCTCCCGGTACAGAGCCGGTACTCGCTACTTTAGGCGTGGGGTCGATCATGAAGGACATGTCGCCAACTTCAACGAAACAGAGCAGATCCTTCTTGTGGGCCCTGACGACACAAGCGTGCAGCTGAGCTTTGTGCAAACCCGCGGCAGTGTCCCTGTCTTCTGGGCAGAAATCAACACACTGCGGTATAAGCCTGACTTGCAGGTCATGGATCTTCAGGAGACGGTAGGCTAAAATATCGTGCACACCACACGCAGATTCTCATAAGAATATGTTAGGTCGATGCAACAAGAAAGCATTTCGAGGAAAACCTGTCCACATATGGTGAACAGAGCTTGGTCAACCTTGTGAATCAGAAAGGACACGAGCAGCCAGTAAAAGAGGCGTACGAACGTTATGTCTCCCAGGTAATACGCGTACTTCTTGGTTTTCACGCCCTCGCTCACTACCTCGCAGCTGGACATGCCCGGCGTGCGGTACGAGTACTTTGACTTCCACAATGAGTGCAAGCATATGCAATGGGACCGCATCGATGTACTGCTGTCGAGGCTAGAAGAGGATCTTAACAGATACGGCTACTTCCACCTCGACGCATCGAAGCCGGAGCCTCTTAGAGTGCAATCAGGCGCTGTACGGACAAACTGTATGGACAACCTCGATCGCACGAACGTTGGACAGTCCGCCATCGCCAAATGGATGCTGAACCGGCAACTGAAGACGCTCGGCATCCTCCACGAGAGCGATGGGATCGACCGCTATGAGGATTTCATGAAGGACTTCCGGGAGAGTATGTATAGTCACACTCTAACATCGAGATATCAGCTGACGACGCGATCCTGTGTCTCTCAGTGTGGACCGACCATGCCAACATGATCTCAATAGCATATAGCGGTACTGGTGCGCTGAAGACTGATTTCACGCGCACCGGAGAGCGTACGCGAAAGGGTCTGCTTGAAGACGGATACAATTCTGTGATGCGATATCTGAAGAACAACTTCTTCGACGGAGCGCGGCAGGTATGTGTCTGTCAGTGTCACCCGAGGTCAATAGCTGATCCCTAGTAGGACGCCTTTGACTTGATGACTGGTGTGTTCATCCCTCGAAGAGGATGGGCACCAACCACGTTGATCAGAGACAACCGACCTCTCATTATCCGTGCCGTAAGTCCACTTTCGGGTATTATTCGCTTATTCTCACCAATAGCCAGGTCCCACATGTTTTGTGGTTCTCATTGTTCATGATATTTGCTGGGCTGACACTACCGCGTTCATCCGGTATGTATGGCGCTTTAGCGACTCATCGACCGTGACTAACCTGTCCGCCAGACTACTCCCTGACCTTCTACTTCCTCCTCTGGTTCACCGTTGCCACATTATCACTCATCTTCATATTCGCGCACGGCGTCGAATACGTTAGCTGGCCACGCCTCGTGCCTCTCACAGACATCATCTACTATAGCGGCCCCGGCTTCCGGTCCGGCAACAGGGGCAAAGGCTTTGGCATACCCGCGCTGCAGATCGACAAGCTCAAGGAGGGCGCTGGAGCTCGAGCGCGCAGACTGGCCGAGGGTCACCGGCGCGTCAAGAGCAAGCTCGTGGAGGTCGAGATGGGGACGAAGGAGAGGATGGACTAACATGAGAGGACGATGGTGCTCGACATGCCTTCCTCCCCTCATTGTGTATGCGTTTCTCGCTTACGAGCTATTTAATTTATGTGGATATGTTGTCCGAGGGAGTTCAGTCAGACTCAGGGCGCCGTAGCGCCAAGGCGTGCCTAATGCGGCTTCGCGGGATCGTCTCGACGTCCGTGCATTGATCGGACACACCGAGACTCTTAATGTCACTCCAGCTAGTATCTTTGGGATTGCTAGGGCCAGGTATGGTTGCGCCGGGGCGCATCGTAGTCGTGATGACGACGCGGACATCACTTCCATACAATTTACAAACGCCAACGCTCAGGCAGGTCGATATTACTTGTCCAGCAAGCTCAATTCCAAAGCCCGGCAATCTGTCATGAAAAATTGCAGGCTGCACGAGAGAACAATCATCCGGCATGCATGCCGGCAAGCGTGAGGCCCGAGGGGAGGATCGATCGGAAGCATCGAGGTGCTGGAGATTGCATACAGACCAAGATACTTATTATGATTCTTTAAATGCGCTAGTTCTTGTGGCCCTTCCCGTCTGAAGAACGTAGACGATGAACGCAGAGGAAACAAAGCACATAATCGCATGGGCAATTTTGGCGCCACAGTTGCCACAGCGGGGTTTTGTCGGAGCAGGAAAGTGGCAGTGGCGGTAAATTTGCACGGGAGCAGAAGCGTGCAACCTGTTCAACTCTGCGCTACCTGTCCTCATCGGTTCCCATATACACGCCAGCATGAGCAGCAAAGGAGTGAAACGTGCATCCCCCGGCGCAATGGAGGCTAAGAACCCGCTTGCGGACGTCGAGCTCACCGATGAAGATGCCATCAAGCTGCAGGGCATCCAGAAAGACATCGCGCGCGCCGATTTGATTGTCGGTACGCGTCACACACTTCTGCAGCAGCCTTCCGCAATGCGCTGACGCTCTCATGTTTTCCTATTCGCAGAGAGGTTGGCTCAGCAGAAGATGAAGCCCGTATACGAGAAACGCCGCGCGATTGCGAAAGGCATCAAGAAGTTTTGGCCCGTTGCGCTCATGAACCACCCCATCCTAGCAATGCATGCGCAGCACAATGCCGACCAGGTCGCGTTGAGCTATCTTGAGGATCTGTGGCTGGTGCGGGATGAAACGGAGAGCCGGACGTTCACTTTGGAATTCGTGAGTTGGTTTATCACGTCGTCACCGTATGTCGATGGATGCGCTGACAGCACAACATGAACAGTATTTCAAGGAGAATCCGTATTTCTCCAACTCTGTGCTACGAAAGGAATTCCGCTACGTGCCGCCCCCCAATGCCGGGAAAGAAACGCCAGACGCAGACGGCATCACGCCCACAATGTTGGACTTCTCATGGGACCGTGATGTGCAGCCACAGGTAGAATCAACATGCCGAGCTAGAAGACGGCGGTGTCTAATACCTTGTCTTATGAATTACAGGCGTGCAAGGTTGAGTGGAAAGACGAGGCCAGGAATTTGACGAAGCTCCACCCCCGTGTTCTTGACGACGATGGTGACGACATCCCCGCTGAGGGCGGCAGTTTCTTCAATTTCTTCGAAATGGGCTCTGATCCGTTTGAGGTAAGATTTAGCCTGTGACCTGCATGGTACTCCAAATGACGCTGCGCATGGGGGCAGGTCGGCGTCATCATTGCCAATGACATTTTCCCCGAGGCTGTTGACTACTTCCTGGGCCAGGCGGGCCACGATGACATCGACGAGGATGAGGATGAAGATTCTGAGGATGACGAGAACGAGGAGGAGATTGACCTGGAGAAGCCGCGCCCGAAGAAGCAGAAGCAGGCGTAAGGCAGGGTTGCTCGCTACCAGACGCGTGCCCCAGTCGCCGGCGGTGATGCGAGGATGGGACCGGACATGCGGTCTGGTGAGGGGTAGCGCACCCTAAAAACGCCGGAAATGACGCGGAGCGTTGCATGGCAGCGAGCGCTATTCGCGGCAAACAGTGTACGGCAGGCTATCGATGGCTATAAATACACCTCGGCTCTGTTTTGGAGACACGCGGTTGGCTTGATAAGAATAGAGTTTCTAAGTATAGGTGCGTGATTGATTGTGACGGAGCGAGGATGCGGGCCATTGGCTGGGTCGCCCCAGCGCGCTATTCTTAGCTCCGGGAAGCAGTGGCGGAGCCGGATTGTGTGCGCCTTTATTGGTATGTGTCGTCCAATTTGGTTGTTGGATCTGTTCAACGCCGCAGCGCGTATAAATACATAGGTGCGCTGTCAGTCCCCCCTCCTCGTGTCTTCATTTCTTGTTTTGCTCTCTCTGTCGTCCTGGGCGGCACTCAAACCCTTGCGCTCCTTAAGTCTGACGTTGTACGACCTCTCCTCCGGTCATGAAGTATTCTGCGCTCGCCGCCTTCGCCGTCCCCGCCCTCGCCTCTGCCCATGGCATGAACGGTGTTCAACACCATGCGCGACTGGCCACCACCACCGACTCCGCAGGCGTCGCCGATAATTCCGCCGCCGACTCTGTTGCAGGCGCTGGGGCAACCGGAACTGCTACGACCACCCTTCCTACTGCCCTCACTTTTTCTATGATCTCTGTCAACCCGACGGCGCTTCCGCTGTCTGACATTGTCACCGGTACAGCCCAGCTTCAGTCTACCATTCCCATCTCTTCAACCTACGCCGCTGGCGCTAAGCCAACCCAGATACCCAATGCCCCAGGAATTGCTGCTGGTAACTCATGACGATTTAAATTTTTGTCGGTATTAAAGCGGCTCTATTTTCAGCCATGTCGTTGAACCCCAAGGACTATCCCGCCCTTGATTTAACTCCCCCGACAGACTCACCGGAGGTGCAAGAGTGGATAAAGCAGGTTATGAACTCTGGCATAACTATACCCGATATACCACCGACCAACGAAGGCGGATGCGCAAACAACACGGCGGCGCTTGCGAATGCGACGACGAATTGTTGGTGGACGTGTGGTGGCTGCACGCGCTCCACGGACATCAGCAACTGCCCGACACCGAACTCATGGGGCGTCTCATATGATGACGGCCCGTCGCCGTACACGCCGAACCTGTTGCAGTACTTTGACCAGCAGGACATCCGCGCAACGATGTTTGTTGTCGGCTCGCGTGTCATTTCCCGCCCCGCGATGCTGCAGGATGAGTACATGATGGGCAACCAGATCGCTGTCCATACATGGAGCCATCCGATGATGACCACGAGGACTACCGAACAGATCATCGCTGAGCTCGGATGGACGAAGAAGGTCATCCACGACGCCATCGGTGTCACGCCTATTTACTGGCGCCCTCCCTACGGTGACATCGATGACCGTGTCCGCGCAATCTCCATGGCCATGGACCTGACCCCCATCATGTGGACGCGTATTTCGGCTACGATGGACTTTGATACGAATGGTTTGTTCTCAGAAATTTTACAGTTTGTCCCTTTTTATTGCTGACTGACAAATTTTGTCGACAGATTGGAGCATGCCTGGCGGCACCCAAAACGTGTACAGCGTGCTGAACAAGTGGGACGAGATCATGGGCAACTCAACCAAGATTGACACCGGCTTCATTGTTCTGGAGCACGATTTGTTCGAGCAGACCGTTGACGTCGCTACTGGTTACATTCTACCGCAGGCACTTGCTCACGAGCCGAAGTACAACATGACGCCCATCATCGAGTGCCTGAACATGCCCTTGTCGAACTCGTACCTGGAGACGAATGACAACTCGACAAATCCTCTGCCTCTTTGTGAGCTACACATGTATCAGATTCTGCTTGCAACTAAATTTTTCTTCTCGAAGCTCTTGCGCTAGCGAACAAGACGAGCTCATCCGGGTCTGCATCAGGTTCCGCCGGCAGCGCCAGTGCAAGTGGCACAAGTGGCAGCACCACAGGGTCCGAAAAGAGTGGTGCTCTGTCCTCTTTTGTCGCCAGCCCGGCGCTTGTCAACGCTGCTGTCGGTTTCCTTGCCGGAATGGGCGCAATTTTGCTTTAAGCACGTCGCCCGGCGCGGTGGGTGGAATCCCTCATGCAGGCCTTTTGTGAACCTTCCCGCTTCGAAGACACTGCCTATCATCGAAGAAGCGTACATGCCTTGGCGTCCCCACATTTATTCATAGACGTGCACGCTTCTCGCATTGCATCTTCCGGATTGGTACATTCGCATTTCTGCCAAGCATTCCACCGCAATACGGTGCCTTTTAGCTTAATGTCTAGCGGACTACACTTAACCTAGTTTCATAATCGTACATGATGTTTGGCTTGGCGTGTTGTGGGTCCTTGTTTGATTTGTTCGTTCGAAGGTACGCGTGTTCTATCACCCCTTCTCATGCCCAGACCTTCTACAGCCGTTACTCGGCTTGCATCATCCTCGTTCCGCGGAATGCCCCTCGTTGTACGCATCATCCTCACTCATACATTTATACCCACTGACGCAGTGTCACACTTTATATATACCAGACTTCGAATTCATGTAAGGTACTCTGGAGCTCGCAAGTAGATCCATTACGATTGGCGAAAGAACCAAATGAGGGAGTCTCGCTAGGAAGAATGCGTTCCTGCGAGTCGTTACACGTCTTGCCCCTGGACAGCGCAGAAAGATCAAGGGCATGCCGACAAGCGCAACGGCTCGGCACCCCTGCAGCCTATCGGGAGTCCGACTTGCCGCGACAACAAAACATCCGACAATCGGAGCAGGTGGATCGAGGATCGCGCTGCCGCGGGATTTTCCTAATACGGCAACACCCCGCTTTGCTCTACGTCGCTCATAGGCGCCGATCTGCAGCCTGCGGACAGTCGAATTCGCAGTGAGTTTGAGTGCTGCGCTGACGCGTGTAAGCCTCTCACTGACCATCAACGATGCGGCAGGCAGGAGTCAATGTGGTGGTCGAGACAGCGTGCAACGCTGGCAACATGGGACTCACAGCAAGAGCAAGCACACTTGGTGGTCGGGAGAAGCTCCAAAAGGTGATTTGCGAGGGTAATAGTGGGAGCCGGTCGCGTGGACAGTCTCAGTCCCAGTCGTTGAGGCGCACCTCGGCAGCGACGGCGAGCGATGGCGGCCGCCAAGCGAAAGCCAAGAACTCTATATTTGTAGCTCCGCAAATGCTTTTATCGGCGCTGTGGCTGGTTGCCTTGTTCCTCATCCCCTTCCTCTTCGTCCTCTCGACGCTCCCATCCGCGCCCCTAGGTGGCATATAACCCTTGCACTCCTTTAGCCCTTACGTTACACGACATCCGCTATGCGGTCTGCATTTGTCTCAGCCCTCGTCCTTCCCCTCCTGGCCTCGGCCCATGGCCCGCGTCAGCACCATGGTCGCGCCGACGCCAGCTCTATAGTCGCGTCCGCTGCTAGCTCTGTGGTCGCGTCGTCTGCTGCCTCCTCCGTGGCAGCATCGGCATCCGTGACGGGTTCCGGCTCGGTATCTGGTTCTACAGCGACCAGCGTTGCTGCGTCTACCACCCAGACGCTCACGTTTACGCTTGCCTCCACAAACCCCACCGCCGTTCCTCTGTCCTTGATCGCGTCGGGTGCTCCTATACAGTCAACGAGCGCCCTTACCACGACATGGGCAGCAGGTGCGAAGCCAACCGTGTTCGCAGGTGCTCCAGGCCTGCCAAATGGTATGACGACCAATTTTCGTCACTTCCATAATTAATCGTTTGTGACCTAGCTGCGGCTTTGAACCCCAAGGACTACCCTACGCTCGATAAGACCCCTCCGCTGGACTCCCCTGAGGTCCAGCAGTGGATTCAGGAGGTCAAGAACTCCGGGATTGACATCCCTGGCTTCGCGCCTACCAACCTCGGTGGTTGTGCCAATAACACTGCCGCAGCGGCGGATGCATCTCGATGCTGGTGGACTTGCGGCGGTTGCACGCGCCAGAGTGACATCACGACTTGCCCTGCAAAGAACACGTGGGGTCTCACCTACGACGATGGCCCGTCTCCATACACGCCTGACCTGATGGCGTACCTTGAGGCGCACGACATGCGCTCAACGTTCTTTGTTGTTGGCTCTCGTGCGATTTCTCGCCCGGCTATGTTGCAGGATGAGTACATGATGGGCAACCAGATCGCTGTCCATACCTGGAGCCACCCGTACATGACCACGAAGACAAACGAAGAGATCATTGCGGAGTTCGGCTGGACGAAGAAAATCATCAAGGATGCGCTCGGTGTGACGCCGCTGTACTGGCGTCCCCCCTACGGTGACATTGACGACCGTGTCCGCGCAATCGGGATGGCCATGAACTTGATTCCCATCTTGTGGACTCGTATCAGTGCTACGCAAACGTTCGACACCGGAGGTAAGTAACATTACCACTCCAAGCCGAACGGTGTTTGACAACATTCAATAGACTATGACATCGCCGGTGGTTTGACGACGTCCACTCAGGTTTTGAACAACTGGGACTCCATCATGAACAACTCGACCAAGATCGACACCGGCTTCATCGTCCTCGAGCACGATCTCTTCCAGCAGACTGTCGACATCGCCGTTGGTTACATCCTGCCAGAAGCACTTGCTCACCAACCCGCGTTGAACATTACGCCGGTCATCACCTGCCAGAACATGCCAATGTCGAACGCCTACGTTGAGACGAACGACAACTCGACTAACCCGCTTCCCGCGCGTGAGTCACTATCTCGATTCTGATTGAGGGGTCGTTGAAATTGATGTTTTGCAATAGCGGCTACGTCAGGCAATTCATCAGCGTCTGGCTCAGCGAGTGCTACGGGTTCTGCCGCGGGCGCGAGCAAGAACGGTGCGAGTGGCACGGCCTTCGTTAACACAGGCTTGGTGTCAGCTGCCGTTGCCTTCGCCGCTAGTGCGGGTGCCCTGTTCCTATGAGGTGGTTTGGGGACGCTACGGGACATCGGACCTGTAACCCCAGCGTTGGGGTCTTGACGAGTCTATAGTGCATAGCCTCGCAACATCCTATCCCACAAACTTTATTTAGATTTGCACGCGTCTTCTCTATGTAGACCATATACCAGCACGGTTGCCAGTGCGCATTGCAACTGACCGTTGTGATGATACACGTCTCGTAGCGTATTCAGACTTGTCTTCGGACGTGACTGTTAACCTTTAATCGTCTTGTTCTTGCATGTGTCACACAGAGTGCATCTTGAATCAATCCATCTCATCATCGCTGCAATTTCTATCACGTTCGCAAACGATTTACTGCTCAAAACGGTGTTCAAGGATTACTGTAGAGCATTTCTCCGAAGAGAAGCTCGAGGTACGATGCGGAAAGCTACTCTTACAAATCCATGCATGTGTCTGCGCAGTCCGGAATACTGTAATAGTGAGTAAACCTCGCACCCACAGAAGCAGAACATGTCAGAAATAGTGTGGAGGAGGTATCGTCATGGAACTAAGAAGGTCCGCATCGTCACATCGTCCATCATCGATAGTCCTCACATCACCGTCAGCAGACCGCCCGCGATGCTAATAATAACTACCACCCCAAACCGGAGCAGCGCCCGCGGGCTGTTCAGCATGTGGGCTGACCCGCTTGCATTCCCGTGGGATGTGCCAGATCCTGCAGCTCCAGACGCAGTCGCGGGGGCACTCGGCGTGAACGTCGCAGAGGGGTTCGAGACGCACGAGGTTGCAACCGCCGCCGCAGACACGCTAGATGGCGCCTGGCTGTTGATCGTCGCGTTTCCCGAAAAGTCGCAAGACTGCGCATTCCGGTTGGTCGCTTCGTAGTATTCACTCATGACAAACGATAGCTGGACGGCTGCAGGCATGAGTGTAAGTCATGGTCCGATTGTTTATTGATCGCACACGGAAATTAATACGCACAAGGGTCACAGGCGGATGCCCGTCCGTACACGCCGGTTGTGCCATTCCCGGCTATGTCGTCGCAGTTCCCGCCTTGGGCCCCGAGGAGCGAGCATGCCGTGTTAATGAGTGTCCCGACGATGGCGGACGTGTTAGAAGTCGTTGGCGTGAACTGGCAGCTAAGGGCATTCTCGAGACAGCTGCACGCCGCATCGTTAGGTGTCGGCGGTAGCGTTGTAGACGCGCTGAATGTCGAATTCTCCGACGGGCAGCCGGGATACGCTGTCGACCCGGCACTACTCTGGCTGGGCGCGTCCGGAGGTGTCACGTTGGCGTATTGCTCCTGCAGACGCGTGAAGTCGCTGCTGACGGTCACGGTGTTGTTCGGATTTATGGTGACCATCCCGAACTGCCCGGCTGCGCTGCTGGCCGGGAAATAACTAAAGGCAACGCCACCCGACCAAATCTCTGTCATTGGAGCGCTGAGCAGTGCCTGAACCTCCGTCCACAGACGCGGGGGTGATGTGACGCAGCCGTATTCACTAAAGTAGGCCGGAATATTGTATCCCGCGAAGTCCCCGTTTGTGCCATCGTAAACACTCGGGTCAGCATCCCCACACCATTCGCTATGACGGAGGGTGAATTACATGTTCGGCTATAACTGATGACGTACGCACTAGTTGTTCAAACCGTAAAGGTCAATAGCAGTAGATCCAGAGTCCTTCCCCGAAGGATCACAACTCAGGTAATTTGCCAGTGGGTCCTTCCAATCCGAATCGCCATCTATGGAGGCGTATCCTACCAGTGCAGAGGACGATGTGGATGCGCTAAAAATTCTTCATGCTTAACAAAAACGAACAGTGATAGAATGGCACCTTACAGGTACGCCTTGATGTCTCTGGCGGCAGCCTTGACATACGCCGCGGCCGCAGTTGCATTCGGTGCTATGACCACTTCATTACCAACATTGTAGGCGAGCACATTGTCGTATTTGGAAAACGTTACGATCGTCTCAATGTATTGATCCAGAAGCGCAGTAGTCCAGGTAGGTTCGTCCCGGTTGATAGACCCGTTAACGGGAAGACTGAGGTCAATACTATCACAGGAACCATGAAAAGGCATGCGGGTATCGAGACATTCAGCGGCGTACATTGTGTAAATCCCAGCACTGCTGAGGTTATTCATACAGTCGTCGTGGTTCAGCGAAGAATTCACGCTGTATATGCGAACGGCGTTGACATTAAGCTGCTTCAGGTATGGTAGGTCTCGTTCACACGAAGTGCTGTTCGCGAGAGGGTCAATGAACGTAGAGGGTTCCAGAAAAGGGTTGTTGGCTGTCGCAATGACCGCACCTATTCCGGGTGTATCAGTTCATTATGTTTCATGCCTCAGTGATGAAAGGTGGCACATACCCTGTTCTTGGTACGCAACACCCTTGATGTAGAATCTATTGCCATCCGCTGTGTACAGATATCTGCCATTCCGCGAGACCTTCTGCACGGCACAGTGGGCGCTAGAGAAGAGTGCGACAATTACTGTCGCAGCCAGTGCTTTGCAAAACATCATGGAGAGCAGACGAGGGGAGAGTGAACAACGCCCAAGGGAAGGCGAGCACGATCTGGGTAAAGTTTCGGATCACCAAGAGCGACCAAGTTTAACTCGGGTTCAGGTGACGAGAGTGTTAGGACGACAAGCCCGCTTGAGCGAAACGAAAAAAAGTCCCTGAAACGTACGCAGCACGCGTGGGTAAGGTCCAAGGGTTTGTGCGTCACGGACGCCCCTCACAAATGGAAGACGACGACTGTCAATGACTGTGAGAGGCTGTTGAAATTGAAACTACCACACTTCCGCCTCATTCACGCTTTCCTAATCAGGACATGAGTGTCGAGCTCAGTAAAGCCTGATGCGCCTATGCTTCCCCCATATATACTATAAAACAAATATGTTTAATGCCCGCCTAGCTCAATCGGATAGAGCGTCAGACTCTTACTAAGCGGGTGCATCTGAAGGCTGCGAGTTCGACCCTCGCGGTGGGCTAGTCGTTTTGCCCTTCTCCCCTTCCTTCTTTTTCTCTCCTTGAGCCAGGACATCGTCCGGCAGGCCCGCAGCAAAGAAAGGAATAAGGCCATGGAGCAAGCATTGACATGAACGTTGTTATTTATTGCCTGTTGACCTGCGAGCGAAAGCTACGCCGCTGTATCATGGCGGCAGGTAATATTGAAACCACAAGGGCCAGAAGATAGATCGACTTGTAATCATAGCGGTATCGTAAAGCGTATATACAAGTGCGAGGTCTGTAATTCACCGGTGCCGGCCTTGTGAAACAATTTATTCTACAATGTCATCACTCATCCTCTGACGTTAGTATAGCATGAAATGAATGTCCGTCACTGCAGCGTCAACACGAGCTGCATGCTGCAGCAAGTCTCTGTCCTACCCACGGTATGTGCAACAACTAGGTATGCAAGTTAGATAATATTCGCCGGGGTTTCTGCTGTGCATTCGTGACATACCTGATCATATATGGCAATACGGACGCGATGAGGCAAGCAAATGCAGCCCACGCAAGATACACCCCGTTGCCCATGGACACGACAATCCCCAGTGGTGTAGGTGAAGATGCCTTCCCGACCATCAAGTCATTGATTGTCTCTGCTTTTTTGATGATGACAGTCCAAATGGCTGCGCCTATCAGGAGCATGAAGCTGCCGGCAATAGCAAATAACGTGGAGAACAGGAAAGCAAGTGGATGCTTTGCAATGCCACTGGATCATCGGCTGGTGCATCAGGTATTTCGTGCCAATGTAGAGACACATAGACTACATACACGAACAGCGCGAGAGCAGCGCAGACGGTGCCAATCAGTAGCGGGTAATAAGCACCATTAGAGAAGTCGCCGAGATATTTAGAGTCGGTGAACGTGTTCGGCGAGGTGAAAATGGAATCCGTATAGGCGGAGTAGTTCGTAAGCATGTCAGCGGTGATGATCTGGAGAGGCTCAAAGCGGTTGGCGGCGGAGATATTAGAGCATCTGCCTGCAGTGGCATTGACATAGCCGCAATATGAATACAGGCCAAAGTCGTAAATCTGTCGTACACCAGCTTGTTGCTGAAGCGGTGCTGAGGCATTGGACGTGTAGAGCCCCCCGATCGGATCTCCAAGGGCGGCCTCTAGTCCTACACTACAAAGGTCGCTGTCAACTAAGTATGGGACGAGTGAAAGATACGGACACATACCCATAACCGGACATGTTGACTTTGACCTATGGTGCGTGCGATTTCATATTGCTTCTGTGACGAGTAATTCTAGCTACTCACCATGGAAATGCCTCGGGGTACGTGAGAGGTGTTTATCTGGCCAACCTAGCCGTCGCGAAGATTCGATCAGTTCTCCCAGTGACGAGCCGACAGTCATACATGCATGAATATGAGGCACAGCAGCGCTGCCAAGCTGGCACGCAGTCAGCGTTCGCTGCATACAGAGCAGTCACTGGACCCACGAGAGGATGGTGGCCGATCCAATGCACACCTCTCCGCGCATCTGCATGGTTGAGGATTTCACCAGTATGAAGGAACAGAGAGAGAAAGGAAGCTGGTCTGCGTGAAGGAAGCACGAGTGCAACTCGCGGCACGCTGAGCAGACGCGACGGGCGCGCTGGGCAACGTGATGTCCTGCCCTCGGGCACGTTGTCTCTCTTGCCCAAATGCAGATATTCGCATTGCCACGGGTACCCACCCTCGGCACTCCTATTCCAGCCGCAATGGCTTTGGTGCGGACCTGACGTCTTTATGTGCGCCTGTCTTTGATCGAGGCGTGTTTTGCCTTCAGACTGCCACCGGCATCTCTAAACCACTAGCTCCTTTGTCTGCAATCTCGTGGCGTCATGTCCGAAGAACACACTCATGATTCCGGCGCGGGGGGACCTTCAAGCGACCCCGTGTGTACCCTGCATTCCACAGAGAAACACAGTGAAACCCTCGCGGATTCGAAAAGCATATTCGTCAAGCGAGCAATCGAGGTGGCTGCGGATAAGTTGGGCAGAAGAAGGTCGATTGGGGCGAAGTCGCAGTTAACGCAGAGCCAGCCCGCATTACCTGCATCAAGCTCTACATTCTCTCGTCTAAGACATCGGAGGTCAGGCAAGGAGAAAGCGAATGGGGAGGGCAGCGAAGGTGAGCGGTACGCAGTCGGAATGGCCCGCAGGCTCAAACCGGATGGATTCTTTAGGGGACACAGCTACACAGTCCCAAATATTGCCTTCTTCACAACTTACACAGGGTTCAAGCTCTGTGACAAGGCGTGGTCTGCACCGCTTCTCGATTCGAGCAAGAGATGACGACTCACCATTCATCACACCTCGTTCACCATCACTTGGCCCGAGGAGGCCTGACATAGGCATCTTCCGCGGTGCTGGTTCGGTATGCACATTGTGTGGAATCCAGGTGTAGACTTTGACATAATGTGGCTTCGTAGATTCGAGCAGGCACGCAAGCCTTGATACAAGCCCTGCAGGCGATGCCATTAGCCGACTATCAGGACGACGATGACTACGTGCCGCAAGGCCAAATAGCTGCTGAAACGTCTAGTGACGACGACGACGACGACAAACCTGGTCAGTACAAGCATGATGGCGTTCACAATTGTTGCTCATTGCGCCCATCACAGGCAGTAGACTCGCTTCCTCAATCCACGCGATATACCGTCCCCTTGCGCGTTCTAGAAGGCGCCTATCGTCGTCCTTGTTCCCTCGGAACAGGAGTCCTTTACCCAGAGTGTCCGATCAAGATGAACCATCGCGTCCAGAAACAGTACTTTCGGATGAAGATCTGGAAGACGACTTCGAACCAGCTTCGCCCCCCGCGTCTGACATCACTGGTCCTGAGCTAGGAAGTCAGGAGCTCACGTCATCCCAATTGCAACCTGGAGTGGATGCGTCAGTGACGTGGAGTCGCAAGCGAGTCAGCAGGTCAGGAAGTATGGCAACTGTGAAGATGCAGCGGAGGGCACGTCTTGCGGAGAAGTTGAGAGATGTTTTCCAACTGGCAGGCATACAAGAGGTTGTTGCAGGCGAGTTTTGATGATTTTGTCAGTATTCTACAAGCTCATTGACGTGTATATATAGAGATTCCATGTTGGCTTCTCCGTTCCGCATGTAGGTGTAAGGTGATATTAGGATGGCAGCATGTACTAACATTTCTTCAGTATTGCAGGGTTATCTGTATCTGACAGACTCTCATCTGTGTTTCTTTGCACATATGCCATCGAGGGAGGTAGGTATCGAGTTGCCTAGTTCGAGTCGGCTAGTGAGGAACTATGTTTGCAGGATCAAACCCTGAAGTCTGGGTATATATCGAAGAAGGCGCGTACGAAACGATGGGTCAGACGGTGGTTCATCCTCAAGAATGATGTGCTATCTTGGTACTTATCGCCAACGGTAAGCTATCCTGAACAACCGGATCAGCCTGAGCTGACACACGGTTGATATACAGGATCCGTATTTCCCGCACGGCATCGTGGATCTGCGTTATGCCATGACCTGTGAACCTATATATGAGAAGGATATCCGCATTAGGACAAATCAGAAGACCATTAGGTTGTCCGCAGAATCTGTTACAAGCCGGGATGAATGGGTGAAGGCAATTCTCAAGGTTATGATGAGAGTACAGAATATGGGTGATAGTGTCAAGGTAGCTCGCATGACATGCTCCAGATCGCTCAAATCACTTACTTGTCGACAGATTGCGATCCCATACTCAACAATCATTGACGTAGAGAAGTCTTCGGCGATGGACTTCAGCGAGACAATCGAGATCAAGGTAGTCGACAGGAGTGATCGGGTGCCTGTTGATTCCTACTTCTTCGCATACTTCAACGATCTTGAAGCTGCCATGAAGCAAATCCGTGACGCGGTGCGGAAGCATAGGTTCAGTCCCCAAGACGCAACTCCTACCGTCATTGATACCACTTTCTCGCGGTCGACACAGTCTAGTCCTCCTTCTGCCATACGCTCTCAGAGTTCACCTGCTGTGGAACAGGGGACGAAGTCACCTTCGGCTTTCAGATTTCCCGCGTTCTTTCGGCCTCTCCAGGAGTCTGTTCCCCTCGGCCGAGCTGCAACGCCTGCGGAGCGCAGTGAGAATGAGGAATTCACACATGTGCACAAGAGAGGGTCGTCTTCTTTCATGGCTATGACTGCCTCGCCAGAGTCATTGCTATTTTCCAACTCACAGGTCACACGGAGCCCAGAGAGCACTCAGGATGGACTACCCGCCAGCTCGACGCCGGCGTCGTCCTCCTCGCATCACACGTATCCACCATCCACTACTCCATCCCCCACTGCGTCGCAGCTGACCGTTTCTCCCACTCGAGAAAGTGGGTTTATTACGTGGAGTGTGGGCGTTCCTTCCTGGCTTAGGATGCCCTCCATACCCTCACGAAAGACCCTTAGTAATGCCTTGAGTGGCATACGATATGGTGCAGATCCTACAACGTTATTTGCTGGCAACAGCACAGAAGGAGTCTCGGAGGTGGTATCATCAAATACCGGCTCTGACAATCGGACGTCTGGTAGCGGTGAAGCAAACGATTTCGGATACTTCAGTGTACTGCACACACCGGACGCCGCCCCTGACTTGGAGACTGTGCGCAAGTTCCGTGACTCCTTTGCTTTCGATGGCAAGGAGAGTCTGTTTGGAGGTATGCTTCTCCTTTCCTGCAGGTGTACATCCTCACCTAGTGACGCCGTAGTCTTCCCCGGATATCTTTTCCGACTATTGCCTGTGTACGGCCGATTTTACGTGTCCAGTGGTTTCCTCTGTTTCAAGTCTACAGGACCGCTCAGCACTCGGACCAAGGTTTGTGCTTCTCATCATTCCGTCTGACCTGAACTTAAAAGGCTTCAGATGGTCTTGCCGCTCAAAGATATATTATCCACCGAGATGTCTAAGGCAGTAGGGATTGGTCGTCTTGGGTTGGTCGTAATGGTCAGAGGACACGAAGAACTCTTCTTCGAGTTTGCCGACGAAGGTCGGCGAGCTGCATTCGTCGACCTCTTAGATCGACAGCTCGAAGACACCCGCCATCCGTCTCATTCGTGCGATGATGATGAAGCCACCTCGGGTCGGAGCGACGCTCTCATCCTTGAAGAGTTCGGGCCACGCAAGTCCGTGGAAAGCATTACCGGAAATAAGGAAGGATCAGAAGGCGCTATGTCGAGCTCATTACCTGCTGTCATGTTCAATTCTACATCGTCAACCTTCCTGACCTTCAGACCCACACAGTCCTTACGGTTCACCTTCTTGACCATTGGTTCTCGCGGCGACGTTCAACCATATATTTCACTAGCCAAGGGTTTGATGAAGGACGGCCACCGTTGCCGAATTGCTACACATGGCGAGTTCAGAGAGTGGATCGAAGGCGTATGTGTCATTTCCGTGTGTCAGGTTAAACACCTGTTCTTACGCCCAGGTTGACAGCAAGGAATCGAGTTCGGATATGTGGGCGGCGATCCGGCTGAACTGATGCGGATATGCGTAGAGAATGGCACTTTCACTGTCGCATTTCTCAGAGAGGGTATGCTCAAGGTCAGTCCAGTCCAGGCCGCCCGCCAACTCCTTGGTTCATTTGTCACCAGTTCCGCGGATGGGTGGATGACCTCCTCCAAACATCATGGGAAGCTTGCCAAGACACGGATGTATTGATAGAAAGCCCCAGCGCTATGAGCGGCTTTCACATTGCTGAAGCACTGAAGATCCCTTACTTCAGGGCCTTCACGATGACTTGGTCACGGACGAGGTTTGCCTCCACACACAGGTAGCATGTTCTTCAGCTGATTAACGAGTCGCAGAGCGTACCCTCATGCCTTTGCTGTTCCCGACCATAAGGCAAGTCCTTTGGCATTGCACATTGACTGCATCATCTCATCTCGTTTTCCAGATGGGCGGTAACTACAATTATATGGTGGGCATGACATTACCCCCTCGTTGTCATGAAATCGCTGACATGGATGATTGTAAGTCATACGTCTTGTTCGATCAAGTATTTTGGCGGGCGACTGCAGGCCAGATCAACCGCTGGCGGAGGAACACGTTGGGTCTTCCTAGTACAAGTCTCGACAAGATGGAGCCGCACAAGATACCGTTCCTGTATAATTTCAGCACCAAGGTTGTTCCCCGGCCCATAGACTGGCCTGAATGGATACATGTGACCGGTGAGACAGGTTACAACGAGTTATTACTTATGCTCATGCCTTACAGGCTACTGGTTCTTAGACGATGCGGAAGTTAGCTCCAAGAAATGGGCTGCCCCTCCCGACCTCATTGAGTTCCTAGAGAATGCCCGCAAAGAGAGCAAAAAGATTGTGTACATTGGCTTTGGTAGCATCGTGGTGTCCGATCCGAAGGCTATGACGCGCTGTGTCATTGATGCCGTTGTTCGAAGCGGCGTCTACGCCATTCTATCCAAGGGATGGTCAGATCGGCTTGTGAAGACCAACACGGAAGCATCCGAGCCAGAGGAGCCTCTGCCGAAGCAGATCTATCCGGTCGCATCGATTCCTCATGATTGGCTTTTCCGGCGTGTAGACGCTGCTTGTCATCACGGTGGTGCAGGCACAACAGGTGCTAGCTTGCGTGGTGAGCCATGCTACGCTCTTTGCTCGGATTGGTCTCACATGTCTCCTTCTACAAGCCGGCATCCCCACCATCATCAGGCCATTCTTTGGCGACCAGTTCTTCTGGGGAGATCGCGTTGAGGCGCTGGGTGTTGGCACTGCTCTTAGGAAGCTGACGGTTGAGAGTCTCACGCAGGCTTTGATTGCTGCGACTACCGACCAGAAGCAGATTGAGCGTGCTCGGGAACTGGGCGAGAAGATCCGTGCAGTAAGTCCACTATCTGCCTAAGCATGTTTGGGCGTTGACACTTTCTTACAGGAGGACGGCGTTGCCACTGCAATTGAAGCCATATACCGAGACCTTGAATACGCGCGGTCATTGGTGAAGGGCGGTATCTCCGACGATCCTCAAGATGGTGATGCTCATGGCGAGGACGCAACAATACGCGAGTACAATCCCTCGTCATCACCTGAACAGCAAGAACCGGTTTCTGGTCGCAGTTCTCCCCTTTCTTCTCATGACCCTCACGACACTACCAGCGACTGGAGTGTCATTTCTGGCTCAGAGCCAGAGTGATTACACTAGCGCTGGACATGCCCCCTTTTTTGTTGTTGCCGTTCACATATATGTTGTGCATCTACGTCCTGTGTCGTGCTCCGCTCATCTCAACTCAGCATTTACGGTAGACCCTAGTAACTCCCCGGATGGCTCGTTTCATGTTTCCCAGTACAGTACATATGTCAGACGTTGTAAATCTGTAGCATATTCGCACAATCGCAATCGCATCACTCACGCCGTCGTCTCCTGTTCGTAGTGGCGTTCGAACACGCGCTTGCTGAATTGCCCGAACGTCTCTGATGCGGCGATCTGCTGGTTCGTGTTTGGCTGCATGAAGAGCGCGAATGTCTCGCGTGAGACGTCCTGTACGTTCTCTCCAGCGCCGATGCGCACGCAGTGCGGCGTGGCACGTAGGCTACCGGCGGTCGCGAGCTCTAGCGCTTCGCCGGTCTGGAAGGCAAGGCTGTCGGGCGGGATCGAGACCTTGGTAAGCGCGCCTCCGCGCGTGCGGATATACAGCCCGGAGGAAGGGGAGGGAGATGGGACTATTGTGGGCTCGCCGCTGGCACTGGGGCGTAGGAACATAGCCTGGTTCAATGCTTGTGTGAGTGCAGAGGGGTCAAGAGCTAGGAGAATATATACCGAGCAGAGGCCAGTGAGAAGGGAGTGGTCGAGGTGGAAGCCGCACCAGCTATCGATTGGTTCGTCTTCAGCGGGCAGTGGGCTCTCCGGAGATGGCGGGAAGTAGTGCAGGAGACGCGCTTTAGTAGTTTGTGAGGAGGCGACGAGGTCCACGAGAGATACAGAGGAATCGACGAGATGCGAAGACGCTGGAATCGATTTAGATGGTGCTGAATGCTATGACGTTTGTATATTCATAGCGGTGCAGCTTACCGAAAGGCTGACAAGCGACGGCCAAGTCACACCCAATCTTGAAGATCAGTCTGTAACGGGAGCTCAGTAACGCATACTTTCAGCACGAGAGATACGGCTTACTTTCCAAGGTCCTTGAAAGCCTGCTCAAATCCTTGGATTGACTTATTGTCGTTGCTTGGCCCTGAAAGTGCATCATAAGAACTTGAGGAATCTTCGATCGACCAGAACCGTACAGATGTTTGTACCGTAGTACTCCGGGTACGCCTGCCTTTGAGCCGCTGAGACATCAGGAGTGTCTACCACTGGGTTCGCATAATAAGATCCTTTCAGCGTATCTGCAATGCGAAAGAAGTGTGTCAGTCGATGCTCGGCCGAAATTCTACCATCAAAAATTTACCAGGCCTTCCATTCATAATTTCCTTGCCGATCTCGTGAGGGAGTGAGAGCACAGCAGACGATGGCGGCATACCTTGCCATGAGACCAGCCAAAGCTTTCCCACCTGTTAGCAACACAAGACAGTTCTGGCCATTGGGATGCGCACCTATAATTGGTCTTTGAGTCTGCGTATCTCTCACGTATCTCCGGTGCCAGGTTGGCGAAGCGATATGCGAGCTTCAACAGCCTCTCTCTTGCGGGAACGAAAGCAGTGGGCAGATCACGGACAACGAGAATTCCCAAGCTGTCAGGGTGCGACCCAAACGCCTTCTCTTCGCTGATATTTGAGCTGAATGTACGCATTGCAAAGACAGTACCCACCGATGGAGGAGGTCAGAGAATAAGGGGATTTGACCAGAGTCGGATAAGATATCGAGACTGCGCCCTCAGGAGTCAGTGTGATTGGGTGGGGCGTATGCTGAGCTACGGTTGCCAGCGACATGGAGGTCAGCACGCTGCGGTTAGCCCGTGCGCTATTCCTCACGAGCCTGAGGGTGGCCATGGTCAAGGCAATGAGTGGAAGTGGAAACAAGCGGACCGTCCTCTAGCATTGGTGCATGACGGCGATCAGGCACTCTCGATCATTGATGCAGAGAATGTCTTCTATTGATCCAGTGAAGGACCCCACCTAAGGCTACCTTGGAAGGAACGGCGTCCGTCCTTCTGAGCAACCCTATCAGCCGCCTTATATGTCGATGTCGTATACGCTTCATTAGTACTTAGGATGCACCAGTAGTTCAATTATCCCCCTAATTTGCATTCTACTCAAGGCATCGTTGCTACGAGGCGAGACTGGCGAGCGTCTTCTGACCTCACAAGGCCAAGCTGGGGTATCGGTCAACGTAAATTACTGTGTTGAGCACGAAATGTTCTATTTTTGAGTAACGGATGTTGCCGCCACAGCATCACATCGAGTCGTCATCTCCCCCACAACTTCCCCACAAAGCAACAGCTCGTTGCTCCGTGCAAATTTGCTTCCATCTTAAGGCGCAGTCAGTGTGTAGGTCTGCACTGAGCGTCTGGCATGCTACTAGTATTATGCAAGCAGGTGCATATGACCTACTAGTACGACACGATTCTGGCTTGGCAGAGTCTGACTGGGCGCCTTGACCGACCATAAAGCTTCTGACTAGATCTGCGGATGCTCCTGCGAAGTCCCTCTTCATTCGCCCATTCTCCTTGCGCTGGCGGTATGGATATCCAGGAAGAACTTCGTATAGCTCACGCCCCTGCTACTAGCAGTGCTTGCGTCCAGGCGCCACCGCTAAGCATATCACAGCGTTTACGTACCTTGCGCGCACGCTTTCATATCACCCATGTACCTAACTGCATTTGGTCTGCTCTCTTCACAGCGCTGGGTGGATTCGTTTTTGGCTTCGACACTGGCAGTATTGGCTCCATTACAGTGATGTCACAATTCCAAGAGCGATTCTCCAAGACAGGTCACCTATCGTCGACTGTCCAAGGACTCATTGTATCGACTATTCTCATCACAGCCGCCATTGCGTCTCTCGTCTCTGGACCTCTGTCGGATAGAATATCGCGAACCAGGACAATCGCACTCGGTGCCATCGTTTTCGCCGCTGGCAGTGTGATCTCATGTTCTGCGCACGCCTTAGCACAACTTCTTGTCGGAAGATGCGTTGCGGGGGTCGGCGAAGGCCTTTTTCTCTCGGCAAGAACTGTGTACGCTATCGAGATAGCTCCAGCCTCCGCTAGGGGCAGACTGGGGTCCGTTGTCCAGTTGTTGGTGACTACAGGAATCGCCGCTGGTATGTGGAAAGCCTCGACTCTTGCCTTACCCATCTCAATGACCACAAAGGGTATTTTGTCTGTTACAGCACCGTGCGTGTGGGGTCTTCATTCTCGTGGCGTTTTCCTTTTGGCATGCAGGCGGTTGTATCCGTTGTGCTTGCCGTGGGCGCGCCCTTCCTACCCCACTCACCTCGATGGCTGCGGCATGTCGGAAGAGACGCGGAAGCCGAAATCGCATGGCTGAAGCTCGGCGTGATCTCGGCGGATGCACACAAAACGGAAGAGCATGTCCGTCGCGATGCGTCCGAAAGGACGAACATTTGGCAGGAGCTATCCCATCTCTGGACCAAGGGCATCAGAACCCGAACCATCCTGGGTGTTTTCTTGATGGGAATGCAACAAGTATGGGTCCTCCCACCACATCGTTATTTGCCAAGGCTGATCTTCACTTTGCTCAGGCATCTGGTATTGACGGCGTCCTCTATGTGCGTGATCGCTAATGCGGTAGGCATCCTGTCCTCATTTTGTTTAGTATGCCCCCGTCCTCTTTTCGCAAGCTGGGTTGTCTGCCACAACCGCATCCTTCATAGCGTCTGGTGTATCTGGAATCATCAATGTCGTCCTCACCTTTGCTGTGCAATTCTTCGCAGACAAATGTGAGTCCCCACCTTGCCCTCATTGCATTCTCACTAATTTCTATTCCAACTGAGGGAGTCGCCGAGCTTCCATGATCCGCGGCGGTATTGTGATCGGCGTTGCAATGATTTTGATTGGCTCACTCTATGCCTCGCACGCTTCCGATACTGTCGCCGGCCGCTACGCGATAATCGTGCTCATTTATATATTCGTGGTTGGATACGTCGCAAGCTGGGCAATTGTGACACGAACCATTTGTAGCGAAATACAACCAATGAGAACACGGGCTGCTGCCACCAGCCTGGGTCAATGCGCTAATTGGGTGCGTCTTGCTACCTGCAGTGCGAGGCACTTGTCTTATATCGAAGCCTATAGGTCGTCAATTGGGCAATTGCCTTCTCCACTCCACTTTTCCTTGCCCGATCGTCATATGGGCCGTATTTCCTCTTCGGAGGCTGCTCACTATTCACGACCCTAGTATGCATCGGTTTCCAACCGGAAACGAGAGGCGCATCACTGGAGGAGGTCGACAAGGCGTTTGAAGAGCCCCCCTGGCGCGTTATGCTCAATAAACGCAAGGCACTAGCTAGAAGTGGCGATGGAAAGGACGCGGCTTCTGAAAGGGCGATTTACATCCAGGCAGGACACGAGGCTGGGGAGGGCATCCCGGAACAAGACATTATACGATTGCCTGAGGTTCGCTTCGGTGGTCCTTGGCATCATGAGCATCAATTGACGTGACGCAGTGGCCCAAACTGCAGAAGAACGCGGTCTGAAATACCGGACCGTGGCTGTCGTATTGACGTACGTGAATATAATGGCGAGCAGGAATTACCCTTGGTCTATCTGCTCTGATGGTATATTGTCGTATTTGAGCCCCGGTGAAAGCTTCGCTCTCAGAATGCATAATTCTATCGGCGTGCTCCCAGAACTCCAGAAAATCGACACTCGCAGCGGACAATTCACCGCTCCCGCGTCATAGAAACGTATCGATGTGACACCTGGGACAGTTTGTGTTGCAAGTTTTTCCTGTGGCTTGTCGTCCGCGTCTGCCAAATCCCCTTGCATAGCCAGTAAGCATAGTAGATAATCCTTTAATCGCTCGCTCTAGTTAATGATTATTCTGTAGATGCTGTGCCATCACAACATGGTAGAGGCGCCGTCTTTGATGAAGAGCCTCAACCAAAAGCGGCAAGCCGCCTCCCCGATCGGGAAGGTGTTTAGGTTGACGTACTGTCGATCGAAGTCAGCTCCACCTAAGTCGAGGCAGCCACTTCAGAAGCTGCGGCGGCATCTGAATGTTGACGTCTTCCAGTATATAAGACTGACCTGTTCGTCCTCATTCCCCCATCCAGCTTTCTTCCCTTTCTCATCCTTCTCTAGCCTAACTTCTCCTTCTAATTGCCGTCAAGTTCAAGCACAGCCTACAAGACCTCAACGAGTCAAGATGCGCAGCCCAGTTATCGCCTTCACGCTCTTCGCCGCTGCGGCAGTCAGCCCGAGCCTCATCGCCGCGGCTCCGACCTCCCCCAATCCCGGATCGTCAGTCAGGAACTCTCCCCGCCAGGTCCCTCCACTCAGCGGCTTGAGTACTACTCAGATGAAACACCTTTCTGATGACGGCCCGTTGCCCTTGCCCGATCTTCCGGCTGATATCGACAACAAGAACTCAGGGGACTCAGGGAACCAGAACAAAGGAGGCCAAACCCCTGATGGCCGCCGCGCGGCTGAACAGCAACTTCACAACCCTGCGTCGGCGTCTCTTGACGACTATTACCCTGGCCACGACAAGCGTGCCTCCGACGAATACAGCGCAGGTGGCAACTCCTACACTGGTGCTGCGGGCGACACATCGGGTGGATCGGTGGTGTCCGCGTCCCATGGTGCCGGTTTTGACGGTTTTGACGGTGAAGACGGTGAGGGCGACGGCGAACCGGGTGTCGATAATGTTGGTAATGGTACGTCTCACGACCTGGTCTGACGCTTTTCCATGCTGACTCTTCCAAATAGTCGCAGGCGGCGATGGCGGCGATGGCTTCAGTGGTTTTAGCTACGGTGGTGACGGTGACGGCAAGGGTGCCGGTGGTAACTCATACAGCGGTGCTGTCGGCCCTTCAGAGGGTGGTGATGTTGTTGCCGCCTCTGAAGACAGCCAGAGTACCGAGAACGAGGGTACTGGTGCGTCAATTATGTACTGTTTGTTTCACTGCGCTTACTGACTGTTCTGTAGTAACCGGTGGCATTGGGGGCTTCAACGAGAGCGGTGACGCTCAGGGTGGTGACGCTGCCGGAAACATCGTTGACGGCGTCAACACCAACGACGGCACTAGTTCTCGTCGCAAGCGTGCGCAAGACTCGGGTACTGCCGGAGGTAACGCATATACTGGCGCGAGCGAGGATGTCGATGGCGGGAACGTCATCAACCACAGCGATAACGACGGAGGAGTCTTCAACGACGCTGCTGGCGAGTGATAGTTTTTATCTCACTCGGTACTTATTCTGACATAGGTTTCAGTCGCTGGTGGTGGTGCCGGGGAGACATACTCCGGAGAGGCCAACGGTGGTGACGGTGACGGTTACGGTCCCGGTGGTAACGCCTACAGCGGCGCGACCGGCAGCGCAAAGGGCGGCAGCGTCGTCCAGTCGGGCGGCTTCGTCGAGAACGAAGACACTGTTACTGGCGGGACTGGCGGCGAGAGCGAGAGCGGCGACGCCGAGGGTGGCGATGCTTAGGTGTCTCGAGCTCGTAACTTGGCGGTCCTTGTTTATATAGTATACACGCAGACTAGTACACAATCTAATACCCTACTCTCTTTCATACAGAACTTGCTGGAGCGGCCTTGAGGTTTAGTCCTAACCAGTCCGCGATGCCCATTTGAAGTGAAATCAAAGAACACACACGGGTGAACCTCGTCGAAAGGACTACTACCATAGTTCATCATAATGTGTCACTGGTCTCGTGGAAGCGTCCAACCTGGCTGTAGTCGCGCTGCAAGGTTTCCTACTGGTCCAGACAGGCCCGCTTGGCTTTTGAAACTTTCGAGGAAATTCTTGATCACGTTGTAATCTGTTCCGTCTCCATACTCTGCACCATCCTCGTCACCGTCATGCTCTTTCTCCAGAGCAGCTTTAAGCTCGACATCCATAGCGGCCTCGATGTCAATGTCTGCAATATCGTCCTGTGGAGACGCTTTGCCCTTTCCCTTATTCACTTTGGGAGTCGCATACTGCTGTTTGTCCCCTCGTGATCGCGCAAGTTCAGCATCCATGGCCTGCATTACAGCCTCAAAGGAATCGAGACTGGGGTTGACGGACGTATGAGAACTCTGTGTTGGTGCCTGGGGAGGTCGACTTTCAGAGATATTTAACTGAGACGATCGTGCAGCTGGACGTGCGTTCTTGTTCTCTGAAACAATATGCGTCGGAACATATGCTAGGGATAGGTGTTAAGGTTAAGTGCATTGAATCGTCCACATAGCTCGATGGCTTACCTCCACGGCCTTTGCGCTCCCGGACAATATCACTCCATTGATCGTCCGACATACCCAACACTTGACGAGCAAACTCCAAAAATTCGTCCTCCTCTTCATCCATATCAATCTCAACGTCGCCCACGATCTGCGGCTTGTCCGCTTCCTCGTCATCATCGCCACCGCCTTCGTTCTCTTCGTCACTTTCATCGTCCGAATCCACACCATCGTATTTGTCACGAGGGATGATCGGAGGCCTTATTGGCCGTTTCTGCGGTTCGCCAGAGGTGCCCGGCGACACTGCAGTAAAGACTTCGCGCAACTCTGTCTCCATCGTGATAGGAGCTACACGCTGAGAATTGTTATGGAAAGATGGTGGCATCTTGCCATATTCAGCGGGATCCAGACCTGGAACGAGCTTATCCATCGCGGCTTGTCGAGCTGCTTGCTCGACATCGTTTCGTGGGGGCTGTGGTCGCGGCTCTGCGTCTGCTTCGCTTTGAGTCATATCCGAATCCGACTGATCGTCATCACTAAATTCCTCGTCGGAGAATTCTTCGCTATTGGGGGGTTGGTAATAGCTCACCACACAGGATAGCATGAGACTCACTCTGCGAAACGCGCGCCTTCGATATCGCCTTCGCCCTCGACGAATTTTTCCACCTTTTGCGCCAGATCCTTCAGTCGTTGAGCTTGTTGCTTCGCCATGCGGTCCTCTGGACTCTCTTTCTCCTTCTCGCCGCTGTCAACGTCCATAGCATCGGGGGACTCAGTGGAATCAATGTTGGGTTTCGCTCCGAAGTTCTTCTCAAGCATCGCGTCAAAGTCCGCCGCGTCGACATTCAGCCAATCATTGGAGTCTTCATTTTGCTGCGGGGGAACGAAATTGTCGCCGACTTGGCTCACGGCAGCAGTCATAGCTGACGCAAACGACGGTCGTGTTGCATCACTACCGAGGATGAGTTCGCTGCCGTACGAACCAAAAATGTACACGTACTCTTCTCTTCGAGCCTCGAGGAACGCGGCCGCGGCCTTGTCCTCGAGCTCGGTCCACAGTTGGGAGCCCTCAAGCTCACCCTTGAAATATCCAGAGGATCTCAAGTTTTCGACGTACTTCATGTAATCTAGGTTGCGCCGCAGCGCGTCCTTCCGTGCTTGAGCCTACATTTGGACGTCAGCGTCACCTTGCCAGATGTCATGTTTTTCGGATGCAACGTACGGATGACTTCACAGCGTCAGCCGAGATTGGCGAAACGTCCGAACGGCTCTTGCTTTCTTGGTAGAGCATTTCGAACCCACATGCCTAGAAAGTCGGATTATCGGTTGATGCCTGATTCTCATCGTTTATGTCGCTCACGATCTTCATTCCGACATCTCTCCATCGCCATTCAGTCGTGCTCTCCTTCTCTTGCCACCGCCCGAATATCTTCGGAGGGTAGAACTTTTGTCCCACAAGCTGCGCATATGCTGTTCGTGTCACTTTGACAGTTGTCAGTATGGATGGCTCTGGAGGGAAGCGGGACATCCTGTGCGCGGCCTGTCGAGATAGTACATCAAGATGGAGCTCTTCTCTGAGCACAATATTTACTTACACGCAGCTGAATGGCATCACGGGTGTAGAATGTCTCTACGGGCTTCTGCACCAATGATGGATCAACCGTGAGTGCCTTGGCAATGTCCACAGGTAACCAGGCCTTTGTGACATGTACATGCTGACGAGCTGCGGCGGGATATCTAGGTATACATGGTCAGCGATCAATCATCAGTACCTATGAGCATACGTACCCTGTTATTCGTGCCCATACGGTCTTCTCCACTTCCGCCGGTGCAAAGGTATCGGCCAAGGGATCTCGTACAAGCTCCAAGGCGTCTTGCGCACTGATGTAGTTGTCCTCGTCTTGATTTCCCGTAATGTCTTCCTCGTCATCACTGTCCTTGCCGCCTGGATAACGTCTCCGACGGGGTTTGCTAGATGGTGCAGAGACGTGTGAGAGAGGAATGAGATGGAGGCGGGAATGGTAGATCCAGACCTGTGGGTTCCGTGAGTCGTGCACGTATAATGACACGTTTATATGCGGCGCACCCTATTCTCAGCGTTGGACGGGGTGACCCAAGAGGGTAGCGATTCCGCTGCCTCGATCAGAAGGAATTCACCGTCCGAGTCAAATACACTGTGGAGGACGTTCAGCGTTTAGCTGTGGCAAAGTTCAGACACCTCGCACACCTGATGACAACGTCCCATTTCGCACTGATCTCCCTGAGAAGCCATACTGCACACCATTCGTCGTCTACGCAGTCACCGACTCGCATCCTGCCTTCTAGCACCCATCCCTCTCCGTCTGGATTCGGGACTACCTTCAGCTCAAACGCGTCGCGGTGCCAGAGGTGACCAGGTAGTAACGAGTCAACACACGCATGCATCAAGGTCGCCAGAGTAGTGACCGAGGCTCGATCAGAGAGGCCGTTCTGCGGGTACAGTGTGTGTTGTAGTGTGTCCTCTGAGATGCTCGGAGGCCGATTGAAGATATCGGTAGCCATTCCTATTGCTAAGTCGAATAGACTCGTATGCTTTTCGCGATGTTCGCGGTAGGAGAAAAGGGAGGAGCAAGTCAAAATCAAAACCGAGTGCCCGGGACAAGAAAATGGCGGAATGACGAAAGTGATCGGTGAGACGCGTCGAGATCACGAGACTCAATCGTCCTCCGCATCATAGCCGGCGTCTGCCCCTTGCTGCCATTACACCGACGACGACGATGGCGACCGCCGCCAAGGAACGCGACCTCCTTGCCGTCATCGGCGATGAGGTGTGGTGCTAATAGCCTGTAACGACGTCACCTGCTCAGTGTGCTTCACCAGGACACTGTCACTGGCCTTTTGCTCGCCGGCATTGGACAAATTAGCCAGGACCACCGGAGAAACTTCCTCGTCGTGGACTCCAGTGAGTCAAGTCTCTGCCGTCAAGACGTCTTCTTCCACTGAATATAGCTCCTCACGCCCCATCCAGAGACGCAGACACCTCAGATTGAAGCGGCCTTCCAAGAGTTCACAGAACGGAAGGACATTGCAATTCTACTAATCAACCAGCATGTACGTGGATGCTTCAACTGCACGTGGTAACAGGTGGAAATGCTTAACACTCCGCTCTGACACAGATTGCGGAGAGGATCCGACCATCAGTCGACAAGTATGAGCAGGCATTCCCAGCACTCCTCGAGATACCCTCCAAGGATCATCCATATGGTGAGTTTCATCCCTTGAATCAAGCGCGAATGCCGACTATCATGCCTTGCAGATCCGTCGAAGGATTCGATACTCAGGCGCGTGCAGAAACTATTCGGTGAATGAAGGGAACAGCAGACCTTCACGAGGCCGCACACTCGCTTCGGACACTCCGGAGGGGAACTACGATACGATACATGGTTGGTGAGCATGGGTCTCATGACGATTAGGGACGACCTCGCATGTCCGTAGTGAATACACTGTATAATACATAGTCAAGCAGAGGATAAATGCGCACATTAACCTTACAAGTCATGAACGCCATGACAGTATCGGCTCATTTTCTCTCACACCGTCCGACCGCTCGACGAACACCCGTTTCGTGCCCCAGCTATGAGAGTCTGTATGGAAGTCAGCAGCAGCCCTCACAGAACTATGTTGTGTTATAACTCACTAGGAACGTCCACGAAGAGGTACCGGAACTCGAAGAAACCTTTGTCATTCTATGATAGACATTAGCGTTCGTGTCATGATCATTTCCACCCATGTGTGTTCCGGCTGGAATGTGAGTGCGCTAAAAAATCTCCACGCACCATGACTAAATCCGCGTGTACTTCTCCCTCAGTATATGCCCCTCCATCTGCTGCATCCGAGCGCTTCTCCGTAGTGCTTTGTGATGTGCCTCGCAAGCCCGAAAAAAGGCCTGTGAAACCCGATGTCCATCCCTTCTCCTCTTCTCTGGATTTTACTTCAGGTCTTGCTGGTACCTCAGAATGAGATCGCGCGACAGGATCGCCGCTGAGGAACTTGAACAGCTGCTTCGCAGTGTCAAGACCCGCTTCCGCACGCGTCTTGACATTCTCGACCATCTCGTCGACCGACATCTCCGACACGTGTGCGACAGTCTCCTTCGTCCAGTGTACGGCCTTGTCAACGTAGGATTCTGAGTCGGAATCGGGCGCGGACGTCCCTGGTGGACGTCCTTGGACCCAGAAATGAAGCAGCATGTGCTCTCTTCCGTATTGATCAACCACAACCTGCGATGCAACCTGGTGGTTTCGATGCCGCGGACGTGTGTCTGACGGCGGGTTGTTGTGGAATGAGAGCGAGCCGTGCAAGAACTTGGCGAGCTTGGAAGAATTTAAGATGGCATCGGGCGTTCAGTATTTTCGTAATTGGACGCACCTTGGGAGAAGCTTTGATCTTCTCGCAGGCTTGTCCGTACAGCACAGTGGCCGAATTTTTCGAAAACAGCTCCGAGGTCAAGGCATAGATGAGAACAGTAGAAAGACCCGCGCCGAGAAGGATGACAGCCAGATTGGTTGTGCGAGCTGTAGTACGTGCCACTAACGTAACACGATCTAGTGAGGCAGCAGGATGACAAGTGGTTTGACGCACCTTTGCCCGCGGTACTCAGCTGTGACCATTTCTTCACGTTCTCGCCACTCTGTGGTGTTGGAGGGGTCAAACCCATCTGGAAGGGCCCAACGTAGTCATCACGCTGTGAAGTACGCTGCTTCTGGTCCAGCGCAGACGTGAGGAGAGAGGAGGTCGTCACTCGATCATTCTGAGCCGTCGCATACGATCGACAGACCACAACGCGGAACCGTCGTGCTCCTGCATGTGATGCTCGGGAGGACTGGGCAGTGGGTTGCGCTAGGCACGTCCACCGCAAGCTCAGCTTGGCCCTGGCAAAGCTCATGGTTGCCAGCTGGTTGTACCGCTCAAGTCCTGGTGCAGTCGCGGGATGAGACTCAAGGACCCGATCCAAAGCGTCGGGAACGCTTTGCACGGCATGCACGTGATTGACGCGTCCAGGCATTCCGCTCTGATCCCACCAATCAAATTCACCTTCAATCTTGCACCAGAAGTGCACAAGCACTTAACAACTGCACAATCTGGTGCCACGGTTGACACTGTCTCGATCTTCTCTGCTGAGGGTTGTGCAATCGCTCTCGCAAAGCTTTTATGTTTATGAACAGCTACGAAAGCGGCATAATCGCAAGTACTACCAGACAGTTGGCAGTTGGGTACCGTATCAGATTACGTTTGTGCCATATTGATTACCATCAGCAAGTCAATCACCACCCGAAGTTCTCAAGGTCTTCCACAACGGACCGCTTCAACTATGTGAAGACATTGAGTGATGATGTCAGTAGCTTTGGAACACAGACATACCGGCGGACTAAGCCCAGCACCTTCGAAGTATGCAAGCACGAATTCTGTTGCTAGCCAGTCACTCTGCACAGATCCTAGGTCGCGAACGATCAACGAGCGAGGCTGCTTCGCGCCAGCCACAGGAGGCGTCAGCAGAACGTCGAGAGGTGTGTGCTTCGCAAGGGGTGTGTTTGGGAAGACAGACTTGAATTTGCGCAGAGGTGACTGGACCGCAAGCTCGTCTTCTGGAGACAGGGTTCCTCGTTGTTTACTGAGTAATAAGCGTGCCTGCAGGGCACGCATGAAGCCATCTCTCAGGTGACCATAAGATGTTGACCTCGTAGGGACTGAATCAGACAATGTCAGCGGCACAGGACAGGGCTCATTAATTGTAAGCCGAACGCACTGATACGCAAGACGCAAGCTGTGTTCCTGACAATGTGCTCAATCTTCTCCTCAGGAGACGCCGTGCGAGGTATCTACACTCAAGGATGGCGTGTAAAGCTTGCTCTCGAGACAACACGAGGGGACGAACGTTCAGATTCGGGTTGGCTAAATCAGCATAGAACCCAACCGAGTAGACCTTGATTCCCAGGAAGGATACCGTCCTGACGCCCACACCCACGAGCGAGAAAGTCGGCAACGGTGTTTTGGAAGGAATGCGGAGTGTCGTGGGGAACGCGATGGACGTTGCGGGGTCAACTGAGTGAAGCTTAAAGTCAGATCTCATCATGGCTTCCGGTGACGACGAGCAAGGCACAGACGGCGCGTATTCTCTTCTCCCGCTTCGTTTTCAGCCTCAGAATCAAGATGCAACGTCGCAGATGATTTGAAGACAAGAGCGGCAGATATGGCTAGCGCGGAACACCAAAGAAGGGGCCGCGCGGATCGACGCATCGGCGCGGCCTGTGAATGCGTATGCAGCTGACGCGTCAGAGAGACGTGACGACATCCCGAGAGCAGCCATCCTGCGAGTCTTGCATGCGGAACGTTCAGCATAGTCGTCGTCAAAACTAACCAAGCTTACACCCTGGCGGGCGCGATGCAGCAGATGAGAACACGTGGGGCTGTAATAGGGCGCGATTGGGCGCTTGAGGCGCATAGTACGCGTCGCGGACGCTTTAGTCGAGGCAGTCGTTCCCTTGCCCCTCAACCCCGCAGATCTCGCAGCAGTCTTGCTAAGATCTTTCTGGAGGACGCGTCAGCACAGGGCCTCGTCATCGCAAGCGCGTTGCGCTTATAAAGTCCGCTATAGGTAGGTGACAGTTCCATTGGACACACTTTCCATTATGTCTGACTACTTCGACCGCCCAGAATCCACTCTCCTCATCCTACAAAGCATGGACGATGAGGACATCTCCATGCCCGAGTCCCCGTCCTGGGAGTCGGGCACTATGACGCCTGGTCAGTCTGCCTTCGAGAAAGACAAGGTGTCTATGCAGTCATACCTCGACTCGCTTCCCTATGAATGTGAATCTATCGACGAGATGCGTGCGAAACTCGACCACATAGTGTCCAGGATTTGCATCTGCGTTGAATCCAAGAACTGGCTTGTTTTGACTACTTGGGACGGTATGCTGCAATGGTGAGTCTCGATCCTCTGTCTCAAGCCTTCCAGTATTCATTGCCGTCCATTAGCTGGCTGCTTATGCACTACCCGATGCCCAAGACCACGCGTGCTAAGCTCGTGCAGCTTTACTACGAACTATGTCTGGTGCCGGGAATAGAGCCGCGTGTTGTCCGTAGTTGGGCAGACATGCTCGCCCGGCTAATTTCGAACAAGCCAGATCACAGACGCAAGCTCGAGAATACCGATCTACAGCTTGATTGGAGGCCACTCTGGCGTGTACTCCAGAAAGAGCTATGGCCGAAGAAGAGGCTCCATGACGTCTCGTGAGCGCCTTTTCCCTCCCCTCGGCGCTCGCAAAGCCTAAACACATAGCGCCAGCCGGAATATGATCAATATACAGTTGTATGTTGCAGAACAGTGCAGGCGATATTACCCTGCCAATGAGATAGCCGAGATGCTAGCAACATTTCTACCACTTGTCACGAAGGAAGTGCGTAAGGAATGTACGATAGCCTGGAGCATCCGCTCATCCACTGTCTATTACAGACTATGTTGACAATGTTCCCTGTTATCACTTCTTTCTTGCCACCCACACATACCGAGCTATATCTCCCACCGTTGTTCAAGCTATGGGAAGCAATCAACTCCTCGATCCTCGATGATCGCATGATTGACTTGTGCGGAGATCTCTCCGAGGAGCATGTCGCTGGTAAGCTCGGAGATGCCGGTGAAGAAGGTGGAGCTGCATGGAAGGACATTGGCATCTGGAGTGAGAACGAATGGCACATTCTTGCGAACAAGGCTCTTGGGTCGATGAGTAAGTCTGCAGTCCATTTATCGTGGGGTCTCGTTGTTGATGTCAATCTCAGATGTCCCTGTTGGTGCCACTCGTGTAAGTCTTGGGTACGATTTGAGGTGGCTGAGGTGGATTTATGAATGTCGCGCAGGGCGCAAGTACAACGGCGTCGCACGCGGACCATATGGCAGACAAGCAGACATTGAGAATACGCAAGCCCATCAACCGAGCTAGTATGTATTTGATATACTGCGTAGCAAAACAGATCTTAATGCACAGACTATACAGATGGTTTAGCAAAACTGTTTGTTTATTCCATGTGCCTTGATGGTCCGGTGCGCGGCGAGGTCACCGCGGCGTCCCAAGGCTCGTCTATGTCTCCGCCACCTACTGGGTTCCTTGCTGGCAGTCGCGCGCTCGATGCATTGGATAAGCTAATTACGAGCACGGAATCATTCTTCCACCCCTCAAATTCTGGGCCCTGGACTCTGGTTGTAAGTGTTCTACGCAATGCCTGTATAGATGCTCACAACTCGATGTTACAGCTGACGCTATTCTTACATCGCGTAACAGCTGAGTTCTCAAAGCGTTGGAAAGAGGAACAGGAGCAATCCTGCAGAACACCCATTGTAGGTGTCAGTCTCTCACTTTGCGAATTTGTTAATGTGTTCATGTACAGACACGTCGTCTAACTCCCGATATCCGACGTGCATTCGTCACCATCTTGCGCACTCCCGCCTTGCTAGCTATGTTCTCGAAGGATCCGTTCTCGATCAGTTACTCACAAGCCGCGCTGCGCTCCTTGGCGTTCATCGAACCCAGTCTCATCATGCCAGAGCTTGTCGAACGTGCTTACAGCGGCCTCGAGGTTATCAACGAGACCCATCGCACGACGGCCGTTATGACGATGATGGCCGCCGTCGCGCATCCGCTCGTCTGTGAGAAAGCGTGGGTAGGAGGCCAGAAGCACGTCGTGACACTGCTGGAGCTGACACTCCCTGGCATCGACCTTGTAAGTGTGAACGAATCATCGAAAGTGGCCCGGCTCACAATGGTCATACATCGTCTTAGAACGATCCTATCAAGACAATGTGTGCCGCCATGTTCATTGCCTCGGTTGTGCAGTATATCAAGATCGGCGACATCTCGATGCATCAGGCTGGCGTTGCCCTCAGTGACGACGCACCGGCTGCAGAGGTGATGGACGTTGATGGTAGCGATGCAGTTCCGTTACCTGGGGGTCTCGACGAGCACGGTATGCCCGTTCTCAGTAGGGAAGAGGAGCGTCAGCTTGCTCGAGAAAGCACAGCTGGTTTCGCCGGTATGTATTTCTGCATGCATATTGGAGTTCAGAATTACTGACTGGCAATATAGACTGGGTTACATCTCTGTTCAGACGTATATTTGCGCTATACGAGAACCTTCCTGAAGAAGGAGGAAAGAGGAACACCACTGGTGGCAAGACAGAAGAGGGCGTCCTGAAAGCTGTTAAGAGCATGCTCGATGTCGTCTGCCTGAATATGTCTGATCAGCTCTTCGATCTCGTGTTGAACCTCGTCTATGATTATGCTACTACTAATGCGAAGTCTAATGCCGTCCGGGCGTTTGGGCAACTCGTCTCATGTTTGGCACGGATACGACCGGAGAAGACAATCGACAAGTTCTTGCCGTACTGTATAGCCCAGATACAGGAAGAGTTGAAGCATGGCGCGTCGAGCACCCGGACGACGTCTGTCCATGCGTCTGTTCCGTCCGACACGACTTTGCATTGGAGTACGTTCAAGCAGTCGTAGGTTGTACTTGAAGCTCATTGGTCTTTATTAGACATGGCAATTCTTCGCGGATGCTTCGGTTATGGTGCTGAAGTGGTGAGTCGTCAGTAAATATGTGTGTTGTGATAAATTTAATAACGCATACTTGTGCCAGTTCCTGAAGTACAAGGCACAAATCCTTGGATTAATGTCACTGCTCATTGACAAGTGCAAAAGCGAGCGTGGATACAGCGGGACGGGGCGGCTCATCAACAGGATTATGTATACAATGACCTCGGCGTATCCTATTCGTGCCCGCTTCCTTGACGCGGACGAGTGGAACAATCCAGGTAGGCTATTACCGTCCCGATAGGTATGAAGACAGGTTGCTTACTCTGATACGGCCGAAGATGTTGCCCAGAATCACACTGCGCACTGGGGCCGCTTGTATGATCCTCAGGACGTCAAGATTGAATGGCATGGTATGTTCGTTAACATCGCACTATACCATTCGCTCATGTAAGCGGCAGTATCTTCCAAGGACGAAGTCGACTTTGCGTTGGAAATACTGGACAATATTGCAGGTCCGGCCCTGGACAAGGTCGAGAGTTTGACCGCCATCGCTGGCAAATGGGATGATGTCGCTCGGAATGACTTTTGCCGGTTTGTCTAGATCTCACCCACTCCAATCCGCGGCTCATAATGACGATTACAGTTACCTCCACGCTGTTCGTTCAGTGTGGAGCGGGTTATCAAACCTGTTTCAGGAGGGCCCGAAAGAAGTGGTAAACCCATGCCTGGATCAGGAAACGGAGGTCCCAGAGCTTCTGTTGACGCATTTAGACGTCAAAGCATGCTTTGTTCTGACAGACCCCCATGACCCACGGTACCAGCGAGCAGTGGCCCATCGACTGAGATACGGTCGTGTCATACACCAAGCAGCTCTTGCACTACAGAAGCCAAACGGAGGTGAAGACCACATTGATGCCCTTATCAGCCTATCGAAAGCCATAGATGTATACCTTTTGGAGTACGCTATGACCAGGAGTAACTTTGACACTCTGCGGAAGTCGTATGCGCAAGCACGAGAGCAAGTCATTCATTTTCCCTTCGGACCCTCCGTCTCACATTCTCTTTTCAGTTCAACTCGCATGTGGTCGAAGCAGAGAGCCACACCGAGGATGGTCCTCATCAGACGAGCGCACGCCTATCATGGAGGAAGAGTATACATGCACGCCTTATACCGTCGAAGATCACAAGTAGACGATGATCTGCTTCGTGATCTAATCGAGATGTCTCTCTCTCCCTACACAAGGCTCAGGAGGTAAGACGCTCTGCACTGATTCAATAGCTCACCTCATCGTCGTTCTACAGACATGCTCAAGCCATTTTCCACAACGCATGCGGCGTCAGTTTGTTCTATGCATTTTTCTCTCCGTATTCTTGTGCTGACAAGCATTAATGTAGTATTTTGTACGTTCTACCCGGATGTCTCTTCCATTCCTCTTCGAAGCCCTATCCCGAGGGACGGATCCAGACCGTATGAAGGGTGCTTTGTATGTCTTGTGGAACAAAGGTACAGGTACGTGTTTGACTACCGCTTATCGTTATTTGGTTTCTAACCCGTAATCGGCAGCTGCATACGCGTTGGCAGGTATGTACTAATGGTTCTTGAACGTGGCGAATGCATACCTGACATCGCTATTCAGACACAAGGTCTCACGGACGATATCTTGTTTCGTTGTTGGAATGTCAGCACCAGGAGAAGGTACGCCTAGGAGCTCAAAATGTGGACACGCCTTGATCAATGTTGCACTCCAGCCTTCAATTCAGAAGCTAGTGGGCAATCTTGCACAGGATGCGGCGGTGTACCTGACAGAGGAGGCCACACACACGGGCGCTTTCCTCGAGAATATACCCGGAGTCATCAACGCCTTGACTGCTTTGAAGGAGGAGTATCCTGTGACTAGTGAAGATCATAGGATACTTGCACATGCTATTCAAAAAGTGCCCGGCCGCGCTGCAGCCAAAAACCGGCATCATGAGGATACAGTAAATGTCGTGCCTATCTTGCGTGGCATCAATTGACATATGCCCGCACAGGTGTCCGCAATTTTGCAAATCGCCGACAAACCTAACATCCATGTATGTCTTAATCAAGTTACTATCCATGTCAGCCTTGACTCGGATCACACTTAGTGGCGTTACGTCGAAATTGCGACGACGTTTATCTCGGGACTTCTACGCAGGGACGCGGCTCCCTCACCGGAACTGGCGGCATTTTTAGTACAGCATAGTATCAGTCCACACCCAACAATAAGAGTGATTGCTCAGAAGTATGTGCAATTACTTTGAACCTCGACCACTCCATTCACATGTTGTATTTTAGGGCTGTGTCCAGGATGACCTGTTATATCAAGATCCGCACATTCGCGAAAACGACAGAGGAGCTGTGGTTGGATGAATGGCATAACCCTCTGCGGACTACTGTGACTATTTCTGATCCGACTGCCTTCTTGCATGGCCTAGAACAGCCTATACGTAAACAAGGAGACGTAGAGTATGTCTGTTTCGCGCGCCGCATTTGGTCTGATGTCTTACGGGCGTGCTTCAGGGAAGTGTATGTGGACAAGATCACGACGGGATTCTTTATGTGGTCATCATCGGTGAAAGCTTATCGAGCCGTACAAGGGCAGGAGTCGTCATTTTCATGGGAGCAGGCATCAAGGCCCGCGCTTGACGCTATGAGCGCGATACTCAAAGAAGGCAACTATTTCAATAAGCTAGCTTTGCTATGGGGTCAGGAGTCGACCAGGAATAATTCTACGCCTGAATTACGAGCTGATAATATTGTATTCATGAAATCGCTGGGTACGTCGCCTGGCTCCCTTGCAGAAAGGCATTTATTGATGGACGAGCAGCCAAGACTTTCGAGCATCGATTTGCTCAGGCTATCCTCACCGTTGTTCAACCTTTGGCAATAGACTCCGACCGGTTCAAACAACGCGCAGCTGCAGAGATGTTGGCTGGCGTATTGCGGGGTATTATTTGACATTACCTTCGCCTCTACCTTCAACGTCCTCATCCCTTCTGCAGGATCGAAACACTGGCCTCGAAGCTCGTCAGATCTAGTATGGACATGGATGGCTTCGCGTCTGCCTCTGATATATGCGAACCTGAAACCGGACACCATCACGTTTTGGGAAGGGATGTTCAGCGTAAGCAAATGTTCTCATCTATCACTGTAAGTTGTTCTTACCTGCTGCCCAGGAACAACTAGTCGAGAGAGACCCACGGCGTGCCAAACCCATCGTTGACTTCATCATATCTCTACCCTTGGAGTTCCACGGCGATTCTACTTTTGCGAGTGAGTGTGATCCAGAATGTCTACCTTGTGCTGGATTTACGACGTCATCGCAGTGTACAAGTCGCTTTCTCTATTCACCATTCTGATTGAATCTCTCGGCTTGCGTTTCCTGCCATACAGCGCTCGTTATGCGAATCTCTTTCTGGACAACGCGAACACTGGTTACGCAGAGGTATTCTTCTTGTTTCTTCTCGTGGGAGCACTTTGTTGAAAGTATGCCTGCAGACGCGCTCTCAAATTGCTCAGAGCTTGTACACGGTTGTCACCACCGAATGGCGACCTGTCTATCCATCTGCGGCAGCCTTTGTACAGGCTTGTCGGGCTGAAGTAGATCCTCTACGCATCAGGTCAAGCTGTCCCTTGCATATGAAGTGACACAACTCATATCATTATAGGGATGCAAAATACATGGATCGTATCATGCAAATTGTTGAACAGCTCCCACATTGGAGAAATGAACGCCTTCCTCCCCCAAGAGTGAGCCAGTCGCAATATGACAAGGTAGGACTCACAAGTACGTCCTACAATTCCACCAGTGGTGCACGCAACATTTCTGATCATCATGCAGTCCTGCAATGGATTTGGGAGTTCTCGCATGGCCCGCAAGCTAATCTCATTCTCCCTTACGCTGTGGCTTTAATGTACGTGCCCAATTTGTGGCGGTGTGAGTGTGCTGACATCCAATATTTCAAGGCCTGAGATCCTGCGGATGTCTGAACTCAATGACAGCTCGGAGCTGCAAAAATATAGCTCTGCTGTTTTATACGTGCTTTCAGCAGTATCTCCGCCAACGGATTATATCGTCGTCATCATGAACAATTTCATTGATCTCATCAAATCGTCCACGGTGCGCTTAGTTCAAATGCATCTACCATTCTCTTCTGACAAAATGTGTATTTATAGTCATGGCGCGTCAGAGTCAATGCATTGCCGACACTGCTAGTATTCTACTACCGCAACCTGATGAGCATACCCAGCAATCTAGTAACCAGGCTTATGGAGGTCTTACTTGAATGCCTAAGCGATGAAAACGTTGAAGTCCGCGAGATGGCATCTAAGATGTTGTCCGGCGTTGTCCGGTGTTCGCAGCGGCAGAGCATCGTGCCATTGAGGGTATGTTCGTTTCACTTCGCATAAAAGCCGTGCATATTAACGACCATGTATTGTTTTCTTCAGGACCGCTTCGTGAACCTTGCCCGCAAGACGAAGCTGCCTAATCGGCAACATCCGGCACACGCAGAATCACTTCGATTGTTACATTCTGCCATTCTTGGTATATGTGCACTAATCGAAAGCCTCCCGTACTCTGTGGAACCATGGATGCCTCCTTTGACGGACGGTAAGAAGGTGCCAATGAGATAATCCCACGTACTGACAGCGCGCCGACCCAGTCCTAGCGACGCATGCGACAGACCCAGCGCCGATCTCCACCACTATACGAAAGTGTGCTTCAGAGTTCAAGAAGGTACGTGGCAAATTCTATCGGATACACATAATCTCCTCACACGTAGTACGTCTGATGAACAGACACATCAGGTCAGTGGGCATGGTGTTATTCGCCGATATTACCTCTTAGACTTGTCAATAGGACACGTGGCACAAGGACCAGCACGCGTTCGACGAAGATCAGCTGCAAAACCTATCCACCATGCTTGTTGGCACTTCCTACTGTAAGAGGCTTTTGTGTTGGTTAGTGTTGACACTCACCATTCGCAGATGCTTGAGATCTCTCGGCTAAGCGGTGCCGCCCTGCAACGTATTGTGGACTGTCATCCCATGCATGTGTACAGTACTAAACCATCGTTCATTGCTATATTTCTTGCACTCGCAGATGTAGAGATGTATCAGTACGTCCATTGTTTGTAGCTGTGATTCCATATTTGATGCGGAAGGCGTGGCTGTAAATCCGGACTAAGACTGCCGGGACAGAACTGGATGTATGTGAATTGTTTGACGATATGCTTTCGAAGAATGTCCCAACGTTGCGGTCTCTGCACAAGACGCAGATGAATGGTCTTCTAGCTCATCGCTCGAGAGAACGACGCCGTGACCCCAATTCTTTCGCCTCCTATGCCCGATATGACAATAGTGCCCACCGGAAGGCTTCTGTCAGACTCGCGTCTTCAAGCGTGCGACCTTCGCGCGGACAAGCTGGCCTGAGACGCGACAAGAGGACGAAGGCCTAGCCGTGTATGTTCTACGTTTGCTTGTCCTCACAGCCGCGATCCGACGACGTTCGATTAGAAGCTAGCCTCTGGTGACCTTTCATTGACATGACGTCCTCTCGATGCTGAGGAAGACACTGGTGGGAGCGAGAATGAGGCATTTGCCTCACAAGCAATTGTCGAAGGCTGTCCACCGACGCCAAAGGCGGCTTGATCCAACCTCAATACGTAGCTGAGTCGCGGGAGCAGTACACGGCGTGCGACGCGCCCTCCCCCGCATGCACTTTATCTTGCCTATCTAACACGGGGCGAGAACCTTGCCCGCACGCGGACGAAGGGAAGTGGGGTGCGTGGTGGCTGACGTGGGGACGGCGGGTCCCCGCGTGGGCTCGCCCGCACTGAACGGGACCGAAGCGGAAGCAGGCTGCGCGGGAGCCTCGTTGGCGGTCCTTCGTGCCACTGTGCGAGCGCAGCCGCGACAGTGCGGACGTCAGGATCGCGGACACCGCATGGGGGGCGAGAAGCAGGAAGCGATGCCGTAATGAAAGCTGCACGGGCATGCGGAGAACACAAGGTCTATCGATGGGAGCGCGACCTCGGAAGCCGGGATCATCGGTGAAGGCCTTCGCCGCCGAGCTTGCGGGTCACCTGCGAGGTCTCGGAATCATACTGAGACTCGGGTGGTCGTCCGGGAGGGACAGGTGCCGCTCACGGCGTAAGTATATTAAGACACAGTGGGGAGACTGTGCGAATGTGGTAAACCGGATGTTCTCGCGGAGGGATTCTGATAGGCACACGGTATGTAAATGAAATCGCGCACCCAGGAACTCTATAATGCACGCGATACAAGTGGGCAATATGCGGCGGTGAGACGTGCAAACGTCGAGAAACGTGCGTAGAACCATGGAATGGTGTCAGATACTTTAGAATTTAATACGTGACTCTGAAGCGTGGTCGGCACCAGATTGCTGCGTCCGCGTGCACTTTACACCATGGGCGATGAATCTAATACGATGGAGCTGCATATACCATCTGTGTCTAGAGATGTATGAGAACTCACGATGAGCAGGCTAAATCATGAGTCAAATATTGTGGCCGATCAATCGTTGAGGGCACTCGTACACAAGAAGGTATGGGAGATCCGGCAGCTCGACTCAAGAGCACATCATTGAGTCATCAGAGATTGACAGAAGACACGTTTATCCTTCACGTCCCTCATCGCAGAGTCGAGGAGCACCATACCAAGGCGACGGGATAACAATAGTAAGTGCATGCTGCAGGATTTGCTTCCGGCGGTAAGGGCGCTTAGGAAGGTAAAACACACGTGGCAATTGCCAGATTGGCTCTTGACCGGCTCGACTCGGGACCGCGGCGTGGCCGCATGCAAGGGAGGGAATTGATTGGACTGAGCGGGATTAGCGTCGCGTCGCCATGGACAGGGTGGGGGTAGAGGGGCTGTGACGGAGATGTACGAATATGTACGGCGTGCGAAAGCGAGAGTGGGCGGTGCTGGGCGCTGGGCGGGGTCACGGCGTACTACAGTACTACTCGTTGTTGTTTTCAGTGGAATTGTTGTTGCTGTTGTTGTTGTGATTTTGAAGAGACGATCGATGTGAAAGCGATGGAAAGCTGATACACGACGCACCTGCGTGCGGGATGAGGTTCATATTGGATTGGGAATCGCCGCCGCAAGCAGGGCACGTTGCGATCAAACCCTGACCCTTCTTCACGGCGCCAGGCGAGCGCAAGTCTTTCCTCTCGCCTCCATCCTCTCGCCCTCAGCGAGGTCTCATCAACGCCTTCCTCTTTCCTCTCTGCGCATCTCTTGACTCGACATATCTAAATAAACACCGAAAGCATCATCACGACTCTCCGCGCGCGGCCTTTCACCTTTTTATACCTTTATTCCGTATTCACATCTAGATCCCTGTCTTCTCGGCCTCTTCGCAATCCAGCGACTGTCCGCTCCAAGACAGGGCTGGTCATCTACTTTTCCTCAAGTTCCCGCGCGCACGACTCCTGCATACCGTCCATCTGCCTATCCACGACAGCACTTGATTATTCCTAATAGTCACCAGCAAGCTTTTTTATCGCCCAAGCACACTCGGACGTGTCATCACAAGTTATCGTTAACTCGTCAGCGTTGGAGCTTCTCCGTCACGCTTTGTGGCCACTAGTACTGACTGTTCTCCGTGCAGATTAAAATGCTCCACGACTCTGTCACGAACCCATCTAACCAGACGACTTTCTTCGCTCAGCACTCTGACGACATCATCTCCCCTAACCAAGCAAAAACCAACAACAACCTCGGACTCAACTCTAGAGACATGTTGCCAGGGACTCGTAGGGCGCCTTCAGGACGAATGCAAACAGGTACGTCACGTTCCTCCTCGCTCCCGCGTTGGGAAGTGAAGAAGCGCACCTTGTCAGCCGAGCTGTCAGAGCGGAGCGTGCTTTCTCCCTCAAGCGGGAATAACCGTTGGAGATTCAATGGTAACGGCCAACTTGTAGATTCTGCGACAGCGGGCTGGGATCTCGGGGACGAGATTGGGAAGATGCGCCTCGGTGACAACGGTGACGGCGATGAGCCTCAACTCCATACTCCTCCTCAGTCCAAGGCACACGCAGCAGCTTTGGTCCAATTCCAAGAGGCGTCTCCTCTTGAGACATCGTCTGAGGCCAGCATCGAATCAGGCTCGTCTACCGCGATAGACCGCCAAGTCAACTTGAACCATTCGCGCGAGTCTTCTGCCGACACTAGCCATTCTGGCCTGTCGTCCGCGAGCCATACTTTGCGAAACGCCACGCTGACACCTCTAAAAATTGGTGTCGTCGGAGAGTCCAGGAACAGGCCGCACTCGTACAGTGGAGGTCTCTCTAGTACGGACCTCACTCGCCTGCAGCAAGTCGGCGGTAGTCCTGCCAGTAAGGGCGAGTCTTGGATCTCGCCCCATGGTACTCCAGAGAGGCAGCCACAGGCTGATCAGCCGACTTACCCGTCGCTTGCTCAGGCGGGTGCGGCCCGATTGCAGCAGGACCAGCAACAATTCACGCGTGAAGACTTCAACGCCGACTACCAGCAACGCCAATTCAGCCCGCAGTCTGCCTACCCTCAGGGCAGGACCGCCAACAACGGCGTATCCATGCCATATCGCCAGCCTGCGAGGCAATTCAACCAGCAGATCCCGGTGCAGCCCGTTATCCCGAGCCCGACGAGCTTCGGCTACCCTGCGCCGCCGCCACCGCCGCCTTTGGCGATCTCCAACCCCCAGCAGCAGCTGTACGATATGATGCTCGCGACGCCGCCGCTCGACAACGCCACGATTGCGCGCCTCCAGCAGCAGCACAATGCGTTCCGTAATGCTCACCAGCACACCGTCTCCGACCCGGCGGCCGTTCGCGACCCCGCTGCCTTGGCACTGCTCAACAACAACCTGCAGGCCTTCGCAGCCAGTCAGTTGTACCCGCCCTCCCTTGCGCCGCCGGCCGCGCTGTCGATGTTCGCAAACCAATTTTATGGCGCCCCGCAGGATGCATACTCCTCACCGGATCTCGCGGCCGCTCAATTGATGGCTCGGTTGCAATCCCCGTACGCCGGGGCATATGGTGTACCGTTGCCTGGGCAGAACATGCCTCTTGCAAACCCTGCCGTGGCAGCAGCAGCAGCTGTGGGCGGTGTGGGTGGGTTGAATGCCGGGCCGAGCGCGAATAATAGGAAGCTTGGTCTGTACAAGACTGAGCTCTGTCGAAGCTGGGAAGAGAAGGGCACCTGCCGCTATGGAGCGAAGTGCCAGTTCGCGCACGGCGAGGACGAGCTGCGGAAGGTCCAGCGCCACCCTAAGGTAGGCTACACATTAACATGTATATCGTGTGCCAAGCTAACCCTGTTCTGCCCTATACAGTACAAAACGGAGATATGTAGGGTACGTGTGTTCTAGCGTGTCAGAAGGATACCCAAAGCTGACAAAGTTTTGTGAAGACCTTCTGGGTATCGGGGTCATGTCCCTACGGTAAAAGATGCTGCTTCATTCATACGGAGCTTCCTGCTTCTGGCGCGCCTCCAGGCGCGGACGGAGCTCCGCCACCGCAGGTCCCTCATGGCCGCGATCGCTCTGGCAGCACCAACAGTGACCCCAATGAGGTATCCACCTCCTTGCTGGCACGTATCTCTGCAAAGCGTACACAAGAGGGCACCATCAATTCTAACACGGGCAGCGTGAGCACGACCCCGCCGTCGAGCGGCTTCCAGCTAAATGGACGCCCCGGCGCCCTGCGCGTGGACACATCTGTCCTGGACTCTGCAGCAAGCGCTAAGCAAAACAAATCGGCATATCCGACGTTCGCGCATAATGGCATACTCATGCCTGCAAAGGAAGAGGTCACTGCTCGTTCTCCTGGTCCGGTGACCGCGGGCCCTGACTTTGGTCGGCACGCGAGCTCACGGTTGGATATTGTGGGCACTCAGGTGCGTTTCAGGCACAACAAGCCGCGGACTATTGTATTCACACGTTGAACCTTAGCAGCGAATCGGCAAAAATACCGCCTCGAGCCCTAACGTTCGCCACTCATTCAACGGCAGCGACATTCAGCTAGATTTCAGCACCACCCCAACGGCAACGAATGCGCCCTCCCAGCTGGGCTCGTCCCCGGAGATGCCGAAGAGTCAGTCGCGCATCAACGGGCACGTTCGCTCGGGTAGCGCTGGCAACTGGGCGGGTGCGACGCGAAGCAGCCACCTGACGGCGTATCCGCTGTCGTCGATTCCGGGCGGCGAGGTCAAGGCGAGCTCGCCTTGGGCTGAGTATTCTGTAGGCTCACGTCTCGTGGAGAAGAATTGGCTCTAGACTGACGATTGTGCAGTGATCTGTGTGCATACGAATTCGCATGGACCGTGTTACCCTTCGCTTACATGCGGCATGGACATTCGCGTTTGGTTATTTGTCTGTTCTGCTTGCACGACTGACAGGATACCGTCACGCTGTCTGCTTCTCGCTCCTGTACTTGCTCGTTAAACGCTAGCTTAGTCTCCCTTTCCAACCCTCTGCTACCACCAGTTTCAATCGTCTCATCATCCTGCTCATCTCGTCGAAATAGCTTGACTTATTTCTCTTGACACTCGGATAGCTTTTCATCGTTCCGTCGACATCTCACACGCTCGCCAACACATGTTAATCTTATAAGTCAATACAGTTCGCTTGCTTTTCTCGTTCACTGGCCCAGGCTACTGTAGAATTGTTTTGGTAGTATCACATTGCGACAAGTCTACACGTCAAATCAGTGCGGGGTATACAGGTCTAGGGTGATCTATGTAAAACAACGTATATCACAATAAATCAGCCATATTGAGACAGCATACGAAGATGTTTCCTACTAGTAACACATCAAAAACCAAAAGCATGTAACTCTCTGCGGAAGCCATCCAATCGGCACTGAGAGTAGCCCAAATAATCGAACTCCGGATCTCCGTCGCTGCCCTCGACGAACTCCCGAGCTTGGATAATCCCCCAAAGAGCCCACATCGCATGTGACGCGGGGCTCCAAGCCCGAACCTGACTTTCCAACGTGTCCGCCTTCGCCTCGAGCTCCTCCGTGGACATCTGACGCTCCTTATTTGGCTCTATGTGTCTGAGGTATGACCGATAGAAATTGCGCCGCTGATCTTCGGTCGGATAGAGTGCGGGATCAAGAATGTGCGCGGTGTCGGAGTGGTAATTGGCGGTCCATTCATGGAAGTGGTTCGCAATATCAAAGGCCGCAGGATTGGGCGAAGCATACTCGAAATCGACGACGATGATCTAGAATGGAAGAATAAAGAGAGGGCGCCGACTGTCAACCTGCGTGCTAGTGCAGATCTAGCTTGGCAATACGTACTCGTTGGTGCTTGGACATGCCTTCTTTGAGGGTCTTCAACCGCAGCAGATTTCCGTATTGTGTGTCGTTGTGGGCAAAGACTCGTGGGCTAGGCCCGGCGATTTTCTCCTGCTCGTCGAGCCAACACGTGTAGCGCTCCCATTCTTCATGAAGACGATCGAGGTCGAGAGAACTTCGAGCGCTCTGCGGCGTCCCGGGAAGTGCGAGAACTTCGCGTGCAAGGCCGAACCAAGACTGCACATTCGTCTTGGCGGCCACCCAATTGTTCTCGTCAGCTGCGTCTGAAGTCGAGACGAGCTCAACCGCCTTAATGTCGACAGTGTGTAGCTCGGCCATACGTGCTGCGATCCATACACTCGTCATCTTGTCTCGTAAATCATCCGCCGTTAGGGTCGTAGCATCAAAATACTCCTCAACCCGCCCGTTCTCGAATGTGCCATATACACGAGGTCCAATGTGGTACTGCGAGGAAAGTACATGCAGAATCTGCAGTTCCCTCGGACGTGAAATCATGGACCCTGATGAAGGTCCGTAGATGCGGAGGAGAACGATGCGGGTACCCGGGACCGACGGACAAGAGACAAAGAAGACAGCGTTGGTCATGGATCCCGATACTTTCTGTATCTCAATCCTATCCGGGGTGATTCCAGAAGTTGACCATGAAGGGGTGCGGAGGGTATGAAGAATGTCGAGCAGCTGGACAGCGAATGCGGGGGATTTGTAGCGTCTAGGGTAGAAGAACGCATGAGCATGAGTAAAAGACATACATGACCAATAGCAAACCAGGATGGACCCCTCCTCCTGTGCCGTAACTCGTTAGCGTGCCGGCCAGCACCAGCGCAAGGGAGCCTCAAAGCGAGAAGGTGTACTCACCGCGCTTCAAGTCTTGTGTTCGAATGCCGCAAGCCTTCCACTCTAACGACATCTACGTCACCATCTTCGAATGGTATGGACACATTTGATGAAGAGTACGCCGGGGATGTCCCGATGGTCACATTGTCGGGTTCGCTCTGAAGCGAGGACGTTGATGTCCTCTTTAGCAAGAGCGTAGGTCGCTGGTATCCCGAAAGCGGAGGAGTGGGGACCAAATCAGGGCCCACGGTCGGCGACATCTTGCTCTGTGCTGTGGTGAAAGTTCTACTCAGCAGATTCAGCAGAGTATGGAATGCCGTAGTCCGGTGGTTGGAGCGCGAGGGTAGCTGGTTCATTCGTAGCACAGATTGTCAAAGGACGGTCAAGGTGGGAGGGATGTGCAGGTACCGATAGTCACACGACGAGGGAGCATGGAGGACGTGGGCAAGGAGGTGAGGCAGCAGCAAGGTCTGCGGGGCGCTTAACGGCCATACCCAATTAGGCATCAACACTATCTTCATCAGAATTCCCATACTTGGAATTGCTCTGGAACTTCCGCCTCGACCCTGTTCGATCATCGCGGACCGGATATTCAGCAACTACTTTGAGATACTACGGCGACTTTCGATGGTGCCGCTATAGCGTCGCAGATGATCCAATTGGAAACAGCTATGGTATAGCTTGCACAAGTTTTGGAAAGCAGCGTCAAACCCATAGTATCCGTTGATGACAAGGCCACTCTTCTGAGACATCTACCCGGATCAGGATTTTCGAGATGACAATCCCAACGCTAGCTTCAACTTAAAACGCGACTTCGAGCAATTTCCAATACGATATCTATGATATCTGATGCAGAACTGTGGACCGCTTCAGACCCGCTGTTGAACTGATGCGTGCCGCCTTGCACACTCCGTAGGGCAGTACATCATCGGCTATGCGCAATAACCGCAGCAAGGTGTGCATACATCTCCCCTCCTCCATTCGGAACCCGCCCAATTTGACTTGCTAAATATATCTGAGTACCGTGAGGGCGCTAACAGAGTTTCTGATGCGCTACGGATTTACGACGGTCCCGCTTTCCCCGGAAATCTGGTCATCTACACAAGGGGGGGACTTCTGTCTGGTACCTCCAGAGCTCAAACAGGAAGACGAATGTCCAGCATGAAGTGCAGCGCTGGCGGTCGAAAGCAACCCCTGACCCAGAAACAATTACTCCCGTGGACCCGTATACATGTTTGTCGGCTGCTAAACCTGACGTTCTAGACTGGCTATCTAAGTATCCTGCGGACGAATCCTCGCCACGCATTTTCAGACACGTGCGTCGTTGCGAACATCGCTAGCACAATTACCGTGGCCATTAGTCGACTCACCTCGATCGAACTTGTGGAACGCTGTGTGCGAGCTTCGGTCCGTCCCCGCCTCGTACGTACGTAGGATCCGTCTGTCTAACCGGATGGTGTCGTAAACCCGAGTACGTTACAGAGCCAATCTGCGACAATAGAGTTGTGGGTCGGGAACGCTATTCCATTTGCAGTGCCTCCACAGTCTTCGAATGTCCATCAGCCTCCCGTTAACGGTATCTGTCAGTCGAAGTACTTCGTTCATGTCTGTCGGAGATCCCACAGGAAGCGAAAGTTGCAATTTTCGTGAGAGCCTGCTGCATCTCCCATATATCCGGAATCGGTTGCGCAGACAAGGTGCGCACGGCGAGAGTAGCGGTCGAGAACATTGACGTATGACCTCACGTTTCCGGCTCGCTCAAACGAGCGTTCTCATGCCAATCCAACGGCGTTCAATTAAATCTCGACGCCAATCTCAAGAAGCCACTCGGCTGCAATCATTCGATCACAGGTGCCTGGACCTGGACCATGTCGATAGCTGTGGCACCAGATGCTACCCACCGCCGCGGCGTGAGATGAGGGAACCGTCGATCGGCTATTCTAGGTTACCACGAGGAGCCTAAGCCATTTTTGCATGGCGGTCTTACGAGTCGCTTGGGTCGAGTATACCATACACAGTACGGCGACTTGTTGATTGCTCGAAGTTGTGTCACCATTTTGAAGGAGGGGTATATGCTCATTTACACGCAAAGACACGCACAGAGGATTTGACAGAACCAAAACGCAATTACACCTGTAGTGCCCATTGCACTGTATATTGTTTTGACATGACCTTAATATGGCCGTGTACACGAAAGGAACTATTACAGAGATTACAGACAATACTTCAACTACAGTGGCAATAACAAGCCACTTCGAAGTAGAACGGCGTCCAAATCAGACAGCCTTCTCTTCCGATCGCATTGCTATGATGGTAGCGTCGTCGAGGTGTTTTGCTTCCCCGAGCTCGCTTTTTTCCATAGGGAGATTGCGCATGAATAACGAGATCTGTTCATCTGGCATCAGCTGAGCACGATAAAGAAGAACACAGGATAATTACTATGAAAGCCGCGCCTAAGCATGCACAACAGACCGACCATATGGTCTGTTCATAAATGTCAGCGGAGTGCTAAGGGGTCGATGGTCTTAGGCAACGCACCCGTATCGAGAGTGATAATGCGTGTACGACAACAGGTCTCACACCGTCCAAATCTGGCGAGCAGACAAACTCGACAACATTCTGTGCAGAGATCCCAGACGGCAAGGTGTCTGCTAATCGACCCTCGAAAATCGCCCCGGAAACAGACTATTGGCGCCATGATGAACTCGGTTTACTGAGTAGGTCCAGACGAGTTTGAACTCACCAGCCCCACAGTGGCCCCTGTAAACCTGACCAAGAAGAAGGCGCTTGTACCAGAAGCAGTATCCTTGCGGCGTAGCGCTCTCGTGAATACTTGATACGGGGCGTGAAAGAGCATGCCGACGCCGACGCCAGCGATCAGAGGAAATATGCTTTGTAGTATATTCGTTGTGGTGGTCACCATTGACATCATGACACCTAACGTTTGAACTATTAGCCCTCCACATGAAGCCAAGCATATGACACGACATACCGAAGCCAATGGTGGCGATGAAAAGGCCGAGACAGATCATGGTTTTCTGCCCACTTGTATCCGGATGCCGGACTTGCCAGTAGCCAATGAACCATGCAGCTGCCGAGGTATTTAGATACAGACCACAGCAAATGTTGAACATAGACGTACTAGGCATGGAAGCTAACGATGATCCCAGCGAATAAGGAAGCATTTTGATACCAGCTTTTAATGGCGTCAAGCTCTCAGCAGCCTAGAGGTTTCAATAGCCGGTCAGTGGGGCAAGAGCGGTTCCGAAGCCAATGACATACTTGAAAGAACAACGCCAGATAGAACGTGCCCGCATTAAAGGCGAAGTTGTGAAGGAAGATAATGATAAGCGTGATAACTTCATGGCAATGAGATCAGCCTGAGCAATGTGCGACAAAGGCGCTCCTACCAATAGTGTAATCTTTGAATACAGCAGGAGGGAACAAAGCGTCTCGCTTGGTTCGGACCTCATAGAAGGCAGCGCAGACCAAGACAACAAGCCCCGATACGATGATACTATATGACTTGGGTGTGGTGACTAGGAACATCAGTTGTAAGCAAATTGGAGAGCCTTGTTGACATACATCCAAACTGAGCAGCGACGTTGAAGCCAATGATGATGCAGCTGCTTCCACCCATAAAGAGAAATCTATCGGGGCATCAGTGAGACATAGCGTCCGGAACAGTTGTCGATACTGACAGTCCAGCGAAGTCGAATGTTGCCAAGAGGGAAGGCCAAGACATTGCCCCAGATGTTCCCAGTTGAACATGCCGGAGGGAAAGCCATAGTGCCATAGATGCCACGGCGCATACTGGGAGATTGAGATAGACTGGCCGAGCCTGTCTAAGTGCGGATGGCCACGGGGTTAATGAAAGGAAGCTCACAGGCCCATCTCCAGCTCAGTCCCCCCGAATTAACTGCCTCGACAAGATAAGTCATGAATGACCGCGAGATTGCAGGGACAGTCAGACGGACCACTAAAGAGCCCTCCGAGAATTGGTCCTGCGACCGCAGAGCAAGCCCAAGTGACACTGAGAGCTTGTGACCATTTGGCTTGGTTCTGGGCTTCTACGATCTCCGAGGTTATGGTCCATACCAAACTAACAATACCGCCGCCGCCTATGCCGCCGATTGCTCGGGCAATGATCAGCCACTGCATGCTCTAGATTGAGAGTCAATTGGCAATCAGAGTTCGCATTTGTTTTCAGTGACAGCCGGCGTTACCTTCGCTGAGCCACATAGAGCGGAACCGACGGCAAATACGAAAATGCTACTGAATAGGACGGTCTGTCAAGGTGGGCGTCAGAAAGGGGCAACGTTAACGAGCGGGCCGACGGACCCTGCGACCGATTAGATCAGAGAGTTTCCCGTAAAGAGGTTGCAGCGCAGTCTGCGTCAGCATGTACGTAACCGAGACCCAGGTATATTGCGTCGAAGACGCCGAAAATTCGCTCGTGATGGTGGGTAAAATGGTGGACACAATTGTCTGTCATGAGGTCGCGTCAGGGCAAAAGCATGCGGTGGTACCTTGCAGAACGCCTACCGCGTCTGTCGTCGCCAGGAAGAGCGTCAGCGCCGCTCTAAGGCAATCCCTCGATCAATAGCGTTCAAATGAGTTGATCGAGACCAAGCTCACCCTACATGCGCGAAGAAAAGCCGTACGGTTGAGATCCTCGGGCCAGTGACCGAAGGTTCAACCACCAACGTAGAACTGGAGTCTTGCCTATCTGCAGACTGGGAGTATTTGAGAGGATCAAGGACTGCATTTGTGGGGTCGACGATCGAAGTATTTGCGAAGTCATTCGACTTCTCGAGGGAGTTGGGGATGGTGTCCTGGCTACCCCATGGCGCATCGACATCCTGTGTAGTAGACATGGGTCACCGAAGCAATCGTCTCGGGTCCGGGGGCGTAGAGTGGATTCCGGAAAGGTGTCTGAGACATACCGATTCCTCTTGAGAATTTATACCGATAGTGGAGCGAAGGCTGGAGGAGCGGGATGGCCCCTCGTGCTCACGGGGATTGTCATACGGGTCAATACTCTCGAATATTGAAAACAGAAGGATTTCTTGAGAAGATTTCCGTGCTCAGATCCCTGATAGACGAATAATAGACGCAGACAGGCCGCAGTAAACCTGACAAGCGATCTCTCTTAGCCTTTGTACCCTTCTCTCCGAGACGCGAGGGTCTAGACTGCGAAGCTGTGAGAACCTAGGGTGAGAGGCTGATTGGGTAAATCACCAGCTCCGTGTCGCGAGAAGTGGACCCTGGACCCGCTCAGCGGCCCTGAGGGGGCCTCTTGGGCCCCTTGAGGCACCGTCATACGGAAGTCAGACCGCCACCTGCGAAACCCCAAGCCTTGGTGCAGTCCCACACCACGAGCATCGGCCTTCGAAATCGCCACAATTACGTAGTAAATTTCGGCCACTTTATCCTTGTGGAAGGCGTTGAGGCAGTAAGTCCGTGCCGCAGACAATCAGAATGGCAAGTAGTGGATACGTGGCACTGGCACATGTACTCAACCCCATGTGAGCGAGATTGAGGTGGAGATCTACAGTGCTTATCGCAAGCTCAGAGGCGGGCCTCGCTTGTACAAACGTCAGTGAACACGCTGTTGATTCTCGGCCTGAGAGAGAAAACCCACGCAACAATTAATTGAGCTGAGCTACACGCGCTCTGAGATCCAGTTCGCGACTTTTATGGCATCACTGCATAGTTCTAGATGGAAGCAGCATGTACTAAAGGAGATGCAAGACTATGGTAAAATATGTGCAGTCTCGAAGAACGTTTCCGACCATGCGAATCCCAGACGCGCGTCTACCTGTCTTCCTATGCCGTTGCCTTCTGCCTTCGGTCTTGTTCGTCGTCCTTATTCTGCGACGCAGCTTCCGAATTAGACTCGTCTAAAGGGTCGAAGGTGCATCCAAAAGGGATTACGAGGCATGGATAAATTAAAAGCCGATGAGTCCCTTGATTCTATTCCACGCACGAGACGCCCAGCCACCCGGGGGCGCAGAAGCATGAGCAAAGAAATCCGTACCGTTTGCACTGTTAGCCGATGCAGTCGAATCTCGGCCGCTAGAAGACGCCGACGTATCCGAAGTGGTGGCGTTTGAGGCATTCGATGAGGCAGATGTTTTGCCTTCTACCTCGTCGGCGTATTGCTGAAGAATTTGGCGTTGTCTATCCGTGAGGGTTCTGGGAGGGAAGATAGTCATGATCAAGATGACGAACTAAAACCGATCGGCATTTACTGACCTAGGCAACTGGACGATGAAAGTGACGAATAAGTCCCCTTTGCCACCACCGTACACTGTGGGGACTCCGCGCCCCTTGAGCGCCATTTCTTCTCCATGCTGAGTTCCAGCTGGAAGTCGGACGTCCACTTCACCATCCAGCGTTGGGATGCGGACACGACCGCCTAGAAGAGCCTTGTGCATGGGAATGCGAGCTTCGTAGTGAAGGTTCGCTCCTTGTCGGCTAAAGTGTTGCGAATTCGCGACACTTATTCTGACAAGTAGGTCGCCAGGACGGCCCTTCGCAGACAACGGCGCGTCACCAGCGCCTGGTACTCTGAGTGTCATGCCATCCTCAACACCTGAAGAGAGAGGTTATAAATAGGGTACGTGGAAGTAGTGTATTACTCGCCTGCAGGTATGTCGACCTTGACGGCCTTTTTGACCCTAACTTGACCCACCCCTCCACATGTATGACATTGGCTACCACGAGGCACAGTGGTACCTGTCCCTTGACAAGACGCGCATGTGCTGCTCATGTGGAAACTACCGTCGATGACGAACGTGCTGGCACCCGACCCACCACAGGTTCCGCAGACTGTCCTTTTGGCACCCGGCTTCAGCCCAGAACCGGAGCACGAAGAGCAATTAACAGTGGGAGTGACGTTTATGGTGCGCGAGGTTCCTTTGCAGGCCTCCATAAACGTCACACCGATAGTCGCTTGTAGGTCAGCGCCTTGTACATCATCTGCAAACCCAGCTCTCCGTGACCCTCGCCGAGTGCCCGCGAAGGCACCGAAGAGTTCTGAGAAGAGATCAGAATTGGAGGTACCACCGGCACCGAATGGACCAAAGCCCCCGAAATTATTGAAATTTGCGCCGGCTCGGGCGAAGGCATCAGGATCAAAGCCTGGCTGCTGAGAAGCAGCTCCATACTGGTCGTAAGCGGCTCGCTTCTTTTCATCCTTCAAGATCTGCAAATTCACGCAAGCTACACGTGAGCTCCGCTTCTACAGTGATTATGCATTCGCCTACATCGTAAGCTTCCTGAATCTCAACGAACTTCTCTTGTGCGTTCTTGTCCGGGTTCGTGTCAGGGTGGTATTTGCGCGCGAGCTAAGGGGCCGTTTAGCGTAGTAAGGAGCAAATAACATATGAGAAACTCACCGAGAAATAGGTTTTCTTGATCTCAGCTGCGCCCGCATCTTTGGAAACCCCAAGCACTGCGTATGGGTCTTTGGGTGCGGAATGGACAGCAGATGCATGGAAAGCGTGCTGAGCGGGTATATAAGCAGTTATTCTCTCTGCAGAAATAAGATGTCGGAGCCTCACCTGTTTAACTAAGCGGCTAGACGAGGATCGAAGCCGTGCAGCAGTGCGACTGGAACTTGAACCCTGCTGACGTCCATTCAAACAGGTAGAGAATGTACGGGTACTAGCACCATGAGTCGTGACAGTGCAAGAGTAAAAGTTCACAAATGAGAGGACCCTAGCAGAGGCTATCCGAGGAGGCATTTGGACAACAGAGGTGTAAGCTATAGACACTGCAGAGCAAGGATGTCCGCCTATGGCCGAAATTTAAGTGACCGACTCTCACGGCCACGTGGATCATTCCAGAGACTTCTGAATGCGAGTGCAACTGCCTCCGCCGCTGACGACACGCTCAACCTCGACACACTTGACGTTGAAACGTTGAACGTTGAATATTGATGCACAATCATTGATCTATTCAATAATGATCGTTCGTGTTCGTTCAAATACAATTATAGACTGCCAACGTCCATTCGGTATATCGAAGGACTAGGTAAGGTGAGTTACATGTTTGAACTACTCTAACAGCACTGTGCTAGATATACAATGTGAATGGCACTGGATGACACGGACAGCAACACAGCTTGAATGCTTTGAGCCAATCTTCGTAATTCGCCGTTGCCCAGACATATTCCTGAAGCATGAGTATGTCTCGGCGATATCGCTGCCTCTGGACTTCATTTGCTACCTCGAATTGGAGCCTTCACCCAGAGGCACACGCTGCTTGCGCAAGCCGAGAAACGCTTGTTGGGAGTTAATGCCTGCATCAACGCCACGGTAGTTAGAGATGCATGTAACATTCTTTGCACTCGAGCGAACCTGTAAATTATTCATACACTTGCCATCCTTCAGGCATTACCCTCACATTCTTCCCGGGCTCGCCACCATGACTTGCCATACGAGACGAGAATTTCATCACCCTTCTTGATGCAGTCGCTACCGCTCCATATACTCATTCGTAGCTCTCCATCCACCGTCCTGCGATCCTCGAACACCGCATTCGGTTTGTGACTGATTCCCCTGAAGTCATTCACAAAGCGTGCCTCATTTCCCATGTGCTGTGCATCCACTCCGATACTGAGCCCTTCCCGAGTTCGGTAGAGCGAGAGGTCGTAGTCAGACTCAGGCCTGTCGTCGCAGTGTAGCTCTCCTATATAGTCTAGGATGTGGGTACGAGGAGGTATTTTCCTGGCCGCAAAGAGACCAAACTGTCCAGAAGCGGGATGAGAATGCTCTGAAATTCGTCGTATAATCGTCAAAGAGCGAGAGGGCACACAGGCTTCAGGTGCTGTCGACTTGGGACAAATAAGAGCACGAGTCTCGGTCGGCACAGATAGGTGAAAGCGATATACTGAGATGTACTGGACATGTGTAGGCCAGTGTGCAGGCTGTGCAATCGATGCTGCAGTCTTCGCGTTCCGAGAGTTCCTTGCCATGGAAGAATGGAGACACAAGGAAGGGTATATGTAGTGAACTCAGTCGCGGTGGAACGAGTAAGGGCGTGCGAATCCTCCATGCTGCCGGCAAACGCAAGGGCGCCTAATCACGTACTCATTTCTACCTCATTGTCTTGCTCCTGCCAGCCACTCTGTGCCATCGCCGAGGCGGATATTGGTATCTGTGTCTATCGGTGGCATGGGTCGACCCATGACGAAATCTGTTGCTCGTGTTTACACGGATGTAAACTCCAAACTCGGTCCTTCCTGGCACGAATATGGTGTGATTGTAACCAATGTGTCTGCGCGTGAACAAGTCTAATCAGAGTGATAGACAATCTTCAAGTCCAATGGGGCTCCCAAGACCACTACGAGATTGTGCGGAAAGTAGGGCGAGGGAAGTACTCCGAGGTAAGCTTTCTTGTACGTGACTTGCGCTTCATGCAAAACATGGCCATAGGTTTTCGAGGGTATCAACGTTGTCAACGACGAGAAATGCATCATCAAGGTGCTCAAACCAGTCAAGAAAAAGAAAATCAAGCGCGAAATCAAGATCCTACAGAATCTCGCTGGGGGTCCGAACATTGTCGCTCTGCTTGACGTTGTGCGCGATCCGGCGTCGAAGATTCCGAGCCTGATCACAGAATACGTTCACAATGTTGACTTCAAAGTTCTGTACCCTCGGTTCACAGACTTCGACGTGCGATTCTACATGTTCGAGCTATTGAAGGTGGGTTCATCCAATCAACCTATGGAATTGGCCTGACTTGAGAGGATACAGGCGTTGGATTACTGTCATTCGAAAGGCATCATGCACCGAGACGTGAAGCCCCACAATGTGATGATAGACCATGAGCGACGACAGGTATGTATTGACGAGGGGCGTTTGCTGCCTTTCTAACGCAGCTTTCTTCAGCTTCGACTGATCGACTGGGGTCTGGCGGAGTTCTACCACCCCAGGACGGAGTACAATGTCCGTGTTGCCTCACGCTATTTTAAGGGACCGGAGTTGCTGGTCGACTTCCAAGAATATGACTACAGTCTAGACATGTGGAGTTACGGCTGCATGTTCGCCTCGATGGTATACACATTGCTCTCACCGATGAGATTGGCTCTCACAAGCTCTTCAGATCTTCCGCAAGGAACCATTTTTCCATGGCCACGACAACTATGACCAATTGGTCAAGATTGCCAAGGTCCTAGGCACTGAGGGTTTGTACGCTTACATCGAGAAGTACGACATCTCCCTCGATCCGCAATACGATGACATGCTCCAAATGTGGGTCAGCTTGTCTGCTACCGTGCATCGGCTTATGAGCATATCGCTAGGTGGCCCAAGAAACCGTGGCAGAAATTTGTGACGTCAGAAAATCAGCGATTTATCTCGACAGAGGCTATTGACTTGCTTGACCGGCTTCTGCGGTACGACCACCAGGAGCGGCTCACCGCGAAGGAAGCTCAAGGGCACCCCTACTTTGGTATGCTGTCTTCCTGTGCCTATGGTTCCTTTCTCTCACCCGAAGCTCTATCACTAGAACCTGTGAGAAACGCTGCAGCGAGCAACGGTGGCCACGAACCTGCAGCATAGCAGATATACATTCCTGGGAACCGCATGACCTGCAGACTCGAGCAAGCTCCCACCCTCATTTATTTAGACTGCTGTATTGTTGAACGTGCTGCGGATGTGCTGCTACTTCTAGTGTACTGGTTAGTAATTCAAAAATGAAGACGGTACGACTGAGGCCATTCGGACAGAACCCGCCTTCCCTAGCTATGCAGGACGGTGAAGCACGCAGTCCACGAGGACAACTGCAGGAGATAATCACAGTCGGCCAGAGCCCGGCATCCTACGGAGGGAAAGCTTCACGTGGGAGACGCAGGTCTTGTGTCTCCGCTCAATCTGCCGTTCGATTGGCATTTGTGATCGAGATGCGCACGATCGTCCATGCCTCGACTACATGCCCTCCGAGTCAATTACACAGGGCAACAGATATGGTCTTGTGCACCATATGCCCGCTGCGCACTAGTATTGCTACCGCGCGGTTTGTGGGCCGAAAGGTACCACCTCCCCTCTCCTGCTGTGTGTCCGCTTCCCAGCCGCATGCTGAGCGCGTTCTCTCACCGCGTGATTAGTGCCGATATGCCTCGAGATTCCTGTGCGTATCACGCTCAAATCAGACATTGCGGCCTTCGTGGAAGGATTCTCACCTCTCGATACACAGGTTCATCTATCGGGGTTGCGGCGTGCTACGGCACTGGCGGCATGTTGCACGGTTATAAAGGCTATTTCTACTGAGGCTTGCGCCGTGAGTCGAATCTCGGTGAACCCTCCAGCTACGGGCCATCACGATGTCCTCTTCATCTCAACTTCGTGCTCTGTCTCTCGGCAGCCTTCTTCTTGCGGCCCTTAGCACCCTCAGGGTTGCCGCGTTCGACGTCAGTTTGTATGATAATGTAAGTCCGTAGCTTGTATCCATAGCTCCATGTTGATCGGTATCGCACTATGTCTAGGTTGCTGTGTAAGTCTCCTGCAATCGTCGATCAATAGCAGTGCCTTGACAACGGCGCAGATACTGGGGCCAGGATTCCTATGGCGCTACTCATACCGATAGTGCGAACTTCCAGCAACCGATATCCTACTACTGTCAAGTGAGTTGGCCTTGGCTCTTCCGGACTTTACGCTTACTAGGGCCTCATTAGGACGATGCTATCGACGTCATCCCGATAGCGTTCGTGGACACGTTCTTTGGCACCGGCAACTATCCCGTGATTAACCTGGCGAACGTACGTCCGAGGCTACAAAAGTGGCCCTCTGGCTCTGATGTCTCCTACGTTTAGACTTGCAACACCACCGATAACGAGTACTTCTCTGGGACCGAGCTCTTGAACTGCTCCTTCCTGGCGTCGGACATTGAGTATTGCCAGAGCCAGGGCAAGATCGTCACCATCAGTCTTGGAGGCGCTGGTGGGGGTGTCGGGTTCTCCAATGACAGCGAGGCGCAGTCATTTGCAGACACAATCTGGGACATCTTTTTGGGAGGATCGAGCTCCGACAGGCCCTTCGGTAGCGCTGTCCTCGACGGGTACGTTCATATATTTGAGTTTTATGCGCCGTGCTGACAATTTACAGTATTGACCTCGACATCGAGGGCGGGTCGGACACCGGCTATGGTGCCTTCATTACTCAGCTTCGTACCCATTTTACTGGGGCTAGCAAAAGGTACGCTGCAGTCTCATTTGGGCAACTCACGTAGTAACTGACGTCGTTGCAGCTACTATATAAGCGGCGCCCCCCAGTGCGAGTACCCCGATCAGTATCTCGGAAGTGCTCTCAACAGTGCCTGGTTTGATATGGTTTTTGTCCAATTTTGTAAGTCTGGTTCCTTGCGCAAACTCCGCGATGCTGACTTCGATCGGAGACAACAACCCCTGCGGGCTGCAGAACTTCGGCGAGGCATCTGTGCGTATGACATCATTGTGCTACAACCACCTTGTGTGACTGACGCCATCGATCGACCCCAGGGATGGGACTTTGGTCTCTGGTATGGAGATCTCCGTATCGATCTGGATCATTTGCATAACCAGACTCTCTATGCTTCAGGGACTACTGGGCACGGAACACAGCCATTAACCCGAACGTCAAGATCTTCATTGGCGCACCTGCATCGAGCACGGCTTCTGGAACTGGCTACCAATCCATTGACAACCTGTCCAGCATCGCGAGGGTCACTCGCAACTCGTTCCCCTCATTTGGAGGCGTCATGCTGTGGGATGCTTCTCAGGCTTACGGTGTGTTTTACAAATTTGCCCCCGAAATGTACAGGAACTCACTATCTGCAGCCAATGACCGCTACGACCTTGCCATCAAGAATGCGCTTGTGGCCGCCGGCAGCACGGGCTTCACCTACCCGCCTTGTGATGCTCAGGCGTACACTAGTGGCTCGGATTACTCAGGTGGTACTAACGTGTCCTACGATGGGTACGTATATATTTTTGCCGCAGATGTAGGATCGCGAACCTCTAGTGTTTTACACCTTCTTTTCCCCATCGCGGAGGAGGGGCCTCTTAAGACCTCGTCTACCCCGTCGTGGTGCTATCGGCATCTGTGCCATCGTTCAACTTCCTATTATCCGAATCCTTCGCGCAAGAATACATTTGCTAATTTGTATTTGTCTTGTTACGCCACAGGTACATCTGGGAGGTTCGTTGCCCTACTAAGTGACATGCTTCACATGCTAATCTTCTCTATCTATAGACCAAGTACTATGCCTCTGACACGCCCTCCGCCAACTATAACGGCGATTGGATGCCAGGTCAGTCATTTCCTCTGACACTACGCCCCCTGTGGCTCAATCGTATTCTTCGTGCAGTGAGCGCGTGCTCTGGCGGGACTGCCGGTTCATCGACCGGCTCAGGCTCTTCTTCCTCCTCCGCGGCGTCCTCCACAGCCACGACCGGCACGGGCAACTGCGCAGGCGTCTCCGAGTGGTCAAGTAGCACGGCGTACACGGGCGGCTCACAGGTGCAATACAAGTGCGTCGTCCGTCCTCGCAGCAGCAACATGGTCTGTTGATGCTCTACCACTCCAATCAAGCGGCGACCTCTGGACCGCGCAGTACTGGACCGAGGACGACACCCCTGGCGGTAAGCCGTAGCCGCTCCCTTATCACCCGACGTCTGACGCAATGCCCGTTATTCTTAAAGGCTCTGCGGACGTGTGGACCAACGATGGCGCTTGCAGCTCCAGCGACGTTGCCGCACGCGCCCTGCACGCGCCCACGCCCGCGCCTGTCGCGCCGCGGAGGAGCTCTCGCTTCTTCCGCTTATGAGCCTATCTATGATATCTATTGGCCACGACGAGGGTGCAGCGCACTCTCCACGACTCATGGTATAGAAAAGCCGGCGACCCTCGCTTCTCGCCTCCCACTTTCCATATGGCGATCTCGGTGTTCTGCATGCCCCTGGCCGGCGCTGAGAACAGGCAAGATGCGGGCGGCTCGCAGCGACGCTCACGATGTTTATGATCTTATGTTAACGTGGGTTCTAGTCACGACGTTTGGGATCTTCTGGTCCCCCCTCTCCTTCTCCCGCTCTCCCCTCCCCCTGGGCGGCTGGCCCCCGCGGGCCGGCCTTGCGACGTCTTTCTCGTATCGTTTTCCGCAGCAACAGTGTGTAGTAGAAGTGCAATTCAGTCGCGTTGAAGAAGCTACCGTGCTTTCGGTGTGTCTATGTGTCGCCGACCTTCGTGGCAGAACGCATAAACTTGCGCGATTGGCGACGGCAATTTAGGTGGCAGAAGTGCGGAGCGCCGCTCTGTGCTTGCGAGTGCCGTACAGGCTGCCTCTGCATGTCCCAGGCTACGTGCTATGTCCGACGTCCGCGGCAGTCTTGTGCGGGTGTACAATACGTATCACCCTAACCTGCACGGGTCAGGGGTGGGCACCGGCAAGAGAGAAGAGGGCGTGCTCTACGAGCCCTGCTAGCCATGGCCCTTGGTAGTACGCTACGGGACGCCTCGCTGCTTCCCACTGAGCACCCTAAACTTTGAAAAGTCTATTCATGGACGTCTGTTCTGTTGGAATGTTTTGACCCTGCAAGCTTTGACTGTACATTAGGAGCGGCGGTCCGTAATGATGTAGTACCCGCATCAGCCTCTACCAGTGCCACATGCTAGTCGCCCCGATTAACCAGATTCTGATCATCCGCCGAGATCGTCGAGCTAGACGTAGTAGTAACTGGCGGCGCACCGGTCGCACAATTCCAAGTACAGTGGGTACGAGTCTTAGATAGCAGCCTCAATCGCCGATTGACGAGACCACACATTTCATATTGCCACGGGCTAGCAGGGTAACAGAGTTCACACTACCTGGCGGCTACCTGAGACAGCCACTGCCTTCTGGAGGTACACCGCTCGTCCCTGTCTTTCCCCGCTTGTCGGAAACGCCGGGCGTGTGTCCGCGCCCCTCCCACTGTCGCCATCCCCATGATCACCGGGCTACCAGGCCCAAGCACTTCGTGTGTTCGCGATGCTTCTCCCGTGGACGACTCTGGATAGGGGGTCTGCACGCCCTCGCTTAAGCTCGCAACACCACAGCCCACGCCCGCAGCGTATTTCGAACGCGAGAAAATTCCGGACAAAGTTGGACGCCCAAGCCCTGTGCGCTGTCATGCGTGTGCCTTGGCCTGCCGCCGCGAGTTTTTCTTGGGCACCGCACCATCGTCCTCATCCCAATGGCGAACAATTCGATGATAAGGCATGCCGCTGATTTACATCTGACGTGATATGCTGCCCCTGCGCGCAGGCTGCTTGGCGCTGTCCACCAGGGCCGAATATACACTCAGCCCAAGAATAGCGACGTTGCGATAGACGGCCCCCGGTAAGTATGCGGACGAGGCAGCCTCGCCCTGGCCTGACAGGTCGAGTGCCATGCATCAGGGCGTGTCGAAAAAGCTTGGACGGACGCGGGAAATATCGATAGAGGCGGCTGAAGCGTCGCGAGGTGAACTGTATTTTGCAAGGCGAAACTGGTATTACCAATGCGCGACGTACGATAGGGTGGGATGTACAGGATGTAGCATGTCATATAAAGATACTGCAAGGGAACTACCTATCGACAAGAAACCATGCGGGTTCCGTACACAATACACACAGGACCGACGCAGACGAGCACCCGGACCGATGAGACGAGAGAACAGGCACAGACACGAATACATCATGAGCGCGCATCCCGCAACGGCGCAGACGAGTGTCGCTCTGATGAGCTAGGGATCCGCTTGCCACTCTCTTCGTCCCTGATCTGTGACGTCGAAAGCAACGCACCAATCGCCATGCTCTCTCGTGATCGGGGAGAGCCACCGCTGCTGTGTGATGACGCAGACGAGTACGGTGATGGCGGCAACGGCAAGTCGTGCGCGCTACCCGGTAGCTGCTCGAGATGCATGCGCTGATGCTCGCGAGCAGGCGGTGGCGAGCGCGAGCGGCGTCGCTTGCGCGTGGGCGACGAGCCCGAAGGCGCGAGGAGAGCTTCTTTTGCAGTCGGGCTCGACGCAGATGCACTCGAACCGCGGCGGTGAGACATGTAAGCCGACTCGTCGTGCGCGTGGACGCGCGAGTGCGGCGAGTGGTGGTAAGATGTATGCGGCGGCGAAGGCATGTGCGTTACGGAATATGAAGGACCCGATGGCGAATGGTGATGCCCATAGTGTGAATGTGAGTGCACATCGGTGGACAGGTGCAATGGGGGGATGGAGTGTGAGGAGGGATGGAGCGCAGGCTGATACATATCGAGCATGGTGCGCTGGAGCGAGGCGAGGGACGCGATGCGCTGGGCGGTACAATTTAGGGCTAGACCAATGCGCAGGCATGAGGATAAACCCACCTGATCCTCGGCACTCTTGGCATTAAGCATGGCGATGAGCATGTCACGGTCGCCGTCGCCTTTGGCGCGGTAGGCGTCGAGAATGTCGCGCAGGCTAGGTGGTGGTGACTACGGGCGAGATATGAGCGGGTGATCGAGAGTGATCGAGAGTAACGTACCTGCTGAATGGACTGCCACACTGCGCCCAGGAGGGTGTCCATGGGCGAGTCTGGTCGTTGTGTGCGGCGGTTGTGGGAGTGGCGGGCGGAGTCGCTGGGGACGGCGCGAAGGGGCGGGGACGGGAGGGTGTTCATGATGGCGAACGAGGGGGTTATGGACGGGGGCGGCATTGGAAGGACTGCGTACTTATAACAGGGATACAAGCCAAGGCCAAGTGTCTATCTTTGACGTTCTGCGGCTGAGCACTCCCAACGCCTGGCGTAAATATAGCCTGCCAAGACCACCAAGAAATAGCATCGCATACATCCCCTCCCCGTCCCCGTTCCGGGCGGCATCTGCACCAGATCGCGGGCGCACGGGCGCGGCAACTACCCTGGCACTGCGCAGCATGCAGATATTCCGCGCTCGGGAGGCGGGGGCACGCAGCGGGGGAGGGCGGGGGGAGGCGAAGACGGTGAGTGTGACTGGGCGTTGAGTGGCGGAAGCGAAGCAGGAGGACGGCACTGGGCGCCAACCCGACAAGCCCAATAATAGCCTGCTATAATTGCCTGCTCCCTGGCTTGGCATTCTGCGGCCATCACGTGTGTCAGCAAAAATTAGCTCCCGTTTGGTTCCCTTTCCTTTTAAAGCATGCCAAGCCTTCTCCGGCTCCGCTGCCGCCTAGACGCCCTCCAATCCCGCCCTCTCTTACTAAGCGCTTGCTAAGTACAGCGTCCAGGAACTCTTCCCATCCCGTCATCCAGTTTATTTCTAACCCTATTATTTCCAATGTTTATACTTAGCGTCACGTCGTTGCGCCCGTTAAATCGAGCACTGCCCTCCTGCACGAACAGCCAATCGCGCCTGCAGCCACGTATTCGCGCGGGGGCCGTGATCTCCTGGGCACGGAAATCAGGGAGCTTGCCTCTCCCTAGAAGTTCTTGGGCCTCTTGGCGATTCCACACCTAAATACTTCTCGGTGAATGGCCTTTTCCGGGCTCCGAACCCATCTTCCTCTTCAATGGTAGGTGCCAAGCCGCCTGCGGTGTAAGCACAGTCTATTTCCACCACTCGCCTCACGTGTAGGTTGCCCGTTCTATTGCATGCTGTCTCACGAAGCGGGGACGAAGGCAAACTCGGGACCGAGTTATATGAACCGTGCAAGAAGCCAAGCTTGTCCGTGGCTCACCATGCAAGGATCCTCCAACACATCTGACGATCTTGCCAGAGCGCGCCACTGCGTCGCGCAATCTGCCAACAGTGATCGTAAGTACAAACGCAAGCCATACTAATACTGATATGGCGCCACTGTATTATCGCGGAACAAAGCCGCTGGGGACATCATACGATCGCTATATCGGCGTCCATATTTCACAAATAGCAAGGCATTCTTTCAATACCATCGATCACCAAAAACAAATATTCACGCCGTCGTCCGGGTCAGTCAATCGGCCGCTGTATACAACACAGACAACAGAATGACCTCAACGGACATGAGCAGTGCGTACAACGCGACTCAGAAGCGGAGGTGGCGGCCCGCCGTGTTCCATGACGCTTACAGGGCACTCGGCCCCGCTGCGACCATGCGGCTCCGCGGGGGCCGCCTTCGCGATGTCCAGATACACATTCGCGAGTAAATACGGAGGGCCCTCTTGGCATTACTCTCGAGCGACTTCCCTGACGGAGATCACTCGCGACATCGAGTTCCTCCATTACCGCAGCCTGCATGGCGGTGTATGCCCTAGCTCCGAGAAGATTTTGTGAGCCCGAACGACCCCCATTCTGCCTCGAAGTCGTTAGGTGAGCCACTCAGGACTTGTGTAAACACCATGAGCGTGGCAACTTCCCACCCTGAGAGGGGAAATTTTCGGACTCGCCGGCCGTTCAGGTACAACAACCGTCACGTTTAACGGCTTATCTGCTCCCTCTATGGTTTGTTGTTGACAGGGGTCATTTGTCTTCTTCCTGGACGACGCTTGAAGTATCGAGCGGCATTAAATGTACTGCTGTGAGGAACGTTGATAATCACATCAAGAGTTGACGCCATCCGCATGGAAAGAGCAAAAGGCTGAAGGTCACCAGTACCAATGGGTGCACTAAAAACCTCTTGCCAGGTGCAATCAACTGAATGATGCCTGCGGAAGGCAATGTCATGAAAACTGTTCAACGCAATTTGTAGCAATAAAAGGACCTGCAGCTAACGCCAGGGCGCCTAGCGCAATGTACAGCCGCCTTATATCGCACTGGGGGCTAACAAGGCTCGTGGCGGATGTCTCAAGCAGGCGTGGACCCACGGGATCGAAAAGCACGATTGCAAGGTGCGTTGTCCCCACCGGCACCTCGGCGCCTTTAATAGCACAATGCCTGCTGCAGCGGGTAGGCAGCCCCCTGGGGAAAATCCCCAGGGCTGATGATGGGTCGGTCGCCAGTGTAAAAAGCACGGGTGTCGCAAATATATTAACTACCTTGGAATCTAACATCATGCGACAGGTCGCCCGGCGGACGATCCTTCAGGCAGGCATTTTTGTATTCATGCGCAGATACGACGCCGGACACAAGTTTGACGATGAAGCAGTTTTCAAATAGTATCAGAGCTGACAGAGCTGGCTTCAAAACTAGATTCTGGGATGGCGGGACGATAGTACGGGTGGCATTCTTCGCGTATGTATATATCCTCGTGAATTTAATACCGGCCCTGCCTTTGAATTTAGTACCGCCCGTCCCCGTGCAGCCCTTGCAGAAGTAGGCACAGTGATTTCTCCTTCCCTTCGCGGGCCTGCCAAGATATCCGGATTTGACAGGCGTAGATACGATGTGAGTGGTAGTAATTTGAGTAAACTGCCATGGTAATCAAATAACTTTCTGTTGTACACGTACGGACAGATTGCAGCCGTCAACCCCGAGATCTGGAGTGCGCAGAATCAGAGGTCTGATGCAACAACGAATCTGAAACATTATCATGGTTTGTTCATACCGACCCGCAAGGGGTGTAAACACCTCACAAATACGAGAGTGCAACAGAAGTAATATGGTTCTTAAATGCTAAGCATACATGACCTAGTAAAGATACGGCAGTAGACTTACACCGAAATAGAGAAAGTGAAGCCTCAGACTGAGAGTTCATATGTCGACGGCGGGTCTGGTGGACGTCGTTCCCAATCGCGACATCCACACTGCTGGGGGCCCACCAAAACATGACACCTAAGATCAACGGCGACAACTGCGCCCATGGAGGCCGATGACACCGCCTCCAATATGTATAGCGCAGTGATGTGGCTGGGCCCACCAGACTCCGACATGGGAATCCGCCCCACGGAGTCGAGAGCGCGCCGCTCGCAGGTTGGGGACACCAAAAATTACTGTCAAAAATGTTCTGATCGGTCTGAGACACCTTTCAAACAAGTGGTGAGAATGTAGGCCCTCGTAGTTAAAGCCTCTGTTTTTCGGCCTGCTAGGTCCGTTCGAGCGACCATTGGCTATGGGCAGTGCGTGCATGCCATGTATTTGACCTGCCACCGGCCGCCACCGTCGTCACTGTTTGCTCAAGAATTTCGTAGAATGTGCCCGTGACCTGCCAAACAAGTTGCAAGATGTGTGCCTGAGCGGACTGTCAGACTGATCTTGGAGGCGGACCCCAGACCTAGGGGAATAGATACGAATTGCGGCAAGGAGGTAAGCACACGCAACGTGCATCAGAGCTGTGGGGCCACTGGAGTGCATCGAGGAGATTCACAACCCATGCCGAGAGTACGCTTACGACATAGGCTCAGCGAGCATGATGAATGTAATCACACTGGACTCCGACGCAGGTACCTCGGTACCGCCTGGTGTCGAGCTCCGCATAGATATCGTACAAGTGTCTAAGGATGTGGCACTCAGTGGAATACAAATGCTGCGGGTATATCAGGCAACCTGTGCACGCCACCCCATACGGAGATCCATAAAAGTGAGAGAGATTGACAAACACGCACTGGCAGGAACCGATGTAGTCGAAAGCAGTGTCAGCCTGGACCATACTCGGGAAGTGGATAACCAGTCCCGGCTGTCAATGTCACCTATTTTTTTTGAATGGAGGTGTCAAGACATTGTTGCCGGCCGAAATGGTTTGTTTAGATTCCAAGCAGTATTATCCGTCTGAGTGGGGGCAGACTAGCCACAGTACAAATCTCGAGATGATAAGAGTACACTGTAGACTCTAGAGACAGGGGGGGGGGTTTCCAAAAATAACACATGGGGTCGGGTGTAGGCTGCGCGGGGTGGCGGGGGACACAGCCTAGCGTCATTGTGGAATGAATCGAGCGCTTGGGCGAGACAAGCGCTTCTTAACACTCCCTATTCAAGTCTTGTCCGCACCCACTGGATCGCCTACCTCATTCCCGCCACGCTCTTTCATTCGCATCCTGATATACCCTACGAACACATCACTCGCCCTCTTACCTTCCCCGCCAGCACTCATGGCGGCCAACGGCATGACTATATCCCCCGACGCACAGGCGCAGGTGAATGGCATCGTACACGATGACACTGCGAAAAACCGCGTACCAGTGCATACATTTAATCCTGACGCGTCCCCCGAGGCGAAGGCCGCACAAGCTGGCCAGCATGCAGACAAGCTAAAACCGAGCGACGACGGTGCTGCGAACGGCAGAGGTGCGTCGCGTTTGTGCTGCTGCTGCTGCTGCTGCAGCACGCGTCTTGACTTCTTGCCACAGAACTCGCGGTTGATACGGGGAACAGCGCCATTGTGCCTACCATCACGATTGAGCATGCGGATGACACACACAATAACGGTGACGCACAGTATGAGGAACTTCAGTCGCCACTATCACCGCAGTCGTCAGAGACACAGATCCCCGGCGCCATGCCCGAGGGGCCAGCACCTGCTATCCCGGACTGGTACAAAGTAGGCTGGCGAGCGGTGGGCGGCATCGACTCACCTGCAAAGACAGAAGGCGGAGAGAAAGACAAGTATGTGCTTGCAGCATTCATCAGCGAGCAATTCTACGGAGAATGGTATCACAACGCGTCCCTTGTGGTGGCAGTGAGTGGCAGTTGCAGATGATTGATGAGACCGACAGCTGATGCGCGCACCTAAGGCCGTCATCTTCTCACATTTCTTCACCCGTTTCGGCTTTGGGTGGGGCTGGCTCTTCATCCTGCTCGCGTTCTGTAACACCTATTACACAACTTCTATGGCGCGTGTGCGCCGGCGAGCGCGGGACGACATCCAACGTGAGCTCGTGAAGACGCGCCTTTCGTCCGAGTCCGAGTTTGAGACGGCCGACTGGATCAACAACTTTCTGGACCGCTTCTGGCTGATATACGAGCCTGTGCTTTCGCAGACAATCATCGCATCTGTGGACCAGATCCTGAGCACGAACTGCCCCACATTCCTCGAGTCGCTGCGGCTGAGCACTTTCACGCTTGGAACCAAAGCGCCGCGGATTGACAAGGTGAAGACGAGCCCGCGGACCTCAGACGACGTCGTGCTCATGGAGTGGGGCGTCTCGTTCACGCCGAACGACGTCTCCGAGCTGACGGAGAAGCAAAAGCAGGACAAGGTGAACCCCAAGATTGTGCTCTCCGTCCGCGTCGGTAAGGGCATTGCGAGTGCGACGATACCTATCCTATTGGAGGACATCTCCTTCACTGGTGTCCTGCGCGTGCGCATGAAGTTGATGACCACTTTCCCGCATGTCCAGCTGGTGGACTTGTCCTTCCTGGAGAAGCCCGCCTTTGACTGGGTGCTGAAGCCCATTGGCGGCGAGACGTTTGGGTTCGACATCGGCTTCGTGAGTACCCAATACGCTGTGTGCGCTAGTCCTTTAATGTATCCTCTTGCAGATCCCCGGACTGTCAAACTTCATCCGCGAAATGGTGCACGGCACCTTGGCCCCCATGATGTACGACCCGAACGTGTTCACACTCAATCTTGAGCAGCTTCTCTCCGGGGAGCCTCTTGACCAGGCAATTGGTGTCCTTCAGGTCACGGTACAGTCGGCTCGTGGCCTCAGGGGTAGCAAGATCAGTGGCGGCTCTCCAGACCCGTATGTCAGTCTGAGCATCAACAGCAGGAGTGAGCTCGCGAGAACCAAAGCGAAGCAAGACACGTATGTATTGTTTCTGAGCTCCTTGTTGGCAGTGGCTTGACATGTCATCCCGTGCAGCGCGAACCCCACATGGTCGGAGACGAAGTTCCTGCTTGTCAACTCGCTCACAGAGTCGCTCATACTCTCCGTCATGGACTTCAACGATCACCGCAAGGACTCTGAGATCGGGAGTGCATCTTTCGATATGTCGAAGCTGCGCGAGGACGCTTCGTACGAAGGCCTCGAGGCGCCGATTTTGAAGGATGGCAAGGATAAAGGCATGATACGCTATGACGTTACCTTCTATCCCGTCCTGAAGTCTTCTGGGGACACGGGCGGAAAGGAGGAACTGCCGGAAGACACGAGTGAGTGGTTTCTGAGACGTGTTAGGGACACTATGACTGAGGTTAGGGCAGAGGTCGGCATCGTCCGCCTGACGATGCACCAGGCGAAGGATCTCGACCACACAAAGTCTATGTCGGGCGATTTGAATCCCTTCTGCCGTGTGCACCTCGGGACGGACCCGCATCCGATGTTCACCACGAACAAGATGAAGCACACGAACAACCCTGTCTGGGAGACGAGCACCGAGTGGCTCTGTACGGATCGGCCAGGCTCAGTGGTGACAATCAAAATCGTCGACGACCGTGAGTTCCTCAAGGATCCGATCATTGGCTACATGTCGGTGCGCGTGGAGGATCTCTTGAACGCCAACAAGGAAGCCGGACGCGACTGGTGGGAGCTGAGCAACTGCAAGAGCGGGCGGGTGCGTCTGAGTGCGGACTGGAAGCCGCTGAACATGCCCGGGAGTGTGCACGGCGCGGACCAGTATGTCCCTCCGATAGGCGTGGTGCGGCTGTGGCTGCAGAAGGCGACAGACGTCAAGTGCGTACGGGCTGCAGGGCTGAGGTTCATATATGCGCGAGGTGCTGATTGAGTTCATCTGCAGAAACGTCGAAGTAGCTCTAGGAGGGAAGGTGGGTCCGGCGCCACTGGTCGTCTGCGCCTGCGCCTCACCATTCATTACCACTTGACAGAGCGACCCGTATGTCCGGGTACAGATCAACAATATCACGCAAGGCCGCACGGAAGTCATCAATAATAGCAAGTGTTTCCTTCTGACAGCGTCTGTACTGACCTCTGATGCGCTCTGTCCAGACTTGAACCCGGAGTGGGATCAGATCATCTACATTCCAGGTGTGTGGTTCATGCCTCAGGCGTGGCGTGTTACGTTTGTATTGACAGATATGGAATCACAGTGCATTCGCTGAAGGAGGTACGCATGGAAGTTTCATTTGTGCCGGCTCGACGTTAATGAATGTACAGACCATGATGCTGGAGTGTATGGATTACCAACACCTGACGAAGGTAATGCTGCCTATTATAGTACCGTCCATTCCAGCGCCTGACAGACAACAGGACCGTTCCCTTGGCTATGTCGAGCTGAAAGTGTCGGACCTCGCCAAGCCTGCTGCTGGAGACTCGGAGTTCCTCCATGAGTCGACTGGGAAAAGGGCGGTGGCAGAGCCCATCAGACTGGATAAAGGCTCGTATAAGGGCAAGCTGCACTATGAAGCAGAGTTTGTTCCTGCTATCCCAGTCAAGGGCATTGGATTTGAGAGCGGTCCGAATCTCATCCAGCGCGCCGCGCAGCGTGGTGCAGAGTCGGAAGGAGAGATCGTGGACGACCACTCGTCCACATCCTCGATGCGACGTGAGCGCAGCGCCCACCATGTTCCTGAGGGCATCACTGTGTCCCGGCCGCTCGGCCTCGATGAGAAGTCTGAGGCTGCGGGTGTGAACCTTTCGCCAAGCTCACCAACTTCGCCTATTCCTGCACAGCCTGCTGAGAATGCCGACGGTGCCGCGGCGCCAGAAGGTGGTAAGGTGGAAGAGGGGCGTCCAGAAGAGCAAGGGAAAGAGCTGTCTAAGGAGGAGCTGCTGCAACACCGTGAGTCTAATAATATTGCCCAATCGCACGCGGGCACAGGCGCTGATTTGCATGGCAGAATCCGGCGTTATCGTTTTCAATGTCATCTCGGGGCAGCTGCACAAGAAGGCGCGTCTTGAGGTTCTCCTCGACGAGGCGTACTGGCCCGCTTTCAGCACTGTCCGCCCCCACAGTCACAATGCGCACTGGGAGTACATTGGTGAAGGCTTCGTCAAGGAACTCGACTTTGGTCGCGTGTGGCTTAGGCTCAACGAGGCGGACGAGGGCGATCGAGACGATATCATCGCTGAGTGGAAGGGTGATGCGAAGCCCTTCTTGCAGCACACACTGGTCTGTCTTGCTACGGTCGAAAAGGCGGTCAACGTTACTGACTGCCTGATAGGACGGTCCTATGACATTCACCCTCCTGCACAAGGACGATGAGGAGAAGAAGTCCACCGTCGAGCTTGAAGCGCGCTACGTTCCAGTACCCATCGTACTTGAGCCCCGGGAGAGCGTCAACAGTACGTACACCTGTTTTATGTGCATTTTGCAAATGCTTAGTTGTGTTCAGATCAAGGGATGCTCCGCATAGATCTGCTAGACGGCAGTGAGATCCAGGGTGTCGACAGAGGCGGTACGTTGTATTGTTTGCATCAGCAGCAGCTCCTACAACTCACTGTGTGACAGGTAAATCCGATCCATTCGTCGTGTTCCACCTCAATGGCCAGAAGATGTACAAGTCACAGACGAAGAAGAAGACGCTTAATCCTGAGTGGAATGAGAACTTCGTCTTACAAGTGGTATGTCTGTTGTCTCAGCATTTCATGATACATAGCGAGAGCTGACGCTTTGTTAGCCGTCACGAGTGGTTGCTGACCTCACGGTCGAAGCCTTCGACTGGAACCAGATCGAACAGGCTAAGAGTCTAGGCTCTGGCAAGCTTGACCTTGCAGATATCGAACCCTTTCAATCTGCTGAACGCGTCATTCCTTTGTCGTCTGCAAAGCACGGTCAGAAGGGCTTTGTCAGGGTCCGGTTACTGTTCCAGCCCGAGATTATTGTGAAGACACGGAAGAACACTTCCACGTTCTCCTCCGCAGGTCGTGCAATGACCCAGATTGGTCACATCCCTGTGGGCCTTGCGGCCGGTGCTGGCAAAGGTGTCATCCATGGCGTGACTGGTGTCTTCAAGAGCAAGGATCATGTCAAGAGCGAGGTTGTTGAGGCGGATGACCGGGCGTCGGTGTCGGACCTTCCTGCTGGACAGTCGTCCCAACCCATAGGATCAAGTTCCCCCATTGCAAATGCAGCTTCAGCTGTATTCCCTTCGCTCGGCACCAACGGCTCCATATTCAACAGCGCAGGTTCACTCAATGGTCAATCGCAAGAGCATGGCTCGTTGCGCGTCATGATCATGGACGCGAAAGACCTCTCGTCGGGTGACATCAAGCCCTATGTGGTAGTCCGAGTGGGTGACAAGGAGCACAAAACGAAACACTCGCACAAGACTATGACTCCAGAGTGGTGCGTTTTGCTACCCCTGCTACATCGGTCATGACCGCGTTGCTGACTGCTTGCATAGGAATGAGTCGTTCGTCTTTGCTGCAGCCCCTGCCACACAACCCAAGATGCACGCATGGATTTATGATCACAAGACGTTGGGCAAGGATAAATTACTAGGCTCAGCAGAGATCGACGTACGTTCCCCGCCATTCAGGAGCTGGCATTAATGCTCACCGTACAACGCGTCTAGCTATGGCGTCACCTCCAAACGGATTCTGGCGTGGCATCCGCGGAAGTGTTCGCGGAGCTGCGTGAAGGTCAAGGCAGACTGCGTATGCGCCTGGAGTTTGATCCAGACAGTGTCAGCCCGACGCGCTCACGAACGTCCTTCCAGTCCGAGCCTTCCCCCTCATCTCCGTCCCGATTCAGCTTGAGCAGGCGGCGAGGGGCTGACCGCGACGACTAATTGTTTAACGTCTCATCTATTATCTGTCTCTCATCTGCTTGCTTATCAGCTGCCCTCAATGTATTATTTGGACATCTTACAGCATCTTTATTCCTTTGCTACGCTACTACTCGAACAGTCCCCGTTACTCGTATCCATATTGCAGCAATAAATGGCTAATACACTCAGGCAGTGCAGGGTTCGTCCTAATTGAAGAGTTCAGATACTCATGCTCAGTGCCTGACGCTTCGGCGCAGGGGCTTCTTGTCTTGGGAGGTACCCAGGAGAATCGTGGCCATGTCTTCATCAGTAGGCGCGCGTCCCAGTTGCCTAGTGATAACGAGGTCAGAAAAACAGGATAACAAAGTGATTTTGCTACAGACCTCTTCTTCTTCTTCTTGACCGTGTCAACTTCGCCCTTCTGGGATACATGCTGCTGCCCCTCGCCCCCATGAGTCACCGCATCTTGACGGGCTTTCTTGTTGGGTACGACCACTGTCGAGTCGCGAGCGTTCTCTTGCAAGGACAAGCTTTCAAGGGTTTCCTGCAGGGAGCTCAGTTTGTCCGAGGGCTCACGGCCAGATTTGCGTTTGGCCGCCATCTTTCCCGCCTTCACATCAACCTCAAAAATTGGCGAAGGTGCTTCGACAAAATCGTGCTTCTTGCCGGACGCACGACTGGCCCGTACTGGCTGTCTTGGCAACTCCTCGCGGCTGTCGCTCTGGGAAGGAGCCGTATCCATCTGCCAGTCGTCACCATCGCTCCGTTGATCGAATGTATCCTCGTCCGCAAAGTCTGAGTGGACAACACGATTATTGGCACGCGTCGTGCCCCGTTTGATTTTCTTTTGGCCCTTGCCAGCTAGAGGAGACGGTGACCTGCTCGACTCACTCGACTTGTAGGTCTCTGCGTCGTCTGATTCGTTCGGATCTTCCTCCTGAAGGGGGGGTCTAGTGTCAGGCGGAGCACTGTTTAGTTACCTCATGCACTTACTGGTTCCTCCTGCTCCTCGAATTCATCTTGCATGTGCTCGTCGGTTTCGCCCCCTTCGTCGGGATGATCAACCAGGGGATGACGCATTTTGGACCGGTTCAACATATCAATTTTAGCATCCATCATTTTTTCGTTCTGCTCAACCTGCAGAGTTTTGATTGCTCAGAAATCACGCTAATCAGTGCTGAAAGCCTCCCACGGACATACCTCTTTCATCAGTCGTCGTTTGAACATCTTCTCCATGTCATGCATGCGTTCTTCCATCTCTTCCATGACCTCCTCGCGAGTCTCTGCCTCAACGAGTGCACAGCGCATCTCCACTTCATACAGCTGATGTTCCGGTGTACGATCAGTGTCTACGCTGAGCAGAAGCACTCACGGTGTGACTTGCCTGTGTACGAAGACGCTCAATTTCGTCGAACAAGGCATCGACTAGAGGATTGATTGGCCCGTCGTCGTCCTCTTCATGACCGTCCTCGTCGTGTTCTTCATCCTCTGTTCAATGAGGGGATTTAGCGGTCGCTCAATACCCGAGCACTGATGCTCACCCTCAAGCACTTCTAGATGTGCCTCGCTGGCCTTCCTACCAGCGCCGCCCATAGAAATCGTTACCTTCCTTCTATGTGGGCCCACTCCACTTGGCCGATTGCGGTCCTTGACAGAAGGCAATGCGCGTGGAGCGGCAGCGGCTGGCGCTGTGTAGACATCCCGGGCAAGTGAGGAGAATCTCATGACGTGCGAGTTCTCGTCGAAACCAGTGTCATACGGGTTCACGTTCACGATCATGACCTGACACGCGTAAGTTGGGTCGAACATTGCTGTGAATAATTTTATAGCTTACAGCTTTGCCTTCACCCACGAAATAGTCCATCAATATTTCCGTCAGCTTGCTGTGACGGAAAGGCACAACGGCAAGGCCTTTCTTGACATCACGCGTATCCATGCGCCCAGCGGTGGTCCCCAGGCTACGCGCTAAGGTGCGCTGGTTCGTACGCAGCGTTTCCATACACTGTCCGAGGACCATGAGTGATTTGTTGATGTTGCCTGCCTCCCGCAGGCGGTCTCCCGAAGTATGAGTATGCTTCGTGCGCTCCGAGCCTGCCAAATCAACTAGGGTCAGACGTGACGTCTGAATAGAGCTCGGATCCTAATTGGGGAGAAACTATTCAGTTTTAAGGCCGGTCTATATCACGTACAGACCTCTTACATTGCGTTCGCCTCTGTGGACACGTAAGACTTTGATAGTGACAAGAGCATGACTTCTGCTGCTCTGACTGTTCGCAAGTGTACCAAAGACCCGGCGGTGCATTTGTCCCAGTTTGAGAAGAGCTTTAGCTTCTGCGGCGCTCTTGACCCTGATTTGCCGCAAGCCTGCAACGTACTTCCCAGCGCTGCCCGCCTCAGATCCTGACAACCCGGAATCCGAAAGTGGGGACGACTTCACGGGCAGTGCCTTGCGAGTCAGTAACAAAGGATGGGACTGTGATGACGGAAGCGGTATATTCAGGAATGTTGAAGTCGGACGCGGAACGGCAGACTGGCTTGGTTGACATGAGGACTCGGGAGAGTCCACAGAGGCGAACAGATCGTATACTTTCTCGTTATATACCTCAGAGTAAGACAGCCAAACTGTGTACTCGTGATTGCGATCCAGTTTCAGGGTGGTTGAGTCAATGTCCATGCCAGCATCGTCGAGGTCATCTAGAATGTCGGCGAGGGCAGGAACGCCATGGGGCTTGGATACTTGCGATCGTCCAGAGCTCGAGGAGTCGTCCGCAAGCTCAATGCCGTTTAGGCGGACAGGATGATACTACCTCGGACCTCTAGTCATGTAACGCAACTTATCAGATGTTGCGGACTCACTTTACCGTCCCCGTGTAGACCCTCTATGCTGTTGAAGATGACGTCCAGTGTCCTCGGAAGGATGCCTGCACTTCCTTCCTCGCTGCCGCCTTGTATGGTGTACGTCTTGCCGGAATTGGTCACACCGTATGTAAAGAGCAGTCCACTTTGTCCTTCGAGTACGTCTTTCACCAACGGTAGAGTGGTATTGTTAAAAAATTCTGACTGCTGTGTATGCGGAGGGAATATGTGGGAGAATGTGTAAATTGATGCAGAATTGGCACTGGACGTCCGGCTATGAGAGGACGATTCCGGGTCTGTCATGCGAACTGCGGTGTCAGATATAGGTTCAAGGTACGGCTCTGACGTAGGTTCGCCGTCTCCCAGACGAGGACGGATGCGAAGGAAAGCCTACAAGTTAGGTTATCAGCGATTGAACAAGTTTGAAGACCGAGATACGCACCTTCACAGGCTCTCGGTCGTCATCATGTGCAAAGTCAATGGGTGTAGCAGATTTCGGTCCTGGTACTTTCGTATTCCGAGATGCAGGCCGGGCCTTCTTGTCGATCCCTGTGTCAATCTCAACAGGGGAGTTTGCTCTATTATGGAGGGGCCTTCGAGGGACCTGCTTCTTAAGAGCCGCAGCCGCAGACGCTTCAGTGGTAACTGCTCTGGACGCCACAGCAATGCGAGATCCAGGCCGAGTAGCAGTAGGAGCCGGATTAGTCTTTATACGCGTCGAAGATCTAGTAGCAGTTGGCTTGGGTTTTGAAGACATGTCTGTATGAGGTATTGGTTAGACAGGGCAACTTGAGCAGGGGCACACACTGTAATGGTCATCATCCTACCTCAATGATCGTGGTCTGTAGATCCAGTCACAAGATGGGCACAGCGTTCAGAAAGAGAAATTGATTCCAGCTTATGGAGACCGTAGATGACGGAAGCCGTAGTACTAGATTTGACGACTTCGAGGTTGTAGCTTCGAACCGGATAGGGCACGCGCCCGACATGAGGAACGCGTCTCGACCACGTGATCGTCGCGTCGCGGGTTGAACACGACCCCTGCAATCTCGTCCTCCCTATTGAGGGCCCAAGCCTCTCACATACGGCTTCTGTCTACTTCTTGTCTTATGCCTTCTTGAAAAAACCATGGCATCAAAGATATCGCCCAACCGACGCAGGTCGCTCGCCGTTTTGAATCAAGGCGCGTCATCTCGCCACAACAGTCGCCGCCGCGCATACAGTATAGCGCCGGGAGAGAAGCTGAGCCCTGCTGCGCGAGCTCGTCGCTCCTTGGTGCGTAAAGGTACAGCAATATCGTATCTAATTGAAGCGACCGTTGGCCTAGGCTCCGCGTAAGAGCATCTTGAAGATCTCCAATGTTCCTGAGAGCACAGAATCCTCCGCACTCGGCGATGAGACGGGTACCCAATCCATGGATTTCACGGAGGTGCACTCGCATGGTCCCCGTAAGAGCCTTGCAAGACGTGTCAGCTTTGCCAGTCATGCGCACGTTCGTCTCTTCGAAATTCGGGAGCAGAACACCAACAGCAGCGGGGGACCGCCGTCTTCGCCCATCGAGGATTCTCCAAATGGCGACCACCGTGCTGATGATGAAGATGCTAGTCCTGATGCCGCACATAGTCGTCGTCGCAGCTCAATGCGTCGTCGGTCGTCAACTGGGTTCAGTGAGTTTGGAGAGCGTTCCATGGACATGGACATGGACGATACTGCTCCGCTTCCCCGTGACTTCCTCGGACAGAGCGACTATCAGCTAGGAGGAACTGCTGTAGAGGACGATGAATTCTCGGACGAGGACGATGAAGATGATGAAGATATGGAGGTTACAGAGGCCATTCGTCTGAACATCGAACGGAAGCGGTCACTATCTTTGGGACAAGGTCGCGTTTCACTTCCGAATCGCCGTCGTTCATCCGTTGCGCCCGTAACTGCCTCTCAAAACCAATCGGAGAACCAGCCCCCACCCCGAATTACTCGCCCAGAGCCTGAGCGAGAGCCATTTGATGATCAAGGCCAGGATGACAGTGTTTCCTCTACGATGTCCCAATCCTTTGTATCGGAAGGCTCTTCTGCTGATCAATCACAGCCTATGGAATTTACTATCCCTATCGCACGATCTCTACGTCCGTCCGAACCGCCTAGTGAAGCTTGGTTGAAGTTGCGAGCAATGACCCACGCTGGGGATGAACCATATGAACCTCCAGCGGATAGTTCTGAAGATGACATCAGTATACCGACGACATATACGCAAGGCGCGGAGGAAGGGGAACCCATGGAGTTGACAGATGCTATGACCCGCCTCATGAAGGCACGCTCTTCTTTGGGCCTGCCACCGGTCTCCGCTCCACTTGCGAATCCGGGACCTACTCAGACTGTATCTGAAACATTCGACGACAACGATGCTATTGCGCAGGAGCAAGGGTTCCAAGACGATAGCTTCACGAGTACGGAGGACAGCTTCGCCAACGATTTCGATGCCGGCGATCGTACTATGAATGTGACGAGCCTAATGAGGGCTAGCCTTGGTGCCCAAGATACCTCCATGGAATCCGCAAGTGTGTATAGTGGAGCTGGAGATGACGAGCGTGTAGTGAAGGTTCCGCTGGGAGTAACAGTGGGGCCTCCTGCTGAAGCTCCTGTTCAACATCCCATCACCATTCAGAAAACACCATCGCCGCCTATTGTTGATTCGACGACCAGCGCACCGGCCCCTAGGCCGCCTATCTTCAGCACTCAAACATCCTCGCGGCCCAGCATCTTTTCTGCACCTGCAGCCAAAACGCCGGCCCAGACACCTCGCTCACCATCCAAGATCCCCACGGCGACAGTCCCCAAACCGTTCACATTTAGTCTAGCACGATCGGCAGCACAGGTCGCACCCAGCCCTGTACCTTCCGGTGCTTCAGCAGGCTCTAATGTGCCGCAGTCCCCAGCAGTCAAGCCTTCGGCAGCTTTCGCGCCTCCATCTGTGCGCAAGTCGCCGCAAAAACGACCCGCTCCTCCGGGGTCAGAGAGCGCGGCTCAGCCCAGCCCCGCGAAGCGAGCTGCTATAGGCAAGCTTGAGCCTGCGAAGAAAGCGCCGTTTGAGAGAATTGTACCATCTGGCCAGCTGCCCGTCAACAGACGTGCAAGCATGGTGCGGAGGCCGTCGGGTTACTTCGCGCAGAGGAAGAGCCTGGGTGCAGGTGTCCTCCCCTCTGCAGCGGGATCTAATGGGAGATTGGGCAGTCCAAAGAAGCCTGGAGCAGTGGGACTACGACCACGAAGTAGTGTAGGAGCTGCACCTTCTGGGCAGGGACTTGGCATTGCACCTTTACAAGAACGTACAGCAGAGGAGGCGCAGTTGTATCCCGATGTTGCGCGCATCCTACGAGAAGATCCGCCGACTCCATCCAGGACTGGGAGCCCTGCATCGGGCAATGGCAAGTCGTGTGAGAGGGAGACGCTCCGACAGGCTATAGCTATCCCCAGCCCGACGCGTGGATCGCCGTCACCCGCGTCCTCACGACCAAGCTCTCCCTCGCCTTTTGCCGCCAGACTGAGTGCTCCCCAAAGGTCTGCTTCACCGGCTTCCCTCCCTCCCAGGATACCTTCCCCCGCTGTACCTTTGCTTGAGCCAGAAACACCAGGAGCATCATCTGCCCAGAGTCCTCCGCCGGCTGTCGCTCCTACTCCGACCGTTACACAGACCCCCTTCCTATCTACCGGAATCCCGCGACCTACAGCGCAGGTTCAGTCGGAGAACTCAGCCACTCAGCAATGGCAGCAGAACGTTGTTCAAGAAGATTTGGGGTACGAAGACGAGGGTGTAAGTTCTATACAACGCGTATCATAATTCACTGTGACTGACCATCACATAGCCGCCAATTTCTATTGAGCAGTTCTTCGAGATGACAGGAATTCGATTTATGGACGAGCTCACGATGCCGAAGCCACGGCAGTCGATCGCTCCGCCTCCCCAGCTACGGGCTCGGTCGCGGCGGCGATCGTCTGCAGAATTCAATTCGGATGCCTATGAAGATGACCCGATCTCTCTCGCTGAGTTCTCTGTCACAATGGCGGTCGAGCTGCCTCAGCTCGAACTCTTCGCTGCAGTGTCGAATGACCTGACGGCGTGGATCGAAGAAAGCAAGAAGATCTGCCTGGAAGCAGAGAACGAGACAGAAAAGGTCACTCCAGAGCTATTCCGCGACTTCGTAGCGGCGGATGAGTCAGAACAGTCGCTTCTAGTTGTTCGTCTCGTTCCCACTGATTGTCCGAGTATTTTCTAAGATTACCCAACAGCATCAACTGAAGTTGATCAAGGCGAACAACTATGCGCTGGCAAAGTCTCAATGGTACGATTGGAAAACCGTTTGGATCGAGCGACTAGATCGCCGAGCGGAGGAAGAGTTCTCACATCTCGAATCCGTAAGCTCCCGGTGCGGTCACTGGTCAGCCTACGGCTGAATCTCCATTACTCAGGATGCGCAAGTACTTGCCAAGGTCGTCAAACAAGCCCAAGGGATCCTGCCCGATCTGCGTGCAGAGTATGCACAGGTGATGGCTGAGCTTGAGCAAGAGCAGGCGGATATTGCTGAGATTGAGACATCGGACCAAGACTACCTAGGCGAGCTCAAGGCCACTATCGCGGAGCAGACGTGTGTCACTTTCACTGGGCAAATCTTCGTGCGCATTACTGATGGAGATAATACTCCTTTCAGCAATGAGCTGGAGGCCTTCCGAACAGATGTTTCGGAGAGCAGGGCCAAGCTTGAGCGTTTTGAGGAGAAATTGGCCGAAATTGAGTCGCAGAAGCAGGAGGCGTCCAGCGCCATTGCTTACTCTCAGCACAGTATCCATATCAAAAAAGAGAGTACGAGCGTGGAGGTAATCAAACTACGGGGTATGCACGTCTCTTGTCCGGTGTTATTCTTGAATGCTGAATGACAATGCACTAGATGAGCTAGAAGCTCTACAAGATCTACACCTGTGGCGCACCACCAAGCTCGCTGCGGACATCGTTGAATTTATTTATGCCTCACGATATCAAGTCACCATTCCTTGTATCATGCACAAACCTATTGCCAACAAGGTGTCCATCTCGAGAGCTCCGAATTCTCGGACCAGAGAACGAGACACGTTCCCGCGATTTACGGACCTTGCTCTACTTACGGCCCAGCAAATGGTCGCGAGCTTGGGGCAGTGTAGTCTCCGTGGGGTAGGACATTATGCGGCGTTTTGTATAATCATCTATTGACATATTATCCTGTGCAGGTCGTGGAACGACTGAGCGACTTCTGGTCATCCTGCTCGCAAGTTCGTTCACAACTTACCTTTCTTGCCGTGAAATACCCGCTTTCGGTGGAGACCAGATCGAAGATTGAAGGCCAGCTGCCGGATCTCCATGCCAAGGCGACCGTTATGTTTCCCAGCGTGAAGGGAAAGGCATATATATCTTTCATCTTTGATTCACAAACGTATTCACGATGGCCCATGTCATTCGAGTCGCTGAAAGCGGATGTCGAAGTAGCTTACGGCCGTATACGGTGAGTTACGTACCGGTCCCCCTATCTCACGCATTCTAATTAGGACTGTTTATGTAGGCCAGAAGACATTTTGGGTGCCGTTCGCGAACGCTTGAGTCAGGCCACTCCTGTGGACTGTCACGGATGTTTGCTGGACGCTTGTATAGAAGCTACGGAACGATATCTTGACGTCTAATTCTATACCCTGTACTTGTTTATGTTTGATGTCTCATCTACTGTATGTATCGTAGGATCATAAACATACTTCGTAACCTTTTTCAGGATCTATTCACTTGGGTCGATTTGAGTGATCGCTGAGAAGGAGCGTCATCGGGCCAAAGCGAAACAAATAGCCCCGACGCGCACGACGTTGTCCCACTGCGCGTCAGTGCGCGTCGTGCTCGGACGATATTGCCTAACAATCCCTTACTCGGCTGAGGGCAACTGCGTCCCTCTAGTGCTATGAACACGCCGCCGTCGTCTCTCCGCGATATTTACGTGACACCGTCCAACGCCTGGTCATTTATTCCGCCGCCACCGGGTCCAGCGCCAGAGAACTTGACGTCTGTCTACCCTTCTTCCTCCTCTTCTTCCCCATCCTACCAATGGTCTACGCGCACCAGTCAAAACCCCTTTCTCGACCTCTCTGTCAATGTTGTCGACGATGAGAGTGGTGTTGATGTTACCGTGCTCGCAAAAGGTCTAGCGGGGGCCGCGCTGTTACGCTATGTCACCACCGCAATAGTAATGCCATGGCAGGTGGGGAGGATCTTGTTGCAAGTGCAGTGGGTACCGCGAGATGCAGGCGAAGTACCACCCGATGCCGTGCTCACGACCGACGCTGTGGAAGAGGATGAGGTGCGTCATTCCGAAATGCATCTTCACGTCCGACTGGGTTGCATTGATACTTAGACGTTCATGCCTATATTAGCTGAGCGACACATCTAATGATAACGATGCATACTTTGCGGATCCAACCAAACTTGTGGATGACACAGCTTCTGGTTCTCCGCCTCGACTAGCCGACGAACGGGGATACATAGTCAGGCAATCCGTACTAGAAGAGGGTACAATTCCGGAGTATGTTATGCCAGTCGGCACCAGTGATGGGCCATGGGGCATGATGAAGCAACTGGGTCGTTTTCGAGCGGAAGGCTGGCTGTCGCTGTGGAAAGGTAGGCTAAACTCATACTTCAATCACCCTCTCCTCATCCAACTCCTAACTATAGGTCTGCTAACCACGACCGTCTATGATATCCTCTTCGCCAATCTTCAGCCTCTCTCGCACAGTATCGTGCAGTCTGTGCTATTATCCCTCTATGCCTCGCCTACCTTACCTGCAGGATCCTCATCCCTTCTCTTGCCCGTCGCTTCGTACACCCTGACAGGCTTCCTCCTATCCCCACTCGATCTCATACGTACGCGACTTATCATTCAATCCTCTCATCCCCGCTACCGCACCTACTCCGGACCAATCGACGCTCTCCAGCAGATTCTCACTCAGGAGGGTGGCCTCCGCGGGATCTATCTTCACCCACACCTCCTCATCCCCGCCCTCCTCGACTGTGCCCTGCACGCTCTGCTCCCGCTCACGCTTCCGGGACTTATCGCGTCATACCTCGGCTTCGGTGCGCAGATCGCGCCGGAGACACATCCCATGTTCTGGGCGGTCGCCGAGCTGCTCGGTGGTTGTGCAGGCTTCCTCATCACGCTGCCCGTAGAGACCGTCCGGCGGCGGCTTCAGGCACAGATGCGCGGCACCGCACGGCCGCTGCGCGCATGTGTTGAGCTGCGTCCTGCGCCATACAATGGAGTTGTGGACACCATGTGGCACATTGTTACAGAGGAGCGTTCGGACCTGCCGCTGCGCACGAAGAGCCGGCAGCGTCACGGGAAGGCGAAGGAGGATACTGGACGCGAAGAAGTGGAAGACGCGAGCTGGTCGCGAAGCACAGGGGTTGGTCAGCTATACCGCGGGCTGAGCATCCGCATCATGGCGAGTGTCATCATGTTCGTGGCTGCTGTTGTCAGTGGAGACGACACTACGGATGCAGGATGGGCGGAATTATGAGGTGTTGTTATTGTTCATAATTATGGAACGTAGTGTAGCCACGACTCAATCTGCATATCACCACGTACGTCGTGGAACAAAGCCTGTTGCACGAGCGGTGCTCAGCAGCTGCGTCATTGATCTAATTTAACGCCAGCCTCGTCTTGGCTCAATGCTGCTTGCAAGGCTGGTGACCGGTGTCCCTGGACCATCGCCGCGTCGATGGCCCTGCAAAGTCATTCGTTAGACGGCGTATGGCACAGGGACAGATTTGAGTTTGGGGCTTGGCGAGAGATAGCCATCCTGTGGTAGCCCATACACTCGCTCAACGGCGCCGAGGTAGACGGGCTGAGGAATTGGCAACTGACAGGCTTGTGCACGAGCACCTGGGAACAGAAGGTTCAGAACGGCATGATAAAAGCAGGCGATAAACGATTGCCCACAGACCCTTCGATGTTGGCATGCCAGAAAGATTCCTTCTGGCTAGCAGGTACGGGCGGTATGCGGTTGCGCCTTCTCCGACATCTTGCGTGCAAGGGTCGGTGGAACAGCATCGAGTTGCATGGGCAACTCTTGCAGGTGGCCCTACGCGGTGCGAATGATAAGCAACACATACGCGGGCATATGGTGGGATGCGCACGTGTGCAAGATGGTATCGCAATCCGCTCAGCTGCTTGTACTCTTTGCGACAGCCAGGCTGGGGGCAGGGGAAGGTCTTCTTTCGCTTGGCTAGCGAATCGATTGCATCTCTAGACACGGACGTCGCTTCGGGCTCTGGTCTAGGTGGGGTCTGCGTGACTGATGACAACGCTTGTTGAAAATGCGTTTTCGACCTGACCGTAATGTAATTAGCGACATGCTTGAAACAGCGAATGGCTAGTAGACGTACACTTGCAGGTGATATTGCAGACCATTGATGCTCTGATGGAATCATCAAGCCAGCCGTCGTGACATCAATCCAAAGGACCAACCTTCCAGCTCTTTATGCAGCCAATTAATCCACATCTGAAGGGACTGTTACCGCCCATGTCATCTGGATGCTCAGCCTTGTTGTGATCAGCGAGCTCTTTTGACGTCGCGTAGCAGGAGCGACTCGCGGGAGCATCTGTGGGCCAGCAGCTGGAATGACCACAAGCGTAGGCCAAGACTGCCGAGCTAAAATGTGTGTATATGTGTCACACGAGTGGTCCCGGTTCAGGCGGCTGGTTGACTTACTTGGCAGTCGCCGGCAGGTTGGATGACAATCGTGGAGGAGGCCCTTCCCGCGTGCGACGAGGAGCAATAGCCTTGCGCACCTTCTCAGCAGCGGTACGATAGTAGCTGATCGGAGCAGCCGACGCTGACGATTGACTCTCTTGGCAGGGAGATGTCGGGGAGTGAATACCAACATAAGACGGTATTACGGGTGTTTCTCCAGTCATTGCGTGATTTGCCTCATCATTGTGGTATTTAGGCGGAGAGAGCCCTTCCGGTGAACTTGATGCGGTCAAAATACCGTCACTTCCGAAGTGCATATAGTCGCCTGTATGCGGGAATAGGGCACTAGTCAACAATTCCACATTGTCGTTGTTCGATATAGTGTAGGAAGTCGATGATGTTTTCTCAGCTTGCCGTGTACCACGACTATGCGATACTTGCAGACTCCGGCTGTCACTCGCTCGATGTTCTAGCATATACGTGGTTTCCGGAGTAGCGACCGTCAGAGCAAAATCGCCATAGTCCAGCGGGTGCACAGCGCTATAACTCGATGCGGAGCCCGATATGCTAGGAGGATCGTTGGCCATAACGGAAAGTGGTGAATTATCTGACCGTAGATGCGGGGACGTCTGAGTAGTCGGCCTTGTAGGCGCAAAAGTGACCTCTGCGGCATGATGAGCCCACAGATCTTGCGGCTGGGTTGCAAATCCCGAGATGCAAGTGTTTGGGGTTGATCCTACCTCTTCTTGATGGTCCAGGCCCGTCCGGGAGGAGCTTGCTGGGGCGGTACCACGAGCAGTAGCAGCTTGCTTCCGCTGGAGCATCCTCCACCTAAGATAGCCATGTCTCAGCGCGCATACCGCGGAGAAACATAGGATCCTCAAGACCTGTTGCGGCAGCCGAGACCGCTGCGTTGAAGCTCTTGTCCGATCTGTCCCCACTTGCCTCCGACCCGTGCATAGGCTTCGAGCAATTTGGCGTCTTCATCTGAGGTCCAGTCCCCTCGTTTGAGCGCAGGGTCCAGTGCCTCCCGGTAGCGTTTAGAGCATGCATCATCCGTCCGACCAGATATGTGCCGGGCAATGACGGCCCACTTGGTCGAGTGAATTGCGTACAGCGACAGGAGAAGCTGGTCTTCCTCCGGTGTCCACGCTGACTTCTTCACTGACGGTGAGAGTGAATGTAGCCATCGCTATGAGTAGCACCTATGTTAGAGTCAGATTTCTAGGTCAGTAGGCAATCAATTCACCTTCCTACACGCCTTGTTAGTACGATCGGGGACAGACAAGGCAATGGTCTTCCAATTGTCGATTTCCCCGTGAGTTGCAACCGCCTGGATGAGAAGGCTATCTTCCTCTGCAGTCCACGGTCTCCCAACGCCTCTCTCTGGCATTAGCAGTCCAACATACAATAGACGAGGCTAATAAGCAGAAGATGATCATGCAGTGTCGGATCAAGATTCGCAGCCGCCCAATAGCCGCCCACTACACCCCAGCTTGGCTGTTACAACCATGTCTCTTCTCCAAGGCTACTCTTCAGACGAAGACGACACCTCTATATCAGCCGCAAATGACGCTTTTGGTCTCTCATCTCTGCCAACGGCCAAGAAGGCGCGGATTGATGAAGCCAGCGGTTCAGGCTCGGAGGTCACTATTAAGCCACTGGCTGCACCCGATGTTCTTGCGGAGGTATGCCCTCCAGTCATTCCATTCCACGGAGTGCTTAATCTCTATCAACCATATAGGACCCCTTGAACCAGACGTCCTTGATTACACGTCCCACCGATACTCGGATGAATGTAAACATCCCGTACAATGACATGGTCTTACCCCTACAAGGGCCCGAAAACCCATTCGGCGACCGCAATAGATTCATTAACCAGAATGCCCTCGCCGGCCATGTTGAGGAGCAAGCGATGACAGAACACGCGTTCCGACAACAGCATCTGACCCATGCGATCCTCGGCTACTCCGCAAATCCCTCTGTTGACCCGAACGCGCCAGCGATCTTGGGTTCGGTCGAGAAGGCTGAGGCGAACAACTTCTCCACGATTGGGATGCTCAAGACATCGAAAAAGGAGAAGAATGAACTGAAGCGGAAGCGGAAACAAAAGGGCGACCTCGAAATAGTGGACGGCGAGGGCGCGTACCAAGGGCCGTGGACACCATGGGAAGGTGACGAGCCCCAAGGCCTGCAGTTCGGCGAGGAGGACGTCGGCGAAGAGTCGGAAGAGGAGCCAGAAGAGCAGGTGCAGAAAAAGATCGCGAAACCCAAGCGCGGGGCGCCAGGCCTGGAGTCGTCTGTGTTCCACGGGAAGTCAATGCACGATTACCAAGGCCGGACGTACATGCACGCTCCGATCGCGGAGGCCCCACAAATACAGACAGAGGCGGGTTCGCAGGAGACGTTCATCCCGAAGGTGTGCATCCATACGTGGACTGGCCACACGCAGGGTGTCTCTGTCATCCGCCTCTTTCCCGAGACGGGCCACCTCCTTCTGAGTGGCTCGATGGACACGAAGATCAAGGTGTGCATGACACCCGTCATCTTGTCTGATGTGTGCTCACATTGCAAATAGCTATGGGACGTCTATACTCACGGCAACTGTCTCCGCACCTTCCATGGTCACATGAAAGCTGTCAAGGACGTTGCCTTCTCGAATGACGGCCGCAAGTTCTTATCGTGCGGCTACGACCGTCAAATGAAACTCTGGGACACGGAGACCGGACAATGCCTCAAACGCTTCAGCAATGGGAAGATCCCGTACGTTATCCGTTTCCATCCAGATGAGGACAAACAGCATATATTCCTCGCCGGTATGTCGGACAAGAAGATCATACAGGTATGCAATCCGTATTACGCTGTATGGCTTCATTGAATCTAATCCATTCCCTTCGATCACGTCGATGATCCGCCATCATTAGTACGACATGAACTCCGGTGAAATCACGCAGGAATACGACCAGCATCTTGGGCCCGTGAACACGATCACATTCGTGGACGAGAACCGCCGCTTCGTCACAACATCCGACGACAAAACTATCCGAGCTTGGGACTTCGATATTCCCGTGGTGATCAAGTATATCGCGGAGCCTCACATGCACTCTATGCCCGCGGTAACGGTACACCCAAATAGTGAGTCAAATCGCGCACCGGCACGTTTGACGTGCTAGCTCATTTATCGCTTGCGTGATAGAGAAGTACTTTGCCGCTCAGTCACTTGACAACCAGATACTGGTCTATAGCACCGACAACTTTAGACAGGCCCGGAATAAGCGTTTTGCGGGGCACTCAGTTGCCGGGTACGCCTGTCAGGTCGGCTTTTCACCCGACGGTAAGTGGATCAGCAGCGGCGACGGTGAAGGGAACGTCGTGTTCTGGGAATGGAAGACCGGCCGCATCAAATCCCGCCTGAAAGCCCATTCAAAGGTAGTCATCGCGCACGAGTGGCTGCCCCATGAATCTGTACGTGGATGCAACATTACCTTGGGGTGACAGGTGGCTGACGTCTGCATGTGCTCGTAGTCCAAGGTTATAACCGCGTCTTGGGATGGTCTGATCAAGCTCTGGGTGGGTTCGAATCAGTCGTTCTGTCTGTGTATGACATTGAAATCTTCATGGCAAATGATAGGATTGAGTTGCACGATTCAGTGCGCGCCATGCACGTGTTGCGCATGGTCAGAAAATCTCTCACTCGGTGCCGTATGAGCCGGGTCAGGCACAGTGCTCAGCGACTCCGTTGTAGATACTGTCGGACTGCATTGCGTGTCGTGTGTACATAATCTCATTGTATCATAGCGATTCGCAACCAGTATGCAGTTCTGACAAGTCCGCATAATACATAGCACAGCGAGGAAATGAGACCTTGGTATCTGGATCGTACTTATGGACCAAACGCCTATTGTATCATAGCGCAAGATCTGGATCTATTTTAGCCCCCGATCACTCCTGCCAAGCTGCGCACGCGTTGCTATCAGTCTACATTGCCTCTGCATTTAACCCCCTGTCGCTCCTTTCCAAGTTCTCGCTTCAACGCATCTGAAATCATGCGCGTATCCTGGTTCTCGCTGCTCTCCTTCGCTGTCCTCATCGGCATCGCCTCCGCTGCACCCGTCAGTTCATTTACATTAGCGCCTCACCTTATCTTGGCTTAGGTCAATGTCTGACAGGTTGTTGAGCCCGCTCTCGAGAGGCGGGAGACGCAGGAGAAGCGCAAGATCCTCGAAGAAGTAAGCCATTCTCTACTCTAATAGATGCCGCTCTGCCTGATACAGTTCTGCGACCAGCGTCAGGACTGGATCGGGGAAGGGGGCGGCGCCTCCTGGTAACAGTCCTGGGGAAGTCGACTGGTTGTTGGGTTGTACAGTCCTTAGGAGGCAAGTACACAGTACCTTTTACTCGAATTCGCAGCGCCGAGACTTATGAGAACCGGCACCTGCCAGTGCGCTTTCCGCCTCCAAATGATTCCCGATACCCACGGCCAGTCGTTCGCACGGCGACTCGTTGTACCGGTCACGGTTGTCGCTGACGCCGCGTTCCCTTACGGTGTTAACCTGCGATAGGGTGCCTTTTTCTTGGTCAGTGCTTTGCGTGACACAGGGGGGGGGGTTTCAATTTTGGCATATACCCCTAGATGTATTCTCTCCTTTCCAATGCGTGATTGGTCGTCGTATTGTATGTACCACGACGTGGTACGCATTCACGACGTAATTGTCTCGTACACTCCTATACTGCATGAAGACGCTCCGATTTAGACACCAACAGCACGGTGCCTGCGCCGAGTTTGCTCTATCGCATATCCTGATTGGCTTATGACACGGAGAGAAGGCGAGTACGTCTACGGGATGACTGCCGATAAGGAGCGCGTGCAGTACAATTTTCAAACCACGAATTTTAAACTCGACGCGGCGTCATACCTGACTTTGTCCACAAAAAGTTTTGACATGAATAGCAAGCGTCCTACGGCGCCGAGAGACGGATCGGAGACAGGATCAGCACGTACCTCGATACACACCGACTATTAATACAAAGTCGTCGACCTGAAACGTTCTAGCCTAGATCCGCAATTGTGTGTGTTTCCCCGGCATTGAATTGGAAACGCCATTGAGTCTGGGAACGCGCGACACCACGTTACCAGGACCGTGCGTATTGGCTATATGACTGCGCAGTACGCTTTCCAGATCGGGATCTAATCACTCCTCTCGATCGGCTCGGCGCTCGAGTTCCAGGTCCGTCGGATGTCAGGCACATCCCGCGTGCCTATAAAGCCCTCCTCCCAGCCGTCTCTTGTCACGTCTTCTTCCCCGCACTCCACTCCACCATGCGTTTGTCCTGGCTCTCTATCTTCTCCCTCTCTGTCCTCGTTGGCCTCGCATCGGCCGCACCCGTCAGTCTTCATCGCGCCCGTTCGCGTCCTGCTCCAGCTCATTCGTTCTCACGACAGGTTGCTGAACCCGCCCTTGAGCAACGGGAGGCTTACGAGCAGCGCAGCGCACCAGAAGCAGTGAGTGCTCTTCCATTCTCGCTCACCGTCTCCGTGTTTAACCCGTCTCTCCTGCGCGATTAGCGTCAAGAATGGCGTGGACCCGGTAGTTGGTGATCATTAGCTGAATATCGATGCTCCGATCTCTGTACCTCTTGGAGGTTGGTGAGCGCCGTGTCCTCTCACGCTCATGTATTGGGCTCACCTCTTACCAGTCCTCTTTCCATCTCCGGCGACTTATTTACAACGCTCTCCCCGCTAATACTCTAGGCCCTTGGCCCGCTCGGCGGCGCCCAGGAGTGGTGTCATGTCGTCGAACGCTAATCTTGGTGCCGCTTCCGTTCCTTGGTTGGTTGCACATTCGTCTCCGAAGGCAATCTTGGCGTGTACTGTACCGTTACCTTCACCTCAATGTTTCTTGTAGCTTACTTTGCTATGAACCACTCGCTCTGTGACACAGAGCGCAATCACATAAGTGTGCTTGTATGCCGACAGTGCTCCGTGTTTATTAAGGTCATGTTGCTACTCCGATGGGTGTGACTTCGAAGTTCTGGTAAGTTTATTTGAGCTATGATACATTCCACAGTAAGAGATGGCGATGGCGATGCCAACGTATATCTTTCACTGGCCACAAATCGCTTGACCCATGCGGGGACAATATACGCGCACTGTAATGACGTATACTGCAGCCGACGTTCTCGGTCAATGTGCACCATGTGCCGAGTACTTATCGCCATCCGAGATGCAGAACACGCTGTCGAATACCCTCGCCAACGCGTTTTGCATATGTTCGTCCTCGAGGTTCTTGCACCCGTTCCGTCCACCAGAGTGACACCAGCGGGCACGCCGCTCCAGCTTCCGTTTTGGTTCCTGATCAGCCGCCGCTCGATCTGTATGCGCAGACGCTGGTGTGATTTGTGACGGTCGGAAAGGGTGATCGTCGTGATCGGGACCGCCAAGCTTCAATATCCGTCTCAAGCAGGCGTACGAGCAGTGGCGGTGCGTATGTACTCCTTGTTTCGAGAGCAGACAGGTTCGGGATATGGGGTTCAATCACTCCTGTCAAAAGATCTCGTAGCCGCCACGGTGCCCGTTATGATTATTCCTTCCTTTCGAATGAACGGCATGCAATGAGAGGGAGGCGCGGGTCCGTCAGTCAAGACGCTAGCTGAGAATAAACAAAGGATGCCGTGCATTCGCTGGAGGGATTCAGGGCGTCTCCACGGGACGCCAATGGAAGCATCAGACGTGTTTCTCATGATCCTGAAATACCGCGGGTTCTCACTGTGACACCGTCCGCCCCGGCCGCGATTGAAGTGGCGGCGCCGATGTGCATTCCACTACATGATTTCCTGCCAGCGATGGCAGCCCGGAGCGATTGGCTGACAGCCCCGGACGAGAATGAAGTGCTGGATGAGGCAATCCCGCCGGCTTGTAGGACACGCTCCACTTGCCGAGCGTCGGGTCAACGGGCGGTGGCGGGGCACAACTAAGCGCTACGCATGGCGTCCGAGGAGGTGTCAGATGTGGGTTGATAGACCTGCATGGAAGGCGTGCAAGCCGAACGAGGGAAGTCAGCGTGCCGGAGACACCGCGAGCGGCGCGCGGGGACGGTGAAGGGGGGGGGGGTGGACGTGGGCGAGGGGGCCAGTGCCAGAGGAGGCGTGCGAGGGGGAAACCGAGTAGGACTCGGCGCTGCTCAGGCAGGGGCAGGGCCTGGCCTATTGGGTGCACGACTGTACCTGAGAGCAGGAACGCGCGATTTTGGGTGCAATGTGCACGCAAGAACTTTGCGTGATCAGGCGCCTCGCCCTGCGATAAACCTGGTTGCGAGCCGTGTGCCCGGTCCTACTTCTGCCGGACTTACAGCTGGTGCCTGGCGGAGTCCTCCGTCATTTTCCATCTGCGCTCTTATAGCTCCCCTCCCTGTATAGCCTTCATCACTCGTCCCCCACACCGAACCACTCAATCATACCCACCATGCGTGTGTCCTGGCTTTCCATTCTCTCCATCGCCATCCTCGCGGGCGTCGCCACTGCTGCACCCGTCAGTCCTTCATTTGGTCTCTCGGATCCATTCCACTCACATGATTGTCATTTCTCACCAGGTTGCTCAGCCCGCACTAGAGAGACGGGAACCACACGAGAACCGCGACGCGCCGCAAGCAGTAAGTGGTTCTTTGGCTTGGCAGTCTAACCCCCACCTCATCTCTGTATTTAGCGTCAAGAATGGTACGGCCCCGGTGACTGGTAATAATGCCAGATAAATTTAGTTCTTGCTCTGGGCTGCATACAATGGACACGTTCGTCGCGTTTCCCCTTGTTTTTGCAACTTGCGCTGAACTATTCCTACAGTCTCATCTGCCGCTGTCTCGGGACGTACTTTGTCTCGCTCACCCTCATTACTTCGCGCCTACCTTGGTCGTGGTAAACGGTGGTGGTGTTGCTGGCTTCCGCCAAAAATCCCGCCGCGTCCATTCGTTACTTGAATTATTCATATCGCTGTTGATCTTTGGCTTGTACTGTTAGCTGTAGTGTATCTTCTTGGCAATTTCATCCATCTCGTCGTTGCAATTAATCTGAATACTCGTGACCGACCTGTCTGTGGGTTTATGATCGGTTAAGCTGAACGGCAAATTTGAAACAGGTGGAATATCTATATCGCAAATACTATCACTTGGCAAAAGTAAACACAGTCGTTCTCAGTTTTCAAGCGCATAGAGATGGGTCAGACAGTGTAAGCTACAATCTCTCGTCCGATTACTTCGCGGTGACGATGACGGCCCAGGTTGTAAGCGCCTAAGTATTATGACGAATGCACGTGAAAAGCGCCCAACGGGCGCTTTCAGGCACGCGTAGTCCTTGCACCGCGCGGTCAGCTCACCACTATACGCATCCCAGTATCCTATTTTCTGAGGCTGAAACCAGGTTGTAACATCACATTCGGTCTACCCTGTAACAAAATGGCGTCCGCCCAAATTCAAGTGTTGCTGGAGGAGCCCAAGCAGGCTGATTCAGAGAAACGCACACTGGAGTTCCTCAACGCGAGGTACAGGTCGCTGCAGGACTTTGCTGACCAGGCCGAGCTCGCACGCACCGCAGAAGAAGCCCAGCGCCACAGCGAGGACTTGCGAAGTCAAGTGCGTAGGACCCGCAGATCCGCGTCCTTGCTCTCACTCCGATGTCGCAGCTCAGCTCGCTCAGTCCCGGCAAGCACTGGACGTACTTGTTGCGCAGACCCGCGAGGACGCGGCCGCGCACCTACACACGGCGCAGGAATTGTCCCTGCTGAGGCACTCGCTGTCAGATGAGCTTGCGTACTTCTCGGAGCAGCTGCTGTCGTCACTGGCCGTGTCTGACGGCAAAGTGACGCTGCTTGAGGACCTCGAGGCCTTGCACCGCAACGTGAAGGAGCTGGAAAGCGTCAAGAGTTACGTTCAAGTCATTCAGCATGCACTGAAGCTGAGGTGATGCGTCGTGGTTCTCTGCGAGTTTGCGCTGTCTCACACTTGACGACAGCGAGGCTGCCGTCGCGCAGGTCCGGGCCTCCGCCTCACTCTCCTCTGTCAGTGAATACGAAACACTGCAGCGATTTGTGGCGGCAGTACGGAATGCGTGCGTCAAGGTTGAGGATGTCGCCGGCCAGCAGCAGTTGCATATACTTCATTTCCTTGAGCACATCAGGGACAAGACTTGGCAGGATATCAAAGCTGTCTTGGCCGCGTGAGTGTGTTACTACTCTACTGCGGCGATACCTGACCGGCACGGGTAATTGCAGGACGCTACTGGCTGCCGCAGAGAAATTACACTGGCCCACGCCCGTGGACTACCTTGCGGCTTCACCAGCGGACAGGGTTGCCTTCGAATCCGCGTTCCTTAATTTACTCAAGATGCAGACAATGTGCGTTGCTTCTGCCGGTTGGCACACTGTACCTGATTGCTGTATAGCGGCAAGAAGCTCCATGCTGGGGTCAAGGGCAAGGGTGTCGAGAAAGAGGGGTTGTACCCTGTTCAGGCGTTAGTGCAGCCCGTTTCCTTGCGGTTCAAGTATCATTTCGAGGGGACCAGACAGACGAACAGGCTGGATAAGGTCGGTGGATTCTCTTTGATATCGTGCCGAACACGTCCTCCAACTCTGCGTGACAGCCTGAGTGGTATTTCACGCATATACTCAATGTCTCGCATGAACATCGGCGATTCATGGAAGGTGTGGTGCAGGCGCTGTTGTCCGGCACTGAATACAAACAGATGAACGCCTGGGTATGTGTCAACAGTCTTGTTCATGTGCTGTGAGGTGTTCTAACGCACGTTGGTTAGCGAGAGTTCACTTTATTGCTTCTCCCTTTGCTGGAACGCAAACTCAAGCGGACCGTTCCGTCATTGCTTTCACATCCCCCGGTACTCGCACACACCATCTACGAATCACTGGCTTTTGACAGCGCTCTCCGGGAGGACAACTTCGATATCAACGGCACGTCGGCCGAGAGGGATGCCGCTGATGGCGAAAGCAAACCTAACGGATGGGAAGGCATCAGCGATGTTATTCTGGGACGGAAGGAGTGGTTTGAGACATGGCTGGAAGGCGAGCGGGAGTGTGAGTGCGCGGCTGTCACCTCGCGGATTGTGCGGAACTTTCGCTGACGTTCAATCTTCCAGTCGCGATTGACCAATACATGAATATCATAAGTGCACCTGACGCCTGGCTCATTGCTAATGACTATGGCGCCGACGAGGACGATGTGGTCAGCGACCCTGAGTTAAAGCCGACAAATTCGGCCAGGAGGGTCAAGGCGTTGGTCGAGCAGGTCACCGGTTCGTACATGGTCCGGCTTTGCGCAAGTTTGTTTCCTCACCGTCATCTCACGCCTGTCAATAGACCGCTATTCCCCTCTTCCCCAATTTGCTCACCGCACTCGATTCCTCATCTCCGTACAGCTTCCGATTCTCGAATCGTACCATGCGCGGATATCATCATCTCTGGACGCGTTTGAGACGCTCTCTTCCTCTTTCATGCGCGCGGTGCCTGGCGCGCTCGGCGCCGTGACCGATAGCGCAGGGCGCTCCGCGGATCCAAAGCATATGACGAGTGGGGTTGAGGGCGTCCAGCGGCTCGTGAAGGCGTTGGTTAGCGCGAAGTTCATTGCAGCCGCATGCGAGGCATGGGGCGAGGAACTGGTGCGTCTCCGCAACTTGGCGTGTGCCACCTGCTCGGGCTGACAGTCGATGTTCCTCCCGTGAACTTTCCAGTTTTTCTTGGAACTGTGGGCCGAGATCAATCGGCGCGCGTCGCTGCGGTCGCGAGCGCAAGCGGCTGCTGCATTGCCGGATCCGAAAGGGGGTGAGGATGCTCCGGAAGGCACGATCTTCGAGGAGCTCGTTACACAGTACGGCACACTGGCCGAGCGTGCCGAAGACATGACGGTGCAGTCTGTCTGCAGCGAGATTGAGGCCGGACTCAGGGCCCACTTTTCTGGTAGTTCCTCGACGTAAGTCTTACCTTTGATGGCCGCTGTGCCGCGACTGAGTCTTGCTCCCCGTCGCTCTATAGGCAAGTCACGCCCAACCTGGATGCTTCCAGCCGGGATGACATCTCGCTGGCGGCATCGTTGTTGGGGCCGGTTGCTCTTTTGTCTTCGCAATTGACGTTTTTGCAATCGAGCCTCCCGCGTGCTATGGTCACGACTCTATACCGCCGTATGGCTACCCGCTTGTCGGCGCATATTCTATCGCGGCAATTCCAGTATCGCGGGCGGGGGCGTCTCAGCCCGCAGGACGGCAAGGCCATACTCGCTGAGACCGAACTGTGGGTGGAGACCTGCCAGGTCGCATTGGCTGGCAGCGAGCGACCTAGGGTCGAAGCCCCCTGGAGACGTTTACTGCAAGCCAGTCGCCTGGTGGGTGTGGACGGCAACAAATGGCAACGGGTGGTCGATAGCACGTTTGGCGTTACAGAGGATTCCGATTGGGAAGCCGTCATGCTGGATACGGTTGGCTGTGCCGAGCTTGATAGAGACGAGGTAGGACAGATTTTGAGAACCCGATGGGATTGTGATCGGTGAGATCCACGTTGACTTGCAAGCCGAGAGATGTCAGTATATTTCTATATGCAACCGAGTAACGTCCCTCTAGGTTCGATACAAATGGACATTACGAATACAGGGTATGATTACAGAATTGCGCAGCATCAGAACAAAAGCAAGACGAAAACACGAACGACAGACTAGATTTTGTACACGACACCCCCACTGAGCATTAGCTCTTCAGCTTCTCCCATGACTTCACAAGCTATGGTCGCTTCGGCTGTACCAAACAGCTGTTCGGTGGGAAGACCTTGGTTGATCAGTTCCAGAAGATCGGTAAACATGAACTGTTCGCCGTCTTGCAATGTCGTAGCGAAGAGGTTGGCAAGCCGCGTGCGGAATAATTTGAGTCTGCCAAAGATGTGGTCAAAACAATTTCATGCGACTGTGCAACTGGGTGCGTACCGCTCCGGTCGTATGCGTCCATCCTCTGTTATTCCTGCAGGCGCTGGTTCTTGCATCTGAATATCCTGACTGTCTTCTCCCCAGACGGGGTCCGCGTTCTGATGATCAGGAACCGCTTTTTCTTTGCCCTTCGCTTGCTGTGGCTCCTCCATTCGGCTGGGGGACTGAGGACCTGTCTCCTCATCTTCTTCGTCATCATCCTCGTCACCTGAAGACTCCTCGCTGTCATTGCTGCCTCTTCGGGCAGATTTGCCGTTGTTCAGTCGACGCTTCGTACGTCGCTTGCGCTTCAGCACTTCCCTGTATAGCGCAAATCGCAGGAGCTCTTCAGCAACCATCGCGTCCTGCTCCATCACTTTCGGCGATAGGCGTGCCTTGGCTTGTGCTGTGGCTAGACGAATGAGAGTTTCCAACGTACGTGCAGTCAGCGGCGACGTCTATATCCGCGAATCGCACATGAGTACCTCTGTCATACTCAACGAATGCGCGCGCGACGTACCCTCTTCTTGTTGCCCTCCGGGTCTTCTGACCGGAGATTAGCATATACGGTGACAATCCAATTTGCAGCGCCCTGCGTCAGCACAGGCGCAGGCTTGTTCTTCGCGTATTGAATGTACTTCTTGACGAATGCAATGCTCAGCACCTCATTTTTCTTCTTCGCCGCCCGCGTGCGTCTGGTGGACATCCCAGGTTCCTGCCCGATGCCAATATGCAGGAGCGGGTCGTACTTTTCAAAGGGACTGGGCTCTCCTTCGTCTGCCTCCGGCTGCGCGGCACCTGGTCCTTCGATGGTGAGGTTCTGCCCTAGGCTATCCGCGACTGGCGTCCCCTCTTCGACGCCTGGTGGAAGGTAGCGATGCATGCGCAAGACGTGATCTGCGATGAGACGGTCGCGGTTTTCATCAACGTCATCTGTTACAACAAAGAGCAGATCAAAACGAGAGAGGAGGGAATCTGGAAGTGCGATATTTTTGTGAGGGTCTTTGTGCACGTCGTACTAGCATAAGTATGAGCAATTGAAAACAACTCATTGAGCGTGGCTCGTCCTCACCTGGCCATAGATCGGATTTGCAGCAGCGACTACACTACAACGGGCGTTCAGCGTCGTATGGATACCTGCTTTGGCGATGGTGACAGTCTGCTGCTCCATGACTTCGTGGATTGCGACCCTATCAATGTCCGACATCTTGTCAAACTCATCGATACAAACCACGCCGCGATCTGCGAGCACCATTGCACCCGCCTCCAGTCTTCGCTCGCCAGTATCCTTGTCTGTCGTGACCGCCGCCGTCAAACCGACGCCTGAGCTACCACGCCCAGTCGTAGCAATGGCTAGTGGTGCGGTGCCAAGTACGAAGCGCAGGATCTGTGATTTGGCAGTAGATGGGTCGCCTACCATGAGCAGGTTGATGTCGCCTCGAATGTGGGTGCCATTGGGCAAATTCTTCTCCGCGCCGCCTAGAAGAAGCAACAGAAGAGCTTGTTTGATCTGACGGTGGCCAAAAATGGAGGGTGCGAGGGACTGTGAGAGGAGCTGTGTAATGTCGGAACGTTTTGAGAGCTGGTTGATCATGCGTATATCAGAGTCTGTTAGTTGTGTTTGTGCGATACCGCCGCCAATTTTCGAAGAGAGAAGATTGATGTTGTTGGCGAGGATCAGCGACCTATGAATGCAATGAGATCATATTTTGTAAGTGTGCATGTGAAGGCGTACTTGAACGCGCCTCCAGCACCACCTCCGACACTGCGGTATACACCGACCAGTTGGATACGGTCACCCGGTTTGCACTTGTCGACGAGGTCATCATCCAGGATAACATCTGTACTCCGTGGTAGCTGTCCTGCGGGGGCACGTTCCGGCATCTCCTGTATACTAATTCGTTGATGGTCGCGGAAGACACAGTGGCCGAACTCCGTCTGCAGCGGGTGGCCCTCGTCGTCCTGCTGTGGCGTCACGGACGAGGTCGGTGGGAGATTCGACGTTGACGACGTCGCATCGCGGTACTCCCGCGCATGAAAGAGGCGCGTCTCGGGGCAGTAGTGCACCGACTTGAGCATCTTCGGGCGCACGAGCGAGCAGCGGGTGACGATGCCCTCGAGCGAAATCATCTTGCCGAGCTGTGCCGCGCGTAGCGTGCGCGGGCTGACATGGTGGTCGCCAAACGAGCCGCTGAGCCCGACGCGGTATTCGCGGCCGGAAACGTCGTGCTTGTCGGTGTCGTGCACGCGCTGGACGATGTTCGCGAGTGCCTCGTCAAACGCGGGGAGGAAGTCGACGGGTCGCTTGAGCAGCCCGTCCGCAAACTCACGCTTGTAGTCGCGCAGGTCGTCGATATTGACGACGAGCCGCCGCTGGTCCTGCCTCAGCATGCGTGCGATGTCGTCCCCGTAGTTGTAGAGCTCCGTGTTGGCGTCGAGGAACTCCTCGAAGACACGCGTGCGATCACGCATGAGGGCATCATCTGGGACCGGCTCGTCAAGAAGTGACATCGTGATGAAGGGGGCGAGAGACAGGGTGTGCAGAGGCGTTGTATGAAAGAGAGCGACGAGACGCGACGTAGGATTATGAAACGCGAAAAGACCTGCCATAAAGCACAAATAGGCGCTCTATGTAGAGCCAGCAAGCGCAGCGGCAAGACTTCTACGATTTTCAGCGCAATAAGAACAAGCAAGGATGTCATTCATAGCTTGATATTCTCGTCAACCCATCGCATGACCTCTGTCCAGTCCTTTACCCTAGCCGGGAACTGACCCTGCGGAATGTCTACCTCGTCCCGCTTCAAGAACCCATCTCCGCCCTCCTTCTTCACCCGCTCATCATAGCTCATCTCATCTTTAACATTCTTGTACACCGCCTTGTGCTTGTTCCATTGATATTCGCCAAAAAGGAGGATAGGCTGTGGTGGGTCCGCGTGCGCGCACTTAAGCGCGTTCTCAAGCGAGTCGTCGATCATGAGCACCGCGCCGAGTTTCTTGCAGACCTGTGATGAGTGATAAGTACACGCACATACAGCAACTGCGAGGTGCGTACGTCCGCCTTGGACAATTTGGTCACCATAGCCTTTTCGTCAGCGAGTGTCTCCTGCGACATCCCGGTGCAGATAATCTCCTCGAAAATTCCGGTGAAATATTTGTCTATCCACTCTTCCGTACGAGGGAGTTCCTGCTGTTGTCTAGCGGTTACCACCACGAGCCGGAAGCCCCGTTCTTTCAAAACCTTTACGCCCTCGAGTGCCCCCGGGACGGGGGGTGCTTCATAGAGTCTAGGTGTCTTGTAGAATTCTTCTACCTTTCTGAAGGTCTCGTCTGGCGTCCCCCAATATGGATTCTGAACGAAGAGTCGGCGCGAGTGGTAAAGAATAGGCCCGACTGACGCACTCTCCAATAGTAATAATCTACCGCGACGTCAACGTCCACCCATGGGCAGAAACAGGGGCAACCACGTACAGTAGAAGTCATCCAGCGTCATGTTAGTTCCATAGGCTGCGTTGTGCCCTTGAAATCGACAGGGTATCAGCAACCGGTATTGGCGTAAGGGTGACCCTTGCGCCTTTACACACATTCTGCGACGACACGGTTGCTCTGGCTCAGCACATCATCGAGGTCAACGCAAATGAGGGGCCTGTCGCTGGGTATGGACGTTTGTGAAAAGGCCGAACCAGCTAGTTTAGAATCCTCATGGGCTGGCTTGAGTGCAGGATCGGTGGATGCGGCGGACATGCTGTTGGATGATTGCTCAGGGGACGTCAGTGTGGTCGATGCAGCTCAGAGGAGCTGGCGAGATCTCTGGCCGTGGGGAGTTGGTGGCAACAAATGTAGAGGACGGCGACATTCCCGGAATGGTGGTTTGAGAGAGCAATATTTGCATGACTCCACGATCGATGTGCAATCGATCGTATAAGCCACGACTGTAATACTTATACCAGTACATAACAAGACTGGGGGTGTGTCATACATAAATTAACAAAGCTTCCCACTGTGACCATTTCGGACGCATAAATGTGGTCATCGTCATTAGACTCTCCTCGCGCGCTTATCCGTGCCGACCATGCGAAATCACAAGCCTCCACCACGCGCGTCTACCAGCACCCACAACTCGATCGTGTACGAATACCAATCTCGAACGCCTCCTCGTTCCTGAGTGCCCTTCGCCGCGACCGCCTCCTCCTGACATGGCTGCTCACTCAGTCCTCAGGCCGAGCCGAGCGCATATCCGACAACTGGCCCGCTTGTACGGTTCACATCGACCCCTCATCCAGCGGCTTCTCGTGCTTGGGTTCATTGCGCATGTCCTCTCGTCAACGTACCACTCTTTCACAGCCAAGTCATCCAACTCGCGACATTCAAAGTCAAGCAAGGGAAAAGAGAAGGCAGCCGAGCAAAGCAGTGAGCGTAAGCAGAGAGTCGCCGTGAGTGGCAGGTCCTATAGGACGGCTTGCACTTGGTCGTCTTCCAACTATCGCATTGAGCAGTGCGTCTTAGATAGATGCCGTGTTCTATCAACGGCTCTCAAACATACTGAGAATTGTTATACCGACCTTGCGCTCCAAGGAGGCTCTGCTACTTGTGATGCATTCTAGCCTCCTCATATTCCGGACGGTGATCTCCCTCTATGTGGCAGCATTAGACGGGAGGTGAGCACCCGGTCACTCTGCTTCTTTGCGTACCCTTCATTACTGGTGACGGTAGGATTGTCGCTTCACTCGTTCGCGCACAGCCAGTGCCTTTCTTGCTGAATATCTTGCGATGGCTACTTGTTGCAATCCCCGCTACGTGGACAAATAGCTGGCTCAGCTACGTGCAGAACAAGCTTGCGCTCGCGTATCGGACGCGCCTCACAGAAGAAGTCATGAAGCAGTATCTAGGTGACGAGAAAGATGGACAGGACGCAAAGGTGTTCTACAAGATGTGTGAGTTGTGGACAGGACATCGTTATGAGGTTCGCTTGCCAATAGCCTAACCGGTTCCTCTCCGTAGCGAATCTCGATGACAGAATAAAGAATCCAGACCAGTTGCGTCCTTGCGTCCCGTCTTATCGGCCGATTGCTTCTGGCACTCATCCGCATTACGCAGGATGATCACTCACGACATCCAACGTTTCTCCGTACACCTCGCCGCAATATACGCTAATGTTGCGAAGCCCATCCTCGACATGATACTGTACAACTACCAGCTATCCCAGAATGTCGGTGCCGAGGGCCTCGTCCTCCTCACCGTCGCTATCCAAGCATCTGCCGCCCTGTGTGCGTCGCATCCCTCCGCGCCCCTTTCTCCACCACTTACAAGCATATGATCTGGACATGCAGTGCGAGCCGTCACCCCGCCCTTCGGCCTCTACACTGCGCTTTCCGCACAGCTCTCGGGCAATTTGCGGCACACGCACTCACGGCTCGCCGAGTTCGCGGAGGAGATCGCCTTCCTTGGCGGCGAGGATACGGAGAAGATGCTCGTCGAGCGTGAATATGCGGGCCTCGTGCAGCACGAGGCGAAGGTCCTTCGCAAGGCGTGGTGGCACGGATGTGCCGAGGAGGGCATCATCAAGTGGCTGTGGGGCAGCTTTGGAGTGTGTGCCGTTTCTTACCCGTTTGCGCGAGGAGCACGCTGACGAGCGGATGGGCAGCTATGTATATGCGCGATCCCGGTGTTCTTCAAGATCCCTGGGGTGCAGGGGATTGACTTGGGCAGTCGAACAGAAGGTCTCACAGGCTCCTCTGCTATTTGTACTCATGTGATGCTAACCTGCCGTAAAAGGCTTCGTCACGAATAGACGACTTCTGCTCTCAGCCTCCGGTCAGTATGGAATTGAAGACAGGAAACCTGTGATTCTGACTCTAATAATGCCAGATGCACTCGGCCGCGTGATGTATTCTTACAAGGAGCTCGCGGAGCTCGCAGGGTATACCGCGCGGGTAGCAGAGCTACTCGAAACTATGGGCGACGTGCGCAAAGGTAAGTTTGATAAGGCCTTGGTAAGCAGCGCGCAGACAGACGAGCACGCAAGAAGTCAGTGTCTCTCTATTATTGCAGCTATCGGTACTGATTTCCGTTCATGGACTGCAGTCCTGAAGGGCCGGGGAGTCATCATCGAGTCCGAAGAGATCGAGTTCAAGGACGTGCCGATCGTTACTCCTAATGGTGACATACTTGTCCGTAGTCTGAGCTTCTATGTCAAACCTGGGGTACGTGAATCACGCTCTCCGTGCGCGAAGACATAATCCGACGTAAAATAGCAACATCTCTTGATCGTGGGTCCTAATGGTATTTGCAGGTTCACCATCCACACTTCACAGCGCTCAAATACATTTTTTGACTAGGTTGCGGCAAGTCGTCACTGTTCCGTATCCTGGGCGGCCTATGGCCGGTGTATGGTGAGGTCTTTGTGAACGTTGCGAATTCAATACTGACTATGTCCAGGCGGAACCGTCCGCAAGCCACCGGCATCGCAGTTCATCCTCATACCACAGCGACCCTACCTCTCTCTTGGGACACTTCGGGACCAGATCATCTATCCTCACGGGCCTGAAGATATGCAAGCGCGTATGTATATTTTATGCTCCTGATTCGACGCAGATACTGACATCTGTTCTGTAGGAGGTATCATCGACGATGACCTTCTCAGCATCTTGGCGAGGGTGCAGATGGACAGCGTGGTCCAGCGTGAAGGTGGCTGGGACGTGATGCGTGATTGGCGTGAGGCATTGAGCGGCGGTGACCAGCAGAAGATTGCGTGGGCGCGGCTGTTTTACCATAGACCCAAGGTGAGACTGCCAACGGACGATGCATTACTCTGTCCTGACGGTCGCGTCAATGTGTAGTATGCCGTCCTGGATGAAGCTACATCGCTCGTGCCGCCAGATATGGAGGGCATGATGATGGAATACGCCGCTCGGCTAGGCATCACGCTGTTAACTGTGTCACACCGACCTTCACTGTGGAAATACCACGCGATGATCTTACAGTACGATGGGCAGGGCGGATATGTGTTGTGCGTCTCCTCCCAGTCTGCATGTTTGTCCTGTTTAACCCGCATTCTTTACAGCACCAAGCTGGATGCCGAGAAGCGCCTTGCTCTGCAGCAAGAGAAGGAAGCTCTAGAGGCGAAATTGCTAGAGGTGTACGTCCCCGTTCTGATGCATCCGAACTGCGAGCCTGATGGATTAGTGCGTAGACCCAAGATGAAAGCGCGGCTAGCAGAGCTTCAGGCGTTGCAGAAGGGTGGAGTTTGAGTTGGACATTATTACCCCCAGCTGGGGAGGAGGATCGCCCTGTGAGCGATAGCCTACCGATGTTACTCCTTGTACGTTCTAGTACTTATTTTGATATCTGAGTCCGACATAAGCCGACGGAATGTGAGTGGATGCGGCTCTATTGCCGTGGGCCTACGTATGGTGCCGCTGTGAAATCGACGTCGTGCGCGGATCCGGAACAGGAGGGACTGGCAGAGTCAGCTGGAAGACACGACCGGGGAATTTATGGCTCCTGATTGGCTGTGGCTCATGAATGACGGTGATAGATCGGGATCGGGTTGAGCGGAATTGATGAGATAACCGAATTTGTCAAGAGTCCGATTGGTCGGAAGAACACGGAGCCGGACATTTTTGAATCACGGGCGCCCTCTCCACTGTCACAGCCCTCCCCCTCATAGCCGTCGCAGTCGTGTGCGGGGCCCATTTCACGACTTGGCCCTTAACTTACACCTACTCACCGTATTTCCCTCGGCGTATTAACTTTCCCTTCATCATTATGCACTATTTCTCGCAGCTATTTCATTACGAGTGAGTAGAGTGTTCGCAACGGGTGCCACGGACGCGACAATGCTAACGAGAATGGTTTGCTAGTCATCCATGGTCGCATGTCGTGATTGGGATGTGGCATAAGTACCCCAATCCACACTGCTCCCATGTTGTTACTATCGACGTTGTGGATCGCTCGGTCGACCCACAAACCGGCGTTATTCGCACGGAGCGTATATTGGGGTGTAAGCAGAAAGCGCCAATATGGATTGTGAAGGTGAGCAATTGAAAGGCACCCTGTGGCCTAAGGCCGTACGCTGACACTATCCTTGGTAGCTTTTTGGTGGCTCAGAAGATGCTTTCGTGCGCGAGATCTCGTTCGTGGACCCACGAACACAAAATGCAACAATATCATCTGTCAACCTGTCTCTGTCCCAGTTCGCCACATGTTACGAAACCATCCGCTATTCACCAACGAATGATGGCCGCACAGCGTTCACACAGACGGCAGAAATCCAGTCTCGAATGGCACTCTGGCGGGGTGCGGCGGATCGGTTGGAGGGTTGGCTGGTGCAGCGTTTCGAACAGAACGCACAACTTGGCAAGGTCGGCTTCACAGACGTACTGCGAAGTATGTGGGAGTCGAAGGAGGGGCATATGCATGCGTGTTGATATCGGATTTCATTCTTTCGGGTGGTCAGAGGGCTACCTTCTGTCTCAACGACGGAAGGGTAGTGATAGACAAAATCGACTGTATAGAGTGGTGCCCTCTGAAGTCCCATACCATACGACATTGTATTATCTCCTGCATTTTACTCACATTGCTTTGCATGAACTATAGCACTGCATCTGCTTCAGCATGCAGCCGAATGCGAAGGCGTTGACTTGCCAGAGAAGCGTGACCTTCGTGACGGAAAAGTGTGACACACCATTTTGATTGGTCAGGACATTCTTGCGTCTTTGCTGACCATCCCGACGACCTCAACTGCACTAGCGGTCTTGGACATACGGTCAAGCTTACGGTCAACCTGAGCATACAACCTGAACATAGTGCATTAAGTTACCGCAACGGCGACGAAAGGGGTAGCAGCCCTGCACCTAGTGTAGCCACCCTTGGCGCAAATTCCAGTGGCACTCAGGTTGCCTATGCCTTGTCGACATGGATGAACTCATCCAACATGTATTCCATGAAATTGCATACGAAGGCGATCTCGGTAAGTGTTCTCCGTTCAGCTGGCGTCAAACGTTTCGCGAATAGTCAGTCTCTCTGGTCATCAATCAGGGGTTCGAATCCTCATGGTGTAGATTAACTTTGCATTGTTTTCTACCGGACTTGATTAAACATTAGCTGAACACACAATTTCACTCTAGGATGTAACATCTCTCGTCTGCGCGAACTCATTTCAGGGTACCACTCGCAGCATAGTTCTCTGCCCGCGCAAAATGTGGACGACGCGTACTGCGCCTATGTCTGGGCGATCGTCGCCCAACACCCAGACCTGGTGGTAGGGACTGTACCCGCTGGTGTTACTGCCGAGGTCTTCATAACTCCACAAGCAAGTGCGAAGAGAAAGGCGAAGGGTAAGGGTGAAAAAATAGAAGAGTCCCCAACGACTATTTCCTTGATCCCTATTCCCGACGCAGCTCTCCGACCTCTCGAGGACCTTCGGAGAGAGTATGGCGAAGACGTCCGCATTGCGCTAGATAGCGCCAAGGTGTTTGTCGCCCTCACAGGAACACATGTACGGGTAAGGCGCCGTGTAACTTCCTCACGTCATGTCATGCTTTGTTAATTGCCTCTGTTGCAGTCAAACAAGCTCAGCGGGATGGTGTACACCTCTCTCCAATTTATCGCTAGAGGCCGCGAGCAGGGCATTAGTGTCTTGGAGCTAGGCAAGAAGTCCGGATACGATCAGAAGACATGTTTTTATCTGGTCAAGCAACTGGTTGAGCTCGACCTGGTGTATGTCTTAGCGTCTCAATCATGGAATATTACTCATGGGGCTTTACACAGAGTCAAACGTCGAAAACCGGGTATCAGTTCGAACATATGCGTCCATAAGCATTTCTTCGATACTAGCGAAGTCTGGCAACAGATTGTTAGGGAAGAGGCTCAGGCCGAGATGCAGCAGGAGACCGTCAAAGACGAGCCAGGCGAAGAAGACGACGACGACGATGGGCAAGATGACGACTCACTAGCCACGGTTCAATTTGAGCCCATAGACTCTCGCCATCTCTCAAGCCTGCCTCTCATCCGTGCTCGTATCACGAAATTGCTCAAGAACTCTCCCAATGGCATACAACCTGCTACAAACCTGCTACCCAAACTGGTCTGCCCTATTCCATGAATGCTAACCGTAATATTTACTTGGATCATAGGGCTTCCTCAAGCCAGTGAAAACGGACCGACGATTCTTCCAAGTGCGCTTTCGAGAGCTTGTCGAGCAGGGAATCATCGAGAGGGTGCAGGTCATGCATCCAAACAGGGACCGTTTTCCTAACAGAAGAACTATCTGCATCCGCCTTGTGAATCCGGAGGAGGCCGATCTGCCTGGTGTCCTTAACGACAGTGCGACCTTGGGCGTTACCACTGCAGGTCAGCCTTCATATCATCAATTTTGTAGTAGTACTGAACTTTTGCAGCAGATGTTCCCCGGGAAACATTGAAGATCAATCAAACGCTACACAAGCAGATCGTAAATCTACTAGACGAGGCTGGAACGAAGGGCATGACCTTGAGTGTAAGTTTGCGTCACCTGCCAGTCTTACTATGTGGTGATATTCTCTACTGTTGCAGGAACTCTCAGATGCTCTCTGTAACTTCGATAGACGGATTGTGGAGCTAATCCTGTCTCGTCAGGAGGAACGTCCTCCACCCCCACACCTCTCTGATCTTGGCATTGCTCAGGTATCCGAGACGCAGGGCAGAGAGCGTCGCTACAAATACTTCACTATGCGCCACTACCAAACCATGGCAGCGCGAGAGGGGCTTAACAACCCGCGTTACTCAGAAGCCGACGTAACGGCAGCGGGCGGGTTCTTGCTGGTTGATCAAAATCAATTCTACGAGGAGGACGAGGTTCTTGAGAAATATGTCGACGAGTTCAAGGGGAAGGCTGAAGGCGGTTCGGCAAAGACAGGCGTCGCCGCAAAGAAGAGGCGGCCCAAGAATCCTATTCTGCCAGACGGTACAGTCAAGAAAGGACGACCGCGGAAGCATCCGCTCGCCGCAGAGGGAGAGAGAGGACCTACTCCGAAGCGAGGGAAAAAGCGGAAGTCGCGCGATGGGGAGGAAGACGGAGGCTCCCAACAAACTAGCGAGGTCATGGAGCCTGCACCCAAACGCAAGCGGGGACGACCACCTAAGCAAAAGGTTGACCGTGTGGAGACGTCGACGGCAGAGTCAGTTGGCGGACGTGCCGGTTCTAGTATTCAGGAGGCAAAGGTTGTTCCTGAAACGCCATTGGTTCCCAAGAGGCGTGGACGACCACCAAAAAACAAGAAGCCAGTCGTGTCCGAGGCAACGGTCGATCACGAGACCACAAGCACGACTGTGGAGGCTGCTCCTCGTAAGAAACGAGGGCGACCACGCAAATCTGCAGCACCGGGGTCTGACACAGTGCCAGAGTTAGCGAGTCAACCCTCGAGACCAGGAGCAATGTATTCGTCTGAGATCAGCACCGTTGCAATCCGGGAGAGTCCTTCTGGAGTAATGGCTTCGGAGAATGTAAGCCAGCTAGCCTCGAATATCCCGAGCAGACGTCTTGGCGAAGCTCCCGAAGGAAAACAAGATATCGGTACTCCGTCAGTAGCTCCTAGTCCTCGAGCCGCGCTGGTGGAAGATCATGTCGTCCTATCTGCTGCGAATGCTAACGATGTCGATGCTCTGCCTATGGCTGCCCAAAAGACACGGCATGGAGAAGCCATAGAACCCCTCATTGAGATACCTGGTGACAACAATGCCGCCCTTGACATCCACAGGACATTAATTTACAATGAACGGAGTCTACCGGTGGCATCGCTGGACATGACGGATAGCGGGCGTTCTCTCGAGCCGCATACCCAACAGCCAAGCCCTTTGTTCCCACCTACTATCTTGCCTGCGGATGGCGGCCATACGATCTCAGTGCCTGATGATATACCGATTGATCCTGCCCTTCTCGGTGGTGATAAAGACGAAACCCCGACTCAGGATATTTCTATGGGAGTGAGTGACATCTGCTTCCATATGTAACCGAGTAGACCTCAAACATTTCCCCTCTGCCAGGAAGTACATGCCGATTGCGGACCAAATGCACCTCCTGACCATCATGGTCAACTTGGCGACAAGAGGGGTCAACTAGATGTGTCACTTGAGCCCCCAGCTAAACGTCTCAGAACCGGCAGTACACAAACTGCCACAGGAGCACCTGCTCGCAAGGTGAACTTATCGCAGTCTCGAAGAGAAAAGGAGATATTGCGGCTTGTCGAGGATGCCGGAGGAATCTTGAATACCAGCGCCAAGGACTTCTATATAGCACATGCCGCACTTGTCGACAGTATAACACAATCCGGAGAGGTCGCAAGCACGCTCCCGGGGACGCGGATTGACAAACGAACGGTCGAGGCTACACTGCGGGAGCTGGACACTCGGCAACAAATCAAGATAATCACTACGACGGTGCAGACAACAACGGGTAGTTACAGACCTGTCAGGATCGCCTATTTGCCCACCGTATCCGAGGACGATGTTACTGCGTTCGTCTCCAGTCTAGTTCTCCAGCGCTTCCCTCCTGCCGCCCCCGTCAAGGCTCTCGATGATTCCATCACTGTCGATCCCAGTCAAAAGAAAAAGAAGCCTTATCTCAAATCATCTACCTCACTCAGCACTTCAGAGCAGACACAGAAGCAGGACCCCGAGTGGCTGGAACGACTTTTACAATTTGATGACGACGCAATACACGACGCATTCATGTCCGACAAGAACACTCTGGCCCAGTCTCATGGCTTCATTATTGGACGAGCAGCTCGAGCTCGCGAGTTGCACCTCGCGACCATGAGATTGCTAGAGTCGGCTGCGCAATCTCCTCACATAGTTTCGCGTGAAGATCGTATCATCGTATTTTCGCTATATTTTACCGAGTTGCCCATCTCGACTTACTGCGCGCTCGTCGCTTCATTGGAAAGGAACGACGACTTGATTCAATTGCTCGATTTACCGGACGGTCGATTGCTCCCGGTTGATAAGGTTGCACCCTCAATACATACGTCGTTGGAAATACGTCGTTGGCGATCTCGACAGCGCTTACTGGAACTCTTGGAGATGCTTTCTCGGCTTCACGTTGTAGAACCTCTGCAGCCGTCGACGTCTGATCACCCTGCCATCACATGTGCTCAAACCCATTCACATCCCACTGCATACGATCCTGTGCCGGTCGAACGCTGGACACCTCCCACAAGCCCCATGTACTGGCGCATTAATCGGGTGGCGCCACTTCATCTCTGGGCTTTGTCGCAGGGATTTCCGCCTTTCTGGAAGAACGTGCCGGTGCAAACCATCGAGCAGTGTACAGAGTACTGGGCGGAATTGAAGCGAGTGAGCACCAATCGCGAGTTTGCGAAGTCCATCCCGCCGCAGGGCCCAGACGTATCAGCCCTTTCTTCGGGGAAGGAGCTAGGGAAGTCTCTGCGACGGCCGATCTCTTGGAGGGACTCGTACATGTTGTCTTGGGCCCAAAGCGAGTATCTCAATCGCTTTGTGGACGTTTCAACTGGTACCACGCCTCTTCAAGACGAAAACGACGGCGAAGCGCGGCTCCATCAAATCTGCCGCATCGTCGGTGCATCCAAAGACGTCGTGCACCACTTCTTCGACAAGGCGCATGACCGGTACCGCAGAGAACACGCCAAAGCTCAGCGGAAAGCAAAGCGCGCTGCCGAAGCAAAGGCCAAAGAAGCACAGAGTAAGGTGATGCTGGCCAAAAGGGCTGAGCAAGCCAGGATTTTCAAAGAACAGCTCTGGGAAGAAATGGTGCACTTTGTGCATCCTGAGCCTATGAAAGATTCTGCTGTGACTCGTCTTCGTCGGTTACGAAGTCGATTCATGCAAAGCTCGGGCAAGGATAGAGGGAAATGGGAAGCAGAGATTGCTAGTGCTATTCAAGAGGCGGACATAGCGGCCAAGAAGGTTCTATCGTCGGGGAAAACGGCCTTCATGCGACCAGCACTTGGAGCTGTGCCTCTGCCCCCCGTTGTCTCTAATCCAACCGAGAAGGCCATTGAGGATTTGATAGCCTCTCAAGGTACACGAATCCCTCTGCCATCTAAGCCGAAGAAGTCGAAGAAAGGAAAGGACCCTGATACAGGTGCGTAGTATTGTTGGTGACAATTCCAGTACTGACCAAACATCATCACTAGACAAGACGGAAGTAACTCGAAGACATAGATTCCAATGGACCAGGGATTTCGACGAACTGGCTCGAGACGCCGCAGCCATCATCAAGGCCCGCTGTCGCAGCAAAGCGAGGACCGAGTATGGCGTAGTTGAGCAGATTTTTCCGTCAATCCCTAGGAATTCTGTTCGACAGCGCATCACGCATCTTCGAGAAACGCCTGGCAGCGAGGCATACATGCAGCGTCTGGAAGACAAGTGGTATGAGTTATGGATACAGCACCGAGGGACGCCCGCATTGCCCGATGACGATCCGGAGAGCCCGACCAACTTCGACTGTGTCGCTCATATCAAGTTCCTGAGAAAGCATATTGACAAGAATGCTCTGTATGTGCACAGCTTCTAACGTAGGGCACGAGTGATTGACATAGTTTGTTGGCAGCCGTGTTGGCTTCCTCGAAGTCGACGAAAGCATTAGGACGACGCTACCCAGTACGGTCGAAGAGCTGCACGCAACAATGGATGTCATCGAGAAGTCTCTCACAGCCCCTACATGGGATTTTGTATGGAGCGGCGGGGCGGAGGAAGGCCGAGAGAAGCAGCTTGCACAACACCCTTTTTTAAATGACCTCAGCGAGATTCCTATCGCTGCTGATCATTCTGTAGAAGAGCTGTATGTAGCGGATGCCGCTGTGAAGGTGAGAGCAGTGTTCTCATGTACGCGGAATCAATATAGCTGAATGATTCTCACAGATGGCGATGGGGTCTCCGAACGACACCTATGACCCGCAGGCAGCATCCCGTCTCCTCGAATCGGTTGGGGAGGAACCTGTCCAAGCTGCGACCAAGAACCTCCTGGAGCGAGGTGCTCTGTCCAAGATTGTCCGAGACCCGCAGAAGTCCAAGCCCGGCAGAGTCTTGAAGATATCAGAGAGGCATGTAGCTTCGGCCGTCGTTGACGACAACATAGTCGCTGACTGACATGCCATTTTCGTTCGCGCGAACAGTAATCAGAATGCCCTCGGTGGCTCTATGTCTCAAGACCTCTTCCAGGACGCGCAGCAATTGGAGGATCTTCTCACGCATGAGAAAGATCCGACGGCATGGCGGGAGTGGTCTCTTATGTCAAGCGAGGGTGATTTAGCAGCACTTCTCGAGCTTGTATCAGAAAATAAGGTGAGTGCACACCGTTTTCCATACTTTTTGAGACTGACCTGTGCCTCAGATTGATTTCAAGATCGACACGTCCCGACCACAGGCAGCACGCCCAACTGTAGATTGGAACAGCAAGAAAGCAGGTAGGCAATAGAGCCCTGAGGTTGCTGCTCAGCAGCTGAAGAATATCACAGACGACGACGACTTCGAGACCGACCTGTTGATGCGCTTCACCGACGCGCCGAGTTCGCTTTCGTTGCCTGTACTTCCTGAAAGCACTCTGGACACGGTAGTCATGCAAGCGGAGATTGCAATGGATCCCCAACATGAGGCTGAGCATGGACGGACGCCCCACGGCGGCCATGCATTTTGTCAAAAGTCATCGAACGGTCTCATTGATTGCGAGGCTTGTCTGTGCGAGACAGCGAGCGCTGTTTTCCGCATCCTCGAAGGTCATCTTGCGCCCGTTGCTGAGAGAATACTTGACGTACTGCGCAGAGCAGGCTCTGAAGGTCTCACGAAAGATGCGCTGGTGGGTGGGGTTCCCGTCTGGTCTAATTGACATATCTGATCCTGTATATCCATAGAACACACTCAGCCCGTCCCAGGCAGAGCTCCTTCCCCTTGTTGTCAATGAGTTGACAGATGCACCTGTTCCTCTCGCCTACTGGACAGGATATACCTCGGTTGTACTGGTCTCAGCGGATCACATACGACCGTGGACAGTCACCATTGTCGACGGGGACCAACCAAAGGCAATGGTCTTCCCTCAGCGATGGTTAGACATTCATGGAATGAGGGTCAATGACGTATGGGAAGCAGCTTTGCGAGCGGTTGTCGGCATCATCCTGCTCAGGCCGGGTGTTTCGCAGGTAAGTAGCTTCCTGGTATCGGCGATCAGTCAGGGTCCTGATCGACCGTTCGTAGTCCGAGATTCGCTGGAGACTTCGATCGGTGTACGATAGGCAGGAAGTCAATGAGCTGCTCCAGCATCTACTTGGCGCGGGCTATGTCGTCAGGCGAGGCCGTGGCTCTGGTCCCCACGCACAGTCTGGGCCACCAGATGACACGGAGGAACATGCGGTATTCTGGTTCCTTGGAGACGTCAAGCACTGGTATCATCTATAGATAGATGGCTATCCACGATTTGCACGCCGTCAGTTCTCCTTCATGATTCAAAATCTGTAGCATTCTTTGGTGTACGAGGGGATGACGTTGTGCATGTAGCTTTAGCACAGCAAGAAGTAAAACTTGTCAGGATCATGTTCGTTTGTGGAGATCAGGATTGACCGGCTAGACTGCTGAGGGGATCGCGTAGTTGTTGATCACGGCAAACGTCTGATATCGTGAAGCTGCAAGAGGGAAAAGGCGGTGCTAGTACTCCCGCTAGGATCATGGGCGCCTGAGTGTGGAAGGACGACTCAAGCCAAATGGCAACGCAGCCGACGCGAATGGTAACTCGCATCTTCCGAGTGTCCGCTCACTTCCTCCTCCTTCCCCATCTTCCCTTCGTTACGCTCTTTCACTTCCCTGGTCTGGGAGTTCGGCAGGACCGTTAGTACAACCGTCCAAGTACTCGGAAATCCCGAAGTGACATTGGCTGGACCTCTGCGGTTGTGTTTCTTACCCGTTTGCCGTCCCGTTCATTCGGATTTGGCCTGGCGTGTTCTTGGTAATTACAGACGCGTTCTAAGTGCGGAGTTGAGGAACTGAGTATGTTGCTTGGGCACAGGACTGTCACAATGCAACCTAACATGCAGCGTTTCTGGACCCGTGTCCCCCTGTCCGGCAAGTTGCAACTCTTCGTACGTCTACCTCGCTTTCTGAGCAATACAGTGTCATTGTGTCATTGGCTGTCCCCATGCGAGTCACCAATGGCATAGTACTAAACATTCGCGTCATTCGCAGTGGGAGCGTGTTACACTGTCGCGGATCACGACCATATACTTCATCTTCTCTGTGCTTCATTTCGCCATCCAGCTCGGTCTGCAAATTCAGGCATTCGTCGTCAATGATCAAGCAGCCATATTCTTGAGCGACCTTGTTGAGCTAGGGAACGCGAGCCAGTCTGGATTCGTCGTCTACACTAGCGGCGCCCTGCACATGTGCGACAATGCACCGTCCTCAATGAACGCGGACTCTTGCGACCTTCTCTGGCAGCAATCGGTTGGCAATACCACCGCCAACTTGAACCTGCAGTACGCATTGAACAGCAGCGCGTCCTCGTCAAGTGCTGTATCCTCCATCCTTCCGTCTTCGAGTGTGCTTGTGTCTACTGCGAGCACTACGCAATCCTCTGTCATTTCATCCTCCAGTGTTTTGTCAAGCGTGCTGTCGTCGAGCTCAGTTGCTTCATCTATCATTCCCAGCTCCGCGTCAATAGTCAGTTCCCTCTCTGACTCGAGTGTCGCAACGTCCTCTGCATCCAGCGTACTTTCGACCCCTGCTTCTACAACGTCCCATAGAGCATCTGTTTTGACCGCCGCACCCAGCAGCACTGCTCGTGCCGACGTGACTGCTACCGACGACGCAAAAGTCGAGACCGTGCTGACCTCAACCCATCTTGTAACGGTGACTCTGAAGGTGACCGCGACACCAGGTGCAGATGCTGTACGCCCATCTGCAGCGGCACCTGACGACGTCTCCACTGCTCACGATGTGCAGGTATGCAATGAATCTGTCTTAACTTTTTGACTTACTTATAACAATACGCAGCAACATCGCAAGCGCCACACGTCAATATCAGAGCAAGTTACTAAGAACAACGGTCAAACCGAAGTCAAGGTGAACGGCGTGCCTGGGGCTGGTGAGGTCACCCTGGACCAGACATGCCTTCAGGTGCTCAACTGGCCCGTGTCGCAGTATGTACTCCAGCAGATGTGCTCAACAGTGTCTGATCATTGTTAAATAGGCTGCAAAACACAAAGCGCGAGGATATCACCTTCATCATGTTCCAGTTTTGGCTACTGGGAATGTCGCTTGTTGCACTGCTGAACGAGTCTATTCCGCACGTGTCAGTCTGCCATTTTAATGTTTCGGGATAGCATGTACTGATATTGCCCTGCTCAAGTATCGCGTCCTTGTTGACCCATGTCGGCGCCACCGCTTGGGGCGGCTTCCAGATCGTGAGTTGCTCTACCAAGACGGATTGACATCCATTCATCTGCTCAATCAACGTGAACAGTACGATACCAGCCAATTTCGCGATGATTTCACCACGCTGACTACCGGCGGCGCGTGCGGTGTCAATCTCCTGCCGACCTATTGGCAGGCGCGCGCCAATGCCGAGATCCCGAGTCTGGCGTTGAATGGTGCTGCCTTGCTCTTGTCCGCCGTGCTCTCGTGGCGACTCATCAAGGTATCGTGCCCTTCCCGTTCTTGCTATGGCTCACACGGGCTAAACTTTTGATGTACTGTGGCATAGTCATTTGGCTGGCAGACGTTCAAGCGCGTCGGCGCAAGTCGCACGATCAACCGTATCTACAATGTCGTGCTGGTACTCTCGATTTCGATCCAGGTCGCGCTGTTCTTCATCGCGGTCGCCGCCTCGCTCTGGCTTGACCAACTGATCAACGGAAAAATTGGGCATATGACCAGCAATAAGACGCTTTTCGAGGCCATCGACATTGCTGTTTTGGTGGTGAGTTTCTTCTCCTGCGACATCCGCTCATGCGCTTACTTTGGGTACTTCGTAGGTCCTGATCCCGTGGTTGTCGATGGTAAGGAAATCTGCGTGACGCGAGTCAATAGAATTTGTGTTGACCATAGCGTATGCACTAGGGATGGATTGCAGTGCGCCGCGAAAAGAGAGTGTCTATGTTGCTGTTCCTCATAATCGCATTCCTATACCTCGGTGGATGGGGCTCTATGTTTATTGCTCCCACGTTCCGCTGGACATTTTTGCAGTGGCGATTCTTCAGCATCATGGCATCGGTGTCGGTGCTCCTCGCGCTGGTGACGTTATCTTTGGGGATAGTGTGCCGTGTGAACTTTGGCAAAGGCTTGCCTCGATACCGTGCGTCTCCCTCGCTTCCGAAGTCGACCCTGACAACTGACTGGATGTTTTTCATGCTCTGTAGTGAACGCGCAAGAACCCCTCCCGGATGACGACTTCCTGCCTACCGTCGTCGACAGCAAACTCGGAGAAGACGTGGAGAAGGCCGCATTCCCTTCAAATGATCTCCCCATCCCGACCTACAACTCCTTCACCTTTGGCTCGCAGCAAGCTGCGGCGCCACCCAGCCCTACGCCCTATGGGCCCAGGCAACTCGGTCCTCGATTCTTTAACTCTCATTTAGAACCCTTCGAGCCTCAGCCCGGTACACCACCTGTATATTCTCCTCGCGCGGACATCTCTGTGATGTCGTCACGCACGGCGGTTGGCGACAGCCAGAGCCTGAAGCGCAGCGAATCCAACATAAGCGACGCAAGCAGCATGCAATCGCGGCGCTGGGTTATCGAGTGATGGACATGGCAGGGCAGAAATTTGGGCTACCGCGTGGCCCCTTTGATTATTGTTGTAGACTACTGGTGTGTCCAATCAGTCATTCTACGTGTATGTAAGAAAAGTGTAAGAAGAGTGTATTATGCAAGTAGTAGTACAGATGGATGCATACTAGGCTACAGAAGACATTGCGAAGACGGTGACAGCGACAAAACAGGAAAGGGAGCAAGTTATAGGTGCTGGGAAGGGATGTCGGAGAAGTTGCCGCTGTTGAGACCACTGGGTGTGTCCAACGGAGACATACTAGGTGATGCGGAGGCGATGATCTCGACCTGCTTTTCTTGCATGATGGCAGCTTGTCGAGCCACTGAGGCTGATGCATAAGTCGACTCGGACGGCATCTCAGCCGGCGGACTCGTCGCGAGTTCTGAGTCTTCGTAACTTTGTAGAGCTGCCCTGAACTCGAGCATCCAGGGATGCTCCATGAGGTCCCCGGCCATCGGTCGCTGCACTGGGTCAATCGTTAGACATTGACGAATGAAGTCGATGCCAATCTCGCTCAATTGGCCAGGGTCCGGAAGGGGAGGATGCTGAGTCGCGACTCCGATGTGGAACATGATCGCCCTAAAAGAGACATGAATATCGCTATCATATCAATTGACGTGAATCCTTACCATTCGTTGTCCAAGTTGCTCCAGGGTTTTCTGCCTGTAACACACTCCAAGACTACACAGCCCAGGGCCCAGATGTCCATCGCGCCCTGTCTCCCGCGGTGGCTATTCCGAATGACTTCCGGGGACATGTACATAGGCGTCCCCGTCAGACTATTCTGAATGCCCACACCACCAGGACCTATGGCACCTATGGCTGGGACAGCATCGGACGCTCGACGGGAACGTTGGATAGAGCGTTGATTCTTCGCAAGAATCTTGGCGGCTCCAAAATCGACGAACTTTATGACACCCATGTGGTCCAGAAGGATATCTGATATATCAATTAGCAGAGAGTATTATTGGGGTCGAGAGTACTCACTGTCGGGCTTTATATCGCGGTGGACAACTCCCTTTGAGTGGAGATATGCGAGACCTTCCAACATCTGCAAGGTATAGATCTGCAGTATGCCCTCGTCCTCGATACGCCCGTGTTCTAGAAGAGCGGCGAGACTTCCTCCTTGACAGTACTCCTCGAAAATGAACACTTTGTCCCGGTGTACTTCGATGCCGTAATACTCGACGATGTTTGGGTGGTGCAACATCTCCATGACGTTCAGCTCGTCCTTGATCTGGGAATACAGATTAGGCAAACCAGCGACTTCTTGAAACTTGATTTCCTTGACCGCCATCAGGGAGCCGGAATCGAGGTTGACAGCGAGGTATACAGATCCAAAGGACCCTGCACCGATGAAGCGGCCTTGCTGCCACCTGATCGAGACGTTGGATGCAGACGCTGCAAGGAATACCAGCGATCGATCTACGAGTTTCTCTTCGTCCAAAACGCGACCAATGGTATGTTGCTCGATGCCAGAACGTGCGCGTTGATCCTCCAAGTCGAATGACGCCCGCATAGCCTTGTCCCAGAACATACGGATGATGGGATCCGTGTATGCGACAGTGGGATCGTCCTGGTCTGGTGGAATATCGTGTAGATCTTCCTCCTCATCCGTCGCTGCAATCGCCGTCTGCTGGCGCAACAGTTCCTCCTGGCGCTCCTTCTCCCGCTTGGCCTCGATTGTCGACCGAGCACCCAAGATATCGAAGTGACTGATGAGTAACGTCATGCAGCTCGCGACCTTCTGTCGGAGCATTTCGAATTGATCGTCGGGGAGCTGTAGAATATTGTTGCGCCGTGTACGATGCAATGTGAACTCCAGCGCGGTGACCGCCCATCGAAATGTTTTTCGGTCATTGGGATCGCAGTCGTCGCAGATGAAGGAGACCCAAGAGATAGCCAGCTTAATGAGTAATCGGTTGAACTTGAGCATTGTCGTTCGGTCCATATGCTTTTGGACATGTTGACCATGCTCGGATGCAAAGCCATACCAGTTCTCCAGCAGCTCCTGGTATCCAGTGGCATCGTGCAGAGCATTACGCACGTAGTTCACAGATTCTACAATGGACTCCGCTAACTTGTTGTTAGCTCGACTGATCTTACGCAGTTCTTTATTGACCATTGGGAGATGGGCCTGCTGGTCGATCAGACAGGTCAAGGGAGGAAGGGAAGGCTCCAGGAATTCCCCTTCCTCGTCGACGGGTGTGAACAGCTCCGCGAAGCGTTGCTTAGCCATAGCCAGTCGATGCTGAGGACCATCTGCAACCAGGCGTACACGGTTATCCTTGAGATCGAGTTCGAATTTGGGGATCTGCAGCATGAGCACGAGCCCGTTCCACAGGAAACGAGTGCGTGGGGAGAGGATCAACAGGTAGGAGAAATCTTCGTCGTCATCCTGAAAAGCGTCACCGCCGTCCACAAGCCAACTCCCCTCGTCGATCTCGTTGACGTGGAACGCCTCCATGAGAATCTTGCGGATGTCCTCTGGTCGGTCCCGAAGCGTATGGGGAGCGACGATGTAAGTGCCATCCTCTTCGAAATTCTGTGTGTAGACAAGAAAGTGATCCGTCTCGACGAGGAGCGATATGAACAGGTCTAGAGGTACGTCCTCAAGGTCGTACTCAGCCGAATTGCCGAACCTCTGCGTTAAAACCCTGATGGGAGCTCCCAGTCAGCGTCTGCATCATGTCGGAAGGCGGATGTTCCCCACCTTGCTAGTCGCTGTAATTTACGATAACGCTGCTTCACGCCATCGAGAACCTTGGAGTACCAGCTAATGCGTTGCTCGTTCGACATTGGCTTATTGCTGCCAGCTTTAATGTGGCTCTGAAATGCAGAGTTGGACTGCCCATTCGAGCCGATGGACCTGCGATCCGGTGTCGTCGGGGCCTTGGATGAGTCGCCAACAACTGGTATACGGATTTGAGTGTCGAAGTAGTTGGTCACCCGCACCATGAGCTTGTTTGTCAGTGCGCTGTGCTAATTGTCAAATCCATCCCGCTCGTACATAGCGAACGAGACATACCATAGCTGCTCTGCGACTAAAGATGCGCCCCCGGGAATTGTCAGGCTCACATCGCTGAATGTCGCCCACTGTGCTTCAATTACGTCAGTCTCCTTGAAATAGATGCCCCTGGCGCCACTCTTCAGCTTCCAATGTATGAGCTTGAAAAAGAATGTTAGAGCCTCCAAGATAACAGAGTCGTAGTCTTCGCTGATGCAGGGCGGGAGCTTCCAGTTTCCATTGGGGTCAGGGATAAGGAACGCTTCGTACTGTCGCTTGAGCGTGCACGCAAAGCCGATCTTCACCTTCAGATCCTCCGTCATCTGGTCGATGATCAGAACGTCCGGGTTCCTCAGCCTTTGTGCATAGTCAAGCCGTACGCGTAGGACTGCCTGTGCAAGATTTGTCAGGAATGAGACGAGCGGCACAAGCTCCTTTTCGAACGAAGGCAAGTTCATCTCTGCAAACATCGGCGCTAGATTGACGTGGGCATCGCGCGTGGTACCGACAAGAGCGTGGATTGTCGTCATCGAACCCTTCTCGAACTGACGCTGGATCGACTCTTCCTTGAGTAACCGATCGACAAATGTCGTTCCGGTTGGGTTTCCGCTTGAGCTCTCACCATGACCATGTTGTGTACCGAAAGGCGTAGACGGGGCCGACGTCGGCTTCGTCACGTCCAGAGTGTCGCTGCCGGTCCACTTGCGCAACCGGTTGATGAGCTGGCGGAGTGACGTGATGACGGTCGACCAAGTGTTGAGCACGTCGCACCGCGTCAGGAACGCATCTTCGTTCGAAGCGGGGCTGTCCGCAGAAAACGCACGCAAGCTCGGGTACAGCGAGTGAGCGACTTCAAGACGATGAAGGACCGAGTTGACCTGGCGTAGCGCATGCGTCGCGCGCGACTCGCCAGATCCTGGGGACGGGTCGACAACGCGGAACGACATGATCTCCTTGATTACAGGGTCTACCGTCCGCAGCCGCCGTTCCTCCAGCTTGCGCCGCTCGTCCTCGATGGACCGCCCGTGCACTTTTGCACGTAGGTCCAGCCACAGATTCGCGCGCGGGTTGTTCTCCTCTTCGTGAGTCGACCTAAGCGCGACTGCTATACGAGTATTCTCCGTGCGAAGGACGTCTCCAGCGAGCACGGACGCAAGCATCGTCTGCCATTCCAGCCGCTCTCTGTCCTCTAGAGTTTCCGGTTCGATTGGATCGCTATCGAGCATAAGAGAGGACAGGCGGTCCGTTTCGCCGCTTGACCCAGAAGCACCTCGAATGTCTTCATCGTCGCTGTCCCCTGCATCCAGTAGTTGGCCAAGTCCTCGCTGATAGTAATGGCTGTCTGGGTCGTTCCTGGGGTCATCATCGAGTCCTGGGCCTGATCTATACCGCCGCACAAATTGGTTGTAGACATTAGGATGTCGCTGTGGAAATGCTGACGATGAAGCCTGTGGAGTGCTTGGTTGTATAGGACCGGGGGAGAACACGCTCCTCTGCCTTCCCTTTGACCGCTTGGAATGTGTATTCAACGACGAGGGCGGTGTCTGTTGCGACCTGGATGACCAAGTGCCGTCGTCTTCATCATCTGCGTCATGCTCTGGGTGTGTATAGAGCGTCGGCTGATGTCGTGGCATTAGCCCTGAAGAAGAGGAGGAAAGGAGGACAGTCTACTCATGGACGCCCTTTCAGAAATGGGTTAGGGCGCTTGATTGGCCCGAATTGCAAGTCATTATTACTGTACATAAGTATCATGTGTAAGTATGCTACTAATTGGTAATCATGATTATTCACTATTCGATAGGCGTCTTCTTCGACAGTCTCATCCTATCCGACCCTGACCGTCGTTGTTTCCGAGAATCCCGTACTGTTACGGTGTTCACAAAAACCACACCACAGATTAACGCTAGCGTCGGCGCAGTGACAGGATGGGCATAGTGGAGAAGGTACGGCAATCTGTTCTGCTATGTGGGCAGACTTCTGAGAGCGATATTGCGCAAAGATCAAGGAGATTGAGGGTGGGTACAGCTTATATCCGTCGCTGTTTGAAGGTTTATTGTATCATGACAGATGAGATGGCGAGGAGTCAGTGCAGCCCTTCGTGCAGCCTGCTAGTGTACTGATAGCCTCTACCGTATCTACCAGCCCAGAAGAACAAGGCAAGACCAGCCTCCACCACATATCACACTTTCGAGGTTGACGGGGCACCAAGTAGGCGACGGAATATCATCTGGGTCTGCTGAAGGCAAAATTGGCGCGTTACCGCGCCCAATTGCTTGAGCCTGCAACGAAATCTGGCGGCGCCGGCACAGGCTTCGATGTCCAGAAGTCTGGCGATGCACGGGTTGCGCTCATCGGGTTCCCTTCAGTCGGAAAGGTAGACCACATTAGCTTTTAGTTCGCCGCAGTGCTAACCTTGTCGTGAAGTCGACGCTATTGAGTAAATGCACACATACCGTTTCCGAAACTGCCGCATACGAGTTCACCACACTAACCGTAAGTGCTCACGTACAATTATGTTTTACTCCATGAAGCGAGAGCACAGGCGATCCCGGGCGTGATCGACTACCAAGGCGCTCGTATCCAACTTCTTGACTTGCCTGGGATTGTCGAGGGGGCCAGTCAAGGACGTGGACGAGGGCGACAAGTCGTTTCTACTGCCAAAACAGCTGATCTGATTCTGATCATGCTGGATGCGACGAAGTCGGACGAGCAACGGAGATTACTGGAAATCGAATTGGATGCAGTCGGTATACGGTTGAACAAGAAGAAGCCAGATGTTGTCTTCAAGCGCAAGACCACTGGCGGCGTATGTAGACGATTTACTTGTTGTGTTGCGTGGTATGGGCTGATTTTTGACCATCTCTCGCGGCGACAAGATCACTGTAAGTCCTATGCAACCCTCATCTTTTTAGGTTTCGTCCTCATATCAGTAGCTCAATACAACAGTGAAACTCACCAAGACCGACGAGCGAACAATCCGCAGTATCCTCGCAAGCTGTCAGTCATCGAGTATCCGAGATCCCCAAACGTTCTAAAAAGGTTTCCATGACAGACAAACTGCACAATTGCGAAGTGATGATCCGTGAGGACGTATGAAGTGCCCTTCGACTCTTAAGACAGTGCTGAATTTGCTGATACAGATTACAACGGACGAGTTCATCGACGTATTGATAGGTTTGACTATTCTCGGTTTGTATCAAGACTGACATCTTACAAACTCCTATCACTAGGGACACGGAAATACATGCCCTGTTTATGTGAGCCGTCACTAATGATGCGGATAATTTGGGGGTTCATGCATCGTGCAGATGTCTATAACAAGATCGACGCCATTAGTCTAGAGCAAATGGACAAATTGGCTCACGATGAACACACCATTGTGATCAGCTGCGAGATGGGTCTCAAGTGAGCGTCTTTGTCGCAACAACGGGGGATCATGTCTCACTGCTTCCTCAGTCTCGACCATCTCATCGAGCGAATGTGGGACGAATTGGGTCTTGTCAAAGTGTACACCAAAAAACGCGGCGCCCACCCAGACCTAACAGATCCGATCTGCCTACGGAGAGGAGCTAATATAGAGGCAAGTGAAATGACGGAATAGGTGGCACTTCCGCTGATGTATGGAATATGTCAGGACGTGTGCAACGGTATTCACCGGTCATTGGCAACGCATTTCCGATATGGGCTCGTCTGGTACGTAAATTGGATTTCAGGGTCTACTGTATACGCGCCCATGTTGACTGTATCTCCAGGGTGAGCGGATTGTGAACCGTATCTATACCTCAATTCATTCACCTGGCCTGATGGCAACAGGGAAAATCAAGCAAATTTTCACCACACGCGCAAAAGGTTGGATTGAGCCATATGGTGCAAGATGAGGACGTTGTATCGAGTACGTCAAATTTTCACCGCTAGTTGGCACCGCGATCTGTTCACTGACAGCTCGTAGTTTTTACGAAGTAGACGCAAATTTTGCAATCGATTTAACTGTATACTTACTGCAACTATGTTCTTGTAATCTCACTACCACTGTATCGTGATATACCGTCAGCGAGGGTGTCTTGTTATACGTTAAGTCGGATCGAAACCGCAACGCTAGCGTCGCTGCGTATTACGAGAACGCGCCAGAGATGCTTTATCGCGCAGATGAAATCGCAGGGGCAGCAGAGGGACCGAACAGGCTCATCAAGATCAGGACGGCCCAGGATCAAGGATCTGATCCCACGTGGCGGCGCCGTCACCGCAAGCGTCCGCTTTCACGCCGAATAGCTTTGACCAAACTCGACCGCTATCTCCATGATGGTATGCAGCTCTCTGAAAGCACTCTGTTTCTGTCGGCACACTGCCGCAACTCGGACGCCGGCATTTGAGCTCATGGGGCACCGCCATCGTCCCCCGCTAACGCGCACAGCGACTGATATAAATCTGCCTGATTGTGACATCTTGCGTTTCTGTCCAGCGGTCTGACTCCCACTCGTTGGCTCAGCAAAGATCTGCCCCCCAGCTTGGTTCACACATCTACCTCTGTGTCGAGATCACATCCTACCCACACCTTAACATGGGCTCCCTTGACTTAGGTTTTCAACACTCTCCTGTAGAGCTTATCTTCTTGGGCACCGGAACATCATCAACTATTCCGCACGTAGATTGCTTGACTGCGCCCCCGAGCTCAAAGCCGTGTCGTACTTGTCTCTCGACGCTTACGCCAGAAGGAAAGAAGAACATCAGGGTGATCCGTTGCACAGCTGCTCTAGGTTTGCACATAGCGCTGACCGCCGAGGATGTACACAGCGCAATACCTCGGCCGTCGTCAAACTCCGTGGCCGGAACTCTGAGGATGTGTAGGTTCCGCGCGACTTGAAGCGTGATATCGACTGCTCACACTCAGTAAAATAACAGAACCATTGTCATAGACGTCGGCAAGAGCTTTCAGCCTGCCGCTGTAGAGTGGTTCCCCAAGCACGGCTTACGGCGCATAGACGCTGTTCTGATTACACATGCGCATGCCGATGGTGCGTTTGCTACCCCCTTTGAATACATCCTTCTTGCTCATAGTTCTTGTCCCAGCCATGAATGGATTAGACGACCTACGCGGTATGTGATTATCTGGGCATTGTCCTCGTGTGTATCTGAAGCCATCTGGCAGGATGGACACTCCACGGTGCTATACAACCATATATAGACGTATATGTCTCAATGTCAACCTTCAAGGAAGTCCAGCGGGCTTTCCCGTATCTTGTGTCGAAACAGTACGCGTCTGGTGGCGGTGATGTGGGCAGTTTGACAGGTCTGTTTCACGCTATGACTGATGTCACTCTTCGCAGGTCCCTGAATTCAAATGGCACATCATCGAAGATCGCGTGCCATTCGAAATCGGTGATACTGGGGTTCAGATTACTCCATTCGCAGGTGAGTGACCGGTCGGACATGAGCGAGACATTCATGTCTAACCTCCTGTGGTTAGTTCACCACGGCCGCATATTCACCCCTGCACCTCCGGTTGGGGATATCTCAATAAGTCCGTTTTCATTGTCGCCGTCATCCACGAATGCGTCAACCCCCGATGTGCCTGGCTCCCCCGTTCATGCTGCGACCATTCCCACGGAATCTGCCATCAAGCACGTTCGGCCGTACCTGTGCTTTGGATTCGTAATTCAGGACGCCATAACCTATCTCTCTGATGTTTCCCACATTCCGGAGGATGTATGGGCGATGTTTGAGTCTAAACCGGTTGTCCCACCGGTTTTCGTGCTCGACTGCCTGCGCGTCCCTACCCACCCATCACATCTTAGCGTAACTGAGGCGATGTCGGTAGCGAGGCGCATGAAGGCGGACAAGACGTATTTGCTCGGGTTCAGTCACGAGTTGTCACACGATGACTATGTCGCCATAGGAGAGGCCGCTGGAGGGACAGGGCTGAGTAAACGCGGACAAGAATTAATCTCGCAACATGGCCTGCAATCCGTGCACGAGGGTCAGCCGATCTGGATTCGGCCTGCCTTTGACGGACTGCGAGTTTCTGTTACCCAGGATGGACAGGTGCGGGATGCGGAATACAAATGAGGATCTACAGAACCATTCATTATGGCCCTTCGAATACACGTTCAAAAGGCATCTCTGTTACTGTACATCTAGTCGTAATCACATGCATGAAATATAGCTGAGAATGCAGACACCATTTGGTCCGTCCGGAAGCACCGAGGTGGGAACGAGATGTTGTCCAGCTGCACCTCACCGGCCCTCATGCAATACAGTCAGTGGTTCCGGAAGCCGCTGTATCCAAACCAGACGCATAGGCCAGAATTGGGCCAGAATAGAATTTGACGAGGCCGCCGTAGAAGGTCACGTGGGGCGGAGACTTCTCCAAGAACGGGAGAGCTTCCAGTGTCTCGGATGGCTCAGTAAGGAGGGGTCATCTGCCAGTCTGCGTTCTTATATCCCTAAACCTTGCCCTCTGCCTCCACCCACACCACCCACCATTCAACTCACCACCTACCATAACCACGCTCTATCTAACTTCAACTGTTGTGAAAGTCCGCCGGGATCGTTTGCTGCAATGAGGTTCTACTCGCAGTCCTTCTTGTACGAGTAAGTCGGCACGTCGCAATCACGTTTTGCACGTTTTGAAGTCAGGAGTGACTTTGCACGCGCAGCGATCCCTGGTCTATCGTATCCTATGCGTTCTTCATGCGATATCCCAACCCCTTCGCCTCCCATGTCCTCTCCTGCGACGTCATTTCACGTAACATCAGCCCTACGGGCACATTGGTGACTACGCGTCTTATTTTGAAGAGCGGTGCCATGCCAAGATGGGCACCCAAGGGCATGGTCTCGCGCGCCGAATCGTGGGTTATTGAGGAAAGCGAGGTCGATCCCGTGGGCAGGGTTGTGCGGTGTACTACGAAGAATCTCGACCATGTCAAGGTCATGAGAGTGGAGGAGCGCGTCATTCTGGAGCAGACCAGCGATGAGTGAGTTAATGCATCACACCGCTCATGTCATTCCTTCCTCACATCGCCCGAAGCAAAACGCTGCAGAACACCGAAGCTCGCATTGTGTCTGGCTTCGGCTGGGGTCTGACGAAGAGGATTGAGAGCCATGGCTTGGCGAGGTTCAAGGCCAACATTCAAAGGGTATGTGTTTGGAAGCTACCTATAGTACTGTGATGCTGACCAGATGTTACAGTCGCGCCAGGGGCTTTTCACCATCCTGGAACTCATCCGCCAGTCTCGTGCACAGACCATGACAATGGGGGTACCCAGCTTGTATACACCTTCGCAGCGTTTTACTTCTGGCTCCTCAGCCTCACAAACTGCCTCAGAGGCAAGCGGGTCTTCTGACAATGAGCAAAAGCCGCGCGGAACATGGCTCAACCCCAAGTCGTGGCTATGACCGTGACCAAAGCTCTAAGTACGTACGTAGCTAATAGCCTTCCCGTATTTTATTCTCTTCGTGGTCTAGCAGAGACGTTCTTTCCTTCTCTGCTCGTGTGTTTTGTAGGGCCGATACGCATTGCAATCCGTGTATTTGTACCAGTAGCATACGTAACTATGAATTTGCACCAGCTCTCATTGCGCGTCGTTTCGGCGGTCTTGCCGGTGTGTCGACGCGCCCCATCTCAGATCTGGCGTAGAACGTGCATGATATATGTGCGCCTCAAGTTGTCGCGCGCCGTTATTTGTGTCTGCGCTACTGTTCTCGCATCTTGACGCGACCTATTCCCAAGCATCCATGTTCTCAGGCTATATACTTTGATTATTCGTGCTGGCAAGGTGTCTGAGACGGTCAGAACAGATTTGCGGTAAAGCAACTACATGAAGCTGGTGCCGAAGACTAGGGCTTCACTATGTATTTCCCTTCATCAGCTGCAAGACAGTTGTCCACTGCGCCTGCTTTGCCTGTTCCCGGTGAACATGTCATCTGCTTGTCCCCCAGCCCGCGCAGAAGCCTATTTTGCACGTTGACAAAGGGCGGTCTCTCTGCATGGCGTGTCCGAGTATGTTTCCAGTACATGGCGTAGTCAGGATAGAGCGGGGAATGACGAGCTATCTCTGCTACACACACAGCCTTCTGCAATAGTCGCCCACCTTTCGCGGACACCTGCGTCCCTGGTAGAACATGGGGAGAACGCGTCCATGAGTTGGTCACCAAATGGCCGGCGAATTGTGATACAGGTCTGTCAGGCGGACTTTGGGCGTTTAAAACGGTCGCGCATGTTCGCTCATACTCTGGCAGACTACACGGTCATACCTCGTGCTGGTGACCGTCGAGTTCAACCCCGATGAGATCCTGTACCAGTCGCCATCATTGGCTCCTAGTGCCCAGCGTCACTTCTTATCAGGTCCGGGGGAAGCATTACCTTTACACGCCATTGGCTTGCACCTTGAGGGCGTGGTAAGGCTAGAAGGGACCCTGCTAAGGTGAGGCGCTTCGCGATGAGTACGTTCATAGCTGTAATGACGGCAAGCTCATGGGCTCCGTAGTGTCTCTCCTCACAATGATTGCATCTTGTTCTCGACCCAAGGACCACCCTCTGTACAGCGCATTCCTTGGCCGGGAACGCCGGATGACAGGGATCATTATGCCACATGGCTGCTGAACGAAGACGAGTTTCCTTGGCTTGAGGATGCCGATGGTATAGAATGCATTCTGTTAAATGATGTGTAACTATATGCTCATGCATTTCCATTGGCCTAGTTACTGTATCACGTATCATATACTCGAGGTCCACGGGCTTCGAGGCATGGATTACCTCAGATGGCAGGGCTTACCTAGTGCAGCTGTATGAGGATGACAACGAACCTTACAGGCCTTCCGAGTCTAGCGTCGATGATCAGGCATACCAGGTATACACTCAGTTCATCTTCAAATATTGTCAGAGTATGTTTCTCAACGCTCTGAAACAAAGCAGGCCAGAGGGAGGCGAATCTCTCATGAGAGTACACGCTCATCCCCCAACCTGCAATGGCAGGGAACATGCATCCACAACGTCGACCCACCCCGCTGGGTGCAGAAGCGGCGGAGGCAAGACCCATGTGAACTGAAGGCAGGGGAGTATTCATATGTGGAACCAAGACGCGCCATGACCACCGCGATCAACGCGAGATTCTCCGTCATAGCCACTGGGACATACGGGTAGGGTATATGCTGTCCCCTCCATTGCCGTGTTTATGGAATATGTAACAGAGGTGTGGTTGAAGTCGCCAACTTCCCAACAGAGGATAATCCTCTGCCCAAAGCGGAGATTCTGCAGATCCCTAGCATGTATACGCGGGATGGTACAGGCCTCGTGCGCGCGATGGAGTGGAGCTCTGATGGCTATGTCCTGGCTGTGGGATGGGAGAAGGGATGGGCCGTTTGGAGTGTCGGCGGACGGTGCCTCGCTTGGGGCTTCGGCGTTGAATACGAGGTAGATGAAGAGAGGTAAGTGCAGCGGATTGCGGTGGTTACTGAGGCTTACGACGTACAGATATCAAGACTCCTTCATGTATGGCGTCACAGATCTGGTATGTCGAATAACTGCCGTATATATGCGGACCTTGACCGAGAGCGTAGTTCTGGGGACCTGGGAATTTCGAGCTGTTCGTCCTCGCTGCTACATCTCCGAACAGTCAGTACCCTTCCTCCCTTCTTCGTGATGCCCGTTTAATGAGTGCAGAGGCCGATGGTCAACTCTTCGTCATCCCGTTCGCGAAGAGTGCAAGTACGGGGCAGCATTCTCCTGTGCGTGCTCTCCACCCCTTATCCTTCCGGTGGAGCTTGACTGTATATCCAATGGCAGGATAATACGCAATATGCGTTCCTTCAGATGGATGATCGTGTGCTTGTATACCGCGGCGCGGATCAGCCTGACATGAGCGTGATCAACCCCGAATCCGATGTATGGCAGCATATCAAAGTATGTATAGTTCTAGATGAGATAGTATCATCCGCCAACGTCCTTCTACAGATCCCTCAGGCTTATTTGTCTGCTAACTGGCCCATTCGCTACTCTGCCCTGAGTGCCGACGGCAGGCTCATCGCTATTGCCGGCCGCCGCGGCCTTGTACACTACAGCACGACGTCAGGACGATGGAAGATGTTCTCAGACGACTTACAGGAGCAAGCATTTGTTGTGAAAGGCGGACTCCTCTGGTTCCACCACGTCTTGATTGCGGCTGTGGACGTCGCGAATACGTCCCAGGTATGTAAGCGGTGGGGTGTCTCACAATCTGCTTGATACAATAATCCGTTAGATACGGCTCTATTCGCGAGACATGGAACTCAGTAACCAGAACGTACTACACCGTGAAATTCTCTCTTCGCCTGTCATCATCTTGTCTCTCGTCGACAACTCGCTGCTCGTTTACACGGCAGACAACACGCTGTATCACTACCTCATCATACCAACGGCAGAGACCATCAAGCTGCATCTGTGCGGTAGCATAAGCTTCAGCGGTGTCATCGCAGCGCCGGGCGCAGTGAGACTGCTGAGTTGGATGATTCCAAGCGCGCAGAAACGTGCGTATGGCGTCCCGTCCTCCTGTTCCGCGTTGATTGTGTTTTCGGTCAGAGCTGGGCGACCCGATAGAAGATCTTGCCGTGGCGACCGTGCTCATGATAGTCGGGGGCAAGCTCGTCCTGTTGAAACCGAGAAGAGTCAGTTATATTCATGGGAACGCGGCATATACTAACGCTCGGTCTAGTCGGGGGATGCGGAAGTCAAGTACGATATGCAGATTCTGGCAGATCGTATCGAGTTCTGTTGGCTGCATCTGCGCGGGATCGGCACCTTGGAAAACTCGCTATGGGGATACGATGGGCAGGGCATTCGACTATGGTTGAACGCGTTGAACATCGAAGGCCCTGCAGCTCCTGCCACTGCTGACGCCGTTGCTCTCCCTCAAAGTGTCAAGGAGAGTGTCAATATCCCCTTGGAGTTCTATCCATTGTGTGAGTGGACTAACTCACGAGCAAAGGCTATGACTCAAACGCGTCACAGCTGTGCTTATGGACAAAGGGATCATCATTGGCGTTGAATACGAGGCTGCCACTAGGGCTAGTCTGTCCTTCACCATGTTCCGACAAGTGACAAGCGTGAGTCCTCTTCGGTTTTTTCCGCCTTGCTATGCTTACTATTTACTAGTCACACCTGTTCCTCAACCACGTCTTATTGTTCCACCTTGAGAACCGTCAATTGAAAGAAGCGATCTTGTTCTCTTCACACTATCAACATCTCGTTTTCTTCGCTCACGCATTAGAGATGATGCTCCACACTGTCGTGGAAGCAGATGCATCTGCCAATCACGACAGGCGGTCCGGTGAAGAGACCGCTAGAAATCCAGAGCTCCTTCCGGACACCGTGGACTTCCTGGATCATTTCGACGTGGCACTGGATGTGGTGGTAGGGTGTGCACGCAAGATCGAGATGACAAGATGGCCGCGTCTCTTCGATATTGTCGGCAATCCAAAGCAACTCTTCGAGGTACGGATGGAGTGTTCGTATCATCTACCAGTTAGGCTTATCATTGTGCCAGCTATGTCTCTCGTCCAACCGGCTAAAGACGGCAGGGTCGTTTCTACTCGTCTTGCACAATCTCGATCAACTCGACGCGGATGGATTGAATGGCGATGCAGCGCGCTTACTGAAGAGTGCTATTACGGCTCAGGACTGGCAGCTGTGCCGCGAGATCCTGCGGTTCTTGCACTTTGCTGACGAGACCGGTGCCGCGTTACGCGGCGCCCTCACTGAAGCCCAGATTATTCCGTTACTGAATGGCGCGGTCAATGGGAAGTCTTCATGACCCTTTATTCTGGATGCTATATTGCGGGTGGCTTCTGTACTTATCTTGCATGTTGTCTAGCGTACATTTGCAGCTTCTGTTGTATCAATTCGTATTGTTTGAATTGTTTGGATCTAATCTTATCTGATCTCTTTCCGATGTAAGTGGCTTATTAATATTGGCAAGGGAGTGTTCGATCTTGGTTCGATCATCTCTTCAGCCCCAGCCACCAGCCACCAGCCACCACCGGGTCCCCCTTACATCATCTTGAACTGAGACAGTACGCTTATGATGCCTGCTTCACAAAGTGGGGACGAATTTGATACCATTCCGGACGATTTCGCTGGCATTGATTGGAATACAATACCGGAGTTGCAGGGCACTGTCACAGCCGTTTCTCCGGCGCATGCTGAGCCACAACCCGAGGATGAAGACGAAGACAAATTCGACGATCTCCCAGACCCATTTGCCGGAATAGATTGGAACACTGTTGCTGGACTAGATGATGGCCACACTGCCACTCCACGTCCTTCTAACTCTGCGTGTCAACCCCCGAACGGCGAAATTGAAGGGGTCGCACCACCCGCTCAGCCTGCAAGCACGCATTCTTCTAGCCATTACGAATTCGACGAAGTCGATGGCACGCTCCTGGAGGAGGTGGACGCTATTGAGGTCAGCGCTTCTAGATCACCAGTAGCTACACCCGCACCAGGTACCGTCCCTGCCAATGCGCGTCATTCATCCTCTTACGCATGTCTATAGCGAGAGCAGATGCGCCTTGTGCCACATACATCCCCGCGAATGTACCGCCAGGTATGATCCATCGTACACGCTCCGTCTGCAATGTTTGAAGCGACTTCATCACGACAGTCCGGCATCCTCTCACTCCCTCCAATCTTGCCGGTGAGTCAACTCGGATATACTCGAAGAGTCAACCTGATGTCGTTCGCAGCTACCACCTCCACCACCCATACTTCATCCGTGGGATCTGAAGCTCTGCGTGCGTACAACTCCCGCACGTTCTCATCGCGCTCGTCTAATATCTCGACATGATAGTATCGCCGTCGACTCCTAGAATGTCCCCCTCCAACAAGAGGGCACTTGACAGTGAAATACCAACCACTCCCCGTAAACGCACGCGGCGCATCGACAGCTCTCCCGTCGATGTGTCACCACGGAAGAAAGGGAAGAAGGGCAAGGACAAGGAAGATGTGGATCCGTTCGCCCATTCTCGGCAAGTCCTAGCGGAGTTCGAGGACGAGTTGTCGTGTGCCATGTACGTTTACTGTCCCTCATATCCGAAGTCGGTACTTAGCAAGCTCGTTGAACAGATGCTGTGATTTACTGTATGTACTTCTCTCTCGAGCTTTGTCGCAGAGCAATCATGATTTCGCATGACGTCGGCAGTGCTGCTGCACATATCGCGAACCCATGTGGGCACACCATCTGTGGAGAATGCGGCTTCGACTGGATCGCCCGGAACGTATGTCATCCTGTCCTTGCTCCGCTCCAATTTCGTTTTAAACCCAAACGCACAGAAACGGGCCCCAACGTGCGCAATCTGCCGCACGAAGCTCATTCGCGCTGCACCTCTGATCCCCAATATCGCGATGGACAACACGATAGCGAAGCACGTCGGCGCGCTCGCTGCGAGCGGCTGCGTTGACTGGCAGCCCACCGGGGCGAAGCACAAAGAATGGGCGCAACGCCGAGAGTGCGTGCTCGATCGTCTGTCGGTGTGGGGGAGCTAACAGCCTTATTTCCCGCAGGAAATGGAAGCAAGACGTCGCGAGGCGGGCCCAGGAGCCGCATGAACCGGTGCCGCCCCGCCCTCCTGTACGTGCATCAGTGTCTTTCACACAGGAGATGATGGATCTCATGGAATATCTTGATGCATTGGATGGCGATTACGAGGATAGCGGAGACGAAGAGGGCGACGATGAGTCCTAAAATCCCAAGGCTCATGTATTACACATCTGGACGCTGGGAGATGACATGTAGGACAGCCATTGAACAGTCTGACTCATGACTCGTGCTCCACATCCCTTGTGCCCGAAATCCGACCAAATGTTAGGTTGATGCGATAATGATTGAAGTTTTGAGATACACCATGATGGCCATGGTACAAGTTATGATACACAGTATTCCACCGATACACCGTGTATAGTACATCGGGAGCTTTTCCAGGGACGATACAACATCTGCGAGAACAACGAAACCATGAGACGGCAAATCCAGGATATACACCGAAGCATCTCTGATGCCCCGGCTGCGACAAAGCGATAGGGAAGGAACTGATTTGAGAAGTTGCGCAGGACCAAGAACGCATTAAACGTTAGCATAGAAGCAGATCACTGCCTCAACATTTATGAGAGGGACACGGTGAGCTTACTGCTCCTTTCGAAGCCGGCCGGTGGGTAGAGATTCATGACATAGACCCCCTCATGCCCGGTGCTCTTGATCTCGGGGTCTAGGACATGCTCATCGTCGAGGACGACTCTCAGCGGGAGAGTGCTCGCCGATGTATGCACAAGAAGCGAGAGCTTTCTCTCAGTGACCTGGACGTCGGCGGAAAGACTAGCAGGCCGGCGCACTAACTGCGACAGCGCTTGATGCTCCTTCGGCTCCGCGAAGAACGAGAGCTGCTCGACGCTGGCGGTGGGCGAGGGCGCGAACGCGAACGCGTGCGGGGTCGCGACGTCGTAGGAATCATCGCCGTCGCCCTCCACGGACTCGCCAGAAGTACCGCCTGGGTTCTCATCGTTCTCATCTGTGAGCGAAGTCTCCTCGCGGACTGGGGTAGGCGCTTCTTGGGCGTTCATGGAGACGTCGTCCGCGTCCGTGTGTTCACCCATTTCGCTCCTCTCCATGACGATCACGCTCCGCGACGGCATCATCTGCCCGCCTACGAACTCACGCCAGAGCAGCGACACCCTCTGCAATAGCACTTGCCACAGGGTTGCGAACATGGCAAGCATGATCCCCATATATGCCTGCAGCGCGCGCGTACTCTGCACCCGCGCCAGCGCCAACCTGTCCCTGTCTAGGTTCATGTATTGCCCGTAGACGTTCGCCGCGGGTAAGGTAAACGGGGTCAGCGGCTCGGCGACACTGGGCGACGCAGACTCAATGGGCGCGTGGGGGATGGACGGCGACGCCGCAGGTGAGCTGGCCTCCGACGAGGTAAAGGACGTGAACTGCTCTGAGATTTCGGAGAACGACGGCAGGGGGGGAGGGGCCGCCCGCGACGTCACGGCGCGCACGACAGGTGGAGGCGACGGAGGCGGGGTCGGCAGCACGCGCTGCGCAGGCTCGTGAGACTCCTCAGTGACGGTAACGCTCGTATGAGGGTCCAGTATGCAGATGCCCCATGATCCCTTGCTGTCACCATCGGTCGCGTTGAGGCGGTAGACCGGTGCGAGGGTCGCCCGCCCGCCGAAGCGACCGACACGAATGGCGATCCGCTCGGCTGTCGGAGAGATGAACTGCTCTGTAGCAGGGAAAGACAAGACGAAGCGGTCGCTGACGGCAGTAGGGAGTAGAGCGGCCAGGCGATGCTTGTCAATGAACACTTCCTGCTCCACCGACTCGGCGAGAGGCAGGAAGAGAAGAGACATGTGCGACCCTTTGACCGACGATGGAGCAAACAAGACGAGACATGGTGGTCCCTGACTAGTTGGTGAAGAAATGAAGCTGCTCCAGGGTGAACCCTCGAGGGGAGCACCGTCAATCCGGCCCAGCGACAAGACACCCTCGCCGATGCTCTTCAAAGTACCATTGGAATCGATGTGCACGGTGCTGCCACGCGTAGCACAAAGTATGAGAGGTCGAGGAGTGATTATACCATGCGCTCGAGCGTGAGGGAACAGGCATATCACCGAAGACGGCGGCGTTTCAGCGGAGGAAGAGAAAACAGGCCCGCTGATGAGATAAGGCAGCGTTAGGACATACGTATAGCACGACGGAGACGGCGGACCTGTTCTCCCTGAGTGCCCAGGTAGACCACCGAAGGTCTCTGTTTAGTTTCCCCACTTCGTGCTCTCCGGGACCAGATACCGCGCGCTCAGCCTTGTCGCCCCCGACGGCCCATTCCTCGCCCAGGCGCACGCCTGAAGCCGCAGGGAAGGGCCTCCGTTCGACAACGAGCATGCCGTTGCGCCCATACTCGCCCAGCCACCTGACTGCGCCCGACGGATACACCAGCCTGTATGTGAACGAGAACTGGTGCCCGGGCGCGTATTCGTGCAGGTTCACGGGCAGCTTGGCGTAGAGCGCGCACTCACCCGCCTGGTGGTCCGCTTGCTCCTCTGGCGACAGCAGCGAAAGTACGTCCCGCCCCACAGCCTGTGCTGGCGGGTCTTGGAGCTCCAGAAACGGAAGCGCCCCCCACTCCCAGCCTGAACGTCCCTCGACGGGGAGGTCCGTCCACATTTCGACGCGTATGCCATCTTTCTTCGCCTGCTCGACCGAGGCACGCGAGTCGAACGCGACCTTGAAGACGAGAGTCTGGGCGGGCGCGGCCTGACCGCGGCCGTGGAGCGAACCAGGCGTGGTCAGACGAGCGATCTCGTTGAGCGCGGGGGTGAAAGTGAGGTGCATTGGAGGCGAGGGTGGGAGGTCTCCTGCAAGGGAGAGAAGACGGACGAGGCCTTTATGTGGGTTACGCTTACTCTACGACCGGACGAAGAGAAAAGGGAATGGCGGTATCTGGGCCTGATAATCCCCGTCACAGACTCACCCCATGTCTGTCATATTTGCATTTCGCCCAGCTGCGAGGCGCTCCTCGGCCTGCATCGCCTGATCCTGATGTCCATTTCAACGGAGAACAAGCCCAGAGCCACAGATAACAGCCTCGTGTGCTACGCGAGCCAGAGTCCTAGAGCCGACGCAGTATACATGGCGCACATCGATCCCAAGGAGCGTCTACAATCGCTAGCAGCCGAACAGCGTACATACTCAAACAGGCGCCTCGGAACCTGTTCGCACCCCACCATCTTGACACGGTTGGCCATCAGCGGTCAGAGCATTGCACGAACCTCAGTCGTCGTCCCCCTCGTCAAATTCATCTTCTCTTCCTCGTCCGCCCCTTCTTCTTCTATCGCGCTCATCTCTGTTCCCCCCATATGCTGCGGTCGAGACCGTCCTGTCAACAATGTCGTCCAGCAGCTCTGGGGGCAGGTCGTATTCAGAACTGCGCACAGCAATTGCATATGCCACTATGAGTTTGGTCAATGAGTGCAGCACGTGGGGACAACGAGTGTTTCTTCACCATCTTCTATCTTTTCCAGGGATTGTGATGTGACCTGCTGCTTCTTTCGAAGCTCTCTGAAGGATGGTACAAATACCTCGAAATCTATGGTTACTAGGATCAGAAGCCGAGAACCACGCCGAACAGCGTCGGATGCTTGCCTGCTTTACAACCTCTTACAAACACGCAGACCTCGCTTGCCTTGGAGCGCCCGCCTCGACGCGAGATGGAAGAGATAGCGTAACGCATGAGTTCGCCTGTAAGGTCGGCTAGACCGAGAAGGTAATCTTCCATCGGCAGAGGGAAATACTGGGTAGAAGAGATCAGGCACTGAGATACCACTGACGCGAAAGTAAAGCGTACTGGTTTTCCGTCTTCATCGGATATGGTCTTCTGCACCTCATCGTAAGATATGAGCGTCCGGAACTCCAGGTAACGCGCAAAGCTCAAGGCTTCGATGTATTCCTGCAGGCCCGGGGAGACGTTTCGCTGATATCGCCAAAATTTGTCGCCAGCTACCTCCTCTCGCATACCGGCGAACAGTTTTTGGATGTCCCGCAATTTCTCCTTCGCGCGAGAGACAGCGCGCATAGAAAGCGCGTGGTCGTCAGATTCAGACGCATCCTCGGTCATCATGCGATGCAAGAGGAAGATGACCTTTTTTGAGAGGTTGGTGACATCTCGGCTGGACTACGCAGGAGTGGCAGAGGCCGTTAAGTCCGACGGTAGGTCAACGAACATGCGGAGGGAGTTGAGGACAGCAGACCTTGATGAGACGTTCCCTCCTATCGTGGTAGTCGTCCAGCTCGTCTCTGAAAGTGTCGAAGACGTTGACGATGGAATCCCTCGAGCTCAGCGTCGCAACAGCCGGCGAACTGGCGACGGTCGACATGGTTGTGGGTGCATTGATCTAAGCGCCGTATATTTTGATCTTGTGGGCGCTTGACGTCATAGGCCCTAGTATGCCCGAGGTTATCCCGAGCCCTAACGTTGCGTTCTGCCTCTGACCGCCAGCCAACAGTTACCGTTATATCACAGCTCGTTTCAATGCCATGCAAACGGTTTACACTTCAGCCGCTTACGTTTTCGCTCACCAATGGCCTTTGCACCCAAGCCTGGCTGTCCTATGTGCAGCATAGTCGCCTCCGCAAATCACCTCTCTGAGGACTCGGCTGCTTCCCCGCAGATCATCTGGAGAGATGAAAACTTGACTGCGTACAGAGAAACCGCAAGTCCTGTTTCTAGTCTTGGCCATATTATTATTGTTTTCAAGCAAGTGGTAGATTCTGAGAACTTGGAGGATGTTGCTTACCATTATCATTTATTTCGCCGTTCATACCTAGCTTGCATGTGCCGTCCTTGTACGCCCTGGTGAGTACGACATAAACTTCCCGGACCTTGCGACCTGCCTGACAATACTGTACAGACACCCAGTGACCTCCCGTTGCTCGCTTCTCTCCGTGATGTTTCCCAACGGCTGCTCTCGTCTCTGCACGAACCGCCTGCCGCCACGTCCACATCTCCGCTGCTCGAGGTGTCATCTTCTGTTTCTGAAAGCATGTCGAAGAGCGCTGCACCTCCACACCCAACACCGTCCTTCCGCATTGGCTTCATTACGCCGCCCTTCCGTGACATCAGGATACCCGTGACTGACCATCTGCACGCGCACGCATATATCCTCCCCGCCGACCGAATGGGATGGGTACGCAGCGTCGGCTTTGGCTCCCTGGCGTGGTACGCGATTGACGACCTCATGGCTGAAATCCGGTGAGCATATAGGAACCTACTTTTGAAGTTCCTATGAACAGTTGTTCTAGCGAGGAATCGTCAAACAATCGCGTTCGCTCTGGGCCGACGTCGCGTCCCATCGATTCCGTACCCTCAGCTGGGGCGCGTGTAGGCACGGCTGACGGCACGGAGACCACAAAACCATCAATAGCGACGGTCGATCTTGAACATGTTCAATAAAGTTTGAATCACTCTGACTCCTCTGTAGAACTGCTGTCTTGTGATACCTCATGCTAGAGCAACAAATTTATTGGGGAATTCTACAGACATTATCAGACAGTGTAACTTGTAAACGGGAATTGCAGGGGTGAATATAGTGTAGATACATTCCAAAGGCTGGTGACTGCGAAAATGGATTATGAGAACGGCTAGAGTTACTTCCACCCTGACACCCTGACATGCGATACGTGTCTGCGCGGACGTTACGCATCTACGCGTAGGTGAGGATATGATTGAGTTTCGACTCGCGACGGCAAAGCTCATACAATACTTACAGTATGACGAGCCAGTGAGCAGAGTCGACAGCGCTGCGAGCTGCGACTCTGTGAATCGCTTGCAGTCTTCGTGCCAGGTATCCTGATGCGTCTTCTTGAAGTTGCTGGCGCACTTCCGTACCGTCGTCGAGATGGGGATCTGCACACTCACGCATCAGTTAACATCATCCCGGTGCAAGTGGCAATGCGCTCACCGGGTCATACGTGTGCTCTGCTAACACATTGGTGAGGAGATCGGGCATCCATCGCTCGACTGTGTACGGGAAGCTGTCAACGAGAGCGCATATACCGAGAATCGCAGCGTGGCGTTGGCGCAAGGCGGAGTTGTATGCAGGCGATTTGCGGTCGGGAAGGGAGCTGTTCTTCAGAAGGCGAATGAAGCGATCCTGCGTACTCTATGAGCATTTGAATAGTAGCTGTGCGCTTAGAGGCATACCCTCAACTGCAGGACGCTGCGACGAGGTGAAAGGCGCAGGATGCCTGAGAGCGTGCTATCGAAGAGTGAGCGAAGTGAGGCTGTTCAGATGCTGGTCACCTACGTCGCAGCCATTTCTCGTACTTCGACCACTTCATCATCTAGACATCTGCAAACGACCTGCGAGACATATTTGAGGACAGTTAGAAGGGAACATTGATCATTTGACAGACCTCAACCAACTCGATAATCTTCGCATCACTAATCACGGGGAACTGTCTGAAGTAGAAGACTACGGCGATATTGAGTATATGCCAAAAATAATTTTGTCTCAACCTACCTTGGACGAGAGGGAGGACTTTGAGTCGCACCCGCCAAGACTGACAAACTCATGTTGAGTATACAACTCATCGTGACAAAGCAGGAAACTCACGGGTGATGTTTGAATGGCCGAGAAAATTGCATCCAATACAGGATTGATTAATGGGCGAGGGATAGTAACGCCGCACATCCGAACCAGAAGCACTTGCGCGCGACGGGCAAGGTCATCGTTATCGTTTACTGACAGTAACGCGAATCAGCGTCGCATCAGCGATTATTAAATGGCCAACTTACTCTCCACGAAACGGAAGAGCTCCGGCTGTTGGTATCGATGAGGCAGGAAGACCAATTCGATTGGTTAAAGCACTTACCATGAGCGGAAGAATATAGTCGAAGGCGGTGATCGAGTTTGTGTCGTGGACGATCTCCAAAAGCCACTTGCAAACGAGTACGCCAACCCTGAAAATACGAAGTCAATCCGTTGCCTCATCTGCTCTATAAGACAATCACCTGTCATAAGTAGACAGGAAAGCGCGTGCACCCGGGAGACGTCGGTCACGCCAAAGAGGGAACTCGTCGACAAGCTTGAGCACACGCGTTTCGTGATATTTACTCCGGATGCCCATGATGTCGTAATCCGAAGGAAGTGTACGACATTCTCTCACGAACACCTCTGCCTTTGGTACCGACGGGTTGGGGCGCCACTGATTGACATAATCAATCAACAGTCGCCGTTGGAAGCTCAACTACTTACTAGTGCCTTCCCGCTGAATGTAAGGATCTCGCTGAAGTATGCCAAGACCTGTAGATAGTTCTAGTTAATGTGCGGAGTGTGAAGTTTCAAGGGACGTACGTCGTCGTGCTCTGTTCGACTCAATTCTTCCCAACACCGCGTCACTGTTTCTTCCACCCATGGCACGAACTTCAAGCCGAGCTCTTCGTAGAAAGCGCGGAAGAAACACAAGACTTCCACAATCTCATGTGTCGACTCCCCGTTGAAATCAACATTCTTGAAGTCGTCCACAATGTGATCCACCATTGGTTGCAATCTTCGTGGATCCTTGTTGAAGAAAACGTACTGTTGTCTTGGCGTCAGTGACATACCAAACTTCACATTAGTCGTAATCAAACCTCGAGGAATGACGTCCAGATAGGCAGGGTGTCGTTACTCTTCGGACCGAAGACAGTGTGCATATGCGGTTTGAACCACTCCCAGAGTTTTGCTTGCTTTTCTAGCGGCCAATGCTTGGATCCTGACCTAGTCTAAGTGTGTATAATCACAAATAAGCCATAACACACACCAGCGAAAAGGCCTGCAAGGAAATCTGCAGCTGCACGTTGCTTGTTCTTGTCTTTGTCGGCTAGCAATGTCTCCAAGGTCGATCTGAGAGCTTCAAATGGCTCATCTTCCAATAATTGGACTGCATAACTGAGGGTCAGTAGAGACCAGGGATACGTATTAGTCCCACTAACATATTGATTTTACGCAGGACGCATTGTCTTGCGAAATATCATCCGAGTGGTTTTCCGCAGAATAGTGAGTGGACAAATTCTTCCAGTATGACTCATCTGTGACCATGGTACGAATCGCGCTGACCGCTGGCTGAGATTCCTCTTCCCAAGACGGGAAAGTAGAATGGTGCGTATCTGGGAGCAAGAAATAGTCGGTAGTGTCCTTCCAAGCAATCCAACCGCTTGAGATTTTGTCGCGAATCATCCTGTTGAACTGAGTGAGAGGATCATCCGAGCGATATGGTCGTTTTACTGACGGCTCTCGCTGTGCTCTTTGAGTATCCACAGGCACCTTGAATTCTGCCATCCATTGAGACGTAAATGAATGACTGGGCTCCTTGATCTCTACTGTTCGCCTAAGGGGATTGTGGTTTTGTTCCATCACGAGATCGACAGGTCCATGAGCAAGTGTGCGCAATTTAATATATCGGGAAATTTTCATGACGGCGCGTTGAGCATACTACCCATAATAAGTCAGTAATGGGAATGACAGTTTGTGGAGAATTTTTATTACATAGCGCTGAAGTGGAAATGATGCGTCAGTTCTTTGAAATATTAGATCGAGGTTATGACTACTGACTATGCTAGAATGCGCGTCATGCGTTTTCTCGAGGAGAAGACGAACTTGCGAAGGTAACATAGGACTATCACGTCTGATCAATGTCCTTAGGCATCTGACGGCGATGATGGCGTAGCGCCAATGAATCTTGGGTGAACTTGCTATATCAAGGAGTACACGGGTCTGTTGATACGTAGGTCATAAGGTGGAAGAACAATGGAAGTCTGCGTGAATGTACCGTCTCTGCAATGGCGGCATCTGTGAGCTTCAACCGTTCGACACGTTGCACTGTACACCGCTGCACTGTGAGCTCGCTCTCATGACCTGCTTGCAGAAGTCTTTTCAGATCTTCCACGGCACGAGAAACCCTTGGAATGTCAATCTGGTACATCGTATAGCATGGCTCGCCAAAGCTATTCAGACCTGCAGACATGTTAGTATGCGGTCACGACGCCGGAAGGAACAAACGTGCAGGTTTCTGCAAGAGCGGAGACGTATTCTTGAATAGATGGCTGTCCCAGCATATGTCAGAGCCAGTGGAAGTACATCGAAGGCACACAAGGCTTACCCTTTCGTTATGCTGACAGTCGAATAGCCTCTGGATCAACTCCGTCGCCAATGTGGGGTCTGCATATATGTATGAGTCCATGAACCATGAATTATGGGAGTCGCTACAAACCCCCTATTGCGTATTTGGCTGAAATGGCTGTCAGGCCACAGGACGAAAGACAGACAAAGAGCACGTACCGAACACGTTGGAATTGAGCGTCCATAAAGCACCCTTCATGCGGTCATCCTCTGTACCGGGCTCCAGCGCTTTGTACAACTTCGGCAAGCAGCGTCGTCTTACTCCGTCAAAGCTCTGGAAACCGTCATAAGCCGATGGGTATGCTAGGCTACATATCAGCTTACGCTGCATAGATTATCCAACAATGTCTGGCTTGTCCTGAAAAATGATATGAGCGGGGGCACTCAAAACGCCGGGGCGGAAAGGAGCTTACTCCCGGACTGTCAACGAGCTGAGTTAATTCGACCGGTCGCATGTAAAGGGCTGGACATACCAGTCACATAGTTCCACATAGCCCACTCAACGAGGTCGTCAATTAGATGATCTTCCAAGCTGCTCCTCCGACGCTCAATGGAATTCCATCGCAAACGCGCAGAATGGTAGTATCTGATGATCACTCAATTTTAAAAAAAAATTACGTCAAGGAATCCTACTAACCTTGCTCGTCGCACATAGAGAGCCCGGGGCCAGACTTTCTGATTTGCATAATGACGGGCGACATTCATCTCATTTGTGTAGCGCTCGTGATGCAGGTAATAGCTATTACCAATGTGTTCTTAGTCTGTTGCCGGCAAATCTGGTTAACGACTCACTTGTCTCTGCTATCCCCGTACTCCAGCATATACGTCCTTATTGACCGGATCTGACGAACGTGGGCAATTACTCTATGTGCATAAGAACCGACTTACAAGCATGTGGACAGCGTCGACTGTGTTCTCTTCCCCTTGTTGCCTCAGTGTTTGTGATGCCCTATGCAGAAAATGACCGAAACGACGCTTGACGGTGGTCATATACTGATGTCTAGGATCACTAGGATCCTCAAGAGCGAAACCAGCGTTGAGGGGCTCGACAGGGGCAATCATTTCGGGAATCTCGTGCCTGAAGCAGTCAACCTATGTGCAACATGTCAAAGGAAGACATACAATATGTCGCTTGTCTCTGCAGCACTTTGCATTTCCTCTTGTGGTATCACTTCCTTGACCAGCGTAGGTATACCCGAAAAAGCATTACGGACAAAACTGAGATGTCTGCAAATGCTTTTTAGCAGACAACGGCCGCTTCGAAGCTCAATAACCTACCTGCAGAAGTCATTACGCCATACTGCGTCGCGAGTAACCTCTGCTCGTGGTTAGTAACTGTCAATGACAGCTCGAGAATGCACTTACCAGATCCTATCAGTCCCTCCAGAGTTTCCAGAACAGGCTCGACAACTTCGCGGAAAATCTGCAGCGTGAAATCGATCTCTTCGGTCGAAGGCACATGCCACAAAAGCTGCAGTATTATTCCCAGTTAATTAATCTTGGACGTCGGTAGGTAATATAAAGACGAACCTTGACATCTTCGGGCTTATACAACTTCCCCCAATACTTGTAGTGATTCCTTTTGAAGTCTAACAGCGACGACATTGACAAATGTTATCTGCCTTTTCGATTGAACTCACCTTCACTCGACCACTCGTCAGGATTCACGAACTTGTTTTCCAGCGGGTACGTATGGGTAAGGGTGAGCAATGTACTGCACACAAGCTTTCCGCTGGAGGAAAAGCCGCGCTTCGAGAAGGTCTTCTGATGAAGTAACTTAAACAGTGCGATCAACTGCTCCCGATACGGAAGAGCCTTTGAATACGAGTGAGTATGAGAGCATATAATATTGAGCAGGGGAATATCATACCACTCGACCATCGCTGTATCGTCGAATGTTAGTAACTTGTGGAAATTTCTTTGCTCGTACACTTACTTGTACATGGCACCTCGTAGGATGGCCAAATCTTGAAGCCAACGATTAATGAATGTCAGTTTCCACAAACGAATGGACCTACTCCAATGAAGGGTGGCATCCGACGGTAAGGGAACAGAGCTTGATGAAGTAGTCCGGAGAGAGCTGGCTCCGTGCTCGAGTTCTGCCCGAATGTTGCGATCACAATACGGGACAAACTTCGCGAGCGTCTTCGCCTGATTTGCGTTGGCGACGCACTCGACAAGCGAGTGAATAGCGCGAACTGCGTTAGTTCGGACATTGCCGCTTGCATAGTCGAAGACCATGTTCAAAACCATATCGTAAAGTGGCTCTGACAGGTGAACGCAAATCTGACTGAATGCGCCGCATACCGAATCAACCAATTGGACTGCAAGGTCAGCCGACATCAATCCGGATATGAAGTGCAATAAATGGGAGGCAAACCTTCCGTGGTGCCACCAGCAGAGCCATTTGCGCCCTCCTCAGGCAGGTTTTCGAAGAGTAGGATGACGCGGCGTAGGAATGCGGCCACCCAATCCGCAAAGCCCTCGGAGACATTCTTCAGGATTGCATCCTCTTCTTCTTTGGTCCTGGGAACATCCTCGCTGAAGTCAAACGTGGAAGGAAGACTGGTGATTTCCAGAGCTGGGACGTCTGCAGCTGCCCGACCCATATCAACGTCGATAGGCATAACGTTGTTATCTTCGCGACTCATTTCTGCAAATTTGATGTATTGCGCTATCTCCACGATGAATGCGGTGGTGCAGAACTGGTCGAGAACGACAGTGAGTACATAAGCTGGAACACTCCGGCCCGTGACGTACAGTCTTTGGAGGGTCATTCTGGGAAACCATCAGTTTGTGTTTAGGTAAAAGTTCCCAGTGAGCTCACAAGATCAATGCCGGGTAGAAGCAGTTCCATGATCGGTAGCAAGTGCTTCGCGCCGCCGTAGTAAACATGCCTGCATACCAGCGCGGGGGCGACGGCTCCAAGGGCCTTTATTATCGCGATCGTCCTTTGCGTCTGCAACGACGTTAGTGCCTAGTAAAAGCAACTTGCCTCCTGTGACGTACCTCTACTACGGCTTCGAGTGCTGGTCCCGCCCGTTCCAAAATCGGCGGCAGAATAAGATCCGGCTCCATGACGCTCATGGACTTCAGACAACTTTGTATATTGCTGACCGTAGTGCTGTCGGGAGAAAACATCGCTAGAAGGGTGACTGTTCTCAAACTCTTCACCAGTTCACGCTTCATGTCCTTCGTCAACCGGCGATGCTGAATCTGACGTGAGACTTCAATAACATATGCATTACGCGAAGACTGACTAGAGGTGTCTTGCATTCTATATCTTGTTCCTCATACCAGCCTGTCGTAACTTATATAAGCGAAGTCCACCGTCGCAGATCAAAACTCATACGTTTGTTGAACTCGTACACAACGTGTTTGATGAACGCGCTTAGCTGCGATGAGAGTCAGCACTCCACTCATTTCAGCTCCATTCACGTCATACAAGAATATACATCGCCGGTCTAACAGCGAGCTCACAGGTGAAATACATACATCAGCTGTCCAACTGCCTGAATTTGTGGGATGGAAAAAGCCTTCTGTAGAAGCAATCATCTTCACCAAGGAGTCAAGGGCTTTACAGCCAGCAAGATACATCTTCGCCTTGGAGTGGATACCTCGAGCGAGAGACGCAGAGAGGTAGTCCCCCAAACCGCCATTCACCTGAGGAAGCGGTGTCGCCGACCTTGAAGCAAAAGGCGTAAATGTGGGCGTTGGGGCAGCCGAGTTAGGGCTGGGCACCCCGTCGGGTGCCATAGAATATACGATGATTCGGGCAAGCGAGGCTAATTGAAATTGTTAGTATTCACGACGGGATACAAAGCTATTGACATACGAATCCTCCAATTAGGCTTCGGCAATCTGTTGATTTCGAAACCAGCTTGGTTGTCAGCACTGGGTCCAGTGGTAAGGGATCCCGTGTCAGCCAGCGGGATTTCTAATGCCGTAATGTAAGAGACAGTTGATATGGTTCGCCCGCAGCACGTACCCATTGACACTAAGCACTTGGACATGATAAAATTCCAATTGTGCTCAGTGAAGATACCGACGTCCGAGTATATCCCCGACCATTTCCACTTGCTCTCAAGGTCCTTCTTCTCCCACTGTGGTCTCCCTTCATCCTCAGATCTTGCATCGTCCGGAATTGACTCAATTCGGCCAGGGTCACTGACCGTTGAATCAACGTGCATCTCGGTGAGTTTCGAGAAGAAATGCAACATCCGCTCATCAAACATGTAAGAGTTGATCGACTCCCAAAGACGAAACAACATGGGCAAGTATGACTGAGGGTGAGACATGGGTAGAAAGGTAAGCATATAATACTGAGAAGCCAACATGGTCTATAAAATATGTAAGCAAGGATGAACGCTGAAGCTCATTATTGGAAAGACATACGCTCAAGCTGGTGGCCCTCATCATGGGCAGGAAGGTGGCGAGCATCTCGTCAATGGCGGAGGGATGGAAGAACCTCCGGACATTCTCAGCAATATACCCCATGTACCATGACGTTTGGCTGCAGTGAGAGTTGTAACCATCAGGAGGCGTCATTGACTGCATGCGAACGAAGCAGCATCACCTGATCTCGAACTGTCGTCTCGTCAGGAACAAGTCCTTGCTGAGAATATTGAATATGGGCTTCCAAGGCAGCCGCACGTCGTCAATGGACAACTTCTTCTTGGACCTCATCAACATGTGAAGCGCGTCGCATCCGGCTGCGATCACGTTGTACGGCAGACCGGGAGTAGTGCACACATGGAAGTAAAGCTTCGCAAGTGCGATTCTCTTCTCTTTCGGGATGGGATACTTTAGCATGGACCAACTATCCAGTCGCCGGAGATCAGCAGGACACGGCCGAAGCTAATGAGAAGCGCTTACTAGGTCAACATGCTATCCCATTGTAGCAGTCCCGGGTCGTAGTCCTTGGCTTCCACACATTGTGCAATGCGCAAGATGATCAAGTCAAGTAGCTCGAGCATCTTGGAGTACGGCTCAATCGAGTAGGGCAAGGATTCTGCATAGTTGCGCAACTTCTCCATGTAGCGGCCTTCGCCTCCCAGGATGTCATCCGAGATGCTCGGAGCGGGGCGAGCACTCGAACCGGGCTCATTAAGAACCAGAGTGGAGACGTCAGGTATGTCCATGGCGTTTACGCGCATGGGAGTAGGTCGTAATGCTGGCTCGGCGTTGCGATAACACTAGTGAGAAAGTAGATGTGCGACGAGGTGACTGCGGGAGGATCGACGTAAGTCAGTGGGTACGTACCACACGCGGGGCGAGCGGTCAGTGACATAAGGAAGGCTGTGGCGCGCTGCCATTGCTTCCGCTCTCCCGCCATCTTCGTCGGTTACGGTGAAGCAAGTTGTCTCGGATGCTGCACTGCCAGGGTGATTCGCGATGCTCATTTAATGTTGTTCTCGCAAGAACGTGTATCCGCGACCGGCACTCCAGGCTTTCGCGGATACTTACTTCAGGGGTCATGCCGACACGAAAATAATGGTTAAGTCGGTCTCTATAGCGCCGCAGCGGAACTCGCAACTACATCCTGCAACTCCTTGAGTGCCTTATTGCGTACCAAATCCCACACACCATTCCTCTGAGTCCGTGTAAATCCTATGTCGTCCCTGATCTCCTCTAATCGTTCCACATACTCCCTGGAATCGTCCTGTAATGCTCGCAGTGCTGCCAACGACTTCTCCAGGCTATCTAGCTGATACTCGGGATGTGGGAAATGTGGCATCTCGTGAGTCGGTGTAGCTCTGTCTTCAATGTCTGATATGAAAAGTTTGTGGACGATGGGCGTAAGATCAGGTGCACGGGCCAGTCTTTGCTCTCTCTCGTCTTCTTCCTCTCCTCCGTCTTCTCGCTTTGGGATCATGGTTGTATCTTGCTGGCCATCTGGGTCCTCACTCATGACCTGCCAAAGTCTACCCAGAGCGCGCCTCATAGTAGCCTCGCCTTCTATGAGACTATTGGTAGCACTTTCGAGTTCGTCCAGCAGTCGAGAACGGAATGAACGCGTGACGGCTTTATCCATGACGAAGGAAGTATATGATAGATGTTGCATGGTAGGAGGGGGATACGGTGCGGTCAATGGTGGTGAAGGCGATCGTAGGTGTGGTAGGACAATAGAAGTAGAAGACTCCGCTTCCTCTGGCATGAGCATCTTGATGCGCTTTCTGGCGCGTTCCTCGACCTATTTGTCCAGTCGCATACATTGTGTACAGAGTAAGACTTCAGTACACACCTGCCTATCCTCTAAGCCAGGAGCCCATGGGGCTATCTTGCCCGTCCTAGTCCATCTTGCGTTGTGAATGAGCTTCCGGCCCCAATTGCCCTTTGCCGAGGCGAGGCGGACATCGTCAAATTCGTATTCTTGAGAAGGATAATACCATGCATTCTTGTCAAACGAGGGCAAATTTGCGATACTAGGAAAAGTGAAAGGAGCGCGTTCCAGTAGGTGACCACTGGAGACACGGCACGGTCTGAACGCGTACCTTGGATCCTCGTACCTCGCGTCGTCGATGATGGCTGCATCGAATGTTCGTTTCTGACCATTGAGCACTGGGTGCTCCTGCATAGCTGGCAGGAGTTGGAAGTCGTGCATCATCATTTCTGCCGCCATACTGCTGCACGAATGGTGTTGGAAAATGCTGAAGCTGAAGAGGCGGGAGACGGAGAGGATTAGTCGAGAGTGACCGCGCTCGTCTCGGAGTGGTTGCGGCAGACGCCGGGCCTCGCTCATTGGTTGACGAGGTTGCTCTGCTTCTCCTTACATCTCTGGCCTCCTATTTGGAGGTAAGCTGTTTGTTCTCCTCCCTTTGCCTCTGTTTACCAGAGCTCTGTTACTTACTGTCTGTCTACTCGACAGACGCCAGCGAATCTTGCACCGAGACCATCGCGACGAGCGTCGAACGACGCGTCTATGGCCAATATCGACGTTCTGCACCTGCCGGAGGAAATCAAAAAGGCGGACGGGGCCAGTGGCTCTGCTGGGCTGGACGAGGGTGCTGAGCCCAAGTCGGACATCACTATCGCTCCAGAAGCCTCGGATGACCAGGGCGTGGCAAGCCCTGCATCTGCATCATCTCCTGCGTCGGCGCTGACGCCGCTAAGAGCAAGTCCGGCGAATGGCCAGTCCTCGTCGTCCAGCACCGCTCCAACTTTGACGGTGCCTCATCCCAAGAAGTTTACTTCTAGCAATATCAACAGGAAATTCTTGGAGAAGACATCATCTACCTCCCCTTCAGGTCAGACACTATCCGCCTCTGTGACAGCGAAAATTGGAAGTTCAATCCGTACGTCTTCACGCGTATACCTAGCGACCCGGGTTGATGGTAACAATATGTGCGGTCGTAGAAAAGCCCCCGTCGCAAGCCGCCCCCACTCACTCTCGCCTAGTGACCGCTAAGTTAACTGCGACTCCGCAGTCGTCTAGTACGACGCCAGGATGGTCCAGACCACCGTCTTCGGTTTCCTCGGTTGCCCCTACTCCCTCAGCTGCAGCCAATTCAAAGCCTCAACCTATCCAGTCTTCATCCATTTCCCCTCAGCCTACTCTTGGTAAGGTCATACAGCCGCAACCACGAGGAGCGTCCGAGGCATTTGCAGGAGTCGTCAAGAAGGAAAGTTCAGGGAAACCTGTGTGGGGAAATGCGAGGGGTACTGCAGCAGTTGTGGCGAAGTTGGATGCGGTTGCGAATGACTTCCCCACAGCGGCGGAAGCCGCGCAAGGTATGCCAGTGCGTACAACCCAATGCTCGAGTTTTGGCCAATTCTTTCTGTAGGCCGAGCTGCCAAGGCTTCCGAGCAAAAACAGGCCACTGAAGCGGCGGCGGCGCAGAAGCAAGCAGTCGCCGCGGAGGAAGACACATTTCGTGGCGTCCATCTCGACCCAAATGCTCACCATTGGGATGAGGTATGTCATTTCATTTCGCATGGGCATGCAATGAGAGAACTTATTCATGATTTTCAGATGGAGGAAGACGACGATAATTTCCTAGATGGTGTGATCGAGTTCGACGATGGGCGGCAGTACAAAGTCCAGCCTAGTGATGCACCTACGCGAAACTCACCTCCTCACGATTCAGCCGGAAACCAGGAAGGTCATGACGTACGTAGCCAGCTCGAACTATTAGGACCCCCCGATCACCCTGTGAGTAAGGAAGAGCGGTTTGCAGATGACTTCGATAGAAGTTGGCCTCGCTCAAGAGTTGTGACGGGGATGCCTTACAATCAGCGCGAACAGCATGCAAATGCCACTTCTCCAACAGCCTCTTCAGTGTCAATGCATTCGCCACAGGAAATGTCGCGCGTGCTCTTCAATGAGAGGTCAAACAGGCTGGAGCCCTACTCGAACTCTCATGTTCCGCATCGCCAGGCCAGTTCTGGCCCACCTCCCTTCATGGCGCGGAGAGGTAGTCGTTCCGACAAGGCCGTCTCGCCAACCGATCCGAGGGGCGGCCGCGATGTCCCCCCACACGTGCTTCAGCAAGGTGTTCAGTTGCTGCAGAAGCCGCCCGGTGGCGACCGTCGCTTCGACACCGGGTCTCATTCGCGAGCCTTCAGAGACCAACATCAGCCACCAGCATTGTCTCCTACGGAGAACGCACGGCATGGCGACCGCGAGCCGAATGCCTCCTTCCAATTTCCTCTCTCGCGAACATCGTCACAAGGGTTCCAAGCACGCAGCAAGGATCACTACAACCCGTACGGGATGCCTCATCTGTCGCCCATTGGGACTGGTCGCGATGTCGAAGACCGTCCACGCCGAACGTCGACAATGGGCCCTCCTCCATTGCCTCCACCACCGCTGAGAGAAACTGGCAGACAGCTGCCGCCGCATTTAGGGAATCAGAGGTCGCCAACGTTTTCAATGCCTCGTGCCCCGTCGGTCCCAGAGCCCAAAGACGCGATGCCTTCCGGGCTAACTGCAGAACCGCCTTCAGCAACAGGACCATCATTCGCCATGCCCGTTGCGCAATCGCCGTTGAGTACGCACGCGTCACTCTCTCCCGCGACTTCGGTAAGAGCGCCACTGCCCATTGTTGTGGACATCGAAGATGTACATAAGGAGACGATGTCAATGGCTGCGGAACGTGCTAAATTGCGGCGAAAGCAGGAAGAAGAAGAGCGCGAGCGCGACAAGGAGCGCGCTCGCAGGAAAGCGGCCGAGCTTGAGGAAAAGATGAAGGCACACAGTGAACAGAAGCCTCAGACCGATGCGCAAAAACCTACCGTCTCAGAAGCGCAGGTATATGATTCCCCGATGTCAGCCTTCTATTCATCTCATACTTTTCTAGGTGATTGCTGTCATCGAAGCAGCTGTGCAGTCCATACCATCAGGCAAGCCGACTGAGTCGCCTTCAAACCAGGATTTCCAGCCGCCCTCTGCCGGCCGGCCTGGGTTTGCTCGCGCACCATCAACGAAGGGCGCTCCCCGACCGGGCCCCAATCGACGCACTTCCTTCCTTGCACCTGTTGAGTCGTCGCCCGCAACAGAGGTGGAGTCTTGGCGCAGCAAGGCCCCTCGACCTTCGTCATCCTCACATCAAACGCCAGTTGAACCTCCTCGCGCGCCGCCACCTCTATTACTTGCGGAAATAGACTCCCTCGACGTGCAATCTGGCGAAGACCTAGAAGTTGTTGATTTTGCTGACCTTGGGAGGCTTGTTGGCATGGAGCACCCACCGCCCGCTGTAGCGCAAGATGTCAAACCCTTCGTTCGTGCCGCCACAAGACCACCCAGACCTGTGGCTACAGATTTCTTCGACGACGATATAGCTCCTGCCAGTGCACTACCGCAATCAGCTCGCGGCGAGGAGGGTTCGTGGAGGCGTCGGCCCGATCGTCTTCCCGATCAAAGCACAGATATCCCTAAGCTCTCACCCAGCGAGGCCACAGGGGAGAAGGCCACAGTGCAGATCGTGACCTCAGATCCACCTTCAGCAGATGTTCTTGCGATCAGTACAATTGTGACAGAGTCCTCTCCTTCGAGACAGGACGAGCCATATCTGCAGACGAACGGGCACCACACCGGAGCCACTCACAACCACCACGCTCCGTTGCGGTCGCCGCTGGGACCATCTTTCCGAGAGGCACCAATGTCTGCTTTAGACGATACCATGGCTCGTATCAAGGGTGCACTCGATGGCCTGCACCCTAAAGAACCTGCGCCTGCTGCACCTAAGCTTCAGAAGTGGTTACCTCCAGCTCTCAGACAAAAGCAGGTCGACTACGTTACAAGCGTTCCGGGAGAGGTGTTCGACGTGACAAGGTCTCAGCCGCCGAGATCTCCAAAACCGGTCTGGAACGTTCTCACTGTTAAGCTTCCGGTGCACGATTCGCGACGTTATGAGCCCGTTAGCAAGCGGCAGCTTGATATCAGTCGACGCCCCAACGCACGCTGGTCGGAAGTGTTTTCATGGAGCCCTCCTCTCATGACGACGACACCCGAAGAGCTTCTGTTCCGCAAATATTTCCACAAAGGGCGTCCTCCTAAGTACTTCGTTGTCATCCCACGACCACGACGAGCCCCACACCACAGTGTCTCCGATGATGCGCAAGGGCCTGTAGTCAACCTGCCACCAAAGCCGGTTACAAGACAATCCAGCCAAAGTGAGAAGGTGGACGTACAGACAGGTCCCAGTTGGCGCAGAATCCAGCAGGCAGAAACACTGGGGAAAGAAATGAATGCTGCTCAGTCATCTTCTGTACTCGACACTGTCAGTAGATCACCGCCCCCAGAGCTTCCTGCAGGTTCATCCAGCGCCCCTTCCCTCCCGAAAGCTGATTCCGCCATCCCACAGCCCGCAAGCAAGATGCAGCCGAGATTGCCAGTTGGTTCAGATGTTGCTTTCTATCGTGATGCCCGCGTTCATCACAATGTTGCGCAGTCGACGGTCAACTTCATTGTTTCAAGTGAATTGGAAGATGAACGTTCAGCCGAGGCCATCAACAATCCCACCCCAGCGGACGTCAATCAAGCAGCGAAAGCGACGGGAGAGGCTACCTTCACAAATGAGACTGCGCCACCTGCAGAAGGTACTGGCCAGTTTCTGCCTGCGTCGACAGATGGCAAATTGGACTCCGAAAAGAGTGATCTTCCGGTGAGTAAGAACGTGGCTCGCACCACCAACTGACCCACTGATTACTTGTTTACAGCCCGAGCGAGTGATCATAACGCCGCCACCCTCTGCCTCAATGAGCCCGTGGACGAAGTCGCCTCGATCATTCTCTGTCAAGGAATCGCCATCACGGCACCCAGATCCTGAGCACTTGAAGGCTGTCTGGTCGCATCCATTGAACAAAGCTGATTCGTCGTCAAGGAACTCTCTGGAGGGAATTGCAGACGACTTGGCTGCCGTTCCCTTCACCATTCAGGAAGTCAAGTCAGAAGATGGCGAAACACCACCACCATCCAGTTCTGGTGTGCCGCCGCGAATGTCGTCATTTGAAGTCGCCCGTGCTTTCCAGACAGTGCCCTCTCCATCGCCATTGGGCGCGCATCAAGGAGGGTCTACATTACCTGACATTGGTTCGGCGCCGCAAAATGGCGCATCGCGGCCTACATTCGCATATGCACCGCCGATGGCAGCTGCAAACATGCGGCCACCATATGGCTATCCATCTCCCATGATGAGCCATACACCAAGTCCAACAGTCATGTATCCTCACATGGCGCCAAGTCCGGTGTCGAGACCTATGGTCATGAACGGCCCACCTTCGCCGTACGGGCAGCCTGTATGGGTACCAGTTCCAGGACCACCGTCGCAACCGCCAGGCGCCATGATGCGCGCCATGGCCTCACCTTACCCCGCACAGCTAATGCCGTACCCCTCGCATGGTGGGCCGGTACCGATGTATGCTGGTAGCCCTGCAGCCGTCCAGGCGTCCCTACCACAACCTTCCAACGCCCCCCAAAATCGTGCTCCTGGAATGCCAATGCTGAGTCCGGTCATGCAGCCCGCTCATGCAAACCTTCCCATGTATGCCAGTAGTCCCGTCATGATGCATTCCCCCGCTGTTGTACCTGTTCCTCCGAACCACAACTACTCGGGCGTACCAGCCGGCCGTGGGCGCAGAGCGTACGACCAAGCTCACAGCCATCCGCCCCCACAATCAGGTAGTTATGTTGTTGCTCCTAGTACTTATGGACATTGGTAGAATGCTCTGCTGTTCTGTTATCTTGCTACGCTATTATCTGTTATCATACCCTGCTCATGCGGCCTTGTATACAATATTTCACCGCCGCGGTCTCATCATTCGAAAGCGTGGCGTCATGAATATAGTCTACCTATAATAAATCACAGAAGGTAAAATCGTACAAGCGCTTTAAGCGTGCGCCAGTTGTACAGCACTCTCCGCCGCATCATCAAGCTCGTCGAACGGTATGATCTTCAATCCCGACTCACGGATCATCCTAGATGGACCACATCAGCGGATGTTAAAGCAGACTAGAAGCAATGAGCTTACTGCTTCGCCTCTGACTCCATGGTACCCTTCAAGCGCACAACTAATGGGATGCTGAGGCCAAGCTCCTTGGTCGCCCGGATGACACCTTCGGCGATGTAGTCACACCGCATGATACCTGAGTAAAATGTATTTCGCTTCGTGCTCGACAAAGGAAACTTGACACCTACCACCGAAGATGTTGATGAAGATGCTCTTGACCTTCGGGTCGCCCAAAAGGATCTCGAATGCCTTCTTGACAGTCTCAGGTGTGGCACCACTGGAGCCGATGTCAGCGAGTGGCGGTGTAAATCATGGGAGTTGATCGCCTTACCCGCCGACATCCAAGAAGTTTGCTGGGTTGCCGCCGTGCAGAGCCAAGACATCCATTGTCGCCATAGCCAGACCAGCACCGTTCACCAAGCAACCGATGTTGCCGTCGAGCTTGATGAAGTTGAGGTTAGCCTTCTGGGCCTCGACCTCAGAAGGCTCCTCTTGGGTGACGTCCCGCATTGCGAAGACATCCTGCTGGCGGAACTCGGCGTTGTCATCAAAGCCAAACTTGGCATCCATACTGCACCAGGGTAGTCATAAGCGACGACAACAGGAGGACTAATGTGTCATACGCACCAGAGGACATGACCATCGGCTGTCTCGCCGAGCGGGTTGATCTCGATCTGGGTAGCATCCTTATCCTTGAAGATCTTGTACAGGTTGATGAAGATACTGGCAGCTTCTTCCTCCGCGCCTGCGCTCTTGAAGCCAAGCTTCTTCGCAACACCTAGCGCTTCCTCCTTGCTGAGCCCGTTCTTGAAATTGATTGAGGTTGTAATGATTGCGCTGGGGTCCTTTGCAGCAACTTCCTCGATGTTCATGCCTCCTTGGGACGAGACGACCAACACGGGACCCTCCGAATTACGGTCGTTGAGAACGGCGACGTAATATTCATGTGCAGCGTCTTTGCGCTCCGCAAGCATAACCTGAGTCCGAATGCGCTCGGATACGCATGGAAAGTAGACTAAACCATTATAAACGCACCGTGTTGCAGACGCGACCACCAGCACCAGTCTGCTTGGTGATCAGCTTCGCGCCGAGCATCTTGCTCGCATACTCCTTCGCCTGATCCGCGCTTCATGCGTATGAGGGATTAGGTACAAATCACGACTCAGCGGAACATACCTTTGAACAAGATGAACACCTCCTTGGAACCCATTGTCAAACTTGCCCTTCCCTCGCCCACCAGCAAGAACCTGGGCCTTAATGACACAACCAGTTGACTCTTTAGAAATACGCGTCAGAATGGAAGCTGCATTTATCGCGATCTAGGTCCGCACCGAACTGCTTCGCAATCTCGTACGCCTCCTCAGGTGATTTAGCTGGTATTCCCTTCGGTGTTGGTACACCATACTGTGCATCGTACCAGGTGAGTACATTTCGCGGGCCGTACCGGAGATACACGCACTGAGTTCAAGAGCTTCACGGATTGGTACTCATGGATCGAGAGGAACCGCTTCTGACCGGCAGACGCGACCTAACCTGACGCTTTACGACGCGTCCAGCGACGAGCACGTCGTCAAACTCACCCGAGCGACCGAACCCGCCTTGCGTAAAGCGAACATGGTAACAAAGAAAGAAGATGGACGCGACGGTGTGCACGCTGGCAGTGTATTTAGCTGTCGCCCATTGCGGCGTTTGACCAGACACGCCGATACACGGCCGCCCGATTGCTTAGTCAGCACCGTATAATCTCCCCCATTCGCCGACCTTTGCTCTTCGTCCAGAACGACGACGACGGTTGACCATCCTCCGACGTGCTTCCTGTCTCTCATCCGGCCCGCAGCAGCGTGGCCGTGGTATAGTTCTGGCAGAAGATCGTCCTCGCTTTGAGTTCGGGCTACTCTTACTGTTGGGTCGTTCGAAATTGTGCAGAGGGAAATCTCTCGCGGACCTACCTTGTATCTATTGCAGTGTGTGTGGCTCCGTATGTCCGAATAGATTCCGTCTCTGGGAAAGTAACCATTACCTCGCGTCGTACCGGACGAATCAGTGAGGTTCTTACAAGCACATTGCTAACGCGTGTACCTGCCGTTACAAATTTCCTGACATCCGTGACTGTTGCTGTCGCACTCGCCTGGACCGTCAACTCCACCCGTCTCATCACCAGCACCTCTTCCTAAGCGACAAAAAGGTTTAGCCCAAAATGAATGACACAGTCGTAAATGTATTCAAAGGTCAAGTTAACGAAGCGACGGCGCTGGCAAAGCTATTGGAGGTGTCTACGATCGTCGTACAGCAAGCTGTAGATCTAGTGGATGGGAGCCTCACGTCGGACGAGCAGCTGACAGTACAGTCTCGCTATATGCCCGGCTCGACTATAGGTACGTGGTGCACCGTGTACGTCGGATATTTCTCATTGCAGTATAGGCAAACATCTGCGCCACGCGAGAGACCATTTCGTTCTCCTACTGGATTGCCTGTCCTCGTCCTCCCCACACGTCCTCAATTATGATATCAGGTCGAGGAACACGCCAATGGAAAGTAGTCGACAGGCTGCGCGGGAGTCCTTACTCGCGGTCATCGAGCAGTTGACGACCGTGGTCCCTGAGGCAAAGCTAGACGACTCAATCACCCTACAGGCAATTACCCCGTATCCACAAGTCGTTCAGACGACATTTGGGCGAGAGGTTAGTACGATGATCTGTATGTACATGATGAAATGAACGCTCTGTATTAGCTATGGTTTGCTGGGTTGCATGCGATTCATCACTGGTCAATGGTGAGCACAATCCATGTATCAGTGAAACGCGCGTTACACAATACCGCTTGTTCAGGTTCGCGTCATTGCGGGGGAAATGGTCGGTTCTCGCCGTACACTTCCAAAGCTTGTCATATTTACTTCAGCTATTCAGGGCATCAAGTTGGCAGACTCGTTTGGCTTTGCTCCTTCCACACTTGTACACAATGCAAACGGGTCACTTAACGGCGAGCCAAAGACGTAGTTCACTGTCATCCTTTCTTTAATGTGTATCCTGCCTCGAAATTCCCGTGTCTTTACAGTCAATGCAATGATATTGAAGCCCTGGATGAGATCCTGGAGATGAGGTCATTTGTTGAATCCTGAGGCCGTAGCCAAATAGACCCACGTGTGACTATACTAGGTAGTGTGCTCGATCGTCCGGGCGTCAGCGCACTTGGGCACCCGGTGGACTCACGACGCGTTCATTCTCCGCCACCATGGTCCCAAAGATGACCCCCTTGGATGGGGAAGATAACAAGAAGCGTGTTGTATGTCATGGTTTTTTTTTCGGTCTCCAGCCTGCTCACTGAGAACTTGAACTTGGGTATAGTGCTACTTCTTCGATTCGGACGTCAGTGGATTCCATTATGGCCCTGGCCACCCGTAGGTTCCCTGTAATCTTACAAATGTCATCTGCCGTGCTCAACATATATCAGAATGAAACCCACCCGTATACGGATGTGTCACTCCCTAGTTATGAACTACGGTCTCTACAAGAAGATGGAAATATTTGTACGTCCTGCACCCCAGCATGAGCATGGCTCGACTGACTCTCCCTTCACGGCGATCTTCATAGCGTGCAAAGCCTGCTACCAAGCGTGAAATGACCCAATTTCATTCGGACGAATACGTCGAGTTCCTCAGTCGAATAACCCCAAACAATATGTTGAATTACTCCAAGGAGCAACACAAGTGTACATTCTATTCCCTTGGAGCTTGTCGCCGCCTAACTACTTTCATAGACAATGTAGGAGATGACTGCCCAGTTTTTGACGGGTTATTTGAATATTGCTCTATTTCTGCTGGAGGCTCCATGGGTATGTGCAGTTCCTTACAAGCACATTTCCACTTGATTGACTGACTTTGATATAGAGGGTGCTGCTCGCCTGAGTAGAAATAAGTGCGACATTGCTGTGAACTGGGCAGGAGGATTGCACCACGCAAAGAAGAGTGAAGCAAGTGGTTTCTGTTACGTGAACGGTCGGTCGTAGTCTGTGCGTAATGATAAATTGACTGACATTGCAGAAGATATCGTACTTGGGATATTAGAGCTCCTACGGTAAGGCCACACACTGGCACTCTGCAAAGTACTTGTTATTCATACTGTCGCTGTCAGATATCACACAAGAGTGCTCTATATCGACATTGATGTCCATCATGGTGACGGTGTAGAAGAGGCTTTTTATACCACAGACCGTGTGATGACCTGTAGTTTTCACAAATATGGCGAATTCTTCCCTGGTACGGGAGAGTTACGGGTAGGTCATTTTACTTTTTTCTGGTTGGTTGGGAACACTAAGGCGTCGTTCGGCCAGGACATTGGAATTGGCAAAGGGAAGCACTACGCCATGAATTTACCCTTACGTGATGGAATCACAGATGAAAGCTACAAGAGCGTCTTCGAGCCGGTAAGATGAATTGGATAGCTAATCTGGTGCAGTCATTAACTGCGGAACAGGTAATCCAATCCGTGATGGAGCACTACGATCCCGGTGCGATCGTATTGCAGTGTGGAACAGATTCACTCTCAGGCGATAAGCTGGGGTGTCTGAATCTATCAATGCGAGGTATCGAGTCTGTTCCAATCGGCCGAGTTGACTGCTCACTCGGTCATAGGTCACGCGAGCTGTGTGAAGTTCGTGAAGTCGTTCAACAAGCCTCTTCTGCTCCTCGGAGGGGGCGGTTATACTATGCGCAACGTCAGTCGTTGTTGGGCGTACGAGACAGGTCTCGCCGCTGGCGTTGAGCTTGGGAAAGGTACGCCAACCTCGGTAAACCTGATGTGCAGTGTCTCATACTTTATAGAAATCCCGATGAATGAGTATTACGAGTATTTTGGACCCGACTACGAACTCGATGTCAAGTCTTCCAATATGGAAAACTTGAACACCCCAGGATACCTGGAACGTGTGAAGGGTATCGTCCTAGAGCATCTCAACCAGATCGGTGGCCCCCCGAGCGTTCACATGCAGGGTAGGTGGCTTTACAAGTCTTTCATGTCGATAAACTCAGCGTACGGTCATAGATATCCCGCGATTACCAATCGACGAGCTGATGGAAGACATGAACGAAGACGAGGACATGATACCCGTGAACGAACGGAGGCCACAGCGCCTCCTAGATGCTAGGCGGCAGGCAGATGGTGAGTTGTCGGACTCGGACGACGAAGGTGAAGGTGGGCGGCGAGACCACTCCAGCCATCGGGAATCCACAGGGCCAAGCGTAATGCCCGCTGGTCGTCGAGCTGCCGTTGGGATCATGAGCGCTGGTTCGACTCATGGCGCTGGCCCCAGTGTCGCGCCCCCAGTGGCTGGCGCGGCCGTCGTCACGCTTAACAACAACGAGGGCTCACAGTCAGACATGGATATCGACGACGACTCTTCTGTGGGACAGGGCAGTGTTGGGCCAAGGGCGCGATCGGGGTCAAAACCCCCAGGGGCGTTGTCCTCGAATGGAAGCGCGATGGCCGTTGACCAGCCAGGGAACAGCTAAACCGTCTCGCAGGACGTGTTTCGGCGAAGGCCTGATCCTTTTTATACTCTTCAAGCCGGGTTATAGTGCTGTGTTGTAGTGTTTATCTGTTTTCTTGCGCTGTATGTATGTAAGACTTTAATCTGCGGTACCACTGTCTGAAGGAAACATATTGTGGAGACGAGACACTGAGTATTATCCATCCGACATCCACTCAGATTTTTATAACACTAAATTCACTACTTGGAAGGCAGAGTAAACGAGATCTGTCGGTCCAGTGGATATCTCCGGAACGCCCACGTGACCGCGACATATCCGTCGCGTTGCTGACCAAGACGTGACTGGGTCTCACAACGGGCTGTATGCGTTGCTCTGAGTACGCGGTCTGCTTGCACTCGCACCTATCGTTGTTGCATTGAGTTTATTGAGTGGGTCTATTTGTGCCGTAATCTCACACCTTGTTGGTATACCATGGCCAATTCCGAGGCGGGTCCCAGCAGCTACCGGCCATCTACACCACCACCTCGCCCTCCAGAGAACCTGGAATTGACCCCAGAAATGATCAAGAGAGTGGAGATCAATCGCTTAAGAGGTGAGCCTGCACTCTACCTATAATACGTGCTCGACCGACCTCTTTTGTCAGCAAAGGCAAAACAGCGTGAGCGCGAACTCGAAGCGTCCACATCCTCCGCCCCTAACGCTAACGGCAAGCGTCCGCTGGGCGTCATACCCGCGTCTTCAACGTCGCCCACCGCCCCTAAGCCCCAACCGAAACTGAGGCGCGATTCTCGGCTCGGAAAGTACTTTGAATATGACTTGTCTAAGATGGTCAACTCCAAGGGTGGCTTCCTGCTCGAGGATGGCAAGGAAGCGGACGCGGAATTGATGGCGAAGGAGAAGGAACGAGAAAGACAGAGGGCTATGCAGAATTTGGACCCTCGTACGTGTCGGCTACATGACTCTGAAACGCAAGGCTGACTTGCACTTTCAGCTTTATTCCTTGATCCCAAGCTTAACCCAAAGTGTAACGAGTGCCAGTCCGTCGACATAGATCAGACATACAAGAAAGTGTTTGGATGTCTAGTCTGCAATAAATGCAAGAACGAGAAACCAGAGAAGTATAGTCTTCTCACAAAGACAGAGTGCAAGGAGGATTATCTCTTGACGGACCGTGAGGACACTCATAATGTCATTTGTTTTGAAAGTAACATCTAGGCAGCCGAGCTACGCGATCAGGAACTCATGCCGCATCTCCTCAAAGCCAATCCGCACAAGTCGACTTTCGCGAACATGATGCTCTTTCTGCGATATCAAGTAGAGGATTTCGCATGGAAGAAATGGGGGACCCCGGAGGCATTGGATGCCGAGTATGAGCGGCGAATGGCAGAGAAGAAGAAAAAGAAGAAAAAAAAATTTGAAGAGAGCTTGAGGGAGCTCCGGCGTCGAACCAGGGAGACTGTGTGGCAGAGACGGAAGGATCAGGAGCATAAACATGTCTTCGGTGTCGTTGAGAAGGGCCGAGACGGAGCTGGCAAACAGGTTTGCCATGAATGTGGTTTTACGATAGATGTCGAGGAGTTTTAGGGATACATGCTTCCTATGTCATTATTGTGTACATACTATTGATCTCACCTTTACTGTATCGTATGCTTGCTGCTCTGAGTCGACAACCGCGACCGCATTGACTTGTGCATGAGATAATTCGGCTTGCGTGACCACCGTGAATGCTAATCTTCTCATGTGATTTCGCTACCTCTCGGCAATGCTTTCAGTACTTGACGCCGTGAACCCCGGGATGACCATGCATTTCCCGACGTATATTATCATAGTCCAGCATAGTCCCTATATCCTCGCTCGCATTGCCCACCCTCTCGCAAGATGACGGAAGTCAGTAGACAGGAAGAACACGAGCAGATCGCGACCTCCCTCGAGGTAGAACAACTAGATGTGAATCTATTCCGCTCAAAGTCCCTTTGGCTGCCTGTACGCGCAAGAGGTGTATATGGTGGCCAGGTCATCTCTCAGGCACTTGTCTCGGCTACAAATTGTGTAGACCCTGCATATGGACTGCACGTGAGTCTCGAGCTCTCGTGAAGGACAAAATTCTTGACCGTGTCTTGGATAGTCATTGCATGTGAGCATTTTGCACCTCTTGATTGCTCAGGCTTGAAGCGAACTTGCACAAGTGTTACTTCTTACTGGGCGCATCACCTGCGGACCCTGTAATATACCACGTCGGGCGAGTTCGCGACGGCCGCTCGTATGTAACGCGATCCGTCAAGGCGACTCAACGTGGGCGCACAGTATTCGTTATGCTGTGTTCGTTCCAACGGCCAGAACTTGGACAGCCCGTCTATCACTGGCCAATGCCCACTGGTGTCCCCCAACCAGAATCTTGCGAGGACGTAGAGGGTTACTACGAGCGAATGCTCGGATATGAGGGACTTGATTCGAAGCTCAAGGAGTATGCTAAGGAATACACGACGGTACGCATCATCTCGTCAACATCTAAACTGAGATTGTGACTTTATCTGATGCGTTTCTTGTAACAATGCATCAAGGAGCGCAAGAAGAGCCCCATGGCCATCAAGAATGCAGGTATTACGAACTCGTCGGATGGCGCTGTGGTCTACATGTGGTGGTTCAAGGCTAGAAACATACCCAAATATGACGCACCATTCCAGAAGGTCAGCAGTATGATATTGTCTTGCCATGTCTGTCCGCCTCATGCGAGGTACCATGCAGTGCATTTTGAGTTACATATCTGATTCTCAATTGTGAGCGAAGCCCGCTCCCCTCGTGGAATATTGATACTCATCGTGACTAGTATCGGTGTTGTCCGTCGGACACTTGGCTTGAATGAGCATTACGAAGGACCCAAACAGCTTACCATGCTGGTAAGTTTATCTGCACGATCCGCCAGTTGCAATGGGCTGAAGGTGTCGCAGGCTTCGCTTGATCACGCTATCTGGTTCTACGAGTAAGACCATCAACTCTCAATCTCTAACCAGGTCTCACGCATCACTAGTGATTCATTTGATTGCGGCGATTGGTTGCTTTACGTCGTAAGCACCGGCATCCATGTCAGAGTGATATGCATGAAATTAATAGCCATGTTCAGGTGGAAGCACCAAGGGCAGGCAGCGGGAGAGGTGTTGTGCATGGTCGTGTGAGTGTGTTCAAAGCCCTCAAGTCCCTTGAGTAAAGCAGCACTGATTTTAACTACTGTCTGACCACAGATGTACACTCGTACAGGAACTCTCGTTGCGGTAACGTCGCAGGAAGGCGTGGTTCGCGCGCGGGGAACTGCCGCACCTCCACAACCAAGTAAAGATCAATCTAAAGCAAAATTATAATCGACCGCTAGGAGGGAATTTGGCGTTGCGGACTTCACGTAGCTCTTAGAACTCACTAATAAAAATGAGGAGTTGGTTGTTCATAGGACTATAAGTGCAACATATCGAACCATGAGATAGCGTATGATGCATAAGGGACAATCGTCACCGCGTCCGCGATTCCTGTCCGCTTATAGATGAGCAACATGATGTACACTGTCCGCAGCCGACGGTACTGCGGGCGTGAGAACTGGGATACTATATCGATGCGATGGACCCAGATGCGATGTACTATGGGATACAATCCGACGAAGAGGAAGTGCAACAGCGAAGACTTTTAATTCTTTCGACGGTACGAGCTCCCTGTAACGCAACTCGAGGTCAGCACAAGCGCAGGGAAACAGGCTACGGGCAAACGCACCCTCAGTCAGTCTCGCCCTTCCACCTGTTGGTTGGCAGAGAACACTGGCGCATGCGCCGCAGAGGACGACGGTCTGTGCGTGCGAGAAGACAGTTGTGATGGCAAAGCAACCTAGATGAACCGGGTAAAAGCGTAAACACAAGGGCAGTATTTCAAAGCAGCAGTCTACGCACCAGGGCACTTGACGTCCATGAAGTACGAGTTGGGGGACTGCACCAAACGCTTGAGCTTGTGGCGTCTCTTTTCAGCCTCAATGGAGGGGTTGAGCAGGTCGACGGCGAGAGTCTATCAAGCGGGGCATCCAGACGCATAGAAACCGAAGCAAACGGTCAGAACTGAAACGATTCTACTCTCTCTCGGTGTACGCACCATTTTTGATCAAACGAAAAGGCGAAGAGACGGGTGTCGGCGGAGAGAGAGAGGAAGGAGTTTTGCGCGACGCTGAGGGACGACCTACCGTGGACGAAGCTGAGAAATAAAGTTTCAAGGAGCTGACTTAGACTCCAGCGGACTTCAGATCGAGCCGGGCCGGGTGGCTAAACTGTGGCTGAAGGCGCCAAACTAACCGGCACCGGAATGGCAGAGTCAGACTCGCGACACATCCTTTTCCAGTCACTTATGTGTTGGTTATATATATATGAGCGATGCAGGAATTCAAAAGATATTACACCAGTATACATAGTTTGAACTTATTATGGGTGAAAGTCATGCTACGACTTATACGCTCAGAGGATCTGGGCAGTAACGGGGATGTATGGCTTTGAGCGTACCACCACGAGAACAACAACCAACACCGCAGTTCACCTGGAACCTCAAGCTCAAGATCTGAGACTATATGCGTCATGCTATGCTCATCACGATCCGTGAAGCTTGAGGTGAAGACATTCCGTCTCCCAGCAACGACACCTAAGGCACCGCAGACAGGCCTTAGGGACGCAGTCCAGCTGCACTAGTCTGGTCTTGCGACCCGCGAAGCTAGTCCGACATATCCAACGCCTTGTTTTTTTTTTCATCTCGTAAACTCGCGGCAGTGCAGGAGACCAAATAACCGCATACAGCGCGCACCAAAGGATCGGCAGCAAAAGAACAAGAAATACTGCTGTCTTCCTTTGTTGATGATCTCCATTTGGAGGGCCGAGTCTGAGAGGCCGACCAGGCGATGTTTATGAGGATCAGAACACACCTAAAAAGCTCTTAGGTGACGGCACTCGAGGACGTTCGAGGGTGACCGTATGTGAAAAGTTGCGAAGCATACGGTGTTGCCAACCCGTCAGAAGATACGTACAAAGCCGAGACAGCGAAGACGAGACTCCAATTGTTCATTATGGAAATTGCCGAGGGACGACAGGTCCATACAACCGCACGTGGCCGTGAAACGTGAGAAGCCCAGGTCTTTGTGGCTCAAAGTAGCAACTATGGACGCGTCCTTTTTGTCCGAAAGTAATGTTATTGTTCTCGCTTCGATACCTCTACGATGGTACGCTTTGGCCATTGTCTTGTCAGTGCGCTCTGGGAATAAGCCCCATGTATAAATAAGCCCCGTGGCAGGGCTTAGAGTCCCCAACCCAGGAATTGGTTCTAGTCCTCTCCTCTCGTTAGTCCCAAACCAGCCTCTTGTTAGGTGAGCCATTACTTGGTCGTGTTTCAAGTCCTATCGATACTAATCATGCTTTTGTAGACTCTTTATTGTCTTGTTGCATTCTCCACTCTCTGCATCCAGCACGACCGTCACAGACCGCAACACATTCGCATCCTCGCATACCCGTCCTTGCCACTTCAGCGAGCCTACTCCCGCACTCTATCGCAGGTCGATCTCTTCTCAGTCCGCCCGTCCAGCTCGACATACCAGCTCGCCCAACCTCTTCTGTCCAATTATATCGTTCATTGCAATGGCCGCCTCTACCACCGTCTCTTCTTTCGGTTCCCTGTCTGTCACTCTTGACAATGCCATCGCCTACCTCACTCGCTCCCTCATCCAGCACTACTCTGCCACGACTGTCATCAAGCTGCAGCTCGCCCTCGAGGCGAACCTGACCGCGCAGTTCGCGCCGTCTTGGGTCCCCACCGAGCCGCTTCGCGGTTCTGGACGCCGCTGCTTGACGCTCTCCCCCAGCGCGCTCCCGCCTCGCCCCGTTTACAACGCTTGCAAGACCGCGAACGTCGAGTGGTCGCAGTGGATCGCCACTCTTGGCGGCATCGAGTTCGACCTCTTCATCGACCCCGGCTGCGTCTCCATTCGTTTCGGCAACTGGGACTCGGGCAAGGTCAGCAAGTTCCTGACCGTCTGGTCGGAGGAACTCGCGACCGGAGCATTGAAGACGCCGCTGCCGCAGGGCATGAGCCTCGCGCAGCAGCTGTTGGAGACCGACAAGGACGAGGACGAGCAGATCTTCACGATGATCGCGGACGAGATGCGCGAGCCGACGTGGCTGACTCCCATGCTGGAGAAGTTCCCTGCGGTCCCCGCACCACCCCGCTCGACGACATCGTCGCCCGACTCCCTTCGTTCCGTGCACTCGCGCTCTAGCTCCTCCAGCTCCAGCTCTGGATTCTCGTTCTCCTCCATCAGCACCACCGCCTCCAACGAGTCCCGCACCACCCTGTCGGCCTCGTCGCATCGCAGCTCCCCGTCTCCTTCGGAGGAGCAGCCCCAGGCCCGGCTCTCGCGTCGGGAGCGTGCGAGGCAGGCCCGCGTCTTCATCGACAAGTCGAAGAAGGAGGTGACGAACTATGATGGCGGCAAGACGACCGTCCTGACAGGCGGAGTCATGCTCGGCGCTGTGCGCCCCGCTTCCCAGATCAAGGCTACGACCCCCAAGAAGACGAACAGCGCAAGCTCCAGCTGGCGTTCCTCCCGCGCATAAGCGCATTCGACGTTTTAAAAGCGATCGTTCTCCACACTCCTTTCGACATTCTTCACGACCGCACTCGATGTGGCTAGCACACGTCGGCAAGAATGCACCGCACGAAAACACCATGAGGACACCCAACACATTATCGATCGCTATCATACACCGCGCTGCCGCGCCTGCTTATTTGTTCACTCATGCGGACTGTCTCTGCTGGTTCACTGTAGCTCATACGCGTCTGGTTTTTTTTTGCACGAACACTGGTATAGCATAGGCAAACTGTAATTTCTAATCGTCCTTCATTGCATTCACCCTTTACTGTATTGTTGTCACATTGCTGTCTCATCTGTATATTCGTTTCCTTATGTACTTGTCGTTCGCTTGTGTAACAAAGCTGGTTTGGAGACTTTTCTTGACGCGTGATGATCTTGCGACAATGACGCGTCTCCGGCATGGCGGGGAGTCTTAGTGATGCGGGAGCAGTATAATTGGGGTGCAGATTGAGGGGTACGACGTTGCATATTGAATTTAGAGGCCGCAGACCGCCTCCAGAAGACATACTACACGCGGTGTGGGGGTTGTCGCTTCTGGATCCCCGCATGCAAGCACATGGCAGTGGAAGCGGCTTCGCAGCCTCGAGGGGGGGTGTTCAACGTTCTAGTCTCACAGCCACTGTGTGCCCGATCGGATCGTCCTCCTGTGGCACCCGATGAGCTTGGGACTCCGCCTCACCAGATGATTCTTGAGCGCCTGCCATATAAGGCTCATGTCGTCAGAGGGCTTGCGGCGATGGGCCGTGTGGAGCATCTCGATGTCGCCTGGGGAAATCGGAGCGGGGAGACATAATATTGCCAATGCGCTTTCCTATATATTTGCAGTAGCCGCCCCGTCCGCTCAGCATACTTCCCCGACATTTCCCCCGCTGCATCTCGCTCTCTCGCAAATACCATGACCACCACCACAGGCTTTCGTGACATGCATGCCGTCGAGTCCCAGAAGCAGCGCTACTCTCGTGAGCTCGCGGCCTATACCCTTCGCCAGTGGGACGTCGCTCGGCAGGCGATGGAGAACGGGGAGACGGGAGAGAACATGGACGCACCCATGCATCCCTCGAGCAGAGACTCAAACCGGCCATCAAAGCCGGCCCAAGGTCAGAATATTCGTCTGCAGTACTTACTGTGGATGCTAGGATAACGAATGCTCTTGCAGGTGTACAGGTGATTGACTACGCATTGAGATCGCGCAATGGCTCAAGGCATGAGGGGAGGGTCGTAGCAACTCGAAATGCTTGATTCACTGACGAGTGGGTTCCCCTCAAGCCGACCTCAGCGCACAGCGGACTGATCTTCATCCTGATGTGCAGCCTACAACGCCGATATGATTCGCCAAGGATGGATAAACGGACAACTACAAGGCGCGACGCTGGCACGACGGACCTCAATCGACGACTCGTCACATCAGCAGCCAAAATGCATATTTTATATGTACCACATACCAGGAGACAAATCGCACGAGTGGACCGTACATGTATAATGGCCGTTCTTCAGTTTCAAATGTATTGATAGCTATGACTCGCTTCACTTGCATGATAGCCCAGTGGAGCATCACATTTTCGACGCTTAATTTCTGTGGGATAGAGTGATCTGAACGGAAGCCAAGAACATGTACATTCAGTGGGACGCTCTTTTCCGCGGTGTGACTGTGTTGTATCGCCGTTCGCTGCCGTTATCATAAGCCCCACAAGGACACTTTCCCAGTCAAACGCGTGCACGGCAGATAGACAACTACACCCGTGCACCATCATATTCTAGCCCATTCGTCATCGCAACTTTGTGAATATCTGCTTGGTGATTGCCATTGAGCGACTGACGTAAGGGAAGAGGGCGGCGCTCCACACATTGGTCGATATTCCCGGTGGCCTCGGCCGGTGGGGGCGGTGGCACATGACGTCTACAGGCCCAAATCGACATCCAGCTTCTTTTGAACTTCAGCCGCTGTCGACGAGACGTACCGATTCGGGCCAAGCGGTCGAAGGATACGGAGCGGCGTCCGCTATACATTGGCTCGGCGCTGCGGTGCTGTTGACGCGACGACGCACGCACCGCACGTCGAGTGATGCATTTTTCACATGACACATGAAAAGTCGCTCTCGACTTCGCACAAAATGGAGCGCGGTCTACATCGGTTTCGTCTTATCGCAAGTCGGAGTGGGCCAATGTTTCTTGAACACTGACAAAATTGAGAAGATCAGCTGCTTTTTCTGAGATGCTGCGCCACAAACGCACACATTTCAATCAAAGGGATTTCTGAACGACACTTCACGAGTCCACTTGGAGTGAATACGTGAAGCCAGCATGCTCACACCGTCTCCTTGGATTCGGACGTCACACCCGCCTGACAAGAATCAATGGCCTGAGGAGCCGTGGCCTTTATGAAGGCACCCGAGGTGATGTCAGTGGGACTGCCAATGATACCTACTGTGACCGATCTCTATTGAGGCAATCTATTGACGGGTGATGCGGCAGACAACGTACAGCTCCCTGTTGACGCTCGTTGCCGTAAAGTAGCGGGGCCCTCACCAGACGGACAATAATCTGAGATTCTTATCTGGGAGCGGGAATGTATATATGAACATATGCACAATGATGTCACGGAAGGAGACTATACCTAGATGCTTTCTTGAGTTATGACGATGTATGATGAGCATGCGGCGGCACTTCGCGCCAAGGAAGGAACGCCTTCCTAGTTTCTAGAAATCCGAACAGGGAGTGCGCCAAGGCAACGATAATTCACTAGTTATGGAAATATAATACACAGAGAACACCGGGGCTAAGGCGGCTCCACATTTAGACCGATAACATTGGTCGGCAGATCGTCCAAGACAGCATAGCGCAAACGATTCGCCGAAAATCACGGGGACCTGAAGTGGGCAATTGATTTTAGCATGGCGTTCAGTATAAACGGCAAAAGCTTACATCATGGCGAGTAGTACGTCGTGAACGGCAGACCAGTCCCAGGGGAAGGGTGTACGCCGCACACCACTTCATTTGAGAATTTGTCCAGTAGACGAAGGGCCACATGTGGGTCGACCGGCTCGTCTGTGATCACTTTTCCCGGGGTGGACAGCAGCAGCGTCAGTACGGCACGCACCCACTCCTCGCTGCTCGTCCCGGCCTTGCGGTGCCTCGTACTCGCGATGAGCCGCTCTAGTGCAAGTCGGCGGGTGGGCGGGACCCAGCCTACGAGGATGCGAGCGACGACCTCGGTTGGCGCGAACGACCTGACATACTCCTGCCTGTAGCCTTGGACACCACTGCATACATCGTCGAGGATCTGATACCATATGGTTGACTTCGCGGCAGACGTTGGATCCTCGATCGGTGGGGAGAGGGTCAACGCCCAATGCCAGCAGGCTGAGTCCTCCGACCGGTGGGTGACAACGTAGAATTTCAGCATGTTCAAAATATAGCGGCGCTATAATGCTGCGGATTTTACCAGAATCCAGCCACACCTCATGAGCAATTTCCTAGAGTGTCGCACTCACCTTGTCGAGGTGTGGCTGATTTGTGAATGCGTTAGATAGACATGACCGCTGTGAGTATATATGGGTATAAGGAGCAGTGCAAAAACTATCATTTGACTGTCAGCCACACTGATTAGAATGTGGCGGCGCAGCTTTGTTCTGCATTTAGCACACATAACAAAGAACCTGTGTCGTCACGTAAACAACGCAGCCACCGTCATCAAATTTCAATCGCATGAAAAACTTGACTCGTCGAGCTTGTGTGCGTACGAGTAAGCAGAGGTTTGTGCCTTGGCTTTCTTTAATACTTGTTAAGTCGCTGCGAGGATCAGGAGGTTGCTAGCCTGAGGTGTCGTAAACATGAAATCATACGATTTGCCATGATCAAAGCGTACGCGCTTGCGGCAACTAATGCCAAATAGGGCCTGGATGGGGGATGCTGCAGCCCCTTATGAACTCCAACGCACACGCAGACTTCCTGCAGAGAAGGCAAGCGCACTCGAGGGGGTGATAGTAACACTCCGTCGAGTGTAAAATAGTAACGATCGTCATTGGTCACGTGCAGTAATATGGTGCGCTTCTGGTGCGCTTTGACGCGCTTTGCACAGCGATAGTTGCCCATACATCTAATATTGTGACATAATAAAGTTCTTCTTTATTCCTGCTACAGGTCCCGGGTCATTTGCGATGTCTAGTAGTACAAAGTTCTTTCAAGATATACCACCTAATCCTAACCGAACCTAACCTAACTCAACCGAACCTAACTTAACTTAACCGAACCTAATCTAACTTAATCTAACTTAACCGAGCTTAACTGCCAAAAAGGGACATGTCCGGATTGGGAACAGTAGCTGCAGTCAATGGATCGATTTACGGTAGCCAGCCTCAATGACATATCACCCTGCCAGGTACAACTCTGACTGTTACTAATTTGCTCCAACATTTCCGACTGTTACTATTTTGCTCCAACTTTTAGTCAAAGTAGTAACACTCAGTGAGTGTTACTGTTATTAGTACTCTGGTCATCCCTCCGACTCGGCGCCGATGACAAAGTTGTCGATCAGAGAGGTGATCGCGCGATCGGGCAGCCGATCTGCGTCCCCATTTCCCCAAGGACATGGGCCCGCCGAGCGACGCTTTCTCCCCTCAATCCCCGCTCCTTCATCCAACGCGGCGATAAAACATCCTGCGCGGCCTTTTGGTCTTGCTCGACTTACTCGTCTCGCTGCGTCCCCCCTCTCTCTGCACCATGTTTCGCATCCAGGCTTCGCTCCGTCTGACTTGCCGGCATGCAAGGACACTGGCTACGCACGCGCCCCAGCCACAAGCGTTGACTGCAGCGGTGCGTCATGACTGGCAGAAGACAGAAATCCAGAAGATCTACGACACCCCCCTCCTCGAGCTGGTCTTCCGGGCGGCTGCGATACATCGGCAACACCATGACCCAAGCAAGATCCAGCTGTGCACGCTGATGAACATCAAAAGTACGTCCTGACTCGATGACTGGTCATCCGGTTCTGATTTAATAATATGTCTCTTGTAGCCGGCGGATGTTCGGAGGACTGTGGGTACCGCCGCATCTCGATGCAGCCTGGCGCTCATCGATTTCAATAGGCTCGTACTGCTCGCAATCCTCGAGATACTCGACACCAACCACGGCATCGCGTCTGCTTGAAGTAGAGCCCGTGCTCGAGGCAGCGCGAAAAGCCAAGGCGAACGGGAGCACGCGGTTCTGCATGGGCGCTGCATGGAGAGATCTCGCAGGTCGCAAGCGCGGCTTCGAGCGCATCCTGCACATGGTCCGGGAGGTCCGGGGTATGGGTATGGAAGTGTGCACCACACTGGGAATGCTGTCCCCCGAGCAAGCGCGGCAGCTGAAGGAAGCGTCAGTGACTGCTTCGATCAGTGTAATTTGTCAGCTTTGCTCATTGAATTCTACTGTACCAGGGGCTTGACTGCGTACAACCACAACCTTGACACGTCGCGAGAGTTCTACCCGGAGGTCCGTCACGCGTGTCCACATGTTGTGCCACATCAGGCTTTGTTGAATGCGTGCTGCAGGTTATCACGACGCGTTCGTACGATGAGCGCCTGGACACCATCTCCGCGGTGCGAGACGCAGGAATCAGCGTCTGCTCTGGAGGCATTCTAGGCCTCGGCGAGACCGATAAAGACCGCGTCGGACTCATATGGGAAGTGTCCAGGTGAGTGCCCGCCCGAGCCCCCGTCATTCGGGTTGAATACTGACGGCTCTCCAGCATGCCTGAGCACCCTGAATCGTTCCCCGTCAACGCCCTGGTACCCATCGAGGGCACACCACTCGAAAACAATGAGGTAGCATTTCAAGACGCCTTTTGTAGACACCGGTATTGATGCCAATATAGCCTATCCCGTACCACACGCTTCTGAGAACCGTCGCGACGGCCCGTATCGTCCTGCCCCAGACCATCATCCGCTTGGCTGCCGGCAGACAGACGCTCGACGAATCGAAGCAGGCGATGTGCTTCATGGCTGGTGCTAATGCCATCTTTACGGGAGAGCAAATGCTTACAACACCGTGTGCGTATTCCAAATCGGTGGTATTCGGCTCAATCATTGATCTTTTTGAATACGCTCAGGTTCACCATGGGATGAAGATAAGGCGATGATGGACCGCTGGGGACTCGAGGGCATGCAGAGCTTTGAGCAGGTCAACGTTGCGCGCAAGGAGGGGGACCGGCTAGAAGACATCCCCGACGCCAAGGCTGCCAACACAGACGCGTAAGGCAACGGGGCTTCTCCTCGGGTGATGTCGATGAGACGATAAGCATCTGGGGCGACCTGCAACGGACAGGAGTAACGATGTACGACTGCGATATGTAGCAATTGAGAGACGTAGACCCAGCTAGGATAGAGGTTTGCCGTCAAGACAATATAATGTATCTCTAGCTGCTACGGTTGACTGATGGCACTCCAGTATCGTCCACGTGTGGTGTCACCAAATCGCTCAATCTGTTGCTGCTCGCTCTCAGAACCTGGTAGGATGTACACCTGCACGCACGACGTACGAGACACATCGCAAGTCTAGACGCAGAATATGATGGACATGCAAGATGTGATTGCACAACGTCGAGAGGGCGTCAATTGGAGTGACGTCAGGCAATCAAGTACGTGTGTCTGATGGTATGAAGTCCAAGCACTATAGATCATTATGGCCGCCGGCAGACATAGTGGGAGCATAACACAGATGCGGACAGACCACCTGCCGGACGAAAATGTAGAGATTAAACTGAACCCCACAGGTGCTCGCGGGTATCTATGGCTCAGAAGTCAATAGACCAATAAGCAAAGGCATACCGTATATGCATTACCGGCGAGAAGATACGCCGGTCTAGATTCTTTGGTCGACGAGAAGACCAGAAGTGTGAGGCTTGAGGCTTGAAGCGTGAAACTTGAAGGCCTGAAGCGATGACACCTTCTCTATGGGAATATCAGCGTCTGTGCCTGATGTAACGCGCATGGCATATATCCAACACCGACTCTGGTACCACCACAGTGGAAGCAGTTTGACTCATGTAGCATGTCGCTGGTTATATCCCTCAGCCGCAATCGATGACAGATTTTGTTGGAAAACCTACCCGTCACCACGCTAAGGTTAACTTCTGCCGCACAGAACTCATGAATGGTGGGATCCACGACCCCAGAAGATGGCCACAGCCGCCTTGGAGTTCTAGGCAGCCTGCTGCAGACATCTGTCAAGTATTTTGTCAGTGGTAAGAAGCCTGAAGAGACCGCCGTCGTTCCTGCTCGCCGCCATCGCGTATGAGGTCGAATGCGCCTATCCAACAGGCACAGCCGGGCCCTAGCTCAGAGGGCTGCACGGGGCCGTCGTCGTCGAACAGGCCCGCGAAGATCAACCCCCCTTCGATGTAGGTGTACTTAGCGACCAGCGGCCGGCGGTGTTTTCGTCCATATTGAGCTGACCGCAGTGTGGACAGGTACGTCGCTGTAGCCGCACAGCTCGTGTACTACGGCATTGTCTCGAGACTACCGATGATTGCGTGAGCCCAAGATGCTCTTCTCCCCAATGATCGGCACTCACCCCGTTGCGGATGAAGCCGCGTGACGATGGTAGACTACCGCGGCAATGTCATACTAGACACACTAGTCCGTCCAACGTAAGCCATCGACGCTTCTATACGTCGACACAGACGGCTCGCTGACGCCCTCCAAGGCAACCTATCGCTGATTATCGCACAGCAGAGACGGGTTTGCAGCCACAAATGCTTGCGACAGGTACGACAGGGCTAGCGGTCGCTATACGCCCTTACGCGGTGCTTGCGGACTCGAAAAACTGATTGATCGGGTAGCGCCACATTTCTTCGATGTCCAGCGGCAGGTGGCAACGTTGATTAGGAGGAAAATTATCATAGGACATTCTCTCTGGCAATTTCTATCGGTCAGTTAGGCTCAGGTCAGATAAAGAATCTATCCTCACACGGTGATAGGTTCTAGGGCTCTGCCATCCCGCCATCGACACACGAGACATGGCCTTATTTATGCCCTTCCGGAAAAGCCTCAGAACAGGGACTAACGTGATCCTCCCTCTGACAACGCTCGTTGAGCGGTTCATGGGCAGGACGGTCGATCTGCAGGGAGATATTCCTGTACGTCCTGTCCAACGGCTAAGCGACAGGTTGCCCTCTAACGCTCGTCTCGACAAGGTTGAGCAGGCACGGGCTGCCCTTGACCTCTTCCGCTCATGTGAGCACATATGGGAAGAGCTCATAGAAGCCGGAGGATGGCCATGCGCATTACCGCCCGTCACGCATGCTAACTGCTTCTCCTGAGACATCAGGAATCACTATGCATTGTCAAATTGAGCTGCTCACCTGCACACGCACGATAGATATGCCGCCAGGGAATTCAGGACATGGCCCGTAGCCCGAGATGTGGTGCACCATTATGGCAATACAATACTGCTCCGGAGAATTATCATAGAGTGTAAAGCGTGATACACTGACTGACGTTTGTCAGACTGCATTATGAGGGTATCGTGTACATATCATTCAGTTAGTGTTACAGTAGACATACTTGACGCGAGTTCAACCTCGCTTTTATTGAGCCTATCAATCTCGACTTCAATAGCAACGTTCGCCATCTCGATTTGTAGAATGTTAGAAATCAGCTCTGTCCATCGCGTTTCGAGTGACGTAAGTTGGTTCCCTATCCGTGTCTGTCACATTTAGCGATGAGTTCCGAAGACTACCGGTCAGCATTGATGAGACACGGACCTGAGAGTTCTTTCGGTCCCTGTTCACCTCCGTCATGAGTTTATTGAGGTCTTCGAGGGCTTTCTCGATGTTCTTAGCCGTGGCCTCTGTCAAATAGTTATGTATTCGCCATGCGTTCGGGCCGTACTGCTGCAGAAGTGCTAGATTGGTATGCCTTTCCAATGCGGTCATGAGTATTAGAATGCTGAACATGAATGCTGAACACATACCGCAGGCGTTGGTGCTCTAGTTGGGCGTGAGCGTTTCTCACTGCAGCTTTCCACTCCTCTTCATCACTGGGATTCTGAGGCCCCGGCAGCTGGTGGCGTGTAGTGTCTAGTGGCTCCAGTGGCTGGCGAGACTCAATGCGAGCAAGCTCTGCTGCCAGGAGTGGATGGTTCTGCGAGGGTAAAGTCATAAAGGCTCAGTACAGAGCCGGTGTGGCATTACACACATGAGTGCGTACGAACAGAAAATAGCTCTACGGGTGGCGGAACACGAGGATGTATAGCTTGAGATGGTTTCGCCTCTCGGGCGAGCTCTTTCTCCACCTTCTCCCTCAGGAATGGATTTTGTTCCAGTTCATTGTCGTAGTATGGCAGAGAGTCAAAGATAGCTGGTCCGGCGTTGTCTGCTGGCAGGTTTTCGATAGACATGGTGAGCAATGAAAGAGAACTAGACAGTCGATCCAAGAACGGTGGATGGACTGGTGAGGCGCTCATCGGCGGGCGCTTGCTGCTCATTTCGGGATCGGTCGTAACGTTCGCGTTCTCCAAATCCACTCTCGACGCCAACATGTCGCTACGGTTGGCCGCCAGCACTGGCAGACTGGTCAGAACCGCAGCTTCTCGGCGCGCAGCCGCTGCAGGAGCACAGGTCGCTCGTGCATTGCACAATTCTCGACCTTCCAGCGGTACGCGTTCCTCTACTCTGGCAGGTTGTTGCGACTAAACGTCTGCAGCGTCTGCGTCTCCGTTCACTGAGTCGACATCCCCAAACCCCACGATCACCAAGTACGCTGATACGACGGAGAAGCTGCACACGTACGGCTCGTACCTCATCCAGTGTCTCCCGAAATTTGTCCAGCAGTTCTCCGTCCTCAAGGACGAACTGACTCTCTACGTCTGCCCGACTGGCGTTGTCCCCGTCCTCACTTTCCTCCGGGACCACTCGCAATGCCAATTCAAAGGATGCATGGACATCAGCGGGGTCGACTTCCCCGAGCGCGAGAAGCGCTTCGAGGTTGTGTACCATTTGCTCAGCGTGAAGTATGGCGGGAGGATCAGAGTCAAGACCTACGCTGGCGAGACGGACCCTGTGCCGAGTGCTGTTCCCGTCTTTAGTGGCGCGGACTGGTGAGATACTCTGAGTGCGGTCCCCTGAATGGTCGAGGTGACACCATCATAGGTATGAGCGGGAAATCTGGGATCTGTACGGCGTGTTTTTCGAGGGCCACCCTGATCTGTGCGTTCAAACATTGCTCTTGTTGTTTTACATACATTGACAGGGTCATAATCTAGTCGTCGTATCCTCACTGACTACGGTATGATAGACGGATATCAGCATAAGCGTTCGCTGACAATTATGATTGTAGGATTTGAGGGTCATCCTCTGCGGAAAGATTTCCCTCTAACGGTGAGTAACGAGATAAACCTGAATCTGAGGCCTAGTCTGACACGTTACCTCAGGGCTATACTGAACTGCGTTACGACGAGGAGCGGAAGCGAGTTGTATACGAGCCGCTCCAGTTGACGCAAGCCTTCCGGTATGACCAATCGAATGATCTATAGTCGTGGCGGCTGATGCCCTCTGCAGGAACTTCGATGCAGCATCACCTTGGGAGCAGGTGGGTGATGGCACTACGGCAAGGAGGCCGGAGGACTTCAAACCGGTCCCGCCGCCCAAACCTGAAGAGCCTCCGAAGAAGTAGAATATGCGTCCGAGATCCTGTGATTCTAATCCATCCTCGATCTATCTCTTTGCCCTCGACAGTTGAGTTTGACTGCCAGTCTGTTATCAGTACATCAATGTGTGTGCAAAAGATGAACGAGGGTTGGTAATCTTTTTCATCCTCCCATTCATCTCGAAATATATATCTGTGCCAGTGCTTGGTCTGCCCCTGCTGTTATGTCATCTTCAGGGTCCGCCACAGCTTTGTCCGTGTCATCGTTAAGACTACCACGTGGCTACGTCAACTTGTCAATTGGTTCGTCGTGTTTTGACATGTTCAAGTTGGAACCCTGACTCTCTCTTTGCAAGCTACAGCTTTCGCTGTGGACGGGCTCGCCGCGTTGATTGTTACACTATAGTACTGAACGGCGTCGGCAGCGTTCTTGCACCTGTGGTCTGCTAGTCCTCCGCGATACCTCCCATAACGATCCTTTACCCACATCTAGCACGAGTGACCTCCTGGATAATAGCGTCGTCGGTCCAACGTACTGGCGGAAGAGGATAAACGGGTTTTCTGATGGCGGTCTTTCAGTGGCTTGCTCTGATCTTGTCTATTTCTCCTCTGGTACAGGGCCTACCCATTGCAGGGTTGCCCGGCATGCAGGCCCCTCCTCTTGTATACCCCTTGTCTCTAGTGCCTCTCGTGGTTCTCGGTCTTCTCAAGTATGCATACGTGAAGTACCGCAAAGCCCAATCCATACATTCCGCTGGTATTTCAGACACGTCGCGTTTGGAACTGCAGCTCTTCAACAGGATCAAGCTGAAGATCGAACCGGTGCAGACCGGCTATCTTGTTGGCTTCTTGGGGTCTCCTAAATGGGAAACAAGAATCAACTGCAGGACAACCAGAGCAGCCCGCAGGCCGCCTCTACGTGGAATTGTCACGTCAAAGGTCTCCTCTCAGCCGTCGTCCAACCTTCTTGGTGACTCTTCGCGGAGCAGCGGAAAAAATACATCGTATAACACGAATTGCTCACGGGTCTCACGAACGGTCTCTCGGACTGCTTCAGGATCCTATCGCGATCTTCGTTCTCTGGACGCTCGCGCTGACATCACTAGCTGTGCTAGCGTGCATCCGTCATCTCCTGCTTGTAATGCCTGCACAGAGTTACCCTTCCCACCCTCTGCGTACATCCCGTCAAGGACTCTACATGCATCACCTGAGGTGCCTTCGCCTACTTTGATGCAGATCATGGGACCTGTGTTGTCTTCATGGTACGACGACACAGGAGCGCGAGACCTGGAAATCGAGCAAGATCATTCTGCTAGCTCAGGCACCGCATCTGGCCAGAACCAGTCTCGTGTCGGATCACGGTCCCCCAGTAAGTAATCTCATCTATAGAAAACCCGCTTCACCTAAGTCTCTGAACGTATCATCTCATAAAGCTCCATCCTTTGCGACCCCTCCCATTTCGCCAAAACCAGAAAACCAGCCCAATATCTCCCGTGGCCAATCAACACTTTCAATGTCTTCGTCTCATTTCAGCATCAACTCATTTTCAGTCTCGATCTATCAATCGCCATCACTCTCTGTGCCTGCTCCTGCCCACACCTTGGATTTGCGTCCACGTTCTTGGGACATTCTGTCAGGAGAATGGCAAGGGTCCAATGCTAAGGCGACCGTTCACTCCGGCTCTGTGCTGCAGTCTCCCCCGAATCGCTCGCCGACATTTCCTGCCACGTCCCAACATGCAGAGTCTGATGCACGGGGTCCATTGTCACCTAATACGCGTCCTTTGAACATCCTTCCTAAACTTCAAGGTGCTTCCTCGCCCCCCACTTCTGCTTCGTTCGGGTCTCTGTCTCCTCTAGACATTGTAAGCGGCAAGGCTCGCTATGTGCCGAAGGCGGTGGCCTTACAACGCCGCAAGAGTGGCAGCCCGCCTGTTGGCCCCTCGCCTCTGCGTAATTCTTTGTTCATTGAGACCTCTGCCAGTATGCCTGCAATGGATATATCCAGGCCTATCAGTGATGCTCCATCGGGCAACGGGGCGTGGAACCTTGAAGATCTTGTCAAAGACGGCCAGCTTGACGTGGATGCTGTCAGTGCAGTCCTGGGGCTAGGTCTATCGATAATAGAAGACGAGGATGACGATAAGGACGACCCTCGCCGCCGTGTAACAGACAGCGAGGTGGAACAGTCACACGAACAGCCCAGCCCCGATCGTTTTGCGGGTATGGGATGGGGCCGAGCATGCGAGACTGGAGTAACGACGCTGCAGATGCGCGTGCCGGGTGAACAGCTTACTGCTATTATGGAGGAAACGGACGAGTTGTCCATCAACGAGAGCGCGCGAACCTCGGCAGCATCACTCCTACATGGCGTCCTGCAGTTCTCGGGCCCAAGCCTGGACAGGCTGATTGAGGTGTCCTGCAGAGCCTCCGTCATCGATTCTGAAGACGGTGAACGCGACGCAGACGAGCTTGATCGGGCGAGTGTTTGGGCCGACGAGCAAAGCTGGAGGGATAGTATGTCCGTCAGGTGAGTCCCATAAAATCTAGCACCATGAATATCTGTTGACAGTGATATCGATGTAGAGGGATAATCGGTCTCGCTTGCTAAGGAAATTTGGTCACAAAATACCCAAGTGAACCCCCTTGCCCTTCAACTTAAACACGCGCTACCTGTCGTCTCCACATTCACATATTCGCACCGTTTTCCTCAGTATCACTGTCTCCATTATGTGCAGCACATTGCTATGCAAGTTTCCGTGATGGTGTATTTAGCTTTGAAATTCCGTTGCCTCTAGAACTTGTAGGAAGTAATGTTCCTGGGTCATGTAGCTTTTAGCACGATGTATTCTTCCATCCAACATTGTATTAATACATTACACATGCATGCCATAATGCACCTTCATAAATTAAAGAACATGCAGACACACGGGTGGAAGTGCAAAGGTCCACCATCGCTCATGTCTCGGCCTGTTCTTCTTGTGCGGGTTCTGCGCTATCCTCGAGCTTCTCACTGTTCTTCTTGTCCCATCCCATCCTAGACACAATATACTCCTGACCAATCACCTCCACGCCTAACCGTATTGCCTCGACGACCAGATCCTCCACCCACTCGTAGTCGTCCCACAAGTCGAGCCACTTGCCGGGGACAGCCTGCGTCATGGTGGAATGGTTCAGCTGATGATGAGGGTCCGAGAGATAGAGGAGGAATTGTAGGGAAGTATGGGTGGTCGGTGTTGCGGGGGTCGTGAGTTCGGCGTTGACCGCAGGTTGGGGCAAAGGGAAGGTGGTCATGAAGGGCTGAATGCGGAGGTAGACGTAGGAATATGTGGTAGGGTTCTGCGCGGAGGACGCTTGTGTTGGTGCAGGATTCTCGTTCCGCCTGATGAGCTCGTCGATCTCTGCCTTTGAAGAGGGTCAGCAACGTATAACAATCTCGGAATCGGCATCTATTATACCTGTGCTAATTTCAGCGCGGATTCGAACCCTTCGACCGCGTTCAGTTCCCTCTTGGAATCTGATGACTCCTTGGGGCGTGATTCGTTACCCCGGTTGACTACCAAGTCTCCCCCTTCGACCTGCTCCATAATCTGAAGCACGATAATCAGAGGGGAATGTGCCAGACGTTTGGAAAACGTACGCGAGAAAGTGCACGATACGCGAGCGACTCCACGCCATCATATCCCTTCATGTCATGGCTGAGCCAAACTTGAATGACTTCGTGCTCAGAGATCGGAGGCGCAACCGCATTGAGGATGTCAGTCAGGGTGGATAGTCCGACTCGCTTGAAGTCGGTGCCTGACAGCATGGTCTTAGGCTCGTGTGCTCACTTGGTGACGCCAGAATGCGACACGTACCAAGCTTCTCCAGCTGAGCAGCCCGTGCGTACTCGAGCACGCCTTCGCCCCACTTGCGAGCCTGCTCATTCTTCGGCAGTTGCTTGACCTGCTCGTCCACGACAGACTTGGCCTGCTGAATAGCAGCACTGGCACTCGACCATACATTGCCCCAACCCCAGCCTCCGCCCGATCCACTCTGTACTTCCGGCTGCGGTTCCGGCTTCGCAGAGACAGGGGTTACAGCAGACAGTCGTGAGCTCGATGATTCTGTCCTTTGCAGCGCGGGCATCAGAGGCGTAGCCCCGCCAAGACGGATTCGTTCGGTGCTCTTGCGAACAGTGGGCGTGCCCGCGCGCGACAACGGCCGCTCGATATGTGAGCTCGTCAAGCGAGGCGGCTCTGAGCTCTTCTGGGTAATCTCGTCAATGAAGGCGTAGACTTCCGCCTCGCCCTCTGGCGGCGGTTGCGAGTCTGAAGCCACACCGGGGGTGCCAACGGGAGGGGGTGCGAAGGAGTCGAGGTCATCCAGGAACTGCAATGCTTCTTCCTGCTTGGATTTGGACTTCGTAGACATGGCTATTGGAGGATGGTGGCTGTAGGGGCTTGAGAGAGAAAGTGAAACCCGCAGTGGGCGGCAACGAACTTAGAGTAGACGGACGGGCCAACGCGGCGTGACCAGATCGCGTCTCGATCGAAGTGCCGCACAGTACAGACGCGTAAGCGCCCATTACAAGCCCGAGTCCTCACACTGCGCGACCCCCACTCGCGTCCACATTTCATGGCACGCAAGAAGAAGACTGTCGAGGAGTTGTCCTCTGGGGAATCAGAGGACGGCGAACAATATCATGTCGGTGCGTCGATGCCGCGCCCCACGCTCGCTCCTCAGTACTCAGGAGAGGCGAGCAGAAGTCATTACCCAAGCTCGGGTCAGTAATGACGGCGGTTGGGTGCGTCTCACTCTTAGCCACTCACATGGTGTCTGACTGAAGTATTGCTGCTGAAAATTATAGGAATACTATGTCAAGGTTGTCATTGGGCTCAACCTTCATATACGCTTTGCTAATCCATCGCTAGTGGGCGAACTATTCTTCTGACAGCAATACGTGAGCTGCACACTGATACGTGCCTGTACACGGCGCTCATATCTGTGTCATAGTTGGGAGCCGGAGGAAAACGTTCTGGGCTGCGATCGCCTTCTGAAAGACTTCTGGAAAGACGCCGGATTAGATGACGACGACTGGCCCGTGGGCCATATTGTGCGTGCTAGACCGTCCTGGATCGGTGAGAATTTCGTTGTACACTTATTGAGCATGGACCTCATTGCAATTCAATACGCAGAGAAGGAGAAGAAATTCTTTGCGAAGAATTTTGGCTCATCCAAGCAACCAGAAAGCAGTGCTAATGAAAGCAGTGACGACGTAGTGGAAGTCCCAGCAAAACGCCAGAGGACCCCGCGGAGAGCCTCAGATGTGATATATGTTCCTTCAAATTTCAGTCTTTGATGCAGACTCATTGTGCCACAGGAACCTCGCAAGAAGAAGGCACGACGTGACTCGACACTATCTGGATCACCCATCCAATCAGGATCCCTACCCCCAACAAAGTCCACAAAGCAAGGAAAGCCGTCTCGCAAACTTCATGACGATGTAAGTCTGAATGGAAGGCACGTCGTTGAATTCTGATTTTATGGACTATGTAGGACGACATAGAGGATTCAGACGAAGCACCAATCTCTAGACTCAGCCGTAAGAAGAGCCGCAAAGTTGAGTCAGACTTCGCAGACATGGTGAGCAGCGTCCTTCAACGCCCTGTGCTATTTGCGTAATATCCAATCTCTTTGTTAGTCTGAAATCGAGCTAGAGACATCGGATGATGAGCCCATCCGGAGAACATCGAAACCGATGGTTAAGACAAAGTCAACGAAGGCGGCCGTCAGTAGATTGGGAAAATCTGACAAGGTTTGCTACACCTTTTTTTAAGATGCACTACTTTAACGGTCGTGCGTGGCTGTAGGGAAAGGGAAGGGCTACGTCACCACCACTCGCAAGAGCCACTGCAACCACAAGCGAGGATCTTACTTCGCTCTTCTCAGCACCTTCGTCTCCGGAGGCCGCGCTTGCCAGAGAATTACCCCCAGAGACAGCACCTGAGACATCCGCTAACAAAGCTCCCATAAAGAAGCCCTCGACGATCAATACAGGGCTATCAAAAGCGACCGAACGACGCCCATCGAAAGCATCGCCTATCGAGGCCCCGAAGGGAGCGGTGACAGGTATAACTACCAAGATGCGTCTGGCGCAGGCTGCCAAAACACTCTCATTACCATCGAAGGCGACAACGTCATCGTCGGTTCAGCGGAACAGCCTCGCTAAGTTGTCGTTCAAGAAGAATACTGGGCTCAGTAATGCCGCGACAACACCGGTTCAAGAAACCCCTTCGAGACCATTACCGCATGCATCAGGCTCCAGACCTGGCATGAACGCTGACGCCCCACTGTTCACACAATCTCCCGTTCATAATAATCTCTCTTCACCAGACTCGGCGACGCCCAGGGCACCATTAGGGATACCTAGGTATGAATCTGATCACTAGCTCATATGTGAAGGCCTCCTGACATAATTGTTTTGAATATCCAGACGGCCAGCTATGCCACTTCCGCGTCGGACAGTCTCTGCCCCGCAGCCCCCTTCTGAGTCTACGGCTGTAGTAGATCAATTTCTATCGACTATCATGCCTCCCGAGTCAGTGTCATTGAGTATCCAGGCCTTCTCGAATGCTCATCCTTTAAATACAGACTTGCCGCGCCTATGGAGTGCGTAGCCTCATAGGCCAGAGACTACCCTGGGAACTTACAATGCTTACAGGGAGATTAATGCCGGCATGGATGCTCTACCGCCGCCGGTAGCCGTACGTCCGCCAGTCGCAGCTAAGCCTCCGGTGCTTGGGAGGTATGCCAGAACCTTTTGCCGTCGCGATCAATTAGCTGGAACACTCTATTCAGGATACCTAAGAAATGGAAGTGGACAGGAGAGGTCTTCGTCGAAGTCGAAGCAGGCAAGGCGCAGCGTTTGTGCAACGTCACCATGTCCGACGCCACGGATCCGCGCCCGAACGGCCTCCGGTTCAGCATATGCCTGACCACGGACTCTATTAGGCTGCAGAAGATTTACGGTGTAGCCGACTTCTACATGGTCATGCAAGCTTGCTCTCCTGTTCAGCAGTTCGCGAAAGTGGGACCGCAGGATGATGGAGATGCCGAAGCGTTGAAGGCGTTCACATCGTACTTGCGACGTAGGCGTTCGGTAAGTTATGTACGCTTCTGCAGGAGCGATTCCACCACAACATCGCTTACATCCGCAGTTCACCTATGCCCGACTGATTTTGGATGACGTAGAAGTAGCGTTGCTGCTGTTATTCCCGCTCTCCCTGTTCGAGCTTCGCCAAGCACTGAAGGTGCCGCAGGAACTGGTCGATGCAAATGCTCTCGTCGCCGCCCTTGTGCCGTGGGAGCTGTCATGGCGCACGTACGAAGACGCCCTTTGGCTCAGTCCAAGATCATTGGAGCCTAGCCAGAATCGGCCTCCAGCTGCAGTGTTCGAAGCCCTCCAGAAAAGTAGTATATTCCCGAACACGCCCCTGTTCCACCGTGTCCTACGCATCCTGATGGTCCCGAGAACGCTTCTTGATTTCATGTCTACGCCGAATCGGCCCTATTGCCTCTGGTATGCCAACGCCGACGGTGTACATCCATCACGTGGCTACGAGACGAAGTTGCTGCAAACGTTCCTGACTATTTGCAAGGCCCGCGATGTCGGAATCAAGGCGGACGTACGCGCTGTCTTCGTGCACATAGGCGCCTTGGCAACCCTGTACAAGCTTCCAGCGCTGGCAGAGAGACGGTATAAGCGACCCGATCTCCGCTTCTATACCTATGGCTCGCATGAGAACGTCTCGCCGGACCGCTGGGGCGTCCGCGAGATCTTTCCGCTTGGTATGTGCAACCCTTTCTGTTCCCACGTGTCAGCTAATTCAACGGACCGTGCAGGCGGCGTTGTCACCTTTACGCCGGCCGCGGTGATCGAGAACATCGTGGGTACATATGAACTCATCAAAAAGATTGACGAACATCCGCTCTGGCAATGCTATATTTTGCCTTCTGTGGTCGCGATGCTGGCGATGCTGACCTGCCAAGATCAGGCACCGCTGACTCTGTTCGACCAGTATGTTATGACACGCTTTTCCACTCTGTCTCACTTATTCATGCTTCATATGGAGAGGCGAATTCCTCCTCGATGGGCTGCTTGACCTAATTGTTCAGGGCAAGCTGTCTCTCCTACGGGCTCCGACTACCAATCACAGCACTCGTGCGAAGAAATGGATCGGCTGGCAACTCCAGCTACTCGACATGGATGCTCGCACGCTCCTCGAGGAATGCATCAGAACAGCCAAGGAGCAGTACAGTGACGTCAAAGCTGAATTAGCGGACGCGATACAAAAAGAGATCGCTCGAGACCTCTGGGCTCTGCAGATGCAGCCAGCGGTCATGGACGAGTATCGACGACTCGTCGTTGTGAAGTCGAAGTCCTCGGATCGGTACTTTACCGAGGACAAGGAAGGAGTAAGCCGATGTATTCTCGTCCGATATGAAAGCTTATTCGAGCGTTACAGATTGAATGTGTATCGCTGTCTGAATTCGACTTCAAAGATGCCTTTTTTACATCGGAGGACTGACGGTGATGTTCGCTGAAGGAGCACTACTTGATTCTGCGGACAACGTGTTGTGTAGGCCAGCTGCGTCGTGCTTTGTATGCTTTGCTTTCGAATGGATTACGTACATTTCCTTGACATTGATGCGATCCTGGCTTCGAAGACCGGCGACCTGGGCGTCGCAGGCTTGTGATTATAGAAATCACGTGGCAAAGGCACTCCGCCCCACTGATCGCGTCGCGCCTATACCGTGGCGGTCGCGCTCCCCAGTTGCGACCATCTCGACAGTCCTTACAGCAGACATGTCCGCGTTTGCTGCTATACTCTCAGATCCTACGTATCATGACTATCTGGCCATTCTCAAAGGGGCTAGAAATGGACTAGTCTATGGGGTCAAAGTGCGATTCCCTCATGCCCTTATTATGGCTATCCTCTTCGGACGCGGGGAGTAAGTCGAGTTCTCTTGCTCGCTACGCAGTCTGACCGCAGAACTCATAGCTGGAATACTCGTATTCGGACCATCTTCCGAGCGACTAAACAACACGCGCTTAACCTAGCAAAATTCGTCTCGCTGTACAAGACACTTCTGCTCGTGCAGAAGAAGGTGAATGGGGGTGTCCAGCGCAGCGCAGACACCTTTGTCGCTGGACTTATCAGCGGTTTTTTTGTATTCGGTGACCGCAATGCCGTCAACGAGCAGGTGCGTCCGCTACATCTCATACCATATTCTGGCTGAGCATGCGCTAGATTGTTCTGTACGTCTGCTCACGAGTCGTGGCCTCCTTCATTCCTCGCGCCGGAACCCCGTACGCCATGAGTTCCACCGCTTCATCCGCTGTAAAGCCTATCCCCCCCGACGCGCGCAAGTTCTCTGTCTTTGCCGCTCTGTGCTGGGGTGCCGTTATGTGGCTCTTCAATGAGCGCGGCGAGACCATCCAACCAGGGATGTTCAATTCCATGGTGTACTTGTACCGGGATTCCGAGCACTGGAACAGTCTGCGGACGCTGTTGTGGCACAACAAGTAGTCGGGCGTCCATCATTCTCTGCGGATACCTAGGATGACTGTGACGCGTGTTCCGATTTGATACCTGGTCAGTGTCTTGTTATCTTGCCGCCTCGTAGATTACACGCGGTGTAGGGTTTTGCTCCATTGTCAATAGCTTGGCGGGTAATGTCACAACTTCATTTGCATGTTGACATGGTGAATTTGAGACGTCAATACTGATGTGCGACGGAGGCCAGAGGGTCCCACTTTCCGTGCCCTATTGATAGAGCGAAGGGGGGTGTCTTCCCGGTAGCATTCATGGTGAGAAGAATTTGAAAGGCTACGATGCTGACAAAATTCACCACACCATTCTCTGGGACCCACAGAACCACGCAACCCTTGTATTGCCGACCGCCATATGGAAAGCAGCTTCTGCTGGATCGCCGGCTCATACTTGCAACCCGAGTGTACGACAGGGAAGCGGTCCTCAGACGGCTCCCAATCGCCTACTCCTCAAATGGATACAGCCGGTATCAAAAATACCAGGGCTACATGCTGCTGCAAGTCGACCGAAGAAAGCCGTACGAAGTATCATTCGTTAGAAGAACCAGGTTATTTGTTGCGTGTCCCTCGGGCATGCCGTGTTCGGTGTCCGATTAAGTTTCAGCCCAACACCCGTGGTTGGCGCAGATGATGAAATCCTCCGCTAAAACGTTGTGTGTCACTCTGCAACTTTTACGGGATTCCAAGCGATGGTCTCAAGTTCCGCGGCTTTTGGGACCTCTGACTTGTGTCACCGGAGCGTGATTTTATCGTTCACCGCCACTGACAATATAACGCCTTCAGACGAAATCAGAATTTGTATCAGAATGTCTCAGTGTACAGCTGAGGGCTTTGCTAAACGCGCTATGCTCGTTATAGCATGGCTCAGTTCGGCAGTGCAACGCTGGGCGAAATTCTTCGTGGTCAAATGATCGCATCACCGGGCAAATGTTTCTACTTCGGGCATATTTCAGAAAATGATCGATACGTGCAACGGGGTATCCACTGCGCCGAGCATGTCTTTTCCGCATATCCAAAGTATGTAGTGCATTCCGCACGAGAATGCAAAGAGGTAGGAGAAAAGTATGTACATCGTGAAGGAATCCTGAGTTCGACACAGCGGCAGGACAAAGTCCTGCGGTGAACCAGACGTGATGAGCCCAATGACAGAAGAGGAGGTGGTATCATGGAACGAGGTAAGTATGAAAGATGGGTTAGTTCTATGCGGAGGAGTCCTCAGTGTGCCCTACATGATTATACACTTTCCACCCTTCCTCTTCTCCTTCTCCTTTGGTGATCGTACTTGGCCGGGCGGGCCCTGCTCTTGTTGCCGTGTCTGTCGGAGCAGTCGGACGAGGTCCACAAAGAGTCGTTCCACGTTAATAGCCGTTTTAGCGGATGTCTCGAGAAAGTCGCAACCGAAGTTCCGCGCCAGTGCGGCCCCTTCCTCTCGTGACACCTCCCGCTCGTACTGCTTGTCGCACTTGTTGCCAACGAGCATGAAGACCGGCTTCTGTCGTTTCACCTTCAGCATGGCTTGTCGGAAGACGTCCAGGCGTTCAAATGTTGCACGCGACGCGATGGAGTAGACCAGGATAAACCCCTGGCCCTCCCTGGACAACGTCAACGTCGGTCTGGCACAACTAGCAAGCTACTCACCTGACCCATTGATCTCGCAATGTCGCATATTCCTCTGGTTTCCATATAAGGTGTTGCGCGGACGACTATGGAGTGCTGGCGAACGCACCTTGTCCTGCCGTATCAATCACTTCGACGAAACACATCCGCTTGTCAACCACCAGTTGTTTACGATACGCATCTTCTATTGTCGGGTCATAAGTCTGGTAGACTGGCTGTCAATAACGAAAGAGCTTAGAGGCATGACATACCTACCTCTGCATGGGCCGACGGTGGACCAGAGCAGTCAGACGTGAACACTCTTGTGACAGCATCAAAACTCACCAACGAAACAATTCAGCGTAAACTGACGCGAGATGGTCAGTCAACGTCACTGGTGGGTTCGGAGACAACTCACTTGGACGGCCAGCGCGGTCTTTCCGACACCTCCATCTCCGAGCACAGCTACTCTCCAGCTATCCATTTCTTGTGATCGAGGTGGGTATGCAGACGGCGGAGAGGACGCGCGGAGAGAGGGGCATACCTTGAATATCAGAAACGAGAATATAGAATATGCAGGTCTGACACACGCGATGTCGATGAGATTGATCGAAGCGAGACGGCAGGCACTCTGGCTGACCTTGAAATGCAAAGAGCAGCGGCGGGTGTCAGCGGGTTAGCAGAATTGATGAAGAGTGGGCGGCGTGAGGAGGGAGAAAGATAATAAACGAGATCCGAACGTCGTGCAGAATCGTGCAGGGTCGTAAAGGAAGGCTGCGGGGGAGCCTTTGGACGAGCGGGGACGTCGAGAGAGTACGGGATAGCCTTCTGTGCCATCCAGACGCCGACCCTCTCTATTTACCCTACACACCCATTTTTACCCATTTCTGCCCAAATCAGATCCCGCATTAGGCAGTCGCGCCTATTTCTGCCACTTCCTGCTCAATTACCTGCCTCCCAGCACAGCCCGAATTCGAATTTCGTGTGCAGCGGCTTCCTCTCACTTCCTCCGGGGCGTCTTCTCCTGGGTCTTCTCTGCCGCCCGCTGCATACTACCCCTTGTCCGTTATTTAACCTTTGTTCTCGGCCATCGCCGCCCATCACCCTCAGCATTTACACGCGTAAACCTCAGGCACAATGGCACCCCCCAATAAATCATCCCATCGCTGCGGATCGTCTCAGCACTCCTGAGAGACTCGGGTTCAAATGGGTCTCTCTCTTGTCCTCCGTCATCACGTCAACCGGCATCGCACGCGCACACAAACTGTGCATGTAGCTGACCGATATCTGAGTTAATCCCTCAGTGGGGCCGGCGAGGACGCGTCAGCCTCGCAGACTACTTACTTACCAACCTCCGGACCCGGCATAAGTATGTGACCTTGCTCGGAAGCACACCTTCAATGTCACGTACGCGAGTCATTTCAAATGACAGAGGGGACACATCCTGCAATTGTCTTTTTGAAAGCGCGCAGTTGCGTAACGGGAGGTCATGAGGGTATTTCTAGCGCAGCGCTGCTTCAGCCAGGTCTGCTATAAGTCCGGTGTTATGGCCTCTGTTGGAAGCCATAACTCTCCCAGCATTGCAGTGCAACCACCCGCAGTGTATGTGTTTCGAGCTCTTTGGAGTCTATCAGGTCCCAGGGCGAAGACATCGCTTTCTGGAAGCTTGACAGCCGCATGTGATCCAACAATCCCACAGATGGACGACCTGCGTCTCCCCGATCTAGAGACCTGCTGCTGGGCTGTTCAGCACGGGAAGGCACCATGTGTCACCGGCGAGATATGATATCTCACCATGATTGGTGAGAATAGCCAGAGGCGACTCACCGATATACCGAATCTAAGATACAGCGCTGTTTCTGAAGAGCGCCTCGAGCGCCATAGAGGCCAAGGCACGACTTCCTTGACTTCGAGGTACGCTCATATTCAGGGGCGAGAGATCCAGCAGCGAGGCCGATACCATGAGTCCATGATCGTAGCATTTCGGCGCCTTGTGATGGTCGCGCCTATGTGAGATTGAGCGGACGGAGGTATGATTGCGGGGCTTCCGAGCAGGACGCGAGGTATGATGTCGTCGAAACCGCGGCGATGGCCCTCCCTCATGCTGACATGTTCCAATACCGAGTTCCCGGGGGGACTTTCGAGGGAGTTCTGAGCAAAGTAGGGCGAGGCACGGGCGCTCTTAGAGGAATGTTTCCATACATTGAGCGTCCATGGTGGCTGTCTAGGCCCTCACATGTGTCGTGCAGCCTTCTGACTACACTTACGGTCACGGAAAGAAACGTCCGACGGAAAACTATTCACAAGCAACTCCAATAGGCGAAGACATGAGCGAGTCACATATCGTGGAAAGTTCACGGACCCTTCTTCTGTCAGCTCGGGAAAGTTTGTTCAGCGTTCAGCCGCAATGCTGCATTCAGACGCGAGGATACCTTTCTAGAATGTGGCCGTCCACACTGATTATGCTCGGATTCTGAGCCGCTGACGACCTGGAGGGGTTTTTATATGACCACTGGACGTAATTGAGACGACATCCTGACCAGTGTGGAGTAGTACTGCAGCACTTACATCGCAGGCGAGGTAGTATCTCAGCGCGATGTTAGCGATAGGAGAAGCTTCGCTGTTACAATGAGAACGATACAGGTGGTATATAATTCCTGCGCAGTAGATGACGAGCTGAATGAAGTCATATCGCGGCGGAAGTAGGACGGGAGGCCAGTCCCCTGTACCCTGTACGGATCGGGCTGGCGGACGGAACAAGAGACAATAGGCTGTCTGAAGCTTCTGCTTCCAGTCAAGCGGGACGGAGACAGCAACATCAAGGCTCGTGCCAGTCCTACTCCCGCCCGATGGCTGCTATCTCGTTCGTGTTGAGCGTATAGTGCGGTCAGTAGTAATTTAGAGTACTTGTCGGCATACTACAATGAAAGATTCGCCGATTGCCGGTGTTGATGCCTGCAGAAGTTCATAAACCAAAACGGGAATTTGACGACCTCGGTTCCGCTGCGTTATAATTCAGCGCGTTCCCCGTGCTCGCGTCCTCTTCTACTCTCCGCCGTCGTGTTGTGGATCTGCTATAGGTTCCACATGCGAGAACACGGACGCGCACGGCGTCAATGGCCGCATGCGATTGCGCTCGGCGGGTACCAGCAAGTGAGTAACAGTGCATTACACGCGTATTTCCCAGAGTCACTTACCCGTGCAACTAGCAGTAGGCAATTCTAACTCCCCTCGCGGGAGGATGGCCAGGCCGCAGGCGGTCCACATGCACAAACAACTGGTCCGACGGTATCAGTCGCCGTTCCGAGTGACCCCCGTTTACTGCTGCCAGGGACGCCCAGGCGTCCGTCATTCCTACGGCCTGGAGCCGCACACACGATTGGCTACACACGGTGATGTCCTATAGATAAGATAGTCCCATTTCCATGGACGCCACAGGCGGGAGACGTTCTTAGCAAGCCTCGCCATGCGGTCCAGTGTGTTTGTGGACGAGAAGCCCCGAGGTCTACGGGCGAGCGGTCATATAGAACTTTAGTCTGCTGGACTGTGTGCACGACCGCCGCCATGTGTGGACTCGAGGCTGTGGGGTACCCATCCGGCCGCAGTCAGCTGCTCGCAAGCTGCACGACTGCCGTCTATGTCCATTTTTACCTCCGTCATGTACCGCGGTTAAAGTGGCGTTCTGGCTGAGAACACACTGGTGGCGCAGCGGCTCTGGGCCGCGGACTACAGGAGAGTCTGTGCCGTGGATGCCACGGAGTGGGTTCGCTACCGCTGTTCGGCGAACGATGCGTCTGTTGACATATGATGCCGTCAGTCCATATACTGACAGGCCGCCTTTCAAAGGAAGAACTCTCCGGTGTGTTTTACCATTTCTGGTTCTGACCCCCGGTAGCTTATATGTTCTTATACCGCGTCACGGACGGCCAGCAATGGAGCGAGATGGTCAACTTGCCTCAAATGCGCTTGCCTTGGATTATTCTAGTGCAGACCCCCTCATACTGCGTATCCGATAGCAATGGCGTCAAAGCTTTCCTCGGCGGGGGGGGGGGGGGGCTTCACAGGCAGAAAGCGCAAGCCAGCTAATCCCATTGGATCGGAAGCACAATCTGTGGTTCCCGGGCCAGCGCCTCATCTTCTTCCATTTTGACTTTCCTCAGACCAGATCTGGGGACTCCAAGCCTCAGCCGCAGGCATGCGGAGAGAGCATGCACGTCTTCGAGCCTCGACCAGGTAACATGATATCTCATCTTGATCGTCAGGCCGCCAACGGTCTTCCGAGGACGACGTACACCTTGGCGCTGTTGTACTCGACGTTCACACCCATTGCATCCCCAGATTCAGATGAGATCTCGCCGACTGCTACCGGGACGCCAGGCCTGGGCGTCCTACAATAGCACCCAGTCGCACTCAATGCCGGACGATTTTGTTCCAATTCCGGAGCCCTAATATCACGGCAGTACATTACGGCCTCTCCAACAGCGCCTACGCTTTTCTACACTTCCTGCTCACAGAGCCTTTTGCGGTTAGTGAAGATCATGCTCTGTGAATTTCAATGGGCTGAGACCCGATGCACGGATGTTACGTGAGCTGGCCATTCTGTCTGGGTGGGACAGGACACCCGTCTTGAGGTATATGTATCAACCACAAGAAGGTGGAAAGTACGGGCAAGGCGACCGCGCAACGCGGAATTTACGCCTCGAGGCGGTCGCCGCACAAAACAGCCTTATGGTGACCTCTTACTTACATGATAGGCCATAACACAGACAGTCACTGTACTGTCCTTAGCGCGTTTTTTGGAGTGAGATAGTATCTCTCCTCCAAGGCGCCCGTTTGACGCGCGCCTAAAAGACTACCCCGCCGGTCAATTAGTTTCTTGTACTAGAGGTCGGATGAACGACGCCTTCGGGCGGACCGCTGACCGCCTCATAGAAGGATCCCGATGTGTACGGTTCTTGATCAAGCGCTACCGAAAACGGCTGATGGAGATTTGCAGCCAAATCCACCGGCGCCAGATACACAGCGACTATGAACTGCTTTGTTTTTTCGTCCGCTTTGCCTATCCTGAAGATTGTAGGATTGGATGAGATAGATTATGGAGCGGACGCACGCGATGCGGTGCGGCTTGTGACCTCGATTTCTGACTTTCTTATCATTTTCTCCATCATGCCTATGCACAAGACGCGCTGGTCGAAACGCCCACTTTCGACTGCGGATCTTCTGTGCTGCGGCCTTTGTGACCGCAGGACATGAATTTATAACATCGAATTGACGGAGAGGAACCTGCGAACGACGTTACACCTATTTTCTTGGACATCAATTGGACGAATAACATCCTGCGTGTTACTCACCACAGTAACCAGCTTTACCGATACATTGTATAAGTCTCTCATGCTCACCAATACTGTGTACCAGGTCCGTAACGCAATAAGAAGGAGCTCATTAGCACTCACGACACAGGGGGGGGGGGGTTAAAGATAGGTCAGCAAGGTGACCATAGATCCCCAGATTTTTACGAGAATCCAACACGCGAAAGCAATTTCCGTGCAGTACTGCGTTCTCCGTGCAGCGAGCGCATGCCGAATAATACCTATATCGCGGCTTGTCTCAAGCCTTACTTCTTAGTGCGTTGTCATATCCACCTCCTTGCCGCGCGCCTGGACTGGGACCGTTTCTATGGGTCAATATCGCTCATAACAACTTTGAATTGGCGAGTGACAGCTTCGGGCGGGCACTCGTCTGCTACACGTCCGAGAAGCACCCCAATCCATGTAATTCTTTGCGCAGGCAGAGGAACACGAATGGTGTGGATTTGTGGCCAATCTGTCGGGCGCCAGACGTGCTGGCTGCATACCGTAGTAGCTCTCATGTGCATCGTTTCCCGCTGACTGTTGCATGGAACACCCCAGAAACGATCGCATGTAGGCGATGTATGCTACGTTTCTGTGGTATTGTCATGCGCATGACTGCCTCCGCCGATTCATTTCTATGCGTAGCACGCTTTGACCAATTCTCGCCGTTCCAGGCACGGCACTGCTCTGGCCTGACATCAGAGGCCCTCAGAGGCCCTCCGGCATGCATTTTTACCGCCAAACAAGACGAATTGCATGTGTGCGCCAGCTTGACGCATGGTCAGCTCTAGATAGACAAGTTGCGCTTTTTCACGCGGGATCCATCAGTTCCGATGAAGTCTTCCTGCAGATTCACCAAGTCGGTTAGCAGTGTGAGTGCAATATGAGCGCCCTTCTAGGTCGCTGGCAAGACGTAGCTCTGATTCATATTCACACAGCACGCACAGTCCCCCGCCTATGGTACCACCGTTGACCGTCTCCGCGGACCCATTCTTGTGCACAAGGCACGCTGGGAATTTCCCCTCCATATAACGCGGGACTTCTTCAAGATCCGGGCTCTATTGTTTGCCTTTACGTCGTCGCAAATTTGCGTTTGTCTATCTGGATCTACAAGCCCCCACCCCCCTGGGTTCTCCGATATTTCGGGCAGGAAGCTGGTGAGAGCCGGTGCCTCCCCTCTCCCCATTCTCTTGCCAATCTCGCTCATTTGACGCGTACAGATTCTCCCGTGAATTTCGTCCAGTTGAAGCTTACCATAAGGTCAGGGTGTACCCACGGCCGTCGGCATAGCCATGCTGCCTGCGCCCTATCTCTGTTGCTGGCCTGGCGACGACCTTCCGCTCACACATACACTCCGGGTTCCCACAGTGCCCCGTAGTCTCCGACGGATGTACTAGGATCCTTCCCTTCCCTTGGCAGATATGCGCGCCATGACTTGTCTCTATGCCAGCCTCCCTTCAGAGGACAGTCCCCCCACTCTCTTGCCTCTTTTCGTCCCGAATTTTCCCTCAGATCAATGCACAACAAATCGAAGGGAGCGGAGCAGATAACAAAGACGAGGCAAGATTGTGCCACCAATACCCTTCTTCCTCTATCGGAAGCGGCACTTCGTGCATGAAAAGAGTACGCCTGCTGACGTCGATCTCGTTGCGATCTCCCGAACGGCGTCAGCTCAACAGCGATGGTGTACTTACCCCGAACCCCTCGCCGGCTCCAAAGCCAAGCTCTGCCTCCTCGCCCTTGGCCACCCGCATGCCTGGTGTGTGATAATCTCGCATCTCGATGTTTGTTCCTTCAAGCTTTATTATCTCTGAATAGTGTCGAGCACGGCATATTCCCCATGGTGCCCTCTCCCTGTGGCAAACGTGAAGGACGGCGCAGCAACAGTCCGTACGACGCAGCCGCGGTGAGTCGTACAGCAGTCCCGGCGTCTCAGAGGATGGATCTCTACGGGGACCTGGAACATAGAATCTGGGGGTCCACTGCCGTCCGAGCAGTGCCCGCATCCAGGCAACCTCTCATTGTGACAAAGGGGGGCTATGCATCCACGCGCGCAGCGCTGGACGTGCGTCTCAAACAATCTCAAATTGTGTGATCTACGGATCACGCTATGTGCAGCAGACAATATGGCTGTGTAGGCGCGCAAAATTTATCTTATTTACAAAGATTTCCGCGAAGTGTATACTCTGTACAACGCAGGTACATGCAGAGCGTAGTATAAGCCGAGCCTCCCCGGGTGGTTCCCCAGCCATATTTGGGCTCCTCCACGCGCTCGTACGGAACCGCACAATGAAGTGCAGGTCGAAGCGCAGAAACTCCGCAGTACATGATATGCATAGTTGTATCAGTCTTGCCCGGTGTCAAAGCTGTCGGCCGCCCTGCGCTGTTGTCGTTCCTGACTTTGCATCTACGACATGTTCGCGCAGGACGCAGCGTACAGCACACAAGGCGTCATCTGCGCAACGAGTTTCACTTCCGGTGGCGGGATGATGCACGCCATTGAATGATGAAGTATCCTGTCATTGTTATCCAAATCGAATTGGCAAAATGTGTGTTCGTCATTATCTTGCTCTAGTTTACAACGTCGCCGCCGTCGCCGCCGCCGCTCATCACCTCCAGGTAAAATCGTGACGTGCGAGTACCCATGTTGTATGGTGGAAGAGGATGCAAATATAAACACAACAGTCATGCGTATAACGTGAAGCCAAGGGGGTCGCCGCGCCGCCAGAAAGAGAGGCAAGGCTGACGCGGGTTACATGGTCGGGAACGCATGAAGACCGAAAGGGCACACGATAAGCTCTACGTATACAAGTGGCCCCCGAGGAGCGAAGGAGTCGCAGGGTAATAAGTAACGTGAATGGGTGGGCCCGGGGTATAAGCAACACTGACGAGGGCCGTCAGCCCACCTGCAACAGCGACGAGAACGCGTGTGCGTACCTCTCAATCCTGCCTGCTGAACTCTGCCTGCGTGAGGTTCAGCACGAACGCACACTTGAAGTCGGCTGGCGGCTGGATGATTTTGACAGGCTTTTTCGACGATGCGCTGCCGGGCCGCGTGGAGGCGCCCTGGAAGGTGTTTGCGATGGAGGGGAATGGTCGCAGCGGGCGTGAGGTGGGGAAGGAGGGGCCCTTGGCGGTCATCCGTGGTGGCCGTGGGAGAGCGTTCGACGCGAGGGGAGACGAGACGTGTGGCCGGACGGAGGCAGGGTTGAGGGAGGAGGGTGCGGCAGACATGGTCATGACAGCTATCGCAGGACAGAGCAAGGCGAGGGCGGTCAATTTATACGCACGGATAACGGGAAGTCTGCAAGTGCTCACTCATTTTGGAACGGATGCTACGGAACGGAAGGTGCGAGAATGATGGACAAGCGCAGACGCGTCTGGGGGCACAGCCAAGGACTGGGGGCGGAGGTCGAGGAGGAGTGCTAGAGCGATGCGGGGAACATACGAGGTGGGGGGATATATACTATGGACAGGGACAGCGTGGCTACCGCAAACCCCAACCGACTTTACCCCAGCCGCTTGGGGCCGTCCCCCGCCAAACAATCCGCGCTCGGCCAAACAACGCGCTTCCACGTCCGATCTGCCCGACGCGTCCCCTCTCCCATCAGCACTCAACTGTCCGCTGCACTCAACACTCACTCGACGTGCTCTGCCCTCCTGCCTGGGTTATCTCGCCCACCGCTGCGGCGTGCGCGGTTCTGCCCCACCCCACAGCTTCTCCTTCCCCCTCCCCTCCGTTAGCGCCCGCGGCGGCTCATCACCAGCTGTCGACGCTTAGCCGCGGCATTGTCTGCGCAAGTGCCTTGTAGCTCTTGCTGATGTTATGGCCCACGTTTGCCGTTTCCAATTCATGCGTACCCACTTTGTCGCCGTTATCTCCCCCTCGAGGACCATCCCCAACGCGTTTGCATGCGTTTTATCTGACGTATTGTGCGTGTCATCGTGTCCACTAGAGTTGAGCCTGTATGCGGCGTGTCCGAGCGGGTCCGAGTAGGGTGTTAGCAGAGAACGACAGAGTGCACCGGCCTTCTCTTACCACCTCCTGTCTTTATATCCCAAGGCTCTCTTATTCTATCGGATCTGCTGATTTGGAGGTCCGTCCGTGGTGTCACTTCTTCATGTCGGATGACAATACGCACAACGTGCCATACACGTTATTCGACACCTTGCAAATCGAGAGCGCCCCTTATCTGTAGTCTATCATCACCATTGATGCCATTCATGACGACGTCATTCGCCCGAGCGAGCTTGATGTTGAGCACTGCTACACCCGTTCCTGTGTAGCTAATGAGACAAAGTATATTTGCAACTTGGTTCGCAGACGCTCGTGCGACAAGTACAGCTAGCTCTATGTACAGACAAGGACATTCCGATTATGACAGGTGGACAGCTCGATGGTACAGTGGAATACGACGATGGGTCTATAAGGGGGAGGAGACAATGAGAGGCCGTAACCGAAAACTAGTTCGGGTGCGCCAAGGCAGGCGCGACACCGACGGGGCGGTGGGAAGTAATCACAATATGGCACAGATGGTGGGCGTTGGGATGCCGCATGACGAGGATGCTATGGCGTGCCTGCGACTACCAGACCTCGAGCTCATCGCAGGGTGGGGAGCAAGCCGGCTGCGGTGGGCTCGCGGCGCGCGGCCGGCGAGAACCGTGAAGGCGTGGATGTCCGTGAGGATGGCAAGAAGGATGGCTGAACCAGTGACCGACGACCGTGCGGCGGGTGCACACGTCCAAACGCTGTGTGCGCACCGCCAAGGAGGGGAGGGGTGCCCGCGGGGGGTCAGACGAGCAGCGCGGCACGCAGGGCCGCCCGCCGACGCTCACTGCACGTCGACGAGGAGGTTGCGCTCGAGAATGTACTTGCCCTCCTTGTACTTCTGCGTCGCCTCGTACGCCTTGATCTGTGCGCGCCACTCATGTCATAAGCGCTGCAGGGCCGGCGGGCCAGCGGGGGGACGTACGTATTTCCAGCCGAGCGTCTCGCCGCACTTGCAGCAGTAGATGTCGCGCACGGTGTGGTTGCCGGTGGTCATCACGCGGTCGACGGGCTCGCCCTCGATCACATTCACGCTGCGGCTGCGGTCAGGAGCGCGGCCTCTGGCTCTAGAGCGGGGGGCGGGGCTCACACTACTTCGAACAGATATGCGCGGCCGTGCTGGCCGTTGAACGCCTGTGCGCGGGAGACTGATGTGAGGGGCGGCGTTAGCGGCGAGGGCGCGGCGGGGGGACGTACCCGCGAGATCATCGTGTGGATCGCAGCAAGGTGCGTCTTGCAGTTGGAGCACCCGTAGATGCGGGCGCCGTTCAGGTAGCGGCGGTAGCTCATGCCCATGGTGGCGATATAGTATAGCACAAGGGGCCGCGGGGGCGTTACTAGGGCGGCGCAGGACAATGGGCGGACGCAGGAGGTGCAGCCCACCAGACCTATATATGCGGGGCGTCGTGCGATGAGAACAGATGAGAGTCAGGGAGCAGGGAGGACCGGGGCCGTCCGCGATGGAGGCGACCTGATTGAGCCGTGTGGCTTATCCCGCTATGGATCGAGAGAGGGCCGAGGGGGAGCAACTGGTCCGGCGCAAGTCCGGGTCCGCGGCGCTTGTCTCTTACGCCCGCACCGCTCGCACGCGTCGATGATGCTTGCGATACATGCGGCTCGTCGTGGTTTCAGGTGCACTCGCGGCGGCCTGGCGCAGCACACGACGCGTCTGGGACACGCTCGAGGTGCGCTGGCGTGGTCGCAGTGGGCGGTCTCGCACTCGAATGCCACAGCGGACCAGCTCGTGCGGACACGAGCCGGGGTGCCTGCTTATCGCTTCCCTGGCGTTCTGTGTCGTTCGACACTCCAGGAGCGACCATTTGTTCCGACGGCAGGTTCGCTAGCTGCGCTCTAACGCCGTCGTAAGTTGTTGCTGAGGTGAGCGGCGTGGTCCTATTATTGATACGTTCGTGGCTGCAACGATCGTTGGTGGATTATCATGGGCCGTATCTTCTGGGATATTCGAGCGGGCCGGCCGTACGTACACATGAACACTGCCACCAGGATAGGACTCGCGGAGCCCACTCGTTGGATCGGTGAATCGATTCTGCGACGTAGTACTTCCCCCCATTTTGCAATGGGATCTGCTTCAATAAGAACGCTCGCTGCTTGTGTATCTAGTGCACGTTCGAGCTTCTGCGGTTGAATTCCAGCTATCGAAGTCACTCGTCATTATACTCGGCCTGCGCCCAAGTACTGCCGTCATAGCTTGCAGGCAATTGCGCAAAAACACGACGATGGCACATACGCCAATGTGATCCTCAATCACATTAATATTATTCTGCGTTGCCACGATGTGGAGAAGTGCGTTTCTGGGAGTCGAACCAGCAACTCCGGATGCAGGCAGCTCTGAGCACGTGGTGAAGTTTAACCTCGGTGGCAGAGCGCGCTTAAGCGCCCGCGGTCGACGCCAATTCGACGCGTTCACGCTCTCTTCGTCTACACCTCTTGCTGCACGCCAGTCCGCCTTACCCAGTCTCTAACTTGCGCGAGCGTGGCTTCGAGCAGCCAGAGCTTTTGCGCGACGCCCGTGCTTCCATGAACTCTCGCAAGAGACCAGCGGACGATATCATCTCCCGCCCCGCCAAGCAGCCACGCCTGACTGCAGAACATCCTCTCGGAGGAAACAGCAGCCCTTCGCAGAACGAAGGGATCTCTGCGCGCTGGCTCGGCCTGGCGATGGAATTTGTGAAACTCACGCGCGAGACGGTCGCGCAATGGCTGGACTGTGAGTAACTCGGCCCTGCATGACCAATTGCCTGTGGCCTGGCCCTCTTACGCCGAGCGTCCTAGCATCAGCCACCAAGGACACACTGCCCGTAGCAGGTCCCTCCCGGCCCCGCCAACCAGTCTGTCAACCACAACAGCAGGTGCCGCCCCCGTCGTCCCCTCCGCCACCTCCACGTCGCCCGGCTCGACCCCCTCTGCCTCCTCAGTTCCAGCATGCCGGTCCCTCCCAAGAGCCGTCTGCTCCTCAACCTCTGCGACTGCATGTACCACCACCAGCAGAAGGGTCTACCTCTACAGCGCGGCGTAGTCGATCGCGTGCGCGGCGGACGTCGGATCCTCATGCGAGCCAAGTGCAACAGCAGCAGCAGCAACCGCCACCCCCGCTACCGCGGTCCAGAACAATGTCACATCTATCTCCGGCCTTGCTGGCGGCATCTCCTCATCTTAAAGCTGCGATAGCAGAGCACAGACAGGCGCAGTCGCAACCGCGGCCCACGTATATTATCCGGGAGCACATCCTTGAGAAGCAGGTCGATTTTCTTCCTCAATTGTGCTCTGGTCTTGTTCTGAAACCTGATGGCACATTAGCATAAAGCCAGAGTAAAGGAAATCCGACGGAAAGACAGAGAGGAGATGGAGAAGGAGCTGTTTGAGATCAGGCGATCGAAGGGTGAGCTCGTCAGCATTGTCTATCGTATGCTTTTCTCATAGGTTTCTAGGCTATTCTTCCGGGCTTGAGGACTTCAGAAGTATGCTTAAAGTCATTTGAGTGCGTTCTCACCATTTACGCGTCCGTTCAGGTTTGTTGGACTATTCAGCACGGCTCGAGATGTTGTCGAGGCGAGAAGCCCTACACCGTATGTTGCCCCGGAAAGATCACACTGAGTCCTTGTAATGAATCAATCTCTCACAGCGTCGCCATCTCTTGCGGATCTACGCCTGAAGGGGTCGGAAGAGCCCTCTCCAAAGAGACATTCAGCTGATGTTGGTGCAACTCAACCACTATCTGACCAGGACTGACAATTACGCGCAGGACTTTTTGCGACGCGCCTTAGAGAAGGCGAAGGCATCATTCGCAGAGTATGCCGTTTTTCATACTCCTGGATCGTGCCGTAGACTGATTAACGGTCGCTAGACCAAAACCTCCCCCGCCCTTCACTCCATCGCTCGAGCTGTTGATGAGATTGAAGCATAAGCGAGATGAGGAGATCGAGCGCCGGTTGCGTGGTCCTAAGCTTCCTCCGCTCCCAACGGTACTCCCGCCAGAAGATGATCGTCAAGTCGACGAGCTGCTGTCAAAACACGGGGTGATCTCGAAGATCGAGAGGGAGCAGGTCACGGACAAGGACCTCATGCGTCTCCGGCCCAACAAGTGGCTGAATGATGAAATCATCAACTTCTACGGGCAGCTGATCTTGACGCGTTCGGAGGAAGGCAAGGAGAATTTCGTCAAGAACAGCAAGAAGCCACTGGACGTGCATTATTTCAGCACGTTCTTCTGGTCCAAGCTGGAGAACGAGGGCTATGAGAAGGGCAGGCTGGCGAAGTGGACAAAAAAGGTGAGCCCCGATCGTGGCCCTACTGTCCGTCCACAGCCCCTTATCGCAAGCTCGCACAACCTAGGTCGACATCTTTCAGAAAGACGTGGTGCTCATACCTGTCAATCATGGCAACTCGCACTGGACCGCTGCTGCCATTAACTTCCGCCAGAAGCGGATAGAATCGTATGACAGCATGGGCATCGTCCGGCCGAATGTGTTTAGGGTGCGTTACTCAGCGTTCCGTGTGGCTTCTCGTGTACTGATCTCAGTGCCCTTCAGCTCTTGAGAGCATACCTGGATGCCGAGCATAAGAACAAGAAGAAGAAACCCTTCGACTTTACCGGGTGGCAAGACTACGTACTGGAGGTACGTTGCGTAATTGGTGAAGTTGCTCCAATATTATGCTGAGACAACCCACATATACAGGACGTACCCTTGCAGGAGAACGGCTATGACTGCGGTGTTTTCACCTGTCAGTTTCTGGAGGCACTTTCCCGAGGCGAAGAACCCTTCCGCTTCCAGCAGGCGCACATGCCCTACCTGCGGAGACGAATGGTCTGGGAGATTGGACATGCCAAGCTCCGTGACGATACATGACACGCTCGACACCCAATGGCCCTGCGTGCGTGCGCTCCGTACCTGCACACGCTTCATCTATTTGTGGGCGTGCACATCTTGAAGTGGCTTCGTCACGGACAAGCAGTAGTTATTGTAGTAAATTAATGGATCACAAAAGGGCGACACACATACACCTTCATCGAGCGTCTATACAGTCACCCATGCAATATCGAACATACAGCTCTTGAGCGTCTCATGGCACGTCCAGGGGCATGCACAAGAATGGACAAGAATGAGAGGATCCGAGACATTATTGTACATGCTGCAGTACGAATACCTGGTGTCCGTAATACGGAGTACTGAGGGTATAGCTGCTTTTGACAGTGCCGCTCCAGCCGAGCATGAGGTGCGAAGGGATAGATATCATCGCCGAAACCACCAGACAATGATGAAGAACCAGAAGACAATGATGAGGAACAGGATGTACCACAACCAACGGCAGCCCTGTCGCGCCGCCATGTTGTTCATCCGCCGGAACGTTCCACTCAGAATGCCAGAGGTCTCCGCGAAGGCGTCGTTCTGCATGGACGGATGGATGGTTGAGCCTCGCCGCTCACTCAATCAGCTTTGAAAGCCGACGCACCATCTGGCTCAGCTGCACGGTGGAGTCGCGCACCTCGTTCCCAATCCCAATCGTGATCTGCAACAGTTGTCAGAGGCACTGCCATACGTGCGAATCACGAAGAGGGGGGGAGCTCAGATATGACGGCCCACTCACATCTTTCAGCATCTTCACCTTGGCCTGCAGACCCTCGAGGTGCTCGTCATTCTGTCCCTCCAGGTCGTCGGCAAAGCGCTGGCCATTGGCCTGGAGGTCATACGGGGACGACCGCCCAGAGGCCGGCGGGGTGTAGTACTCGGGGAGCAACGCCGAGCGATCTCGCAGCGAGGCTGTTGCCCTAAATCTAGGGACGAATGTCTAGTTCATGACTTTGTAAATAGTGAAGTATGCACATACCGTTGAGACATAGTGAGTGAGCAGACCGGCTGTCCTCCTATGCATTAGAACATGTGAACCGTGACCAGTTGGGGCATAGCATAACCAGAACCCTATGACTTAGGCGCCGACACGTACTATGTGACTAACCTTAATCACAACAACATAGGTTCTCATTTACAGGCAGACAATAGTGGTCACATCCACTGCATTTGTGACGACCCCGAGCTATCAATACAGGAGCAAGAGTGTAGTATCTCCGGGACAATGCAACACGTCAGAGGAAGAGATATAGACAGTGGACCGCGGCAAGGAATTTATGTGACATTCTGTAAGGTAAGACCGCGCCGCTCGAAAGTTAGGCCAGCAAAAAGTCGAGTATGGCGGAAGGATGCGCGTGTGAATCCAGTAGAGAAGATGATGTACTTCGGCGCGGGGGGTCAGGGACTCTGGTGGTACTAGGTAATGCAGTGGTGTGTAAGTACGAAGGCGATCGGGTGGCAATGTCCGCGAGGAGCACTCGCTAGTGCTAATGACAGTGAAGTATACACGACATCGATACAAGTCCGTAGGGGCCATGCCTGGCTTCCCTTACTCGATACTCATCCGGTTTGGATGCGTACTCATGGGACCTCGGTAGATGTCCTGGGATTTGCCGCGTCGCGCCATATTCTGGTTCTTTGCCACTGAAGAAAGAAACAAATAAGCTTCAACGCAATAGTCACCAAGTGTTGGATACTCACTTTGATTCTTCAACCCTCGTCCGAAGTTGTTTGTCACCATGCATGCAAAGACGAATGTTGTCAGCAGCAAGACGATCGCAAAAACGGCTACAAGGGCATCAGCTGAGATCCCATGAACGCATATAGATTATCTCACAGAATATTGTCAAACTCTTCCAGACGTCAACGAACGTGGCTGTGCCATGCCGCCGCACTACTTCGACGAGCTACGGACGATTGTGAGAACGAATTCACAATCCATACGCGCCAGACTGACCTTGTACATGAAATAGACCATTGCTCCGGCACAACCCGTCATGAAAGCGAACATTGCCCACTTCTTCTCATGACGAGCCGCAAAGTGACCGACAACGAGTACCAGAATCGACAATGGAAAGGCCAAGCAAGTCAGGTAGTACTCCGCATTGTGTTCACTCAGGACCAGCCAGATGAACTGGACGGAGAAGCCGCACCAGAAGAACAGGTCGAACTTCACCAGACAGAGGAAAATCTGGTAGTAAGCATACATCGACTTGATCCGGCGATCGGCACCGAGGTACTTGTATACTTTCCAGCCAAATTCGTTATAGATCTTCCAGCCTAAGCCAATGTAGGCCAGTTCGGCGACGGAAATGACGATAGGGATGACGGTCGTGAGGACATGAATGGGTATGCCAGAACTTGAAGACGGGCTCCCAATCTCGCCAATCTGAATGATGGCGTAGACGAGGAAAAGCGCGTTGAAAATGCTGCAAGAGGGTCAATGTCAATGATAAGAGGTGTTCAAATGTCACTCACGTCAATGCGATGAACTGCAAAGTGTTGCGGTTGTATACGGCGTCCAACGCCATTGCGAACTGGAAGAGACTGCGCAAGGAAGTTCAACATGACAAGCATGAAATTTCTGGCCAAAAACGCACTGGGCCATGGCGAATATACTCAGGTAAACGGGCATCTTCCTCGATTCTGGGTCATCGCCGCTACTTGCAGACGTGCTCTGCACATCCTGTAGCCGAACAAAGAGCTCCGCCTCGATAGCAAGGTCGATAGCTGTCTCGACCGTGATGGTCAAGAGGTACAATCGACACGCGATGGAATCTGGTATGAACTGGTTGGTAGGGTGAGAAGACCTGCGCGACGCGACCACACTCGCGTTTACGTACTGCTGCGCGCACAATCTCCCAACAACTGGTCCTAGACTCCTTCTCCACCTTGGTGTCCGGCATTGTCTTCGGTGGAGGGTACTCCCAGTCTAGTCTTTGTGTTGTGTGTTCTTCGAGTCCCTTGACGTCCTTGAAAGAGATCTCGCTGTAGTTCGACTGGTGTTGGGAGAGGGGGTAGAGTGGAGGGTCACGGTCGCTGTGACCGTCATCGAAGGGCGGAGGGTCAGTATGGTGGGCTGTGTAGGAGGTCGCATACTGGTCGATGAGGTCGTCGTAGGGGGCCCTGTCGTCCCCTGCGGCGCGTGAGCGGGATTGTGAGGGTTCAGGGGAAAGAGTGGTGGGTGCGGCTGCGAGCGTTGACATTATGAAAGGAGTGAATGAATCGAGGGTGCTGTGGGGGTCGACCTGCGAGCTCAGGGGAGATAAGCCAGGTTAGCCGTCGGGGAGGATGGCGAGAGCGACATTCGATGTTCCCGTACTCCTTCTCTCCCACCGACTGCGCTATCCCTTGTTTGGCTTCGTTTGGCCGGTGGCTGCCGCGACACGGTGGCCAACCATCTCCGTTTCTCGGCTCCCCCAAATCTGCTTTCGGTCGTCAACTCTAGATGCTGTGCTCATGGTCTAGGCTGCCTCTTGGTCGCTAGATATGTTTTCAGACTCCAATTACCGCGAAATAAAACACTGCCCGGTACTATTCCTGACCTAAAATACTCTCTGAATGTGATTTTCCGCTAAGCGGCGGGGGGCATCGCCAACATGTCATGTTGCTCGACTGTACGGGCTGAAGTCATCATGCTGCGGAGCTTGGCACTGCGCTGGTAGCCTTACTCACTGCAACTACGATAGTTCGTCAAGTCAGTCTCATTAATTTTAGCCCGATCATCATTTGCATCATGCTGGACGTGAGCTACGCTAATATTAAGGCAAGGCAAGTGCAGCTTCGAATCCACCGCGGCCTGCGACTCAAGGCGCCGACTTGCACGTCCCGAAACTGGATTACTCAAGGGGAATCACATGGCCTGCAGTTGTGTATACAGTCGGGTTGCAGAGAGTGTGATGAATCCAATACATTTGCCAGGCGATATTAGACCCACTACGCGACATTGAGAAACCCGAAGTGGGCAATCTCACCGCCTCCGGAAGATGACAGGACGTGTGGCTCCCGCGTCCACCTCCACCTCAGTCAGGAACCGTTACACTCAAAAGAAGCCGCCGGAGGGGCATCGCGCTTCGTCTCGGCAAAGATACCTGCGGGACCGTATGTTTTCGGCAATTACTCATGGATCCTCCCATCGGGAATGGCACCCCAAGATTTTCGAATTAGCTTCAAAATTTCGTATACCGTTTTTCACAATCGAATATGTTCTATGTCATTGTCATTGAGGTCTCCGCGTTCTCATAGGTTGATTGCATCACGTTATGACCTGCAATGAGCTGCGACATGTTCAAAACGATACAGGCTGGTATACAGACGCAAGATGAGGGGTGATACAAGATGTGGTAGTAAATCCTTGTAGATGACGAGTCCAGTTGGATGCCTAGGCTAGGAACTGTCGGTGTCTGTCGAGGAGCCAGTCTCATCACCTTCGACGTCTGACACATCATTGTTACCAAGGCACAATCTATGAAAGCGGTATATTTACTCACCAACCACCAGGTAACCAGGCGTTGGTATCGGGGCGACGGGTGGTGCCGGTGGCGGCCGCGGTGGACTGGGCCGTTTGGGCGGCGGAGGCGGTGGTTTGGCGTTCTTTGGTTTGGCCTTGGAAATCACTTTCGCAGACAGCGTGGGGCTCTGAAGAGATGGCGCAGACGCCAAGGTTGATATTGAAGGTGCCGGCGACGACATGCGTGACGGCGACTCCGGGGATGATGAACGCTCGTGATGCATGGACGGGACGGTGGACGAGTCCCGCAGCTTGGAAGGCACCCGCGTATGTGAGGGCACTGCAAGCGTCTGCTAGGAATTAGGTCAAATTCGTGTCTCTGCATAACGGCAAATGAAATCGCGTACAGCGTTGTGTGCACTGGGAGACCCTGGATCTCGCTTGATGCGGGCGATAGGAGAACCTGCCGAGAGCATCTTAGCACAGGAACATGACGCGTGCTGGGATAGCACATACTGGTCTTTGCTTTCTTGGACTTTTTTGCAGGAGATGTAGACGGTGACCCAGGCTTCAAGGGAGTCAGCGACAATTGTAACAAAGCGAACACCCCGTATACGCACTCTCTTACGATGAAGATTGAATTCCGCATCATCTTGAAGAAAACATCAGCTTCGCTGGTCAAACAATATGTTGTCGACCCTCACCCGCTTTCTTTGCCTTCGATTTACTCTTCCCCTTTGCCGGGCTAGGTTTGCCGTCGTCCGATATATTTCCAGCCTCAGACGCCACGTATGGAGATGCAGAACGACCCGCCTCCGCAACCAGCCTTGCCATATGAGTCAGCACACGTAGCACGGATAAGCAAAATTTATGCTTACTTAGATTTAGAGGTGGCATTGCGGGTAGCGCCTCTGCGCGAGCTCCCCAGCCCCAAGCATTCGCTTAGATGTTGCGCATACCGGTTGGATGCCACCTGCGCGCGCCATGGTAAAGTCACGTATGCCCACCGGTGAAGGCAAGGAGCGCTCACCTGCCGTTTGCAATTGCTACATTCCAGGAGAATATTGCCGCCGTTCTTGCCGTTCAGAGGGGTGTTCGCCCCAGCGCCCGCAGGACTGTTCGTGTCCCCGCCTCTTGTCTCTTCCGAGGGCGTGGGCAGCCTCGACGAGGGCCCCGCCTGAGAGGCGCTGCCTGAAGGACCAGGAACATGAACTGCACAAAACGTCAGAATTCCGCACGGCACAGAGGGGAGACAACGCCTTACTGGCACCACAGCTGCGTTCCCGCGTGCGAGTTTTTTTATTATGAATTCCGCTCCATGCGCTCGTGGAAAGGCGACGACTCACTGGGTGTGACATATTTGGCAGATCGTCCGCGAGCGCGCTACCGCCTGATGCGACTCGAGGACCACGTCCATGAGCGACTCCTCGAGCATGTCCGCGAAGACCCTCGCAGCCTGCGCCGACCGCCTCAGCCACGAACACACGAACAGGCCTGCGGACTCACGAGCTCGGACAAGACCTCATCTCGCTCCTTCTTCGGCATCGAACCGCACGGTCTCTGGAGCTCGCATGTAAGTGACTGGACACTCTGCGCGGATGCGGCGTGTCGCCAGAAACGAAGCGACCTCGGAGCGTTTGACGACCTCAGCCGCCTCGGTCGCTCAACTGAAGTTATTGAACCACACTAGCCGCGCCTGTGGCTACACCCGCGCGTTCTACATGCATCACATGATCCCATCAATTCATGTTCGCGGGTTGCTCGCGGACCAGCGGTGTTACAATCGAGATGGAATCATTTTCATTTTCTCGTCGGCCTGGTCAAAATATTGTCCCAAAGTGAAATGACAGAAGTACTGCTGGCTTTTCTGTCTAACAGCATGAACTGGCGGGGAATACACAACCAAACAGCCAGCACATCATCGACAAATCGTAAAAGCAAAAATATCATAACATTGCTAGCAGATAGGAGTCATGTTGCGGGAGAGTGCACACGACGAGACTAAACCAACCATCCAGCCCGCACAACGATCCATCCGTCCGTCCTTGAAGCACATTACCGCGAGAGCCGGGAGATCGTGAACACGCCGAGAATCACAGCCGCAAGCGCGCCTATGCTGGCAGGCAGCAGCAGGTCCTTCGGGATGCCCATCACCGTCTCGTCCTCGACGACGTGCACCGGGGGCGGTGGCGGGTTGCTGGCCGGCTCCGGCAGCACCGACTCCGCCTTCTCGACCTCCTTGGTTTCCGCTTGCGCTGCTGCGGCGACCTCAGCGGCCTGCGCGGCGCTTTTCTCCGCCATGACGTCCGCCCAGCCCTTGCCGCCCTGAATGTACAGCACAACACGGTCTGCCCCCGCGGCGCGCGCGATCTTCACCGCGTCCGACACGTCCGCATCCGATGTGATGAGCACGATGTCGCCGTCCGCGTCCGTGTACGAGAGCAAAAAGTCCGTCGGGTCCGGAGGCGGCTCGGACGGATCTGCGGTCTTGTAGTTCGTGAAGAAGGGGTCCGTCGCGAGCTTGCCCGCTACGATGTCCCGCAGGTTCTCGACATTATCGTGGCGCGCCTGGAAACGGTGCGTACGCCCGCTCGGCGTGCGGAACTTGAAGACGTATGTGCCATCATCGACCGCCGGCAGAGGCACCGGCGGGCCGACAATGAACGGGAGAGGCTCGCCCTGTTTGCTGGAGTAACCCTCGAGGACGGAGTGCTCCTCTTGTTCATCTACCATAGACGCAGAGTCGTTGGGGTGCACCTCAGGCGAATGAACCGTGTGGGACATGCTGCGGGACAGATGGCGGGAGCGCACATCCGTACCAAAGTGAGAACCCGACAAGGCCGACTCGGTGTCATCGCCACCTAGGGAGTCGAAGAAGCGACCCCACATGGGCCCGCCCTCTTCGTTCTCGCCCGCGTTTTCTGTCATCGTCATAGAGTTCATTTGCTCGAGGGTCGCGTAGGTCAACTTGAGGACATCGACGATAGCCACGAGACGACCGTCTGCCTCCACGACAGGCAAGTTAAGATAATGACCGACTGTAAGCAGAAATCATCAGCAAAGAAATGTGAAGCAAACAGCATGATCTACGTACTGTGCATCTTCTTGAGCGCGTCATGACAGGTCATGTCGGGAGGGGCAGTATCAGGGTGAGGGGTCATAACGCGGACGACGCTACACCTGGTCGCATCGAGACCAGCCGCAATCACACGCAGAACGATATCCTTGCTCGTGAAGATACCCGCAATCTTTGGCGGCTCGGCAACGACGGCATGAGGGGCATGCGTCGGAGCCTCCATGACACACACCGCCGTCGTGCGCCGCTCCTTCATCAGCTTCGCGACCTCTTTCACCGTCGTCTTCGGGCCGACGGTGGCGGGCTGCGTGCGCGAATCCATGACGGAGGTCAAGTCCGGCAGGGCCGTCTTCTCACGGAGGGATTCGACGTAGGAAAGCATCGCCGCCGCCTGCGGGTTCGCGCCCAGCCCCGTGCCAAGCTCGGACTGCACGCCCGCGAGCGCGGAGTACAGCTTCTCCGACGCGGAGGAGCTGCGCTCGACTTTGTCGAGAGCTTCATGGAAGACCTTCGTGATGTCAAGCAGACCGACAACGTTGCCCTCTTCATTGCAGACCGGCTAATGGGAATGCAGGTCTAAGAATACGCACACGTGAGATAATGTCCGAGAGCAGCTTACCAGATGTCTGAAGTGCCGTTGGACCATGAGCTGCAGCGCCTCTGTGGCACTCGTCGTGTCGCGGGTGACCATCGGGTTTCGCGTCATGATCGTGCTGACCTGGGTAACGTGAGGATCCAGGCCCTCCGCGGTGACCTAGGCACATCCAAGGCTTAGCATACGTGGAGGCCAAAGTGGATCGAGAGTACGCACCCTGTACGCCAGATCCTTCGCGGTGAAGATACCGCTGAGGCCTTCGTCGTCGTCGACGACGAGGACACAGTCCGTCCTCTTCGCAGCACAGAGCTGGCTGGCCTCCGAGACGGTGATGTTCTCCGGGACGGTCAGCGCGGGGCTGGGCTTGAGCGCGGCGACGGTGCCCTTCTGCACATTGGGCTTGTGTCCGCGCCTGCGGCTCGACGTGTGCTGGGTCGTGGAGATCGTGCGCTTTCGCGAGAGCTCGCCCTCGATCTTCTTCCGGATAGCCTGTGAGGCGCGTCGTGCGTCAGTAAGCTCGGTCTGCCCCGCAGGCGTGCGCCGCCGAAAAATCGCGCCGAAGGGCGCGTAGGTGCGCTCGTCAAACACGCTGGTATGCGCCGGCATTGCCGTGCAGAGAACAGGGCCGACACGTGTGTGTCGTGCATGCTCCGCAAGACCGTGCGCTGCGCGATGCGTGGTATGAAAGGGATTTGCTCACCTCGTCCCGTTTGGACTGCTTCTTCCTGGTCTCTGCCACGGACGCGGACACGGTGGACATAGCGGTAGATGGCTGGTGACGGTGCACGGCGACTGGGAGAGGTGAGGTAGCGCGTTCAGGGAAGGGTATGGGCGACTCTGAGCGGGGGAGAGCGCCTGCGCCGCGGTGGTTAGAAGGAGAGTGCGTCGAGGGCACAGGAATTCGGGACATGCTCAGCTGTCCGCCGCACAACTGGAAAGCTGCAAGCCACGCGTTCGGCTCAGACACCCGGCTCTGTTGGTCCCTGTTTGTTCCGTCGTCTCGAGCCGATCATTTCAATCCATTTTCGGGTTATTGCTCAAATACACGAGGCTATGTACTCTACAAGGCACGATACAAACTACACGGCGATATCCTATCACATAACACAGCTATATTACGAAATCGTGAGACCTTCTGAGACGTCCCCGTCAGCCTCCGCTCGAACGTGTGCCGATTGCAGACTCACCCAGCAGGCTTCGGGTATAAGCACTTATCGTATCTTCCTCGACGATCTCGCCCTGCCACCCTGATCGGTGTAATTGGTGTAATAGTAGTACGCCCCGCCAATGAGCAAGATTGCAACGAAATGGGCTGGACATTCGCCGATAAGCTGCCGGCCCGCAGGGACAGCCACGAAACACTCACCGGCTACAAACGCAAGCGCGCTCCCGAACAAATCCGTCCCAAACGCCACGAACGCCTGCACAAGCTGCAACAGGCCATTCAGGAGGTCTCCACCGAGGGCGAGGATGGCCTGGAGCACGGCCAAGACCGAATTGACAAGGGATGCGACAATGGAGGTGAATGACTGAATGAGATTAGAGAGAGCAGAGGCGAGAGGTGCCATGACGGGCAAAAACAAGAGAGTGAACCCACATCCGCAGCGGTATCGCCGCCTTATGTATGTCTGCTTCACGTCGCGCTGTACTCCATAGGAGCGTAGACGCGTGACGTCATGTCTGGCTATAAGTCACGGGAGCAATTCGCGCACACGCAGCATATTGCAATCGAGCGATACGCCCAAGACTTGCATATAGACCTGTAGCAGACAGTCATACCATTACTCTAAACCTACTGTCCCAGCCTGTGCACGCCCGCGCACGTTTCCAATAACACAGCACACGTACAGCATGTCCCGCGCGTGCCCCTCACCTCCTGCCAGGGGCCGGCTGCTGCTCCAACACACTCCCTACCCAGCGCTCGACCAGCAACTTGACCTTGGTCCACACGTTCACAATTTGAGGGTGTGTCCCCGGCCTGCCCACGTACCCGTCCACACGCGCTGTGACGACGGCGACGGCGTTCTGCGTGAATTTGGACTGGTAGTAGCGAGCACGGAGGAAGTGGGCGTAGATGACGGGAGAGAGCAGCGAGTTCTGGAAGGTCACGGCACCGACCGTGACGCGGACCATGATGACCAGTTCAGTGAAGGCGACGACTTTCATCGCAGTGTCGTAATTGGCTTATTGCGATCCACGTTAGCCACAAGTCACATCACGCCAACATAAACTCACCTTTTACCCATGCATGCAAGGTCTTCGCAAGAGGGTGAGGGGTGGGCGCCGCGCCAGCCGTTGGGGGCGGGCCCGGGGGGAGGAATCGGGGCATGAGATTCGTACGCGTGAACGTGAGGGCATGAAACAGCGAGAAGACTGTGTAGGGAACCAGAGCGACTGCGACGGACGGGAAGTCAGAGGGTCACAGCGCCTCCCCGTCATTACGGCAGAGACACGCACTGGTGATTGGCTTCATGGACCACCAGAAGAAGGCAAGCATGAAGTATTGGACGTTCTGCAAGCGAGGGGCCATCAGCACGCGGCCCTAGGCGAGCAAGCGGGAGGCCGTACCTCATCAGCAGCCGCATGCTGGAATCGCTTCACCCAAGTGACCGGCGGGCCAAGTGGAGCCTGCTACGATTGACGCGTCAGAGGGATGGCCTTTCGGTGGCCACACTGAGTATTCACCTGTAGGGACTTTCTGGAGCGCCGGGCGGGATGAGCACACGCGGACGCACAACGTGTGGCACGCAGGACTCACTGGCAGACGATGGCGTAGCTCACAAGCGCGCCGAGGAAGCTCGCTGCAATGACACGCAACACGTCGTCGGCTGCTCGGGTCGCTACACGGGAGAGGGCACTCACCCTTGTACCACCAAGTGGAGACCCCCCTGAACATGACTGTGGCGAGGAAATAGCGCAGGGAGGACAGCAAGAGGATGAAGTGGCCAGAGGCCCACAGGTAATGCTGCAAGCCACACGCCCGGGGTCAGCGATGCGGGCCCGACGCGACGCAGAGAGCGGGTACTGACCTGGGTAGTAGCCATCACGACGAACGGGCGTGCTTGGTGGAAGAGTGAGAAGACACGGATGAGAGGCTGCGAGACCTGGTTGCGCTCGCTGGAGTGGGTGCGCGCAGGTGACGCACCCCACGTTGTGCTTTAGGGCCGGTGCAGGGCCAGCACGGGCAGAGGCTCGATCATGACGCCCACAGCACGGATCCGAGAGCATGGATGCTTATAATGGAAACAATACACACACAACACCCGCCGCGCTATCGACTCCACTGTGCCCGCCCCCCGCCCGCCAGCTTCTTCCGCTCCAGTCCCGTCTTGTACACCTCCTTCTCCACCGCCCGCCGCCCCAGCGTCTCCTTCCGCCGCTCCTTCCCGCCCCGCCGCCCCTGCGCCCTCCAGCCCTCGTCGCCCTCCGCGTTCTCCTCCTCGCTCGCGTCCTTGTCTACAGCGTCAATCTCCTCCCACTCTTCCTCGTTCTCGCCGTCCTCGCGCTTCCGCTTCTGCCCGCCGCGTCCCGCGCCACCCTTCCCGCCCCCGATGTTCACGTTCACGCGCGGCGGCACCGCAAACCCGAACGACCTGCCCACCTTGGCCAGGTCCAACTGATTCACGTCGAAGATCTTCTTCAGCGAATATGATGCGTACGCCTGCAGGTACGATCGGTACCCATCGCGCGCCGACTGGTGCAGGAAGTAGTTCTTTTGCAATAGCTTCTCCAGCTGTCACGATATCCATCAGTGACCGCGCGCGCACAAACTGATATCGCCGCACCTGAGATTGCACATTCGCGATCTGATCCGCTGGAAAGCTAAACTCGTTCAGCGGCACCTTCGCGTCCTTAAGATACCGCAGGAACCCGAGCTCGCTGGGAAGCAGGAACATCAGGCTCTTCCCGACCTTCCCTGCACGCGCGGTTCGGCCGACACGGTGGATATAATCGCGCGGGTCGTCTGGCGGGTCATATTGGATAATCCAGTCCACGCGCGGGATATCCAACCCTCGAGCAGCGACGTCCGTGCAAAGCAGCGTCCCCGACTCGGCATTGCAGAACTCGAAGAACGTCGTCGTCCGCTTTTGTTGTTTTTGCTTTCCCTGTAAAATTCAGGCGCACGTCAGTTTGAGGAACGCAGCCGGCACTGTGGGGACATGACACTTGCATGTAGATCAAGCACGGGTACATCGATATAATTTAGGAGTTCGGCGTGGTACTTCACCGAATTACAACTTGAAAAGAACACCACCACTTTCTTCTTCATATTCCGCTTCAGGAACGTGAAAAGCAGCAGGAACCGTCGATCTGACGGGCAGACGACGTAGCCTTGTGATAGTGTCGACACCGTGCTTGTGCGCTCGGTCTTGTCGACATCAATATATAGGGGCCCTGGGCGCAGCGACATCCGCGCGAGGTCGGTGACTTTTGTGGTTTGGGTCGCGGAAAAGAGCATGGACTGGCGGTTTTCTGGTGTGTACCTAGTGAGCGGTGCACGGGGAGATAGGGGCCGCGCGACGCACCGTTTGGAAGGATAGCGATGATTTTCTTCATCTCCTCCTCGAACCCAACCTCCAATATCCGGTCCGCCTCGTCGATCACCAGGCCCTTCAGGTTGCGGAAGACGAATCCTTTTGTGTTCTGCACTGGCCGTCAGCAACCGCGCACCACCAGCATCCAGGCCTATGCATAGACACAGGCGGACACACACCTCCAAGTGGTCGAGGAGACGGCCGGGCGTCGCAACGACCAGGTTCACGCCCTTTTGCAGCTTGTCGGCCTCGGCGCGGCGGTTCGCGCCGCCCATGACGATCCCGAACGTTTGCGAGTGGTGCGCCATCAGCTCCTTCGCGACGCCGAAGATCTGCAGCGCGAGCTCGCGGGTCGGCGAGACGATGACGATCCCCGTACCTGAGCAGCACCCATGAGCACCCTCCGACAACGCCGTCTGACGCGCGCAGGCCCGGCACAACCCACAAACGCAGCGGGGAAGAGAGGAAGAGAGGAAGAGAGACGCACCGTTCCGTGGCTTGAACTTCATCCGGTGCAGCAGCTCGACGGCGGGGATGAGGAACGCGAGCGTCTTGCCCGAGCCCGTGCGCGCGGCGCCGAGCACGTCCTTGCCCGCGAGCAGCGGCGGGATGCTCTTCTCCTGCACGGGCGTCATCGTCGTGAAGCCCATCTCCGCGAGCGCACGCGCGGTCGGCTCGGACAGCTCGAGCTCGGAGAAGGGCTTGCGCCCTGGCGTGCCGTCGGCGTTGGGGACCGGTGCGGGCGCAGTGACCTCTTCGGAGGCCATGGCTTTTAGTGTGATAGTAGGGCTTGCGCTGGTTACGAGGTGGTTGACAGTGCAGCAGCTCGGAGAAGGTAGAGAAGGGAGCGAGGGACGAGGGATCGCCAGGCAGCTCAGCTCAGGAGGATGTGAAGAGAGATGAAAATGGGCGTCTAAGCCGGCGGTTACAAAATGTGCAGAAACTTGGCGCTCATTGGTTGAGGCTCGGCGCTTGCCGGTGTACGCGATGTCTTCCGCAACTGCACACCGTCAGTCCAATACTTCGTTCCGTCGTCGCTTTGGGTGGTACTCATAGTCCTCCATGTCTCAGTCGTCACCGCCGTAGCATTGGTCGCGACCTCGCTGGGCGTCGGGTATGCCATCGGCGTGAATTCCGCCAAGTCCGCATCTGCGGAGAGCGGCAGCAAGCCCGATACCGCCGCACCCGCCTTAAACGACCCGCCAGTGGAGGAAGACAGCGAGGACGAGGGTGATGTTGCCGACGGTGATCTCTCTGCCATCAAACCCGGTTTCACGGAGCCGTGCAAGTTGGTACGCTCCCCGTCTCTGGCAGTCTCGAGCCCGAGAATTTACTGTATACAGGTTCTCGTAGTGCGGACGGATCTGAACATGACGCCAGGCAAAATCGCTGCCCAGTAGGTTCGCTGTCTGCTAAGGATGTTTACTGCAAAGCTTACATTCCGCCCAGGTGCGGGTGAGTACAATTTATAGTGAGCCTCACGTCCTGCTTGACTGAAGAGCGCAGGCATGCAACACTAGCGTGCTACAAGGCACTGCTCAAGACGAATCCAAAGGTGAGAACACGCGCTATCGGTTGCACCTGCTGTATTGACTTCGCGTAGCTCCTGCAACACTGGGAGCGCACAGGGTCAGTACACACAAATCATCGTGTAGTGTCAGGACGCTGAGCCGGCGGAATTGCAGGCAAGCAAAAATCGCTTTGAAAGCGACCTCGGAGGATGCGCTGCTGGAGCTTGAAGCAATTGCGAAGAGCCTGAACCTATGCGCGCGTCCGATCCACGACGCGTACGTATCATTGCTTGTTGCCATTGTGCCTCGGCTGACAGGAAGGCGTCTAGCGGAAGGACACAGATTGCGGCAGGCTCACGGACAGTGCTGGGGATTGGACCTGGTGAGTAACAACAAGACGCGTATGGCGAGACGTGCTTGCTGATGTTGCTGGACTCTGCAGGGCCGGTGGAGTTGGTGAACCGCGTTACTGGAAAGCTGCGGCTGCTGTGAGATGAGATGCACTGGTTGGCGTGTACATATGGTTGTGGTAGCGTGCTCCTCTGGATTCTTGTTATGACTCAAATAAGCTGTGCCGTTGACGCCGCGACAGAAAGGAAGTTGTTGCAAGAGTGATAGCGGCGGCCTTGCCGTGAGCGAGGGATGTTCTCGACGCTTCGTGTGCAAAGGGCAGAGAGATGACGTCAGCGTGAGAACGGCCTGATATGGGCGGGCGGAGGGCGGCTGGCGGCGCGTCTGCACGCTGAGGAGCATCCGTGGAGTCTCTCCATCGCCCAGTGGATGCTTGCACCGCGTCTAGTACGCTTTGCTCTTTTATAACTTATCCTTGCCTCACAGATTCCCTTCCCGTCTTTTGCTCACACGACGATTGCAACAACGTTCTCACCACCATGTCTAGCATCGCGCTCGCGCGTGCCTACCAGCAGTCCTTTGAACACCACCCCTACGGCACCCTCGCCGTCACAAATGGCGCCCTCAACGCCCTCGGCGACCTCGTCGCCCAGCTCACCGAAAGACATGTGCGTGCATCCCTCGCTTCGTGCGTCGAGCACAGCTCAAACGACGCACCCCGCCCAGATCGGCCCTCGCAAAGAGGCGTGCAAGTACGACATCCCGCGCACCCTTCGCTTCTTCGCCTTCGGATTCGGAATGGGTGCGTCGTCTGCTCCACACGTACCTGACGCGACCCGCTGACCGACCGCGGTACCGCTCAGGCCCCCTGATCGGCCGGTGGAACTTCTTCCTCGAGCGGAACTTTCCACTACGCCCCCTGGGCTCTGCTCTCCCTGCCGTAGCTCGCACTGGTAATGGAAAGGGGCGGGTGAGCATCCGTGCACTCTCAAAGCGCGTCGCGGCCGACCAGCTCATTATGTGCGTACGATTCGCATCAGTGAACCCAGGGCCGTCGCTGAACCATAAACGGAAACACAGGGCACCTATTGGGGTATGTCTCCTTCCCTTCAGGGCAGCGTGCAGAATGCGTGGCTGACCCGCGCAGCTGTCGTTGTTCATCGGCTCTATGGGCATCATGGAGGGCCGCGACGGGCCCCACATCCGCCGCAAGTACGCTGATATGCTCGTGCCTGCCTTGATCGCCAACTGGCAGGTATGGCCCCTCGCACAGGTGCGTTCCGGCAGTGCTCAACACCCGTGGACCATATTTACGCCGACGGTCCCGATGCAGTTTCTCAACTTTCGCTACATGCCTCTGGCGTACCGGGTCCCGTTTCAGTCCTCCTGCGGGGTCTTCTGGACGCTCTACCTCTCCATCCTCAATTCGAGGTGTGTTTGCGCATGCGTTCATGCGAACGAGGCTGATCGTCCTTCGCAGAGAATCGCTTGAGCAGCAACAGGAAGACAAAACGCGCGAGACGCTCCAATGAGTCTTGTGTTGTGTAAGTCATCAATAGACTCCTCGGACTCGGTTACGTCGTGCGGAGCGGACACTCGGGTTTACTAGATGCCCATCAAGCGGGCAACTACACCCCATGGGGACTCGGCCGTTAAGGACCGCCCTCATCTTGTAGCATAATCAACATTTCCGTATCAATTACCCTATCGTAGCGATACTCTACTTTTACGTTTCATGTAGTAGTTCATCAAGTACATACCATACAAATAGACAGCACTGCATCCGCGGAGAGATGGTGTGAGATGCACCTATGCAAGGCAGACGACATCGCCAGAGGCTCAGAACCACGGTCCAGGAAGTGCCCGAACAACGCCCCTCACGTCCTTCCATACTTCGGCTTGAAGAACGCCGGCGGCATGCGCGAAAGCACGTCCACCAGCGGGCGCTCGACGACCACGAGCTCCCCGCGCCCGACAAAGTCCACGAAGAGCACCGGCCGGTAGTGCGTCACCACCCGGAAGTTGCTCTGCGGATGCGCGAGCTGGTCGCCCTCCCCCGCGGGCGCATGCGCCGCCTGCCTGCGCCCCGGCGCCGCGTCCCGCCGCCGCTTCTGCTCGAACCCGCCCCACCCCGTCTCAGCGTCGAGCTTCACGCGGCAGAGCCACGTCGCGCCCCAGAAGAGCGCGTTGCGCTGCGGCGCGCGGGGCGCCCCGCCCTCCGCCGGCTCGCTGGGCCCGACGGACGCGGGGTCGAACGCGACGCCGAGGATGGGGTCGTGCAGGTGCGCGAAGCGCTCCGGCACGCCGCGGTTCAGGCCGCGCGCCCAGCGCGGGAACGTGCGCAGCTCGGCGTCGTACACCTGGATGCTGTTGTTCGCGAGCCCGAGCACGAGCACCGTGGGCGCGGCGGGGTCGAACGCGAGCGCGTGCACGGCCGCGGGGAAGCTCGGCAGCTGCGCGTGGTGCTGCAGCGCGGCGAGGTTCGCGACGTGCGTGCGCCCGCGCTCGTCGCTGCTCGCGAGCCAGCGGCCGTCGGGGCTGACCGCCATGCGCGTGATCGTGGCGAGGGCGAGCCTGTGCGTGGGCGGGGGCGCCGTGTCGTCGTCTGAGGAGGCGGAGGCGCGTGCGTCGGCGTCGGCGTCGGCTGCTGCCTCTGCCTCTGCCTCTGCCTCCGCCCTGGCACGGTGCCGGGGTTTGCGGCCCTTGACGACCCTGTCGCCGATGGTAAATTCTTGCAGACGATGATGTCCGAACCTGCGTAGGATACGCGGGTGTCTGGGGTCACTGTCTAAATCGACGACGAGAATGAAGGAGCTCATGGCTGAGGCCACGAAGAGCCTTGACGAGTCGGGTGAGAAGAGCAGGGAAGATGCTCCTGTCGACTCTGTTCTTGGAGGCAGCTGTGCGAGGAGGATGGCGGCAAAGTCGCGTATTCGCCTCGGCTTGAGATCGCTGTTCGCCTGTAGCACGGACTCTATGAGGACTTCGCTAGACAGAATCCGGTGACCGTACTCACCTCCTCCTCCATATAGAACAACTTGGTCTCATACCAATCGGCTACGGCTACCCACCGGCCATCGCTCGAGATCGCGCTTGCCGTCAGAGTAGTATTGGCATTGAGATCCATGTCCAGGACCCTTTCCCAGCCTACGTCCTGGCGCGGTGCGTCCATCTCGTCTACGTCAAGAGAATTCTGCTTGCGCAAGATCCGCCACACACTCAGCCCGGCGTCCCGCATGCATAGTAGCAATCTCGCGTCCCGTGCAAGATGTATCGCGGTCGAGTTGTACGGCCCCGAGTTGTACGCTAGCCGACGATGATATGAATCCTCGAACGTCGCAGGGGTGCTGGTTGCAAGAGGGTTGATAATTCGTGTGACAGTACTTGTCGGAAGCGCTGCAGGCGTAGTGACTACCGACATGTCTAGCCCGCCGGAGACCAGTACGGGCGCGACATCGATGGGGAATTTACGTCGGTGAGAAGGGGGGACTGGTGAGTAAGGAGGCCAAATCGCAAGAGCACGGACGTCGTGTGAGTGCATTCGGCGGGACGTAGACTGGACCCAACGGGCAGGTGAGCGAGCAAGGAGTGACGATGAGGCTTCCGCGCGGGATGTTTTAACATGGCTGTACTGGGTGATTTTTTGGTCGACGCCTGAGGTATAGACGGCTGTGCCCTCCTGCGATACAGTGAAGTCAGATATCGGCTCAAGTTGCACATTGAATAATCAACTCACTGGACTGATCGTGAGACAGAGCACATCAGCAGCGTGTCCCTGGAAGCTATCTAGTTGGGTGCATGTTCGTGGGTCCCAAAACTTGACAATGCCCATCGAGTCTCCTGAGACGATTGTGCCGTCACTAGCCGGATAAGCGCATTAGCGTTATACAATACGGGGAGCTGAATGTATAGTTACCCCAGAACACCGACAGCCCACACAAGCGTCCGCTCGCCTCTCACCTTGTCCGTCGCCATGCGATCGAGCACCCGCCCATTCCCCACGTCCCACTTCCGTAAGCAGGAATCTGAGCAGCCAGCAACGAGCCAAGAATCCGACCAGTCGTCCGCATCGTCGTCCGAGTCCAAGTCCTCGCCTCCTGTGTGCTCCGCCGTCTCGCGCGGGACCGGCGGACCCCAAGCAATGCTCAGGATGCGGCTCTTCACGCGATCAAAGCGCCTGAGGTGGGTGAGCGTGTCAGCTTCAATGGACAGCAGGCGGATAGAGCCGTCCTCGCATCCCAGCGCAAGTATGCTCGATGCGGGATTGGGGGAAATCGCCCATATGGCACCGCCCTGCGAGCTGACCGTTCTCTGCCATTGATTGAAAGGTGAGAAGAGGGGAAAACAGGAAAGTAAACACATACGCGGACGCATGCTCGCTGGAGATCCCATTCTACTAGCTCGCTACTACCTCCTGCACTAAAAAGCCGCAAATTCGAAACAGTGGGCACCTCGTCTTCTCCTAGGCTGTCCGGGAATTTGATCGCAAATGCAAGGGAATCCACCTTCGATGGATATGGACCTGCAAGTGTCTTCATATATTTGAATCGATCTGTAACGCAAATTAAGGAAGCTAGGGCGAACATACCTTTCTGACCACCCAAGCCTGCGGTGCCTTGATCTCCTGCTCCGTACCCGTCCATTCACAGATCTCAATATTTCCGTTGCCACGCCCGACAGCAAGGGTGCCGAACTTGAGGGGCTTCCGGTTTGTAGTACTTTGCTTTCCCTTAACCGAGGGTAGGCGGAGCGGAGGAAAGCAAAGCGCCGTGACCGCGGACGGAGTGTAGTCGACGAACCGACATCTGTGCACCGCAAGGGGTGTCCCCTCTATCATCTAAGCAGGTTTGAGTGCGAGGAGGCGGGGAGTATTTTGTGCAGACCGTCGGTGAGCGCGTCGGCCTGAATTCGCGGGACGCGAAAGTCACGAGCAAACTTTTCTCCTGGCCGCATTCGGCAGGAGCGTGCATTGTTGGCTCGGTCTGCTCGTCACCGCCGGCTTGAGACACACTCCACTAAACCACTATCTCCATCTCTATTACCTGTCCCGACGTTGGGTTACAGGAGCCCCCTTCATATCTGCTCATTTTCCGTGACTTTGCTGTAAAATGTCGTTCCTTGGACGGTCAGGCGGATCCTCGACTGGTGTGAACCCGGAGCGGGTGGAGATGGCGGTACAGGAGTACGTATCAATCCATTTATTACTGGATGAGACATACTGACTTGGTTCACAAAGGTTGGACATGATCACCGATGTGTTCAACCGTCTCGTGTCGTCAGTGGCACACCATGCAGTCATAGATTGTCTCCTTATTGATGCGCATCACTTCTATAGGTCATGTCACGCAAAGTGCATCAGCACACGGTATGCCGAGGGCGACTTGAACAAGGGCGAAAGCGTCTGCATTGACCGCTGCGTGTCGAAATTCTTCGAAGTGAACAAGAGGGTCGGGGAGAAACTGCAGAGCATGGGCGGAAATGCTCCCAGCGGGCAGAGCGCGTTCGGCTCATTATGAGAGGACACAAGCTGCCAGCGATTGCTTGCTGAGGGCAATCGCCACTTTCACGATACTTTCCGCACGCCGTATAGTCAACTAATGCGCTGGACATGTAGTGCCTCCGTTCCAAAAGCATCGTAACCTGCAATAGACGGGTATGTACATGCAGGGTAGTCCTCGCAAAGTGCGAGAGAATAAGTGTAATAGATGATGTGTGCAGCTCGAACACGCGTTAGGACCCGCAGTCACTTCCCGTAGGTGGGGAAACATTCGGCCATGGTCTTTGAGTGCTTGTTCTTGGCGTGCTCTTCGAGTCTGAAATCCATACAATAAATCGAGGAACATGCTGCCTGGAGAGATGGTGGACTCACGCAGGCTCGCGAGTTGTCAGAAGCTAAAAGAAGATCGCTCTGAGCACGTTTTAGGAGGCCGAGGAGAGGGAGCACTCACAAATGTCTGTCTACATGTTGCACAGATGATGTTAAGAGCAGCTTGGTTGGTCTTGGTTTGGCTCTTCGCGGCCCCTCCAGCCTTCGCCGCATTCCTCTCCCTCTTCTGAGCGGCTTTCGCACCCTACGGACATCAAGCAGCCCGATCAGTGGAGAAAATTGGATGAAGACGTGGCGACACACGTTTCCCATGATTCACCGATATCCAGACAAGTACACGAAGAAGAAAGAGTACAGAGAGACAGAAAGTCTAGTCGAGAAGAGCCCGAGAGAGGACCGGACGATACCACTGAGCCTGGACAGAGTCTGTAGCAGAGATGCAAGGATACGGGCGCCTATGTGCGATCGACGAATTTCTCGGCCACGGTCCGCGATCTAGATCCCATTTTGAATCCATTACCCACTTTTTATTTTTCTCAACAAATCATGGCGTGCGACCTCTGCCTGCATGACTCACCTCAGCATCTCATTATTCCCCGCTCGCCTCCTGAGACTCACCCAGACAGCGTTTCCATTCACCGTCGCGCGAAAATACACCATGGTCGCACCAAACAGTCCGTTGGCCAAGGTCATTGATGAGGTCAAGGTTGACATCCTCACCCGGACACAGGATAATGTGAGTCTTTAGTCCATATGCTGGCAGTTGGTCCTGACCCATTCCACAGGACAACGCGAAATGGCTGCACAATGTCTCCAGGAGCTTTATCTGTGAATGAACCCATGCCCTCTCAATTCGCTTGATTTACTAACACCCTTGGTCAGCCGATACGATAACAGGTTCGCATCATAGTCGACGATTGAGAGTCTTCTTCTGAGGGTGTCTCGGATAGTTCCCACCCAGGAGATGTATACGTACGCCGTGCAAGCCTCGTTAGGCGACGACGTGTACGACGAGCCGTGCACCAAGACTCTGGAGGCACACATGGCGAAGTTGACCGGCAAAGAGGCTGCGCTGTTCATGCCTTCTGGTACCATGTCCAACCAACTCGCGCTGCGGACACATCTCAAGCAGCCCCCATACTCCGTGTTGTGTGACCACCGCGCGCATATCGCAAGGTCCGCTTCATTCATGAGCAGTCATTGATTAGTCGCTCAGCTGCATCTGGTCACTAGGTACGAGGCCGGTGGTACTGCCTTCCACTCTGGCGCGCAGCTCGACTATGCTATCCCAGCAAATGGTACGTGGTGTAGATAGCAAGATATGCAACTGCTCACGCCTAATCTGACAGGACATCATCTCACACTTGACGATGTCAAGGAGCATGTCGTCCTCGGAATGGATGTTCACACGTAAGAGCATAAATAATGCATGAGACCAGTCGGCTGATTCAATGCTGAAATAGCTGTCCTACGGCTGTCATTGAATTGGAGAACACCTTAAATGGGACGATTATGCCCCAGGAAGACATTATCGCCATTTCACAATTCGCTCACAGCCATGACATTAAAATGCACCTCGACGGTGCACGCATATGGCACGTCGCCGTGGAAACTGCGACGCCGCTCAAAGAACTCTGCGGCCCCTTTGACTCGGTCAGTTTGTGCTTCAGCAAGGGTCTTGGTGCGTGCCTCTTCCGATAACCCCATCTTAATTGTGGTTGAGCGGTATTGTATCAGGCGCACCAATCGGCTCCTGCTTGGTCGGCACACAGGAGTTCATCACCCGTGCACGCTGGTTCCGAAAGATGTTCGGTGGTGGCATGCGCCAGACCGGCTTCATGGCCGCCTCCGCGGCGTACGCTCTCACACACCATTTCCCCCTCCTCTCCCGCGTACACGCCCTGACCCGACGGCTCGAAACCGGTCTTCAGGACATCGGCGTCAGCATCACCAGCGGCGCTGAGACTTGCATGGTGAGTACTGTCTGACCGGGCACGACGCCCTGACTTGACTCGGGATCAACGCAGGTCTTCTTCGACCCCTCGCCAATTGGTGTCAGCTATGCCGAGCTGGTCGCGCGGGCAAGCAAACTCCCTAGCCCGATCAAGCTCGGGGGCTCGCGTCTTGTCGTTCACATTCAGACGACGGACGAGACCGTCGACGATTTTTTGGCCCTTGTGCGACAGCTCGCGCAGGAGAAAAAGGACGGTGGATTCGTCGCGACCGAGGCTCACGCGAAGGTGAATGGCAGTGCGAAGCAGAGCATATATGTGAAGGTTGCGCCCGCCGACGTGGATAAGGCATAGAGAGAAACCCATCTAAGCCTGACATAGTGTCTAGTGTCAATCGGCGAGAATCCAGCAGAAGACCAAGCTGTGTACCACCATAGAGCACATAGATTGCATGTAACTTATCATTATGATAGATTCATAAGCCCATGTTGTCCCGCATGCTCAACCCTAAAGGCTATCCCGGCACGAGATACATGTCTTACTCTCGGCATTACGCTTTTGACATTGTTGTGCACAGTACAGTACTTTTGTGAAGAGCTGCGCAGGAATCTCTAGCCCTTCCCAACGTATCTTTGCTTCTCATACTCCTTCCATAGCGCCTTCATCGTCGCCTTCCCACCCGCGTCGAGCGCGGACACCATCATCGCATCACGATTGTGCTCTCCCAGCATGTCACACAGCGCGAACAGCCCCGGCTGTAGCTCCTTCCGCACCTGCGCTGAGACGTGGCAGAGCGGGTCGCTGATTGCCTCGACGTACGCCGTCAGCACGTACGCAGCGTGCTTTGAGAACGGCCGGACCAACGACTCGGGCTTTTGAATATCTGCCGACTGCGCGTGCGCACGCACGACGGTCTTCGTTGACAGGTTGGTCATAAGCCGTGCGAGCGCCTTGCTCTCCTCTACTCCAAGCGGCGTGCGTGCGGTTATCCACCGCGGGAGGGTATTCACGACCTGCTTCGTCTGCTTCGCTCCGAGCTGTGGTCGGAGGCAGCGGAGGGCTTTCGTAAGCTGTCGTAATATCATGCCGAGGTGCGGGAGCGTGTTCAACACGAGGTCGCGTCGAAGACGGATGAGCGCGCTGACGATAGCAATGAGTTCGTGGAAGACGGCTGAGTCTGTCTCGGCGTCGTGTTCCGTTGACTCTTCGAGAGTTTGGCCAACTATGGACCATATGCTGGACATGTCGCAAATTCGAATAGCCGCAGGCTTTAATAATCGTAAGTGAATGTGATCGCGGAAATTAGACTTCCGGGAATAACGTACACGACTATTGAAATGCCGGCTCATCAGGTTAAGGACCTCACGACGAAGAGACGGTGTAGTATGATAGAGGTGTTTGTCGGCAAATAGGTTGAAAATTTTCGTCGTGTGGTCCTGCGTAATTTTGGATGTACCTGAGTGAACAACACTTGAGTGGAAATTCATAAGCTAGTATGGGTGTGGAAGTTACCTTCAGGAGCATCATGCACAAGCAGGCTTGATAGACGGATCAGTGCTGCTGTGTCCTCCACTTGACTCGTAGCGCAGGAAAGGGCTTCATAGATGTAATTAAGGATATATGTAAAGTCTTCCAGACTGAGTGTCCTGCAGCGAGTAAACAGCCGCACATGTAACGGTGTAAGCGCTACAATTCGTGTACGTGAGCTGTATGATCCGCGAGACGCTCATGATGTCTCACCGTCCAGGTCGAGCGTATGGGCAGCGGCAATATAGGTTGCAACAACGTTCTCTAGGCCTGTATTGCCATCCCCATTTCCACTTGCATAGAGTTCTTCAAGTACAATGTCTAAGACTGCAAGCCATGTTTCGACCGAGTGTGACAGATGTGACTTCGAGAACAACCTTGAAAGCAGAGCACGACCGAATTTGGCATGATCAGATACTGGTTCAGCAATTTGTTAGATCTGGCCTGTTCTGGGAAACGAATCCTGACCGTGCGCACCTTCTTTTTGCAGCCATCGTCCCGCTGCAAGGGTACGAGACCATGCCTTGAGGGTGTCGATATGGTGATACAAATCGGACGCAGCAGAGGTGGAGAGTACAGCCAGCATACGAGAGCAAGAGGTCGTAGACATGCGTTCGTATAGCCGCTGGAGTAACGATAGCACTCGCTCGTTGAACCTAGAAAAGACTATAAGTAATCGATTTTTTCATCAGGAAAGTGGCGCACTGGCTAGCTTCATAGTTCTCAGTCAATGTTTCAATGAAACGGAGGAGACATAATTCCTGGAAGGCACCAGTCGTTTGTTCTCGAGGAATTTCTAGGAATCGTGAGAAGGCCTCGACAATTGACACCACGGCGTCTTCATCACCCCTTTGTGCTGCCTTCAAGAACGCACTGAAGAAGATGGTAAATTTTGTGGGTGTATTGCGTGCATCGAGGAGCTAACCTCATGTACATTGTGATCACGTCCAACGTGACCGACACGAACTCGTTGAGACTAGGGTCGTCAAATTCCGCAGACAAACGAGTCTTGACCAAATGATGGAAGAAAAGCAATGCTCCCTACTTCCTGTTAATTAAGGGCTGGTAAAACCTAAGTATGTACAATACCTGGTGTTCCACGCTACCCATGTGCATGAAGGTGCGCCGCATGAATTCACGAACAACGAGCAGAAGACGCGGTTCCGTTTGCTGTTGTTCCGGACGAGACATGATCACATCCGCTATCCGTGCCCGCTGCAGGAAGTCCGCACGGGCGCTACGTGACAGATATTCCGCAGGAGCATGTAGCAGAGTTTTGTACGTCGCATAGAGGGGCACAGAAGTCGCGATATCGGCGTGAACGGACTTTCTTTCTGGATAGCTCAGTAAATGCTCCACGTCAACCTGATCCACAGATGCAGTCTGGATGGCAATCTGTGTCATAAAAACATCTGGAAGAGTGTCAATTAATCCGAACTTCAACTTCAAGTTTAAATGTCACACCTCTGACGTTGGGAAGCTCCCAGAACGCGGCATCATGCAGCATCCTCCGCATAAAATTTGCTGCATTCACTCCTTGCGAACCTTGCTGACATTCGTCTGCAGACAATACACGCAACATCAAGTTCGTGAGACGCGACATTTGCTCTGTGGAAGCTTTCAAGCTGACTCGTCTCTGAGTAATGGTACACATGCATCACGGTTCGACTCACTCAAATAAAGGCAACCACCTAGTGAGCAGCAGGTGAAATATTGCGATGGCACCTTGCTTGTGACCGGCTTCAGGCGTCAGACGATGTGTTTTGCCTGACCAACTGGTTTCATTGTCTAGATGACGCTCGAGATAATGCAAGACATTGTCGAACACGGATGAGGCTTGATCAGGGTCGCTGGACACTTGATAGAGCAGGAATCGGGCCTGGGATACGGTCACAAATAGCTTGACAAAGACTGGGGAATGATCTCACAATTTCCACACTGAACTCAGGCACAGTTCCGTCATGCTGAAGGAATATACGCAATTGAGAAGTGGCTGAGGAGTCAGAGCCCAATTCCAATTTCAAGACTCTGGCCGTAGAGAGCTCGTAATGAACACGAAGTGCTGCCGCAGCAACGATCTGCCAAGCCCACGTCTCCCTTCGGTCCGCTGCCTCCATAGCCTTGTAGCTGCCCTTCAATGCGTGGGGAATTACATGTGAGTGAACGTCGCCCACTAAAGAGCGTATTTCCTCGCAGGCTTCCTCTGGGATTATGTGGAGGGGTAATGATCCCACTACAAGTCCAACTGCCCTCGCTGCGGAGGCGAATGTTACCGCAGCCAACTCCGGATTTGGATGGCCATCGACGGAGACGGTTGTACCACTCCGCCGTGATTTCTTCCTGGCGCCTGAGCCTTCGTCAGCGGTGAATCTCTTATCTTGTTCCTTGAACTCTTTGAAGGTATCGCGGAGATATTGCAGGACAAGCTTAGTCACATCCTGGACCTGACCAGGGGTGAGAAAGCCGTGAATTGCCTTCGTCAACCGATCAAGGAACGTGAATGAAAATAGAGCGCTGGAGTTGACAAGGCCAAATGCCTTCCGAGCGTCGTCAGGACCAGCCTGGAGATTCTGCATTGAAAATGAATCGAGCCAGAGTGAGATGATCGTGTTGACGGAGCGAGTTTTGCTATGATAGCTAAGTAACAAGTCCAGATATGTTAGAACCGGCGGCGTAGGGTTCGGAACCTGATATATGTAAGCCATTAGGTGTGTACGCTGTCGTCCAGTATCCCCCTTACCAGGATCAACCTCTTCCAAATAGACGGCAACGTGGGAGACACAATATCATAGTCGATACGCGTTAAGACCGAGATAATCTCCATGGCCGCATCGACTCGTTGTGCATGTTGTTCTAAGTATTGACCATTAAGGGTTTAGCTGTCGACTCCACCTCCAAAAAGGCACCTACGCACCTTCCCAACTGCCTCTTAGGGCTTCAAGTGCTGTATCGCCGTTCTCCCTCAGTATTTGAGTTAACGGATCGTTACCTACACTATGCAATCTCTCTTCTTCGACAATCGCCAGGCACTTGATCCGCGTTTCCCAAATGCGCATGGGTTCGATGTTACCTGCACGAGTCACAAGCTCGTCACACATTGCATAGAATGCTGTTCCCGCGCCTTGTACCTGTGCGACCACGTTGTCCGTGGCACGATTTGAACCTTGGCTAAAGAGAGCAGTCTTGTGCCGTCTCACGGACTGAATAAATGACCGGAGTAAACGAGGCAAAACGTCTAACGTGCTGGCATTCGGGGCTAAAGTTCCGGCAAGCGCATTCTTGAGGGCTGGATCGCATTTGCCTTCCTCGAGAGAACGGAGCACATCGACGCCGAACATTGTCTCCACGCCAGCTGCGTAGATCCCAGCCACTGCTTCCTGGAGGTGTGCGCCGTCGCCGGTATTCAGGTGCATACCGTGGATCCAATAGAGAAGATGGTTTTGCAAGAAGGTCGAATATATCTACCAAATGACGTTACGAATGTCACAGTAAGTGATTCGTATTGATTGAATTGACATTGTGTTAACCTTTCTTTTGTTTGACGAATTGGCAAAGGCCGTCCTGTAGGCCGAGACAATAGACAGAGGTATTGCACCAAGAGATTCGACAGTTTCATTCAACCTGGTAAACTGAAGGGCCGCGAGGTGGGAAAGTACAGCAGCAAGACATTCCAAGAGTGTTTCAGGGCTGAACTTCGGAACAGCTATCGGCCATAGAACAGCGATAGAACGGGAGACTAGCTTGTTCAGTACGAGCTGTGCGTCGTGTTCGATTGACGAGAGAAGCGACAGGAAGGCGATGACGATTGGGGCAATGGGTACACGACTGAGTATAGGAAGTAGCCAAGATTTGATGGTGCGTGCCGACCCAGTGAGATCGGCTTGTGTCCTGTTAGACGAGTACACAATGTCTGACAGAAGCTGCCAATATCGCGTATCCATGATTGGGTTCACGTCCCTGCGTGGTGAGTTGACCAGGAAGTGCCGGATCAAGCATTATGGGCGGGGAAAGTACTCACGACGCTCTGGCCTTGTCTTTCAAAAACCGTGTCAACAGCCATTCTACTATGACTTCGCCCTTGTTGGGCAGATAGAACCCATTGTCGTCCCATGCGTTCTGCGCAAGTTTGATCTTCGACGGGCTGCCTGTGTGAGGAGGGTCGGACGAAGCCTTAAGCGCTCGAATGAAGTCCTGGGCTGATCCATGGGTAGTGCTGCTCATCGTGCGCAACTCTCTGCTTGCTTTGCAAAGCGGCAACGTAGACCAGCTAATATCAGGAATCCAAGGATCTGCAATTCTCGAAGCGTCGAAGCTGCCTCCAGGATTCCACGAACCGCTGTGAAATTTTCGACCGAACTTCCCTTCAAGGGTCGGAGCGTCAGCTGAACGGTATGCAGCGATGTATATCCGACCCTAAGCAGAAAATACGAGAAGAGGAAGCGGCAGAGGCAGAAAGGCTAATAGCTAGCATGCGGAGAGCCGGAATATGGCCCTGATTAGGCACGTGCGGCTAGGCACTTGCAGGGACGCAGCTGGGATGCGGTCAATCGAAGCATTTGAAGATGGCTATTTCCGACTCGTCAATGTCTGGCCCGCTCAGTCGTCTGTCTACGGCTCACCCTCAACCCTCACTCACCTCGGGCCTGCAGGTTTACGCAGCCCTTGTAGCCCTCAGATGGTGGCGGACTGACCGCCCAACGCACCGCCCGACCCAAGCCAAGCCAGTTTGCCTTTCTCTCATGGTACTGGTATGTAACAGTGATCCACAGGACATACACACGGTTCCGGACGGTGCTGCAGCCTGGTAAGCACATCAACCGGTCAGCAAGAAGACCATAGGTTGCGAACTATATAAGGTGGGCATGTCGTCTAGTTTCCCCTCAGCAAGTGCACTCAGCCATTCATCGATCTTAGACCACTGCAGAACAATGGTTGCATACCTGTGGCTTGTATGGTACGAGTCGTCATGCAGGATGTCACCTAGACACTGGGCTTTGGCAGTAACATACGAAGCTCACGATCTCGCCTATGCGACATTCTACGAGGTACGTGCGTTCACATGCTTTAGAGTTGAACCAATTGGTCATCCCATACAGGTATTCCGTGATGGCAATGCAGCACATTACCAGCCTCGTGTTGTACGCCGTGTACACCTGACCAGCAAGCACGGCAACACACCGTATGCCGGCAAGCTGCTATTGGGAGAGATCAACGACCAAGTTTTGGGCGCTCTCGAGATGTACAGCGAGACTGCAACTGAGTTGGTTAACTCTCACACCAAAAAGCGTGGCATACACGAGTTGGCTTGTCATGATTGGGCGATAATCATCGTCCGAAGCTTGGAGGACGCGCTGCTACTCCCTCGGGTAAGCAACGATAAGCCTTCTAGACCGTATGATGGCCCTTATTCGTCGCTCAATTTCAGGGTGCCCTCTCGAGGGTGGAAAAGAGTCCCCGATTCGGCTGACTGAGCCGCAGTGGATAGCGCTGACTTTATCTTTCTTCACTGAGACAAGAAGTTCCATCTCCTGGACTTATTGGGTTTTATGTCGTCCTTTTCTCTTGGGTCTATTAGTGGGTCGTTCTGGGCTACTCATCCACGCCGCAGCGCGCGTCATCTGTATCACATACGGCATCTGCTTCATCGGAGGACCATCCTGTACTCATGCTCACATTCACATTATCCCTGACGCTAACTAGAGTAGCCCCTCACTTGATGTACACAAACCCTTGTACTTACATACCCAACCATGTAGTATTGAGAACCGTTATGTAGCGTGAAAATGCAATCAGTTCCCTAAGGACCCTAACCCCAATCTTGGGGTCTGGAAGTGAATATGGGTTTGCACCGAACCACCACTGAGGCCTGATGAACAGTGCTTTCACTCGCGATCCCATACCGTCAAGGCGATTTTTGGGCGTGTGTCCCCGTCTGTCTGTTCTTCTCGGAGCCTCACCGGAGAGGATACCACCCGGTCCGCTTTGCCGTCCGCGGCGCTTGCAATCATGAAGCCTCTCGTTCAGTTCAATGTCTAGCTAAGTGTGCAGCGGAGAGCAGGCCAGGATGATATCTTCCACAAGTTCATTGGCAGAACATATGTTTGCTCATTCTAAGTTACACTGACATCATGGCAGCCATTAAACACTTTCAGGTACTGTGGGCACCCTCTGCATCCCAACTTAGAAAACATCCATCGCGTATATAACATACAGTTGCACGCAAACATTCAACCTTATTTTGAAGGTTCCCAGCTCTGAGTTTTGAGCGAGGGAAGTCTGGCAGCTCACTTGAAAAGCACGGATCTCACGTGCGATCTGAAGGCCCGATTTTGGCTCCGATCGGTGATCGCTGCCGCGAGCAGTAGTGCGTCTGAATCCTGACCAAGTCCTCTCTGACAAAGACTTTGCAGAGGATCCGCAACATCTCGAGCAGGCTCGTTTTCTCAGGTCTTCGAACTCAAGGGTCAGGACATCTTCTCTGCAGTACATCCTACTCCTTTCTCAGCAAATGTCTGCGACGACAGTTACAGTCCACCCGGATCTCGAGCGGTGCACTTCGTTGCAGCAGGAAGAATGGGAAGTACTAGAGGTATGTGTGCTACAGAGTTTTGTGTGTGTTTTGCACTGAATCAGAGGCGTTCCGTGTGTCTTAGTCCATCTACCCGGACTCCGTGTCTGGCGATATTTCCAGCGGGACCCTCAAGCTGGTAATACCCATTGAGTTCTCCGACCCGAAGACGGTTTCCGTGTTCCACGACCGCAGCCGGGATTACCCTGGGACTGCTATGCCCCATGGTTCGCCTGCCAGCCCACTCAGGGCGTCTGGCCCGACGCATCTGCCGTTGGCTACCTTGCCACCCCTGCTGCTAGACATTGTCTTGCCTCCCTCATACCCTTACGGCCCTCCGGCGATCGTGTCACTACATGCGACTTACGCATGGTTTCCTCTCGGCATCGCACTTCAGCGCAGGCTACTCGAGATGTGGGAGGAGGGCGAAGGTGTTCTCTATACGTGGGTTGAGTGGCTGCGCAGTGGCGAATTCCTAGACGTCCTCGGCCTCACGTTTACGTCGCATGGAGAACACTGTATTCGGTATGTCTGTCCGTCCGTCCGTAAATCTTCATATCGCAAATTACTCATTGAACCTTTAATAGAATACCACACCCGGCACCGCACGTGTTGGTGACCGCCCTCGAGGCTTACGACAAGTCGATGCAGCTGACTAGGTTCTCACAAACTTCATATACGTGTGAGATCTGTCTCACGTCTATCAAGGGGGCGCGGTGCATATTGTTGTCATGTTCGCACGTTTTCTGTCGTGCATGTCTTGAGGACTTTTGGAAGTTGTGCATTGCGGAGGGGGACATTGGGCGTGTCGGCTGTCCGGATCCACAATGCGTGAAGGCTGGACGGGAGGCGACCGAAGAGGACGTGAGGAGGGTGGTCACTGAGGAGGAAGTGAGGAGATGGAAGTGGTTGCGGGAGAAGCGCGAGCTTGAACGAGGTAGGTCTGCTCCTTTGGAATGAGTGGATGCGGCTGATCCTGTTCCTTTCGTAGACCCAACCATCATTCATTGTCCAATGTCGTTCTGCCAGCGACCTGTGCCCAAACCGCAGAATGTTGACGAGGGTTCTGGCTGGGAGCGCCTGCGCACATGCCCGGACTGTGGCTACTCCTTTTGCGCCTACTGCAAGCGCACATGGTAAGCCTAGTCTGTTCCTGGCCGCTTCATCGCCTGACTGGGCAATGTGACAGGCATGGGCCGCTCTCTGACTGCCCAATCTCAGAGACGGAGGCGTTCGTGCTGGAGTACATGGGGCTGCCTGAGGGTTCATCCGAGCGACTGGTGCTGGAACGACGGTTCGGGGCAACCAATATCCGCAGGCTTGTTGCGAAATATCAGGAGGAGCAGGCGAACAAGCAGTGGCTCGAGCAGTCGACGATGGCTTGCCCGAGCTGCCATGTGCACGTCGAGAAGTCGCTGGGGTGTAATCACGTACGTGTGGTCAGCGCAGCTTGTATTACTTTGAGGGGCTGACGCCATGGGTTAGATGACGTGCGCAAAGTGCAAGCAGCACTTCTGCTACCGGTGCGGGGAGAAGCTGCTGCCGAGCAACCCGTACGTGCACTTTTCGACGCCGGGGTTGCGGTGCTACTCGAAGCTGTTCGACTTTCAGAGCATCGACGACGAGTGGCAGCCTGTGGAAGGGTTTGAGCATTTGTAAACTAGAGTAGTACACACTGGGCGTAATAGAGATGATTTAGCGAGCCGGGGCGGGCGGAGCCGAGGTTTGTCAGGCGGGGATTCAAAGTCCGCTGGGAGTCCGCGGGCTGGGGAGGACAGCGCCGAGGCGCACCGACGCCCGCATTTTCTTTCGCCTGGCGTGCTCCTATCCGCGCCGTTGCCGTCTCTCCTTGTTTCTCTCCCTCTCCCTCCACCTCCAGCCTCCTTCCCCTTTCTCGAGGCTGCGCGGGGCACGCCCGGATACCACTTTGTCCATACCCCAGTGCTTCCTCATACCCGACCTGTTTCCCTACCACCCACCCCGACAGCCTCTGTACACTTCGCTCGCATCTACCCGCCAGGACAAGGACAATGGAACTCTACACCACATCGTTTACTTATCCGCGTCGCTCACGACCCGCTCATTCTCCTGCTTCCTCGCTCGACTATGCATCTGGCCTCAGACACACCGACTCCTACTCCCAGCTTCAACAACAATACGCTAACCACAATAATTTCAACTCTCAGGGGACTGTGTCCTCCTCCTCCTATGATGCCGTGGAGCAGCTCGTAGTTAGTGTCATGAACGCGTTTGGGGTTCGCGTTTCCATCGCCCCTGCCGACCAAGGCAGGGCATGGAACTTCCAGGTCTCAGGCGCGTACCAGCAAGTGATGTTAGCCAGAGCCCACATTCTAAAAGAGTGCCCTGTTCAAGTAAGGATGACTAAAGAACTGCGCTTGATATTCGTTGACACTCTTTCGTCCAGAATCGTGCGACTATCAAGGTCGTACGCTCAGAGATCCTCGACGCACCCGCTTCCCCGAGCCCCGGTTTGAAATCTGAAGTTCGCCGTCGTCTTGATGACATCGCATCTCAAACGTTGGCGAACATTGCTGTCGTCAATGGTGCAGAATCCCTTTCTACGCGTAGCCTTCCGGAGGGCATCAGCGCTACTACTGGATGGGTGGGCTTAGAGTCAGAGCGTGTGTGCGAGCTGGTCATTACGGGCCATGGCGATTCAGTCGACCTCGCTCGTGTTCGACTCCTCGTCATGTTGGATGAGCTGGTATGTGCGGTTTCTGCGCCTAATCTCGGCGTCAGTTGATCAATCTCCATTTGACAGAGCGGTCTGTATGTTGAGCCTGTTGAGATTGACCGCAAACTTCATGCGATGATTGCTGGACGCAAGCGGGCTACACTTCAGTCTATCCAGGAGGAGACAGCAACAAACATATATTATCCTTCCCCGCTGCAGGGCGTCGTTGGTCCTGAACTCGGGCAGACTGGACAGAATCCTTCGCTGCCGTCTGCGGCCACCAGTGCGGCCACCATATGGATTACAGGTGAACATGTCAACGTGGGGAGGGCTCGTGACATGCTTCTGAACTTAATGGTGACCAAGGTACGCTCGCTAATACAATGACGAGTCTGCATATCTAACAGCGGTCGCTGCCCAGAAGCATCAAGTGCTCACACGGGACACTACTCTCCTGCCACGCAAGATGGACTGGATGATCACTGAACGTGCTGATGACTTGAAGGCGTTCATGCATGATAATGCCACTTTCATCGAGTTTCCCCCCATCGGGACTCAGAGACCCGTGGTTGTATACGGAGATCAGAGGGTGAACATTCATAGGACCATACGTTCTATGATGCAGCTTGTGAGTATGATACAAGTTCGACCGTATAATCTGATCTGAGCCAGAGATGCAGGCATGTCAGTTCTACACTGCGTACATCTGGCTTCTTCAACCGCAGTTCAACGTTTTGATACCGTCTGCCGGCTTCCCGCCTGTCCAAGCAGCGGCCATCTCCTCGCAAATCTCTCTGACCACGGGTGCGGAGGTCATCTTCAAAGGAATGTGTTTCGAGATCCATGGCATGGAAAACGAAGTCCGCAATACCGTATCAATACTCTTGGACCGGGAAATTGTCCAGGTATGTTCATTATGTAGACGGGTGATTTGATGTCGACTGATCGCAATATTATCAGCAATTCAATCACGAGATACGGTTCCAGATCGAGCTCGCCAACGAGCATCGCGAGTTCATCAGTGGCAAGAAGAACGGCAAAATCAACAAAATCATGCAGACCACGAATGTCAAGATCAAGTTCGAAACGTTGAATGAGCACAACTTCCTCATCGATATCTCGGGCAACGACGTCGCTGTCCTGCAAGGATTGACTTTACTTCAGGAAGAGTTGCCAGCCGAAATCTCTTTCCATGTTCCGGAATCGTATCACAAGCGTATCATCGGTGTTGGCGGACGAAGCATCCAGCGCATCATGAAAAAGTATGGCGTTTATGTGAAGTTTTCGAATGCGGAGGAATTTGCAGCGATGGGTGGCTATATCGACAACGAAGATAATGTCATCGCGAGGACCCCCGCTAAGAATGCCATGAACTTGGAGAACCTGAAACAGTCCGTAATGGAACTGGTAAATCCTAAGGTACGCGTGTTTTGCACGTCGCGAAGGCCGTCGTTAACACGCATGACAGGATAAGGACTACATGAATGACACGGTAGCGATCCCCCGGAAGTATCATCGCACTCTTCTAGGTGAAAAGCACATTTTCATTCACGACATCGAGGCGAAGACCAACTCGACCGTGCGCTTCCCCGACAAAGAGAGGGCGTCTGACATGATTACAATCTTTGGACCCGAATCACAGATTCACATCGCCGCCACTATGCTTTTGGTTTGTATTAAGCTTCTCAGGCCCTTTTGTAAAATCTCACGTTTTCGCAGGATCATGTACCGTTCGAGGCCGCTGTGGCTGTCCCCCCTCACCCGGAGTTGACTCGCATCTGCGCATCTTCCGACTTCACTGCGTTCGTCGAGCGCATCAAGGAGGAATATCAAGTAATCATCTCCCCTCCGGGTTCTCCGTCCGATTCGCCTTCGGAGTGTTGGTTCAGATTCAGGTGCCAGCGCAGCAACAGCGACCACTTGAGCACGACCCGCGAGTTGTTGGACCAATTCCTTGTGAATCACAATGTCCACCTCTATCCTTCCGTCACGCCACGCACTCACCAACGCACGGACTCATTCACGGATGCCTTCCCTCACTTCGACAGCAAGGTGCTCTCGACTGCCAGAACACGTCACCAGAGTATGTATGCCGTGGTTTTAGACAGAACAAGACGAGCTGACACCTCCCTAGACTCGGCTGATCTTGGACGCCCATCTGAGGCCATGATTGACAGGCGCCTTCGTATGGCCAGCTCTTCCCCAGATGTCAAGGCTCTTTTCAATAACCCCGCCCCGCCGACTTACATCTATCATCTCGAGGAAGAGGATGACTTCGAGCCATCGTCCAACTATGTACCTGGTCCCTCCAACGAAATATGGGGTGCTCCTATGGCCCCCATTGTGAGTAGCCCTTTAGTCATCGCTATCCTTGGTCTCATCTCAATCATAGGGCTCTGGTCTACCCAACCGGCGTGGCGGCGAGGATGCACTCAAGCGTGGTTCGGACTCATTACTGGAGGCGAAGCTGAAGGACAACCTTGCGAAGCCGCGGTCTCTGACTAATCGTGCCCAGTCGCTCGATCTCACGTACTCCCTCACGCGCATCAACGAGGTCCCCCGCCATTCAGGCCTGTCCCGCCCGGACTCGCCCGACACCGCGACGGGGACCGGCACCGGCACGAACGGTAGCTCAAGCCCGATTTCTGCCACGGCGCCGTCGTTCCCGAGCGTGTACGGTCCGCCTGCGCGCACTGCCGGTATGCCTAGCTCCGCTCACGCCTCGCGCGCAGGCTTCGCTATGGACCAGGACGCCATGGACGAGGTGTCGCGTGTCATCTCTAACCTGGGCCTCTAAAGCCCTAGCCCCTTCGAGCTTGGATACGTTCCATAATTCTGCGGTACTCGGGACTGGTGCCTCGCCAAAGGACGTTCTTCGTTTTTACTGTCCGCCGCCGTACATAGCTTCAAAACGAGTTCCCAATTGTTCGCTGTAGCAAAAATCCACAATGGACATTCGACTCGCACGGACCAGTTCCGTTTTTCCTTTCCTATCCTCTCTTTGCCGTCTTTCTCGTCTCCTGTCTTGTGTCCGCGCCGCGTCCTCATGCAGCCTCACGCATCACATCACATCCAGTCCCTCTGTCCTGTCTGTCGCATGCTCATCTACGTTATATATGACCTACTAGCTAGACTCGCTTGCTTCATCTACCTCTATTCACCTCGCTCAATCTCTGTCGTATTCATCGCTCGTCTAACATCGCTTACTTATTCGCGTCGTCGCTCGCGGCTCGCATGTAAGATACAGGCATGTCCCGCGTTGGTGTAGTGGGCTGGTTAAAGCAATGCAATTCTGGTGCTGAGCCCGTTTTGCAATTTGTTAAGCCGCAGCCGGTATCAATTGCGACTCATGGCGGTGGGTGGTTCGTAGGCGGTTTTCCCACAAACGTCCACAAATGTAACCGATACGGCTTGGATAATCTTTTGAGGGTAGAATATACGTGCAGGATCAGTGCGCATGGTTGCGCCCTTATGATGACGGTTTGATGCCCTCCCGAGCCGTCCAGTCAAGCCATGAGCCCTTGTAGTTGTGGATGCTAATCTGACGTCAGCTAGTGCATGCAAATCTGTAAACAATCGCAACACACTTGGTAAACCCATTTCGTTTCGCAATGTCGCACGCAGACGTGGACCGCACGCCGCTGCGGCAGTAGAACACGAGCGGCTGGTCGGGGCGGGGCTTTTCGAAGCCAAACTTCTCCTTGAAGGTGGCCGGGTCGAGGTGCAGCGAGTTGGGGAGAACGGAGAGCGGGAGGTTGACGGAAGAGGGGATGGAGCCTTGCAGAACTTCATTGGGCTCGCGCACGTCAATGATGTATTCGTCCTGAACGGGGCTGGCCTTAAGAGTCCTCACGACATCATGATCTTCACATGACAACTCACAGGACTCGGCTGCTGCGTCTTCGGCTTCAGCTCCTCGTAGCTGAGAATTTTGGCATCCCAGTCGCGTCGCAGTTCATCCTGCTCCTGTATCTGTTTCTTGACATCGGGGCTGACTGTAGTCTTATAGCGCACGGCGGCTACGGAGCGCGGGAGGGTAGCCCTGAGGCGAGGTGCCGGCCCCGCACGAGCCAAACTGACGGCTAGAGGCACTCTTCTGACCACAACCCGTAACATGGTCGCAAAGGTCGGTATCGAGGAAACGAAAGGATGAGGCAGGGGACCCTAGGCTCCAATTCGGCAGCCGCGAAAGCTGCAGGAGTGTTGCAATGATCGCCCGAGGATGGCGTGAGACGCGTACGTCACGTGCCATTTCCTGCCCTGGTTGCGGCAAATTGCCATTGGCTGCGCACAATTGCCTCGTCTGTGCAGCGCCCGGTGCGGCCTTTGACCATCCTCGGTCGTCATCCTCGTCCCCCTCGCTTTCTTTACTGCGCACCACATCTCTGTGTGTGGGCAGCGCTGCTCGTCTGTGGCAGTCAAGAACGGCCGTGAGCTGGCGGGAGCGTCGTCCTCACCATGCCTGCTTCGCGGCCTTTCTCGCTGACACACGGGCCCCGCGTCCCGTGCACGCTTGGCTCATTTCCCTCAGACTTTTCTCATGAGCCATCTTGTTCTTTCCCCTCCTCTTGATACCCAGGCAGCTAAGGTGAGTCGACCACTGACACCTTGTACTTAGGTCCTCTGCACGCATCAAAGCGGACTGCTATCAAGCTATTAGCCTACGTTAATCTCCCCGAGTGTCGTAATGCTCTGCATTGGGTAAGCCCATTCAGACACAGATCATGCGCGATACGGGCAGGCAAAGTGCGAGCGTCGTTCTCCGAATCTGCGCCTGCCCACCAACGACATTGCGCTCGTTCGTCAGCCCTATCGTTCGCATCAAGATCTTCACTCCGCTCCTTGCTTGTGGAGTCGCTGCCTGTTCTTGATGCTTCTGGTCATGCGGCTTTTGTATAGCTGGGCGATCACAGCAGCAAGTGCACTGTGATTTACCTCACGCATGTCTGCGTTGCTTCACAAGCTCCCTGTACCGTTATGTTCGCGAGGTAAGGATGTATTCATATCAAAGCAGGCCTATAAAATACGACCTTTGGCATCGAACGGTGGCTGAACACTTTGAGCTTTCCTCCTAACACTATCCCCGCCCTGTGTGCTGTGCTTCTAACCCTCAGTCAACTGCACCGCAGCCACTCAGCGGTTTGTCCTTGTTTGCACATACACGTGACACGTGACTGTTTTTGTCACACTCCGCTTTACTTGTCGAGTCCCAGCGATCGCTCTCTGGATTGCTCCATCCTTGCAAGCCTATAGCCATGGATATGTCAATGTCGATGTCGATGCCTACCTCGACGGCCGCTTCGTCTGCGGCGACCGCCACTAGCATGTCCACTATGGACATGATGATGATGACCCCATACCTGCACTTCACCGGTGGAGACAATCTCTTGTTCAAGACGTTAATGCCTTCTTCCCATGGTGCCATTGCGGGGGCATGCCTCGTCCTGGCTGCTATTGCGATCTTCGAACGTTGGGTCGCTGCCACGCGTGGCGTCCTGACGGACCATTGGCGACGGAGGTAGCTCATTTTGCTGGAACTGCGAAGGAGGATTTTACTGACAGCTGTTATAAGGGCCTTTTCCATTTTAGCAGGGTGCCATCCCGCCAACGATGCCCAAGCTTCGACTCCCTCGCTCGAGAATAAGGACAATGGGCTCGACATCGAGGAGGTCAACGTCAACAGCCTCTCGCGCAAGTACCCCGGCCCCGTCTTCTGCCTCCAGCGCCCTATCCGCACCGTCGAACCATTCATGCTATCCCACGACCTCCCACGCGGTGTGCTCTACGCGCTGCAAGCGCTTCTAGCCTACCTGCTTATGCTCTCAGTCATGTGGGTCTACGTCCGCTTCATTCCACTGATGGCGCCCCGTTCCCGAGTCTCGCGCTGATAGTTCACACAGGACGTTCCAGGCCGCTTATATTATCGCCATCGTGCTCGGCTTGGGTCTTGGAGAGGTTCTGTTTGGCAGGTTGGGTGGGCGGGATAACCACCTTCTGCACTAATCAGCACAGGTTGATTTGTTTCAGCGGTTGCGGTCGGGTAGATGCGGTCCGCGCTCGCGGCTCAGGAACTTCGCAGTGCATTTGTATACTATGCTCGTTAGAACGTGTGCGCTGCTCTCGCGTTGAGCGTTTTGGATCTAGCCAATGGAGGATACTGTGGACTTGAGGATTTCGTATTGCCAAGAGTTAGACGGCTAGACTGGGCAGCCAATTTGCCAGGCGTCCCTTTTTCCTTTGTTTCTGGCATATCAAACCACTGTTCCGTTCCATTCTATCAGCCTGCAGCCTCTTGGCCCACATTTCCGCGCGGATTCGGGCAGCTGTCCATTCGACTTTGAAACTCGTCGACGTCTGCGAGACAGGCATGATCAGACTGGCGATGCCAAGACAGGCACCCCACCGAAACGGAAACTATGCCAAATAGAAGAGAAAAAAGTCTTTCACCATGCGCTGGCGGCAACGGTGGCTGCTCCGCCCATAAAACCCTGTTTCCTTCTCGCCGAGAGCGAGTCCAACGCCCACTTTCGTCGCGTTACGACATTCCTCTGGATCTGCATTTGCGTACGACAGACACCATGATGAACTTCGCCGCTGCCGTTGTCCTAAGTGGTCTTCTGACCGTCGTGTCCGCGCATTTCCACTTGCAGTACCCGGGGCCGCGAGGGCCGTTTAACATGCCCAACGAGCTCACGTTCTGCGGTTTGTATACTCTATGGTGCATCTAGGACACACTGGCTGACACCGCTCGTTGTTACAGACAACTACGCTGACGCTACGGCGAACCGTACCGAGTTCCCCCTCAGCGGCGGTTATTACTCGCTGCTTTCGGAACACCCGCTGTGGATCCGTAAGCCCTATGCCATGCATTTCCGGTTACATGAAAAGTCACGCGACCGTCTTGTTCGTTTTGCACAGTCGGGGTGCTGATCTCGACCGCGCCGAATCCGGACAACTTCGCCAACTTCTCGACCGCGAGCGGGCAGCAGCAGCTCGTCGTGCAGTACTTCGAGACGTCCGGCGAGGGCTCCTTCTGCGCGCCCATCGACATCAGCGCGGCCGGCATCGCCGGGGTGAAGAACGGCGTGAACGCGACGCTGCAGTTCGTGTTTGATGGCGGCGACGGCGAGCTGTACCAGGTCCGTGTCTGCCATCCGCACAGAAGTGATACGAACGGTCATGCTGACGTGGTTGTTGGCCTGCCTGTAGTGCGCGGACGTCACTCTCGTGGAGGGATACACCGTCCCGTCGGACATCTCGTGCACGAACGCGACGCAGAATGCTGGCGTCACGATATTCAGCACTGGCGCGGTTCCTACTATCACTGCGAGCTCCACTTCTGCTTCCGCGTCGGCATCCTCGACCAGCACAAAGAGTGCGGCCAGGACGCAGTTTGCTGTCGGCATCGCTGGTCTGTTGGGAAGCGTCGCTGGAGCCATGGCCTTACTCGCTTAGGCGTGAGGAAGAAGCTGGATGACATTGATGCAAAATACATGATTTTATATATATGGGAATTTGAGTCAAATGATGCGCTTGATGTTGATGATGTTCCACGCACGAACTTGAGTTGAACTCAGGGAGCTGGCCAGATGTCTGACCTCAAGCCAGTGAACTCCTGCAAGTTCAACAACACGAATTGTGAGTAGGAGCAAGGATGCTGTTAAGGCGTGGTGTGACTGAATCTCACTCTGATTAATCGACCTTATTCGCTGTAATTTACTCAGGGTCAAAATGTAGTGTGTAGATCAGGGTAAATCAGGACGATCAACGTTACAGTAATAGAACGATCAGTGTCCCGCCGGGTTGCTGCAAGGGGTCCTGAATCAATTTATGGAGAGCGACAGGAGCACAATATGTCAGCGAAAATTGTAAACTGGGGGAAGTTTGCATGGATGATTCAGGCTGGGATACTTGTCGGTAATTGATGGTGAACGTCCGCTGTTGAGTACGCTAATTACGTGTAGTCACACCGGTAAATTTAACCTCTTCCGGGCTAAATGCTCATTACCGTGTTAATTATGGAGCAAATCCTAATTCATCGCACCCTAGATGCCGTCGACGATGCACCCTGCAAAAGACTGGAAACGACGACACCTCCCCGATTAGGACAGCGGTGTCGGGGAGACGCCGGAAGCAATCGGGATGTCTCCCCTATCCGATAAGATTACCGCGGGCCCATCCTGCTCATCGCCCACTCGTAAGCATTCCCGCCGACGCCCCGACGCCGCCGCTTCCCACCGACAGTGGCGATGCCCACAACACTGTGATGAGGACTACTCTTCCCCCCTGCGATCGTCGATCTGAATCCAAGCGGTGAATTTTATGGGTCACTACGGATCGAGAAGTGATCTTCAGCGTCGGGGCCGACGCTGCACCGCCTTTCCAGTCTGATGGAGGGCAGCGCTTAGCGCTTAATCATCATTGGTGAGTCATCACCCAGTCCTGTTCGAAGCATGTGAATATCATGTACGCTCTCCGTCGAGATGACAGACCGACGTGCCTTGGGCCAGCGTCATAGCCTCGGCATCTCCTGGTCCCAGTCAGTCATCGCGACGCTTTAAAGCTTATATACCTCGGTACCGGCCGTACCGCCACGCTGCACGCCTCGCCACAGCCTCGCGCTCCGGCCTGGAGAGTAGTTTTATTTCGTCTCGAGCAGGCCTCCATGCTTCACTGCTACCATCCTCAAGCACAGCACATTTGCCTCGCCCCTTTGGTGTGTAAGGCTGCCGCACGCGCCTGACCCCTATCCCCACATTCCTCTTCACTGGGGTATAGCACCCCTATAAGCACCGATCTCCGCCACCCCAATCCCGACCTCTTCGCCGACCACCACGATGCCCTCCTGGTTTGGCAAGGGCGACACGCCCGAGTGCTGGGAAGTCGTGGACTCGAAGACTGTCGAGCCTGTATGGATGTACGATGGTCATGATGGTGCGTCGGTCTTCGTCGCGGGTCCGACAGCGCAGTCAACTTCGAACGCGTTCCCCGCCCAGATCTCGACGTCGTTCGCACGTCACAATCTATGATGAGCACAACGATCACCTGCAGCATAGAGAGTGGCCCTTCGCGTCGCCACATCCTTCGGTCCGTTTTGTCAAGAGCGCGTGCACGTCTCCTCGAAGAGGCAGCGCGCATCGGTTACAACGTTTTATTGCGCGAAGGGTACGTCACATACAGTGTATGCCGGTTCTCATGGCCTCATTCCCGTGCTAGGTGGTCTGTCACTCTGCTGCGCAAGTCGAGTCGCTCACATCAGCCTCCGCGGCATCGCGTCTCCCTCTGCTACACGGGCCTTCCCGCGTTCGTACAAGAACCAGTGGAGCTGCCTCCCCCGCCCTTCGTCGGCCTACTGCAACACTGGGAGACGCAGGCGAAGAGAGAGTATGTTCCCGATGTCGCGGTATCAACACCATCTCGACAGTCGTCAAACCGCGATGTCGTCGAGCAGTTGCCGGCGTCAAAGGATGTGAAGTCACGTTGGAGCGCTGGTGGCATCGCGCAGCGCGTTCGGACAGGGAGAAACGCAGCATGCTTACGATTTTATCGCTTCCTCTCGAGTCATTTCCGCCATATCTAGTCGTCGGTTCCCAAGGTTCAAGGTCTCGTGAGTTTAGATCTACATTATCGCATCGCTCTCTTAGTCCACAAACCGCCTCACAACCTATCCCTGCATTGTACCAGTATCGCACTACATGAATGTATCCCAATGTAACATGGCTACACTTCTCGCAATGTCGTCACGAATTTAATGATCTTCGTCTCCATTCTGTGATTTAGTGGCGCAGCAGGGTATGCCGGTGGAATAGCCCGACCACCGGCTGCCGAGGCTGCGGCACCGAGTGCGCAGGACTGATTCCATGCGTGGTGTAGACTTCACTATACTAGGAGAAGGGGCTGTTTATAGGTAAACATAGTATGTGTTTCTATGTACATCCTGCAGCCCCGTGTCATTTTAAGTGCATCAGAGCGTATGAGTGTAATACCGGGCAGTGCTGCGCTCAGGCTCTCATGAAGCCTCCTCTGCCCGCTGTATGATGTCCGCATGGACGCACAAGGTCTTGTGGTTCAGCCAGAACACAAAACTGCCAAGAAACAGAGCAGGGGCCGTTCTAAACCACGATGTGCGCAGAGTTATGACTGGACACCAGTGGGTGAAATGAGAACCACAAGAGAAGACGAGGTCAATATATGCAAGATAAGCCAATGTAGATGCAAGTTCTGCCTCCGAGATGCAGCGGATACGGCAAGTCCTTTTCATGCCCCAGCAAGCACGATGCACATCTTATTCGTTCTGGCACGGTCGTGGTTCTGCACCGTACGATTCAATCACCAGCCAGAGTGGGGTGAAGATCCAGTTGTAGGCGTCTACACAGCCATGATGCTAGTGCCTGAAGTACTTGAACAACTCACACAAGGGGGGCGCTCACGACGAGGTTCGATGTGGTTAGGTTCTGAGAACCCCGAGACCTACTCGAGTGCGGAGATCTGACGCAGCTCAGCACATCTTCGCTCTCGATCGCGGAACTCACCGAGAACGCACCCTCCGTACAGCTCAGCGTTGTTGAACACCACGATCCAGTAGTATCTCACGAGATCGTCCCGGGTGAGCTTCTTTAGGCTAGCCGTGCCAACGCCAAAGACTACGAGGATCTCCACAGAGACGATGTGAGGTCAGCGAAGCCCAGCACGCATCCACACGGGCGTGGCCCTTCTCTGGCGTAACACGAGTCTAGGGCTAGTCGGACATACATGTTTCGGCGAGCTGCCCCGAGCTCGTGTTAATCTGCCGGCCAAGAAAGGATTAGTTGAAGAAAGAGCCCTCAAACACAAAGAATGTACTCCCGTCTTGAAGGCCTGTGCATGATGAAACGAGTCACATATCACGGCACTAAGCGACCCGAAGCGAAGGGGGCGCACCAGCCGGATGAATGTAGATTTGTCTTGCCAGTCCGTGGTCTTCGGGGGCAGCGTGCGCTGCATGGCGATAGCGGCAACATTGACGAAAACGATGAACGCAGGATAGTACGAGGGGGTCTCGGAGATGGGGAGCGTGTCGGGATTGACGACAGGGGCGAAGTGGCAGGGTGACAAGGGGGGAAACAGACTGCGTGAGACGTGGTTTCTTATAGGAGCGAACGCAGTCCTAGCGAGGGTTAGGCATGAGCATATTCGTCGTGCCGTTCCGGTAACCGAAGACATGCTTCAGCCATCGACGACCTGTGGATGCGGGGAACCTCATCGTTCAAGATCTCACCTTTTGTGGCGGCCATGCACATGCCATATTGAAGTGCCATACCCTATTGACAGAATTGGGGTAATCTGGCACGAAGTCCTGAGCGTAAGCCACTGTACGACCCAACAAATAGCGACGGTACAAAGAGAATCTCACCTCAATGGAGCCAAGTTAATAGTCGCCCTTAGATTGAAATATACTCTGCCCATCGCTTAACGCGACGTTCACATTGTGAAGTATGAAACAAGTCATCGCTGCGATTTGCAGCGCAAGTCTTTGTGGATACCTGCTCATGATCTCGACCGCATCTAAGCGAGACTGTTTTCTCCTGAGAGGAAGACACACATGACATCAGATAGGAAAAGATAGATGCATTCCTGTCTGGCATAGGTCGAGCAGTCCCGACGACCCACAAGGTTCTTGATCCGCAAGGAAGTAGACACTCAGCTTCTGAGCTGTGCGGGACGAATGCCATGGACTCTGAGCAGCATTCTTGTGGGTAACCGTAACGGTTCTAGGGCATCTTCAGCATCGACTTCGGTGCGGAAAGCAGCGACATAGGAACCGTAGTGGCAGCAGCACACAAACAATGGGAGAGGCAGATCGAGATGATTGCTGGCTTATTCCTCGGGGGAAAGAGCAGCGACTTCGGTGAGTTCAGGTAGGTGGTCAAGGGTGAATAATTTGACAAATGCGCGGTGGTCATTGATATGGCAGCATTTGGAGACGCCTGTTGGAGGTACTGTGCTCCGTGCTTGCTATGCCACAGTGCACCGAAACGAGTCGTAGCGTTTGCGTCCTGATTGTTCTCTTGCAGGGAAAGCTCTCGTCGCAAAAAGTCGTCTTGTTCTAGAGACTGTCGCAACACGGAAGTAGCTAGCAGCAGCGGTTGTCGTTGTCTTTGAGGCAGGCAACTGGAACAGGAGGTCGTAATGAATTCCCGACTGTCCTGTTTGCAAGGCAGATCGCAATTGAAGCCCCAGCGAGATATGTCCTCTGCGGTGGTCGACGAAAATCCTTCAGTAGTAAATAGCGGTTAGAATCGAGCAGCCTTCGCCCCGCATGCTGCTGTGGCTGCCGTGTACGCGGGAAAATGGCCGGCGGGGAGGGACCGTGCGATCACTCGCGGGGCCGCGGACTCTCGATCAGCTCTGGCGACCGTCGTTCCCCTCGCTCTTGACGACCGCCTTCCCTTGGCTTCACCCAGCTCCCATGGATACTGTCGCGAGTCTGTGCTCAACCGTCACACTTGCTGAATTGTCGGGCGACAGGCGGAACTCCTAGATGTCATTGTCGGGAAAGTAAACCCAGGAATTGCCTGATTGTTGCTTTTGTCACGCCGAAGAACACGACGCAGGTTATCCTCGCGTTCACATACAAGGTCAAGTGCTGCATGAATGCAACACCGGGTTTGGGACGCATGGAGCGCAGCTTCTTGCGATGCGGTCGTGCTGTGGCTTCTGTGCTGTGCCACACTCGTGGCCGTTTGATCTTCCCTGAGCTCTGGACTTTCATAGCTTGATGCCTCAATGTCCACGCGGCTGGTGCGGCACGCTGCTTCCATGGAATTTGGTGGTCTTACCTATGAAGAGAGAAAGATCCCGTCGGTGGGATGTTCAGACGACTCGCGCTGGGTCATGATGCATGTTGGGGCGATGTCTTGTACTCGGAAGGTGAGTGGCAAGCTTGTTGATGTTTCTCTTCTTTCGTCCTTTTTGCATGGTTCATTGGGTGGGGGCTTGCGAATGTGCGGGGTTTATAGTGTCGATCGCGACGTCTTCAAGGTCGTGCTTTATTGCTTTCTGGGACGCCATTATGATTCGAGCACACACAGTGCACGCTTGTTAATGCACGCACATATATGAGATAGATGGGATTCAGAGATGCATAATATGACTTGCCTGCATCGTACGCTCGTGCGGCGGGATGTGACGTGACTAGTGACGACCGACGGCGGGTCACGGACAGTCACAGGTAACGCTAGTCACTTGCCATGTCGAAACTCGGATATGTGGGATTTGGATGTCTGGGCACTTACTTTGGATGGGAAACGGCGAAGGGTTACTTGTCGTATGTGCTGAACAATACATATATGTTGAGCTTGTGGATCTGTCTTGAGGGGCAACTGAGCGGGAAGGTTCACACTGGCCCGTCGCCTCGAGTGAAATTACGGGGGCTTCGCCGTTGGACCCTGCTAATACTCACTCGACCACAATCCCTAGACCTCTCACCACGTGTTAGCTCAATGCTCACTGTCGGATCACAATAGAGAACACTTGAGCACAATGAACGTCCTTGAGGCATCTGGTGCAAATGAGTCTGTCATGACTGTTGCGCGCATTGGCCGAATCACCAAGAATCTTGTGGTACGTTGTGTTCCATCTCTTTTGACGAGAGCCCTCAGTGTTCTTCGAGAGATCACTCCGTTTATCGACGGGTGCGGAGCAGCAATGTTCGCGGAAGCAGATGCGAAGACACGCGCTGCGGGGGTATCTGCAGATTGGCTTGACGCGCTCGTGATAGGTTGAATCACCCTCCAGACTTGATGCGAACGTCCCTTTTACGAAAACGCCGTCGCTCCTCGCTTGCTGCCGTTAAAATGGACGAAGTCGGGGCCCTCAGCCCTCGTTTTCTTCCCTCACCCTCCTGTGAATGCGTCTGCGAATCCTTACAGACCCCCCACTCCTCCCACTCTCCTTGTCGTCACTTCTCCAGCTCGTTGGCGTGACCTCTCCTGACACACCCTCGGCCACTCCTTATGGAACCCAGCTCACTCCGCCTCCCTGCGTACAGGTCCAGCTACCTGAACCGTTTCCATCCCTACGCGCGCGACGAGCCACGTTTGTATGATCGTTTGCTCGTATGTCTCCTTTCCTTATGTTCGCGCGTCGTGACGCTTGTGTTCACATTGTGACTTGGCTTCGCAGCAGTCGGACATTGCGGGTGACGTGGAGGCAGTCGCGGAAGCGAGCGACCCTGCACCTCCAGTGGTGCATTGGGATGAGACTCTGCCGTCAACTCTTAAGAATCTTCTTGAGGCAATTGATGAATCTGAGAGTCTGAGAAACTTGGATCTTGCGTTGCATCCCAACGTTGCGGTGTTGCCGACTCGCCGCATAAGGCTTCAGTTGTTGATTATCGTGAGTTTTTTGTACTCGCATCTTGCGGATAGTTCACACAGTAGAACGCTAAGCTGACGCCTTATATCAATAATCAGGACCTGGCCTTCGCCATTGTTCGAGAACGTCAAGGCAGACCAACTCATCCAACTGAAGACTCGCTCACAACAATGCATGCCGAGGGCGACGACGCTCAAAAATGATGTGCTGGTGGTGCTACGAGGACGGCACCGTCGTTCTAAGCTTGGTTTCATTTGCTGTTGCTCTTGCCATCTTCCTGCTGGGAGGAACTGTTGCGTTCACACTATTTCTGCTGCAGTACCGGCAATTTTGCTCTTGATTACGTTGTCACTTTGTATATCTTCTCTGGTCCACAATTCCTGCAAATTCGTGTCGGTTCGTGCCGTTTGTGTCGCACTATTATTGCTGTCACACCGAAGCCGACGACAATGTGTGTTCCTTGAATCTTGCTAGTGTAAGCCTTGATCAACCGGCTTCGAGATCGCGTAGACACTGCCACATAATCGTGCATTCTTTGTATCATGAATATACTCGCCTGGTTTAGATATTCATCGTCGACGAGCAGGAAGGTGGTGACGATGAGTCAGGGCCGCGTGTTTCTCCGCGGCGTGTTGTCATTTGTTTACGCCTGTGGGCGTCTCCCGACGGCTCCCCCACATGATCTAGCTACACATAGGCAGCAATAACTACGAGAGTAAGGCTCGTTAAAGCCCCACTGGCATATTGTTTTCCGCTCACGCGGAGGGAGGCAATATATTTTCACATCTGAGATGATTTGCGGATGTCTGTCTACGCGCGCTTTTCTTCTCCCTTAGTAATCTTGCTTTCCTTACGCATGGCATAGCCTGTCCACGACTAGGCAAGGAAACATTGTCAAATGGAGGTACCCTAGTGGTGATCAGGCTCACTGACCTCATCATAGATCCCCACTTCCGTAGCGCCGATGGCCTGCAGCCCTAGCCACAGCACGCCGGCAGTCATCCCACTCCCGCAGCTTGCGGTGACACCCCGCTTGCCTTCGAGCACTTCTCCAGCAAAATCGGGCCCCAGCGACTCACGGAGAACATCTAAGATCTGCGTGGTCGGTTTCAACGTTGCGTACTGTTTGGGGAGCGACGCCGGGAAGGATTCTAAAGTCAGGGCCGGAGGATCTGGGATAGGGTCGCGTGGTGTGGCATCTGGTGGATGGGCACCTAGTGCCGGGATGGAAGACCCTGCAGGCAAGGGCTGCGCAGTCGCTGGAGGTGGCGAGGGCATTGGACGCGTGTCAAGGAACGCGGTGAATGGCAGCGAGAATGCGTAAGGGATGTGGCCTGAAGAGAGGCCTGCTCGAGGCTCGGGCGCGGTGCCGAGATAGCTGTAATATTCGGGATGGATTGAGCCTTAAAGCTCGGCGGCACAAGGAGAATACTCACCGGTCCTTCGAGCGCGCATCAAGTACAAGATCCGCGAGGGGCTCATTGGCAGGATTGAACCGAGAGTTTGCTACGACCTGCTCATAACCTGATCAATGATGAGCATGCAGTTTGCTTATCCATACTGAGCCAATGGTAGCCATAATATGATTTGTAGGGATGACTATGTTATGCTTCTGCGAATGCATGGGTCTGAGCATCGCACTGATTTAGTTGGAGCTCGAGCATTTGCACCCAGAGTGATTGCTCCCGCAACAGCCTTGCAGAGCAGGGGAAATGAGGAAGTCGAGACAGGTACGCTCTGCAGCCTGAGCCGATCCGTCTGCCATTCCAATATTCATAAACTCCAAACGACGAGCAGTTGAAACGCCAATCGAAGGAAGTAGCACGCACTCTTCACGACTTTGGTATCAAGCTGAGGAGCAGGATATGCAGCACTTTCCACAGGGAGCGGATCGCCGGTCTCCGTGGGGCATCCGTAGGCGATCCACGCTGGCAGTCCTCCGTCAAGGATCGACGAACGGGCATGACCAAAAGCACGGAACATGTACAATGCGCGCGGTGACGAGAATATGCCATGCGAGTCATAGCTGGATATTCAGGTGCTTGAATGAGCTGATCTCATCAAGCACTAGGTATGTATTCGCATACATTACGACGTGTGAGTCGGGTGATACACCGAAGTCCTCTAGAGCAACGTAGGATATATCACTGATACTATTCGCTACAGGAGTGTTCGGCCAGACGTACCACATGCCTTGGCAAACGTCTCAGGGCTAGGCATCATATGCTTCAGCCCCAGCGTATGGGCACTCGCAACCTCGTCGAGATCGAGGAACTGCGCGCCAGGAATTCGCAAGGCGCGCCACTCAGCTCTCGGGTTCCGAGAGGAACCTGGCATATGCCAGCTCGCATCGAGAACGGTAAGGCCACTGGATGTAGGAAGCAAGGAGCGCAACTGTGCTGGTGAGACTGTCAAGGGACAGGCGTCGCCAAACACCGTTCCTGAGCTGCTCGACATGGTACGCTTTTGACGCAGGGAATGAAGGAAGCGAGAAAGTGAGAGACGAGGAGATAACAGCCTTGCAGGCATGGGGATGGATATACTCAAAGCACGCGTACGGTGTTACGGATGGCACAATGGGATGGCCGTCCCGTCGATAGCTGACTCTGCCTGATCGAAGTGCTAAATTGACCCTAACCCTATACTCAAACTTGCACTTCGCTCATCGTTCGCCCAGCATCTCGTCCCTCGTCGTCCGCGATGCCATCTGATCAGAGCACCTGGCTCGTCGCCATTCCGCAAGACGGGGACGCCGAGGGTGTCTCCCACGAGCTCTCATCCAAACTCGCGGTCAACTCTAGAAACCAGGCCGCGTCCCTCAGCGCGCTTCCAATCCCCTCGTTCAAGGCGAGCAACCACTCACTGTTCTGTCGACAGACCAGCGAATCTTACCTGTTGTCATTTGCAGACAGGCACACTTGACTCGCTCGTCACGCTCTCAGAGGAATTGCCGAAGCACGACGCCTTCTTTACGGCTACCGTCGCGAAGACCGTCGACACGCTCCGTAACTTGCTTAACAATGATCCTTCTAAGCTCGCGCAACATGTTCAAGTGAACGAGCAGCCTGTGGATGCGTACTTGCTTAAAGACTGGAGATGGAATGAGGGCCGTTATGGAGTGCAGCGCGCGTTAACAGACATGGTCGATGTGTTGAACAAGGTGTGTATATGCATTCCTACGGTGAACCGAGCAGGTCCATACAAGTCATGTCTAGGAAATGACGTCAATAGACAATGTCATGAAGAACAAACTGAACAGCTATAACCTGGCGAAGGGGTCATTGGTGCAAATGCAGCGGAAGAAGACGTACGCGATCCTCTGTTGCCGTTCTTCGTACCACTGACACTTTGCAGGGGTAACCTGTCCGTTCGTTCTCTGGTGGACATAGTCCGCAAAGAACATTTTATTGGTGAATCAGAGTACATGCAAACTGTATTGCTCGCTATCCCTAAGTACGCTGCGATTCGCCATGCATTTTCTGACAGCGTTCGGAATGAATTCATATGCAGTTCTTCGTGCTAGGAATCTCGTCAAGGATTTCAATATCAAATACGAGCGACTAACGAATATGGTTGTACCGCGCTCAGCGACGTGAGTACAATGAAATATCATCTATGAAGTAATTGTGCTGACCCCTGCAAGACTAATCGCGTCAGACGATGAATACTCGCTTTACTCTATCGTCGTCTTCAAGAAGGTGCACAGCGACTTCATACAGAAGTGCCGCGAGAACAAGTGGGTCACTGTATAGCTAATACACGACCATTCCTTGACCACTTTTTTCACTCAGGTATATCGTGCGAGAGTTTGAGTATGCAGACGACCTCCTTGACAAACAACGTGAGGAGCTCGATGTAGCGGACATGACTGAGAAGGAGCTATGGGTGCGTTCATCATCCTAAATTTCTTTCCCCCTCACCAACCATGTGTCTAACGCAATGTATGGGATAGACCGAACTTCTCCAGCTCTCTCGTACCAACTTCTCGGAAGCATTCCAGTTGCTTGTTCACTTGAAAGTACTCCGTTTGTTCGTCGAGAGCGTGCTACGATATGGCCTGCCCGCGTCGTATACAGGATTTCTTGTGAAAGTAAGCTCCATTATTCATGAAATGAACGCGACTCATGACCATATGTGATGTAAAGCCCGAACCCAAGGCAACGAAACGAACACTGGCGACTCTTCAAACGCAGTTCGCATACCTTAACCGACGGGCGAACCCTTCATCTGCCAACTCAAAATCAAAGTTGAAGTCTGGAGGCAATACGGGAGGTGAGGACTTCGTTGGCGAATACCAGGCACTTTTGGAACAAGAATACTTTGACTTTGTGCTGTTCGAGGTGCCATGGATCGTTTTGTAGACGTGAATCGAAGGACAGAATAAGCATACCCTACTGCGAATCATAAGCATAAATCATCGGCTCCGATTTGCGGCGCATTAAAATCTGCTGGGGTGTGTAGTATATAGTGGTTTTCCATGACGCGGAAACCCTAACCTGAGTTCTCCTCGCGCGATCACTCGCCATAGAGCGGCAACACTCTGGTCGTCCTCTCATAACAGGCATGTTTCTCAGCACTTTCCGGACTCTCGTATAATACGGACTGCTGCTCGCTCCGTTCTCGCGCACGACTCTCATGCTGATTGCACTGTGCTCGCAACTATGACAATGCTCGCCCGACAAGTGTCTTCCGGTCTCAAGGCTTCTGGCTCCAGGGGAGCAGTATCTTCTGCAATTCGTACACTGCCAGCTGCAGGTGCAAACCACGCACGTCTTCTATTCACACAGGCTCGTAATTCCCCGAACGTGGGTCGATCCGTGGCGCAGTATCGCTGCTATGCAACACCGCCGCCGCAGGTAGTCCACAGGTCTGTAGTTCCGTTACATGTGTGCTCTGCCCGACTACTTCCGCACATCACGCCATCTTACTCGCAGTGCATGCTGAGTCTCTTCCTGCCTTAACTTAGGGACTTGCCAGCCGATGAGTACCACAGCCTTGCCGATGTGACAATGGATCAGCTACTCGAATCCCTCGAGTATGTTATAGACGACATCGGTGACCCCGGGTATGAGGTCGAGTACAGCGTAGGTTCACTAATCAGAGCGCAGCTGCGCGCTTCTTTGGATGGCGGATCTAATGGCTGTCATAGAGTGGAGTGCTAACACTCAAGCTGGGGGAGAACGGGACATATGTGATCAACAAGCAACCCCCAAACAAACAGATTTGGCTCTCGTCGCCTGTCAGGTGTGTTTGGTCCTCACTTCTTGCACAGGTTCCATGACCGCTCATCCATGTATCACCCTCGCCCGAACGCACAGTGGTCCGAAGCGTTACGACTACTCAGCTGCGGAGGACCAGTGGGTATACTACCGCGACGGCCAGTCAATGGGAGACCTTTTAGAGAGAGAGATAGGTTATGCGCTCGACAGAGACGTCAAACTTGGCCTGAAGAATGTGTCGCATCTGGTGGACTGAGACAGTCCACAGACGAGGATGCCAGTCCCTCGCTAACGGAAGCTGTACACGATGGTGGGATTGGAAATCCAAGCGTATCTAATGGCAGCTGGCGAAGATGCGCAGTTAGGTTTGCTGCAGCGCTAGGTCTGTCTGCAAACCCCTGCGCTTGTTGGGATTTGGGTTGAGGGGATATAGCGGCGCCGCTGCCAAAGTCTGTTGACCTGTGTTATACTCTATGTGGGTTCCAAGCATTCATGCTCGTTGCTTCTGTGGTCGTAAGACATGGTCATCTGTCTGGCATTGCCCAAGAACACTGTTCACACTGGATATGAATAATACTGGCCACAATTAGTAGGTCGTGTATCTGTCGACTTCGTTAACGTTTGACCCATCGCTAACCCGTCCGTGAGATCAAATAGCCAGAAATGAAGTCTATGAATGGTCCAGTAACGAGAACAAGGTAGCGAGGTCGTATACAATAGGAGTGGGAGATTGGCGACGGGGATAATCGATAACATAGCGCGGTGTAGATATACAAAGAGGTGTGATGCTTGCGAGAATGTGATGGATGATGAAATGAGACCAAAGAAAAGCAGGGAGACATGAGAGTACGTTCCAAGTGTGAGGGTAATAATAGTACAACTATGACCCGAGTGAGCGCGATGGAACAGAAATGCAAGAAACACAACGCACGTCTGATCATTAAGCCTATCGTTCCGATTCAAGTCTGTTCCTTCTGTCAAGAAACAAAGAACCGAGAAGCCTGGAATATCAAGATTAATCTCCGGCATTTGTGGTGGGTGACCATCGACTGACCTGTTGGTGTCTTCGTATCGCTGTGTGACATGCTTCGCTTCCATTTCATCGACCATAGTCTCTGGATAGGGGGGCGGTGTGATCTTTGCAGGCCCGGTCGGATAAGGGGCGACGTGCCCCATATGCAGTACTGCAGAGTCCGTCCGAGAAGGGGGAGTCCAGTCCGACGTGCGTGAAGGAGAGTGTGAGGAGCGAGACACGACATGGGGAGTAGTTGAAAGCGGTGAGAATATTAAGCGGTGCCTTTGCTCTGCGTGCAAGTCGTGCAGCAGGGTATTTGCTGCCTTGTACACTCCAGCCTCTGCTTGCCAGTGAGGGAGTCCTCTTGCAAAGGATGACGAGCCGGGAGACTCTTCTCTGTCCTCCTCGTCATCACTGCTGTCTTGAGAATTCTGAGCATTCTTCGTGGTGCTCGTGTAGCGCGGTGGTGCAAAATGGCGTCTGCGCTTCGTGAGTCGCTCGAGGATGTCGACGTCGATGGCTCGTTCGGCAACGGGAAAATCGGAGGACGGTACAGGAGAGGATGGTCGCTGTCGTTTGAGCATACTGCCTTGTCAGGACACGGGCGGTGGAAAATGGGAGGTGGTTGGAGATCTGAAGGAAAGAACGCCCTGCAGCCGAGAGGACAAGCACCGCGCTGTGGCGAACTGACGCGTCGAAGACGCCCATCGACATTAGACGCGGTTTACGTAATCGCCGCGCCCTGGGGCACTGAGCGCTCCTGAGAGTATCCTGGAGCTGACGGTCGACCTGCAGCTCGCAAGCATATCAAAATGTCGGACATGGACATCCTTGCGGCAATGGGCATATCTGGCTTTGGCAAGAAGCCAAAGCAGAGGCAGCTAGACCCACGCCGATTTGACAAGAACAAACGCGAGGACGTATGTATTATATTTGTCGTGTTTGTTTGTAATATTCAGTCGCATTCCCGCAGCAGACTTTTGCACCTTCTACAGAGGTCAAGGAGGAGCCTGATGCTTCTTCATCCAAGGCTCTTTCTCAGACCTTCCTTCATCAGGAGGAGCCCGAGTTTGACCCAGACGACATCGGTCCCCCTCCGCCACCACACGCTGCAAACACTGACACACATGAGGAAGGAGAGCCTGAGTTCGACCCCTCTGACGAAGAGGACTCAGGCCTGCCAGACTTCCCGATAACGCATGAGCTGATTCTCAAGGACCATACAAAAGTTGTCTCGGCGCTCACCCTCGACCCGTCGGGGGCCCGGGTCCTATCGGGCTCTCATGACTACGATTGTAAGTTATGGGATTTCGGTGGCATGGACCATAGGTGTAAGCCATTCAAGACATGGGAGCCCGCGAGTACTTACTACGTACGTCCTTTTTCCAAATTCGCAGGCCGTGAGTTGAACTTGTCTGTAGATTCACGACCTCAAGTACTCCAATGATGGGCAACAGTTCCTCGTCATCTCTGGTACCCTGCAAGCAAAATTATACGACCGAGATGGTGAAGAGCTGTGCGTAGACTTTATCAATGATGAGAGTGGATAGACTGACCTGACTCATAGGGGGACTTTTGTAAAAGGTGACCCATATATTCGTGACATGAAGAATACAGCGTGAGCCTTCTGCACAACGTGTCTTGACGCAAGTTGACTGTGAGCGCTTGAAGGGGACATGTTGCCGAAATACGGTCTTGCGCATGGCATCCACACGACCCTCAGACATTCATCACAAGTTCTGTAGATTCAACAATCAGGTAAGTAGGTAACAATAAAAATGTGCATCATCTCTAACTATGCGCAGGATCTGGGACCTTGAAAACAAGCGGAAACAGAAGACCGCCATTGTAGTCAAGTCTAAGGAACGCGGTACGCGTACGAAAGTCACTACCTGCGGATACTCGCCGGATGCCACACTCATTGGGGGAGGTAGGCACACGGTTACAATACTGTGTTTTGCTATATTCACACATTTCTTCTATGCAAGCTTGCTTGGACGGCACACTTCACATGTGGCAGACCAAATCAAATTTTGTCCGGCCGAGTATGACGGTCGAAGGTGCTTTCGTCAAGAACACCGAGCCTGGATCACTGGTGTTTTCTATCGATGGACGTACAGTTCTCACCCGAGGCGGGGACGACACCGTGAAACGTGAGCATCAACCGGGCGTTGTGTTATCTTTTTTGATGAGAATTCACGCTGCCTGCAGTTTGGGACCTTCGGGCGTTCAAAAAGCCGCTTGCTGAGCGTACCGGACTTACGACTCTCTACCCAACCACGAATGCGATCTTCAGCCCGGACGATAAATATGTCGTCACAGGAAGTGCCGCTACGGCAAAAGGAGGCAAGGGGCGACTCATGATCCTACGGAAGGACAATCTCGAGTCGGTGAAGGAGCTCGAAGTGGATACAACTCCAGTGAAAGTTGCCTGGCATTCGAAAATCAACCAGGTATTCATCTTTTCGTGCGACATGGGAGTTCATCTAACAGCAACATCCAGATCGTAACTGGTCTTGCGAACGGTCAGATATGTGTGCTCTATTCTCCGCAGTCATCTATCAACGGTGCCAAGCTTCCGCTCAACAAGGGCCCTCCCAGGAAGGCCACCATCGAAGACATGTCAGACGCTGTCTCCGCTCCCACTATCCTCACGCCGCATGCACTGCCAATGTTCCGGGATGGTGATGGCATCGCCCGAGGGGGCAAACGAAAGAGGGAGAAAGATCGCTTGGATCCCCGCAAAAGCCGAAGGCCCGAGCTACCCGTCACTGGACCAGGTCGTGGGGGACGTGTGGGTGCGAGCGCAACGCAACACGTTGTGCAAAATCTGGTGCGAGACACGACGAGAGACGAAGACGTACGTATCCTTTCCCGTTTTGTCTTGCTCACGTCGTGGGCCATCGTGCCATCGTGCATCAATATCTCCTGTTCTCGCTCGCGGTGGTCAGCACGAGAGGCAGGGGAGAGCTGCCACTGTTCAGACAGCCGCTGCGATGGTTCTCGATGGCACACTGGCCGCTGTTGTTCGCATCGTCGCAAGCGGGATCAAAGTCATCACGCGTCGCGGCGTCTATTACTGCGACACAACGTGCTGGCGTTGCCACGGAAGGACCTCGGGTGGCCACTTCGGTTCAGTCTCCGCACATTCTCATTGTCTTTCCTGTCTTGTGCGCACCCGCCCGCTGTTCGCTGACCGACCTCCTTATTCGATGACAGCCGCGCGAAGCGCTGCTCAAGCTTGCAGATGCCGACCAAGACCCTGTGTGGACAGCGGGTGAGTTCACAGCAAAATTTTCCGGTAGCCTTGATGGAGCCGTGTTTGTGGCTATTTGGCGCCGGCGATGAGTGCTGACGTGTGAACCTTATTTTCGTTCTCAGCCTGGCGCGCGAACCAACCCAAGGCTGTCTTTGCACAGGCGGAGGAGGAGGAGGAAGAGGACAAAGCGTAGATAGGATTTCACAAGTAGCTAAGCGCAGCGAAAGGGGTGGGGACGCGAGAATGGGAGGGAAATCGCTGATTTGGGAGGAGATGGCCCCTGCGCGCAGATCGAACCTTATTTCGCAGCGCGTATAAAGACTCTAGCCCAACTTCGGATCTCCTGTTCCCCCAAATCCACCCCTGCCCCTCTGCCCTCCCGTCACTCCCCCGTGACTGTCACGCGTCGCCTCCCCCCAACCATGTCCGACGCGTCCCCCCCGCCCGGCATCAACGGCCACCACGTCTCCGACTCCCCTGCCGTCGACTCCCCCGCCACCCCCGTCGACAACACCACGTCCCCCGATATCAAGATTGATGTCGACTACGCCGCTACAGAGTCCGACGCGCGCCACGAGCTCGTCACGGTCAAAATGGACACGTCCGAGGACGCGTCTCTGCAGCCGCAGGTGGGCACTCCAACGGATCCAGGTGAGGCCCAAGTGTTGCTACACATCTTCGCGGGCATTCATCGCGTATCAGCCACCATCCCCATTGCGCCTCCGAAGGGTACCCCTCCGCCTTCAACCGGTCAACTCCTCGAGGACGTCCGGATGGCCGAAGAAGCGCTACCTACAGAGGACAGCGACGTGCACATGGCAGACATTGACACTGACACGAAGCCCTCGGCTCTTAATGGACTCTCTAACGGGCACACCGTCGAGGCCACTGCACCCACTTCTTTACCCGCTGTATCGTCGATTGAGACTGCTGTCGCCTCAACAGCTCCTGGTTCTCCGTACCCTAATAATACAACTAGTGATCACGATGATGATAAACCTCCACCCGCTAAGAGAGCACGGAAGTATTCGGACGCAGAGAGAGCTTCGCTTGCCAATGTAAGCACCTTGTCTTGTGTGCGCCAGGCTGGGCGTGCTGATGGCGTTGTCTGAAGACCGGCACTTCCCCTCCAGCGTCGTCGCCTGAGCCATTGTCTACTGTCCGTCTGCCTACGCCGACAGCACGTGCAGGGGATCCAACTCTTACAACGGCACAGTGGCGGTTTTCAACGTCAACGATACGCACTTTGAAGAAGATGAAAGACACTGGTCCTTTTCTGCATCCAGTTGATCCAGTAGCCTTGAACATTCCTCATTATCCTTCCATTGTCAAGAATCCAATGGATTTCACGACCATCGAGCGAAAAATGGCGTCGTCGAATCCGATTAAACGGGACTCCAACAACGCTAACCCTCGCTACAACCATGTCGACGAATTCATCGCAGACGTAAGGCTTATCTTCACCAACTGTGTCCTCTTCAATGGCCCAGATCATCCCATCACGGCTATGGGGAAGCGCGTCGAGGCTGTTTTTGACAAACAGATCAAGCAACTGCCTGCTGCAGAAGAGGTAAGTCCGCACGCTTAACTAAAGGTTGGTGACCAAACCTCAGACGATATGGCAGCCGAAGGTACTTCCGAAGAAAGTTGCGACCCCTCCGCCTCCACCGCCTCAGCCAAAGCGGCAACCTGCACGGCGACCGTCTGTTGCTGTCCCTGTCATTCGCCGGATCGAGGAGCCTGTTCAGGGTGGTCGGCCAAAGCGCGAGATACACCCTCCTCCTCCCAAAGATCTTCCCTATGAAGCCCCCAAGAAGCCGCGCAAGGCCAAGATGCCCAAGAATGATGCTTATGTTGACCAGTTCAAGCATTGCGAGAAAATTCTCAAGGAGCTACATAAGAAGAGTTTATACAACCTTGCGCACCCATTCTACGAGCCAGTCGGTGAGTTTTTCTGTCAATGTATCAGATATTGTTCGGTGACGTCGGGAATAGATTGGGTCAAGATGGAGATCCCACAGTACCCAAAAATTATCAAGAAGCCAATGGACCTTTCGACAATCAGGCGGAAACTCGCCGACGGCGAGTATACCACCCCGGACAAGTTCCGGGAAGACTTCAAGCTGATGGTTCGCAATTGCCTCACGTTCAACCCGCCAAAGAACCCTGTTCATGAGTCGGGGAAGGAGCTGGATAGAGTCTTCGATGAAAAATGGCTCCACCTTCCGCCGCTGCATTCACAGGATCCATCTGACGAGGAGGATGATTATGACGAAGATGACAGTGAGGAGGATCGTCTACGTATGTTCGCCTAACTAACGTTTGACACCCGCTTTCTAACTGCAGCAGCAGGCATGATTGCGAACATGGAGAATCAAATTCTGCACATGAAGAACAATCTGGATGTATTGAAACGAAAGGCAAAACCGGAGAAGGAGAAGAGGAAGAAGGAGAAGAAGGTCGCGCAGCCTGTTGCTAGTACCTCCAAGGCCCTTCCAAAGCAGCCCAAGGCGACGCCAGCGGCGAACGGCCGGAAGAAGACTAAGAAGCCTATAACCGACGACGATGTTCTCACTTTCGAACAGAAGAAAGATCTCAGCGACACGATCGGAAAGCTGGATGGCGCGAAGCTTGAGAAAGTCATTCAGATTATACATGAGGGCGTGCCTGAGATTCGAGACGTGAGTGATGTTTTTCCGTTCAAATTGGTTTGTAACCGACACGCGTCGTTGACTACAGAGCACGGAAGAGATCGAGCTTGAGATCGACCAACTACCTGCGACTGTGCTCACCAAGCTGTACAACTTCGTCATTCGACCTATTCGGGCGAACCAGACGAAGCGGCCTCGAACAGGCAAGGGTACAGGTACAGGAGGGCTTAAGCGGAAGAGCATGGACGAGGACGTTGAGGCGGCAAAGATCCGCGCACTGGAGGAGAGGATGAAACTCTTCGAGGGGCGTGGGTCGGCCGGCGCGGCCAGCGACGCTCAACCAGCCGACGACAGCGAACATTCCTCGGCAGAATCAAGCGACGAGAGTTCTGCAAGCGATTCAGAGTGATCAGGTTGCGGCTCCTTGGCCTGCTCCTTCCAGTTGCTGTTTTCCGTTCTCGGTCTGATTCTTGTCATCTCTGTCTTCGTTTCGACATTCTGCAGCGTCTTACATACAATTGTCTATCATCACTCAGCGTACATACAAAATTATGATCCGCACTGTAGCTAGTTAGTACTATTATTCACTATACATCTTGTTTCGCGCCCATAGACCGGTGTAGTTGTGCTAATACGATCATTGTTCGAACGGGAATAAAATCCAGTATAGCCCGCACAAAATGCCGCCATCAACTCGTTGACCACAGCGCGTTCACTTGCGGCGGCGACCAGGCGCTCCTGCCCGAAATTGCTGCCAACCAGAGCGCGAAGTCTCCTGTGGCGCCTTCGTTGGAGGAGGCGGTGGTAGCCGTTGAGGGGTGGCCATCATTTCAGCTACAGTCGATGTCGGAAATGAGAGTGGTTGTTGCGCGCCTGACGTGGACGACATGCTAGCCCAACCGTTACGTGATGGTAGTGCGTGAGCGGACCAGCCGCTCGGAGCACCTGAGCTTGATGCGAGCGGGAGCGGGGATGAGGTTAAGGAGGGTGGGCCTTCTGCGCTAGCCGATGGCACGGGACGTGTTGAAGTCGATGGCACGGACTGTATGGTGCTTCCCGTGTCAAGCGATGTCCACCCACCGGTCCTGAAGGCTGGGGGCACGCTGAACTGCGGAATAGGCGGCGGCGGCAGTTGTGGGGGTGCCAAAACGGGAGCCCACCCACCCGGAGATTGTGTTGGCTGCGAGGAGGCTGCAGGCAAAGGTGAATCAACGGGGGGCAGCGACTGACCCACAGATGCCCATCCCGACTTCTTGAAGCCCGACGGCTTCGGCTCATTGTCTCCGACAGTACTCACGGGCGGAGCAACGAGTGAGATGGGAGGTTTCGCCATCTTCACACCAGCGGCCTTTGCGATTTTCCTGAGCTCTTTTTCTTCTCTCTTCCTTTCTTTTTCCTTCCGCTTGTCCAGTTCCTCTTTGGTATTGCGGCTGGCACGTTGTGTCGCTTGCATATCGCGGAAGCGGGCTTTGTGATGATGTGCATAGGAATTCGTATGCTCATCATACTGCGCGACGTTCTGGAATTGCTTGTCGCATAACTCGCAGTAGAACGCTCGAAGTGTGGTAGAGATCTCGCTCTTGAGCGCCTCGCGTCTGGCAACAGTGTCCTACAAGGATAGGATGGTACCATAAATGAAGCGGTGCCATGGTCATCTGGCAAAGGTACGACATACCTCGCGTGCTCTTCTTTGCTCTTCAGTTTCCTTCGTCTGACGTTCTGAATCGAGCTCACGCCGCTGAGCAACCGTGGATTCAACTACATGACCTCATTATCATTCTTAAATCTTGTCTGAAACCACATGCGCACTCACTCATGCGAACGTCTTGATTGACTTTGCCCAAACCTGTAAGGTCATTCTTGACATAGAAAGGAACAGGGTCAACACGCCCTTCCGATGTGTCAGCACTTCAAACCCAGGGCATAACACACAACAAGGTCTTACCATCGCCAGACAAGCCAAGAGGCTGCCCCTCAACCCAGCCCATGCTCGCAAGCATACGGAAGCCTATATTGTTATCCGAAATTCTCGTTTCCACTGTGATAGACTCCCGGACTGGGCCTTCCAGGTATTCATCGTACTTGGCTGGGTCCATAGCATCTGGGGCGTGGGTTTCCGGGGACGGAGAACGCGAAACGAGGGATACGTTGTCCTCGCTTTCGACATCATCCGGGGTTTCCCCTTCATCTGGCCTGGCTCGCTGAAGACACACAGAGGAGAGGGGGTATGCAGCAAGCGATTAGCGTGCTAAGAATGCACAACGAGTACCTTCAAGGAATGATGGACATCACTGTCAACGTCGGGGCGGACAAGAGGTATCGCATTCCAACGCGCAATGGTATCCGCAGACATGACTGTAGCAGTGGGATGTTTTTCTCGTCAAAATGTGTGTGGGTAGCTGTGAGCGAAGGCGTGGTTGAGCAGACCGCGGGCGCCGAATGAAAGCAAGCAATACACGTGACCTTAACTCTGTGACGCGCGCCCGCGCGCGACGCGATCGCGTCTCGCGTGCAACCTCGTTCTCACTTCCTTCCGTCGCTGACCGTCATGAGCTCCGATGATTACTTCGAGGACGAATTAGACTCAGCATTCCTGAATGAGGTTGATGCAATTGAGGCTGCACAAGTATCTGCAACAAATGGACGAAAAACCTCACCAGTGGAGCTACCCCCGACACGGCCGGTTTCGCCACGCTCAGTCATTGAGATCAGCGACTCTGACCCGTTTGACGTGTTTGACTTCGATGCGGCTGAGCTGCAGGATATACACGAAAGAGAACAGAGGGGCATCAGAGCCCCAGGACCTGTGGCTGGACCTAGCACGCTGGGCCGTACAACATCCAAAACTACAGTACAGACCACTCTTTTCGGAGAGATCGTACAAGAGGTTGCTACTAAGAGCAGGAGCAACAAGCCTCCAAGCAAAGCCCATATGGAACGCTCCAACTCGAGCTCTCGCAACCCGTTCGGAGAGCGCACGAGGAAGACCAAACGGTGGGATCACACTGCATTTGCGAAAACGGGCTGGAAGCAATCAGCGGAGGACAAGGCCAAACGCAAAGCGAAAGCAAAGGCGTCTTTCGACCATGAATTTGGTGGCGGAAGTGAAGAAGAGGAACCTGTAGAGTTTGAACAGTTTCCGGCCCCATTCGTACCTGTCGGGTGAGTCTTCAGTGTCCATGAGGGGTGCTCATGTACTCACGAGTTCAATGGTCCATCATAGACCTGTGAGCGCTAATAATCGTGTCTGTTATGTCGTCGCTCATCGCACTGTGACAGCCATCGCCGATGAAACTGCAGCCAGATCTGTTGGCTGCCAAGCGTTGGATGTATCCCCTCAACCATCCGAAGCGGGACTATCAATTCAACATTGTGAAACATAGTCTATTTGAAAACACCCTCGTGGCGCTTCCAACTGGTCTCGGAAAGACATTCATTGCCGGTGTTGTCATGCTAAACTGTGCGTCTTCCCCCTCCCCCTCCTCAACCCTGTGCTTATATGCGCAATATGTACAATGTCTATTGTGTGTACTGTGCAGTCTACAACTGGTTCCCAGAGGGAAAAGTGGTTTTCCTCGCACCGTCCAAACCGCTGGTTGCGCAACAAATAGATGCGTGTCATAGGACATGCGGCATCCCAGGGAGTCAAGCAGCTGAACTGACCGGTGAGACGGCCAAGGCAAAACGACATAGACTAGTACGTACATTGACCGATTTATCCAGACCGTTCACTGAGTGTTTCTCTGTCTCAAGTGGGCCGAGAAGCGTGTCTTCTACTTGACTCCGCAGACTTTGCTTAGTGATCTCATTTCTGAGAACTGTGATCCACGGGATATCATCCTTATAGTAATTGGTAAGTCATCGTGTAGTCGAAAACATGATTGACAAATTGATGATTCCGTTAGACGAGGCGCATAAAGGAACCGGTGACTACGCATACGCACAAGTCCTGCGATATATGATGGCCAAGAATCCCCATTTCCGAGTGCTGGCTTTGACAGCTACTCCGGGTAGCAACCCCGACGCAGTCCAGGCAATTGTGGATAGTCTACACATTAGCCACATCGAGATACGCGATGAGGAGAGCATAGATCTTCGCCCCTACATGCATAAGAAGTCTTCTGAGCAACATATTATCAAGATGGATGAGGATGTCGTCAGAATCCGCGACTTGCTAGGAAAGGTTATGCAGGTCAATGATGGCAGCGAGTCCTCATCCATGTGATCCTGACGCGGTCTATCTACAGCCATTGATCAAGCAAGTGCAAAATAACGGGGCAATGAGAGGGAGCCCCGACCCGTCACTGCTACATCCTTTCCGCTGCCAAGCGGCCATTGGTGAACTTCGCGAACGCAGGGCTCCGGCCTGGGCAATGGCAGCGGCCAGCAAACTTGGCCCCTTAGCTCGAGCGATGGGATACCTGGTGCGCTCATCGCTATGACCGTACCACCCGTTCGTCTCTGACCCGCAGGCCCTCTTAGCTTGAAGCCAGCACTAACATGTGCTACGGCGTACTCAATGGGATTATATCTGGCTTTGAGAGCACGTCAGGGAAGAAGTCGATCGGCCGGAGTGTTCAGGACAAATTGCAGAAAGATCCCGCGTTCGCTGCGCTGATCAAGGAGGTTGAGGACCAGAAGAATCGCGGCTTCTCTCTTCATCCGAAGATGGAAAAACTCCGCGTCTTGTTGGTGCAGCACTTCGCGAAAAACATGCTCGACAAAGAGGAGGCGCAAGGCGATTCCGCGCAGGCCACCCAAATCACGGAGAGCTCGAGAGTCATGGTTTTCGTCTCATTTCGGGAGTGTGTTGATGAAGTCGTGGAGGTGTTGAACAAGGAGAACCCCTTGATCAGGGCCACGCGGTTCATTGGCCAGGGAACGGATAAACAGGGAAGAAAGGGTATCGCACAGAGAGAGCAACTCGAGGTCCGCCCTCTTTGGCTGACCTTCGTGTCTGACTGGTCGCTGATCACCGTTTTCGACGATATTACCATCTAGGTTATACAGCGCTTCAAGGACGGAGAGTTCAATGTTCTCGTGTCTACTTCCATCGGCGAGGAGGGCCTGGATATAGGCGAGGTGGATATGATTGTGTGTTACGATGCCCAGAAAACACCGATCCGTATGGTAAGCCGTCTGTAAAGTCTATGAATTGAACATCACAGTCTCATCATCGCATCGCAGCTACAACGTGTTGGTCGAACAGGTCGAAAGCGTGACGGTGCCATACATATCTTGCTCGCCGAAGGCCGTGAGGAGCGCAACTGGGACAAGGCGCAAGACAAGTATAAGGACGTCCAACACTTCATTGTGCGGGCCGAACAACTCGAACTCTACGGAGATGTCGAACGACTGCTACCCGATCACATCAAACCAGAGTGCTCCGAGCTGACGATGGACATCGAGGAATATGTCCGGGAGGATCGTAGCTCTCGGAAGGGATCACTCGCCAATGGCAATTCGCCGCAGCCCAAGGGAAAAAAACGCAAGCGTGATGATGATCCTACACGCAATATTCCACCTGGGGCGGCCAATGGGTTCCTGACCGTGTCACAGCTCCTTGTCAAGGGTGGTGGGTCGAAAAAGAAGTCTACGAAGCTGAAAAGTGTCGAGAAATTTGATGTCTTGGCTGGAGAGGACGACGATGACGACCTCGAAATTGAAGCAGGTTTGTTCGGTCCTCGCAGAGCTGCATCGACATCAGCAGCATCAACCGTCAGAAAGACAGCAAAGGTCAAGCATTCGAAGACTATCGCAGCAGCGAATGATAGAAGAAGACCGAAAGCCAGGAAGAAAAAGAAGGCGGACGAGCCCACAGCAAGTCAACTGGAGAATATGGGTGTCGAAGACTCCGATGACGAGGAAATTCAGAGGGGTCTACAGATCGAAGGCGGCTCGTCGCGCTTCGCTGGTCCAAGTACTCTTCAACGTACACCATTTCCTCCAAAGCAGCACCGATCTCCCAAGCGAAGGCGAATCTCTCTGGTGGATCGTAAGGTTATCGACATCACCACTCCAGATCCTTCGGATTGCGAGAACTCACCTGCAATGTCACTCCATTCTTCTCCGGAACAGCCTCTGAGGTCCAGAAGTACGAGTACATTGAGCGGTGACCAGGTCCTTGCTACGTTGTCTAATCCATCATCTTCGCCTCGCAGCGCTTCTGTGTCTCATCATCAAGATATGGCGGACATGTCCTGGTTGATTGACGATGATGAGGAGCCGCAGCTGCAGGTTATTGACTCATCTCCTCTTGACCAACGCGCTCACCTGTCGGAAGCGATGTATGCCGCTAAACGTGACATTGACATGCAAGAGGTTAAGTATGTAACAGACCTCGAGCTGTCTTCTCCCCCGAGAGACCTCAGACCTTCTCCAGTGAAGCGAGCCGAACGCAGTCGAAGGCTTGGTGGAACCAACGGTGACATGCCACCGCCTGCTTCACCCTCTCGTTTGATAATATCACCCCCATCACTTTCAGACGAAATCTTTCCGGAACCCTCGTTTGCGATCAGAGCTCCGGGGAAACAGAAGAAGATGCAAGCCGCGGAAGACGTCAATTCGTCACCGTTAGCAATGCCTCCGCCGTCTCAGCGTCGCCTGCAACGTCAGCGAGACTCGCCTCGTCCAGAACCTGTGCCTCCGCCGGCCAAGCAGAAGAAGCGGAAATTCAAGGACGTTGTTGAAGCGCAGAAGGCGGTCCCATGGATTGACGTAGAGGCGACGCATTCGGGCGACGAACGGAGCGTGGGCTCCTCTGATGCTGAACAGCCCGAGGATGAATACGAGAGGGATTTTGTTCAAGATCTCCCGGAGACACAGGTGTCGCCTTCGTACGACCAGTCCGCTGTGTATCGCCGGAGTCTCTTCACTCAGGCCCCGGGAAGGGGACATGCAGTACCCGCATTTGCAAGTCGGCCGGTCAGACGAGGATACGGTGCATACACTCGTGCTGGCCCTTCCTCTCATGTGCGACACATCCCTTCCAGTTCACCCTGCAATGACGGAGACGACTACTACGAATTGGGCAGCTTCATCGTTGATGATGAGGCGGACATTAGCTCTAGAGGACATTCTTCAAGCGAACCTTGACGGACGTCTACCGCAGACATTTGAAGGTACTTTATATCTAGTACCGCTAGTCTACTTTACAAGCATATCTCCTAGTTATTGCTCGAGCAACGTAGCAACTACTCGCTGTTGCTCAGAGGCGCTCCGCAGCATACAAACGGTCCTCAGCAAATTGGGGACAGGCACACTCTTTCCAGGTGACCCCACACACATAGCAAAACTGCTTCTTGCACATGCATTGCATGTGATAGCAGCCGTGTGTCAGCTCGACCAAATGGTGACATCCAGGACATCGCTGCCACCCATTTTCCTTCGCCATATCCAACACAGCCTGATTGAGATGAGCTGAGCATCCTCTCGATCCATGCGCTTCTTCTTTGCAAGCGCTGCACGTCTGGGTGAGGCATTCTGGGCAGTTTAAGGGGACAGGAGTTGATGTGGCCGCACCCAAGAATGTCGAACACTGGGGTTGGTAACAGTAGACGCGATTCGCGGTCGAGTACTCTAGTACCTTGTTTTCGAACAAAATCGCAAGGTTAGTGTCTAGGAGCTGTCGGGCGTTCTCGAATGGGATAGTAATGGCACAGCAAGAGGGCGGGAAGACGGCTTCATCGACGGTCGCCTTGCGGAAAAAGTCTTGCAGGCACTGTCGATCATAGACGTGTCCGCACGCGGTCGAAAAGGACGTCCCATGAATGTCATCGGCACAAGCGGTGCAAACCTGCACCGGGCTTAGCGGACATGCAAGTCAGTTGGGGCCGTTACATCCAACGCAGGACATACTCAGCAGCTAAAGCTAGTGACCGTGCTTCCGTAGACTGGGTTCCACTAGAAGAGCCACTGCCGCTGCAAGGTGCCAGAAAACTCAGTATATATGTCTACAGCTGGCCAGAGATGGACTGACCTGTCTGCTCTTGCAGCCTGCCCACTGCTTGGAACAGCTTCGACATCTTCTCGCAACTCTCCGCTTTCTGACAACGCGATGGCTAACATATGATCGCGCCTAGCCATATCTTCGACGGCGAGCAGCTCATGAATTAGCGAGCCAGGAGCGCACTGAACACCGTCAGGGACCCCAGTAATGTGATCTTTGGTGATGTTCAGCAGACTCTCTGCCTCGGCGGCGAAGAGCCGCATCGCAACTTCCTCATCATTGAGTGGATGGTCGGAGTGAGAACCACTCGCAGCATCGTCCAGATTTCGTGCTTGGAGTTTTTCGATGTCGTGCACACCGAGTTGCGAAATGTACGCAAGAAGGGCGGCAAGCCCGCCCTCCTGTGCGAGGGGTTGGTGAGAAGATAGAGAGGCCGCCATCGACTGGGTGGAGCTGTCCTTTGACAGCAGGGCATTCCTTTATGCGATATCTACAGGCTCACATGAGTGCTGTGGTTTGGGTTCGCGCCCATACCACAACTGCGAGATCAACGGCCTTCCGTATCTGCTTAGATGGCAAAAGAACTTTGAAAGAAGTAGCTTCGCACAGATGACCAGGATAGGGGAGATACCCAGCTGACAGGTCGGAATGAACAACGGACAACAACCATGGGAGCGAAGATAGGATAGCAAGCCCACATGTGCTGATCGCACTGCTACAAACCATATCACATCGAGCAAAGTTCAAGATAGGGACTCGTCACATCATATGGTTTGTAGCTAGCTATAATTTCACGACCCAAGGATAGGAAATTACCACACTCATTTGAGAAAGACAAACCAGACGTCAGCCACGTTTCGTATGCCTGTTACATCCTGTTGCGACGGCATCGCACACATACGTTCATGTGACAGTAACGGCACCTCTGAGTTCTGCGTGAGCGGCGAAATACATACGATTGGGACCATCAGTACGACTTACCAGCAAAAAGACCCCTAGATGATGGAAGCAATTTTCGCACTGTCCGGCACCCTGATTATACTTCCACACGTGCTGGCAGTCATGGTCGACTCGAAGGCGCTCGGCCACTTCTGCAACTCTCCACCGGACCTGCTGAGGTGCCAGTGGAGGCCCTGCCGGACGCTCCCGCTGCACTTGCCGTTGGGCTGCGACAAGTAGACGATTCTCGTCCCACTGAGGGCAAGTGCAGTTTTTCCATGTTGCCGTGCAGACATAGCAGAACTGCTTCCTGCACCTGCATGTCATGTGGTAGCACCCGTAGACCAATTCTACGAGCGCCCTGCAGCCGGGGCAGCGTTTCCAACCAGCCTCCTCTGCGAGTGCCAGAACTGGTGCATCGTCCGAAGGGCATAGCCTGGACGGATGCGCCTCTTGTTTGCAGAGCCCGCAGGTCTGCGAGTAGCACTCTCTGCAGATATGAATGATGGCCTTGGCAGTAGCCGGTCCGAGGAAAGAAGAGCACGTCGGTCGATGACAGTAGATGCGATCTGCGGTGCTGAATTCGATGGATTTCTTGTCGAAGACGGCGGACAGCTCTTCGCCAAGATATGGCTTGATATCATTGACCGCGAATGGCTTTTGGCAGCAGCGGGGTGGGAACAATGACTCGTCCGTAGAGGCAGCGCGGAACAAGTTGACGAGGCAGTCGATGTCCCAGCAATGGCCGCAGGGAGCACGAAACACGATGCCTTTGATTTCGTCTCGACAGAAGACGCATACTTCATCGCTGAAACTGCGTGTTAGGCGACTTGATTTGAGCACAAGGTAAGATTACCCACGTCCGCTGTTTACTGGCGATTCCATGACGCTTTGCAACAACGAGCGCTTGAGAGAGCGTGCTCTTGCTAGAAGACTCAACCTGACTTGACCTGTTTATCAAGATTCGTGATGTAGGTTCAGCAGGATGGGGACATTGTCTTACCGAGCAGAATACAAGCCTGACGTCTGCGCACTGCCGCTAGGAACACTGGCCTGGGACGGTGCAGGAAGAGCGGCTCTCGACGGCGGCGCACGCGAACGCCCTTCGGAAAGGGCAACAGCAAGTTCATGATCCTCGCGAGCTGTTATCTCCTCCCTCAAAATCTCCTCAACCGTGGCTATGTCAGTCTGCATAGCATAGTTGATACTACGCGCGAAGGCTGCGTCCTTTGTAAAATCCAAGAGGGAATTTGCCTCCTCTGCGAATAGCTGAAATGCTAGCTCCTCGTCAGAGATTTCTGCCGTTGCTCTCCCCTTGCCCTTGCGGCCAGCGGCGACGTCGTCCACATCTTTCAATGTGAGTTCCGCTACGAGGGTAAGAAGAGAAGTACTGTCATCAACAGGAGGAGTCGACGGTTCGCCCTGCGAGCGCAATACCAGAGCCATTATTGCGCGGGCGGGGTGAAGGGGGGGCTCAACGAGACGAGAGCGATGGAGCGCGAATATTAAATGCGCCTTGATAGTGGAGTCCTTCGCAGCCGAACAAAAGACATTCTGATGATCTTTCTGCAACAACTTACCATCTGGAGCGTTCAAAATACCAAAAGAAGGTGGTTCGGAGGCACCCCAAGCCTGCCCCAAGCCTGAGAATGCCTATCGCTGAATCATTTGGGCGGTGAGATCTGATGCATGAGAGACGCTAGTCCCGCATGCTCTTAACAGATTGCGCTATCTGCACTCCTATACAACTAGGTTTGCCTTTTTGAAGAGATAGAAGCTCGCCATGAAGCCACGCTGTGCGATAGTTCCGGTTTGCTCTTTGGCAGCGAACTCCGGACATACGAAGTAAAGTCAGTTGATGTACGGACAGGAGGAAGAAATCGCTGATCCTCTTCGCACTGGGATGGTGCATAAGTCACTGTCCCTTCGTGATGTCTCGTGACATGACATACCTCTGGCATAGTCGTGAAACCGGTGACGACAGCAAGCTCACCACTTAGCGCTACGAGAAGTTAGGAGAGCCAGGTTCTAATCACGCGTGCGTAACTCTAGACGACACGACTCCCAGATTTATATGACCATGTCCTGAGACAGGCTCAGCGAATAACCGGTGCACCCGCTTGCCCTTGCCTTCCGACCGATCTGCTTCGAAAGTGCACACTCCTGTTCATGAGTAGTGAGATGCTCATTATTTAGCCCGTCCCCTGGTATAGGCACAAGACAGGTCCTGTTGTGCATAGCAGCACACATGGCATAGTGTCGGTCCTTTGCACCATCACCTATGTCTGCTTGAAGCGAAAACGACAGAGTGGCGCACGCCATAACGAGCTCGAGCTCGACCAAAGGAGCCAGGACGCTAACATGCAGCTGTATGTTGCATATTGCTTCTCCAATAGCAGGGACGTAAGTATCTCACTGACAAGAAGGGTCGCCTTTGCAACAAGTCCGACCATATCGAAACATACCTAGTACTAGTCGGATCATCGGTTCGGATGATGGCGGGGCATCTAGCTGGTGTATAACCTACCCGCTCTGGGGCGCCCGATGCTGCGCAAACACTTGCGCGCCGTGATTGACGAAGCGATTAGGAGACTGAGGGGACATCCAAACGGCCTGAGAGAAATCGATATTTTGTGCCGCAGTGCAGTGCAGGCTGCAGACGCGAAACGGCGCGAAGCCTATCTCGCCCTTGCTTCTGTCGTTCAAGACTGGAAACGACCACTGCGGTGTCGTCACCTCCACAGGCATGGTCGGTCTGTCGGCCAGACAGATTAGGTATGTCGATGGAGAAGCAAAAGAACCAATAACGGTTGTCGGGCGGATTATGTGCTTTCCGTCGTGGAAGCTCAAATTCAAAGGTTGTACGTGCATCCTGTCGGTAATTACCGAGATGATGATTTGAAGCATCGCGGCCCTCGAGAATTTGGCCACTTCCAGTTCAACAGTTGGAGGTTACTACATACCATTCCTGACCTGCAGAGCGCCGAGGCAAGGTGCCGCGGGCCTACTGCTCCGGACATGTCCCGGCATGTGTGTTAACGCCTTCGCGAATCTGATAGCTTCAGCTATAAAGGGCACAGAATGCCGCAGCAGCATCGACACGCAGTACCAACCATTCCGACTTTGCCTTTAATATGTCCTTGCCAAATGTGCCTGTCCTTGACGCAAGCTTTTATCGCCTCAGTGGCGAGGAGCTGCAGTTCTTCAAGTCTCAGACTGGAATTCAAGACGAGGAAGAACTTAAGAAACATATCATGAACATCCAGCAGGAAGCATGGGAAGTGAGTGATCTTGGGTATGAACAACGGCGGCGCAATTTTGACAATGTTGTTGGACACAGGTGCACCCATATCCGTGCATCCGCGGATTCGCTTTCACAAGGTATGGCGACTATCACTATGCGCATATGAGTACTCCTCACCTTACCTGTGATGCAGACTCAAGATTTCGCGTCTTCCCGCATACCAGCAGCTCTTGATACTCGGCAAGGAGCGTGAAGGTGCTATATTCCTCGACATTGGCTGCTGCTGTCAGTGTCCTGCGTCGTAACGATGTACCGTAACTCACGGTTCACACCGGGCAGTCGGCAATGACCTCAGGAAAGCAATTGTCGACGGTTTCCCTGCTGAGAACACCATTGCATCTGACCTTTATGCTGGTAAGCTCACAGGTTCCCTCGAATCGGTACAGCAGGATTGATTACATGTCGTAGATTTTCTGCAGCTTGGGCATAAGCTGTTCAAGAGCTCCCCTGAGACGTTCGCTGCACACTTTATCCCGGGCAACGCATTTGACCAAGCCTTCCTCAAGACGGTCCCCCCGTTCTACTCGCCCCCAAAAACAGCACGGCCCGACCTGGGTTCCCTGAACACGCTTAGCCCGCTCGCAGGGCATGTCTCCGTGATACATGCCTCGGAGCTGTTTCACCTCTTCGACGAGCCGCAGCAGCTCGAGCTCGCGCATGCCCTCGCGGGACTCCTCTCTCCAGAGCCCGGGTCATTCATCTTCGGCGAGCACGGCGGGAAGCCGGTGAAGGGCTATCGCACAGAGGGCCGCCCGCGGAGTGATGGGACGTACCAGTTTTGCCACTCGCCGGAGACGTGGACGGCATTGTGGGACGGGGAGGTGTTTGCGAAAGGCACAGTGCGGGTTGAGGCGAGGCTTCTGGAGATACAGGGGTTGGACCTTAACATGGTGGCAGATCCAAACACTGACGCAAAGTTCTGGATCATGCTGTGGTCTGTGACGCGTGTTTGAGACATCTTCGTCGCAGGACCGGTGGGTCCAAATTATTCCGAACGGCTTCATGTTGTAAATCTACTTGGTCAAACAATGTATTGCAGATCCCTGAATTCGGATGCGGGAGGACTCTTATCCGATATAGCCACTGGACGTGTGTTGAAGGGAGTAGCATTGTTCAGGACCGGCTCGGGCCACTGACTATATGATCCTATAATGTACGATGAATCTATTGCTAGTTAGCAATAGCTCACGTATAAACGTGATAGCCTGAGTATGGTCTGATTGAGGATGAGTCGGTCGGATGTTGCAGTCTCTAGACAAGCACTTTGGACGCCATTAATTCAAGTTCTACACGATGTGTTTCGGACACCGAAATGCGTGTGTAAGGGCGAAACCGTGTCTTACGGTGGAGACCCCACGAATTGACTCAGACTCAACTTCAATATCACTGCCCATGGCATGAGTACTGCACTCGAATGAAGTCTTCCTTACCTTCCGGAGATAGCGCGAACTTGAAGCCTGCAATATTGTCTGTTCTGATCGAGCTCAGGTAGGCTGTCGGTGATTACCGAAACGGCGATCTGAGCTTTGCGGGGCCCGCGTGTGCGGCCCTCGACAACTCGGTCACTTCACACAAGTTCAAGAGTAATTCTGTACACTCACCTTGAACAGCATGAGTAGTTCTTAGTCCTCGTGCGGAATCATATGTTCCGGCCGTCCCGCCTTACCGCTGCCCTCATAAAATCCGACAAGCCTGCCGATTTTATACATGATGCGTTACATACCATCCCGACCTCCAGAGCGCCGGGACAAGATGCCGTGGGCCAACAACTCCGGACATGCCACGGCATGTGGGTTGACGCCTCCACGAGTCCTGTGTCTCTAACAAGCGCCGCGCAGAGTGTGGGGATCAGTGCCCGATAGCTGAAGTTATAAAGGGCGCAGAATGACCCAGCTGTTGGAGCAGATAATCCATTCGCCCTGTTTTACCTTACGCTATTTACGCGCTGATGCGCTCCCCCTTCTTGGCACTCATCCCGCCATGCGCATGCATGCGCAGCATCAGTGCGCATCGATAGTACCTGTTACGTACCTTGTGCCTGTCGTTTCTGCTCGCCGTCTTATACGCTCGCATTTGCGACCGCACCCTCAGTCTTGCATCGTATCCGAGCACGCACTGAGGGTGAGTACTTAGCTTGTTCTGTTCTCGTTTACACATACTCACGTACATTGTAGTCCTCGTCCTATTTGTTATAGGTATGCATAAATACTAGTCTTGCATCGTATCCGAGCACGCACTGAGGTCCTCGTCCTATTTGTTATAGTCCGACGACGCGTGCTCTAGCCCTGCCGTTGCGTCACCAGCAGCAACGATACCCATCCATTCAACTACCCCTGCAGCACTGCTCTAAGCCGCTCCGACTCCACCAGTGATATGACCTCTGTGGCAGATGCGCTTAACGCCAGCTTCTATCGCCTTAATGGCGAGGAGCTGCAGTTCTTCAAGTCTCAGACTGGGATTCAAGACGAGGAAGAACTGAAGAAGCATATCATGGAAGTCCAGCAGGAAGCATGGGAAGTGAGTGACCTTAGGTGTGAGCGGGGCGGCGCAACTTAATGACGCTGACCAACGCAGGTACATCCCTATCCGTGTATCCGCGGATTCGTATTCACGAGGTATGGCGATCATGGGTGAATGAGATGAGGATCATTTAACTAATCTGCAACGCAGACTCAAGATTTCGCGTCTGCCTGCATACCAGCAACTTTTGAAACTGGGCACGGAGCGCGAAGGAGCTATATTCCTCGACATTGGCTGCTGCTGTCAGGGTTCTGCGTCGTGAAGATGTACTTTAGCTCACGCTTTACTTTGGGCAGTCGGCAATGACCTCAGAAAAGCAATCGCGGATGGTTTCCCCGCCGAGAATGCCATTGCGTCTGACCTCTATGCTGGTAGGCCCACTGGAAGTTCCCTCGAACCTGTACAACGGAACTGATCCCATGCCGTAGAATTTCTGCAGCTTGGGCATAAGCTGTTCAAGACCGCCCCTGAGACGTTCGCTGCACACTTTATCCCGGGAAATGCGCTCGACCAAGCGTTTCTCAAGACCGTCCCTCCGTTCTACTCGCCCCCAGAAACAGCGCGGCCCGACCTGAGTTCCCTGAACACGCTCAGCCCACTCGCAGGGCACGTCTCCGTGATACACGCTTCGGAGCTGTTTCACCTCTTCGACGAGCCGCAGCAGCTCGAGCTCGCGCATGCCCTCGCAGGTCTTCTCTCTCCAGAGCCCGGGTCGTTCATCTTCGGCGAGCACGGCGGGAAGCCGGTGAAGGGCTATCGCACAGAGGGTCGTCCGCGGCGCGACGGGACGTACCGGTTTTGCCATTCGCCGGAGACGTGGACGGCATTGTGGGACGGGGAGGTGTTTGCGAAAGGCACAGTGCGGGTTGAGGCGAGGCTTCTGGAGATACAGGGGCTGGACCTTAACATGGTGGCAGATCCAAACACTGACGCAAAGTTCTGGATCATGCTGTGGTCTGTGACGCGTGTCTAGGCACTCTCATTGCGGGACTCTATAATCCTAAATGGCCTCATTACAAATTCACTCGGTCCGATGATGTATTACAGATACCGCGTGTAGGCTTCGCATCACGACACTCACTCTCAATTTGATGTCCGCGTGGGTAGTCATACCACGGAATCCGCGTCGGATACATTGCCAGAGAAGGAGTCGCATTGGTAGCAGCGGGCACAGAGGCTCAAAATGAGGCACGTGAGCGTGTCTGCAGCGAGATGACGTCAGCGGTGATCCGATTGGAGGGCAAGCCAATACTTGTCATCTTTCTCTCCACAGGCAAGACAGCCCTCACTCATAGCCAGCAGCATATTCTTGTCCGCAACCCTCACCATGCCGGCCACTGCCCCCTCACCCCCCGTCCTGCACTCCTTCGCTACCTCTCACGAGCTCTGCGACGCCCTCGCACACTTTATCATCAAAGCTCAGAAAGAAGCCGTCGAAAAGAAGGGCCGGTTTACCGTCGCCGTATCCGGCGGGTCGCTCCCCACCCAGCTGAATGCCCTCATCGGGAAGCCCGGTGTCAAATGGGACAAATGGTGCGCATCATCCGTTCCTGGGCTCGAGTATGGGTCCGCTCATGCTCGCTGCCACCTGACGTAATGGTGCAGGCAGGTCTTCTATGCCGATGAACGCGTCGTTCCGCTCGACCACCCCGACTCAAATCACAAACTCTGCTTGGACGAGCTCTTCTCCAAAGTGCCCATCCCCGCCGACCACATCCATCCCATCGACCCGTCCCTCGGGGACGACCTCGAGGAGCTCTCCGACGCCTACGAGAAGGAGCTCATCCGAGAATTCGCACAGAAGGACTCGGCGCGCTTCCCCATCTTCGATCTCATCCTTCTCGGCGTCGGCCCGGACGGTCACACAGCGTCTCTCTTTCCCGGCCACGCCCTTCTCACCGAGGACGACCGCTGGGTCGCGTACATCGATGACAGCCCCAAGCCCCCGCCCAAGCGCGTTACCTTCACCTACCCCGTCATCAATCATGCAGCACGCATTGCCTTCATCGCCACCAGCGCCGGCAAAGCGGACATGCTCAAGACTGTCCTTGACAAGCCAGAGGAGGGCCTTCCGGCTTCGAGGGTACGGCCCGTGTACCCCGGGCAGCTGTACTGGTTTGTCGACGATGCTGCTGCCAGCAAAGTCGAGTACCCCAGAACGCCCTTCAAACTTTGACTCCAGGCGGGTTCGGAGCGGCATAGGCTATAGGGCCTATTGTAGCTGGACTTTCGTGTCTTGTATGGGTGAAGTATTTGCCTTGTGTTCTGTTAGAGGCCAGAAGAGAAACAGAAATCGTCAAATCATTGTACATCACTAATCCGTACTTGTCCTCGTATACCTTCTACTACATCTTTGCGCCATTTCATGGCTCGTATCGTATCTTGTGAGATTACGCCAGTCTGTATTACTTACAATCCAACAAGATGCCGCATTGTGCTTCAACAGCATGAAGTTCCGAATCCCATAGGGGCCTTGTGAACGAGCTCGTGCTGAGTAATGAACACTCGAACCTAATCACGCTATGTACTTCCGCTGATACCACCCTCCGCACAATGCATGGCAGCGACAGTTTCGCTGACGCCCAATTCTGGGAAGACAGTAGAGAGAATCAGGTCAAGTATAAATAGCACGAGGTGTGCATTGCACGCTTGGGATGAGAGTGGATCGAGAATACCGTCGATTGTATGCGTGCGTGCGTCTGGTGTCGGGCCGAGCAACAGGGCAAGGGGAGCTGTATCGGACATACAAAGCCGATCCCGTCAGCATGGACCGCAGAGCAGCGGGCGGAGACCAGCTTACCAGGCGCCCTTGCAAGCAGCCGCCGCCCGAGCTCCTCGCGCATCACGGCCTGCTCCTCGGGCGTCGGATCCGGCGGCGCATGCCCCGGCCAGCCCTCGGGGAAGAGCGCGTGCCGTGCGGAGCGTACGATGTCGGCCAGGCGCGGCGCGGAGAGCGCGTGTGTGTAGAGGAGGTACGGGAGGAGGCGGGAGATGAAGGGCTCAAGGAAGGTGAGCGGGAGGGAGAGCGTATGTGCAAGCGCGAGAGCAAGGGAGGTGGACGAGGACCCTCCGCCGGGCGACGGGGAGGGGAGCGGCGGGGGCGTGAGGAGGGTGAGTAACAAGGTGAGAGGTGGACGAGTGTAGTTTGGCGGAGGTGGCGGGGAGGGCGCGCTGGGGGGTGTAGAAGGGGCGGACAATGAAGATGTGGAGGGGACAGTCGTGTTCGATGTGCTGCGGGATAGCGGTATCATAGATGGCAACGACAAAGGCGTAGGAGGTGTTTGTGTGATGTGTTGTGCCGTGGGCAGCGTGGGCTTCGTGACCAGACCAGCGGGAACAGTGGGAGGCGAGGGGGACGGCGCACTGGGCGCCGCTGCTTTGAATTCCTCACCTGTTGCACGTTGCGGTGTAGATTCGACTGTAGCAGCGGGCTGTTGGGAGCCTTTGGAAGTGCTCTGGTTCACCTTCTTGATCGTATCCCTCGCTTGTCGATAGGCATGGATAAGGAGCAGACATGAGCCTGAAATGGACTGGATAGCAGAGAGGAAGAAGATGGCAAGGGACTGCAGAGAAAGTGTAGTCCGCGCAGGTGTAGGACTGTCAGAGGGTGCGGTTGATGTCGTCTTTGTGCTGCCAACAGCCTGTGTACATGATTATCAGTGATACAATGCGCACACAGAGGCTCGGCATTTTACTGCAATTGAACCAACGCAGACATGGCGGCGGTACATCTCAAAGGCGCAGCCATCAAGTGATGTCTACAATGGTCAATATGGACCGCCGCCTTCCATGCTAGGCATTCGCACGAGATAAGACATGCCCGCAGCGCCCTATCTCATTGCTACCGAACCATCATTTGTGGTTTGTGCGTACCTGCGTTGACTTCAATATCTCCTGCTCTGGTCCAAGATTGTCTAGAATCAGCTTATGTATGAACCAAGGCTGCGTGATGCGCGGTATGACATTCCGCAGGAGCACGCTCAGAATGATCTCCCGCACAATGTATCGCTCTGGCTCCGACTCGTAGTCTTCTGGCGGCAGACATGCTTTCAAGATGTGATCAACAGCCTGGCGGATGTACACGTCGTCTATGCGACCGTCGGCAGATATCGCCATGTGTGGCTGTAGCTGGTGAAACAACTGCGGGAGAGTAGCAGCACCACCAGAGGCGTAGGAGGTATGTAGCTTGGCTTTGGCATTGCGGAAGTCAATATAATGTTGTGTGGAAAGAGTTGGGAGGTCGCGGAAGACAAGCGGCGAGAGATCTGTCGCGAGCAGACGTGTTTCGAGAGCGCGAAGTACGGTGGTGAGGACTCGGGTGATTGCAGGGAGGAACTCCTTGTCATAGCGCGTGATCTTCGTCCACCATGGGTTCACAAATGCGCGCAGAGCCAATGAAATGAAGTCGTAGAGCTCAGCATTGAGTGCCGGCTGGGCGGCGGGAGATGCGAGGAGCGACGGGAGGTCAGCGTCGGCAGGTAGGTGTGGGAAGAGCAGCCGTTTGGAAAGGGAGATGGGCTTGGAGACAGGTTTGGTCGCCACAGGCTTGTCCGCGCCTACGGATGAGGACGAGGACTGGATGGAGCGCGCTGGCTGGCGGGGGCGCTGCACGACGGCGGAGGCCATCATTGCACACGGCGAGCGCGACTTACCAAATGTGGGCAATATGATCTATCGGCTATTTCGGGGCGAAAATAGATAATGTCATCCGATTACGCAATCCGGTCATTTCACCTACCGCATCTGTCAAATCAAGGTTGCACACCGGTCCACACAATTAGAAATAGCCCTCCCTCGCCATGGATTGTTTTGAACATCCGACCACTGACTTTGGGGCCTCTACAGAGCCTATGAAAAATGCATTCAGCAAGTTCTATCGTGTTTCCTTACCTAGTCAGCCTCAGGGAACTTGCAGCTTAACGCGCGCTCAAAATGCGCTCGAAGTGGTGATTATGTAATACAAGCACCCCTGAAGGGTCTGCAAGCGTACACTCGAAGCAATAATACATTTATTCTATTTCTCAATGTCCACCCAATCAAATGTCAAACCGCGGGTGAGGCTGCACATCTGATATCAAGGGTAGCTACGGCGGGCGCCCCACTTAGACATCTATAAATGGTTCTTAGACCTGACTAATCGGCGACGGTCGCCGGTTCTCACGCGCATTGGCCTCACTGGTGTTCGCCCGAGAGGACAGCGAGCGAGATCAGACGTGTGGTATGGGATGCGAAGTACTACATGTAGTATTTTCAATATGTAGGGGTTATTTGGAGCATTTGAATAGTCCAACAGGCGTAATGTTTGATGAAGGGGGTGAGCTGTTCTTAAATGTGTGGACAGGAGTGCACTTTACTCATGACAGGATTGTGCGGCAGGCGGGACAGGATCTCCGGCAGCTAGGGACCGGATCACTGACCGGGGCGGACCAAAACGAGTGTCGGGGCGGGCATCAGGGCGGTTTTGGCCCGGGCAGGAAGTATCTGATTTGACCGATTTGCGATTCCAAATGACATTATCTACTCACGCTATTTCGGGGCGGGCGGGGGCGGAACGAGCACGTGCTCGCGTCATTCGCGTTTGCCGGGGCATCGCGACGGGCGTAGATCTAGATCTGGTGCTCTGGCTGCCGGTCAGCCTCGTCCACATAGGCCACCCTCTCGCTGTCTCCCCATCCGCTGTGCTCATCGTCGTGCACAGCGCCGAGCGTTCTGGAGCGCCCGCCGCCATCCGTGGCCGAAACAGATCTCGGTATGTCAATCTTACCATCAAGCGCCCAACTTCCGTTCCATTACATGAACAGTACTCATCTGCTCAGGTATATAGACGGGCCCCAGCCTCGTTGGGGCCATTCTTATCCACTGCTCGCTCACTCGCCAACACGCTCATTTCTATCGGACCGCGAAGACATTTATTCATACTACTATGTATAATAACCCGCAACTCTATGTACGGGACGGGACCAGCGACAATGGCAAATTGTCCACAGGGACAATTATCATCATTGTCGTCGTATGCGGCTCCGTGGTTGTCCTGGCATCTATCCTCTTTCTCTGGCGGCTACTTTTCCGCCAGTGTAACCGCAAGAAGTCAAACCCGCTGCCGCCTGTACAGCTGCTTGCGCACGAGCGTCAAGAACATGCCACGACATTTGCGGACGGTAAGGCTTTCTACTCGACCAGCAGCCTAAACGGGTCAATGCACAAGCTAACATTGCAACACGCTCCGAGCTTTGCATCCCTACTCCCCCGCGACGCATCGAGTAGCCGTCAGAACAGCGTTTTCGTTGACGATGCGACCTCTGCAGAGAGCATTCCTACTCTCGGACCGCCTGTGTCGGCGGACAATCTCACCCCGCCAAATCCCCCTTTCAACCCATATATCAGCGCAGAATCCGTTGAAAGCATGCAGCCATCCTCAAGCGTTCCTTTTTCTGATGTATCCTCGACCATCTCCCACGTCACGTCCCTCAGTGGGCACCGCCCTCGCGTTGGAAGCCGCGCTATGTCACGGTCTCAATCCCGCCCTGTCTCACTAGCGTCTTCTGCTGGCACAATGCAAACATTCCAGAGCACGCGAAGTCGAGGGAGTGTCTTACGAGGACCTCCGCACAGCCGCATGAGCAACATCCAAATTGTCTTGCCTGCACCGCTTGCACCAGAGACATATCCCTATACAGGGAATGGAGCACAAAACGCCATGAGCGGCTATATGGGTCAAGATGACGCATTTGATAGGCGCAGCGTATTCGCCGACCAATGGGTGCCCGTTGGTGCACGCTCATTAAGTATGCACGCCACCAGTATTCCAGGGCCCTCAGTTGGTGAGCAATAAGCACAATGCAACGCATCCATGTTGATTCATTATGGTTTTGCTGAATATCATACAGGCCGAGCAATATCGACCAATCCGCGCATCCCAAGCAGCCTGTCGCAGTCTACCACTGTGACAATGTCCCAGCAGACCTACCACCGCAGCCAATCGCAGCCGCGCATCATAGGAGCGCGCCCATATCCTCCTCGCTCACAGTCTGCCGGCCCGTCATATGCGTCCGGCTCGACAACACACACACCGCCACCTCCGGTGCCAAGCCGACCCGCAGGCTATGCCACCCCGCCACAGGAGAGAACAGCAAACGAGGAGCCGATGCGCGGTAGACCACGCAGCGCGACCGTTGTGCGGCCTGCTCCGCATTCAAGAGGCTTATCGCAAGACCAGCAGGTCGCCCAGCTAGCGGCGTTGTCCTCCATACCATACGTTTCAGATCAACCGCCGCCTCCACGACCGCCCGAGGAAGCGCGATGGCAGCCGTCGCGTTCACGCTCGCGCAGAAATACCCTACGGAAACCTAAACCGACAGTCCCCAACGAAGAGTCTTCTGTGCCTCATAATTGGCCCATGTATGCGCCCACGATCTAGAAGCTATCTTGGCTACACTTGTTCTTGAAACCACCACATGAACACTGGAAGTAACAGTCATGGAGGCCGCTGCATCAAACACCCTGCATCCGGTAGTCTACTATTTTCTACGCGCAACCATTCTAGAATGACAACGTAGCTGTTGCAATCTAAGATACGCAATCCAATTTTCTTCACATGACAATGGTCAGCGCTTCAGCATGAGTCGGAAGGTTGTGCGAGATCTCGCGATAATGTAGAGAACACACTGGTAGTGCGGTGGGGCCACTCTTGTGGCCCTTGGTAATAGTCTCCCGTGGGAGAGCTACAGTCCCTCGTTATTAGACAGTGAAGCAGCGAGTACAAAAAGAGCAGACAACAAGACGTCACTTCGTCACGCAAGCATTACAGTATCCCATAATCATTCTCAGCATCGTCGCCACCCCAGCTGGAGGCAGAGAACTCTTCTGGGAGGTGAGTATCATCCTCATGACTCGGTAAACTAGAATGGGGTTCTTCTACCGCCGTCTTGGCGACAGACAGTATCTCCTCCGTTGGGGGAGATGTTTTCGTAAGCGGAGGCGCCGCTTGCGTATTCTGCCATGAGATCTGGACCTGACCGATTGTTGGTATGCTTGAGCCCTTCACCAAACCCTACCGAGGCAATGAGATTAGATGAACATGACCTTCGACTCGGTAAATAAGCCCTTACCTGCTCTGCTGCAGCTCTGGACCGGAAGGACACAACGATGTCTCCGGTATCCGTTGGGTCAACCGATTCAACCTGACCAGTGGTCTGGAAGGTATATTAACGTGAGATCATTTCAAGGGGGCAAGTCATAAGGGATGCGTACCTCATACCACTCACGAACTGCCTGGACGGCATCGGTGCTGACGCCCTTGATGAGCAACTTCTTCGGACGAAGATCGAGCTTCATGCTGCCTCTCGGAGGACCTCCACGCATAGCACCACGGAATGGCACACGACCGCGCCCGCGCCCGCGACCTCGGTATGGACGGTACGACGAGCCACCATATGATGCGTCAGGCGCGTCGATCCCAAGGCTAGCAGCCTGGGCAAGGCATGCGAGATCAGTATTCCTTCATATTCATCATGAACGAAGCCTTCGATTTACCTCTGCTTTGAGCTTGTCAAGCACCGCCTTCAGCTCCTCCGTGTTCTCCTCTGCCTCGCCCTCTGCGGCACTAACAGCATGGTGTAGCTCAAGTTCTTTGTCCAATCGCTCTCGCTCCAGCCGCTCTTTATCGTCTGGACGAGGCGTAATGCCCCTGGGCGTTTTCGCGAGTGGCTGAGAAGCAGCGGGGGGTGGAGGTCGTGAGCTCGACGCAGCAGGCTTCATTTCCTCGCCCAATTTGCGCAAACGCGCCATGATGTCCTTCTTCTCTTGCGGCGACGCGGTCGCAAGCTGTGTCATTAGTGACTTCTGCTCGGCAATTTGCTGCTCCAATAGCTGTTGCCTTGCAGCCAGTGCAGCTGTGGCGGAGGGCGTGGAGGTTTTGCGGGAGGGTGTCGAAGTTGGTCGCACGGGCTGCGATGTGCTCGACTCCGCTGGCGTAGCCGGAGCGGGTGTTGCCTCCTTCGCACCAATGTTCGCGACCAAAGGCGCAGATGCAGCGAGTGCGCGCGCGCCGGCCTCCCCATGACCTGCCATTGGTCGGTGCCAGAAGACCTTAACGAAGCGATTCCCAAAGACCGCATCTTCCGACCGCCACGCTGCCAAAGCCTCATCGTGGCTGGAGAAACTGACTAATGCCTTCGCGCTAGCGACATCTACGGCGACGTTCGTAACGGTGCCGAAGCGCTTGAACCACTCGTTCACAGAGCCTAGGCTGAGCTTATCCTCGGGGATCTTTTCCACGACAAGTGTCTTGTCGTTCCGCTTTTCTGGCCGAAATGTCGAGATCTCCCCGCCGAAGTGACCGCCTCCCTGTCTCGGCCCACGAAATGGACGTCGACCGTTCGGATGAGGCATAGACATAGGCGACATCCTGTCAACGTCCTGTGGTTGAGCGGGCATGCTCATACCGTTCATGACAACATCCCCATTCGAAGGTCCTGAACCTTCTACGCCGTTGTACCCACCAGAGGGCCCAGGTCCATGCGAAGATCCATCTTCTCGTGATGCCTGAGGAGTCAAGTCTTGAACGACAGGAAGCTCACCAGGCTTCTGAGCGACGGCACCACTGGGGTCACTCTGCCGCGGCATGGTAGGTGTGCGAGGGTTTATTGGTCGGTTACCCATGGGGGCTGAACCCTGCACTGGACGCATATCCATGCGTTCGTGGGGATCGTATGCAGCGTTGGATGCTCCTCCCATGCCAAACGGTACAGTACCACCACTCCCCATCATTGGGACAAACGGCATTGGGCCCATAGCACCGTTCATAGGGAAGAATTGAGCTGGAACGACGGCGTCATCGCCATGGTTGTATTTGCAAAATGCACCCCGGGCGCAGTACCCGTTGTCTACAGAATGAAGAGTCATTAATGCTCCACTTGTCGCATTAAAGTTTACGCACTGTGGTAGTCTCGACAGATCCCTCTGGCGGCCCGATCTGGGGGCTGATATGACGGTATCCGGCCATTCTGAGACATGCCCATACCCATGCCGCCATTGGGCATCGCACCATCCATATAGTCCCCACGCCCACTTATCCTACCTCCCCTATCGCCACGACCGCCCCAAGATGGTCGATTGTCATTCTGGCCATAGCGCGAGAACTGCCCATCGTTGCTGAGGCGTGGACCTTTTGCAAGACGGAACTCACGATCGTCATGGTCCAAACTTCGTTTTCGTCTGCGCTCGGGGGACGTTGGAATAGAAGGGGACAGGAGCGCGTCTAGTGGGATGGGTATGCCGACGTCAGCTTCTTGTGTACTCGAGGATGGGTAGCTAGTCGACGGCGAGGTGGCGGAGTAGGGGAGGTATGATTTAGTGCGTAATGCCGTGAAAAGAGTGTCGAGAAAAGAAGGGCCTTCTGTGGGATGATTTAGAAACGCTATTCACGATGAATCAGCTGGGGTGGGCACACGCCTTTCTCGAGAAACTCGTCCAGCTGTGATGACAGCTCCTTCCGAAGCTCAGCTTCGGGCGCATTATGCTTGAGCAATGCAAGAATATAATCCGCTAGTGCATTTGGCTCAGCGTCGCATCTGCATACATACGATCAGGCAGATTGAAAAGGATTTATCAAGAGTAAACAAACATAGGTTCTAGGGTCCTAATGAGCCATGGCTTGAGGTCGCCGGCGGTCTCCGGGTCAAAGAGCATCCCTTGACTTCAACAGACGCGTCCGACGGAGAAAAGATAATAAGGGGGATATAGAGTACGCTGGGCGTGCTGGCGGGGATGGTCGTCCTCTAACGAGCGAGGATGTAGTGGCGTCGAACTTCCGGCTATTGGCGAGCGGATCACGTGTCCCCCCATCACGGCCGCTAACGCGACGTTGTCTTGATCTTGTCCTCCGCCCATCACCCCCCACTGAACGGATGTCCGGCAGCTGCAATTTGTTCTGCGTCGGCTTTTGATGCCTCATTTGATTCTGATGCTTCCAGGCACTCTCTTAATAAGGGCTCTTGGCTACAATCTGGCTACTGCATTTGTCCCGGCTTTAGCCTGGGCTAGTATCTCAGCTATAGACAGGATAGCCAGCCGCGCCATTCACAGCAGCACTCATATAGCAAGGCTCGCAAGCAACCGTCCTCAGTTGACATCTATCACGCATGTTACGGGGTCATTGCTCTCCGACTGCAATGCAAGCAATACTTCAGACAACGACATATACATATAAACGAACTATTATTGCGTGTGGTCGCCAGTGCTCATCAGCAGATTCTTTTCTTGTGAATACGGGAAGCCATATATTTGGCCATATTTCAGAATATTTGCTGTTGTTCACTCCTATCAGCATGGCTGTGGATGTCAAAGAATCACACATTAACTTGTGCTAACAGCTGGTGTATTTCCATATCAACTTGCCGGCTTGTTGCATCCGTACCTTGCAGAGCTGTGATCAGCAGTATTCGCCGTTGCATACTCAATCGCTCATTGTTCAGCTCCAAGCTATCCGACCTGTTATTTCAGCTGAGTGCATCTACCCTATCGGCGTAGTGCCTTACAAGTCCATACGATCACGCTTAGTAGCAGTACTCGCAGGTACCGCCTTCCAGATCCGAACCTGGTGTGTGCCTATCTCTACTTGAGGGATCGACCCAGTGAAAGTTCCGATATCGTTCCCCCATGCACCGGTATCGTTCTTTTGCCAGAGGTCGTAGATGGTAAACGTGCCAGTTTGGTATGATGGACCCTACATAAAATCCATGAATCAGCCGAGGTATGCAAAGGCAGCCAGGCGCATACCTGGTCGATGAAGACATCAGTAAATTCCACATCCACGACTTGCGTATCCGGCGAGGTGTTTAATAGCGCGATGACAAATTGGCTTTTGTGCACGTAGTGTCAAGGCAATACCCTTCTACGAATTTCAAATTACTCACTTGTTCACTAAGCTACCTGACCAAAGTGAAAGGTCACCACCGGACGCGACTGGGACCTTCCACAGTCGATTCGCGGCAGATCCGTTTGGATCCTGGTTGATGGCAATGACTGCGTCATTCGTGATGATCTCCAGAGTCTCGTTGGTCTATTGAAGAAGCCAGCTGTCAGTAAGTGTCGTACGGTGCCAATCGCACTAGCGCACCATGTTTGTAACATCGTTACCAAGAATGAGAGGGCTTTTCAGGACACTCCACATTGAGAAGTGCGTGACTGTAATCATCTCGCATTAATGATGGGCAGCGAGGGATGTGAGCCGCTACATACCATATTCATCGTACGTCATCCCGCCATTACCGATCTCAAGCATGTCGAGGTCGTTCCAATGATTCACGCCAGCCTTCTGACCAACGGGTGCGGCAAAATCGATAATGCGCGTCATGGCACAATCTACCCATAGGCATTAGACAAGAGCTTGGAGCACCCATAGCAAGTCGAAACTGACGATATCCAGCAAGCTTGCAGTCAATCATTGACAGGCAAGGGCAGCGCTCGTCGAACCGATTGTAATTCTAGATAAAACTTGGTAAGTATTGAGTACTAAGAAACGGTCTCATTCACGTACATCATAGATGTCCCCCGAGATGCGCCAGCTGTTTGCGATTGTCTATATCGGCGCCCAATAGAAAGTAGTCAGAGGTCTTGATCTCTGGTAGGTCACGCCTCAACCCACGGGAGCAAAGTTCCAAGGGCCATCTTCGCCCCAGTTACACATAGAGTACAGGATTGGGCGCCCAGTAGCATTGAGCGCAAATGACATGTTGGCGTAGCGATCGTATGAGAGCTTGGGCGTGCCCGCTTGGCCCTCATTGTAGCAGTTGTCATATTCTGAACAGAGTTCAGTCATAAATACAGCTGCCTGCAAAGCGAGCATCACAAACTCAAGTAATCGGCGCCCCACTCAGCGTACGTCTGTGCATCAATGGTCTCGTAGCCTAAGGAGCCGAAGTGACCACCGCAAGTGTACCTGTTATTGTGTCATCATGTCAACACACGAGATAGTCACACGAAGCAGCCCGCGCACAATCCAGCACTACTATAAATGCCGAACTGTTTAAAACAAATAAGCTCGGCCGCGAATTAGTCTTAGCAGCCTGCACTTCACCTTCAATCCCAGTAAATGGACCTGATCTGCGACTGCTGCCATGCCGGACGGAAACTTAGTTGGGTCAGCGATAGGTGCACCAGTGGTTGCATTGCGATCAGGTGCCTGCCAGCCTAACAAAGCGTACTCAGGAGACGTTGTGCGCGCTCGAATTGACGAGATGCGTACAATCATCCGAAATGACATCTACAAAAAAGGCAGATGAGGGTCACTGAAGAGCACGAATACATGCGCTTCAGCTTACACTCGTAGCCATATTTTGGAAGGTCGTATTGAATCATGGCTTTCGCCGCGCTCACAATAGTGTCCTCAGAGACGTCACATCCAAAGTAATTCCATGTGTTCCAGCCCATTTGGGGCGTGAGTGCTAAACCATTGTCGTGTCCCAAAGCAGAGGGAAGACTCAGCGAGAGCGAGAGCACGGTCGCAAGAGTGGAGAGCATTGCACCGCCAATTGGGAAGACACGGTTCCGGGGAGCACCAGGTCAATGAGAGACCTCTTTATGTAGACGGGACATAGAACTACGGGACTGCAGTTCCCGTGGGTGTTCTCTGCATGTGGAGTTGGCTCTGCCAAGATCATATGACAACAGAAGAGGGCACAGCTGACGGATATAGGACCAATAGCTCGTGCGAAAGGAATTGCAATGATGAGCGATGCAAACGGCCAGCGAGCTCGTCGTTGTCTAAGAAGCGCAGCGGGCCGTCGGAGGAACTTTGGATTTCTTGGATAAGCCTTGTGACGCCCGATACACGGCGCAAATGGCGACAGGCAGCATTGCAATTGGACATCGCAGTCGTTGATCAGGTCACGGCGACGCATCGCGTCTGAGATCGGAATCGCGACTTGTCGTCTCCGGCGAATCCGATTCCTGCAGTGGAACAAAAAATAGACAACAAGCACAATCCAGAGACATCATAACCGCTGTTTATCCCTAGATATGTTACTACCATGCGGAGTACAAGGATTCACTTGGAAACACGCCAGCCGCTGTGAACTGTATCATGACTCGGAAGGTTGAATGTTTGACTGACCCATAGATACTCACTCAGGTGCTAAGCTATGGATCGGGGTTGCTCTTCGGCAAGTTTCTACACCTATTCATTGTCCGATAGGTTCGTTTTGCCGTGTCCGTGAGGTTCTAGGCTGTAAGTATCACACAGTGAGACTACGTTGAATATGCTCTTCGTGGTGTAGGACGTGTGTTCAGATAGTGGTAATAACATTTTTGTTATGAGTCGCTGAGTATCGTTGCACGTGTGGTGGAGGGCATACTCTTCAAGGGCCTGCCCAACGGACTCACGCTCTAAGGAAGTGGTGAGCAGATGTGTATTGAAGTATCTTACAGACCCGGAAAGATATATAATTTAATCTACGAAGGACTATTGAAACAAGCGTGATCCAAACCGGAAGCGTTCCTCTACACGTTGGACTATATGTTGGATTATTATAGATACAGAAGGGTATAAGCCTCAGGATTGTTTCTTCAGCTTCAATCCAGGGAGACTGAACATCTACATCATTGTCAGATCTTAGTGGAGACTCATAGAACATGAAAACTTACCTCAAAGATGATCTCAGATGGCACGCCCCATCCACGCACGCCCTCGAGGCTGCTCTGCATCTGCGTACCGAGCATTACACCAACGACGGCGCCGCTCTCCTCGTCAATGATAGGACCACCGCTCGATCCCGGAGTAGGTGGAGGGTCGAAGAGCAGGTGAGAGAGGGCATCATATGTCCCAGGCTATACGCAAAATGCATAAGTGAACGCTGTGAGAGGCATTCACGAGTCACACATGCCTTGGCCTCTCTGCCTGCCAGGTCTTTATATCCCATCACTGTCCCCCTCACCCACTTACTCCACGTCCCGCCAAGCCAGGGCTGCCAACCCTCGGCGTCCTTACCGTGCACAGGGAGCTTGTCTGTGACAAAATGGGCGCGAATCGCTGCACCGGGCTGCGCCGGGTATGGTGAGACAGGAAGAGTGGGCACTGGCGGTGCAAGCGCGGGTGTGGATAGGAGAAGCAAGTCCGACCGGTGGAGGGCAGATAGAACAGAAGCGACCGGACTAAATGTGGGGAACGGGGGCGTCCCAGACACAATGAAAGACCCTGAGGGACCAAGGGTCCCCGCGCTGGACGGAGGAGACGAGGACGGCCGCAGAACGGGGCTATACCGAATCTGCAGACCTCGATGAGATGGAGGCTCGGGACCGTAACGCATCCAATGCTGCTCACCTCCTCCAGGGTATGCGCGCATGTCACAAAGACGGATTGCCCATCAGTCGACCCAGGCGCGCTCAGAGCGAAGCCCGAGCAGTACGTGATCTTGTGCTCCGTCCCCTGCTGGACGGCATGCACGATCATTGCAATCGCACGGCGTGCAGCTTCATCATCTCCGCCGAAGTTCAGTCGCCTGTCAGCTCCAGGACGCGACTCATAGGGTAACGATGCGTCGAGCACGAGGCCACTGCGGTCGAGGTATTGCTCAACGAGCTGTGGTAGCTGCACCTGAGTACCCGCGTCGCTTTTCCCAGGTACTGATGGTGCGCGCCGGCGTAGCTCAGTCAAGATTCGCTCATCAAGGGCCGAGGGGAGACTTGGGGATGACACAGTGTTTGAAGACGAGAATGGCGGAGGAGAGGGCGGTGCCGGTGGCTGGCCGATGTATGTGGTGGTCCCGACTACAGCGTAGGACCGCGAGCCGACGCACGCTCGTGTGTGCGAGGCGTGCACGCGGGACAATGAACAAGAGCGATTCACGAGTCGTAATGCCATGGCAGATGGCCGTGGATTGGGAACATACATGCGAGCTGCGCTGGTAGTATATGCCCGGGGGCGGAACACCGTGCCAGATAACATGATGTCACGACTTTGACCGACACCCCATAACTGCGCAACTCATCTCTACGCCCGTTTGCGAACTCAAGAAAACTCAATCTCGACGTGAGTGTTTCCAAGATCCGTTATGTGTAATTAATCAGGTAGTGTACTTTCTAGCTCACGTCGGAGCTCCCAGCGTCTACTCCATGACCACAACGCTCCATGGGTGTGGGGAGATGGCACCCGTCTGAATACCAACCATCTGCTGCCAGATCCCGCGTGAGATCGGACCCATTCCATCAGGACCAGTGGGGATGTGGATGTCCTCGCCCAGATACCCAATCCTGTCCACCGGACTGATGACAGCCGCGGTACCTGCACAATTGTAAGCAATCAGCGGCCGAGCACGACGAGAGCTCACTTCTCGGACATGCAACTTACCAGTGCCGAAGAATTCCACGAGCGTGCCAGCCTCCGCAGCCTCCTTGATCTCGCGCATCGTAAAGGGGCGCTCAGAGACCTTTAGCTTATCCGTCAACCCAGGGACCTTGGCCTTGCCCAACGCGTGGTCCCGCGCAAGGGTGAGCACAGAGTCACGCGTCACTCCAGGCAGGATGATGCCGTCTAATGGGGGTGTTGCGAGCTCCGTGACTGCACACAAGCCGTCGTCAGCCCGCATGGCCCATCCTATCACCGATCAACCTACCTCCATCGGGGTGCTTGAACACTGCAAACGCGTTCATAGTCCCGACCTGACAACACAATTGACTTAAGCCGCCGTCTCTTTGGAAATAATCTCCTCATCTGCGCACCTCGGTAACATGGTGCTCAGGCCCGTGTAACCACAGGTTCTGAACATAGCCTTTCTCCTCAGCCATCTTCTGTGCCACCAGCCCCGGAGCGTAGTTCGCGCCTAGCTTGAAGGCCCCAATACCTAAGGAATGCGGTTTAGCTTCCTGTGCTGTCACGCGCAGAGTATATCACATACCTCCTGCTGCCGCACGGGTATATTCGGTTGTGCCGTAAAGAGCGACCGGCTTGAAGCCCTTGGGAAAATATGGGCCGACAGGGCAGCAAATAACAAATAAGAGCGCCTCGCTCGACGGGGCAATTCCGATAGCAGGCTGCGAGCCAACTAGATAGCATGAGAGGTGAACCACACGAAGGCGATTATGGACAAGTGCTGAGCTTACTGAATGTGGGACGAATGTAAAGGCTGTATCCCGCTTTATTCGGGACCCAGTCGTTATCTACCCTTATGAGCTGCTTGATGAGTTCGACCAGGGCGTCATCGTTGAATGTCTACACATCAACATGGATTGAGGATATAAGTTCCCGCGGACGGGAAGATACGCGTACGGGTAATGCTACCCGCGCTGCACTGCTGTTCATGCGCTTCATATTCATGTCGGGCCGGAAGAGTGTCACTCTGCCTTTTTCGTCTCTGTAGGCCTTCAAGCCTTCGAACAGACACGGTGCATAGTGGAATACGGAAGCACTGGGCTCGATGGACAGCGGTCCATCTGCACGAATTGATGTGTCAATTCAGGGAAGGAGTGCACACTCAACGTGCACGTCACTCACAAGGATGTATCTTTGGGGTCCCCCAACCGCTTTCAGCTTTCCATGGGATGGTCAGCATATGGTCTGTCTATGCATGATCGACACGGTGAGATGCCTGTCAATCTGAAGCATCGCCTGACAAGGGAAGAATCTCACGAAGTACTTGCCAAACTTCAAATCCACGAGATCCGGGCGAGATTTAGGTTTGTTTGTAAGCTCTATCTGCACCCTCGAGGCCTGACAACGTGATGAAGAAACGTGAGGAGGTTGCCATGGTCCCACAAAGCAGGTAGCGCGTGCTGAGCAGATATACCTCAAGGTTCGCAAGCGTAGAGTTACACCGTGTCTGACGCGCCCACGTGGGGCGATCTGCATGCCCGCATTTTCGAGCAATCCCGCTAGAGGTTCGATATGAGGAGAAAGGTAATGACCGAAGCATGGTTAACCACAGTGAGTCCCTCAAAGCAGAAGAAGGCCAGGTTGTGAGCAGCGCTGGTTACTCAACTCGAGTCACCGGGGCTTGGCTTCGGATATTGCCGAGGTTATGGTATGTAATAAACTCCCCAAGCTCTCGATTGGGACTTTGCGCTTACTGTCAACGCGTTTACATGGCCTTACAGGGTGTCGCGGTAACTGAGCAGCACCTTGCGCATTTGCGAGACGCGTCGTGTCGATACGCGTATGCAGGAGGACACTTCGGACTGCGATCGGACTGAGACGTGTGTCACGTGAATGATCGAATGCCGGTGGCGGACAACGAGTAGCCGTGACAAACGCGCCCAGACCGGAGACTGGGCTTGTTTGGTAAGCTCGGAGATGTCGTCGAAGCAGAACGTAAGCAAATCGCTATCGAGACCAAGAAAGGAGAGAAATATCGGCGCCGGGAAGGCAAGGGTGTGAGCAGGAGGCAGGGTCGGGCAAGGGGACCCCACATATCGCTGATCGTCCCACGATCACAAGAGCGCCGTCGGACCGGCGTGACAAAGACGTCAGCTCTCCCATCGCTATATCTCATCGACATCACCTCCCCTGCGTACGCATCTCTTACCCCTACCACGAACACCCGCCTTCGTCTCGCCTCCATTCTCTCCACAATGTCTCAGCCCACGTACGTTGTGTATCGTAGTCGTCACCCGCATGCACTTACATCCGTGCAGCGGTGATATTGGCCTTATTGGTCTGGCCGTCATGGTACGCGACGCGACTTCGGGGTAAGGGTGTGTAGATCTCAACGCTAAGATGTACAGGGCCAAAACCTTATCCTCAACATGAACGACAAGGGCTTCAACGTCGTTGCTTACAACCGAACAGTAAGCAAGGTCGATGATTTCCTTGCAAACGAGGCGAAGGGTTTGTCTGGCTTCTGTGTCGATAGTGACGGTCTGTTCACTCGTCTTTTGGTGGACAGGGACGAAGGTCCAGGGCGCGCACTCCATTGAGGAGCTTTGCGCCAAGCTCAAGACTCCCCGCAAGATCATTCTTCTCGTGAAAGCTGGCCCTGCAGTTGATGCATTCATTGAGCAGCTGATTCCCCACCTCGAGAAAGGTGACATCATTATTGACGGTGGTAACTCGCACTACCCCGACTCCATCCGCCGTGTGAAGGAGCTCGAGGCGAAGGGCTTCCTCTTTGTTGGCTCTGGTGTTTCCGGTGGTGAGGAGGGTGCTCGTTATGGTCCCTCACTCATGCCCGGTGGTTCCCCCGCTGCGTGGCCGGCGATCAAGCAGATCTTCCAGGCCACTGCTGCTCAGGTGAATGGCGAGCCTTGCTGCGACTGGGTCGGTGAGAGTGGCGCTGGTCACTATGTGAAGATGGTTCACAACGGTACGTTACTTCTCACGGCACAACGCTGGCGCCGCCGGGAAATCTCATAGGCAAATCTAAGGTATCGAGTATGGTGACATGCAGCTCATTGCTGAGGCATACGACATTCTCAAGCGTGGTCTTGGCCTGCCCGAAAGCGAGATTGCGGACATCTTCCTGAAGTGGAACACGGGTGTCCTCGACTCCTTCCTCATCGACATCACTGCGAACATCCTGAAGTTCAATGATGACGACGGTGAGCCCATGGTCAGCAAGATTCTCGACCAGGCAGGTCAGAAGGGTACCGGAAAATGGACGGCTATCGCTGCCCTTGACGCTGGCATGCCCGGTATGTGCCTGTTACACAAGTTGGATTTCCTTGCTAAATTTGTGTAATGTAGTGACCCTCATTGGCGAGGCTGTCTTCGCTCGTTGCTTGTCCTCTCTCAAGGAGGAACGTGTACGTGCGAGCAAGGTTATTAGCGGCCCACAAAAGGAGGAGTTCAAGGGCGACAAGAAGCAGTTCATTGACGACCTCGAGCAGGCCCTGTATGCGTCGAAGATTATCTCGTACGCTCAGGGCTTCATGCTTATGCGTGCGACCGCCAAGGAGGCAAGTTCTCGCAATGCCCCTCGACTGATCGTATCGCTAAACCCCTACTCAGCTAAACTGGAAACTCAACTATGCTGGCATCGCGCGCATGTGGCGAGGAGGCTGCATCATCAAGAGTGTCTTCCTCGGTGATATCACTTCCGCGTACACGAAGAACGAGGAACTCGAATCACTGCTGTTCGATGACTTCTTCAACAAGGCCGTCCACAAGGCGCAGCCCGGCTGGCGACGCATCAATGCACAGGCTGTCCTCTGGGGTATCCCCACGCCCGCCTTCAGCACTGCGCTTGCGTTCTTTGATGGCTACAGGAGCGACGTCCTACCGGCGAACATCCTCCAGGCTCAGGTGCGTTGGCGCGTTCATTCTCATGTGTGGGATTGTTTACATGTGAATTCTGCGATAGCGTGACTACTTCGGTGCACACACGTTCCGAGTATTGCCCGGCAAGGAGAACGCGAAGCTCCAGTCTGGCAAGGACATCCGTGAGTATCCAGTGATCAAGCTGCGTCTGAACTGTCTGTCTCACGCATCCGTGACCCGCAGACATTAACTGGACGGGCCGTGGCGGTAACGTCTCCGCAAGCTCGTACGTTGCCTAAGTGTGCGCACCTGTCATTAGAGCGAAGAAAGAAAGCTTGAAGAAGTTGTTCGCATAGTGTGTAGACTTGTACACTCTCTTAGGGTCGAGGTACATTGGGGTGTCTTGGCCGGAAAGAGATCGCGACATGTTGTATCTGTTAGAACGCAATGAATCAGCTAAAGCAAATCAGACGCATGCATAATTGTGCTGTTGCGTCCTGTGAGAGCGCTAGAAGATCGTGTGGGGAGGCGGTGAAACCAAATTTGGTAATCTCTGTGAAAACGTCCATGTGTGGGATCTTGTTTGCCATCCAGGATGCTGCATCTTCGGATAGGGCATGTAATGGGACTGACAGCACGTTCCAGGGATTGTTTAGGCGACTACAAGATGCAAATACATCTAGAGGTGGGTGTTATGGAGATTCTATGCGAGAGCCTTGTGTGAAGCAGAAAGAATTTGCAGGCCCAGACGCGCAGGAGACGATGCGTATAACAGTAGAAAATCATACCTTGAGTTTCTTCGCGTCTGAATTGCGACTACGAGGTGACGCATATATTGCGCAACCTCACCGAGATGATGATGGAAATATACTCTGTTGGAATGGCGAGGTAGGCTTCCCTCTGCAAACGACTCCCGTCGATGTACTGATATCTGCATAGATATTCGAGGGTCTGGATGTAAGTTTGCGTGGTATATCCGAGGCTAGTCTGATATTAAAAATCTCAGGTTGGGTCCGAAGAGAATGACGGCTCAAAGTTATTCTCTCTTCTCCGCACGCAGGACACGCAAGATGGGATCCGAGATTGCCTGGGCAGCATCGAAGGGCCGTAAGCCGTTTCCCTCTTAATCTAGCGCATATACCCTTTTCTCAAGCTATCAATCTTAGCTACGCCATCGTCTATTATCATGTATGCGTCCACGACAGACCTCCTCACTATCCGCATCTGATCACACTTGCAGCATGCCTCACGTCGACTGTACTTCGCCCGCGATCCACTCGGCCGACGCTCCCTGCTCATTCATCGACCAAGTCCACAGAATCCATACTTGTTGCTGACATCCGTCTCAGTCGGCTCGCATCCTGGATACGAACTCGACGAGCTTCCCACTGAATGTGTATTTTCGATCGATATCGACAAACTGTCGGAGGCATGTAGAGTCAGTTGGTCCGCGCGCTTTGAAAGTCAACGCTCCTCAATATTTTTCTAGAGAACTTCCGGCCTGGCTTCTGGCGTTACGGAGTGTCTGGTGAACATTCCTCGACAAGGGCTCACAGGGGCTCATGCGCAATTTGTGCGAATGTTTGGTTCAGTTCTATGGGTGCGTCGGGCTCACCGAGTCTTGCTAGGCACGACTGAGCGCTGTCAATCGCACAATGCCGGTCGACCCTTCGCTCCCGAAGGGTCTTGATGATATTCCAGAGCATCGCATGGCTGCTGTGGATGAGCTCATTACGCAACTGGATCACAGCGTAATGCTAAGGGTACGCAATATACCCAGAGGAACGTCAGTACGCTTCAACCGCCCCGGGAACGCGCCGAGCTGACAACCCCCATGACCAGTGCATCTCCTGGTCAAGCCAGAGTGGCGGTGCTTTTTAGTGGAGGTATTGACTCTACTATGCTGGCTTTCCTGGCGGACCGGCAAGTCAATGTCCATTCCCATCACAATACCACAGCATCTGACGAAACGTTCAGCCATGCAGACAAATCAGAGCCGATTGACTTGCTCAATGTAGCTTTTGAGAACCCACGAAAAATATCGGTGCAAGTCACCGGTAATATCGGAGGCCTACCAAAGAGGGAGAAGAAGCAGAAGTTACGGGAGCCATTGGACTACTCGACGGTTGATGTCGCCTACGATGTCCCTGACAGGCTCACTGGCCTGCAAGAAGTCGAAGAGCTAAGAAGGCTTTGCCCAGGTCGAGTGTGGAATTTCGTACGTCTCTTTCCGCTCACGTGTGGAGTGCGGTTCTGCAGGCTGACCGATGTATCATGGCTTAGGTTGAGGTAAACGTGCCGTTTGAGGTCCGTGGCACCTCGTAGGACTACTGTGCGTATTCTGAGTTATCAGCAGTAGAAGTCACAAGGGGCGCGTCCGATCGTGGAAGCCCTCATGTTCCCTAGCAGGACCGTCATGGATATGGTGAGTGTTACGCACGCAGATAGCTCGGCTGCTGTCTGACACGCCATTAGAGTTTAGCAATAGCACTCTACTTCGCCGCACGTGGTGTAGGCCAAGTCCGAAGCGGTCCTGGCGCAGATCCACACCCGTACACCTCTCGGGCTCGTGTATTGCTAAACGGTCTAGGCTCTGACGAGCTCCTCGGGGGGTATGGGCGCTTCCGTACGGCATTCAAAAATGGCGGTTGGCAAGCAATTATAGACGAAGTGAGTCCCGCTTTTTGTTTTTCATTTGCAAGACTCAGCGCTCGTTCCAGCTTCAACTGGAGCTCGACCGCATCCCCACGCGCAACCTCGGCCGTGACGATCGTGTCATCTCTTCTCACGGGAAGGAAACTCGCCATCCATTCCTATCACTCTCGGTCGTGTCTTTCCTTGCGGGGTTGCCTGTGCACCAGAAGCTGGATCCACGGCTGGAATCCGGGCTGGGTGAGAAAATGCTCCTGCGGCTTGCGGCAGTGAAGTTAGGCCTTGTAGAAGCGGGTTTCAGGAAGAAACGGGCGATGCAGTTCGGCAGCCATTCGGCGAGAATGGCATCGGGAGACGGTGATAGAAAGGGCGATTTACTCATAAAGTGAAGGGTCATTAGTGGTAGACTTTCCGGGATGCACTATCTATTTCTAGAGCTAGACTGTGGTAAATGTTATGTTACTCCTAGATTCATCCTCGGTGTCACACCATCCATACTACATTATACACAGACTGTATTTTGGACGACTCGGAGTTCGAGAGGTCAACCGGTCAGGTTCGATTTCCTGCTAGAATCAAGCGCCCAGTGCTCGTCGCGGTCGGTCACGGGTCTGAACGGACATGACGCGCAGGTTCTGCCGGCCAGGTGCGCGTCCACCGACCTCGACCATTCGAAGCCACGCCCTGGCCCCTTCCACAGTACCGTCATGGCTGCACTACCGTCTATAGCAAGCCGGCTTATTGGTCAGTCTGAAGATTGTGTTAATGCTCAACCACCGGGCACTACCTAACACCTCGTCCCTCGTTCAGTGCCGGTGGCAATTGCTGCCGCGGCCGTTCAGGCCAGCATCTACGATGTACCAGGAGGCTACCGTGCTGTGATGTTCGACAGGTTTTCTGGTGTCATGGACAAGGTGCACTGTGATTCGTCCCTCTGTCGCTTCAATGGACTGACAATGTCTACGTGTCGTCCGAATAGGCCAAGCCGGAAGGCACGCATTTCCTCGTTCCTTGGTTGCAGCGAGCTATTCTGTACGACTGCCGTATCAAGCCGCGGGTGAGCAGCAGTCGATTATCTCCTTTCTCTCCTGGTGCATGATACTAACAGGTGGTATAGAATATCTCGACAACTACTGGCTCGAAGGATTTGCAGATGGTTTCTATTACCCTACGAGTCCTCTCACGCCCAGACGTCGAGCACCTCTCCAAAATTTACCAGGGCCTGGGCCTCGACTACGACGAGCGAGTGCTGCCCTCAATTGGAAACGAAGTTCTGAAGAGCATCGTCGCGCAATTCGATGCCGCCGAGTTGATCACACAGCGGGAGGTGGTAAGTGCATCCGACAGGCTTATGTTCTGTCCAGGTCATTGACATGTGCACAGGTATCATCACGTATACGGGAAGACCTGCTTCAGCGTGCTGGAGAGTTCAACATCAAGCTGGAGGACGTGTCTATCACCCATCTGACGTTCGGGAAGGTGAGTGCCAGGCGGTTGGCGCCACTACGGATCTGACCGGCGTGTTGGACGATCACAGGAGTTCACTCAGGTATGCTCGTGGTCCGCTCGTGCTGGGGTTCTCGGCTGATCACTACAATAGGCAGTAGAGGCGAAGCAGATTGCTCAGCAAGGTACGTCATACTGTATTGGGCAGTCGTGCGGCGCTGACAATTTTAATGTAGACGCCGAGCGTGCAAAATTCATCGTTGAGAAGGTATGGGAGCGGACTGGGAAATTTGCGCAGCAGCTGACGGTGTGTACAGGCGGAGCAAGAACGCCAGGCTGCGGTCATCCGCGCAGAAGGCGAGGCCGAGGCGGCGGCGACGATATCGCGGGCTTTGGACAAGGCAGGGGAGGCGTTTGTGACGTTCCGAAAGATCGAGGCGAGCAAGGCGATTGTGCAGTCGCTGGCGGCGAACCCGAACGTGACATATATTCCGAGCGGGGGCGGGAATGTGCTGTTGAACGTGCCTGCGCAGAAGTAGGGGTAGGACGAGATGTAATAGGATTAGTACCGGCTATAATAGGCTTGTACGGGCTCCGGTTATGGCAGGGGGGATTTGGCTTTGCAGGGCCATCTGATTAATCTGAGCGGAGATAGCCGGGGCGGGTCAGGGTGAAGAGGGCGGCAGTGGGATGTCTGCCACAACGGTTCACCGTCCTTGACCGCCATCTCGTCCGTCTGTCCGTTTCTCTCTTCTTCGTTTCTCTCCTCTCTTCCCCTCTCTTTGTCTCCTCTCTGCTCTGTCTGTCTTATATCGGACTATCCTCTCTCCTCTGCTGTCGCATTTTCCTCCTGTGATATCGCTGCATCGTCCATATCCGACGTCCCCTCATCCGCTTCCTCAGGCCCTAGCATTTTCGTTGTCTGTCTCTCATCATGAATCCCATGAGTCCCATGACAGCGGCTGAGGCTCCTGTGAGTTTTTTTCTCCTTAAAACCTCGTTCAGAGCACTCATCTTGTCGATCACCATCCCGATCGGGCACTTTTTCATCATCACTCGTGTACCTCGGAAAGCAGAGGCGAGCCCACCTTTACGTCGGCAACCTGAGCCCGAGAGTCACGGAGTACATGCTCACCGAAATCTTCGCCGTGGCTGGGCCCGTGCAGCATGTCAAAATCATCCCGGACCGCAACTACCAGCACGGGGGTCTCAACTACGGCTTCGTCGAGTACATGGATATGCGTGCCGCGGAGACTGCTCTGCAGACTTTGAACGGTCGCAAGATCTTCGACACCGAGATCCGAGTCAACTGGGCGTACCAGGGGCAGCAGAACAAGGAGGATACCAGCAACCACTACCACGTGTTCGTTGGCGACCTGAGCCCCGAAGTCAACGATGAAGTCCTCGCAAAGGCCTTCAGCGCTTTTGGCACTCTCTCCGACGCTCGTGTCATGTGGGATATGAATTCTGGCAAGTCACGCGGCTATGGTTTCCTCGCCTTCCGCGACAAGACCGATGCCGAGCAGGCAATTGCGACCATGAACGGCGAGTGGCTCGGCTCCCGCGCCATTCGTGTGAACTGGGCGAACCAGAAGACGCAAGGTGCTCCCCCCACTGGACCCGGAGCCCCTCGCACTAGCGGCGGCATTGGTATGGGTGGCGGCGCGCCTGCACCGATCAACTTCCAGGGCGGCCCCCTCTCGTACGAATCCGTGGTGCAGCAGACACCCGCCTACAACTCGACTGTCTATGTCGGCAACCTCGTGCCGTACTGCACGCAGGCGGACCTCATCCCGCTCTTCCAGTCGATCGGGTATCTGTCCGAGATCCGGATGCAGGCGGACCGCGGGTTCGCCTTCGTCAAGCTTGACACCCACGAGCACGCGGCGATGGCCATCGTACAGCTGCAGGGCCAGATGGTGCATGGCCGCCCCATCAAGTGCAGCTGGGGCAAGGACCGCGCCGATGGCGGTGCCGCGCTCTCCACAGGCTCGCTCAGTCCGACGCCTGCTGCTGCACCATATGGAAACATGGTACGCTTGTCTTGATGTTTATTGATGACGCATACAATGACTCATAACTCTTCTTCCAGCCCATGTACGGCATGCCCCAGCCTAACACTTACGGGCAGTACGGCTTCAACGCGTACGGTGGCTTCCCTGGTCAGGGGGGCGCAACGGGCACGCCGGGTGCAGCTGCGCCGGGGATGGGCAGCCCGGTCGCTGGCGCTGCCGGCATGGCGATGGGCGCTGGTGCTGGTGGTGCGGATCCCAATGCCGGTGCAGGACAAGCCCAGGGACAGTGGGGGGCGGGAACAGATCCGAGCTCGTACTACTCCAACTACTGGGGCGGTGAGTACCGCGTTGGGTATACTTCAGTCAGTGCAGTGCTAACCGAGGATGCCAGGTTACTACGGACAAGCCGGTCAGGGCGCGGATCCTACGCACCAGGGCACAGCCTAAGCGCATATTTTTCTGTTGAATGTAGCATGTGACAAGCCACGTCTTGTGTGCCATTACGAAGCCATGCTCCGTGTACGTGTCCTCCAGCTGTATCCGCAACGCATTTCCTCCGTTGTTCTTAACAAAATGTCACTTATCTCTCCCCTGTCGCTCACGGTTCGCATTGGTAGCTGCAGATGTTTGTGTTTGTGATGAAATAGGCCCGTTATTGCACCCCTTAAAGTCTCTTTATACTTCAGTTGCCGCTCCCCCTCTGTGTTTTTATAAATTCAGCTATCTAAATGTCTCAGCACTAGCCATCGATTCCTGTGCTCTGTCTTTGGATAGACTGTAATCCAACAAGACAGAATGAAGTCTCTTTGTCATGATCATCGCTGATATTCTCTCCGGGTATCGTGTACAGCGCACTATAGGAGCCGTTCGAACAGATGGATCATATTGGGAGGTATGTACCACTCTTATCCCTACGTCGCGTCCTCCACCACCTCAAACCCCCTTTGTGAGGTCGGCCTCTACGAAATCCGCTCAGTTTCATCAAATGAAATCACAAGACGACGACATACTGCTGTAAGAGTGGTGCTGAAGGCCCTCCCCATCGGCCGAACGCTCTGCGTCATTCTCGGCCATCTTCCCACCCGCATAAGGCGTCGCCGGTGCTACAGGCTCCACAGGTGCGCCTCCACCAGTTGTTGCGGCGGTGTTGCCGACGTCCTTCGACAATTTGGATGTGGACATATCGGAGTCCTGCAATGGGTCATCGGCAATCGTGGTAGTTGCATCATTAGAGCTTGCGCCAGCGTTGTTTTTCTGGTTGGTGTCACCCACGGGGGTGCCGGGGAGGTCTTTCAAGGGGTCCAACAATGCATTGATAGGGTTGCCTGGGTCATTGAACGAATTCGGGCCGCGCTGCAGCCTGTTTAGCTGCTCTGCGTTGAGCTGGCGCTTGAAAACCTGGAGAGGGTTGCTGGACCCCTTGGTTTCGACTTCGGTGACGCGAGGGTGAGTGACCGCGTTGCCATTGAAACCCGCGGACACGAGAGTGGGGCTGACTGCAGCGGCGAGGATCGAGAAGGCGATGACGGGACTGCGCATGTTGACTAGAAAATGAATGAAGAGAGTGGGTAGTAGGCTGTGAGCGAGCTGCCGGATTAGATGGTGAATACAATAAAGGTGGGATAGGTTCTGGCGAAGTTGAACATGGATTTATATAGGGCTGACAGAAAGTTTAGTCCCCGCTGCTGCTTCTGAATGACAGATTGATCGACGCAGGATACCAATCTTGGGAGAGCCATTGCGAAATTACGTTGATAGCTGTGCAGCAGGCTATGTTCGACCGTGTTGCTCATACATATATGCGGTGCCAAACAACTAGTAGTAGAAACGTCACATCCACACCCTGCAGCGATGCGCGCATTGATGTCCCGGAGACTGTTTCTTTGAGAGACTCTTTGTGCTTAATTGTCGCGGATGGGGTCGCGTTTAGGAGAGGTTTATTGTGGAACTTGTGGACTAATGCACTCACTGTCCCCTTGCAAGATCTGCCATTCTCACATAGTTGCAAGCTGTCGGTGTTAATGACGAACGGCGCCTGCCTTATCGGGATAGCCAGATCTGATGGTGGTTCGTGCGCCTACAGCGGTCCATACGTCTGTGCGCCAACCTGTACACAAGGCAAGCAGCCGTCCACTCAAATGTATCATATGTTAGTAAGACGCTGACGCCGAGACCACCATGGACATACACGAACATTTTCTGATGTCACGCGGGTGTCTTGAACAATGCAAGCACCCAGTATCGCCAAGGTTCATCTGCGTGCAGGCCGCACGTGGCGTCCTCCCGTCAAAGTTCTGCGAGCACTCGTCTGAAGTGCCTCTTGGTCGAGAAGAATACATACCCGAATTTCAGTGCACATCGCTATCAAATAAGACGCAAGAAGATGCTGCACCATGCCAGGAGACACCGTTGGGCTCAAGTATAGATCTTGTCCGTGTAGGTAGTACGAGTCCTGCGTACAACTTTACTTGGCGGTATCTCAAATATCAGGGTTCCATGTCAAACCGCAGACATCGAATGCTGGGACTCAGAGATGTTACCAGAGTTCTCCCGCATATAAAGTGCACCCTGGATTGCGCTTACCGTCTGGATACACACCATGTCTTCATCTCTCTCACAGTGGCCACTGAAAGCGCAACTCCTCCGTACCGTGCTCACAGCCGTCATCGTCGTCGTCAACCGTGTTTGGGCCCAACACTCCGTGACTGTACAGAATCTGTGAGCATTATCGTTGTGAGGTGGCATGTTTGTAAACTGAGGTTGTATTTAGGTGTGAATATGGCGAAGTGAGCTCATGATAGTCAAAATATTTCAACCTACATGCATGTGCTAATATGTGGATGGAGCCCCGACTTGTCAGCAGCTCAGGCACAACGATAGCTGAGGGCCCGAACATTATATACCAAGGTCAAGATATAGAAGATGCCTCCGCGTTAGTGCATTTCTTACCGCTCTCCGGACCTGTTCGTGACATCTTATCGGAATACCGCATCGATGCAGCTTTTTGGACACAGGTAGGTCATCCTGAAAGGTCGACATACCACCACGTAAATCCATAGTAAATAGGAACGTGCGGGATCCTCGGGGGCAACTGCACTGTTGTTACCTTCAGTCTCACCGATTCATGGGGTTCCACAGCTTACATAAACTTAATATCCCCGTGAGTAGTGACAAAAATTGCTGATCAAATTTTAATTGTCTCTGCCCGCAGTAATTCCTTCTCCGAGGCGGTGTCCTCGAGGTATTTGCCGTCGTTGTGAAGTGTAGTTCTTGTTTCATGCTATTCTTCCCCCAGCTTCTATGATGCTTGCAGTGGCATAGGCGTTGACTGTCAGTCCAAAATCCCTCCAAATGTCCGTATGTCTATTCTTAGCCGAGCATATCACCATAAGGTCTGGACCCCTACTGTCCCGATGCAGTCACCGCTTCCGGAGACACAGAAGATATCGCGCACTGCAGCAACACTGATGATCCCGATAGTTTAGTACGTGCCGTCTTTTCTCTGCCTCAGGTATGGACTGATAACCTCAAGGCTGGCCTACTCATAACGTGGTGCCCGTACGTCATCATGTACACTGCCTGTCGCTGGCTAATAGTTTCTTGTAGGAATGGCGTGGATACCTCGCCTATCGCGAGCTTAGTCCCTTCGTCACAAACCCCTACCCCTACCCTTGTGGTGTCGACGTCCAAGTTGGTCGTTGGTCCCATCGTAGGGGGCGTCGTAGGAAGCGTCGTTGGCATTGCTATCATCATCCTGATAGGGATGATATGGTGGCGACTCAAGCTACGATCTAAGAAAACGACGGTTAGCGTTCTCTCTGCTGATGCTGATTAAGAATTACGTCCCCATGTCGCTATACAGATATCATACAACTCATTAAACGTACAGAAATCTACGGAGCTACCAGGTAAAAAGAACGATGAAACAGCGAACATACTCTCTGTTCCTCCTGCACCGCCCGTGTATACGCCCAGCGTGGGTCCTCTCTACGCTCATACTTTCACCTCCGTGGAGGGTGTGCCAAAAACAGACTCAAGCAAGAATTCGTACAAAATAGCACCCGAATCACCGCCAAACTCTACACCAGGAGCACCGCACTCCACAGGACGTGGCGTCACATTTGTCTCGTCAGTACCACCCTCTCCGCGTGGGATGGGAGCGGCCTCTAGAAGGGACGCAATCGATCACAATAGCATCGTTACACGGGATCACAGCAGGCACCGAATAGTGCACTCTCGGACGCATAATCCGCGTGGTACTTATGCGCTTCCCACTAGTCTTCGCGATCCCCCTCTCCCAACCGACAATACAAGGCCTGAGCCGGTTGCAGCGGAGTCCCACGCGACCCCAGAGCTGGATTTCCCCCCCGTGTCCAGCGCCCTGCCATTTGATGGGAGAGATCGATCACCATTGCAATGTGGTCCTGCCGACATCCCAACCTCTGCCCCTTTTCCCCCTTCAGCTATGCCTATGCCTCCCTTAGCAAGCCGCAATGGTGGGCGCATCCCGGCGTCTCCCTTAACCCATTTTCCCATGCGTTTGCACACCAACCATCAAGGGGCACAGGCCGGCTTGGGATTTGGACAGCACCCTCTCGCGTCAAACGGGGGTACCGCTCGTCGTGGGAGGGTCCTTCAACGACGCAACGGACGGAGTCCACCAGGTAACCGCACGTTCTCGCCTAAGACCAACCATTATGCCCCTACTTCTGTCGAGGGCACTCGTGCCCTCGGTTGTGTATGAGTCAAACATATGAAGGTCCGTGGTATCATTTTTCCAAAGCAATGTGCAGGCTGAGAAGGTCTTCCGGATTTTCAAGCAGCGAACCACTATGTGACGGGGATGTTATAGCTCAAGCGTGAAATTACTCTTAGGGTTGTCGACGACGCTCATGATGCATTTTGTGCAAATGACAGTCGTGTTGATTGTAAGATTTGCTCCATTTCTGTGCCGGGTGTTTTAGTCCGTGACGAATTCTCGATTTTGGCTGTAGCAAAGTATGAACGTAGTGGAGCACAGCAGCTCTGCGCAGGCTACAATAGTGCATCGCCAGAAGGGTTATGATTATATGAGTAAAACTGTCTCAAGGAACCTTTGACTTCACCAGATTGGTCAATGTTCACTGATTCAGGATCAAATGATATGTGGTTCGTCGTGTCCGGGAATCATGCCGCCCGACTTCATATGATCATGGAAGCTCATCAAAGTATAATGAAGATAGTGAGAATCCCTTTTGAGTATTTGACAAGGCTCCCATGAACTCCTCACGCCATACTTCCATATTGGTGACATCGCGGATATTGACGACTTCGAGTGCGTGGTAGAAGTTGTATAGCTGGAGTGCAAATCGCACACGTTGGACTGCCTCGCCATGGTGGGTCTCAGACGTCATGCGTTTATCCCACAGGCTATACTCGGCCATCCGCAGAGTGTCATATTGGCCACTATCATGGTGGTTCAAAATGACACGATTATCGGAGCAGTGGCGTAAGTCTCTATATTCATTGAAGTGGTTGGCCCTGATTGCAAGTATGATCTCACAGATCCTTGAAAACTGGTATTGCTTACAAGGATTAGTCGATAGATATATGCTGAAACCCACGGCTTGTCAGGCTATGGCGGGCCGAGCGGAGATAACTGTGATCGAGCGAGATCCAATCTGGAAGTGTTGTCACCGGATTTGGCAAGTGAACATGTTGGACATTCCCGACTGTTGATTTGTCTCCGTACTCTTCTTCAATCCCTACATTACTTTCGGTACTATAATTTTCATAATACACGAACTCGTACTCCTTGCCATTATGCGCAGTCCGGTCATCGCTTTCTCTATCCTCGCAGCTGCTGCCGTCTCTGCCTCTACAACTGGCCCCTCCAGCTCTCCAGACCTCTCCGCTAGGTCTGTGGACCCCTCTCATATCATCGACAAGGCGGTGAAGTCGGTCAACAGTGCCGATGTCCAAAGACGAGGGGGGCTCCTCGGCGGCCTCGGCGGCCTCGGCTTCGTAGACGCTGGCGAGCGCGACGCAAGGAACAACGCACCGCACGTGCGCAGGGCAACCGATGCACATCGTCACAAAGGCCGATCCAGCAATGCGTATGATGGCCATGCATTGCATCGAGGAGCGGAAAGAACCTCGCCGCCTCCGCGACCAGACCATCGCACCGAAGGCGTAGATGGCTGTGATGGAGACAACTACAGTGAAGGTAAGTTCGCTCATGTTCTTTTTCAAAGCATTAGCGACGAAGGCTGTCATTTCTGCAGGCAGAGTCAGCAGCACAGACGGTGGCGTGTCTTGTTCGTCCAGCGCACAAGGCGCTGCTGCGAACCAGGTCGGACAGCATGTGGGTGGTGAGAGTGTCGCCTCCCCCGATGCCGGGGCGGCATCGGGTACAGATATCACAGATAATGGTTTGGACGGTCTTATGGGTGAGTATGTGGATACAATGCACGTGCTCTCGAGTCGACGTGTTCTATCCAGGTATCGATGGGACGTCTGGAGGGACAGGCACGAGTCCTGACGCTGTCGGCGCCGATGGTGACGATGTAACAGTCTCTCCAAGCAATGACTACGGCAATGCCTACCCTACCTATCCCGGGACACACACTCACCGCCCACTGTCGCGTGCCTTCCCCAGCGCCTCCCCCGAAGATGCGCGTAAGGAGCTGTACGAGGTCGTGAATAACACCATGGCCGGAGGGAACAACCCGTCTCTTGTCCGCAGAGCCGTCACACCCGTCAACATCCCAGCGCTTGAAGAGGATAGATCTCCGAACGGTGTGATCAATCCAGGTAAGTAGTTGAATGACCGAGTTGTCCATGGTGCTCAGCAGATAATACAGGTTCCGATGGGGCACCCGGCGAGAGCATCCAGGGAGCATCAATCCCAGGCCTCGGCACTGTGAACAATCCCGGTGGATCTGCCCAGCCCGGAGCGGTCGGTTCTAGTGCAGGTGGCAGAGTGATTGAAAACGGGCATACGAAGGATAATAAGGCTCACGTCCCCGGTGTAGGGGATTTATCGAGGAGTGGAACTGCAATGGGAGGACAAGGTTTCAGGCCTTGATGTTCATACACTTGAGTAATAATGAGGCACGACCATTGGCGGCTGGAATTGTAGCAATGACTAGACTTTGTATTTTCAGATTTTCATGTAACCTTTCCTCATTCTACAGTTCCACAGATTTGTTAAACAGTTGTAGCCTGCGGATATACGTACTTCATACTGGACTTGAGATTTGGACAAGGTTACGGCTAGGAGCTGAACCTTCATCTCGCTGCAGGTCATAGATAAATGATGAGTGCATTGGAAGAACCTCTAGACCGAGAAGGTACATTGTCGAGACAGGGAGATGGATCCGCGTAAAATACAGCAAGCAAGGAGAGGACACAGCAAGGCTCTGCACGAAGCGCGCCTTTCACCACGGGCTGTAGAAGTCTTCATCGGGCCTGACTTTCTCCTGTGTTCCATTCTTGTTCTTGAGCCCCACGTTCCCTCCTGTCGCGCATCCGCTCGCGGATGTGCCTGCAGCCCCAGCGTTGTCTAGCGTATTCATGTCAGCCCGTGGGAGCATGGACCCAACTGTAGATCAACTCACTGGAGTCCATGTTGATCATCCCCCCGACGTTGTTCACGCTACCGCCCTCCGCGTCCCCAGTGCTGCCCGAATACGCGTTCCCGCCTGCTCCATTGCTCGCGTCGCTGCCCGAATCCCCGTTTGTTCCATGGCTCGCGTCGCTGGAGTACCCGCCTGCGGAGCAACCGGATTCAGATGTTCCGCCAGCGCCCGCGTTATTCGAGTTGATGTTCATCAGCGTGGGCATTCCGTCGTTGCTCGCGATGTTCTCTATCGAACCGCCGCTCACATCGCCGGTGCTCCCCGTGTACGCATTCCCGCCCATTGTGTCCGCATCATCTGTACGCGGGAAATAGGTACTGCCAAAGTGCGAGTGCGAGCTGGGGAAGTGTCAGCATGTTAAGTGGAATAAGAGGGCGGACCGCGTACCCTGTTGAGCCACCAGAGACGTCGCCAGCCGAGCCCGAGTAGGCGTTCCCGCCCGCAGTATCAGCGTCGAGTGCCCGCTCTGAGACGTCTCGGGGACCAAGCCTACGGTATGGTGAGCACGAATGTATGGACATGTGTTGCATGCAACACACCTGTTTGCAGGCATCACCGCGGTTCCGACAACCCCTCTCCGTGGCTCGTCGCGAGACTCGACGACATGAGCACCAGTCTGTTCGAGATGCTCCAGCGACGAGACAGTCCGCGCAGCGAGGGCATGGGGTGGCTGCAGAGTCCCGCCGAAGACGATTGGCTGGTGGCCGCGAGGCATGATGTCATGCATGTCCTGGCTGAAGTCCCGCGCTGCTTTGGGAGACGAGGGCAGGAACTTCTTGACCGCAGACATGGCCTCGGCTTCATTGTGGGCGAAGGCGGGAAGTGGCGAGGCAATGACGAGCGACGGACTAAGAGCAGTCGCGGCGAAGATGGCACAGGCGAGGGCTTGTGTGCGCATGATGGACAGCGAAGTAGTATCTGTAAAATATTAGTTCACACAAGGCGGTGAGGTGTTAGAGTGGAGGGCGGAGACAAGATAGACAGAGAGCAGAATTGCTATGAAGTCAGCCATCTTATGACTTCGCGAGAGGCTGACGAGGAGGCTGACCACCATCCTACTCGTCCCGATCGAGTTGATAGCTTTCCTTTCTCGGAAACCAGTGCAGCTTCTTGGCGTGCCGTCTCGGCAGGAAGATCGAATCCAGCCTGGATTCTTGAATGATCTTGTGAGTATGTACAAACACGGATTAGCGAGGGAGTGTTCAAGTATAAATTACACAGCATAGACGAGCAGAATATTCACAGCACCGCATTTGTTGTTAGAAGATGGGGGGACTGCAAGGAGACATAGGGTATCATGGAGACCGAAAGTCTCAGCTATGTGGGAATCCAAGCGCAGGGCAAAAACGCACGCATCGGTCAATCATCTACTATCAACCATTCGGCGTCTGATTCACGTCCGTCTCCGTTGGAGACAGCGTCCCATCCTTCGTCGTCGCTGTCTCGGCCTCCCCGCTCGCCTCCCCGTTTCCCGACCCCGACTCCGAGACGTAATCAATAGATACCACGTCCAGCTGGTCGTCCACCGCTGCAGAGTCAGGTTGTCCACTTAGTGCAGCCTGCCGCCGCGTCTGCATGTCCTCGTAGAACTCGTTCGCCTCATTCATTCTGTTGACGTCCGCTTGCTTCGCATCGAGCCAACGCTGGAGCAGCTTGGCATTGTCCTTGATTAATGTCGCATTGCGCTCTTCTATCTGACCAAGTTCCAACTGCAGAGTGTTTATCTCATCGTGCAGTATCTACAGTGAAATATAAATATTGACAATTGACAGATGGGCTGGAGTATGCATGCACACCTGGGCAGTCCGGTCCTTCTCGGCCATAAGCTCACTGTGCTGCTCAACTTTCTTGCGTAGTGTAGCGATCTCGTCGCGTGTCTTCCTGAGGCTCTCCGAGTCAATGCGCGACAATTCTTCCTTCTCGCGCAGAGTCTCGTTCATTGCGAGCAATCTCTGCGCGTTCTGGCCTTGCGTCTTGTAGACTGTCGCCAGTTCATCGCGTAGTGACGTGATCTGGGACTCCAGGGAGGTAATGTATGCTGCCCGAACAGGGTTACTGGGACATGAGCGTTAACGACCAGATCGAGTGAGGAGTTGCTAGCAAAACGTACTCTTCTCCTGTTCCAGGCACGAACACAGTAGAACTGCTGGGATTCGCGCGTGCGGTGCCCATCGCACGCAAGAGGGACCCATTGCGCTCTTTCAACAGCTTCGTCTGCTGAGCCAATCTGCGATCTTTTCAGCGTTCAAGTAGCAGCCGCAGAGCAAGTAAGATGGATCAGGATGACGCTGCGAGCACCAGGCTGAGCACACGCGAAGAGGTAGATACATACATTGCTCGATGATGGATGCGTATGCGGAGTCGTTCGCGTTGCGCTCGACGAGCCGCATGCGAAGGGTCTCTTGCCACAAGGGCTCAGCCATGGCTGACGAGTGCGATGCGGCGAGCGTCGAGGGCGGGTGGGCCGAGGCAGCTTGCAAGTTACGAGCTCAGAAATGCTGCCCGAATGCACGACAGATGGGGACAGCACGTTCGGACGGAGCTCGAACTGCCGTATCTGAGATCTCGCATTGAGCGCCTCCCCTGCGCCATCTTGCCCGTCTCACTGTTGCCCCATCTGACTCCAGCTCGCACGTCCCTCGCCTCCTCTATACCTCACCATCCTGCACCATGGGCCGCGTTCTCTTGAAGGTACGAGTCTTTCGGGAGGTGTGCGGGGGGCATGCGCTGATTCCATATCCTGCAGGTTATCATCCTCGGCGATAGTGGGTGCGTATTGCAACTGCATGGCTCTTGGTGGCAGTGTGAGAGCTTAATGTGCTGCCCGCTCCGTCATCGTGCCCCTGCAGCGTCGGCAAGACCTCACTTATGAACCAATATGTGAACAAGCGCTTTAGCAACCAGTACAAAGCGACCATCGGTGCAGACTTGTGCGTATGCCCGTGTCGCGCGGCAATGACGTCTTACTCACAACGCTGCATGCGCGCACAGCTTGACGAAGGAGGTTATGGTGGATGACCGACTGGTGACGATGCAGGTATGCTCGGAATCCCCGTTGAACATGCCCAACCGCCAGTGTCTTACGCGTCGTTAGCTATGGGACACGGCCGGCCAGGAACGCTTCCAGTCTCTTGGCGTCGCGTTCTACCGAGGTGCCGACTGCTGCGTGCTCGTCTACGACGTCAACAGCTCAAAGTCCTTCGAGACCCTCGACAGCTGGCGCGATGAGTTTCTCATCCAGGCTAGCCCACATGATCCGGAGAACTTTCCCTTTGTTGTGCTCGGCAACAAGATTGATATGGAGGAGAACAAGCGCCAGGTAAGCATACTACTAGGGTAGGTCACTTTTACATGCGTTGACTCATGTTTGGTATTCGCTGTATCTATAGGTCACGCAGAAACGTGCGATGACCTGGTGCCAGTCCAAAGGCAACATCCCCTACTTTGAGACTTCGGCTAAGGAAGCGATCAACGTCGAACAGGCCTTCCAGACCGTTGCGAAGAACGCTCTCCAACAGGAAGCTGAGGAACAACTGTGAGTGTACCGTCAGCTCTGTGCTTGCGGACATGTAAATGAAACACTACTCGCCCCAGATACGTCGACTACCCGGATCCCATCAGAATCGACTCTGAGAGCACGCGGAGCTTCGGATGTTGCTCTTAACCAAGTCAATGCGCATCGCCTTCGCCTTGACATGCTCGCACCCGTCACGACTTCCAGTTACCCTTATTTCTTTCCTCGAACACTTCGCTCTGCTGTCCATGTTGTCCCTCTTGGGCTTGTTCACTAATACATACTCGATGATGATCTCATGCCCGCTTGTACATTCATACGCGTTGCTGTTACTGTCTGCGATACATACGCGAAGGAACAGCATATTACTTTCACAACTTGACCCGATGGCGTCCAGCGCCTCATTATGCACAACGCGCCAAGGCCGCGGGGCTCTCCACCCTCACCATGCGCGTCGTGCTATATGTACGCCTCGGTGGCCTGGTAATCCTGCTATAGGTTCCTCCATTCCCGCGTCCACTTGCCTGAGCTATTTCAAGTCCTACATCGCATCAGTTGCCCAAATCTGTGTTTCTCAGAGAACCCGCGTACACTGCCGTACTGAGGTCATCGACTTCTTGACGCGGAGCCGCAGCCGAACGGCCTTGGCTCTTCTCTCGTTGCTACTTGGCTCAGGGCCGAAGTTGAATGCAGTCCTTATAGCTGCGCTCAGTGCTGCCAAAACAGCCTTCCGCTGCGCAGGTGTCAGCGTGTCCAGGGCATCCTTGATCCTAAAAGCATCTCTTCAACTAAGACATCCACAGTGGTCGATTACTTGGCCCCGGAATGCAGCATTACGCGCCTTCGAGACCGCTATCCATGCCTCCTATCAGCCAGGCACAGATTATATGCCAGGGATGGGTTCTCAAGAAGAGAAGGAAGAAAATGCAGGGTGAGTTTGCGCCAGTACTTCCCGACCTGGTCTCATATTCCATCGCGTCCCACGTAAGGCTTTGCGCGCCGGTACTTTACTCTGCAGCAGTCAGGATGGCTGTCGTACTCCCTCGAACCCGGGCAACTGAGCCGCGACCAAATCTTCCTTCCACAGGCAGCAATATCAAGCACGCCCGGACGGAGAGACATTCATATCGACTCTAATAAGGCGACATTCCACATCAAGTGTCTCAGCGCGGATGACTTCAACGTGTGGATGGCAGCGTTCCGGTGAGTCTTGCACGCGTTGGCAGCGGTAAGCAATGCGTGAATGGCTTCGCAGGAGGTTTATTGTGCGCGAGGTGCCCGGCGCGGCGTCGCTTGGGCGGCGGTCCACGCTCACGAGGACTACACCCCGTGGAGGGCAGTACAGCAGAGTGGGCGTGCTTGTGGACGAGATTGGAAATGTCAGTTTCGTTGCGTGTATGCTTAGCGAATTCTCAACGCGTATTCAGACCATCACAGAACTCCAGGGCGCGATATCTGCCTTGCGGGAAGAGGATGCTAAGCAGAGGAGCAACTCCACGCGTTCAGGGCCTGGCGGGGACAAGAAAGATCGGAAGGACCATGTTCTAGGTCTTTTCAAGAAGGGTGTGTCTGCCTCTTGAATTGCGCTTGCGCCTCTAACCAATCCGTATTCCAGCTGCGCCTACCCACAGTAACCATTCTGCGAGCGAAGTCTCAATAGATACTAGATCAATCGACAGTAGTCTATCTCCCGGAGCTGGGTATGAGCGCGCTCAAGCCATTCTGGACGCATTAAAGAATCAGCACGCGGCACTGTCCAAATCCATACAGCCGCAGTCTTCAATAGATTCCCAATCTTCTGTTGCACATCCAGGCGGGCTTTCCACCACTGCGGAGGAAGATGGCGAACGCACACCCACTAGCCCCAGCCAGAAATTAGCGCGCTCGTCTATGATGAGCTCGAACAGCGGTGGCAGCAACAGTGTCTGGTTTGATGCTCCAGAAGGCGACGGAGCTGAGGAATACGTAGTGGATCATGCGGATGCGTCACCTGGTGACGAATCCAAGGGCACCCTAGAGAGGAAGCCGAGTCATGTTGACAGCCAAGTGGACACGGGCTCTAGCGCAGAAGCCAGCGCGGAGACAGACGTGGATACGGACGCCGACTCGGAACTTGAAGACACTTCCGACAAGTCTGAACACGCAGATAGTGCACCGACAAGCCCAGAACCCTTTACGAAAGAGCAGAAACCGATCGCTAGACGTACACAATTACCCTCTCCAATAGTAGGCGATGAAGGGAGTCTCTTCCAAGTGCTGAAGAAGAACGTTGGAAAGGTGTGCATCCTCGCTATGGGGGAGTTCGCTTGCGTCTCACGCGGTCTAGGACTTGTCACAAGTGGCAATGCCTGTCTCGTTCAACGAACCCCTAACGCTCTTGCAGAAAATGGCCGAGGAGCTCGAGTACTATCAGCTACTGTCTCAAGCTGCCAACGCACAAGACCCAGTAGATCGAATGTGCTTCGTAGCAGCATTTGCTGTGTCGACATATGCAAATACGAAGTATCGGACGGGCCGAAAGGGGTTGTACGTACAGTATATCTTGTCTGTCTTGTAGCTTCTAACTCATCATTGTCAGTAATCCAATGCTGGCAGAGACCTTCGAGGATCCAAGGATGAAGTTCATTTCGGAGAAGGTGTCCCACAATCCCGTCATTCTCGCGTATCATGCGGAGGGCGAAGGCTGGGAACTCTGGGCGACATCTAGTGGAAAGACCAAGTTCTGGGGTATGATGGTGTATACCGTCAAGATGTGTACAGAGGGCTGATATATGCGCTCAGGCAAGAGCTTAGAGATCATACCCCAGGGCACCATACATCTCAAGATTGGTGACCAACACTATCAATGGTTGGGACTCAGTACGTTGTCGTTTGACCATAACTAATCACAGAGGCGCAGGACTAGACCGTCGTCATTCATGCGGAACTTGATGATGGGCACAAAATACCTAGAACATTGTGGCAAGATGGTGATCGAAAACACGACAGCTGGCGGTCGCTGCACCCTTGACTTCAAAGAGGGTGGCTACTGGGGACCTGTCAATATGGTCGCGGGAACAGTTGTTTCCGCATCAGGCGAGACAAAGGCACAGTTGGAGGGCAAGTGGGACGAGCAAATGGCACGGAAACTCGACTCGTCGTACCTCCAAGTCCTTTGGCGAATGATACCCTTCCCCAAGAACGCCCCAGATTACTACGGCTTCACCTCATTCGGCATCACGCTGAATGAGGTGACGCCAGATGTGGAAGGTCGTCTTCCGCTCACAGACTCGCGGCATCGGACTGATGTTCGGGCCTTGGAGGAAGGTGACCTCGATAGCGCCGAGGAGGAAAAGAAGCGGATAGAAGAAGCCCAGCGGGAGAGGCGGCGGCGGGGGGAAGATCGGCAACCACGCTGGTTCAAGCAGGTTGGAGACGAGTGGGTATATGCGGGAGGATATTGGGAGCAGCGAGAGCGAGGATGGAAAGACGTCGAAGCCTTGTGGTGATATCAATAGACATGCACACTGGAACTCTCGATAATATGTACAGCCTTTTAATACCCTACAAGAGTAGTCCTTACTTTGTCGTGGCAGTTGACATTCAGAGGGGCAAAGTTTCTGGGACATTATACTGGTGGAGTTCGCATTTCCCGCACTTATCGCTAATTCGATACTGACAGGTCACAACAATAAAGAAACTCGTGATTTATAATGAGCACAAACATCAAGAATCATATCCGGGGAAGGTGGCGTCAGAGGCGCACAACGGACCAAGCCATCACCCAAAAACGAGCGGCGTCTCTGTTGTCATCGGTCACTCGGTCGGGCCTTTTCACCTCCACGAGCAATGCATCCGCTTTGACGGTACCCTTCTCGAACACACCGCCGTCCCACATCTCCTTCCAGGTTTCGGGCGAATGGCAGAACTCGTACGATCCGTCGTCACGGGGGAGGCCATCCGTGCGGTAGCCTTTGACTGGCCTGCCGGCATGCTCGCCGAAAATGAGCGAACCAGGCTCGGGCGAAAGCAGCCCCGCGAGAGCACGCCCGACCTCGAGTTGCTGTGGCTCGTCGAAGAGGTGGAAGAAAGACGAGGCGTTGATCGCCGAGACGTGCCCCAGAAGCGGAGTCAGCGTCTTCAGGGAGCGCAGGTCAGGCCGAGGGGTCTCCGGGGCCGAGTAGAATGGCGGAACGGTCTTGAGGAAGTTGGAGTCGAGCGCATCACCCGGAATGAAATGGCCGGGGAAGTCGCTCTTGAATAGTTTATTGCCGAGCTCGAAGAAGTCTGCGATGGACGATCAGTGCCTGGAGATCGATCGCGAGAGTAAGCCTTGGACCCACCTCCATGCAAATCGGTGCCGATGGTATTCTCTCCCGGAAAGCCGTCTGAGACTGCTTTCCTTATCTCGTTGCCGACTACGAACGCGTGCAATGAGCTAAGCCTCGTGCTATATTGACTCATCACTTACAGCAGCAACCCACGTCAAGGAAAATCGCGCCTTCGCGTTCTTTACCCAGTTTCAAAAGTTGCTTATATGCAGGAAGGCGCGAGATTTTGAATCTAAATAGCACGAGAAAATCGGCGTCTAACTTCAAATCTGACATGGATGCCATACCTAGTGAAGACGAAGCCGCGGATGCACCCGTATTGGTGGACCTACATGCATCAAGGTGAGCTTCAAAGGACAAGAACATTCGGCACGGAATAATTGCCTTCCAGGCCTCTTGCTGGACGTGCACAACATGCTTCTTCAACTCTTCTTCGTCCTGAATGCCGGTCTGAGCCTTGAAGAACTCGAGTTCAGGGCCCTGGAGGGAGTAGGAGCTGGCGAAAGTCTCGTCAATAGTCGATGGTGCACCCATTATGTCGTTGGAGTAAAAGCGGGCACGGGGGTGTGGTTGAGGGGGACTGCTGGAGGAGTGACGCCTTAAGTCGGAGCTGAGCCTGCGTTGACAGGAGATGGTCCTGCATTGACGGCTTATATGCCTGCGAATCGCCCCTCATGATTCCATAAGATTTCAACAGAGACCGGGTCTGCCTCTGGAATAGACGCATCTGGCGTAACGCTCAAACCAGTACATTCTTAGCTTCGTCTCCCCCGCTATGGCACATCAAATGGAGATAAAGTCTATAGGACGTATGAGCTACTTCAGACCCTGGTTGCAATTCCGTTGAATTGCGAAATTATGTCAGGGTGTCCACGACGGGAGACGCTTACTAGCTTCATAGAGTGCTTGTCTAACAGCAAATCCACATGATCAGCATGAGGTTCCCGAACTCCACCGGTTGCAGTAGAGAGCAACATTAGCGGCAGGGCTAGATAGGTAGTACTCAGCCCATTACCTGGATTGTTGTAGTCCACGAGAGTGGTCGGACACTAAACTTGGCGTGGTCACCGCGTCAATCTACGCATCCAGGGTCGTAAATTTGAGAATGAGCCCAGTCTGCTGAGTGAATTAAAAGGCATTAAACCGCGCTCGTATTGACGCTCCTCCAAACCCGCGTTAGAGGGTGAGTAGGTCACAATAGCGCAGATGAATGTAGGACGAACGTCACCATCGTCCCATTTCTGACTGGAAGAGAAGCTCTCGCGAAGATTGAACTGACCGTGATCCCTGAATCATCACCGGAGAACGCCATGGCTCACCAAACGGCCTTGCCTATTGCGCTCTGGTATAACTTGCCGCCGCCTTTGCGCGAGTGTATGTGAATATGCCTATCTGATAGTCTTAATGAAGGCACCTGTTTGAGCGTTCGTGTCAAAGGTTGCTTATAATAATCAGAGAACCTGAATGATGTAGTCCAAGTAGAAAGAAGTCTGGAACACAGCTCAGAGACCCGGATGCCAGATATAGGCCACCTGTGCGAATGGGGCTGATGAGCGTAAATGACCGTCTGCACAACCCCAACTGCAATGTTCCTATCTGTCAATTTGAGCTGCTGTTAGGCTTGAGCTTGATTGTCTCGGTGGATATAGTGATACGTCATGGCCTAATCATGGCCGGTCAGCAAGGCGCTATGCGGCTCTACTGTCCTTCAGGCTCACCGTAGTGTTGCTAAGGGTAAGCCTGATAACGTCGCACTTCCTGTTTTCGCGGATTCACCGGAAACAGATCGTGCTGCGGCAAGCGCTATACATACCTCTGACCCCACCAGCTAGAGCTTGAGCTTGATATAACAAGACACAAGACACGCTAGTCCGCAGTCGGGTGCGTGACTGCTGCCGGTTCCACTGTCGCCCACGTAGTGGCGGAATTGGTGTGTTCGTTCGATGTACCGTGTATACCGCCATTCCTCTCTTGTTCACATCGCCATCCTAAATGACACCTGATCACACGCCTAGCCCGCGCGGACGCTTGCGAGGGCTCAGCAAAGGAAACGACGCCAGATCAGACTTAGCTAACGCAGTCAGACCCTGACTGAGCTTCAGGGTTGCGCCTCGACTTCTGGTTGTGGCCCGTTACCTGCTGACCGTCCACCCTGTCGCCAACGAATGACAGTCCGAAGGGGCAATACTGATATGAAGTTGAGCAATAGTCGAGAAGACTTCAACATCAGTTCAGCATCACGTTCAGTGGGTACACTGGATTCTGTGTCAGTACAGTGCTCAATAATCACCTCTTTGTCCTCATCAAGCGGCAAGAGCAACCGAGGGTACAGACGTCCCAGAACCCTGACGCCATTGCATGCGGACAGTTAGACGATAATTGTCCCTGCCCGTGAGTCGAGATGTTAGCGAGTCAACGGGCTGCTTACAGTCAACCAACTTATCGGCTGATCCCACGGACTATATCTGTATGGATCGCCTCTGTCGGGCAGCTTCGTGCGCCGAGGAAGCGTAACACACCACTAGGCATCGCCGCAGTGGCTACAAAACACCCCGGGGAGTTCTCATGTGGCACTCACGCATATGGGGCGCGCGCCATTGTCAGTGAAACGCCCCGGAAATCCGACGCGTATTCGTGTGTGCATACGTGATGGTGTATAAGACTCCCTGGAATTCCGGGGAGTGTCGTCCCACTGCAAGTGTATTACACTGCCGCGTTAGGGGGGTGCTCCTCAAGGGAGTTGGAAACATAATCCATGTCGTCGTCAGAACCTACAGTATGGATACCAGGAAGAGTATGCGCGCGGGCGGGAACAAGGAACGTCGGCGTTTTCCGACATCACGACCGCAGGGACGTAGGCGGCTGAGTAACACCATTGAAGGCAGGGTGCTTCGTAGCGGGCGGACGACACAAATAGGACGGCATCGACATGTTACGACTTGTATAACGGATTCCGCGGACGACTAGTGTGTGCATACGCACGTGTTTATGCATTGTGTTCAATTGCAAACTACAGTACTAGTATCTCTTGTCTCCCATACATTGTAGACAAATTTAGTGTCTCAAACTCCAGGCATAATATTTGAATGCTTTCTCCTTTGTCTACATACCGTGTCATGTTACTTGGCGAGCCCCTTGCAGGGATTGTAACGCGATTGCACATGTCGTATGTTGTTCAGTTCGCAAGTTGTAACACTGACTAGTCGCCAGAATGACAGACGGTGCCTTAGAGCTTTGATTTGCACCCTGAGTTCCCAAGTTGGTATGGGCAAACTTGCCACAAAAGCCAGAACATACGGTGTTGTATCGGCGGTCCTAATACTCCATTGTTGTGCTGTGAACTGTCACTCGAGCCACGAGGTACGGAATGCAACCTGGATTATGAAATAATCCAGTGATGCCAGGAATTCAGCTAATCATTCCCGACTTGACAGTCACAACGGCGACACTCACGTGCCATCACTGGGGAGCATCCTCTATGGCCCTTGCGGACTTCTGCCATTTCCGTTCCTGCTTGCGTACCCGGGCAAACTCTCTTGCCAATTGCGCACACTGCGTCCACCGACGCGACATCTCGAAGTCTTCTTCCGCGTCGTCCTCTTCCGCGTCGTCTTCGTGCGGCCATGATCTACAAATATACCATAGATTGGGAAACAGCGACGATAAAAAGCTTGCGATGGGCACTGGGTCCTTGATAATTGAGTTACCCACACCGAGCTCCTCTACGAGACGGTTCCGCACACCACCGCCGGGCCGCTGCTCACACTCCTCGGCGGTACCCACACACTGTGTGTCGAACACGAGCCCGACGTATTGCAGATGACGGCAGTGCTGGGCCAGGGGGATGAGACCAAGGAGCGTCGCACGCGGATTCGGTACCCACGACCCGCGTTCACCCCCCAGTTCAAGACGTTCCAATTTTGGCCAAGCAAGCGCCATGTCGCGCAGCAAATCGTCGTCGAGGTCCACCGGGCAGCCCTGGATATCGAGTACTCGCAGATGCTCCAAACGCAGAAGGGGCTGCAGTGCCTCGCGGCGCACTATGTGTCCCTCCGAATCATTATCAGGGATCCGCCCAACCTCGATCATAAGCACTTGCAAAGAAGTTTCGTACAGTGTTGCTAAACTCAGGGACAGTGTCTTTATACACCCGGCCGAAGGATGGGTTCCAAGAGTAACGCTTAGACGGCGGAGGGAGGAGGAGCCAATGTGGAGTAGGAGGTCGGCGACATGAGAGAGATCGTTCAAAGTGATCGTGACGTCCTTCAACGCAGGAAATGGTGAATCGATAAAGGCTTTGGTATAGTCATTCAGCACGTCCGTTAGATCGGTTGTAGCAGAAATCTGCACATTGATTGTTCGGAGGTCAGGCAAGCACGCCAGCTTTAGCAGAGCGGCAGCATTGAGCTGTATATCAGCTTTGAAGTCCACGAGTTGAGGCAATCCGGACAACAAGGCGGGCATTAGCTCGCATAGTTCTGCAGTTTTCGAGTAGGACGACAAGGAGAAGTGCTGGAGCGCTGGGGATTTCGCTGTCAGCTTTTGAAGCGTTTGATAGACGTTATTTGCGTTGCAAGGTCCGCCCATAGGCCAAAGGTGCACCGTCCGCAATCGGGATCCAAAGAGGAAATGTATCGCAGGAAGTCCGCATTCTCCGAATGCGTATTGGAAGTAGTCCCATTCCAAATATTCCACATTTGGAAGTAATGACGACGCGGGGCGAAAGGCTTCCAGGGCATTCACCGCAGAAAAAGCTAAATTAAATTTCTTGATTGTGTCTTTGAGCCGATTCTCAAATCCGCCAAACGACTTGACCCGAGGACAGTAGAGAAGCATGCGGACGAAATCGGCAGGGACTAGGGGCCGCACGAATGACTGGCAATAGAGGGTCAGCTACGTTAGAGAGGGGAGGGAATCGAGCTACCAGCACAATCACTTCATTGTCTAAACTTGTAAGGTTAGTTCTGAGTTCCGCTGTCCATGCATCGGGTGGCATAGTGAGTATCAGAGGAGCAAGGTTGGGCAGGGAACGCCAAACGATGTCCATTGCTGGCTCGTAGAATGTCCGACATGTCCTCGAGAATGCCAGCAAGTCACTCCGTCCCGCACTAGCACAAAGATGTGAGCATATGGTGGCAATTAATTCTGGTGTGAAGATCCGCCGGGTGTCCATGCCACGCTGTCAATATGTGTTAGTATTGTGAAAGACGGGTAAAAGACGGGCACAGAACTGATGTCTCACTTTAGTTCAGTAAGCGGCAGGTCTGGGGGCGATATTCAAGGTGGACTGACAGTTAGACTTGATTGTAAGACCGACTCATGCTCGAGCTCCACGGTGCGCAGACGCGGTCACGTGGGCGCGACAGAAGTCGAGAGAAACGCGACGTTGTTATACCAACGCACACGACGGAATTACTTCTCTGTTTCTGCTAGCATTTTCGAGATGATTGCACTTTGTAGTAGTTACTATACATTTTCCGTAGTGTAGGTACCCTGCTAAATCGAGGAAGAATTACCCAATTTAATTGATCTGGGAACGAATGTGGTTGAGAGCTGAGCCCGCACGCAGCCATTTGAGCTGGTCGCTTGACATCGTGTGCTTGGTCGCAACTTCAAAGACGTCGCCAATCCTTTTAGTGACACGCAGTTTGATGCTGGCATCAGAAACTCCATTAAGCAGATCGGTAAGACCAACAGTCTCAACGACGTCTCCGGCGTCGATGCGGCTGTAGTCGTTTTTGTCGGTGAACAATACAGGCAGAATACCTTGTTTCTGGTGCGCAAGTCAGTAAAAATCCGACAACAAGAATCGAGGGATGCTGCTTACTTTAAGATTTGTTTCGTGGATTCGCGCAAATGACCGTGCGACAATCATGGCGCAGCCTGCGATTATGGTCATTCGCTGTTGGGACACCAGCGTATGCCTTGACTCACCGTAGAAGCGAGGCTGGAGAGCTGCATGCTCACGCGCACTACCTTCGCCGTAGTTCTCGTCAACGATCAGTGCCCACGGCTGCTTGCGAGCTTTGAAGCGCTTTGCGACGTTAGGGATCGTGTCTGTCTCGCTCTCGGAAGACGTGTGGTCGTGATCAAATGCTACATTGACGTCTCCCCCTTCGTCGTTCGTGGCCTATGGCGGAAGCGTGAGCTCATGCAAGGTAAGTGAATGAGATTTGGTCGTACCGTGATCACTGGACATCGAATTCAACTTGTCAGCAAGGCAATCAATCGTGAGAGGACCAGGAAGAACCTACGAAGATTCTCTGAGATGTTGGTCAAATGTCCCTTGTACTTGAGCCATGGGCCCTAAATATAGTTTCTTAGGACGTGTGCGTAGCGATAAAATCACTGGCACTTACCGCAGCAGAAATGTGATCCGTGGTACATTTCCCTCGAACCCTCATGAGCACCTTCAAACGCGGTAGCTCCAAGCCCCTGTTGTTCGCGCTACCTTCGCCGAAAGGACTGGGGAACGGTTCAAGGAGCTCGAGCCGCTGTGAGTTGTTCCGGATGACAACCTCCGTGTCCGGCTGGGGCTTCGGCGTTGGGCTCGGGTAGAATGTGGTCTGTCCGGGTGTGAATCCTGCCGAGGGGAGGTCCTGTCCTGAGGGGGGCGCGAACTTGAACGGCTTTCCAGAGGGCGTGGGAATGCTATCCGTCATTGGGTTGAACGAAAGCTCGCCGGAGAATGCCATGGCCGTGACAATAGTAGGTGAGGCGAGGAAGTTCATCGTGAGTCTGTTGCCGTCGTTGCGAGACTTGAAGTTCCTGGAGAGAGATCAGAACCTGTTCTGGCACACGATTGCCCGCAATCTCACCGGTTAAATGAAGTCAGAATAGCTGCAGAGAATTATGTTAGAGATGGTGCATGGCGCACAACCTAATGACCGACCGTTCTCTTCGTTCTTCTTTTCCTCGCGTTTCCACTACAATACCGCTGAATCATATGTCTGCGACCCCTGAGGATGATACGAACCTGGCCGATGCATGGTCCACATGCGTTCGCTAGTACAACAGCACCGACGTCTTGCAATGCGCCGGTCACGCCATCGCGCTCCATGGTCGCCCGGATCTGTTCAGATCCAGGTGTGCAAAGGAAAGGAACCTATCAAAATATCAGCATGTGTGTAGATTAAGTCAAGGAAGATGCTACCTTGACCGTCAACCCTGCCTCCTTCGCCTGCCTGGCGAGGTCAGCTACGCTTGTCTAGGCGTGGCTATTATCACTAAGACCGTAAAAATGAGGCAGTATAATCACACACCATGTCCTCATATGAGCTGTTGGTGCACGAGCCGATGAGTGCAGCCGAGAGTTCATCCTTCCAGCCGTTCTCCTTCACAGTTGACCCGAACTTTGACACAGGAGTTGCAAGGTCAGGAGTGAAGGGTCCGTTAATACTCGGCTCCAGCTCAGACAGGTTCTGTCAAAGCCATTAGTCTCGATTCACTGGTGCAAGCGCCAGAACCAGAATCGGCAACTGACAATTTCGATGACCTCGTCGTATTCCGCACCCTCGTCAGCACGGAGGAATCCCGCAGAAGCTGCTTCGTCAGCAGCGCGCGCTACTGGAGCGCGCCCGGTTGCGATGAGGTAGGCACGCATGCCGGGTGTGTAAGGGAACGTGGACGTTGTTGCTCCGACTTCTGCGCCCATGTTGGCCACGGTGGCTAAACCTAAAAAACGCGAAATGAGTGTCTGACTCTGTGAGAATACAAGCGGCAGCGAACCTGTGCATGACTGATTGAACACGCCGGACCCAAAATACTCCAGGATTCGGCCAGTACCACCCTACAATACCGTTCGTTAACGTATCGCGACTGACACATCGTGATACGCTTACTCGGACGGTCAGTTTCCCAGCCAAGTGCAGAATCAGGTCCTTCGGTGTTGCCCAGCCGGAAAACTTGCCCGTGAGGTGTACACCTACGTTACGCGTTCAGAAGACTGGTTATTGTCCGCGTGACGAATGACGTACCAACAATGTTAGGGGCCTTCAGCTCCCAAGGCGTTCCAGTCATAGCGTCAACAGCGTCCGCACCACCCACTCCGATGGCAAGCATGCCGAGTCCACCTGCATTTGGCGTGTGCGAGTCTGAAGTATATCAATGAGTGCCCGGACTGAGTTGTGATTAGTTGTCCCAAGCTACCTGTCCCAAGCCTAATGAAGTCAGCAACGGTATTGCGTCTCAGAATGGCAGAAGAATGGCAGCAGGAATGGGGAAGCGTACATTAGCATTCCCGGAGCAGCGTAGTTCTCCAGCACAATCTGGTGGATAATGCCGGAGCCGGGTCTCCAAAACTCAATACCATACTTGCGCGCCGCGCTTTCCAGGAAGTCAAACACTTCTTGGTTTGACACGATGGACCGCTAATGTCGCGCTGTTAGGGCAGGTGGTATGCATGTCGCTGTAGTAATTATCACCTTGAGGTCTGCTTCCGCGCCATCAATAGCCTGGATAAGGTGGTCACAATGAATGCTGGTTGGTACAGCACAGCTTGTCATCCCGGCACTCATGAACTGCAGCCTAGTGTCTAGTCAATCACATGCAAGGACGTGCTGCAATATGACTTACAATGCCATTCTATACACCAGTAAGCCTTTTGGTGAGAACCCTCATGCAAACATAGCCCATTAAGCTCGACGCACTGTGCAGATGCATCCTGCATAGCTACCCTCTCCGGGCTCAGCTGGAGATAGGTCTCCCCACGATTGAGTCGACCATCGGCGAGACTCCGTTCGGGATCCGTGATGTGACTGTAGAGAATCTTCTCTGCGAACGTCAGAGGCCTATTTCCAAGAATTTGTCGGACAAGAGCCAGCTTCTCCTGCAGGTGAGTATATGGGGGCGTGATGGACGAGCAGTCCTTCTCCGGAAGCGGGGCATGAGTAGCAAGTGTTCTCTCTCCGGACGTCCTGAGATGTCGTCTAGATAATATAGTACACCTCCGTAAGAGAGTATTGCTGCCCATTGTGGCTGTGGGGGTCGCCACCAGCAGACAGATGTGCACTCTAGAGATGGTCCTGCAGTCCGAAAGACAAAAAGTGCCTAAGTCGAGGGACTTGACTCTGGCCAATTATGCAGACTGAAATTGTCGCGCGCACGTGATTGCAATCAGCCCAAGCGATCGGTTACGTTCCTAGAGATCTCAATGTGGCGTCAAGTCGATCGCGTATCTCGCGCTATGTACAACGAACCGATCACGGTTACTTAGAGTCTGACTAGTAACTGGTGTGTTATCTTCAAAGCCGTACCAATACCCGCCTTACGAAACTTAGGAGAAATTATTGATGGATCGGCTCGTCGCTGCACCCGAAGTAGGCACATCGATATGCAGCCATTGCTAGTCTCGTCACCGTAAGACTCATAGTCTCCTCGCGTCCTGCAAGACTTGCAAAGTCATATATAAGCCAGCAATGGATTTCGTGTAGCGCAATTGACCTACACTGGCACTGCCACCCGATGCCTGGATCGCGACTACCAGTCACTGTGGCCGGAGGCCAACACTAGGTCCTTCGACATCCAGCTATTTCGAGCACTGCAAACTCTCTTCGTCGATTCGGATGACTTGCTGAATGTTTCCGTCTTCCTCAACTGCATCGGTTGCGGAATTCTCCAGCGTTTGCATTGACCCGCGTCTTAGTAGCCGAGTACAATAAGTCGCTACATATTCTCAAGCTCTACAACAAGTCACTATATGCTCCCCTGTTCGACAGTATGCAAGTACCCACAAACCTGAAGAAATGCATATTCTATCCGGGAGCGCTTGATGCCACTGCTACAGCTGGAGCAACTCATAATTTTTTGCAAAGGCATTTGCGCGAAAGCGTTGTGCATGCCGATGACTACCCCTGTGTCTGAACTGTTGGAACGAGCCAGATCTCCGTGATTGCCGAAATATGTAGGCTACTAAACTATGTCAAGATCAAGCGCGCAAGTCGTATACCTGTGTAATTAGGTACTATACATGCTTCAAGCTCGCATATCGCTTACAGCGGGTTTAGCTAAGTATCGTCATTAGGGATGACTCGTAGTATCTAAGAGGTGGATGCAATTGACTTTGGAGACGCTAGCGATTGTCCCAAAGCTCGCAAGACCTGGGCGCTGTCTTGGCTCGTTCTCCGCTTCTTAAGCCATGACAGCGCTGTGTTCGCTACTGCCATAGCCGACTCCGGCATGCCTGACAACTGGGCAACTTTCAGACCATGGCTATTGCGGTTGACACCAGGCTGCAAGCGATGCGAGTACGCAAAGTAACCGTCCTGAGACAAAATGAAAACTAGCCAATGAGGTATGACAGACTCCCTCACCTCGGTCTCATCAACGTCAGTGCAGAAGAAGCTCACCCCTGAGAATGGACCTTGCCCCTGATGTCCCGTACATCCTAGCATGTCCGCAAGCTCATGAAAATGTGTCGCGAATAGAGCGCGACATTTGTTGACCGTGACTAAGTGGTGCACTGCGGCGAAGGCGATGGCCAGTCCATCATCAACGGTCGTCCCCCTGCCAACTTCATCCATGATGACCTGCATTGAATGAACTCCTGTCATGAGAAGACCACGCGAGGGAAGCTTACCAAGCTTCGAGGAGTAGCTCTCCGGAGGATCTCGTTTGTCTCCAGCATTTCTACCATAAAGGTGCTTCGATCACGGAAGAGATCATCTCGCGCTCCTATACGAGAGAACACCCTGTCGACAACCCCAAGTTCGGCCGAGTCCGCGGGAACAAAGGAACCGCTCTGAGCAAGGACAGAGATGAGAGCAGTTTGGCGCAGGAGGGTAGATTTGCCAGCCATATTCGGCCCGGTTATGACATGTAACGATGAGGTCGGAGTCAGAGTCACCGTGTTCGGAGTGAAGCCTCGTCCTGCACGGAGCAAGCCAAGCTCCACAGTTGGATGTCGACCATTGACTACGCGGTATATGGAACTGTAGGGATTGTGAGTACTCATAGCATGGATGTTTATAGCTATACCTGTCTGTCAGATGCGGTCGCACGAGGTTCATGTCAACCGCCAGATTGGCGTACGAAATTGTAACGTCTAGCTCATCCAGTATACGGGCGTTACGCCGCAATTGGCCGGAGTGTGCAATGACCTAAGTTACACAAGACCTGTTATCAGAAGTGATACAAAAGGTATATAACGTGCGCTTGCCTCGTCACGAAGGGCTTCAAAAGCAGCTTTCTCGGCTCTTTGTATGGCAGTGATAGTCTCAATGAACTGTGCTCCCAGTTGAGACCACTCCTACGGACAATGGGAAGTGAGAATTTCTTGCCGCACAGGATACAGTGACTACACTCACTTGGTAGAAGAAAGTGTTTGTCGAACTGCTTGTAGATAGTGGAATGAAATGAGATGAGGCGGTGAGCCTCGATGAGTCCCGTTTTCCTTTTGCCACATGCACATGCATGCCTTGACCAGGAGACGACCGAAGAGAAAGAGATGGAGCATCTGATGACCCGCGCGTGAGTGCCCAATATAGGTGTGCCGAATCGAATCCACTATACTGTAAGTTGACTGGAGTTGTTGTTCAAGTAGCTGCTTGCGCTCAAGAATTTTCTCAAACGTGTTGTGGAGTTCATCAAGGTCTGCAGAAAATCTGCAGGGCAGTCAAGCACGACATTGCAGGGGAAAAGACTTCCTTCACTGACCCACGCCTGATTTGCCACTTGTAGCCACCGAATGCATTGTTCGTGTTGATGACAGGAGCAGATGTAGATAGGAGAGTCTTTGGATCGGAATCGGAGTCGGAAGCCTCGTCATTGTCTGGAATGGGATCACTCGGCGTAGATAGTTCCCGAATGTTTGCGGCATTGATAGCGCCCTCGATCCTTTCCGAAAGCGATTCAAGGTGATACATCCCGTGCAGCAACGCTTCAACACTCTCCCACTCTTGAGGCTTGAGCTCCCGATGTGTTTTCTCCATGATCTTCTCAAATTCAATTTGCTTCTTGATCGATTCCCAGATACGAATCGTGCTTGAGATGGCAGCCAAGTCACTTGGCTGACCACGCCCGAGCAGGAATTTTTGCACGATACGAGAAGCATCGTCGAGCTCTCTCAGCGACTGTAACAGGTCATCGCGAAGATGAGGCCGTGCATAAAAGAAGGCCACAAGAGATTGGCGCGCATTGATCTCCTCGAGTGATGTACTCGGAGAGCCTGGCAATGATAAGTCAGTGAGGACGCCGGGAAGGTCCAAGCATTCCTACTTACATAGCCAGCGAACTAGAAGGCGGGTTCCACTACTGGTAACAGTGCGTTTGATCGCACTGATCAGACTTCCCGTGGAGCCCCCATCGCTGTACCCTTCCCGAATCTCGAGCGCCTTGATAGTGTGTGCGTCAATTTGCATCCGTCCTTTGGTACTTTCTCGACTCGGCAAGGAAAGACGGGGCATATGCTCGAGGAGATTGGCTTGCATGAAGGCAGTGAGCAACGTAATGGCGTCGTTCTCCAGGTTTGAAAGCGCTATACCACTCTGCTCGGATGGAGCTGTCACATCGTCAGTGCCCGTGTCAATGCTTGAGACGAGAGTCGGCGTATATTGTATCGCATCGGTGGAAGGAGAGTAGAATGATACAAAGCAGTCCTCTTCCATGGTTGCTTGGTATACAGGGTGCGAGCGATCTTTATTGCTGCCCTCATCGAGAACAACCTCTCGAGGACTTATTCGAGCTAGTTCATCACGAAGACTTCCAATTGGAATGGTTTTGGTGAACAGCTCTCCAGTGGAGACATCTGTCCAGGCAAGGCCAAGGCGATCAGTCGCAGACTCTGGCCCCTGCTGAGCTGGCGACTCGGGGTCTACGATCGCGAGAAGATAGTTATTCTCATATGGGTTCAGGAATGGCTCGTCAATGAGCGTGCCCGGCGTCACGATGCGGACTACACGTCTGTCAAAGCCGCCCTTTGGACCCAGGTGCGGGGACCGGGGAAATTCCTCGCACAGTGCGACGAAGCGCTTGTGATTCTGCACCAGAATTTTCAGGTACTTGTCGAGGTGCATCAGAGGGAAGCCGCACATCCAGACGCGCTGGCCATTCCACGTTCGCTGCGTTAGCTTGATATTAAGCAAGTGAGCTACCTCTTGGGCTTGGTCGAAGTATGACTGCAAAATCCGGTTTAATTACGAACTCACGCCGTAAGAGCAAGCATACTTTGCATTACCTCATAGAATTGACCCACGCGAGTTAGGAGAATGCAATGGGGGAATCGCGCGAGGTTATCGAGGATCCCAGACGCAAGCCGATTTTTGGGCTGAAGTGGAGACGGTTCCATAGCCGCACCCGTTCCAGCAATATCTGCAGGTTCCTCAATGGCCGGTACGACCTTGCGTTTCCGTCTCCGTCGAGGTTTGAGTGTTGAATCGATTTCGGCAGGAGTATTTTCAATCGCGCTTTCAATCACGCTAGGTCCTTTCACAGTGCTTTTCTTCGTCTGTTTGCCCTTACGAGGAGTTTTGAGAACGGGGTCAGCGCCATCGCACTGGGATGAAACGTCTCCGGACAGTACGACATTCTCATTCGCTGGTTCAATAAGTATACAATGATACATGTCTGTTAGATTACAAGTACAATGAATGTCAACAAATATGCGCACATGCGGAGGCTACGAGAATATCCTGTGCAGACACACGTGCGAAACTAGGCAGACCTCCATGCCATTTGCCAAGCGGAGCAGCTAATGTCCCATCATCTAGCAGACGCGCCTTTGGTAGTTCTGCGAGATTCTTCTTGGTTAAAACTCGTTTCTTCCTGGGTTTCGTGTCTTTTGTCGCGTCAGACGCGTCAGCAGTAGCGTGAAGAGCATGGCAGGTCCTGAATTCTCGTATGCGAATAACTGGCCGTCGGAATGTCGCAGCACTGCAAGCGGCTTGCAGCAAAGTGACCATACGCTCCCGTCGCGGTGGGAACACGCTGATATGGTCCCGAGGTAGACAACCTCCAAGACTCCGAACAATGAGGAACAGACTCGCAGACAAGGCGGACGAATGGCGGACGAGAATAGAGGAAGCGCCCGCCACCGAATGACCGCCCGTTGTGGAAGCGGAGTTTCAAGTTCCAAACTTCACCCCGTCGTGCAACGACGCCAACGCCGAAAACAGTTGACCCCGACACACAGAACGCTTCGCACACCATGTCTTTCGCCGGCAGACGCAGAGGAAACAAGGTCAAGAAGGGTGTCCAGTTCACCGTCATGGTCGTCGGTCAGTAGTTTCGCCCCCACAACCCGCTTCCCGTGCCAACGCTCACATTGACGCGTGCCCGACAACGCAACTACGCGCTGCACTCTCGCCGTTGCTTCGCTGTTGTTGTTGCAGGTGCCTCTGGTACTGGACGTACGACCTTCGTGAACACACTCTGCGAGTCCGAAGTCCTCCCCCACAAGGTGTCGGACAGCCCGGACTCGGCGCACGTCGAGGAGGGCATCAGGATCAAACCCGTCAACGTCGGTACGTGCACCGCTCTGCGCCTCCCTATGCGCATGCTCAGCGCAGCTGCAGAACTGGAGGAGGACGGCGTCCGCATTGCCCTCACCATCGTGGACACGCCCGGCTTTGGTGACAACATCGACAACGAGTTCGCGTGAGGCACCATGTTGGGCGCCATAGACACGAACACAGCTGATATAGATGCTGTTTCTGACAGATTCCAGGAGATCGTGGGCCACCTCGAACGCCAATACGATGACATCCTGGCCGAGGAGTCGCGTATCAAGCGTAACCCGCGTTTCCGCGACAACAGGGTGCATGCTCTGCTCTACTTCATCCCTCCTACAGGCCATGCGTAAGTCTCGCATCTCTGGTCGACGTGACCAGTGCATCTGACATTGTTCGAAGTCTGAGGGAAATGGACATCGAGCTGATGCGCCGTCTCTCGCCCCGTGTGAACGTCATCCCGGTCATTGGGAAGGCTGATTCTCTGACGCCCAGCGAGCTGCGGGGCTTCAAGAAAAGGGTAAGCGCGCTCGTTGTTCTAGGCTACTGTGATTTTGACCGGTGGTCTACACAGATCATGGAGGATATCGAGTACTACGATATCCCTGTTTATAACTTCCCCTACGACATCGAGGAAGACGATGAGGAGACCATCCAGGACAACAGCGAGCTTCGCGTTTGTCCAATTTCCTCGGTGATGATGAAAGGCGACTCACAGAGTGCTCTCGCAGGCTATGATGCCATTCTCGATTGTCGGTTCTGAGGAGGAAGTTGAGCTCGAAGGCCAGCTCGTCCGCGCTCGGATATACCCTTGGGGTATCGTCGAGGTTGACAACCCGAAGCACTCTGACTTCAGCCGCTTGCGGGGTGCACTCTTGAAGTCAGCAGAAATATCAATTTTGCAGGGTAGTACTGACGAACGGCTGCAGCACACACTTGGCTGACCTGAAGGCCTTGACCCACGACGTTCTTTACGAGACCTACCGTACCGAGAAGCTTTCCCGGACCGTCAACTCGGATACACAGTACGTCATCGATCCGAAAGACAATGGTCAGACGGCTCAGACCGGTCATTACAGGGACTCCTCAATTCTGCCAGAGGAGCTGGCTACCCAAAGTGTACGGCTCAAGGAAGAGCAGCTCCGCAGGGAAGAGGAGAAGGTACGCGATGAATGCGTTTTGCGCACTCACATCTGCTGATCGCGCCTTGTTCCATCAGCTTCGCGAGATCGAATTGCGTGTGCAACGCGAGATCAACGAGAAGAGACAGGAACTCTTAGCGAAGGAAGAATCACTCAGGTGAGTGATGGAGAGCTTTGTCTGTTCCTGTTTTTTAACCTAACAATATGGTTTGCAGAAACCTGGAGAGTCGACTCGCTGCACAAGGGTCGCAATCCGAATTCCGCGAGTGATTCCGGGACTCGTGCAGAGCTGCGGGTGAAAAATCAACATCGGGAGCTCGTATACCCTTGTCTGTTCGGACGACCTATATCTTTCGTGCTCGGCCTGGCGTTGTGTGTTATGTGGTTCGGTGTCCGGATAATCTATCGTAATTGGCTTGTCTTTTCTATTTGCTTTCTTCTCGTTCGGTCCTTATCGCGCAGCCCTTGGTGACAGATCTGTTTGCATCTCTGGGGTCGTGCTGTACGGACGAGACCCCATCCGCTCCTTTGGCCTTTGCTATACCATTGACTGCCTGTTTGACTGCGTACATGGCGTATATGATGAGGTGTCTGGCAAGATGAGTCTAGTCGTGTGGAGGAGGACCCATGGCTCGATCAGACTTGTGCTCATGGATAGCCGGTGACGGCAGATCGGTCGCATCTGAGAAAGGAACCCGCTGATGATCAGCCCGTGCCATCGTGGTGGCGTCGCACCATCCCGGCCATGGCCAACAAAACATGATTCTAGTTCATTGCAGGTGTCATCCCACGAAACAGTGATTGCTGGGAAGGGACACGAGAGCGGCACAGCGTCGGGCAGGGGTGGATAGTGGCGGGACATCTTGGCTAGATACGCGCCTGCTAAAGTTGTTACCGCCAGATTCGGACTCCGCCACTACACTCGCGGGGCTACAGCACCTCTCCCCACTGCAGCGGCACTAGAGAGATCACCACCCTGTGAACTGTCTCTCGGTCGTCTTTCCCCTCCTCGACGACGTCAATTTATCCCTGGCGACCACTTTCAACGCTGTGCCCGCCGTGCAGACTCGATCGACGCGGCACTGTCCTGGTGCATTAGGCGCCAGCACTTGAACCACCACCAGCCTGGGACGGCCCTGGCCTCGGCTTACAGTCTTCCTGAACTCCCCGGCGCGTCCTGATCTCCTCGCGTAGCTCGCAGTTTTTATTACTCTCCTTGCACACGTCGTGCAACGTGCAGCCCCGAGCTCCATACCTCTGGCGATCCACCGCTAAGCCATAACGGGCTGTCGTATTGTTGAACAAGCGGACGGCCTCCTAGGCTTCCACCGCGCGGTGTGCTGGTGTCTCCCTCTCTTGAAGCCTGACGCCAACCTCTCAGACGCTTCTCCCGCCCCTGCTGGATGCTCTCCATGGAGCTTGACTGGCAGAGTCCACCGATTCCCATCATACACAGGTCGCGCGAATGGCAGTCGTCCCAGGATAGTGCAGGTTCTTCTGGTGCCGCTTCTACGTCTGCCTTCATCACACGGCGTCGCTCGACCGTCCTGCACGCCCCGCCCCCAGGGCCTCCGCCGGCTTTACCGATACCCAGCGTCCCAGCTCTATCGCCGCCCGCCCAGTATGCGACGTACGAGCGAGCCTCCGATATGCACGACTACCAGACCGGTACGAGCTCTCAGACACATCCGTATACGCGGCCGGCTGCATCAGCCAGTTTGGCCGCGGTCGCTGCGTTCTCACAGGCGCGCCTAGCTGCGTCTTCATCACCGCCGCCGAGTGCGCCATCTTCTCCAGACCATCTCTCAGACTCTCCTCCTCGATCCATGCTTCGCGCCAGGCAGGCTGCATCGCCAACTGAGGCTGCGTCGGATCAGCTGCTGCAACCGGAACCCCACCGTTCTGAAACGCGTCCGTCATCACGGCGTGCACTGACGCGAGCGTTAGAGCTTGCCCGCGAGGCGGTCCGGCTAGACTCAACCAACGACGACCCATATGGCGCCGTGATTGCATACGGTCAGAGCGTAGCACTTCTCAGCGAGGTCATGGAGCGGGTCATGAGAGGTGAGGATAGCACAGAAAGTCATAGAAGGCAGAACGGGCGACGCAGAAGCGTCGTAGCGCAGGAGGAGGAAGTCAGGCGTTTGAAGTCGATTGTGAGTTGCGCCGACTTCCCGCTCAAACACCTCGTGAATTGACCGCGTCGTGGTCGTGGTCGACCTTCTAGCATGATACCTATGCAGATCGAATGAACATACTCAGTCTGATCTACAGTATACCATTGCCGCAGCACTCTCCTCCCTCTACCTACGCTTCATCTGTGATATCTCAGTCCACAACGTCGACGCGCCCGTCTACGCCCTCATCCACGTCACCCTCAACAGAATCCTCCTCCGATTCGCTGCATGTTCTCCCGACATCGATACGGCGGCGGAGCCGCGAAAATCTACGCCATTCGTCTGAGACGGCGCGAGGCGACGACGAGGACGCTGAGCTGGATGCTGCTGAAGCGATGGGCGCTGCGCTGTCCACATCGACCATTCTTCCATCTGCTGGTCGACAGCCGTCTGCGACACCTATCACTACTGTGCATCCGTATGCGTCGACAAGTGCGACCCCAGGTGTAGCGGTCAGCCTGCCAAATCGGACGTCTGCCGCCCCTGCTGTGCGACTTGGGCGACCCCGGGCATCGTCAACCCTGCCTCCACCCGCGCCTCCACCAACGACTCTGCCACCTCCCGCGCCTAGTCCGACTGTACCGGATATCCCCGTTCCAGTGCAGTCAAACACGCTAAGAATACCAATCCCCGACACTGCACGGGGGCGAGGCAGCTCAGTCAGCCACTCACGGACAAACTCTGCGAGTAGGCTGGCGTCGCTGCAGGAAGAGAAGTCTGAGGATCTGTTGTCCCCAACAAATGAAATTGTTCCGGGCCCGCGGTACGGGGACGATGGTGGCCGGTCGAAGCCAAGGTCTCAGCCGAACTTCGACTCTGTGCGACCTTCGCCGCCGTTGCCGCCATTGCCATCTTCTGCGGATTCAGCGATCACTCCTCGTGTCAGCTCATCTCTGTCCAGGACAGCGTCCGAGCCGGCGACTCAGTCTGCTGGTCAGTATGCGTCGCAGAGACCACGCGGCGGCTCGACGTTCTCGACGCGCTCTGAGATGGGGCCCCCGGCCAGCCGGTCACCGTTGATCAACACGTCCCCTGTGAACGGCACCATCTCTCAGCGACGGGTCAAGATGTCGGCTCCTGCCTCCTCGACCATGGCGTCCTCGCCAACAGAGTCAAACACCTCAGATGCGTCTATCCCTAGCATGAGCAGGCTGAATGCATCCACATTGCCGGCGAGCACGGTATCGAGTCTGGGCATCAACTCGCGCAGCAGAGCATCGTCACAGCCTGGCCGAAGACCATCAATAGGAGCCAGTAATTCGTATTTCCCTCCTGGCGCAACTGCCATGCCCAACAGCGCTCCCGTGCCCAGGAAGGCGTCTGTTCCCTCTCGTCTCAACCCGAATGCACCTCCGCATATATCTATTAACACGGCGTTAATGTCACCTCCGTTAGGGACAGCGTCCATGGCGCCGCTCGTGCCGCCTCCGCCAATACCCCACGGCAACATCCCGGCGGCGCCATTGTCCCCGCTACCGGCCCTCGCGCCGCCAGACCCCCTGCGCAAGCCATACCACATGATGACGCTCCTGCGGCTGACGATGACCTCCAAGACGGGCGGGTACATCACGCGGCGGCTGCACGTCCCGCAGGAGGTGTGGTCGCAGGGCGGCGTGAAGCTGAGCAACGTGCCCGAAAAGATCCGCGTCGTCGAGGTGCTGCTCACCGCGCTCGAGGAGGTGCAGCACTGGAGCGCGGAGTACTTCGGCGCGGGGAACGTGAGCAGCGGGATGGCGCTGGGCATCGGGAGCATCGGGCGGCGCGAGGGCGAGGCGTGGGCGGCGAAGCTGGAGGAGTTTGTGGGCGTGTGCGACAGCGTCGTGGGCAACTTTGGCAAGAAGCTGAGTGTCGGCGAGGGCTTCGTGACCAAAAAGAGCAGCGGGGTGAGTGCGGGGATAATAGCCCTCTGTATGGCATGTGCGTCCGCGCGCGGCAGCTGACGGGATATTGCACAGGTGGCAACGTGGGGCGGGAGGCTCACTCGCCAGTTCGACAAGATCACCAACGGGAAAAAGTACGTGGGACATGCGTTTTAGGCTCGCGGACGCTGTTGCTCATTGCCAAACCGCAGCCTCGACTCTCCTGCGACGTACGTCCAGGGGCTGTCCCGGCTTTTCCAGCAGGCGCAGATCCTGGACGAGCACACCAAGGCGGCGATGTCGACGCCTCCTGCCCCCCTCTACGCGGCCTTCCCGGCGGACGTCCGACAAGCGATCGAGTTCAAGCTGCGACACGCGTCGGAGTTCTTCGCGCGGGTCGTGCTGACCTTCGTGATCCAGGACATGGCCCTGCTGCTCGACAAATACGTGAAGAAGTGCGAGAAGTGGCTCGCCGAATGAACCCCAACGACCGTCAAGAAGACTGCTCATACTGTTGTACCGTGTGCCCCCATCGTACCATCATCTGTGACAGTCATGAGGATTCCCACCGCAATTGTAATTTTATGCTTCAGGATTAGATTCGCTTCCCACATATCCGCTCCTCCTCTGATGTTCTTGCACTCTCCGTTCGCCTCCTGTTCCCCCTTCGCGCCTGGGTTTTCTGTGCCGAGTCTCGCCGTTGTCCGTGCATACTTATCCCCTTTGCGATTCCCCTGTATATATTCGGGCTTTTTGCGGTGCAGGACGGTGGCCTGTAACATTATCCGTACATACTTGCTTAATCGTACATATCCGCGAGCGGATGGAAGTGCACAGCAGGCAGATATGACGAGAAGATACCATACATTGCCGAAAAACCAAAATTTGGGTGCATATACGATAGATAGACGCGAGTATGGGTCGCGGAAATTGTCTGATGAGTGGGATACACATGCGAACCGGGGTGAGCTTCGCAGATGGTTAGCGCTAACAGTACAGTAGTGGCAGAACGAAGACGGAATATCAAGCATATATATAGCATGCGGCAGTCTTACCTGAGACCTAGGCTGTGGCGGTATACAAGCGGGCATTGTTGTGAATGACTGGAACGAATGGGGGTATCGCCTCGGGCTCCGGGGTCGGTTCTTTTCCTCGCAATCTGCTGATTATACGCAGCCGAAGGACTGTGGAGGCATTCGATGAATAGGGAGCGCGCGATAGGGCCTCAGGTCGGGTGCTCACTGTAATCAAGCCGCTTATCCTCATCGGCTTCTTCATTGTCAGAGTCTAGAAGAGGGTCCGTGGACATCATGACATGCCACGCCTCTGGAAGGATGCATTCAATCAGCGCAGCGGGGGGCCTTCTGAGAAGATCACCACTCACGTTCCAGCATCGAACGCCGAGGAATCGGCGGAGGAGGTGGCGGGGGCGGCGGTGCGGGAATAAACGCGGGGTGAAGACGCGAAGGGTGGATATACGGTGGGTACTGGTACGGTGAGCCGAGGTATGGCGTGGGCACGGGTACGTCGCGTGTGCGCGTCGGTCGGCCGTGCGTGGGGAAATATTCTGCGCTCGGGCGAGCATGCCGGGGGCGGGGATAAGGTTCTGCACACTCGCGAGGGCTGGCAAGAAGGTCAGGAATAGACGGGAGGCGAGGCGGGGGGGACGGAGGCGGCCGGCGCGGCGGCGAGGGGTAGTGGCGCGCAGCGCGGGGGGCAAGCCGATGGTGTCCCCAACGGGCAGGCGGACTGGGTGGGCTGGGGATGTCCCACGGCGTGACTGGGGAGGGAGGAGGGAGGGCCCACACTGGCGGCTGGCCCGACTCCTCGGTCTTAAAGACGCCTACGCGCGTGGCACGTGCTTCTGGAGCTTCTCTGTGGACGTCCTGCAGGGGAGAGACCACGTCCTGAGTCTCCGCCGGCGACGCTTCTCTGTCCAGCTCCGCGACACCGGCTGCGGGCTCCGGGCCTGCCACTGAGGCCATCTCCCTCATCGTCGCGCGTGTGCGGGCCCGGTTACGCGCTGCATTCCCCCGCGGCTTCGGCCGCTCCTCATGCGAGGGGTCGAGCTCCTCTTCGCGCGACTTGCTCTCCATAAAGTCGCGACGCTGCTGGGTCATGCGTTCCCCCCAGTCACGCTCGTCTGGGGGATCGACGTTCTCTAGCGCGGCCTCTTCAGGCAATAGCTCGCGGAGCGCTGGGATGTGCCCAGGATGCGCATTCGCGTGGTCGTCGGAGAACGGGTTAAACGACGGTGCTTCGTGGTAATGGTAGCAGAGCCAGAGAAACGCGTGTGCACGTGTCTCCGAAGAATACTGGATGGGGGTGAAGAAATCGAGAAAGTCGATGTGGGCGTATTCCCCAAAGTGATTTCTCGAGATGGACTAGCAGAACGGCGCCTGTGAGCCGGTAAAACATCCGAGGTGGTGAAATGAACGAACCGGGGCATGGGTAGAGAATGTGAAGAGAATGTTAACGATCGTGGTCGGTGGTACCTGTCCCGCCCGCTGGAGATGGGGGTCAATCTTGTCTACTGCGCGTGAGGTATTTAGCAACAACTGACAGCTCGAGAAAGGATGTCCGCAGGAGAGAGAATAATCCCATTGATCTCATTGTCAAGGTAGCACGACTTGAGGATGTTCTTGATGCGCGGCGCGTCCTGAAGGTTGCCGTTGGTCTTCTGCAGGGATGGCACGGGATGATACGTTCGTAGGGCAGTGCGCATCTCGGGAAAGACTGTCAAAGGAGAAGGCTCGATGAGTGTCCGTGAAGCAACGGGTCAGCTGTGTCGACTACCAGATGGCCACTGATAAGAGCGCGATCCCGCGTTAATTTCAATGGCACGCGATGACAGGAGCAATTAAACAAGACTCAGGGGCACATTGTGCCTGTAAGGTGCCGAGCATCGAGGCATACTCACAGGCCATTGTGGTGTTGATGCGGCCAACATTGGAAAGGAGGGACATTTTTGAAAATTCAATGCCGAACGCGGGGGACTCGATTATCTTGTCTCTCGAGGCCTTTGAGCAGCGCGGGGAGTGGAGGAGCGAGTTGATGTACAGCTCGCGGAAGGTGACCTTTGTGCCGGCAGGTGCGCCATTGAGGGTGCGATACGGATCGCTGAACACAGCCTGCGTGTTGGAGAAAATATGGTGGAGGAGGTCGTACTGGAGGTCTGCCCTAGTTAGTGGTTCTCCGTCGGAGTGCTTGACGGCGAAGGACCTCCTATGGGCGGTATGTACGCTGCAAAATTCAGGGCTGAGGATGGGGGGCGAGGAGGAGAGTGGAGGAGACACGTACGCGGTGTTGGGCATGAAGGGAGGAACCAAGGGCGGGGACGGGGAGGGGCGACTGGGAGGGGCATGCGAACGTTGCAAGCAGCCACAATTACGGCAGCGCCCGAGCATACCGTGTCCCGATCGAATCTGGTAGCCTGCAGGCCGCCATGTGCGCCCGCGCGGCGATCCCGCCCTGGCCTCAGCCTGTTCCCCGCCATCCTTGTCCCCGAGAACGCTATGCCTCCCCTCATCGCGCGTCATCACGTGCAGCACTCTCCTCTGAGTGTATGTCATAGCGGCGTCACACCGTATGGCTGCCTCCAGTTCGCGCACCCCAAAAGCTGCGTCAACTAACAACGCCGGGTCTCATTCGTACAATGTCCGCAACCACACTGAAACTGAAGAGCTTGCTCGAAAGCCACATCTCCCCCTTGTCCTTCCAGCACTCGGCGTACGACCCTCTCCTGAAGGCCATCGGTACGCCGGAGTCGCGCCAAGAACACCCTGAAAGCAACTGACAGCGGTGCAGGTAATGCGCAGGTGGTTCTCATTGGGGATGGCTCGCATGGGACCTACGAGTTCTATGCCCACCGTGCCAATCTCACCAAACGCCTCATCGAGGAGCAAGGCTTTACGGCGGTAGCTGTAGAAGCTGATTGGCCGGACGCGCTGAGGATAAACAGATACATCCACGGCGGCGCCATCGAGGGCGGCTCGATCAAGTCGGCTCGCGATGCCCTACGCGACTTTGAAAGGTGCGGCAAATCAAAAATACCTGTATGATTACCCATCTCATCCCTGCGCGTTGCGTTGCGTTGCGCAGGTTCCCCAAGTGGATGTGGAAGAATGAGGTCATGCCGCCGTTCATCCAGTTCCTGAGAGAGCACAATAACCGCGTCATGAAGACGACCGGGGACGCATACAATAAGGTCTCGCTCTATGGCATGGACCTCTACTCCCTGCACCGCTCTGCCCAAGCCGTCATCCAGTACCTCGAGCGAATTGACCCAGAAGGCGCCAAGAAGGCGCGCAAGAAGTGAGCGGGTCCTCTTACTGTCTGAGTGTTGCGCTGATGGACGTGCAGGTACAACTGCTTTGAGCGATTCGGCGAGGACACCACCCGGTATGCTCTCGAGACGCAGTTTGGCCTGGCGAAGGTGCGTTTGACGCCGTTGCAAGCAGACATCCTACTATATGACGCCCATCATTAGGACTGTCACGCCGAGGTCATCTCAAATCTAAGGACCCTGTTGCTGAATCACAGGAAGTACATCGAAGAACAAAGCGATGGACACTACGGCCACCCTGCTGAGGAGCAATTCTTTGCCGAGATGAATGCACTAGTTGTGAAGGACGCCGAGGAGTACTACCGCACTATGATGCTGGAGGACACGCGTAGTTGGAACCTAAGGTCAGCGGCAGCCTTTAACTTTGAACTATTGGTGGTTGCTCATAGCGTTGTTCGATCAAGGGACGACCATTTTGCTCGGACGCTTGTGAATATCGCAAATTATCTGGGTTCCACAGACGTGGACGGAAGCTCTACACCGGCGAAGATCATAGTCTGGGCACATAATTCGCATAATGGCGACGCTAGAGCGACGGACATGGGCAGGCGAAGAGGTCTGCAGTGCCGAGTGTCAGCTTCTGCCAATTGATTTATCCGAATCTCATAGGGGAGATCAATGTCGGCCAGCGGTGCCGAGAGATATTTGGCGACGACAATGTCTTCAACGTCGGTTTCCTTACGAACAGGGGAACTGGTTTGTGCAGAGAGATCACGTTCTTGAAGTGCACTTGCTAATGCTCGCGCAGTTACTGCTGCCTATGGATGGGACGAACCTTCCGCCATCCATCGCATGAATCCTCCGCATAATACCTCCATTGAGCACATCTTCGACGAATGGGCAAAGGGTGACAGTATCATTATCACGCACAAGATTGAAAATACTCCCGAGGGCAAGGCGAAGAAACGTGAGGTCCCACGCGAGCTGACCGAGTAAGCACTTCTTCTCCCTATCTCTCTAATTGAACATTCTAACATTTGTCATCTTCGTCGCCCCCAGATTCCTCAATGAACCGCGCTATCAGCGCTTCATCGGGGTGATCTACCGGCGGGATACGGAGTTACCGTCGCACTACTCGAAGTGCAGCGTTGCGGATCAGTACGACGCTGTCGTACACATCAAGGAGTCGCAAGGTATCCAGCCGCTTGAGCCCGAGGATACGTGGAAGGGCTTCGAGGGAGGCGAGGCGGACTTGACGTTCCCCTTTGGGCAGTGATCCCTTCGACGTAGGGAATTGCAAAACCAATCAGGACGACGGGCCATGCGCCGTGTCACGATATTGCGAAGATGGTAGCAATGCACAGCACCAATGCACTGGCCGTTGTGCATATTGAGCCGGCAGATGTATTTAGCCGCATAATGAATTGTGATGACGTCCCGGAGAGGATCTCGATCACTCACATTATGGGCGCACGGCCTGCGTAAACATTGCGCTGTTGGTGCGCTCTTATTCGCGTATATGCTGTCTGTCACCATCATGATGGTCGTCGCCGTACGTCGAGGCGGTAAAGCCGACTGACATCCCCCATCACGGCCACTAGCCGCGGTCTGTTGACCGTCTGACAGCATCAGCAAAAAGGAACGCATTATGTATGGCCATGCATGTACTCGTATGGCCTTGTAAGGTCCGGCCAGCTTACGAGAGACCGCTATTGTTTTACAGTCTTGTATTGCCATGATGATAAATCAGCGGGGTGATGTAAGAGCCAAAATAGGTAGCTAGGCCCATATGACTATCGAGAGCATGCAAGGCTGGCGAGGCTAGCAGCCTACATAAGGTCATGCATGGTATGACATTATACCAACTATTGTGATACATTGCCAGACCGACTAATGATTGTATGGGCTGCATCCATAACACTAATCAATCCACTGCGATATCGGTTCGCTTCCGTGACAGACCAGTCACCCGCAGATGATCCAATCAAAATACGACTGTGGCATATTATTTATCGGGTGTAATACATTACATAGCAGGAGAAATGCACAGGTGCGAAAAAGTGGTGGGCCGCTGACTACAGAGCTGCATCGATGACAGCGGGATGACGTACCTCTACGTTAGTGAACTGCCTAGTGCACAATATGTTGAAAAGCGAGAGATTGTAACCTCTTCAACAGAACTGAAGTCGTATATTAAGCAACCAAGGTCAGCATAGAAGTCGCGTTAGGCTCACCTGAGCAGGGAGTTGACAGCGAGAAACTACAGGAATTATGTATCAGTTTATGTCGAAAATACGAGAGGCTCTGACACATACTTGTTACACCAGCCAATAGTCTCCTCATACTACGTAAGGTGGCCTCGAGTGCCGTGCAGGAACTCGTGAATATGTGCCGGAAGCCCTGTCAAATTGAGCACCGTGAGAGCTGTACACCAAGAACATTTTCATGCACCAAGAGGCCTCAAAGCAGGCTTTTGAGGATGTCATCCGGATCATGACTACTGTATAAGAAAATTCCGCAGATTAGACACCTACATCTTTGCTACTTTCCTGTGAGATTGCTGAAGCAAATCATCAGTTGACAATAATATGCGATTATCACGCACCAGATAGGGAACAAGTGGTCGAACTGTGAGTAGAATAGTAGCATTATTCATATGCTGCTGAAGAGCTAGAACACTAGATCCGAGGCAAGGACTGGCTAACTAACTGGCACACTGATCGAGACTGGCCTACTGTCACGATCTCGGCTTGATTGAGAATGTTTGTGCACCACAATTTGTCTTTTTCTGTCACGGTACACCCTCTAGATTCTCTATGACAAATTCAAAGTTGCGCGAGGAGAAACGAGTGGCACTTGCGATGTCGTTAGACCCATCGCATGGTATGGCATTCTGCGCTCAAGACCCCGCAACCGCTACGCGAAGCAGCTTCACGCCCGAATAGAGATTAGACGTACACTGGTATTCAGAAACCCTCCAAATGCACTTATTGCAGAGACACTATATCAGGAGGGCTCCAGTGAGCTTCAGGTCGAGGATTCTGCCATGACCATCCAAAGGGCCGCAAGTATTTTTCGGTCTTGGGAGGACCTCACACGAATAGTCCGATCTTCCCAGTCCTCGGATGCTGAATAGCAGGCTCGCCACCTTATTATAAGCGCTTCTATAAGTATGACCAGACTGGTAGTGTTTTATAATACTTAGACAGCAGTTTGATGTCAAATAATATCCCAGCATACTAGTGACGCCACGGGATGTCTTGCAAGGGCTAGTAATGCGCCGACCGTGACGTGCGGGTTTGCATGGGTCACGGGACCTTATTTGCTTCGTACCTTTTTACTGATGCAGGTGCGTACTATGTCTTCTCATTTGAGGTTTCGCTGCACCTCGCTTGTGCGCAACTGTCCCTGCAGGATGCTGGTCGTCCCTGCGTGTTAGCTCGGATTTACCTTGATAATGCCCTTTCGTTATGACCTCTCTTTCGTTCTGCTATGTATCATTAGCTTCGTTGTCCGATTCGCAGCCGCAGGCGTGCTGAGAAACTACACGATTGGCCTCGCCGACCCCTTCGTAACGTTCTCGACAGGGTGGAACACGGCGACGTATGCAAAAGGCGAATATGTGTTCGCAGATCGTCTGGGGGACAGAGTCCTCGCGTTGCTTCCTGGTATGTGACCGGGTCTCCTGCTGTACAGCGTAACTGAACTTGGAACTGAACACGCTCTGTAGCCAACACTGTTGCGGTGCATTATGTCGGCCTCAAGCAGGATGCAGGGGCACTCTATGCGGCGTGCTTGAACTGTCACACAGCTGATGGATCACGATTTATGCTGGTCGATGCGTCTGAACGCTGCGAGGAACCAACAACGGTGCGAATCCAGCTTCTTTTTTCCAGGCAGTCTACAGCTAAGTGAACCTTCATAGGCGATCTTGTTCTCCTTTAGCGGTCTTGATCCCACACAGCTCCACAGCCTTGAGGTTGTGAACCTCGAAGATCCGATTTTTGGATTCACTAGCCAAATTACGTTTGGCTCATTCATCGTGACAGTCCTGCAAGACGGTATTTCTTACCCTTCCATGGCTTCACTCAGGACCTTCTGATATTCTAGGACAGATGTGGTCCCTACTAGGCAAGGTCAAGTGGGCTGGTTGCCGGCGGGCTTACCCTCAGACGGTTGGCTCTCTACTGTGCATTGGTGTATATAAACTAATATAGATGTGTCGTGCGGTGTAGGTTCCGTGAGCAAGTCGTTAGCGTCGACCGCAACCGCCATAATCACAAGACGTCCGTCCGACACCTCGGCCTCCTTTACTTCTACCCTGCGGAGCTCTGTCGTTATCACGACAGTATCAGGTAGCGAGCCCAGCCATGGTGACCCTCTAGGGACGTCAACGCAGACTTCGCCGGCAAGGGGCAGTTTGACATCGGTTCTAACGTCGGTGCAGAATTACACGCCCACACTTTCCGTCAGGCCAAGCACTGTGCTGCTTGGTAGCTTGGGCCCTACCTCAATGACGATTATGTCTTCCATGCCATCGGTTCTGCCTTCGTCCTCTGTTGCATGGAGCTCCGGGATGCTGTCCACCTTGTCGACCTCGCAGGCGAGCACTCAAGGCTCTATCTCTACAAATTCAGAGTCGGCACCACCTACGTCCCTTCCTTCAAGCGCAAGCGTGACTTCAGCTGAGACGACTTCGCAGAGTCTAGTCAGCACTGCCAGCATGGGTACTCAAACTAGTACATTGACTGGTGTGAGTACACTGAGTATTGTGACTCCCGGACCGCCGACCAGCACTAGCCAGATGGGTACCACGACGGCCTCGTCATTGGACACTACCGGCTCTGCAGTCTCATCTACTGGTCCCAGCGCGTCGACGGCGGCAACGTCTACCTTGACACTACCAACGTCACCTTCCAAGTCGATAACTGTAGTATCCAAAACATCGACACCCAGTTCGTCTGGGCTGTCGACCACACTGTCAGGCTTGTCGACGTCTACTAAGGGCACCGCAATATCAAGTTCGTTCTCGTCCCCCTCGCTGTCCTTCATAACAGTTTCGACGATCTCTGCAAGCATATCTTCCGGTCTCTTATCCTCGTCTATCTCCACACTTTCGTCAGCCGTACCATCTACGACCACTCCCTCGCTCACGGGAACTAGCTCCTCGTCCTTAAGCGTCTCCACGTTGAGGAGTACCTCCGCGCCGCTCACCAGCACTTCCTCGCCAACTATAAGTTCCTCGCGGTTCACAAGCGCTCCCTCGGCCTCGACGGGGCAGGTGACCTTGACTACATTGACTAGCTCAGGCTCTCATGTATCATCCTCGACATCATCCCGTTCTCCCACTCCCTCGTCCTCAAATTCTGCCACTCCGTCGGGAGCACCGTCAACTTCAGCGAGCACGACCTCAACGACATCATTCACCGTGTCGTTCTCCTCAGTGTCTTCGCTCTCCACCACCTCCAAAGTGACGACCTCAGCGACGAGTACGACGTCGTCTGCCTCGCCCGGCGCCGGGTCTTCAACAAAGTCATCCGGCCTCTCCGCTCGTGTCATCGTCGTGGTCACGGTGTCTGCTGGACTAGCCGTTCTCCTGCTTCTAGGTATCGCTGTTCTTCTCTTGCTTCGCGCACGCGGGGCCCAACGTACAGGCGACGCAGAGGATTACGCTGGTCGAGGTCTGATAAGAGAGATCTCTGCGCACTCCGTGATTGCTGATGCCGTCGTTGCGCCGGCGTTACCGCCACCTCGTCCATCTTACGCGGAGGACCCCCTCGATCGACTGGGTACCTTGTATACCGGTCCCCTTCAGTCAGACATCACTAATACTCCGACTCATGTCCCGTTAAGCCCAACTTTGCGTGAGTCCTGGTGTCTAGTTGGATGATCATCCGAATTGATGACAGAACAGCAACAGCATCGCCTATCGCTCCTCGCAATCCTTTGCGAACGTCTAACCGAGATTCAGTTTGGTTATACCGGAGTCCCAAACCCTCACCAGTGACCTCGACGGAAAGTTCCTGATGCGTCGTGCATCCACAGCTGAGATTGATCCGATTGTAGCATTGGCATCCTTGTAATCAACGAGTGGATTGGAATAGACTAGCTGGCGGTAGTTCTGTATGCTACTTGCTTTGTACAATGGGTGTGAGCACCGCCACAGAAACCGGCTTCTACACGTACACCGTGATTAAGAAAAATATGGTATCTGGTCGGGTAAAAGTTATGCAAACCGTGCTATCCAACAGTATACTCCAATGATAAGTGCGCTACAGTCAGGAAGAACGAAGCGAAGGTATATGCGACACAAGGTATATAATGCAACAGCCGAGAGACAAATGTGGCGGCTACCACGAAAGGTTGTAGAATCAACAAATACGGATGAGGTCATTCATCTGTCAGAGGGGTCAGCAACTGAATGAACTTTGAGGGAACTTTGCTACTCACGTTGCCAGAAATCGGCGATTTTCTCCAGGACGTCAATAACAACACTGCTCTTGTACATGAGAGCGTGGTCGGCACCTTGGACCACATTGACAAGACACTTGTCCGGTCCCATAGTGTTCTCCATCCATCGCACGGCATTCTCGGCGATACGCTCATCCTTGTCGCCGTACCAGACCCTGACGGTGTGTGGGTATGCGGAGTATGAGAACCCCCACGGTTGTCGATCATGGTTGAGGATTTGGAGCAAATCTCGGTGGGTGCCCTTGGCCGACTCGGCGTGAGACGCGGCTAACAAGGCATTCCCGAGCGCAACCTGGAAGCTGGCTGGTGTTGAGGATGCCTCGGGCACTGGGCTTGGTAGCGGTGGTGGACTTGACGGTTTCAGGCGTTCCGCGGCCGTAGTGAGTGATATTGATCTCCGTCCGTTCGCGCGCGCCGAGAACGTCGACTCGCTAGTTGGGGGTTCGTGAGAAGACCGGCTAGTCTTAGTTGTCGCCACAGGTGGCGTCGATGTTGACTTCCCTCTTGCCCCCATGTCTGACCAATCCACTGCACCAAGACCCAGTCCAACGTCGGGGCTGATTGGCGAAGGCAGCCAGGGCACCTCAGGCAATCCCGATGAGGGGCTGGGATTTGGGGAAGGTTTCGACCGGCCCTTCAGGGAACCCATGGACCGTAGAACCTTCAACCCTTTGCCCGTACGGGAGCCGTTCATCTTCTGGTCCTTAGGAGACTCCGGTTGGCGTGATGAGTGTCCGCCTTTCAATCGCCCGAGCAAACCTTTGGAGGACTTCCTCGTGATGGCCAACCTGTTCATAACCGGGGACCGGCCATGGTCAGACTCAGAGGAGCGACGCTCTAGCGTGCTGCGGCTCTCGAAACGACCCTCGAAATCACGCAAATCATCGTACTCGCTGAAAATACCGGACGACATGCTTGGTCGCGGGCCTTCCTCAGGTACTGGCGATGTATATGAAGCTTTCGACGACGATGGCATCCGAGTAGGTGAAGGATGGCTTTCAGACTGCGCAGGCTGGGAGGGGGAGGCGGAAGGTGTAGCATCATATCCAATCCCCTCAAAGGCGAACGTAGGTGGCTTGCCGATCATCCACGCCTGCACCTTCCATTCCGCTGCCTGTGCAGTCTTCAGGAGACCGTTGGGGACATATTTCAGCCACTTGTAGCCCGCTATCACCCAGATCAGATCATACAGTTGTTAGCACTCTTGTGAATTGCTCACCTCCTTCGCCCCCGCCTACCCAAGGCGCCAATAGGCAGACGTCTCCTCGGATGCGTTCGGGAAAGCGGTTAGCAAAAGCGAGCGCATATGGCGCCCCGGCAGAGTGGGCCATCACGCTGCACTGATCGACATGCAGTTGATCAAGCACCTCTTCGACAACAGAGGCCCATTCGGGTATTCCTGCCGTCATCTTGGTTCGCGGTGTATCCGTACGCCCCAGACCCCACCTAGACAAGCACATTTGATGAGTAGCAACAGGACACTGGCATTAGCTGCACATACCGGTCAATGGTAATGAGACGTATGCCCAGGCATTCGGCCATCTCATCGTAGAGACCCATGATATGCCTGACACATCCAAGTCCGAGGAAAACAACTACGGGAAGGCCGTGAGGGCTTCCAAGGTCGGATAAACTCACGGTCAGTGGACGGTCTCCCGATGCATGGGGACCGCGGGTGAGGGTTACAAGAGTAGTCAAACGAGCGGAACGCAGATACTGGGCAATGGCTTGCGACGGCGAGTTCGTCGGAACCTTTGTCAGACCCGACAAATCAAGGGCGGGGAATGCGAAATGGTCTGACACTGTTGAGTACGAGAACAGGGAGGACTCGGGCCGCCCCTCAGAGCGCGGTGAAGACAACGTTCGCGTCATGGATATCACGGTGGAGTTGCGTTGGAAGGAGCGCGCCGTGCGCAACGGACCCGGCGACACACATGAGCGGTTCTGGTTGCGAATTGTCTGCTGCACCTCTTCTGCAATCGTGTCGACGGACGACCGAGAGATGAGGTCCACTTCGTCTGCTGTCGCCACGTCCTCCGAAGACGCTTCCAGCTGCTCGAGGAGCATGGGGGGTGCGACACTGTGGGCGTACGATGACTTGCGAGAACGGACTTGCTGCGAAGCAGGGGCATGCGCACGGATGATTTCAGAGATTGAAGGGGCAACGCTCTTGCTTGGGTGTGTGAAGCTGGAGTACATGGAGCCGGCGTACGTCTCATTCGACTGACTGCTCCCGGGTCGTGACCGCGGCGTAGGGCTTGATATTGTGGAGATAGACACATTGCGTGAGGAACCTGGTCGCCGGCGCCGCTGTTGCTCAGACCAGATGAAATGCTCCGGTGTCTCGTCGTCATCTGCGTCCGAGTCGTGTCTCCGCGAAGGTGGCCGGCGTGACGAGGACTTACCCAAGACGACGCCGGGCGGGGGCGTCGGTAGAGGCGGATGATATAGGGGATGATGACCGGACTTGGAAACCTTCGAGCGCCCTGATATGCCGCCGCTACCCATGAAATGGTCGTCGTGATCATAACGATGATTCATACCGTCTACCAGGGCATCCATCGTCTCAACGCCTGCAACGGGCGCAGCAACCACGACCGGCATGGAAAATATGGGTTCCCGAAGGAACGAGAGCTCATCCACAGGCGTTTGAGGGCTGTCTTCAAATTGACTGAGCACGGAGGAAGCGGAGTCGAGGAGGGAGATATTGAACTGCCTGGCACGAATGGTTGCATCATACTGGTCCAGCCGGGCGAAGGGGTCTGCGCTCGAGTGCGTGCGGGAGGGAGCCGTCCTTTGACTACTACCGGACGCGTACTGGTCGTATTCCACGGAAGGGAAGATGTGAGATTCTTGATCGTGCCCTGAACGATGCCGCCGCTCCCGACTGCGGTGTTCTGTGCTCCTGCCACTGTGCGAAGGGGAGTGGTCGTACACAGAACTGATGCTCTTGGACGACTTCCGGCTGTGCGTGCGCGGCTTCAGATCTGTAGAGCTCGAGGTAGTAGGTCTACGTGCAACATCGGGAGTGCGAAAGGACGAAGGTGTCATAGTTCTGTCATGGTCGCGAGAACTTGCCGAGATAGACGCATCAACGGCCTGTTTCTCGCGTCTGAGAGACAGAAAGGACGACCTTCTTGACGGCTTTTTCTGTGGCTGAGGAGAACTTGTGTCCGGAGAGGGTATCGCAGATTGAGGGGAACGAGACAAAATAGCAGCCATCAAGCGAATGTGTCAAATGCCAAAGGGAATGTGGTTTGGAAGGAGTGGCCCAGAGTTTGCCCGTCGTCGCGGCCTGGGTAAAACTGCTTGCAGGGCGCCGTCGTTGTCGTTGTTCTCGTCGTCGTCGCGGGCGACGAAGGGAAATTGTTGGCGAACCAGGGACAAGTCGCGCGCGGGCGCTCGAGCCGATCAGCATCCCCGACATGCCGGTCGACTTTCATTTCCCGTTTCCTTCCCTGCCCTGAACCGATCTTACAATGCGCTTTCTTGCCAAAGGCCTTCCATAACAAAGTCTTTTGTTCCGCTGCTTGGTCGCACTAATCCACAGTGCACACTGCAAATAGCATACACGCTGCGATACAGACTGACCTCTGCGATCTGATTGGGTGCGCGGCCACATATATAAGTACTACACGAGACGTAAGCCTGAACAGCCTGTGCAGATAGACGGCCGTCATGACGACATCAGTCCTTTATGGCATCACTGACAGAGACGCAGATGCAGGACGTTAGTTCAGGGTTTAGCCGCACCCACGCTACGACAGCATCTTGGCTTCCGAGTGGGATCCGGTATACCTGACAGCTACACAGAGTCGTGGGGCTTGCGGTTCTGTTCGCTGCTTCTGTTCGCAATCCAAGAAACACGTACATGTCCAATACAGTTGTGGTTGTGTCGCATCATGACCTCAGTTGAGCTGTATGCATGCAACGTCCACGCGTTCGCTATTAAAGTCGTCCGTAACATATCCAGAGACTCCGATGCCAAGGTGAGTAAGACCCATCATCCTGCATTTTTTTTAGAAAGCCAGAAGATAAGGTTTCGTTCTAGTGTCTGTGATGTCGCCACCTCCTTGATAAGCGACTTACCTTCTCCCATTGCGCTTGGTCGAGGTGGTCGAGTCCGCCCCTCATATTATATTCGGTCTACCAATGTCGAATTCAAACGAGAAGAAGTCAGCTGAAGACGTCGGATCGAACAGCTCTAGGATCGAAGAGCACGATGTGTTCGGTTCAGAGCACGATCATGATATTCAGTACAAGACCCTAAGTTGGCAGGTGTGTAATACGAACCACCGAATTGACGACGGTTCGCTAACTCATATACAGTTCGTTGCTTTCCTCATGATCGCTGAGATCGTGAGCAACGGGATGTTGTCCTTGCCTAATGCAATGGCGGCTGTCGGTGTGTTAATTTGTGGACTGTCTCCAAGCACAATGAATGACATGCGCACATACTGTCTATAAGGTATTGTCCCTTCTCTTGTGCTTACAATCTTTCTCGGGATTTTTGGTCTTTTCACGGCCAAGCTGCTGGTGGACTTCAAACTCAACCACCCTGACGTCCACAGCATGGGTACGTCATTTTATGCTGCTATAGTATGTTATCTTCGATAGCCCATCAGGGGATGCGGGCTACATCATATTCGGCCCAATCGGACGAGAGGTGCTCTTGTTCGGGACGATCGTGTTTGCAGTCTTCGGTGCTGTACGAATAAATCTTACCCTGTCAACATCTGTATGTCTGATCATCTCACAGGGATCAGAACTCCTCTCCGGACAGCTTGCCTTGTCTACGCTATCCAACAATGGGCTTTGTTCTACTTACCTTCTTGTAATTTTCTCGGTGGCAACACTCGTGATGGCATTGCCTCGCACTCTTGGCCGGCTCAGTTGGCCCGGATTCATCAGCGCTGCTACTATCACGCTATGCGGTATCCTAGCCATGGTTGGAGCAGGCGTAAGCCCGACACCTGGTCGCAGTCTGTCCGCTACTGTCCCAACCACATTCTATGACGCCTTTTTAGCAATTACCAGTCCGGTACGATGATTCCAGCGCATCGCATCATTTGCCTTTGGTTAAACAAGACATGATCCAGGTTTTCGCATATGCAGGTCAGTTGCTTGAGTTGGTCTTTTTGCTCGTTCAATTACGCCAACCTGCATTACATAGGTCATTTCATGTGAGTTCTCTAGCATCCCCGCTGGTGGCATAAAAGCTGACTAACCACGAACTTTCAGGTTTTTCATCTTGATCTCCGAGATGCATCGCCCAGAGGATGCAATGAAGGTATGCTGGCACGCCGTAGATATTGTCTACCGCTCATGCCGTGATAGGCGGCCTGGACTCTACAAGTCTTCGCAACCATCTTCTATGCCGTGTTCAGTGTGGTTGTCTATTGCTACATAGGGCCGACCGTAGCTTCGCCAGCGCTGCTTTCCCTATCTCCGGTCTGGGCCAAAATCAGCTTCGCCTTCGGACTCGTCAACTTCCTCATGTATGTCCCACCCGTCCAAAACCCCGCGCAGTCCCCTGACGCCTAGAGCAGATCCGGGGGGCTCTATGCCCACACCGCGGCTAAGCTTGTCTTCGTGCGACTCTTCCGACGCTCGCGGCACCTCTATTCCCATACGGTACTGGGGTGGTCCGTCTGGATCTTCCTGTGCTTCGCCGCGACGGCGACTGCGTTCATATTTGCAACCGCCGTGCCCATATTCTCTGACCTGGTGGGCATCACCGCGTCTGTGTTTGCGTCGTGGTATACATACGGCCTCGCGGGGTTCTTCTGGCTCTACGACACCTACTATCTTGATAACGGCAAGGAAGCGTTGAGACGGAGATGGGGGGGCACGTTGCTTGCCGTCGCGACAATTCTCGCTGGCGCGTTTATTTGTGTAGCGGGGACGTACGTTTCTATCAAGGTGCGTTCTCTCCGACTGTCGGGCGTACGGCACTTAATAACACCTTGTGTCCAAAAATAGCTCATCGTAGAGGCGTACCAGAGCGGGTCCGTGGGCAAGCCATTCTCGTGCTAGAGGCAGCCCGCACCCGATTCGTTTCGCAGGGGCTTCGAATTTATAGTACATGCGGATTAAACGTGTCGTAGATTGATAGCAGACATCTTGTTAATACCATGTACAGATATCGCGGGCAACTGCCAACTCGTAACCGACGTCACTCGCGAAAGGCAATGTCCGCCGACGTTACTTATGACCCTCCTCGCGGCCTCCGTCATGCACAAGGCCATCATTTACTTATGACCTGTGCATGGAAAACCACCGCTGACCGGCACTGTGCTTGTGTTGATGGCTGTGGAAGCCGAGCTTACCTGAACGGCACCGAAGAGGAATGTGCGCAAGCAGCTGATTGACAGTGCGAGCGCGTGTGGACGGCCACAGGCCTGCGCGGCCTGACCTGCGGCCTCTGTCTGCTCGTACTACAACCTGTTGTGCATGGCTGCCTCCGCAGGACTCCACGCTGCCGAGATCAGGTTACGCCCACCGCGGACGTGGTGGCAGACCCTCCATGGCGTCGCCTTCCTGCTTGTGTTCTTGTTCGGCTGCGTCATGATCAACGGCTCGCAGATCGTGTTTCTGGCGCCCCTGAAGCTGCTGCCGTTCGCCTGGGCGGGCAAGGTGTACTACGAGGGCATACGGTACAGCAAGGCGGCGTTCGGGACGCTTTTGAGTATGTCGAGCGACACCGCCGTCCTGCGCTTCCGAGATTCATGCTCGTGTGACAGTCCTGGCGAGCCAGTGGTTTGCGCCCACCAAGCTGGTGGTGACATTTGAGCAGGATGCGGAAGGACGGTTCACGGATGAGCAAATACAGGAAATCGTCCAGCGAGATCCTGCAGGCAAAGTTGTAGGGCTGGACCTCCCGCAAAGGGCCGTCCTCATAGCAAACCACCAGGTGGGTAGACCGACAACTCGCCTGAAGGAGATCGAATTCACGCATGTCCGTTATATTGTATCATCCAGGTCTATGCAGACTGGTGGTACGCATGGTCGCTGACGTACTACATGAGAACGTACGCGGACGTGTTCATCGTCCTGAAGGAGAGTCTCAAGTGGGTGCCCATGCTTGGCTGGGTAAGTGACACACGCGCCTCCCGCTCGAATCCTCTTATGAACACACGCAACACCAGGGCATGCGCTTCTACAACTTCATCTTCCTGAAGCGTTCGTGGGCCTCAGATCGGCTGCACCTGGCAGCTAGCCTGTCGTGGCTGGGGCAGCGAGCAGAGCGGGAGGACTCGCCCCTCACGTTCATCCTGTATCCGGAAGGCACCCTGGTGAGTAAAGACACAAGGCCGCTGAGCAAGAAGTATGCGGACAAGATTGGTATAGTACGTGCTTCCCCTGGAAAGTCGTATTTACACTGAGTGCGTCTCGCTGCAAGCCGGACACGCTCCATACACTCCTGCCCCGCTCGACAGGCTTACACTACTCCCTGAGATCGCTGGCACCGCGCATTCCTAGCTTGCAGCTCATTGACATCACCATGGCATACCCAGGTCAGTTCTTGGGCTTTGGATGAACACGCGCTTCGGTCCGCTCACTTGTGATGTAGGAATCCCACCCTTCGGGTATGGTCAAGACTACTACACCCTGCGGTCAATATTCTTCGATGGCATACCTCCACCTACGGTCCGCATGCACATCAAGACGTTCGACGTCGCCAAGGAAGTTCCGATAGGCGACGTCTCGGCCAGCATTTCTAATGGCCATCCTAACGGTGCTTCGAACGGTAGACCCAAGGAGCACACAACCGAGATCGACATGCCCGAGATGGAGCGGGAGAAGTTCGAGCTCTGGCTGCGTAATCTATGGCAGCACAAGGATACGCTGATCGCCAAGTTCCTTGACACAGGATCTTTCGTCGAGCAGTCTAGGCCGCAGCTCGAGATACCGCTTCAGATACGGACCTCGCGTGAGATCTTGGATGCATTCTGCTTCTGCATGCCGGTGGTGGTGTTCCTGGCTTGGCTGAAGTTGCGACAGTGACCGATGCAGGTGGGAGCGACACGGACTTCATTTGTTGTACCTTTGTGTGTGTTGTGTGTGTGTAGTTCGTGATGTTGTTATCCTTAGCACTTGCATGTACCTAACGTATAGTGTCGTCGTTGATTCATGCTACCGTCGGACTGGAAGCCGCTCTGCCCGTCCTCGGAGCACACAAGACAATCAAACGGCCGGCCCCTGGCTATATCTGACCGAGGGTGCGCACACCGAGGCGCTTGTGTAGCGTACAACAATTGGGGGTGCGGGCTTCTATGACAGCTGCCCGTGCTGCGCCCTCTGCTCCTCGATCTTCTTCACCATAAACAGGCTTGTGTCGAGGAACCGGTCGACGCAGTTCGCCAAGCAGCCCTCCTCCGAGCGGGAGAACCGCGTGGAGGGCGTCCCTGTGACGCATCTGTCGCGCGCGCGGGAGAATCTCAGCAGCCAAGTCGGCGCGGGGGCGGAAAGACAATAGCTTACTTGTCCCAGCACATGCTCGTCAGCATGTGGATGGAGGAATGGAGGCGCGCCTGTGCCTGCTCGGCTTCCACGAAGTTGGCGAGCTCTTTCTGTGGGCGGCAGCTCGGCATTGTGTCCCCGAAGCATGGAAACAGGGCAGACTCACTTGTGTCGCGTCGTCGAATTTGTCGGCCATGGCGTGCGGCGGGAGGGGTGAGAGCAGCAGGTACCGGGCGGAGGCACAAAACCGGACTGTCGCTGGCAATAGAGGTGCTGGTGGCAACTCAGCGAGGGCACTTTTCGACAGGCGCACATGACGGAGATGCGTAACGTAATGGGATATGCTTGATCGGAATCACGTGCGTAAGTAAGAACGACTCGATCATTTCGTCGGGCTGCAACTGAGGCCGACTGCGCTGCGGCGACTGCTTGTTACGGGCCCGGGATCGACGGCAGGCCACAACGGTGAGAATGTTGGGTGCATCCGCGTTACCTGAAGCGTTGTATATACAAATAACTACATTGGCGCACGATCTGGGTCCGAAAGACGGCTGAGCTGAAATAGTAGTACTGCCAGAAGTGGGAAGACATGAACTGACGGAGCCACTGAGGCTGTAGATTTACCGTCTCCGACGTTTATACAGAGCGTATCATCTGAGCCCTTTCGGCTGACACTGCCGGCCAACCATACGTTATTTTCGCGGCCTCTCGTAACAAGGAATGCCATGGCGGAGCTCAGCGTCCTGTCACGGTGAAGTGGTGTCGTCCAATAAGGAAATAAATCGCTACCAGCTTTCGTATCAGATAAGCGTTCAACAAGACAGATACGCCGAGAAGTCTGACCCGGAATGGCGACATTGAATGTGAGAAAGAACGGCAGAGAATGGGGTCCGCGGTATAGCCTGATGACAAACGCGGTCACGGCGCGGTCCACTGCCGATGCAGCGGTCCGCGTGTCGGGATGGGTGGAAGAGCGAGGCCAAGCCAGCTAAAACCTCGCCTAAACCTGTCGTGGGCGCGGCGGGGTGGGCTCATCGATGGCGGGAATCTGCGTGGCCCCAGAAGGCCGCGGGTCAGCCAGACAGCGCTACGGGACAGCGAGCCCAAGATGGCGGGGCAAGAGACCAGTGCAGGCGGCTGGGAGGCTGTCGGCCGGTTATCAGGCGGCCCCTGGCTGTGCGCTTGTGGGGGGAATATCAATTGAAAATGGGACACGGGCGAGGCGCACGAGCGGCCTTTTTGGAGATAGAAGCGGCCCTGCATTTGAGCAATGTGGGACGAAGGGGGGGAGGCAGTGGCCTTCTGGCGAGCGCGGGCACATGGAACGAGGGTGATACTGGTCGGATCCCGCGGGCGCAGACAAACGCCTGGGTCCTCGGCGGATATAAAGAGAGAGGATGGACGGACGACATACGATACGGATCACCTGGTAGGGAGGGAGATGGATTTGTCGGGGGATGAGTTTAGGATTAGATGGCCGAGGGGCAAAGGCCGTCGGACCGCAGGGAGCCGTGAGATGCAGCTACGGCGTTATGAGCGAGAGAGAGGGATGGGTAGAATTACGTTGGAGGGGGTGCGAATAAGGGGGAGGCGCGTATGTAGATGTGTGCGTGCATGCATGCGTGCGTGCGTGCGCCTGCGCGTGCGCGTGCGCGGATAGAGCGCAGACTGGCAGCGAATTTGCATCCGCGAAGGTGGGCGAGTGCGGAGATCAGAGATCGGTGGGCGTCTGTGAGGAGGGGTCAGCCACCACCGCCAGGGATAAGTGAGCGCGGGGTGGATCCATAGGCACGGTTACTATGAGTGCAGAGGCTGATTCTCTGCACGCCCCCGCCCGCCCCGGATCCTCGTCCAGATAGCGACGCCCCGTTCGATCAGCTTTTCCACGTCCACCCCTGTCTGCTGCATTTTTCTCGCCCTCGCTGCCGCTACCATCGATCGAGTTGAAGCTGATGTGTATCGGGCTAGGCATACTGCCTCCAGACCACACGTGAGATTTCCCTCCGCACTCGAATCCCCGTATTTCGCTGTGATATAAAGCATGGACGACGAACGCACCGGCGCCTCGTGCCCAGAGGGTCAGTACTAGCCTCGTGCTCCCCGCCCTTCCTCCTCTTCATGGCGTCATCCAGCCCTACAGACCATCTCTCCGCCGGCCCCGCGCCCCCCTCCGTCCCCCCCTGGGACCCCAAGCAGGTCACCACCCCGTCTGTCGTCTCCCCCTCCCCGCCCCGTCCTGCGCTCACTCTTTGTCCTTTACCCCCACCAGCCCCCAGTACCTCGGCCGCAAGACCCTCCCCATCAAGCGCGGCGACGCAGAGCCTCTCACTCGGGAAGACCTCCAATATGATCTTCTCTATTACATCTTCGCCGATCGCACCGTGGCATTCGTTGACTATCTAGCGCCGGGGAAGCCCTTGGTCAACTTCTGCGACCTCTACGTGAATGCCCTCTACAACTCCAGCAAATGCTCAAAGGTCCTCAAGGACAAGATGGTCGAGACCCCCGCCTTCGCAATCGAGTTTGCGAAAATTTCGCTCCTCACCAACGTCGGCAGAATCAACACCACCATGGCGTGTGCGTGTCTGCCTGTCCCCTCTCATCGCTGCACCGCCTGAATCAATTCCTGCGCAGTCTTTCCAGAAATGAAAACGGCGCTGCGCAGCTATCATCCTGTCCCCTCCCTGCAGAAAACAGACGGGAATCTCCAGGATGCGCCCCGCATTAAAAATTGTCTCAAGGCCGCGCTGCTGCCGTTCGAGTTCAAGACGCCGCCACCGTCTTCGCCCGATGATATAATAGCAAAAGCGGTAGGTCACCCCCAGCCCGTCAATGGCGTGCGCCTAACCGGCTCCCGCACAAAGCGCCAGGGCCAAACCCCCCCTACGAGCGTAGTGAACTTGATTTTCGTCCTGTCAAACTCTAACCACTCACAGGCATGTTCCCTTTTCGCTCAGCGCCGCTGACAGCCGGAGCTAACCGCGCGCCCGCATTATCACCTCACCACCGCCCAACGCGTGCCCCGCCCACAGCAACTCGCGACCAGCCACTTTGACGCGCCGCTCGAGTTCCTCGACCTCTTCCTCCCCGTCAACCTCTCCTCGCAGTCGCGCGCGCGCGCGTTCCTCTGGATCATGTTCCACTACCTCCAGGGCCCCGACAAGCCGAACCCGTTCGACGACGACTACGCGCGCGCGAACCCGTGCAAGGTCCCGCGCATGCGCAACCTCTCCCGCGACGAGATGCAGCAGGAGAACGTGGACCCCCCGGACGAGGTCGAGTGGGGCCGCCGCATGAGCGCGCACCGCAGCAAGTTCCTCCGCGAGCTCGTCGAGGAGATGGAGCAGGAGAAGCGCAAGCCGAAGCCGTTCCCCCCGCCGCCGCTCATCATCCAGTCGCCGTCCCTCGTCCCGCGTGAGTCGCCGCTTTCCCTCCAGGCGCGCCGCCGCACGGCGCCGCGGGCGGCGCAGGCTCACCGCGCTTTCGCAGCTGTGTCCAGGTCGTACCGCCCCGCGGGCTCGACCTCCGGCGGCAGTCGGGGGTCCTCGCTGTCGCACGACTATCCCGTGCACCCGCACGCCAATCACGAGCCTGCGCACCGCGCCGCCCGTCCCCCGCCCTACCAAGGTGAGCGTCACCGTGACACACGGGCTTTGGGGCGTGAGCTGAGCGTGCGGTGCAGGTGTTCCCGCTGACCCAGGTCAGTACCAAGAGCGCAGCATGCTAGAACGTCAGAATTGTTTCCCATCCGTCGGGCCCGGGCCTCCGCAAGCTGATTTATTCGCGCATAGACGCCTGGCACGTCGCCAGCACGACCGACCCCCTGGAAGAGTCCGACGAGGACGCCGACGAGCATGTGCGGCTGGACTACAGTACGTCGCTGCGGCCCTCCGATTGCCTCCTGCGGTCGTCGTCCCGCATCTAACGATTCCGTGTTTTTTTTTGTGGCACCGGACAGACCGTCGCCTGCGGGTGCTCTCGCGCCTCCGGGGCAAGGAGCCCACGCCCGAGCCAGAATCCGATCCCAGCGCGCAGGCTGGCCCGCAACCGCAGTACGTATCGCAGCAATATCCGGTGAGCGGGTCAGAGGGCGGCGGCACGGGACGGTTATCGCAGGTACAATCATGGCGATGACCTGGCCGTCCCAGGGTCCCCCGTGTTTCCCCCGGCTCGCTCTCAAGTTCTATCTGGGTGTTTGGTGCTATGTGTAGGCCCGCTGTATTGCCCTCTTCGGACACGTTTCCCCACCGAATCGACGTGCCGGTCGAAGCTTTCAGTAACAGTAACATACAACCGATATGCATGTATAGTTCGGACGGTGCTCGAAAGTATCATGTCCGGTATAGTTGTTGCCCCGTCAGTCGTCCCGGGCATCTCGCTCGGAAGCAGAAGTGCGACGTGATAGCACCAATGATTCCAACTCTGTCCCTTGTCGCAAAACGGCCGCACACGATAATGGAACAGCGCATTCTGTGTCGGGGCACAGCCCTTCCACCTGTATTGTCACTGAGGTTGCTAATTGGCTATGGGAGGAAATACAGAGGGATCCACGACACGCCAGAATCGGTGCGAGAGGCACAGCCTACTCGACAATGTGGAAAAAAGAACAATCGCGCAACAGACCATCAAAGATCGGGTCGACCTATCTGCACACCGCACCAGAATAAATACAACCGACAGTGCCGCACGAACCCCCGCAAAAGTGCGCGCCGCGGGCCGCAGCAGCGCAGGAGAAGGAACAAAAACGAGCAATCCAGTATCCAATCCAAGGTTGCAGTCATAAGGATACGTGAATATCCACGGTAAAGTCCATGCTACGCGAACACCAAAGCGGGTAACCAGACGGGGAAAGTGGTTGGAACGCCGGAAAGGATGTGAGTGCAAACGTTCACGCTTCAGAATGCCCCGGGCAGCTTGAGGATGTCGTGCGTGAAGCCGGAGCGCTCGCGCCCCTGCAGCTCGGGCGGCGCACTGCGGCGGCGGAGCTTGCGCTCCGTCTCGCCCTCCGTGGTCGCCGCGCGCGAGGCCAGGTCGATGTCGATGTCGGTCACCGGCGTGGTTGGGGAGATGGTGCGGCGCGCGAGGCGCGTGAGCATCTTGCGCGCGGTGTCCTCGCGCGAAGCCGCGTTGAACGCGAGCAGGTTCCGCTCCGTCAGCTCGACCGGGGACGTCGCCGACGTGCGCGGGACGACGGTCGTCGTCACCTGCAGTCTTGGCGGCGGGGAGAGCGGCGGAGACGCGGGCGGCAGGCACGGCTTGGGCGAGCGGATCGCGAGCTTCAGGGGCTCGGGGAGCGAGCTTGAGCGGACGGGGAACTGGAGACGCCCGACGGGCGTGGGCGGCTGAGGTCGCGCCTTGGGCTCGGGAGGGTTCACGACATGCACGCGCGGTTCTGCGCCCTGCTGTTGCTGGGATACGAGGCGCTTGCCGGACTGCAGGAACGCTGGGAGGCGTGCCGATGGCGTGCGCGGTGCGACCGCAGATGCGGGCGGCTCGCGCGCCTCGGGCCCGGCGCCCGCGACGTGGGAGGTCAGACGAGCAGTTATCTGATCCAGGGAGGGCAGCGGCTTTCGCTTACTCACTACCGGCGCGGTACGGAGGGCAGGCGGGCGGGCAGCGCGGCCGGGGAGACGGAAGTCTACTTGCTCTACCCAAGGCTGGCGCACGGGTGCACTCGCCTTGCCGTCCGCGAGAGACTCGAAGACCGCGATCGGCGAGTCGAGACCAGGGGACGGAAGGCTGTAGTGGAAGATCGCGGGGGACTCTGGCGGCGTCTTGGGTGTGAGAGTCGCGGTGGGTGAGGGCGGCGCCTGCAACTTGGATAGGAACAGCGCACGACGTTCGACTGGCAAAACGTTGCGGCGAAGTTGGGGAAATCATTAGGATTGTAGAACGCAGCCACGAGAAGAGATAAACACACCTTGTTTGCTCTGGTGAGTCTTGATAGCAATCTCCTTCCGGAGATCGACCGCTTTCCTACTCCCAAGGGCCATGTTGCGCTCTCTGGAGGCTTTAAGGAGAGCCTCGAAACGCTCCCGCTCGAGACCCTGGCCTTTTACCGGGATATCGAGGGGGCGGAGAGGAGACAGGTTCTTTGGGGAGTGTATGGGCGGGGGCGAGAGCAGGGTAGCCCGCCAATTGTCATCAGATTCACTGAGCGAGGGCTGGTCCTTGCAGAAACCCGGCGAGAAGGGAGAGAAGGGCTCGTGCGCGGGCTCCTCGGGGGATGCAAGAGAGATGGATATCTCAGGGACGGGGGAGATGGCGAGGGGCATGGTAGAGAGCGAAGCAATGAACGACGAGGACGACGACGGGACTGAGCTGGACTGGACTGAATGGTTGAAAGACGAGGATTAGAGAAGAGAGGCGACCAGCACCAGTGGAATCTGCGCAGCAAGACCGCACCGGGGAATGGCCGGGCCCAGGGATGAAAGTGAGAAAGAGAAGGAGGAAGGAGACCAACACGCGAACCGCAGACAAGGTGGAAAGGAGAACAAGCTGAGCGTGATGCGGGAACGTGGCCACCCCGCAGCCGTTATACTGGTCCTCGCACGCACTGCCCTGCCCTCACTCAGCCATAGCAACCGCCGCGACCACTGATCTGTCTCGCCTCTACTGACCACGTATCCTCTACCGCGGTAGCCATGTTCTTTCGTCTCAAGACAAGCTCGTCATCGCTGCCACTGCAGTTGCTGCGTCACCCCCCTTCGTTGCACCGCTGGCAACGCATCTCATTTCCTCTGTGCCGTGGGATCTTCTTGCCCCTTGCAAGCGCACGCGAGCTCGGTCGAGCTGTCGTTCCTGACAAGACGGATCCAATTACGCAACTTCCGTTGATACTCTCGCTCGATTTTGACCTCCAAGCCAGCTTACAGGCCCTCTGCCTTGACTGCCTCTGCCACCTTCTCCTTGTACAGCTTCTCCGCGTTCACCCAAACCAGCGCGCTCTGACGATTAGGGAGCTCCAGCAGCGACGGCAACAGGTCCGTGCTGAATTGTTCTGATGCTTCTCTTGGTAGCAACGTCGGTAGGTGGTCAATTGAAATGACTGACAGAGCGGGGTTTCCAGGCCTGTGGGGAAAGTATGTCAGTGACCGAATTGCTGATCGCCCTGATAACCACAGGATGTCGACTTACCCAACATCTGCAGGCACGGTGGGCTCCGGGAATGTCGTGTTAATGCTATAGATCGGAATCGGGTTGTGCGGGTTCGTCGTGTCGCAGCTGACGTCGACAACCACCGACAGCCGGCGGTCCTTGCCAGCCTCGCGGAGTCGCTCGTGGGTGAGGAATGGCGGGATCGGCGAGCTGAGGTAGATGCAGTTCACAAAGATATCGACGTCCAGAATCTCCTGGAACGGTCCGCCCTTCGCGGTCTCGGCCATATCCCACTTGAGAATGTCATCCCTAGAAACGATCACGTCGATATATCGTAAGAACTAAATCTGGATCGGAGACAGGACACGACTCACTCGTCTAGGCCGATCTTCCTCAAGAGGTCGACTGCTCCCCGACCGCACCTGCCCAAGGCGCCGATCACCAGTGCCTTCACGCCCTTCCCGCTCCCGCCCAGTGCTTGCTTGACATCGCTGATCATCGCCTGCTCATTCGCGTACGGCTCAAGGAGGCCCAGCGGCTTGCCCTTCTTCTGCGCCGTCAGCGCCAATGCACCGGCTGCAGCACCTGCGAAACCGGCGTGGTACCCGAAGGCAGCGACGCGGCGTCCGCTCGCGTCTGCCAGGAACTCGATGTCGTAGAGCGTGCCACCGCCCTTGTAGAAGCGCGCGAGGATACCCGACCAGCCCGCCTGCTGCTTGTAGCAGTGGGCGAATTGGATGTGCGTGTGCGGCAGGGGCGCGTCGGAGACGGGGAGCTCCTTCAGGCCGATAATGGGGATGTCGGTCGGTGCGCTGGGCCAGGAGTTATTCGCGACGAGCTTGCAGCCGGCACTGCGCAGCGTTATGTATATGGTGCAGATGTCATGCGATTGTGACTCACGCTTCGTACTCTGCATCGTCGAAAATACGCTGCTCGTCGCGCTCGACGTAGATGGTGAAACCGGCATCGACCAGCTTCTTAGCATTTGCGGGCGAGAGGGCTGCGCGCCGCTCGAATTCCTTCTTCTCGCAACGGAGCCAAAGTGTTTGTCCGGCCATTTCTTCGGGTTCGAGAAGGAGAGCGGGTATTTTTGAAGAGATGAAGATATGCTGCTCTGCTGTGAGCTTTAAACTGAAGTTTTGAGTAAAGTGGCTGGAATGACTCTTGAATGACTCTGCTCGATCATTATCGCGCATCACGTGCTGTTCACCGATCGCGTACTCTCTTCGATCGCTCGGTGTGCTCTCGCGTCTCCCTCGTTCACTCCAACAATCATGCCAGGCAAGATCCGCAAACGCTCCCCCCTCAAGCGGCCTGGTGCGCCAGCTCTCTCACAGGATGACTGTCAATCATGATTGACCAGCGACTCAGAAAGGCCTTACATCGCCCTCGGCCTCGAGGGTTCGGCGAACAAGTTTGGCGCGGGGATCATACGACACGATCCCGACGGCGCCATGACGGTGCTATCCAACGTCAGACATACGTACATCACGCCGCCAGGGGAGGGCTTCTTGCCGCGGGATACGGCGCAGCATCACCGCGAGTGGTCGCTGACTGTGATCAACGATGCCCTCAAGAAAGCGAATGTTTCCCTGCATGAAGTCGATTGCATCTGTTTCACCAAAGGTCTCTAGGTTTAGCGGTTACGGCGCCGCGCTACTCATGCTTGCCAATACAGGTCCCGGCATGGGTGCTCCGCTAGCATCTGTCGCACTCGTTGCTCGTACCCTGTCCCTCCTGTACAACAAGCCGCTCGTCGGCGTCAACCACTGCGTTGGTCGTACGTGCCCTATACGCTACGTGCACGTTCGTCTCTTATGACGCCTCTCTATCTTTAGACATCGAAATGGGCCGCCAGATCACCGGCGCACATAATCCCGTCGTGCTTTACGTTTCAGGGGGCAATACGCAGGTCATCGCATATTCGCAGCAGCGCTATCGGATTTTTGGAGAGACGCTCGACATTGCAGTGGGCAACTGCCTCGATCGGTTCGCTAGGGTCATCAACCTGAGCAACGATCCGAGCCCCGGATACAACATTGAACAAGAAGCTAAAAAGTGTGTCACCTGAATTTCATTGATTGCTATCTTGCTCATGAAATGCAACACTGACAGGGGGACACGATTGCTCCCGCTGCCGTATACGATCAAGGGCATGGACGTCAGCATGTCCGGCATTCTCTCGTCGACGGAGGCGTACACCACGGACAAGCGTTTCCGGCCAAACGGTCCGAGAGACGCAGAAGACACGGATATTTTTACGCCGCAGGACTTGTGCTTCTCCCTCCAGGAGACGGTCTACGCAATGCTTGTGGAAATCACAGAGCGTGCGATGGCGCACATCGGCAGCAAGGAAGTGCTCATCGTGGGTGGGGTAGGGTGTGAGTGCCAACGCGCGTGTTCTATTGCTTCCGCGGCGGCTGATCATTACTTCTGTGACACCCACCAGGCAACGAACGGCTGCAGGAGATGATGGGCGTCATGGCAGGGGAGCGCGGCGGACAGGTCTTCGCCACTGATGAGCGGTGAGTCATGAATCCCATGCGGACTCATGGCCGCGTTCATCACGCTGACCTGCGACCACTCATAGATTCTGCATTGATAATGGCATCATGATCGCACAGGCCGGTCTGCTCAGCTATCGAATGGGCAACCAAACACCGCTCGCGAAGAGCACCTGCACGCAGCGGTCGGTGAAATCGCTTCTGAATTGTCGGAACGCCCGCTGATATGGATATTCGATAGATTCCGCACTGACGAGGTGCACGTCGCATGGCGAGCCTAAAACTTCCATGCTATTTTTATTGTGGTGTGTATTTGTACACGTATTTTCCACCTGTCTATCAGGCTTCTCGGCACCGACACTCGCGGGCAGCGCTCTATGAATATGATTTGTGCCACAACAACAATTTATCGAGCAAATAGTACATGATAATATCCGGTCTAGAATGCATGTCAAATAATCTGGCTACGTTGCAGAACCGCTTGCCAATATCATAGTTGGACGACGTTGGAAGTAACCAGCTTCCAGCCTTCACTATCGGTTGGCTCCATGCCTTCACGCAGCTTCTCGAATCTATCCCACCACCACTGATTTACGACTTCGTAGTCGCCGCCAGCCCCGGGCGGTATCAGCCACGGTTTGTCACTGAGTATGTAATGAAGACACCGGATTTCTTCGTCTCGCCACATCGGCTTGTGAATGACTCGCAAAGTCTTCAGCGCGTTGTAGCACCACGGAAGGGGCTTCCACTTTCCCCTGAAGAAGGCGGACAGGAGGTCCTGGTCCGGGAAGGAAAATGTAGGGACGAGCGGCGAGGTGTACAGAAAGTCCGTGATGGCGTCGAACAGCTTCCGTGAGGGATTGAGCACGACCGTCCCGGAATTAAGCAGAGTGTACGGGCGGGGACTCGACTCGGTGATAACGGGCGGCGAGGTCAGAGCAGTGGGATGGACCATCAGCGTGTGCGCGCAGTTCTCGGGTATCCTAGGGGTCAGCTCGGGGATGTAACCAGGGTGCGGTAGAGGGGGGGCCTACCAGTCCCGGGGGTAATGTGGCAGCTTGCGGGGGTTGCACGCGCAGGCATGTGCAGCTGCTATCCAGTCGTGAGGAAGCTCAAGGTCCATCAACTCGTCCATGTTCCGCATGACAATCATATCGGAATCTAGGAGGACGATGCGCTACATGCTTGGTAAGAATGCGACAAGCAAATCCAAATAGAAGTTAGAATACCTCGTACTCGTGCATCTCGAATACTCTGTTGTGGGGTTCAGTGCCTAACACAGTCGTACTGATTTTGTACTAACCTGAGCTTAGTCCAGGTGTCGCCGAAACGTTCGTCATGAGCTGCGAGTGCGTGGGCCCCCTCCTTAGGTTGGAGGCTCGGGACATCGTAAATTTGGATTCCCCTTCGGTCTAAAACGTCCCGAACAGCTTGCGGGAGACCGGGGGTGGCCATTATGACCAAGGGGTACTTGGATCCAACCGCAACCAGACAGTGGTGCATCACGAGGGCCCCAGCCAAGTAGGATGCCTTGGTGAGCAGGGTGACATAGGCTGCTTTGCGAGACATGCCGGTCAAGAACGGGGGTGGTAAGAGACAACAGAGCTGCACTGATCAGAGCTTTCTATGGCGCCAGGTGCCGCTGACAGAGAGCGGTGCATGCACAATTTCCCAGAATATATGTATGTACATAGCCACCATCTGTCGGGTGTCCGACAAGCATACGGGTGATGAGAATAACATATCGGAGCATCTTCTGACTCCCGAGCCAGCATGCCTGTTCGCATCCGGACGCAGTGTAGAGTCAACGAGAGCCCGTCGTTCTGTCATCGCTCGGCGATTTGGTGCAGATGGTACAGACTCGACCCAAAGGAAAGGCGAACGTCAGCGTCTCTAGCCCGCGCGATCGGTGCGGAAATCTCCACGTATGCGATCCATTGCGTGAGCATGCCCATTGCACGCCATGCACCAGGCGCAGCTGGCCGTGCACATGTCAGCAGCTGGACTTTACTGGACTTTCCGGCATCCCGAGCTGATTCATGATGGTGGCCCATCTCCGAAGATGCGAAGCAGGGCAGCAGGCGTTCAGTAACACCCGCTTGATCGTCCCTCACCAATCCTCTCCGGGTGACGTACAGCCATCGCTTTTCGGTCAATCACGACTTCCAGACGGCGTGCCTGTTGCGCTTCTATCTCGATAAGCACCCGTGTATCAAGCACGAGTACAGCAGTAGTGCAAGAGCCTCATGCTCATAGTATTCGCATGATCGTACAAATAGTAGAAATGCCTGGCGAAGAAAGTGGAAAGACGGAAGTAGAGCGTGGTCTTCAGCGGAGACGGCTAATTGCAAACAGACCAATGAGACCACATGGAATACATCGAGACAGGATCGAGACGTACCGAGCCTCACGCTCACTCTCCAGGAGAGCCAGGATGTCCTTCTCCCGCACAGGTCCCTTCACGTTACGGATGATCGTTCGGCTGGGGTCGTCCATGAACTCGACACGGACTTGCGTGACACCACCACGGGAGCCAGTTCGGCCAAGGACCTAAAACCAGATGCAGAAAACCATCGTCGTCAGAATCCTGCTGTGGGGGAGATTGAGAGTCATGCTAGACCTTCACGACAGTGGCGAGCTTGACGGGGGCTTTTGCTGATTCCTGCTGACTGTCAGTACTGGCATCATAGACCAATATGAGGCAATGCTCACCATTTTATGAAGGAGGGATGGTGCCGAAGACGAAGCTGGCGAAGGTGGTTTGTGTCGGTGTGGTGGGATGAAAAAATAAGGTTCAAGGCATTGGGTTGCGATCAACGACTTCGGCAAACACCGGTGGCTTGTGATCGAGTGTCCGCCTGTGTGTGCCTTGGAGCACTTGCATTTCTCGTTGAAGTCCCTTGCAACATACGATGGGATGTCTCTCATGAGTACGCTACGATCGCATAGCCCACAAGATGTTATGCTCGTCATGCATCAATTCAAGGATATGAACAGCATAGAGTCTGGAATTATGCCCTGGACTAAATTTATGATGAACAGTAAATAGACTCCGACGCGTGGAGACTACTGGGACGCAGTACTGAGCTTGCTGTCTACAGCACTGTCGGCGACGAGCTTCTTCGTCCTGTTAACGGTACCCTTTCCTCGCAGCACATTCTCTATGTAAAATTCGCCGGCCTGATGACGTTGCAATCAGCGGAGGTATACGAGCCATAATGCACTATGCACTGACCTTGTAGCTACTCCGCACAAGCGGGCCGCTGGCGACGTACAGGAAGCCCATGTCTTCTGCAACTTGTTTCCAGCGTTCGAACTCGGCAGGCTCAACATAACGGTCGACCTTCATGTGCCGTTTTGTTGGCCGCATGTACTGGCCGAATGTGACCACGTCTACATCGACCTTTCGGAGCTCTGCTCCGAAACACGCACTCACATCAGTCATGATCAAGAGGAAGCTGACAAGCCTTTCTCACCGCGTAGAGCATCCATCACCTGGTCCTCTGTTTCACCTACCCCGAACATTATACTGGTCTTCGTGACACGCACACCTTCCTTCTTAGCGTGCTCGAGAACACTAAGACTCTGTCGGAATGTCGCCCGCCGATCGCGAACATAAGGCGTCAATGCCTCGACCGTCTCGACATTGTGTGCATAAACGTCCAAACCGGACTTCGCGACAAGAGAAACATGAGACAGTGATCCAGCGAAGTCACCTGTGAGCGCTTCGACCAGTATTTGAGGCGCCCTAGGGCTGCTGTCAGACACACTGTTATACAACGGCTATTGAGATTATACGCACTTCTGCTTGATCTTTCGAATGGTCTCTGCGAAGTGATGCGCACCGCCATCCGCTAAGTCTGAGACAGATGTGAGACAAGCTCTACATAGTCGAATATACAGTACGAACCATCACGGTCTACGCTCGTCAAGACGATATAGCCCAGGCCCCAACGGCTGATGGCCTCCGCAGTGTTCTCAGGCTCGTGAGGGTCAAGCGGGGGAGGTGCACGGGAGGTCTTAACTGAACAGAACCGACACCCTCTTGTGCAGGTGTCTCCCATGAGCTGTGTGACGAGAGAGTTGGTATGGACAACTAGAATTAAAGACGATTCGATCAAGGACACAAACCATGATGGTTGCAGTTGCCGCCTTGCGACCTTCTTCAGGAGTCGCACCCTCCTTTCCACCCCAGCAGTCGCCAATGTTCGGACAGCGTGCTTCCTCGCACACTGTATGTAGGCCGAGACCGCGCAAGTCATTCTTGATCTTAGAGAACGATGCGCCCTTCGGGATAGATGTCTTCAAGTGTGATGGGAGGCGCGGCCTGGGAGGTATAAGCCACTGGAAACCAATAGGTCATATATTAAGTGCAGGCAGGACGCACCCTGTAGCATTGCCTAGCACCACTCGTTCGGGTACGTTCTCCGCAATGAACTCGTCGAGCGTCGGCCCCTCGGCGAGGGTCTGACTAAAGCTTGTCCTGGATGAGGATGGGGTGGCCAGGCATCGCACCTGGGCGCTAGATCTTGCCACGCGTGCCGTGCGCAAGAGTGAGCTCCCAGAGCAAGCTGAGCGGGCCAGAGATGTCGACATAGACCACGGTTCGCTGGAAAGGGCTGTATGACAAACGGTGCGACCTGCACCTCACACCATCCCGTTGCGGAGCGCCTGTGACCCAAATGGGGCGATCGTCCGCACCGACGGTCCTTGGCCACGTGGAGCCGACCTCGATCACTGCCCGATTCGTCGACCAAGTTGTACGGTACAATCGCCCAGTTCCATCATGAATGCGCTGTCACGGCGGGAGGAGGATACTCTCTTGAAAACGGCGAAAGCCAAGGCGCTTCAGGAGTGTGATCCAATAGTGAAAGGTAAGTCTCGCAGGCGCCGTGCAGGTCCTCGTCCATTGATGGTCTGTCGAATAGAATTCGCCGACTGTGCAACAGGTCGTGTATTCTCGGTTGCATGGCAATGTCGAGACAAATATAAAGCTGTGCAGGAATGCATGCTGCAATAGTGAGTCTGCTTTCGTGCAAGCCTGCTTGTGAATGCGAGTGCACGGCATCCTTGATCTCAACTCGGATCACTCTCAGCACAGGACCGGAACCCATGGCAGCCATGCGGGGAGAGTATCTTCGGTTACGCCGTGAACAACAGCAGGATGCGGCCTCTGCACCATCATAGCGAATTGTGGTGCATGTACATGCCCCTGAGACTGGGTCTGCATCTGAGCATCGCGGACTCGTTGATCGAGACGCCCTGTGCGGCGCTGATTTTGTCAGGGTCACACATAGCAAAGCGCTGTCAAACAGGTCACCATATGTTACACAATAATCCATGTCCTAGACACGCTAAAGAGGGCTAGCAAAATGGAACAAAGAGAAGACCATCGCTAGACAATACGAAAGGAACCTCCATCCACCATCCACCCTCATTGGCTGCTCACTTACGGTTCACAGTCAACCATTGTTGCCGGAACGCGATGAGAGAAGTGATGAGACTGGAGAGGCACATCAGTATTTGCACCGACTCGGAGAGTTCACAGTGTTACCCGAAGATGCCCAAAACGCCATCGTTGAGGTTGACAATCCCGAGATTTGAAGCAGGGATCCAGACATCCAGTAGGTCGATGACAAACTGTTGCTTTGTGGCATCCCGCACACTGCAGAAACGCGTTATTCCACGAGATGCGCGGTATATGCACAGGGAGATCCAGGACAAACCTTCGCAAAGCAGCGAGCTTTACTTCACGATCGGTGTTCTCGCCTTTGTCGGTGAGCCTGGCACCACTGAGCTTCTGAAACTCGGTCGCTAGACGACCCGCCTGTGACGGGCATGAGCCATGCTAACGAATTCTGCTACGGTTCTGGCGTGCCTTAAACAGTCCATGCATGACGCTGAACAGAATTCCCGCCAGCCAGAAGCGGTTCGCGTTCTTGCCGACTTTCTGAGCAGTTGAGGGCGCCAAGTTGAAGAACTTGACGGTATTGGCCTACACCACGCGATCCTTCCATGAACAACTGCGCATAGCAACACCAAGTATTATGGGACTGCGTACCCAGACGAACGCGTCGTAGGTCAAATATCCAAAGTAGCCGAGCTGACGGCAAATGGTGGTGATCTGCTCGGCAGGCTCACCAGTCGACTGCGCAGCTCGCAGCGCGGCTTGAAGATGTTCGATTGGTTTGCCCAACCGCATCACTGCGAATGCGTGAGGACATAAAAGGTGTCTGCGCTCTGTGGGACAATTCGGACATACGCTTCCTCGCGAGCGCGAGATGGCCTTTGAGCGCGTTCCATCTAGCCCCTTCGATTTTGTAGCCTCGCGCGAGCAAATACCATGCAAAAAATCGAGAGAAATATTGGATGGCGCGATACAACTGGGCTGCTCTCAGCCCCTACGTACTTGTGGCGTCGGCATACGCACCTTGTCCCTTCCCAAATTGGTGCCCAGAACCTTCAGCGACTGCGACACGGTTGGGTGCAGGATGACTTGCGACGCCAAACTAGACATGCTGCTCGGAGATGGGTCGATGACACTCAATGTAAGACAGTGGTATGCGAGAGGTGTAAGCGCAAGCCGTGTCCTACTGCCCCCGGACTAAAGACTGGGGAAATGGAGAGCCGTGCACCACGTGAAATCCGCTCTATGTCCTCTCGTGACGGTGAGCGCGATACCGGATACGACGTGCCGGTTATGGCTGGGTGGCGCGGCGTATCACGACGTCGTCAGCGTCCATACGTACTTGTGCGGTTGAGATGGGAAGGCATAACGCGACGCGACGCGCGACGGTCCTGGTCATCTGAGCACACAAAACCGCATTGCCGACGATGAGGTGTCCTATATACTACCGGGCTGAACGACGGCGGTGACGAACGTGGCGGCCGACGGAGTAAGTCGGGCAGGTCGCCGGATCCCACCGCAACGCACAAACTTGAGCTGAACGTGGCTGCACAGATGTTCTCACCATACAGTCGTAGTTTCATTTCTCAGCTTTCTTGGTCGTCGCACCTACTCGTGCTCGGGAACGATGAGTTTGCGTGTGCAGCTTGCGCGTAGACACTTCGTAAGTGACGCACGGGACGCGACATCTTTCTAGACTGCTCATGTGATTGCGCCTAATCTCGTCGGCCATACGGTCCTTAGCAGTCCGCCCAGAGGGTGAACAGTCTCAGATTCTTCTCTACGACCCGCTGCACTATGGTGTGTATGACAAGTACGTCTACGAGTGAGAGAGCATGCTCATGGGATGTCGGTCACAGAGCCAGAACGAGAAGTTCCGCGTAGAACGCGATACTTTCGGTGAATTGCAGGTTCCCGCAAGTCGCTATTGGGGTGCGCAGACACAGCGGTATGTCGTCGCGACCTCTATTGTGTCGGACTGAATGCTAGATCTGGTGCTACGCGTCTAGGTCATTACAGAACTTCGATATTGGCGGCCCAACGGAGCGGCAGCCACCACCGCTCATCAAGGCCTTCGGTGTGCTGAAGAAAGCTTCTGCCGTCGTCAATGAGACCTATGGCCTTGATCCCAAGGTCGGCGAAGCTATCCAGAACGCTGCCGACGAAGTAGGATCTTCCTGCAGAGACGCAGAACAAAGTAATTGACCCTTCTTAGGTCATCTCAGGCAAGCTTATAGACGAGTTCCCGCTCGTCGTTTTCCAGACGGGTAGCGGGACGCAGACTAATATGAACGTGAACGAGGTGCGTCAGGGTAGCGCTCCTTATGAGCGTTGCGCATTCTGACACGTTGCAGGTCATTGCGAATCGTGCAATTGAGATGCTGGGAGGCGAGCTGGGCTCGAAGAAACCCGTTCACCCCAACGACCATGTGAACATGAGTCAGAGTAGCAACGATACGTAAGTGTAGCATGTCACAATTTCGCGAAGACTAATTGTCTGGACGCCGTGAAGTTTCCCTACCGCTATGCACATCGCAGCAGTCACGGAGATCCACCACTCCTTGATACCTGCTTTGACTGAGCTGAGGGACGCCCTTGACGCGAAGGCAAGGGCTTTCGCTGACATCATCAAAATCGGACGCACCCACTTGCAGGTGTGCTACCCTTCCCCAGATGTTCTTCTCGAAAACCTACACAATTATACAGGACGCGACACCACTAACTCTGGGCCAAGAATTCAGCGGCTATGTTCAGCAAATCTCGAATGCCATCGACCGGGTACAAGCCGTTCTACCCCGCCTGAGCCTTCTCGCACAGGGAGGCACTGCCGTGGGGACGGTACGTCAATTTCGTGAGCATCATCGTCAAGCTGGTCATGACGCTTGTATCTAGGGCTTGAACACGAAGAAGGGCTTTGATGTCAAGGTCGCTGCTGAGATCTCGAGAATTACCGGTCTCGAGTTCAAGACTGCCCCGAACAAGGCAAGTAATTCCCATGATCGATCTCGACGGCATGCAATGTACTCACTTTACGATAGTTCGAGGCGCTCGCTACTCACGATGCGCTTGTCGAGGCTCACGGGGCTCTGAACGTCGTTGCATGCTCGCTCATGAAGATCGCGAACGATGTCCGATTCCTCGGCTCTGGACCTCGTTGCGGCTTCGGCGAGCTGAGCCTGCCTGAGAACGAGCCTGGCAGCAGTATCATGCCCGGCAAGGTCAACCCCACCCAGTGCGAGGCTCTGACCATGGTCGCTGCGCAGGTGATCGGAAACCAGACCACTGTTAGCATCGCAGGTGCTAGCGGTCAGTTTGAGGTATGTGAAACGATGTGGTCAGTGAACGAGCGCGCGCTCATGTCTTGTGATCAAGTTGAACGTGTTCAAGCCCGTCATCATCAAGAATGTCTTACAGAGTATCCGCTTGCTAGCGGATGGTATGTCGTCTGATAGAATCACAGATAAGACAATTTAGGCTCATATTACCGTCAGGCTCGAGGTCGTTCACGAAGAACTGCGTCGTTGGCATCCAGGCGAACGAGAAGCGCATCAACCAACTCTTGAACGAGTCGCTGATGTTGGCGACTATCCTGAACAGCCACCTGGGCTATGACAGTACGTACCCCTCGATGTCAACACACGTCGGCGCCTGACCATGTTGTCACGCAGATGTTGCGAAGTGTGCAAAGAAGGCGCACAAGGAGGGGACGACTTTGAAGGAGGCGACTGTGTCACTCGGGTTCCTGACGCCCGAGGAGTTTGACGAGAAGGTCCGCCCAGAGTTGATGTTGGGCCCCGACGAGCCGTGAGGCAGTACATAAGTTGTGTTGTGTATTAGATGACAATCGGATGTACGCTGTGACGCCAGCAGAGTGAATTGGACGTGAGAGTCACACAGCTGGGATATTATTATTTCGCGATATCCTTCACGAAGACGTGATGCTGTGAAGCCGCGGTTGAGAGACCCGATCATCCTGGCAAACAAGACGTCCTTCTCCGCCACGATCGGGGTCATTTGGAGATAGCGGGGTGTTGTGTGTGCCGACGTTTGGACCTCATTGCCATTGTGACGGTCGCACAGCTCATATCGGACCACCGCGTACACCGAGGAGCCGTTGTTGTAATTTTATGAATGCGGCAGGGGCGGGGGCGGGGAGCGGGTAACGAGCGTGTCACAGGTGTGACGGCCGGGATGGAAGCTCGGAGGAGGATTGCGATGGCCAAAAGAGGCAGCTGACATATTTGTAGCAACACCAAATCCAATGAGACCTGGCATGCTGGCCATTTTGCGGCTAAGCCTACGTATTCAGGCCCGGCCCCTCATCAATTCCCTGTCCTCTCCTCTCCCACCATCTCCAGCTCCTCCCTCCCCCTTTCCCCGCCGTCCCGCAGCCATTTCTTGCCACCAATCCGCCGTGCATGCGTTGACGACATCCAAGGTCCAACTTCTCGCGAGCATACACAGCCGCAGTGCTGTTCGACCGTCGTGACACAAGCGCTAGTCGCCTGCTCAGGCAAAAGCCTGCATAAAAGCTGTTGCCCCTCGACACCTCTCCCGAACTAGCTGCGGCGTCGTCTGACATTGTTCGCAATGTCCCTCAAACACATATTGAACGACGATCCGGCGCCCCCGCCCCATATCTCGACCCCTGCCGTTCACAGTACAATGTCGACGTCCTCGGCTGATACGGCGCCCGCGAGACAGTCTCCCCCAGCAGCGACAATGTCTCCCTCGCCGCAGACGCAGCATTATGCTCCCGTGCAGGCGCCGCGCGACTTGGACCAGCCAATGTCGTCGCGTGGTATTGCCTATCAACCTGCGCCTTCCCAAGAAGCAGGAGGTTGGGATCCTCATACTGGTCAATGGCGCTATCATGACGTTTCTCCCATGCAACTAGGAGGTGATCCATACCAGGATCACGACGGGTCGCAGTCCCCGACATTGTCCAATGGCAGTCAAAGTACGAGATTCCGGGATGGCTTGGCGGATAGCCATGGTAGGAAGAAACGTAAGGTTGCAGATGACGACGAGGATTATCAACCACCAGGACAGAAGCGTGTAAGGCCCAAACCCGTCCGCAGACGACACTGAACTGATGTCATTTTTCAGCCAACGCGACGCTATCCTACTCGTAGTCGTCAGCAACGCATGCAGACACCTGCTGAGGAGAATATGGAAGTAGAGGCACCAGTTGAACTCCCCCCTGAGCAGGCTGAAGAGGAGGCACGTCTTGTGTCGTCCGATCTGGAAGACTGCGAGGAAGTATGGGTCGCGGAACTCGGTAATTATATAATGGAGTCCCACAAGCGGGAGAAACAAGTAGAGGCATGGTTCTCTCGTTGGATCATCGTAAGTATCTGGTCTTATCATTGTATGTGCGATTTCTGACCCATCTGGACAGGAATGCGACTCTAGAACGGCCTACGACATGTCGCATACCTATAAGCAACGCATTGCACGAATACCACCACCGCCCCCACCGCCCCCACCACCTCAGCCCGCACTAGATCCAGAGATACTGCCCGGCCTACGCTCTCGTTCCCCACATCGTGTGGATGAATACGAAATAGGTCACAATGAGTTCTTAACCGTAATTGATGACGGTCATCGTCATGAATACGGGGCGGCGGCAGAGGACGCTGCACGTGAGTTAGAGGATTCTGTCCTCGGTAGCTCCTCAAGAAACAAGGGCAAGGGTAGGGATACAGGCAAGCGTCCGATCTATTCGGTGCAGGATTCAGAGAGCGAAGACGACATCCCGATCTCAAAAACTATGCCTGCTCACAAGAAGCGCAAGACTGCCAATGGTATCGCAGAAGCTGTGGAGGATGCAGGGGGCTTCCTGTCTGGCGCCGTCCCATCACCTTCGCATAAGCTGGTCTCCTCTGCTAGAGGCAAGGGCAAAGGCAAGCAGCGCGAGGATAGTGTGGATAGCATCTCTGCTACTCCCAAACCACGCAGAAAGCCGCGCAGAAGCAAGTATGACACGTTACCTCCATATACTCAAGAGTCGTTGGGTGTTACATCCACAGCGGGATCCATGAATGGAGACATTACGCCAGCTGCGTCGCGGCCAGCTTCCCCGGCCCTCACATCGGTCTCCGCGACGGTGTATGAGTTGGACGAGTCCATACCTCCGCTGAAGCGCGCGAAGAAGGTAGATGATGCGTTGATGCTAAAACGTGTCAGGACGCTCGAGGATGCCCAGCGTAAGGTCTGGACGAACATTGCTAGAAAGGAAGTTGTGAAGGTTAGCTGTTCTATTTGTCTAACCACGCGCAGACTTGTCTGATTCTCTGCGAAAGGTGTACAAGTATCATTCTCAGGGCTACCTCTCCCGCCAAACTCAGTCGAAGCGAATTGCGGTGCTGGCTTCAATACAGGCGCGCAAGCCATATACAAAGAGCGCCAAAGCCGTCAAAGACGTTCAGGCGAAGGGCAAACGCCTCATGCGTGAGATGCTTGTATTCTGGAAGAAGAACGAGAAGGAAGAACGGGATGTCCGGCGGCGTGAGCAGAAAGAGGCTATGGATCGCGCGAGGGTGGAGGAAGAAAAGCGCGAGGCCGCTCGACAAGCCAGGAAACTAGAGTTCCTGATCAGCCAGACGGAGTTGTATAGTCATTTCGTCGGAAACAAGCTGAAAAGTACGTTATCCTGTCTACCATCACGTCCTCGTTCTCATAATCACACAGCTGCCGAACTCGAGGGTGGAGACGCGGCACTGGTCAACGCACCTGCAGGTGCCGACCTTGCCGATTCGGAAGAGGGTACGCTGCAGGACCTCGATTTCGATGACGGTATGTGGCATTGCTCCTCATTTGCGCTGCTTTGTAAGTGACATCTATGCAGAGGACCACACGAACATCCACCGGCATGCGCGATACAACGCGCAGGCTGCCATTGCTCTCGCGAAGCGAAAGGCATTGGACTTTGACACTCAGGCTGCTCTCGAGCGCAAGACCAATGAGGCTTTAAAACTTGCGAAGCGGCAAGCGCATATCCGTGCAGACGAAGATGTCGAGGGCACAGGCTCCGGCTCAACGGGTACACCGCTCGTCGATCGTAAGTTCTGTGACCGTCCGATCCAGTGTCGGTTATCTAAATTGTCATTAGTGGACTCGGACGAGCTGAACTTCCAGAACCCGACCTCATTGACTGGGGAGCTGACGGTCAAACAGCCCAATATGCTCATGGCAACTCTCAAGGAGTACCAGCTCAAGGGCCTGAATTGGCTGGCGACTCTGTACGAGCAGGGTATCAATGGTATTCTCGCCGACGAGATGGGTCTTGGGAAGGTGGGTTAACACAGAGTGCAACGATATTGTCACGATTGCTAAGACCTCCCTCTAGACCGTACAGTCCATCTCATTACTGGCGTATCTCGCCGAAAAGCACGACATCTGGGGGCCATTTCTTGTCGTCTCGCCGGCATCCACATTGCATAACTGGCAACAGGAGATCACGCGATTCGTCCCTAAGCTCAAAGCTCTACCTTACTGGGGTAATGTCAAGGACCGAGCGACGCTGCGGAAATTCTGGAACAAGAAAGAGATCAGCTATGATGAGGACGCTCCTTTCCACGTCTTGATCACGAGTTATCAGCTAGTAAGCGATACTGTTCCACCTACTTTGCACGCTCTCAGCTCCGTTGGCAGGTCACGCAAGATCAGCAGTACTTCCAACGAGTCAAATGGCAGTACATGATACTTGATGAGGCACAAAACATCAAAAACTCGTCCAGTGCTCGGTGGAAGACCCTGCTAGGATTCCAGTGCCGGAATCGTCTTCTGCTGACAGGTACTCCTATCCAGAACTCGATGCAGGGTCAGCATCCATTTTCGTTTCAACAACTTAATGACTCATTGCTGTGTAGAACTGTGGGCCCTACTGCACTTCATCATGCCGAGTCTGTTCGACTCGCATGACGAGTTCAACGAGTGGTTCTCCAAGGACATCGAGAATGCTGCAGAAAACAAGGGGAGCAGGCTGAATGAGCATCAGTTACGGCGTTTGCATATGATCCTCAAGCCATTCATGCTGCGTCGAGTCAAGCGCCATGTGCAGAACGAGCTCAGTGACAAGGTGCGCTGCTATCAGCCAGCAAGTACCGTCCGTTGGTTGACATACCACGATCACAGATCGAGATAGACATCTATGTTGATCTCAGCGCGAGACAGCGTGCACTGTACAAGGCTCTGCTCGCGAATGTCTCAGTGGCTGACCTTCTTGAGAAAGCTGCGAATATCGGAGATGCTGACTCGGCTCGGTCTCTGATGAATTTGGTCATGCAATTCCGCAAGGTGAGTCCTGTCAGTGCGTCTTCGCATCTAGACTACTGACGAATGCGGTTTATCAGGTCTGCAATCATCCGGAGCTCTTCGAGCGTGCAGATGTGGTCGCTCCGTTCTCGTTCTCAGACTTTGGGAAGTCTGGCGCCCTCAATCGTGAGGGTGATTTTGTCCTGCTTCCGTACTCAACGCGCAATCCCATCGAATTTGCGGTTCCGAAGCTGCTATATGAGAGCAGCAGTCTGTTCGGCGAGCCGATACAAGACCCAGAAGTCGAGGGACGAGGCGACACAAGGAGAACCGCCCAGTTGATGAATATTTGGGCAACAGATTGGATTCACCGCTCATACTATGATAATGGTGGGCGCATATACCTTTTGTCTGACTATATCACTGACACCTGTGCGCTAGAAGAATCCACATTCTCATTTTTGAGGTTGCTCGACATTTCCCCAAGTGAAACCCACACTCTGCATACGTCTAATCTACTCCGACGGCAGATGCTAGTATCAGAGATGCGAGCCAAACAATCTGAGCTAGCACCGTACATCTGGTGAGTAAGTTGGGATCATGTTCAATCAATTGGCTAACGACGTCGTGAAGGGATGCGGACTTTGCTGCGCACAAGGCCCCTCACTCGTTCCGACTGCCATCCCGTATCATCGTACGTGATATCGAGGGCGGCGAAGGTCTACCGGAGCTTCAGTCTATCTCAGCCGAGGCTTGGATGTTGTCATGCTTGTCGCGGAGAGACCTCAAGTTGTTCACACCTCCTGTTGTTGCTCCGCCGATCTCACTATATTGCGCGGACCGCACCTTCGTCGATCACCAGGCACAGTTACTCGAGTCTCCTGAGGACTCACTTGCTCTGTTTGGTCTTCCACAATCTGCATGGAATTCGGAAGAGGCATGCTTGGAGTATCACCAGAAGTTGCCCGGTGTCCAACCATCCGGTCTCATTGGAAATTCACCTCCAGACCAATTGCCGCTGTCGACGATGCAAGTGCCCGAAGCGAAGCGACTCATTTACGACTCCGCTAAGTTGGCTCGTTTGGATTCTCTCTTGCACGAGCTGAAGGCTGGAGACCACCGGGTCTTGGTCTACTTCCAAATGACTCGTATGATGGACTTGATGGAAGAATATCTCATCTACCGACAATACAAGTACCTACGTCTGGATGGATCCTCCAAGCTCGAGGACAGACGGGACATGGTCATGGAATGGCAGACAAGGTTTGTCGCGACATGTTTTGTGCTTGCATAGGCTCGTCTAACCATAGCGACAACAGGCCTGATATCTTCGTTTTCCTGCTCAGTACACGTGCAGGTGGATTGGGTATCAATTTGACTGCGGCCGACACTGTCGTCTTCTACGATCATGACTGGAACCCTTCTAATGATGCTCAGGCTATGGATCGTGCACATCGACTAGGACAAACCCGCCAAGTCACCGTGTACCGCCTGATCACTAAGGGCACAATAGACGAGCGTATCGTCCAGCTGGCAAGAGTGAAGAAAGATGTAAGGGGGCTCCACTCGTTCCGTATATACATCATTTAAATTTGCGTGCAGGTGCAAGATATTGTTGTTGGCAACAAAAACTTCACAGATGTCACAAAGCCCAGCGAGATCGTGCAGCTTCTGCTCAATGAGGACCAACTAGCGAGTCTAGACGGCGCCAATGCTTCCGTCAAGGGCAAAGGGAAGAGCGTCCCAAGCTCGACGCAGGCCAATGGCAACGCTGTCCGCGACCTCTGGAACGATGAGGGCGACGAATTCTTTGGGCAACCAGCCTCAGCGCAGCCTGGTCCTGGTTCCAATGCGGATGGTGCCGACGACGACAGCGCGCCCCCTGCTCCTATCTCTACCGGCCGCGGGCGTGGTAGACGGCGTAAAGGAGAGGCCGCTGCCACTCGTGGGCATAAACCAGGACCTGGACGCGGAAGGGGGCGAAGGAAGGCTCAGATGGTGGATGTTGACGGGGAGTAGCTTGCCTGCGTGCTTAGCTTCGACTAGGTCTATATTATATATGTTGATCCATGCTCTGCATTCACTCGTTACTGTATTGAATTACGTAGATTTATGGTTATCATGCTTGTATCAGGACGCTATGTGTATGTTATCTGACCTCGGTTCGTTCTTTGATGTTGTACAATGCTGGTGCTAGCGGCGACCGCCGATCAATTGTCCCCCAAGGATGATCGAAACCAGTCCCGAGTCAGTGCTCAGATCCAAATCGTCCGCGTACATAACCCGTAGACGCAAAGTTCTCTTCATGCATCCTGACTGCCGACAACTCATGCGTGTCGTCTTTACGGCCGCTCTCACAAGAACTCCAACTGTCGACTGCATATAATCCTTAGTTGCTTCACCGTTGCTCGCTCCGAAGACCACTCAGGACAGTCGCTGCTACATACAGAATCGCCCGATTTGTTGGGGTCGCAAGACACCTAAGGCAAGGGGCGTTCCCGCAGATCCTCACAAACCATGGCAAAGAAAAAGAAAACACAGCTCAAGCCGGTGGTTAGGGGCTTTGCGACAACCTCTATCCCGAAGAAGGTCGTTCAGCCAAGTGAAGAAGAACGCGCGGAGGAACCCACTACCGCTACCACAGAAGATTCCCCTCCAGCAAAGGATGAAGGCACACCGTCGCAGGTCGACAAAACCGATGCGTCCACCGACAATGCAGGCACGCCTGAGGAACAGGCCTCGCAATCCATGATCGATAAGTACCAGGACAAGACGGAGAGAGAGGTTGTGAGAACTATCAAGGTATTTCGGTATTGTGCTATCGATGTGAGTGAACCCGAGCATTAACGGTTTGTAGGCAATCGACCAGGAACGGCGCCTTTCCTGTTCTCAAGCCCGCTTAGATCTGGACTCGACCTTTGTTGATCGGATACTTAGCCTAGCCCTAGACAGTGAATCTAGTAGCGATGGTAAACGATTCGTTCTTCAATCTCATACCGTCAGATCTAAACAGTGTTCTAGTCAAAACAACTGTAAATGGAACCGAAGAGAAAGCACTCGCGCGTCTGGCCATCACGTACGGAGTCCTGAGACGCCTAGGATTTCAAGAGGACAGGGTGGAAGAGTGCATCCGTGCCATCAATGGAGTTGACCTGGAAGAGGCCGCTGACTGGGTGCGTCGAATTATCTCTTCGAGGCTATGCAAACACTGAACACTTTCCTCAGCTCCATCTACATTGCAGTCTTGACGAACTAGGGATGCATCAAGGTATGCTCCCAGCGCTTGTGTGTATAGCTTAAACTAAATCTCAAACATCTGCACTTGACGCAGACGTGGACGGCACTCGGACACCTCCCAGTGACACTGCACAGACACCTCGGACGCCAAGTCTCTCCCAGTTTTCCCTTTCAAATGTGTCAACAACTCCATTGGGGACCCCGACCAAGAAGGATGCACGAAAAATTGGCCGCCTAGACGCAAATGCCCCGGCCTTTGTGCCTTCGGCCTTCATGAAGGTCGCGGAGCCAGGCGTCCCCAGCTACCCTGCCTCAGGGATCGAGACACCATCCTCCTCGAGCGACAGGGTTGCCTCTACCGTCTCCAGTTCAGGAAGTCATTCGCCTGTCGATGATCCAAATATAGAATACGTTCGCGTCAAGATGCAGATCTCGGAATTCACCACCCACCGACAAATGGATGAACAGCGTGATGCGGCCTTTTTACAGAGCCTCAAGCGCCGTCTCGAAGACATTAGACAAGATTACTTGTTTGATGCTACAGAGGCTGAAGCGCAATTTCGCATAGAACGTCAGAAGTCGCATGCTCAATTGCTACAGTCCCGGTTACGCGGCGCTACCGACAAGTCTGCTGCTGCACCGACATCTGAACCGCCCAAGCCCTGTGTGCCTCAGAAGCCCCTACCTGTGGAATCTGTGAACAAGTCTTCTACGCAGGATGTGTTTGACGAAGATGAAGATGGATCCTCGGATGGTTTATTTGCCATGCTGGAAGAAATGCCCGCAACAGAAGTCACGGATGAAGGGACAACGATCAGCGTTCGCGACATGGCTCTCCCCAAACATTGGTCTGGTCGAACGCCCAAAGCTTTGCTACACGAGCGGGTTCATAAGGTCGATCGATTTGCAATTGTCACTTACAGGGACATCTCTGGGACCAGTCGCGCGAAGAGGGCTGCTCTGGAAATACGCTGGCAAGACGGTAAGGCGGGTGCGTGGTCTATGGACAATGTCGCTTGCCATGATCAGTTCCAGGCGGAGCAGTACATTTCTACTGTGGCGTTGCACGCCCTATCATTTCCCAGCTCTGAAGGCTTTGCGCTTGGCAGTACCTCCGTAACGAGTAGTCAGACCTCGTTCAGACTGTTACCCGCTATCTACCGTGATCTGTGGGACGAACTCGAAAAGGGACGACTTAACCAAGACGAAGCTACAAATAGAGCTATTTGGGCAAAGCTGAGAGCGATATTGGAGCCAAAACTTACTGCTTCAAATAAGGTAGGTGCTCTTCAGCCAAGAGTCGGTAAAGGACCTCACTGAGTATATCCCTTGATACAGTCCAAGAACACTGGATCGGCGCTTGACGCCAAGGCCGGGAATGCATTTCAGTCGGCGTACCGTAATAGCGATGACCTTTCGCCAGAACAAATTAGCGCCGGGTTCCAGGCGCGTGCCTCAAGCTCAGCGTACCAAGAGATGTTGGTGAGTTATGCTCGCCTCAATGCAACAACTAAGTGTTCACCAAGGCGCAATAGCAACATCGCGAACAACTCCCAATTGCCAAGTATCGCAATGAGATTATGTCAATATTGGAGATGTCTCAGATACTCGTCCTTAGCGGTGAAACAGGATGGTAAGGTCGCATTTACTACTTTCATACTCACACTCAGCATATCCCTGCAGCGGAAAATCTACGCAGGTGCCTGCATTTATTCTAGAGGATCAACTGGCAAAGGGGAGGCATTGCAAGATATACTGCACGGAGCCGCGGCGAATTTCTGCCATCTCCCTCGCGCAGCGAGTCTCGAGAGAGCTTGGCGAGCCTGCTGGTGCAGTCGGAACGCCTAGTTCCATCGTTGGTTACTCGATACGACTGGAGAGTAACATTAATAGCCGCACGCGATTAGCGTATGTGACCAACGGTATCGCCCTGCGAATGCTAGAAGGCGGATCTGGTCAGGGTGGTCAAGGAACGGCTTTTGACGAGATTACGGTAAGAATATCCCTTTTGGCTGCTGAAGACGTTTATTGAATATTCTTGAAGCATATCATAATCGACGAGGTTAGACCGCTGCTGTGAACTCAGGGCCATTGAAACTCAACTCAGCTTCTAGGTCCACGAGCGAACGATTGAGTCGGATTTCCTCCTCATCGTTCTCAAGTCATTACTTCAAGAGCGTCCTGATTTGAAGTAAGGCTTATAACAGATCCCGAAATCATTTGACTAACGTTTGATAGGGTGGTCCTCATGTCAGCGACAGTGGATGCGGAGAAAATCTCCAACTACTTTGGCGGAACCCCTATCCTGAAGGTGCCCGGCCGAACGTTCCCTGTAGACGTCCGCTTCCTTGAGGATGCCATCGAGCTCACCAAGTGGAAAGTCACAGAGAACTCACCTTACGCCAGACGCGGTGAGCATACTGTTTAGAATGGTAGTCGGACGCTCATCATGACGTCTCCGTAGGAAAGGACAAGTTCAATCGCGGCAAGGGACGGATTGAATGGTCTGAAGACGTAGCGGCAGGTGATGACGACGATGAAGGAGACCAGCAAGAGAATGTGAAGTTGGAAAAGCGCTATTCTCCGAACACTGCCTCCACTATCAACACGCTCGATGAGCGGCTGGTACCGTACGATCTGATCGTCCGCTTACTGGAACACATATGCTTCGAAGACCTGGCGTATGCCAATTATTCTCAGGCGGTCCTGATCTTTATGCCAGGCATGGGTGAAATCCGCAAACTGAACGACCTCCTCATGGAGCACCCTCAATTCAATTCAGAGGAGACATTCAAGATTTATCCACTGCATTCGATGATCTCCAGCGAGCATCAAGGAGCCGTCTTCGACATTCCTCCACCAGGTGTCCGTAAGATTGTCATTGGTTCGTCATCCAGACGTTCATGGGGGTCGCTAGTTTCAAATGTCATTTTCTTTCAGCAACTAACATCGCCGAAACTGGTATCACGATCCCTGACATCACCTGCGTCATCGACACGGGACGACAGAGGGAGATGAGGTCCGTGTGCGATAATAGGTATAAGCTGATGAACATGACTGAGCTTCGCATCATTCTGTAGGTTTGACGAGAAACGACAGATCAGTCGACTGGTCGAGACGTTCGTGGCCAAGAGTAACGCTGCACAGAGGCGCGGTCGTGCTGGGCGAGTCCAATCCGGCCTGTGCTTCCATCTGTTCACCAAGCTGCGCCATGACACAAAGGCATGATGTCTCTGTCGGCATACATTATCCTTACTCACCCTATAACTAGATGGCTGCCCATCCAGATCCTGAGATGATGCGACTGAGTTTGAGTGATCTCGCCCTGCGCATCAAGATCATGAAGGTGAAGCTAGGATCGTCCATCGAGGACGTTCTGTCGAAGGCACTAGACCCACCTCTCGCCGTCAACATTCAGCGAGCTGTGTCTGCCCTAGTTGAGGTACGTTCCTGTTCATTCACTCGGGTAATTGTAGCTCACAATGGTCTGTATGCAGGTCCGTGCTCTGACACCATCCGAAGACATCACACCCATGGGCCGCCTCCTGAGCAAATTACCAACGGATGTCCATCTCGGCAAATTCCTACTCATCGCCAGTCTCTTTCGCTGTCTAGATCCAGCTTTGACGATCGCTGCCACTCTCAATGCGAAATCGCCATTTATCTCGCCATTAGGGCACGAGCAGGAGGCTGATCGCGCGAAGGGGTCCTTTAGAGTCGGTACGTCGACATGAAACCGAAGTCGCATGCAGACGACTGATAAAGGACTAGAAAACTCTGATTTCCTTACTATCCACAATGCCTTCGCTAGCTGGCGCCAGGCGTGTGCGAACGGTATCGGCCGGAAGTTCTGCAAGACAAATTTCCTCAGTTATCAGGTATGCAGCCGTACATGGACGTATCACGTTAGCACCACTGATACGATATCATACAGAATCTCCAACAGATCGAGGAATTGCGACAACAGTTTCTGGGGTAGGTTCATTTTTTATTGTGCCATCACTCATAGCTTAAGATAAACGACAGTTATCTCGTTGATTCGTCGTTCATCCGTGTTGACAATAGCTTTGTGCGAGAGCTTAGCAGGTCAGTCTGGCGCAATATTTCCCCGTCACTCTAATGACGAGGTCGCAGAGCACGTTATGGTCGCGGTAGGACGCGCTTCGTTCCCGTGCCTCCAGAGCTCGAAGTCAACACGGGAAACGCCTTCATGCTTAACGCCGCCCTTGCAGCCGGACTCTTCCCGAAGCTCTTATCAATAGATCCAACAACCGGAGACATGAAGACTGTCAGCAACAACCAGGTGGCGTCCTTTCATCCGTCTTCAGTGAACTTCGGCAAAAGAGCGAGAGAATTCGGGGTAAACTACCTCAGCTATTTCACCCTCATGTGAGTCTCAAATAGGTATGATATCGAGCGAGTATTCACCTCCTGGCGTGCTCAGGCACTCGAAGAAACTATACGCATGGGAAACAGGACCAGTAGACGACGTCGCCATGTTGCTACTTTGCGGCGAAGCAGAATTTAAGGTGCGTCTAAGAAGTTTTTGAGGGAATGTAGACGTCATATATCGAGGCCTGCAGCTGATGTCCGACATCGTGTACGTTGACCGCAAGATCAAGTTCCGTGTGCAGCCCAGGTCGGGAATTGCGCTCAAGATCCTTCGCAATCACCTGGCAGACCTGCTGTCAACCCAAATGCGCATAAAGCCTCTGACCGAATCCCAGACGCTCTGGGACGATGTCGCGATGATGGTATTGGGGAAAGTAAAACCTCGCGAGCCAGGGGAGTATCAAGAGAACATCACACTTGTGGTAAACAGGTAGTGGACCACATATCTATCATTATTTGCTTTGAACTTGCAATGTTGAATTTGACATCATGTACTTGTCCTCCCTCTGCTCGATGATGTATGCGACTGCCATAGCCGAGATTGTAGCTGAGCACAACGCATCCATTGGTACCAGTATACATTGTGCGTGTCATGACATAGCATAAGGATAACGCCTGTAGCGGAAAGCATGAAGATAACGACACTATGACACCGCGACACTACTCCTCTTCCTCCTCATCAGCCGCGCTCCTAAAATCACATGTTAGCATCTGCCTCATGGTCGCTCAAGATCTGCGAACGTACTGGATATTGTAGAAGCGGAGCTGATACGAGTCCTTCGACGCTGCGACGACCCGGATCCAGTCACGGAGGGTGTTCTTCTTGAGGAACTTTTTGGTCAGGTACTTGAGGTAACGCTTGGAAAGTGGGACGCTCGATGACACGGTAATCTTGACATCGCCTGGAGTAGACTTCAGCGCCTCAAATCTTCGGCGAGGCCTATAGTACGTACCATCCCGAGCAATCTTGATGTTCTCGCCAAGCTGACCAGTCTTGCCATCGACCTTGATACGGTCGTACAAGTATTTCTCGAAGGCCGCGCCGTCAAAGACACCGTCACCAGCCGGGCGGGAGTAGTCAATGACGAACTTGTGCTTAGCAGCAGCGGTTTTTCCAGAGGCGACCTTCGGCTACGAAAGAAGACAAAGAGAAAGGAAACCCAGCATGAGCCTACTGAGAAGATAACTCAGCAAAGCGGTACTGGGGACTAACCATCTTGACGGCTGGAATGAGTCCTGAGGAATGAATGTATCGACTTCGACAATTTCGATCTGGGACAAGATACAAGAATCACGTGGAGGGCAACTGTACAGTTCCCCTCTGGTGTTCTCACGAAGCGGGATTCTCCGTACACCACCCGGATTAGGGATAGAGATCTAGGGATTTTCCTTGCTTGCATTCCGCGTGTCTGATCGGGTTTTCTCACGCATTCTGGTTAGAATTTGAGCCCAAGGCAGCGTCTCAGCTCTGCTCACCTCGACGCTATGGCTCCCGCCAACACTCTCACTCGCGAGCAGGTCGCTTCTGCTCAGCTGAAGGGCGACTATTCCATCAAATCCGAAAGCTCAGCACCGCAATTGGACACCTCGCAATGGCCTCTGCTCCTGAAAAACTACGACAAGCTACTCGTGCGGTCGGCTCATTTCACCCCCATCCCGTCTGGGTGCAGCCCCTTAAAGCGGGACATTACCACGTACATCAAGTGAGTAGCGCTGCTTTGCAATATACTGCAAAAACTGAACCGTCCTTCCCAGGTCAGGTGTTATTAACCTGGACAAGCCGTCCAACCCGTCATCGCATGAAGTTGTAGCATGGCTACGAAGGATACTGAGGGTAGAAAAGACCGGACACAGTGGTACCCTGGACCCCAAGGTTACTGGGTGCTTGATTGTCTGCATTGACCGCGCGACAAGACTGGTCAAGTCTCAACAAGGAGCAGGGAAGGAGTATGTTGCTGTTCTCCGTCTTCACTCAAATCTGCCCAACCCCGCGGCCCTCCCTCGAGCCATCCAGACTCTTACTGGTGCCCTTTTCCAACGACCTCCCCTCATCTCTGCTGTCAAGCGTCAACTTCGCATTCGAACGATATATGAGTCTACACTCCTCGAATTTGATGAGAAGCGCAACCTTGCTGTATTCTGGGTCTCTTGCGAGGCAGGCACATACATCCGAACCCTCTGTGTCCATCTAGGCCTCATTCTGGGCGTTGGAGGTCACATGCAGGAGCTCCGCAGAGTGCGAAGTGGTGCATTAAGCGAGAACGACAGCATGGTAACGATGCACGATGTCCTGGACGCCCAGTGGGTGTACGACAACACACGAGACGGTAGGCCTTCACACCTACTCACACGTGCACTATAACTTAATACGCCGACCTACAGAGTCCTATTTGCGTCGTGTTATCCGACCGCTCGAGTCGCTGTTGGTTGGGTACAAGCGTATTGTGGTCAAGGACAGCGCCGTGAACGCTGTTTGCTACGGCGCGAAGCTCATGATTCCTGGATTGCTCCGTTACGAGGCTGACATCTCGTTGAACGAGGAGGTTGTGCTGATGACGACGAAAGGTATTAATCATCCCTCATAACTTATAGATATAGATGCTCAGTTTTAAATAGGTGAGGCAATCGCATTGGCAATCGCCCAAATGTCGACAGTGGAGCTCGCAACTTGCGACCATGGCGTGGTAGCCAAGGTCAAGCGGTGCATTATGGAGCGTGATACCTACCCACGGCGGTGGGGTCTTGGGCCGAAGGCCCTGGAGAAAAAGAAACTTGTCAAGGATGGCAAGTTGAGCAAGTTCGGTGAGAAGATTGACGGCGTCACACCCGCAGAATGGAGCCGAGACTACGTTGACTACTCGCGCGAGGTAAATTGGATGGCTGTTCATGGTTCCGTGTACGGGATTCTGACCAAGCTTCTCATTAGGAGCCTACGGCGGGCCCGTCAACGGCATCTGTTGCTCCTCCAGCAACGACTACTGAGACCCCTGCGGAGGCGAGCCCCTCGAAGGAGAAGGAGAAGAAGCGCAAGCGGAAATCCGAAGTTCCCGATATCGATGCCGACGTCTCCATGGCCGTGAAGGACGGTGCGACAGGGGAAGATGAGGCCGCACGCGCGGAGCGCAAGCGGCAGAAGAAGGAGAAAAAGGCAAAGGAGTCTGCGGAGAAAGACGAAGGTGCCGAGGACGAAGAGGCGCGACGAGAGCGCAAGCGGCCAAAGAAGGAGAAGAAGGCGCGGGAGTCGTTGGGCGGCGAGTCGTAGTGAGCGGACTTCTTGTGTCAGGTAGCATGAGCTGTGTCGCGAGTTGCATACCAAAATCATCATCTACTATGATGTTGCTACTGTCCTTGTTTATCTGTATTACAATCGATTACGTTGTGCATGCGATGATCCTGCTTCTTTTTGCTTGTGAGCATGGCTGTCGCCAAGTTGGATGTCACGGTCAACAAGTTTGTCAAGAGTCTCTAAATCAAGCGCTGGTGCTAATTGACGTATCAATGTAACATCAAATACGGCAGTGAGCTACAGTGATGCGTGTATCAAGATTCAGTTCAAAAGATCGTGTGGGGCCACATGCGTCATTACAAGTGATCACACGTAACATACCCGCCGAAACATGAACATTTCAAAATTATAAAAGTGCACCGATAAACGCTGCCGCCGAGCCGAAAACAAGGACGAAGTTCATGCTGAAGCTCGCGCTAGCGCCGCCGGGGGACTTCGTGGTCGTCGAGCCGGGGGCAGACGACGAGCCCGAGGCAGACACAGCATTCGTGCCGTTAAGTTCTATTGCAAGCTCCTGGAACGCGCTGAAATTACGCGGGCTATCGGCGACGGCATTGACGGCAAAGACCATGCCCATGCCGCAGTGGCTAGCACCGGTCGGGAGGTGTTGCTTGCACTGATGGTATATCGTGAGTGGGTGTATGCGTCTATGCTGGAATGAACACGCACGTAGAACCACAATGGCGCAGTATCGTTGACGGTGACGTTGAACGTGGGGAACTCGGTCGCGTTCGCGCCGACGGGCATGCTATAGATCATCGTTAGCCCCCAGAGGTCAGCGAACACGGCAACAAAACGCACAATCCTGAGTCCAGGCCGATGACTTCGCCAGTCGTCTCGTCGGTCAGGATACGGCACGGGTCAGCGAAGGCGGACTGGGTTGCGGTGTGGTTCTTCTGGTGGCTAAGAGCGTCATGAGCCGCGCCGCCTCATGCGTGAGCTAGCATGTTGTACTTACAACTGGAAGACGACTACGTCGCGCGGCGCTGCGGTGATGTTTGACGGCGTGTAGGTGAGCTGGCCGTCCGAGCCGCCAACGATGACCGTGTGCACGGTCCCGTCCAGCGACACAGGCGTGGCGGCCGGCGAGCCGGGGTACGACGAGTACGTCGTCGTCCACGAGGACGCCTGCACCGTGATCGTCTCAGTGACGACGCTCTCCGTCGGCGCAGCGGGGATCGTCACGCCGCCGTACGCAGCGGTCGTCCACGAGCCAGACGCTGCGGAGGACGATGCGGTTGCCGATGCGGACGCCTTGAACTGGGCGCCCTCGGCGAGCGCGTTGTTGAGGTAGTCCTGGAAGGAGGTGGAGGTCCCGTTCGCGCCGGGGTTCACGGCGAATACCATGCCGTTGCCGCAGTGACTCTCGGGGGTGTTGTCGGCCTGGCGGCAGTACACCCAGATAGGTTTTGTCTGCGGCGACGGTGTCAGATGCGAAAGCACAGGATCATTAGAGGGACACCCACATCATTGACAGTCACACTGAACGTGGGGAAGTCGTCTGTATCGGTGGCAGAGACAGGCATACTGCGTCGCATGTTGAGAGGCAAAACCTTGGTAGCCGTGCAATTTAACTCACAATCCAGAGTCAAACCCGCCGGAGATCTTGTGACACGGGTCACTGAAGGATGACTGTGTGGCGGTGTGGTTCTTCTGATGAAAGTGGAAGACAACTTGGTCCCCAACGGAAGCAGACTGACGCAACGGCCTTCAGTCCACGCTTCCTCAAGCCGCGCTGGCAGGCACTTACAATAAAGCTGGGGGTGTAAGTCAGCGCCCCTGCGGCGCTGCCGACGACAATGTCGTGAATAGTACTCTGGGCATCGGCCGACTTGGCCAGCGCCAGACACAGGAACAAAGCCGTCGTAGAGAACAACATGAATATACGGCGAATATGTTAAAACAGGCAGCGACTGGGAAAAGGGGAGAGACAAAGTTCGATGGGTCCATACGAGGGGTGTGCACACATTTTATACCTCGAGCTTCGGGTGGCAGTGGGGTCGAAATTAGCTTAGCGTACCTGTCGTATTGTTTGGGATGTGCGCGCACCCAACCAGCACGCAGATCAGGGGCGGACCAAGCTCGGGGACGTGTTTGGGCAACCCGCTGCCAAGAGACAATTAGAAAGACTTTCGCGCCTGCCTCGCAATGAACAAAAGACTTGATTGGCTAACCTACGCCGGGCTCAGGGGCAGACATGGGGAGCTCACCGACGCACCATGAGTGGCCGCAACGAGTGTTGCTAAGTTTAGATCAATAGAATAGGAGCCCACGTAGGAATAGATTTCGAAGTGTTCGAATTCAAGGTGTACGAGCCATTCCTTGGACATTGATGGCCTCATTGGAGGCCACGCTATATGCAGGATGGTATTTGAGCATGTATGGGATCGAGATTGATCTTCGTGAACGGTAACCGTGATACTGGCCGCTCAGAAAGAAATGTGCGATGCGTGGCTCAGCTTTCAAACAATCAAAATGCGGGGACTCGATCGTGCTATGCTCTCTGCACAGCCAATGACCGCGGAGCAATCGGTGACTATGCCAAATATGGTAGGTATAGTGAACGACTCACAGCTGTGCGGGGAGGAGCGGGAGCGGGATCATTGCCTCTTAACATACATGATGATACTGCAGGGCGTTCTCGGAGAAAAAGCTCATATGAGACCGGGACTCTTAGGCTGCGGTATTCGGCGGCCAATGGGCACCGCGTGCGGCCAAGGATCCGCTTCGATATTTAGGCTCGCAGCAGGCCTATCTTGTTGAGACAGTGGTAGACGTGAACAGCACTCCCTCAAAAGAGATGGGCGTCAAGTGGGCTACTGTTGCACTGTGATGGCTTGAATGGCGAGAGTAATGAGACAGATCCGACCTGCTCCGTTTGAAGGAATTTCAAGACTACAACTTGCCGCAATGACTAGACCGGAGTAAAAGCATGACAGATCCTTGACGAAAGTTTTATCAAGAAGTCGAGACGCTGCCATGCACTGCATATTGACATGGTGATGCCGTGTTTCGTCGCACGGTCACGGTCACAGACCGGGTTTCATGCATCACACATTAGGTGTACGAGCCAATGGGGAACGATCGATCAAAAGGCGATAGAGTCACGAGATGTGACCAGGGAGGCTGTTGGATGATGATGAGAGGGAAATCAGAGCAGCTGATGGACGAGTTGCGAATGAAGCAGCATCCCTTATATACCCCAGACTAGTCCCTCTAGATCCATCTATCTTCGTCCGTTATAATCCTTTCTTTCGCTATTACGCTTTTCTAGTCTTTGCTTGCCCGCTCACTTCTCCAATTTCGCCCACCCAATGTCCCGCAAGAACCCCAAGCCGCTTCCCAAGTTTGAAGTGGGTGAGTGCGCGCACGTCTTGTGCGCCTGACCACCGACTGCGCACGACAAGCGAACGAGCACTGACAGCGAACCCATCACACAGGCGAACACTATGTCATTCTACACGGCCTCGGGGAAGGCGCGTACGGCACCGTCGCGGCTGCGCTGCACAAGCCCTCTGGAAGAGAGGTCGCTATCAAGAAGGTCCTCCCTTTCGAACACACCCTTTTTTGTCTCCGCACACTACGAGAGCTCAAGCTCCTCAAGTTCTTCTCCGAGTCATGCGTCAACGAGAATGTGCGTAATGGTCACCGTTCTGTGCCAAAGGCGTCCTAACGTCACGATCGGTTCTCTGACTTCAGATCATCTCCATTCTCGACATCATCAAACCTCCTTCGATAGAAGAGTTCAAGGAGATCTACTGTATGTTCACCTCTCAGCGAAGGTGCCGTTCAGTGCTGACGATGAGGCAGTCATCCAGGAGCTTATGCAGACTGACCTTCACCGCGTGATCCGTACGCAACAACTCACAGACGACCATTGCCAGGTACGCTTGATGCGTTCAGCCTAGCTGTATCTCCCTTCGCTCACACTGCATCACCCGATCAGTACTTCGTCTACCAGACACTGCGTGCCCTAAAGACGATGCACTCGGCGGACATCGTGCACCGCGATCTCAAGCCAGCCAACCTGCTCCTCAACGCGAACTGCGATCTCAAAGTATGCGACTTTGGCCTTGCGCGGAGCACACGATCCACGAACCCCGGTGGGAAGGAGGTCGGCCTCATGACGGAGTACGTCGCAACGCGGTGGTACCGTGCGCCGGAGATCATGCTGTCCTTCAAAATGTATACCAAGGTGCACTAGGTTCCATGGCGATCGCGATCAGCTGACTCACTGTATCATTTCACTCCTCCCGCACATGCACGCAGGCCATCGATATCTGGGCCGTGGGCTGCATTTTGGCAGAGCTACTCAACGGGCGCCCACTTTTCCCCGGCCGTGACTACGGGCACCAGCTCGACCTGATCCTAGACGTCATCGGTAGGCACTTTCGCTGTCAGTATCATTTCATCTTACTAACACCGTCGTTCGTTGGCAGGGACACCAACATTGGAGGAGTTCTACGGCATCACGTCGCGCCGGTCGCGCGACTACATCCGCGCGCTGCCCATCAAGAAGCGGCGGTCATTCACCGCGCTCTTCCCCAAGGCCTCGCCGGAGGCACTAGACTTCCTCGCAAAGACGCTCGTACGTCAACAGCTTGCGTGTCCGTGACCGCTTGGCTGATGATGCGCGCCCGTTCCGCGTCCGTTTCCACTGCCAGACCTTCGATCCGAAGAAGCGCCTGACTGTCGACCAGGCGTTAGAGCACCCCTACCTCTCCGCATATGTACGCGTATTATTTGTGAGCAGGGCGTACATTTGACTGATCGGCGTGATACTGCAGCACGATCCGGAAGATGAGCCCGCGGTTTCTTCGCTCGACTCGGAGTACTTCGAGTTTGACTGTAAGCGCATCATGTCTTTTTAGTGATCCGAAGCTCAGACGCGTGTTGGCGGATAGATCTCGACTTGAACAAAGACGAACTGAAAGGTTCGTATTCGTGCTGCAATTCCGAGGCGTTCCCTGACCGTCTTTTCTTGGCAGAACTGCTGTATGCGGAAGTGAAATCTTTCGTGCCTTGTATTTGATGGACCGACCCAACAAGTAGTCACAGCACAAGCTCTATCAGGCGTAGACGCCGCCGATGGCAGTCTTACCTGCGCACATAAGCTCGTTGCATGTCACCCACTCTATGTGATACCTGAAGATGTATACCGCACACTGATCGATACGCTGTCCATGTCGTTATTATGATCCCAGTATTTATTTGCCTCACTTTGGATAATAGAAACATCGAGAACGCACGCACAATGTAAAACTACGTTTACCTTTGCTCTAATATATACTGCAGCAACATCTCCTGTGCCAAATTTGCGCGCGAAGGTCACCTCAGCATGAGGCTGCCTTCATCACACTGACATTGAGTCAATGTCCGGAGATTGCAACGAACTCATATTCATGCAGGGCAATACTGCGCCCCCTTGAACATCCTGTCTGCCGCGGTTCCTGAATTTTAACATTGTGTGAGCGTAATTGACATAAGAAACTAGGGCGGGCTTTTACGATGAGCTGGTGTGTGGGACCGTGTGGCACTGGAATGTCCTATTCAGCAGCCGACCCTACAGACTCGGCTTGATGTCATAGTTGAGCAGGAGGTGTGCTATCAGCGATTTCATGATGTAGGACGCGATGAACCTTCCTGGCTATGTGAGTTGTATACATGAGCTCCTCCAAAGGCGGGGTATGCGTAGGAGCATTCACACTGTAGATGATGGTTAGTCTACAATGTACACGAAGGGAATGAGAGATTCTGGCTAGAGCTCACTAGCGATGTTTGCTATAGCCGAATACTAATTAGTGGGATGACGTCCGGATCATGAGGACCCCCGAATATTGGGGAGGAACCATGATCCCATTCCGGACAAATCTGGGCGATTTTGGACCCTGATCCCTGATCTTTTCCCGGACAAAACCAGTCTGTCGTAACCCTCATCCCTGGTATGATTTCCGGACATACTCCGGCCAATGCCGGAAGCCTGATCCGAAGACGGACAAGTCTGCTCCGCGCTTATGCTTGGCCAGGTTTGCACGTCCGCTGTCATGTGACATGCATGCGGACGATCCCACGACGTCGCGTCATGTCGTGCTCGAGGATAATATATTGAATGTTAGTATTTCTGCACTCTGTACATGTCTACTTATAGTATCAAAATGTGGGCTCATTAGCGGCCGGTATTCTAAGTGCCTCTCGTTTGCGCACATTTCGTCAGATTTTTTTTTGCCATCTATATAGTTCACATCACATAACTACAGACGAGTGCATTCTCAGACTCGACAATGCTACTTTTTCTGAGCACCCCAAGCTGCCTATCTCATATCACGGCAGTGAAAATGCTTGGTGCTGCGCGCAAGAAGACAAAGAAAGCGGCCACCTCTAAAATCACACAGGTCCAGGGGACAAAGGTGCTTGAACAGAGTTCATATTGCGAAGCTACATAGCACAAGTATGAGTGTCCAGTCCACATAACGATGTCAGAATCGAAGTCGGGGGCGAAATTGTGTTTCTGGGAACCCTGATCCATCATTTCCGGACAAATCGCCGATTTTCGACACCCTGGTCCAAAAAGATACAAATTCCGGACATTTTTGCCTAAATCAGGCCGCAGCCTGATTTTTTCCGGACATATCAGCCCGAAAATCGGAAATTTCTGCCGTACAAATCGACCAACTTTTGAGAAATTGGGATCAGGGTTCCCCCCCTATATTCGGGGGTCCTGGATCATGCCGCTGTTATTTGCTCTTACCGTCTCGCCCTGCCTCTGCGACCCCTTGGTCATGGCGAAACGCGTCGACTGCCATTGGATCCGGATAGTACTCATCATCACGATGGACCGCGTACGTCACGGCATTAGAGAACCCGCAGGGACGGTGCCATCGCAAAATGAGTGGTCTCGCATGGCCTTCTTGGGCACGCTCACTGCATGGCCTCAGTCAGACATCGGCTTGCCGGAAAGTCTAGTGTGGATCTTGCTGAACCCCAGCGAATTGGGGCGTTGCGGCCCCATGAAGAGGCCACCCGTCTTCACGAGTTGATTGATAGCTTCTTTCGTCCTTCCACGCGCCCGGATCACGCGCTCCATTCCCTCTCGAAGTGGCTCGACGCACTGCATATTCGACAGGAGGTTGTTTACTGGATTAATGAGTGTCTGTTTTGGGTTTGTGAGACGAGCAACAAAGCAGAACAGACGGTGCATACCGCGGATCGTCAACGGATGGTCGCCATGCTGAGCGCCGGCTCACGATTCGCGAGCTGGGATCATCTCGGTGGAGCCTAGACTGATGGACGAGTCGCTCCTCGAGACTTCAACTCGGTATCAGGACAGCAAAGGTCGAAATCTGCCAGGCTGTGAGGTGCGCACGATAGCAATACTTCATTGATGATGAAGTACGATGAGTTCCCAGATGTTTCAATGATACCGAGTCGGCAGTGACACTGATCGTTGAGCATGAGCGGAGGGCTGTAGGGTCTTAACTACAGAGCAAGTGGGTAACTCTTTTGGGAAGCTGAATGTATTGGTGGCTTGTCGACTGAGAAGATAACTGGGCGGAACCGATTAGAACCACGGTTTAATTCCTGATCTGATCGCTGAACGTCAGTTCATGAGCCTCTTCCATATGCACTGAAGCAAATTCCGTAAGCACCTGGCAGTTCAGTGTTGTATCGTTGATATCCTGTCTTTCACGACCCGATGGTCTGTATGCCGTGCGCCTTTCTTCTAATAATAGTGGAGGACCTGTATGCCATCAGGTATTTGTGAACAGCCTGTCTAGTTCCGGAGCTGACACGACGTTGTACGTTTCTAGCTTCGACATCTCAGTGGCGACATCAGCCAGTAGCCTGAGGTTGTTCCGAACAAGTATTATGGCATGGGCCGAAGCAACGTGCCACAAGGGCAAGCGAGATTCGAGCTCTACCGCTTCCTCATGCAAGGGTGATGAAACCCACTCGCATTGCGATATTCACTGTCCTACTGAGGGAACAATGTAAGTGTTCCCTTGTTCGGCATGCATCCTTCAGATGACGATGAGACCTGGACGATGGGTTGCTATCAATTTCACGGAGAAGAAGCATAGCTGGCAGTTCCGTGGACGCTGGCTATTGATATGTATGTGTACTTCGCAACGCGGCACATCCCATATACGGTCCTGAGGTCCATCCGATCGCGCCGTTCGCCCTCACATGGTACGTCGTATCCCATGCAATGATTTTTGACAGTATGATATGATCATGCAGGCATTGCTTGTAGCGGCAACCATGTGATGAACTCTGTACGGGTCTCAAGTCCATTATGGCAGTGTTGTACTCTACAGAGTATAAAACCTCAGGCAGCGAGCTACTGCCCTGCAAGCATTGGTACCTGTAGCCCGTTGCTAGAACGTTCTCGATCCGACTATCTCCTTTCTAAAGTATCATGTCTGCTGCCCAGCTGGCGGAGTACAAAGAGCTGATGCACACATTCCATGTGCTGCAAAGCTCTGACATTTCTACTGGTATGTAATTTGACATTCATATTTCTTCCCGATAATCGTGTTATGGTATGATATTAATGATATTAATTGATAACTATATGTAACAAGCTGCGGCAATGTCTTGGGTCGCTTATGACATTGTTCTGACATTCGGAGAAGAGGTGAGTGTAGTCTACACGATACAACACTTGTTTGTGCACCCATGTTCACATGTAATCTCACAGATAGAGTTCATCTGGAAGTAGGTTTATAGCTCTGGGACACAAGTATAAGAATTCAAAATCATCTCTGTTAGAGCCAAATGGTCATTGCCCAAGTGTTTGTACATTGCTGCACGGTACTATGGCCTGATAACTCTCATGTGAGTAACATCTATACAGTTGTGCAATAAGTTCTCAACCTATTGCTTTAGAGTGTATATTGCAGGTGTGTTGTTTTCTTCTGAGAATCTCTGAGGTCTAATTTTGTCAATTGCCATTATAGTGACACTCCTTTCAAATCCATCTGAAACAGTAAGTTACATAGTATTACTAGGATTTGTGAGATGTTGCTGATAAGACATCAAGCTGTATGGGAATTTGTAACATATATGTTCTATGTCTGATGTGTTTTTCCAGATGTGGAGCATGGCAATGGTTCATTGGACTGTATGTTTATGCTGTTGATTATAGATTCAATGAATTACTGACTAAATGACCCAATGGGTACAGTGGTGTCATATTTTTTGTTGCTGTTGTTGACTTGATATTGTTACTGCGGATTGATGCTTTATATGGCCGAAAAAAGAAAGGTAAAATGATACAGCCAATTCTATAGGTGACTTGTGATGCTGATTATTGCATAGTCTTCATACCACTACTTATTTTGTACATTGGTGAGTCAAGTATATTGTTTATAAGCCGCAAGTCTAATAATAGTTCAAACTGCACAATAGTTGAGGTTGCTGTGAGTTGATGCATCTTTCATATTTGCTATCAGATTTCAAACAATTATTTTGCAGCTTGCAACCAGTGTTGGCATTGTTGTCATCAAGCAAACTGTGCAATTCAGCAAACCTGCATATATTCCTATAACTGGGTGTTATAACAAGCCCCCTGCACATGTTGTTCTATATGCCTGGTATGTTGCACACTGTTTAAGGGCTTACTAGTATGTATAACACTATGTATCCTGCAGGATCCCTTCTCTTGTGATAGCCTGTATGCAGCCTTAAATGTACAATGATTACTTCATTACTAACCTAACAACAGGGATCTTCTATGGTCTCACAGTTTACAGGCTGTTCAAGGAACTGAAGATACAGTCTTGGTTCACTTTCACAGCAGCAAGTGGAGGGGATCATGCAGCTTCCATAATTCACATATTTTTCCGGGATGGATCTATCTGGTTTGGATTGTAAGTACAAACAAGTATAATGTTGTCCAATAGCTGATTACTTGATCAAGGGCATTCTGTGAGATAAAACATCAGAATATTAGTTTATAGTACTCATTATGATGTAGCTGTGGTTCTCATCACAGTTGTATTTCAAGCAGTGGGAGGTGTATTGGTAGCATTAGGTCCACAGTGAGCACTGTAATATCTTTCTGTTCTGACTGGTCTCAAACACTACTATTATTTATAGATGGCTTTGTGCAACATACTCTGTATTGGTTAGTGAGCAATTACTATACTGGTTTCAAATGTTTCAACTTTTCACACAGGGATCCCGACTCATCCTCAATCTTCGGACAGCATCCAAACCGGATGCAAATTTGGATTCCACAGGTCTTTCTTATGCCTCATTCGAAGCAAGAGACAATTTCCAAGTGGCAAGGCAGTCAGGGAATGACACCCTTGAAGATATGGATTTCTCAGGACATGATGATATTTTGATGGAGGAGTTCTGACGCTCTCGATGTTATACGTTCACCTTCGTGATGTTGGGATATTCCTTCTTGACGCTTTCGTATTCCTAGCGGGACCTTGATCTCTGTCGTGCCTTGACGTACTGTACGCCGGTCGATGCCTTCGCTGTCTCGTTTCGAGGGTTTTGAAATGAACAAGTTCGAGAATGAGCATTATTACAAGTCCCTGATGCGATAACGAGGTCAAATGAATATTGTAAACAATGCTTGTCTGTTGGAACAATTGCTTGGAGAATATATACGATACGTTAGTCAATGCGTTCTGAGCAAACATCGTATCTACGTGAAACCGGGTGTCCGGACAGGTCAGCATGCATCGATCGGAATGCAAGATATACACAGGACGTGTAATTTCAAGTGAGTAGTGGTGAGCCGGGAGGCTCAAAAACGCGGCGCCCTTCCCGTCCAGAACCCCGTGGCAACACCCTCGACACCGAAGTCCCCGAACCGTGTATCCGCCTCGAGCTCCGTGCCATACATTGTCCGTTTCATGGGCGCAGCCGGCGTATCCGGCGGAAGAGGCAGCGCAGTCAACCCAAGGCCGTGCCCGACCTCCGTGCTCGATATCGGCGTGGGCTCGGCGCCGAGCTCGGGTACCGTGGCCAACGACGGTGTGCGCATCAGCGCCGCGGGATTAACGGTGCCTTCTGCGCCTGGACTTTCACTAGACTGTGGACGGGACGCCTGTGTAGCAGCGGAGCGCGGCCGCCTGGGTGGGCCCAGTGGGTGGAACAGATCATTGCGTTCACGCCTACCGCCACGATCAATATACCCACCTATAGGGCTTGTAGTCGCGCCGGGAGTGGGTGAGATTGGGGGCTCGGGGTATATGAACGACGGCATGGTTTCGCCATACGGGCCAACGGGCGTAGACGTGACCGGAGGGAACATTGGATGGCTAAAAGTGAAAGTGAACGGAGTAGTAGTAGCCTGTTGAACGTTCTCGTTCGCGTTTGCCGTAGCAGTCACAGGCCCGTGACCATTCCCGTTGCCGACAGGAGGGGCGAATCCGGCTGGCGGCAGGTCGAGGTAATCCGATAAATTCGGTGGGGGATCACTATACGTCTCTAGGAGTTCTTGTTCTTCTGGTCCACTAAACACGGTGAATGCGGGCCGACTAGGTGCGGGTGCGGGTGCGGTGTCCTCGAGAGGCGGAGACTCGTGAGAAGAAGACCGTAAACCACCCGGCACCTTCGGACTAAGTTTTGCACGTTTCTTCGTAGGTCGAATCACGCCTTGCTCAAGTTCCTTCTCGCCTGTTTTGCCTGCATCGGCGGCCCCTGTGCCAGGGCTATCATCTGAATCCCTTAGCCGCTTGCCCAGAAGACTCTGAGACAGCCCAGCAGTGGACGGATTAGCCGTCTTACCGCCTTGTACAGTGGGCTCTGATGGTTGGTCGTCGACTTCCATGGGAGAAATTATCGTTGGTGGACTGCTGTGCTGGTCTCTGATGCAACATGTCAGTTGAATTCATTATCGTAGTAATAGAAGAGCTTACATCGCGCGGGCCTTCCCTGCGCTTTTGGCAGATTGACGGGGAGACGAAGAAATCGCGCCTGCGAATGCAGCCTCCTTGAGAGTTTCGATCTCAGCTTCAAGCTGTGCTATACGGCTGGTCTCGGAGCGGAGCCTCTCGACTTCGGACGTTAGTCCTGACAGCTGTGTTTTGAGTGTCTGAATGTCAGCCACCTGCAGGGTCAGCTGTTGCAATTCTGCCTGCAGCGACTGCATTTGTTGCTTTAGCGGTTGCATCTAGAATTCTATGGTCACAATCGAGACCGGTTACACTGAGTGAAACATACTATTGCATCCGTATAATGGTTAGACTCTTCAGGTATGCGAGATGATGAGGCGCCCTCTCCTCCGAATAGGCTACCCTGAGGAAGGCCCAGGTCATGCTGCGTCCCCGACGGACCCGCCACAGCGGCTTTGTGAGGGTCGAGAATGAGAACACGAGGCGCAGTATCCAAGTCAAAGTACAAACCTTCTGCCTCTGTAGGTTCTAAAATACACGCGGTTAATGAGCGAGAAATGGCAGCAAAGTCGACTACGTACCCTCTTCCTCCTGAATGGGGGCTTCCGATGGCTTGATACTCCTACTCACTTTCCCCCGTGGTGTTTTCGGGACACTCAGCGACCTTGTAATAGCGCGTGCACCACTCCCCCCTGCTAGGGTTGGTCGACCAACACCTAGACGATATTGTGTTTGTTTCGCCTTTCTTATACGAGGAATGTTTGAGGGAGGGAGGCGTGGCGTAGGGGCGGGGGGTACAGAACTCCGAGCCGCCTGTTGACCTTCCGCTGCAGTCTCTTCTTCGTCGTCAGTGTCATGTATAATGACGGAACTGCCTGACATCCCTCTCGGGCGAGAGTCGATTGTGGAACGACTGACAACCCTGATAGAAGCCGACCGCCTTGCCTGTGTGTCAGGGACTGGACGAGTACGCGGTTGCATAGTATCCAAGAGTAGGTCGACAAGGGCCTCAGACTTTAGGTTGGCTTTTATCCCGTGGTCCTGACGGCGAACTCAGTCGGTAGGTTCCACGGCGAAGCACAAGCAATGGGACACACTTTGCATAGTTTCTGGAGATCAACTCGCTTCATGTTCTCCAAAGTCTTGCGATCAAGATGTAAGGCCATGTTGGCGAAAGCCAATGGCCGCGTCTGAGGGAGAAGAAAGCAAGAAACAGGCTGCAGTAGCAAATGCAGCGGAAAGAGGCTGGTTCGGGACAGGTTGGATTGTATGGCCTCACGAGCGACCAAACAACGCGACGCGAACAGACTGACACGTGATCAGCATGGGCCACAGTTTCCCCCTTCTTTCTTCCTTTTTTGGCAAGCTGCGACGCCATGCTAACCGAGTGAAAGTTCCGACCCGGTTCTAAACCAATATGACTGCTGGAACATTGAACTTACTCACTTCGTGGGCATTGCTTCGTGCATCCCTCTGGTGTTCCGAACACTCCCTTTTTGGACATGATGCACGAATAATCCCCTGCGAGACTTCGAAGTCGAGTTGAGAGTAATCTTTCGAACCTTGGTTGCTCCGGTCATCTTTGTGTCGTGTCCCGGTCCGTGTAACCGCGAACTCTGCTGCTCGTCGGTGGCTTATCGAAACGGAGAAGGCCTCAGGATAGGCAGTGAGAGTTGTTTATAACCCATGTGCATGATCACCTGCTAGGAGGGGTCCCGACGCCGTTCATACATGCCGTGAACGATTGCCGAGCGGTTACTGGGGCGTGTTCGCCTGTCCGAAAGCTTTCTCTTTGCTCTGTTCCTTGTCAGTGCTGTGGACATTTCTATGGCTCGCGTGTGGTCGTTGAGCGAAGTTGCACGGCACAATTCACCCAGGTGAGTTGTTACTAAGACTAATAGACCCTCGCCTACCTCGCCTACTCATCGCTTGCGTAGTTCATGTTGGGTGATAATCAGTGACAGAGTATACGATGTGACTGAATTTCTGCCTGTAAGTCCCGTACTCAGGTATTGTGCGAGCTCGAGTCAACTCGCACCTATGTGCAGGAGCACCCGGGAGGGGCCAAAATCATCCTGAAGTATGCCGGGCGTGACGCCACTGCAGCGTACGAGCCAATTCATCCCAAGGATGCACTTGAAAAGAATCTGTCACCAGAGAAGCATTTGGGCAGCATTGATAGCACTGGAGCTAGGGAGCTCAAAGAGGAGCAAGCCTCACGTAAGAAGACTCAAGACGAAATCCGCGTGGAGCGAGCCAAGGCAATAAAGCGGCCTATCAATCACATTCTTAGTTTACAGGACATGGAGGTAAGATTTGAGCAGGTCCACGCGAAACCTAGACAGCAACATAAAAGGTTAATTTTATCAGAACGTCGCCCGTGAAGTACTGTCCCACAAAACATGGGCGTTCTATAGGTCCGCTGCAGACGACGAAATCAGTGCGCATATATGAATCACGGACTGGTAATCTCCGCTGATTGACCATCTACACAGCGTACAATGAGAATCGACTGGCCTTCTCCCGGTTCTTTTTCCACCCGCGTGTCCTGAGACCCATCTCGAACGTCGACCCTTCCACGACCATATTGGGGTTCCCTAGCTCGCTGCCGATATTTGTCAGTGCTGCATCACTGGGCAAGCTTGGGCATCCCCTTGGTCAGTAGGACATGTCCATAAGCTCCTGCTAACCAACTTACATACTGCCTATGGAAGGTGAGGTCAACATCACCCGCGGCGCAGGACGTACCGGCATCATACAGATGGTGTCCACCTACTCGTCATGCTCTCATGCAGAAATAGCGGCAGCCCGTGTCAATGCCTCTCAGCCACTTTTTCTCCAGCTGTACAAGGATAAGAACAGCCCCGTGTCAGAGAAACTACTGCGAGATGTCGAAGGGCTTGGCTACAATGCAATTTTCCTCACAGTGGATGCGCCCCTTAACGGGAACCGCGAGCGCGATCTCCGCGCGCCTTTCGAGCTCGAGGAGCAGGAGCGGTTGGTCGAAGAAGCAAAGAATCCCATGGGCAATGCGGGCGAAATGCCCGAGAGGCCAGAAGATGCGGACAACACACTAGTGGAAGGTGAACTGGTCCTGATTGGTACATCTGGAGGGCTGCGGACTACCGGCGATTTGGACCAGTCATGGGAGGTGGTAAGATTGACCGTGAGCTGTGGGCGCAATGCAGGATTCAGAAATACCTTTAGACACTGCCGTGGCTCCGGAGAACGACAAAGCTTCCAATTGTTTTGAAGGGTGCGTACTATGGCTCACATTCCACATAATGCCGTTAATGCCACGACTAGGCATTCAGACTGTTGCGGTGGGTTCGGCCTCTTCGTGATATGTGCGAATGGCAAAACTGAAAGACGATCATAGGATGCTGTCAAGGCGGTTGAAGTCGGCGTTGACGGAATATTGCTGTCTAATCACGGTGGTAAGTGCAATCCACTATTGGAAAGGACGGACCCTGAATCCTGCACGCAGGTCGACAGATGGAATAGTTAGTTTCTCGAGGTGCATGATACTGCGTGTTTCTCACTTTTAGCAGCTCTCTTCCGCCGCTGGAAGTCCTCTATAGAATTCGTAAAGAGCGTCCAGACGTTTTGGATAAGATTGAAGGCGAGCATTCCACCTTTTAACCCGTCGGGACCGAGTACTCAATCATAGGTTCTCCAGTTTACATCGACGGCGGCGTGCATCGCGGCACAGGTAATGGAACCCATATAAATCGCAGACGTCTTATTCATTATTTCATATGTTAGATGTGTTGAAGGCACTTTGTCTCGGGGCCAAGGCTGTCGGTCTTGGGCGGGCATTTCACTTTGCACTCAGTGTATGTTTGACACGGTCCTTCACGGCCCCTTGGTGCTGATAGATAATTAGGCATATGGTGAGGCTGGCGTTGTTCAGACAGTGCGCATTCTTCAGCGCGAGATCATTCTCGGAATGCGATTGCTGGGTGCAACTCGTTTGAGCGACTTGACGCCAGAGATGGTCAGTTATTCTGCAACAATACAGTTTTCTAGGTGTCTTATAGGTCTCACGCCGTATAGGTGGAGCGTGTTGACTGGCAGCCATTCCTCTCGAAGTTGTGATGGGGTCGTCTACACAGCTGCGTCGTGACGCTACCACACGCTTGGCGATCCGACTGTATGTTTGTTACCTTGTGTGGATGAGGTCTCGTCTACGATGTATGTAGAGTGACTATAGACTGAGCTTGATGTGTGTCGTCCGTTTTCTGAGAGACAGCATTGGCGCCTTGACGGAAAGACCGGGCCGCTAAACATAGCGTTGGTAAATTGTGCGACTGGTTCAGTACGTACTGAAGCTTGTCCATTGGCAACGCGGCATCACATCATCCAGTGACTCAGTGACCCCCTCGAATGGTCATGGTCATGGGAGCGCATAAATGCCACAATTCGGTGCTTTCTTGTATCTCCGGGCAGCCGAATGCCCCGTAAAGAAGACGAGACACCTACGACCGGTTCCGTCTCGCGCACCCATCGGCAGTGGTCCCGACATTAATATCCACGATTGTCTCGCCAATCCCACGACCCCTTCCTGTCCTCACTCACAGGTTAATCACGCAACAATTCAGAAAGAATTTGAGAGTAGCTATGTCGCGAACCCATTCATTACAGGACGTTGCTCAGCACAACTCGGCAAGGTACGCCCGCACAGTGTTTACAGCCTGCTTTCGGCGAGTGATCATTTGCGGACAAAATAGTTCCTGTTGGGTCATTATCAGTGACAAGGTCTATGATGTTACTGATTTCTTGCCTGTGAGTTTCGCGGGATACAGTTGTGACGAATGCAGATTGAGTACGCGTTTCTTCGTGCAATAGGAACATCCGGGCGGCGCAAAAATCATCTTGAAATATGCGGGTCGAGATGCAACGGCGGCGTACGAGCCCATTCATCCTCCTGATGCCTTAGACAAGAACCTGCCGCCGGAGAAGCATCTGGGTAGTGTTGATACTTCGAGTGCCAAGACACTTCAGCAAGAACGCGAATCCCGGAAGAAGACCAAAGATGAGATTCGTATGGAGCAGGCTCAAACTAGGAAGCCTCAAATCAACCAAATTTTGAGTCTGCGGGATATGGAGGTCAGTGGCTTCATTCGTCAGTCACTGAGCCGCAAGCTTCATGACGTCGCTTTGCTCAGAACGTTGCCCTCAATGTGATTTCCTACAAGGCGAAGGCATACTATTATTCTGCTGCTGATGACGAACTGAGTACGCTGTCGATCCCCCTTCATGGTTATACAAGCACAACTGAGAAGATTTATACAGCGAATGCCGAAAATGCTCGTGCCTTCTCTCGCTTCTTTTTCCACCCACGGGTGCTCCGGCCAATATCAAAAGTCGATGTCTCCACTAGTATCCTCGGTATCAAATCGTCTATACCAGTGTTCGCCAGTGGAGCTGCGCTTGCTAAGCTTGGACATCCCCTCGGTATGCCCTCTCTCGTTGAGTCGCTGTTACGTTCTCTTCGACTCATACCTTGGTTCCGCAGGCGAAGCCAACATCACTCGCGGCGCGGGCCGTACCAACATCATCCAGATGGTATCCTCCAACGCGTCCCTCTCGCCCTCACAAATAGCGGAAGCCCGTCTGTCGCCCTCGCAGCCGCTCTTCTTCCAGTTATACAAGCATGGGGACAACCGCGTCGCAGAACAGCGAGTGCGCGAGGTCGAGAACCTCGGGTACAGGGCCATCTTCTTAACTGTGGATGCACCTGTCTCGGGTAACCGTGAACGCGACATTCGCGCGCCATTCGAACTTGAGGAACAAAGGCGCGAGTCGGACACGTCTACCGCTCCCGACGCCCAGAGGACGACTGGGGAGATGCCGAGGCAACCCGAAGATGCTGAGAAGGAGTTGGATAATCAAGTCAATTTCTTCGGAACTGCGGGCGCACTCTTGGCGAACATGGATCTGGACATGACGTTCACCAAGGTTGGTCAATATCTTTACAACCTTTGAAAACCCCTTATTCATGAGTACTAGACAATTCCTTGGCTCCGTAGCGTTACAAAGCTGCCCATAGTTTTGAAAGGTAGGCTTTGAACATCTTGTTGTACGAAGCGAGGATATTGAATATCAAATAGGTATTCAGTGTGTCGCGGTGAGCAGGTCAGCCATTGCACCCAGTATTATCTTGACGGGCCAGCGGGACAGGACGCTGTGCTTGCCGCAGAGGCGGGTGTAGACGGCATACTACTCTCAAACCACGGCGGCGAGTCTACATACACTAATCGCGTCGTCTTGCCATCCTAATTTCCCGGTTGCAGGACGCCAGCTGGAATAGTAAGCCCTCACATCCACATATACGCAAAAATAGACACCCACATAGGTCTTTAGTTCGCTACCGCCTCTAGAAGTCTTGTACAGACTGCGTCAGCAGCGTCCAGATGTATTCGACAAGCTGGAAGGTCGGCTATTGCGCCTCATCTAGGTAGGTATCTGGCGTTAACGTTTCATCATCATCAGTGTATATCGATGGTGGTGTACGCCGAGGAACAGGTATGCCATACGTGCCTGTCCTACCATCTTTATCTAACAAAAATACACCCGCAGACGTGTTGAAAGCGCTATGCCTGGGTGCGAAAGCAGTCGGTCTCGGGCGACCGTTCTTGTACGCGCAAAGTGTAGGACCCTCATGCGCTCTGACGTATCGGCGTTACTCACGGCTCATTTCCAGGCTTACGGCGAGGCTGGCGTCGTCCAAGCTGTGCGTATTCTTCAGCGCGAGATCGTCCTCGGAATGCGTCTTCTGGGTGCGACGAGTGTCAGCGAACTGGTTCCCGAGATGGTGAGTATTTTTTAGAAGTAAGTATTTGTCATGCCGGCTCATCGGGCCTTTGGCGGATGTGCATAGGTGGAGAGGGTGGACTGGCAACCACATCTCGCCAAGCTATGAGCAACAGTGTATCCGCGATCTATGCGCGAGGGTTGTATGGATTCCACGAGGTTCAAATGTATTGTTGTTACGACCCTGTTACCAGAGGCTCTGTGCATAGCCGATAGCGGGCTGAAGCTTACAAAAAGTACTAATGCTATGCAACGTGAAGCGTGAGATGCCTCAAGGTACCTCTCCAATTCATCATAAAGTGAATCATGGTGATGCTGGCTGATTTCAAACAGCCCACGAGTGTATATTATTCACCCAGCGAACAAGTGAGTGTCCAGTTATACGACTATGCATAGCAATATAGCGATGCCTCGCTGCGGCACGCTGTCGCTGTTTTGAAACAATTGAGAACGGCGACTGACAGGGCAGGACAAGACTTGTATTGTCGCTGTGCGTGGTGTTTACTGTGTCTCCATGACCCCAAGGGGAGACTTGCTGCATAGTGCGTTCCCACATGATGGGTATATGCTAGGAGCCGTGCCTAAAATAGAGCTATAGATACAACTGGTAAAGATGTGACTCGATGAGACCAATAGGAGCAGATATATGGTCATACATGTTATAATGATACATTTTTTCGTTCTTCATGACAGCTGTGAGAAGCGAACAGTTAGTGTCCCGTGCCACTGTGACAAATTGGCGGCTCACTGGGAAGGGGGCAACCTCATCTAATACCTTCGCGGCGCCCTGAACGATGATCTCCCATTCAGTCTTGTGCAACCTGTCTGCAAAGCTCTCCACGGAGTCATCTTTCTTGATCTCGATCTCCCGCACAAGCAAGGGCTCTCCGCGATCTACTTCCTTGACCACGCGGTGGACCATGACCCCCGAGTGTGAGATTTCGCCCTTCTGGAAAGCCTCGTACGCTCTTTCGATGGCGTTCGCACCGTCGAAGGCACCAGGCAGCGCAGGGTGAAGATTGATGACTGGGATAGGCTTCTCCACCTTTTCTTCGCCCTCAAGTACTCGGTCGCCGTTTATCACATCGAGAAATCCGTCACCCATAATATGCATCCAGCCAGCGAGGACGACCAGGTCCGGCTTCTCCCTGATTATGATTCGGGCAACTTCGACATCGTAGTCATCCCGCGTTCTGCCCGGATTGGCTTTCAGGAAAGGCTGGAGGGCAAGGTAGGCGGTGGGTATCGGTGGATCTGCCTGAGATGCTCTGGTAAGGCCATATGCGGCCTTGCGGTTGGAGAGCACGAGTGATATGCGTGTGTCAGGCAGAGCCGGAGTGTTCTGTGCGTCAACGAGGGCTTGCAGATTAGTGCCTGCAGAACTCCTGTCACGATATCTAGACCGAGTTTGCTGGAGAACATACCTGAGCCCGAGATGAGGACTACTATGCGCCTCTGCGTCGAAGGCTGTACATGAGACATGAGGGCGGGGTAAGGACGCGAGTCGCAGAGACCCTCATACTCAAAGCCAGATCTAGAAAATCGCGATCGACTGCACGTGGTCGCGACGCGATCGGCTGGTAGCGCTTCATTCGACCTTAATTTCCTCGCTAATTAATGAAAGCTCCGCAAATGAATAGCTTGAGACTGAGGACCTACTTCTGCACCGTATATGATGACAGCAGACTACTCTCAAAGTTGTGCTTTAGGCGTATGCTCTTGGGCTCGGCTCAGGTATGTGTTCCATGTGCTGATCCCTGCCGGTCCGGTTGCTCACACTAACCATGATTCGCCTTCTCATAGCCGGGCTCCTCGTTGATCATCGTGGGCAGGTCAGCATGTCGTCGGGCGAGGATGATCATGGGTGCCTGGTATCAAGCAAACAAATCACCGTCGTGACGTTTAGAGGATAAGCGCTCTGGAATTCCCCCTCCGATTTTGTCCCACCCTGGTCGTCAAGGCTGAGGGGCAGGCCTGCATCTCACTCATCTTCTCCTTTCATATTCGTTCTCTGTCCAACTTTCTCTTTCTTCGTCTGAACACGAGACTGCAGGACGCCACGCTCTCTCTGCGGTACCGAAGTCTCGCTGCCGCTCGTACCCCTGCTGACGCTGCGCCCGGGGCGTGCACTATCTCGCGCGTCGATCTCGTGGTGCTCTTCAGCCGGACTGACACAGCCTGCGAATTCATCCACGCTGGTCTTTCATTCATTGCTCCCGCTGGATTCCTACGAATCCTCGCCGCAGGGTGCCTCGCTAGCGTGACATATTCTGTCATTTCTTTGAATTTCGACAGCGTTCCAAACAACTAGTGCGCGCATGGCTGGAATTGCGGCCGCGTTCAAAACTCTGAGCGATGATCACATTGTGGGTGCTACATTCTGGCTGGCGAATTTCTGACTCATGGCCTTCGCAGGTCCAATATCTTCTCGCGGACGTTCCATTCTTTTGTGTGGGGATTTTGTCCCTCGGCGTATTTACCTTCTTCGTCTTCATGAAGCGTGCAGATAGGTATGCCTCTCCACGACGTTAGTCTCAATTACTCACATGATGCACCAAAGCGTTTTGTTTGCACTCCACATGGCGGTACTTGTCGCGTTCATAGCTGCAATTCTCGACCTTGTGCAGATGCTTCTCCGCGGCTCAGATGATGTGGACAAGGCCATTGGGCTCAAGGGCGTTGAGGGGCTTATCGTCGCTCGAGAGGTAGGTTTTGCGCTGTCGTTCGGCCTGCGCTTTCTGTTTTACTGGGGCTTCGTCGCCCAACCAATCCCAGGCGAGTCACCGGCTGTGAACGGTGCAAAGCACAACGGTAGCTGGGGCCGTTGGGGCGTGTTGGGCATCATCTTGGAAATGTTTACTCTAACATTGACTCTTGTCATCCCTGTCCTGCAAATCCTCTACCGGAACATCGTCGTGCTTTACCGGATCGGGGCGTTATACGAGGTGGAGGCTGCTCTCCAGATCGTGCTGTCTGTGATCTTCATCTTGAAACTGCTCCTAAATTGCTGGATTCGAAAACTGGCGAACACGAGCGTGATCCCGACTAGATACACCCTAGCGAGTTACTCACCAGTCATCACCGCCCTCCTGCTCAGCGGCTTGATCGGTATTGGAAATGCAGCAATGTGTACGTCCGTTTGAACAGATCGTTCATAGATATCCAGATAGCTCATCAACCTTGCATGCTGCAGTCGAATTTACGGAAACCGTACTAGGGCGATTTCTCCAAGCCATCGAATTTTACATCTTGATCGTATACATGCTTTCGAGCGCGTTTTACCATCTTCGTCGCCGCTCCTGGTGTCCCAAGCGTTCATCCATCGTGGACTCCAAGTCCTCACCCGATTATATGGCGCAAGTAAACGTGCCGGAGGGAGTAATTTGTATCACCCCGCCCGTCATCTCCTCTCCCGATCTTCTCTCTGTTGTCGGACAAGACGTGAACAGTTTGACGTCGCGTCTAGCCATTGCCCCGCAAGGGTCTGCTACCTCTCGGATGTCGTCTTGGTTTAACGTCAGTAGGATCTCCGAGCGCCTTTCTGGCCGAGGAAATTCATCATCTCCACAACAGGATGAAGCTCGTCTATGGAGCCAGGATCAGGCAGAGCGAGGGTACTCTCTGGACGGCCGTGACTTGAAGGACGGACATCGCGATTCGGGCATTGACCTCGATACACCCCAGTCTTATAACGCAAGCCAGCCGTTGGGTACCGCGAAGTGGCAGGATCCCGTGTATACCTCCGTGATAAAGTCTTCCTTGGCTTCAACCCCGCCAGCGAGCTCAACGCAGCAGTATTACGTTCCTCGCGTCGTGTCTCCTGAAAGCCAACGCACCAAACCGAGACTTTCCCCGGAGTTGGCTAAAATCACCATCCCCGAGCGCACCTACACCCGCCAAGGCGCTACTGAGAGGCAGCATACGTCGCCCACACCGTCCATATACGAGTCGCCGCCGTCCATGTACGGCTCCCCACTCTCGGGTGTGGACGACATTGTGCGCAGCATCGCGAGCTTCGACAGCCGCACGCTCGATTTCCCCCCGATGCGCTCTAATCGTGACCCCTCCGACGCGCCGCTGTACTCTGCGCGCTCATCGCACGTCTCAGAGCTCATCCGCCAGCAGGCGGAGCTCGACAAGTCGATTGAGGCGCTTCGGCTGCTGTCGCCCGCGGAGAGGAGTTTGTTGTCCAGCGACGAGGAGGGGGGCGGCGTCACGCGCTCACAGAGCGACCTGTCGCTGAGCAACTTCCCCGAGCCACCTTGGGGCCGCGCGAGTGACAGCAGCACGATCTCGATGATGCCCCCACCGGTGCCCCCGCTTACCATCAAGAAGACAGACCAAGCGGTGATCGCAGAGGCCGTTGATCGTGGTCAGGCGTCACGTATGCTGGGACCCACAGAAGAACAGCCCCCGGATGTCGCGGAGGACCTGTCTGATGAGCTGGAGTCAGCATTGCTCAACAATAGAAGCCGTATCAACTCCGGAGGAACTCAATACGAGATCACGTCGTTCATTGGCGGTTAGTCTTTTGTGAGGAATTGATCAGTGAGGGGTCTGACTGAAAGAATGTTTCCTGCAGGGTTGACGCGACATGACGGCCAAGAACTTGGCTCATTCTCCTCACAGTCCCTCACACAAGGCGGCCAACTCATACCACCTAAGGCGCCTTGGAAACACGGCCCCTCAGATAGCTTCGAGTCGCTTCGCTCAATGCAGCCTTCGATCGTAATCGAAGATGCAGAGAGTACTATTCCGTTGCGAACAGCAGACATTCCCCACTCAGGATCTCCTCCAAAACTGGCTTTCTCTGCTGTTCGTTTCAGCAGGCCAGTCGGGCTGCCCCCGCGGCCACGCTTACAGTCAGCGGACGTGCTAAGCCCTGTACCTGAGACCCCATCGAGTCGATAACCGGCTCGGGTAGGCACAGCGCGTCCCAGCTGCGCATTCGAGTCCTAGCTGTCCACTGGTGGCATTTACTTCGTTACATCCGCACGGACGGAATTTACCCGTTGGCATTGGGCTTTCATTATTGGAGTCTTCCTTTCCTTCCTGATGTGTTGGAGAAATGATAGTGTACTCTCTACAAATAGTAGTCATGGTTGGCAACCCCAGCGCGTCCTCACTGGAGTGGTTTGTATGATTGTCTTGCCAAGCTGTTTGTAGTTTCGATCTCGTCTTCGACTGTATGGCTGTAAAATGTATCCGTGCGTCTCATAGCATGTGGACGACGACTGAGATGTGTCATGTCGGCAAGCGCGGGGTGAACAGAGCGACGATCGCGTTGCACGTGGGCGGGCACGGATGCGCATGACGTCACGCGTCACCCTTGCGGCGTGCATCATGGCACTGCGCTTAACCTGTCGCAACCCCTTTCTCCTTTCCTATCCAACCTTTTCACTATGTCGACGTTTCCGGATTACTACAAGTTACTTGATATCCCGCATAGTGCAACGGCAGACCAGATTAGACAAGCGTACAGGGTGCAGTCACTGAAGTGAGTTCTCCTGACCGCCGATGCATGGTTGCGGCTCATCCATGTAGTGGTGCAGGACACATCCGGATCGTTTGACCAAGGCAACCGTGGAAGAGAAAAAGGCTGCGACTGAGCGTTTCCAGGTACGTAGTATAATGCTAGTCAACGTATACAAGCAACTGATCTGATCTGAGCATTACAGGCAGTAGCGGATGCGTACTACGTTCTCTCCGATGCAACGAGGAGGAAAGAGTACGATGCGTTGTATGCATCGCGTGGCCCTCAGGAGAAGACCAATGAACCGAACGCTTCGGCTAATTTCTTCTCCGCATTTGCTAGTATGTTCGGTGGAGGCTCATCCTCGGCAGGGAACGCGGGCTCCTCTACCGGAGCAGCTGGTGAGAGGCCTGATGCTGACCATGTATTCGCCGATGTGTTCGAGGAGGTGTGTGCAACTTCTCCCCATAGTCTTTCTGGTACTCACTCCCCTTGTAGCTTTTCACACCGGAAGTTCAGCGCCATGCACCATGGTGGGCTTGGTTTGGAGCGGTTTCTGGCGCTGGACTCGGCTTTATAGTCGCCAATATACCTGGGGCAATGGTTGGCGCATACGCAGGCAATCGACTTGGCGCTATCAGAGATGCGAAGGGGAAGAGTGTAGCAGCCGTGTTCTCTCAACTCGGCGGCTCCCAGAAGGCAGAGGTAAGAACATGCAGCATCTGTTAACACGACCCACTGTTCTGATGTCATTGCCAGATCTTGCGTGCCTTGGCTGCGAAAGTGTTGGGTGCTGCAGCCACCTCGTTCTAAGCCAGACACAAACATTTTGATGACACTTCCATGATATCCCATTCTGCGTCTTACGGGTGCTTACTATCGATTGTACATTATCTTCTACGTACATATTACTTTGGAGTCGAATCCCCTCCGCGCCTAATATGGAATAGTCGCGATGGACGATCAGCGCGTGTTATCTAGCCGAGTGACCTCGAAGTTTATGAATCTGCATTCAGCTAAAAGCAACGAGCGGACATCCACCTCCGACACTGAGCCCTCTGTGCTAGCCTTTGCGATGGTCGACCTCAGCGGGCTGCGCTCAAATCCTCGTCCTTCTGCCAAAGGGGCGGCGTTACAAGGTGCAGATCCGCTTGTAGCAGTGATAGGGATGTCCCTGATCACAAAACATAGTTCGCTGATTTCTCGAGGTCAGCTTCGCGAAGGGCCAGCAGCGTACCCCCGGCGGGGAGCTCGAAAAGGCCTGAATGGCTCGGTGAGTCCGTGATCGATCACGCTCAGGGTCTGCAGCCATTGACCTGGGCCTTTACGTATATAGAGTCGGTTGCGTTGGCCACCCCCAGAAAGCGCAGTGAGCTTTCGCCGCTCCTCTCAGTGAATGCACTGGTGCTCACGAGTGCGTCCGTAGAACTAGCTGCCTTAGCGTCGCACACGGAGAGCAGGCAGTCCCAGGCGACGACGCCACGGATGTCACGTCCTCCAGTTTGTGGGTCCTCCGATCAATACTCATACTTCATAACAGTGTCGTCTAATAATGACCAGCTCAGGACCCACGACGAAGGTTACAGGCTGATGCGCGCACACCGAAGTCCGCGACGAGGAGGTCCACCGCGAACGAGCCTAAAGCAGCCTCATCCACCCTACGCACTACGCGCAAGCGTGCACGCACGTCGTCTCCATCGCCGCAACTTGCCAAGAAGACAAGGAGAGTGTCGCGCACGCAGGATGACGACGATGCAACGGATGAAGACACCGGTCTTCTCACGCCCGCGCCGTCCTCTCAGAGCGTGTCCGTATCAAGGCTTCCCACACGAAGCCAGCGTGCGTCGTCTCGCTCGCGCACAGCTGTACCAGTTCCCACTGCAGGGAACAAGGGCAAGGGCAAGGCGGTCCTCCGTGAAGAGCCAGTAGACCATGAATCTGCCGACGCGAGCACGCCGCAGAGACCCGAGCCAGAGCGTCCGACTAAACGGCGGCGCAGAGCATCCCCCGCTGCCTCCGTCGACGGGGAATTCGGGGCGGGCACGTCGTCGCAACCTGTCTCCCTCTCGCACACGATTGCTGTGGACGGTCGTGGAGACGACGAGGACGTGGGCTCTGAGGACGACGCCAGCTTCCAACTTCTGGACATACCCGAGGTTGCTGCCTTGCCATGGGTCGCCAACACGTCCTCTCCAACTAGCCGGCACCACGCCAGGACAGCCAGCCTGTTCCTGCCGCCCGGCGTGTCGGAGCTCATCGAAGGTTAGTGCCCCTTTGCGCGCGCTCTCCGCTAGCATCCCCAGAATGACACGCTAAATTAATGGCACCACCCTGCCATCACCTTTAGGCATGAAGCGCGCGCTCGACCTGGAGACCAGAGCGCGCCGGCGGGCCGAGGACCGCTACACAGAGGAGGTCCAGAGGCGCGTGGCGGCAGAGCGCGCGACCGCGGCGCTCGTGGAGCAGAACAGGGTGCTCGACGCGGAGACGCGGGTGTGGGCGCAGGCGGCAGCGGACACGTTCGCGCTCTCGCTCGCGTCTCAGATAGCGGATGGACCGCAGGAGTCGGGCTCGACTGCGACGCAGCCGCTCGATGGGGCGGCCGCTGATGGTTCGGCGGACCCTGCAGAACCACCTATGGCGACGTCCTCTGCAGATGCGAAGGGCAAAGGCCGCATGCCGGTGCGCGACTCGCAGACCCCGGTTACAGGGGCTTCGTCTACTGTTCTCGAACGTGCAGCCGGTCAGTCGTGTCCGTTTTGCTATGCACGTGTGTGCTGACTTCCACGCATCCTTGACATTCTAGCTGTGTCGGAGTTCTTTCAGCAATTGGTGCCCTTGCCATCCCGAGATACCCCAGACGAAAGCTGACCGTCCCACATTTGCATCTTAACGAGTACACTCCGCGTTTGGATCTACTGTCGTCTCTGCACAAAAGTATTTCCAATCTACACATAGCTATTTCGATTGCTCGGCGTCGTTATGGACTCCGGAGGGAAGGGGAAGGATACATGAAGGACACCATTCGTCCCTTAATCTCAATACTATTACCAATAGTCTGTGTTCGTAGCCAAACATTTTACCAATCAAGACAGAAGACAGATAAAAATAAGTACCAGGACCACTGTCAAGATATAAAAGACATAAACCTTGGGGATACACGAGATTACGTTTCGCATGCAGTAAGATAAAATAGAAGAGTACGGCGTGTCTTATGTATACAGACGTTCGCTGCGGCCGCGAGGAGGAGGTTCTTGGATATAGCACATTTGTTAACGGTTTGATTTGGATGGGAGATGATGCAACAGTGAGGTCGGGACAGCTGTCGTGATGGAGTCATGCAAGATGCGAGTATGGGAGTGCGGGGATATGCGTGAAATGCAAGAGTCATATTTTGGTTTCCGTTGCGTAGCGCGGTGTGGATTCGGAAGGTGTCAGTGCCAAAGTTCGCCGACTTGGCACTCGTCTATCGGCGGACTAGTGACGGTGGTGGTGGTAGCGCCTTCAGCGAAGTGGAGAGCCGAGTAGTCGTTCAGCCCACATGCGCCGTTCGCCATGGCCAGAGTGAGTGCTGCCACGGCCTTCTCCGAGCGCGACGCCGGAGAGGGAACGTGCGCGGCTGTGGAGACTAACTGAGCGCCGTTCGGGAAGACGAAGGGTGGTGAGGAAGATGGTGACATGTCATGGGGCTGCAGGTGGATGGGGAGGGGAAGCGATATGAGGGAGGAGTTTGTGGAGTTTGAGTAGGCATGCGTGAGGGCGGGCGTGAAGAGGGTTGCCGTGTGCCCCTCGTCGTCAGATGCGCAGGTGGACGGGGCAGCAGAGGCAGAGAGAGGGGAGGAGGAGCGGTCGCTGGTGAGTGCAGGGTGGATGGCGGGCATGTCGACGTCCAGGGACAGGGCGCGCTTCTTGTGAGAGAGAGGCCGGATATGGAAGGGCGCCGATCCCGTGTCACCTGAGACGATCTCGACGTCGTCGTCATCGTGGTTCTCAGCCGCCGCCGCCGCCGCCTCTGATGCCCGAGTCGCGCGTCCCGCCGCCAAGGAGCCGTATTGCACAGACCGGCGCCGCTGCCTGCGTCGCATCTCTCTGTCATTCCGGTGGCGCGAGTTCTCCCACTCGCGCATCCGGTCGACGAGGCCCTCGCCATTCTCGGCGACACTGCGCTGTAACTCGCCGAACGCGTGTGAGCGCATCTGTTCGAGCTCCCCGGCCGTCATCAAGTCATCGTCATGGGAAAACGGCGCGTTGAGTCGAGACGCGTGCGAGGTGCGGCGCGGCTTCCTGCGGGTCCGCTCTGGGAATAGATCGAACGCAGCGGACGTGCTTGGGAGCGCCGGCATCGACGGAAGGCTGGGCGTCCGCTCTTCCACAAACAGGGAGCCGAACGTAGCCCCGAAGGGGTTAGCATACTGCTCTTCCAGACTGCTTCGCGCCTGCTTGCAGTGCGTAAGACGCTGAGGGGCACGAAGGATGACAGAGGCACACTCACAGTGTCTCTGCGAGCCCGCTTGCCCCTCCTCCACTGGTCAACATCCCACTTCTCTGGCGGCTCATCTGCGCCAGGCAGATGTTTGTACGACGGGCTACGCGTGTAGTCCGAGCACGGTCGCGCCCTCTTGACTGCGAGGCGCCATTTCGGATCGTCGGATAGGTGTGCGCCGCGAATGGGGGACGACGCGGAATGGGACCTGCGGCGATGGACGTGCCGACCACTCGACGACATGCAACAAGAAATACGAGGTATGGGCTGAGGCGAGGCGACGGGCGCGAGCAAGATGAAAGACGCGTCGGGATCGAGGGTGGGGGTCGGTCGCGGAGCAGTGGTAGATAATGGCCCGGAATGCGATCGTGCTCGGTTGTTCATTTACATAAGTACACCTCGCCACCGGCAACTCCCGCGGGCCCTTGCGAACCAACAACCGGCTTACAATTACACACTTTCATCCTGACCCCCATCGCCTCCGGCTGCGCCCTGCAACCCATGTTCGTATCTCGGGCCCGATGCAACGCACATGTCTCATTTGATACGTGAGATGATTCCGCTAGGGCCCGCCGGCTGCGGTTATTCTCCAGGCTGTCCGATCCACGGCAGGTCATGGCACAGACATCTTGTGCGCACACCATCGCGGGACGCTGGAATCTTGCCCATAATGGGTTTCTTCTGGTGTGCTCGCCTGGACCGTCGCTCAACGCCACCTCTCTTCTTGGATCGCCCGGTGACCTCTCCATTCCCTGCAGCCCATTCATCGAACCCGCGAACCGCCTCAAACCCGCGCACACGCTTTCCCATTTGCAGGCCGAATTCAGTCTTGTATGACACCCACCTTCTTGGTCGGGTGATTACGCTGGAAGCCTCGCTCTCTGGACTCTGGGCCGATCGCGCCTCAGGCCACCCGCGTCGCATTCTCTCACGCAGGCCAAATTATGTTGTCATGGCCTTCCTTCTCGATTGCTCGCATATAATGCCGCGGGGTTGATCGCGCGGCGATTACATCGAAGCCCTCGTCTTCTGTATCGTCTGCATCGATGCTCAGGGACTTGTGTGCCTCGCGGGCCGCGCACGTTTAGATCAGGTCATGATCCCCACTAAAATACGTGATCCTGCAGGTAGGTGAATGTACCTCCGCTAATTTGGTGCAGATAAGGCTACCGACGGCGCCGGACGTTATACATCAAATACGGCGCGCGCATCTAGTCTGACACAAATGGTAAGTAGAGGGTTGGACAACGGCGCTGCATTCCCGGTTTGCCTATTTGACAGAGCGGCCAGATCATGCACGGGTTGGCTCCAAGGTGGTGCTTGATTTGATTCATTCTTCTATCCATTCAAGCAATTCATTCTCAGAAGATCATGTTACATTCCTTTGGTTCGTCCCAGAGTCATGTATACCGGCGTGATCTCGTAATATCATATACGGGGCATCCAAATTGGCAAGAACCCGGGCAACATGCAGCGGGTATACCGCGTATAAATACACCACTATCACAGAGATGCAAGAACGACAGCTTGTAATAGCCAATACGACGTAAACAGACAAGGCAGTGTACATACCATTCTGGCCAATGTGCAAGCAAAAGCGATGAACAGGCGCGTTAACAATCCGTGTAGCCGTAACCAGAGATATCAGAGTCCATAGTCGTTCCCGCTGAATCCTCCATTCCCACCAGTGAGTTGCCTCACTAGGAACATACCCCTCCCCTCACCATCGCTCTTCGTACTACGCATCCCGATCACAGATTTGGGCCGGGGATACGTGCGCCCAGGTCTCGGGCCATCATGCAGTTTCGTCGGACTAGACGACAATTGTCTCGTAGGGCTCAGACCGCCCCCGGTGAGCTGTCGCATAAGCGATGCGTCCGAACCGCTTCCAATCCCTGTGAATTGGCGCGCTATTGTGGTCGTGCCGGTGTGCTGTGGGGCGATGCCACGGCCTCCTGTATGTGAAGCGACGAGTGGTCCGCGGACTGGAGAGGGTGAGTTGCGCATCTCGGCTGGTAATAGAAGCTGCGGGTTCAATGTCAGATGCGGAATCCTGTAAGTGGTAGATGAATGGATATCTACCAGACACTCCCGGCACCAAACCCGCCCGTCCATATCCGTCTTCGCAGCGCTGTCCAATTTCTTGCCGCAGCCAGGCTTGCCTGCTTCTTTCCTCCGTCCCTTGGCATCCTTCCCGCCGCATAGAAGGCATGTCCCGTGCCACTTTGTGCCTTGCGGCCCTTGCACAACCCCTCTCTCCATGACAGCAACAGCCTTGTTGCAACCAGGACAGGATGTTGAACCACCGAAGCGAGGGAAGGTAAAACCGGCACTTGTGGGAGGTGCAGTCGGAGGAGGGCGCTCGTATCGACTAGAAGAGGGCGTCGTAGCGTATGGAGTGTTATTGCTCGCTCTCGGCGCCATCGCCGGCTTTGTCGATGAAACCGGGAGCTTCGAAGCTACAGGAGGCTTGGTGTAGACTGTAACCTTCTCCGGCGGAGCGCACTACGTCCCGGAGATGTTATTCTTACTGTCCGCTACGTGTAAATGGACGACTCACCTCAACATGACATGCGCCTTCTTGCCCTCTTGCAAAGACTGCATGGCCGCCCTCGCGTTCTTCGAATAAGCCGTCACAAACTTTACACCTGAAACATGACGTGTGGTACGTCTTGGGCGGTACGCCGCTGCTTGAGGGTTCCTCCGGCACGGTAACAAACTTCCCTCCGTGCTTGGTTGTGAAAAGAGGAAGCTTGCATTTCGTACAACGCGCATTTGGTGAGAGTGGGGTTGGGGACGACATGCCTAGCGTTCGTGTGTGCGTCTTCGATTTCGGCGTCGGGGTGACAGACGGCAATTCCATCTTACGACGGACTCCTTCACTCCCGCCTGTAGTATGGCTCAAAATGCCACCAGTATGGAATATGTCATTTGAAGTCCGTCTGCTCGGAGGACTGATGGATGGTGGTGTCGATGGCGCGCTGGATTGTGAGTTCGAAGTCGTGTCGGAAAGGTCACCCGCTAAGTCTGGCGTAGATGGTACCGATCGCTCGAAGTTTGCGTTGAAAGATGACGCTGATATGCTGGTCCTGATATTCAGTCCTTCTCGCCCTGAACGCGTAGAGAGACTGTGCGACTGCAGCGGGATTTCCGTCATGGGTCCAGTCGACTCCGAGCGAGGGAGCTCGCCGTTGTCCAAGCCATCTGTACTCAGGTCAATGAGGTCCTCCAGGGGCATAGGAGCCTGTCCACCCAAAAGGGACTCTACTTCGGCGTCACCAGTACGGTCACGGCGCAGTGTGTAGTCTGGCTCTGTGGGGGCGTCATGTCGCACGGACGTTCGAAACGCTGGACCAGGAGAATCAGTTTTCGCTGAAGGCAAAGCAGAGGAGCGGGGTATCCTTGACTGTCCAGCCTGCCCTTGAGCAGACGCTCTGGATGTCAAAGGACTGTCCTCAGGAAGCTTGCTGGTGCGAGGGCGAGAAGCTGAGCGTCTCCGAGGTGTTGTATTCTCAGCTTCACTGACCGAGCTAGAAGCAGGAGCAGGGGAAGCCTGCCTCAGGAACCTCTGCTTCATCTCTTCGATGGCCTCTTCAGTGGGCTGCTTCGAGCCTACAGGACTCCCGTAACGTGGGCTCCCTCCTATTCTAGACGCAGGACTGGTGCCGTGTAGGTCGGGCTCGGGACTCTTGAACCTATTGTATGTGCGACGGGGAACAGGACTACCATCTGATACTGACGTTGCAGGCTCAGGGCTTCTGTACCTGAGGTTGTGTCGCGAGGCCAAAAGACTGTCCGCATCGTCGTCCGTTGAGTCTGATTCTGGACTCTGAAACCTACGCAAGGGACGAATTGTCGAGGTACCATCGCCCGTGACATGTGTGATAGGAGAGATGGTCAAAGGTGTAAACGAATCGGTCCGCGCACGAGCTGCAAGACGTTCCGCGATCGGACTAACGTCTGCTGCTCGAGGCGTGTAGCGTGTTGCCGGACTGCGATTAGTTGTTGGGGTCAAATTCGAGTGCTTCGTGCCAATGTTAGATCTCCCTGTCCGCTCATCGTCCTTGGCCGGAGTACCTTCGCGACTCCGAACAATGCCCAATCTCTGCTCCAGTTCCTCCAATGCTGGGCTACCTTCCCGCTCCCGGTCAGTACGCCTTGTGCCTCCGAGGTTGCTCCTCTCCAAGTCGCCCGGCCTATGAGGGCTTTCCTTGGTGGACCTCGTCAGACAGGTCTCGAAACATTCTGCACAACTCGGTCGACCCAACAGGTCTACCATGGGTTTATCACCAATGTCCCTGGAACACCCATCACAGCGAAAGCATTTCTTATGCCATACACGACTACCGTTCTCGACGAACCCCCCCTCGGTCTTAAGAATAAGGACAGGCCTACCGCAACTTGCGCATGGGCCCTTCGATCCACCATTCTCCGTGAAGCAGGACCGGCATAGAAACCGCGGATTTGCTCCTCCCTCGGATGACGAGTTCGCTGGATCGGGATATATTGTAGCATCCGGCGGGAACGACGTGGAACATAGGGCGCAGTGGTAAGAGGACAGTGTTTCCTTGGGTTGGAGGATGGAGCCGTATACTTTAGCTAGTTCTGACCCATTGGGGTTGGGCAATATGCCTGCGGCCGCATTCGCCGACGTAGACGGCTCTGAATCGTCGTGCAAACTTGTGGTGTACTTAAGTGGAGATGGAGGTCGAGAGGTAGTCGTAGAAGCTATATGAGCCGAGACGCGGGAACCAAGGGTGACTGATCCGGAGGAAGTAGAGGTTGGACGGGGAAATCGTCTGGTAGATGCGGCTGTTGATGCCTGCGGTATAGATGCAGTATGCGGAGCAGGTTCAGCGCTGCGGTCTGCCGGCCTAATGGGCGATTTCTCTCTAGTCTCTCCGGTAACATACGTCCGAGACCATCTGTCTTGGGATTGCTTCTCTCCCTGGTCCCACTTAACTACGGGAGCTTTGTGCAACCCATCAGCATCAGGGAGGTCATCCGTCCGTGCAGAATGCTCACCAACTGCTGTGCCTCCGCACTTACAGCGAGGCCCAACAACGATGTCACCACACCTCCTACAGAATCCCATGTCCTAGTGATACAGAAGTGTCAAGTTGGATAAATATCGTCTGGGGGCGGATGAAAACGACCAAAGTCCTGCGAGCCCGGCGAAAGCAGCGAGAATGCGGAATACGGCAGGTTCAACTCGAACCAAGGTCCGTCGCGATCACGTGTATCAGTGATGCGTCTCTTCACGCGAAGCACGCTTCGCGTTCGCGTTCGACGCAGGCTGTCTCCGACACAATGCGGACCCATAATAACATATGGTAGAACAAGGTACGAGGTACGTGGTTGCCAGTCCACGATACTAGACTACAAAGTTACAAAAATCTTGGTCCAGCCGTCAAAACCAGGCGTGGCCAGAATGCAAGACCGTCATAAATGATTTGATACGAGATATTTTCTTCGAGTGCCTGGAAATAGTTCCGAATATTTGAGTAAGGGTAACGTAGTAAGGCTGCTAACGTACCAAGTCATCTTCCTGCAGCTCCGAGCAGAGTCCCCTCGTAATCTGTCCAAGTCGGAGAGTTCTTGCATGACAAGGAGCAAGATTGGCAAGTCAACCTACCTTCTGCAATAATGTCATACAATATGCCTGCGATGCATGCTTCAGACAAGAGATATATGGGTTGCAACTAGCATTATCTGCTTCTAGTAATGCCCGCAGTTCGAGACAGAGGTTCATAGTCCACGGTGAGTGTAACATGAAGTGTACTGGAGGAACTCATTAGAACTTGTGTCAAGTGAAGCAGTGTCAAGCTCACCTGTAGCATGGCGGCTGTACACAAGAAGACATGAGATGGCGTGGCATAGCACTGGACACACAAGCACGGCGATCGACTCTTCAGCAGCAAGGAACTGGTGTTTCAGAACTAAAAGAAGCACGTCGCGCAAGTAGTTGTATGCCTCGGCATGCATAAGATCGTCACAAGTCTGTCTCCGAATGCTGACAGATAGATATGTAGCAAATGCAGCTAGTAATACATGAGTCTCTTTCCAATTCGAGACAGCAATGTCTGCTTACCAGCCGTCGCCAGGTTCATGGAACTACGTGCAGTCGCAATCTGCCAGATGGCGCTGTCGTCCCAGACAGTGTCATCCGATGACAGATCGGATATCTCATACGTAGCCAAAGTTACAAGTAACGAATCACCAAGGGTGCGCGAACCAAGTGAATCTGAAGCTTCATGATTGAGCCAATCCACGACAGTCTGCAGGAATGACATTGTCGTATGGGTAGCGAAACAACTTCTTATGTTGCTCTTGAACATCATCGTGACAAATTGGAGAATATGTCTCGCGTGATAGAACGCAGCTTGTGGATCAAGATCACGTTGGTCCCGGTTCAGGGCTCTGAGAGGATTGTGTCAGCGTTGACGTGAGTGAATATGCCCTACCCATCTTACAGACTGATAGCCGACAGATCTGCCACAGATGGTTAACAACAAGGTATAAGTGAGACCTCCTGAGCCCTTACTCTCTTCCCATATCTCCGCGAACTTGAGCCTCGTGTCGGACAAAACGTCCTTCATGACCTGTCGTAGAATATCGGCGCGAATGAATGATATACCCTCGATGACAAGGTCTCTGACTGCGACCGTTGACTACCAAATACAGATATATTGATACATCACTCACCTATGAAATCAACTTCATCTTGGCGCATGATGATGAAAAGTCTGCATAAGCTATCAGACAGACTGGTGACCACGTCGTGCTCCTCCGAGTTGTTCTCGAAAGCATGCAACAGTTGTGTCGCTGCCCAGCAGGCCTTAAGTGTGATGTCCTGCAATCCGACACACGGAGTTGCGCTTGTCGCTGCGGTCAGGGCAGACATGATGTGATGGATCAATCGCTAGAATATGCCGACATCAGCGCATATATGGTCGATAATAGGGGGAGACTAACTGTGATTGCAATGGCCGCGGCCAGGGGAATACGCGCTATTGTGAAGATGAGGGTCTCATCCCAACGCCGGGGGTCCGCAGCCTCAATGACAAACTCGTCCGCATTACGATCATCTGGGATCTGATGCAACCAGCTAGCAGTCTTCGCACATCGCAACGTGAGGAAGTCTCCAGGTATCAAGCGCAAACATTTGCTGACCACATAGTCTATCACCTCAGCATCCATAATACGTGGGTCGTGCCAAGTCGTCCAGCACCATGTGATTGTTGGACCCCATCGTAGAAAAATGGCTTGAGCGGAATCGATGGTCGAATCTGGAGTTACGATATGCAATCCAGATGAGAGAGTCTCCGGTGGGCGCATGACGGCTGCGATGAGGCGAAGTAACTTAGACTGAGTGTGAGGTCGATACAAGCCTATGTCATCGTGATCTTGAGACGAGTCCAGCGCCTTTATTTCACGCCGTCATAAGATCTTCCTCAATAAGAATAACAATGTGTTCTCACCGCGAATATACACAAGGTAAGGGCATAAGAATTCCTCACGTGTGCGCTTTGCTCCATATCAAACACATCGTCAGCGCTGGTTTGACGCTCGATGTGGGCCTTCATGGTGCGTAGAACATCCGCATGGGGTGATCTGACAATGTCGAAATTTATAGATTAAGCCAAAATAACATAGCCTTACCCCACACACAGTACACATCCGATTTGCGGCCCCATGACGTATACGCCGAAGATGAGCTGCAGAGCCAAACGTTGGACGGCAGGGGATGCTTGTTGGGTGGACAGCACACAATGTACGTCCATCCATTTGCCTTCAAAGCAGAACAGTTGAACGGTGACCATAATGCCGAGTACATATGACTTGCCTGGGAGCTGGGTAGCAACGCGGAGGGCATCGGACTCTCTCTGCTTCTCTAGAGAGGAGAAGGCTGTGGCCGATGACATAAGAGTCGAGGAGCCCCGGGCAATGGAGACTATTATATCGCCCAGCTTCGATAGCAAGAGGTCAACCCAGCACACTGTCGTAGGAATAATCGTCCCATTCGGCACGTCTTTCGCAGCAATACTGTGGAGGATTTGCCTATATGTGAACAACAGTGACATGAAGGACTCCTCTACTATGATGTGTGAAGAATTAGTCTGGATACGGTGCGCTGTTGATACAAAAAGCTCACATAGAACGCGCATGGCGGCATAAACCTCTGTTCTGCTGATTAACTGTTGAGCGGATATATTGTCTAGGAAGTCCAAGATTGCGGTCGCCGCACGGGCAACAACATCGTGCGAAGAGACGTCCTATGGACCCGTAATCATGAGCGGATTGTCATACGTTTGGGACTATTAAATGGACATACATTTTCAATAGCCGACAGATCTAATGATCGCAATTCCTCTGCCACGAGATGGATCGCTTCAGCGGGCGATGGGACGTCTTCACCACCATCTTCTCGAGTGGAGCCTGCCAAAGCAGTGGATATATGCGTGTATTCAGTAACGTCCCAAGCGGATACCGAAATCTGAGACTCGGATTCCGTATCACTATCGGCGTACGTGTCCATGCTGCGATACGAGACTTGTTAAAGACAAAAGCTGGTGTGGAACGCACCTCACACCGCCGAATGCGAAGAGCACATCGCACACGTGATCGGTCCAACTTGGTCGTATTCAGAATTAGAGCAAATTCGGCATTAGACGTCAAACAGACACCCAGCTTGATCGAGAGCCGCATCAAATACGCAAATTATTACTTACTACACTGCTCACAAGCTTTCATCGCATTGGCGAGTGGGATATTGGTACTCACCGCTTACGTTTCCCGAACGGTTTGGCACGCAAGCAACAGTATTAGAGACCTCGGATATCTTTTAGAATGCTGGTAATATCTGTTTTACATTCTAATTGTTCGTTACTGCGGGAGAAAACGGCCTCGAAAGCATCATTCGACTCGGCAGCCTACCAATATCGTCAGTCGCGAGCAGTATGAGTGTCCCAGAACATACCTCGCCATCACAATACTCGTAGTCGACCCACTTCTCGTCCTCCTCAGCGTGTATCATCATAAGCATTTCCCTCCGCACAGCGGTTAACCCTCCCTGGAATTGCACCCCCTGTTCGCCCGTTTTCCGCACTGCAACCTGGACTTCTTTGACGTCGCCTGCAGGCTTCTTCTCCTTTTTCGGGGCTGGGGCTGGGGCTGGTTCGTCGGGATCCGGAGGTGGTCCATCATCAGAGTCGTCGTCTGAACCATTCCCTGCGCGACTACGTCTACTCTTGCGAGACAGGACGTCCATGTAGGTCAGGGTAGGTCGCAACTGATGTGTCTCGTTTATTGGGTGCAAATGCAGCTGCCCTATGGTATACCGTCCATCAGGCGGGTTCGTAGTAGATACGTCTGAAAGTTACCATCCCGGACAATACCCAGCACATAACTCCCCATCTGCGAAAGTTGTTCGCTACGCATACGCACCTCTTGCAGTCTGGGCTCCTCGCCTTCACGCTGCTTCACATTTGGTAGCTCTTGGTTCTTTTCTTTGTCATCCTCTTCTCGTGCCTTTCCAAGTTCGTGCGAGCGCTCGCCGTTCCACACCTCTGGCCGCGTATCGACAGGAACATGCACTTCCAGGCGTCGTACGCCGGACTTCAGGCGGGCCCGGATGCGCTTTCCACTCGCTGCAGCTGAAGGAGGCACTTGTAGTGGGCGTGTAAGCAGTGGAAACTGGTGGATGTGAATGTTTGGCACTAGGGAGTTTGAATAACGAATAGGTAGCACGCTGACGAGCCGGTCCTCCTCATGCATGGTGAGTGTAATGTTCAGCTCAGGCTCAAACAAGCAGAAGTGAATATGCACCGTGGAAAAGCCCCGATCGTGGACTGAAGATCCCATCACAATCTCGATCTACCAACTTTGCGCCTGTGGCGCCGCTAGTGCAAGACTTCGCATTCACGGTCATTGGCTGACCATGTTCGCTTCTTAAATCCTATGGTATGGGATGCTAACATACTACGACATCTTCAAACCCACGTGGACACTGCGCACGAGTCGCACCCCACATTGCGGAAGCGAAGTAAATGAGTTGACCAGCCAGATGACTGAGAAGAATCAGAAAGGTCTAGAGTTATAAGCTACCCAGAAAACATGCTGTCGGAACCCAATTACATATACCGACAGACAGAAATATGTGTGAGTTTAATGAACTGTCTCCCAAAAGCATAATCCTACCGGCCACACCACATTTCAATGCTCGGCAATCGTCTTCGTAGTAAGATACCACCTGCGCTCTTGCTTGCGTATTTTGACAAGCTCTCGCGCCATGAACAGACACTGCGTCCATCTGTGCCACTGCTCCATGTCCTCCTCTTTGACGTCCTCATGGTAGCGTCGATCCGGCCACGCTGTCCTGATGTCTTCCAGATTCGGAAGTAGCGAAGACAGGAAGGTCGCGACAAATGTTGGGTCCGAGATTTTAGAGTTCCCCACCTTAAGATACTTGACGCGCGAGTCTTCTGCGAGATCGCTGGGTGGTACTGCCAGTAAGACTTCCGCTGTTAGATGCTCAGCGTCCATGACCACCCCAACCGTCTTGAGGCGGGGACAATGCTGAAGCAAGGGTATGAGACCTAGCAGAGTCGCCTTCGGCGGCGATATGCTCGACCCGCGGAAGCTCTCGAGATCTATGCGCTCCAGATTCGGCCACGCTTGCGCCATTGCGGCGAGCATGTCGTTGTCTACGTCGATCGGGCAACCGTCGGAATGTAGCACCGTCAAATTCAGCTGCAGCAGAGGTTCCAGTGTTTCGCGCGTAAGCAAGTACGGCTCCAGATCCTCGATGCTGATCCATGCCTCGAGTGCGAGGGAGTGAAGAGTCTCTCGCATATGATGTGTCGTAAGCGAATGAAAGAAGTCTTTGGCGTAGGGCACAAGCGGGGCTCGGTCGGGAAATGCACGCATATGTGTCAGCTTATGGGAGCTGATGTACGGAAGGAAAGCCGTGATGGTAGGAAGCCGCCTTGCATATAACTCGACCTCTTCCAGTGCACAGAACGGGCTGCCGTGGACCGTATTACTGCAATACGCCTCGAGTACCTTGACCAGTTCATCACTCTTGCGCAGGACTACGCCCATCTTCCGGAGGTTTGGCAAAGCGGCGAGCAAAAGCAACGCGTCGTGCGGAACCACCAAGTGGGTCTCGAACGTCGTGAGGTAGTGTAGCTTGCCTATGACGTCTGGTAGCACAGCGGACACCCTGGGACAGTCTGCGAAGAACATGAAACTGGCCTGCTCAATCTGTGGGGATTTCTCCGCCAACTCCTTGAGCATTTGGATACTGGCATCCTCATGCCGCTTCGCGTGGGCCCATAATTTGACGGACATCAAGCGAGGCCCGAAGAAGATGCGCATTGCCGGAACAGCGATACCCCCGATATCCAGGAACAAACCATCGTATTCCAGACTGTGCAGATTAGGGAGCGGCGGGCCTGGGGGTTTGGCGACTTCCAGAATGTGCAATGCGGCTTCAGCAAGCCTCAATTTGGAGGACTGCCCGAGACACACATTCCTCCCATGCCCTCCGAGGGATTTGACGCGAGGCGCGTACAGCAGAAAGCGAGCAAAGTCGTCAGGGACCAGCGGCCGCACAAATGACTGGAAGCAGACGAAATGAGATGATGTTCACCCCTTGTCAAGGAGCTGAGTGTACCGCAACTATGAACTCGCCCTCCGCGCGCGTGACGCGAGTTTCGGTTGTCCACGAATCCGGTGGAAAGGTGTGCATCAGGGGTCCCGGCGTGATGAGAGAATCCCATACGACGTCCATGGACGGTCCATAAACTGCCTTGCATGTCCGAGAGAATGCAATGAGGCTGTTGCCATCTCGATGAGAGTGGAGATACGAGCATATATTGGTTATGATTTCTGGCGCTGAGAAGAGAGGGTGCATCTTCGTCGCATGTTATCAGACAATTCCAGATGCGAGTTCCGGGAAATACGTTTGCGTGTGTCCAAGACCTCAATCCGCGCCCGCTGGGATTGGTCTGAGCTTATAGACAGTCGCCCTTCTGCTGTACGTATACGCGGTGATCGGATTGCGGAATGCTTATTACGATCGAGCGCCGCTGAGTACGTGAGCTAAACAAATCTTGCAGTAAAGTATCATGTACCCCAACGCGCCAATAAAATGCATCGAGTATTCTATGATTGTATGCAGTGTCAATAGCGGGGTCATCGTGGAGAAATACATACAGCCGTGCCATCGAAGCAGCAAATTGCAGGTATAGTACACATATGCGTGAATCAGAGAACGAGGTACACAAAGCGACAGAGCGTGCGTAAGCTAACTACTACTACTAGGACTACTATGTGTACTATCCAAATGATGTGCGGGCTCGATATCGTATGTTCGTACGTGAAGAGGCTCGCCAAAGGTGAACGCGCGCTCGTCGCAGCGTGTCCGTGCGTCTGCAGGAGCTGTCGACGGGCGCATCTGGTCTGGCGGGATGGCTTCCTCGCGGATGGATGGAGGCGGGAGGGAGACGGCGGAATCCCAAGAGTATGGGCGGCTACCGAATGGGGACGGGGAATGCACGTGGAACGACGGTAGGGAAGACGAGGGTGATCCCTTATAGGGAGAGTGCGCGCTCAGCCGTGGCGCAATCGTGAATGGAGACATGGATGTGTCCGCGGAAGGGTCGAAGGCCGTGTGCATGCTCGCGTCAAAATCGTCAGAAGGCTCTTCTCGATGCCGGGGGCGCAGCGCAGACCCCGTGCGGACTTTGGGCGATTTTGAGCGTCGCGAGCGTTTCTCGAAGAAGACTTTTGCATGATCGGTCTCGCTGTGCAGGATCCTGTCCCATGCGGCTGGGTGTTGGAGGACCGCTTCGAGTTCGTGACGATGGACCACTCGCTCAAAGCTATGCATGGTGAAAAGCGTCACAAAGATCCCTGTATAGCGAAACGTCAAGAGTCATCAATGAGCACTACAGAACCACATACAATCGAGAATGATCCATCCTTCCACACCGAGCAGGATCTGCTTGTGCGCCCCAATCAACATCAGCAATGCGACTGTCAGAAACAAAACGGCAAGGAGTGTGGTGTAGAGAAGCTGACAGACCCGATAAGCCCCTTGATTAGACTGTGAAGAGTAGCCCTACCTCGTTTCTCAACATCTTGCGCAACTCCAGACGGGAAAAGTGCATAATCCAACTTCGCAATGAACCGAGTGAACGCGACATAGGGCGACAACGACACGCCCCAGGGTGCTTTTGCGGATTGGTCCTGGACGGTTGGGAAGGGTACCTGCCATTCATCATCTGAACATGCGGGCGGGGAGGTTGAGGGATGGGAAGCTCCCCAGGCAAGGAAGGCTTCCGCTGATAAGCGATACTGGGTGGGTATTCTTCTCTACTCCAGGCTCGATGCAGCCTCTCACCAAGCCTTTTGATGATACCGGGTAAGGTTGTGTGCTCAGCAGGATATGACTGCACCTCAGGCACATAATCCCACCACCCCCGGCGAGAGTTAAGGCCGTCGTCCTCCTTCGTAAGGATCTCCCAGGTGCGAGTGTTGTTTTCCTCTGGAGTCCTGATAGTCACGCGGGCGACATTCTGCGTGCGGTATGTCCTCCAGATGGCAAGGAGAACTGCATCTCGATGAGCAATAGCGGACGCTTTGAGTAAGTCAACCGTGCTGGGCACTCACAGCAGCCACAGAGAATGGCAGTCTCGACATATACGGTTATGATAATTGCAAACAGCATGCGTGTATTCTCAATGTGTGCACAGTTACCTGTGAGTCGGGCTCGGTCAAGATCCGCCGATAGATCTCAGGGACTGACGTCAAAGGCTCACCATAAATGGTCCTTGATCCCTCAAATGTGGACAGTTCGAGTCCCAAGAGCACAACCATGACAGCGGCCACGGATATTAAGAACGCAAGAATGATGCGGGAGTTGCTCAGACAACGGTAGGCCTTCATGCCAAGGATTCCGGTGATCTGGAGCGCTGTTGGTAAGTCTTGGGAGCGATCACGATAGAACCTACCGCTCACCATGGTGTCACAGGAAAACTTGGAGAAGACCTTCTTAGCCGCCCCAACTCTGTTGACACGCATGAACGATGCGCAACTGGTGAATAGGGGAACGGAGCGCACGTGTTACAATTGGCGGACATATCGAGGTCCCCAACGGTCGTAGTAATGGCAGCCAACAAACCCAAGACTTGGCTGAGAAGGAGCAGGTAGAAGAGGGTCTTGTCTTTGACTCTGCTCCTGCGAATGTAGGATAGTGCTAGCCATGTATTCCGCAGGAAAAAGATGCACAGGGCGCCCGCAATGCAAAGCCATACTCTCGCCAGTCTCTGACCCCTGACATATCGATCGGAAAGCAGCGTGCCGTCGTCGAGAGCATAGTACTTGGGCTGAAACGATTCGACCGGACCATCATAGTAGTCGCGATAATGAGATATCGAGACGTCTGCCTGGAGTCTGATGACGACGTCAGCGGCGGCTGATGCTACAGCCTGGGTCACAAGCGGAACGACCTGAGCAGAGGTAATGGTGATGGGCGCCCATGTCGAAGCCGGGACGAGGGTCGGGGACGCATAGGAAAGGGCCGATGGGGGGATGATAGACGAGGATGATGCCATGAGGGTGGCGGGGCCGAGGGAGAGGGCGAGGGGGCTCAGGAGGGTGGTGGCATTTGGCAAGGAGGCGGAGAGGAGAGGCCAGGGGACGGGGGAAATTGATGAGACGTCCGGGGGGGATGTTCGCCTCGAGCAAGAGTGACGGCTTCCGGGGCAACTCAATTGTCAGGAGCAGACCCGGAGCAGTCGACTGCCATAAAGCCTTATATATCGACGACCACGCGAACTGCCCGAACTAGTCCCAAGCCGGTTTAATGGACACGACCTGCCCCATCGACGATGCTTCGTGGTCGACCGCGTGCGAGAGAGCCTGCCATTCTGCCTGCGATGTTCGTCCCAGCCGCTGCATCCAAATCGATGCTCTCCTCGCCCATTGCAGTAAGAGAGTCCACCCGTAATACAGGCACCCGCGATCAATCATACCCGCGATCGGCCTCGGCCTCTTCCGGCACTTTTCCTCCCTGCATGCCCTTCCGCTTACCCCTCCGCTTAGCTCCAGATGCCGTCGTCCACGTCCAAACACGCCCCCGTCATCCTCATTACCGGCACTCCCGGAACGGGCAAGACAACCCACGCACAACTCCTCGTCGAAGAGTCCCCCCTGCCCCTACGCCACATCAATGTAGGAGACCTCATCAAGGACAAGGCCCTCTACGAAGAGTACGACGAGGAGTGGCAGAGCTATACCGTTGACGAGGACAAGGTACGCCTCCGCCCTCTGCCATGACCCTTAGCATCATTTCCCGCTCACATCGGTGCGATCTCACGTCAGCTGCTCGACGAGCTAGAACCCCTCGTCTCCGCCGGCGGGGTCATCTTGGATTGGCACACGGTCGACATTTTCCCTGAACGATGGGCCGATCTCGTCGTCGTACTCCGCTGCGATCACACGAAATTATGGGACCGCTTGGAGAAAAGGTCTGCCCGAACGCCAGTGTCCCAACTCACGATTGACAGGCGTCTGTCACGCAGAAATTACCCGCTCAAAAAGATCCAGGAAAACAACGAAGCCGAGATCATGGAGGTTGTCCTTGACGAAGCAAGATCGTCCTATGCGCCAGAAATTGTCGTCGAGCTGAAGAGCGAAGGCACAGACGACCTAGAATCAAATGTCTCGCGCGTCGTACAATGGATCGAAGCATGGAGACAGGATCACTCCGTGTCAGATTAACAAGTGCCTAGTACGGTACTATCAAGCAGGCAGCTACATCGCGGTGCCTACATTATGCAATCTAAAGGTAGGTAGTGACCGCATCAACGTCACTCACGGGCCTGTGTACACCCACACTCCTCGGCGGTCCTGCAACGGAAGGCCTTCTCGATGCTCCGCCTCACTGCGTTCGCGCTTCGCCGTCTTCTTCTTCCCTTCGGCAATCCTGACTTTTTCAAAGTAGACGTAGCTGCATTGGAACCAATGAGTACCACGATGTACTTAACAATCATAAAACGTACGCGGCATAGTATGTGCCGTTCGAAGCACCTCCTGTCGGTCCTGTGGCCTTCACTGGGGCAGATATGTCAATAACTGCTCAGACTGATTATGCCTGGCGTACTGAAACGCTGGAATGAGTTGCTATTGATGTTCCCGATCTCTTTCAGCCATGCCGTGACCTGTGGAAAGTCGCGTTATTCCTGTTGTCGTATCTGGATACCTCGCCCTACCTTCCAGTTTGGCTGCTTTTGCAGCAGGCGGATCTTCCGCCGAATATCGTTGCAGTCATCGCTATCATGACATTGAGACATCGCGAAATGCTTCAAGAAGGTTACACTCACTAGACAGACACTCCACCATCCTTTGCGTACGTAGACATGTTCCAAAATTATTGTGTGTGCGCGCACAGAAGTACGGACATACCTCTCCTTCGCCTTCCAGAACAATATCATGCCAGTCCTTGGGTTCGGCGGCCTGTTTGGCCTTTTTGTCCTTCGAACCAGATGCCTCTGGCGCGTCAGAGACTCGTGGCTTTTTTACCACCTGCTCTGCGTCTTCCCCGGCAGACGCGTCCGCCTCGATAGCGTTCGACTTGCGCTTGGGAGGCATTTTACGTAGTGACGTATACGAGATGTTCTATCTCGTCCAAGTGGCGAGCGACTTCACGCAGCGGGGTATCGGTCGATAGATGTACCACAAAGAGAACCGCAAGCAGGCGCGAGTCGTGTTTTATATCGCTGCTAGCATGAGAACAAAGGACTGGCGACGTGCGCCTGGTAAACAGCTGCGCCAAGGTGGCCCGTGATTGTAATTGATGCGAGCATAGACGTCACCAGCCTGGTACAAATCCATGCCACTGCTATCTACCACTGGTGCGTACTATCCAGACGCATTATTGTGTCATATTTACGCTTAGAAATGCATGAGAATGCGGAGGGTATATGTTTTGCGCAACCGATCGAAGCAAACACTCGAATGGCTACTCTCAGGTTCAGACCTTTCAGTGCGAAGCGGATGCTCTCGTTCACTGCGTTCACGCTTGAGCGTCTTCCTATTGCTTTGTGCAGTGTGGACCTTCTCAATGTAGGTATATGTACATGTCAAATTGAACGTGAGAGGCATGAATAGCATGCACGGTCGATGTCTGCTCCGTTACCGCGCCTCCCGTAGGGCCCGTGGCTTTCAATACTGAGCGCGCTGTTGGTGCAGAGGGTTGACCTGACCTTCCTATATATGCACTCGAAACGGTCGGAGCGAGCGGTGGTCGCGTCCCAACATTGCGGCAACATTGCAAATGGAATCCGCCGGTGCAGCTAAGGTACAGTCCCGTGACCGCGACCTGGTTCGTGACGTCACGCGTCTGGGCATAACGTTATTTACGACACGCCATAAGCGCCAGTATCCTGTTAGGCGCCGGGAGGTGTTGCGAATCACCCTCGAATCCGCAAATAGCAAAAACAGACATCAGCCAGCTCCATATATACCGATGGTGAGAAGAATACCGGAGGGAGTGGAATCAGACGCAAGCGGTCAGTTCTCTTGCCCAGCCCTCGGCGCTATCATTGAACCTCGGCTTGACCTCTGCGGCAAGGCAGACATGCAGATGTCCCAGTCCGATGCCGACCGGATGCTCGTCGACCCGGATGACGACGACGCTGAGGAGGACACCAATGTGGTCGTCGACGTGCAAGACGAGGACGCTGCAGAGGACAAGGACGTCGAAATAGAGGAGGACGAACTGCCCGATGTGAGAGCGGTTTCCTACGCCTGTCACTTGACTCTCCGACAAACCCTATGCGCTGTGTCAGGATAACTCGGAGCCTGATGCCTTATCTGCATCTTCACCACAACCAGACCAGGGCGAGGACGACATGGCACCAGCGCCACAGCCGCGGCTGAGGATCAAGCTGAAGCTGCCTGCGCAGGGGAGCTCGGGAGGTCCGCAGACCGCTGCCTCTACACCCGCGGAGGAAGAGGAAGAGGAGGACGAGGACGAGGATGAGTCCGAGGAGCCCCGGCGCCGTCGTATTGTTCCTCGAGGTCAGTCTTACCACCATAGGCTTGGAAGGGGGCATTCACTCCGCGCATCACGACAGATGACGACGTTGAGTCCGAAGACTCGGATGATGCGGATGACGGCGCACAATCTACTCGTTCTACCTCCGTTGCGACGACAGGCACGGGCGCAAGGGCCCTAACCGCACGTCAAGCCGTCCTCGCCAACGTCGTTGACTCTTCTCATGTCTCACTAGGTACGCTACTCCTATTTGGGCGAGGCATAACCGACGTCTAACAATCGTTTTACCCTGGAATGTTAATACGTCACACGCGGCGCCGGTTGCTGTAGATGAGCTCCCCAATCCCCGTAAGAAGAAGCCTCTGACGGAGATAGAGATGGCCCTTAAGCGCGAGGAAACGGCGCGGAAGAGAAGAAATCTGACGGAAAAGAAACTAGAAGACGAGAAGGTAAGCCTCGATCCTTCATCCAAAACAGGCACACATGCGTTGTTCCCGTGCTAATAATCTGTCCATACCAATCTAGACAGAGACGATTAATCGCCTGCTCAAGAAACAATCACGCGCGAAGGGAAGGCGGAATGCGCTCTCGACTGCCGAAGATCGGCCAACGCAGCAGGCCAACGCAGATGACATGGACGACGGCGCGGACGCGGAAGCCCCTGAGCCCGTCGCCCCTACAATGTTTAGATGGGTGTCATCTTCCAGGGTCGGTACCGGACAAGGTGACGGCAAGGATGACAGGGCAATGGCTTTGTCCTTTTCTGTCCCCGTGTCGGTCCTGTCAGACTCGAAGCGAAAATCCCTCGCAGGTGTCGAATCGCAGAGAAGGGAGCAATCGTTACCGCGCTGCGACGTGCAAGGCTGCACGTCGATGAGGAAGTACAGGTTAGTCAAAGACTGGGGAAAGGGTGCTTGCGGCATGAGTCATCTGAAGATGCTCGAGGGGCAATTGGCCTGACTGTGTTACGCTCTACCTGATTGTGCTATAGGTTGTTGTATGTAAATTTCTACTGATCTCCTGAAGGTTCTCCTTGTGTTCTTTTCGTGTTGATCTTCAGCAACTGTACCGTGTGTCAGATTCTCGACCAGGCACCGGCGTTTGCTATGTGCCTGCAAATATAATATAGATACCCGCTCACTTGTTCGGCACGATAGCCATAGAGCAACGTGATCATACATAGGTTACACAACAAGCCCCACAGAGATGATGATCGAAAGCAATATTGGCGAGCAGATCGAACACAGCTGATAGATTGAACCAACTCCAATATGCATCGCTGCATTGACAGGTAGGAAATTCCCGCTGGCGGATTCTGTCACAGCAACCATCGTCGTCGATATCATGGTCTTTCTGTGGGAGTAACAGCTGAAATTAAGTCTTCTGTGGTTCAGAACACGTTGGATGTGAACATACGTAGAGGTAAACTCGATGGTGGTCCCGGGTGCCGTAGTCGTGCTGACAATGGTCTCCAGTGATGTTTTCACAACTGTGACAGATCCCAGCGCTGTCGTGGTTGCGGTGACAGTGACGACCGAGCCTGATGCATTGACAAATCCTGTTGTGGTGTATGTATGGTTTCCGTAAACGGTCGAGAAGCGCGAGTACGACGATGCGGAATCGGTGAACGAAGAGGATACTGAGGACACCTTGCTGAAGGGGAAAGTGGATGCAGGATACGTGGAGGAATATGTGTCGGAGTATGTGTCAGAGTATGTGTCAGAGTATGTGTCGGAGGGCTGTTCCGTCGAGGAAGGGGCTGTAGCGCTAGGGGATTGGTCGGTAACTGAATCGCGCCTTGCTAATGACTGGTCATTGAGCGGAGATCTTGGCTCGTCCGTAGCCTCCGAGCACGATATTGTATCCCTGTCGCTTTGAATTGTGACAACCGTCGAGGAGACAAGCCTGTGTTCATCTCGATAAACCCGTATCTATCATAGAGATAATCAACGGCGTTCTCATCCACATTGAACCGAAGAAATCTACCATGTAGTTCCCAGAAGGCATTGCAGATGGAACATCCCATTTGTAGAGGATGCCATCAGCATCTGAGCTATCGTCTCGGTAAAGCTCGTTGCGTATCAGGCCGATGAGTGGTGTGTGGTCGCACGCGCGGCCAACAAGAGACAAGTCCGTACCAGCGGTATTCATGGTATGCTGTGCGAGAAGCGACAACGACCCATTCATGGGGATCTATGCATGTTCTATTATCAGCATTGTACTGAATTAAAGGAGGATACATGAAGCACAGTGAAGATAATGTACGCCGGACTGCCTGCCTGCCATCTATGGTGGGCAAGCTTTAGTAAGGAATTGTAGAACATAAACAGCGCCCTCGCACATTTCAGGAGAGTGGATTACTGTAGAGCTATCCCATGGGTTGTTCTTCAGAAACGTCTGCGTCCCATCTGCGTGAATGAGCTGCGGAAGGGATACCAAGCAAAGAATGATGATATAGACGAGCGTGTGGCCGGCAGTTACGGCAAGCGAATCAAAAGGAAGGTGGGCCGGCACCTCTAAACGAGCCATAATTCACATATGACCGCAGACAAAGCCGAAAGAGCAAGCCTGAGTCAGGCCGCAGGAGGAGGTCGAAACACAAGGAGACCGCGCAACAGCTGACAGGTCAGTGTGTGAAGGTATCTGTGCATGTCGCGCATGGCCCAACACTCATGGCGTTGCCAGTGCTACGTTGATTGCCTTTCCCGGCCGCAGGGAACATGATCGAGATCGGATCTATACATACATGCTTTCACGTGGCTCTTCACGTCGCGTCCCAGCTGCCACAAGCAGCCACAACCGCAGAATACCGCCATACCTCCCAATATCTTCGCGAAATATCAACTGGAAATATGGCTGCAGATGATGCTACACTATCCAACGCTGGAGCGTCATCAAGCAAGACGTCCCTCTATGAAGGCAGCACTCAGTATCGTCATTGGCGATTCTCTCCAGAGCAGCTTGCGCAGACTCGCGGCTCCCTCAATGCTGCTTCGGTATCGGCCATCCGGGAGACCTTCGAAGCCGATTCTGCACGTCTCCGTTACTCCATGCACATGCTACCCGACTAACGCTGCATGCTCTAGCCAGGCTCTGCGTCAAGTGTATCGTTCCTCAACGCCGAGGAAGAGAATCTGCTGGCCAAGCTCTATATCGGAAAGATATCCCAATTATGTGGTCATTTTCGCTTTCCAGAAGAGGTTGAGGCCACTGCTATGACCTATCTAAAAAGGTTCTATCTCAAGAACACTGTGATGGACTGGCACCCAAAAAATGTCATGTATGCTCGATTTTGCCTCTCGCTACTTCGGTTACACTAAGCATAGGGGAAGTACAGGCTGACAGCGCTGTTTCTTGCGACAAAGACAACCAATCATCCAATATCGCTTGAAGCTTACACGTCTCACATCCCCAAGACAGCGACGTCTGATGTCCTGGACCTTGAGTTCCTAGTAGCGCAGAGCCTAGGCTTCGATTTTGCAGTGTGGCACGCACATAGGGCCCTATGGGGCTTATGGCTTGATGTACAAGTACGTGGCGAGCCTCTGACAATATAGTGACGATTTATTTGGGGTGTTCCTAGAATCTGCCTGATGCGCCCGTCGAAGAGCTACGAAGCTGCTACGACACCGCCTTGAAACATGTCCGCGCATCGCGGTTAACGGATGCGGAGCTAATCTACACACCATCCCAAATTGGCCTTGCGTGTCTTTCCCTGGCTTCACCAAGTTTAGCCGCAACTTGGCTGCGATCGAAGTATCCAGATACCCCGGAACCTCCGGCGCTAGCCGTTGTCGAGACCATCTCAACACTCATCGTTGCACATGGCAGTCCGCCGGATGTTGAGGCTGTGCGGGAAGTTGACCGGCGTCTCAAATTATGCAAAAATCCGGAAAAGGTTGTGGGCAGCAAAGCGTATGCAAAAAAACAAGATGAGGCAGAGCGGAAGGCGGAAGAGAAAAGGAGGCGGAAAGCTGCCGAGACGCGCAAGGCAATGGAGGACGGAGACCCCTTTGGCAGCGAGTTAACGGGCGACGCTGGGGTCGACGACGACGATGACGACGATTGATATCGCAATGGCTATTCTCAGTCGTGATACGCTTTCAGATCGTTGCATGTGCTCAAGGGAACTGTGATTGTCGGTACGTTTTGGGACGGATCGAGGCTTGTTCTGTCAAGGGGTGCGATTCCCGAGTAACCCGCTATTCAGTTGGACAATTGTACCACAGCCTCTGTATGTCCTCTGAACCAGATAGAACAGGCTGCGCCGAGAGGGGGCGATGTGATTATGGGATGCGAGGCGGCACCCAAGCCGCGTAGCAATGCCAGTTGGGCGCTTCTTACCTCGGTCTCTCCTTGAGCTCAACCGAATCTCCTCCTCACATCCGCCCTCAATTTTCCCCTCAATTGTTCTGCCAAGGGGCAGGCTTTAGGCGGCTGAGCTCAGCTGAGCCGTCTTCGCCTTTAAGAAGCGGTATCTATCGTTCACGATCCTCTTTCGGGTTGTCCTCCTCTCGGCGCCATGTCTCTCCACCCAGCTGGTCTCTCTTCGGACAGCATCGACCTCAGTCTCACCGCGTCGACTCATCCTCCATCATTGCCCTTCGACCAGTGGAGCGATGCTCATGGGACGATGGAGACCGACGACGAACGAGATGAGCAGGACATCCAGGAAGCATCGCACCCGGAAGACATGCCTCTCGGAGCTGACAAGGTCGCTACGGGCAACAAGACCATCGAAGTAGGGACGCCTTCATCGACTACCGGCGGCCCCCAAATGAACGGTCACACCTCAGATGGAGATGCCGCCAGTGTGCACAGCATGCCAGTTGTGCAAGTCACTGAGCCTTCTAGCCCTGTACCTACATCTGCGCAAAGTGCCTCGTCCAGGTTTCCTCCTTCCCCCAGCACCTCCCTAGCACCTTCACCAAGTATGCAGCATGGACGCAACCGGAATCGTACAGCATTGGAGGTGAGTCCCTGCTTTAAGCTCTTGCCCGATGTATGCTAACGAGACCAGGTCCGCGCATCCAACCGGTTGTCCGGCTTTTTCTCCTCTCTCATCCATCGTCGTGAACCCGTCCTTTCAGCGACGCCCGAAGGCAGGACGCCGAAGTCTCCTCTGACAAATACTTCTTCCCGAGCATCGTCACCTGCACCCTCCCGTCCGTCCACACCCCCGCCGCGCTTGCCTCCTCCGTCTCTCCATGACCTCGGTCTCACACTGTCTTCGCTCACGGCTCACATTTCTCCTTCTCACGCGAACGGGCCTCCGGCCAGCGGCGCCTTCCTCAGGCCGCATTACTTACTTCTGTGTCATGCACAGGGCTTGGACGTCTTGTCGCTCGTCTCGCCGCCGGCGCTTCAGCCGTATGCATTAATTCGAAGGGTCGCGTTCAAAAGCGTCGTAGTGATGGAGCATCGCGGCGTCCTTGTCGCTATCGCCGGACGGAGGAACGGTGTCCGGGTATATGCGCTGGAAGACATTAAGCGTGCTGTGGAATGGAGGATCGAGGTTGAAGTCAGACGAGAACAAGACCGTGCTCGCAGGGAGGAAGCGAAGCGCAGCGTAGGGAACCCTGCCACTACTGTCCAGTTACGCGCAGAGAGGGGCAGCTCGGTAGAGAAGATGCGAGAGAAGATGCCTCTTACCCCCGTAGCTACGGGGGCAAAAGAGAAGCTACCTCGTAGGTCTTCATTATCCGGCGCGTCACCCGGCATTCCACGGACGCCTACTGTGCGGAGACCGAAGACGGCAGAAGGGGCGCAGCTACCACCTCCCGCACCCACGCCCGTAGGTCCACCTCCTTCGTATTCCAGCACTACCGCCCCGCCCCGTGGACTCGATCACTCCACCATCTCAGTCGCCCCATCTCGGTCTCGTGCGACATCACTCAACGACGTCCTCTCTGGGACTATGAGCCGACGACAGACTGGCGAGTTTCATCTCGAGCAGGAAAGTCATCGAGAGGACGACATGAAGGCTGATTGGGCATCGAGTGACGATGAAGCTATCAACGTCGTCGCTGCTCCCAGTGGTAGTCAGCTTCTGGACGAGCGGACGAGCACCATGGTCGCAGATCCCTCTCCAGGGCCGTCTCCCGAACCAGGAGTACACATGAGTCGTTCTCAGACTGCACCTTCGCTTCACCGTCGGAGTCGCCCCGCCAACCTTGACTTGTCATTGACGCGCTCAAATTCTAGGACAACGGCGACATCTGGTCCCCCGCCATCTCCCACGCCTACACTACTCACTCTCCGCCAGGCCTTGTCCATATCACCTCAGAACAACAGGACTATGCCCGCGATGGGATCCCTGACCGGCGCTGGTGCTCCAAGCACAGAAGGCGACGCAGACGGTGATGCCGATGAAGAGGACGATGGTGATGCCGATCCATCGTCGCCCACCACACCGACCAGGGAACGCATCTCGCTCGCCGATGCTCTGATGGAGAGTCGCCTACCCGATATCCCTCCAGCCGGGAGTCGTTTACTGCAGGATCCCATACTCATTGCTACTACGACAGATGAAGTCCCCTCGAGCCCTCGAACATCTGAGTCAGGTACAACCTACACGAGGCGGAGTACAGGGGATCAATCACAGCGTAGGCGGAGACGATGGTCTGTGCTGGACGGTATATTCTCGCATTCACCCTCGAACAGTGCCTCCTCTATTACCCCTCTTCAGGAGGACCGTGCGCTCGAGTCAGTGGCGTCGCCCCTCGGTCACGGCACTTCAGAGACAGGAGGCCAACCTTCCTTGTCAGAACTTTCTCGATCACAGACCACGCGTATAGCACCCTCTAATTCTAGCGGCACCATTCGCCCGGAGACCTCGAGACGACCGTCCACATCTACTGGGGTACCTGCAGGTACAGGTTCCCAGAGCGTACGAGACCGTGCCGCTACGGTTGGAAATGCACCTTCCGTTCCTTCTTTGGCTTCCACAGTACCTACCGGCTCTCGTTTCCTGCCGCGAATCATCACGAACGCGTTCCAAGCACGGCGGTCGGATGATCTACCTCCGCTTCCGCGGTTAGGAGACATTGACGCGAAAAAATCATCTATGATGCTGCCCCCACCGCCTCCACCAGCTCCGAAACTCGAGTACGCAAAGCTACCTGGAACCAAGGGTGCTGTTCTCATTAAAGCGGTCGAAACGGCGAAGAAGAGGTGAGTTGATGTATATCCTACACGATGTCCTTGGGCTGAAACATCTTGTCAGCTTCCTCGCCATATTGTGTGGCGATACAGGCGAAAAGGTCGAGCTCTTCGCAGGAACCTATCGCACTGCACTTCAGCTTTCTCGCACATTCATTCTGCCCGATTCGCCGCGATCGCTCGAATTGCAACTGCAGGGAGATGACCTCGTTGAAGTATTCCTGGTATTCACACAGAACGTGTTCGGCCTGGAGCCGGCAACTGTGCGAGTACGTGAAGTCAGGATTGGACGAGCGGAACGGAGGGCCGCACGCCGTCGTGCAAGGGAGACTCGCCCCGAACAACCTGGCGATGCCGATGGGGAGGGTGCCGGCGCTGACGACGACATCCCGGTGAACGTGACGGTTCTGACATCATCATCGCCGCCCCCTGTCGGCGAGGATGGCCCAAGTAACTCGTCAGCAAGTTCCTCGCTGGCACCTGGCCAATCCGTTGACGCGACTCAGCCGCAAGGCGATGCTTCAAGCTTGACGGGCAATTCAACCGAAGAGCTACTCGCTGTCACTGCCGCGCAGAGTAGTCCTTACACCACCTTCCAGCAGTTGTCTTTCGCGCCGAACTTTCCTTTGGCCGCAATTGCGGACGAGTATATCATTCCTCCTACTTACGCCTCGTTCCTGGAGTATAGATCTTCTTATGAACCGGAAGTCAATGGCGATACGAACGTAGATCTGTCTCAAGTGCAATTCTCACCACCTGGCCTCCCTGTCCCTGTACCGGCTCCGCCATCAATGTGGTACTATCGGGATCCAAAGGGCAATGTCCACGGTATGTGATACGCTGTGTGGAAAGCATCCTGTACTGACATTTCCACAGGTCCGTGGAAGGCCGCAATAATGCAGGCATGGTATAGGGACAGCCTCCTGCCACCCGACCTTCCTGTTAAGCGGGAAGAAGACTCCGAATACATGGTGCTGAAGGACTTGCGCGCTCAATGCGTAGACCCGACGCATCCTTTCAGGAGTGCACCTCCACTGCCTACTCCTACGCCTCCAATACCAGCTCCAGATGATTACAAACCTCTTCTGTCCCCCATTTCATTACTCAGCCAGCCGAGACATTTCGGACCACCGGCGCTCTTTTATTCATCTCGGGGAGGACACAGCACTACCATCGTTGACGCTCGCGGTCGATCTGTACTCAAAGGGCGCATTACTTGGAGCGCGGATAATGAGGATTCATTGCTCACAACTGGGCGGCTTGGTGACGTCAAGAGACTGGAAGCATTCGACGTAGACGATCGCGCCGTCCTCGTGGCCATGCGCCAAGGCGGTCTCGAAGTTGTGGACTTCGGCGATGCTCTCCTCCGGCCTGCAGATCACTCGCGCACCGTGTACCCTCACTTCCAGCCTCCGTACTCGAGCGTGAGTCGACGTGGCGCGTTTGTGTGGAAGATTGGCACTCCCTTGACGTCGCACTCGTCGATGTCGTCCTTGCACTCGGTGGTCGATATTCCCACGTCGAAGTCCGTGAGCCACCGCAAGAAATTGAGTACAGGCCCGGCTAAGTCGCCTCGGTCGGACTTCACTTTGTCCAGCGACGGAGACTCGGATAGAATGCAAGACGAGGTGCTCTTCTTGGGCCGGAAGGACAACGAGATCTACATCTGCGAAAGGCGAGTAGGCTCTTTCCGGATACTCAAGCTGTCCCCTCGCGATACCTCAACATGACTGTCACGACTGCTGCATGTGAAACCTGCTTCATCTTATGGCACATGGAACGTCGTTCATGGATCTTATTCTCGCACGCCGTAGCTATAGCATATTATTTCCGTCTATTTGCACGTCATTTCTGGACACTCGTTCGACACTAAGTTTATTCTTTTCTCATCTCCGGAAAGTAAAGGAGGATGTACATTGCAATCAATATCCAGATACATGACGCGCATATTAATGAACGATGTGATTAATCTAGGGGTCACTGCCGCCAATGGCTTTCGCCTCCTTGACATGTCGTACCCACTGGTCAGTCCTCTCTTTCTCGACTTCTAGACCGTGTTCCGATAGCAGATGGCGCCGGAAGTCGTATGCTCGGCTGAACACATAGGAGCATTTTGCAACTTGATTACCAGAAGACCTTGAATGTGTAGCAGCTAGCTCAGCGGCCAGCATAGCAGGCAGATTGGGGAATGGGCACTGGAGCTTCTTCGTGGTGATCAGTTGTGCTTGCGAGCGGGCTGAGTACGCGTTGCCAGTAATGAGGTCGATACTGAAAGCTGGTTGATCGTCGGAGTCGGCATCAGACGATTCGTCTTCTGATCCGTCGGACTCATCAGGACCATCGCTATTAGGCGGGTCTACAGGGTGCGCCTTGGCTGCGTGCCGCTGCAAGAGATGCTTGTAGCCAAACGTGCGTGCGCAGCTCAACTGTGGACAGACGAAGTCTCGACGGCCAAGGTGAGCTACCCTCAGATGCGTATTCAGCGCCTTTTTCTACGTAGTGGACGTTAGTGAGCGATCGAGGACAGCTGACAGGATAAAACGACGCACCGACTTGAAATCCTTGCCGCAACCAGTTTCCTCGCAGACCCAATCGCGGCCGATTTCCCCGCCCCTGCGGCGTTTGCGCGGTTTCTCGTCAGCCTCGTCAGCAGACTCGCCTACGGCGTCTTCTAACTCTGCCTCGAGCTCACGCTCAGCGTGTATTTTAAGGTGTGCGCGGAGACCCTTTTGCGCTGTGAATGTCCTTCCGCTGCACGAAGCATAAGGACAGGTGGGAGGATGCGCTGTGCGCATATGGTGCTGGAGGGCAGTCCATGTAGGGAAGTAAGTAGGCGGGACACCAGGTGCAGGTAGGCACGACTGATGAGCACATGTGTAACGTTTATCTGACGGTCGATCATTCAGCGTGCTGATGAGTACCATGAGTAAACATGTAAACATACCGTCGTGAGTCTTCATGTGTGCGCGCAGCTTTTGGCTGGTAGCAAACGATTTTGTGCATTCACTATTCTCACACCGATACAGTTTAGTTCCTGCGGGACAATGCACTGTGCATATGTGCGCCCGCAGTTGGAACTGCTTTGCGAACGACGCATCACACGAAGGTTCACTACACTATTTTGCAATGAAGCTTAAGAATTGCGACCTAACTAAACGTAGGCAGTACACACCTGGAACGGCTTCTCACCCTTGTGAGTGCCTTCATGGACGTGGAGATGCTGAGTGGTCCAAAATCGCTTGCCACAATTATGTTCCCCGCACACGAATGGTTTTGCGGAATCAGGGAGATGTGAGCGGGCATGGGCCTGCAAGTGACTTTCTCGGAAGTAGGTCTTGCTGCAAGAGGAGCATATAAAGGGGCGCTGCACGACATGGCGTGAGGATCAGTTATATTGAGACCAACATAATGAACATACATCTCCTGTGTGTGACCTTTCATGCTCAGCTAGTCGTGATGGCTTGGTATAAGACTTGTCGCATCCTGGATGAGGGCACTGGTACGGTCTTCTCCTCGGGCTGACCTCTCTCTGATGCTTTGATGGGCCAGCAATTGGCTCATGCTGAGTATCAGGCTCGTATTCCGACTCTGACTGCGAGGGATCGTAGCCGGGGGACGGAGATGAGGATACACGAAGGATGGCAAGCGGCTCTGCTTGCCTTTTGCGCTTGCGAAGTACAACGGTGGATGTGTAGGTGTGGTCGGTCATTCAGTGCTTCTCACGAGGCCCGTAAAGTGTTAAAATATGGACAGGAATCTGGTTGAGCACTACGCTAAATTCCAGCTGAATGAAGGCGTCGAATGAGAAGAGGAAGGATACAAACGCCCGACGCGGTACACGTGGTCTATGATGGACGCGTATATTTGACGCGTCCGACGAGTCAAACCTGTTTCTCGACTAGTCTTTTGAGCGAGGAGATTACATTGGCATCCGACTACATCTCAAGTAGCATCTTGTCTCTGGCACGTCTTCTGTGAATACTTCATGTCTGGTGGTCATCCTGGACTGAGTCTCATTTTCGGCATCTGTCGTCTCAGCCCAAGGGATGAGTTATCCCGATTAATGTTGTACGTGTGCTTATTCTATGTCGCGGGGACTGAAGTCTCCACTGACACGCACAGAAACGGGTCAAACCACAGGAACACTACCAGTTACGTCTGAAATGTTAATCACCCTTGACCGTACCCCAAATGTCAGCCCACTAGTCCGAGACGCAACGTTACAATGGGATACTGCCATACACCAGCCTACGCCCCTCCTAACTCTTTGCGAACTCCTGAGTCTCTCCGCACTGCTCCTGGCGAGCCCCGCTGTTGACCCCTCATCCGCTGCACTTAACTTGCTGCTTCTATAGCTTATGCACGATGAAACGCTCGTCGCATGTGCACACATATCAAGCGTTTGCAGTGCTGCTGGTGTCAGCCTCGATGGCCCTCGGTGAGTTTCATTCCTCGAATGCTGACGTGTTTAAACGTAATATACTCTCAAAAGCCGACTCAGTGGCCAACGACTGGGTGAGCATTAACTATGCGCTCAAACAAGCCGGCGGGAGTGCTTCTCAGGACACAGCGAGTGCACGCCAAGGTATCATAAGCAGCGCAGGCAGCACCGCAAAGTCAGGACCCTGGAGTACGTGAATCATCCTAATTCTACGCCAGCTGCTGTCTGATATGCGGAATAGCTGTCGTCGACAAGGGAAGCGTTTCACCCCCTAGTGGTAATCCTCAGGACTACTTGAGTTGGGCACCATAGTATGTCATTTCATGGTGGGAGCTGGCGGAAGTTAACGAATGTCTAGCCACTGGCCAGCATGCAATTGGTGTACAAAGGGTACCACCCATTTGTCGAATCCGGGTTCGAGCGGCAACGACACAGGAGATGATTCCGACGATGGCACCGACGGTGCAGACCCAGACGACTCGGACCCGTACGAAGATGGAGGTTCGGATGATGGTGGCGACGACGGTGATGAAACGCTAATTGTCATCCGTGATCACCACTCCGCCTTCTCAAGGCGTAGACGAGGGGTCTTCGGATCTCACCGGCATATGAGGAGGTTGCGACGTGCAGCCCTGCAGCCCCTTGTGCAGGTGCGCGACGCATCAATACAGGATGCACAGGCAAATGCTCCCATAAGTGGCTCGCCCATTGCACAACTGGCCGGTCTAGATGACGTCCCGACGAGCTTGCTTCCCACAGTCCCAACCCCCTTACCATCCGTCAGCGTCCCACAGTCACCCTTGAGCGGCCCTGGTAGCTCATCTAGTGGCTCTATCGGCACTATGGCAGGCACGCCTGCGCCCGCTGAAGCTCCTGCCAAAACATCAAGCCCTAAAAGCTCAGGCTCGTGCACACCTTCTCCAACCAAGTCGTTAGCTCCCAGCGCAAGTACGTTTTCTTGATCCTTTACGATAAGAACGCTGGCATGTTTACAATACGAGTGCCTTGCAGCTTGGACCACTTGTCCATATGAGGTCCGCGACGGCAAGGTGAATCCAGACGTGTCCACGCTGCCCGATTCCCCAGCGGTTGTCCACATGACCGAGTCGGTGCTCTACAACAGCCTGGCCTATGTTATGCAAAAGACGGGCTCGTACTCGAAAAACGCAGCGTCGTTCATTGATGCCTTCTTCCTCTCGCCTTCAACTGGTATGCGCCCGAACATGAACTTCGGCCAAATGGTGCGAGGTCCGGGGCAGGACCACCAAATAGGGACTTTCACTGGAGTGCTCGACCTTCGCTTTTTGGTGAAGGTGGTCAACAGCGTGCAGTTGTTGAAAGCCGCTGGGAGTCCAGATTGGACATCCGCCAGAGATCAGGCATTGACGTCCTGGATGAACCAGTACTCCTCGTGGCTGCAGACCAGCGATCTCGGGAAGCAGGTTGCTTCGAAGGCTAAGTAAGAACAAACCTCCCGCTCGTGTGTTTGCCTTCGCTGATAAGATGTACAGCAATCATTACACCTTCTATGTCAACCAGCTCGCCGCCGCAAAGATGTACGTTGGCGACACCAAGGGCGCAACGGCAGCTCTGCAGAGCTACTTCTCCAACCAATATTTGGATCAGATTGCCGCGTCGGGAGAGCAACCATTTGAAGCCGTCAGGACTAGGCCGTACCATTATCGTTGCTTCAACCTGGAAGCCATGATTGTGAGGAAGGACGTCACTGAAATGATTGTATCTGACAATCCTATCTCCAGACAAATGCGAAGCTAGGTGACCAGCTCGGTACGAACTTCTGGTCTGCCAAGTCGAAGTATGGTGCTACTATTCAGACGGCTCTCGACTACACCATGGGGCTCGATCCGAAGGGTGAGGACGTCTCTGACATCTTTCCGCATGTCGCAGCTGTAGCTGCGGCCTACGGTGATCCCAGTGGAAAGTACGCAGCATTTTTACAGAAGCAGGTCAGCAGCTACAAGAGCATGCCCTTCTGGTTCTATGATCAGACCAGTGCCTTGCCGAACTCTCCTGCCGCACACTCAACACAGAAGCGAGCAGGCATGGACAAGGCATTCGCGGCTGCAGAGGACATAAAGGAGATGATGGTGAACACAGTGCTTAAAGCCTCGCAGATCCCTTTCGAATGTCCGGCCGTCTTTACGCTCGGCCCTGAGACGGAACTCGATGATGGGATATTCGTGACGTGCAAACAGGTGGAGCCATTCTACGAGATTCAAATACCTCTTAATTCTAGTGCTATTGCGATGTAATGTGTACCTGAGTATGGCTGGTATATACTCGTTTCCTGCCACTGCGTAGAATCGAAGGCGGACTGAGCTCGGCACATGCGCATGCACGCAGCACCGCGCGAACACGAGATAAACAACAAACACCACTGTGACGCCCATCCGTTCCTCGTTACACCATCATCTCCCAGGGCTGTTCATCTCTACCTTCTCTCGCATCCTTCTACACTCATGGCCGACGGTGCATCGGGTGCTGCTGAGCGGTCTGTTCAGGTCAAGTTAGTTCTGCTGGGTGAGTACACAATACACCAGCAGTGTATGCCGTACTCCAGCGATCCGATTCGTCCGCGTGGTTCATATCGGGTTGTGGTCAACGAGCAGCAGCAGTGCAACGTCTCGTGGCATATGCTACAGTCATGTACAAGACAAGCGTATCCGTGTGCTGACAGTACTTCTGCTATCTAGGCGAGGCGGCTGTCGGAAAGTCGTCTGTCGTCCTGCGATTCGTGCGTAACCAGTCCCCGCTTCGCTGCCTATCTTTGAGTCCATTGTTCTTACAGGTTTCAAACGAGTTCCAAGCCAACAAGGAGCCCACAATCGGCGCTGCATTCCTGACGCAGAAATGTCGTCTGGAAGACCGTGTCCTCCGATATGAGATCTGGGATACAGCTGGGCAGGAACGCTTCCATTCGCTCGCAGTACGTTGTTTTACATATCACGAAGCTTCTCTGCGTTACCTGACTGTTCGTAGCCCATGTACTACCGCAACGCCCAAGCTGCTGTTGTTGTTTATGATGTTACGAAAGCGTCCAGTCTTGAGAAGGCAAAGACATGGGTGAAGGAGCTTCAGAGACAAGCGAACCCTAACATTGTCATTGCACTCGCCGGGAACAAGGTCGATCTCGTCCAGCCATCGTCGTCATCATCCGGCGCTGCCACGCCTGAGACGGAGGATGAAGCTGATGACGCAACCGCTACACCCGGAGAGAACGCTGGAGCGGCTGGTAGTGAGCCGGAAACCCTAAGACAGGTGCCTCGGGAGGAGGCAGAGGCGTACGCACAGGAGGCCGGTCTCCTCTTCTTCGAGACTAGTGCCAAGACGGGCGACGGTATCGTCGAGATGTTCACCGAGATTGGTGAGTATATCCACTGTTTCCATTTGAGGACTTATGCTCATTGGTCTTCCCGTATCATAGCCAAGAAGATCCCCATCGATCAAATACTGGCTTCGTCTCGTGGTACTGGCCGTCCGGGCGCTGCTGGAGGCCGTACAGGTGCTGGGCAGGAGGGTGTTAACCTCGATGAGAACGCCGGCAAGGGCAAGGAAGCGTGCAACTGCTGATCGCCTATTGCTCGAGTGTATGGTGTGCGCATACAACATCCAGCTCTCACGATCTCCTATGGTTACAGTACTATTATCGTCTGCCTTTTGTTGTGTCCTGTCTGATCTATATGGTTTTCTCGCACCGTAGTACATGTATTTGCTTTTATTTTACACTGGACATCAGATTGCAGGAGTTACTACAGATGAGTTTGTGACAGCTATGAGCAGCAGATTTGATCAATGCGGGTGATGTACAAGGTCTACGTAGGGTGGCGGTCCTGAGCTGTGATCGTGTCCATCGTCGCTATCGGGGACGCGGTAAGGCGGAGGGGCGTGCCCATCGGGCTGACCTACAATATGGAGCCCGGGCGGATGAGGCGGACGAGGACTAGGTGTCTCGTGAGTCCCTTGAGGCCCGCGGAAGTCGGAGTCTATGGAGGGCGGGGGATCGGACGGGTCGTCCATGGGTGGGGGCGGAGGCGGGGGCTCGTGCTCGTCATTTTCGGGATCATCTAAGCCTAGAGCCACACCCAACGCCTGTATGGCGACGTTAGGGCTGAGGTTCGCCAGGCCCGTCACGTCAGTGTCGCGCGTTGCCATTTCGACGGTCGGCGGCGGGGTAAACGAGCGGTCCATGTCCGCATGCCCGTCGAACTGCTCCGTCGCGGCGAATCCGAACAGCGTGCCCTCGCCTTCGATAACGAGGCTTTGGCCGGGCAATGTGTGCGAGTCGAGGCCGTCGTCGTTCGAGGCTACGTAGATCTCGCGTTCCGACTCGAGGAACGTCGGCAGCCGCGTCGAGGAGGACGCCTCGGGGACCGTGGAGAAGAACGGCGGCGGGGCCTCGCGCTCCTCGAAAGGCGGGGGCGCCCCGCTGAGGAAGCTTGGGCCTGCCGCGTCATAGTGCGGCACGTCGGCGTCGTCCGCGCGGTGTGTCCGCGACGGCGGGCGATCGTGCTTCTTGTGGTACGCTGTATTCATCGACTCCTCGATCTCGGGGAGAGGGGCGGGCGGCGGAAGGATGACGATGGGGATGCTCACTGTTGAGATGCGCTCGGTGCGGGTCGACATGTGCATGAAGGCCACTTTGACGCGAAGCTTGAATGACACGGAATGCAGCAGGGTCGTCTGCGAGATAGTAGCGCACTCGATGGTGTCGGCCGCATAGAAGTCACCGGCGGGGAGGTCTGATGCTGGGAGCGCCGGGGGCGACTCCACTGGAGGATGCAACACGAGTCGCATGCGGATGGGGCGTGTTGGGTGCAAGCGGCAGGACGCTCCAGACAGAGAGATGACCTTATGTTCTCCCGAAAGACCAGCAGACGATGCAGCTTGCGAGGATGAGGACGGCAAGGCGTCAGCTTTCTGCCTGCCCACATCGCCGTCATCAAGCAAGTCGTCGTCGAGCCTCGAGCCGAAGGTGGAATCGTCTTCGTCCTTCCCCTTGATTCTCACAGTCCGCACCAGCTCTGCGCGGATGTTCCGCAGCCTGAGCCCTTGCTCGACGACCAATTCGCGTCTAGGAGCGGGCACAGTCACGTAGATCGGCAGATGATCACCCAGCCTAAACGTTGTGCGCGGGATCTGGACCTCGACACGCGTAGGATCGTCGAGCGACCTGCTCTCCGGGGATATAGGGCTGCCGAACGAATGCGTGGTATACCGGCGTGTATGGGCAGTCACTGACTTGGACAGCACAGGGGTAGCATTGCCCGACGCATAGACGTTCGCGGTCAGAGTGTGCGTCAACGACGAACGGGCTGTGTGTATGCACTGTGGCGTGTCCGGCGGCAGTGGGATCGCGAAGGGAAAGCTGGACCGCAACGAGCGGACCTCAGAACTCGACGAATACAACACTACGTCCGAGGCGGCGAGCTCGATCTCGGAGCCGCTCGCGGTCTCTACAGTCCGTAGCGACATGGTTCTGGCATGGAGCGGGGGTGTCAGCATTGACTGCGTGCATCGTGCTCGAGACACGAGCTCACACTTTCTCCCAATTGAAGTTATCCGCACACTTGAGCTGCAGCTCACCCTCAATGGCTGCCCGCTCGCCGTCTGCGCCTAGGTATCCCTTCTGGAAGCTGACATCGTTCCCGGTAGGAAGGATGAGGATTTGGGGCTCGACGGGGCCGCCGCCGCCATCGGACATCGACTCGTCGTCGGGCGGCTCTGGCGAATAGACAGGGGGAGGCTCAAAAGGCATGGTAGGTCAAGTGGTTGTCAAGTTGGTGGAAATGGAGATTGATTTAGGTAGGCGTTGGAGAGGACGAATAGAGCGCCATAATCAGCCACATTAGATGAAGGATACAAGGAGGTCGGCCCCGAGGCAGTCTCGAGCGCTGCGCACAAATTCACAGCGCTTACTTCTTCGCCGAGTACATTCTCGGGTTGATCCTGTTCAATGAAAGGCAACATTGTCTGCCGACTGCATGTATTGGTAACGCAAATACATCGCAGAATACACATTGACATCAGCGTCAGCGCGAGGAACATATCCAACTAGCGCAACTCCACCAACAAGCCTACGATCTGTCGCCGCGCACAGCTGAGGTGCTTCCTCAGCGTCTGCATCCCGTTCATCAGTATCGCACCCGCACCGCATTGTGGGCTCGAGAAGAGGTGTTCGGGACGGAGACTAGGCCCGATCTTGGCTACAATTTGACCTTGCCGCACCGTGGATTGCTGCGGTTACGAAAGGGTACTTGATAGCCCATGCCGAGCATCGCGAAACGAGCGGAGTCAGGAGATATGAAACTTGTGGCATTTCATTACGGCGATTCGAGTACGCTGATACATGCTCGGCGACGAGAGAAAAGGTATGATTAATTACACTGAGATCAGAGCGAATGCGTCAAATCACATCTGCTAAAGTTCGTTGTGCATAGCACTCACCACTAGACCAGGAACGACAACGACAATCGTGTTTCCTGCGTTAGCAATAGCATGTACCAAATCCCGCACGAGTAGAGAGCTCAGGAGAGAAAAGTTGACAGGAAAACAAAGGCTTAATATAGGCTACACATTGACCTCGCACAACCCACAGTTCGGTAGGCGAGGCTTCGAAAGAGCCAAGCTCGGAGTCATAGGAAATAGGAAAGAGAGAAAGAAATGGATTGTATTGGGATTGGCTCGATTCGGATCAGTATGTACACTAAGAAAGTTACACTTACAGAATTTGCTGTTTAAATCTGTGCTCCCCGGAATGCTTCATCATCAGCATGTGTCAAGGCCGTGACGAGTATATAGGGAGTTGCAATTGATCTTGGCTACAATATGACCTCGGGTACCACGGAAAACGGTATGCGAAGCTTCGAAAGAGCCATTTAGAGTTAACTTGAAGGAGTCGCGCAAGACCAAGGGTATCTCGTTCCATTTTAATGATACATCGAATATACAGCAATCAGAAACCTGCAGAACGCTTGTCAGGAAAATACCGGCATAGCATCGGGCGAAAGACGTACAACATTGACAATCAAAGGGACATAGTGGCGTGTCTGAGGTGGCTCGTCAGTATAACAGCCAGTATGAGGTGAGGGGTATGCTGACCGCCACCCTGGTCCGTGATGCCCAGTTCGTCTTCTTTGTAGACTGCCCAGCCCTCCTCCGTCTTACGTCCTGGAAAAGGACGGTTCGCGAACAGACGACAGGCAGAACACTTAGCGACATACTAGGCCCGGTGCCTCTCGAGTCTCGGAACCATTCCTCGTCCTCGTCTACCTTCCGTTTCTTTGTGCTACCGGAAAGAGCGTCTGACGACTTTGTTGCCTTGCTCTTTTTCGGAGCAGCAGCTGGCAGACGAGCAGATGGGTCAAGCACAGTCTCTGGCACCGGACGTTTGACAGTCTGCACGCGGTGCGCGTTATCCTCGGCGCCGAGAGCAGAGTTAGAATCACGCTTCGTGCCCTTCTTCTTCTTTTTCACCTTGTCTGCAGGCGGTAGAGATGAGGAGGAGGCGACAGGCTTGGTCGCCGCCTTACCCTTGGACGCAAAGATGTCGTCGATCTCAGAGGTGGCCATGGGAGGAGGAAAAAAGACAAGACAGGAAAAAAAGACGTGGTGGTCACGGGCGGGCGCCTAGGTGCCGGGAAGGGATAGCCGAGAGGACAGAGGGCGGCAGAACAGAACAGACACGCTGCAATCCTCGCAAAGTCAGCACAGCGGGCTCGACGGTCGGCAGCGGCCTCATGATGTGCGTGATTCCCTTTGTTTTCCAGTCTTGTCGTCCTCGGTAACACAGCAGTCCGCGCAGGCAACAACCACACGTATCACACGGAGCGGGGCAGCAGCAGCAGGCGTTCGCCCCCGCCGCATCACCGGACGGCGCAGATGGGTCGCTGGCGTTCAATAATCTCGATCCGCTGGTCGCAAAGCAGATGGCTGCGCTTCAAGCCACCAGCCTAGCAAAAGCCGGAAATCGCTCTGCGCCAGGCGGAACTTCGGTGCCTTATTTCGGGGGATTGTTGACACACCAATCACAACCCATCCGTCGCCCAGACCCTCCTAACCATCCGCTCCAAGGTCACCACCCCGGCCTCTCCCCTGATCACATTCCCCCGCACCCATCTAACGTCAGTCCTGGTCTCTTCCTCCCTCTTTCGCCAACTGATCACGCCCCCGCCCAGCCTGCCATGGCCCACGCCAACCCTGCCGTCATGCAGCAGCAGCTCCTGCTTCAACAACAGCAACAGCACCAGAAACGACGGCAGTTCCTTCATGGCCTCGCGTCCGTCCACATGCGCTCAAACCCTTTGCCGCCCGAGCTCGTCGGCACGCCATGGCCCGCCGGATACGACCCGGCCCAGTCGCCGTGGAAAGGGCTCGATATATCGCGCACGGAGCTGGGCCACATTCGCATAGCGGGCAAAGATGTGGATCTGTATAGGTTCTGGGCGCTAGTGTCGCAAGTAGGTGGTATCGCAAAGGTGTGCATAATCCAGCGCCAGTCCGTGCATTGTATTCATTGCGTTGTAAAACTCGTGTCGTCAGATGGACCAACAATGGCCGTCCCTTCTACGTCATTTCGATCTTCCGGACCAGCATCCCGATCCCCAGCCGAGCGGGCAGCAGTCGGTCGCGGTGACCTTGAACAGGCTGTTCATGCATATCCTCGCGCCATTCGATGAGGCGTACAAGAGAAACGTCCGTGAGCAGCAGGCGCGAGCGGGAATGCGAATGCAGCCCGGCGTCCAACAAGGCATGCAGGGCGGTGCTCAGGGTGCAGGCGGTGTTCCCGATGTTATGTCGGGCCCGTCTCAACTTAATCAGGCGCAGAGCATAGCCGGAGACTCCTTCAATATGAATATGCCAGGCATGAATCAATCCATGCCCAATAATCCGTCGCAGGCGTTCGATTCGGCGGCAGCGGGTCTTGGTGGACAGACGAGTCAGCCGCACACACCCCAGATGCCTCAACATTCGCCCACAAACAGCATAGGTGGGGCCCTGGGAATGGTGGCATCATCATTGCTGTCTCAGCAAATGCACGGCACACCGAGCGCCGGCAGCACGTCGGCGCAAGAGCCCAATGGCGCCGATGCAGACGCGGAAGGCAGAAAGAGGAAAATGCGGCAGTCAGAAGAATTCGATCCGAAACGAGTTAGACAAAGGACAGGTGCGTGCTTCGGCTTCGATGGAGCTATCTGCCTCATATATTCATTTCAGGCGGCTCTGACTCGTCCGACATGCGAGCTGTAAGTACAAAGGAAGCGCCCACGTGCTGTATATAGGCTGATGTCTGCGTCTCTAGTCCCTACCCCCGTCCGGCATGAACGGACAGTCTGCCCCAGCCGCCGCCCCGCGCACAATACGCCAACCATCGAGACGAAAGATCGAGTATGTTCCTTTCTCGCGGGAAGTCGATACCGACGGAGGGCGCGATCTCGCTGCTATTCAAAAGGAGTATGCGCGCGCCGCGCACAGGCCGATGAAAGACATGAACGAGTGGGGCCAGGTCGATGTGGACGCAGTTACCATGTCCCTGCGTTCCCGAATATCCACCGAGCTGTCTTACGGCCTGACGACGTTCACCTTGCTAACGCTTATGCAGTATCCTAAGAGGGAGCCGGGCTTCCCAATAGCACAAGCCCCAGATCTGCTTGAGGAGGTGCTTGACATTCTCGAGGATGTTGGGCTGGAAGGTGATGAGGACGATACGGTGCTGGGAGCGCCTGTCACACCTGTCAAAACCTATCGAGAGCTTGTAAATGCTGTTCTAGAGGATGGGTCCAGACCGTTCGCAGGGCTGGAGAGAAAACACGGTTCGAAGGATTACAACATCGGTCCTCGGCCACGCCATGGTGAAACGATCCTCACCGTGACTAACATCATCCGCAACCTCTCCAATTTCGCCGACAATCATGAGTATCTTGCAAAACATGATAGAGTGCTCACTATCATGTTGCGGTTATGTATGTTGTCCGCCTCCGCGGCGGACGATCTCCCAAGTCCGGCTTCACCAGCGCTATCTCTGCAAGACCTTCTCATCTTACGCAAGGATACCCTATACCTCCTAGTAAATATTGCAGGCGCCGTCGACTTGTCGATTTCAGGCTCGACGTCAAAAACTCCACTGTTGAATGCGCGACGAGCTTTCGAGCTGCTGTCTTCCTTCCTCAGCGATCCAGTAGAGTCCGTCTCGCCCCTCGGTTGCCTCCTATTGTCCGGCGTCCCTGCTACAATCAACCCACAAAGCACGCCGTCTCCGCCCTCTATTGCCGACACTGCTCTGGAAGTTTACACGCGATTGTTCCAGCCCGATGACAATCGCCACGCCTTGTCCAAAGCAGCACCGCAGGAGTGGCTGTGGACGTTCTTGGAATCGCTAGTCCATCGTCTTCCTGTCTCGAATACAGATTTCCAGGTCGTGATGCGCGACGTGTGGCTAGGATACGTGGAGAAGATCCTCATGGCAATCTTCACCATCGCGTTCCTGGCGCCGCCTCAGCTAAAGAAACGCATCAAGATGGATCGCGAATTGGCGTTCCCCAAGGTGCTCCTGCGCCTCGTGAAGAGGTTCACGGTACTCACCCCTCAGGAGGCGCGTATGTACTTCACGATTTGCGTCCGCCGAGCGGTAGAGGCCTTGAAGCTCATCGACGACGCTGAAGACTCGTTCGATACTTCCCAATCGTCATCACCCACACTCATGTTTGGCATGGGCTATGGCGAGCATGGGGAGAGTCGTATCGAGACTGGCACGGGCCTTCTTAGCGGATACCAGGACGAGATTACGTGGAACCTCATGTTGCAACGGGAGATTTTCACTGACCCGATAGTGTTTGCGGAATTGGAGAGTCTAGTCAGGGTTGACAGGCTCGCTTCTGTACCTTAATTACTTGTTCTTCGCTAACGGGTCATGTATACCTACGTTGTTGTATCTGTAGTCTATTGCTTCAAAGACATGATATATCCATTTACATTTGTGCACAAGCGTGCACAACGCTCTCGCGGTTTGTGGAAGCTCTAAATTCATCTCATGTCGCGATCAAAGATGGTTACTTTCCCCGCCGCCGATTCACCTCTGTTGTACTTCAGCTGTTGTTATGGGTTTCAGTTGCAGTAATCGACTCACACGACAAGGGCCCGTTCTTGCCGATGAACATCGCCGATTGTAAAGTGTCCAATGTCCGTCTTGCATTGTGCTAGTACTGTACCGTTATAGGGGTCATCGGACGATCTCTTTACGTCCCATAGCCGGACACATCCTAGACAACAGGAAAAATATTAGCTGTGTCCGTCGCAATGCACCTAATCCATTGCATACCGTCAGCTCCACCAGTGATTAGCCCCAAGCCCCTCGACACGCATTGCATCCAGAAAAGCTCAACAACGCCGTACATTTCTTCCACATTCTCGCCCGCATCGTGGTGGAACTCGTGCACCTGTCGGCTTAGAAAACGGGAGTCATAAACGTGTGTTATGTTATCGCTCCGCGCAACAGCTAAGTAGATCCCGTCATTGCTGAAGGCAATCCGGGGTACATATCCATCGAATTTTACCATGTCGACCTTATCAATGGGCCGCGTGTCGCGAGTACGCGCATCAAACAACCATAGGCTGTGTGCGCGTTTGGACCGCCTTGTCGAGATGATGAGTCTTGTACCTGGACCGCAGAAGAAACATCAGCTCAGTTTGCGCTGCAAGAGTGGACATGTACCACCGACCTGACTCCTCTACAGCGAGCTGTTCGCCGGCTTCGTCAATCTTGTACTCGCATACTATCTGACGAGTTGTCGCGTCATATGCTCTGTGGTAGCCTAGAAAGTCCTGCTCGTATCGGGTCATAGTCGACGCAAAGAGCATTGATGACGAGGCATCCCGTCCCCACAACAGACCGGATATCTCTTGATTGCTCACTGGAGCTACGCGAAGCCGACTCTTTGTCGGCGCCGACATGGCGTCGGCGTATAGATAGACATTCCTAAATCCGGTATGAGTTCTCGAGCACTGAAGAGAACGATGGTTGTTACCCGTCCCAGCCTGCCATCGCCAATAGTGCCTCTTTTGGCTTGAAGAGCACTGCACCCATAACGCAGCTGTAGGTGACTGGACACAACAGTGATGAGCTGACTTATACTGCAGATTCGTAGGGCGCCGATAACGACCTGTGCGCACGGGAGATAGCTCTCGGTTATCTTGAAGTCCTAAACAATCCCAGACCTGCAGCTTCCGGTCGGTTCCCACAGACACCAGTCTCCCCGGGCTGGCGCGCAGAATACATTAGGATGAATCTAGACGCAACGAGGTATGAGCAGACGCACACGGTAGGATTGAATTGAATGTCATTCAGCGAGTAATGCTGAATTTCCTCTGTGTCCATTACGAAGGAAGCCGCATGAATTGTGATGGCCATTGAGCAGAGAGATGGGAACGTACCCCGACCACGTAGCCTTCTTCGTTGCATGTGGGCGGGCAAGGTGTGCACTCCTCCTTTTTAAGCTTGACGGCTGTGCTAATACATGTAGAGAACTCACATGCACCTTTCATTGAGACTTTGAGCGCGCCGCCGCTGTTGTAATGATCCAAAGGCCGATTACTATTACCTGACTTAAGGTTAGCCTCGGGAGGTGGGTATAACGGAAGACAGTTACAAACCCCACATGCCGTCACTAACTGTACTAGCAACAGCAATGAGACCTTCGTATTGTACAATTTTCTGAATATCTGCCTAGAGGTGACGAATACCACAAAATACTCAGGATGCCAAGTACTTACGACCCGGTGCATGGTCGATAGTGGCTATCTCCCTTAGGTCTGTGAGCATGTCGAAACGTCCACGGGAACGATACGTTGTACGTGACTGCCTCATTCGCGCGCTGCACTGTCGAAGCTAGAAAATCCTATCAGATGTGCATATTCTGAGCCCTTAGAAAATTAGTAGACCCACCTTGTCCCATATGAACTGGTTTCCTCGATAAGACGTGGCGTTCGCTTCTGTGAGGCACTGTGTGGCGTGCGCAACACCCTGTCCGGGCGCACTTGAATTGTTGACGGCTATTGATGGCAAACCTAGCACATGCATGTGAATGATCAAATCCTCGTCCTCTCTCAGCCCAATCCCCTGTCGGTGTCCACGACGAGTTTGAGGAGACAGCGACGGCTGGTCAGCATAAGCGGTGTACAGATGCATACAACATACTTCATCCAGCGGGGGGAGTGCACTATCATTGGGGGAGTTTTGACGGGACCGGACAATTGCTGAAGTACATGGCTTAGCAATGGACCCAGCGTTGGCGATATTTGTCAATATAGGGCGCATGAATGTAAGTTCCTGGTGGATCGCTAAGGGCATCCTCCCGCGATGCCTCTGAGGTATACATGAGATGTGTTGCTGTCCGGTAAACATTGTCTAGCTACCTCCACGGGGCGCACTATTTCGCAGAGGCGATTTCCAGTAGAACCAAGTTTGCGACTTGTGGAGTGCACTGGCGGGATGCTGGCTGCTGAGGAACCATTTGCGGTCTTCTGTCTCTTGACACCTCTAGGGGGACCGATCTTGAGTAACGAAGGCGTGCGTCGCTGGAGTGAGATTGACTGCGAGCGCGAAGTCGTGTTTAGATACAATATGATATGATTCTATATATGCCTACTTGTAGTATATCTTGTTCGTCTAGAGTGAGATCTACCTAATGCCCAGATTAGTCCGCGCAATGTTTGATGACGGGGACACTGACCACTAGCTGCGTCACCGGTGCTTAAAGGAGCTGTGACGGCCCTCAAACCTTGCTCGTTTGCTGAGGAAGTGGCCCTCTCCAGATGACCCACAGGTTTCAGGACCTTTTGTTGAGCGGCAAGTAGCTTTCGCCGTAGTTCCCAGTTTTTCTGGTCATGGTGCCCCATGTACAACACTCCTTCTCTCTCAAACTCTAGAGTGTGCATTTCCTTGGTGTCATCGCGTCTGTACCCGCGGTACTCTATCTCGTCAGAATCCAAGTTGATCGCGTCTACGTCGATAACTTCGGAAATGGCTGACGATTGAGAGGGCGCCATGCGAGCACTGACATGTACGTTGAAGCTATCAGTGAGATACGTAGAGCGCCGCAACTAGCGGGTCATTGGTAGAGACCTCAGAGATAATATCAAGCGAGCAAATCTAGTGATGACCAGTAACGCGACACGCGCTGACACGCGTCGAGGATACATGGACCCAAGGAACGTCACGGGACCGCACACCGGAAGCGATTTGAGCGGCGTTACGCACAATTCATAATGGGATGAGTGGAGTCCGAGCTTTGGCTCGCCCACTCGTCGTGCACCATGTACTCATCCCGCTGGTCTCTTGCTCGGCGATGCTTGCCCACTCGCCCGCTTCGACGGCAATTCTCCCAGTTGCAGTCAGTCACCGAGGCCGATCTTGCGCACTTTTCCAAAATACTGCCTCCGTCTGCCATTCTCTCTACTCTGTCATCCACGCCAGCTTCTGAGCTTGAGCCTTTCAACAATGACTGGATGAATAAGTATCATGGCAGATCTACGACCGTTTTACGCCCTCGGAACACCAAGGAAGTTAGCGAGATCGTCAAGCATTGCAATGAGCGCCGCATAGGCATTGTCCCACAGGGAGGAAACACAGGACTTGTCGGCGGAAGTGTGCCCATCAAGGATGAGCTGGTTATCAGTCTCGGCAACATGACAAACATCCGCTCCTTCGATGATGCTTCTGGTACGAGTGCGAGTTTATTGCAGCATTTCCACTCGTCTGAGCTCGCCTCAGGAATCCTCGTCGCGGACGCTGGCTGCATTCTACAGTCCCTCTCAGACTATCTAGCACCGCATGACCATATTGTCCCCCTGGATTTGGGGGCCAAGGGAAGGTAAGTTGGTCGAGAATCCATAGGCCAAATGCCGACACAGCATGTAAGTTGTCAGATCGGCGGGAATGTCTCAACCAATGCGGGGGGTCTTCGGTTACTTCGCTACGGCTCCTTACACGGCAGTGTACTGGGTCTGGAGGTTGTTCTTCCTGATGGGACAATTCTTGATCAACTCACCACTCTCCGCAAGGATAACACAGGTTCGCCCATCCTGTAAATCGGAGTAGCTTTTTAACCCAAGTTATGCCAGGCTACGACCTGAAGCAATTATTCATTGGGGCAGAAGGGACTCTGGGGATTGTAACCGGTGTCTCCATTCTGGCTGCGTCTGCACCACAAGCATCGAATAATGTCATGCTCGCGCTGCCTACATTCGACAATGTCCTTCCTCTCTATCGCGAAGTAAAGCGGCAATTGTCTGAAATCCTCTCCGCATTCGAGTTCATTGACAGAAGGGCGTATGACCTCGCCGTTAAGCATGGGCAGGGTCGCGCTCTGAACGAGTCGGATGTCGAGGGTGCAGAATGTTTCGTACTTGTGGAGACCAGTGGAAGCAAACGCGAGCATGATGAAGAGGTACTAGACCCCCTTCACGACCGACGAGCTTGCGGATTGACAACGCCCTCACTTTAGAAACTCAACACGTTACTGGAAAACCTAATGGAGGCCGAACCTTCTTTGATCAATACTGGGGTGCTCGCATCTTCACCGGCTCAGTTTGCCTCCCTGTGGGCTATTAGGGAGGGCCTCACAGAGTCAATGTCGAAGGAGGGCAAGGCGTATAAGTACGATATATCGGTACCTCTGCACAAATTTAAGGAGGTTATCGATACGACGCGGGATCACCTACAGTCCAAGGGACTCATGCGTGACGATGCTGTAAAGCATGTGGTCGGCTATGGACATGTCGGCGACGGTCTGTGATCATGCTTGTAATAGTCTCATTTGCTGATGGTGTTGTTCAGGCAACTTGCATCTGAACGTCGTCGCTGATGCATACACCCCGGAGATCGAAAGTGCTCTTGAGCCTTTCGTCTACGAGCTCGTCGGTAAGTTAATTTTATCTTCTCGCCCTTTTTTGTGCTCAGTCCGTGGGGTCATCAGCAAAATACAAGGGCTCCATATCCGCTGAACATGGTATCGGCGTCATGAAGACTCACGCTCTGCCATACTCCAAGAATGCCGTTAGCATTGAGGTGATGAAGCGGATCAAGCACTTGTTCGATCCGAATGGCATTATGAATCCTGGAAAGGTCTTGGAGCTATGACTGATTCCTTCACACTTCACACAGTGTATCGTGTAGATCTGCTTGTATAACCATTGTATCTACGACACGATCTTGGCTATTACACGATTCAGCTGAAGTGAAGCGAACGAAGTTCAGTGAACTTGTATTTCTGAACGAGACGGTATCAAGCGGCTTGAGTTTGGCCTTGCGTAGCCAGCTATCGAGGAGTCATTTGCACACGGCCGCCGCGACCCACGACGCGCGGACATACCGCGTAGCCACAGTCACGTGGGACGTGCCGAGTAACCACAAAAGACGACCCTAACCTGAGTAAACACGACCTAAACTCTAACCCCCAGACAAGGTTACCCCTTCGACCACTGTCTTGAGTCTCTGAGCGGTCGGACACACCATGGTCAGCTATTCAGTTCCTGTCCCTTTCCCCTACAATTCTGTGGACTTGCTTGTGTGTAACCTTTGTTAATTTTCAGCCTATATTCCAAGACAGCAATGGCCTGGCCATCAAATTCTTCATCCAGAAGGACATCCCGCAGGAGATCCAAGCCGACGTTTGCGAGACCATTGCTGTGGGTACCCTCTCATTACTGGGTTAAGACATTGCACAGTATTGATGCACTATGCAGGCCCTCGGGGGAAGAGTAGAGGCAAAGGTACCACGTGCGGGATACATACTCGTTCAACCAGGAACTGCAGAAGAGGAGAGGTTGCGCCTATGTTGGAACACTCCCGACCGCCCGGACCGACACTTCGTGCCTTATACATATGTAGAGGCTTGCAAGATTCATAGCATGCTGCTTAAACAAATATTCGTACATGAGGGTCAGCCCATCCGAATGCACATTGACTCAAGTATCGCGAACATCAATGTCCGGGCAACGCTTAGTACTCGTATCATGGTGAGTTAACCGTACTGCATGACCACTAGCCAGCTACTATCGTCAGGTAGTGACCCATAATCCTGACAGCACTCAGGTGGTGATCCGACTGCCTCGGCTCAATCCGCACGAGTGATTCTCGCAGACCCTAACACCGAAGTCTTCCAACATCTTGTGAAGACTTATCAAGGAGAGCCTGAGAAATTCGTAGAATCTTATCTCTGGGTCAGGAAGTGCATTGAGAAGGGACAGGTTATCTACACACCTGTAGTATACAAGAATCCTGGTGGGAGACGGCCTGGCGAGGAGTGAGTAACCACATCGCATACTGTCTGCAATGCTTACAGATTCGTCGCAGACGCACACAGTTCACAGAACAAGATGAAGAAAATCTGTGCAACTGGATAGCGGCTAAGATCCCCTACAAAGAGACCGGAGGTAGGACAGGCAACCGCCTCTACCAACAGCTGTGCGAGCAGGTATGATATATTTCAGAGGCCCATAGTTTCTCATGCTGAATATAACGTTGGTGCAGGCAAGTGAACCCGAATTCGCGTGGGTAACACGGCATACTTGGCAATCATGGCGCGAACGATACAAAAAGAATATGGCGCGTCTTGATGTAAAGATTGCCGAGGTCGTGGAACAGAAAAAGCCCGCTCATGGTGAGAAGGGGCAATATGGCTACGTACGCAAGCCGGAGGAGAAGCCTAGACGTACTCGCAAGAAGGCACGCACCAACTCTACAGGAGCTGGACCTTCCCAGATAACAGATGAAATGCGAGAACTTGAGAACTTCCCGCCAGTCCCGGTCCCGGTCGCTGCCGGCATTCTACAGGCGGTGGGCGTGCCCAATGATCCCTTCAACTGCCTACTGTACCCCAGTCCACAGGCCGTCTTCCCGCCGCATATACCTGTCCCGGGTGCTGGCCCAATGGACCCGGCCATAGCGCGCCAGCATGCGACAGAGGAGGAAATGGAAGATGATGAAGTTGAATGGCAGATTCGGGAAGGTGACCCTGATGTGCCTCAGCCTCCATGGGCGAAAAGGAAACTGGAGGATGATGGCAATGATACGAATAAGAGACAAAAAATCAGGTAAGCCGTCAGCTCACATGCGCAACGAGCCTGGGCTGATGCAACCTCTAGTGGGACCCCGGAGCAAGAAAGCGATGGAGAGTCGACCTCTGCTGGAATGCACATTGTCGACAGGACTGTCCGTGATATTGCGCGGGAATTCCGCTTTACTGTCGAAGAAGTAAAGGAGTATTACGACAAGTGCGGCGACGCCGATCGAACAAGAACACGCTTCAAGAGGATGCGCGACGTACTCTCAGCATTGGATGACGATGAGCCAACACCTGTGGCTGGACCATCTGCGGCGGCGTCTGCACCTGAGCAGGCCGTGACCACGGTTCTTGTGCCCGACCTTCCTGTAGGTGCGGTTCCTGTGTCTGATCTTGCTTCAGTTGTCCCCCTTCCTGTCGAATCCCGCCCCCTGTAACTGAACGATGATTTTTAGCCATGCTCGTATTCCTGACGTAGCTCTCTTGCGTATTTGTTCACTGCACGCCGATCTACACCTTGATTTGTTCACAATATACCATATCCACGATCGAAAAAAGTGTAAAGTATATAAGGGTCTTACACGGACGTACTATGTATCAACCTCGGTGAGTAGCTTGAAATCCGCCGCACGGACAGGAGCCGATGGACTCTCATATGGCTTGCGCCGCCTGTGTGAGCGCCATCAGAAGATAAGTACCCTATCAGGGACGAGCACATACTTTTCGCCTGCGGCCGCCGATGGAAACGAGCCAAAGAGGTCAGGGTGTTTGGGAAACGGCGACTCGCTGGGATTGTAGAGTTCGATTCGGTTCTGCTGTTCGTGGGAACGTGTGGCTTACCTAAAGTACGGATGTTTTAAGGCCTCTGTGGCGGATATCCGTCTCTCAGGGTCGTACGTGAGCAAGCGCGAGAGCAAATCAACGCCAGCTGCTGTGATATAGTGGAACTTCTGCTGCAACTGCGGCAGTTGCGGAGGCGGCAGGCTGATTGTCTTCGCTAGAGGCAAGGTGTGGTAGTCTGGCCAGGAGTGAGTGGTCGGCGGTCCGAGCAGCTTGAATATCATGGATAGTAGCTCAATCTCTCCTTTTGCTTCGAAGAGCGGTTCCTTGAGGAGCAGCTCGGCAAAGATGCACCCGACCGACCACATGTCGACGGCGGTCGAATACTCCTTCGCACCGAGGAGGATCTCAGGCGCCCTGCATCACGCAACGGACGATAGTGTTGAACACATGCGCAGGGAGATTGGCCAACCTACCGGTACCACAGCGTCACTACAAGTTGCGTCAAACCGCCGACACCAACTGGGTCTCCATATCTCCTAGCAAGGCCGAAGTCGGCCACTTTAATGGTGCCACGGTTGTTCATCAATAGATTGCTGGTCTTTAGGTCACGATGCAGAATCCAACGGTCGTGGCAGTGAGCGACAGCTGATAATAGTTGCAACATCAGTGTCTTGATTTCGGACTGCAGGAAGGGCGATGGCATGACAGTGAGAAGCGTCTTGAGGTCATGTTCAATGAAGTCCATGACAATGAACACTCTCGTATAACACCTTAGCGTGAGGGGCGAAGCAGAGATAGTGTGGACATACTGTGTTAGAGTGTCTCCAACCACAACCTCTCGTATCCCAACTACGTTCTCATGCTTGCACATCATGAGCGAGTTGACCTCGCGCAGCGCTGTAATGGGGAATCCGTTCTTCTCTTCATCTAGCTTCAGCTTCTTCAAAGCAACAATGTCTCCGGTTTGTTTATCCCGCGCACGAAAGACAACGCCATAGGAACCCTCTTCGATCGAGTTCAGCCTCTCATAACTATAAACCGAACGAGATGGCTGTAGTTGGGGATGAGAAGTCCGTGGAGGTACGTATATGCTGTGCGTCGGGCGGCGACGCTCTGAGCTGCCCTGCCTTGCCTCAGGCTTGCTAGGCTTCTGCTGTGGTTGTGGGTGATCGGGAACTGACGAGATAGTAGATCTGCTTTTTGAACGACGTTTCGGGGGTTGCTGGCTGAGTGGTATCTGAGTATCCTCTTCATCGACATCCCAGCGAGACCGCTTGCGGGATGGCGTCAGGTAATCAGCAGTATCTGACATGTCGGCTGTATGAGGAGTATGAGAGTACATGTTTCAGCTAACCTGGCTCGAAAGAGCAGTATTACGATATTACGTAATATCGTATTGATGTCCGATCAATCTCACGGTCGTGTCGTTGAACATCAAGTGTAATTAGCACTCAGTTACTTGAATCTGCCCAGACCTCAGATAACTCTCTCTTGGCTATCCGCAGGAGACAACCCCGGCAGGATATCGTGGGCCTGAGAGTGATCTAGAACCACTTAGGGCCGCATTGCCAAGATGGACCCAAACCTACTAATCGACCATGACCATGACCCGGAGCTGACTCCAGGTCTGATAAAATTGCTTAGTGACAGAATCAAGGACCTTCGTCAACAGCTACGAGATTGCAGGTGCAAGGTGGTCATCGTTCCGTACTAGTCAATGCTCTGCCGTCTGAAATTATTAAGGATGCAAGTAGGGCACCATCACAAGCCACGTTGGATGAGGGTCTCGACCTAAGTGAAGAAAATAGGAGACTCAGGCATGAAGTGGACGACTTGCGTCTACGCCTGCAAGTCGCGACAGAGGGAGAGGATAATAAGTTGCAATTGTTGGTGCCCTCGGTAATACTACATTCCTCTATGTCGTTAACTTGTTAATCATGAATAGTAGGATTACGATGACGTGTGTCATCGTTTAACGAGAGCTCTGGAAGAGCAGAAGCTAACGGAAGCTCAATATGTATGGTCTCTGCTCGAGAATATTCATCTACGACTGAATCTATCGCACATTCAAGGCAACTGATGTTGAGCAGCTCAACTCAAAGGTGATATCATTGCGTGAAAAATACAAGGCCACGAAGGAAGCCAGAAACACTATACAAACTGTAGATAGTTTAGGGCACTTGTTATTTGCACAGCTGATTCCTTGCTAGGCTTTTGACGACCTACGCTCTCGTTATGATGACTTTCATACTGGTCACAATGATCTTCAATCTCGCTATGATAAAGTCGTTGAAGAGAGAGATTTAGCCAGAACAAAAGAGGCGAAGCCTGAGGTGTGTAGGCTTCATTGTCATAAACCATTACTGACGGACAACGCTTATGTTAGCCTAATATACCGGAGTTCATCACCAGAGTACGAACTTCGACTCTTCAGCCACAATCCATTGTACACTTCGCTGGATCGAAAGGCTGGATCTCAAACATCCCTGATGTGAGTCAGAATAATACACCGGTCTTAGGCAGAAGCTCATGTATGGGTGAACCGATAAGTTGTCAAAGAGAAAAGGCAGGCTCATATCTGGACTGCTCTTGCCAAACTCAAATGTCTCATACTTATGAACAGTGCTTCCTCCGGTGTTCTGATGACTAGACCAGATGAAGTGATCTGGCCCGAGAATGCAGCGACACATTTCGTTATAGTGATACCGGTGTTTCGTTATAACCCTCGTGCTCTGAAAGGAAGCGGGAATATGGAGCGATCTGATTATCCTCATGACCTCACCAAACAGCTAGGCCAGCAGCGCGAAGTCATCGCCTGGTCCAACGGTCATTGCTCCTACTATGGCACGTTTGAGCATGTAGGGACGGGCACCATCTCCCACGAGACCCTTAGCAGTCTGGGGCCGGAGGTACATGTCACCGCAATCTACGGTCGTTTGGTCTGACACGTTCTCTGGCGTGTAACAAAAAGCATTACCGACTCTGCCGTCTTGTCGCCTAATCTGGTTCCGCCAGTGATAACAGCCCTAATCCGACAGATGTACGCCCAGGGTGTCCTCCAGTTCCAATGTTTCGCCTTCGAATGTGTTGGATTCAACCACGAACTGGATGCAACGTTCCACGGCCGCACCCAAAGCATGGGCACTATAATTCCTATCCCTCAAAATGGCCCCACAGGTTCCAAACCCCAGAAGCGATCTCACGACGAGGAGCGTAGTGATCAGCCCCAGAAGAAGGCGAAGACGTCGAAGAAGGCGAAGACGTCGAAGAAGGCGAAGACGTCGAAGAAGGCGAAGACGTCGAAGAAGGCGAAGACGTCGAAGAAGGCGAAGAAGACGTGATTTTGTACGGATATGGTGGTGTCGACGGCGCGCAGGCAGATAGTAGACACAAATGGGCGTTTGCCCCCATTCATTCATACCCCTTCTGCTATTTAGCTCTTCGTGGCGCTTCATCGTGCAAAGGCGCACACTCGTTACGCAATAAGAATTGCTGGTACAAAAATTGTGCCAGTTATGGGATTGTGCATTACGAGCCGACATGGTAGAAACTATTCAATCGTTGAGCCAGTGGTGAATAGCGGTGGATCGTCTTCAATAAATTGCTGAATTATACGTCTCATCTAAGTGAATCGTAGCAGCAATTACTATTGCATACAAATAATAGTATTGTCAGGTGTATTGAGATGTGCAACGGTAATGTCACTGACTAGATTGCGATCTCGAGCTGGCAGACCGTGGAACTTGTCACAGCCTATGTGTTTTTGTTGACGAGCAGTGCGCGCTGGTTAGATGAATGACAATGACGTCTACGACAAGTAACGAGATCACAATTACATATCCGATTAAACTATAGTACTGAACTATTGATAAGTACCGCGTGCTTGGAGAGAAAAACAAATGGACGAACCAATCCTCATGACGGTCATCAAATATTTGGGGGTGTCGGTCAGTTGACAGGCAATTCACCTGCTTGCTGTTCCCTCTTGACATCCTCTTTTACTTCGCTTACACTGGCGAGCCCGGGCAACACGATTTTCCATGTCCCTTTCTCTAGCAATACACGTCGTATCTGTGGTACATGAACAATCTTCGTCGCATAGCTATGAACAACTTCGCTCACCTGGTGTGTAATCAGTTCATGCAATTTGGGTACATCCGCAAGTTTCGCGCGACTGCCCATGAGGGATTTTGTCTGTATGTTAAGCACGAAGTCGGTGCCGGGTGAAGGGAGATTGAGTGTGACAGTCGGGTGCTGTGCATGTGGCTGTGGAGGTGTCAAGAGGACCTGTCGATGGTGAGGTCATGATAAGTCGTATACTGGAATGTACTGCCAAGTCCAGGTGGGGCTCACCGAAGATGAGAAGTGCGACAAGGAGATTGTGAGGGAGACTGGGAGGCGCGCAAATGACGCGAAGGGGTAGTTGAAGAGGACGGACGTGGAGAGGGAGAGGGATATGGTATCGGCGTATGACATATCGAATTCAATCGCCTGTGTAAGTATTTAAATGATCAGGGTAAGATAACAGCCAGTGTAGTGCAACATTACTGACCGGATCTGAATTCGGCGCTTTTTGTGGCCTGGGGCGCGCCCGGGACAAACGAGGGGCTGTTACTCCCAGGTCTACAGAGTGGACCTTGATGGGATCCTGCAGGTCGCGAATGGAATCAAGAGCATTGCTATGTGCTCAGCCATGACGCACCAGAAATCCTGGAGGTCGCATCTGGTTCGCAAATCTTTCCACTCGCTTTCGTGCAACCTCGTCTCCTTCCGCGCCAGGCAGTCCGTCTCGCAGCTTGACACGGTATGCTTCCAACACCTGGACAACTCTCAGCGTATAGAGAGAGTATTGGTATGCATTTGCATACCTGTATAAGAAGAGCATTCAGCCAGTCTGCGCTCTCGCACTCGTTCCCGCTCTGCTTCCCGTCTTGTGCGGGTTTCGGCGCCAGCCGTTCCGCGACTAGAGCGATGCCGTCCTCATCTTCATCCCGCTCAATTTTTGGTTGGTACGATGACGTCCGGTACGCGTGATCGGACACGGTATCAAAGAACAGGTACTTGAGCACGAGGACCAGCAGGAAGAGAATGGAGAATTGTCCCAAGATGAGCCCCTGGGTGAACGTCGGCTGCAGACTAAAGATGTACGCGTTCCCCATCTCACGGCGAGGAGTCTTGGGCAGATGGCGAGATGGAGACGGGGTCGTGTGCGGATGGTGACGCGGGGGGACGGCTGACTACCCGACGACGACGATCGAGCATGGGAGACTTGACTGCACGAAATCACAGGCCGGCGGTCAACGCGTCTCACGCGACACGCGTGACGCACATCCATTTCGCGTAGCCGCCGTAGCGCAGCCGTCCTCCTCTTCCCCAACCTCCATCGTCGCCGTTCTAAGTCCACACACCCGCCGCATGGAGACGCTCACAGCATTGGTGACTTGGCCGTCGGCACCGCTGACCAATTCCCTCGTTCAAAAGTCCCTTTCGTCACTCAATCCCCAGCCAAACATCATCACTGCCCTCACAGAAGACTTGACCGCTTCTCCCGGGAACCTGCTACAGTGGTCGACGTATGACGCTATTGAACATGATCTAACTCACATGGTACCCTCTGGGTCGAAGGTCCTGTCCTCGTCGTATGTCATTCGGAAAGCTCTCATCCGCAAACACTACCTCTCCCGATGCATACACAACTACCTCGTCAAGCATTCCGAATCGGTCCTTCGTATCGCTGTGCCAAAGACATGGGACATAGAACTCAGTTTTTCTGACGAGCTCGACGAGATGTGGAGCGACGATCTCTTCGACCTCGGTACAGAACTGGACAAGGATGATCCATCGAAATGGTGGATCCTGAAACCCGGCATGGCTGACAGAGGGATGGGCATAAGGCTTTTCCATTCAAAAGATGACCTTGCGGAGATCTTCAAGTCCTTTGAACAAGACGACTCGGATGAGGAGGACAAGCCTGAGGACGGTCGTGGTCCAGACACAGCGGTGGCGACCTCTCAACTTCGGCATTTTGTAATCCAGGTGGGTGCGGAACCCAGCCACTCTGAATCTACTGCGGACGCCATCGCCTCATGCAAGGGACCTTCGAATCATCTGTTGACTAAGGATACTTATAGGAATATCTCTCTAAGCCCGTGCTTATGGATCCTATGGAAGTGCCTCTGGACAAAAAGCCGCTGCCACAGTTGGACGACATGCGCGGTCACAAAGTCTGCCTGCCTCCCTGAATCTGCTTCAGCCTGCTCATGTCAGAATAGTTTCACCTTCGTGTCTACTGTGTTGCTTCTGGAGCCCTAACGGTCTACATGTACAACCATATCCTATCGCTATTCTCGGCAGTTCCATACTCTGCGCCGACTGTCTCCGCTGACAAGTCGACGAGCACGTACATCAACGAAGGCTTGGCTGCGCATCTCACCAATACCTCTCTGCAGACGCAGCGCGGTGAGGCTGGAGTCAGATTGCTCGACGAGCTCATCGGCTGCCATATCGTGTCCTCAACGCCTGTGGTTCCAACTGTGCAACAGGAGCGCCGGTCACGTCAGCCAAGGCCTCCGCGTGCGATGGGAGAAGTTATGGATGTTGAACAGCTACGTTCCGCGAGGCCCCGCCACTCAGAGCAAGCATCCCCAACAGCTGAGCCGAATCGTTTCACACCGGAGGACGTCGAGGACATCAAGTCACAAGTCGCTGATGTCCTTGCTGAGACGTTCAAAGCGGCGCTAGACATGAGCGTGCATTTCCAGGTCGGTGGATGCTCGGAGCCTGAGGTATTTGTCTATTCGAGCTAATAGAACGTATCAGCCACTTCCCAATGCGTTTGAACTCTTTGGTGTCGACTTTCTCGTCACTCACCACACGTCTCCGACTGCGTCCCGCAAATACCAGGTTCATCTCCTTGAGGTCAACTCAGAACCCGCCATTGAGCTCACCGGGCCGCGATTGACATGGATCCTCGAGGACCTCTTCCGTTCCATAGGCAAAGTTTGTGTCGCGCCTTTCTTCGGATCCGCGAAGGAGCAGCCCTGGGAAGTCGGGCATACGAAGGAGGCGTTAACGAAGTGTTTGGAAGTAGAAGTTCGGGGCGCGCAAGGCTGGTAGTCGACCCAGTTGGAAGCAGAAGAAGTACTGTAACATCTGTTAGTATATACATAAATCGTGAGAACTATGAGCTTTACAAGTGCCTTATTTAAGCCTCGTAAATTGCACTTGGCTGAGGTTTACGGTCGATCTGAAGTCTTCAGATAGTTGATCGGGAAAAGCGCGGGCTTTCGATCGAGCAGCATGGGCGCTTGTTATCCCTAACATCTTGCTCTCTGTTCTACTTTGCCGCACACACCGGCACGATGACTACCAACGCCTCAAATGTCGTATTTGACGACATATTCACGATAAACGCCATTGACAAGGAGGGCAAAAAATTTGACCGAGGTACGTCGTACGAATCCCAGATCCTCTGCGAGAGCCACAACCTGCTCCGCACCTTACAGTTTCCCGACTTTATGCGCATTCAAAAAACTACGACATGGACCTCACGTTGGATTACAACGTCGAGCTATATCCTATGCAAAATGGCCAGGAGTTTGCGCTCGCACTGGCATCCTCTCTAGCGAAAGGCCCACCAGGGGCAAACACAGAAGAAGAGGAGAAGGATTCAGATGTGTGGCGGCCAGACGGTAAGGGGAGACGGGGCTTGGAGGAGGACTACGAATACGTTATGTATGGAAAGGTGAGTGTGGCCTCTGAACGCATTAGCAGTGGGGTGGCGCGACCGCCAAGTTCGTGCGTATGGGTTCTCATGCTCTGCTTCAGGTCTATAGGTTTGACGGCGGAACGGCCGAGATTGTGTGCGTGTTATCCGCTTTCACTCCAAGTGAATCACTTATTGATTCAGTGAACGCATGCTCAGCACGGCGTACGCGTCCTTTGGCGGTCTGCTTATGTCTTTGACCGGGTCGTTCAGGCATATGACTAGCATTGTCCTTGGAGACCCATTATATATCCTTCTGCGCAAGTAATGTATCACAATCATCCCTTGATTACTTACGTCTTATTTCATCGTGATATGCGGCGACTCTCAGTTGTAGTCGCTATAGTGTCTGCTATGAGTGAGCCAGACTGCAAACGGCGCTGCATCATTAGAATGCGCTCAACACTCAGCTCATAATCATGGTCGAACTAGCAACAGACCGTTATATTACAAACCGACGATCAAGGTACGATACTAGTACAATTTATGCTACAGCTTCTGCGCTCATGTCCCCAAGGAGTTCGACCGTGTCAAGGCGCCGCTGGGCATTCACTCCTGATCCATGTCTTCGAGGACCTGAGCAGAGTGCTCCTTGGCCTCCTCGGAGATGTTCGGGTTGGAGATGGCGGCCTGTTCAACACAGCGTGAGCGACCTCCCCGTATCAACGCGAAGCAGAATCCGTACCTTGTGGCCAATGGCGACGTTCGCGTCGTGCGCCTCACGCGAGTCGAGATGTCCGGCGTCCTGCAATTCCTGCAGTCTCTCGGATGCGCGCTCCTTCGCCTCCTCTGAGTTGTTGGGGTTGGAGATGGCGGCCTCTGTGGAATGATATATTAGTATGCGAGTGGACGAATTAGCCGCATTCGAGCTACTAACTCAGACCACGAGCAACCTGGCAAAAACGAGTCAGCACCGCGTATCCTTGCACAAGTCAGATACGATCTACTCACGTTTCCTGGGTTAGCCATTATGAGTTTGTGAACGGTGATAAATCGAGTGCGTGAGAGTAAGCGTGGAAGTATGAGATGAGTAGGCTGTCCTTTGGCGAGCAACTTATATACACCTTGTGGGCGCTCGAGTGGGTATTCGTTGCGTCAGTCGTTTGCCCCACCTTGCCCCAGACCGGGTGATTCTGAGCGCAGCATCATCATTGTGGAAAGCGCCTCGAAGCTTGCCACCTTCGCGATGCTGATTCTGTCTGATTCTGTCTGATGTCAGCACAGCGTCAGTAGGTTTTGCACGTGCTCGGGCGTAGTTGTGGCACATGTGGATCCATATGGGTCACCCCCGTGCTGATGCCAGCTGTTACTCTGTGCCGTCTCCTTACCTTCTGCCGTAACTACGCGAGAGCGACTATGGCCCTTGTGGGATTTGTGTTGCGCTCATAGTTGACGTACTTTTGGCTTGGAACTGTGTGACTTATCTGCCCGGACGTTCTTCATTTGCTGCCCAATGGGGCATATAGCACGCTATTTGGGCACCTTCAGGCAGATCACAATATACTGCCATCATTCTAACGAAGACGTGACTGCTCTCAGAGGACGCCAACATTCGACATCGGAAGACTCTTATTCTGACTCGGAAGTCCAATCTAAATCCTCCCGTGAACATACCCAGCTCCACCTCTCGGGCTTCCACCGCTTCTGTTGGTCTGGACGCGTGAGGCAGATAAGCCCCTTCGCCCAATTCAGACCGGTGAAATAGTCGCTGTGTGGGACATACACCTTCATGTCTGATGATTTGAATATCCCTCGACCGCTCACAAGCCGCTCAAGCGCGTTCGTGTCTTCATCGATGCTTTGGAGGAGTGAAGAAACGTCAGACTTCGCAATTTGGACACGATGCTACCAGAGCTGTTGGAGTACTCGTTGCGCGGCGCAAAGTATGGCGCGCAATCGTCTGCATTTGGTCCGCAGATCACTAGCTTTTGCAACTCAGGAAGGAAAGTTAAGAACTTTCGGAATTCATCAGGTTGCGCTTGCCACTCGGAGGAATCAGAATTCGATCTCCCGGCAACGTTCTTGTCGTATCGTATATCGAGCCAGAGTGCATACACCTTGCGTGATTTCTTCTGCGAGGAAGTGAGCGCCTTCACGAAACACTGCAGATCGTTCGCGTCGAAGACATTCATGTCTACGATCTGGAGCCGCGACGGTTCGGGAGCGTCGATTGCTCCGAGCACATCAGCCGTGTTCTTCGCGAGATGAAGGACCAATTCCTGAAGGGCAGGAAAGGTGAGTCTCTGGACTTTGGGCGTTTCGGGTACGATGCGTCCCGCTAGCAGGAGATATGTTAGGTGGCCGAAGCCGCGGGGCACAAAAGCCGACAAGGTGATCATTGTGTGGGTGATCAAGAGCCGTTCCAATGTGTTGTATTTCACGGCCGTGGAGAGTGGAAGACCGCATCCTAGAAAGCGAGCGGCTCGAAGTACTTGCGCTCCGTCGTCTAGAATTCCCAAGGCTGGCCTTCGATCTGGGCCATTTCGTGGCCCAACAATTCGCAGGTTTCGGAGGGTCCAGACGGGGAGTTGTCTCAGATGCACCAGATAGTCCACGGCGAGAGCAGTGGCATTGCCAACGTCGATCTCGAGTGTATCTAGGCGGTCCGACCTCTCCCAGATAAGGGGGAGTGCCTCTAGTAGCTCAGTATCTTGTTCGCGCAGCTCGCCTCGTGCTATGGTGCTGACGTTGAGGAGAGGAGAGTTTAACGGGTCAGCATCTTGAGCTTTCAATTCTAGTAATAACGCCTCGCGGTTGGTTTTACCGCTTTGCATTTTGATCCTCTGTATTACGGGCTCCGGCGCAGTCTGCGGCTGGAACGTTAGCAACGAAGACTGAAAAACACGCGCCACGTTCTCACCTCAGCACAGATGCTGGGAAACTCCATGCCCGGCATCCACTATTCAAGTATGACGGGACACTGGGCCACACAATCGACTGCTACTCAGACGACAATAAAATTGCGTCATGACCTTTTCGGAACAAGTGTGGCGACGAGTCAATCGGGATATGTGGTCTGCGCAGCTATACAAATACGCACGGGTGGAGTATCATCCTGTTCCAAGCGCGAAGACTTGTACCCCATCCCATGTTGGTGGCGCGCAGTAATGGCAGCAACGATAGCCCGTCCGCAGAGAGATTTTTGTGCGGCCTGCGCTCACAACAAGGCAATTTTGGCATTTTGGCATGCAATACTGTCGTGGCAATTGGGAAGTTCGAGGCGTTGATCAATCAAGGCATGGATAAGTGGTAAGTGGCGGCTTGTCGCAGACCTGTGAAAAAGAATCAAGTGCCTGTCGCTTTTCCTCTGCCTATACATCGGATCAATAACGAGAAAATAATTACCACAAAGGCCACGGAAAGCTCTGCGACAAGGCGCATATATTACTTGAGCTTGAGAACGACGCCTCTGACGCCACACGTCCTCCCTGCGCGCGGTGTCATTCCCGGTTTGGAAGGTGAAGTGAACGACGTCGATGACGCTGCTCGATGTCTTGCCTCCTTGACAGCCTCCTCCGGGGGGTATATAAACCTTGCGACTCATGAGATGAGGCCTCCACAAACTCTTCCCCGTACCACCACATCGCACAGTCACTCTCATAACCTCCTTCCCATCTTGCACAATGGCCAACCCTGGAAACGTATGTCTACTCGCTTCCGCTATTGCCTAACTGATTGCTGGTGTTTCGTTTCGCCTAGGTCGCTCGTGGTCTTAGTTCGTCTCGTACACTCTGAAGGTGTCCCACTTGTGACTGACCTTTTCCATAGAAGGCGCTATCTCCAACCCGAACAACTCGGAGGAGGCTAAGCAGCGCGCTCAAGACCGCTTCAACGACATGGAAGCCCGCGGCGAAGTCGACAGCGCAGAGGCTCACGCCGGACAAGTTGAGCGTGGCCACAAGGTAGAGCTGCTCCTCTTCAATCTCCGACTACTCACACACAGCACGTCAGGCTGCGATCTCGAACCCCAGGAACTCCGCAGAGGCCAAGCAGGACTCCCAGCAAGTGCTTGAGGATATGGATTTCTGAACGCCTAGATGTCATAAGACTTGGATCAGCGCATGTACAATACGCCTCAGGACTCCCTTGGGTATAATAAATCCCATCATCGAGAAGTGAGTGTGCGACTCCAACCATGGCTCCAGCTCCGCTACACTCTTCCCGAAGAACTCTGTATCGGAGCTTATTCGATATGCTGTCATTGACTGCGTAGACTAGTACTCGACTTGTAGTGATTGATGACGGCGGGAAACAACAAACGAGTGACTGGCGCGAAAGGATCGTTTCCTTTGCGATTGGTAGCATGGAATAGGGTATGCACTAATAAATAGTGATAGGAATGTATGATAGGAAATACGACGAGCAGCATGGGAATTTGTCTGCCTTGGTAACCAAAGAAATAATAGGGTAAATGTTAGCCCAAAGATTCGTAGAAGACCTCAGATACCCTGGCAAAATGATGTAAAGCCTAGATGAAATACCGCGCAGCGGCTACTGTTGGGGATTGAGTGATAAATTAGACTTCGTGAGGCTATAGACCCAGGCGTCCTTTGACCACTGAGGCTATCGCATGCGTCGAAGCTGATTCAATATGTCGGCCATGTCTTCCTCCTGCACGGCCTTCTTCTCCGGCCGCCCAATACGGAACGCGCGCGGGACCTCGGTTTGCACCTCGACCGTCGTCGACGGCGCGCGCGCGTGTCCCTGGGAGGTGTGCGGGCGCGGCATCGACGTGCTGCGTTTATAGCTCGAGAGCGTGGGTGACTGCGGGGCGGGCGCGAGCGCGCCGGCGAGGTCGTGCGGCGCGACGCCGAAGAAGCGCGAGAGCTTCGCCGCGCGGCGGCGGCGCGCGCGGAACTCCTCCGGGGGCGCGGGGCTCTGCGCGCGCGCGGGCCCGGGCGCGGCGGGCGCGTCTGGCCGCGCGATGGTGTTCGTGAACGGCGGCGGGGTGCGCGGGGGCGCGGGCAGGGGCGGCTCTGGCTCGTGTGCGTGGCCGTGCGGGTTGAGCGGGGCCTGCGAGTGGAAGGAGAGGGTGCGCGTGTGGGAGGTCGTGGACGCGGCGGAGATGGACTGGATGCTCGGCTTGGGCCGGGGCTGGTGGATGGGCTGCATGGGCGACAGGGGCAGCGGAGGGAGGTCGCCCTCCTCGAGGCTGGACTCCGACTTGCGGGCAGCGCCGCTTGATTCAGGCTCTGTGTGTGACGACGCCTCCGTCGCGTGCTCTTCTATCGCGTCTTGCGCCGAAGACTGCGATTTGCGCTTCTCCTGCTCTTGTGACTGCTTCTTGTCTTCCGGCAACTCGCTCCCCGTGAACGCGAGTGGTGATGAAGGCTCCGATATCGACTGCACGGAATCGCGCACGCGCCGATGCACCGTCAGCGAAATTGTGCTTGACGTGAGCGAGGTGAACGTCGCGCGTGAATCGCGCCTGTTCTCGGAGACGGTTGTGAGTATCGAGATCGTGTCGATGGCGTCGAGCGTATCGTCTCCTGGGCGCGTCGCCTGCGTCACCTGGAAGAACTCCTTCGGGGGCTTGTCGCCAAAGAGCTGTAAATCAGCCGCGCAATCAGCGACCTACATATAAGTGGCGCAGGCATGAGTATAAGCGCACCTGGAGGATCTTCCTCGTCCTCTTCAAGTACAGCGCACGCTCCTTGTCACTGAGCGACCCGGCGACCCTAAGGGTCTCGTCGTCCAGTGCGTCTTCCATCTCATCCGTACTTCTCTTGCGCTCCTCTTCCGCAGACTTCTTCGACGAAGACACCAGCGCGGACTTGCCCTTCTTCAGCTTTGCACCCTTTACAGGCTCAGGCGAGAACGAGCGCAGATCAAGACTCAGCCGCCGCTTCGTGGGTGTACGCGGGCGCATGACACGGCGGAGGGAGGCCGTACGCAGAGGCAGGTCTATGCGCGAGCGCTCCGCGTCGCGCAGATGCGTCGGTATTGCGCTGGGATAGGATGACGGAGTGGGAGAGGGGGAGCGTGAGGGCGGCGCGGTGGCGAGACGTGACAACGATGGCGACCGTGGCAGTAAATGCGGTGTCGGTGATGGTGATGGGGCACGGGATGAGCTTGCTGCAGGCGGGGGCGACGCGGGGCGTAGACGGACGCGTGGAGCTCCACTGCTACTCCTGCTGCTGCCGCGTTGCCCCGACGTTTGGGATCCTGATGCGCGCTCGGCTAGCGAGGTCGTGGAATTGCTTCCCATGGCATGCTGTAAATACACGTCGTCGCCTTGGGCACCAGATGAGTGCGCGCCGCTCCCGCTGACGGCGTCTGCGGTGGGAGCTTCGGAAAACGGGGATTCGTCGTCGACCTCCTTGATCTCAGAGCGCAGCAGAGACGGGGAGCGCGAGGGGACGCGTGATTCGGAGTAGAGTGCGCTGCTGGTCTCCGAGAGCGAGCTGTGACTACCATTGGGGCGTGCAAAGATAATCGGCGATACAGGCGATCTGCGGGGGGATGGTGAATGGGATACGGTGAGTTTAGGCTGCAGCGCAGCTAAAGACCGAGCGCGTTGGATGCCTTGCGCGCCCTGCGCAGGGACATCTGTACTGCTGCGCATGGTAGCAGCGCGCTTGAGGCTGCTGGAGGGCAGCTGCAGATGTGATTCTGTGAAGGTCGACCTGGAAGGCGAAGATGAGGGCGAGGACACTACCGCAGGCGGCATGGTCATGAGGGAGTAGGGGTCCTCGAGCATGTCGCCGATGCGACGGCCTTGAGGGTGGTCATCGGCGGCGGCGATGCGACTGAATTTTCTGACCTTCCGAGCGAGCTTCATGCGGTGAGTAGGGAAGTATGTCTTTGGGGGAACAGAGGGCGGGGATGTGCCAGGATCGGAGAAATTGGCGGACAGAGGGGATGACGCAAGGAGCGAGGAGTCCTGATGGGAAAACAGGGAGGTGGGGGAGAGCGGGGGCGAGGTGGTGCTGAGGGGAGATGGGGGGTTGCCTAGTGTGCCAGCGGCATGACCGCGCGCAAAGAACGCGGTGGGGGAGCGGGGCGGAGAGGGGCCAGACCTGAAGAGGCGGAAGGAGGAGAGGAAGGAGGGCGACTTGCGGTGTGCGGCCGGCTGGCGGGTGTCGACCATACGCGTATGGGGCGACTGACAGAGTGGATGATGACAGCGGAAGAGGCGCGACGTGTGAGAGGGCTGTCGCCTCTGGCACTGGACTGTGAGTGTCAGCGCACAAAGGCAAACTACAGCACCACAGGGCTGCCACAACGGCTCGCTCCAAGGCGACCCCGCCGTCCTTGAGATCGTCCGCGATCCACACTCCACCTTGATCCCATCAGTGCCCCCTAGCAACCATCACGCTTCGGCCGGTGCCTTGCCCCCTTTGGGGCCTGCATCTGTCCCTCATCCCAACGTCGGCCTCGCCCAACTACTGCGGCCGCTGTGCGCCTGGCGGTCCTGCGCCGCCATCACCGTGTGCGAGCCAGACCGCCAATCGTGTCTGTTGCGCCATGCCTCACTCGACACACGGCTCCAGGCTTGACAGCGAGCGCTTTCTGTACATTGGCAGGGCCGATAACGTCAGATCATGGGACAAGAGATGTCAACAGCTGCGCACTGCTTCTATCATCTGCAGTATGTAGAGTTGCAGGGATCATGGCGGAACAGGGATAAGACGAACAAATGAGCCGCCGACCAGCCCGCGGATATATCCCAACTACAGCACCCACACGTCCATATGACGTGTGAGGTGAGCGAAGAGAAGCATCGAAGCCATCACAAGTTATACATAGATCGACAAATTCGTCATCGAAATCCATAACTAGAAACGACGATACCGTAAACGGAAGGTGCCTCCGAGACTACACCGGCTCTATGTACAGTACTGGTGTCGCACAATAATTTGACCTTTCGCAGCGTGATCGCGCGTACACCTATGTTTGAGGTGTCCATAGCCCGTCCTTCACTACGAGGTACCTCATACTTGTGTCATGTTGACACGGGGTATAGTCCCGGGCCATCTCGTAAGAAAGAAACCCCGTCACTTTATATCTGAGGGCTGCGAAATGACATCTCCATCTCTTATGCAGCACACTAGCGCGGTAACAGACGAGGTGTGTCGCGCGTGCACGACGGTGACCAGAATAATAATATCATGCCATAAAGCTGCCTGGTCGCCGCAACGGTATTAAGTACGGTACTGTGGCAGACGTCTGCGCGTCTCCCTATATATAGCGCGCTAACAATACATATTCCATAACTCAACGCTGCTATCAATAAACGTGCTAATACTCTATCTATGTATGCTGTAATGCAATGTAAATATGCGACGACACGAAGGAGTGCAAATATCGACAAGGGTCCATCCACACATCTACTGCTCACCGTCCATCCCGCCCTCACATGTCCAGCATCGTAAGCGTCTCCCTCGTCCGCGTGTACGGGCTCAGACCCGCGCCACCCCGCGTGGGCGACGCAGGCGCCCCCGTCGCCGTGTCCTCCGAGATGCTCTCGCTCGCCGCGCGCCCGTGCTTCCCGAACAGCACCGAGATCCGCAAGTCCGGCGGCAGCCGCACGAGCGACACCCGCTTCGCCGCGCGTGTCTTGTTCCACTCCTCCGCCTGCTCCTCCTGCGGCTCGGGCGCGGTGTAGAACTTTTCGTGCATCCCGTGGACCACCGACGTCGACGCCTCGCTCTCCGTGGACGGCTGCGCCACCATCGGGCTCGCCTGTGCCCGCCCCGACGCATCCGGAAACGGGAACTCGCGCCGAGCGGCTGTGTCCAGGGGCGATGTCCCGGGCGACTCGAACGTGTGCGTCTCGTGGATACCCCGCGAGTCGAGGAACGCCGCCGAGCTTGGGCTCAGGTCGTGCCAGTCGATGCTCGACACGGCTGAATGGAAGGAATCCTCGGCGAGCGACTGGTCGCGCTCCTGAGAGCTCAACGACGTGCTCGTCCGCGATATGCTCAGCGGGGAGGACGACAGCGGCTGGTCGATACCGTCCAGCGTCAGCGATGGCGGTGCGTCCGACACGCGCGGCACGACGATCTGGCTTTGGAGTTTGTCCGTCGCAGCGCGCATCGCGATCTTCTTCGTCCGCGCCCAATCACGTCCTTCTGCGCGCAGGTCGTCCGAGAGCACATCGCGGTAGCACACAAGCTTTTCGAGGTCAAGCCGCATCTGCATCACGCGTTTGGCCGCGCCCTGCACCGCAACCTGCACGCGGTCCCGCGTTGCACGCTGGAACGGCGTTAGCACCGCCAGGTTCCGCACCAGACGCATGTCGGAGTCCAGCTGTGTCTGCGCGAGCGTGATACGTGCGTCTAGATCACGCAGCTTGCGGCGGATGATCTCTGACCGCGAGGACCACCGGGATGACTCGCTCGAGTCGGACAGAGGTGACATCGGCGAACCCGGAGGCGATTGGGGAGCAGACTCCAGACTGAGCGTGCGAGGGCGCCCGTTACGCTGGCCATCCGACTTCTCAGATGACCATCGACTTTGGGCGAGCTCAGTCTTGACCTCGTCAAACGTAGCCTTGAATAGCTTCGCGGAGCTCTCGACTTGATACGCGGTCGAGTCTGCCGTGGACGACATCGAAGGCTGTCGCGCCGGCGGGGCCAACAGCCCGTTAGGAGAGATCGATAGGTCTGTGGAGGACATCTGTAGGTCCTCCGGCGATCCGCCGTACCACGTCCTCACTCGCGGAGAAATGCTCGTTGTAGCCCGATGCCGTATCTCTCGCAGATGCGAATCGGCAGCGGCGATGCCGGTGAGCTCGATGTCACGGTAGCTCATACCTTGGGCCCGCATCCGAACACCGGCTGTCTTGAACGCGCTCGCATAATTGATGCGGGAGATCCATTCGTTCATCTCTTTCTCATCGGGGGCCTGCAGCAGGAAGTGACGTCCGTCTGACATCACCAAGCGCAACGTATGACGATGCTGTCGGGCCAATGTGTTAACTACTCGCCAGGTACTGGGAGATGATCACGCACTTTGATGTAGGATTTGTCAAAGACAGCAACTGCGTCTTTAACGGATACATACTCGTCGGGCTGCGGAAGCGCCGCACGGGAGAGCATTCGGTTGCCGGACGGTGCGATATGCGCCTGTATCGCGGCCGTCCACGTCGGGTCACGGAAGAAAAGTAGCTGCGAGCCAGTCAGAAGCACGCAACACTCCCGCCACTTGCGGTTCAGCACCCGGCGGCCGCCCTCAACAGTGTCGTCCTTACGTAGCAGCAAGCCGACCTTTGTGACCTTGATCGAGTGAAACTGCCCGGATTGCATTGTCGGAGGCATCGCACCCATTGAGCCTTGAAACAAGGGGCCCGCCCCTCCGGCCGCGCCAAGCGCAAACCAGGGGGCATTTGGATATCGGTTTTCCAATGCGATGTCAACGGCCCCTGCCATGGTGAACGCGCACAGAAGCTCCTCCTCATCCCAAGCACCACCAGTACCCTGATACAAGTAGGGACTCTCCGGTGGTACGAAGGAACTCACCGTCACCCGCAGGTCGTCCAAGAGGTTCTGCGCGGGCCGAATCGTATCAATGGTTGGTCACCAGGGTAATGCGTAACACCTACACGGGCGATGAGGTAATACGGATCGATCTTGTTGCTTTTGCCCAGTAACGTGGTTGACCCGCCAGGAGTAGTAGGTGCGTTGAATGTGGACATCCGCCGGGTGGCGATCGCGTCAGGCACCAAGCCACGTTGTCCGTTCACGTCAACAGGATCTTCAATAAAGATGAATGGCGCGAAGACTATGTTATCATAGAAGCACTGCGGATATGGTGTATGAGCTACGAATCAGTGGATACTTTGCATCGTATCTCACATCCAACACCTCCGGAGCGACGCCGGGGAGGCGCGTATTCTTTACGTAGTCAGGCTTCGTCATCTTCCGTTTGTTAGACTTATTGAACGCATCCGTATGCAGCATTATGAGACTGAACGCCAAGATATACGGGTGATCTAGGCCATGCTATCGATATTGAAATTACTCATCGTTTAAACGCTGGAACTCACCGTCAGAGGTGAAGAGGTTGGGATTGCATTGCACATATCTAGCTGCAAATGCTTCGATGACACGGTCGATCTGCTGCGTCTCACGCGGAAGACCAACATCCATGAGCAATTTGCGCAAGGAAACGTCCAATGGATCTCCCCAAAAGTCAAAGCGATCAACGTATGCTCGCAGAGCCCGTGCGTGGAAAGGATCGGCGCTATAGGCACCATTAGAGTTGAGCACCCACCAGCAGTGTTTGACTCACTTTGAGGCCAGGACTGTCGCGACTTCGGCCTTACTGACAGCCTCTGTCAACCTCTCGAGATATACCTCTGGCGACTCCTCATCTGCTCGAGGTTTTGGAATCTCGATGGATCGTTTGTTTAATGAGCGTCTCGATGACTCGTGACTTGATGACGGGGAGGCAGAGAGTTGATCATTCCCGGTGATTGTGTCGTATAGGGGGCTCGGGACAACATGTGAACTGGATGATGTGGGAGAAGTTCCGAAAAGGTTCATAGAAAGACGATGAAGGAGAGGCGGGTTTGTCTGCGAACGGGGACGAGGCGCGGGAGGTGGTCGCGAAGACGTTGGACTAGGAGGGAGCGTGGGCGGGTGAGGTTCATTGTGATCGTGCTGCGGTAAGGGGTGTTCAATGGGAGGAGGTGAAGACGTGACAACACGAGGAACATCCATGAAGAACGACCCTGCGCGAGGGCTCGTCGCAGAATCAGCTGTCTTTGGTCGTCTCTGCCGATGGAAGCGAGATGGACGGGGAGTTGCAGGAGGCATTGCCGGCACTTCAGGAGGCGGCATAGCTTCAAAGTACTCGGGTTTGAGACGTGAAGACGAACGACTCCGTTCAGAGTGTCTCCGGCGCAAGTCAGCACTTTGCTGGACAGAAGGTCCTGGAGCACTAGGGATAGGAGTCGGGACAGATGTCTCCACATAGAACGGCGAGATAGGCTGCAACGAGGGAAGAGAGGGATGTGGAGCAGGTTCGACAGTAAGACGAGAGACTGGCACAGGTGCATGTGAGTCTACTCTTCTCCTCCAGAAGGAACCCTTGCGAGACAACGCCTTCGGCGCAGGTGCAGACGCAGGGACCCCCGGCTCCGGATCTCGCTGCTTTTCTTTCCCCTTATCACTGGTCGCAGCTTGCAATGGTCCAAGGGAGAGGCCTCTCGTTCGCCTGCGTTCTCTAACAACTGAGGAGGAGATATTTTCGTCACCGGACGCGTCTGGGTCTTTGTAATAGCTCTTCACACGTCGCATGGTGGGCTGCGAAGAACGTGGTTCTGTAGGAGGCGAAACAGAAGGGGGAACGAGGGTGAGGGTGTTCACTTCGGAGGTAGATGAAGAGGCAGAGACAGAGCCGGGCATTACATGAGGGAGACCGAGCCCCAGTGCAGCGCGAGCAAGCGCGACGGTGGAGTGCGACGAGGACTCACCCAGCGAGGGTGAGCTTCGCAATAGCGCAGGAAAGGAAGAAGAAACCGAGGCACGACCTATGTCAGCATCATGGTGGTTTCCCACCTCTTCAATCCCACTGTCATGCCGCCAAGCTGATCCCGTGGCAGCGTTAGCTGATATGCGGGCTTTCAGCTCGTCTGAGGACGGCGTCGGTGGCAATTCCTTGTCCCTCACTGACGCATTAGGCGAAGAGGAGGGACGTCTGACGACACCTAGCTCGTCGGTGGATATTCGCGATGGCTTCGGTGCTGCGGTAGAGAGTGCGGGAGGGCCGCGGCGGATCCAGAGAGGAAGAGAGAAGAAGTGAGTGGTCGTGGTATGAGTTGTAGTCGTCACAACATGGGTGGTTGTCGTGGTCGTCTCGGCCGCGAACAGCTGGTTCTCGTGCGCGAGTCCGTTCTCCTGGTATGGTGGAGGAGCGCCGTTGTTGTTGGGGGACCGAGGATGCCTGGACGGTGAGGACTTTCCACCAAGGCCGAATTTGCCAACCATACCGCACCAGCGGTGCGCTGGGAGATGAGAAGGGAAGAGGGGGGAAGGGAGAGAAGTTGCAGGGATCCAGCCTGGCGGGGGACTCGGTGGGAGTTGTTCGCGGTCAGTACTTGCGAACGGGGGGGCGTCATGACCCGAATAGGCAAGTGGGCGCTCGTCACGCCCCAGCATGCGCCCCTGTGACCTCGTGACACAAGTGACAGTGTTGTTCGCGGGAGATCTTGGTCGGATCTTTGATGGATCTGATTGGACACGATTGCGCGAAAGAGAGATCCAATGGGTGGCTGCTCTGTACCTCACTTGCTGCCTGTTGTGGCAAGGAACTCTCCCGTGGCAAAAGGCGGTGGCCAACGCCTTTTATTCCACCTTTCTGGCCGCGGTAGAAATGCCCCACGCTCTTGCATCGACTCTTCCACACTCCTCCACATCGCTGTAACTGCTCCCGGTTCTCGGTAGAGGTGTGTCTCCTGCTTCACGCCACTCGCAGAACGTGTCCTCACAGCGTCTAGAACAGCCCACACGACCCTGCATACTTCATTTTTACGTCAAAGATCTACACCGAGGTACGTCTTCGTTTCTGGTTCTAGCCACCTCGTGCTCAGGCCACAGCCGTCCTAGATGGCTGAGACCGAGATCCCATCTATGGCTGCATTCGACGACGCCCCCGATGGCTCGTCCGAGGATGCATCCTATGAACTCAACATTACCCAGAGTTGGCGCGGACGAGATTATCAGGGCGGCTTAATGCCCCTCCACTGGGCCATCACCGTCAAGACCGCCAGTATCGACGGCAAACCCGTGGGGAATGTCTACAACGCTGCTGGCAATATAGACTCCTTCATGTACGACGCGCCCGTCAACGTTCTTCTACAGGATGCGAACTGGCGCGGCAATCTCAAGATCTGTAGCATCCCCCAGACCTACCTCCCTGAATTGACACGGCTCTTCTCTGAAGTTCCTGTCGAGAGGTACAACCCTGACTGGAACTGTCAGAACTGGGTCTGGGGCGCTGTCCATGCTCTTCGTGAGTCGGGTCACGAGGCCCTCAAGGGGTTTTCAATGCGCGATCTCCGTTCCAAGATGCTCGAACTGCTGGACAGCTGGGAAGCAGGCGACATCTAACACCTCGCGTGGTCTGTTTGTAAGGCGGATCTCATGTCAACGTTTGTCAGCTTATAACTTCCTCGGATAGATACAATGTATCAATGTGGAGAGAATTTCCTGAATGAAGGTCGCTGGAACGGATTGTTTATGGAGGACACTGTACATTTAGCTATATTGTTCGCGCCTTGATTATTGTGCGACTTCAATTCAATACCGATATTGATTTTGGATGTAGCCGATGTGCAGCTAGATGTATTGGAATAAAGAGGAGTACAAAGCGCCAGATTGCTAAACCAAACCGATGAAGGAACTAAGACGACTAATGCTATCAACTTTTGACACGCCTCTTCTTCTCCTTCTCGATAGCTATTTTCTTCTGCTCCAGATTTTGCCGCTAAAGCACATACATAAGTACCAGTCCGCTCCTCAAAGCGAACCAGGCCACATACCTCTGCTGTGCGTTTTCGCTCGCTGTACTTCATCCGCTCGTATAGCTTCCGCTGCTTGTTGCTCATCATCATCTTGTTCATCTCCTGCTCGGCGTCGCCATCGGCCTTGCCCTGCGCCTTGTTCTGCTTCGCCTTCTTGGCTTTTTTTGCTTCTTTCGCGAACGTCCCGTAGTCCACGCCGGCCGCTTCTGCCTCGAGCTCTGCGGCGCGCAAGGCAGCCTCGTCTTCCGCAGTGGCTGCCGCCTTCAGGGCAGCCTCCTCTGGTCGCAAAGCCTCTTCGTCGCTCTCGCCATCGACCTCCTGGTGGCCGCCGTCCTCGTCTTCCACGACCTCTTCTTCGTCCTCATCCTCCATGACAGCGTCCTCGTTCGTAAGGCCGATGGTCGGGTCGTAAGCTCCAGCATGCTCGCCGAACGGACTGAGATGCGGCGGCAGAGTCTTGCCTTGCAGGTACGGCTCCTCAAGCAGAGCTTTCCCAGCATTTATGCAGTCGACAACCCACTGCGGCTGGATGTACTTGCGCTTCCGTCGCCGCTCCTTCTCCTCCTCGGACATGTTCGCGCGGTCGATGAGCGGTCGGTCAATGATGACGTGCGTAATCGACTCGTCCGACTCATCGAACGGTGAGCCACTCCCGGAGGACGCCGGCCAGCCTAATCGGCCACCAAACGAGCGCACAATGAACTCGAAAATGGGTCGCGAGGTTTCGCGGGATAGCCAGAAGGTGTAGGGTGCGAAGAGTCTTGAGGAGCCAGACTGGGGGAGAGCAGCCAGGGTTTTTAGCGTCGGGAGGGCAGGGGCGTCGTCGGGATTTGATGTAGATGGATGGGGTACGAAGTCCTCGTCCTCGTCCATTGGTGCCGAGTCGTCGGCAGGCATGTCCACGTCCGCATCCGCGGGCGCAGAAGTGGAAATGCTCTTGATGGTTTGTCGGACGTCCTTGGTGGACACCTTTTTGCCATTGATCTCTACTTCTTTGATTTTTGGTGCAGAGGATGATGCCGATGTCGTCGCCCCTTGAAGATGGAATGCGCCGACACCTGCTCCAGCCTCATCCTTCTCCACATCTTGAGGGGGAGGGTAGACAAGACCTGCGTCTGTGTAGAGCTTGAAGAACACGAATCCGAGAAGGGTCTGGTAAAGCTCCAAGAAGGTCAACATGACACGGACATCAACGTCCGCAGGAATCTAGAAAACTGGTGTGAGATTGAGGCACTCCGGAAATAGGTATGTACGTACGTTCTGCGTGAACTGGTACGGTACCAGCCATGTCACTGTCTGGTCCATGACTTCAGCTTGATAGTAGACGCCTTTGATAGATAGGAAGATTTTCCGTAGGGCGTGAGTATGCATGACGTATAACTGCCATTCAGAAGCCAGACGGGTGCAGTTTTCGACGAGTGAGGGTGCGACCTTGGCGGTCGAGGGTAACGAGGCGAACAAGAAGATCATGCATAAAGCATCGTCTATGTCTCGGACTGCATCAACAAATGTCGGATATCTATACCCACACACAATGTAAGTGCGTGTTCAAAAAGCACAAATTTGTGACTTACCGTTCTTTGATAATGTGATCAAGACGGTAAACGGGCTTGTTCTCCTCCAGACTTTTCGCGCTGCTCCATTCTCCTCTCCCTAGTGCACGGGAAAGCTTCTTTGCAAATGCCTTATGTTCTCGCAGCTTCTTGAGAACCGGCTCATGGGCGAGATATGCAATGTCCTTGGCGTAGTAAAAGGATGTGGGTGCCGAAGATCCCTTGTTTGCACGCTTGCGACTCCGAGGCTCGCGAGGGAAAATACCTGGTAGCGCTCTGAGAACCACTTCTGGGTACATACTTGTTCACATACCTTTGAGGATACACAATCGTCGGAAATCCGCCAGAGAACATTGCAACTTCTTGACGGCGGTCGAGCGGGTCATATATGCCTTTGCAGCACCCGCTTTTCCCTTTTGCTTCAAACGACCCATTTCGAGAGTGACACGGATTCAGAGAGACGACTGTAGTTTCAGCGGCACCCGGAGGATGAGTACACTTTGTGGTGACTTTCTAGGAGGACACCGCTTGGAAGCGCTCATAAAGTGATCGAGAGCCAAACTTTTCGATGCCGTGTTTGGCGCGGCGCCAAACACGTTTTCCGCTCTCTCGACCTCCGCCTGCAGTCAATCCGTCCATCATGAGGTGCGGCCTCACATAATAATTACCCTCTTCCCTCGCTTAATACTGTTGACAGTCAATATGTGCATGTTCCCAAATCTGAGCTCGACGAGGCTCAGTTGCGTGCTCTCGAGGAATTCGAAATCAGCCAAGGCCCCTTGTCCGTCCTTCAGCAAGCTGTCAGGAACCACACGCAAGTCCTCATCTCTCTACGAAACAACAAAAAACTGCTTGCTCGTGTGAAGGCATTTGACAGACATAGCAATATGGTGCGTCTTCCTTGTCATTCGCGTCGATCAGCCCTCTCACCGTTGGTACAGGTCCTCGAGAACGTCAAGGAGGTAGGCTGCTTATCAAGTCACTACCTGGTCCCCTCTGACGTCCTGCAGATGTGGACAGAGATGCCGAAGGGTAAGAACAAAAAGCCCGTGAACAAGGATCGCTTTATTAGTAAGATGTTCTTACGGTGAGTACTGATTGTCGCATACCCAACCCAGACATAATGTATTGATATATACACGGTAATAGCGGTGATTCGGTAATTCTGAGTGAGTACTACTCGTCAGCGGCATTATCGTATGCTCATATATGTTGAAGTCCTCCGCAACACCGCATGAAAGACGTGGTATCTTTGCGCCCCAGTGGCGCGAATCTCCGTTGCTTGACTGCCACACCAGATCCAGAAGTGAAAATTCGAACGGAGGAATATTCGCTGCTTTGTGAGTTGGACGCTTTGTATGTATAGTACACTTTACACGATTCCGATACAATGTATCATGCGCATCCCAGAGCCAACGAATGGGCATGCTCCTGCTTCTCTTGTTGAAATATTTCCACCCTTCAAAGAAACTATCTCAGTAGCCTGCGATCCTCCTCCTCGATATCCTTTATCGCGTCGAAAATCTCGCCCAATGCAATCCATGCGAAACTCCGCGCTCCGAAATAATCATCCTCCATCAGTGCGATGTTATACGCGATCCAAGCCCTCTCAAGCGACTTCTCAGAGGGGGTGTCATCCTCGCCAGCGATTTCATCACGAACGCTAGCAACGAGCGTCGCGGTTTGCTCTCGCAGCTGGGACATGAGGTCCTTCCGTTTCCGTGGCTGAGAGCACTTCGCCACGATCGTACCTATGACTGCTTCTTCTTCAGTCAGCATGGCAGAACGAGAGTCGGAGAGCGTGTGATCCGCGCATATGGTACGAAGCCGGGAGGAATAATACTCGAAGAGCTCCCATAGGCGGGATATGACATCCTCGTCAACGTTGTCTTCCTCTGGGAGTATGATGAATTCCGATACGCGATGCTTCACGGTGAGCTGAACGCCATTATCGTGGTGCGGCTCAGGCGTACGGAAGCCGTCCAGGATGTCCGCGAGGGTAAGCTCGTGTCCATCTTCCAGGTTGCGCCGTTGGAATCTAGACGCTCGAGTAACTGTTCTCAGTGCAGGTAATTCGATTCTGCGATACAGACGACCTATAGCCCTGGTACTCTCGTAGAAATCAGGCGTTGCTCTTGTCAGTGTCTCAGGGGCATTCCAGTCGGGTTTGGCTTTGAACTTCAGCCTCGGGATCCTTTCCAGCGGTACTGGGTTCCCGCTCTTGGGGTAGTCAACAGCATCACTGTGAAGCTGGGCCAGCCTGAGACAATGCGGGTCTAGGATACCTTCTGAGCTCTGATCCGCAATGATGAGCCAATTAATGGCGATGATGCCCAATGTCTACAAGACTGTCAGCTAGATCCATGCGTGACCTATGATGATGACTCACATCACTGCTGATATATTCAGCGACGAAGTCAGCGACATCCTCCATCGTGCTCGGGTGGTCTACTGTCTTTTTGACTGCGGGTTCATAGCTGCCTGACTGATATGTCCTTGCAGGACGGAGAGATGGCATTGTCGTGACGTTGTAGACGTCGCCATCGAGATCTCCACCACCGAGGCAGGATGGCAATGGCCGTTCACCTGTCGCCGTACACCATGTATTAGTCAGCCAAGGATTGGTACGAGTGTACCGAGTAGAATGCACCTTTGATGGAGAAAACAACACCATTCCTGAGAGACTCGTGCTCGAAGGGTGAACCGGGAGGAGGCCTTCCGATCGCGTGTACAAGCTGGACATCACCCGGGTGAATAGTTGGCGAGCGTGAGATCACAGTAGGTCCTTCCAGGTAAATCGGCTCGAGTAGATCAGGTGAGTCGACGCAGGCAAAAATCTCGCCCTCCTCTAGATAGCCATGGACATCAGCCACACCGACCAGGGTCCACCCATCGGGAAGGGGAATGCGAGCGTGGTGCTTGAGCTCTCTCAGGACATGGTTGACAGCAAAGTCCATCATTTGCTGCCAAAAGATGTCCTCGGAAAGAGGTCTAAGCCCAAGCCTATGCATATTGACCATAGTCGATGGCAGTCGAAACGATGCGCCGAGACCATATGCCTCGAGCAGCCGCGCGGAGCTCTCCAACGAATGAACTGCCCCTTCTGCGTCCTGGACGGCGTCATCTTGCAAGGCCTCGAATACCTCGTAAGGTACACCAAGCCCTTCCAAGAGCATGATCAAGGGGCGGTTCAGATAGTACTTTCCCGGCTTGTCAAATGCCCGCGCGATCTCGACATTGAGCGAGTCGGGAGCATCGAACTTGATCATTGATGGGCGTAAGAATATGCTTCGGTCTGAAAGCTGGTAGTCGACACTCAGCATACCCTTTGATCCCATGAAACGGATCTGGAAGAGACGGGTGTACGTCCGGGCGCGACGTGCCCGACGTTTCTTCGCTCGAAGTTCGCTCGATATTGCACGTGCGAGAGCTGACGATATCCGACCGACCCCGTCTGTGAAACAATACTGGCCAGTATTGTCCTTGATGTCGAGGTCGTAGAAGACTTCTTCAAGCTCGACCGAAATTGACGAGTCCGTGGCGGTGAACGCCTGCGAAATTCGAGCTGCATACCGAGCCGGGCAGTATATGAGCTGAGGCTCGAACGCGGGGCGAAAAGATCCTAGGCTAGCGATTATGGTGGATGCACGGACTTCACGACCGTCGGGATCGCGGAATGGAGTGACGAACCACACGGCGTGTTCTTTCAAGGCGGACTGAGAATAGGCGAGGAATTCGAAATGACGACCCGCAATGGTGAGGCCTTGCACCAGCATATGCCTGACTCGTCGGTTGATGAATCCTCGACCGTCCACTTCACGATCGAACCGATACATCAGCCGAGTCTCGTCCACAAAGGTGACTCGCAGGAAGTTCTGCTCTTGACCGGGGTAACGGCGAAAGACTCGATTAGAGCGTTCGGGGTCAGGACCTTCAAGGTGTAAACATGTTGGTGTGACAATCACGCGGAGGCAGTCGAAATTGTCGTCGGTCGTGGGAGGAGTGAATCTAGTCGGCTTGGACAGGTACTCAAGTTTCGAGCGAATGAAAAGCTGGTCGATGCTGTCCGACGTGCCTTGAGACTCGGTTCCGTACCAGAAGATTGACTTCGCTTGTCCTAGGAAGTTGCGAAGGAATGCGCTAGTGACCTTGGGACCGTGTTCTGCCACCATTTGCTCGATTTCAGGACGCAGTCCCATTGTCTGGCGCAAATCAATAAATTGGCTTCGCGCGAGAGCTTCGACCTGGAACGCAACGTTCCAATCTAACCCTGATACCCAAGCCTGGTACTCCAAACGCCGCTCAGGAGAGAAAAGGCTGCGATAGGCGATTGGGTACGATGATTCATCAACCCTGGAGTTGGCAATTCGACAACATCGTCTCATATTCTCCAAGTCGTTGGTACTTTGGCACACGACGCGAATGGCAAGAGATGTTGAAGGGGCTATGCATGCATGCTCGTCGTCAAACGCAGACCATCGTTGACGAGTAGGTTCAGCGTTATTGCCATGTAACATGAGTCCTGCGAACAAGGTGGACAGGTCATGGTGCATAGATTCGGTTTCGAAGGATGGCGGGTAGTTGAGGTAGAAGAATATGATAGGGCCATCGAGATGATCGACACTGGCAGCCATCCAATAAACTTGCGCTGCACGGATGGCAACGATACGGACGATGTCGGCCTCATAGACTTTGATTCTCCACTCCCTGCGGTCTTGCCGAAATTCGACGCTGCCTCTTGAGCAGTGTTTCTCATATTCAACAGAGAAAATGTCGTCTCGGCAAACCCACCCGAATTGGATGGTAGAGACGGAAACTGTCAATTGCTCGAGCTGATTATCTCTCTCCTCTCGTTCCACCTGTTCTCTTGGATCAACGAAAGGAAGGCGCCGAATGACTTCGAGGGTGTCCTCTCGCATGGGCCGGTTACTTTGCGTAAAATGGATTCGAATTCCGATGACGAGCGACTTGGACGGAGTCTGTCCCCCGTACTCTCGCAGGAAGTGTTGTCCAATCTCTTGTGTGGGTACGGTGAAGATACCGAGCCGTGGACCCCTCCCACCTCGGCTGCGAAAGATGTATACCTCGAAGTTGGCTACTCTCCCTCTGTAGCGGGGATAATCAGGGCTATGTAGAATGTTAGCTAAACTGATCTTCAGTTGCGGGGGATTTGCCGAGGGCGCGATGTTGCGCATGAGAATCTCCATATTTCCTGCGGGAGAGGCGCGAGCCGCGGAAAGTTCGAGGGGGGAAGAAGTGCGAGACTAGGAAATATAGAGTGATATGAAGGTAACATATAAGGTTTAACAGTAGAAGAGCTTACCACAATAGGAGAAGGCTGGACCGGAGAACCAGGTGTCAAGCCTGTACTGCACCGAGGCGCTGTCCTCAGCTGACAAAGAGTACGAGGATCCCGTTGACGAACTGCCTACATACGTAGAGGCAACACGGTCGGCAATCTCTGACAGCTCTATATTCACGCACGAAAGTCCGGTCGAGTACTCCGCTTACAAGGAGCTGCTCAAGTCCTGCCCACTCCAATCCGCGTATACTAATCCAAGGCGTCTGATAACATGATAACGATCCACGGACCGTGTCATGTTACAATGCGATCGAGTAACGCGTTTACCTTGTGAGACGTGCGAAGTTGCGTGCAGATGTCCGTTGACGGAGTCGTAGATACTAGACAGTAGGATGTCGAAAAGACGGTGTTCATGTTGATGTGGAGGATATGCTAGGATACTAACAGTATATTATCGTAAACACGTAACAATACTACACAGTCGAACAGTATCACCGTTAATGTCACATTCGCTGTGCCCAACAAACTACCGAGGCAGACACACCGTGTGTGATTTGTTTTCATGCTCCAGATGTCGGTGGCGCTACGGTAGCGCTACAACAGGGAGAATCTGTTTGAGCTCACGTCTACCTGCTGCTATCTTGTCCTCGATCGCAGTCTTTGAGGTGTATTTGCATTCAAGTCAGCAGCAATGAGAACTGTGCAATCAGGGTACACTTACAACATCATGCAAGTGTCTATTTCTCTCGAACTCACTCCGAATCCATACGATTGTTTCGCGTCGAGCTGCGGGATCCGGTATTGCTACCAATCTGCTTCAGAAATAGCTCATTCGCTATAGACAACCCGATATACATCGTGTGGCCCGTACAGCCTGGCGGTATAGCTCCAGGACCCTTTGTTGCAGAATGAAATGTTTAAGAGTAGGTTCCCGCATGACGGCAAGTGTTGAAAAAGAGTTGAACGTAGAGAAACAGTACCGCTTGAAGTGCGGCGCTTGAATCCCTCTAGCGGATCTGGCCCATCCGGCGAAGACCTTGGCGGCAGGCGCCAGAGCGGCAGTGTGTAAACCTCTGCGTTACACTCACTGCGTTCTTCCTCTGCATTTACTCGCCTTTTAGGAGCATGGCTTCGTTGCACACGGACACTCGTACACTTGATGAGATCTGTCCGTCGCCACCACCACCACATCCTGCTCTCGAAAGTCTGGTACATGCCACAGCCGAGGTTACTTTGCAAGATGTTGACACACCGAACTCTACCGCGAATGAGAGCACTTCTTCAAGGCTACCTGCAGTATACAACCGAGCTCAAATACTAAGTTTACGACGATCCCCTCTCGTAAAACCACCCGATGGTATGCCCGCCCTGAAGGACTGGTTTGGGTGTGTTTTCTATCCCACGTACGTGTGCTGTATTCACGAACCAAACGCATATTTCAGAGACTGGAGCGAACAACAAACAGCACCGAAGAAGGATTTGGATGCATCCAACGTCTCGAGTAATGCTAGGGAAAGACGGTAATTCATACGAGTTCTTTCGACATGCAAAGATGATACTGATGTTCCCCCAGCTTCCGTCGAGATCCAGAGGATGGAGGTAATTAGCAGACGGGCTTAATCTGATGCCTTTTGTCTAACAATACTGCGCAGACTCTAGCAGGGCATCCTTCCGCTCGGCACTGACACAGCCCTCGCAGATGGGAAACTTTAGACACCAGTCGATACGCACGACAGAGCGTGACAAGGACCGTGATCTGGAGAGGGAGAGAGAACGAGACCTGAGGGAGAAGGAGGGTCAAGAAAGGCTGAGAAACGTGAGTATTATTTTTTGCTCACGCGGGTCCACAATCTCATAAATGCGCAAGCTGTCCGACAAATACGATCGGGATCGCCTTGCACTTTCGTCTACCACCAACAATCTCCGCAACAAGGAAAGAGATTCTGCCCCACATTTAGCGTCGACCGCGGCAACCAGACTCGGACAAGGGCAGAGCACAGCTACCACTCGTCGCAATGATCCAAGAGAGACGACCAGGCGTAAAGCCGGTGAGAGCAGCGACGACTGGAGAAGAGGTATGTTGGTGTCATTCACGCCGCCAGGCGACGCGTTAATAATATTCAATCAGGCCCCGATACTACTCGTGCCACCCGAGAAGACAGTAAGTATGGTCTTGTAGGTAGCCAAAACAGCTAATAATTCAGCTTCAGGGACGGATGCTACCCGAAAAGACCGTGACAGACCGCGCTCTCGCGTCCGCGAATCATCCCGAGCCCGACGAGAGACATCTCCGAGTAGGCGGGATCGCGAGGACAAGGACAGTGGCCGTAGAGGTGATGATTTCCACCGGCGCGAATGGGACGATTTCTATAATCGAAGTGACCGGGACCGAGATGATCACACGAGGGACAATCGCGACAGGTATCGCCCCCGAGATCCAGACCGCGACCCGGACGACGATCCAAGACGATGGAGAGACGATGGCAAGCGCGAGGAACGCATGACTGTCAGACGCGATCGCGAGCGAGACCGTGCATGGGACCGGCATGAGGACCGTGATAGAGAACGACCAGACGAGCGCGATGGACGTACCAGGCGCGGTGGGCGCGAGAGGCGACTAGGAGGCCTTGCTGATGATGGAAAGGACAAGGACGAACGCCGGGACCGCGACAAGGACCGAGAGCCAGAGCCTGCGTGGATGGAGACGTATGTGCCGATGACTCCTGGTGGTGGGATCCTCGGTGGTAGGTCGGGTGACGGGGAACTGGACGGTATCCAAGCTTGGAAGAAGGGTATGAAGGAGAGAGAGCAACAGCAGAAAGAGAATGGCCGTGACGTTGAAACTAGGCGGAAGTCTCAAGTCGACCAGATAACCTCCGATGCTGTGTCGTCTGATCAAGTTCAGTCCCCTGCCGCACCAGAAAGTCAGCTCGACGAGATTCAGCTCTTCAAGTTGATGATGAAACGTGAAGCTCAGAAGAAGGAAGATGACAAGCCGCCGACAAGTCAGCCAGAAGTAGTCGCTGCGAACATAGTCTCCACACATTCAGAGACTGCCGCTGTAGCTGGGGAGTCAGAAAAGATATATTCTTCTGGCAATCGTGCGTCTGAGTCTTGGCTGTCATTTTCTGTGTGCTTATTCACCTTCACAGTCGATTCTCTGACAACCTCTCTGTCGCAAGCCGCTGATACACCCCTGCAGCGCAGCACTTCGCAGTCAGCTAAGTTAGGCAACGACCCCTTCGCTACGGATGATCCTCAACGAAGTAGGACCACTACGTCAACTGCAAACGGCGCTCAATCCTTTCTGTCTGCATTGGTCTCTTCAGCACACCTTACCTCTGGTCCTCCCAATTTCTCAACTCCTTCTCAGGATCAATTATCAGCAGGCCCGCGATTGCTGACATCCCGTGTAATTCCCACAGCGTCTCCCTCTGGGGTCTCACCGTCTACTACGCATACATCCGACATACCTTTTGACAACAACAATACTACACCTTCTACCTTTAACCCCCCTGCCGGTTCCCGCCTTCTCGCTTTTGGCTCGCGTGTCCCCTCAGGGGGCTCAGCGGCTGGCGATGTCTTCCCGTCCAAAAGCCACTCCGCTCTCGACTCTGGAGTCGGTCAATTCCCTCCCCCCGGCGTTTCTGGCGTCAACCCCCACAAATTTGCTGGCATACCCTCTTCCATATCTACGCATGCTACTGCTCAGGATGCCGTCTCGGGTCTTGGGGTCGACGCCCACTTCGGCACCGGTCCCAGAAACTCGCCACTGGATACATCTCGCGTGATGCGAAGCTTCTCGCCACACAATCCTCAGCAGCCGAGTAGTTCATTTGACGAAATGCGTGACAGCCCAGCTCTTGGTCAATTCCAGCAAATGAACGACCTTCGACGAGCATCAGCTGTCGAGCGCGCTGCGTTCGGCCTCCCCAATGAAGGCGTGATGCCCTTCAACGATGTAGGGGCGGGTGCTGGCGGTCTGATGTCGGGCGGACCGCTCGACATGTCTGGTGCCAACGTCCCTGGCGGCGCTGGTTATGCCGCCGGTAAGGGCAGTAGGTTCGCCAAATTTTTCGATGCGAAGACTCGGGATGGGCAGCCTATGACCGGACGTAAGGGTCCTGGATTGCCTGGAATGCAGTCGTCTTCACCCATTCCTGATGGCCGACCGCTCGGAGGCGGACTGAACGGAATACCCGGTACTAACGGGGAAGCGAGGACTATGGAAGACATCTTTGCTATGCTGCAGAATTCAACGCAGGTTTGTGACTATGCTTCTTTTATGCGTGGAACCCACATCGAATAATAACGTCTGCGTAGGTACAACGTCCTCCATCGCAAATTCCTCCCAGTGGTCGGGTGCCTTCAGGGGGTAGCCCATTCGGCCAGCATCCTCCTGAACTGCTAAACGTGCAGCAACAAATGCACCCGCAGTCACATTATTCCCAGAACAGCCACCTCGATGCCCTTTACGACAGCAGATTCGATGACAGGAATTTCGTCCCTGACGGCATGGTTCCCGGACTTCGTCCGGCGCCTCCTCGTTCTCGAAGCCGCGAACCGAGCGGTGTACTCTTCAACGAGCAGCTCGACGATCCACTGCATTTCAACGTTCGTCTGCAGCAACAACGCAATCTCAACCTCGAACAGCTGTACAATGGCCCCAATCCTGCCTTGTACAACCAGCAGCAAGCTGCTCTGCTCCGCAATGGCGGGATACCTATCCAACAGCAACAGTTTCGCGGCGCACCATCACCGATCGCAAACCAAAACACCATGGGTGGACCCCCGCAGCGATTGCCGCCGGGCTTGGCGAACCTTGGGGGACGGCCTCCTCATGACCCTTCGCAATACATCGGTGGCCCTATGGGCGCTAGTCTGCAGGGTGCCGGCCTGCAGGGTGGTCTGCAAGGCGGATTGCACGGCGGTTCACCTGTGCAACAACCGTTCAACAATTTTGTCAACGGAGGCACGCTTGGGTACGGTGTTGTTCCTCAAGCTCGTGGTCCTCCTGGACCGCAGAACCCCCTAGGCTTGCCGACGATGGCCGGTCTTGGCTTGCAGGGTAACATCGACCTGCGCGCTGCTAGCCAGGCGCAGCTGCTCGGCGTGGGCGGAGGACTCCGTGGCCAGGGGCCAGGATTTGCACCTCAACACATCCCTACTGGGCAGCCGTCTGTCGCGCACCTGGGAGTACGCCAGCAGCAGCAGCAGCAGCAACTGCCCCCTCATATGATGCCCCATATGATCCCGCCTCATCTGCAGCCGCAGCACGGGCTTCCGGGAGGCAATCCTCAAGGCGCTCAGGACTTGATGGCGCTCCTGATGGGCGGTCACCGAGACTAGGAGCGGACAGCAGACGCCTGGCTGCTGAGACGCTACCTCGTTCCCTGGAATGTCGGCATGAATTCGATTTTCTTGACGTGTCAATCGTACCACCCGACGGTGGCCGGGATGCGGTTGCAATACGTCGCGAGCTGGTTCCTCTTATCGGCGGTACGAATCCCTTTTCACCCTTGGCCGTATATTGTCCCGAAGCTGTCTACTCTGGTACTCGTAGTGTACACATATTCACGTCAATTTGCTGGACTTGCCGAGCACAAAATTTCAGATTGATATATACCGTTTGCCGCCCCCCAACCCCCATCCGAGCGCTTTCCATCCTCCTTCCACATTAATAGACACGGCCATTTCTCACTGTCGAATTTCTGGACATGGTCTGTTGTACTTTTCGCAGGACTTCATGTGTAGTCAGTGCAGTATCGCTTGGGATCGCGAGGTCACGTTCGTTGAGGCGCTTAGCAGATGCGTTTAGGTGTGTAGTGAACTCGATGTCCAACCCTGTCCACATGCAATTTGTATTGGCTGAAAGAACCCTACTGTTCTCTGCTGAATGTCTCGAGTCGCGTCCACAGTGTGAGCGCTTAATGGGCCAGCGCCAGATTCCAAAGATGGAAATGCATGCCCAGCCGTCACCGGCAAGATCGATCCGATCCAAGTCTTGTTCCAATTTGGGAGCTCAAGGCCCGGCGAACCGGATGCAGATGGGCGACGAAATGCTTCCTTTGAGTGGCTGCCCGTCGTTGCCCTCTCGGCGCGCTCCTCACGCCTGGGCTGGACTGCGCACCCGCCCGCAATCTCTTGGAACCTTAACAAGCTTCTCGTCACGCCACCTGTCTTCCGTTACACATGCCCTCGTCTCGCTTCTCCAGTCGCAACCGTTCTCAGAAACAAATGAATGATGGCCAGCTGTCCGTACTTTCCGCGGCCGACTTCACTTCAGGAATCTTGAAAGAGCCCAAAGCAACCTTGACTGCCTGAGGGACGCCTCGCTGTCAACGTCAGATTAGGAGTATCAGACAAAATGTCGGCGTTCTATTCTGCTCGGCGACATCTTCTCGAGCTGCTCTCACATGGGGCTTCCCCCACAGGCAAGCGGGCTTCCACGCCTGTCGGACGTATTACGCCCTTGTGGCCAAGCATAATTTCGCACCATTCAGTCCTATTACCAGATTGTTACCCTGCTCTTGCTTCGCGGCCAGCTGTAAGCCATCCATTGGCTGCGGCATATAGTCTTGATACAATCCACCTGATGGGCCGGATAAGATGCGCTTGTATTCTCACCTACGCTGGCCTTATTGGCGCCGTGTGCAGCACCACGGCTAGAAGCTGATGATGGACAGGACGCCGCACAGCGTGCAGGCTGGATGTGCACAGCTCCTGACTGCATGACGATGGTCATGACGAGCGTTCTCCGGGCGCGGAAAGTGGCTCAAGTGGCGGCCGGCCGGCACGCTAATGAGGGCCACCGGGCCTGAGGATAGTGGGCGGCGGCGGCGACCTGACACTCTGCGATTCATTGCTGATCCCCGGTGCCCCAGCCCATCGTATTTACAAGGCTCTTTGTTTCTGGACATTGGACTCCCTCTCGCGGGCACGGGCGCCTCGGAGGCGATTTCTGCGCAGGCCGCATCAGCACGTCGTGCTGTCAGGCCGGGAGCGCAACGAACGTCAGGAGTACGTCAAGGAGGCCCGCAAGTCTTCCAGTCAGCTGAGTGCCGTGCCGCGAGCGTTCCGATAGACTAGATAAGAGTGCGAATGATGTGAGGGTGCAAAGCGCGGACGTGTGAAGGGCGGTCTAGCCACGGATGCGATCTTGCATGCAATCAAAGCGTTACTCAGGGGGTTTACATACGCTCTGGACTAACGCCATCTGTTACATTCGCAACGAGTTCTACAAATGCACCGCCAACGGCCGTTAGTGCGCTACTGTATATTCCTGGTCAGTTATATCTCCGGGCGCTCAGTTTCACATACGCGAGACACGCTCTGCCGAGCACGATCATTACGCTCACCATGTCGGTTGGGGGATCCGACGCGTGCCTGGGATCGCAATTTACGCTCACTGAGAATCACGAGTCGATGCGGAGAGAATCGACGACGTTGTGCAGGGTGCAGAAGTCGGCGCTGGATTCCGTGACAGCGTCCCATTGTTGGAAGGAGCATTTTGAACGACAGGAAGCAGGAAGGCTTACCTAAAACACCGAAATTGGTAGAGATGTCTGACCGGGATGCCTGCAGGCAGACAACGTGTTGCGGGTTCACGCAGCTCCCACACAGATATGGGCCAATGAGCGATAGTTCCGGACAAGCCCAGCGTATTAGATGGCGTACGCCGAGGGGATAAGCGAGGACACGCCGGCGGGGCGTTGCAGTTGACTTGCCAAACTCACCCACGTCGCGGATATTCAAGCTTGAAGACCTGGAGTTCGAGCACTCAGTGACAGCTTTTCCCTTCTCCTCATCGCCGGCAGCCTCAGCGGCTCACCGTGAGCTCGCGCGCTGAATTGGTCGTCTTCCGAGACTGCCTGCTCGTTCAGTGTCGCTACCCTCCCGCACCTCCCTATCTCGCAGCCCGAATCGACAGCGTAGAATCGGCATCGTGTTGCCACCCGTCTTTCATTTACATCAGTCCCTCTCTTGATCGGTCGCCGCGACCAGCAAGCAGCAAGTCATCTCGCAAGGTTCGCGCCAATTCCTGTCTTTTCCGTCGGTTGTCTTCGTAAGACCCAAGCTAATACACCCATTTGAATACGTGAGTAAATTTCTGCTTGTCGATCGGGATGAGAGAAAAAGCGCAAGGAGTGCACGCGAGTGGCCGGCGCGCGGCGGTTGTCGATGTGCTGGATGGGCGGGATGTGAAGCGGATGTGAATGCGCTGTGGCGGGGGGCGGCTGTCGATATCGATTGTGACGAAAGCAAGGGCGAGACTGAATTTCCTGCAGCAGGTTTACCCCGGTCGGAGAGCGAGAACGTCGTTGGCGGTGAGCAGGCTGTGTGTGGCGGGGCAGAGCGGGATGCTAACGCTGTGCGATTGTAGGATCTGCCGTAGAGCAGTACTAGCACTAGTCCAAGGTGAGAGGCTTATACTTACGTCACCGAGGGGAGGGGCGGCGTCGAGGAACGTGGAGCGTGGGAAGGCCGGATATGGGCAGGGCGGGCCGGGCCACAGGAGAGGGCGATCTGGATCGGCTTGGGAGAGGCAGCTCAGTGATGTCGGGCGTGTGATCTCCGCCTATTGTCCAGCCTGCCTTTGCGCTTGCCTTTGCTCCCCGCTTTGGGCTCTCTCCGCCATTGCATTTCTTGTCCTCTCGTCGGTGTCTGCTCGCAGTGCACTACTTCTTCTCCCTCTCCCTCTGTTCGAGTAGTAGACAGCCACGACCAGGTAAGAGCACGCACTGGCAGCCTGACGAGTGGCCGACTTCGTAGTGATGGCATCAGAGCCATGTCCCGATACGCACATGATAACGACGCGATGGCAGCGATTGCTCCCCTTTCTGGCTGCGGCTTGTATTTCTTTTTCCATTTGATTTCTGGGACTTATCCCTCTCGTTTCTCCACACTCACGCTCGTCCCGGGCGCCCGGGCCCTTATAGCCTTCGTGTTCCAGCCTCTTCTCCCGTTTCTCTTGCCTCGTCGTCCTCGACGTCTCCCGCGTCCTCGACGCTCCTCCCCTCCTCCCTCCTCCTCACGACTTTCAACGCTGACGACCTCCCTCGCCTTCCCTCCCTAGCATTCGCACCGCGTCTCCACTACCCCGCATCAGCCATCACACTCAGCATTTTCCCTTCTCCATCAGCCACACAATCGGCTCAGCATCTGCTGCATGAGCATATACTCATAATCGGTAAGTCTTCCGCCGCAGATTTTATTGTCTAGGTCATTCGCACATGTCGCCTCTGTACCTTCATACAAAATGCGTCGATCGTGGCAGCCAAATTCGGCACACTGACGATCGGACGTGCTCTCTTCTTGCTACTTTCTTTTGCGCGTACTGGCCTAGACACAAGTGAAGGGTGTTCTCGTCATGTTTTTCTCGCGTGGCGGCGACATGGCAGGCTGTCTGTCTTGTCCTCCCTAGATTGGCGGACGGCCATTCGCCCCCTCCCTTTCTCAACCACCACGCACGGCGGTGAAAGTTTCCCCTCCCGCCCCCGTGGTGTATGCAGGTCTATCACGCCCGACAATGATGTCTCTCGCCGTCGAGTGCTTGGAACAGCCTGCTGATGTCGCACCCTTCGTTTCCAGCACTCAGGCAGACCAAATCTCGTCCACAACGATATCCCCCCCAGAAAACATGAAGGACGCAAAGCAATCTTCCACAAAGGCAGCTCGCCTATCCGCATATCCGAGGAAACGGCCATCACCTTATGGTGTCTCGAAATCACACCAACGTGCTCCCTCTGCCTCTGCCGGCATTCGCAAGACGCCACGAGCCACAAGAGGGGCGCCCTCACAGCGTAGACTCAGCCGCGCTGTCATCGTGGCATTGCGTCGAGATGGGATCTTTCTAGAGGAGGAGTATCAGGACGAGATACGGTTTTATATGCACGAGATGGAGGTCAGCCCTATTCGCGTTCTCGATGACCTGCGTTGCTGAACGTCGAGATCACGTTTCTTCAGCTACAAACAATGGCATCACCGCACTCTATTGACCAGCAGCCCGAAATCCGCTGGGGCATGCGACCCTGTCTCGTCGACTTCCTGGTCGAGATACATTTCACGTTCCGCCTGCGACCCGAGACGCTCTATTTGACCCTCAACATTATTGACCGCTACATCTCGCGGCGTATCGTCTACACGAAGCATTATCAGCTCGTGGGTTGTGTCGCGCTTTGGATCGCGGCAAAGTTTGAAGACGCAAAGGAACGAGTACCAACCGTTCAAGATCTCGCGCAGATCTGCCGAGACACATACGACGCTACGGCCTTCATCCAGATGGAGGCGCACGTCTTGCAGACAATTCAATGGTCCTTGGGTCACCCAACTGCTGAGGCCTGGCTGCGTCTGTTTTGTTGTGGTCCCTTCATTGAGGACTCCAAGGTTCAGCATGTCTCCCGTTTCCTCATGGAAGTTACTCTGTTCCATCGGGAGTTCTGTGGATACCCGGCATCCGCCATCGCTCTGGGCTCCTTGACACTGGCACGGTTCCTGTGCGGGAAGAGTCGTCAAATTCTCGAGGAAACCGAAGAGTCCCTTGAAGTTGTTGAACACTTGGACACGCGTCTCTCTCAGATAACCGAGCTCTCGGAGACCGTGGTCAAAAAGTATTCCTACGCATTCTTCTCCAAGGCAGCGACGTTTGTCCTACACTTCTACTTGCAAGGCGGACGCTTCTCGCATCAACCTCTCGTTGAACTGCCGATGACGCCGATTCGTTCCCGTTCATCGAAGGCAAGCACCCCAATGAGTGTGTCGACAACGGCGTCTGATCTTTCGGACGATATGCCTGTCACGCCGTCAAGCCCTGGGTTTTCAAGCGACATGTTCTCTGGCTCTTACATGTCAGACGACAAGGAGAACCTCCCTTCGGAGACGTTCGAGCCCGTCGTCAACAAGCAACATCTGGAGCCGACGCCAGAGCAGTACCTGCCACACGATTTCGTCGCGTTTGGCAGGCCTGCCCTCCACAACTTGAACATCTCCTCTCCGCGCCCTGCTGTGGTGGCATGATGCTCGCCGTGAATGTACAGTCGTCCTCGCGGGTCTCGCCGTTCCGGACTCTGGTGTAATAGGTGTAAAAGTCCTCCTCGTCCCACTTGCAACACTCCCACAACGCACGCAAAATGTACAACAACTACCATACACGTCGTTTATCGGCCCCTCACGCGCAATCTGTCTTTTCTGTCTGCAATCATCAACATCCATCCATGCATCCCCTTCTGCAATCGTCTCAATTTCTCCTCGCTCCGCATCCAAAGCAGACGCCTGTACTAGTCGACGGACAAGGTCGTGTCGAGGGGACGACATCGCGCCGTCGTGCGCGATGATGTACGATTACTCGGACCACTGCATCCGCTGCCTGGTCTCCTGTGTTTCTACCTTGTCCGCCCGTGTCGGGATTATCTGTTCTACTTCTCCATCGAACTCTCAACACATTCATTGCCGATTGTTACTCTATGCATCCCCGTCATTCTAGCGCTCCGACTCTATCCTCCCCTCCCCCTGATTCGCTTTACGCGAGGAGCTCGACTACGCTCTATCCTTAACTCGCCTTCGTTCTATCTTATTCTTCACGTTTATTGTACAAAGTCTTTCACCCTTTATTTACCCCCGAGTCCCGTTGCATCCAATACGTTCCGTCGCCCCTTCACCTTACCGCGCATTGTGTCCATTCTTCATTCCGTAGCGTATCGTCAATGTTGCAGCATCTGGCGTGTTCCACCTCACTGTCCCCACCTCACGAGCCTGAAGGGCTATCCATTGTTCCGCGCATTCCTGTCTACATTACCAGAGTAGCACGTCAATCGATTCTGATTATTAGCACTGGCATCGTCGGCGTCGCCTGTCCGCCGTGTGGCGTAGATACGCCCCTTGGCGCCCCCGCAGTTGATAGGAGGCCAGCGTGCAAGGTACCGTGCGTTTATCGCCCCACAGTGACATACTGACTCTGGCGCCTTCCATTCCATGCCTAGGACAAGTACATCTTATCTGGGCTTCGAATCGTCGAATTCTGGGTAACTAGGGTGAGGTAAATGCATATGGCCGCACCACACAGCCTCGTCCGGCCAACGATCATCGCGGTCTCTTGGAGCATCTCCCCTGAGGGACCGACAGCGTGAGCGGCGATGGCGGACGGTGCTAGTCTTCTCGGAATTTCCTGGGCGCACGAGGACATCACACGCGCCGGACGTGATGGCCAGTATTACCCCCTCGGTCCTCGGAGGTGTGCTCCTACGTCGGTGACGCTCGCCATCTGTCATGCGCATAATGTCTTTAGGTACAAACGTTGAGAGACGTGATCCATAGGCCCGACAGGGGTGGTGTGACCGACGTCTATATCTGGCGCAGCCGTGCATCTATGGACGTCAGGCAATGGTCACCAAATCACACCCGATATTGCCGAATTGAAAGGGGCCTGCCACTGACGCGACAAGTTGGTGATTGAGGAAATGATGGTACATTTGATTTTATAATGACATTCTTCACGTAACGTTTACCTCCGATCGCCTGCCACCCATCTTGATCGCAGGGCCGCCTTACGACGCAGCAGCAGCAGCAGCAGCAGCAGCGCCAGGCTACTCGAGGCTCCATTCGCCATTACTGTGCTTGATGTTCACAGGCCGCTTCTCGTCCAGACTGATCCGACCCGCATGGAGGATCGCGGTGGTAAGGACGGTGTTCGCAATCGTCGGCAGACCGTGCTTGTCAAAGTCGGCGGGCGACACGCGCCCGGCATTGACTTCTCTCGCAGCGTCGACGAACTTCTCGATGGAAACATAACCGTAGCCGCGTTGGCCGTCGAAATGCCCGCTCTCGGATGGAGAGTACTTCATGCTGCACTCGGGCGTCAGCAGCGGCTTTAGAGAGGGCCGGACGTAACGCACTAGAATGGGTTGTACCAAGCCTTGCCCGTCTCGTCGTTGACGATGTCGTAGCCACGGTGAGCTTGGTCCACATTGATCTCACCCTACATGCGAATCCGGTACGCTTCAGCATTTTCAACATATTGCATAATTAAGACTGACCTTCTCGGCCATGTAGTACCAGTGCTGTGCTGAGTGGACACCAGACTTCAACGGAGCGGTCCATGACGCCGTGTATACTGCCGTGCCTCTGTGCTTGGAGCTAGAGAGTGACTGCCAGTCAACGAGAAGCGTGATCGTGTCTTCAGTTTGCGGTACGCAGTTGTACGGCTCGCTGGTAGCAATGCCGGTAGCTGCACTCGCTGTCACACGAGTGGGGACTGCCTTGTCCTGCATAATCCAGCAGTGAATGTCGATATGGTGAGACGACAGGTAGTAACTGTGCGATACTCAGTACCAAACAGCAAGACGTCGACTTTAGGACGGCTTGCCTGATATCGGAGTCCTTTCCTGCCCACGCGCGGAATGTCTCAAGCTGGCTCTTGGGCTGGCTCATCCACGCACTGAAGAAGTTGAACTCTCCAAGACTAGCTGCGCGAGCCTTCGCATCGCTGTACACAGGGTCAAAACTGCACGACGAGGGGGAAACTGGTAAATTCATGTAGTCATAATTTAACTGAAAAATCACTGACCGCTTATGGTGTTCTACAAAACAGACAACGTTGTGTTTCCTTGCGGCCGCTACAAGCTCGTTATGGTGCGCAAGGAGTTGAACGGCAGGCTTCGTAACGAGAACGTGAATTCCCCGCTCAATCGCATACAATGCAATCGGGTAATGTGTACCTGTGTTCCCTTTTAGTCCCCCATGACCACCTCGGGGTCTTTGGCACTTACTGTCGGGCGTGAAGATAACAACAGCATCTCCGGGAGATAGCTTGTTAATGGCATCTTTGTCTGGAAGCAGAAATTTGGTCGCTATCCTACACGGACCCTGAGTGAAGTACTCACAAGCCTCCGGATTGACGACATTGCCTTCCGGGAAAGCATCGAACCTGGACCAGGTCAGATATACATCACCTCATGTATGGGAAAACGTACGTCGTGTCCATATCTTTGTACACATGCGCGATGTTCTCTTCCAGATGTGTCCGGATGGCAGGGAACTTGCCTCCATTCGTCCCCACCATACCAAGTTTGTCGACTTTGCCCAATCTCCGGAGATCGAACAGTGTCAGACCAACAACCTAGACGAAGGCTAAATACACCGAGAGATGTGACAAACAGTCCGGATGCTTACACCGATCTAGTCGTGGGCAGATGCTATTGAGGCTGCAGACGTTGAGTGAAATCACGACAGACTTACCTTCTTGTCGGACTTCGATGCTCCGGAGCCTGTCCATCCAGTGGTGTACTCTCCCTAGCGTTAAAGTATCAGCAAAAATAATCCTTCAGATGGTTTAGTCAGGGTCCTTGCGTACAGTACCACCTGTGCCGAAATGAAGAGCTTCGTGAGTACGTATGACAGATGCATGTTCCGGCCTTGCTCACACATCAGCAAGTTGAGCTTCTTCATTTCGGATGACATGTCTGTATGGTATATGCTGCGTCGATACTGGACGGAGGAGGGGAGCAAGGCGACATTTTGGGTGGCGAGGATGTGCCTATAAGGCCGCCCGCTCTGGCTTGGAGGAGCCTGAGCACGATCGAGCCGATCGCGGGCCGGGACAGTCCCACGGCCCGGTGCTTCCGCTAGAGCAACCGCCACAGTCACCGTCGCGTCTTCGGACTATTAGTCTCCAATATTCAATCTCGGACAACTCTCGGTAGCTGCAACGTGCGGTGCATGTAAATCTTCATGCCTCTTAGGTTCTATCAATGCGAGGAAGAACATTCACTCGCATTAAACGGGCAAGTTCAAGTATTGAAGATCATTGTTCGGTAAGTCTTCGGTCACATAACGCTTGTCTCCCACGTCAGTAAGTACAATCTGGTCTCAGATGCAAAACAACTTGGATTTGGCCTCGTTCCGTGAAGGATGTACAACGTGCATTATATATTGTCAATTCCTGGCTGCGCTCGGTCGCACTCGGAACAATCCTATGATCACTTCTCAGGACAGGCTATTTCTGGAGACAGGAGGCTTTCGACAGACCACTCCTCCAGCTCGTTGGTTCTTCGCACAGCGAGGCCTTCTACATCTCCTGAACCCATCGCCAAGGGCTGCGTGTCGCAATTGACAACTTGGTCTTCAATGCTCTACTGAAACGAAGCTCACCAAGGGTGCATGCGATCATAATGTCTTGCTGATGCGCGAACATGCTAAGTCTTGTTAATTTTCGTGGTCTGTGAGGGCCAGAAACGCTCTTGCAAAGTGTGGTACGAAATATCCTCTTCGTGAGTTCTATCTACATGTCTCATTCTTTACTATAGCATGGACGATGTCTGCACCTCATCTTATCCATCGAGTCTCTCCACGGTTTCGTGTGCAGTGACAAGATTCTTGGTCAGTACCTTGTGATATGAAATGAATCATACTGTTAGGTGAGTTTGCCATTCCATGGATCAGTGGCCGTCCTGGTCGCTGTTGGGGCGCCTCCGGCCGACGATCCGTGGATGGGAATTCACGTGTATGCCACGTGGGGGCGGCACCGTGACGTTCGCGCTGCTGTGAGTTCCACGGCGGTCCACCGCAAGGCGGACGCAGTCACCACAGTGCGAAACTCTCCTTGCTATGGCACGCCAGGCTTGCTGCATGCTACCTCCATGGCACAATTAGCCTCCTCAAGTCCAACACCCAGAGCCCTCGCTTCGACCTCTCCCAACCCCACTGGGTCTGGCTCTTTCACGCCCCGTAAAGAATTTCTAACGCAACAACGAGTCATTTCCACGTTCTCTCTCCTAGCACTCTCGAGTGCGAATCTTGTCAGACTATACAACTTCCCCTCATCTGTCATCAGTGCGCTTCGTCGTGTATTCGATCATCAGGATCTAATCATCAGCGTGCGAGAGGATAATCGCAAGGATTTTCTCGAATTCTGTCTGGACCGAAGGCCATGGGCGAGCCCAAAGAGCGTCGAGACGGAGGAATTATTTATTGCCATGTTAACAGCCATTCTGCAGTGCGGATATTCATTTTTGTCTACCATTGACTACGGCCGTGAGCCAGACGATCGTCTGGCCATCGCATTTTCCAGGCCCGATTCCGTTTTGCCTCCCGGAGTTCCTGCGTCTGTGTCCGCGGTGACCCTGGCTCAGCCCCTACGCGCACTATTCGCTGTATCATTTGTCTCTACCAATATCTTGCGCGTCGTCAATCCTCCTCTCCAGACCACGCCGGCTATCTTGGCTTCCGTGAGAAGTGCTTGGCCCCGGGGAGTCGTATCAGAGAAGAAGTTCGGGGACGCTACCTATCAATTCAAGCTGAAAGGGTATAAGAGTGCGTATGGACTGGCTCTACTCTCAATGTGACAAGTGTTGAGAGTGTCATAGTCTTCCAGGAGAACACCTTGGCGGTCGATTCTCTGCAGCAGATCCTCTCTCTCTTGGGTACCCTCGATAAAAATGCATTCACCCTCCTCACCTCCGTCACCATGTCCAGTCGCTCTCGCAAGCAGGATTTGTGGATATTCACTGGTCCACCCGCCGATCTTCCGACTCACGACTCGCCTCAATCTAGCCCAGGAACCTTGTCCGTAGAGCTTAGAGGTGATAACGCTGTGTACGGAGGCCAGACCTCCATCGAGAAGCTTGCGCCCATCGCGTCTTCTTACCGAGTCGGCAACTCAGCGCCAACCACTTCGTCTCCTCTCAAGCCCAGTACCCTCCTAGCACACAAAGCTCCGGGTAAGATGCTGCGGAAAGCGTCACCCAAAGTGAACATCCCCCTCGCCTATCTCTCGGACGATAGTGCAACGAACTCGCCTGTGGACAACAAGCAGCATCCGTTTTCCAGTAGTATGGGCAGTGTGGACATGACGGGAGTGGGTACGAGTCGCGGCAAGGGCGGAGAACGTCTTTCGCAATCACCGGACGTCCTGCTTATGACCGCCGGGATACCTCCGTACGCACATGCGCAGAACTATCTCTACGGTACAAATCCATGGCAAAACATGCCCTTGACACATCCTGCGACGTCGCCAAACTACTTGGCTGGCCGTGCTAGTACCGGCTTCGCTACCTCGCCGACGCCAGAGAACGTCCCTGCCTCGCACTCTAGTGGTCCATCATACGACCTACCCTCATCTCAGCCCCAACCGTCACCTTCCTCCCAACAAGTGTTAGAACAGGGTAACGACGATGACGCGGCGTCCCCTGCTCCACCTTCTCAGGTAGAAGGTCAATCTCCATTAACAAGGCCGGACAGTCAGGACTACTTTGGCAATGCACAACTGCTCGAGCAAGGTCAGAGTATGTTCAAGGATGTGCCAATCATCACGTTGGACATTCCCCGTACACCGACACCGCCTCTGCTTACGGCTGGCGTGTTTCGCGATTCCGCCTTCTCCTCGACGACGGCGTACACCGGCAGAGACTTTGAACCACAAAGAGGTACTCTCGCCGAGATCAAGGAAGAAGAGGATGAAGGCAACAGGGAGAGAGAACATTTGCAGGAATATTTCCAACGAAAGCCGCGGGAGCACGCTCCTATCGGCCCGATGTTTCCCGGCGCTTGGGGCCCAACTCCAAAGGACGAACGCAGGTACGATGACGTCGTACCAAACATGTTGCCTCCCACCATCCAAGAACGACCCAGCCAAGAACTCGACGAGCTCGCACATGCTTCTCGCAACGACAGAGCTCACGCCAGGCCAACGCCGTCACCTATCTATGCAGCACACGTCCCATCGAGGATGGGTGAGGTAGGATCGGAGGCGGATAGCAGCAGATCGAGGGGCAATGAGGCGGGCTCAATGACAGCCTCGTCGAACAACGCTCCGAGCAGTACACGCAGTGGTACTCTCGGTACTCTCGCTAGCAGCAAGCGCCCTGGCCCGACACGCAGAGACACCGACGACTCGGGTTGGGTCGTCGTCAACATCAACGCAGGTCCTCGAGGCGATCAGGATAACAAGGGAAAGACAAGGCATGCGCAAAGCGCATCCCCGGATCCAGCGCGGCGCACCAGGTCGCCCACCTCTCCTCCCAGCACGAACTCTCGTCCCTCGGCGCACACGCGTAGCAGTTCGGACTCTCGCGTCCCTCGCTCGCAGGGAACGACTAAGGACGCAGGAGCGATGTCCAGCATGCACCCGGCTGCGAAAGCCATCGTCATCATTGACGCCGTTGGGGCCAAGGAGAAGGAGCACGAGAAATCGCAATCCGGATCCGGATTCAAGCGGTTATTCCAACGAGGCCGAGACAAGGGTCAGTCTGCCCAAGCCACGCAGGCACCCGCGCGGCCATCTGATCCCTCGAGACGGCTAAATAGACCACAAGGAGGCGGAGTGACAACGAAGAGACCTGCACAAGAGGGTGCTGATAGGACGACAGAGAGGCGGAAATCGCCTCCAGCAACGACTCGGAGATGAGGGAGTGACCGCTACAGAAATGCTCATCCCGCCCGTTTGTATTTATTATAGACTGGTGAGTAATGTGCCAGCGATATTGCAGAGGCGACTTACTCAATCATCTTTCCTAGACCCTTTGTATGTTTGTGAATGTATTGGACAAACTTGGTATTAACCCCTAGTCAGCTTATAATACCTGACACATTTACGATAACGAACTGTTTTGCCTTCCAGTTACGGTCGTAGGCCGTGATGTCCCTGAGACGACTCGTATATGATGATGATTTGTATTATTGTTACTTGAGATCATGTACCGTTCGCTAAGCAGGCCAAAGGCCTGAAATTGAGCACCTCAGACGAAGTAAGTACTCCGATCGAGAACGCGCTGCAGCGCTGCCCAAGTCGCCACAACCTGAGTTGACGCTGGGTTAGCCCCATTGGGCGCTTAACGCGACACGCCTCACGTGACCGTTCTTGGGTACGGAGGCAGCACAAAGGCCAGTGCTCGAAAACTTATTGTGGGCAAGGAACGGCGAGGTGACTGTGCTTCCATGAAACCCGTTATTCCAGTCGATGACTGAAGGAATAGCAGCAGGCAGTTGCGCAGAGTGAAAACGGCAGGGTATCGGAACGTTTGGCGCGGGCGAGGCCGTCACGCAGTGTGCGGCGTACCAGATACACCATGACAATGAACCCAGTGTGTACGTGTCTAGCCTCAGTAATACGCAAGAGATGCCACCAGCTCGCCCGTTCATCAATTGTCTGACCATCGAGCGTCGGCGCTAAAGGGAGGCAGGACATAAGGATGGTTGCAGCGCGGGCATTGTACACGAAGTCAACGGAGATGAAGAGTAACGTAGAATGCATAGACACGCGCATAACGGGACGGCATAGTCGATGTGTGCGAGCTGGGAGACCAGAGAGAAAGGAAAGGAGAACAAGAGAGTTAGCCCCGCTGGACGCCGCAGGTGCGTTTGACGGGGACGGGGCGCTTGGACCGCGGTAGGCTGGGGCGGCGTAGAGAAGGAGAGAGACAAGGCGCGAGTACAATTACGAGCCCAGAGAGGTGGTGGTGAGAGAGTGGGAGAGAGGAGACAGCTGAGTGTGAAATGAAGGAGGAGGGTGTGGCTGAGCGCGGTCGGCCTCGGGAGTTGGCCTCTACAGCAAAAATGCGAGCGACCGCCTCACGGCCCCATATCCCAACCAGGCCACCTGGCCGCTTGCCGTGCCCTTCCTTCTCCTCCTTCATCATCCCCCTCCGTCCTCCCACTCCCTCACGTCCCCATCATGCCTACCTGCAGGCGCAAACGCGTGCTGCTCACAGAGCCCTCTCCGGAGCTCCTCTCCGCTCTCAAGACTGATCCAATCAAGGAGGTCTACTACCTAGCCCAGACTGGAGAAATATTCGAGACATACGAGTACATCCACTCTCCCTCTTCCCTGTGACCCTTGCCAAGGTCGACTGACCATCCCCCCTTAGGACATATGCTGCGCGGATGTCGTTCTATCGCCTCAAACAGTTCCAATGTGAAGTCACCGGCAAGAGCGGTTTGGACTACTTCCAGGCCCTTGAGAGTGAAAGACAAGAAGCTCGCACCATGCACTCGAGGTTCCCCGACCCTCTCAAAGCTGCCGTCCTGAAAGCCGTGCAGTGGCGTAAGTCGCGTTCATGTATCCGCCCTCTTCATTCACCGGATGATTGACATATCGTCATTGTGGTATGTGGCAACAGAGGTCATGGGCCGTTTAGACCATCTAGTAGAAGCTGTGTATGAGCGGTTCAAAGACCGCTACTTCCCACATGAGAGTGCGTTTAGTATCCTCCACGAGTGACTTGCACCTGTATTGACGATGTTCTGACAATGTCTAATTAGATGTGCTCATCGACATCAATGGTGAAAAGTATGTGCTGTTCCTCTGTGCCAAGTTGCTTCCGCATGTCTTCACGAATGTCCAGATTCTCCGCTCGCGTTCTCCAAGCTATCCCTCCCCCTGGTTCAGCATCCCGACCAAGGGCCAGCCCAGGCCCCTCTAGCTCTACTTCATCCTCACCGTTGTCTGATGATGAAGTGCCTATACATAAAGTTGCCGAGGATCTCAAAGTCTCGGTCAAGGATTCCATCGCGAAGGATGATCCAACCAAGTACGATTACACGGTCCAGATTCTGGATGAGGATCAGCAGCCTGGCTCGGGGAGAAGCCACGAGAGGAGCAAAGGGAAGGACGCAGCGAAGTGGAGCGGAACGTGCTTGCGGGTAGGATGTTCCATGATGAGGTACTTCTCACCTTTGTCAAACACTGTTCGCGACTGACTGCCCTGTCCTTGTCAAGTCGCGACCGTCTAACATTCTCGAAATCAATCCTACGGCGCTTCATTCGTGACTGCGTTGACCGGGCCCCAGCTGTGGCTTCGCCATGGACCGTTAAGCCAGCGATTGCCGAGCGGTACGGTGTCGACACGGTGATGCCAGAAGAAACGAGACGGGGAGTTGAAAGCATCAAGAAGGGTGAGATCGACAAACGGAAGAAGGTCTGGGAGGACAAGGAAGGTCCTGCGACGAAGAAACAAAAGAAGATGACCGCAGCTGCCGAGGAGAAGGGTATGTTTGACGTCTGCAATCGTCAGCGGTACAAGCTGAAAATATGTCACAGTGAAAGCCCTCGCTGCCGTTGCTGAGAAAAGGGAGCGCGACGCACGCGAGAAAGCGGAGAAACTACAGAAAGCTAAGGAAGAGAATGAACGACTCGCCGCTGAGAAAAAGAAAAAGAAGCCTATACGATACCCAACAGAGGACCTGGATGTTGTCATTGGGGATAGAGAAAAGAAGGCTGGCATGAAACTGAAACGACCTGTGCCAAGCTATGTCTCAATGCCCTTCGGTAACGATACAACCTCGAACGAGGCCTTCCTCATGACTTGGAACTTCCTTGTTGTATATGGGTGTGTATCACAAACCTCGTTATGTTATGTCATATTGACAATTCAACGTACGACAGGCAGCCTCTACATTTATCGCCGTTTACGATGGATGAGTTTGAGCAGGCTCTGCGGCACTCAATACCCGACGTGCCGTGTACTCTGCTGGCGGAGATACACGCGACGCTAATTTACAACTTGCGCACTGTTCCCTTCAATCGGCATAGCGCAGCGGTGTCCCTTATACGTGAGAGGGATGAAGGAGGTGAGAATGACGGAGTTCTTGGTGTGCCTATGGGCACGCTTGTCAGTGCAATGGCCGATGTGGGCAATAACTGGGAGCGAGCCCCGCTACGACATTCGGAAGGCCGCGAAGGTTGGGAAGAATCTCTCGTTGGATGTCTCAAAGATGTAAGCCTCATGTAGTTCTAAGCAGCATCGCATGGAGCTGACAGTCCTTGACAGCACGCGAACTTTGGAAACTTCCCGCGGATACGCGAGATCCTCACCCAACTTTTGTTCAGCCCAGAGTCCACGAACGAGCCGTCGACATCTTCTGTAGCCTCTCAACCATCTAGCCCTGTTCCCATGCCCTTGAAGACCCCGGCGGATCCCAGTCTGCGGTATTACGCGCTTCCACCAGCTGACCGAGTGGCCATACTGGCCTTCATGATTGACCTAGCAATCTCGAGCAAGGCCATTCATGCCCACATGGAGTGGTGCGAAGAGCAACTTACCGCCCTGCGAAAAGAGAAGATCGAGGTGAACAGAAGCAAGAAGCAATAGTGAGTGAGTCATAATTGATGGACGCATCCTCTTGCTCAATATAATGCAGCCTAGAGGAGATAGCTACTCTTAGCGGAGAGACCAAGGGCATCGAGAAGGCCATGGATGGTGATGTCGCCATGCGAGACTCTAGCGAACTCTCTGAGGTACCTGGGTCGGATGGAGAAGACGCTACTCCTGCCACACGTCCAAAGGAGACCCGCCGAACAGCGGCAAAGGAGCGGGAGCTCGCTCGTGCAAAATCTGCGTCCGCCAAGCAGGCCCTTGCAGAGCAGCGCCGCTTAGACGAAGAAGTGAACAAACTGGAGCGACGACTCGAGGGCATCGAGCGCGAATTCAGGAAGCTCCTTGGCTCCGTGCGAGTCAAACCCTTGGGTAAAGATCGGTTCTACAACCGTGTCTGGTGGTTTGACGGCATGGGCGCCGCATCGCTCGTCGGGAGTGGAGGAACGGTCCAGTATGGATCTGGACGCATTTTCGTGCAGGGTCCCAGCGAGTTTGATGTCGAGATCTTGCAAAGAAGGGATGAAGACGTTGGTATACGCCGGAGAGCGGAAGAAGGCGAGGAAGGCATGCTTGGTGTAGGCGAATGGGCGGTGTACAACGATCTGGAAGAGGTATGTCTTGACCTGACTGTTCGCAGAACTGTGGCTGACGATAGAGCAGGTCGACGCATTCATAGCTTGGTTAAATCCCAAAGGAGTTCGTGAGCTGGCCCTCAAGAACGCCTTTGCCAAATGGTGGCCGCACATAGCACCAGGCATCCGGCGACGTGCTGCAGTGGGTTTACAGCTCCTTTCAAGCGTTCTGTTCAGTAGCTAACTGATTCTCCACCAGGATCTGGCCGCCAGTGCCAGAATTGTCGAGGCCAGACGGAGTACACGCACGAAGAGTGCGACAACTGATATCTCTAGAGAACCATATATGCAGTGGACGAACCGCAAGGCGGTCAACTCCTCTTGAACGATTTGCTTGTATTACACTGTCTTAATTACCCCTGTCCTCTCCGTACCGTTTGCATTATGGTTTACATTGCATAGCATTATTCTACTGTTCATATTGTCTCTAATAGATGCGCTCGTCATGGTGGCTGTTGTCGTCGTGGCTCCCGCACTCAAACTGGCGCGATGATGTCCTACAGCTGGGGATTGCGTACATGTAACGCTCGGCTGCATGATCCTCTAGGACTCGGCCTAGTATTGCCTACCGGCTGTCAATGATACGGACGTCACAGTCTATTCACGAGCCTGCTACAACCCAAAGCGATGGTCTTCTTCCCGGATCTTCGACAATTTTCTGGGTTTAAAGGCGACGCTGCCAAGGAAATTTATGTGCTGTGCTATTCCCCCTGAGCCTCCAGCTACACCTGGCTAGCAGCCTCCATTGGCAGGTCTTGGTCGCCTTATACCCATTGTTCATACTGAGCAGGCGTATCTGGTCACTCCTGTATCACGCCGGGTTTCCTTTCGGACGAAATAAACGACAACGACCTTTCACGAGTTTTCATTGAGGAGTGTCATGTCCTCTCTCCCTCAAGACTTGAGCTTTCGTCCCCGTTCTTTGTCTGGAGTGAGAGATGTCATAGAATCTTGTGAGTGTCAGGCTCGTTCTCGATGCCATTGGAGGAACTGAAACTTTGCCCACAGACCGACGTGCGCAAGAGTACCTAACAGATTCTATCTCTGCGTCCGCTTCTAGCACGTCAGACGACGAGGCTTTTCAGGAGCCTGAGGAGCCAGTGTTTGAGGAGAACGAGCCCGAGATCACTTTCACTCGCGAAGACCAGCCTTATGATGGCGTAGTGAGCAACCTCCAGTGGGACGAAGACTTAACATCAGGTCCCTCGCAAGTAGGCCGCGTGCAAAGCCAACGGTTTCTCGTGCCAGGACCGCGTCGTCAACTCACTCGTGCTTCTACGACCTCGATCGCAATTCCTACTACACCTACTCCAACAGCGGAGGAACGCACGCCTTTGCTGAGCGCATCCCCTGTCGAGTCTTATGTTGTCAACGCAGTCGATCCCCCGGCTGCAGTGCAAACGACCTTAAATGTTCAAAGTGCTGTTTCTAGTCTAGTAGCGCGCAAGCCCTCCCAGCGGAGCATGCGAGCAGGGAACACGAAAGCACCCACGGGACACAGCACATTCGGTCAAACAGTAAATCAGTTACTTCATGACGCGTTTGCGCGAATTTCTCATGTGACAATCTACAGCTATTCAATGCCATTGCCATCTTGTTAGGCATAGGCATGCTATCCGAGCCATTGGCATTCGCCTTCGCCGGTTGGATTGGTGGTACAGCGATCATCATCTCCTACGGCTTGATCACCTGCTATACGTAAGGCTACTCTTTTGCATTAGTTTGCTGGATATTTATGTTCGGACATCGCAGTGCCAAGATCCTCGCCCGTATCATCTTGAGTGATCCCCGTTTGAAGTCTTACTCGGATATCGGTCGAAAAGCTTTCGGTCCTCAGTCTGGCCCGTGGATCAGCGCCATATTCTGTCTGGAACTGTTTACCGTCAGGTCAGCACAGGTCTTATGTGCTTGCGCTGAGACTGATCCCCTATTCTACAGTGTTGCTCTAGTCACATTATACGCAGACTCACTGCACGCTGTGATGCCTGCATACTCATCGAATACCTACAAGTTACTCGGTTTGGTGATGTGCGTCTCCATTTACCCGTCAAACAGCGTCGTCGATTTCTAACACTTCCGTGCAGTTTGATTCCGACGATGATCCTTCCCTTGTCTGTTCTATCATATACCTCCATCATTGGTATCATCTCGACACTACTTATCATTGCAGTCATCCTCATCGACGGGTTCTCCAAACCTGATAGCCCTGGTAGTCTATGGAGCCCTGCCGAAACAAGCCTTGGCATTCGTGGCGTAGGGGAATTAGGCCTGTCGTTCGGACTCTTCATGGCTGGTGTGAGTCGGTTATCATCCAATTTGACGTATACCTTGCTCATTTATTGGAGTGCAGTTCTCTGGACACGCCGTCATCCCGTCTCTGGTCCGAGACATGGTTGATCCTACTCAGTTTGATGATATGATCACACAAGCCTTCGCTGTTGCTACTGCCATCTATGCAGTCATTGGGATGGCTGGCTATATCATGTTTGGCAATGCTGTGAGCGAGGAGGTGTGCGCGTCCCCTCTACAATATGTGGTCAGTAATCTTACCGTGAACAGTTCAGCCAAGATCTCGCGAAGTACAGTGTATACCCTGGTCTTAATGCGATCGCTTTATGGGGCCTTGTGTTGGCTCCTCTGTGAGTCTCCTTTTGCGTCAAAGCTATGACTGCGTTCGCTGACGTGCTTCTAACTAGCTCGAAATTTGCTCTTTCTACGCGGCCTGTGAGTATTTTGGTAGCTTGCTGATTTGGAGGTATGACCAAAGGTTTTTTGTTTAGCTCAATCTCACGATTGAGATGATGCTCGGCATTGAGACCGGCCCCATTTTCGCCGATGACCATGGGGCGAAACCCACCTCTCAGGACATGGAATCAGCTGTCACCAACACCAAGGGCGGTCGAACATTGAACCACATCTTGACTGCCGTTGAACGTGCCTTATTCACGCTGTGCTCCGTCGTGGTGTCGATTTTTGTGCCGGAATTTTCTTCCATGATGGCTTTCCTCGGTGCATTCTCCTCATTCTTGCTGTGTGTCATTGGACCCATCTCCGCGAAGATTGCCCTTGCCCGACGTTGCGGTTTCTGGGACGGGTTCCTACTCGTGACTGGGGTCATCATGGCCGCATGGGGTACGATTGCGGCATTCTGGTCGATGCAGTAACTCTTCCTAGACTTACGATGCCCATTCACGATCTCATGATACATATAATGAGAAGCTGAAGACACATGTATACAGATGGCGCGGTGTTGTGACGATGTCGCTGTGTGTACAACATGACACGAACAATGGCATTTTGGTTTGTAGATTATACTGTTTGTGCAGCATGAGCAACAACCTTTGTGAGCTCTGCATAAGCCGTCAGCAGTAAACAAATGAAGTGAACCACGAGAAGGCATACGGGATAACTGAATGTTCTCTTGGACCACCGTAGACTCGATGTGGTTATCAGGATTGCGTGGGACGCTAACAATCCCAGTGGAAGGATCAATGCTCCAGCTGATTTTCTGGACATATGCGGCCAAATCGTCCTCTGCATCGCGGCCGTCAGAGCCCTGATATTCCTGGTACAGTTAGGGTAGACTGACCTGCAAGGTCAAGATATGTCCCCAGCCGTTCGCTGCTTATCCGGGTAAATGCAGCCTTCACTGCGCGGATGACTACGTCTCGCACGGAATTCTCGAAACCCACACACTCGACAGTGTAGTTGTCCCGCAACGACTCGACTTCGTCAGAACGGTACATCGCCCAGAAGGCCGGGAAGCGACATTGTTGTAGGAGGTTGTGAAGCGTTGTAAGGGTGGGAAGGAGGGAAGGAAGGGGATCGGGCTCGTCTGGGTTTGTGTTGACGGGGCGTTCGTCGAGGAGGGAGATGCAGAGGTTGAAGTCGGGGAAAGGCGCGGAGGTGAGGGCTTTGATGAGGATGTTGATCACAACATCGGCATTGTACAAGTCTGGGTTGAACTGATATCTGAAGTAGGTGCCCATGTCAATTGTCCGTAGTATGAAGTCAGTGCGATCACGCACAATTTCAGAATGGCAAGGTTGGCGAGACAGTCATATTCTTCGCTCCGGATCTGGTGGTAGAGATAGTCCTCTAGAATGCCTACATTGTTGGGGTTGTATCTGTCTGTACGTCGCAAGATAAGTATTGTATCAGAATCGGTAAAGAAGGCAAGATGCGCACCGACTCCCGATACCAAATTCTCGATTAGCGGCGTGCGTGTGGGCGGCGAGGCCCAGGTGGAGGCGACAGAAGGCATATTTTCGAGTTCTACTGCAGCTTTGCGGGCCGTCGGATTGAAATGGATGTCTTGTGAGATGCAGTCGCCAAAGGGAGAGTATGTAGAAGGTATTGGCAAGGTGGATGCAACTTTTTGCGGCAGTAGACGCGCATGAACGGGAGATCGAGTGATCGACGCGTCTGCCGGTGGCACACCCACCTTTTCCTTCCACTTCGTCCATGGAGGACACCAATGGTCTCGACGTCTTTATCTCTTCCGACGCACATCTACAGGTGCAGAACGCTGGACAGGCCGAGGTCGACTCAAACGTCAAGACGAACGGCAGCCCAGTAATCTCTCCCGCGTCCCCGGAGCCTTGCAAGCCATCCCCTCAAAGGGAAACAGCTTACAAACTTCGGCTCATAATGAGCGGGCATTCCAGATCAATCTCCTCTCTCAAATTTAGTCCCGACGGGTCTATGCTAGCTTCGTCTGGTGAGCACAATATCCCACCCAAACGCCTAGTCTCTCATTCGCGTCGTTCGGAAGCAAGCTGCCGATAAATTAATCAAGATATGGGACATTGAAGGAGGTGCTATCCTGCACACGCTCGACGGGCACACAGAGGGTATCTCTGACATTGCGTGGTCGCCCGATGGTGAATTCATTGCATCGGCCTCTGACGACAAGACCATCCGTCTTTGGAGTCTTGAGACAGTAAGGAATGATGCATCTGTATGCTGTTCGTCTCGTTGAAATTCAATTGGATATGTCTGGATAGATATCTACAGTCAAGGTACTGAAGGGGCATACAAACTTCGTGTTCTGCGTGAACTTCAATCAGAAGTCGAACCTGTTGGTGTCGGGAGGGTTTGACGAAACAGTGCGTGTATGGGACGTTGGGAGAGGTATGTCTCTCTGTGCAACTTGCTACATTACCTCATGTTCCATAAGGGAGGACATTGAAGACACTACCGGCCCATTCTGATCCTGTCACCGCTGTCGTATTCAATCATGACGGAACACTTATTGCGTCGTGTGCAATGGATGGCCTGATGTGAGCGAATTTCCTGCGCAGACAGATCGTATTACTGATTGTGGAGACAGTCGTATCTGGGATGCGGAGTCAGGACAATGTTTGAAGACCCTAGCCGACGATGATAATCCCATATGGTACAGTCAGATACGTAGAAGTCTTGTGGATGCCGCTAACCCGTTCGTCGTAGTTCTCATATCAAGTTCACTCCAAATTCACAATTCATCCTTGCTTCCACACAAGACTCAACCATACGCCTCTGGAACACGCAAACATCGCGATGTGTCAAGACATACACAGGTCATACCAACAGGACTTACTGTCTATCAGCAGATTTTGCTCCAGGAGCGAAACACATCTGCAGTGGAAGCGAAGATATGAAGGTGTACATTTGGAATCTGCAAACAAGGGAAGTGATTCAGGTCTTAGAAGGTCACAGAGGTACGTGTCTTGATTCGGACATGTTGAGAAATCTCACCAACTCCTATCTCATGCTATTAGATGTTGTAATCGCTGTTGCGGTATGTTAGGTTGTCGCTGTCCTAAGCTTTACGCTTGTGCTAACGATGTCCAGGTACATCCGAGAAAACCTATGATTGCTTCGGCATCCATGGAGAAGGATCTAACGATCCGGGTATGGATAGACGATTCGTTGTAGGCCTGAGAATTGTAGTCATCTATGTATCACTATATCCACAGACAGAACTCCACTGGATTCACTGCGCATTCTTAAGCCATTGTGGCAAGTATTGAGCAAGGCGGTACCGCGCACGTAACTTGAAGGCAATACATTAGTATCACGTGACCGTGTATCCATATAAACGCGACTCCGGATCGCGATCTTAGTAGCAGGCACCTCGCCCATGTTTCTTTTACATTCCATCTCTCTCGTTCATAATTAGTGTGTCAATGAGAGAAAAAGTCATCGAAGTCATCGACGTCGATGCGTACGGCTCTGACGTCGAATTTCGGGGCATGTATCGAAATAGGAAGCAGGCTCGAGATTTTGTAAGCAAGTCCTGTGAACATATTTCGGATGCAAAGCTCTACTTACATGGTAAAGGATGATATGAGGACCAGGCTCCAGTCTGGCCCTAAGGTCATTAGTCTAGTCTCAGACTCAGACGACTCAGACGAAAACCCGGAAACCACGGCATCTAGTTCTGCTACGCTCGAAGTGCGCGATCGACATGGGAAGCCTCAGGTGCCCTCAGCAGTACAGAATGTAAGAACGCTAGCACTCATATTGTTCCGGGTGTGCCTACCTATTCCCAGCGGCCAGCTCCTGCAAGAATGAGCATGCAACCAGGTTCATCACGGATTGCAGAGGTCAGTATGGTCATGAAGTGATGCCATAGCTATACTCGAACACGACTCTCTCTTCCATAAGATGCGTCCTCACAAACGGCCCGGGCCAGATCCTCCTGCTAATGCGATAACGCCACCTCCCAAACGTCTTCGACCGGATACCATCATGCGAGCTACACGAGAGACTCGCATTGCAGAAAAGCGGTCTCATGTTTCCACTGATCAGACGACGTCAAGCGGTGACTCGGTACTGGAACGCACCCGAAAGGTCTGTTAGATTACTCCAGAACCTGTGTTCACGCTCACATAGTGCATTGAGAGAGTCAAACAATCTCCGATAGCAGAAGACTACTACGAGATGAATCTCAGATCTCCATCACAAGCTCTGGAACAACAAATAATGGATAGAGATATGGATGATAAACTCAACTCCATAGCGCCCTCCCAGGACGACGGTGAACAAATTACTGATGATTACCAGTCATACCATAGTGCTCTTGACATAGATACGAACGCCAACGTAAGTCGTATCACAGAAGGGTTCCCTCCATTTTGCTAAGGCACTATCTCCAGTGGAAGTCGTTGCCCAAACGCAAGCCATTGCTTACGTTCGCGAACGGAGGCGAGGACTTAGAGCTTGCCTTGAGATTAGCAACGCTATCTGTCGCACCTTCATCCGCGCCCTACTCAGAAGCTAAGAAGAGGGTAAAGGGGCATGTCGCTATCAAAGACTTCGGCACCCCTTCGTATGCCTCCTCGGGACTTCGGGCAAAATCTCAACGAGAGCTTATGTGGGCGCGCGTAAGTTGCGTCTTCTCATTCCTAGCCGTCCTTATCGCAATGTCGCGACTCAGCTGCGCAGAGGATTTATTCATGCCGACAACCGTACACATCACCAGTTCTCCCTCTACCACGGTCTGAAAAGCAGTCGTACGCTAAGGGTTGCCCCCGATAGTGCGTCCGCAAACAACGTATCTCGATGTGATGAACACATAGGTATATAGCGATCAACAAGATTCATCAACACCACGGCCTTATTGCGATTGCGAGTTGCGTGGCAGGTGGCCGAGTCAACGACATTCTCGGTAGAGTGATTCCTCTGGATCACGGATATCCAATTGAACATCCGTAGACCATAGAACTGCTCCGTACAACCGCAAAGGAAACCTGGTATTGTGGCACGAAGGCACAGGCAAGTGTTATGACTTCGGTCAAGAATTCTGCAAAGCTCATGTGTTGTCAAGGCCATGTTTTAAAAGCTCATAGACGTAGTAATAGTGAGCTCTTTTATCAATCTCATTCGCATGTGTAACCACCATATCTGACTGATATGTACAGATACTCAGACGCACTATTACAATGTAAATGATATCCAGTGGCAGCCCGTGGCGTGAGTTGAAGCTGCTCTTTCGTTCTGCAAATCCCTGTCAATGGTTTCACAGCCCCTATCGACTGGTGTCTTCAGGGGCCGACGGCACCGTCCAAATTTGGGACTGCGAACAGCTGAAAGAACGACGTAAACCAAAATTAGTGCGGTCAAGTGAGTCGTTGTGCTTCTCTAAGATGCATGTCATTCACCATTTGAGCGAGTCAGCCAAGCTTGATTGTGAGCCATCTGGACTGTCCTTTAAGTCTCAGGACCCGGTTTTCGCTGTTGAAGGGTCGGATGGGTACGTCGCTACACCCTGAACTTACGAACACTTCATCACGGAAGCGGATCGTATAGGTATATCTACATTTTTAGGGACACTCCAGGTTCTTCTAATGCTCCGACGGGGTTACCTCTGGCACCCGATATTGGACATCAGACCATTAATTCGATATGGGGACAAGATGTCTCATCACACATCATTTTCGCTTCGTCAGCTGCTCATGATGGAGATGATTATACGGGCTACCATAAAGCATTTGATGTGAAGAGTGGTAAACAAGTATGTGAGTTTGATGCCAATGAAGCCGCACAGAAGTTGGCAGTTGACAAGACTGGTACGTGGCGTGACAAAGTACTGCATTTTCATATTGACTAAAGCTATACCCTTTTGATCAGGACATAGTCTAGTAATTGCCACAGAAGCATCGAAAAGTGACCATTTCCTCAGGCAATACGACGCACGGCGGCGTCTTAAGCGGACACAAACAAAAGTCGAGTTGCAACCGTTTGCAGGTGCAGGTCGTGCAGAGGTCAACCAGCTGTCATTTAGCCCAGACAGCGTCTACATTGCTGTCGCACGGTCAGACAATATGACGCACATATACGACAGTCGTTTTCTCAGTCACGGACCTTTACATGTCTTTGTACATGATGGAGAGCAGCAGACCGCTGAGGATTCGTACGGTATTGTTGAGGCACAGTGGGTTGAGGGAAAAACATGCGGATTAGGGCTAGTGACCGGTGGCAACGATGGTGAGATAACAGTATTGTTATTCATCTTTGTGCTTATGTGATTCTTAGGTATGGTGAGACTGTGGGATATTGGCCGAGCATCAGATGATCCATTGAACGGTACACCGCTAGTTTCGCTTCAGAACAGCATTGCACATTTCACCCTTGGTAATTTAGATGAAGATGAGGTGCCGTTGGTAGTGTGAGCTTTTGATGCATACTTCTTCGGATAAGCACATGCTGACGGACATGCACGACGCAGGGGCGACTCATCGGGATGTGTCACAATCCTAGATCGTCCGGGAGGGATATTGCCTGAATAGCCGTGATAAACCCTACGCTTCACCTACGCGATGCCACGTCGCTGTACCTATAATATGTTTGACAACAATTAGTAACTTAGAGCCAGTACTCAAGTACTCAAGGTCCATTCTTTCCGCGAGGTACCAAGCGAGTTGTCGGAGACATTTGTTATGCCATGGGCCGCGATAAATCAATATCATACAAGTAGCTGGTCATACAGTCAATGCTAGTATGCCTATTCGGACATACGACTGTCGCAGGGAAAGTTAGAGGCGATACTGCAAGCTTCGCGAACAATCTCAAGCGCGCCACCACCGCTGCTGCTTCCAAATGCGGTGTAACATAGGACCGCTACGCTGCGGCATCGCTGAGTCAACATTTCAAACTCCGCGTAGTCAGCCTATATAACCAGCCACGCGGTCGTATCATGTAACTACATCCTCTCTCTTCCTATCGCCACCTGCTCAACAACCACTCCCATCATGCAGATCTTCGTTAAGACCCTCACTGGCAAGACCATCACTCTTGAGGTTGAGTCGTCCGATACTATCGACAACGTCAAGGCCAAGATCCAAGATAAGGAGGGGTCAGTACCATTTCATTCCCTCTTGGTCCGTACAGGACTAACAATAGTTGTAGCATCCCCCCTGACCAACAGCGCTTGATCTTCGCTGGCAAGCAGCTCGAGGATGGGCGCACCTTGTCAGACTACAACATCCAGAAGGAGTCCACCCTTCATCTTGTCCTTCGCCTTCGTGGTGGTATGCAGATCTTCGTGAAGACATTGACTGGCAAGACGATCACCCTTGAGGTTGAGTCATCCGATACCATTGACAACGTCAAGGCGAAGATCCAGGACAAGGAGGGTATTCCTCCGGACCAGCAGCGATTGATCTTCGCCGGGAAGCAGCTTGAGGACGGCCGTACGTTGTCTGATTACAACATCCAGAAGGAGTCCACTCTTCATCTTGGTATGTTCATAGCGTCGCAGATGATTGGCGTGTTGCTAACATTTTACAGTTCTCCGCCTTCGAGGAGGAATGCAGATCTTCGTTAAGACCCTCACCGGCAAGACGATCACGTTGGAAGTCGAGTCATCAGACACAATTGATAACGTTAAAGCGAAGATCCAAGACAAGGAGGGCATTCCTCCTGATCAGCAGCGTTTGATCTTCGCCGGAAAGCAGCTTGAGGACGGCCGCACCCTCTCGGATTACAACATCCAGAAGGAGTCCACACTCCACCTCGTCTTGCGTCTGCGTGGAGGAATGCAGATATTTGTCAAGACCCTCACGGGCAAGACGATTACGTTGGAAGTCGAGTCGTCAGACACGATTGACAATGTGAAGGCGAAGATTCAGGATAAGGAAGGTATTCCTCCAGACCAGCAGCGCCTGATCTTTGCGGGCAAGCAGTTGGAGGATGGGCGTACTCTGTCCGACTACAACATCCAGAAGGAGTCTACTCTTCACCTTGGTATGTCGCATTCACTTACGTGGGTGTACAATGATGCTCACAGCTTGTCCTTGTAGTCCTTCGTCTTCGTGGCGGCCATTGATCTGTTTCGTTGTCATACATTCTATCGACTATATGTCCCGGACGGCCTCTTATCTTCTGCACATGGTATCTGTGTTGTACATTACCTCAATGAGTCGTATATGACTTTCATGACTGGAATCTGACGAGGGTTGAGCGATCCTGGATGAAACATTTCCAAATAGTAATGGTACAGGTGAGATCGTTAACCCTATGTAGAATGGTCTCCCGCATCGTCAGCGCCGCCACTACTTGCGTGAGCTTTTCGCCGCCGCTTTCTTTTGTGACCACTACTCTCTTCAGGCGAACGAGACTGCTCTGCGAGATCACCATCTGTTCGTTTGCGCTTTTCTCCTATTTGATTTTTATGTTGTTCGGACTTGCTCTCCTTCGGCGCAGACGGAGGCTTAGCCTTCTTTTTCTTAACGCTAAGTGGATTGGGACCCTTCGGGCCCTTCTTCTTTAGCGGCTCATCAGGGACCGTCGATGGCAGACTTGCTATCTCTGGTGCAGATGGATGTAACGCTTTCTCCTCGACCTGCATCGAAGTGAGAGACCTGTTTAACAGCAGAACGATAAAAGACGTACAGATTCCTTGGCTTCGAGAGTCGCTTTACTTGGCGGCTCAAGTATCATAACTGAACGGTTGATGTGAACGATAGGGACGGCCGGTATTGCGCGCAACTTAGTTCGCAGCTCCTGAGATTGCGTCGCAATCACGTAACGGTGCTTGTTGGTCTCCCCTACTCCTGCTGTTAATCGGGAGATAATGGCGGTGATCCATGAGTGCTTGCGTACCGACGACACTCGCGAGGCAGTCGTCCCCTGGAATGGCTTCACGATGGTTACATTTTCGCCTCTCGAACGTCTTTGCTAGGTCGACTGCAGGCTGTTGGTCTTTCCCCTGCAAGTAAAGCTCATGTATGCAACATTGCGTGACCACTGAGCAGCGGCTTCGCCGGGCAATCAACCACTGCTCGGTTGGCACTGTGCGGAAGCGCACTCACTGGGTTTCACGGAGCCCTGGAGGACGATACCCAGCTGCTTGTTCAGCTCTAGCTTCTGTGCTATGGAGGCCTTGCACATCTCTGAGTCGACTGGGTTGGTAGTGATATTCAATGAGAGCTCTATCGGCGGAGGATGATCTATTGTGCTCACCAAGGACTTGGTAAGGCTGCCTGAAGCCGAAGGACATAGAGTACAGAGACATGAGCTTGCGGTATGCTTTGGCGCGCTTCTGCCGCATCTTGGATTGATTCAGACAAGGAGTTGAGCAGTAGTAGTATTAGCAAGGTGGTTATGAGAATGAGATGAGCCCGAGAAAATGGAAGCGCCGAAGTGAAATCGATCGCCTGTGTGGTCGTGTTGTGCGAGAGCCTGTAACGCGGCACCGATCAACCACGTCTCACTTATTCCTTCTCCGCACACTGCAATGCGAATCCCTCTCGGTCTGCTGGCTCTGGCCAGGTAGGATTCTCGCAACGCTAGAGAGCTTGTTTGTGCTAAGTTTACTGCTCAGCTGCTGCTACCCTGTTCTCGCACTGGACCTCAAGGGCCGAATACGCTGGAATGAGGTGTGTCCGGGTACGTCACTCGGCGTCGCTCTCGGAGCTGACGCTAATGCATGGAGAGTGCAGGAATTGGCGATCTGGGGCAGGCCAAGGTCGTCCTTGACAACGGCAAGCTTCGCGGAGGCGTGACGAGAGATGGGAGCTTTGTGATGTACGTCACCTCCCTTCCCTTATTATGCCCGACGTTGCGCACTGAACGCCATCCTAGCCCTGATGTCCCTGCAGGGACCTATGTCCTTTCAGTTGCTGCGCACGATCATGTTTTTGATCAGGCACGTAGTTGCCGGATGATAATGCGCACTTTGCTGAATGTCTACTCCGTATACAGCTACGAGTCGATGTTTTCGAGACCGAGACATTGCCAGAAGTCCGGCCGTACATTCCAGGGACGCCTCTCTCCCCGGCCGCTGTGGTTACTCTACCATACCCCATCGTACTCGCGCCGCGACAAAGGAACGATTACTTCGTTCCTCGCCAATCATTCAATCTCCTAGCCATGTTTCAGAACCCCATGATGCTGCTCATGCTTGGCATGGGCGGACTGGTTGTCGCAATGCCATACCTTATGGTACGTTGGGGTACAGCCAATGTCACCGTTGAATTATTTCTAACAATCCGCCATCGACAGAAAAACATGGACCCAGCCATGCTACAGGACTTTCAGAAGCGACAAGCACGCATCGGGTCTCTCCAGAGCTCCCTTCAAAGCGGTGATCTTAGTGGAGGGTGAGTGATCATTACATGGGATCGCGCAACACTGACGAAATATCTGTATAGACTGTCCGCGCTCATGGACACTGGTGAGGAGGAAAAGCCAGCGCCCAAGCAGACGACGCCGGCGGGCATAAAGCATCGAAGCGGGAAGGGCAAGAAGCGCTAATGCTCGTTTTGCCTGTAACCTATCAACTGTCTCCTGTATCATACCCCTGATCTTCTTGAACCTGTGTGGACCTGACGATATATAGAGCTCTCGACGGTGGCGACCTCGTGATTCTTGTCCCGCATTCATAGCAGAGGGCCCGGAAGCGTCCCCGCATCTTGAGATGCTATACGCCTCGTACCGTGCCCGATGAGCTCGTATGCTAGTCCTCCGGTACAGACTATGGCTGTCCCTGTGGTCCTGGTGCCGTGAGCTTCTGTTGTATCGTATCATCCATGGCGGCCGTATCGCCATACTCCAATGCCAGTCTGAGGACAGCGTTCCTAGGGTAAAGTGAGTGGAACGATAGTGCACGGACGGTGGTACATGACATACCGCTGTCTGAACCGAGTGAGAACTGCGCTGGGCGACATGTATTCATCTTCATCCATGCTATTCACGCAATTGAGTAGCGATTCGTATGAGGGGGGTAGGGCCGCACTTCTCCTCGGGTAGCACAGTGGTCTCTAGGATGTACATCTTCTCGTTTCTCCCCATGTCATCCTCCGCGGCTCTCGCCCCAGGGGGGCTGGTGACTCTGAGGCCTGTCACTGCGAGGTCAGACGACAGACTCTTGACTGCTGGAGCTGCGCTGCTGTTTGGATCATAGTCTATGATTAGGATCTGTTCGCCAGGATACTGAGGCAACAGGGCGTCTGCAGGGTCGTCAGCGTAGTGGTATTGGATCACAGGATGGCTTAGAGTTGTCGACGGGACGCCCGGTGCGTTTGTTGGTGCAGCACTGTGTGAGACGAGGATGTAATACGGTGGGTCTTCAGCATGTATACTTCTCTGTGTAGATTCGGGCATGCTGAGCATGGGGTCTTGAACAAACCAAGCGGGAGTGCGACACTGAAGAGTACACGCGCGCACGTGACAAACGCGTATGTGATCGAGACGAGTCGAGAAGGCCATCTGGGCTGCAGTACTACTCGTTGTCCATCTCCACCATCGTTGAAGTGCCTCAGCCACATATGCCCGACATCTCTCTGCAGCGCGTAGGTCGACGCTCGCCCCCACGTCGGTTCGCTGCTAGGCTGCCAATGGCACGATCAATCGATCCCCCTGGCGACAACCAGCTTCTCGCCCGACCCGCCTGCATATTTAACGCATATGGCAGCAGACCGCGCCGGCAGCAAGCTTTCTTCCTCTATCCAACTTTATTCTCCTCTGAGTCCGGGCGGCCTTTCCTTGCTTTCTTTCCTTCACCAGCCTTTCTTTTCACTTACACTCCTTCCCGCTTTGCGCCCGTCCGTCCGTCATGAACCGACTGTTGGTGTTGCTTGCTTTCGCAGCCGTGATCCTCAGCACCATTCCTGGTGGGGAAGCTGGGCTTGCGTATGCTCATCGCTATTACAAGAAGCATCCCCGCTCTCTGAGCATTAAGCTCGAGGAAAACATCCTCAAACCTAGAGGGAAGATTACTCGCAGATCCTGCCGTGCTAGGCCTAGGTGCGTATAATACGCTGCAACGTCCTGAATAAAACGCTGACTTGTGTCGCTGGCATGGCTGGTAGCTCCTCAATCATCGCGTCGTCCACGCAAGAGCCATCCTCTGCCATAGTGACGCCATCAGTGAATCCGCTAGCGATTTCATTTTCGCCAGACACACCATCTGTCACCCCTGCGGCGCTCTCCACAACAACTTCGACAACCAACACACCCCTTAACACCAGTAGTTCTACCACTGTATTCGTGCAAACGCAAGCCCAGGCTGCCACTACCAGCATCGTTCCGACCACTACCCAGGCCGAGACCCCCTCGACCACTGCTGCAGCACCCACACAGAGCCAGGCCTCCTCCTCTAGTTCTTCCTCTTCCGGCACATCACAAAGTGACATTGATCAATATCTTAACGATCAAAATACGGTCCGCGCGCAGCATGGCGCCTCAGCCTTCACATGGAACAATACTCTCGCGGATGCGGCGCAGAAGTGGGCCAACGGCTGTGTCTTCCAACATTCCGGTGGCACTCTTGGTCCCTACGGAGGTAATTTCACCGTGTATGCCCGTTGAGCTTCCATGACACCGCTCGTAGAGAATCTTGCTGCCGGCACGGGCAGCAGTTATGGCATTTCTGCGGCCATTACTTCGTGGACAAGCGAAGTTTGTGCGTATATAATGATTGCACCTAGTGTTATATCTCACGGTGATATTCATCAGCTCAATATAATGCGAATGACCCCGTCGCGTCGCATTTCACTCAAGTGGGTTTATCTCTCACCGCTCTCACCGCCCACAGTCACACATGTGCGTACAGGTCGTGTGGAAGGCTAGCACAGAGGTCGGCTGTGCTGTTCAAGATTGCAGTGGCATCTTCCCGGCCAGTTTCGGCGTGAGTGCTCCATTCTGCATGGGCTTCCAAGACGTTGGTGTAATAACCTTCGAACGCAGCTGGCGCAATACTACGTATGCGAGTATTTCCCCCAGGGCAACGTCATCGGGGAGTTCGCGTGAGTAGCAATTTGGTTAGTACACATGCCTGAAGTGACTGAATGCGCTGTTGCAGACAAAACGTGCAAGTGTAGTTCTGTGTGGATTTTGGCGGCGATGGTCGACAAACTTCTAACTTCTCTTTTTGACGCATCTGGAATGTCCAAACCTTGCTTTTGTACATTACTACTGTGCTGCGTAGGAATTCGAATACATGAAGGAAAAGCAAAACGACCACACGAACCTGTGAGAGCTGGCTCGTGTTGGTGGGGGTGTCTGCATGTGATTGTGTACCCCGCGTAATGTGGAGGCGCCAAGAGGTAGCTGGCTTCGCCCACGACACAGCGGATGTTCTCCAGGCCGCAAGGGATCCGGACAATCTGCTGGTTCCTCTACATCTCACTCGTCCTCGTAACGACATTCTTCGCTGCAGTCTCCTGTGCATTCCTCCTTTCTCAGGCCGTCAGGACCGCTCCCCACCACACGTGGGAGAAGAACTTCAATGCAGTAGTTATCGGTGCCGCGTATGCCATTGTGGTCAGTCGGCTATTTACCACTACAGGTCTGGAACACATAGGATAACAACGCTGTCTCTTATCAAAGTGTGTCGTCTCGCTGGCCGTTTGCCTCAACCGAAGGATTGCGGTACACCGGCGGCTGCAGAGGATCTCGAAGACCTATCGCATACTTGGAAGGGCTGATCTCCCTGACGTTAGTCCCGACAGCATTTAAGCACTTCCCTTCTGCTTCTGACTGGAATGTGCAGTCTGTCCACCGCTACATCCAGCAGGAGTACACGCGAGCGTGTCTGATAACCTACGAGTCGCAACCTCGGGACGGCTCTCGGGAGGGCTGGGGCAAGCCCGGTACGTCATTCTAGTCTGTGCAAGTCCCCATGCATTCAACGCAATGCAGGCACGAGCTACGCGGGCGTACGATTTCGCCCAGCGTTGCTGGACACCGTCCGTACAATCGGTGCGTTTACGTCCTACGTCCTGCGCTGCCCGCGACTCATACTGACAGCGGCTGGCTGCATCTCAGATGGCCTTGCCCACCTGATCATTCCCCACCATCCCGTCTTGCGCCCGCACGTCCGTATGCTGCACCACTTCCGCTTCATCCTGCCCCTCTTGCCCAAGGACGTGGACGGTCTCACACCCCTCCATACGTATGACGCTGCGATCCAGCTCGTGCGCTGTGCCTCCCGCGAACCGACTGAGGCCGAATTCGAAGCGGGCATGACTGCTTACGTGGAGATAAAGCGGATGTAAGTGGATGCGCAGCTCGACGTAAAGGGCGTCACTGATCACCCTTATGGGCACAGGCTGGAGGAGTGCCGGATGGAGATGCTCGAGGGCTCTAGCTCGGACCTAGGAAGCACCATATCGGCGGAGTTCTGATACGAGGTACGTGTTTGTTTGACGGCGCATACATATACCCTGGGAGTCAGACCCGTGTTCAGAGTATGATACCCTTATTTCCGGCCTCCGTGGAAGATTTGTGCCTCATGCTGCAGCAATACATTGCCCGGTCCCGCGAATGTTGTTCACCAAGCGCTGAATGTTAGAAGACTACCTTCAGGGATTCTAGAGCAAGTCGCGGTCTGAACCTTGTTAGTGAATGCGGACATCAAGACGCTCAGCTGTGGAAAGGAATATACTACATCGCAAGGGAGAAACTAATAGGACACGGAAGGCTATGGAACATGTAGTGTACAAGAAGAGCATTCCACGACGAGGCTAGTACAATACCCAGACTAATACCGACTCAGAGAAATCAGTGCAGACCCTCGGCGTACACCTTCTGCCAGCTGGGCCTCTCGTTCCATGAAGCCCAATACGCGACAACCTTCTCAGGGATCGGCTGCTTTGTCTCCTTCTCAAGTGCATTGATGCCGTCTTTGCCAATCTTCCCGCCCGCGATGTGCACAAGACGTGCGAGCCAACCGCCGAGATGGAAATCGTCCTCTCCGGGGATAGCACCTCCAAGGAACGTGCTTTCGGGCAGCAGAGACGGGAGGTCGTTGACAATGAACGCGGAGATGGTTTCCCAGTGCTCCGTGGACTGTTTGAAGAACGCGGCCTTGGCGTCTTCGGGCGCCTCGCCCTTGTAGATGGCGAGGACACTGCCGTTTGACGCGATCTTCTCTTCGTAGAACTGCTTGAAGGCAGCTGCCTCCGGTGTCTTAGAGTACTTCTCCAGAGCGTCCTGACCTGATTGATATACATGTGCTCAGTCTTTCTCATTCCTCCTATTCGAGATTGTTGTGTACACTCACGATTCTGAACAAAAGTCAAGGGGAAGCCAGATGAGGCAGCCTTCAGCTCATCCTCATTGCGCTGAATATGCAGAACGTCACCAAACACGACAGATATCTGTAGTTGCATACCACATACCACCAGAAGTAGGGGGAAGTTCGGGTCATATTTGTCCTCGTGCAGCTTGGCAATGAATTGGGTGCCGGGGATCACCTTCTTCTGGCCATGCTTCACAATCCAGGCCGTCACCGTCGCGGTATCTGTCAAGACCTTGCCATCAACCTGCAGAGTAGGGAGGGTCGCCTTCGGGTTCTGCAGCAGAATTTGTTAGTACAGGCATACATGCGGCCCATATTGAGACACACGAGGTGCAGGAATTCGGGCGTGAAGTTGGCACCCTCGACGAGATTGACAACCTTCTTCTCGATGGCGCCGCTAGGGTATCCAACCTCCTCACTGTGATAGTCAGCAGGATCCAGGGGGTTGTGCTCGAATAAACTGACACGGCTAGTTCTGGAACCGCGGACCAGACAGACAGACCGAAGACATAGAGGACAGCGGGCTGCCGCTTGGTGAACAACCGGCGGACTGGGGAGCTGACTTTGGACAACACCTTGGACATCGTGGCTGGAGATAGCCTGTTGGGATTGAGTCGCGGTCTTTATATATGCGCGGGGCTCGGCAGCGGAGAGTGTGGGTGGTGGGATAGAAGCGTCCACTTCACCTCTAACGCGTGCTCTCCATATAAGAAAGACATCAGATAATCACATTAACGATGGCGTGCCCGCAAGTAACCGCCGATCATGGGCTCGTCAACTTCGCCATGCTTGAGGCGAACAAGTAAGCCTCAGCTGCCTGCACGCGACGTTCAGGGACCCTACACTGCACCCCTAGTCAGCGAGCACGGGACAAATAGTGCTGCGGAGTTCACCATTTATGGCCAGCCCCTTTTGGTCGCAATGATGACAGTGGACATTCGGTGGTTGGATGTAACGAGCCTCGGCCAGAGCGCGTAGATTGCAAGACAACAGCATGCCTGCTGAGTACAGCCCCGGTCCCGCTCGGATAGTCGACATCTTTCTGATGCACAGGCGGACAATGCAGGCGGACACGGCAGGGGGCTTTGGGGCGAACGCAATAGTATGTATTTTCACAGCTTGAGCACAGCAACCAACCAACCAAGCACTACTACAGCACCACTCTAAGCGCGTGTATTGAACAACTCTATGCCGAGATGTCCCCAGAGCCCAAATAGACCGCTCAGAAGAGGAATACCTGCATTGGGGTTAGTGGCGCACACGCTATATGAATTTACACGGTACGTGCCTGATCGTCCAACTTGCTCACTGTCCGCGGAGCCGGGTACTGCAGCTCCTGGAGATGTTTTCTGCAGAGGATCAGTCAGGGAGCCGTGTGAACTAAACTCATGGCTTACTTCATTGCCGTCATCATAGACGGAGGGCCTGCAAGATAAGATAAGCGGTTGTGCAGACACGCGATTTAGACGTCGCAACATACCACACAACAAAATCTTGATGTCATTATGCGGGTTGGCTGCGGGCATATAGTTCTCGACCTGCGCCTTCGACACGAAACCCACTCCGCCAGTCCAACCCTCGGGTGGGTTGTTGAGGACGTAGTAAACGCGGAAGCGCTCCTTGTGCTTCTCAGCGAGCTCGTCCAGTTCTTTCTTAAGCAAGATGTCCTCATAGTTGACGTTAGCATAGATGAGGTTGATGTTCGTGTGGTCGTTGGGATTTTTCAGCGCGGCACGGACGACCTGGAGCATAGGCGTGATGCCGGTACCGCCAGCAATCATACCAAGGACGCGCCATGTCGACGGCTTGTACGTGAACTGACCCTTGGGGCCTTTCACGCGGACCTTGTCGCCAATCTTGAGCAGCGAGACATACCGAGAGATGTTGCCCTTCTCATAGGACTGAAGATCGAAGTGTGAGATGTGAACAATTAGCTACTAACTGAACACGACACACCTTGATAAGGAGGTCAAAGTGGCCTCTGTCGTCGTCGCTACTCGTAGGAGTGTAACTCCTCATGATGTCCTTCCCATTAATCTCAGCAGACACCGAAATGTGCTGGCCGATCGGCAGGCCCAAGACGTCATCCTCATGGGGAAGCGCAAACCGGTAGCTGTACATGAGTTAGGACATAACGACCTCGACGTCCAGCCCAAGGTACACTCACATTGCCGTGTTGGGCGAGATAGAAATCTTCTCCTTCAGCGGGAACTCCTGCCATACCTGCGGGTCCAAGACCGGCTTGCGCTCTAGCACAGTATTTTTAGTTGACGCTCGTGACGTGAAACCGATTCCGGACAACTCACTGGGAGCTTTGCCAAACTTCAAGTAAATGAATGCGCTGGTGGCGACCGCGAGCGCGAATGCAATGAGCTGGCCTGAGCTGTTACCCAAGAAGCTCGCGGGGCTGGGCGACGTGGAGTTGGAGGAGTCCATGTAGTCTTTCCGCGGGAGACCGATCAAGATCAAGTCGGATACGTAGTACCCCGCCGCGTTGAGCTTCGAGTTCACAAAACGCGTGAACGCGAGGAGGGAGGAGAAGGTGACGACGAAGGAGGCTATATAAGCTACCTGGTACCGGTTGGGCATCCGTGACCACGAAATCGAACGATTGGGATGTTGGGCGGATCAAAGTGGCTAGGCGCTCTGGCCAGACCTCTCTACTCACTGCTCATCACTGTGTTTCTCAGGTCTTATTGTGTAACGAATATCTCGTGCGCAGAGGCCAGAAAGAGCTTGGCAATCCGTCGACATCACCACCCGTAAGTAGCTCGTGAATCGCCATGCCACTCCTGTACTTCAGTGGGTCTTACTCGAAGTGGCGATTTTCAATCATTTGCATAATTCAGGGTCTGTCCATACTCTATCGAACGCGGCAAAATGTCAAGTGACCACACCATGAAGAACACTGTGCTGCGGCCCAGTTCGTGACTGTCATGATTCGGAAGAGCTTGAGATTGAGGCGAAGCAAGATGATGTTTACTCGAGTCCACGCGAGCTGGTCATCCTTGACCTATGAATGTATGCTGTATATATTGTGCGGGTTCATTTAGCTCTGTTTCTGCAGACTGGAGCGGGCCGGAGTGAGAGGCATGACAAGTGCAGTCCGTCATTGCCCTGAGCGTCAAGGCAACCCATATGGAGTCGGATCACTCATGAGGGATGATGGTCGTTACATCCTGCCGCGGATGCTAGCGGTGACAGCGGATAGATGCACCGAGCGCAGTGTAAAAGCTGCAGATCCTTTAGTCGCACCTATGCCATCCTGGGAGCACAGCAAGTCCGCGCTAGTCATGCATCAGCGATGTGTCCCGCACCGTATGCGATGTCATAATGCGGAACGCTGCGGCGACGCGGACTCAGGTGCATGTATTGATCGCTGCAAATTGTCATTAGCGCGATACATCCTTATTTCGTTGGATCGTCTCGCCACGTCGGCGTCCAGAGCCGTTCCGAAAGCCGCGGACAGCTCAGTTGCGCGCGCATAGTAGTAGCGCGGGGCCATGTCACGCTGTACTGTACAGGATTAGCGAGACATTGCACGCAGGTGTGGTGCAGAGCAGCGATTCTTGCAGTTTGGAGTTAGACGAGCCATTGATATGAACAAATGCACAGGGCTGACGAGTGAGAGAGAGGACAAGGGCATGCCGAGGTCGAGGACGTTGTCTGCATTTGCACGCGGGGAGCAATTATGATTAATAGACACACGCGGAGCGAGTCCGATGTTTGTGCGTTGCGACAGCACGTGACCGGGGACAAATAGAAGGATCGCAGATTGGTTCATATTGCCCGTTGCGCCTGCCCATGCCGTGTACGACCGCCTCTCTCTTCCCCCCTCCGTCCGACTGACACAACTGCCGGGGGTCATTTCGCTTTCTTCCCCCTCCTTTCTTTTTATTTGCTTTTCGTATACCTCGGAGGTTTCGATCCTCCTCTTTTGGCTCTTCATTTGCATCCTTCCAGCGCTCTCGCACACGCCGGCGTGTCGACTCAACCCAAAAGCATGGACGCAGCAACCCCTCGTCCACACTCTGCCCTCCAGGCGGCCACGCACCGTCGGAGAGGCCCCCCTACTTCTCTTCGCATCGACACCCCTTCCCAGAACCACGACATAGCGCTTGTGCAAGGCGAAGGCTCTGGCCCGATTTCAGCCCGTTCCTCTGCCACTTCTGACACCGAATCATTTATTCTTCCTTCCCCCAGCAAGTCACGGTCATCCAAGAACATGAAGAAGCTGTCCCTAACACTCCCGTCCGCCCAATCCTCCACAAACTCCCTCGGGCTCCCAACCGAGCTACCAGAGCCAAGACGACGACTTTCTGTCGTCTCTCTCCCCGCTCCTACCACTTCTACACTTCTCCGCAGAAGGGGTGAAGAGGACCAAGGGGCGGATAGCGCATCGTACGCAGATGGCCCAGTGCAGGTCATTCCAGGCATTTGGCTTGGTTCAGAGGACAATGTCCGCGACTGGCGAGGACACATTCATCGTGGCATCAGGTCAATTCTCAATGTTGCCAAAGAGGTTTCTACTGTATTTGATCTGGCTCGGCCACTGCGTCCAGCCATGTCGACTTCAGATCTGAAGGCTGGAGCGAATGGTATGGACCCCACATATTACCCTGCCAATGTTTCTAGTGGGCGGCCAGCCATGCATTATCTCAAGCTGCCCTGGTCGCATGGCCAAGCGGATCTCGTACATGAGGGCTTTCCCGCTGCCATGGCGTTTGTGGACCAAGCCCTTGAGCGTGGAGATGGCGTGCTCATTCAGTCAGTTCTACATACTTGTTCCGTGAGAAGCTGATTCGATCTCACGGTCATTATAGCTGTCAATGTGGAGTTTCGCGCTCAGCGACACTAGTAATTGCCTTAGTCATGCGGGCTGCAGCCCAACGTTCGCCCAACGTGCCTTCAGAAGTGTGGAGTCTGAAGGGCATGCAAGGCGCTTATTCCTTCGTTAAGGAAAAAAGCAATGCAATCGGACCTAATATGTCGTGAGTCGCAGCACTATTACCCAATCGGGCATGAATTCACGTAGTATCGCAGCCTTATTTATCAGCTGTTAGACTATGAGAGGGCTCTCAAGCCTGATGACAGCTCCCCCAACTCGTCGGATCAATCACCGTCCGAGGAAGAATGGGGGAGACGGCGTATGGTCATGGAAGAGACGTCCCCTAACAATGATAGGGAAAGCGTGGAGATCATGCGTGAGGCCAGAGCACTTGATCAGGCCATGGAAGACCGTCTGGTCGCACGGATGTCTTCTGCGTCGTCCCTAAGCTCTTTCAGTGGAGCCTCTCGAAGATCTCGGTTGGGACGGAAACGGACCGGATCCATAGCCAGCGTCATGACGGGGACGAGTCTATTGAGCGAAGAGCTCGTCGAAGAGGACGAGGAGCAAGAGTTGCTTGGGGTGGGTGGCGGCTTCGACGGCACGAGCGTTGAAGCCAGCTGCTCAAGCGCAGAGCCAACAGAAGACGAGGCAAGCAGCACGTCACGCATCTCGCCGGATCCATCTTTCCGTGGGCAGCTGCCGTCTACTGCACGACAACGTCTGGACGTCCGCATGCCTCCTTCTGCCCCCCACGACAGGTCATCGTTCCCTCTACCTCCGCCGCCGGCGACGGCATTCAAGGCCTCGTTCGACATTCCCTCTCGGCTATCCAGATTGCGTCGCCGACCCCCACCCATTGGTATCCTCCCTCCTGTTCCGTCCTCACCTGTCGTCCCTATCAACGTTTCCGAGCCTGTCGACCCGGCGCCCGAGCCTGTATTTCAGCGTCGTCCCCGCACGGCCGCACGGAAGCCTGATCCTCCCTCTGCCAGCCTTCGCACACCAAGGAGGTCGCAGCCTAAGACGAGGCCTGTCTCCATGGTTTCAACGCCGTCGCAGACGCTCTTCGTGTTCCCACCTTCGCCAACGCTGACCGCTCGCACGCCATCTACGATGACTCTGACGTCCAATGCCTCAGTGCCTTTCCCATCGCTGGCTACTCCGCGCGTCTCGACGTTCAAAGCGGAGGGTCGACGGCGCTCCTTCATTGGCGTTCCGCCGCCCACAACGCCGACTGTCGCTTCTTCCCGTGTCGACGCTCGAGGCTGGTTCGGCACGGCACGTTGACATAGGTGACAGGCCCTATGTTGTATGTTCTCGCATGCTCGGTCCCGCACGGATCATCTCGTTCCTCGCACTTTATCGCCGCATTCTCGATCACGCTTCGGACTTGTCCACTGTTTATGTAGCCGCACACATGAATCCCGGAGTTTGGCGTTCATGCTTTGCAGTATCTTATTGCGCATCGCATAATTCTTCACGTACTTATGAAGCCTGGACTTCGCATTGCATCTTTCGCGCTGTATTATATCCGCACGTTTCCTCGTCTGGCTCGCTTGCATTCTCGCATCTTCGACTTTCGGTCCCCCGTGTCGTTAGTGTACGTACCGCATTTTGGCCGCTCCGCAGAGCGGACGATGAGCAAAACAAGTAAATAGAACAGATATGTCCAAAAGAGAACCTCCAACGTTCAGGGATGGGGAAATGCGTGACGATTATGAATACAGAAGCATAACGTATGATCACTTGAACACTCGACCAACACTGTTCTTCACTACGCCTGTCAATATGGAGCCGCCGATGCCACCCATGCCCATACCCCATCTTGACGAGATGGTATCGGCCGCCCACTTTTGCTTCGCATCGCGATCGCTGTGGAGTAGAATGCCTTTAATCAAGTGTGCAGTTATCAGCTGGCAAGGACACTCACGCGAATGTGAATGCAACAGCATTGGACACATTGAAGCCCAGTGCAACCAGCACAATTGGGATGAATCTGACAGCCATGTATTCTTGAGCTGATATATGAACGAGATCACCAATCACTTACGAGACGTTGAACTTCAGTATCGAGACGATGAAGAGCGCTAGCCATAATAGGGGGAATGCGTACAATGCAATCTGTATTGGAGATTGGCAATTACGCATCTACAATCAAGTGGTTTTGCCTACCCAAAACATTCTGCGGGAGTGCGATTAGCAGTGACAATGAACATGTGTGAAACAGCACTTACTTGGAATCGATAGGGTTCGCAGGTCGCGACGGCTGAAATAGAAGAAATGTCAAAACGCATCGGCCATACGGAAGACTAGGCACTTACATCTCGGCTCTCAAAGACCCAATGGCTTTCGCCGTCTTCATCGACCTATGGAGCTGTGCGTGAGGAGGGTGATGGACGTCGGATACTGATATTGGCGAACCTGGTTCCAGTATCTCAACCCAGCCAGAATCCGCCCGGCTACATTCTGGGTGTAGGTGGTATCGTCAGACCGCATATAAGCCTATCCACGCGTTGTAACCCACTCTGCAGTTCCAGAAGTCCATCGCGAGCAACACGACTACAAGCACTGTCTATGAACGTGTACAGGTCGGTCAGATTGTACCACACATGGGTTGTAGACTCACCGACAGGACAAAATTGCTTGTGAAGAATCCGCAGAACAAATACACAGCAATGGCAGCTATGCGGAAGAAGTATAGGCAGAAGAGTGCCAGCGGATGAGCTGACTATCGGCACATCGTAAGAACGCAGCCACTCGAGGAATCTCGCAGCATACTTGTCGGAATATACCCGCTATGCCTAAGACGCGACAGAGTATGAGATACGCTATGTACTGAGATATGGTACACAAGACGACGCACCAGACTCTGCATCGTTTTCGTTTGTTGCCAGTGGCTGCGACGCGGTCGGGCGAGCACCTGGGGTAAGGACGACTGCCGGGGACTTCGATGCAGCCTGAGCATTGATGTTGCCGGAAGGGGCCTCCTCGATGAGCTCATCAGGTTCTATAGTTTGCAGGAGCGGTGTCGACACGCTCATTGTCGTGGTCGAATACCCAGAGAACGAAGACAGGCAGGTATATAGGGGACTGCGTACACGGTACAGCCTGGTCGAACGCCGTGATCGGGTGGCACGTTCACGCCCTCTCTAGGCGCTCATTTCGCCGCGGTGACCATGGATGTCCCCAACATCATACCCGACGGCCAGCAGCCCACAGAGACGACCGCCTTGCTGCAGAATAGGAGAGAAAGTCGCAGCATTACTCGCACGATCCGCCCGTCGCCTCCGCTCCCGCTCGTACAACCTGTCCTCGTCCAGATCGAAACCAAAGGCATCACCTCTTGTCTCAGCAGCGATTTTTGTCCGTATGCTCTCCCTAGTCGTGCAGCAGAGACTGCCTTCGCTCTCACCACTGTATTCTATCTGCGCCAGCGCTTGTCTCATCTATTTACTTCGCGTTCTGATGTCTGGGAACAATGGTCGCGGGAGCAGCAGAGGGCCGAAACACTTGACTACCTAGATGTAAACATCTGTCGGCTTTGGTCTGACTTCCTCGTTGAAGACCGGTCTGCGGAGGATATTGAGGATGTGCTGTGGCAGTCATTTCCCTTCAACAACGACGGAAAGCAGTCGGATCGAGGTAGGAATGACAATGCTGTGACATTACCGTCGTCCTAATTGATAGATATTGATAGTGGTCGACTTCCTGCGCAAGGACGATGCGCCGCATGAGCTGCTCGCTCATCGACTCGTTCATTTGAGTCTGCTGAGGACGTGGACGCACGGCCGCGCCTCAAGGTGGGACGATGTATCACTTACTGCGCGGCTTCTCCGCAGAGTTGACGCAGCATGCACTCCAAGGTTGGTGCTCATTTATGGTCGATGTTTCCCATGTGCTGAATAGCATGTTTCAGAGTTCTCCACGCCATGGACTTGTCGTTCCTGCTCGCATATCTTGCTATCCTGGCGCATTATCTGATACTCCCGCCCTCAACAGTGTTTGCTCCGCCTCAGCTCCCGTCTCCAGATGTACGGGAGATTTTCATGCTCGTCTACTCGTTGACCAAACTCCTACGATCATCCTCGTTATCCGCCACCCCATACGCCTTGGTCGTGGCTGCATTCTTTACACACTTACCGTCCGTTCCCCTTCCGGACGACTTTGCATACGCCATATTACTCTTCGCGTTCTCATGGGTCATCGTTGAGTTGCACGTCCCTCATTATCCCACGCCGCTCTACTTCCTTCCATTCGACAAGGTCCTACCACTCATGATCCTCATCTGGCACGGGGTATCTCGCATATTTGTCCCCGTGCTCGTGTTCTTCCTCCCTGCGATAATCTTGTCGCTGTTTCTTCTGTCTACATCGCTATGGGATATGTTTCCACAAGGGCTCGCCTCGATTCAAGCAGTACCTGCACCCTTGGAGGCGAGGATGGGCTTCTTGTTGCTATGCTCCCTGCTGCTTTTGCTGTTACTCTTATCGCTTGGCATACTGGTCCTCACGTACCCGAGTCTCTCGTCCAAATCGTCCTCAAGCACTTGGGACCGGTACTCGGGTCATATTGGTATGGAGGCGCGACGAGCCTTCATCAATGTCGTCGTCGAATATTCGGCGCCATTTTACTTCCCACCTCCGCTCAACATCCTTCAATCACTCGTGCAGCTTCCCGCCAAGCTTGGAGCCCGTTCAAGGCACAAGGAGCGGATTGAGAAGGCAAAGATGGTTGAAAGAGGGGTTTGGCGGGTGAGCGTCTTGCCGTTGGCGTGGGCCGTAGGTGGACTATGGCTCTGGGGCCTAAGGCTCTCGTGACTCGGCGACATGCTGAAGTGTCTAGGTAGTTAGCACAGCCTTTCGAAAGACTTGTAGCCATGTCTAAGTAACGAAATCCAGTCGGGATAAAATATTAATCTAAAGGCCTGTTTGATTCAGTTGCTCTTTCGGGAATAGCTGGGCTAGCTATACCATCATATGGTTAGTGCATGACGGCGGACAACGTACGTATATCTACACGCATTGCAAACGTTACATAGAAGCTGTGGGTGGGTGCGAATCTGTAGATCGGTTCATGATGTCACCGATCATGTTGAGAATCACAGTTGGGTTTTGCCGAGTTGCTTACCATCAGGTACCTGACTGCGTACCCCTGGCTACCATCTCGCTTTTCAGTCTGAGCACTAGCATCGACAGACACAAATGTTCCCGTGTACAGCACATTGACGGTAGTTCTTGTCCCCAATATCAGCAACGGCCGTAATTTGTTCATTCGACCATGAGCTCCAAAAGCCGCGCCTCCACCAGTCGTCCCACGAAGCGGAGAAGAATCGAGTTCGGCGCTGCTCGCGAGGATGATATACCCACACCTCAAGCGCAGGCGAGCGCGCCGTCGGCTACCGCGCTGTCCACGAGAGCGCTGCCCATTGTTCAGATTACCAACCTCGCAACGTTATGCGTTCGAGTGTTTGCAGACAACTTACGGAACCTGTCGGCAGATGAACGCATATGGGAGTCCGTTCGCTCATACCTCAAAGCACTGCCGGACTCCCTCGCCTCGAGAGTGTTCAACGCACTCAAGTCAACGTGTCCGACGATCCTGAGCAATGGGTTCATACTTGCAGTAAGCTCTTCCCATGAGAACACTCACGGCGCAGGCTGATCTCGAGCACTCACAGTATTTCATCAGGGGCACCTCTATTGCCTTAGACAAGAGCTTGCTAGCAGGCGTCAACAAGCAGTCTATAGCGGCCGTCCGCGAATCTACATCGAGCAGAACTCTGCGGGAACTGCGTCTAAACGACTTCGAGAAGGAACCAGATAGCTTGTTTGCATCCGTGGTGTTAAATCTCCCGGCACTGCAGGTTCTCGTTTTGCGGTACTTCTTGTCTTCGGTCAGGAAGGAATATTCTTGTTTAACTGGTTCATAGCGGATGCACCAAAGTAGGCAACAAGACAACACAGGCGGTCGCCAAGACTTGTGAACGGCTGACGGCTCTCAACCTGAACTACACATCCGTGCTGCCCGCATACCTGGAAGAGGTGCTCCTTGCTTGTAAAGATCTTGAGGTCTTGAAGCTGGCAGGCATCCTCAAATGGGTCCGTCATATCGTGATGTGTACTACCGCGGAGAGTAACTTGTCCGCTCTAGTCCGATGCTGCGCTCGTCAAGCTATGCTCGACCCTGAGTAGTCAGAAAGACTTTGAACTTTCCTCACTACGCTCAATCAAACTGCGTCAATTACCTCTCAGCGACACCGCTTTGACGCCCTTGTTCGCATTGTGTCCAAACCTACGACGCGTCGACCTGTCATTCACGCTCGTCCGACATCCGTCCCAGTTATTAGCCGGCCGAAGTCTCGAAAAACTGTCACTAACCTCTACAAACATCACTGGCACAGAACTTCTTGCCACGGTTTCTGACAAACACGAACTGGCGACCTTGAACATCGCCGCCCTGGGAGGAGGACAGGGATCCTCTGCGGCCATCTCGAATTCGTCAGCCATGAGCATGACCGACCAGGTGCTCCGCGACCTAACCGATATCCTGGACGACTATCCTCGTCTAGAGCGCATCAATCTAGTCGGCAACACGAAATTAGGGATGGTTGGGAAGCGTGACGGTCCTCTCGAAGACTTCATATTTAGAGTGGGGAGGAGGTGTAAGGTCTGTTGTTCTGCCATTCCGCGTATGCAATCTGTGTAATTATTGTTGCTGACGAGGAGCGTAGATACTGAACCTAGCAAGACTTCCGTCCTTGAAATCAACAGACCTTGAGGGTCTGGTGTGGAACGGTCCGCCCGAGGAACCCTCGCAGCTTCGCGTCTTGATTTTGAACCAGACGGCCGTTGACGATCTAGCAGCAGCATGTATATCAGGTTGTCCGTCACTGGAAATGCTGGCGGTTGGCGGCACGCGATTTACCAGTAAGCACCCCATACGAGCTACATTGTCTCTTAGGGTGCAGACTGATGTATCCTGTTATCTCGGATGTACGCAGGTACAGGGCTGTTCCAGATTATCAATGCCTGTCCGAAGCTACAGGAACTCGATTTGACAAGTTGTCGCGGCGTGAGGGTCGGCGATCGCCGCAGATTTTTTGAGGTCAGAACGCACGGCTGGGTCAAACAAGTATGTAGCTGAAAAGACACCTTCATAGGTCTGGGAAGAAGAAGAGGAAAATAAGTGACGTAAATATTGCTCACCGATGTCACTCTGAAGAATGTGAAGAAGCGATATGGCACTGAACTGTCGCGTCTGTTGCTTTGCTATATGGGGTTCAAAGCCCGACTTCCCTTGAGTCCAAAGCTGCTGATAAGAAGGAATCTCGTAGCTGGATATGAGCGTCGACACGCCAGGAGACCTACGCTGCGATTACCGGTCAGCAAAAGTCTAGTATTGGCGGTTGAGCTGACACGGAACGTCAATAGGGCAAAGTGCAACAGAGGAATCATCCACCACACGGCAACAATTTATACGCATGCAGTTGCCACTGATGTTGCCTCTCCTTCGATTGTGTGCATACTCTCAGCGCACAATGATGAAGGCGCTAGTCAGGAGTGGCATCCGCCACAAACGCGTCAGTCACGTGGTAACATAGATATGCCTAAAAAGGCAAGTGTTATTCTCTTGTTGTCACCTCGGCCAAGTGAAGCCTCGCGCTTGTATTCCCGATGGATCCAAGTGATGGACAACGACGCGCCCGCACAAATAGTTCCATCCTTTTTCTTCACTCTCACCTTCACCACCACTATCCACCGCATCCTCTCCCGACACGATGGAAGACACAACTATGTCATCTATCCCTTTCCCTCAGCAACCCGCCGAGGACGACGCCACATCCAATGCTGTTGATGCGCCACCCAGGCTGCACCGAATGTGGACGATAGGATACTTGTATGGGAACTGGGGAGACGAGCCACATCGCCCGACAGTGTTCTACGAAACACTCACTGCGCCGTACGTCCCAGTTTCTCCAGAGCCCGAGCGTCCACGGGAGCGCAATACTGCGCGTGCGTCGCCACCTCCAGGCTACTACCCAGCAACTCCGCCGTCTGTGCAAATGGTCCAGTGGGACCACCTAGATCCTGCACAACTTCCAGACGACGAGTCTGACTCCGACAATGAGGCAACTGTGGAGGACTTGCGGGATGAAGACCTTGACTTCCGTAAGCTATATAGGCAAAGCAATCCATTTGAATGGGCCACTGGTCATGCGATGGTGAACTCGCAACTTCTATACCCAATCCGCCGTGAGTACTAATGTAATTCTATTTGTCCTGGCCTTGTACTCATATCCCTCTTTGCAGGCTGCGTTTCGTATACCCTTTCTGCCAATGTAGGCGTGCTCGGCGTCGCACCTATACCATACATCAAGAAATCGTATGTCATCTCCACTCCCTATCTCTAACTATTTACTGAACTTAACAATGTAGCTGGTCCTTAAAGCAGTCGTCTGCATACGACGACTTCTTGAGAGAGGTCTGTCCTTGCATTGTAGTTTTCTTCACATGGCTGACATTGTGGCTGTAGCTCGCTCTCTTCAAATCTTCAGAACACCTGAAGCCTCTACAAACTAATGTCGCGCCCGGTATGATCGGTGCGTACATGGACACACGGTCAATCTCTTTCGCCATGGAGGTCCCGCACGGCTCGTTCTGGATCGAGGCGTGCCCGGATATGCCATTAGCCCTTAAGCAGCAAGTCATGTCTGCTCTTGCCAAGCTTCACGAGCGCGGTGTTCTTCACGGCAATCTACAACTCTATAACATTTGGATCGGCGCAGACGCACGAGTACAATTCATCGACTTTTCATGCAGTCGCTCCTTGCGTCCTATTCCGGAATGTGACATCAGGCGGGCTACGAAAGCGGAGCTCGAGCAAGAGAGGATCGTGCTTGCTACCAAACTTGACATTAGATCCACCCGCCCGCCAAACCAGCACGAAATCCCACACCGTTTCATGATGCCCGGACAGTCACCGCAGCAGGTGCAGGACGCCATCGACCAATTCCGGATGACTGTGGAAGCGATGGAGGCTCTACGCGTCCGTAATCTCACTCCGCTCGACGATTACGATCCATACAAGCAAAATACACGCAAACACCGACATTCTGACGATCCGGAACAGCGCCACGTCAAGCGGCGTTACAGGGACGTGCCGCCAGAGGTCATGCCCCTCAATCCATACCCCACTTCTTCGTGGCATGTCTTCGAACTGTCATCCAGCGTCGGCGATCTACCTCCTGCGTGCCGGTCACGTAAGCGACAGAGAGATCCTATCGTCCGCGACTACGCCTTCAAGCCTTCTCCTTCTTCCAGCGTATTGAAGTCTTACGAACGCAACACGAAGTCCTTTTCAGAGGTTTCGTCTGCGCACGATGATCTTCTTCCCGCGGCTACCTCGTCGGTGGCTTCGACTCCTATCAAAATACATGATTACGCTCACCAGCGTTACCCAGGGATACGAGGATGGTATGTCCCGCACCCACCGACCGAGAACAGGATGTCCATAGACCGTGTCATCTACATTCGCGGAACGAATTCTGCCGAGTGCCTGCGGGCAGGTTTGCCGTACTTCGAAGGCGATATGGACAACTGTGTAGCCCCGTTCTTCAAGAGGAGTGGCATGGGCAGATCAGGGCGGTCCATCTCCTATGGCACACTGAAGCGACGGAGAGATGCAGAGGAAAACCCCGAGGGAGGCGTCGCGCCCCTCTTGAAGAAGAGACGTTTCAAGTTGTCTGAGGAAGACTACGATCTCGATTTGCTACAGTCAAACGAATACTTGGACATCAGAGATGGCCCTGTAGCACTGACACAAGAGCAGACTCGCTACCGGCCCGCAAATAAACGAGATCGGACATGGCGGCCTAAGCCTCGCGATCAATCTAGTCCACGCGGCATTCTGCGCAATAAAGTGCAGCCGAGGCCAATACTTGGGCATCGCGCACAATGGAGTGACCAAGCCGACTTGTGCTATTCGCCCAAGTTAGGTCCTATACCTCTTCCATTGCCTTATCAAACGGCCACGCCGATACTTGGCGCCTTTCTTGAAAACGATGAAGAGGATGGACCTGCGCAGCTTCCACCATCGGACGACGAACTCAGTGACGACGAATCCTCTGACACTCTCGATGGAACGAGTCCTACCCCGTCGGTCATCGAGCCGAAGGACGACGTCGCTTATGCTTTGGCTGCCGCTACTCTGGGGCTGCCCAAGCCGGTGCAAGAAGATCCAGCTCCCATTCGTCTTTTCCCTGAGCCTAGAGTGTTCCATGTGCCGGGCTCATTCCCGACCTCTTACGAGGAGTCAAACCCTCAACGAGGTCCCCTGTACGGATCTGAATTCAGTCTCGCGAGTGTGCTTCCGCCGAGGAGGAAAGTACCGGCGAAGCGACACTCGCGCCGGGATACTCATCTGCACGGGCGGGGTGCTGTCAATCGAGCGCAGATGTTGCTTGGCGTGAGGTCTTCGGAATCCGTCTTCAGCAGAGCATCCAAGACCTTGCAAACGCTATTCAGCTGGTGGCGGTGAAGTTCCGGCGCAGCGATTCGGTCTGGAAGGTGGTGTAATGAACGTCTTATCAAAAACCTGTCTAATATACTCAGGTTAGTTTCGTCATGCGACACCGGTTCCTGAAATTATTTGTTATTGGGATCTTTTGTGGACCCTTTTATTAGTCACGTTGTGATCTCCTGTGTGCTCTTCGCTCGTCGTGTTTTGACATATCGTGTGTAGCTTGATTTGCATTTGTACAATGACATTGCTCGCTCTGGCGCCAGGTCGCCCAGTTTCTGTTATCTGGCGCGTGACAAATGGGCCACTACTCAGCTTGGTCTGCGGGAAGCAGCCACCAAACCCGATCGATCGAAATGTTTTGGAGAGTATTTACCAGGAGAGGCCCACAGCCGTCTGTCTCCGCGAACAGTAAAATTTCTGGAGAGCACCTGCATGGAGTGGACGCCGTGATGTTCAGAATCCACACCACGCGTCTCGAGACCGCTTCGCTGTTGTTCGAGGCGCCCAAGCCGAGTACGGCTGTCACGGAGCTTCGAGCTTGTTCAGGCAATTTCAACATACTACATCACCATTCATATAGAGAAGTCTTGCTGGTGCGCCCCCATATCCCACCTCGCCAAGCTACGCGTTGACAGCCTTGGCCAGCCTTGGCTCGGAGTGCTGCGCAGATAAGGCAGGCACCGACACACATACGCTTCAGAAAAGCGAAGATACCACCGGCGCATCATTGATCAATCTCCCGAAGCAGAGCGAGCACCCCGATTCTGGCTAGTGCACTATCAGCAGATATAACTCACCCGCGCGCACTTCCCCGTCTTTCCCCTCCCCCGCTCCAACACTCTGTCCTAGCCATGTCTGATGAGTTCGACGAAAAGACGGGCGGTCTGGAAAAGGGCTCAGATGGCAGCGCCGTCGTCCAGGCTGTAGGCCAGGAAGACGCAAATAACATGGACAACCTTGTCCCCGCCGACGCGAGGTTGAAACGCCAGCTCAAGAATAGGCACATTGCTATGATTAGGTGGGTCATATAAGCTCGTGTGACGACTTCCAACCATGCTGATAGCCCCATTCAACCAGTATTGGCGGTACGAATGCTCACACGACACTGTATTCTTTCAGGTGTTCAACTTATCATATACAGGTGTGATTGGTACCGGCCTTTTCCTCGGAACGGCAAACTCGCTTGTCGCCGGTGGTCCTGTCGGGCTGCTTCTTGGCTATATAGTTGTGGGTACAATATGCTATAGCGTCATGGTATGTTTCTCGGATAGCTGCATTTGTCACGACTGTATCTGAGAAATATCTGCAGATCTCTCTTGGCGAAATGATTGCCTTCCTGCCTCTACCTGGAGGCCATATCAGACTTGCTGAACGTTTTGTTGATCCAGCGCTCTCGTTCACTATGGTTAGTCAATCCCTCTGTACGAATTTGAAATTTTGGGAGCTCAAGTCTCTTTCCTTAGGGTTGGAATTACTGTCGGTCGACATCCCGTTAACATATCTTCTCAACACTGACGGTCACTTGTAGGGTACAACTGGACAATTGTCCTGCCCGCAGAACTCAGCGCGGCCGCAGTCCTAATCAATTACTGGAACGAGACAGTCAACAATGCAGCTTGGATCAGCATTTTCCTCGTCGTCGTCATTGTAATCAACCTGTTTGGTGCTGGTAAGCCTCATTTCGCCGGAAGCCTGTTACCGATGCCGACTAAAGGCTTGCAGGGGCTTATGGCGAGGCTGAATTCATCTTCGCGTATGTCATGACATCACAATGCGTACTGTGCTTGACGTTTTCGTAGCTCCATCAAAGTTATCACAATCACCGGTCTCATCATCCTTGGCATTGTTCTGGACCTCGGCGGGGGCCCCAACCACGACCGTATTGGTTTCCGGTACTGGAAACACCCTGGGCCATTTACTCAGTACTATGGCATCGAGGGCAACACGGGTCGTTTCCTTGCGTGGTGGGCCGTCATGTCCCAGGCCGCCTTTTCGTTCATTGGCACTGAGATCGTAGCGGTGAGTAAACCCAAACCCAAACCCAAACTGCATGGATTGTGCCAGCGACTGATTCTCGTCACAGATCGCGGCTGGGGAAGCTAAGAACCCCCGGCGTAATCTACCCAAAGCTATTCGCCGGGTGTACATTCGTATTCTCCGGTTTTACATTGGGGGGGTCACCATCATTGGACTTCTCGTGCCCTCCAATAACCCCGATCTCAATCTCAAATCCTCCACTGCCGCAAAGTCTCCCTTCGTGATCGCAATCAAAACCGCAGGAATCAAAGGGCTTCCATCGGTGAGCAACGGCTTGTAAGGGGTGAATTGAGAATACCTAACACGGTTTTAAGGTGATTAATGCCGCGTTGTTGACTTCGGCGTGTTCTGCCGCATCTAGTGACCTCTATACCAGCTCCCGCGCTCTCTGTATGTTCATGGTTTTGTCAATGTAGAATACCGACTAACACTGTAGTCCAGACGGCCTTGCTATGGTGGGCAGTGCACCAAGCGTCTTCAGGCGGACGGCTCGCAATGGTCTTCCTTATGTGTCCCTCCTGACTTGTGCAGCATTCTCTACGCTTGCGTATATGGGTATTAATTCAGGTTCCGGGAACGTTTTCAATTGGTTCGCGAATAGTGAGTAACCTTGGCGAATCAGTTTTTCCCCCATTTAGCTGACGAATGGTTCGTTCTCCAGTGACGTGTAAGTAGTCTCCCTTTTCAACAGAACAGAACCGTTGTTTAGTCTTCGTACAGCGGTCGCGGGCTTGATGACATGGTTTGGCATCTGCGTAACGTACACCCGCTTCTACAGCGGATTCAAGCTCCAAGGCCTTGACCGCAGTCAACTCCCATACGCTTCCAAACTACAACCTTATGCAGCGTGGTACGGCCTCGTCTCATGCCTGGTAATCTGCTTCGTGCGTGTATTTCCGATCGTGTGTGCTGCGCCGGAAATTAAAAAGTCCGTACAGTTCAGCGGATTCGCCGTCTTCCTGAAGGGTAACTGGACGTCCGCCGACTTTGTTACATCTTATCTTCCTTTGGCGCTCTTCCCGATCCTGTACGTCGGCGCCAGACTGTGGTTCAAAACTCCTCCTGTCCCTCTGCACCAGATGGACTTCGTGAGCGGGCTGAAGGAGATCGAGGCAGACACGTACGTCCGGGTCCTGCCGCGCATGCTTGGCGGCTCACTAATACGCCTTTACCGTTTGATAGGTACGATGACCCTCCGCCGAGAAACAAGGTGGAAGCGTTCTGGGCGTGGCTGGTGAGTCGCCCACGTTGCCATCCGACCGGATCATGTCACTCACATGCTACTTTTCGTGTCAATGTCAAGATGTGAGCTTATTACAATTTTATACGGACATGATCGTAGTTACGTGTAATGTACATGGTGTAGTCGCATAATTTTGCGAAGGGCCTCAAGATTCCCTTATATCATGAGGATTTTTATGTACTGCTTGCCTATTTATGTACCTACGGCTTGCTCGGCTGGCGTCGTGTCCCCACTAATGTATTGTAGCTCAGCTACTACTTTGCATTCCTGTCAAATGCCCATCACGATCCTGTCGAGCTGTCAAGTAGATTGCACCTCTGGTGGGTTTGTGCGCAGGACACTGCGGCCGAGGAGCAATGCATCTGATCGTGTAAGCGCGGATAGCGAGGGCTGTCTGGGGTTCTAACTAGTTTTACCTTCCCGAAGGACAGGTCCACAGATGGTGGTTGTGTGATGATCAGTCTGCATTTGCGGGGCGCCAACACGGCCTTTCATTTCGGAGAGCCGACGAGCAACATCGGGGGTGTGGAATAGGGCGGCGGAATGGAACATCGTGGACATTGCATGTCATCAGGGGTGTGTTGCGCGTCGCTACGCCACAACGCAGAGAGTGCGGAAGAAAGATTCGCGAGGAGACTGCCAGGGACTGCCTGAGAGGGTGCCGACACACGTGAGGACTGATACGCGCTATGAATGCAACAGTCGGCGAAAATTACTTAGGCGCCGGTCTGGAGCTCACGACTCAATTTAACAACGGCCTTGGTGACCCCTGCGCCGGTAGACCGACTTGAGACCTACGATTCGTCCATCTTACTCGAAGCAAGATAACTTTAAGCCTCTGGTCACGCCGGCGGCACGAACACTGTCAAATGCAGGCACCGGCCGAGAATGGCGTCCTCATTAGTCCTGCTGCGGAGGACAGAAGCGACAGTCCGACCCTTGGCTTTTGGGGAGGAGGCTTGCGTTCTGGAGAGACAGAGTCCATGCACGGTGAGTAGACTGCCCTCTTGCAGGCCCCTGCGGTCCCGAGGAGTGATAGCGTGCAGCGTCGAAGCCGACGCTAGCCACGTTGTAGCAGCCTGTTTGTTTGTCTGCGTTGATGCGGTCCCATAGCACACCGTTTCGTTGATCCTCAGCCTGATCCTTGTGCTCCTGCCTCCCGCCTCTCGCTCCCTACACTCTCCTTCCTTCCTTTCGCTGTCGACCGCTGCTTGCGTTTATGCTGATTCTCCCCCTTGCTTCTCAGACCGGGATTCTTTCGACGCGCACCTCATGCCCTCCCCCTACTCGACTAGCGGGTTCGGCATGGCCGACAAGCCTCGCTCCATCATTCCTTCTACAACGGTCATAACTGCTGTTCACGACGACTGGTCGTCCGAAAATGATATCTTACATTCCCCTGGCGTGTCCCCCTCTAGTGCTTACATCGTTGACTCGCCATCGTCCATGCCGCATTCTTCGCCTCTTATGCCTCCCAACAGGCAAACTTTCTTGGAGCGCTCAGCATCTGAGGATGATTCTGTCCACTCCGACTCTGGCCTCTCACCGTCGCACACCCGCTCGCCTGGCGTGCCGTCATCTTTGCCAGATCCATCCCAGTTCCCTGATCCATACCCTAACCGTCCTCCGCGTTACGGCTCAGCTACGCCCGCACTCTCCACTGCAGACTCGGGCTCCGTGTCGACACGATCTTCTGCATATACCAATTCTGCACGTTCAGGGGACTACGGACACGTTCATGTCGTCTTAGGCGACGGAGACGTCAGGAACAGCGTGGGCATCTCGTCAGATGATGTAGCCCAACTGCTCGCTCGCGCAGCGAGCACTTCTTTCTCCCTGACATCTCAAGGCAGGACGTTGCAAGACCAGGGCCGCTGGTCGGACCTGTATGCGCAGAGTGTTCGCTCCCGTTCCTCTTCGGTTGGCAATGGCAGAGGCGACTCTACGTCAGAAACCGGTTTTCGTGCTCTGCGCGCAACGCCGAGTTTTGACATCAGCTGGCAGGCTGTTGATGAACGCGACGAAGCTGGATTGAGTGAGGATGAGACTACGGATGATGATGTCCTGGATATCGATGAGGAAGGCGATGAGGAAGTCGATGATGAGGAACAGCCTGCCAGTGCAGTAGTCATTGCTGAGGAGGGTCGCGGTGTCATCGTAACTGGAGATGACGTTCCCATCGTCCGGTTGCAGGTGAAGCCTGGTGAGTACATGTCTTTTTATAATATTAAGCACCGCTCATGTGTTCGCCCTAGGCACGACACATCTATTGATCGGGTCATCCCCTACGCCGAACGCGGTTCCATCGTTCCTAACTGGCACACTTCCCCAGATTGCTGATACCCTCCTCGCTCTTGATATCTCAGCGAATTTTCTTGTTGCGCTCCCGCCAGCTCTTGCTGCGTGTACCAACCTCGAGGAGTTGAACATCGCGTCGAATCCAGTCCGCGCACTCCCCGAATTCCTTGCTGGATTGACGGCATTGCGTCTCCTCATCGTGGACTCGACAGGTATCAACACACTCCCTGAATCACTGTGTGCTCTCGAGAAGTTGCACACGCTCAGCATCAGGCGAAACAAATTCAACTCCCTTCCTAGCTGGCTTTGCCTCTTGCCCTCACTTGAGACGCTACTCATTGACGGTAATCCGTTCCAGGGGCCGTGGAAGGCCCTAATGGAGCCACTGCTGGCAAAGACCCCGATGAGCCCTCTGTATCCTCCGTCGACGCCCATTTTCCCTTTGCCTTCTGCCAGCCTGGCAAGCACACACACCGAAACTGATACTGAAGACTTCGCTGACCCTTCATCGCAAGATGAGGAAGCTCAGCGACAGGCAGCGGCGGAGGAGGAAGACACCATTACTCCTGCGCGTGCTCCGCATATGGCGCGTTCCGTAACCGCTCCCATTCCTGTCCCGTCTGTAGAACCCATGTCACCCAAGCTTGCACGGACTCGCACGACGCCCAATCGAGCGCATTACGAGAGGAATAGAGCAGCCAGCCGCGCCGGTCAGGGTTCAGGTGGATCATCGCGGCCACCATCATCCAAAGGATCGCTAGTGGAGTCGCCCAGTGAGAAGGAGGTTAGGCGGATGAAGAGTGCGGGTGAACTGCGGAGGAACCACGCGAATGCATCGAACATCGCCTCGAAGTCAGCTGCCTCGTCGCCGCAGCGAGCTGCACTGTCGGAATACGTGACTTCCTCTTCGAGCTCGAACCTCCTGGAAGCAGTATCTGTGCGTGACAGCCAGGCCTTGCCAAAACGTTTTGCGAGTCTCGGTGTGTCGTCCGTCTCCGCGGTGTCGGGCCCTAGCAGACCGCGGTTGGCGACGATGGAAAGCAGCTTCTGGGACCATACGCCTGTTGAGGAAGATGGTGATGTCGAAGACGAGGGTAAAACTATACCTCGAAGAGCGACACTGTCCCGAGGTCATCCACAGGCTCCGCATGCGATGGTAGACACTCAAGCCCTTGCCCAGTTACCCTCTCCGCCTCCGAAGGATGAGACTCAGAAGAATAGCCGATGGGGCTTCCTCAAGAAAATGTCGATGGGAAAGATGCGGTCGGATTCCTCTCCTAGAGTGTCGATCGTTCAGAGCAGGGGTCATGGGCCACCATATGCTCGTCAACCACTCTCCAGAGCTCCTTCCACTCACCTCGCGTCCGGCATACCCCAGATCAATGTTCGCATATCAACCACTGGCACACTGCTGAACAACGCCAATCATGCACTTCCTCCTCCGCCTCCACCTCCATCAGAGAGAGTGCCCTCAATTGTGATGGCAGACTATGCGGATGTGCCTCCCCCGCTACCTCAGAAGCCGACTATCGACGCACTCAAAATTCCCGCAACCTTGCCGTCATCGAGTTTACTTGTGCCCTCGCCTACACCGCGAGCTACGAAACGCCGAAGTTTCCTACCCATCGACATGTCGCCCATCCCGATACCTGCTGCTTCCAGCTTCATACCTGGTATTACTGCATCGGGTAGCGCTGAAGACTTGCACGATGCCGGGGGAGAACCGTCGCCGCCGGCTCCAGTTCCGAAGGACACGATGGAGGAAATCCAGCGTCGCGAGGAAGAACGAGCACGAGATGCCCGCATGCGTGCTCTGCGCTCTGTAATGGCGTACCTTAAGGACATGCACGACCTGGGGCTGTCGCAGACCCTCCCGGTCACAGATTCCCCGGGTGGCCTTCGTTCCCGCAGACCGACAATGGTGGACAATCGATTACCATCCGACGCTTCTGTCAATTCCTTGGCATCCGTTCCACCTCTGCCATCTCGGCCGGAATCGTCTGTGAACCTGCGATCCACCGAGTCGCGAGTTGGTCTGCGCAGCGGCAGTGCTATCCAGACAAACAGCGTCGCCACCACGGATAGCTCGGGCTCGGGTGAAGAGCGGAAGTACAAGGACGACCGTACGAAGCGTGCCAGGATCATCCGGGAAATCGTAGAGTGCGTACAGTCGTACCTAGCAATCGACTCTGTATTGACGGCTGACGTCTATGCAGAACTGAACGGACGTATGTCAAGGGCCTTCAGGAACTCGTGGATATCTACATCACTCCGGCAGCCGCTTCTGTCAACGTTCTCAGTGGTGTCGGTCAACGACAAGAGACCGTCGTCCCTGCAGCAGAGCGCAAGGTTGTCTTCAACGGCGTCGAGGCTTTGTTTGTGCTTCACAAGGATAGTTTCTTGCCAGCACTGGAACGTGCCGCAGCACCGCTGTTGATACCTTCCGAGGATTTGGCCCTGCAGGACGCCGACGGCTATCTCTCGTTAGATGTCGCGATGAAAGTAGCCCAGATATTCCTCTCGCAAGCAGCGTTCCTGAAGATGTATTCGACGTACATCAAGTGAGTCTACCCATGATGTATGACATACGCGCGTTGTCTTATATTCTTGATGCAGCAACTTCGACAACTCTGTGCTGAGGATCAAGGCGTGGACGGCTGACAGGCCCCCGACATCATCAGGGCAGACGTTGTCGCCCTCATCAAGTAGTTCCCAGCTTGCTAGTATGAGCCTCTCGATGGCTATTAGCGCCCCTGGGGTGATGGCCGACAACAACACGGGGACTGTGACCGCTACGTTATCCTCGGGCCAGCGCAAGAGGATCAAGAATTACTTGAAGCGATGCCGCATGAACCCGAGACATTCACAGCTCAACTTGGAAGGTTACCTTCTGCTTCCAGTACAACGTATACCGCGATATCGTTTGCTGGTAAGGTTAATCCTTACTCAGTTTGGTGATGAGACACTAACTACTTTATGTAGCTGGAAGATCTGGTGAAGAGTAGTCCCCCCGTGTATGACTACATGGATGATCCCTTGGAGCGAGCGTTGACAGAGATCTCATCACTGGCAAACAACATGAACGAGGGCAAACGCGAATCGGAATCACGAAGGAGATTGGTGCAATGGCAAGCACGAATTCGTGGAAAGTTTCCCAGCCCTCTGGTGCAGCCTCATCGGTACGTTATCTTAACGTATGGATGCGAGGTCGCGCTAATTGGTCGACGCAGGCGTCTTATTATGGATGGACGTTTGAACCTAACGCGAGTCGTTCGGAAAGCTACTGTCCCTTACCAAGTCATTAATGCGCAAGGAGATGCGTCCGAGGTCCAAGTAGAGTGCTTGTCTCCCGAATCGAATCCGCGTGCTTTGATTGGTATTCTATGCAATGACCTATTGGTTCTATGCCGAGATCCGTCAGACGGCACGGATCCAACTGCCCAAGTTGACCTATGGGCTGTTTTGCGAATGCAGACGCTGCCGCAGCCAGCCAGCATTGTACATGGCAATGGTGCGGCTCGATCTCCTGTGAGAAGTGGAGGTTATCTGACCATTTGTTATAGCTTTGCGGCTAGTGGACAACAAGGCGATATTATATTTTGACGCGCCGTCGACAGCTGACGCACTGACGTGGTTCAGAGGTAATGTCTTCGAGTCCATTGGTCTTCAATGGCGCTGACTGGACGGTCTGTGACTAGCCATCAATCTACACATCCCGGCATCAAAAGCATAGCTGTCTTCTGTACTTCGGCCTCTTTGACCATGCTGACCGCCATTCGTTCATCTAACCGCGCTGCGCTGTCGTTTGACACATTTGTTGTCACATATCGTTTGTTATTCTCGCTCGTTGCATCCATCGCTCCTTCACTGTATTTCAGACAGCACTCCCGACTGTGTTTATACGCTACATAGATATACACCACATACTGCATTGACCTCTGGCATTATTACATTAGAACCCCGGGTGTATGAAGGGTAGGCCGTATACGTAATAAAGTTGTTATCTATCATTTACGAGGGGCGATCTGGTGTGAGTGAGTCAAAGTGCCTGACACACGTGATCATGTAGATGCGGTTTTTGAGTTATCAGATAAACGGCGACGGGTGACGCTGCCTGTACGGCACTCGCTCCTTGCGGCCGAACCATAAAGTCAAACTCCTCACCTCCGACCCGTCGCTAGCCTGGTCTTTCCCCTCCTCGACGGTCCATTTTCTTGCAGGTGCTCTCACTAAAGGGTCTACCTTTTCGCACCCATGAAGCAATTCAACGCCAAGTTGGCCGCGGCAGCGAGCGGCTCTACGCTCACTGCTCTGACAAGTATGTTCGTCCAGCTCGCGCGCCATGCCACTCCTCATTCCGTTTGTGCTCAGTGACGCCGTTCGATGTGGTGAAGACCAGGCTGCAGACACAACCCCCAATGCCACCACAGCCATTGTTTCCCAACCCTCCGTCAAACGTATGTTGTCAGCCATCAACGTCCATCCCATGTGTCCGCCGAATGTCCTCGCTCGCGCCATCACTCGAGGGCGACATCGTCTGCATATGGGACCATGGGGTGATGCGGACGGAACGAGTGAACGGCTTCTTCGATGCATTCCGACATGTTGTGAGGGCAGAGGGCATACCAGGCCTATGGAAGGGCGCAGGGACGACTCTGTGAGCACGTTGTCAGTCGTAGTCCAATTGGGAGTCTCTAATTACTCCCTCTGCAGTCTCATAGGTGTACCGTCCTCAACATGCTACATGCTGACATATGACCACCTCCTCAAGGTCACACTACCTCCTCTCCTCCCCGCACCTGTTGTCCCTCTCTTCTCCGGTATGCTCGCGCGTACCATGATGTCCTCCATCATGTCACCACTCGAGCTTGTCCGCACAAATCTCCAGTCGACACCACTATCACCGGATAACCCACATACCCTCCGCTCTGTTCTTGCTTCTGTGCGTGGTCTCACACGTGCTCATGGCCCGCGGTATCTATGGAGAGGGCTTGGGCCGACGCTCTGGCGTGATGTCCCGTTCAGCGGGCTCTACTGGCTAGGCTACGAGACCATCAAGGCCGCATTCGCGCGACAAGGTGCCGCAGGTCCACAGGTTGCGTTCGCGAGTGGAGCGATCAGCGGGACCACGGCGGCACTTCTGACGTCGCCGTTCGACGTCATGAAAACGCGGCGGCAAGCAGTATCAATGCAGGGAAGCACGGCGAAAAATGCGACGTTCCCGCTGATGATGCAAATCATCCAAAATGAGGGCGTTTCTGCACTGTACGCTGGTATCCTTCCCCGAATTGTGAAGATTGCTCCAGCGTGTGGGATCATGATTGCATGTTTCGAGGTGCGTTATCCAGCTTTTCGAGGCCTGGAATCCTTGATTGACATCAAACGCAGGGTGTCGGCAAGATGCTCACCACGGAAGAGTCATGACACCTGGGTCATTTAGGAGACATAGTCGTATTGTCCCATTAATATGACATTACTATCCCGCATGCATGAGTACCCCAGCTAGATTACAACATTTGTAAGAACAGCAACCTCTAGACAGCTCCACAGGGTATATGGTATCATCCTAATCTGTTTAGCTGCTTCTTCGCCGAAGTGAGTTTGTTCCCCACTCGATCGACGTCAGATGTCAGATCGTCAAGTAACTCATTCTGCTCCGCGATCTCGCTGCCTATTGCCAGTCCCAAGTGTTTCTGCCGCTGCAATATTGTTGAGAGCTGTGCTAGTTGCTGGTCCTGCTGCTCCATCTGTGTCTGCCCCAGCTGCATCAGACCATGATCGTCTAATGGACGGGTTTGCTCCGTCTCCTGCGGGCGTGCCGCCGCTCCGAAAACTCGTGTCGCAGGCTTGTTGAAGCCTGAAGACGATGTTGTCTCCAATAGTGCTGCACGATCCGATGGCGCTGCAGGATTTCGCTCTGCAGCAGAGCCAATCCCGCGCGAAGTCATCCGTGCAACCGTCACCATCTTCGCGAGCTTCTCACAGTCGTCTCGTAGCCGTGCAACCATGTCTGTCCGCCGCTGCAGCTCGCCCTCGCTCATCCCACTCAAGCCCAGCGACCGCAGCCCGTCCTCGAGTACGCCGACCCTCGTCAAAACCCCCGCGAGCTTCTTCTTCGCCTGCACGTTCGACTGATGCGAGGCGGAGATGTCGCCCCGATCTGAGAGCGCGTCGCGCTTGTTGATGTCCGCGCGGACGTCGCGCACGCGGGCGAGCAGGTCCTGGTGCTCGTCCAGCCACGACGAGGACGTGAACTGCGAGGGTGCGGCACCGTCTGCACCGTTCTGGCGGCCGACGGGCACGCCGAGGAAGTCGCGGAAGGCAAAGCTCTCGCGCCAGCGGTCGTCCCTCGCGCTGAGGATCGCGCGGAGGTATATCTCGAGGCCGGCGCGGCGCTCCTCGAGCATGGCGGTGTTGCGGGTCTTGAATAGTGAGAGGGCACGCTTGGGCGGGAGCTCGGCGGGTGGCGGGGCGCCGGTGGACTTGGTGAGCTCGACGTGGAGGTCGGCGAACTCGGAGTAGCGCCTCCACATCTGCCAGGAGCGGACGGAGGCCTGGATCTCGATGCGGTAGACGACGTGGGCCTTGGGGTTGGTGCGCTCCTCGTAGCCGCGGATGTGGATGGCCTGGATGGCGGACATGGCGACCTGGAGGAGAGTAGGGTGGCTTTCACAGCCTGAGTCGCAGGGCGATCGGCTGCTCGGCGCAAACAAGCATCCATAAGTATCCTGATCGAGATCGCATACAGACGCCCAAGGCTAAAACATCTCAAGTTGATGATTGCGTCTATATTGACCTGCATGGAGAACGCCACTGGCTACTGTACACTACATTCCCGTCCATGCATCCAAAACAATTGCGACAATTCACTCAAATATGGCTACACGTTGGCTAGATATCGCGACCATCCGCCCGCAGCGGTCAGCTTTCACCTGCTCCCCCTGCCTTCTCTGCGGCCTCCTCGCACGCCGGATGCTCGTCCACTGGCTCTAGGGCCTGTCCTTCCGTGGAAGAAGACCTCTTCTCTTCGGCTGCATGTGGGACCTCCTCTGGCTCTACTGGTGCGCTCTGCGCTGCTGGAAGTTCTGCCTGTGAGGCTTCTAGCGAGACTGACCGATCGACACTCCGTTCCGCGTCTCCAGATGGCCGCCTCTCTTCGCTGAGGGTCACTTGGCTAGAAAGCATGTTCTCGCCAAAAGCCGTCTCCCCAATGATGTACCGGAGAACATCGCTGAGGGTGATAATTCCAAGCAGTCGGCCCTTCTTGCCGCCTTTCCGCTCCTCCTCCTACATATTCCTTCAGCACAGTAGATAAGAAAGGAACGATGATTGACGGCTCACATCACCCTCTACAACGACGAGCCTGTGGACTCGCCGCTTCTTGATGAGTTGCATTAACGTAGCAAGCGAGTCCGACGCCGTACAAATGACAACGCCTGGGAAGTCCGGCGACCGCTGGTTCAACGCTTCGCCAACTGTGAGGTCGAGCGACTGGTAAGCACCCAGTCGAACAAGCGTCTATGAGATCGTTAGCCGATGCTCCTCCGCTACAGTAAGGGAGTGCGTACAATGACGTCGACGGTTTCGTACAGGTTGACCACAATGCCTTCTTCGTCGATGATCGGGACTGCCGAGATGCCTTCCTCTGAGAACATGTGTACGACGTCGAAGACTGGTGTAGACATGGTTGCCGTCGCAATGGGCCGAAAACGCTCCCTGTCAACAGGAGTGTCCTCTGGCGGCGGTGGATCATGCACGTATGTCCCAATATTCAGCTTCCGCAGCCCTATGTGGAGTTGTTGGATGTGATTCGGACACTAGAGTCCGAGGTCGTAAGCAACCAACACGAATGCACAGCAAAAAGAGGGACGTTTGAGACTGACATTGATAGAAATGAACTTCAGCAGGCGATACTGCGTCAGGATGGACACAATGACCTCATGCCCAGTATCTGAGTCGTTGTCTAGCAGGGGCACACGACGAGCATGAGTCTGAATCAAAAGTTTCGCCGCGTCGTACAAGGACGACGATGGATGGTCTCGTAGCAGAGGCGGTGTTGCTACCCCAAGGCTCTTCTCAATATCTGGTATTACCCACGCGTGAGGTTCCACAAAAGGAAGAAGACGTAAAAGAAGCCATGCCTCGCAGTGACTCCAGCCGGAACGTCTCCACGTCCTGAGAGGCATTGTCATAGGAAGAAAATTGCCAGTAGTATTGGATGAGGTGGATAATGTCTGAGACAGTGAACATGCCAGCGAAACATGACTGTTCGCTATTCCACAGCGGTGCGGAAACGACGCCTAAAGTTAAAGTGACATATGAAACAATGCTTAAGAATACCGCCCTAGCCATCGATATGAACACCCACCATTCGATAGGAGGCATGCTAGGGCTTTCCTCACCTCCAGCTTTGAATCTAGGACAATCAGGCGGAAGCTGACGGGGAAGGTGTCGTAGCAGTTGCGGCCTTTGAGGTAGTTGCGGATGGCATACAACGCAGCATCGTGGGCCTCTGGACTGTAAGGCGGGAGATGGGAGACAGTGCGAGCCCGTCTAGTTGAGCCCTTGCGTCTGACTTTGGGGGAAGCTGAAGGGGAAAGCACTGAGTTCATGATGGAGGGGCGTCCATGCAGGTCGGGGCGGTCAATCAAGCGAGAGCGAGTTAGCGTCCGTTAGCAGCCACTCGCCGGCCGCGTTGCGGGGCAGGTGTGCTCCCCCACGCTGACTAAGCTCGTCGGCCCCTGTCGGACCCCCGGACCTCCGGACCACGGAGGCGGACGCCGTCGCCGGCCTGCGCCCTAGTATGCTCACCGCCTGCCGAGTGTATCAGTTCAGTCCGTTGCTCCTTCCCACCACTCCATTTCCGTTCTTTCTTACTGACCCCCTCCTGCTCGCGTCTCTCCTAGGCCATGTCCAAGAAGGGTCGCTACCCCGTCTCCTTCGACAGGCATCAATGGGACCACTCCGCTGACCCTCTCGCAGTCGGCCAGGACCCGCTGCACGATGCGTTCAGCCTCAGAGGGCCCGCGTCCGCGTACCAGCTGCCCGACGACCAACTCCCGCCCAACTCAGGCTCGCGCGACGCCTTCTACATTCTCCTGCCCCTGCTCATCGTGCTCTCGACGTTCCTCTTCCTGCTCCTCATCTTCCTAGTATGCGTCATTCTCCTCCGCAGGCGACGCGGCATCATGCTGCGAGATAACGATGGCCCGATCGACATGAGCCGCGAGGACCTTGTCGAGGGCGAGGGCGGCTTCGAGGGCGTCGAGTCTCGCTGGCTGGAGACGGTCCCAGAGCCCGACCGTAGATCATACTTGCGCGCCAAAGGTGTGTTGATCGTCTCGTTGCACTGGTTAATCAACTCACTCGCTGTGTATCTATCCAAATAGAGTACCAAATGCAGTACCCGCCGAACTCCCTGCCGACAGACATCACCCTATCTCAGTTCCTGTCCATCCAAGAGAAGGGCGTGTCGGCATGGTCATTCGAGCCTGACTTTGAGGCGATGAACTCGATGCTTGTCCACGCTCGTACAGAGATCACGTTCCTCCCTGACCCGTCCTCGGCTACGTCCGTGCAGTCTAACTTGCCGCTGCCGAAACTCAACGAGGTCTATTACTGGGAGGTGAAGATGTTTGACCTGCCCGAGACGACCAATGTTGCCGTTGGTCTTGCGACAAAACCTTACCCATCTTTCCGGCTTCCGGGCTTGTGCCGTTTCTCTGTCGCATATCACTCGAGCGGTGACAAATCACACAATTACCCGTTCACGGCGACTCCCTGTGGTTCACAGCTTAAGGAGGGTGATGTGCTCGGTGTCGGCTACCGCCCTCGCACGGGGACCGTGTTCTTTACTAGGAACGGCCGGAAGATGGAGGACGCGTTCATCGGGCTCAATAATTGGAATCTCTTCCCCACCGTGGGCGCCGATGGTCCTTGCAGTGTGCATGTAAACCTCGGCCAGTCGGGCTTTGTTTTCATAGAGGCGAACGTGAAGAAGTGGGGACTGGCACCTAGCGTAGGGACTCTTGCGCCACCGCCTCCGTATGGCAGCGAGCGAGGTAGCCTACTACTTGCCGCGGGCGGTGACATCATGTCCGCGCCGAATGGCTTATCCTCTGCGCAGAGCCCGCCGCCGGGATCGTCTCGATCAAGACGTTCTCACCGCTCGCGGAGACCGAGGAATGCGCTTTCTACCATTACGCCTGTGGGGATCTCATCCCTACAAGGGAGCTCTCCCAGGTCGTCATCGATTCCCGACACTCCGCCTCCGCCAATTACGCCCATAGAAGAGGAAGCTGAGGGCAGCGTGGGTGGAGCGCCCTCGATATCACGGAGGTACATATCACCTACAGATTCGCCCTTCCATACACCTCCTAACGCTAATATACCTTCCTCGCCGCCACAAAGCGCCAACGCTCGCAACTCTGCCGTAGCCGAAGGCGACGGCGAGTTGTCGTCGGAAGCCGGCTCCTCGCAGACTTCCCGCTCACCTTCCCGCGACGTCACACGCGCAGGTGCGAACCAGTTCAACCTGCCTCGCCCGCAAGCATACACGATCACTCACCTACGCACGGGCTCGCGCTCATCGCATGTAGGTTCGGAGCTCGCGATACACGTTCATCCACCGCCCGACTCCCCTATGAGCCCCGAGCCGCCCACACCCGATCTACGCGACATTCATCTGCAGGCGTTAGCGTCTTCGAGTTCTGCTCTTGCCACGTCTGGTTCTCACGTTGCCCACAGTGGCCAGACAGCGTTGGGTGGCCTCGCTGCGCCGAATCATGATCCACCTGCGTACTCCCCTCTGGATGCGTACGCGTATTCGGAGGGAGTACACATTGACCTCCCAGCCGAGGTCATTGCTGCTGCACTGGAGCGGGGGACGATCCCGTCCAGCATGCTTGGCACGTCCAGCTCCTCACGGTCCGATCGGCATCGTAATCGCAGGGACAGGCGGTGAGAGTACGCATGGGGACTTTGCTCGTCTTCGTCGGTCAGTTCCTGTTTGCTTATTGTATCAATATTGGAAGGAGCTGAGTGTGCGGATACTGGGCAATCCAGACGAGATGACTACATAGTGTAATATCTGTTCTTTCACCATCTCGTGATGCATCTTTTTCTCTATCATATCTTCGTACTATCAGCATTCCACGGACTGCAAGCGTCTCAGTTACGAGGTCAAGCAAGCAATACATATAGACCCTATCCCAAGAATTGTGAGAGCACGAGAAAGGAGTTGCATTAGCCCCAATAAATCATGCGTTTGGGCTGCGTAAAGTGCAGAGCAGGTGCGTAGAACGAGCACAGGCCTGCCCTGAACTCAAATGGTCCGTGCGTGGATTAGGAGGGTTTATAATGAGCGCATGGACATAGAACAATCTTCATACTTACCTTGATGGCACATTCCTCTTCATCTACCTAGGAATGTGGGCCGTGGGGGCCTCTCATAGCACGGCGACCATGTCCTCAGGGGGGCCTTGCGGTTTGTATGGGCTTCGGCTCATGCACCGTCTCAATATTTCCCTGTTCCACTTCGGCCCTCGGGCTGGGTGGGCGGTCACTTTTTTTTTGGCCCCTTCGCTCTCCTAACCCTAACCTTATGGTACACCCACTATTACATCGTGGTTTGTATTCTGTTCTTACTGGTATTCAATGACATCACATGCGGGGCAATCAAATGTCTGTGTTCTCTCCCACCAAGCTTGGCGGCTGTGATGGAAGATGCCCCTCGTACTTGTCGTCTACCCTTGTCTCATCATCTCCTGCAATTTCCTCCATCTTCTGGTCACCATGCCTTGGCTCTGGCGCCCATTGCTTGTCCAACTTGGTTTGTCTCTGCTCCCTCCACTCCTTGAGTTTCTTGCGCGGTCCCTCCCCAAATATGGTGTAGATGCCAATGCCTATGAGGAGAAGAATGATTCCCAGGATAATCCCAATCAAGTTGCGCGTGGATCCAATAGGTACCAGAGGGTGTGGAAGTGTGGCTCGTGGATCGAATGCGGGAGGGTCCCCTGTAACACCTATGGTAGGCCCCGGTCCACATACAGGGTGTCCTGGAGGACAGAGGTTGTTGCGTCGGAGGCGCAGGGTGTTTGGTAGATACATGGAGGAATACTTCAAGCTTTAGGAAAGTCTGGACAGTAGAAACAGCGGAACTGTGCGTTCACACTATGCCAGGGAGGGGTTGGTTTGAGGCGAACATGCGGTGAAGGGCGGCTGACCAGCAAGCATTGGACATTAGCGGGAGGCTGACAGCAGCTATGCTACATTCTTTCTCGTATTCTTCAGATACACTGCTAGACAAAACTGTTACACTTATATTCCTCCGGGCACAGTTCACGGCTCTAGTCGCTTCGGGTCTCTCGGGAAGAGCGACGCCCGCCGAATGTTGTTCAGCTTCAAGAACAACATGAGCACCCGCTCCAGGCCAATACCGCCTCCACCGTGCGGAGGACATCCCATCCTAAATGCATCCAAGTAGAAGCTCATGGTCGCGGGATCGATCCCTTTAGCGCGCATATTCTCCGCGAGCATGGTTGCGTCGTGGACACGTTGTGCGCCCGAGAGGATCTCTTCTCCTCGCATGAAGAAGTCATACGAGTTCGAGAGTGTCTGTGGAGATTGGAACAATTTGTTAGGCTACAGCTTGGTTTGGCTACGCAGAAGACGCACCGGGTCTTCAGGGTCGGGCATTGTGTAGAAGGGCCGGAGCCCCATAGGGAACTTGTCGATGATGAAGTAGTCGGTCTCGTACTTCTCGCGGACAATCCGACCCAATCGCTTTTCGCTTGGAGTGCTAGAGATCGTAGCCCGTGTCAGTGAGTTCCTTGGCACAAGGATGTAGGTCTCACTCAATGTCATCGAGCGCCTCCCTCGGTACGCCGTCCTCTACCAGGAGATCCACCGCCTCCTTGAAGCTCAACTTCAGCGTGCCCTCAGGGCCCTCTCTCCACTTGAACTCGTCGGCCGGGAACTGTTTCCTGACCGTTTCGATCTCCTTCGAGTACTTCTGTCGGAGGCTGCGGAACATGTGGAGGAAGAGGCCGTCGAGCAACTCGAGAACCTCATGGTAGTGCTCCTCAATCGTCATCTCGAGATCGAGGCCAATGAACTCCGTCATATGCCGGTGGGTGTTCGAGTCCTCCGCACGGAAGACGGGGCCGATCTCGTAGACGCGCTCGAAGTCGGCTGCGATCGCCATCTGCTTCGCGAGCTGGGGGGATTGCGCGAGGTAGGCGTTGCCTGGTGCAAGGGCCGGGATGAAGCACCAGACCAAACTTCGAGACAGAGTACGTACCCTTGAAATAGCTGACCTTGAAAACAGATGCGCCAGACTCGGTTGCTGCACCTTGGAGTTTCGGACTGTGGATCTCAGTGAATCCCTGGCCATCAAGGTAGTCCCTGAAGAAGTTGCCAATGGCATGTTGTAGCTTGAAAACGGCTTGATTGGTTGTTGTCTGCATAACAACATATATATAAGTGAGCGGCCCTAAACGACTCAAGCATGCGATTTACCCGCAAGTCCACTACACGGTTGTTGAGACGGGTGTCAAGTAGCACACGTTTGAACTGCGCCTCCTCGCTTTCCTCAGCTTCAAGTTCCGGGCGCGAAGCATCTTCGACGCTAAAAGGCAGAATGCCTTCAATCCCTGAAATCAGGTGAATCTGATCGGTATTAGCGTGTTCTCGATCATGGAGGTGGTGTCGGCTGCTTACCTGCGAGATGTGGATCTCGACGTTGCCGACGGTTGCGCTCTTTATAATTTCAGGTGCCTTCTTGACGGTGCCCTCCACGAGCACAATGCTCTCCATCGCCAAGCCGCCCGCCCACTTTGCCATTTGTTTGCTCACTTTCCCCTCGGAGACGGTGAGAAGCGCCTGTACCGAGTCGATACGCTGACGCAGGACGAAGAAGACCATCTTGCTGCCCTGCATGCGCGACGTCTGTACTCGAGCACGGAGGAGGACCGGCTGACCATCGAGTTCAGGCGTGAGGGACGCGATCTGGATGCGGGAGCGGCGCGGACGGCTCTGGGACTGGTTCAGCGGGAGCTTGCCATAGAACTCGGTCGCAAAATCCTAAGTGAGCAGCATGTGAATATGACCTGCGAGTCGAGCAGAGGGATTTGCATACGACTTCTGCGGCAGCCTTTTGCGCCTCGAGCTCGGCTTGTTTTGCTGCCTTTTCAGCAGCCTTCTTCGCTTTCTCTGCCTCCTTTGTGCGTTTCTTCAGCTCGCTCTTGGAGGGTCCCTTAGAGGCCTCCGCTCCCTCTACTGCGCTATTCACAGGTGGTACGAGCCAGTCAACACTATGTCCTAGACATATCATTGTAGACACTCACGGGTTTGGTGGAGGGGTCTGTGTCGGTTCTGTGTCAGCCATGGGTGTTTAATCAATTGTACGATCACAGCCCTAGGAGCGAGGTTTTATGGTAGACGAAGGCTCTGACTTGTGTAGCGTCTCGGGCAACCCAGAGCTCGATCTCTACCGCAAAAGCCGATCGAGTCAGGACGATATCGATCCCAGGCCAAGGGTCTAGAACTGGATTAGGGTTAGGGCTTTCCCTAACCCTACCCCGCGTTAACCCCACAACACCGGCGCACCGGGCGCACCCGCTCTAGCTCCGTGCACTCGGCCTGGCTGCAGCAATACTTGAGCTGGCACTCTTGCTGTGCGACTGACGCCCATCTTCCGTTTCTTCGCCCCCCTCTCTTCGCTGGCACCTCAATTCAAAATGCAGGCCATCGCCCGCCCCCTCTCCCGAGTCGCGCCGAGGCAGGTACGCGCTGCCGCTCTGTCAACCTGGTCCACCGTCCCAGCGGGCCCTCCGGATCCCATTTTGGGTACGTCTTCTTGGCCGGGTTCAGTTGCCTGGGTTCTTGCCTCTGTCTTGGCTATGTGTGGAGGTCACTGGGTAGACTAGAATAGACCATCGGGAACATCGCCTATTCATTGAGGTCCATATCTAGGCATCCGTGCGAGTGTACATTGGCTGCTTATACAACCTTGATCTCGTGCATGCGTATTGGGATGCTTTCCGTGATAGTCCCCACGACGTCTTACCTTTCCCATAGGTGTGACCGAGGCGTTCAAGGCCGACAAAGACCCGCGCAAGATCAACCTCGGTGTCGGCGCGTACCGCGATGGCAACGGCAAGCCCTACGTCCTGAGTAGTGTCAAGAGCGCCGAGGACCTGATTGCGTTAGAGAACCCTGACAAGGAGTATCTCCCGATCAGCGGCTTGCCCGAGTTCACGAAGGCCGCGGCGAAGCTCGCGTATGGCGCAGACAGCCAGCCTCTGAAACAGAGCGCGGTACGTGGTGCTGCTCGATCTTCGTAAACCTCCATGGCTCACGAGCGCCCATCTCGTCTGCTTATGACGTACAGATCGCGGTCGTGCAGTCGATCTCGGGTACTGGTGCTCTCAGAATCGGCGGTGCGTTCCTGCAACGCTTCTTCCCCCACGCGAAGGCCATCTACATCCCTACGCCGTCATGGGGTAACCACACGTCTATTTTCCGCGACTCCGGTCTCGAGGTCAAGCAATACCGATACTTTGACAAGAAAACGGTCGGTCTCGACTTTGAGGGCATGAAGGCGGACTTGCAGGTCAGCTTCGCAAGCATGAGTCATGGAAAGTTTGTCTCACTTTGCGCTGTAGAGCATGCCTCCCAACTCCATTGTCCTGCTGCATGCCTGCGCGCACAACCCCACTGGTGTCGACCCGACACCTGAGCAGTGGGTCGAGCTCTCGTCACTCATTGCAGAGAAGTCGCTTTTCCCCTTCTTTGACATGGCGTACCAGGGTTTCGCGTCCGGGTCGACAACTCGTGATGCGTTTGCTCTCCGGCATTTCGTCAAGGAGGGTCACCAGGTTGCCCTCGCCCAGTCGTTCGCGAAGAACATGGGTCTCTATGGCGAACGTGTGGGCGCGTTCTCTCTGGTCGCGGCTGATGAGGAAGAGAAGAAGCGCTTGGAGAGCCAGTTGAAAATCGTTATCCGACCAATGTACTCGAACCCGCCATTGCACGGTGCACGAATTGCGAGCACGATCCTGACCAACTTTGAGCTGTACTCGGAGTGGGAAGCCGAGGTTAAGGGCATGGCAGAAAGGATCATCAGCATGCGTGCGCGGCTGTACGACAACCTGGTGTCGTTGAACACTCCTGGCGAGTGGAGTCACATCAAGAGCCAGATCGGCATGTTCAGGTGAGCACCCGCCGTGGAAGTCGCCGTTATACGCTCCACTCTTTGATGTGGGGTGCGCTGGTGCTGACATTGGGGATGTGCTAGTTTCACGGGCCTGACGACGCCGCAGACGCAGACGCTGGCGGAGAAGGCGCACATCTACATGACTGCTGACGGGCGTATCTCGATGGCCGGCTTGAACGCACACAACATCGACTACTTCTCGGAGAGCGTGAGCAAGGCCGTGAAAAGCGAGCTCTAAGCATCGCTGGACGCCTCTGGACGCCGTCTGGATTGCGAGGACGGGGATGCTATGGACAGGCTTGATGTAGATGCGGTCATAGACGGGCTAATCAATGGGTCTGTTGTGTAAGATCTATTCAACTGCGGTCTGGTTTTGTTCTGTCTTCATCATGATGTCGTGTTGAGGCTGTTCTGTGTTGACAGCGGATTGCTTATTGTGAGAACTCGGTGAGTTGGACGTGTGGAATGTCCCGACGCCAGTTCGCTGCCAGCGCCCGCCGTGAAGCCGCCTCGGCTAGCGACGTGAGGTAAAGTCGACCTGTTTCATCCATTCAACGCGATCGGCAACAGCGACGAATGAGGATCGCCGGACTCCTTTAATGGCAGGTGTTGTGCTTCACGTCAGATCCGGATGCGGACTTCTCTTTCCCTTGCGCATCTATGACGGCCGTCCCTGCCATCTCCCTGGCCAGCGCAGGCCTCTGCTCTCTCTTGTCTCCTGCCTCCATCTCCCTCGCCCCTCGACACCATGGCCCCCTCCTTGCTCTGGCGCCGCAAATCGTCTACGCCTCGCTTCCCAGGTGCTTGGCCGAACACTTCCGTGTCCAGTCATGCCTCTCACGTCCCGGTCCCGCAACATGATCCTCCACCGCAACTGCCCGAGCTGTTGCACATTCGTCCTCGCTCGCGCGGACGGGATGATCATGCGCAGGATGATCAGTACAGTCTAAACGAAAGAGGGCTCGGGTGGGGATTTCCGACTACATCGGAAAGCCATCCAGTTGGGGGCGATATCGCATCGGGTCCCCAGCGTTGGTGTAGAGAGAACCCAGACCCGGACGAGAACGCGGATAAGCCTCTCGCATTTCAGACCAGTCCCGCATCGGGTATGGCCCCTTTGAGCACCAGCTTCTCTCAAGATTCTACTTTTACCGAAGTCACGGCAAGCCTACATATATTGCCAATACATGGGGCATATGCTCATTCATAATTTACGTGTCCAGGACTCGGAAGGTGTACTTACGCCAGACTCTTTCAGTCGTACGCCGTGGGCGCCGTTACCTACAGATCATTCACAGCATTCTAAATCGCAATCCAACATTGTGGCTGAGACGCAAGACAACAACTTTTCCAACAGCATATCCTCCAGGCACGATACCATAATCAGCCCTATACCCGTACATCCCAGTATACCCCCAAGTGCAAGTGACTGTGCCAATTATACAACAAGCCGTGTCTCTACCACATATTCGCATTCCCCCATGCTCGACTTCGTTCCTCCCCTTACATTGTCTACTCTCAGCCTCAATTTGACCGGCATTTCCTACCATACCGCAGACGACGACAGCCTGCCTGCACCTCCCTCGCCGCATTCTCCCTCGGAATCGACCCCTTCGTCCTTCGCCATTCCGTCGCCCTATACGGGAGGCATAGCACTTCATGCATCGGTTGAGATGGCTTCGACCTTCTTCCCTGTCCCGAGCATACTCTCAGCTCACGGGATCAGGCAGACGCCAATGAATCACTCTGCAACCTCGCACTCAGTATCGTCGTCCCTTCCATCGACTTACAGCTTTGCAGACTCTCCTGTCCTTCCCACCGACGCGAACACTGGACTTAGTCCAAGTCCACACCCTCCGCTGACTGCACCTCTAGCTATCCCTGGGCCTTACTTGTCGCCAACCTCGACAGATCTGGATGCCTTTGCACGCGCAGCTGCGGCTGCAGCGTCTGCAACGAGTTCTTCTTTGTCCCTACCCTCCATCGGTCCCTCTAACGTTGGGCCTGATGAGTCCTGCGACGAGGTCCCTTTGCGTGGACGCGCATATACCGCTGGGTCAGGGGCGCCCAGCCCCGCTCTCGCTGTCACTGAATGTTCCAGTCCAGAACCCACACCGAGTGAGAGTGACGAACCTCCTGCGTTCTCGGCGCAAAGACGCGACCGCGACCCCACGTGTCTGCCCCGCATAATGGCCACGGACAGCATACAGGGGACCGCTAGAGCTCGTAGGCGGAGCGAACCTGCATTCAGTGCTCCTTACGACCCGGTCATCCCGGTCATATCAGATCGGACGATCAGCAGTCGCGTAGACGTTGGACACGACCAGGCATTACGTACCGGAGGATTTGATCGGGAGCGGCCCGTAAAACTCCTTGTCTTCGGGCGCATGAAAAGGATTGGTGGCAAAATATTGAGTCTGTTGTCAGGTGGCAAGGCTAGCGGAGGAAAAGCGACTGGCGGACGCCAAAAATCGGTCGAAAGCGACTTGGGTGGAGTGCGCAGGATGACCACGACCTCCGTTACGAAGGTAGAATACAAATCGGTGTGTATATGCGCCCGAAAATATCTCTTCATGAACTGCTCTCTGACACAACGATAATTGCACCTCGACAGGAACATCCTATACCTGTTCCAGAGACTCCCGCTCGCAACCCTCGCGTCTCGCGGCGCTCGCTCGCAATGCCAATCCCTGTTACTATCTCTCCTACCCATCCGCCACGGACGCCTCAGAGAAGCTCATTTCTTCCAATTGAGGACGAACATGCAAGTCGATCCTTATTGTCAAGGCCATTCCGCAGTCGAGCGGGCACCCAGGTACATCCGTCGGCGGAGGCCGACGTCGATGCTGGGATGAACATCATGCCCGTCATCGACACTACGCCATACCATCGTGTTATCCGGGCGCGCACGCAGACAGCCCCTGCAGTCACCATGAACGCACCATCTCCGTTCATGCGCGAGGATGCCCCAGACGCTATAAAGCGGCGTCGGTTCTCCCTGTCGTCTGCATTGTCCAAGTCGCGGATGGAAACACTGAAGGCGACGGTAGTACCGCACCCCCCAGTCCCCAACTTCCCTCGGTCGACTCTTGTAGATCCCATTGTGAGGAGTACCATCGACAGGCCAGTGCGGCCAGTGAGCATGATCTCCGGAGCCGGACTCGACGCGAGGCAAAGTGAGGGGAACATCCGCGCCGCCGCGCTCAAGGATGGTGCGAAGCAGGGAAGACGGAAGAGCAAGAGACCAGTCAGCATGGGGACTGGCGGTCGTTTTAGCAGACACGCCATCTCCGAATCCCTAACTCGTCGCACTGTTCCGACAGCAATGGGTAGTAGTGGCGCTTCACGCGAGGGCAGGACGAAAGGGTCATCGAAACCGACGACCATGTTACTGGGACAGGACCCCTCGGTGAGGCAGAATTGGGTCGAAGCATATGGGCCACGGATCAAAGTCTACCGGGCTCCAGAAAGCGAAAAGGAAAACGATGCAGTAGAAACCGATGCACCATCCATGACTCCGAGGACTCATGCTCTCCGCACGCTGGAACATGGTCGCTCTCCGCCTACATCAAGGAAATCAGAGCGAACATCTCCTAATCTCTCCAACGCCGTTAAGCTTCCTGATAACGCGACCGAATCGCCTGAATCATCCAAGGATGGCAAGACATCTCGCAGGTTTTCTCTTTCATCTGCAATCTCCAAACGCGCGTTGCGTGCGCGGAGCATGATTGTTTCCGTCAGCAAGCGGACCAGCGACATGGACTCTGCCATCGAACCCCAAATTCCAATCACGCCCCCTGGGCGTCGCGCACGCGGCGGGACATTCAGTACGATCGTCGATGCTGGCGTGCGGTTTGACATGCTGACGCCTGGTTTGGAAAATTCTCCGTCTCAAGCTGTCGGTCAAAATGGCGTGCCAGGCCTCTCGATGAACCCGGACGATGTTATGACAGAGTCCGAGGACGAATATGCCCCTGCCGAGTCGGAACTAGACAGTATGAGCTTTGCGCATACCGCGACAATGCAAGACAGCGATTTCGGCAGTTTGTTCGAGCGATATGCGGATGTGGAGTCTTCGCACGCTGGATCAGTACTCGCGGACTCCCAGAATGACCACGAGGTTGGTCTTGAAGAGAATGTACCGATCGCAAATCCTATCACGACCAGCGGGCTTGGAGAACCGTTTGGAGGCAGTCTTCCGGTGATGAAGCGGCTCGAGCTGAGCCCGGCCCTCAGCTCTGGCCAGGAGTCATCTGTAGGTTCGGATGCGGACGATCGAGCTGCGGAGGAAGAAGAGGAAGACCGGGGATTCATGCGCGCATTAGGGCTCGACTTTAATTGTGACCGTGAGCGAATGGCCGAGGTTGGATGTTAAGGTATGGTCAAGTGTGAAGCATATTAAAGATCGTTATAATCATGGACTGGATAATCATCATGCAGAACCTCCCCCTATGTCCGGAAGTGTTATGTTCATCGTGAGCTTGTATCGTTACTTTGCACGGGATACGCATAGAATACAATTCGCGGCACCGCAATAATGTGATTGCAGTGTAATAGCAACCATGTTACTCGCAGAACGCTATGCAAGGCATCGAAAACACTGATGATCATGGTGCAAGATTCGCCGGACGTCCGCGAGATGAGCGACACGCGAGTTTGCAACATGAAACCTTGACGAATGCTATAGGCTTATGACACACCGCATTATATGTCTAAATCCTCGTCAGGATCATCGTCATCAATATCATCCGCTGAATCCGGATCATATAGTATGGCCGCAGTGTCTTCTTTTATTGCGCTCGTTCCTGTAAAGCAGGTCATGTCAGGCGCGAATGCAGCCGACTCAATTATAGATCTACCTTCGTGGGCATAAGGCAGCGGGACTTGGGCTCGCAATTGCTGCTGTTGTGGTGTCAAATTGAGATTAAACGATAGATTTTGTGTAGGGTCGGGACCACTCTGAATAACGGAGAACCCTCAATCAGTCTTGTGTAGTTGTTGGAACATGCCACACACCTCTTCGACTACCTTTCGGAGCCATAGGCTTTTGAGGTCATCAAGCTCGCGCAGTTCGCAAGGCGAACCACCTTGATTATCGGCCGCCCAACCTTCGAGAACACGTTCAACTCCTCGTCTCCGTCCAGGTCCATCCGCGCCTCGGACGAGAACTTCTAAGACGAAGTCGCTACCACCCGAGCCTGCGCCGCCTGGTCCGAAGACCAGCTTCTCGGCTTCATAGTGTCGTTCCGCGATAGGTATGAAGACGCGCCAGAACTTCTCTGGAGGGGACAGTGGTGGGGGCGGCGTGAGGTACTCCGCCGCGACGTGTTTGATTAAGGCAGCGGGATGCGCTGTGATGTGGGCAATTGACGAGGAGAATCTAGTCTGTGTGACAGCAGTAATTACAGGTGACGGGGCGAGCGCGTGCAGGACGAGCCGAAAGGTAGCTGAGGATAGAGATCAGATGTCGGCTAACGCGTTGAACAAGGTCACTTACTTTCTCTGGTACGTATGAACTTGACCAATTCGGACAGAAAGCGCTCTGTCTTTGCAAGCGAGCCTATGTCTGAGTGCAAAGTATCGACAGAGTCGATGATGACCGTCAGAGGCCCTGAGGCTGCTGCCCGAGCCCCGTCAAAACCCTTCCAATAACCACAAGATACTTGGTAACCTACCGGAACGGACGTGCTGCAGAATGCTCTCAGGCACATCTAGCGACTCCTCTCCGTAACCCGGAACATGTCCTGTCCAGTCAAAAGCACGGACATGCTCAGTGTCCTGCTGACTCGCGTCCAGGAAAGATGCCGGTGGGTAGAGTAGGCAAAATAGCAGCGTGGTCCCCGAGGCACCTCCGCTCGCCTGACGCACAATATATTGGACAAGGGGAACACATGACTGTGCGGTCGAGGATTGCAGAAGCAGCAAGGGCTGCCGACTCCGAGAGGAGCTCGTGAGAGTGGATGAGAGAAGAGGTGACATTCCGTGGATAGACGTTAGCGGGAGGCCCGTGATCCCTCTCTGTCCCAATCGCTGCTGCACATCTTGTATAATCCTCACATAAAGTTGAGAGGCCATGGCAGGTTCACAGGTATGATTGTACCAGCGGATACTGAATAATTGTGAAGGCTGATACTTTGGCCACTGGCCAGATTCCCTTCCCGGTCCACCACTCTCTCGAAGCCCTTCCTGCAGACTCGAGGATCCGGAAGTTATATTCAGAGGACATATTCCCAAATGGTAGCGTGGCGCGCTGGCTATATGCGCGCAAGGCTCGTGTTAATTCAATGTGATTTGTTGCACAGGTAATTATGTTGAACTCCCGTACGGGCGCACCCGTTACTGGCTTCTGGGACCTGAGGACGGAATTAAGGTACAGAAGAGTGCTCGACGCTGTGCTCCGCATATATTCTGATTGCTCGTTGTACAGCTGGTCCTCATACATGGTCTATCCACTCCCAGTGTGACATGGACTCATATCGCCCCGTACCTGGCCGCTCGGGGCTTCAGAGTTCTGATCTACGGTATGGACGAAGGCCCTCACAGTTCCCGACATCCAATAATCGGGTCGTACAGATCTATATGGCAAAGGTTACTCGGAAGCGCCCAAGACACATTACTACACGAGTCTGTTCGTTACACAGCTCGCACTCTTGCTGCAGTACCTACGCTGGGAGAGTGCCCACATTGGTGGATTCTCTATGGTACAATTCACTCAGAATGCATACATTGTATGCGCACTGACTAATGCGCACGGCGCATAGGGCGGAGGGATAACTGCTGCCTTCGCTGCGACGCTCCCTCACCTCGTTGCCGGCAAGATCATTCTCATGGCCTCTGCAGGCGTTCACGATGTCAGCATCATCCACCTAGTTCTTCTAGAAACGAGACATGACGTGGCATGGTTATACAGAGACCATCTGAGAGCGCCAAGGAATCCAGACAGGCCGTGAGTCTAACAGGCTTCCTGCCTGATTGTCTCAGATGACGATAATGTACCTGTAGCCGACAAAGAGCCCGATCCCTCAATATGAGGAGGTACAGCAATTTTTGTGGCGCATATATTCCTCTGAACACTCACCTCCATCACCGCCTTAGTTGATCTCTCTTCAGCACGAAGTCCTCCCTGGCTATTCAGCCGGGGTAGCGTCATGCTTCAAGGATGGCCCTATACATGATCTTCTATGGGCGTTCGATCGTCTAGCCAGTGCCCGCGTCGACTCAGGAGCAGAGCTGCAAGTGCTCATCATACATGTACGTCCTTCGAGGACATCGGGTACATGGTGTCTATTCTGATTGCCTCCGGTGATGTAGGGTACTGATGACCCAATGGTCCGATACGCCGATGCTTTAGAGATTCAGCGACGGATACCGACGGCGCAGTTGGTGGCTGTTCAGGGCGGGGAGCACGACATGACGGTTAGGGAGGGACACTGGGAGCAAGTGGCAGAGAGTATTCGCGCATTCGTCGCTGACTAGGCGTTTGTATTGCGGTGTACAATTAACTATGTGGAAGATTCTGTAGTAATACTTAGAACGAGTAACGTCGGTTCATCACGACTTCCAGCCCTTCCTTCTTAGAATGTGCGTGCTGTTTTGCCACCGTAACATTCCAACCTTTTCCGTCTTTGCCTCCAGCTGAAAGCGTGCCTGACGCAACGCCTCGCTAACGTATGGCTTGAGCGGAGTATCCGACGCCCGAATAGTCTGTACCTTCGGGTCCCGACTGAACGCCATCCTGACAGCATGCGTAAGGAGGTCATGTTGTATGCCGGCCGGACGATACAGCTCCTCGACATAAAAGTGTCGGATTGTTGCGGTGCTGGATGTACCCTTTGTGTATTTCACCTTGCCATCCCTCGTCTTAACCGGGGGTGCGGACGTTGAGATGGTCTCGGTTGAAGTAGAGTCGGATGATGCGTCGAGCGCGATAAGACCTACAAACTTGTCACCGAGCTCGAGGATCCAGAGGCCAGAAGAGGGCGAGCGGGAGTAGTACGAGGGGATGTCGACGAGGTCTGGGCGGCGGAGGTCGTCCTGCGCCCTGTCTTCGAATGTCGGGCGATTGAGCCTACGGATGCAATTCGTGTCAGCCCACGTGAGGGGATAAACACTATGCATACGAACCAGTCGCAGAGGAACATTATTGGGACCGCCATAGACGCGAAGGCTGGAAGCGGACTCAAGTATCCCAGATATCCGTGTTCTGGTTTTGGCAGCCAGCCCACCACCTGAGCGAATATACAGGACAACCCGATCCATATGGCAAGGGTCAAGGGATGAAAGTACGCTATATAATCGTGAGTATGGCTGTTCACAAGACACAGACAAGCACATACCTCGTTTATTCGCGACGGCAAGAGCTTCCATGTCGTCCTTGCCGATAATAAATTGGACGAGTTTCTTGTCCTCGGGCTGGTACAAGCGAATTCTGGCGACAGGTTCAACCATGGTCGGACGAAATGGGGTCGAAGAGGATGAGGGAGAAATGCCGAGTAGCAGTTTCGAGCATTTTGAGGACGGCAGATGGTGTTCCTGGTGAACGCACGTTCGTGAAGGAGGCGCCGAGCAGTCGATCGAAAGAGGTACGCGAGATTCCATCGCTACTCGCCGCTCGGAGATCGCCGGACACTCCTGTCAGACTCCACCACCATGCTTATCCAGAAGACCTTCCACGACGTCCCCTCCAAGCTCGACCCCAATGGGCGCAAGCTTCGCATCTTCGTCATTTCGCCCAACGTTCCTAGCTACCCGCACGCCAAGTTTCCAGGTAGTCTCGGCTCATGTCGAACTTATTTCATTTTGGACTGATAAGGGATCAAGGCGTTGTATGTTTCAGGTATGTCGTCATACGTGCCGCCATACCAATGTTAACCCAACACCCTCGTTTCAGCGAAATCTATCAGGTCACTGGCCCTGTAGAACGCTTTGCGGGCCAGATCGCCAGTCATGGATACGTTGTGGGTCCGTGGGTCCACTCGTGCAGTCGTTGTCTTAAATTCAACAAACTGTACAGCGTGCCCGTCGAGCTACCACGAGTTTCAGGGTCCCGAGGCCATCCCGTACGATGCGGAAGGTATGCATAGTTTACGCTTAGTGACCGTCGACGCTACTTCTTCTCACGCTGCTATCACAGGAACTGACAGAGGAAATAGGTTCAAGGTGTGCTGCTATAAGGACGTATACATGCTTTGATCAGCTCTGATCCTTGCACAGATTGAGAAGGAGCTCGCCGCCTACGATGAGGTACAAAATCGAGCTATCATACATATCTATGGTGAAGTAAGCTAACATACTCGACAGGACGCGACAATCACGATCGACCTTCTGTGTTCCCTCACGAACTGCAATGGGAGGATTGCCGGTTTGTCGTGAACCGCACAAGGCGCATATATGCGCTCTAACCTGACCGCACACAGCGACTGGCATGTGTCTCGGGGGCCATCTGGTGCGTCTTACTGTCTCACGCTACCGACTGCTCATCTGATCCGTCATCAGGCGTTCCGCGTACGCATATGTGGTTGTGAGACTCACACGATGTTGACATCGCTACACAGGCCGCCTTTGACGCGCGTGTTTTATCTTCCGTGTGCTTTTTTGCCACGGACGTGCACAGCGCCACGCTCGGCAAGGGCAAGAACGACGACTCCCTGGTCCGCGTCCGACGAGGCGAACTCACAGGCAAAGGCGAACTCGTGGTACGTCTGAAGGCCCGTCCCGGCCCGTGATTGTACATGATTCAGCAGAGCTGACGACGTTGCTTCGAAGATGATATTTGGGAAACAAGTACGCGTTCATCCTTCATTTCAATACCTAGCCTCGTCTTAATGCCCGCCTCTCTGCTGCTCCAGGACACGCACGTTCCCCGAGCAGGCCGAGACTTGATCAGAAAGGAGCTCGAAGACGCGAACGTCACTACGACAGTATGTGTTTTCCAAGCTTTCGTGCTACTCGATATGACAACGCCTGCAGTTCCTAGAGGTGCAAGCACAACATGCCTTTATCCGTGACGAAGAGTCGAAAGGCCGATGGGACGCAGCGCTCACCAGGTCGATCTTCAGCTTCCTGTTGGAGGTGTTTGAGCGTAATGTAGGACGAGACCTGGGCCCTAGGAGCAACGATGCTGTTGCTGTTGAACACATCTGTTGAGGTGCAGAATGCGTGAAGGTGCCGAATACGTCTGTTAAGCTGCTGCATGTGCATGTACGTTCAGGATACATCAAATTTGATATCGCACACTGCAGCGACATATTTCGGTCTAACGCTAACGATACGTACTGCACCGGGTTTTAGCTATGACTCTCAAACGGCATGCTAGGGAGATTTGAGATGCTAGCGATACAGACGATGCCACTTCATTCGCGACAACCTTGCACATTACTGCACATTCGACGGGAGCGTCCCCGTCGGTGTTTTCGTCAACGTGAATACAACAATTGCTGGTAACACAGTAGAGGATCGGAGCACCATGCGAGATGAGGGAAAGAGAAGAGAAATAAACCGAAAGAAAGAGAGAGTAGTCTATACAGTTTACTTCTTCTTGCCCGCCTTCTCCGCAGACTTCGTCACTGCAGAAGGATCCTTATCAATAACGATGATAACATTTGCTAGAAGTAAAGACGTACCCTTGCCACCCGACTTGTCAGTCTTGTCAACGGACTTGATGATACCGACAGCGACTGTCTGTCTCATGTCGCGCACGGCGAAACGACCAAGAGGTGGGTACTCGTTGTAAGACTCCACACACATGGGCTTGCTTGGCACGAGCTTGGCAATGCAGGCATCGCCAGACTTGACGAACTTGGGAGCCGCTTCGAGCGACTTACCCGTTCGACGGTCAATCTTCTCGATGAGCTCGGCGAACTTGCAAGCAATGTGCGCGGTGTGGCAGTCGAGTACAGGCGCGTACCCAGCACCAATCTGACCGGGGTGGTTGAGGATGATGACCTGAGCGGTGAAGGACGCAGCCTCCTTGGCGGGGTCGTTCTTGGAGTCAGAGGCGACGTTACCACGGCGGATATCCTTGACCGAGACGTTCCTAAACCAGCCGTTAGTGAAGGGGCGCAAAAACGTCAAAGACTAGAAAACGCACTTGACGTTGAAACCAACGTTGTCACCGGGAACACCCTGCTCAAGCTGCTCGTGGTGCATCTCGACGGACTTCACTTCCGTGGTCACGTTTGTAGGAGCGAAAGTGACCACCATACCAGCCTTGATGACACCAGTCTCAACACGACCGACGGGCACCGTGCCGATACCACCGATTTTGTAGACATCCTGGAGGGGAAGACGGAGGGGCTTATCCGAGGGACGGACGGGAGGCTCAATGGCATCGATGGCGTCAAGCAGGGTCTTGCCCTTAACAACACCGGCCTTCGTCTCCTTGGTCCAGCCCTTGTACCAGGTCATGCTACGAGACGATGAGACGAGTATGGATGAGAGAAAAGCGGACCTAGACATACTTGGGGGACTCCTCCAACATGTTGTCACCGTGCCACCCGGAGATGGGCACGAAGGCGACAGCCTTCGGGTTGTAACCGACCTTCTTGATGAAGGTGGACGTCTCCTTGACGATTTCGTTGAAACGGTCCTCGCTCCACTGGAGAGACGGTCATTATAACTGAAGTAAAATGTCAACAGAAGACCAACCTTGGTCGTGTCCATCTTGTTGATGGCAACAATGAGCTGCCGCACACCAAGCGTGAAGGCAAGGAGGGCGTGCTCGCGAGTCTGACCGTCCTTGGAGATACCGGCCTCGAACTCACCGGTACCGGCGGCGATGATGAGGACGGCGCAGTCGGCCTGGGAGGTACCAGTGATCATGTTCTTGATGAAGTCACGGTGACCAGGGGCATCAATGACCTAGATATCGCCTTGGTTAAATCGTAAACCGGGCATTATGAGATTTGCGTCTTACGGTGACCATGAACTTGGGCGTCTCGAACTTCCAGAGGGCGATATCGATCGTGATACCACGCTCACGCTCAGCCTTGAGCTTGTCGAGCACCCAAGCTGCAGACGGCTGGTCAGATGGCTGGTATGAGATACAGCCAGAAATACACACCATACTTGAAGGAGCCCTTGCCGAGCTCAGCGGCTTCCTTCTCGAACTTCTCGATGGTACGCTTGTCGATACCACCGCACTTGTAGATCAAGTGCCCAGTCGTGGTCGACTTGCCGGAATCGACGTGGCCGATGACTAGAAAATGTCAGATATTACGACGATTGCCTCCGATCATGGTGATCGGACTTACCGACGACGTTAACGTGGGTCTTCTCCTTTCCCATTTTTTAGGCTGCAAAAGATTGTGATCATAAGCATCTGCTGCTCACGAAAGCGATGGACAGAAGCCCACCGCCTCCGCTGCATGGGAGTGGATCAGCGGAGGCAGGTCGCAAAATTTTCGTTTCACGTTATCGCGGTGCGCTCACACTAATCCGCCCCCAGGATAGCAGAGGAAAGCGAGAACTGGGACAGAGGAAAACACGACCGAAAGGAAAAACTCACCTTGAGCGTAATGAAGGTGTAGGAGCGAGAAGGACGGGCGAGGGGAAGATGAGGGTAAGAGGAAAGCTGTGGACGATCTGGTGTTTAGGCTTATGTAGCCGCACGGCCTCGGAAAATTTCCCGATCGATGTTTGATCAGATTGCACTGACTTCCAGCTCCGGCCGGCGCCCCGGTGCCGGCCCAGCCGCCGCTCTGATTGGCCGCAAGGGTTCTCATTCCGTGATATCCCTTCCCCTCCGCCTGTTCCAGCCCGCCGCGGCTCCAACTGCAAGAAATTTATTTTCAATCTGTTCTCTATCGTACATGCCGAGTAAACTGCTACATTTGAGGAAGCGACAGATAATGATTCGAGGAGCACAGCGTGCGAGATTATATGGAGACAGTGAGTTTGTATGTCGACGATAGCAAACGAGCAGTGTATGGCACAGAACGATCCATGAGTACAACCACACGATAAATTAGACGTAAGTATGAGAGGAACCGTGGGGTTGGTGTATGCACATCCTTCGAAACCTTCCGAAGCGGAAATGCTCTTGACAAGGTCATCAGATAACATGGCTGTAGGGTGAACGCTTGTTATAGATTTCCTCGCATCTGATGGCACAAGGCAGGTTGGCACGCACCTGAACCACGCGGTCTATCTCCCTCGACAATCTACTGGATCAGGGCTTCATTCCCCACCCCCCTCGCCCACTCAAGAATCGGCTTTGCAAAATTGTCTGGAAGGTGGGACGCGCGCCCACATCCACCTGCAGGCACGCTCGGACAAGCGCAGCAGCGTCTCCGAGAGCGCCGCCTCCATCAGATTCTTCGCCCTCTAGCTCTTTGTCATCGGCACAACGTTCGTCGAGCGCTATCGCGGCGTTTGAGAATGGTGACTCGAGACCTTCCTGAGCCTCAGCGGCAGTAGTAAACGGACACTCTCCGACAACCATGACATAAGCCACCACTCCAAAAGCCCAAACGTCCTGTTCTTTGCCAAAATAGCGCTCGCCTCGGAGGATCTCAGGTCCCGCATAATCCAGACTGGACCGGAAATAAGACACGATTCACACAGAAATTATGCGCACACTCACGTGCCACTGAACGTATCCCACCCACCCTTCTTCACGAGGCCGGAACTGCCAAAGTCGATCAAAACGCATTTGCCTGCAGGTCCAAGCACGACGTTTTCATCCTTGATATCGCGGTGCACTATCTACCCATCAGTAATGAATAGACAACGCAGGAAGAGTTCGATGCTCACCGATGCCTTTGGAATGCAGGAAGCTCATAGCATCCGCGATCTGACCCAGATAGGACCTGATTGAGCTGGGGGGCAGGCCGTGGGGGTAGCTCTCGACAAGGTCAAATAAATCAGATGGCGGAGGCGGCTCTCCATCCTTGGGTTCTGGTGTGGTAGAGGGAAGTACGAGGTAGTAGTAATGGTTGTCCTCGAAAAAGTCCAGAAGAGGGCAGATGTTCGGGTGTCCATTGACTACTTTACCCTCTTGCCAAAAGTCATCGACCTCAGGATTACTTCGTGAAGGATCCCAAGGTCGGCGAGAGGGGAGGACGTATTGCGTCGAGGAGATAGCAGACATGACGTATATTTCTATCGGTATTGTTCCATACTTCGGATGTCTCTTCCAGCAGTCCGCCAATATTCGAGACTTGATGATTTGCTTTATAACGAGAGGCGGCTACTTGCGTTTCTCAGCATGCAGAACTTGTACAGGAAGAATGTGGCCTACTCACCCCCAAAGTTCCATCGCTGTTCATCTCCCTAGCACGTTTTACAAGGCCGTAAGCGCCTCTTCCGATCTCTCGCTCGATCACAAACTCAGAGATGCTGCGCTCGTTCAGGGTCTCTACCTCCGGATTTGGAGTGGGAGGACCTGTGCTAGCAGCTACGCTTAGAAAGCTAGCCGCACTATTGGCACGTACAAGTGTCTGCGGTGCAGTCGGCGGCGGTGACGGAGGTTCAGCGGGTAGTATCGAGACGCGGCCTGCGATGAGAGAAACACGCTGCTGGGAAGACCGACGACGCGGGCGAGGTGCTCCATTGAGGCGTGGTGATGTAGGTGTACGAGACAAGGGAGGGCGGACTGACGACGAGGACGGAGACAGGGGACGCGGTGAAGTGGTACGTGCGGCAATATACGGAGAAGCGGGACGAGAGAGAGGTGGCGAGCGGGTCAGTGGCCCTGGGATGAAGCTCCCATAACCTGGGGACACCGAATGCAGGACAGGAGAGGTGACCAAGCCTGTGGATGGGCCGACTAGCAGGTTTTTGGTAGCAGCATGCGTATTGACTCGAGGTAGTCGAGGTTTCAAGGTGGCGGTAGCATCTCTGCTAGGAGCTGGAAGCTCGGGATGCAGCCGAAGATCCTGATCTGCGGGCGCAGCCTTGGTGTCTTCGTCCTGCTTGTGCCAGTCGAACCCTCGGCCTATTGATGTCACTCCCCAGCTGTTGCCTACAGAGGCCGCTCGGAATAGTTTCTGATCGGGTGGCGGTGCGATCCAGTCATCGTCGTCAAAAGCAAGGTCAATGGTAGCGGTGGTAGCAAGCATGTCGTGATGGTGGTGAGAAGCAGCGTTAGCGTCAACAGATCTCGCAGCCTTGGTGGCCGACGAGAAGGTTGGTGGGGCTGAGGATCGCCGGGATCGGGAAGGCGGCTTTGGGGGGATCGTCCACGTGCGCGCAGGCCCGCCGCGGAGCCTCCGCCCAATGGTCACCCAGAGAATGTCTTCGTCGCCGCTTGAGTCCTTCTCCTCGTCGCTCTCGGCCCCACGAGGGCTCTCGTACGTGTTCATGGTGTGCACGAGCCCCACTATCTATCTCCCTCTGGCGTTCGCTTGTTATCGCTCTTCATGTGATACGCATCGCCCTTCAAAGGGGCTGCCTGCTGCCGATTTGAGGCAGAGACCGTGGAAAGTGCAGCGCACGGCTATGCTGGTCTCGGATTTCCGCCTTATCCGAAACTGGATGTGCATCCGACACCAGTTGGATCAGATGCGAAGTCTTCAGCTGCCAAATGGCCACATGATAATTCGTTGCGGAAGCGACCGCGCTTTCCGTGGTCATTTTACTTGCAGTGCATGGTCCCATTTGTTGCTTGAAAAGTAGTATACCGACTAGTCACTCTGTCCTACTCTTCGCACACCGTTCAGCCATAAGTATGAATTCAGATTTTATATCGGTCTGAAGAGGCTGGAATATTAGAGATCGGTGTTGGAGATCAAATTCAGAGGACATCATATCACGTGATTGTCGGCATCGTGCGACCGATTCGCATTTGGTGTGCTCTGGTATTCGACACAGAATCCCGCCGCTACCCTCAAGACCCTAAAAGCTGTGAGTAGTGCATCCTTTATCGCCCAGCCCGACACGCAGGTTCTCTACGGGCAGAATGATACAAATATCATCTCGGGAAACGATCGGAGGATGATGGATTGGTCGGTCTGCCCACGGATGAAGCAGCATCTTGCACACTTCAGCTAGACGTCCTGTACTCCTCGAGAACCTGCACGCACTCTGCTTTTTCATAACGGTATTGAGGTTCCCTCTCGTTCTAGGCGAAGATGGTCAAGGTTCCCATTGTCAAGAAGCGCACGAAGCCCTTCAAGTACGTTCTTTCACTAATACTACTCCTCCTAACTAATACTTTCGTAGGCGCCACCAGTCTGATCGTTATAAGGGTGTGAAGGAGGCATGGCGGAAACCCAAGGGTATTGATAACCGAGTGCGGCGCCGATTCAAGGGCCAGCTTCCTATGCCCAAGGTATATCCGGTGCACTCTCTGTCAGAGTCGGGGGACTAATTTCTGCACGTAGATCGGCTACGGAAGCAACAAGAAGGTACGCTGGCGTTCTCATGGTGGTATTGCCGTATTAATCACCGTTCCTTCAGACCCGGCATCTTCTTCCTAACGGCTTGAAGAAGTTCCTCGTCAGCAACGTGCGGGAAGTTGACTTGCTCCTGATGCACAACAAAAGCTTTGCGGCAGAGATTGCGCACAACGTCAGCAGCCGTAACCGCACAGCAATCCTTGAGAGGTAGGTTCTCGTTTCCAGCCTTTCAAGTCAACATGGTGCGATGAACTTTTTGCAGGGCCAAGGTGTTGAGCGTCAAGGTTACGAACCCTGCGGCTCGCCTGCGGTCGGAGGAGTAATCGGTCATCATTCTCGCATCTGTCTCGTTACTACTCTGCATATCTTGCCATGTACTATTCCTTCTATGCCGGCATAAGCAACATGCGACCATGTTTAGGCCATATCATCTGCGTATGGGCGTTAAAGTTGCATTCTTGAGTGATCGTCAACCTACTCAACACCGGTATTCTGGATGCAAGCTAATGCTCCTGGTTTGCAGTGACTGATAGTTCAATGCCTTTATGATTTGCTATCCCTACGTCATCGCCGTTGTCGATAGCACGGATACGCGCCCCACTTTGACTTAGTGAAGGCGCACGTGCCGTGCTACGAGCGGATTCTGTTCGTATCGATCCTAGTATTACTAGTTCCTTTGCCCCATCTACTCACTAACTTCACTCTGAGCTAGAGATGTCTATCAGGTATGTCTGCAGTATTATATAGCAGCTGGTGGTCTAGGTCTAATGCATTCCAGGAAAGCAACACATGCCGATTCATGGTATGTCGGTGATCGTACGTGATTGAACATCGTATACGATCGAGCGTTTACTCCTGACCGAGTATTAGGACAGAAGCTCGATACAGAGCTGTCGGCATACTTAGCGACTGTGAAAGCGGATCCTGAGGAAGACTTCGTCCCTCCCATCAAGGGATGCAAGGCTATTATAGCACCGTACGATTTCAAGCGGATGTTCACTATTCGTCTCAGTTCACGCTCCCCAGCCATGCAGGATATTCTTACTCAGGACCCACGGCAGCATGGGCATACCGAAGCATAGATACCACAGGAATGTACGTCAAGCGTCCATCCGATACGCCATCCAGGCTCACGAACGGACTTATAGCAAGCGCGTCTTCATATTGGGTCCCTCACATCATGTCTATCTGGATGGCTGTGCGTTGTCGAGCTGTAAGGAGTATGAGACACCCTTAGGCGTCTTGCCGCTTGATCTAGACAGTGCGTATAGTCGCTTATTATTCAACATTGCACATTGGCTAAGTCGGTTAAGCCATCAACGAGTTGCGAGAAACGGGCAAGTTCGGCGACATGGACATCCAGACAGACGAAGACGAACATAGCATCGAGATGCATCTTCCGTACGTTCGGAAAGTTTTTGAAGGGTAAGAGTCGTTAGAATTTGGGTATGGTGATTTACTAAGATGATGCGCTAGACTTGAGATTTCTGTAGTTCCCATCCTCGTTGGGGCCATCAACTATGATAAAGAAGCAATGTTCGGTGCGATCCTAGCGCCTTACTTAGCTCGCGAGGATACCTTTTGCGTCGTCTCCAGCGATTTCTGTCACTGGTATGCCCTTGCGTTAAATTATTGCTCAGGGTTCTCTGTTAACCTCAAAAACAAGGGGTGCCCGTTTTCAGTATACCTTCTACTATCCAAAACCCCCTCCAACCTCGTTGCCTGCCGTCCGCCTGTCAAAAGCGGATCCTTCTCCACCCTCTTTGAAAACGCACCCGATACATGCGTCCATCTCTGCGCTTGATCACGAAGCAATGGAGATACTCACCATCCCGCCATTCACGGCTGCGCAGGCACATTATGACTTCGCCGAATATCTCGCGCGGACAAAGAATACTATTTGCGGAAGACATCCTATTGGTGTCTTACTGGGTGCGCTGACTGCGCTGCAGAAAGAAGGGAAGGTGCCGAAGTTGAATTGGGTCAAGTATGACCAAAGCAGCCAATGCTTCACGATCAAGGACTCCAGCGTTAGCTACTCGAGTGGTTATGTCAAATTCTAACGACACGGACGGTTGTAGTTCTGGGATCGTATACAGATCCAATGTTCAGGAATCAATGTAATATTAGCCTGTACAGTTCCGAATGTGATTCCACATGGAATTCTGAAAACTGTTTACATGCGCGATAGTTCTGGCAATTGTAGACCGACGGGTTCGTCCTCCTCCATCTCCTCTCCTCGAACTCCAACATCATCGACGACCTGTCCGTGCATACAGTTTGATCAATACACCCCTGGTCCAGGCAAGACTGAAACAGACCTTCCCATCGGCGATTTGAATATCCTCGAAGCCCCAGTCTCGAGAGGCTCCTTCCTTGAGGTGACTACCGTCTGCAACCCGCTTGGCATACCACTGACCGGTGACAGCCGTTTGCTTCTCATTTCGGCTCATTTCGGTAATAGAGCAGCATCCTACTCTGATGAGGAACGACCTATCGCCCAGGAGCTCCCTGGTTAGGGCGATGATCGTCGCAGCATGGCTCACGAGCAAAATCTTCTTATGCCTGTCGCCAAACCTTCGCTCAACCTCCGGGATGAGAGCTTTGAGCAGGCCACCGCAGCGGTCATGGCATTGCTCAACGTCCTCGCCCTTGCGCGAGGGGTACCAGATTGAGGCCCACGAGTCGTCGATTTCGGGGAAGAACTCCCGAAGGGCAGAGGCGGAAGCGGGGCGAGGGTGAAGCCCGGTCCCGGGGCTAGCAGGCGAGTACCATTCAGAGAGACCTTGCGTATATGCGTGAGATCCGCCTCCCCACGCGGTACTGGTCGTGCACATACCGTGTTCAACAAAGATCGGGACGTCCAACGCGACGGAAGTAGGGTTTGATGTCTGCAGGCAGCGATCTAGTACAGACGACTACGTTGATCCTCCGACGTTCAGCAATTTCATAATCCTCCAGCACTTACAATAAGGGGAGGAAAAGATGGCTGTCGGCCGCTCCTCAACAGGCAGGCCCTTGAAGTACTCTGCTAGCTCCTCAGCCTGGGTCAAACCGAAGGCGGCAAGAGGGGGATCGCGGGGCAAGCCTTGCCATCGTAGAATGATCCTCCCGCATCAATGTATGCTACATCGCGTTGTATCGACGACAACACACACACCTGTAACTGACTTCCTGAGTGGAAATGAGGTCGCTTTGCCTCTACATAAAGGGCATGCTTACCACTGAGTGGTCACCCAATTCAGCCGAAACCCTGGAATTCAGACAAGAAACGGTATCAGCACATTTGAATTACGCCAGCAGGCAGTGTCGTGAAAGGGTACCATGTCTGGCGATATAAATGGTCTCTATCGGCATTCGACACTGCTTCAAAGCTTCGAACTCAGCTCGATGAGGACTTGTTTGAGTTGTTACCTCGCGTTAGAGGCGCCGTGAAGATGTCGCATCAATACGCCTCCAAAACAAACGTGTCATCATACTCGTGTTGTATGTGACGGTGGCTAGCACCTCGAAAAGGGGAACTTCGGCGTTGCTCAGGGTCGCTCGCAGACACATCCGGTCGATCGGGACTGGTATGAAGCACATAACGATTCTCAGACGTGTTCAGACATACAGGGAAACTAGTTATGGTGGGCCACAGAACGTAGGATAATATCATGACATAGGCTTCATAACAGCGAAACATTTTGTGTCAGTGTACCAGAGCCTGTCGCAACGATAGATACAGAGACAGAGGGCAAAAAAAACCACATACAAATGAGGATGATGAGGTGCAGATATTTATGCAATCGCGAGATGAGGGAGGACAATGACTGAACCGTGGATGAGTGACCCAGTCACCAGGAACACTCATACGTTTGTGTTGTTGCATTTTGCTACGCCGCCTCGACATGTGTCACGCACATAAGTGGTTGATACGTGACTGTGTCATGTCGAGCTCAGGACAACGAGGGGAAGGCGGTCTGGTCGCCGACATCGACAATCGAGGTTGCGGCTCCATTGCCGTTGGCCCTGCCCCTGCCAGCACCGCGGCCACGGCCACGACCGCGACCCTCTCCACGGTCACCACCACGGTCACCACCACGGTCACCACCACGACCACCGCGGCCGCCACGCGAAGGACGTTCGAAACGAGCGTCGATCTCGAGATAGACCTTCTCCTCCTTCTTGGCGCGGGGCTTCGGGGCAGAAGCCTTATTCTGGAGAATGTGCAGGTCAGAACGAGGGATACCATGAAGTGGAGGCACGCTTACCTTTCCAACGAAGTAGGCAGCCTCGTCCTCGTCCTTCTTAGTGACAAGAACGGCATCCTTCCAGATGGAGTCGTCGCCTTCGTTGGCCTTCCTCGTCTCAAGCTTGGGGACAAGCTCAAGCTCCTTCTCCTTCTGCTGCTTGAGATATTCATCCAGGGTGAGGGTGTTGTCGTCCTCCTCGACCTCCCTGTCCCGGCCGCGTCTCTCGCGGTCTCCAGTGGGCGCCTCGGTCGGGGCGGCGGCGGCAGGAGCCTCATCGCCAGCGGGAGCAGAGCCCCAGGCATCGTTGTCGGCTGTTACGCCCCAGCCGCCATCGTCAGCAGATGGCGTGACTGGCTCAGCAGCGGCATCGTTGGCTGCAGCATCTTCGACCTTGCGTTCGGCTTCTCCTTCGTCGGCGCCCCAACCCTGGCTGACCTTTTTGTCGGAGTCGCTTTTAACATACAAGATGAACACCAACGCAAGCCTGGGTAAGGACAAAGACATACAATTTGCCGGTCTGGCTGTGCTTGTCGAAGGGGCGCCCTCGCCCGCCCCTTCCACGCTCACCGCCACGACCCCTTCCGCGACCACGGCCACGACCACGGCCTTCGCCTTCAACTGTTGACAATAGGGAATTTCACCAAAGGGACATGGGATAGTAACAGATATATCATCAGATCAACAAAGACTCGGCATAAAGGCCACTTACACTTCTTCTCTCCCTCGGCGGCAGGTTCCTCAGCTCCGTCCTGAGTCTGAGAAGCCTTCCCGCCTCTCTGGTAGTAGCGACCCCCGCGAGAGGCAGGGCCCGTTCGGCCCCTCTGACTGCCGCGGGAAGGAGCAGGGGTAGCAGCCGCGTCCTTTGTGGGCGGTGGCTTGGCGACGGGGGTGGACGGCCGCGAGGCGTCCTCGTCTATGTCCGTCAACATTGCAGTAGCAGGGCGACATCGAAGGTTCAGGATGCATGTATTCGGCGGCAGCGCAGTAGATAGACAGGTAGAAAGCACATGCGATCAACAAGTCTGAGTCTGAGCGACAGCCACCGGTACGGGACTGACCTTCCAGGAGGGCGAAAGAGTTTTTGCTGGCCACCGACATCGTTGGCGGGGCCTTTTGCAGTCAATCAGCAGGTAGTATTCCCTGGGCGGCGTGCAGACGGTCGAGCAGACTGGCGGGCGCTGAACAAAGGTAGGCTTGGGTACTCTCAGTGTACCAGACCCAGACCCCGGACGATCGTTTCGGGTCCCCCCATAAGCCACTGTACAGTTTATCGGGGCCATATAAACCGAGGCTTTTGCTCTCCTTCTGTTAACGCTTAAAACACAGGTGAGTTTGTTCGATGTCACTGGCGACGATAACATTGCTCATGAAGTTCTGTAGCCCTCAAAAGCATCTCGACGATGATTCGCCCGCCATTTTGGACTGGAGTGGGTCGAGGACCTCGAGACCGTCTAAACGGGCTGGAGATCAAGAAGACCGTGAGGTTGTGAACGATGAGACTTGGGTGCGGCATGCCTGTGCTTCATTGATGGGATTCATGTCCTAGCAGTTGGCTCTTCGTGGCTGCTGTATGGGTTATGTCGCAATGTCTCGTTGTACATTCCTTTTGTGCTGTTCAGTTGTTTGTGTATTCATTTAATCTCAATGGGTTCCCTGATCTCACGAACATCACTGGTTGTTAAGATTGATTAAATTTTTGCTGAGCGAGGGTTTGTGTGTTCACTGGTCGAGGAGATGCGGGCGGCAAGTGGGCAGCGATTACGGATCGAGGCAATGGTCGAGTCGATCTGGATGATGGCATTATTGGATCGGTGCCGGTGATGTGAACTCGGGCGAACCAGCAGGTCGTGACCACCGGGTGACTGCCCCGCGGGGCGCTGAGCCTGGCTCAGCCTGTCCTCCTCCACGGCGCGTCCGTCTCGCACCCCCTTATCCCGCAGCCGTCGCCCAGAGACATCTCTCCCTCTCCTCACCTTCCTATGGCTGGTAGACGGCTTGCCATTTCCTCCCTCTTGTGTGCCGACGACGACGCCCCCTCCGCGGCCTCCGGCGCATCTCACTCTTCGCCTCCATACTCGCCTCCTCGGCCAGGTTCTCTCCGACCTGTCGCTCTGCCTTCACCCCCGCGTCATAGCTTTCAGTCGGATAAAGAAATCTACCTAGCTATAGCTACAACAGACAACAGCGGTAGCTCCAGTCGTGATGTCTTGCCGCCGGCCCCCCAGTCCAGGTATCTGACCAGGCACACCCCTTCCCCTCACCCAGAGGAAGCAACGGTTCACCGACCGGACCTCCAACGCGACCACTACCCACGACAATCTGATTATTCAGGAGGCACAGCCAATTCCCCGGGGCCGTCCTATACATCGATCGACAACTATGAACACACCAGTTACCACGGCCGGCATCAACACCTGCAAGCAGATTCGTCGCACGATCAATTTTCTACACGAGGCCGTGACTCGTACGAACTTCCTTCACGCTCTCCGACGTCCTCGTATTCTGTAGTGAGACCGTCATCATCCTGGAGTACACAGCACGAGTCGTCGCCGACCTCCCAATCATACCTCCCCACGTACTCTTCCCACCCACAATCCCCTGTATGCTCCCCGGCTTCCGCATATAGCCTCTCACTGCAGAGGCACCCGTCACATTCGCCAGTCATGTCCACCCGTCCCAACGCCACGTCCCCTGTTCATTACATTCACCCCTTGACGTCGCCCCCGGGCGCGTACTTGCCATCTTCGTCATACTACCCTCCGGTCCACACGTCGGTCCGGCGTTCGTCCTTCACCGAATCAGTCAGCCCTCCTTTGTCTTCATCGTCCAGTCAGCAATTTGCCCCTGCACGAACCTCACAGACGCGTTCCACGTCTAACCCAGACATCCCACCAATGTCCGAGTCCCCTCCTATGTTCCGAAACTCTTCCGCGGCATCGCTACCGAACATTCTGAACGCGCCATCGCCATCTTCACGCTCGGGAGGAGGCTTAGCTGGGCTCGAAGCGTTGGCGCAAGCGGCCACTCAGGAGCGGAGAAGACTGAGTGGCGAGATAGCGGGGGTGGGCCAGGCCGGAGACGACGTTGGTGCGCGAATGAGCAGCAGTCCAATCACACAGCGCTCCGAGCTTCGTCTCGAGCATGTGCATGAAACGTATGTGAAGCCTTCTTCGCCTGTGGTTACACGCAGCCCAACACAACCTCGCCGCGACATCTCTACATTTGCCGAGAACGAGCCCGTAGCTGAAGGTGGATCGCGTCTCGAGTGTGAACCTCCCAGAAAGAGACGTAGAAGCTCTTCGCCGTCAAGCCACAGTGTCCCGACCGCTCATACGCTGCTTGCTGCTCCCCCTCCTGCCCTGCCGGCCCCTGCTTCAGACAAAGCCGAATCACCTGTTATTGCTTCACCGGCAGTCGAGTCCGGTGCAAGCCCTCTTTACCATCATCCTGGGGTGGTAACGAGAGCCCTCCAGGTCACAACTATCGACGTGACGCCAGATCATACGCGTCGTGTGCATGACAATGGTCCGGCTGAGCCGATGAAGAGAGCGCTCAGTGACAGCGTGAGTCAGGCCACTTCACCAAAAAGCAATGCTTCCCAGGTGGATATCGGTCCAGCGAAGCGGCCGCACAGCGATATCGTTGTCCCGGCTATCAGCCCTGGTGCGGAAGAGCAGCTTCTGGGCAGTGGCAAGGGGGCCGAGCGGCGACAACCGCAGGACAAGAAGGACAAGAAGAAGCGCGAGAAGCCTGCATCGAAGAAGGAAAAGGCGAAGGGTGCACCAGCAGAGCAGGTGCGGAATGACACTGGGCTCTCGAAGGACGACGCACGAGAGCAAGACCCTCATGAGTGGTTGCTCGAGCACTACTCCTCCCCCAGGGCGGCACACTTCCCCTCGCCTGCAGGTGCCAGCAAGCCCACCGCGTCACCGTACACTTTGAGACCCGCTTTCCCTGACCAGTTCAAAGCGGAAGTAAGCTTGGACTCTCCGCACCTCGATGCGGGCGCGACCGCCGACACAGTCGCAACCCCGAACACGGAGATGCGCACGCCCACTCCGCTTACTATCCTAGAAATGGAGCTGAAGGAAGCCGAGATCCCTAGGCAGACTGCCGCGCGGGCTGACGCGCACGACTCCGACATCACAATGGAGCTCGACATGGCTGTCAGTGCTACGCCGCCTCCAGCAGCAGGAGGCGGCGGAGACAACGACACCATGGAGTTGGACGTGGAGGACGAACTGTTGATGTTGCTGGACGACGAGCCTCGTAAGCCTCATTCACACTCCAAACACACATCTGTTATTCGGGATTCGTCCACGAAGCATGTGGTTTCGCCTTCGGCCGTTGGTGCTGCGTTGGATACTAGAGTCTCCCTCTTGTCCATGGCCAGGCAAACTAGTCATCCGCGGGACTCCATGCCCCCTCCAGCGTCCCCAGTTAAGGAGAGCTCAAGACCTGGCTCCGCGCAGCCGGCAGATCGGCAGGAGGCAACAGGTGGCACTGCCAACAAGAAGAAAGAAGCAGCAGAGAAGGTGAGGCGCACTCGTTTAGCATGTACCAACACACACTGATTTCATGCGTCTACAGTCTTCATCGAAGCCGAAAGCAGCTGCAAAGCCTAAGGCGAAATCTACGGCAAAGTCCAAACCTAAGGCGGCGAAAGATGGCTCAGTATCCGCAGCTAGTCCAGCGCCTGGCGCCCTGACCCCGTCTATGTCTACTTCGTCTGTGAAGGGCAAGAAGGCAACACCTCTTCTTGGCGTTAATGTCCCTGGGACGAAACGCGGTGCTTCTGCGGCTGCAGCATCATCGCGTTCGCGGTCTGCCTCGGTCATGCCGTCCGGATCAGTGGCGCCTGAAGCGGATGGGAAAGGGATCTTAGAAGCCGGGGCAGAAGGTGTTGAGAAGGATGTCATCATGGACGACAAGTTGTACTGCGTTTGCAAGACCAGCTACGATGAGGATCGTGTCATGATCGCTTGCGACAGGTAAGTTGTAGCCTGGCGCATATACTTCCTGATTGTGCCCTGACCATGTTCACTCATATGTTCAGATGCGATGAGTGGTATCATACACAGTGTGTGAACATGCCTGATCTGGAGGTTGACCTCGTGGACCAGTTTTTCTGTCCGCCATGCATAAACAGTTAGTTTGTGGTCGATCTCATGTTCCGGTGACGTGACCGCTCACTGTCTCACTTCTGAAGGTAACCCTCATCTACATCTCAAGACAACCTACAAACGACGTTGCTTCTCGGGCCTCCAACATCCACATCCATCGTCACCGAGTGCTTGTCACAAGCCTGCACGTGGTGCATTCTCCAAGTACTGCTCGGATGAGTGCGGTGTTCTCTACATGCAATCACGCCTCGATGTCTGGAAAGGCGCGAAAGGCAGTCTGTGGGGGAGCTTTAAGGATGCCCGCAAGAGAGAAGGCGTGGTCGTGCGCGTTAAGGACGAAGCTGATGCCGAGGTGAAGGTTAAGGACATGGTGGGCGAACGGACGACATCAGGTTTGCCTTCGGAAGTTGTGAAGTCACCGAAGACACAGCTTGATTGGTTTCTGGCACGACTCGACGCTCAATTGGCGAAGATCGCATCTAACCGCGACCACCTGAAGAAAGAGATGGAGATCATCCAATGGCGCGAGAAGGTGATCCAATTGGCAGCCACACGCGCGGATCAACTGGACGAATGCGGTTGGGATCAGCGTCTCTGTTTCGGGGATGAAGAGTATGCCGAGTTCGGGGTCAGCGTCCTGGAGAGCTATGAAGCAGCAGGACAACAGAAACAGGACGGCGATGCTATGCAAGTGGATGGCTCTCCCGTCGATGATGGTGAATGGTGGTGTAACGGCAAGAAGAAATGCGAGCGCCATGCGGGGTACGGACTATACTCGTTGATTGCTCCTTGTGTGTCTGACCCAAATTACGTCAGGTGGCAGAAGCTTCGTGCGACCGAGATTCAGTTCGAGAGGGACACAAGGTTCGGGGTGCTCCAGAGGCTCACCGTGGAAGAGCGGGAAATCCGTAAACAAATTGAGGACGTCATGGACCCTAAGGCTCGGGCTTCGGTGCTGAACACTGTCGGACCTCCGTTACAGCCTCTTAACGGCGATGCTACACCGAATGGTCCTGTCAAGTCTAAGGCGAGCAGTGACGCAAACAGGAAAGGGAAGAAGAAGACGTAAAGTCAAGTGTATTATTCGGACCTCTTATAGGGGACTCATCCTATCCTATCATACCTATAGTCTACTAGCATACCCCCACATCTTCCATTATTGTCGCGAGATGTTCCAGCCTCAGCGAACGCGTGTTTAATACGAGGTATTTGCGGTGCGAGAGCAAAACACAGATAGAACTGTACTATATGATACATGCGCGATGACTCGTGGCGTAATGAATCTGCCAGCTGTGAGTTCATCTGGGCACGCACAATGACGAGGACATGCCACAAAAGCGAGAAAGAATGGGAATATCAAGTCAGTATCCGTCGCCTTCTCCACCTTCCTTGCAGAATCCCTTCTGCTCGAACAACACTTGCGCTTTCGTTTCTTCACGTATTCTCTTCGCTGCAAGCTCCTGCTGGTAATATGGCTCCAGTTCATTCCATGCCACTTGCCGCAATGGAACATCGTCTTCTTGGTCGAGGTCCTAAGTCGGCCAAGAAGGTGAACGCTGTCCTTCGAGAACCCACATAAACAGACATACGACTTCACCAAGCAGCACTACGTTTTCGCCTCGAATGAGGAATAGCCCTCGCCATGTCTCCGCAAAGAGATCCCGAAAGTATATGCGTTCAACTGTATCCTCTAGGACCAGGTTGGCTTTACAAAATCGGTCAGATACCTAGGGTGCCGCTGCATGCTATGAGATGACTTACGCACCGAACTGATCATAAGACCGTAATACGCCCTGTAGTTTTCGACCATCTCTCAGGACGACCAGCATCTTTCCTATCCCGAACCGAAGGAAGAGACGAAATGGCAGATCACGGGCTCAGGATGCATAGAGAAGCCTTGAGCTGACTTGGGACAAACGTACTGTCGACGCAGTCTACAAGAGACCCCGAGGTGGTGAAAGGTATCAAAGAATCCATTGAGCCAGATGCTCGTTCAGGGGCTACGAAGACACGGCTGCGAAGGTTGTGCAGAACAGCTCTCAGACATATGCTGCCGTACTGCCGGAAAGTAACAGGACTTTATCAGGGTGTCACCCTTAAGACGGTATTCTTTTTGTGAAAGGTTTCTAATTATGGTTAACTCACACTTCGATAAGCTGATATGGCCGAGTCGTTAAGGCGAGTGATTTGAACTGCTCACTATCACTTGGGCATTGCCCGCGTAGGTTCAAATCCTGCTGTCAGCGTTTCTTTTGTTTTATCCATCTCCAGAATTTTGACAACAGCATCGAATCCCTGGACCCTGATGATCATTCGTTTCAGCCCCGGAGTGTGTACGAATTAGGCCAGAGTACAGCGCAACAATATGAGGTACATCTTTATCCGAGAAGGAGTTTTGGGATCCCACCAGCATCCCCAGTGACCTCTGATATACTTCCAACCACTCTCTGGACGCTGATTGCGGTCGGAAAGACAGCACACAGGTGGTATCAGCAAGGAATATATAAGTAGTACAGAGAGCACATTGCGCACCTGGTTCACTTTCGCGCACGCTATGCCATATCAACTATGCACTCTTATTACGCAGTGGTGGCTTTGCCAAAGTATTGCCACTGTCCGGGCTCTGGCTTCTCAGCCAATGGCTCCCATCTGCAGAAGACATGAGAGAGAATCCCGTGCTTAAGTATTGGGTATGCGTACGCCTTCCACTCAATCATCTTCGAGACTAGCTTCATTTCGTCCGTAGCGATATCTAAAGACTCCTCTATATGACCCTCGTCCAGCTGCTTCTCCACGTCTGCGATGCTTCCGTTTGCAGTTTGTAGAATTTGCAGCTTGCGCTGCGTGAGAGCCTCCACGCCTTGTCGGTACACTGATGTCTCAGGAATAGACGAGAGCATTGTGAGCGTCGACTGGTAGACGTTCGTTAGCTCGGGGATGGGGTCGTGGTGTACATTGAGGCCCGTGATGCCTGTTGTAGACTTGCGAAGCTGGTTGAGCAGAGGCCGAGTGAGACGAAACATGGTGGTACGCCGTTGATGAACGGTGGCACGTCGAAGCCGCGTCGGGACAGTCGTTGCTTGAATAGGAAACCGGCGTCGGCCGCACCTCTAGCTCTACTTTTACATTCAACAAGCTGCTCAGAGTCCGTCGACCATGGCAGCCTTAGCTTTACAGCAGACACGAACATCATTGCCTGCGCTTCGTCTGCCATTCTTCCGACCTTTCCTGGCCACCGTGACGTTTGTCCCATCAATAGGCCTTACCCCTTCACCGTTCAACTGGGCGCGGAATACATGGCAATCCCTTCTCGAGCTCTTCCCGCCGTTTCTCCTCGCAGTACCCAAGAAAAAGACGTCTCATTCGCGTAAAGCGATGCGTAGCGCAAACAAGGGTCTCAAGGACAAGCAAAGTATGTTCAATACCCGTACAACTTAGTGTCATCCTCACATCCCTCGACTACAGACCTCGTGCATTGTCCTGGTTGTGGGTCGCCCAAGCTGGCGCACCATCTGTGCCCGTCATGCTATTCGGATTTGAATCGGACTTGGAAATCAAAAGCGAAGCAGGGCGGAACCTCAGCCGGCGATATACCGTCTGTGTCTCTCGAATGAGTGCATACAGAACTCGTATGTCTTTTCAATCTCGCCTAGTGCTTGGTTTGCTTAGGCTAACTGACACAGTAGACTCTACCTTGTATATGGCTCGCCATAATTACATCAACCTCGGACGGAGCAGGCTATCTACTGTTGCAACTGAACAACGAGTCCGTAGACCGGGCCAATACTGAAACGTATTGGTGCAGTAATGTATAGATCCCTGACATTCGGGATGCGGCGGTAATCAGACCTTTAGAGTCTGGGGAATGTGAATGTTGCTGTCTCAGCTTCTATTTGTGACGATGTCCGGTAGACGGGAGTTGCGCATGGCTCGCTATCAATACAGTCGCTGGCGAGCGACCTTTTCCAAACTGTCAGTGCGTTGAGTTGAGTGAGAAGTGCTGGCGCCAACATTGTACGGCGGCCTGTAGAATGATCACCAGGACCCGCGCCCGAAACTTGCTACCTGATGACCATGACCTGTGGGGATTGCACCCCCAATTTCGGCCATGGCAAACATACAAATATGTTGCCCGAACATAGCCGACACGTCTCCCCTCGACTGCAATCCGCCTCTAGTGACACTCTACTATCATGTTCCCTAGACTCGTCAGGAGTGCTGTTCCCCGTGTGCGCTCATTGAGCACCCAAGTGGGCGGAGTGGCGGCCATTCTGGAAAGGAAGCCCGACGATGTTGTTATCACATTCGCCAAGCGGACTGCACTTGGACGTGCGAAGAAGGGCCAGCTGAAAGATGTACCGGTTGATGAACTCATGCAGGCTCTCATAAAGGCAGGTGCCAATGCACACCCAACCTCATTGGCATGATCACTTACAGAATGTTCTCACCAGGCGACTTTGGAAAAGACGAAGTTGGATCCTGCCAAGCTTGAGGACATTTGCGTGGGTATGTCCCACCAGCTTGTTCGCATCTTGTCAATGAATCTGAGCGTATTTATTCTAATAGGGACTTGTCATTCGCCATCTCCAACCTATGTCTCTCGTGCAGCAGCCATCGCTGCGGGTGTACCAGTCGAGGTTCCAGTCTCCGCTGTGAACAGGCTATGCGGCTCTGGCTTGCAAGCTATCAGGATCATCGCTAATGCCATCCAGGCGGGGCACATGTCCTTAGGGATGGCAATTGGCGTTGAGAACATGTCCTTGAAGTATGTACACGTGCTTAACGAGAAGCTTAGCTCATATCTTGTTGTAGTCCGCGCCCAACTCCCGAAATTGTAGAGGGTGTGGAGGCGATTCCGCAAGCTCATGACTGTGTACAGGTCGGTACCTTCGAGAAGATGACTTGGTCATTGTTGAACGTTGCTCTACAGCCCATGGGCTGGACATCAGAAATGGTCGCAGAGGCATATAAAATTTCTCGACAGAAACAAGACGAGTATGCATTGATTTCGCATACGAGGGCGGAAAAGGTGCACCAAACAAGAGATATAACGACTTAGTGGCTCACTTGTCCGCAGGCTTCAGAAGCCGGGATCTTCGGAGAGGAAATCATGCCCGTGGAGCTGCGAGGCACAATAATCTCCGTCGATGATACCATCCGAAAGGGCACAACCGCCGAAGGTCTCTCCAAGTTAAAGCCAGCTTTCCCGGCATGGGGCGAAGCCTCCAGTACAGGGGGAAATAGCAGCGGGCTGGGTGACGGTGCTGCTCTGTGCATCCTCACGACGCGGAAGCGTGCAGAGAAGGAGGGAATGGAGATAATCGGCAAGTACGTAGCTACCAGTTTCGTCGGTACGTCCCCTTACGCTCCTCTCACGGCACGGATATTGACGGGGAGTTGTAGGTGTGGAGCCAAGATACATGGGGATTGCTCCAGTAGCTGCGATACCGAAAGTCCTTGAACAAACAGGCCTCGCAAAGGAAGATGTTGACGTGTACGAGGTAGGAATGTAATGTCAACATACTGTGGACGGAATTAACCCCTCGGTCAGATTAACGAGGCGTTCGCGTCGCAGTTTGCATACTGCGTTGAACAGCTAGATGTCCCTATGTCGAAAGTCAACCCAAAGTACGTGATAAACATTGTACATTATTACACGTATGCTGAAAGCATTAACGGATCTAGTGGCGGCTCAATTGCCCTGTCACATCCCCTCGGAATGAGTACGTGTTCCAACAGTCTTCGAGACATTAGCTGACGCGAAATATGATCTCCAGCTGGTGTGCGCCAGGTCGTTACTGGTCTCGCTCAGCTTCGACGCCAAGGGGGAAATATACTGTGCACCAGCATGTGTATAGGCAGTGGGATGGGAGGTGCTGGTATATTCGTGAATGAGGCTCATGCTTAGTGGCGAGTGCTTGTCCCTTCGGAGCAGCCTTGAATTGCACATGCATTTTTATGTACAATTGGCGCAAACTGTCAAGCTGTATGTGATAATTGCGGGGTATTTACGAGGGTACTGCCGTCTGTCTTAAACCTTGAGGTTGTGACCTTGCGAATGTCACATCCTGTCACATTGTTGTCACGTCGCCGGATCGATCGAGCGCGCTCGGTGAGGACAAGCTGGTCAACAAGCCGTCGTCAAGTCTCTCGACGCCCAGACATCCCCTTTCTCCCTCAAGGTCTGTATATTCATGCTCTTGTGCTGCCTGGACGTCTGTCAGGGTGCGAGATGTGCTCAATCAGCGAGATATGGCTGGATGCGCACAACTTGAAACGGATGACAGTCCGGTAGAGTTCAAGCGCTGACCCTTGCTCCCATCCTGTAGCCCATCCCCGGCCCCAAAATGTCGGCTCAAATCAGCAAAAAGCGCAAGTTCGTGGCCGACGGTGTCTTCCGTGCCGAACTCAACGATTTCTTCACTCGCGAGCTGTCGGAGGAGGGCTACTCTGGTTGTGATGTCCGGGTCACCCACGCCCGAACTGAAGTGAGCTTGAATGTTTGGCTGCTTGGCTGGTTTTTGACCGTTGCCCGCCCGTAGATTATCATCCGTGCCACCCACACTCAGGAGGTCCTCGGTGAGAAGGGTCGCCGCATCCGCGAGCTTACTGCCCTCGTGCAGAAGCGTTTCAAGTTCCCTGAGAACTCCCTCGAGCTATACGCTGAGAAGGTCCAGTACCGTGGTCTCTCTGCTATTGCTCAGTGCGAGAGCTTGAGGTACAAGCTTCTCGGTGGCCTTGCCGTCAGGAGGTAGGTCGCTTTTCGAGATGTTTATTGTGCCACGCTAATACGCTTATCAGGGCTTGCTATGGTGTCCTCCGCTTCGTCATGGAGTCTGGTGCGAAGGGTTGCGAGGTCGTCGTCTCGGGCAAGCTTCGTGCAGCTCGTGCCAAGTCGATGAAGTTCACCGACGGCTTCATGATCCACTCTGGTCAACCCGCCTTGGATTTCGTTGACTACGCTGTCAGGCACGTCATGCTAAGGCAGGGTGTGCTCGGTATCAAAGTCAAGATGTAAGTACTTGTGAACTTCCTTGACCGAACAAGGCCTAATATTCGCGCCCGATAGCATGAAGGGCTGGGATCCCGAGGGCCAGGTTGGTCCCCGCAAGCCCCTCCCAGACTCTGTCCAGATCCTGGAGCCACCACTCGACAAGATCGTTGCGGAACCCACTTCCGAGCAGCGCGAGCCCGCCATCATCTCGGCACCTGCGCCGCCGGCCGAGGAACCCGCAGCGTACCAGGACAGCCCCGATGCTTTCGCACAGTCCTACGAGCAGCCGGCCGCTTTCTGATTTGTTTAGGTCGTATGTACTCCTGTATTCCATGCTACTAGTTGAGACTGGTCCGCTATCACGAGTGCGACAATCCTCACCCTCATCTTCTGCTCTGAGAAGGCTCTTTCTCACTTTTTCTCGAATATGAAACGTCGTTGAGTCTATCCCAATGATCAATGAAACTGAGCATTAACATTGAAGCACCTACACAGCAGTGACGTTGCAGACTAAGACATCGGCCATCTTTCAGGACAAATGACGATTAATTGTTGCCCTGAAGAAGTCATAGAAACATTTACAATTAGCCAATCCATTAGCTGTGGATATGATACATGAAGAGCTTGGGCTACAATCTAACTGGGAAGAGTTCATGAAAACGATACATCATGTCCATGGAAGTCGTGTTCTCGGGTCATAGACGGATTGACACCTCATGCCTTGCCACCTGCGACATGCAGTTTGGCAAGGGAGCTCACAAGTGGGACGGCGTAGAATGCGTATGCCACCCAGACCACTGGAAGGATATCAGCAATCGGTCGTTGCTTGCTTTGACATGAACTGCACTCACTGACGAATCCATTGCTAAGGGAAGCAATCAGCTCGGGAGCATCGCTACCAATCTTGGAAATGTCGTCGTTGAAGTCATCCACAGCCTTCCAAAACCACATAAAGAGGACGAGGAAAGATGTGATGCCTGCATCAGGAGTCAGACTCATTCAACTATTAATTAATGCGTTTTAGACGCACCGATCAAGAAGCCAAGCAAACCAATCCACGCGGTAGCCCTCTGGACACCAGGACGTTCGAAGTGTGCGCCGATCCGGCCCAGCGTGCCACGGTGGGCAGTGAAGGTGTACATGAACAGAAAGATCACTGTGAAGGCAAGCGAGACTGCAATGAAAGCAGGAGTCGTCGAGGTTGGTGCAGTCAAGAGATCCGGTGCATTGGATGGAAGCACGGAGAGATCTAAGAGACAGACTGTAAGAATTGAGTAGTGGCATGAGCGACATAAAGTACATACTGTATGTAGGCGATACTGTGGGCACAGTGCACGTCACACTCGCCTCCTTATTTGGACGCGAACATGAACCTTCGAGGTACGTGAGCAGCATTCAGCCGTATGGCGGTATGTGGACATACCGAGAGCTCCCAGGAATACGTTCGGACCATCCACAGACGCAGAGGAGGAGTTCGTCAAAGCCGTCGACGGAGAGACAACAAGTAGAGCCACTTGGGTGGACAGCATCAAAGTCGGAGAGAGGTATGAGAACAGTATGAGTAGAAATGCAGTGAGGGCGAGCAGGGGAGCGAGTAGAGTAGTGATAGCTCTGGAGAATCCGGCGATCATGGTGACTAATGTTGAGTGAATGAATGCTTCAGGAGAGTGTAGACCAGCTAGGCAAGGATCGACTAAAAGATGGACTATGCTTCCGGTTTCGTTACGGTACGTGTAGTGCTCCTGGCCAGTGCTCACAGAGCTGAAGAAACTGCGGACGTTAGTGGACACAGTCCGAGGGAAGGCTTATATAGTCCTGAGTCGTTGAAGGTGCGTCGTTCCATATTTGCTCGCGTGCACATTGACAATTACCAGAGAACAATAGGTGAAAAATACAAGCGTAGATTCCCAAGCGGACAAGTCGGTGAATACAGATGGTAACGAGGTGCGCGCCGCCGGACAAAGCCGTAAGCGCTCCCATTGTTCTGAGTTTGGTACCAAGCGCCTCGGGAGCGATTTGCTGAGGGCCTCTTCCATTTCGCAGAGATCTAGGCCCGCTAGAGTTCACGGTAGGCCTGGACTGAACTTCATTTTAGAGGGCCCGTGCGGTTCATCGCCGTTGTTGGAAAACCGGTCACACATATCAGGCACAGCATTAGCTCGCAACGATTTATCGTCGATTTCCCCATCGTAGAAGAAGTACATTAACGTTCAGACTTCACGTAATCTGTTGTGAATTTATCTTAGGAATAAGGGTGGTCCATCTCCACCTCTTTCTCCTGAGCTGCCACAATCTGCGAGTGAATCACCTTGTGTTTCTCAGATTATCGCTTCTTATTATAATCAAGTGATTCTAGAAACGTTGCGGTGAGGAGTGATGGTACGTGCCGAATGCTACTGTGTAGCATGCCTGCCACTGAGCCTTAATAAGCGCTGACGCAGAGCTCAACACATTCAGATTATCTGTGAGACTATATGTGCGATGCCCACTGGCAATACGGAAATATCAGTTGGCCACGCCTTTAGCTTTAAATCCAGAGAATCGGCAATCTTAGAACTGTGGATTAAGTGATGCAAGCAGCACCGAACGAGCGCCTAGCGGAAAGGGACCTCTGCGTGAGATCAGATCTGGCGTAGCGGGGAGAGCCACAACAAGGCCAAACACTGCTGCACCAATTCGGGAAGGAAATTTGGCTCGCCACAACGGTCCTACGCTCAGGTCCGGAAACCTGCTTGTGCTCTGTCCATACTCCTCTTGCAGCCATGACGGACGTGGAAGACATTCAGCTGCCACCTGAGCTTTCGAACCTGTCGACCATAGTCGACGCGTCGCCAGAAGTTTTGGCCACAGGGAGCAGCGACTTGCAATCGACTGCTCTGAATGCAACGAAGTTCATATACGACCTCGGTAAGTACACTATGCCTTTGGACGCGCGCTTTTTTAATCAGCCCTAGCTCTGAAGTCCGAGGATAATTCCCAATACTACATCAATGATCTCCTCATGTCAATTTCGCCCACTCTCGCGCCCGAGACCCGCTCGCAAAGCACGAAGCGGAAACGCAGCCCAACGTATGATCCTGCAGACTATTCTCCGAAGTTCTATGAAACCCCTGTTGATGAACTTCATGTCGATGGCATGAACGATGACCAGGTCTGGGCCCAACTGGAGCTCAGAGCGGCGCGTGTCTGCAGTCTCCTGGAATATGCCCTCGATGGCACAGGAGACGGTCTCGGTAATGAGGGCGACGAGGAGTCAGCTGGGTCACAAAAGAAGCGCAAGATGCTCTTGGATGACGACGGGGACCTTGATATGGATGACTTGGACGGTATGAAGGTGGATAGCGACGAGGACGAAGACGAGGACGGAGATGAAGACGAAGACGAAGGAGATGAGGATGAGGATGAAGAAGATGAAGATGAGGACGAAGAGGAGGACGAAGAGGAGGACTTAGGTGAGGGCGTTATGCGATTGCGGGATGCATCGGACGATGAAGAAAACGGGGACACTGTCCTCGATCTCGACAAGCCTTCAATTCTCACTGGCGGGAAGCGAAAACTCAAGCTCAAGCTCAAAAAAGGAGGGCACCCCGAACTGGACGATGGGTTTTTCGACCTGGCAACCTTCAACGCCGAGACTGAGGAGGCGGAAGCCAGAGCAGTGTCGAAGGGAAGATTAGGGAAGGTCGATAGTGATGAGGAAGGTGACGATGACGAGGGAGTGGACCTCTTTGCGCCAGTTGATGCCATGTCGGATACTCTTGACGGTAACGAAGAAGGGGCTGCAGGTATACCTTTCATTTGTTTATTGTTTATAATATGTTCCCTTACTGACGCCACTATTAGAGCCGTTCTACAAGGATTTCTTCGATCTCCCGCCGCGCCCCACCTCATCAAAAGGCGAAAGGAAGACCCCTGCTCACTTGACTGCGTCGTCCTCAACTGGAAGAGTCCGCTTCCATGAGGAAGTTCGGGTGAAGAATATAAAAGCTAGGGGGAAAAATATTCCAACCGCGGTGCTATACGACGATCCTGACGATGATGACTATGAACCGGAGGATGTTGACAGTGAGGAGGACGATGGCAGTGAGGAGGAAGGAGATGAAGAGGACGAAGAATACGGCGAGTTGATATCCGAAGATGGTAGCGAAGAGAACGACGAAGATGGCAGCAATGAGGATGAAGAGGAAAGCTCACAAACCAGTCGAGACGATGACGACGATCTTGAGACTATTGAGCGTTTCAAGGATGATTTATTTGCAGAGGAGGATGAGAAACATCAGACAGGTTTGCTACTACGCCATATGCCCTCCCTTATGTTTGTTGATTCATTTCCTTCAGACATGACAGCATTCGAGAAACGTATGGCTGCCCTCCGAGAAGAGATTGCCACAATGGAAGCAGAGAACGTGGCGAAGAAGAATTGGACCCTCATGGGCGAAGCTACATCGCGATCACGACCACAGAACTCACTCCTCGAGGAGGACCTTGAGTTCGAGCGGGTGATGAAATCTGTCCCCGTCATTACAGAGGAGACCGTTCAGAGCCTCGAAGAGCGTATCAAGGCACGGATCTTGGAAGGCCAATTCGACGACGTTGTGCGTAAACGACCTGTCGATGACAAGCCATTCCTTCCTTCCCGCTTCTTTGAGCTACAAGACACGAAGTCAAAGCAGTCCCTCGCTGAGATCTACGAGGACGAGTACACTGCTCAGACGGGCGGGGTCGCTGGCGAAGATAGGGATGGCAAGCTCAAGAAGGAGCATCAAGAGCTCGAGAAGCAATGGGAGCAGATCTGTGGAAAGCTCGACGCGCTGTGCAATGCGCATTTCACACCAAAAGCAGTGCGTATTCATGACCTATCTCTTACTCGTACCAGACTAACGACTGGTGTAGCCGAAAGCGTCAATATCCACGGTCGCAAATGTGGCCGCTGCGTCGATGGAATCAGCGCTTCCAACGACCATGTCCTCCTCCTCAATGCTTGCACCTGAAGAAGTGTTTGCACCGCCTTCTACCACGGATCTCCGTGTGCGCAGCGAGCTCACGCCGACGGAAAAACGAGCCTTGCACAATAAGCAGAAGAAGGCTAAGAAGAAGGCCCGCGATGTGCTCGAAAAGAGCGTGGACAAGTTCGCGCAGTCCAAGAGAGCCGGCGGTGTCAAGAAGCAGAAGGAGGCGGCACTGAAGAGCGTAGTCAAGAGCGGGAAGGGAGTGACCGTCATAGGCAAGAAGAGCAAAGACGTAGCTGGTCAGCGAAAGCGGACTGAAACATAGCGTACAATCACCGTCCTTTTTTGTTGGTGCTGGATACATCTGTCTACATAGTCTAAAAGCTATTATGAATACTAGGCTTGCCAAATTGCGCGGGATCAACATTGAATGATCATGATCATGATGGGGTTGAAACGATCGCTGCGACACGTGATGAATGCTATGTGAGGGTGCAAGGCAACAGCAGTACAGCTTCTTCGACACGCCGGCCATAAGTAGCCTCAGCCCGCCTTGTGCTTCCCACATTCTTTCTACACCAAACAACCATGTCGTTCTTCAAGCGTAACAATAAGCCAGCTATTCCTCCTGTCCCGTCAGAGCAGCCTGCTCGTGATATCAACAATCGCTCGCCGAACCCTTCTGCTCGCTCGTATGCCGCTACGTATGTGCCCAGCCGGGATGGCGATCCGTACAGTGCTCCATATACACCGTCATCGTCTGTAGCCAGCGGTGACAGATATGCCAAACGTGATGCTGTAGGCGATGTATACAGCCGTGGTCAGGGCAACGTCGATAACGACCGCGGTGAACTGTTCTCGGGATACAATCCAGAGAAGGCGGGATCGGGCAGGTTCTTCAACGATGGTCCCTCTTATGGCCAGGAGCCTGCTCCAGGAGAGGAGAACGAGGAGGATGTTGAGGGCATCAAGCAGCAGATCAAGACCACTAAGCAGGAGAGCTTGGCGTCAACTCGTAATGCCTTGCGGCTGGCCCGCGAGGCTGAGGAGACTGCCAGGGGTACGGTCGGACGTTTGGGAACCCAGTCTGGTGCGTTGCTTCTAATCGGGTCGTTGCCTAAGCCTCATCTTTTGGATCACAGAAAAACTGGCCAACACCGAACGCCACCTTGATGTGTCTAAGGGCTATTCTATGCGCGCTGAAGATAAGACCGACGAGCTCAAGCAGCTTAACCGCTCCATCTTCCGTCCCGTCATTACCTTCAATAAAGACTCCAAACGCGCTGCGCAGGAGGCCAAGATCCAGCAGCGCTACGAGGATGATCGTGAGCAGCGCGAGAAGGCTATGATGGACATCCGAGAGACGCAGGACCGTCTTGGTCGTGCCACGACGTATGGCCAGGGCCAGGGCCAGCCCCAGGCGGGCGGTGACCGCTTCAACCGCTCTGCTGTGCAGCTGAATGCACGCAAAGATCAGAGGAAGCGCTTCCAGTTTGATGCTACCGCTTCCGACGACGAGCTCGAGGACGAACTGGATGACAACCTTGACGAAATCTCTAGCATCACCAAGAATTTGAAGGCTCTTGGAACGGCGATGGGTCAGGAGCTCGACACCCAGAACGACAGGATCTCGAGGATCACGGATAAAGCGGATACATTGGACAATGCGCTGTTTAGGAACACACAGAAGGTATGTATTTTCCCATCATTTAACAGGGACTTCAGTGCTGATCTTTGCTACAGCTCAACAAAATCAAATGAGTTTTGGACACTGCTTTGGTCGTCCTCCTGGGTTCATGGTGCTATCTCGAGGTGTTTCTTGTATCATAAAGCAGGATGGATGGATGTTGGCTCTAAGTGGCTGAATGATTGTGACCTCAAACCAGCATCCTTGCTCGCGTGCGCATTGAGTTCCGGTTGTGAATTGACTAGGGTATTCAAAATATCGAGACACAATACAGCGTATATACATGAGCAGATAATAGTAAGTAAGGTACGATGCATGATAGCTAATAGATTCACAGTGAAAAATTGTAGGCGAAAGAGTAAGTGATGATTCCCATAGATCAGTCAGCACAGCTGCATTGCAACGGCCCGTTGTCAGTACTTTTCCAATTGTTGCACAGCAATGTGCAGGATAACTAGTTTGAAGTGGCCTGGGATGTATCTTCGGCATCTTCGTCGTTCTGTGAACTCGCCTCGCCAGTCCCCTCTAGAATTTCTGCGAGAGATAACTGGCCCGAGACCCGCTGCGAGGGAGCCACTTAAAACAAATGACAGTCTCGTAGTAAGGGACTACAGACCTTGAACGCAAACTTGCAGACTTTGAAACCGTGCGGATTCAGCCCCTTCTCCATCCATGCCTAATAACAGATCATGGTTCCATGTCAGCAGGCGCCATCGAACGGAGCACAGCGCACCTTCTCAACAGTGTACAATCCGTCATAACGGTAACCCTCAGCAGGCGCGTAGGGTGACTTCAATTTGTAGCCACGGATTACGCGGACGGGCTTCTTCGTCTCGCACGATATCTGTAACGATATTATGAGCTGCGAGGTTCTGGCTAGACGATTTATAACAGACCTGCAGTGCCTTGTTCAAGCGGTTTTCGAATGACTGGTCACAGCTTTGAGGAGCAGTACGGAGCTTCAAAGCGCAAGGTTAATCAAGAACCTATGACAATTAAGCGGGACCCTACATTCTTCGGGTTTGTCTTAGTACCCTTGAGGTCACGTCCGCCTACGCACTTTTATGACAGCCTGTTCGCAACATGGAAGGAGTTTCACACACCTGCGCCGGTATATGTGCTGCAATGCGACCTGGTCAATATGCTTTCACCCTGATTACGAAACACTACTTACAATGCTTCGCCGAGGTCAACGTCATCCTCATATCCACCTGACAGTGCGATAGAGTATGCACCGTCGGGACCACCAGATATGCCCGCAACCCACGGTCTAAGTCAGGGCAGGTTTACATATGCATTCACTGGACAGCTCATAAGTACTCACGCATGAATGGCATCCGCGCTACATTCCTCGCTAAAACATACGGAAGTCAGAAGGCTAATCACCAATGTGAGACAGCGCACTTACCGAGTAAGCCACCATGACCCGACAGGAACCCCTGGGATTGTGCCGAAGGTTTTCCTGGTAGAATGGCAATGTCATGAAGAACAGTGGAGAGTACACGGGACTTTGGGGGACTGACGGATCGTGCATCCTCTTGTTGAGGCTCCTAGGCTCTGTCACCATCTCCCTCAGGCCCGCTTGAACACTAGCTAGACGAGGCATTGCATGTCCAATATTGTCGCTGGCATAGTCTACCTTCTTGCCCTGATTCCTTCCACTTCTCCGTAGTCCCGTATTTGCGCTCCCATCTTCAGAGGATTCCACGCGTGCAACCTTGGATTTCCGTTGAGGTTCAGGGCTGTGCAGCGCAGACACCTTGCGCTTTCTGGGGGCGCGTGGCTTCTTGGCAACCTTGGGCACGAAAGCGGGGGCATCCAAGTTCAAAGACTCTAGAAATGTCTTGTTGCGCGCTCTAGTTAAGGAGCACTGCTCCTCATAGTCGGAGACCTCCTCAACTTCCGGAAGCTCGAATTCCATGTTCAACGAGACCCTAGGCAGAATGACGAAGGAAGGTACAATGCAACTACTTGGTGGGCGCGTTCCGTTCACGTTCAAGACGATCAGACACGTGATCGCGTAACGTCGTGTGGCCACTGATCACAGCGAATCCGTTGCTGCGTTGTCGCCTAAGGAACCAATTGCGATGTATTATGTTCTGCACATGCACCCGAGAGTGGAAAGGTAACGGTATGGTTGCTTGGTATTCGAACGAACAGACTTGGAGCACGTCATATATGTCATCCCATCGTTTGAAACACGGCAATCGGTCAGTATTGGTTAGCGTAATATTCGTTGTGCATAGATTGTGTCCAGTTGCTACCGTTGTAGAATATCTTTCGAGAGTGAGGAGCTAGAAATGGAGCGTTAAATTAGCGAATGATCAGCATAGAATTGGTATTCGCACCGAATGCCTGTGGTCCTACTGCCTCGGGGACATCTAAGAAGGCGCTTGCAGCCGACGGACTTGCAAGCGGCGATAAGTGCAACCCTGACGCCCCGGGGCTGGATGCCGTAGTTCTGGGAGACATGTTTGCATGCCCCATCCGGGGGTCTTGCCACGAGTGCGCGTTATCTGTAATCACAGCGGGGGTTGTGACGTGTGTTCCACCACCGAAGCGGTGCGGATACTTACTAGCTACGAATTTACATTTCCCTTGCTTCGCGAACGAGCAACGGGCACCTTTAGGGCATACATGGCCCATGACACAATCATCACCGAGGAAACAACGAGACCCTAAGCAAGATCGATATGTTAACGGGCAATATCAACCAATATTGCGAGGCTCACCTCTGTTGACGAATGGACAAGGCCAGTTTTTCGCAGCTTCGCGTAGGGAGTTTATTTGTTCAGGAGACAACACGTAATCATGTGCAAAACGGCAATTTTCCCCTTGCTTGCACTCCGCTAAGTAATAGAAATTGCACGGCAGGGGTTTCACTAGCGGATTGATCAGAGATGGCATTCGCGGGAAAAGAGACAGCGGACCAACATTTGGAGAGGAGCTGTTATGACAACATTAGGACACTTATTCAAAAAGAACACGTATTGGAACAGACCTGATCGGGTTCAACCTGCTTTGACTTCGTGACCGGACTTGCGCTGTTGCGACTTGGGGGAGTGGGTGCTTTGCCACGAGTTTTGTCAGTATCATGTTGTGGTGTTGGCGGGGCAGCCTGGTTAGGAACATTGTTCTTTTTGGACGAATGTGTCTGCAGCCTCTTTGTCATGAAGAGACCTTGGATATCGAGATGCGGTAGCTCTAGGCCTTTGATCTCGTACGCGAGATCTTTGTATCCTCGAAGGAGGATTATCTTGTCGAGGAGGCCCTCGTTCTGCAGGTAGGTCAAGGTAGATGTGTAACCGTTATCATGTGCACCTGAGACAATATCAGCAGTGTCCCCCGTCAACGAGGTGTAATCTACATACCCCCAAAGAATACTTTTGACGTCTGAGGAAAGCGTGTGAAGACCCGCAGGCATTCTAGGGTGCAGGTATGTGTCTGTGATGTAATAGGCAAATCATATGCATTCACACCTTTGATTTTCGCATCTGCCGCTTCCTTGCCATTACCGACGTCGACGATCGAGAACAAAGGTGATGCTTGATTGAAACCGGCACAGAACGCGTCGAACTGCTCTGCAGTGCAGACATTGTTGTGAGTCAATGTTTCCACAAGCCCGCTCTTATTGCAGTAGATGGTAAGCCATAACTGTCCGCGCCCTGGTAGCGCAGCATCCAGCGAGTCAGTACTCGCGAGGTGATCCGTGAGGCCCTTCGTGAGGAGCATGGCGGCCTGGCGGCCCCCGGCCTGACCCGTACTTAGAAGTTCAGAAGAGAAGATGTTGCCATCCCCGTCAATAAGGCAAAGGATGAGTGGGTTATCATCCTAAACGGACCTCTGGTCAACTCCACTGCACATGCACAGGACTGAAGCAGACACACTCGCAGCGATCCAATGCTCCGCTCGAGCTGCACAACAGTCTTGCTCAAGGTCTTCTTGTCCTCGTCCGCGGTCTTCAAGGCCGCCTTCCATACAGAAAGTTCTCTTTCAAGTTCTTCGACCCTAGTCTCAAGCTCGTTATTTCTCGCAACCGTCCTCTGAAAGAGCGCTGTTACAGCCACTGAGCACGGACCAGGCAGACGTAAATGACTGCTGGCTTACAGGTCTGATCGTTGAGGAGGCGTTCCCTTTCATCCAGAGACAAATGTCAAGCTCATACGGCGGTTCTTTGACCATCAAAGGTCAGCGGTGGCTCACCAAATCTCCAGTTCGGTGGAGGTTACTACATTTTCGTCGCCCATAGCCTCTCTCTCCACAACGGAGACGTCTCTCCAGACTCGAGTGAAAGAGCTCAGACGGAATGGAGAGAACCCCAGTACGACGAGCTGAGCCAACTAATTAAACCAATTCAATTATACCGATCGGGACAATTGAACGCTTTGTCCTCGAGGGCAAACCGTTGTTTCGTAAGCGCTATGACTGACACGGTGCCTTGAATTTACGAACCTCGTATATACATACACAAGCTGTCGTATCCTTGATAATTATACATCCGAGCAGATATGTAAAGCCACATCCGTATGGTCAAAGAATATCTTACGAAGATCCAATGATCTCCCGCACTGCTTCTACGAAGATATCTTTATCGTTGACTTCTGAGAAACCTGCAGAGCCAGGCCTGCTGGCCCTCCATAGCTTCCATATCCCCTGGATTCCCTCTTGTAGTGACACAATCGCCTCATGCATTCCTTCTTCGCCCCTGTCAGACAAATCCAGTTCTGATTCACGGAACGCCGCTTGCTGTAGTTGCTGGCCGTCAGCACGGGGGGCCGACGTTCCCTGGGGGCCCTGTAAACTGGCAGAGGCGGCGCTGCCTTCACTGCCACCTACAGTGGACGATGCGTTGTCAGAGCCGAGAGGCTCAACAACTGCATCTGGGGTACGAGCTCGGCTCGGCCACGGACTTGGCCTGGCCGAGACATTTGCTAGGCGCTGCGCGAGCGCCCTGGGAGAGGCGGGATCCCACTTGGAGTGTAGATCTGGCTGGCGAATAGCAGAGGGAAGGATCGGGAGGGCATCTTCAAGCCCATGGTACGAGCGAGTAGGAACTGGAAGGGGTCTCGGCGAGTGAGTTCCGTCGCCAGCAGGCGAATAGACGGAATGAAGCCTGCGCTTCGGTTGAGGAGGGGGTGAAGGCTGCGTGGAATCTGCGGTTCCTACGAATACGAGAGCAAATCAGTAATGAACCAAAACAAGCCATATGGCGCATGCCCGCTCAGTGAATAGACTATCTCATGTCCAGTAATCATTCATCACGAACTGACAGTGTATTCCTCACATGTGGCGCAAGACCGGCAAACATTATGATTGTACCAATGCTCGATTGACTTACCGTGTACGGAAGAATAGCGGGCCCAGTAGGCGTCTTCCGTCGCTCCATCCACGTCCTTCCCTGCTGTATGTCTTCCGTCGTCAAACGACGCGCGGTCATCCTGAGATCCGTATGCATTCCAGTAGTCGTCGTCGCTGTCCGCCTCGTCAAAGTTCTCCAGCTGCGCACTACCATGATTCAATGTCGGCAAGTGCTGCGAGTGTTTCCCCGACCCTTCAAGAGCCGGTTGCACATCTAGACAACTGCCGGAAGGGAAGGGCATCATAGCGGCGTTATGATATTTCCATCCATCGCTATCGTCCCATTCGAAGATGAGTCTCAGGCCTTCATGCTCGGAATGCACAGCTACGTGAGCATAGGCGTTCTCGTCATCTGATGTATAGCGTGTGGCATATGCCCCTGGTTCTGCATCGTCGATAGGGCGGGGAAGATTCTCGAGCAGATCCATGACTTCTCTCCGAGATTCAGGGGAAGCAGGCCAGCAAAGATACTCATGCGGATCATCGGGAGTGAGCTGGAGAAAATGGTGTCTTTGCAGAAGAGACTTGGATAGCAAGTGCGGGGGAAGTGGCTGTGTGATCTGGGAAGGCGGAGCGATATATTGCAGCGTGAGATGCACAAGCCCGGGGGAGAGCGGCGTAGGCAGCATGGTGGTTTGAAAGTACGCAGGTGGTAGAACGGGTCGTAGAGAGGGTATGGGCGAACGTCGACGACTGTATGCGAGAGACACGACTTATTACGGCTGCTCGCTTTAGCCCCATTGCCAGATCATCGTGAATATACCCCGCTTGTCCCCCGCATCGAGGAGAGGAACTCGGGCCAGGCAGAAGCCGAGGCCATGCGGGGAAAGCCACGTGATGGAATCCGGCCTGCCTTTCTCGGCCTTTCTCTCGAGCCCTCTCGCCGGCAACGACTCCCACACGGCCGACTTGCACGCATATCCTCTCCTCTCTTTGCCTCTCCCGTCGCTTCAGTCCACCATGCGCGCGAGCTGTCTCTTCTCGCTGCTCCTTCTGCCTCTTCTAGCGGCTGCACAATCAGTGCGTACCGACCTGATATGATGACCTTCCTAAATCTTAACCCCTTCTACTCTATCCAGTCGCAGCAGCAGTCGTCTCAGCAGCAGTCCCAGTCGCAACAACAGTCTTCGTCTCAAGGTTCTGCCTCTGGGTCGCAGTCTGGCTCACAGCAGCAATCGACGTCGGTGTCACTCCAGGTTACGGTAGTCACCACCGTCGTGCTGTCGACTTCATACCATAACGGCCCTTATTTTACCAATGGCGAGACCGTAACCACATCGTTTGGCCGTCCAACGAGTGTAACTGTCACCGAGACCCTCACCATCACACCTACTACCGCTAAGGCGAAGGCGACGACTTCAACCACGATGCCGCCCAAGTCAACCGCACCTACGAGTATAAACGGTGGCGGGAACGAAGCACCAAACGGTGCGCCTAGTCCAGGCGAGACCGGCTCGAATGGAATCTACGGGCCAAACAACTCGTACATCGCAGCAGCAGTGGTGCCGACCGCAAACGCTGCTATCATGGTCGTGGCTGGGTTGGTGGCAGGTGGTGCGATGGTGCTCGCTTGATGGCGGGTTCGTTCGGCGCTGAACTCGACGGGTTGGTTGGGACACTGCATCTCATGGACGCTCTTGCATGACATTTACGGACCCCCATTTTTCATACTTTACAGTAGAGTAGTACGTTTGAGGACTGAGGAGTGTGCAATTTCTGTCATTTCGTTTGGCCCGTATATCATACCTCGATTGCATTGCCTGCTCGTCGCAATCCATACGATACACTGTAATGACATTGACGTACGCTCCTTCCACTGTCCGATTGTGAGCACGTTACTTTTGCAACGAAGGCAGCCGATACTCCATTCAAATACCACCGTGTCTCTTCTCTCGGCATGCAGCGAAGTTGCCTCCGGCCAATCTCGCACCTGTCCTTTCACCTCAACGCTCTCAGGCTTGCTTCCGCTCGCAGCTTGTTACGCATACAAAACCCACTTCTCGAAAGCAGAAAAACCGTCTCCAGATTTCGCTACATGTCGGCATCATCATTGGAGGGTGCCCTTGACCCACCCGCGAAGAAACTCAAGCTGGAGGAAGAAGGCCGCAAGGCTCGTCTGTTCCCCTCAGAACCCCGATCCCACGCTGAAGTGCGCCCCTTGACAGGTCATAGGCACGCACAACGGAACTTTTCACTGCGATGAGGCCCTTGCGGTGTTTCTACTCAAGCGGACAGAGGCCTACGGAAATGCAGGTTAGCATGTCCGCTCTTTTTCCGCCTTGCCATACTAATCCTTTCCTTCCAGACCTGACCCGTACCCGGGACCCTGCTGTCTTGGACACCTGTTCCATCGTTGTAGATGTTGGCGGTGTCTACGACGAAGCGAAGCAGCGCTTCGACCACCATCAGCGCGGATTCGAGGAGGTCTTCGGGCATGGCTTCACCACCAAGCTCTCATCCGCTGGTTTGGTGTACAAGTAAGTCACTTAAACGTTCTGTAAGGCTCCATGCACAAAGATCAAACCCTCTGCAGGCACTTCGGAAAGGAGATCATCGCTAACAGGCTACGCTCCTCCCTGGATGATGCGAAGGTCGAGACGCTCTGGCTCAAGTTGTACAAGGAGTACATAGAAGGTATTGACGGGATCGACAACGGCGTCTCGCAGTACCCTACCGACATCAAGCCGAAGTACCGCGTCAGAACAGACGTTTCGAGCCGCGTTGGCTTCCTCAACCCAGCCTGGAACGAGCCCTTTGACTCGACGACTGTCGATGTATGTGTCAAACCCAACGCTCCGTTTTCAGCCCTTTGACGAGGCTTGGTAGGCGAAATTCCTGCAGGCATCATCGCTAGTCGGCGAGGAGTTCCTGTCGCGCCTCGACTATTATGGAAACGCCTGGCTTCCGGCTAGAAACCTCGTTGCAGAGGCACTCGGGCGGAGGCAGGAGGCGGATCCCTCTGGCAAAATTATTCTTTTCGAGCAGTTCCTCCCGTGGAAGGTATGTATTCATATATGACCATGCCTTAGCTTAGCTTATTGTGCGTTGAATTCCCAGGAACACCTATTCGATCTAGAGGCCAATCTTGCGATATCAGAGTCATCGCAGCCGATCTACGTGCTGTATCCCGATGAGACAGCCGGTAATTGGCGAGTCCAAGCAGTCCCTGCTGCATCCGACAGCTTCCAGAGCCGCAAGGCACTGCCGGAGGTGTGGAGGGGACTCCGAGACGATATCTTGTCAGAGAAGTCCGGCATCCAAGGCTGCATTTTCGTGCACGCTAGCGGATTCATTGGGGGTGAGCACTCTCGTTTACTACAGTCATTCCGGCCCTGACGAGTTGCCCAGGGAATAAGACGAAGGAGGGTGCTCTCGAGATGGCGAAGCAGGCATTGAGCATGTAGGTGAGGTCCTGGACATGTAAGAACAAATCTACAATATGTTGTATAGTACAACATTGTGCATAATTTGCACGATCAAAATAATGATCAGTAACCGGGTCGAAATTGATTGTGATCGGACGGAGTAGTCTCGATCGACAGTTTACACCCTACGTATAACGGTCTGCCATGTCCGACTCTGCACGACCTCCGAGAGTGCTGCTGACCGCAAGTACATACTCCCTCGTCCGAAAGTGCAACAAGCTCATTCTGCTACGTCCATGCTCTCACAAAGAACGACGATGGCCCCCCGGGCCCCGACTCGCCGTACATCTATGGACTCTACCGCCACTTGACTCGTGATTTAGGTAGGATGCAGCTACCCGCATGCACGGACTTATAGATACTCACTACATGGCTTGCAAGGCTGGGATGTCCGTGTTGTCATACCCAGCTCCCAGAAATCCTGGATAGGTGCGTAGTAGCTCAGCTCTTACGGGTCTTCCACACTGACCACACCGCCGAATTACAGGGAAAGCGTACCAAATCAAGGACGTCATAAACGGGAGATTTTACTATCCTCAAGACCCTGGTATGTATGTGACCCGCATCAAGAGCTATCTGAGAGACCTTGCATTACTGTTCAGACGGATCTGGAGAAACGTCTGAATTCTCGAGATCTTTAAAGGAAGGGGAACTTGCAGAGTGGATCTTACTGGACGGTGTGAGTGCCCAAATCACTAGCCACGAGATATACTCATGCTTCTTGTCTCACAGACCCCTGCGACGTGTGCAAATATCGCACTTCATAACCTTTACCACGGGGAAATCGATCTTTTGGTGAGCCACATCGCGTGTGCTCACCCAACTTGTGTCTCATGACCACAGATATCCGGACCTAATCTTGGACGTAATAGCTCAGGTGAGGGGCAGGCGTGGATGCACCGTGTGTGGAGAAGACCAAAATAACGTATCCTCAGCGGCGTTCGCCCTTTCATCTGGGACGATTGGTGCCGCACTGTCATCCGCACTGTCTCGTGTTCGCTCTATCGCCCTATCCTACGGAACGGTCCTTCACCCCACGCCAACGACATTGCATGAGCCCGCCCATCAACTCGGTGCCCGCATTATCCAGCACCTCTGGAAGAACTGGGGTGCCGATGAGGGCGGTATACGTGATGGCGAGATCGACCTGTACAACCTTAACATACCCATGATCGAAGGACTCCTCAGCGAAGAAGGCCTGAAGATATGCTGGACACACATCTGGCGCAACTCATACGGTCGCCTGTTCAAAGCGAACAGCCCGCGCGAGGCTGCCGTTGCCGCAGCCAATCTGTCCTCTGCGGGCCCTGACTCGCCCTCTGAAGACCCTGCTGGTTCGAAGACAAGCGCTGCCGACAAGCAGGTTACGCCCAGGGACGTAGCAAAGCTATCCTTCCGCTGGGGTCCTGACATGTCAGGAATCATCAACCCAATTACTTCTCCTATTGGGTCAGACGGCTGGGCAATAGCCCAGGGATGGGTCAGTGTGACGCCCATACGTGCGAGTTTTGCCGAGCCGTCTGCAGTGCAGCCTGCTCAATCGGCCGCAGACGTGGAAGCCAAACTGTGGAAAGTGAAGTTGTAGCAAAGATAGTGTCACGCATCAGGACTAGGCCGTAGGGTATGATGTCCGTATTTGCATTATGATCGTAGACGCGTCTAAATAGTTCGTAAATCCGGCCGTTAGTTGTTCGTACTGTTCATGTGCCCAAATATCCTGTCACGGGCGAAGAAGGCATTGTCCGCGCTGTCCTTCACAGAAGGCATTGTCCGCACTGTCCTTCACAGAAGGCATAGCACCAAAGCGAAGCCGAAGAAGAGCAGCGCGCGCGAGAAGTTCCTGCTGCATGAGGATGCCGAAGCCGACACTTCGCCAGCAAATATTTGTTGCCTATACACGGTCAGCGCGTTGATTCTCCAGGAGGCATTCTTGCATCGATTACATCAGGGAAAAATGCGTGCGGGTGCAGCGTTCTAGAACGTACCACGAAGTTGCTCGGGTCCATGAGACGTCCCGAGCATGTTCCTGGACAACCGGAGGTAGCGTAGGAATTACCCGCCCAGTCGCCTAGAATAGAACAAGGGCAAACGGCATGAGGTCATGAATAGACTCGCTGTCCAGAGACATACCACAGAAAGTGATATCTTTAGCAGCATTACGTTAGCTAATGCTGCAGGTGAACATGAGTTTGTTGGAGAACTCACCGAAAACAATCGAATGGTTGACGAAGTTGGTGATCGGGTTGCAGCCGCCAGGTTCTAGAAACGCAACAGGCTCTCCCCAGTTGGAAGGCGTTGGCTGGCCATCGATGACGTCCTGGGGGATTGCAGCGCGGTAGAAGGACCCTGAGTGAGGTATGAATTGAGGTCCCACAGAGCAGCGGAGACACGCACAAACACCAATGCCTGAGACGTCCCACTTCATGGCGAAGATTCCGCCACCTTGTGAATCAAAAATGGGGCCATACGAAGCCCGACTCCATTCTACGACCCCGCAACCAGAGTTATAGTTGAGTTCACCGTCACAGTCCAAATTCGGCACTCCATTGGTTTCCTGTATGTCCAAACGTTGAGCGTATACCAATGCTGATGACGAAACTGCGGCCCACCACAATTGTACCAGTAAAATTGGCATTCTGTGTTAGGTTGCAATCTATACGGGAAGAGCGGGTTAGTATGCAGTAATCCCTCGGAAATTATACTGACTTGGACCGGTGTGCCACGTCACTTGGTTGTGCTCATTGTCGTGCACACCCTCGATGATATCAATTTCCCCGGTCTATTCATGACGTCAGCAATCTGGAAGGTAGTGCAGCAGTGGGCGCCTACATAAGGCCATTGACCGCCACCCAAAGTCCACCACGCAGGCCAGACACCTAACAAAGTTCGATAACGAGATTATGCATTGCTTGGATGATCGAGTGACGTACCGCACCCCCACGGGGCCATATCGAGGTCGAGGATGAACAGTCCTGAGGGAAAGCCCGATCATCATCATAATCGAACCACCTTGTGATTGCGCCTACCCGTGTTGTATTGCTTGTAGCTGGATATTCGGACGCTAAGGTATGCTGTTGAGCACACGTGGCCCACTGCCTACAGGATGAGGATATACCTTTTGCGATACTCGCCTTCAGAAAGCCACGTCGTGTTGTCACCTTTCATGACAACAATGTTGTTCGAAGTAACATATGCAAGTCCCTCTGAGAAGGCGGTGGATTGATTGGTATAGCTGAACGTGTCCAGCACAGTTCAGCGGTACACTCTCGGGTGAGATCATGTAACATACTTGACCATGCCACTGCAAGGCCATGAGTCGATCGGGAAATCACAGCAGACGCAACGCAGCGGACTCACTTCGTTGGATCTGGTCCAGTGTAAAAAGCGAAAGAGCTACGACCAAGGTATCGGAACCTCAGAGGTAGACTGATCGATACAGCTCAGACTTACTCAAAGAAGTTTTGTCCCTTGTAGTCATCCTCGACTGTCCATACATAAGTACTCCCGTTGGGGAAACTTTGTAAGGTTGTCGAAGCTCTCTTGTCTAGTTGTGCAGCCACGAGTTGCGACAAAGGTAAGAGCCATAGCAGACCTCTCCTCGCGTGGGCGGCACGCAGAGTCGTTGAGGTAAAACTATGTGCAGAAGTTGTGAACAGCAGAATAAGTGTCAAGGGCAGCGCAGAAATCATCAGCCACAGCGCGGTTGAAGTTGAACACAACGCGTCTAGTGTTGGCGTGGCCCTTTCAGTGAGCACCACCAGTCTTTATAGTCCGAGTAAATGGAGAAACTCAGGGCACGAGAGTGCGGATCAGGGCATGCGTCCGAAGAGATATTTCAGCTAGGATCCGACTTGGATAGTTCGTAATACCTGACGCCGTGTACACGAGGCAAATGTCAAAGAGAGCCAGAGTAACCGCACGTTTAAGTCTCGCTCCCGGGAGGAAGGAGGGCGAGAACAGCCTCAGATGCTGTAAGCACTAACAAATGATTCGGGCAGACAACACGTTGCGTCCGATGACTCTCATCCGTCCCCGCTGACAAGACCTCAATTCAAACACTTGAGCGATCTAAAATTGATCATGAATCCGTCGGTTTGCTGTTTCATGTGGCGCATCGGAGGTGACAACCGAGAAAACAGCACATTTTGAGCGACGAACAGAAGCGAAAGCTTTGCTGGGTAACATGATCGGATGGCATCTCTTTTTGGCAAGCTGCACAAAGGCATACATCCATAACAAGCATGAAAGAACATGGGTGTGCGATACGTAGGATACAGACATGAAGCGAAAAGCACGACAGCAGTCTACCGGTAGCGGCGGAGACTGAGCGTGTTGTGCTTTTTCCAGGTAGACCAGCCCGGGCTGTGGTTGTAGCGGTGACCCTTGCCCAAACCACGGTTCTAGAAGACACAATCAGCCGTCTGCTCATGTGCAAAAGGGACGCTAAACGTACCTGCTTCCCAACGCTGGTAAGACCACGGGTCTCGCGGCGTTTGTGCACCGGCTTCGTGATCCAGTTGATTCTGGGGTCGCGACGGATCTACAGTCGCACGACAATGAGCAATAATACATTGAGCGCAACCGATGCGACGTACGGCCTTGTGGCTGGGGTCGACGAGGATGACCTCGTAATACTTGTACACACCATCCTGGTTAACCCAGTACGAGTTCAGGACTCGCAAGTTGCCGCAACGCCTGCCAACACGCTCCTCCGCAACGCTCCTCAACCCACGCTGGGGCTTGAGGTGGTTGACACCCTGGCGGACGGGCTTACCGTAGGTGGCACCTAAGCCAAAGTCAGATTTATGTGCGAGTAAGTGGAACCTGTGAGCTCACCCTTGGGGACGTGTTTCTTGCGGTTACCGCGGCGAACACGCACGCGGTAGATGACATAGCCCTGCTTAGCCTTGTAGCCCAATCGGCGGGCCTTGTCGGGACGGGAGGGACGGGAGGCGCGGTGGATGACGTTCAGCTGGCGGAACTCCCAGCACCTGAGATTTTGCGTCAATTAGACCGGGGCAAACGTCCTTCGTAAGGACGAACGTACCGCACACGGAGGAGGAAGCGAAGGACATCCGACTGCTTCTTTTTGTACAGCTCGCCAATGTACTTGTAGGCACCCATGTTTGCGGGCTAATGGAAACAGCAAGGCTGTCAGCGTTTCGCGTTCTACCGGAGTACCCCAGTGTCATCCAGTCGCCAATCCCGCCATCCATCGTTTCCCGGCCAAATTTCTCGCTCCAGCATTCCGAGAGTCCATTCATAGGGCATACCATGACACTGGTGAAGCAAGCAAGCAGACATACCTCTTGAGTCTTGAGGTTTGAGGGAGGGGTCGGGCCTGTTGATGGTCTCCGCGGAGGGGATGGCAAACCGATAACCTCCAGACCCACGTGGCACCCCAGATATAGGGTTAGGTCTTGCAATGAAATTCGAAATCAAATTCATCTTTCCAATCTTACTTTCAACACATGTATATGATTGCTACTAGATGTGCTCAGGCGTGGGCAACCTCCTGCTGCAGCGGCCCAGGATGTGCCTACATACTCGCGCGTTCAGTGCAAGGTCATGGGCTACTGCTTTGGGAGGCAAGTGTCCGACTTGTTCTCCATAAAATGTTATGACCAGTTCTATCCATGACCGGCTATTCGGTGCCAGAATCCCTACTGGTAAGTAGACGGTGCACGTATAATCTTTGGCATGTTTCGCTCAATACAACCACATGGCCAGGAAAGACCAGAAAACGTACTGCATGGAGACAGATGTGGAAGAACGCAAGGTCCGGAGACGTTCGTTCGCGACCCAGATGTCATGGCCCTCATCGATGGGATGCTCATCTACGCGCTGGACCTCATCCGCCATCCGGAGCATGCAAGCCGCCTCGCTGCCCCGCTACCGTCCCGCTCCGGCAAAGTGCTTATGGTATTCCAGATATTCAGGGTCGCCAGGATCGCGAATGAGGACGTGCCAGACCGGCTGGAACGAAGCGCCGCGGAACAAAAGAAGAGATACCGAGAGGGTGGATACCTCACGAGCAAGTCAAAGAGGCCGGGATATTATCTAGCTCGCACTACGTTCGTGTCGACGCGGCGAACGCTAGGAGCGATCTATTTTACATGACTGATCAATCAAGACATGCCGGACGTTGCGGCGCTGTGGAAGATCTATGGCAACAACTATGTACGAATTGAGCCTATGACTCCAACGGGGGAACTAGTGCGGTACGCTACAAGTCTCCCTTCCTTGTCCGATGTGCGAAACCAGTAATAAGGCATACATTATTCAACCCTCGTGCGGTGGAAGACCATCGTGAGTAATTCCATCCTTGTATCAGTCTTGGGGCATGATATCAAAATTTCCGAAAGATGGTCTCTTCTAGTGGCTACTGAGTCATCTCGGACGGACGCTGTCCTAAGAAGCACCGATAAGTCAGCACACATGCAGATCCCGCACCGTTGGATTTTAGGGCAATCGCACGATATACCACGACCGTGACCGTACACTTCTGCCGAATAGAATTTCAATTGGTATATTTTGATAATCTACAACATTGCTGTCTGTTTACAATCCAACTACAGATGAGTGAATGAGATCCAATTGCGAGTGAGAGCGATTAAGTAGCTAAAATGCGCGGTATATGGCTGTTGATACACATCTATAAATACCGTGAAAGGAATGATATCCTCCGTTCGTGTCGTTCTCATATGTACCGGTCGTTAGATAAAGATCGTCGACGAGACTCCCGCGCTGTCCCGCTCTTCTTTTGACCGCAGCTTGAAGTACGCCGTCACGAGGAACAGCACCCATGCAAACGCAATGAGCACCGCCGACAGCGCCGCAAACATCTCGCCCCGCCGCACAACCGACTTCGATCGTAGAAGCCGCACTGAGGAGCTAGAGCGAGAATGGCTTCTCGGAGCAAGTGGTGAGACGAGATAGCGCGTATCGCCGGTATAGGATGGTATGCGCGAAGGCTCGCGCAGTAGTGGCTGCTCTTCGGCATTCGATGTTGTCGCACGACAACATGATCGGCCGCGGCTGCAATCTCCTGCTGGATCGTTCTCATCAGTGGGCTGCCACGACTCTCCGTCCTTGGCCTCCTTCGTCTGTGGAGGCTCGCTTATACGCTGTTCCTCTTCCTCTATCGACTCGCTCTGCAGGTCTGCAAGCAGTGCGCTCGCGCGCTGTGATGCAGCTTCTCGCTGTTTGCGTTGCATGCGCCCGAGCCCAATTACACCGGCAAGTTGGAGCACATTCAGGAAGAGGAACGCATTCAGTAGGTACTGAATATCTCTCTTGTCGCCAGTTTGTGCGCCGTTCAGTTCTGTGGGCTTCTTCTTGGAGATGTCAAGAGCCACTCCCGCCAACGTCTGGAAGGCCGTCGAGCCCACTTGCTCAAGTGCCTTGTGGGCCCCGAGCGTCGTCGAGACATACTTGGCAGGAACCAACCGAGGGACAATGACCACAAGAAGCACTAGTGGGACACGTGTCAATGCCCGCCTCGGGGCGTCATTATAACGAGGGACTCACATGGCGAGAACCCGTGGCCGGCGGCGAAGGATACTATGGCAGGCATGGGAGTCCCAGTAAAGCGTGGGGGTAAAGAAAGCCAGAAATAGCACAAGAGTGTAAGGCATGATGATGCAGTGAATAATTGCATGACAAAGCCGCGGTTTTTGACGCGATCTACGACAAAGCCAACCTGCATGGATCATATGAGATGAAGATGTAGTTACGGTCATGACGGGATGACTTACAACCGGATACAACGCAACGCTACCGGCGAGCAGGTACGAGCCCTTGATGCTGGCGTCTCTCTCAGTCAGTCCGTAACGCCTCTCAATGACATTGCTAATCCCACAGTCAGCATCTTATGCGTCATCGCTGAGCAAGACCATCATTACTCACGCGGCAAGATGAGTGAATGGTGCCCAGATGGCCCCACAGAGAACATTCAGCCCAATGTAACTATGTGATCGTCAGCTCGGCGACGATTATCCTGATGTAGATACTACTCACGCCCAGAAGACGTCACCCAGCTTGGTGATGTCCCGGAGATACACCATCCGCTTCTTGGCCACTTTCTTCAGGGCTTCGGCCTCCGACAGACAAATTTCGGTATTATTATGGGCCTCGTCCTCCAAGTCCGTGGCTTCGAGGTCAGCACCGGCGCCTCGAACCAGCCACTTGGACACGCAAACGTAAATGATGTTCACGAAAAAGGAGATGGCCGTCAAGATGGTCGAGGCATAGAAGGGAGCGTGGGGGCCGAAGCGCTCCGACAATGGGTAAGACGTCCGAGCGGACACAAATGATGCGCCTTTCCCAGCGACCAGGCCGAGAGCGAGCGAGACCCCGAGACCGTGAGACCTGAAAAATCGGACGATGATGGTCTCTTGCACGACTGCGAGCGGGCTGACACCGAGGCCGTAGACCCACATGCCGAAGGTCATCAGGCGGACACTGTCGTTGAGGTTACCGAAGAGAAGCAATGCTTGGCCTGTCATCGCAGTAAGTATGCGGAGTTAGCGTGGATGCGTGGAGAGCGCCAGACCTAAGAAGATGATGCCTGTCGCAAGGATACTGGTCGTGGTGGTGCCAAGTCTGCTCGCGAGCAGACCTCCAACAAGTGGTGTCCAGGTGCTGTTGAGGGAGAAGGCGGAGATGAGGAGCGAGAACTCAGTGTTGTTTGTGCCCATCTCGCGGGACAGCCGCGACTTGAGGGGACCGAGGATGTATGATGCACTGGGTATGGCAGGTAAGGAGACGTGTGGAGTAATGGGATTGGCAGTGCGCTCACTAATGGCTGCCGATGCTCAATGAACATGCACATAGCAGTGCGAGAGCTCGGATGAGATGTGCACGGGTTGGGGATGAACGAGGACGCTCTGGCAGCATACGGACGGTCTCGCTCTCTTCGTCGGAGGCCAATAGGTCCTCGTCGTCCGGGGAGTCACGGGGAGGGGGATGGCAGCGGACGGAGGAGGGGGCGCGGGACATGGTGGGCACAGAGAAAAGAGGGGGCCCCGGCCGCTTTTAAATGAGAAACAGCGTGGGCGGGGTGGAATGAAGAGTGACGAGAGAGAGGGCTTCGGAGAAGATGGTGACGGAAGGGGGAGGGGACGAGCAGGGCCATGATGACAGATGGCGCTTTGCTTTTATCAGATAATTTCGCTGTCGGCAGGCTCGGCTTATCTGATAATTCCTCAGCCCATCTCTGATCATCAGTCGCACCTTATTTGCCTGCCTCTCCGGGCGTGCTGCCTCCACCATCTCTTCCCAATGCCCTTATGCACATTCGCCTACGGCTCTGATCATACAGGCTCTCTTTCTCGCCCTTACGTACACCCTGATCATGCACAATACACCCCGCAACCCAATTTCATTCACCTCGATCTGATCTCTGCGTTCCCTCGCATTTCTGCCACGCCCGCTCGACCTCATTAATCTTAGCCAGGTACGCATCCACCCAATCAGATGTCTGCTTTCCCTTGGATAGCTGCATCATCCAGTTTAGCCGTCGCACGATCTTCTCCGCGTCCTTGCCAATATAGTAGTTATGCCCTCCTTTCGGGTGCATAGCCGTCCGTGTCGGGTCAAACGCGTCCTGCGCAATTGTGAACGCACCGTGCTCGCACTCTGACTCCGGTATATGAAACAGGCGGCCGTGGTGCAGGTACAGCGGCTTCCGTGTCAGGTGTCTATAGCCCCAGCTGACGGGCGGAAGGGAGGGAACGCCTGTTCATCAAATGCATTCAATACGGTCCGAGTGCAGTCGCAATCTGAATTACCGTCGTTCAGAGTCTTCACTTGAAATTCCTTCACCGAATCTACTCCGTTTTCGGCCTGGTGCGTCCGGACAAGGTCCTGCCAGTACTCCGATAGCGCGGCGTCTCCGACTCTGGGACACCCAAACGTAGCCACCATCATGCCTACCCCAGATGGCAGTGGGAACTCTCCCGAGAGAGCATCTAGGGCAAACAGATAGGCTAGTGCACCCCCCAAACTGTGTCCCAGGCTCACGACCTCCTGCACGTCGTAATTCTCCAGCGCCTTCTTGACAACGTCGAAGACGTGTTTCTGACAGCCCTCGTACATCTTCCAGAAGCCGCAGTGCACCCCACACGTTCGTCTTCTTGGATACGCACACCTGACCGCGTACAGGTCATACCGGTTTGTTGTTCCCCCAAACGAAACCACGAGCTGCTTCGTGCTCTTGCGATATACAACCGCACCGGTCGTATTTGCCACGCTACCAGAGAGTTCGGACACGAGCTCGGCGTCCCGCAGCGCGTCAAAGCCTTCGAACGGGAAATCGGGCTGCATGAGCTGGTCCAGATTGGCGAAGATGAAGTCGGGCGGAGGTGTGCTGAACGAGACGAACACGAACTGGCCGATCTCAGCCAGGTTCGCGTAAAGCTCATCCTCTCCTTGTGCGAGGTCACTGAGGCCGAGCGTATACGGCGAGGGCGTCGCGCAGAGCCTGGCGATGAGCCGGAAGTTCATGAACGATTCGGTGGCATACATGTGCCTCTGCTCGGGCGTGAGATTCCATTCGCTCTCCTTGGAAAAAATCTTGGAGAGTGCAGACATGACGGCCGATTTGACCGATCCCCAACGAAGTGTAAAGTCAGACCACTTCTGCATAGTAATATCAGATTTATGACATCGATGATAAGCTCAGACGTCGCTCTTGCTTACTTCTGGTTACGTGAACGCTTGCTACGATGTGGGTTGTTGAAAGACCGTCATCACCTTCGCCTGGGACGCCGTTATCATCATTGTACTGCGGTACCAATTACACGAGCGTCTATCACAGCCCCTAATCTCGATCGACCATGGGCCAAGCGCACTGCTTCAATGTCAACCGCATCAATCATGTTGGGCATGTTGGTGAGTACATCCTCTGTCTGTCTATCCTTCTTGCAGAGTCATCGCGTTTGCTACAGCCCTGCGCGAATGCACCTATGTATCGCCTGACCCGGCTTTTCCTTAGTCAACGCTTTCTATGGTCCCGTGCTACGTTCTCAACTTCCCTGAGTACCACCTTCTCATCCTCGAGAACATTGCTTGGGAAATTTACCCGACCATCCGCCGGGATGCGCTCTCCGTGTATTGTCTATCTGTGTGTGAAAGGATACTGAAAGGAGATAGGCAGCGAGAACGCACCAGGTGGAGTCCAGCTGCGGCGCGCTTGATCTAACGGACATCTCTTAGGCGGATGCTACCCCGTTGTCAACTCCCAGAAGGGCCGAACACCGGTACTTCTTCCTCACAGGCCTGCCTGCTCGTGAGCGCGAACTGCTGCATTGCAGCTCCGGTGGACGCGTGAACGTCGCCTAGTACTGCGCCCGGGCGTATCGATGGGTACAGTCACTTCGTCGCGCACAATGTGCGCTGAAATTACGGGCGATATACATCGCTGTCACCTTACACGCACACCAGGCAGTGCGAGAGAGGATCGCTGTAAGTCAGGGTCCTGCTCTTTTCCCGCTCATATGTGTTCCGCCCGCGCAGGGCGTCTTCACCGCAGCTTCTGCCCGCACGAGCGTGGATCATGGGTCGCTGTCAACAGGAGCGGCCGCTTTCTGGCAGTGCGTTCGCGCGGACTCTGTCTCGAGTACGCGTGCCTATTCTGCGCGCGCGCAGCCCGAATGCGACAAATCTGCGCGCGCGCATTGGTTGCACGGCGGGCCTGAGATCCGACAGTGACGCTGTCCCCGCGGTGTCTGTGATTGACGTGCACGGTAGTGGGAAATGAAGGGGCTTGTTTCCCGGGGTGCGGAGTGTCGTATGTATGGGTCCGCGATGGATCTTGGGAAGATCGGCGCGCTGTGTCAATACGCGAGACACGATTGGGCGGTAGGTTCCTCAGGTGGGGATTGCTAGGGGCAGTTATATCGCGCCTCGGGCTCGGAGCTTGTTAGCTGGTCCACTGATATGGGGAGCTGGACCAGCGGGTGTGGTCGCTAGGCAGGCACGGGTGTGGAAAGAGCGCTACGCATGGGATAGCTGCACTCCATGATCTACATGGATAAATACTATCTACCGTACATGGTGAGTCTGGAGCTTATGGATCGAACCTGGGTTCACGGCAACAACAGTACATGCGGATCGATACATAAAGGGTCATACACGAGCTGTCCTCCACAGCTACGACATACAAGCAAGCGCTTCATTAGAGACGTGGCGGTCGTAACAAGTCATGGCGAGGTTGAACATATCTCTCTCGATCCTGCTCGGCTGCTCAGACATAGGTCCGTGAGTCGCGGATCGAATTCCTCTTCCTGAGCCCGGTACGCAGCCACAGGAGGGTAGCGCAAAGGGTCAAGCAACAGAGGCCGAATTCGGTCCAACCAAGCGCTTCGACGGTGATAGTCTGGCGACACCTGCTCGAAGGGAGTACGCTCAGTTCGTATGGCGGACGGAACGGAAGACGTTCTGGCACGAACCGCGAGAGGGGCGCGTACTCGGGACAGCGTGCGCTCACGCGGGAGCCATGCATGAGTCCGGCGCCGGCACCCTGGTTCCACGTTACGCCATCAGCATACGTTGTGCGACAAGTCCGGGCATTTGGCGTACCCAGAGGACAGAGGTGAGCAGGAGCCAGATGACGGAGCTGGCGACGCTCGCGAGGAGGTGCACCGCGCCGTCAAGAACCCAGAGTACGTATGCGCCTGCGAAGAGCACCGTCCACGCTGCCTCGAAGCACATGAGGACGAGGCTGCAGAAACGTCGTCAATGCACAGTTCTCATCGCTGGCGCAATGTATGATACCGACAGAGAGTAGTATCCGGGGCTGGCCCAGGTATACATGTCACTGCCCGCGCTAATGAGGAAGGCGGCGAGGCCGAGCTCGGCCATGGCGGTCAGCGTCATGAGCGTGAACAGGTACGGGTGAGAGGCTCCGCGGGGTGCGATACGACGGGCCCGCATCTTGGACGCGCTTGGCGGGGGATAGAGAGGGGGGATGGTCGGAGTCGTTAAGGAAGCCAGGAGGACGACTGTGCTGGGGGTGAATGGGAAAGAAAGGTGGTGGAGGGGTGGTTGGCGGGCGGATTCAATGTCGCTTCCGGCAGCGTGCCCGTAACGTGCGAGGCGGGCATGCGGAAAACATGTGTTGGTGAGGTGATGCCGGACTCTTCACTCACTTGGGCTGGCTGGATGAAAGTAGATTAAGTGCATGGCTGAGTTATGCCACAAGCTACATATGCTGCCGTGCAATGTTCGCGTCCGCGTTTGCCGAGATAATAATACTTCCATGGACTGCGATTTGATTCGTCGTCGGCTGTGATCAGAAACGTCGATGGCTACACAAAGTCATATAGGCTTTATGCGTATTCCAAATCAAACAGGTCGTTGTAATCTGTTGTATGTCCGATGGCCACTGTTCGGCGCCGGCGCGACCATGGCGGCATTCGCGGCGGACGCGGGTCGGGGGTCACATGATGTGGATGATACCGGTAACCCATGGGCAGGCCGGCGATTAGAGCGAACAGGTTGTCGAGGCTCGAGTGAAGGCCGTGCCAGTGCCAGCGCCGCCGTCGTTCTCGCCGCCGTGCTCGCCGTTCTCAGCGTCGCTGGCGACCCCTTCTAGGTCTCCCTCTCCCCACGCGCACCCTCATTACGTGATGCGCGTCGGCGCGTCGGATGATGGCTGCTAAAACCCACCAAATTGACCTGCCTAGGATCCCCTCCCTGCCGCCCATCGAGATGCCAGAGGCCTCCAACATCCCCGCAGCATCCTCCATGCCTCCTCGCCGCGCGAAAGCCCCCGTTCTCTCACACACACCATCCTCGTTCGCTTCGCAGGACACCTTCCAGACCGCCCGCAACTCTCCTTCACCTTCTGTCGATTCAAATGCCGCGCACATCCCGCTCGACGAGGACTTTCTCCTTCCCCCTTCGCCACACTCTTTGTCATCGAACGCCGCCCTCAGGAAGTCGATCTCTGTGGATTCGTTTATCAAGACCAGACCGCCGCCACCCCCGCCCATACAAACCGCCCGATCCACTCGCGTACATACCATGTCCTCCAACACTATGCCTCCGCCGGAGATGCGACACCGCATGTTAGACCTCCCTGTTCCAAGCGAGCAGGCATCAGGCTCGTCTCCACGGGAACGTGACAAACGTGCTATGCCTCCTCCGCCGCCGCCTCCGCCTACGCGAGGTTGTCGGACTAGCGTCAGTACGATACATGTTGCTGATGAACATGAGAACTTCTCATTCTTTGACGAGTCCGACTTTGAACGTGCGGACGAGCCACCCAGACGCGCGCGCAAAAGCAAGAGTACATCGCGCCACATTATCCCGCTTCCAGGCGAACTCGGTCTCCCGTCGCGACTGCAGCCAATAAACACATTCCCGACCACGAATTCGGCCCAAGTACCTCCGATTGTCCCAGCACGGAGTAGTAGCCTCAATCACAAAGCTAAGTCGAAGGCCCACATGTCTGTTGATACACATATACCTTCGGTAGGTGTCTCCTCTTGATATAGGTGCATATCTAACTAGAGCAATGCGTATATAGCCTACACTTTCACAAATCACTCTTGCGGTCATTGGTCCGACGGGATGCGGCAAGACCACATTTATCCGCAAGGGGCTGAAGATGTGTCGCTTGTCGGAGCCTGTGCAGGACAGCATTCCGATAGGCCTGTCAAGTCTGACTTGTAGGTTCCGGCCACCAGCGGTGTGAGATGATGATGCTTATACTTGTGTAGACTTGCGGCGGAGCGCCCTCGCTCCCGTCGACACGGAGCGCCCTGAGGGTATCATGCAAGTGTTGGAGGTCGACTGCTCCCCTCTTATTGGTTCGGGTACCCACGTCTGGGAGGGCCTCTTGCTGGACGGTGTCATATTTTGTTATGACGCTGCCAACGCTGACTCATTTGCTCATGTCCGTAATCGTGTCGGTATGTGCGCAGAAGCTCTCGTAAAACCATCTTGATATTGATGCAGGATTGAGCAGACGAGTTTACGCGATTGGGCCTACCGACGATCGTGGTAGCGTGCAAATCCGATCTTGACATTGCGGTAGACCCACGAGATGCGCTTGCCGTCGTGCACCCGTACGACACAGGCGTCATTGAGCTGAATGCAATAGATGCATCGGGGAGGGAGAAGATCCAGACGACAATCGAGTGGATAGTCAGAGCGATACGCAAGAAAAGTAAGTGACCGAAGCCGTCCATCTCGGGCATGGCCAGACAGTAAATGATGCGTCCATGCAGGGTTTCCCGGAGCAGTCCGCAGTGATCGCGACGGATTCCGGAATCCAGCGTCGCCCGCGGTACTGGTTGCTTCGACTCCGCCACCTTGGGAGATGTCTCGTGCTTCTTCCGCGACACCTACCGCCGCCTCCGCGACGTCTTCGCAGATGGCGCACGCACAGGTGATGCAAAGCTCTGTATCTATGCCGCATCCATACGCCCAAACCCCAGTGCCTGCGGCACAAACATTTCGCCTGCCGACACCGACATCCGCCACATCTTCGCGGACACCGACGACACCTACCTCCCCGTCGCGTGCACGATCCACCAGTGATCTCCTCTCAGAACATGAGAAGTCGCGGCGTGAGGAACGCGAGCAGCACTCAGCTGGTCGCAACGCCGGGGTAGCCTCTCCGAGTGTGCGCACGCGCTACTCTTTGAATGCTCTGTCGAATGCTGGAGGGCCAGTAGAGCAAACGAATTCTCAGGACGAGCCCCGTGAGGCGGCAAGAGAAGTCGTCCCAAATCAAACGTGAGCACTTCCCCTTGCAGTTTCATTGACTGTTCAAACCATCCGCATCAGGCGTGCCCCTGTTTGGATGACACTGGATGAACTGTTGGACAAGCTGTTGTTCCTGTCAGTGAGCGACGACGGTGGGTGGAAACGCTCTGGTCTTCTCATACCCGCTGATCCGATCGTATCATAGACCCTGTGTTCATCTCGCATTTCCTCCTCACCTATCGACGCTTTGCAAGTCCCCGGAGCGTGCTTTTGGCGATGCAGAAACGACTGCGATCCCTGGACCAGCCGAGCGGTGATCCAATGTTCGCATGTTATGCGCAGATGAGGTTAGAAAGCCGCAAGCCATGCTGTTATCGGCAACTGATGGTGGTTTGATCGCACACAGGATATGTCTTCTTCTGGACAACTGGCTTCATTGGTATCCAACGGATTTCGCCGTGCATGGCTCTGCCGGCGCCCTGACAGCGCTGATCAAATTCGCCCTGAGCAAGACATATCTTTTGCACTATGGCACCGTGTTCCTACCATTTATGGACCACCTGAACCACCTACGGGACCGGGACCATGCATGGGCGCTGAAGGTGGAATACGAGAGCGACGACTCATCCGTCCTGTCCGAAGAGGAAGGATATGCACCATTGGAGATCGAGTTCGGGTCTTCCAGAAAGATGCCGCAGTTGCAGCCGCTACCAACAAATGGGGGAGCTCCGTCCCAAAGCCATACCATGGCAACGCGTGATCGCAAGTCAAGCTTACCACTGCATGCCAAGGCTTTCGCTATCGGGAACTCCCTGTTGTCCCCCTTGCACGGGGGCGACTTGGCGGATCTCACGCCGAAGGCGAAGCTGAAGAGGCTGCAGTCAATCAGCGAGGACGTGCAGAAGGCGGACACGAAAGATCTGGCGTACGAAATTACGCGGATCGAGTGCGTGTTCTTCTTGCAAATAGAGGTATTACGGCCCAAACTTAAGATGGGATCGTGGTGCTGACGGCGTGTCTATCGACAGCCTCGACATTGGTTACAGCATGTCCTCGTACAAGGCAAAAAGGATCCCGAGACTGACTCCATTGCGAGATACAACCATGTCTCCAATCACATCGCCGACTGGTGCGTGGTGATTGTGTCGCAGATGAGATTATCTTAGTGAAACCGTTTGCAGGGTCGTTTCGCTCATTCTATGCCATGACAAGGCAAAGTCCCGCGCACGTCAGATGGAGAAGTTTATCGCCGTTGCGGACTCCCTTCGCACAGCTCATAATTACTCGGCGCTGCGTGCTATTGTCGCTGGCATCAACAGTGCTACGTTTGAAGGGGATGAAGCACTTCAGATCCTGCAGTCAAAATCGCCAGATCAGTTGAAGAAGTTCCAGTCGTATGACCAGCTTTTGCAGTCTGTGCGGTCGCACCAGAAATACCGCATGGCGCTCAGGAATACGAAGGGTCCTTGCATACCTGCACTGTGAGTACAGTATCGGAGTGATCATCCTGAGGCACCGTCTCATGTTGCGCAGGGAAATCCATCTCTCGGACCTCATTCGTGCACATGAGGGCAACACAGACTACCACGACGATGACCCGGCAAAAATCCACTGGGCCAAATTCAACATGATGGCAAAGTTCATCGACGTGGTCTCACAATGTCAAGAATGGTGCCGGAATGCTGACGACAACGCGTACCTTCGACCGCCACATTACAAGGCTCCTGAGTACCTACTTTTCGAGAAATCGGAAATCCTCATGGACCTTGATGTAAGATTTGTCGATGCCTCCAAGGAGGCGATTCACTAAGATGATTTTACAACAGATGCAACGATCGAGGATTGTTCCACCAGACTCACAAGGAGCCATCGATGGCTTTTTGCCTGCACCGTCTCAGACATCGAACCAGCAGAGGGATGCAGCTGTCTTGCGCAAGATCCTGTTTTGGTGATCGCCGTGGCTTCTGGTCGCACGAATCGCTATCTCGTCTGTCACATCCATTGCTTGCTCGCTCTGCTCACAGTATCTATTATACCTACTTGGATTTGTACTCACACCTGTCGAAGATGCTATGCTCGTTGTTAGTAGTATGAGGTCGGCGGAGTTCGTTCGGCGTTAATAGCAGTAAAAGAAATCAAATCCTGAACGAGGCACTACATAGGACTACATGGGACCCACTGTCGCTGGCCGCGCTCTTGCAAAAGAAAAAAGCTCAAGAATGGCTCATAAGCTGTGATCATGAGTCTCACGATGTTTGGGCCATCTCGGGGAGCTAATATGTATTGCACGCAATAGCTATGGCTTCTTGAATTTTCGGGCTTATGCTCAAGTGAACGGGAGACGTCGATACAGATTGTAATTGATGGTATTTGCTTATTGGCAGCTGGGCGACGCAGTGTTCGATCCGTCGATCGGTGATGCCGGATCTGAGATCTGATCTGTGAGTGAAAATACGGTGCACTACTAGCGCTGCTGCTACTGGCCTCTGTACTCCATATTCACCATGGCGGCCGATGACTTTGTAATGACTATCGACTCTGACACAGAGGATCCAACTCCCTTGCCCGCCAAGGGAGCCAAATCAAAACAAGCCCCCGTTGCAGAAGACGCACAGCTGAATCCAGACTTCACCTTCGATCTTTCTGGCGACCCATATGCCGACTTGCTTGACGAGCATCTAGACGTGCAGGATCTTGTAAAGAAAGGCTCAAAGCCGGTACGCACCTTCAGCCCATTGAGTGTCCCGCTTACTGAACGGAACAAGGAACCACTGTCAGTTGACGACATAATAGAAAGGCGAAGGCTGAAGTCACACGCCGCCAAACGGAGACGTGTGGAAGAGGACGAAGAGGAAGATACGGATGCGGAAAGCGAAGGAAATAGCGGGAGTGGCCAGAGTGACGATGACGGAGAGGTCGAGGATGACGAGTTCGCGGCCTTTGGCACTAGCGGAGACGAGGAAGACCCTCTAGCTACTTCCGATGAAGAAGACGGCGATGTCAAGGACTCTGAGGGATCATCAGGAGACGAGCTGGAAGACGAAAACATGGCCTCCTCGTCCGAGGACGAGTCTGATGAGGAGACACAAGCACAAAAAGAGCGGAAAGCCGCTTTCTTCGCGTCCGATGCCGGACCCTCAGAGGAGCACTCGTCCTTCCTCTCCATGAACCTATCTCGCCCAATCATCAAATCCGTCACAACCCTTGGCTTCCACAAACCCACTCCCATCCAGGCAGCTACCATCCCCGTCGCTCTCCTCGGGAAGGACGTAGTAGGTAACGCTGTGACGGGTTCCGGGAAGACTGCGGCGTTCATCATACCCATGCTCGAGCGCCTCATGTACCGCGATCGAGGGAAGAAAGCTGCGGCCACAAGATGTCTCATCCTCGTGCCCACGCGAGAGCTGGGTGTACAATGTTTCGAGGTCGGCACCAAGCTGGCGGCGCACACTGATATTCGGTTTTGTCTCATCGTCGGTAAGTGTGCGATATCAGAGTATCCCATACCACTCTGCTGACACATGGGCAGGTGGTTTATCCGTGAAGGCGCAAGAGGTGACTCTGCGCACTCGCCCAGATGTCATCATTGCCACCCCCGGTCGTCTCATTGACCACCTGCGCAACTCGCCAACGTTTTCCCTCGAGGCGCTTGATATCCTGGTACTCGACGAAGCGGACCGGATGTTGTCGGACGGATTTGCGGACGAACTGACAGAAATTATCAAGTCATGTCCCACATCACGGCAGACGATGCTGTTTTCGGCCACCATGACGGACTCTGTCGACGAGCTAGTGAGAATGTCACTCAACAAGCCTGTGCGACTGTTCGTTGATCCGAAGCGCAGCACTGCTCGCGGGCTAGTGCAAGAATTTGTTCGCGTGCGGTCTGGAAAGGAAAGTGAGAGGTCGGCGATACTCGTTGCGCTGTGCAAAAGGACGTTCAAGTCCGGCGTTCTCGTGTTCTTTCGGAGCAAGAAGCTTGCGCACCAGATGCGGGTAGTGTTCAGTCTCTTCAGCATGAAGTCCGACGAACTGCATGGCGACCTCAGCCAGGAACAGGTATGGCATTGGCTTGGTTCACTGATGGTTTATGCTCATGAATTATATTTTTTAATCAGCGATTGAGAGCGCTACAGCAATTTAGAGACGGTGCCGTGGACTTCTTGATGGCGACTGACCTTGCGTCGCGTGGGTTAGATATCAAGGGCATCGAGACCGTGATAAATTACGACATGCCTTCACAACTCGCACAGTATCTGCACAGAGTTGGGCGAACAGCGCGTGCCGGCAACAAGGGACGGTAGGTATTGGGCGCGTCGTTCATAACATCCGACTCATGGTAATATGTGCAGCTCCGTCACCCTCGTGGGTGAAGCAGATCGTAAGATGCTGAAAGCTGCCATCAAGCACGCTACCGCTGAGGACTCAGTACGACATCGTCAAGTGCCCGCGGAAACCATCACGAGATGGGCGAAAAAACTGGACAGTCTCAAGAAGGAAATTGCTGAAGTTCTTCAAGACGAGAAAGAAGAGAAGCATGTATGTGCATCACGGTTGACCCCGGCTCGAGTGGCTAATTCTCGCTTTCAGCTTCGTCAAGCAGAAATGGAACTTAGAAAAGGTCAAAATATGATCGAGCACGAAGCGGAGATCTATTCTCGACCTGCGAGGACGTGGTTCCAGACGGAAAAAGAGAAATCAAAAGCTGAATGTCAGCGCCTCTGTATCAATGATATCAAACATCTGTTGACATATGTCCTTAGCTTTGAGCAAGCAGCAGTATGAGACTGGAACCAGTGATGCCAAGAAGGGAAAAGAGAAGAAATTGGACGATAAGGTAGATAGCAGATCACTCCCCCTGCAGGATATTGAGACTGACGATATGCTAGCCCAAGAGAGATAAGTACGCAGGATTGACGCGGAAGGCGAAGCGGAGGAAGATGGCTATGGAGGAAGACGAGGAGGCCGGTGAGAACGGCGCAATCCGTGCGGCTGTTCGCTCCGCCAAGAAGGCGGCAAGACCGGTGAAGATTGGCGAGCCTGAGAGGCGGCCCGCAAACAAGAAACGAGAAAAAGCTAAGGAGCGAAAGCTGAGGGGTAAGGCCTCAATGCGCATTGGTGGACAGTTCGACAAGGACTTGGGGCAACGGAAGGTCAAGGAGGGTGTGCGGGCGAAGAAGAGCGATGCTGTCGGCCGGATGGGGAAGAAGAAAGGCGGTAAACGCAAGTAGACATTATTTGTTTACCGATATACTCTCTGGTGTCTCCTCTACCACTTAAAGGTATACTATACTGGGATGTTTCGCATGGTGGATAGTCTCTGGACTGTAGGTTGCGCCAACCCAACCTCGTAAACGTGAAGCCGCGTGACAGTGCGACCGTGGACGCGTCGCGTCGCGTCTGGGCGCTCTACTGGCCGCCACATCGCGACCGCCTATGCTCACCCTTGCCATATCTCCCCAACGCTCAACTGTCTTGCCACCTTGTACTCATAGCCTAAAATTGTCTGTACAGTAGGGCTCGACCACACGCCTGTTCTCTTTATATGCACTCTCGGCGACAGAAGTGATTGAAAGGCATTCACCGGTCTGCTCACCTTTAGCGTGGTCTTGTTCTGTGACGGTACCTAAATCGCAATACTCTGGGACATACAACATCCACTGGGATGGAAGAAAATGCTTTCTCGTCTCTGGCACTGGTCCATCTGCCCACGCCAGCCCGAGTACTACGTTCCTCCTGGTGTCCGGATAAGGACCTGCTAGTTGTCGTAACCCGACTCGGCGGCAAGGACAGAGTGAGCCTATGGAAGATGCATGGCGCAAAGAAATGGGAGGTTGGTTTTGACGCGAATTCCACCGCTAGCAGTGACGAGGTCGTTGATATTTGCTGGAGCCCTGACAGTGAGTCTCACATAATGTCCTCGATTTCGCCCATGCTGACAGCCGAGCCTCTAGCACAGACAATAGCTATAGCTCATAATCCTCCAAGAGTAACTTTACACTCTATCCAAGACGGTCATGAAGAACGAGTCCTACCGGTGTCTCTACCGCTGCATCTCAAACCATTGCGTCCCGTCCGCTTGAGCAACATCTGGTGGCTAGCACGGGAGAAGCAGGAGACTTATAGCAGTATACCTGACATATTCCAAAGGGGAAACGACATTGTGAGTCACTTATACCTCAATAGTCGATGGTGTATTGATGTTGATATTGAGATGTCAAGACAGGCTCCGCGCACTCAATCCTGAAGGGACAGCCCCTTTTGGACCCCTTGCAAGACGAATCTCAACCGCTGACGTGAGATTCAAACTAGTCAGGTGTCGTGAGCTTATTTGACCAAGGATTTCCAGTGCGACGGACCTCTTCGCATTTCAAGGATCACAGACTCGCGCGGTGCCACCTTCTGTTCCGCCGGTGATTTCGTCTTGGCCTGCGTTACCATCGGATAGTCTGGCTGCATCAATACAGCCGCAAAAACTTAGTGGCAACCAACTGCGACCTGGGGAAGAGCTAGACGAAGCGGACGATGCCAATGTCGACAGCATTCTTATGGTTTCTGACGACACTGGTCATCTACACTGTTTCTTGGATGGAAGCTATCCCCTGGGCTCTGCTTTCACCGGAATTGAGGCTCTGACAGTTTCCATATACAAGGAGAAGGATTGCTTTTTTGCTCATCCGCAATTCATTAGGGTTGGCAAGCCTAGCTTTACCAGCCTTAGACCGTGGGTCATCAGACTGCCCGAGATTCAAAGGCGTACTATGCGGGATGTGGCTAGGGTGTCCTCATCCACGCGCGAACTGAACTGGTATGCTATGCGTGTAGTCAAAGACATGCGAAATGCTTGGTTCGGGTCGGAAACTCAGAATGGTGCACGGGAACTCGGTCCTAAGTGGGTACGCGCACTGGAGGACAGGCAAAGGGACGAATTTGGCCGTGAGTTCATATTAATTGCACATGTTTGCAGCGCACTGAACCAGCCCCATCCCCTCCCTCCGACCGTGGTGACAGACGACGAGCCATACGCCATGGTCGACCTGACAAGTCTCCTTGCGACTGGTCGGCTAACCGAGTCATTCGCTGATTATTTGGGCAGCGGGGAGCAAATGAGCGACAGGGTGAGTCCCCTCGGTGCCTTGTGTTCTGTGGCCATTCAGCTTTGCCGCATGTAGGGTCTGCAGAAATGGGAGTCCACCATGGTGGAGTCCCTGATCAAGCTCCGTGATTACGCGGAAAAAAGGGTCGCCCCCGCTTGTCAACGCGTGCATCTGCTTCTGGAGGAGGTCGCCGGGTGGTCTCAACTGTGAGCCATCTGCTCATGACGACATGCATTCCATTGACGATTGTCTCGAGGTCGCAATACGAGAACTGCAAGCTGAACATTTCACAAATCAACGGGTGTTTAGATCTAGCGAGCCGTACAATCGTCCTTGCTTCGTGGCTAGCCGCGACGACTCGCAAAGAGCTCGTTCGCTTCAAAGAATTCATGAAATGGCTCAAGTACGGTAGGTCATCGTTTGATGCTCGGCCACGCCCGGTGTGACGTCCGACTACACAGAAACCACCCGTACAAATACACCCTCCGAATCTACGAGTCTGCCTGCCCCAAAACATGATATTCTGGAGGTGAACGACTACTTGATGGCGGGTCTGGTTGTCAGCCCAATCGATAAATGGTTCATGGGACCTGTGCCGCAATTTGCAACCCGCGATCTCGGCGTGCCGGGCGATCAGCATGATCTCAAGGCCGTCATGCAACGGGCCCGGGGCGTGCTCAGCAATCAGCAGCAGACAGCTTGGCAATCGGTTAGTTGCATTTTTGATGTAAAGTGGTTTTATCGGATGCCCCATACTGACGGCACGCAGAACATCAAGCAGAAGGACCTGTCGTATTTGGATCGGAATTTGGATTCGCTGATCCAGGAGCTAGCAACGCGCTGTCAGCGGATATTCGTCGAAGCGGCCGGCGCCACCGGGCGTTCAGCTGTCGTCGTTTCAAGTTCAACCCCTGCACAAGTACATGACACGACGTTGTTGCGTGCCGCGGAATCCAGGCCATCTCCACTAATTCGAGAGCGTACCATAGCAGACAGCACTCAGGCGAGTGGATGCGGAGACACTGGCCACCACAATGACTAACGAGTTTCACAGGCGGGCACGTTTACGCAGACACTCGCTATACAGATTCCCCGTGATGCCAACAAGTCCGACTGTGAGTGGCGTCTCTCAGCACTAGAACTGCGGCCTCATTGCTGTTCTGCAGTGTGTCTGGCGCGCTTGCGGTTCGCAAAGGACACCGCCTCCTCACCACTTTCAGCTGATATTGCCGTCATGGAGTGTTGCGCTCCGAACGGAGATGCAGAATATAATGCCGTACCTTTCACTCTCCTTGATGCCGACTTCTTCGACGATAGTGTGATCCTGCTGGTCTATCGGTTTCAGGAACGGCCCGGTGAGTGGACAGCCCTACAACGCGGAGACTGGGTGCTCAACATCATGTATTAGGACCAGCTTCCATCGCTACTGTCGGCTACTCTGATTTACACTACGAGACTGTCGAATTGCAGGCACACGTAAGCGACTTTGCCAGGGAAGCACTGATGCTGGAGGTGCTGCTGCGTCTGAGTGACGGACGGGTATGTGCGATGTCTGCTCAATTAAGCGAAGGTTGGCTGAACGGCGGAATTGTCTCTGCTTTCCTTTTTAGCTATCTTCAGTCCCTGCGCCAATCATCCAATCCCGCACCCTGAGTGGGTGCAAAGAAGGCAATGCGTTCCTGGCGGCCAACGGCAGAGCCGGCCGCAGGGTTGCTTGTGTTCTAGATGGCGCAGGACTTGCTTTAGAAATTCTGGATATGGAAGGGGAAGTGGAGGATTTGGAGGAGATGTCCACTGTGGAGGCGTGATAGCCGTATACAGTTGGTTTACGCGGCTCGGGGCGCCGGGCGCGTTGCCAGGGTCCTGCATATGCTCTCCTCCGATGGTAGACCACGACCAAGGAGCATGTACGGTAAGGGGAGCGAAGCCCAAAAAATGAAGAGAACATCCCCAACTGCCCAGCGGCGACAAGGAACATTACACGTGCGGCGGCGATTACGGCTAAGAAATACATATAAGACATGGTAGGCGCGTGTCAGTCACACGGCTGCATCTCCCAGTCTGCTGGACCACAACTTGCATTTCGAGCGTCGGAATGTCGGACCTGGCGCAGGAAAATGTGGTTTAGGCTCGCTGATGGGAACCAATTGCAGAAAACATGGACTAATGGGAATTGGCTTGTCGGCACGAGCGTGACCCCCGCGAAAAATAGAAAGGGTTTCTATTCTGCATCTCGGGGAACCGCTGGCCAGGACCCTCTCCTCGTGCCCTTCATTTGCGTCGTTTTCCATGCCGGCTTATATCCCGCTCTGATCCAATACTTGGTCGAACATTACTCTCCCCGATGCCCCAGAGTCCTTCTGCCCATTCCAAGGCCAGCTCTGACGACTGTTCGAATCGTTTGTCGGAGGCGGCGCTCAGGAAGAAGAAGAATGCCGATGCACAGGCCGCCTTTCGAGCTCGACGCGCGAACTACATTGCTACCCTGGAAGAGACAGGTTCGACCACCTCGGTTATCTCGAGACAAGGTCGTATATTTACGGGTCTTTGTTGACTTATAGTCACGAACCTCGAGTCTGTTGTCCTTCAACTCCAAGACACCTACAAGCAGACGAAGAATGAGAATGCTGAGTTGCGCTCGGAGAATGCTCAATTGCGGCATGCGATGAAGCAGCGCGACCGGGCGTTGAGGAGGATATACCAGGGCCGACCCGCGCCCAATACCGTATCTCCTACCGATGAATTCCCCCCTGCCCCTCCATATTCTGCTCATGCTCCATCGGCCATGGTCCAAGGCGCCATGCCCGCTGCCCATGTCGCTCAGTACGCGGACAATGTCATGCGCTACCAGACGGGTCCCGATTCGAACGTATCTATGGCTGGACCGTTCCACCCTGACTATCCACAGCGCTCGCCGGCAATGGCATTTGCTAGCGGCATCGACACATCCACTCCGCCTGACAGTCACGCCCAACCGATGGATCCGCACAGGATGCCAAGATACGACCAATATGGTTACCCCATGGATGACTGTAATCGCGAAGGGACGTGGGTTACCGATGACCAGGGCGGCCCCTCTCCCAGCGACGTGCTCGACAGCAGCAGCTCGTCGCACTCGCCCAACTTCGTTGAATCGCCTACGCTAACGACATCAGACCTTGCCTACCCCCAATACCCCCTCGACGACCAGAAGGTCAATCTTGCTTCGCTCAACTCTGCTCCTTATATGTATCCCTCCAGTCGATCAATATCGCCTACTATATCCACACCGACATCTACTTCATCTACATCTCTCGCTCCTTCTCCGTTTCCATTTACATTCCCTGAGGCATCCATGATTCAGGAGCGGCCCGAGTTTGGCTACCGCCGGCCGCAGCCTGCTCCCCAACTTACCTTACACGGAGGCACCGCTGACATCTCGATAGCGGCGTCGAGTCGTGGCGCCGCACGATACCGGACGACCCGATCCGACCCTCTCACGCAACCACCTATGGCCCAAGCTTTATCTACATATTCCCGCCTGGACAACAGTTCCGGCGGACGTGACAGCGACGACAGTGAAGCTGCCTCATACACATACTCCAACCGCTCCCGGCCCCGCAGCGACATCGCGTCAGCTCGCCCCTCACGCTCACCGTCACCAGGTCCTCCGCCCATATGCGGAACATTGGCCGTAATCAAAGCTCAAGCATTTGGTGCTCTGCGCCGGACAAGGGCAAGAAGTAGAAAGACATCTGAAGGTGCGGCGAAGGCAGCCGTGGAGGCGTTGGAGGCGAGAGGTATTGGTATGGGTATTGGTACGACCTCAAAGCGCCCTCGCTTGCTTGTTGACGACGATGAATTGCAGACATGAATACCACTCCTTAGACTTCCTTGCACTCTGTACTAACCACACGCTTTCTAGTATCTGGGACACCGCTACCGTAGACTACACCCATGCATCGCACTATTACTTATTCGCTATCGCTCTCCTCCAGTCTGTGTAGCTTGTGTATGATACCACTTGGCTGTAGTATACCGCAAACCCTTCGCCCCAATTTTGCTGAACTTCGTCGGCCTTATATGAAAGAGAAAGAATTCTGTTGGACTCCACGCCCCGGGCGACGAACTCAACGGAAGCGATCCTAAGCGTCAGCCCTGGGCGATCTCCGACGTGCGGCATCCGCCAGCTTTGTAACTATTAGAGATCGCATCGGACAATACATATGGGTGCAAAATTCCGGATGCTTCGCCTGATGCCAGTTGACACGAGGAGGGAAAGTGGAAGTCTCCATTATGCTTCAAAATTCAAACTGCGCCAGCGCTGGACGTTCTTGTGACAGGTGCGTGGGTGCATCAAGGATGGGTACACGCGATGGCACCAGACCAAGGTCATCCACTGTGTGAGCATGCCTCACCGGGGTGGCTGATACGATATCTAAGGCCATCCGACGCTGCCTCGCCGCTAGACAACAGCGAAATACACACACGTCCACGCCCTTACGAAATGTCATGACATGTAGGCAGATACTGATCATGAAAGGGTCCGAACATGACTGCTTTTCATTTGAATGGCCGATGAACGAACTGTCTGTCACTGTGACTCCAACACTGTTTAGATCCACCACGATAAAATGCACAGGGGACCCACCTGTTGTCCTACTCATGTGGCATCTCCGCTGAGTTGGATATCAGACAGCGGTATCGAACAACGTGCGCAGTTGAGTCAGCGGCCCTTTGACGGGTGTCCTGGGGCCCGAGGGGCCATCGTTCATCGACAGTGTCCCCATCACCGACATCGGGCAGCAAAACGGCCAGCATCCTGCGTTTTATTGCCGCCCAATCTCCGCCGGGGCAATGAAAGACAAGGCGGGTTCTCTCGAGTCATAGTCTTGGCCTTCGATGACCTACAGGGATGATCCAGCTGTGTAAACCTTGGGCACGGCCGGATCCCAGGTTCCCCTGATCTCACTACGCGAAGGATATTAATCGACTTCTCTACAAGCGGCCCAGATTTGTGGAAGCACTCACTTCTTGTACCTCTGCGCCCAGACCAGGACCCCGGGGGCGACGAATGTCACGAAGACAAAATTTCCGCATACTAGATAGGCAGCTAAACTTGAGACCGGCGCTGTGAATGAAACGCACGAGCCGCATAGAGCGATGGTCACAATGATGTGGACGCCCGTAGGTCCACTCTTCGAGGTATCAGCACTCGGCCCTTACATGGGGACACGATTGACCTACTTGCAGACGCCGACGAAGCAGGGGGAATAGGGCAAATGTCTGCACGGAGAACAAGGTCAAGGCGAAGACGCATACATCGCTCGGGAGCCGCGAAGCTAAGACGACACCAGATGATATGGCAGCGTTCATAGATAGAACTGATGTCAACCTATAAACATGAGTTGAATGATCGGCCATGCCTTGTGTGCGCAGTCACTGCTAACCTTTCACGATGTTGCGCCTCGGGTCTGAATCCAGTGTAATCCGCTAATAGCGCGTTAAGAATAAACAAGGAAGCCGAGAGTGCCCATATGGAATCGGAGGATGTTGCTGCCGTCAATGTCCTCAAGACCGGAGAGAGCGACATTAGAGCGAGAAAAACGAGTATTGACGACTTCACAGTCTTGGCTCCTAATACATGGTCTCAAGGCCAGTCGGCTGGATCGTAATGAAGGGCTCACTGTTGGTCATTGAAGCGGTATTATGGTTGCTTGAGCATTCGAGCAACTCCCACGTAGCATAGCCAGTCAAGAATCCGCCCACAGAAATCCAGACTAGGAGTCGCGGATCGAGCAATCCCTCATTGAGGCGTACGAAGACGGTCAGAAAGGTGAAGATGGTCGCTATATGCTGAGTCACAGCACAAGATGATACGACCAGTCCCCAATATGTATACGGAGTGAAATTAGCTGACCCAAGCTCATGTTAACGAGTACCATCAGAAACAACACAAGGTCCGCTCACGATTTTTGCTCAATGAAGAGAGGAACGAGCCGGGAACGAAGTTGTCCGGGAATGACGACTTCTTCCATAAGGCCCGTTTCCATTCTTCTTCCTGGGGTGAGTCTTCAAGCATCCATGCAACTAAGCTATGGATTGTTGGCGTAGTAAGGGGATTGCCAACAATAGGTCCCTGCGAAAAACAATGCACAAGATCCGCCCCCTGCCCGGCTCCCGGAGATGGATGTCACGGTCTGGGTTAATCATGTAGAGTATGTACTACCAGCTTAGGACGACGCTGACTCCACGATTCTGTGCTGAAACTTTGATTGACAATTCATTTCGGGGAGCTATCTATAGCTGAGAAACTATGGAAATTTTCACAACATTCCGTGGTACAAAAGTTGGTGCCACGGTGGTGTATGTCGTTGTTGAACCGGATGTCCTGTTCACCTGTTATCCACTCACGCTCAGGGTGCAATATGATTCGGACGGCCCAGCGCGCGGCGTTGTTCGCATCGTGTTGTGATAGCTGAGCCAAACGTTCCGGATTTCCCATGCGGCAAGATGAAATCCCATACATGCTCAAGCTCGAGTCATGGCCGTCTAGGAACGCCCTCCACGAACTACAAATCACGAATAGGTCTGCGTGCGTCTCCGCTGAGGCACTGTCATCCTGTCCACGCCCCATAGATAAGATAACGGTAGCTCGATGCGTTTGGACCACGCATCAATGTCGAAGGCCAATACAGGGTACCCGAGCGACATGAAAACAATGGAAGTGGGATGGCATATGCAATTACTGCCCAGTCGATGGAACCGGTGACGGCAGCCATGCCAGAACGTGTGGGGGCGGAATGCCACGAGCCTTTCCGGCTAGCGGCCTGCAGGCAATGCGTAACGCAAGCGGTTATGACGACCCTTGTAGATCAGTCCCACTGTGAATACAGATATGACTCGTTAGTATCGCACGGCTTAGCCAGACCGAGCACGATCAACAATGTGCTTACCACGAGTTGCTCTTCTTGTCGCGGCTCCGGAACCCTCGGGGCTGCTTTGGATGCCTCCAAGTTCGCAGCTAATTTGCCTTTGTTGGGATTAGAGGCCTGCGTGCCGCGGGATTGCTCCTGAAGATTCCGTTACACTAGTTCCTGGAAGCTGGTGTAAAGAACGTACCGCCTTTCGCCGTCTTTCTGCGGCTTCTGCAGCTGCGGCGCGAGGATCAGTCTGACGAGAACCATTTGGCGTATTGCCTTCATCTGGATCGTCATGGACTGTCCGCCCACCCAGGAGCGATGCAGATTTCGAGCACATGGAACCCATTGTCGTCCTACTAATACAGATGCTGGCCAGCAGACAAGAATGTAGAAGCGAGTCGACAAGGGTTGGCGTCTGTCCCGGCCCATCTGCCACAAGCACCGCCATCAAGTCCTAGTCTAGGGTCAGCATAGCTATCGATACGATATCCTCCGGTGCTGCCATGGATCCGACCAGGACTGTTCATTATAGATACATAGCTCGAAATCCTTGAGTTCTGTATATTGGAGCCAAAATATGGATAAATGTATTGCAGTAGACAAGGCAGGACGTCATGACGGCTCGTCAGACACCCGGGCGTAGTCACCTTCTCGCTCATTACCTCGTCCACTCCGATTCCAGAGGCCGCGCATGCGGTCTGTCAACTCTAGTCGGATATCCTCAGGGTGCATTTGAGGCATCCAGGCCTATGACGCCTTCAGATGCGGACAAAATGTAGACAGCTGAGAGCACATACATCCCACCACCTTCTGCCTGCGCCCCACGGTATGCTTGTGTCGAGGCCTGCCTTGACCATTCGACCCTTAATGCCGGCACCGAGCAAAAGGCCGAATACGGTCAAGAGGAACAGCGTCACTACGAGCTGGTCCCTGGGAGAATCGCGCTCTGTAATAGGAGGTGTAACGATCATGAAGGAAGAACGCAGGAGTAACGTCCCACTCACGGAAGCATCTCGCCTCTACATCACCCTCTTTGCCAGTGGCTGTATCTGGGTCAGCATCTCCGAGTTTCGCACCAGCGCAAATGGGCAAGTTCTGGTTGAGGCACCATTGCTTCGTGCATGACAGACAGGGTTGCTTGGGGTTGTCAGGAATCTGCATGCGCAGAATGGTATAGTTCGACCCAAAACAAATACCTACATATGTGTTATGGGCGATGAAAGGAAGCAGTTTGTCCCACTTACATTTGCAGAAGTCGGTGGCTTCCCACTTATGGCCTAGTATAGCATTGGCAGACAACTAGAGCCGAGGGGGGGGGGGGCAGATATTGAGCTGCAAGCCTAAAGCCGGACGGAATCATTGCTCACGCAGAATGAGAGGAACAGCAGGACATACACTCGGCACGAAGCAGTCATGATGGGAGAACGGAGGAACGTGAACGTGACGCGTCGACCGACCTGTGCGCACCTACGCGTCTGCTTCACTCCCGTCACCTCGGACTGGCACTCCCCTCTCATCTCGACCCTCCGACAAATACACGGGCAGAAAGCATACAAAAGACATCCGACCGTGTGATCCAAAGTCCCTCGCCATGTCTACTGAGTTTGAGGACGTTCTCACAAACCAACCCGTAGTCATTGATAACGTGAGCAGCCACTGGTATTTCTTGTCGCGTCGCGTCCACTCAAGCCCACGACCCGCGTACTCAGGGGTCGGGGACAATCAAGGCAGGGTTCGCTGGTCAAGATCACCCAAAATGTTTCTTCCCGTCTTTGTGCGTCTTCACGGTTAGAGCCTCCTACACAGGGCATAAGCCGACCGCTAATACGACGTCACCGGTCTTTACGCGAACAGTGTGGGCAGGCCCAAACACATACGTGTAATGGCAGGCGCGCTTGAAGGGGACGTGTTCATAGGTCGTAAAGCACAAGAGTTTCGAGGACTTCTAAAGATCAAATACCCCATGGAACATGGAATCGTTACCGACTGGGACGACATGGAGCGAATATGGAGCTGGGTCTATGCCGAGGAGCTTGGAACGCTCAGCGAGGAGGTATGTTGTACTTAGTACGCGTCGCATGTGCGAATTAGTTGCTCAAAGTGTTGTAGCATCCTGTCCTTCTAACGGAGGCGCCATTGAACCCGCGACACAATCGAGACGTCGCTGCCCAGATCTTCTTTGATACTTTCAATGTCCCCGCTCTTTTCATCTCTGTACAAGCTGTGCTATCATTGTAAGTGAATTAGCACCGCATGTCCTGTGGCGCACTAAACAGACGTCACGTTCAGGTATTCTTCAGGACGAACAACAGGTATCGTTCTGGACTCGGGAGACGGTGTTACGCATGCAGTACCTGTATTTGAGGGTTTCTCTATGCCGCATGCTATCCGACGGGTAGACGTTGCAGGACGGTGCGTGTATCGTACGTTGATCGATGTCTGACTAGCTTGCACTCATCACAGCTGTGCAGCGATGTGACAGACCATCTGCAACTTCTTCTGCGCAAGTCCGGGCATCATTTGCACACTACGGCAGAGCGAGAGGTGGTGCGGACGATAAAGGAGAAGTGCTGCTATGTTGCTCTGAATCCCGCGAAGGAAGAGAAGGATTCGCTCGGGCGAGGAGAGGAATTTCGTTTACCTGATGGTAACACTGTTCAGGTCTGTCCTGGAGAAGTACCGCTACTCCGCATGTGAGTTACTGACGCCCAAGTCGCAGTTGGGCCCCGAACGGTTCCGCGCACCAGAGATCTTGTTCAACCCAGAACTGATCGGTCAGGAATATGCTGGTGTTCACCAAGTTGTTGTCGACTCGATCAACCGGGTGGACTTAGACCTGCGGAAAAGCCTCTTCTCCAACATCGTCCTCAGTGGAGGCAGCACGCTTTGTCGCGGTACGTAGTTGCTCACGTCTATTACTGAAAGGTCACTCATTTTACGACAGGCTTCGGTGATCGACTGTTGAATGAGGTGAAGAAGCTTGCCTTGAAAGACGTGAAAATCAAGATATACGCGCCTCCCGAGCGCAAGTATTCCACATGGATTGGAGGGTCTATCCTTGCAGGTCTTAACACATTCAAGAAGGTATGACCTCCCAGTCGTTCATGATCCTTCTCCTACTCACCTTCACATCCCTTAGATGTGGGTTTCGGCAGAGGAATACCAAGAAGATCCAGATATCATCCATAGGAAGCTAGGTTTCTGATCCATTCGTTACAATGCATTTCTGGTCTGGCTGGGTCATATCCTACATATCATTTACGATACCCCTCTTGTAGACATTAATTCATCCGTATGATACACATCTTACTATGCTCGTGACAAACGATGCTCGCATGCGGCAGTCTACGATTGTCCCATTTATACCTCACACGCAGAGATTGGAGCTTTGAACAAAGATTGTATCAACCGAGTGCATGCGAGGCTCGCAAAAGACCGTGTACCATGGATTCCGCATGCGCATGATATTCATAGCGAGAGAAAAAGATGAGGTGGGCATACGCGGTAAGGTACAGGCATGTACAGCTTTTGCGTGGGTCGATAAGCAATGCAAGCGATGACGAAAGCCCAAATAAAATACAGCACGCCCAACCCCTACTTGCCCTTCTTGGGAGGTTCGGCGGCCTTGGACTTTTTGGTGCCACGGAGCTGTACTCGGCAATTAATATGCAGTTGCAACGGGCCCACAAGTCAGAACCCACCTTCTTCGCACGGTTCTTGCGCTCCTTCCGCAGCTTGCGGTTCGTCTTCGGTGGCGCAGTGGTAAGGCCAGCCTGCGAAGCCCACGAGTTGAGTGAGCGTGAAGGGGTGAATTTTGGACCAACAGACGTACCCGAATCAATCGGTACTTGGGCTCGAACTTCCTCTGCGACTCCTCGTCGTCGTAGATCAACGCAAAGCCCGTGCTGCGTCCACCACCGAATTGCGTCCGGAAGCCGAACGTAATCACGCGCGTCTTTTCGGTCTTGTAGACTTTGGCGAGCTGCTCAGAGAGCTCGGCCTTGGGGACGTTTGCCCGCGACGGGTGGAGGACATCCACGACGAACTGGCGGCGAGCAAGGAGACGGTTGGTGATGAATTTGCGCGTCCGGATGGTGATGGGTGCTGCTGAGTCGGCCTGTGGGTAGGGAGGGCGGTCAGTATGCATCCTTCCACAGTCGTGTGTATCTGGTCAACAAGACATCCATCCATCCTCTTCCCGCCGTTTTTGTCGCGAATCCACCTCATGGAGCACTCTGGCATAGCTCCAGCCGCAAAACGGAGCACAGACTCACCATGATTAGTATCCCGCCTCCTGTAGACCGTTACCTTTGGGCGTTGACTGGGCGTTGAGGTCGCTTACGTTCGAGCGAATGCGGATTGAGCCAAATACGCACACACAGACATTGTGGCTGACAAGCGCCCTTCCAGGCGATCCTGGCGCAGTCAGTGACGCGCTCGCAATCCGCCACAGACAGACGTCTCTATTTATTCCAGTCATATCTGCCACCCTGTTGACCTGCTTTGCATCTAAGTATCTCCTATGAGCCGCACCAACTTTGCTACCTCATTCGCCCCCTATGTAAGTTTCTAGCAGCTCGCAGAGAATAGGTTTATAACCCGCGTCGAATTCAGACCCCACCACCAGATGATCCCTCCTATGCGTCCTCTTCCAAGCCCGCTTCTCGGCCATGGCTCCCAAGACAGTCTGCGCAGCAGCCGGCCTCTTACCAGTCTGGAGGCATACCGACCTTCAATACATCACAAGCCGGCGGTCTCGGCGCCGTAGAGACTGAGGCTGAGAGTGGAAGCAGCATCTGGGAGACACGGTATGATATGAGAGTCGACGTGTTGGCTGCTTTCGCATATATCTTAGGTCCCATCTCTGGCAAGTAACGGTATCTGCTGTCGTGACATCCAACCTGACCCCCTGTGTAGCATTGCTATTACTGATTCTAGAGACTCATAATGACTATGTGCGGTTTCATGGTGAGTGTGGGCACAGAACAAACAGAAGCAGCTACTGGAATGCTGTTTTAGCATATCAATCTGCTCTGCTATCAACACCCCTCGTTCTCCTACGGGTATTAGCTACTGTCTTGCAATTCTCGTCCGTCATATGCACCTTCTTCACCCTCTTCATTGTGGTGTCCTTGCTTTACATGACGTGAGTGGGCCGCCTTTCAACGTTGTTCTAGTTTCAACGCATCTCACTGCTCTCGCAGGTGGCAAGCCTGCATTGATGCTGCACGGCATGGCCTCGTTCGCTTCCAGATACCAGTCATAGGCCCGATTGCGGACCGTTGGGTGTCAGAGGAATGAACTGTGTACACGTCCGACGTCGCTTGGTCTCGCTCTGCCGACTGACACGCTTGTACGTACCAAAGCGCGATCGTCTCTACGCCAGTGCCCGTGGTGGTAACTGTCAATGCGCCAGCACTGGTTCATACTCGCTCATACCACGGCGCATAGGTGATGACGAGAATAGATTGTTAGTCATGCGTGCAATACGAAGGCAAAATAAAAATCGTGATACAGAACGATGCAAGAAACTTCAATATAGTCAGGATCCAGCCTGTGATACATAGTTTGTGGATGGGACATCAAACCGTGACAAGACCCAGCGAGATTGTCCTTCGCAGAAGCGGCCTTCACATTGGTATGCACAAACCAAAAATCTCAATGCCATCATCGCATTCCTGAATGCCGAAGTCCTGGAGAAGAGGCATTACGTTGTTGGTGATGCCGTCCGTGAGGTTTTCGATAGCGTCCAAGAGCTCGTCTGTGATACATTTGAGTTGAATAACAACTAGAGAATTTTTGTCAGGACCATCGTCAAACGACAACATCAACGCGGACTCACTTGGGGCCAACCTCGGACCAAGAACAGGCAATGTTTTGATTATCTCAACCGTTGTCCTCAGACTGTACTTGACCATGTTGATGGTATTCTTCAGCGTAGTCTCCACAACGTTATTTGGGTCGTAATTGGCCAGTCCTTTGTCCGCTGCGATCTTAGCCATTGCATCCTGGAAGCCCCCTAATTGTGCTTGTAAATCCGAGAAGGCATCATAGTATTGCTGATTGAAATCCGGGCCACGCTGGGATGACGATAAGTCCAACAAGGTGTCTGGTAATGATGGCTGAGATACATTGGAGGGATAGCACACACATGCAACTCACTCATGGTGTTCGAGTCGTCGTTGAGCTTCTGGTAGTGAGACTGCAAGCGGTTCATGTTGTTCGAAAAGTCCGCATCCGCGTCACGTTTTTGAGTAGGGACAGGCATAGCGTTGTGTTCGGCTACAGTATGCTTGCCCATGGATAGAGAACTACTGGAACCTTGAGGATCTTTCACTGCGATGCCCGGCCCAAGGTCCGACCGACGGGACAGATCGACATAGGTCCTCCAGACAGGTAGAGCTACGGGTAGCGGAGACCCCAGAGCAGGTGTTACCGCCATTGGCATACCAACCAGGGTAGCGATAGCAGCGACTTGTACAGCCAGGAAGACCGAGCGAGCTATGGACGGCATCTTGAAGTCCAGCTTGAAGGCAGGCCTTGAGGGAGAAGTATGAAAGAGCGGCTAGCGCGTCTTGAAGCTTGAAGAAGACGAAGAGACAAGAAAGAAGCGAGAAGGGCGGACGTTCAGGACAAGACGCGACGAGCGAGTGTTGAACTTGGAACCCGTACTTATACCTCTCCGGCGGGACAGAACCTTATTTTGACGGGTGCGGGATCACCGCGTCCCCATTGGTCCCCACCACGACGCGACGCGATCACATGACCGATACTCGTCCTAGGCGCGCATATCACCTCGATCATCTCATAATGTGATGACAACGACACTGAATGGACCATAGAAGACAATAGATTAGAAGTACCACGCAGACAACAGACATGATCAGAAAGTACTGTCAGTATAGGGTACCCAAACTATGCCAGAACCCATTGTCAACGCAGAACGAGTCCAGAACAAGAGCGCGATCTGTACCAAGGAGCATACAGACCAACGCTGGGTATCTACGAAAACGACGGTGGTCGAAAACGAGTGTGGGAGTTAGATGAAGCTAAAGTTGTATAAGAGAGTAAATATTCTGGCACATCTATGTCGTTCCGATGCGTAGAGTTTAGAGCTTGATACACGATTGGCCGTCCGATGAACGCTTGTAATCTAGGCTGCATGTGTAGACTGGACAAGTCAACTGAGTCAGTCTTAGAGAGGATGAAGTCTACATCCAACAACTCACCTGCGCAGCTACCCATCTCGCAATCAACGTTTAGAGCTCAAAGGGCATGAGCGCGAGACTTGAGGTTGCGCTTGTGGTTGCCGGTAGGCGTGTTACTACGGCGGTTCGCAGAAGGCGTCGATTTGGGAGCCGATGACGATTTGGTCGGTTCGCAGCAGGTGGACGCATCGTGGTTCCATTCCCATCCACTACCGCATTGAGGAGGGGGGTTCTGCTCGGGAGGCTGCTGAGGCACACAGCATTGCTTGCCGTCGTGCCATTCCCAGCCACTCGAAGGGCACTGTTGGTTACCCTGAGGGGGCGTCGGAGGGTTCTGCTGGCCACCGTAGGGCAGGCAGCACGCTTTGTCGGGGTAGCTTGGGTAGAACACGTCACTGATGGTCGTCGACCTGATGCACCGTCAGACTCACAAGAACTCCATGTCAGAACATTGCTGCGTGCTCGAGGTGGCGAACGCGAAGGGGAGAGCGGCGGCGATGAGGAAGAGGGCAGCGAAGCGGGCCATGGCAAAAGATCGTGGGCTCTAAGGAAGGACAAGAACTGAGAAAGATGTGGGAAGTCAGAGTGATGCTCTTGAAAAAGGGCCAGAAAACCGGGACCGCGTCTATATATACTGGGTCTCGACGCCCGCCATGGCGCTATCCGGTTGGACGGCGGGGGCTCGCTTAGGGAAATCAGCCACCGTGAAGCCCTTGGCATCATGCTATCGCCGCTACTGGCAGTCGACCCGCCCTGTCATTGTCCATCTCCGTGGCTTGATAGTTTCAGTCCTGCAGTTTGCATATATCAACGTCAGTGATAATAAGGTCTCATGAGAAATGATTATAATGGTTTGAGCATTGTTGAAGACAGACGGATGAAGGTGATGATCCCTCGACGGTCGTCTTACCCCGATCGGCTGACTACCAGAAGCCGGGCGAGGCTGTCACAAGCGCTTGAGCTGTTATGGCTAGAACCGTGATATGGACGCGCGCATTCGCCGCTCTGCCTGTCCGTCGATTACGTTTCCATGATGGTCGCGTTGGGCCCACGCCGCCTGCCGCCGAAACCGGGCTGTCGGTGTGACCGTCCAATACTGTGTCTTCTCGTACGAATGGTCATATTTACAACAAGCCTGTTACATTACACTGATCGTTCTTCAGCCCTAACAAACTGCGAGATTCGAGATGTGGGCGTGGTGACCAAATTATGGTGGCCCAGAGGCGAATTGCAAACTGCTCTGTCACGCTGCCAGAGTAAAAATAAACGTGTTCAGCGGACAGCCTGCACAGCGTTCGGGTGACGTCCTCACCTCCAACTCCATGTGCGCTTTGCAGCGCACGCGTGGCAAAGAATCGCACATCGGCGTCTGTGTCATTCTTCAGTATCTCGAGGGCTGGGATAATCTTCTGCTGGACCAGCTGTCGGCCCTCAGGAGTGTTGCCAAACGTGGTCGCCAGGACCTCCAAGGCTTTCGCAACGTTAAAACGGATATTGGGAATGGGGTCATTCGACAAGTGAAGCAGCGTGTCAATGATGTCGCCTCGGACGATGTCGAGCGTCAGGGATGGTGAGATGACCTAAGACAGCGATCCTTATATGAGATCTCAACCACAGCTGCTCAGGTTCAGCACATACCGAAACAGCTTGGACAGTAGTCATCCTGTAAAGGTAGTTGGGATGCTGACCCATGCCAACCACTTTGGGGACGATCTGAATTTTTGCCCATTCGACACCGAAGACTTCGGTCAGCTTCTTTAAATTGACCGTCGCTGCTTCTCGAATACTGTAGACATTATCCCCGAGCCAGGACATGCAAAGGTTGCCCAGTTGCTCATCAAAGAAGGCCTTGCCCAGCTGGTTTGCGAGCAGAGGGATGTACTCTATGATGGCTTGTCGCACGCGCCACGACTTGTCCTCCGCCAGCTCCACAATAGCGGGGAGCAAGCTTTCCGACAGCAAGTCGATGCCAATCACTAGTGACCATCAGTTAGGACACACTGCACAATCTAAAGGCGTTGCGTACCATCGTTGACTTGTTCAAGCTTGCTGATTATGTTCAGTCGCACCTCCGGGAATTCATCCTTGAGAAGGTGCAGGAACAGGGGAAGTAGGTGTTCGATTGTGGAATCCTTGCCGAGCAACGGAGCAAGACCGCTAATCTGGTTTGCCAATGCCGCACGAACGTGCTGAGAGCTGTCCTGGCAAAGGTCCCGCACACAAGGGACAATGCGGGCCAAAATGACTTCCTTCTCGAGCAACTTGGCGAAACCTGCTCTATATTTTAGACACTCATGCGCAGGATCTGCAATGAGCATGACCGACCCGGGATCTGTCCTGCCGCCGCAGTACGGGCCTCAGCTTCGTTGTCTTTCAGAAGCTGTACGTAATGCCCGATGAGCTCCTCTCTAACCAAGTCCTGCCCTATGGTTTCTGCGAGCTAATGACGATCAGCCCGATCGTGGGGTGGAGACCCGCGAAACTAACTTGGTTGAAATTACTCGCAGCCATATATCGCACCCTCCAGCTCTTGTCCGAGACTGTTTGCCTGATTTGCTTGAGTAGCTGTTCCTTCACCTCCGCAGGGGAGAGTGCCTGCGCGATCGCGATGAGGTCATCTACAGTCAGAAGACGCACAGAGTCCTGATCATCGGCTTGCAGTCTACGGTATATGGCGAGTCCGTCGGTGAGAACGTGCTGCTTCGCGAATTTCTTCACAAGGGGCTGTTGCGCATCGGGAGAGACAAATGTCAAAAGCAACGCCACCGAAGAGCAAATCCCAACTCACCGCGAGCCATTTTGATGCTGCACGCCGCACCATCGGGGTATCATCAGTCCCAAGACCAGCGAAGCCTCTTCGCAACTCGTCCTGCATAGGGGGGGCGACTCGGTCGTATACGGGTGCATATAACGCGCAGGATGAGACACGCAATGTGAACCATTCTCCATGGGATAGCCGTTGCAGGAGAGGAATGTAGTATTGCTCGATCTGAGCCTGACTCAGGACGGCGGACACTTTAGTTATGGACTCGGCGGCCTGGGGATAGACGAGGAGGCATCAATGAGGTATCTTTGCCCGACCGGGAAGACTATTGTATAGCACAAAAACACACCTTGTCCCGCACAAGAGCCTCCTCCACAGCACACAGGTTCTCCAATGGCCCCAACAACACATGCGCGTTCTCGCCCCCGCCGATGTACTCCTCAAAGTTCATGCCAAGCTCCTCGGCCAGGGCAAGGAGAACTTCATCCTCGTCGTCCACGGACTCTTGCAAGAAGGGTATAAGCTCATCACGCGCACGTTCGGGTCCCAGAGCAAGCGCGATGGTCGAGATGCGATGGATGGCGTTTAGGCGAAGTTGCACGTCCTCCGACCGCAGCTCATCCATAAGGATAGCGATCGGTGCAATCTGTGGCATAGTAAGTTACTCGAGTGCAGGGCGACACTAGGTGTCGGAGGAGCTCACGTCGTCCACCGAAAACCCAGGGTCCATCACAGACGATACTGGAGCGGTCAGACACCTTTATTAACATCTTGGGGCCACATAAGCGACGGACGACAAACCAAGGAGACGTTATAATATGTTTTCGGGGAGTCTGGTGCAAGAACCAGTGGTACGTATCCGTAGATGGATCTGGTCGAGAATAGCGAGCGTTGATGACCGTGTTTGGACGCTCGAGTGCTGCTATCGCGTGCATGCACGCGTGATGTTTGCCAAATATAGCTGTTAGCCAGCCATATATTTAATCTTCCCATTATTCCAACCGTCCACAATTCACGCTCGCGTTCTGGGCACGTTCAGTTACGCGTGGATAACGGGACGGTTGATTTTTGCACACTACATCACATTCCACTAACAACGACTAAATACATCGATAAACAATCTCTTCGCGAAGAAGAGGGGGATTCCAAAAATTATGCGCATGGAAATAAGTCTATTTCCAGTGAGCAAAGCTGCGTGCACATCGAACTTGAGTGTGAATGCTGAATTACTGGCGCCGACGACTGAGTGAGACGACCTTGACATACTCTGGAACGAACCCGTTAGCAGAACGAAACTTCGATAAAATGAGCCACAACTCACCTTGAAACTTGATATGCCAAGTTGAGTTACATTAAGGTCCCGTAGACATGCACAGTGAAGTGCACGCCTCAGTGGCAGCCATGATAGGCGAAGTGGCCTTGACAGGCAATGGGCCTCAATGGGCAATGTGGCCTCCGACGGCAATGTAGCCCCGGTAAGCGGTGTGGCCTCGGAAGGCAATGTGACCTCGGAAGGCAATGTGGCCGCAGTGGGCACTGTAGGCGGTGTAGCCTGTGTGGGCTTCGTCGCTGGTGGCAACGCGCACAACATGTGTTCGTAGACACAGCTGGTGAGAAGGGGACTTCGCCCACATTCTCTTCGGTACAATCATACGCACTCTGTTCGTTAGGACACAACAGAGCCAGGAGCTGCTGGTTGTCAATGCGAGAGCGGTCGACTTACACGCTCTCTACATGCAGTAGAGACGCACCACGGGGGTCCAGGTGGTCAGCGGAATACGACCCAGCGAACGCGCTGGTCGGCAAATCGCGATATAGCGAACGCGCTGTTCGGCAACTCAACACAGTGAATGCACTGGTTGGCGGAAGTTCGAGGAGCGTCTCGGCTTCCTGAGCAGTTGGGAGCGCCGCAACATGCTCCCCAACCCTACCAGCTGAACCTGAGCTTCATTGCACACCATGGCAGCGCACATTGACACCGAAAGACTGTGAAGTCCTCGAATGCCAATTGCAGAAGAAGTCCAGGAGGAAGGGTGGCAACCCGCAAGCTTGAGCTCTGCAACGCGACGAGCGCATCAGGCTAACGATGGTCCTCCTAAGACAACCTCGCAAAGCCACTTCAGAGCTAGCCTGCAGGTTTTCGCATCGACAGTTCGTCTCGGCAGATCGACGTGTAATTTCGTCTCGGCAGTACGTGCGGTGACGGTTCAGCAAGTTGACAACATGTGCGTCGTGGCAGTCATCGGCAAGGTGCGGTAACATCCAATGTCCCTATGGCAGTGCGGATCAAGTATCCAGCAAGCTCGCAATGTGTGCATCGTATGGCAGCAGGTGCATTGTAAGATGGCTTATCCAATTCCATGGCTTCCGTCTCGCTGCACCATGAAGGTACAGAGGACGCCGATAACAGCAGGGCTGCCTCGTACGTCCGACTCGAGACGCCACAGCGATTTTGTCAAATTTGTGTGTAAACGGCATGGCCTCAGCTGGAAGTTTTGCTCGTTAGGTGCGACCGTCATGAGGCATCAGCAAGAGAGCATTTCTGGGCCTGCCTGGTATTCCCAGCCCTTGATCCTCGCCGCATTCCCAAAAACACGGAGACCCCGATAGTCTAGGTAAACCTGGACCTCGTAGACCTGGACGAGGAGAGTGAGGTTCCCATTCATCTTTGGTGTATACAGTGTAGCTGCGAAGGTCAGCACAATTCATGCAAATGAGAGACGAAGTGACTCACCATCTGTTCTGGTCGTAACAGAGAGGGGCGAGCGTAAGGGAGAGGTGAGAAGGGGAATGAGAGCAATTAAGGAGCATTGTGACCTCCCGGCAGTATATATTCACTGATCCCTGCTGTTCAGGGCAGGCTGCCGCAATGTGCGGAACCTTCCCCCATTTGGGTGTGCCGGTGTCCGAGCCCGACAGACCGGAGCACGTGCTCGACGGGGTGAATACGCGACGATACCAAATGACGTCCGCTCAGACGTACGGGCCGGTGGGTCACTCCGAAGTGCAGTGCCAGTTCCCCCCAGGGCAACTCCACTGCGTCACATATCTAAGTACTACAATTACTCATCGAGAAATCCCCCACCACATCCCCCACCAAAGTTCGCAATGCCAGTCCAACAGCAAGTAGACAAGATAGTCCTCACTCACCCTAAGGTCTGGTATTCACTTGCGGTATTCAAACCAGGTTGTAACTGTCGTTATGCAGGGCTCCTCTGCTGAGATTTTACTCTACGGCGCGACTGTCATCTCTTGGAAATCCGGCAGCGTCCCGAATCCCCAGCCAGTCGAGCGCCTCTTCGTTTCTTCAAAGGCAGCCCTTGATGGTAGTAAACCTGTGAGAGGCGGTATACCCGTCGTGTTCCCGTGCTTCGGCGCACCGACCCATCCCGAGCATTTGAAGCTTGGACAACATGGCTTCGCGCGCAGCGAGACGTGGACATTCAACAGCATCGTGATGGACAACGAAGCGGGCGTATCTGTCAAACTCAGTATGTGTGATTTCCATCATTTGAGGACTCATGGTCCCACCGACGATCCCCAGCCCTCGAGCCCAAGGCAAGCATCACGGAAAGATATGAACGCCCCTTCCACCTGGCCTACGTGGTGACGCTAGCTGAACATCAGATCTCCACCGATCTTCACGTGCAGAACACCGCGCTTTCAACAACGCCTCCCCTCGAGTTCCAGGCTCTCTTCCACAATTACATCCGAGCTCCCGCAAGTGAGGTCTCCATCACACCCCTTGAGGGCATCTCGTATTACGACAAGACGGAGACCTCCGAGGAGCTACGCAGCAAGCCGAAGACGGAGCAGAGAGCCACCGTTGATGTCAAGAAGTTCACAGATTCTGTGTACGAGGATGCGCCAGGAATATACGAGGTAGCCTCGCCAACGAACAAGGTCGAGATCAAGACGAAGAGCTTCAAGGATGTTGTAGTGTGGAACCCACAAGCCGAGGCTGGTTCAAAGATCGGTGACATGGAGGCTGGTGGATGGTAAGCGTTCACTTCATTTAACCGATAGGTTGTATGCCTAGTGACCATGCGCAACAGGGAGAAGTATGTTTGCGTCGAACCTGGTTACGTCCGCGGCTTCGTGAAGCTGGAAGCGGGTCAGACTTGGATCGGGCAACAAGTTCTGACAGCCAAACTTTGAAGAGCGACCTGAAGAAAGGCGGAGAAAGGTTGTAACATATCCATACGAGTTGTACGCCATGTGCTGTAGCCTTAAACAAGAGGAAAGACGGTCTAAAGTGCCTCTTCCATGTGTCTGTTAAAAACGAATATGAGAATGCAAGCGCCAGGCATGGCACGGTGTGACCGATCACATGCCACATCGCGTTGTTGACGCGTCTGACTTCTGCGCGTGTCTCTCAACGCGCACATGCGCCACGGCAAGGCCACCCGTGCTGCTGCGACGCAATGAGTACGCTGGAGCCTTCTCTCCGGGTTCGAGTAAATCAGATTGACCACACTCTCGCTGCTCCTGGCCCTCTGGACAACTCCACTCTGCCGCGAGTGCCCATCATCAGGATTTATGGAGAATCCTCTACCGGCAAGAAGGCATGCGTGCATGTACATCAAGTGTATCCCTACTTCTTTGTTGAATATCTGGGCAAGATGAATCCCGACAGTGGTAAGCCCCTCTCGCCTGGTCGAACTTGTAGGCGCTCTCATGTCTATGGCATACGCTAGTGAACCGTTATATTATACGATTACAATATTCCCTCAATCATGCAATTGCGATCTCTATGAAGCGCAACCCTCATTCGTCTAAATCCCAATTCGTTCGCGCAGTAACTCTTGTCAAGGGCGTCCACTTCTACGGCTTCCACGCGTCGTATTCTCCCTTCCTCAAAGTCCACATTGCCGATCCCGCTTTTGTCAACCGAGCAGTGACGATCCTTCAGTCTGGAACAGTGATGAAGACTCGGTTCAGAGCTTACGAAAGTCACCTCAGCTACATACTCCAGTTCATGTGTGATTATGGCCTCTATGGCTGTGGCTGGATAGATTTGGGGGAGGTATGGGAACGAGGTCAAGTTGAATCAACGGTGTATCTGGGCTCCGAAACCAACTCATCAGACACCGATGTTGTGTTTAATTTATCACCGTATTTTCGTCAATCCCGTATGCCTCTTGAGGTTGATGTCGCTGCCCACCAGATTTTCAACCGCCATCTTCTCACTGCGCGCAACATTCATCACAAAATCACGATCCCTGCACCTCCACTACCGCAAGAGCCTTTCGTGCTTAGCGTGCGCGAGCTGTGGGAAGACGAACGCAGGCGCCGATTGGCGAAGGGCCTGTCTCCTTCCCCTGAAATCCCTAAAGACCCCAGTGAGAACTCGAGGGGGCGCGGTGGAGAGTGGGTAGCAGAGGCACGGTGGTGGGAAGAGATTAGGAAGAAAATTGAAAAGGAGCGCGGTCAGGAGAAAGAGCTCAATAGCGGTAAGGGATGGGAGAAGTGGGTGATGACCACATTCGAAAGTGTCGAGGCCCTTTGGGAAGACGAATACAAGACTTGGAAGCCTGGCCGCTCAGGAGATGTGGTCTCTGTGGGCGAACGGACTACTGCAGAAGCCGGCGAGGAGAACCCGTACGCTCCGACAGTGGTAGGCGGAGCATCGAGTCAAGAGCGGAAGCCCACGTCGGAGAGAGTAGAGGTGGACATCGACGAGGCAATGCTCTCTAGTCAGGCAATGGAGCAACTCGTGGAACAAGAGGAAGAAGAGTGGGAGAAACTCGTTGACGGACACCGAGTAGACGACGAAGACTTTGACGAAGACGAACGGGCCGCTGAAGATGGCCCCTCGCCCGGTGAGCATCCCGCTGATGACCGTGCGGCGGCTTACAGGTGGGTTGTTGTTGGCATACCCCATGAACAGCGCGTGATATACCTTCTTGGCAGTCTGTCGGAGAATGCACCTGAGCAGAGATTTAATGCATTCCAGGATGCCTGGCGCAGGTTGGTCAGGTAAGTAGCATGCCGTAATGGGTTATTATTCAACATCAGGAAAACAATGACTAGGCCATCTGAGGAGCGGCCTACTTCGGTCACCTCCGAAGACATGCCCCAGACGCCGACAAAGAGGTGAGCGCAATCAAATATCGTTCCTCGAATCGTCTCACGCCCGGGGTTCGCAGGATCAGAACCACAGCAAGTCTGATCCGGACACCACGACAGACGCCGACCAAAAAGGCTCCCAATATCAGTGATCCGTCTGACGCTGTCGACATTTTCTCTCCCACAAGAGCAACCCGGATTGCCAATGATGCGAGTCTCGAATCAATCACAAGGTGAGGATAGCAAGACATTTACCGATCGCTGAATATGAAGACCTCATGACCATTGCCCAGCTTGTCAAGGATTTCTCACCGTGCTGACGGCGTCTTAGGCGAAAAAGGATCCATAGAAATCAATACGTAAGCCCTTGTTATTCACAGCCGTATTGCTTCTTTCTTATCCGCCTCATAGTATGCAATGTCCAGAGGTCGCGAAAGTCGCGTCGGGATCATTGTTAATGGATGATGATTCTAGTATCGACGTTGTCGCAGAAGATCCTGCCCTTGTGGTGCGCACGAAGACAAACCTCCCGGAGCCCACTGCGATCAACGATACACCCAAACGGCCAGCATCTCAAACGCAGAGCGGGTCGACTGACGGTAGTGAGAGACCTTCGAAACGTCGGAAACTCGATGAGCCCGTCGTAGAGATGAAAGTGAAACAGCTCATCACGTCTTCATCAGAGACATCATCCTCACGGTCATATGCATCTTCGCATGGGACAGAAGGCGCACCTCAGTCGAAGCCTGTTCTGTACTGTAAACCATTGTCTTTTGATCCGAACGGCAAGACTTTTGTCTTTTCAAGAATAGCCCCATCGACGTCCGAACTACTGTCCAGCGTTGATGAGTACGGTATACCCAGCAAGATATACACTAATCCCTACTACTCAAGGTCGGCCGATGCGCCCGACCGACCGAGGGAATACGCCGGCCTTGTTTTCACTCTCCAGGGTGGTACTGGCTTGAACGTTTTGGAAGATTGGAAGGATCACGAGAATCAATTACCAATTGTTGATAGTACGGTCAAGCAACGACCAAGATTGGATCCTACCGGTGTGACGGGGTGGGAGTATGCTGGTTCACCTCCAAGTTCGAAGCAAGTGCGTGAATGGTTGCGAAGCAATCAGCCACGAGGATCACAACTCAAACCCAAACAGACATCCCAGGCAAGATCTCTACGTTTCCTTCCAACGAATTGAAATTTATATCGGTTTATCAGATTGAGGGACCTACACAAGCAAATCCATATGGATTCAGACATACACCCGCGAAACCTTCGAAAGCAGCAATGCGTGAGCGACGAAACATGAGCGTTCTCTCACTGGAGATGTTCGGTGAGCCCGTTGCGAAGGCTGCTTTTATTCTTTGCTTAGATGTGGGTGTAATAAGCCCCGTCAACTGGAGACAGGCTCCCAGATCCTGATGCCGATGAAGTCGTCGCCATATTCTATGCATACCAAGATTCCGCCGGCCTCAACGGTGACGGTACCTTCTCCTGCGAGAACGGGACAATTGCGGTAGAGAACGATCGCTTTGACCCTCGTAGGCTGCGAAACATGGCATTCGAAGTCGTACCGTCTGAGCTAGATCTGTTAAACCGCCTCATTGATGTCATAGTAGAGATTGATCCCGACATTCTTGCAGGATGGGAGGTGCAAGCAGCATCTTGGGGCTACCTCAGCGCCCGAGCAAACATATATGGTACGTGGGCTATTTACACACTCGTCAGTTTTCTAGTATACTTAGCCTTGAGGTTGCAGGTCTAGACCTGGGAGAGCAAATATCCAGAGCTCCTGGTCGTCATATTGGTGGTAGCTCAGACCGGTGGGGCATGAGGACTACATCGACATTCAAGGTGACCGGCCGGCATGTGCTCAATTTATGGCGAGTTATGCGTGCCGAGCAAAGTTTCACCAGCCATGCGTTTGAGCATGTTGTCTTCCAGATCCTTCGCAGACGGTCAGTCAGATTCTGTGAGAACTAGCGCGTCGCTTTATACTGACGATAAACAGGACCCCTCGGTATTCTCCTCGGACCGTAACGGAATGGTACAATAGCAAGATACCCTACCATAATGCAAACGTCATGCGTTATTTCTCTGCACGCTCTGCAATGGTGTTGGAGATCCTTGATTCGGCGGAAGTGGTGACCAAAAATGCGTGCGTGACGTTCTGTCTAATTTGCTACCGTTGGCCAATCCACGTTATTTTCAGTGAATTTGCTCGTGTCTTTGGTGTAGATTTCTTTTCTGTACTCAGTCGTGGATCCCAGTTCAAGGTAGAATCCTTCATGTTTCGAATAGCTAAACCAGAAAGTTTTGTATTGTTATCTCCTAGCAAACTAGATGTGCGTAATGTCACCACATCTCGCGATTACCCACACGATTAACAAAATTCCACACAGGTCGGCAAGCAGAACGCTGCTGAATGTATGCCACTAATAATGGAACCACTATCTGCTTTCTACAGCAGCCCACTAGTTGTATTGGACTTTCAATCACTGTATCCATCCATCATGATCGCATATAATTATTGCTATTCTACGTGTCTTGGCCGCGTCACAGATTTCAAGGGTCAAAACAAGTTTGGTGTAACGGACCTGCAACAACCGGCGGGGCTGCTGGCAACCTTGCAAGAGCACATCAATGGTGAGTCTTCGTTCGAAGCGTCGGCAGATGACACAGTAACGATTATCCTCCGTCCAAAGTGGCTCCTAACGGGATCATATATGTAAAACAAGACGTTCGGAAGGGATTACTCGGGAGGATGTTGACCGAGCTGCTCGATACAAGAGTGATGGTCAAACAGGCAATGAAAGGGGTTAAAGACGACAAGGTGACGACGTTCTTTGCTTCCTGTACAGCGGCAAGTTAATCTTCCTACTGTAGGCGCTGCGAAGGGTCTTGGATGCTCGTCAGCTATGTTTGAAGTTCATTGCTAACGTTACCTACGGGTACACGAGCGCATCATATTCCGGTCGTATGCCGGCAGTCGAGATAGCCGACAGTATAGTCCAGAGCGGCCGCGAGACTCTGGAAAAGGTGAAGCTCCGAGCTACGCCAAGTCGGTCGAATTCCAGCTGAAGTCCAGCTACGGTAGGCCATACGTGTCATCGACTCGACCAAAAAGTGGGGCGCGAAGGTCGTCTATGGCGATACGGACTCTCTGTTCATATATCTTCGCGGCAAGACCAAAGAACAGGCGTTCCGCATCGGCTATGATATGGCGGAGACGATAACTGCCATAAATCCAGTACCTGTCAAACTCAAGTTCGAGAAAGTGAAGTCGAAATCACTTACGGAGAACGCATGTTCACACCATTTCAGGTCTACCTTCCCTGCGTATTGATGGCAAAGAAGAGATATGTCGGTTTCAAATTTGAAAACCCAGACGACAAGGACCCAGGGTTCGACGCCAAGGGCATCGAGACGGTTCGGCGAGACGGCGTGCCTGCGCAGCAGAAGATGACCGAGACCTGTCTCAAGTACGCGACATTAATTTGGCTACATGCTACAGCGCTAAATCCTCTGAAGGATCCTGTTCCGTACACAGGATCTCAGCAAAGTCAAAGACTATTGCTGTAGGACATGGGCAAAAATCCTTGAGAACAAGGCCTCCGTTCAGGACTTCATATTCGCGAAAGAGGTGAAGATGGGCACTTATAGGCGAGTCGCGCTTACGACACCCAATTTCCCATAAGCTCACTGTTACGACAGCGATAAGGTCCCTCCCCCACCAGGCGTGACTGTAGCGGCCCGGCGCATGGCCAATGACCCAAACGACGAAGCACAATACGGAGAGCGCATCCCCTACGTCATCGCCCGCGGGGACCCAGACTCTAGGCTGGTAGATAGAGCCGTCTCGCCCGAGCAGCTGCTCAACGATAGGTAAGCCTGCACATGCCTCTCTAAGGTCCCGGCTACTGACAGCCAGCAGCCAGAAGCACCTAGACGCCATCTATTATATCTCTCGCGTTCTCATCCCGCCCCTCGAGCGTATCTTTAACCTCGTGGGTGCAGACGTGCGGAGTTGGTACGACGAGATGCCGAAGGCTCTGCGCGTAGACCAGCCAGATACGATGCTGTCGCCAAAGAAGGCGCCCAAGGTCGAAGCCGCTGCCAACGCGTTCAAAATAGACGAGCACTTCTACAACTCCCGATGTTTGGCTTGCGGAGCCCACACGCTCGAGGGTGCGTGCAGGCCTCGGTCTCGCCTTCTACCTAATTATGCTGACGTCGATGATTCCAGGCATATGTGATGCCTGCCGTGCCAGTCCACAGCAGACCACGAGCGAGTTGCTGCTGCGCGTACGAAAGACTGAAGGCAAGCTGCGCAATGTGCAGCTCATTTGCAGCTCATGCTGCGGCACGGCGCCCGCGGAGCCAATCAAATGCGAGTCTTTAGACTGCCCGTGGTTCTTTGAACGCAAGAAGGTCGAAAACAAGGCAGAAGGGCTTGCCGCAATCGAGGATCTGATACAGGAACTAGAAGAGCAGGCTGATGTGGAAGATGGAACCCAAGAGGGGGACGACGAGGACGACGAGGAGGCACTATTCTGGGGTGGTGGTGAAGAGGTATCGGCCGAAGACATTTACTCATCAGACGATGCGCCATCCCCAGAAATAGACTGAAGTCATTGACACGTCCGCGTTTCGCGCTAGGTCCGCATTTGCATTGTGTTACCGTCGCGATACATTGTTACGTACACTACAGCATACCCGAAATGTTTCACGCGGCGGTCAGCTCCTTGCGTGTAAGCTCTTTGGTCTTTTGCTCCATCTCGTCGAAGATTTTCAGCGCGTCCGCCAGCTTGCGCGTAGCCTCCGCATCAGCCGCCAACGCTTTACGAAGCGCGTCCGCGTCATTGGCCAGGAAGTCGGTGTCGTGTACGGCAGGACCTGCATACATGTCTGTAAGCAATGAGTGAGCACCAGATTTGATATGGACTTCTCGCCTTTCGTATTGGACGCGTCGGTGTCAGCGGGCGGCGTCGTGAGAGCGACGCCCGATTGGTTTTCAGCAGCGGCGAGTTGATCCAATACCGCACCAGAGATGGTAAGATGGTCAGGACGAAGGGACGCCAGAGCCACAGCCTTGTATGGCATGTCAGACAAATGCTACTTCGCATTTTGATGGGCAGCATACCTCTGCAGACGTCACGATACTTTACGTCGGTCAGAGCATGGTTTGTAAACGGGGACAGAGCAGCTCACCTAGCGGGCATCACAAGGGTCTTGGAGCTGATCTGGTTGAACGTCTTGACGATCGCGTCGATGACGGACGCCATGGGGTGTTCCTTGGCGGTGTCCTTGTACTCCTTCCACACGCCAGCCTGGAAGTGTACGCGGAGCTCTGAAATTCCACTACGTCATGAGCTTTGCGGAATGGCGGTATAATGGGAAGTTCCGACCGTTGAAATATGGGGCTACGTAAAGACAGCCAGCCTGGGAAGCTGCCACAGCCTGTGGGACGGAGAACAGACAAGTTGCGAGCGTGCTGACACCATGGTTCTCAAGGTATTGACATGCCACTATAGACTCAGGAGTTGCAGGGATCTTAATGCACACTCTCGAACTGAGAACTATTGTGAGAAGATATCCTATCGGTGCGTGTGATGGCATGCGCACGCTGGTATGCCCTCGGCCTCGAATAAGGCGACCAGTTTCTTTGCGTGCGCGATGGTCGCTTGCGTATTGTACGCCGTCGACGGCGAGGTCTGGACATGGACACGGCCGGTCAAATACGGATATACCTCCTTGGCAAGCAGGACAGTCTGATGCGCCGGATAAGCACTCAACCCTGCAAACGACAAGCGCAGATCACTCAGACCAACACGTCCACCGCATCGATAATCTGCTCTTCGATGTCGGCACCAGTCGTCCTCACGCGCTGACATGCGTTCTTAAATAGTGCGGCGCGCTCTGAATTCGCTGCCTCTCCATAAACGATCGCCTGGTTGGATGTCATGTCGCAGAAATTCGCGGTCGGCGTGGTGTGACGTGCCGCCACGGTGGGGTCCATCGAGTCGACATCGACGGTGACTTGGGTGCGGACGTACGACAGAAGGTTGTTGGTGGGCATGCTGATGGCTGTTATGATGAGATCAGCAACGTTTGGAGTACAGTGAGACACAATCTATGCAGGGCCGGCAGACGGGCGAATTGGCAAATGGCCGCGTGAATATACGCCCGTGAACGACAACGCCTACCATAAGGGTGTACTTTGGGCAGGCAGGTGATCAGCATAGGCGGACGGTCCGCCGCGGGCCTGGTCAGTGGTTGCCTTTTCATTGCCCGGACTTTGGTCGTGGAGCAAGATTGGGTTCAGATGGAGCATGTGGGCACTTGAATGAATACATGCGAGCTTGTGAGGGGTACAATTCACTCCAGCGGCGCGGACATCCCTTATCGCTCGACGTCGAGTAAGTGCTGGCTAAAAGTACCGATAATGGGTCGCCTGGAAGTCAGCGCGTCGCGAGTTACTGCATGACAGCGTCTAAGCGCAAGAATAACCGAGACAGCGACATACGATCTTGTAAATTGGAATCGGCAGAGGAAAAGGCCACGATCGTAAGAAAGGACCGCTACATACTGCACCCTATGGGCGCGACCAGGCTTGGAGTAGCGCGACGGCCAGCCGGTACTCCGCGATGGCGACGTGGACCATGGATAGCCATCTGTGTACCGTTACTTAGGACATTGGCACTTATCTCGCTGGCATGAATGTATACGCGACGGTGCATTTGAGTTTGAATGGATCCTTCAAGAAGCACAGACGCCGGCGGCACAAATAGGTACCAGATCGGGACGCCGCTGAGTCTGAATATGGAAGCCTGCAAGCCAGCATACATATACGTCATCTGGAGGAGCAGAGAGCGCTGGAAATCTCGAGGCCGTCGGTTGGCCGTTGTGTTCTCCTTCGGCATCACATCGATACGCCAACATGCCCATAATATCATATAACCCCCGCTCGCCTTTTCTGGCCGTTTTCACTACGCTTTCTCCACCTTCCTTCTGCCCCTCACCCAGCCTCTCTTTCGCATCCGATCAGAATTTCTGGCAATATGGCCGCCTATCGTTACCCCATGAGCGAGGATGATCCGTCTCAGGGTTCCTATTCTCATCTTCAGCGCCAGGGCGGGGACCCCGACTCCGTTCCTACTCCTTCGCTCGACCCAGGCAATGCAGATGCATCCAGTAACACCACACTACCCCCGACGGCGAGGCCATTACTTTCGCCGTCGTACGCTAGCCAATGCGGATCTTTAGGTTGGTTCTATTTGTTGGCAGTTCTTATTTTAGCATATAGTCTAACTTCACTATTCGACCACACCTAGGCCCATCCACTGGCAGCGGTCAGGCCGCAGCGTCAAGCGGGCAATTGGCTCAGAGACAGACGCAGCCCATGTCTCTGATAGCCGCGCCTTCCTCTCGGGCTGCTCAGGTGCCTCCTCCTGGAGTCGCGGTTTCATTTGTGCCGCCTTCGCGTCATGACTCCAACCCGTTCGCGACAACCATGGCGCGCGATGCAGCCATGGCATATGCTTACCACCTCTACGAGTCGTCCCCCCCGCTGCCTCCCGTAGGACTCACTCACTCGCCGTTACTCTCTGCCATGACTTCGCCCAACCTGTCCACAGAGGATATTTATCGGTTCCAGCTCCTACCTCTCTTGACTACTCTGCGAAATCTGCACCCTACTCACCTGCCTATTGTGCTCCTCCTTGCTTGTACTCATTATTCCGTGGGCGATTACCAAGCTAGCCTCGCACTCAGCCATAATATCTTGGCCATCGACGCGAATTTCGTCGAGGCCATGTCTAACATCGGTACAACATACAAGGCTATGGGCCAGGAAGACCTCGCGTACGAGTGGTGGTGGAAGGCCCTGCAAATACGCCCGACCTACTGGGACGCAATGGTGGGACCTGACATGCAATATGCAGCTCCATCTAACCGTGCAATGCTAGGACAACGTGCTCGGCCGGTTATTCTCAATCGCTCAGTCAACGGATGACGACACCCGACGTTCGGCGTCCTACCTCCAGGCGTTCCGCATATGTCAACATGTCATCCGACAGGTAGTTGGATCAGACGGACGACTGCTCTTGCATGTCCCCGTTCACGAGATACATCGTCTTCAGCGCGTTTATCTTACCATCGCCACGCTTCACGCGATGACAGGCCCCAACGCCATACGCGAAGCCATTGGCTATCACTTCAGGACCATTGAACTCGGTATCCGCCCGCCCTCCCCGTATTCCAACACGGAGTGCTACACAATGCGAGACCTCCTCTTGTCCGTATGTGTAGCTGGATATATGCTGTCTTTCTCGTCGAGCGTGCCTATACCGGCCGAGATCATTGGAAGTCTGAGTATCGATGGGTACCCTCCTTTCCTAGACCGCATGATGCAGCCTCCGTTCGATCTATTCCGCACGGTACACGACTCGGCTGAACGCTTACTCAATGCTCTGCTCAGCCTAGGAGGAGGCGTCCTCCCCACTCTGCTCCTGCTCCCGGAACAGCTCGTGCGCTTGCCAATGGTGCTCTTTCCTTTCTCTGTGGGCGTGCTCCCCGCGATCTGCACTCGGAACTCCCAGACCGGTAGCTGGGAGATCCCACCTGAGTCGACGCGCCAGAATACAAATCTCATGATGAGCACGATTCTGCTTACAGTGGCAAAGCAGCTCCAGGACGAGTCGCTCGCGCATACGGTGCTCCCAGGCATTGAGGGCACCATGAAAGTCAGTACCTCGCTCATCACCTTGTTGTATTACCTCGCGCTATCTCTGTCGCCGAGTCCGTCGACGTACAATAACCTGGGGATTTTGCTGTGTACGCTTTCCTCTGCGCGACCTGTAAGGAATATACAAGGCCAGAAGCAGCTGCTCGACGGGCCGACTCTGGCGCGGTTGTACTATCAAGCCGGCCTGCAGTTGGAACCAACGCATCCTCATATTCTCACCAACTTGGGTTCACTGTTGAAAGATCAGGGGCATGTGGACGAGGCCATCGAGTGCGTGCCAATGGCATTTATTAGGCCGTCCATCGTTGACCCGACTCCCGTCATCGCGAAGGTTGTACATGAAGGCAGTCCAGCGCAAGCCAGACTTTGACATCGCTCTTACCAACTTGGGCAATGCAATCAAGGATGTCGTGCGTGCCTCGCTACTACCTGTGTTCCCGATGACTGATGTTGGTCCATGTTGGTCCAGGGCCGCTCATGGGACGCAATCCAATATTACCGCCGCGCCGTCGCGCTCAACCCTAACCTTTTCGAAGCGACGTGTGGTCTCCTCAACTCGCTGTGCTCCATCTGTGACTGGCGCGGGCGCGGTGCGGTACCGCACGAGCTCGGCGTAGACGATGACGGCGCACTCGTGCCACCAAGCGAGTCGGGAACGCCTGGGTGGATCACAAAGATGGTTGACATCTGTATGCAGCAGATCGCGCTGGGGTACACAATTGTCGGGATCATCAACAGGTCTTCGGACGTTGACGGGTGGCTGCAGGCCCTGCAGGCAGTGCAGGGCCGCCCACTGCGCGAGGACGAGAAGGCCCGGTGGCGCGCGAGTCTTGCACGATATCATAGCAACGAGGGCCGAGTGATGAGCGGTTTGAATGAAGTGGGGTTCATCATTCGTTTCATTGACTGGGTACAACCGCGGCTGCAGCGCCGATGGTATCTCAGGCTGTATGGAAAGACGCTACGCTCTGAACAGCCTGCAAGCCCGTTGGAGGACTTGAGCGCCCATTTCCTCCGACCCGTCTTGCCAGCGAATCTGACCATTCCACCTGTGCCCTCGGTGCTCCCCTTTCATACGGTAGGTATCGAGATGAAAACACAACGCATATAGCCGGCTCATGATATTTTTCACAGTTCACGTATCCGCTCTCGGCGCGTATAACGCGTTTGATCGCTCACCGCAATGCCCTCCGTATCTCGTACTTGGGCCTCTCGCAAGCGTGGCTTCCCAAACATGTATTCCGCCCGCCGTCGCCTCCCTTCAAGGGCAAGCTAAATATCGGCTATGTCTCGAACGATGTCAAGTACGTATCACATTGGATACCGTTGCTGAGTCACTCACATATGCGCAGTGACCATCCTCTCTCTCACCTCATGCAGTCAGTGTTTGGTCTACACGATCGCAACTTGTTCAATGTCTACTTGTACACCACCAGCCCCTGGGATGGTTCTGATTACCGCCCGAGGATCGCTAATAAGGTTGAGAACTTCGTGGACGTGTCTACGTGGTCGGCGCATGCGATTGCGGAGCATATTCTGGCGCAAAACATCCACATCCGTAGGCATCTCACTCCATCCGCTTTGATGGCTTGGTGACGGTAAGTGTGTAGTGATCAACCTCGGCGGCTATACAAAGGGCGCAAGGAACGATGTGTTTGCGGTGCGGACATGTCCCGTTCAAATTCAGCTCATGGGCTACGCAGGCACGTTATCAGCAGGTAAAAACCCATTGCTTCCCGTTTATATGACGTTATGCTCACTTTATCAGGATGGTGCGATTATCTCGTCGGCTGCGAAACATCTTGTCCTCCGTCCATGAGTGTAATGGACTTATGGCGTCGAGGTCGTCGCGGAGAACAAGACCAAGCGCGTGTCGCCTTTGACTTCGATGCCGACCCTGAGTCATCTTCCGAAGATTGGATATAGTCAGTGCAACTCTAGTTTTCCTCTCCTCTTCTCATCCCGAATGAATTCTCACACGTGCATTATCCAGTACGGAGAAGCTCATTTACATTCCTGTTCGCATTTTTGACCGCTGTCCAATCTATACGAGCTGACTCATGACAAAATTCACTTCAGCATTCGTTCATGGTCACCGATCATCGGCAGTCCTTCCGCAAGGACGAGAACTTGACATATGAAGAGCGACTGAAGATTCATCCTGATCAGCTATGGTACGAGGAAGAGCGGAGAAGATCACGGATGAGACGAGCTCTTTTCCCCGACATTCCCCAGTAAGTGTCGCTTCATGTGATTGAGATATCTCTATTCACTAATTCACAGGGATACTGTGATATTTGCCAATTTCAGTCAGGTGAGCCCGTGGCAGGCCTCATACAGCGTCCGTGCTCTAACGGGCACCACAGCTCTATAAGGTGAGTACGCCATTCCGTGCAGTCAACTTGCCAAGCTCATACAGACAATCACATTATAGGTCGACCCTGTAAGTCCTCGTGTTTGATAGTCCATTCTTGCGATGTGACTAAGATTCCATGTAGGCAATCTTTGCTGTCTGGCTTGACATTCTCACGAAGGTGCCGAGGAGTATCCTATGGCTTCTCCGATTTCCCTCCGCGGGAGAAGAACATCTCCTACGTACAGCAAGAGCATGGGCAGGAGAAGACGTTGCATCGCGCGTTCGCTTCACAAGTATTGCCAAAAAGGAAGACCACGTCTACCGCTCGAGAGTGGCTGATCTTTTCCTCGATACTATCGAGGTTCGTTACTCTTACATGAGATTTCTGATGGTTGACCGACGAATCGAACCTGAAGTGCAATGCACACACAATCGCGGCCGAGTGAGTATATTCACGATCACTCAAGCGCTCTTGGAACCTGACCTAGACCTCCGATCTATTAGTGTCCTATGGACTGGCACGCCCATCCTGACATGCCCGAAACATGCCCACAAGATGTGCTCTCGAGTGGCTGCCAGTATGGCGACCGCTACCACGTTTGGCGATCTGATGATAGTGCATTCCATGGAGGAATACAGGGAGCGTGCCATTGATCTCGCGCAAAGTGTGCGATACATGGCTGTTCATGACACCCCTGGCGAAGTCGTATACAGGGGGCAGGGCACGCTCATCAATCTGCGTCGGAACATTTTCCTCAATAGGGACAACCTACCTCTCTTCGACACCGAGAGATGGACGCGGAATCTGGAGAAAGGCCTTCAGGAGGCCTGGAGGCGTTGGGTTGAAGGCACGCAATACGAGATGTCTGACGAGTGGGAGGCCTGCGAAGGGCCCGAGAAAGAGAGCGGGTGCATCTGGGTCCACGACGATAAACCCGTCAGCGTGATAACTTACGCATAACCCCGGGGTCGCAGAACTGCGTCGGCGCAACAGTCTCGATTTTTGATATGCATGGTCCTTATTGGGATTGACAACGATGTAGCTCATAGCCTAGGCTGGATACAAAACAGCAACTGTAGCAATAGGACACCAATTATACATTGTGGTATGCGCCGGGTGCATTGGGTGGGTTATTCAAAGCCGGTGCTGCGGTGCCAAGTGGCTTCGGTGTTTGCACGTCGGTCGTCTCGTCTACTGTCTGGTACCCTTCTCTACCACCAGACGTGAACCCTCCTGGCATGGACCAGACTGCGAGGAGTTCGGCACTGATATCTTTAGAATGAGAATATAACGACTCACCAGTGGCGCCATTCAAGTCGCCGCCACGGAAGGAAAGACCAGAGAGTTGACCCCCGCGCTGTTGCATTGCCGCGAAGAAAGCCATTACTGTCGGCACCTGCAAGTAGGTTAGGATGTGGAGGGTGTCAGGATTGAGCAAGAGACTTGCCTTCAACGCTAGGGCCAAGATCGTGATCAGCTTGACAAGCCAATGCTGTTCATTCCTGAACATCCAGATGATGTCGTATACTATTGAGGCAGACAGAAGGTATGTGAACTGACGACAATCATGTCAGCTCACGCGTCAGAAAGACGGCGTGGTATTGCAACTCACCGTCTGAAGAGACTGCACTGCCTCGGCATTCTCTTGCGCATAGATTCCAAAGAGGAATATAGGCAGGTTGTATCTTGGTGCACTGAAGGCGCTGACAGCGAAGGAGAGGCCCTGTAGACATCACAGTAGACGTAAGGGATGCACTCTCAAGACATTGCGCCTGGACTGACTGCGCCGACCAAGACCAACTTGGAGGTATCCAGTCGCTGAAGGAACTCTGCCATTGTTGACGAAAGGGTGAGAGAGTGTGCAAAGTTGCAGCAGCCTACGTGTGGTGTGTGGGGAAAGAAGGCGGGGCTCCGCCGCAGCGCCTTCACGCATGCCTATTCGCGCCTCAGCGTGTCCAGCTCCTGAATGCATTCGCGTTCGGTCATATCAAAGATGTGTTAGACGAGTGGAGAGATGCCATTATTTGCCAATGAACACAAGATGCAACCGTATAATCTACACATGTAATGTAACGCCACCTATTCTAAGACGAGAGTAAGTACTAACATCTGCCTCTCACGGGTACCTTCCGGATAAGCGACTGGGAGTGCTAGGTCTCGAACTGTAGCCATGGAAGGGAGTCGAATAACCCGATCGAGTGCCACCAAGAGAAGGTAGCCGGCCGTATGGGTACGAGGGAGAGTCCATAGGTGTCGCTGGTCGAGAATTGTGCTGTGACTGCATTGCTACACGGTAGGTGCTGTAGCCATTCAGGATCCGCACAATATCGCGCGTCATCAAGTCTAGCTCCTTGATTTCAGTTTGCGATAAAGATCGGTCCTCAGGACCGTCATCCTCGTCCGCGGACTCGTCCTCTCGGGCATCGACTCGCGCGGGTACGCGTCGCCCTCTGCTGAGTTTTGCTTTCCCGGCGATTATTCCTTCGAAAACACGCAGCATGCATGCATCCATTTGTGTCTTGAGACGCTCCAGTTCGTCCAACGCGTCATGGTTGCTGCCATTGCCGACGATCGGAAGCCATCCGTCGCATTCAAGACCACGAGCGGTTACCTCAATCTCGTATGCACCGAAGAGGATGTAGGTCAGAGGATCTAGGCGTGATGTCGTGACAAGGTTCTTTTGGGCATTCGTAGAGCCGCCGGAAACATTCTGGCGTTTTTCAGCGTAGGAGATGATCAACCTATCTTCGACGACAGGGTTGCTGTCGTATACCGATTCCGCGAGCTCTCTTTTTCGATGATTCACGCTCGACGGGTGTATGAACACCATCTGAACAGAAATACATAAGCTGTCATCAAGGTAGTTGAGTAGACGTATTACTCGCCTTATCTGTTGCTGTCCGATAGCTTTTCTCTCCTGTTCGGATCGCAAATTTGGGCTGTGCTGCGATTGCAATGAGGGCAGCAAGTAGCGGTTTTGAGTCACTGTTTGTGTTAAGCTCTGGCGGCACTGTGAAGCCCTCTCCTCGCATAGGTCCTGTGGGAGTCGTGACTCCGCCACCTGCCGACACCTCGATCACACCGGCCTGGTATAAGGACTGCAGCAGATGCTCCTTGATTTTCTGGATCGTGAGCAGCGTCGGCTTGGCGAGGAAATTCTCGACACAGAATCTGTTCGCAGAGACGTACATGCCCTGCTTCTGCAGGTCCCACCAGGCATTGTAGGCATTCAGAATTGCCAACGCATCCGAGCGGAAGTCTTCCGGAGTGAAGGAGTTCTTCTTGGCGGCCGCTTCGACCTTCAGATGCATGGGCGCGACGAACGGATCACGGTTGGTGAGGATCGCTGCGAGCGTCAGCGCCTGGTCTAGGCAGCGGAAGAAACTACCGAAGAGTACTAGACGGCCCATCTGAACATCGACCGGAAGCTGCAAGAGAACGCGGCCTAACGAAGTGAGATTGTGCTGGTGATCGAGCGCACCGACCATCTGTAGCGAGCGTATCGCTGCCTCTACCCGATCAGGAGCAGGAGGCTCAATCGCCTCCGCTAGGACCTCCTCGACAGTCATGCCAGGGAAGTTGAGCGCTTTGACGTGCATCACAACGTTGCTCAAGTCTACGCGCTTCATCTCTACCGTCTGGTACGGGTGCAGGCTGTCCGCGAATTGCTGACCCAGGATACCATAGTACTCGCCAGGCCTGTGCCGTCCGGCACGTCCCGCGCGCTGGTTCAGGTTGGAGAGACCCACCCATGCACTCACGAGGGCGGAGATGTGACGTTCAGGGTCGTACCGCTGTTCCTTCACCCTGGCTGTGTCAACGACGTAGACGACATCCGGGATGGTAACAGAGGTTTCTGCGACGTTGGTTGCAAGGATAATACGTCGTACACCCTCGGGAGGTGGATCGAAGATGATTTGTTGCTCCTTGACTGGGATGCTCGAGTGAAGCAGGTGAATACTGTACTTGCGTTGATCATTGAAGTTGATACCAAGCAGTCGCCGCGGATCCATGGCTAGGCACTTCTGTACCGCAATGATGTCGTCCCAGCCAGGCAGGAATACCAGGACATGTCCGTCCTCGGAGCTGTTCAACACGTGTGCGATGGTGAGAGCAATCAGTGAGATGGGTAAGTCGACTTCCTCGTCCTTGGTGGAAACCATTGTCGCGGGTTCATCCTGCTGGCCTCGCATACTATTGTTGCGAAGCTGTGGTACGGGCGCCGCTGAACCCAGCTGGTGTCTCAGGTACTTCTTCACCGGCTCCTCTTGGAACACCCAGGACGCAGCCGGGGTATCCGCCAACCGGTGCACGAAATCCTCCAGGAAACGTTTTTGGACGGGGAACGCACGACCGGGGATGTCGATCACGCTCGCTGGGCGGCCTTTCTCGTCGGGGAAGTACTCCTGGAAGAGCGTCGGGTTGATCGTGGCGCTCATGAGTACCACCTTGACTGGTCTTCCGCGTGCTTTGCGGTCAGCGATCAACCGCTTGAGCACGACGAGCAGCAGATCCGTGTCCACATCTCGCTCGTGCACTTCGTCGACCACTATATGCGTCACGTCATCGAGACTCCGCCCCATTGACTCGCCCTGCAACGCGGACTGCATCCGTTTGAGGAAGATACCGGTAGTGCAGAAAGTGACAGAACCGTGGTCCTCGGGGAGATTGGATTCGAACCGCACCTGATAGCCAACGGATGAATTTCGCCCTGCCGACTCACCGCGCTCCTTCGCAACACGGTCTGCTACACTGATAGCGGCAATCCGACGCGGCTGTGTGCATACGATATTGCATTTAGCGCCCTCACCCCGCTCAATCGCATCGTCCAGGATGAGCTGAGGAATTTGTGTCGTCTTGCCAGACCCCGTCGCCGCCATGCATATAGTCACGTCGTGCTCCCGCACGTGGCTCAGCAGCTCATCGGCTTTGGTATACACGGGAAGCAGCGCGCGCAGTTCCCGCATCTTGGCCATATTGGGGTCGTTCAAATACGTCTCGCGACGCTGCTTGAGCTGCTGAGATTTTGTTTCTAGATACGCAGGGGCAACGGGTCGACGATATGGAGCACGTGGTGCTGTCGGTACACCCGCTCGTTGCTCGCCATTCGCCTGATAGCCCTGTGATCTTGGGCGATTCTGGTACAGGACACTCTTCTTGATGTCTGTGCATAGATCCTCCACACGGTCTTGTGTCGTGTCGTCAATCGCGAACCTAACCCTGGGTGCCATGCCTAAGTCACGACCTGTCTTCGCGTCTTTGAGAAACTCTTTCCAGACAGCAGGGTCGCATTGCTCCAGATACTGCGTGACGTCCACATAGCAGCTCATCATCGCATTCTTCTTGTTAGGCGCTTTGCCAAATCCGATCTTCCGGTCGTTGACAACCATGTCGGCTTGCCACGCCGTGTTGCCGGATCGTGCGTTGAGGCTCGTATACGAGATTTCAGCTTTCGCGAATCCGAACCGTCGACAGTAATAATCCATGAATTGACGACCACGCTCATAGTCCACGGGGCTCCCGTCCGAGAGCGTGATGTTCAACGGTGAGAAGTCGTCGCCGGACTCGCTCTTCTTTGCTTTCCTTGCTGAGCTGTCGAGCTACATGAACGGTAAGTCTGACTGGAAAAAAGAGAATGCAGAGAAGCTGACGGAAGAGCGGGTGCTCGCAACAGAAGGAGCGGACAATATTATGAGATCCTATGTCAAATAACAGTCTGAGGGTCTGGGGGCCAACAGAAAAAGAGTCATGTCCAGACCGTCACAAGCACAAGCTCTTCGAGAGCACCTCAAGCACAGAAAATGAAGCTTACTGCACCAACGCCATCGATTTGATATAATGCGGCCAATGCGGCTAATCTCTCGGACTCCCTCCTGTTTGCGTTGTCGCCGTACCCAGTCAGATTAAGATCGTCGCCTTGAACGCGTACAGTCGTTCTGTGCAAATGTCAGACCAACGTCCGGGATGACATCAACTCATTACGCACCTCCAAACTGTCTTGCCATTTCCTGCAATACCCTGTATGCTTTCATACGCAGGTTGCTTCTTTAAACGCTGATTCATGAAATTCGCTAGCGGCGACTTCGGATTCTCCTCCCATACGGATTTGAGATTCTTCTTGCGGTATATCTGCGCGATGTACGCCTCATCGTACATAGGATCAGGGAGCGTCTGCGTGGGTACTGCGGAACCAGAGCCTTTCTTCCCTTTGCGGTTCCTCCCTCCAGAAGACATTTGGCCATGTCCAGATGGAATACGTGACAATAGCGACGGGCCGGGGCCACGGCGTGATTGAGAGGACGGTGGAGGCATGGCGGACGAGGGGGAATACGCTCTGGATGACGGAGAGTACTTGCCTGCTAATTTTGGGATCTTTCCAGGGCGCTGAGACTCGGAATCAGATGCCGTCTGAGTAGACGGTTTGTATGATGTAGCTGTTGCGTGCGAGAGGGGACGTTTGAGAGGTGGGTTCGGGAGAGGAGAGGGGGTGCGTGGATGGTCCAATTGCATGAGGAGGCGGCGCCTGAGATTGAGCAAGGCAAGGCGCATAGATGTCGTTTGAAGGCTCTTCCGCGCGAATCAGTTGTGAGGTTTATTCAGGATTATGTTGGGGCTGTAACATACAGAACACCCTGCCACTCCCAAGAGATCTCGTCAATACGTCGCACAAGCTTCTCGCTGCACTAGACGGCGGATGATGCTGGAGCGGACGCAGGTTGTGTTGGGAAGAGAGCGACACGCGGCGGGACGGTGAGGAACGGTCGCGCTTGAGCATGACGGCAAATTGCTGTATTCGGCTGTCGGCATCGTCCGGCCGCCTCGATCTGACCGCCATCCATGATGTTGCGCCGTCTCCCCGCTGCACTCCCCAAGCTCGCAGGAGCTCTTCCACGCACATCTCTCGCGCACCGGGGTACCCGCAATCTGTTTCCCAATGTATCTTGCACACGTGCCGTTGGTACAAGACAGCAATTCAGCACGTCGTCCGTTGCACGCGCGACATGCCCCCAATGCTCTGCGCCGCTTCCGACGCCCCTGCCAGTTTGCTCCAAGTGTTCCTACATTACCAACATTCCTCCGGGGATGTCATACCATGAGATGCTAGGAACGCCCTATGAGCCCAATCCATTCGTAGTGGATAACCTCCAAATCAAGCGGAACTTCCGTGCTCTGCAGTCTGTTGTCCATCCCGATCGGTGGGTCGGCAAGAGCCGCGTACGTCTCAGCCGTTAGAATCATCGTCTTTGGAACTTGACAATAATTGTTCCTCATATGAACAGGAGCAACAGGAAGCTGCGTCTCTCTTGTCCACTCGCAGCAACGAAGCGCTACACCGCCTATCTAATCCGCTGCGGCGTGTGGAGTATATCCTCGAGCGTGAGGGGTTCGGCTTAGAGGAGTCTGACAGCATGGAAGATCCTTTGCTGCTGATGGAGACGATGGAAAGCCAGGAAGAGATACAAGGGGCCGAGTCGCGCGAGGAGGTTGAGCAGGTCAGAGCGGTGAACGCCGGTGCGTAGTTGTTCTACCATTCATGAAAGAATGCTCATGCATGAACACCAGAGAAGATTGAGCGGATACTTGAGGACATCGAAACGCTTGTCGGACAGAAGGACTGGCCTCAAGTAAAGAAAGCTTTCGTGAAGCTCAAATACTTGCAAGGTGTAGAGCAGGCAGCTGCAGCGTGGCCCAATTCCTTCAGCGACCACTAGGCTTAAGATATGCACATCCATATTTTCAGTCAGTATGTCGCATGTAGTATTTCATGTATTCTAGAGCTTGAGTATCGGTGACGCCCCACCACTCTTGTCCTCTTGATCGCACTCCTGAGCCATTCGTGCGCTGAAATTCGCCTCGACAGTGTCATATCCAATTATAGCGTTTCCATTGGATGCTGTCGTGTGTGACCAATCCAAGGTGGTCCATACGTCAACCTTGGCTCTGACTGAACTGTCTGCGCATACAATACCATTATTCATTTATCAATAATTCACCCATTGTGCTACCAGGATGTCAGTGGGTAACGGGGTCGCGCAGTGCACGTACTCGGAGTCGCGTTCCCGCACGCGTCATTGGATAATGACGTCATGTGATCGAGCTGCCGAACCCTAACTCAGACCCTAACCTCATTCTGTGTTTTCATTCAGTCCAAGCTCCAGCAGTATACTATTACACCTCTCGTTACGCCTTCATGTCTACCTCTGCTGGTCCGTCCAGAACTCCTTTGCGCGGCCCTCCTCCCCTGCTTGCGCAAGATGACCAGGAAGCAGCAGCGGAGGCTCGTCATCACCTTTCGCCCAAGATCGGACTCTTTCGTGTGCTGCCTTCTTTCCACCGAGCTCGGCCCAAATGGAAAGACGCGAAAGACGCGAAGAAGCAGGAGCACGGAGTGGATATACAGCAGGACTTCCTTCCCACAATGGGGTCTGCAGCATTTGACACTGGCCTAGTGCAATTGCATGACGATTTACTCGGAAAGTCCGACACAGGCGCGTCTGTATATAGGTGGGCAGTACTGTACGAGAACCAGAGAGGGTAGGTACGACAGTCAGACCTACACTTGAGCTATATAATGCAATGGACTAACATGTCCCATCAAGAGCAACATTTTTCTCTTCTGGATACTACTCACCTCAGACGCTACTCCCATTCGACCCTCCAGCATATACCCTTCCTACACCGAAGCCCTCTAAACGAGTCTGGAGAAAGCAGCCTACAGTCTCACTTTCCTCTTACCCCCTCCCTGACGGCACCTGGCACTGGATCTCACACACGTGGATGGTTGACATGCGCGGCGACGGCGAAGTCCAGCATGATGGCTTCGAGTATGCATGGTCGTTCCGCTCGCGCAATTGGCGCGCAGAGGTGGGCTTCTTGAGCGCAGGAGGGTTTGTGAGACGGCGGAGATGGGTGAGACTTATGGCGCGGGACGAAGGTAAGAAGATCGGCGAACGTGAGGGTGCAGGGATTTTGGCAGCGGATGCGGAGAGAGCAGGGAAGGAGGTAGAGGGCGAAAGGGAAGAAGCCGGAATGCAAGAGGCATCGCGAGAGGTGGCCTTCGGACCACAGATCCTACACAATAACGCGGGAGCGACAAGACCTCCATCTGTCGTGCCCAGTATCATGGACGAAGACGAGGAAGGGCGTATTCGCGTGTGGCGCGGCGATGACGGTGATTGGCAGCGCTGTCATGCCGCACTCCGGCGCCCCCGGAGAGACGGGAAGAAGCTGGAACTCTGGAAAAAGTGGTTCGGCTTCGCTTTCGAGGGAGAGGCTCCAGGATCGCAGCCTTTGCCTATTGCTGATGAATATGGAGACACGGAATCCGACGCCTACAGAGGCAAAGGGAAAGTGAAGGCACGACAGTACGAGGTATCGCCCTCGTCGTCCCAAGATAATTCGCTGGATTCCGAGACTGGCGAGGACGGAGCTGAGATTCCTAAAGAATATATCCGGCAGACGATTCGATTACATGTGCGTACGAAGGCACATTCACACTTACGTCTTGCTCACCGCGTGCTGAACGTGTGTAGGGCTCAGACATACTACACTTATTTGTCTATCCTGACTCTCGCGCACAATTCCTGGAGATCTTGGATGCGGCTGGAATGCTGGGTGACCTGAAGTCCAGCATGGGCATTTCGGATAGCACGGAAGTGCTTGACTTCTGGAGCTACGCCCATCATCTAGAACCACTGGACGGTGTAGGTGAGGAATTGCCGGAGGAACCTGATACCAAGAGTACGGAGTCTGGAGGGGACGAGTCGTAGACTTGCAGATATACGTATACCCAACATATACCATTGCTCGACATCGTGTTTTATCGCAAGTCATGCATCATGAGCGTCGATTCTTCAAGTTCGCTTCCTTCGGACGGTGAATACTACACTTTCCATATATAGCACACCATTGCATGTGATTTTACACACGTCCGATCACTTGACACTAATATACCGTGTTGACAACTAGATTCTCCTGTCATGTCCGTCTAACGCCCTCGCCCCAACGTGTTGGCTTATTCGGCCTTGGGTCTCTCACAACCCTCACCATGTCCTCCTCGGGGGACATACGGCAGCGCCTCAGCGCAATCCCGCACGTTCTCGCCGACTTTCTGCATTCCCTTCCAAATGACCATCCAGTACAAATCGCGCTGCGGACTTATGCGCTCTCGTTGTCACTCGCACTTGGGCCCGCGTTTCTACCGTTTGCAATTTCGGCAAAGGCACGTCGGAATGGCCTCGCAGGGCTGAAGACGATCCTCAAGAGGGAACTGGGCGTGTCGGGCTTTGCGTTCGCCATGACTGCGGGTGTTGGCGGAGGCACAGCAATCCGCATGCTATGGGACATGTTGGCCACATCTGCTGAACCTGATGTGGCATCAGAAAACAAGGATACAAACCACACTTGGACGAAGCTGTGGCACTGGCTATCTTCCTTGAAAGATTCACAGAAGACGTTCATCTCCAACATGCTCTCTGCATCTGTTGCCATTAGTCTCTTCCATTCCAGAAACGGTCGTTCTTCCTCATCGGCTTCCTCGACTACTATATTACCCTCGATTCCGCCAATCCCTGCTGACACTGCACAACGGCCGCGTTCCGGTGTCAAGTCCTCTATCACGCTGGACTTGACATTGTTGCTCCTCGTGAGAGCAATGGACTCCCTTATGCAGATGGGGCTACGTAGATATAGCGAGAGAGCTGAAAAGAGGAACAGTCCGTCTCCTACAGAGAGAGACATCGAGCGGCGGAAACGTCGGCTCCGGACAAGACTAGATGCGCTCGTATTTTGGGCGTGCAGTGCAAGGTCACTTCAACTAAATTAGCACAAGACACAGTCGTTTATACTCAGACTTGTACTTGTGCAGAATCATGTGGTGTTTCTTCTATGAGCCGGAAAGGTTTGACAATTCTTCACTCTTGTATTGCATTTAATTAAACATGGCGTTTCGGTAGACTTCCCCGGTCCTACAATAAATGGTGACTAACTTTTGCAACTTAATCTGTACTATATTCCTCTCATACCCAGTCTTTAGGATCATGACTCTCGCCAACATTGACGGTCGGATTCTGACTGCCCTCCGAGCCCTACGGTCTGGTGCTTGGTCGTACAAACGGCACCATTCCACGCAGCCCGACCTTCTCTCTTCCCACGCACGAGATTTGGGATATCCGTCAATGTGGGGTGACGTTGCGCAGCTCCCTGCGTATGGCGGGAAGGAGGCCAGTGCTGCGTGGAAGAGACTCGGTGTATCTGGGCGTGCCGGTGTGGGAGGTATCCCCTGTGAACTAGTTCACGGCAGTGTGACTGGCGGTAGCTGCACCGCGAACACTATGATCAGAGGCGCGGAAGCGTTCGCGGAGGCCTTTGCGATCTACCTCCCAGTAGGTGATTTTATCATAGGGCGCGCCTACTCGGATGCTGAACGGACCTCGCCACACGTACCAGGTCCACTTCCTCCCCATCCTCCTCACCCGCCCGCGTTCCCTCCTGCACGCACGAAGCCTCCTGCGCACGTTGCTCTCCGTCCTGCGCAGCGCGTCCTTCCTCAGCACGTTTGTCTCCTCCATCTGGGCCGCCGTCTGCCTCACGCGGACGCTCCTCCTCGCGCGCCTCTTTCCGGGCGTATCGCATGACGTATGGGACGGGCCGTTTGGGTGCACGTTCGCTGGGAGCCTCGTGTGTGGCGGCAGCATCTGGATCGAGCACGGGCAGCGGCGCGGAGAGATCGCGCTGTACGTGCTCCCGCGCGCTATTCGCGCCTGCCTGCCCGAACGGTGGATCAGGAGCGGGAGCAGAAGTGTAAAATATCTTGAGAGGCACGTTGTTTGAACCCTGCGGGTTGTGTGGGTATTGACGATCCACAGGCTGACCTTCATGTTGTCACTGTCGACCATCTTGACGGCCGCTATTCACCAGTCGGAGTCTCTTCGTGGACTGTCCCGCTGGACAGTCGCGTTCGTCATGAATGGTCCTAATGCAGGCTTTTGGAAGCGCAAGCGAGAGGAGACAAGCACTCCCCCGACGCCTGCGGAATCCACGCCTCCCTCCGATACGGCCCTGCCCGAGTCCTGAGAGACGCAATTGAAATCCACTAAAACTCTAGCATGTATTACAGTACGATACCCTGGCCTGTGTCTATCGCTACATTACGTGTATGTTTGTGACAACTTCCCTTCATCCCCGCCAGAGCTGCAATGCATGATCATAGAACGAACAGCTCGCAATGAGCGTGTCATCCTCTGCACCACCCTCCCCTGCATAGCTCCAGTCTACGCCGTATGCAAGCGACTCGTGCTCGTCGAAGCGCGCCGTTATCTCCCATTGTTGTGGGTGCGCCCCATTGTATGCTGCGAGATCCACATTGCCGGTACCGTTGAAGTTGAAGCGGACAACTTTGAACCCGTCGTGCATGCACGCAACAAGAAGGTCGTTCTGGCGCGTAGGCGAGGGGTGCCATTTGACACGCCAGGCACCACCGCCGACTTCCGCTTGGGTCAGCGGAGTAAGGGGCTTGCGGGCATCGAAGAGCCGGACGGTGTTGTCGTAGCTGTACAGCGGTCGTGTTCGATTCTGAGCATCGTAAGAAGGAGCAACGAGGTCTACCTGCCGACAGCAATAATATGCTCAATGTGAGGGTTGCTTTGAATGGTTGTCACCCCGGCATCGAAACTGCGAGGCCCCTGTCAGCATACCTCCTGCAGCAGATGGTTTAGAAAGTCCGCGCCGTTTATTTGTGAAGATAGGTTGTGAAGCATCTGAACGGATGTCCCAGGCTTTCATCTTGAGGTCGTCTCCTCCTGAACAACTGCTTCATATCACTATAGGATAGATTAAGTCGACAAGATGTACCGGAGTAGACGACGTTCGTGTCCCAGTAGTTCCAAGCAGCAATCCACGGCTCGTATTCATGCGCGGACCAAGAGTTGGTAACAGTCAAGCCAGTACCACCGTCGTCCTGCAGAAGGGCAAGGCGACCGTCGGAGAGAGAGACTATGAGGGATCCCAAAGAGCTATAAAGCTTGCTGAAGGCTTCTCCTTATGTCTCGGGTTTGTTGCAGACGTACGTGGTTTGGGAGCGACGGTTGGACCAGTCAAGGGACAGACATAGGACGTCTTTCGGGGCACAGGCGACGGAAGAAACACGCTCCAAGGTTAACTGTACAACTGGTTGGCTTTCATGCCTGGTACAACAAGGCTTCGCTGGCCCACCTCGTCATCTCGAAGGGAGTGCAATGTTATGCTCCCCTCTGAATCAGCTATGGCCAGTGTGGGGTCAATGGACGACGCTAGATGGCACCTGTATGTAAATGAGCTCCAGCAAGCGGTGTATGCATTCAGTGCGACACTGCCGTACCATTTCATATCGAGTATTGCCGGAAGCGAAGTCTTGTGCAATAGCGAACTGTACTGGCAGAGCGCTCGAAGGAGATGTACCAGGAACCGGACTGGGCACGCACAGTTGCTCTCCGTCGTCCGATGTCTGCGCGCGGAGAAGGAGACATTCGCCCTTGCGCTGCTGTTTCCGTGGCACTACGGGGTGCGCGACATCTTCATCCAATTCGTCTGGGGAAGGCGGTAGCGAGTCGGGCTGCTCTAGCTGATAGGTTCCGCAGGCAAAGATGTCGGCGAAGGAGGGATGGGGACAGAACTCGACAGAGTCAGCGGGGAAGACGGTGTCGAGGGGAGACATGGTGGGCAGAGAAAAGGAAAGCGGAGGGAGGGAGAGTGGCTGAAGTCGACATGCCGCGTTCCGGCTTTGGTCTCTACCGAATCTGGGTTAACGCGATCAATCGACGTGATCGACCCACGGCCTTGGGCGCTTCCCTGTCTCCCTCTCAGCTCATGCTCGCCGGGCAGCGACCATTCATTCTTCTGCTCGCAAGGCAGTAGTGCTCTCTATAACAAGCAGCCATTGTATATCCCTGCAGGTAGACGGGCAACGACGCGTTCAAGATGGCCACCAACATGCGTGGACTAACGCAAGTGCGCACGTCTGTCAACCCCAAGTCCGCCCCGCTGACCGTGGCTCGTCTTAGTTCATTGCGGATATACGAGGAGCTCGAGTGCGTGAACTGGAAGAGAAGAGAATCAACAAGGAAATGGCAAATATAAGGAAGAAATTCAAAGGTGCCGTGTCTCATTCATGCCAACCGTGTCGACCTGCTGAACCCGCTTTCTCAGATGGCAATCTCGATGGGTACCAGAAGAAGAAGCACGTACAAGTTTGGCGCGCTCTATGCCCCTGTACTAACGCGTCATGGTGTCTATAGATATGTCGCCAAGGTCATCTTCACCTACATACTCGGCTACAAGGTCGACGTCGGACATATGGAAGCTGTCAACCTGATATCTAGCCCCAAGTACAGCGAGAAGCAGATTGTCAGTATCAGGCGGCACGCGGTCCATGTGTATCTGCTGAAGCTCTTGCGTAGGGCTATCTCGCGGTAACACTGCTAATGCACGAGAACTCGGACTTCCTTCGTCTCGTCGTCAACTCAATCCGCAAGGACCTCAATGACAACAACGAGATCCACAACTGTCTAGCCCTCCACGCCATCGCTAATGTCGGTGGAACGGAGATGGCGGAGGCACTAGCGGAAGACGTCCATCGCCTGCTTATTTCTCCGTACGTTGCGTCATCCCGCATAGTTGCGCCGTCCTAACCTATATTGTGCAGAACATCACCAAACTTTGTGAGAAAGAAAGCTGCATTGACATTGCTGAGGCTATACCGAAAACACCCAGACGTCATACCCGCTGCTGAATGGGCCCTGCGTATAATATCGCTCATGGACGATCTGGATCTTGTGAGTGCTCTCCTTCCTTGTGGTCGAGCTGCAAGTCTCAGGCAGCTCGAAGGGTGTAGTCATCTGTGTGACGAGTCTTGTCATGGCTATGGCACAAGATCATCTTGATGCCTACGCCGTGTCGTATCAGAAAGCGGTGGATAGGCTACGTCGAGTGAGTGCACTATTGGCGTCCTAGCTTTATGAAACGTGACACTCGGCTCCAGCTTATTATCGAGCATGAATACGCCTCTACGTACTCATACTATAAGGTTCCGTCGCCTTGGCTACAAGTCAAGCTACTGAGGTTGCTACAGTACTATCCCCCAACAGGTTCGGAATGTTTGCTTGCTCGCTGATTCAGCATTGACCATGTTTCTGGTTCAGAGGACCCGACCTTGCGCGGCATCATGCACGAGGTTCTGCAGACCATCATGAACAACTGTGCCGAGCCCTCGAGGAACGTGCAACACAACAATGCCCAGCACGCGGTCCTCTTTGAGGCCATCAGTCTCGCCATCCACCTCGACACTAACTCGCCTCTCGTGACCACTGCTGCTGTCTTGCTTGCGCGCTTCATCAGCTCCAAGGAGACGAACGTGCGCTACCTCGGGCTTGACACAATGGCGCACCTCGCCGCACGCACAGAGAACCTCGACGCGATCAAGAAGCACCAGGGCACGATCATCCTCTCACTGCGCGACAAGGACATCTCCGTGCGCCGGCGCGCGCTCGACTTGCTCTACAGCATGTGCGACACAGACAACTCGGAGCTCATCGTTGGCGAGCTCCTGCGCTACCTCAAGATCGCGGACTATGGCTTGCGCGAGGAGATGGTGCTCAAGATCGCGATTTTGACGGAAAAGTACGCGGGCACGTACAAGTGGTACGTCGACACGATCCTCGAGCTGCTCAGCGCGGCGGGGGACCATGTCGGCGAAGAGGTTTGGTACCGTGTCGTGCAGATCGTTACGAACACGGAGGACTTGCAGGCGTATGCGGCCAAAGTCCTGTTTGAGTACCTCAAGTCGCCTGCATCTCACGAGAGCCTCGTCAAAGTCGGTGGTGCGTACGTCCGGATCCTGCCACTCGTAATACTCTGACAGGCGCTGCAGGTTACATTCTCGGAGAATACGGGCATATGATTGCAAACGACCCGGGCTACAGCCCGCTTGACCAGTTCTATGTTCTGCATTCGAAGTCTCAGTTTTGCATGGCGCCCACCCGTGCGCTACTCCTGTCGACGTACATCAAGTGGGTCAATGTCTTTCCCGAGATCAAACCGCAACTGCTCAATGTATTCGAGCGCTATCGCCACGTCCTCGACGTCGACCTGCAACAACGCGCTTGCGAGTTCTACGCCCTCGCGTCCCGGGCGGACGACGACGAACTGCTGCAGAATATCTGCGAGGAGATTCCGCCCTTCCCGCCGCGCGAGAGTGCCTTGATCGGGCGCTTGAAGACAAAGCATCCCGACAAGGACAAAGATGTCGTTCTCGAGCGCGACGGAACGAGGAAAACGACCAGGAGGCCGACGTTCGCGGAACCAAACGGCAACGCCGCCGCCGCGGCAAATGGCGGGAACGACATCACGAGCTCGCTGCTTGGGCTCGAGATCTCTTCGTCGCCCACAACGGCGCCGTCGTCCTCGTTCGCTGACCTTGCCTCGCTGCCGTCATCGGCGCTCGCTGCGAAGGGCATCCCGCGACTGACCGTGGGCCCGAACGTCGACCGGTGGTTCGACAAGCTGCTATACAGCACCGATGGTGTGCTGTACGAGGACGTGCAGATCCAGATCGGCATCAAGTCGCGGTACCACGGTCACCTGGGCCAGGTCGCGGTGTACATCGGCAACAAGGTCTCTGCGCCGCTCACGTCGTTCACCGCGACGCTGCACGTCGAGGAGCCGGACGCGCTCACGGCGACGTTTGCGAAGATCGCGCCGAGCATGATCGCCGCGCGCACGCAGACGCAGCAGCTGGTGCATGTCGAGTGCAAGAAGCCGTTCACGAAGCCGCCCATCCTGAGCGTGTCGTTCCTCGCGGGCGCGCACCAGGCGCTCGCGGTGAGGCTTCCCATCGTGCTGACCAAATTTGTTGAGCATGTCAAGCTGGGCCCTGCAGACTTCTTCGAGCGCTGGAAGCTCATCGGCGGTCCTCCGCGGGAAGCGCAGAGTATCTTCCCGATCGATCTGGACGATACGGGGCACATCGACCGCGATCGACAGCGGCAGGTCGTGTCCGGTTTCTCGATGAACATCCTGGACGGCATCGACCCTAACCCAGTCAATATCGTAGCCGCAGGCATTCTTCACATGTCGACTGACGGCAAGGTTGGATGTCTCATGAGGTTGGAGCCCAACCGAGAAGCAAAGGTGAGCGGAATACATCTACGGCACCTGAAGTGTACTAATGTCCTTACAGCTCAGCCGGATAACCGTACGAAGTACATCCGAGGACGTCGCTGCGGAGGTGGAGAGGTTGATACGAAGACCCCTCGGCGCGAACTCGCAATCATGACATTTCTACTAGTGGTACACTTTGCCTACGAACGATTCTCAGAGCTACATAGCGCGTGTATGATATGCTGGCAGCCAATAATTATATCGCAATAATAGTAAAAAAAGGAACGAATGACATGCGAGCAACGGGGAACGGTACTACCGCCGATTCAAGATTCCATGGAATAAGCTCTTCCGCTTCCTAGACCTGTCATCCGCCGAATCGCTGAGCACGTCGTGGGTGCTACTTCCTTCGAGGGTCGAGGTCTTCCTTGTGCTTTCGCTTGGGATGCTAGAATCGATGGACGACGACCGTGGCTGATGCGCGAATGGCACTCTCGGTCGACGCAGCGATCGTGTCCGCCCGCGAAGGTTATCCGCCGGTGCTGATTGTGAAATGGGGATCTGATTAAACTGTTCATTAGCAGGACTTGGGGATAGCGCTGCCTCCGAGACGGGCCCGCTAGACTGATCACCGTCTCCGCGCTCCCGGGGCACCGAACGCAACGACCTGTGATTCCTCCGCGACAGCGAGAGCCTGCGTTCCCGCTTGGGGATCTGCACCGGTGAAGAGGGAGACGGCGGGAGTGAGACGTTGGCAGCAAGGGGCGACGAGACACTTGGGTGGCTCGAGCTCTGGCGCCGCGGCCGGTTGGCCAGCTGGCTCACGCGTCGGACCGCCCTCTCCTCGACCTGCATGCACTTGGCGCAGAACTCGCCAAAAGGGCCTTCCTCCGGCATGGGATCTCGCGGGCGTGACGGGAGATAGTTACGTGCTCTCGATTGCCGCACGACCAGTGCGGTTATGACCGCGAGGTGTTTCGGGAGGTCTAGTAGATGTGGGAGGAGCGGGATCGCCTCGCGGTATAATACAGGGGCGTCCCCACCACGGCGGTGCAGGGCATTCACGATTCGTAGATTTTCGTGTTTGCCCGCCGACGAGCTCGACGCAGTTCGACTGGTCTCCTCTGAGTCAGGCGTAGACACAACGACGATGTAGTCTACCATGCCCTGTAGACTGTTAGTGAGGAAGTCCTTCACGCCACGCATGAACTCCTCCTTCTGGACAGTCTTTTGCACCCGCTGTTAGCTTCAGCAGTGGAACGGAGAACGGGGGCACCTACTGCATTCAGGTTTGCGAGATTCTGTATCACCTTCGCGATCAGTGTCAGGCTTCGTTGCACGCGTGCCTCGGGAAGACCTGTAGGCGATCAGCGTTGAGTGACACTATGTCAGGATTGAGTGCGTACCTGGCCAAAGCCCGAATAGATGTGGATGCAGGATCGCAGGGACGATAAACCGCAAGAAGCAGAACGCAGACACACTTTGCCACGGAAGCTGCCGGTTATGTTCGGCGCTAACTCGACACCGTTGCTCGACAAGTTTGCGGACGTGCTCAAATAGCCGTCGCATTTCACTGCAGATCGCAATGAGCTGTCGTTCTGTACGCAAAAGGCTACTAGGACGTACTGTGGACACTGCGTTCGCGCATCGTATATGCAGTTCCAGAACTCTTGGCACCAATACACAAGTTGCTCGACGTTCTTCTCTGTATTCCGTGCACTCTTTCCGCTGCGCACCGGGTCGACCTCGATGGCGATCTTGTCCATGCACAGGCGGCGCAATGGCGGGCCAACACTTGCCTCGAGGAACGACCCACCGTACTGCGCCATGAACAGCTCTATGGTCTTCGTGAGCACTGTATTGCCACGACTTCGTCCAATCAGTTCCCACTCAGGCGGTTCATTTCAGTGGTCTCAGCTCACAAAAGTGTATTGTGTGCTGTCAGACTGCCATCAGAACAATCACCCCAGGGTCAACAATCTAGATCTTACATGACAGCGTGTCGTCAACCTCGCGATCTATCAGCTCCATGATGTTGTCGATGAGGACGTTCTTGGCGATTGCCACCGAGATGATATGAGGCCCGACGGTTTTCAGCTTCAGCTTTGACTCCAGGTCGTGGATCAGGTCTAGACTGTTGCGTGAACTGAACGTCTGAAGCGCGTCCTGTCAGTCTGTCCTCTCTGACTAGCTCGGCCGGACACTCACCTGCACTACGCCCGCGTACTCCGAATACGGCAGGATAATCTCCCTGCAAATCATCTCAACAAACCGGCGCGCATACGTGCACACAGGCAGACACCACCCACTCGTCCACGAGCACTTTCAGCCGCAGCTCCCCAGCCTGCGTGCCCCCGCCCGTACCCCCAAGCACAGGAAACCAGCCTTCAACGACCTCGCTCCGGCGGAAGTTCGCAAGCACGATAGTGACGCTGCCCACGACAGCAGGTTTTGCCAGCCGCTTCTCGCGCCATACGACGAGCTCCATGTTCTCGAACGGCGGCAAGTCCGCGAGCACGAAGCGCTCCTGCCAGTCTGGCGCGCCGATCCCACGCTTCACCGTCGTGCGACCGCACAGGCAGCCGTTCACGAACACCTCGCAGTACACGTCAATATCCGCGAGGTCACCGCCGCCGGCATCCTCACTGCCGGGGGAAGGCGTGTCGTCGGACGTGGGCGAGAGAGGGCGCGTGGTGCCGAGGTTGCGCCCTTGTAGGCAGGTGAGCTCGACCTGCCGCCACATGCGGTAAAGCCCGCCATCGGACGCAGGCGACAGCCAGCGGCCGTAGACCTCGGGCTGCGCGTAGGAGCGGAGGAGTGCTAGCCAGAGATTGAAGCAGTCGGGGTTGGTGAAGTGCAGAAATACAGGCTCGACGACAGGAGCAGCACATTGCATCTGTCCGCTTGTTGCGAGGTCACACAGGGGTAGAAAGGAAGAAAGGAAGGAGAGACATACGCCACGCAGTAGATGCCGAGGCAGCTCTTGCGCTCGAAGAGGGAGTGGTGTACCGGGCGAATATCTGTATGATTCAGTAGAGATACGTGCACTGTCAAGTACAGCATGGTGTCCTGCTGTAGAATCATGCGCAATGTCAAGGACCGACAACAGAACATTCCGGGAAAACTTGCCTCTAGATAAATGTTCAATGTACACCCTTCGTCCTCTTCGAGTAATTTACAGGTTGCAGGCTTCCATTGCCCTGCCGATGTGGAGCTGCGCCCCAAGCTGAGCCAGCTGGATTTCTCTGCACCGCGATAGTTGAGCGATAGACTTCATAATGCCGAGTACGCTTATTAACCTTTTACCCTCTTGCGAGGAGTATCCATAGAGGGGCGTGCATTCCTTGATGCCTCGTTAGCTTTATCCAGTCTATCGTGACTTCTCTTGTACAGCGTATTTGGCTGGGCAGCATTATAAACGCGACAATCAGTTCTCAAGTGAACCATATCAATGGGAGTTTTGATATCAACACACCCTGCGGATCGATGCAGCAGCCTTGGACGAGAGATATATTTCTGCCGAAACATAGAATTCTCTATCTGCAGACGACGAGCCCTTCCGCCTGGCGTGTGGGCGCGATTCGTTGTGGGGAGAAGACATGGCCAGGAAGGTTGTCGTGCGGGTTGCGCACGACCCAGATGGTGAGAGAGGGGAACTAGGAGATGTTGTAGGGCGTTAAAGTACACCCATCAGTATGCATTTGGTATCCGTATCCGCGTGAGCGTCGCGCCGGGTAGTGATGGCTGAAGACAGGGGCAGATAGTGACAGAAAATCGGTCGTTAGGGGACGGCGAAGATATAGGTGCAAGCAGGACACAAACTCAAACTCAAAGCATTGCATATGGATGAAGGATGGCTGATGGTTCTTGGGCAGTCCTCGCTCGATCACGTCCTCGGAGGCAGATCAGATCTATTTCCTCGGATTCCCATCATCCTTCTCCCACTAACTCTTTCCCTCTCGACAATACCCTTTTGCCCCCACAGCCAAGTGTCAATATTATCCAAAACGCTCGAAACCCTTGCATGCTCATTGGTTGAGATCGTCCGCCAACACCGGGCCAGCTGATCTCTCTATCGCCATATGTCATGTCAGCAACCGGCCCTTAGTCTGCTCCTGCGCCACCGTGTTGTGAGCGGTGTTTCATCGCTGCGCTTGACAATCCGCTGTGATTAGATTGAGTACTTTAGCGCGAGTAGAGGGCAGTGTATACCCCAAAAAGATCATCGTGATTGACATCCGTCTCATCCGCCTGTCCGATGGTGGGTTTTAGTGCGCCGTATCGTAGTGGGACTCACAGTATTCGCAAGCTCCGTTAACCATCCTTCCTGTCATTGTAGAGGCGAGACATACAGAATGAAGCCGTCTTGACAAACCTTCTGTCAGCTGCATACGACACGGCGGATTGTTTCGTGCCCTTCATGACATTCATATCTTTCGTACCACTATTGAACATCCACACCCTGCCACCACGAAAACAACAAAAACGAAGCGTGACAGGTCCACGACGAAAGGGGGTTCCAGGCGCACCATTTGAACACTTCGTGAGAAACCCAATACAGAAATAAAGTAGATATACGGTAGAACGAGTGGATAATAGACAGGTGCAGTTGTTAACGTTCTTATATGGCGCCGGAGGGTATCTTGCAATGATGCGGGGGTCCGATGGCTCGTCGTCGCTATCGTCATCATCAGGTTTTATGTTGCTCGAGTGCGTGTGTACAACAAGCACCCGCTTATTCGAGTTTGTGGCTGGGAAGATGGGTCAGCAAGAGGACATAGTACCTGAAAAGCTAGAATCCCACCCATGACCGTTCGCAACGCCATTGCCATTTGTGATGGGTTTGCCGTTGACCTGGGGAACCTTGCCCTTGCCTTTGGCTGGTTTCTTATATGTTTGGATATAGAACTGGATGAATAGCCCCAGGTAGCTCGACAAGAGTAGACAACCAAGGACCGCAGCAGATTCCGTGCCGGCGCACGATCCCAGACTCGGAAGGCCCTTAAAGTAGTTGGCAGCATAGTACGAGTAAGCTTGTGAGTAGAAGGTCAATGTCGTGTCGCGTCGGCTTTCGAGGGCTCGTCACATACTTGCAAAGTACACAACGAACAGGTCTATGACAAACTGGGTGATCTGCATGGTCGTAAGATGTTTCTTCCACTACCCCCATGATGTCAGGAACGCAAGCACGGGACAGAGACAAATTTAGCCACAAACCCAAATCTTGGCACCACCGGCCGTCGCGTAGTAGTAATAGTCTGCGTCATTATCAATATAAGCTCGACTGACACCATTGGGGTAGCGCTTACACATTAGGATGTGGATAGACAGATTAATCGAGATGGGGATCCATTGCTGGCGACACCGAGTAAGTTTGGGAGCACGGGCGCTCTCACGGGATGCCACGTACCACGCTCGTCCTCCCGTTGAGCTGAGTATAGCATAACAGAGCAGTTGCAGAGTGATGGTACACATGCAAGAAAGCTATCGTGTATGATTCGAATGAGAAAACGCGTGCGAGCGCGCTGTACAGGACGCACCGAGAGGCTTCTTCTTGAGGGCCAAGAAGACCGTATCAATGAGCTCGAGGTACTTGAAGTAGTAGTTGATAAGGTAGAAGAACTCGAGCCTCTGCAGAACAAGCCGATCAAGACACCGCCGCAGAGACAACACAAGAGAGTAATACATCGCTCCACATGTCATCGCTACACATCGACCCGAAGACACCGTGTTTGACGGCCAGCGGAGCGATCTCCTCCAGCATGACGGTGAGCAAGAGCGTGCTGCCCGCGCTCAAGAAGATGTTGTGCAGCTGGAAGAGCCCTTGCAGCTTCAGTGGTGGGCGGTTTTTCATGTACGCGCGCAGGCCGAAGACAACGACGAGGTACGCGAGGAGGAACGGGTAGACCTCCTGCGGTGTCGACAAGGGCGTGCGCCCCGGCACATAGCTCTGCAGGTGCAGCGGGAGCTGCCAAGGGATGATGGAGGCGAGGAAGTCAGCGAGAGGAGCCATGGTGGACGGTGGACCGAGAGAAGGAGCTGGCGAACGAGAAGAGGGAATGATATATGGTGGGCGCTTCCGAGGGCCGACGCTGGCGAGTGCGCGTGCTTTTCAGCAAATTTCGATCCCCGAGCCCCGGCCGCTGTCCGCTTCCTCCGGCGCTCGAGGCCAGCGTCGACGTGTCAGGTCACGGTGAGCCCATCTCATCTGTGAGGTAAGTGCGACCCCCGCGCTCTCATGCACAGCTTCAATCCAGGCCTCTCAATTTCGACCATGTGTTATCTGCTGCGATGCGCACGGTGATATCCTCAAAGGCCTTCACGCCCAGGTGCTACAGACGCGTGCGCGTAAGCATGGCATGTCAGATCACCGACCAGCCATATGGCTGGATCCCTTTCGTAAGTCTGGTCTGCTCAGCGGCGTGTAGAGCAATTCAAATCGGACCTTATAGAAGAAAGATCCACGGAACCATGATATTAGCAAGTTATGACCAGATATGCAAGAAAACAGAACGCTGAACGTGATACACATACGTAAAGGAGATGAGTGAAATCCAGTGAGCCACAAACAATGACAGGGAATAGACAAGATATGAGGTTATGTAATGACCAGAGCAAGTCCATCTTTCAAGTCCGCGAGAAGCGCTTTCTCTCTAGATCTCCGTCAGCAGTTGTGCCACATACAAGCAAGATGGACGCACTTTGACTCGAAGTGCGCGTTCTGAACGGCTGCTACTGCAGCCGCTTTCACGTTCGTAGCGTCGAGGCCGAGGGGTAGAACACAGATAAGGCAGAGAGGACAGTTGGAAGGTTGCAGCCGATATGACGCTGGGATCTGAGGAGCATATGAGCGTCTAAGACCAGGAGATACAAATTCTTCGACGCACTCCAGACGCTTTCAGCAATTCCACCAATTTGTGCACGAATAGTAGTGATCTGGATCGTAGGTCATGAAGATCGTGGAGGTCGTAATCTATGAAGCTCCTATGAGTCGTGTGCAGCGACGTCGCATGAAACAAAAACGTACATGTTGGGTAAGAGGATGAACAGATGGTCGGGATTGTGCAGTGTAATCGCACAGATCGACCAGAGCGGCGGATCAGTCTAGAAGTACGTGAGTGTCAAAAGGCAATCGGTATCGACATGGAAGTTGGGCTGACTTTGCGAAAGGTTCCAAAGCGTCCTGTAGATCCCCGAGCTTCGAGCGCGTGAGCACGATATGTCTGCGCAACGCAGCCGCATTAACACCGCTCACCTCGTTGAGCTCCACGTCCTGCGGCTGGTGGCTCTCGACATGAAGAGGAAAGTGAGCGGGCTGGGGCGTAATGGAGAGCATCTTGAGGAGCTGGCGGGGGCTGAGGAGAGGGTCACACGACGAAGGCAAAGGAGGCCTCAGGGTGTGGTCTTCATGCCTGCATGGCTGTCATGTATAAGTAGGCCCTCTAAAACCTCGTTGCCTCGGTGGCGGATGATACCGGAGGAGAGGGGGGCCACACGGGACTGATCGGTGCAGACGCATCTCGGTTCCAGAACGACGGTTGCTGTCACCTGTTGGGGGCACTTCGCCAGCAAGTTGATGCCACAGGGCTGATCGGGAAGCTGCACCTGCCGGTCCGGAGCGCTCGCGACTCGACACATCCCATCCCAGAATGGTCTCGGACCGACATTCGACCATCGTCGACCATGAACTCATGATGTGCAATATGCAAATGAACGGGAAACAACGGAAAGTGCTCTTGCATTTGTCTACAACTCGACTTACGGTTCCGGGGGTGAGGGAGCGCAGTGTGGGGAATGGCGGGGAAGCATGAATTTCGGCATAAAAAGGCGCATGGTGCCGTTGCCAGTGATCTCTCCATAGGCGTATAAAACGCAAGTCAAATCCATGCCCCGGCCGGCACTTTGACATAAACATTCATATAGCGCAAACGGCGCAGCCTGTCGCGGGGGCTGAAGGGTCCTCGACCGCGAAGTACCCACCGTGGGCCTGCCAAAAAGATCCTGTGAGCTTCCCAAGTCTGAAAAGGGAACGGCACGGGAACTCTTGGGTGGAATTTTAACATACACCGCAAAGCTGTCCAGGTTGCTCTCGCCTCTACAGGGATAAATGCACAAACCTTCAAGCGCGCACCCGGACCTTCTGGCTGTCTTTCTGGTATGTTGCAAGGACACGCCGGCGTAATTCTGAAGCGCCTCCACAGCGGCGAGACCCCATCAGATCGGGGGGGTCGGGACGGTCACGTGTCTGAGCCCTATCAGGCAACATGACGTACCCCTGGAACGCGATTTCGCACGCAGCGGTGTCGAATCCTCATTCTTCTGACTGCCTGCAGACTGTATATTGTGCCAATTCTACGTAACTGGTCTACGCGGAATTAACAAACATGTGGTGGTCTGACCCCGCCAAGGAGGTCCTGAACATCGTGCGTGCCTTGATCAGGATGCACATCATACGGAACACTTATTCTTGGACGATCGAAGGTGTTCAATCGCGTCCTGGCACCTTATGTTGAGAACCTGGACATGGGCCAGGTAAACTATGGGATCGGACAAGGTATTTCCTGTGTTTCGCTCTCTCGTGCGGTGCCTCATGCGGCGTTAGGGCGTGTAACATTGAGTAACTTGCGCCTAAAGAAGGGCGCCTTGGACAAGTTCAGGCTGCCGGTCGATGTAATTGAAGGTGCGCTTGTCTGCAGGATCACTGCGTGCTTTGATTAGCATGCCTCACCTCTCATGCAGGCCACCTGGGGAAGTTCACCCTCTCGCTGCATTGGATGAACCTCGGCAATCAGCCCGTCGAAGTGATGATCGAGGACGTGTACCTGCTTGTGGTGCCGTCGTCGGAATCAACGTATGACCCGGAGGAAGAGGAGAGGCGTACGCAGGCCGCTAAGATGGAGCGAATTGAAAATGCCGAATTGCTGCATGTGGGCGGGCAGTCGGATGTATCGCAAGGGCAAGGTAGGACGAGACCTTGCTAGGCCACTGAGACGCTAACGATAGTCGATAGACTCGCCGCAATCTCAGGGGCTGATCTCATCTCTCATCACGAAGATTGTGAACAACCTTCAGGTCTCTGTGAAGAATATACATATCCGATATGAAGACAAATTGAGTGTCCCAGGAGTAAGCTTGTATTCCCTCATGTCACTTAATGGAATACAAACTCATGCCATTGATAGCACCCTTTTGCAGCCGGTGCCACATTGGCTGGATTCACTGCTTTTTCCGTGAACGAGAAATGGGAACCAGCATTCATTGATAGCAAGGCCGGCTCCATTCATAAAGCAAGTTATATTCTCTAACAATGGGCTTACTGACTCTAATGTTGAACCGGTGCAGCTGGCGAAGTTGGAATCTCTCGCCTTGTACTTTGACACCGATGCCAGTAGCATGGCCGGCTTGTCCCATACTGACTTCATCAAGAAGTTCACTGAACAGGTACGAGGAAATGTTATTTATACGAAGAACGCCGTTACAAACGGGTCAATAGATCTCAAAGGGACAACATCTCCCTGATCACCAATTCATTTTGAAGCCTGTCAGCGGAGAGGGCAGGGTACGCATTTCCGTTAAGCTAGCCGCCGGTATTTACTCACAGGTTCCCAGATTATCATCAACCATGAACTGAACAAAGAGACTCCGCAATTTGATGTACAATTGCTCTTCGACGAGATTGGTGTTTTGCTCGACGATAACCAATACCGAGACGCTATCTCCTTAGTGGATATGTATCACTTCTATGTTCGACAACACCAGGTAGGTCGCTCTTGTTTACTGTCGCATTCATTTTCTCATATTCGTGCAGTATCAGCGATACCGACCGTCTGCGGAAAGGCTGACGGAAGATCGCCCAAGAGCACTGCTGCAGTTCGCTGGAAAGGCCATCCTCGATGAGGTACACGAACGTAATCGCAAATGGACGTGGGGGTATTTCGCCGAACGACGCGACGATCGACACCGATATGTCGAGTTGTTCAAGAAAAAGCAGCTGAACACACTTGTAGAGCCAGTGAGTTAATTTTGCCTCCCATCGGCGATGCCCGCTCATTTAAACTGATACTGTCCAGGACTCATCCGCCCTTACGGCACTGGAGAAGAAGCTATCCTATGAAGACATTCGGTTCTATCGCTCTATCGCGCGTTCCCAGCTCCGGAAGGATATGGCGTCACGTAAGAAGCTCGAAGAAGAGAAGAAACAGCAGACGCAGGGAAGTGGTAGCTGGACAAGTTGGATCTGGGGCTCCTCGGATACCAGCGGCACGGGGAGTTCGACCTCCGACGATTCCGCGTTTTCCGGGGAAATGACGGACGAGCAGCGCAAGGAGCTTTACGAAGTGCTGGACTATGACGAGAAGGCCGCACTGGCCGAGTCATTCGAAACTCCCCGAGATGCGCTGAAGACGCGTGTGGTCGCGCAGCTAAATCGGGGTTCGCTGGCTCTGAAGACCGATCCCCACGGTAAAAATACTGAGGTTATCTCGGTCGTTTCCGATGTATTCCAGGCGACGTTCATTCAGCGGCCGGATAACTTCGAGACTTCTCTATCGTTGGGAGGATTCGCAGTATACGATGGGACGACAAAAAATACACTCTACCCTCAGATTGTCCATGTGCAGCAGCGACAGACCGGCGGTGATGTGGTAAAGACGCAGGTCATCGGGGACGAAGAGAAGATATCGGAGGTCGTCGACCCGTTCTTGTTTGTCCGCTTCGAGCAGAATCCGCTCGATGAGCGTGCGGACAGCGCACTGGAGGTGAAGATGCGCTATATGGAGATTGTTTATCACAGAGGCTACGTCGAGGCCATCTACAAATTCTTTAAGCCGCCAGCCAGTCAAATAGAGTCTGTAGAGGCGTTGCTGGTGCGGCGTCTTCTTTTATGGAGGCATAACGTTGATGTTGAGACGTGCGGCTACTATAGGATGCGGCAAGTCAAACACTGGAGGGTCTGCGCAAGGAAACTAGAGCCGGACTGGAGCATGCTCTCCAGACACACAAGACGATAGACGTCCACATGGACTTGAATGCACCTATCATCATCATTCCTGAAGAGTGAGACGCTATTCGATGCTCATTTGGCACGAGATTAACCCACGTACAGCATTACGACGAATAAGTGTAAGCACCTGATGATCGACGCCGGCCACATTGCCGTCCGAAGTGAGCTTGGAAACAAGCAGGCCATTAAGGAGATACGAGCGAAACGCAAGCAAGAGTATACGGACGAAGACTACAAGCGGCTGGAGTCTATGATGTACGACAGATTATCAGTCAACCTCAAGGACGCACAGGTATGCCTATCGTAATGCACAACAGATCGTTGAAGGCTGACTGAATACAAGTTCTTGATCGGTAATGATTTCCAAACGTGTATGGATGCACTCACCTCAGATCGCCACGACAACCTGCACTTGCTGGAGCGCATAACTCTAGACTTTCAGGTACAAAACTCCATCGTGCCAACCGTATATAGCTTGCCGCGTTTCAAGGTCTCAGGACGTCTGCCGAGTCTCCAGGCCAACTTGTCCGATAGCAAGTACAAGGCGCTCATGCGCCTCATCGACGTCGCGATACCGAATTTTGACGACGCGGAAGCGCCCACAATTCGGCCTACTATGGGCCCCCAGTTGCCGCATAATTTCAGATTGCCGTCGGGCCTTTTCGGCAACACTGAGACGGAGTATAACGTGGAAGACGGGGACGACGGTCAGCTCGAGACCGAGATTGGGTCACCTGAAGTACAAGCTGTCCAGAATACGGAACATGGCCCAGAGGACGAATTCTATGACGTTGTAGATGGAGTGCCCAACGTGAGGAATTTGTACTAACAGAAGAGTTTCACTGAACTGACCGGATGTATCATCGCAGCCTCCTGCTCTGCGTCAGCATATCGTGGAGTTCAACTTCCAGGTGGACATGCTACGTGCGTCTCTTCATAAATCCAATGCGGATGGATCAGAGAGAGCTATGGGGGAAGTCGCATTCGAGCGGTTCTCTCTGGACTTCACTATGATGAAATACGTGATGACAGTCGACGTCAACCTCAGGTACGCTCCGGACAGCATCTGACCTCGCAGCATGACTGATCTTGACTGCAGCTCAGTATCCATGGATGTTTTCCAGGCCAGCCAGGATCCTATTCGATGCGTCTCTTCTGCAGCTCCCAACTCAGACGGAGATCTTTTGAGTCTGCGTTATGTCCGAGTGCGGCCGGAATCCCCGGAGTATATTGCTGTCTACCAAAGCATCGAACAAAACGTTGACATCGCAATAACCACCTTCGTCTTTCGTGCTGCCCCTGAGCCTGTGTTGTCTTTGTACGAATTCATCATGACGACTTTCGTCCCTGAGAAGACCAATAAGATTGCAAGACCTTCTCCGAACGCGGATTCAGATGGTCCGCAACCATCGGATTCAGATCCACCAGCGACTGACGTCTCGCCGGGCAAGATCAAGGTCGCTCTCAGGTTGGCAAGTATTGAAGGTACTCACCTCACTGTATACCATCTGTACAGAGACTCATGACCTTCCAGTGATCCTGATCAACAACGATACTCGACTGGCCACGCTGTCGCTCTCAACGGCGGATGTCTCGATCTTCCTGCACGCGAACATGATGCACATTGGTGGCAAGCTAGGCAGTCTGGAACTCCGTGACGACTCGCAAGTCGAGACCTCTCGGCCGTCCTTCAAACAGATCCTTTCAATCGAGGGAGACGATTTCGCGAGCTTCCAATATCAGACCTTCGACCCTGACGACAAGGAGGCCTATCGTGGTGTCAAGTCGATGGTGCACCTGAGAGCTGGATCACTCAAGCTGCATTATCTGGAGGAACCTCTACGTGACATTTACCTCTTCGGCACTAAGTTAGCAAAACTCAAGGGGCTCTACGATGCCGCTGCAGAAGCTGCTGTACAACGAGCGCAGGAGATTGAACGAATGCAATTCGAGATATCGATCAAAACTCCTATCATTATCTTCCCGTCAGACCCTCAGCTGTCGTTGGACGTCCTGACTGTACGTCTCGGGGAACTCAGTGCTCGTAACAACTTTGAAGGCTCCGACCATCGTACAGTTGCTACCCTCCAAGGGATACGGGTGGCTTCCACTTCATACAACGGCTCGGAGCTATCGACGCTCAAACTTGTGGAAGACATCAACATTGATGCTAGGATAGTTCAGACGAGCAACATTGATCGCCTGGTAGACCTCAGCCGACCAGATACTCAGGTAAAGTACTACTCACTTTAAGTCGATATTGCAATGATGCCATCAGCGATGCTCAGGTGGAAGTGGACGTTTCCGATGTTAGGCTCAATCTTACTCAGATGCAATACGGCCTTCTCCTCGGACTATCTCAGTCCATTCCACGCGCATTCACAGGTGTGCTGGAGGAACCTGCTGATTTCACCCCGGAATACGAGCCAAGCCCTGTCGAATCCCTTTCTCCCGCCACCGACTCTACTGTGGATCTGCAGCCCGAATTGCGCTTAAATCAGCTGCCCGAGGGGCCCAAGATTTGGACCGCCGTGGATCTTGTCGTTACGATCGGATCAGTGAAGCTTCATCTCTACGACCATTCCGCGACTGCCGAACAGACTCTCCGAGAGCACGGCATTGCTCGATTTGCACTGAACGGGAACAGCCTGAGAATGAAGGTTCTCTGCAATGGATCATTTGAAGCACAGCTGATCTTGAAGTCTCTGACCATGAGCAACACACGACCTGGAAACTCTAGGTTCCGCGAAATTATGCCTGCGGCCCAGCATGAACGAAATCAAGTCATGTTGTTGTATTCAAAACGTGTTGATGGGTCTGCTCTGGCGGTAGTGACAGTGGATGCCCCTCATATCGTATTTGCTGTTGATCCAGTCATCGCCTTGCTCGAATTCTTCACGAGTACATCCTCGCTCGATATTGCCTCACAACCTGGACAGGATATTGGCAACGACCAAGACACTTTAGCACAACCCACACCCACACGTATTGACTTCCGGTTCGATGTACACGATGCCTCCGTTAGCGTTCTTCAGAATGATGCGGACCCGGAATCGCAAGCTATCCACTTATCGATCAAGCAGGTGTCGTTATCGCAACAGGTAAGTCACGTACAGTTTATGAAAATCAAAGACATAATCTCTTCTGTTAGGGAATTCTTGCGCTCGGGGTAGAGCGCCTCGGAATGTCTCTGATGCAAATGGGCACTGACGCTGCAGACAGCGTTCGATTCATGGATGACGTGGACTTGACAGTGTCCTTGGACAGCCGATCGAGCTCTTACCAAAGATCTACGAACCTGGCGGTTTCTTTCAAACCAGTAGTTTTCCGGGCATCATACCGAGATATCGACCTTATCATGAACATCGTGAACAGGGCTGTAGAGCTGTATGGCCAGTCCGTCCAACATCCACAGGAATCAGGAAAGCTCCAAGCCCCGACTGCTATGTCTACACCGGCGCAACGACCGGTGTCGTCACGAACTCAACCATCGAGAATCTCAAAGTCCAGGAATCGTCAAAGCGGCCGGGCGCAAGTATTGACATCCAAAGAGCTGGTAAGCTTTACTTTAAGCAGCTTTACATCAAGTTGATACAGGTGACTACTAGTTTCAAGGGTCATTTGATGGTCTTCGTCTAGTTCTGATTGGAGATCTGCATGAGCAACCGCTGTTGCATCTGAAAGTGAAACCGTTCATTGTAGGTGCAAAAGACTGGTCAGGAGAGGTATGTACTTCTGTTGCTAAGGGAACATGAACTCATCAAAGACACCAAGCTACGAGCTACATCGACGTTGGCGATACATACGAGTTACTGGAATATTTCGAACTCGCACTGGGAACCACGTGCGCTTTCACCGTAATCCAATCCAATCCAAACTGATCGGTCTCTTCAGTGATTGACCCATGGACGTTCACTACAGCAGTATGTGGGCATATTCGTGTCTATCGGGCCTACATATTGAAAATCGCCTCAGGTCTCAAAGAGTAATCAGACGAGTGGATTAACGGTGAATTTGACCGCAAAAGAACGGCTAGACGTCAATGTCACGACAACATTCGTTGAATTGGCTCTTGCTACGGTCAAGATGATTGGTCAGGAAGGTGAAACCGTTCTTCGGAGTGCAAGAGGGAGCTATGCCCCGTATCGCATTCAGAATCGCACGGGTTGTTCAATCTTTGTTTGGTCGGACCTCGATGGCAGCGATCAACTTAGGGACAACACCGGTAGACAGGTCGCCAGCGGGAAGACGATTGATTGGCGATTTGACGATTGGAAGACTATGCGTGAGGTAAGCAAGGCTGAATATTTTTGTGGGCACTAAAGCTCCAACTCGTCACAGCATACTACCTCCAGTGGACGCGCGAGCATAGGGCTCCAGTTCACGGGAAAATCCTGGGAGCATCTACGCAGTATCCCAGTTGATAGGGAGGGCGAGTTCACCTTTTCTCTGAGACCTAGAACAGAGAAGCTTGCCTATCGCTTGCTCGTGGAGGTCCAGGTCCAGGAAAACACCAAGGTTGTAACTTTACGCTCAGTATATCAAGTCATCAACGAGACATTGTATCCCCTGGAGTTGACGCTCGTGGACGATGCTGGCCAGCCAATGTATTCAGTGGAAAAAATAGGTATGATCCAACAATATGCACTGGAGGATGAAGCCATGATATGTTTTGAAAGCTCCGGGCCAAAGTTATGCCCTTCCTATCGAAGCGGTGAACAAGAGCAGAGTACGAGTGCAGCCAGACCGTGAGTGGACCTGTCTCAAACAGTCAAGTGTTAACAAACCCCCCAGAGGGCTTTGGATATAAATGGTCGTCGGCTATCCGCTGGGAGGATCTGACGTCAAAACGTCGGCTGGCCCTCAGGTGTCCACATGCTGACCCAGCCGAAGCCGCTTTCCGGTTCCAAGTATATGCAGACGTTGAAGTCAGCGATATATCCATACGGTCTGTGGCAGCAACTTGCAGTCAGCGAGTTGTCTCATTGCGATTTAGTAAAATACCTCGGATCAACTTGAAGCTGCGAGCACCAATTGAACTGGAGAACCTGCTGCCCTACAATCTGGAATATCGGATATACGATAAGGACACCGATCAGAACTGGCGTAGCTATCTGCGCAAAGGAGGCGTCATGCCAGTACACTCGGTTGAGCTCGGTCATCTTATTCTACTTAATGTCTGCGTTCAGGACACACGTGCGTCATCATCAGATGATCGCATCCCTTGGCCTAATGTTTTGTAGCATTCAAGCAGAGTGAATTCGCTATCATCAACACCGACGGAAGTTCTGACTTCGATGTCGAGAGCCGGTTGATCCTGCGAGACAATACGGATCGCAAGCTCGACCTCAGACTTAACTACGTGTGAGTTTGCTTGTGATCTTCGAGCGAGAAATTGCTGACCAACTGGCCGATTCTCAGGCGACAGCCGGACGGCGGCGGGTCCTTCAAGGTCCAGATATATTCTCCTTACCTGGTGATCAACAAGACCCAAATGCCCTTCGCCGTTCGACCTGGCCGTTCCACGCGTATTGGGGGATGGCAAGATATGGCAGGAGAGACCAGGCCCGGTGAGTTGACGTTTTTGTCGCATCTTTCGTTGCAGACATTTCTGATAACCAGCACAGACATACTGGCGGAGCCTCACCCTTTCCGTAGGTGTATCGTTGTCAAATGTGTTTATATCTAATTGATACCGGTCTCAAGTACTGTCCCACCCCAGCGAGCAAGGCAGAGATTTTAGCTTCAAGGTCGGCGATTCAACGTGGTCCCAGGTAAGATGATTTTAGGTTTTACAACCTGCTCATGATGACATGCTACTTGCAGGTGGTCAACTTGGAGGCGCCAGCAGCTGATACCCGTTTGATCATACTTGCACAAGGGAGACGAGCGGAAGAGGTTCACATAGGATTATCATGGGCAGAAGGTCTCGGGAAGTATAAATTGACAAAGGTCATCACATTGGCACCCAGATTCGTCATCAAGAACAACTTCCATGGAACTATTGCATTTCGCGAACACGGAGTTCCTCCGCGCGCCCGCTCTACCCTTGACTCGGGAGAGCGATGCCCGCTTCAATCTCTACGAGCTGGTGAAGAAAAGCTCTTAACAGTTGCATTCCCAGGTCTTGACGCGCAATGGTACATTTCCCGGCGAGCATAAACATATTTCGCTCACACTCATCAGGTCTGCTCCGATCAATATGGAGGACATTGGCTCAGTACATTTCCGTCTTCGGAAACCTGCCGCGGAATCACATGAGCAGTATCTGATGAGAGCTGATGTCAAGATGGAAGGCTCGACTATTTTTGTGTTCATCGCAGAGGCTACGGAAGGCTGGCCTTTCATTATTGAGAACGACAGTGATTACACGTTCACACTCTATCAAACGGTATGTGGTTGAGTTTGCGGCATTCACAGCCGTGTATGGCTTCTGATATTTTCCTGCAGGATCAAAATCGCAGCGAAAGCGAACCCTCCAAGAGATCCGTGCCCAATTATCCTGTGCCTAGGAAGTCCAGCCTTGATTATGCTTGGGACTATCCCGCTGCCAGGGAGAAACGATTGGTCCTCACTATCAACAAATCTCGTCGCGCCATCGACGTCATGGAGATCGGTGACCTTGTGCCTTTCAGATTCTCCGTAAGTTAGCTATCTCCTACATGGCAGCAACATTCTGATCGGACATGCTCAGGAGACACAAGGTGTTCGTGCCGTCTCTCTGGACGTCCGCGCGGATGCGCACAAGCAAGTGTTGCGCATTAGCAATTACAATCCAGAGCGAAGCCTTTATAGACCAAAGCGCAGTAATTCAGTCTCTTTGATGCGGCAAGACACCATGAGCAGCAGTCAGGACGCCTTTGAAGCTGTGCAAGAGGAGGTCCATCCCGAAATGGTCGTTTCGCTGGATGTTGAAGGCGTAGGCATATCCTTGATTAACAGGAAGATGACAGAAGTCGTCTACCTCTCAGCGAATGCGTTGAAATTCGAATTCGTTGACAGTGCGGTGTCGCAAAGTGTCAATGTATCGTGCGGTGTTCTGCAGATAGACAACCAGCTGCACGACGGTCTTTTCCCTGTCGTCCTACAACCTACTCCAATTTCGAAGGAATCGAGTGGAGTCGCCTCGCTTCCGACGATACAGGGGTCAATGATATGGTTGAAGGATCGAGGTAAAGCTACCTCGAAAATCTCTGACTCTTAACATTGATCTAATGTCTACGTAGAGCACGGTGTCTTCTTCGTCAAGTACTGCTCGATTCTCCTGCAAGCACTAACAATCGAAGCGGACGAAGACTTCTTGTATGCTCTCTATGACCTCACTCGCATCAAGGGTCTTTCTTGGGGAGAAGGCCAGGAAGAGTAGGTCATAAGTTGCATCTTATAACAGTTACTGACGGCCTGCGGTCGACAGCGTTTTGATACAGACACCTAACGATATTCCTGAGCCTCAAGCATTCTCAGCAGGTGAAGAGCTGTACTTCGAAGTCCTTGAGCTGCAGCCCATCAAGCTCTCGATCTCGTTCATGCGTACAGAGAGGCTGAATGGAGAGGATACGTAGGTCATTCTATGATTATGCCCTGCCTGACTTTTAAGCGGTCTGGTCCAGGCTTACCACACGGAATCCCCTTGCGGTCGTGATAAACGCCATCACGATGGCCGTCGGGAATATCAATGATGCACAACTCGAGATGAATGCGTTAGCGATCAAGGATATGCGCCTGACATTCCCGGATCTCCAAGACCGTATCATGCACCATTATCGCCAGGAAGTCCTTCGTCAATTGTACCGTGTCTTGGGATCGGCAGACTTCATCGGTAACCCCGTTGGATTGTTCAATAATGTTAGTTCCGGGGTGGCAGATATATTCTACGAGCCTTTCAACGGAGCAGTGATGCATGGTAACTCTGATCTCGGTGTTGGGATTGCGAAGGTATTCCTTCTTTCAAGGAGTAAGACATTTACTCATGCGTGGTCATAGGGAGCTGCCAGTTTTGTGAAGAAAACGGTCTTTGGCTTCTCCGACAGCATGACAAAGTTCACGAGCAGTGTAGGCAAAGGTATGCTTTTCCAAATTGATGTTCGTCTATGACTGCAAGTTGCCGATTAGGACTCTCTGCGACGACATTCGATCCCGAATATCAATTACGTCGGCGTATGAACCAGAGACGAAATCGTCCCCGTCATGCAATGTGAGTCGTAAGCGTCAAACCTTACAGGCCCCTAAGCGAAATCTTCACTGCAGATATGGCGTGACAGCGGGAGCCGAGGCCTTTGCTAGCAGCATTGCCAGTGGAATGGAAGGGGTCATAGTCAGTCAATATTGTCTGTGTGCTGAAAGACAGATGCTGAAGTAAGCGTAGATGAAGCCGTTGGAAGGGGCGGAGACGGAAGGAGCGAAAGGTTTCTTCAAGGGTGTTGGCAAGGGACTTATTGGGTATGAGTTAGTCTCCTTGGATTGTGGCTTGAGATGAACTAATGTCCGCGCAGGGCTGTCACCAAACCTGTTGTTGGCGTATTTGATCTCGCCGCTAATCTCAGTGAAGGTGCGTGCTCACAATTTGCAAGTACGGCGGCATTATATAGCTTCTCTTTAGGTATTCGGAACACCACTACCGTTTTTGACAACCCTGCCAGGGATCGCGTACGGCTAGTGAGTAATTTGCGACACTTTCACTATGACGCGAACTGAACGGAAATGGCGCCTGGTCATCCAGCCACGTCTCATACCAACTGATGGTGTCCTCGTTGTAAGTTGATGCTTTTGCGCCACGTTATAACACTTTGCTCATGTATCCTTAGTCCTATTCCGAGCGGGAATCCTTGGGACAGTACTGGATGAAGGATCTCAATAATGGTGCTTACCGCAACGAGTTGTATGTTGCACACATCAGTGAGTGTTCACGGCCGGTTACGAAGCCATCGTCTGACGTTGTTTAGACCTTCCTGGAAACGACAACGTGGTACTACTGACTGCATCCCGCGTCTTATCATTTTGGTCGAACAAGCTACGACTGGAATGGGAACTTCCGTTCACGCTGATTCAAGGCGTTACGATCGAGGACTCCGGGATTCGATTTGCACACAAGACTGGCAGAGATCATGACCAGTTCGTATCCATACCGGACAAAACGTCCCAGGCCTGGTTCTTCAGTCAAGTGGCGACTGTTGTAAAAGCATTCAATGCCCGTCGACGCATGGACTCATAATGTTGTTGTGGCCGCTGCACTCAGATTGATGTATTGATAGCTATTTTTGCATATGTATAGGATAAACCGATGTATCAGGGCACAATAGACCCTCATGATGTATTCGATGTATTAGACCCGAGTGACCACGAGCATCATATCTAAAGGATAGTGAAGGCGGAGTCGATGTATCGCAGCGAACAGAGACAGACATGAAAACCAAGACGAACGATATACTGAGTGGATAAATATACAAAAGACTGGAGACTGCACTAGGAACTTCCGAGTATGGTAGGACGAGCGGTGAGGACAGTGTCGACACTGGCGCCGGTATCGCGGCGGACCTTGGCTTCGGTCGCAGTGCTGGTGCTGGAGACCCGATCCCTATTTTGCCGGATTGAGTCATGGAGGCTATATACGTTCTTTGTCGGAGTCCCCTGCTCGCTATCGCTGCCGCGGTACAATTCAACAGTCACATTGTCTTGACTGTCATAGCTACCGCGCGGGCTGGTGGAGTATGCGCTCTGGAAGTCAGCCTCGTCATCGGTGGTAGCGGATGCCCCCAGAGAGAGCGAGGGTGTGGTCGGCGTGATCATGTTCGGCGACGCAGGGCGAGTCGCGCTCAATGATGCCGTCGAGGGAATCGTGCGCAGACCGGGCAGGTCAAGCGTCTGCTTGACAGGGCTCAAAGGCGACTCGGCCTCGGCTTGGACGATACTGATCTTGTCCTCCTCAGGCGACTCGGGTATAGCCTCAGTGTCCAAGACCTCGGGTATACTATGCTCAGTTGGCGGTGATCCTTTGCCCACGGGAGGCGGCGACGTCGCGAAGCTCCTGTTGTTGGCTCCTCTCGAATGCTTGCCAGAGCTCCTGCCGCCCTTGTGGCGGCGCGAGCGCATCCGCGTATCGGACATATCACTCTCGCTCAGCTGGCTCTCCATGGACCGCCGCTGGGCTTCTGCAGCCAGTGCGTTCTCAAGCTAACAAGGAGACTTGAGTCAATAATGCACGAGAAGCATGTCAAACCCCGGACATACCTTGCGCTGGATCGCGAGGACCTTCTGAGTGATCTTGTCGCTCTTCTGGCTGATGCCCTCGTCCATGGCTGTCATCCCGTCCTGAGGCAAGTCGCCGAAGCTCGCCGAGAAGCGCTTCTTCTTGGACTTGAGCTCCTCCTCCTCTTCCTCCTCTTCCGGCACAGTCCCGGTAGCCAAATGCTGGCGTGCCTCGCGGCCCTCGCCCTCGTACGACTCCGCCAACGTCGATTCCGTACTGAAAGACCGGAGTCCCCGGGAGCTGGGGCGGCGATACGTGGTCGGCGCGGAGCGGGAGGACATGCGGCTGCTGGGCCGCGAGCCATAGTCGGAGTCTTCCACGTCGACGGCCATGTTCGCGAGGGCGCGCTCGATCTGCACCTCGACCTCTGCGATCATGTCCGCCCGCTCTTCCTCCATCCGCTCCATTGTCTCCCGCATCTGCTCGAGCTCGGACAGGGCCGTCTTGTGCGCATCCTCCGTGTCCTTCAGCTCTAAAACCCAGGTCAGTCCAGCCGGAAAAATGAAAAGACGACAGCAGGAAACACGTACGGTTCTGCAGCTTAGCCTTCTCGGCGGCCGTCATGGTGATCATGCTCGACAGCCGCTTCGTCTCCTTCTGCTCCTTGTTGATCTTCGAGCGCAAGTCGCTCGCCTCCACGCTGAGCTTCTCGGCGTACTGCTCAAAGGTCACGAATTTGTCGCGCCATAAGTCCGACTCGGTCATCAAGAAGTTGAGGCGGCGAGACAGGCGACCGATCTTCGTCTCCAGATCGTCGCGCGCATCGACAAATGCAGTCGCACGCTTGCGGATAGACAGCTGGATGTGCTGTTCGGCCACAGTGAGCCTCGGGAGCGGGCGGACAGACCCGAAGGAGCTGATTCGCTTGAGCAACGAGGGCTTCTTCATCTGACCACGAACCTAACGTTGAGGACAACGCACAACGTCAAGATGGGACTCGAGCGTACCTTTTCCGCCAGAACACTGTCAAAGGCCTGGATGATGCGGGTGGAATGCCACCACTCCGGCGGCTTCACCATGTCCGCAACGGCAGTCGACGCCACGCCTCTCTTCGCCTGGATCTTGCACACGGGTCTGAAACGTCCAGCGGGGAACGCCTCCTTGAACTCACTGCAGCAGGTCAGCATACAGCTCGTATGTGCAAAAAACCACAGCTACAAACCTAGGGACGCAGTGGTCAGGATGATAGTGGGGCTCGAACGCCGTCAGCAGCTTCTGACGATATTTATCACGTTGCTGCTTGCTCGAGACGACGCCGGGAGGAGGAGCCGGGCAGCTCAGATAGTTGATGTCCCTAATATAGTTCATTCGCATCACCTCGAGGACACAAACCGAATTCCCGCACTCACAAGTCGACAATGCACACCTCAGGCGGCGGGCGGACGCAATACCTCGCCTCGGTGGCGAGACCCATGATCCACGGGCCAGGATCGTCAATGTAGATCTTGGCGTCCCGCGAATGGACCGTCGCGAGCGCGACGCCATTCCACCCGCGCAGTTCGACCAGGTACTTGATCGTGTGCACAGCGATGCCCAACATCGCCGGATGCCGCGAGAACAGGAGGATCCTCCCGGTCGGCGCGAGGGCGATCTGGGGCCAAAAGGAGTCACCCCACCGCTCTCGAAAAATCGCGACACACAAACCAACAACGCACCTCGCAAATGGTAAGAATGTTATCGATGTTCAGGCACTTGAACAGCGGCCACATCGTGAAGTTCACGTCGACCAGCCCGCGCCCAAAGTCGAGCCCGCCCGGGAAGCGCGCGACGACCTCCAGGCTCGTCTCGAGGCCGGCCCCGGCGTGCGACGGGGGCGCGGACGACGCGTCGAGGCGCACGAGCTCTCCCGGCCGCGGCGCGGGGTGCGAGAGGATCTTGCTGATCTGCAGCGTGTGGCTCTGCACGTCCTTGGAGAACCGCGCCCACGAGAGCGTCAGGTAGTCCCGCATCAGATCGTAGATCGGGTATCGCGATACGAGGGCTGTGGGGCAACACGCACACGCGCATCATCAGCACGCACCCCGCGGGGAAAGAAGCAACAGGCTCACTCAGCGCATACGGCAGCCAGAACACGGTGTCGCCCGGGAGGAACAGCGTGCTCTCGCCGGGGCCGTGCCCGATGGTGCTCGCGACGTCATAGTCGCTCTCGCTCACCGCGCCGCCCTCGCCGTCCGTCTCCGGGTCCGCGTCCGTCTCGACATCCGTGCCCGTGCCCGCGCCTGCGCCCCACGGCCCGCGCGCGCTCATCCGCGTGCGCCGGCGCGCCTGTGCGGCGGGATCTGTATTGTCGCTGGTGTGCGAGCGCCCGCGCATGCGCGCCGTGACGAGGCTGCTCTGCGCGCTCTCCTTGCGCGGGCGGCCCGCCTCGAGTGTGCGGCGGATCGCGCCCGTGCGCTCGGGGTCGGCGTGCGACCACACGGTGAGGCAGACGCCGTGGTACGTGATCTGGCTGTTGGAGCTTGTCTTGACGGAGCCCGCTAGGTCGGGGCCGCTGCTGCTGGAGGGCGGGGAGAGGACAGGCGCACCGAGGTACGCGGAAGACGGCCGCGCGCGGGCAAAGGGGTCCTCGTACGGGACGGACATGATGGACGACCGCTCGGTGTTGCCGGTGAGGACCGAGGCGCGGAGCACATCGGTAGAAGGAGAGGGCGCGAGTGGGGTAGCAGGCGCAGGGAGCGTGAACGTGAACGTGTGCACCGTCGACGCGGGTTGAAGGGTAGACGCGATGATCTCCACTTCGCGGGGAAAGGACAGCTACAACCGGCCGGGTATTATTAGTTCATGCCCGTCCGCAGCAGGACGGTCGAAGCGTATATACCTTGAGGGCCTTGGACAGCATCTTGCCCACGTCCTGCTTGCTCAGATGGCCCGAGCTGCTGAACACTGTGGAGCCTTCGTCTGCCTTGCCCTTCTTCTTGCGCTTACCGCCGCCGCCGGCACCTGGGCTTACGGTGCTACCTAGCACCTCGGGCCTCCACCATCTCCCTACCGCGCCGTCTGTGTGGTGCAGACCCATGACCGAATCGGGGTCCGCGAGAGTCCACGTGTGAGGACTCTTGGGAAGGCCCGACACCACGTAGAGGGATGCCAGCGGGAGCGTCGGGCCCGTCGCGGGTGGAGGCGCCGAGACGGTCGTCGGCGGCGCAGAACGCGCAGAACGCGCCGACGCGAGGGAGGTTCTGTTGGAGGCAGGGATGGGCTCCATCTCCTTGCGATGGCGGATGCCCAGGATGCGTGCCGCTTTATCCGGGCGGCGGATGACGGCCGTGGACTCTGGGCCGGGGTGCTCGACGTTGACGTACTCGAGATCGTTGTCGTCAACGAGACCGGTGGAGCTCTCGCCTGTGGTGGACGGGGCAGCGCGGTGGGCGGGGGAGGTGGGCGACAGGCGTGTGTGGTGGTCAAGGGAGTCGGCGTCGATGTTTGAGTTTGACGCGGCGGAAATAGTAATGATCGGATCAGGTGCAGGGATTGGGCGGGGTGTGCGGGCGGCGGCGGGACGTGTGGCAGGGACGTCTGCCCTGCTGGCAGCCGACCTGAGGCTGAGGTTGGACTTTTGGTTGGGTTTACGTGCGAGGGTGGAGGAGAGGATGGAGCGCTGGCCGTGGTTGCCATCTTCATCTGACCACCGAGAGGTGAGGATTTTCTCGCCGATCAGGGGGTGGGACGAGACGGGCGGGTGCTGGATGGGCGACTTTGCCCTTGTGCGCGCGTTCATGGTGGACGGCGCGGGGATAGAAATAGGGAAAGGGGAAGAGGGGAAGGGGAAAGGAGAGTGGGGGACACGGGGAGGTGCCTTGGAGGGAAGAAGAGGAAGAAGAGCAGCTACGCGACCTTCGCCGCTGCAAGAACCGCTGAAACTGATTATTTACTCGCATAACTCCACTGCTCATTAGCGGTGAGAATGTTCTCCCTTCCCCTTCATGATCAAGATTCCTCATTACGCCATTTCTCACGCCGTGCTCATTCCCGTTCTCTGCGCGCGCATGGCAACAGCACACGAGCTCTGCTTCTACTGCAGCCTGCCGCCGCCACTCTTCTGCAGCCCACGCTCTCAACTGCTGCCGTAGGGTCGCAATGGAATCCAACCTACTCTCGTCGCGATCACGTGGCACAACGCGAGAAGCCCCCTTTAGCGTCAAGACGTCGATCATTCCGTTCCCTCGGGGCCGGCTAACAAACACCCTGCCATTTTGGATCCACTCGTCCATCACGACACAGGCGCCCAGATCCCTCGCCAGATTCGGCGTCCTCGTTCTTCCCCTCGGCCCGCTCTGCTCGTCCTTCCTCCCGCTATCTCCCAGTGCCCGTCCACCACTACTCTGTATTCAAGCAGACCGCCAACTCTGCAGGTCTCTCTCTCCTCTGTGTCTACACGTCTTCCGTGCATTCTTGGGCGCCGTCCATCGCGGATCTGGCACAGCACGCTAGCACCCCGGCAAACCAAATACCTCAGACGGCCTCTGCGCGCCGACCGCATCTTGGCCGCCATTCGCCCCCGGCCTCTTCTCGAATCCACTGCGGTCAATGCACGATGCGCATCCCCTCCTGGCACCCCCTCGGCTGCCGTCTCGTTTCATGCGCTCTTCACTGTGACGTCGTTGCTGTCCGAAACGACCGCTCGTTCCTATGGCTCCAGCTCTCGCCCCCGACTTCCGCAGGCTCACTCTGCGTAGTCGAAAGCGATATCGCAACTCACATTCGTGGCATGTGCTGTCGCGGTCGCGGTACCTGGCCAGCGACGCCATCACACCGTCCCTGTCGAAGCTCTATCGCGTTCCTGGTTTCCGCCCGCGAGCCTCGACTTTTATCGCCCCGGGTCCCTGGCCACAGCGCTCGACGCGCCCTCCATTCATAGGAACATCCAAACGCTAGGCCCTGATGTCGCCGCCCCTGGACCGATTGTCTGCAGCATCGGCCCCGAGCAGTATTAGTACTAGTGCCTCCCTGGCTCGTATCTGATGTCTCCGAACTCACGTAGCTCTCCTCCAGCCGTGCTCATGCTCAAAGTTCCAATTCTTGATCTTGTAAGCCGCATATCGGGTTCATCCCGCGATGAGCAAGTTATCATCACCCACTCCTCATTTCATCACTGCTTCCATTCTGAGCGTCAAAGCTGACAGGATCCATGCATCATAACTCTTTGTCTGTTTACCCTGCACTTCCATGTCGACGTTGCTCCGATGGCATGTGCCCAGTTTCGGGGGTGGACGCTCCAGATCCAATGCGTTAACACCCTCACACCTACATGCACTGCTGAATGTACATAAATGCTGTATATGGGGTCATGTCAAATGCAAGAACAGAATCCTCCACAAAATCGAGACAGAGTCACGGAAGATGTAAGATAAAAATAGTGTCATGTGTCCATCGAGGCGTACGATGTGATCAAACGCAGTGCGACAGAAACGGCCCCAGCTTCAAGCTCCTCATCTATGCGTCGTCGCCGCAAACACATTCCGCACCCACTTCCACCGCCCCTTCGCACGCCGCCCTTGCGTCAGCGCACCCGGCAACAGCGCCTCCTGCTCCTCCTCCCGCCCCACCCTCCCGCGGGGCGGCTCGTCGCCCGGCACCGTCCCCTCGCTCACCACCCTCCGCATGCTCCGCCGCCCGCTCTCCTCGTCCCCCACGCTCCCCCGCCGCGCGGACACCCGCCGCCTTCGCTCCGGCACGAGCGCAAAGCCCGGGCTCACGGGGCTCAGCCCGATCGCGAACCCCCCGAGCGCGCTCCCGCTCGGCGCGAGCGGCCCCGCGAACGGCGGCGGGCTCAGCGGCGCAGCGAGCGTCGTCCGCCGCCGCCGCGTGCTCGGCGACCCGGTGCTGTCCGCCGCGTACGACGAGCGCGAGCGCCGCATGGCCTCTGCGGGCGCGAGCAGAGTGGACTGCCGCGGGCCCGGCGGCGCGGTTGCGTTCGAGGGGACGAGAGACAGACGCGGCGCGTCGGCGGGCGGGGGCGGCTGGCTGGCGGCGTGCGCGTCGGGCGCGACGGGGCCCATGCCGATGTCTTCGCTCGGGGGGCGGCTTGGCAGCGGGAGCGTCCGCGAGCGTCGGTGCGCATCCATGGGCAGAGGCTCATCGTCGAGGATCTCCTCGTCGTCCTCGCCGTCCTCGAGAGCAGAGTCGTATGAGTCTGCACTCGTGAACGAGTGTGCATCGGCCTCATCGTGCGTCCATGCACCGATGTCAATGCTGTACCCGCCGGTAGGTGGGAAGCTGACGATCCAGACACCTGCGAGGAGGATGGAGATACCCAGCAGGACAAGGAGAAGCTGCGTCTTGGAGAGGAGTGAGAACTGGTCAAAGTATACAAGACCGTTTATGATCGAGGATAGATTGTAAAGGCAAAATGCGACTGTCATTCAACGTCAGAAATGTGTGATGTAATCGTCTTAAACCTGTAAGCACTCACGGGGGCAGACGACGGTCGGATCAGCGAGGACCAAACTCTTGTGCATATACCACAGCTGCAGAAGAGCGCAGACACCCAGACTAAGCAGGAGGATCCAGGCCTGCCATCGCCAGAATTGGTTGTCTCCCGCGATGGTGAGCATGAGCAGTTCAACTCCACTCTTCGCGAAGAGTAAGCACATGCCAGAGATGATCCCTGAGAACGACGCATAAGACGCGGCAAGAAACAGGGGCGTCCGCGTGGATTGGGTAGTAAAGATAATCGCGCTGGACAGAATAGATTGGTTGGATGTTGTGCCCGAGGGAGAGGGAGACTTTGAGCGGCCGTGTGAATGTGAACGCGCACGAGGCTTGCGATCAAGAAGGGGTGTCCGCTCGCTAGGATCGGCGGTGTTCGATGCTGTTGTTGTCGTTGTCAAGATGGAGGGATGAGAATTAGGTACGATGAGGGGGGATAGCGGCGGCGACACTGCGGGCAACGCCATCTTGCGGGTATAGGAATATTCCGCTATGTGTGTCTGGCCACAGAGACTTCAGTTACATCCACGAGAATAGTGAGGACAGCTCGTACGATGGCAAGGCATACAACTGTGGCTATGCCCAAGAGTGAGAAGTACACCACGAAGACAGGCCGGTTGAAAAGCATGAGTAGGTCCTCCAGGGAATGCGTGGGTTCAGGTACGATGCCGAATACAGCGACGAGGACGGCACCGCCGGCGATGAGCAAGGTGCCTATTAGCATCCACATTGAGAATACATCGCCAAGGAGTATCCTTGCAAAGAACGCGTTCCATAGGAGAGACACGGCGCCAAGAGGCGCAAGGATGACGACGGGTAGCGAGGCGATCTGAAAGACGGAGCCAAACAGATTTGACGAGATGAATATCGCTTCACACGGCGGCTGAGGGTGAGCACACAGCGGCCCGCGATGCAAGTATCAACGTACCAAATCCAAACAGCCAGAGCCTGTGCAAGTGTGAATCGTGGATCGTGTTGCGGACATGAGGAGGCGTGCACTCACGGCCTGCGGTGTTCCACCCTCCTCTCGAATTCCGGCAGCGACTGGTTTATGACATGGCTCTTGCGCTGGATTGTCAAACCTAGAGACTGAATGAATGATGCTAGGAGCCCGACAGTTATGCCGAGGGGAATAGAAATGTGGGTGTCGCCGTCGGCCATGAAACTCATGAACACGATGTGTGAGCGCGACGCCCCAAACGCCCGACGTTTCCTTTCGGAGACTTACACGTGATTACGTTTAAGCGTCCGATCTCGATCATCATGATCCAATTCTCTCTTATCAATTATTGAGAGTCCTTACTTTATACTCCATCTCCATACCTGGCTGGGTTGGCAGCTCCACCCGCCAATCCCAAATAACCATTAAGCAAACCCATCAAATATGCTCTCTCATATAATGCAACATATACAAAGAAGCTGTCTAGTTATTCAGAAATACCACGTTCATGGACAACCTGCAATGCATCTACGACAATAACTGAATTCCATCCTTCTGTGCAAGGACATAAGTGATGGGAGACAGCGAGATCCACTCAATGGGAAAAGTAGAACATGCAAAAGATGTGTAATTGGTACGACAAAGCCATGAAGTGCAAGTAACATAGACAAATTGTGGACAATGGTAAGTTCATGTGATGTGAAGGCTGCACTCTGGCGCAGTGGGCCTCCACAGGGGAAGCAGCCATGTTACGTGCTTTGCAGGTCTCCTGTCGAGGAACCTGGTCCATCAATCTCGCAAGGTAGTCGTGTCAGGCATGAACATAGATAAGCGACCAGTAAAGTAAGTGAGCCAAGCCATATAATGCAGCGTGAGACAAATGAGGCAAACGCACATCCGGCGCATGTAAATACATAGTTAACGCGCAGCAGAATTTTGTGCGTGCAGATGCGAGTAGTGGCACAGCCACATAGGACATGCCGACATGTTGAACGAGTTCGAGATTCCGAGAGATACGAACCAAGAAATCTCATCAGCAGGAAGAAAACCTACAGCGCAGGACACAACACGCAATGCAGCCGCCTCAGAGCCTGAGCACGCCCGTGGCGAACACGACACGCAGGACATTGAACCAAAGACGTCAGCCACAATCTGAGCCACAGGCGCCACAATGTCAGCCACCGGAGCCACCGCGGCAACTACACCAGCCACAATTCCAGCCACATACGGGCGTCGATCAAAACCTTACGTAAGATCAAATGTGGTAACCATACAGCGGGTGATTCGGAACTAATACTGACGCACGCAAGGATCTGTGCACACAGTTTATATATACTTGCACTCACATCAGTGCTATATCCGCTGGAGGGTGCCGCCCTAAGCCGGATACTATATGCACGTACATACCGTAGCGAGGTGTCAATATATCCTAGGCTGTCTGGGAGTATCAATAAGTGGTGAGTAAGCGGTCTTTCATCTGGGGTGGTCGGTGGGGATGCGATCAAGGTCGTCAGTGTCTATCTGTGCTGGGGACCGTATGAAGGCGGGGGAAGGGAGCTTGGGCACATAGGGGTGTAACTAAGGTAAGCTAGATAGGGATCATTGTTCATACAGTAAGAATAAGGTGAAAAGGAAGGAAAAGGGGAAGAGGGGACGACCGCTTCGCGGCCAGTAGCCTTGATATAGTCAATGAGAGCCGGGAGGGCTTCTGGGTCGCTGAGGAGAGTCCGTATTAGCATATTGAAGGGGGGGGGAGGGGGCACGTCGTAGTGGGCGCGGGCTCGTTTCTACGTCGGGCAGTGACGCAGGTAGTACGACACCGTCTCTTCGCTGTTGCCACAGGTGGAGCACAGGGCCGATTCGACTTTGCGTAGACGGAACAGATGCTGAATTAGGGGCGCATGTCCGGACCGCAGTTGTATAAGTAAGCTTGTCCGGTTCTTTGGGAGGGACCCGGCGAGTTTGAGGAACTTGTTAGATGGGAGGGTCAATTCGACAGGTTTTAGCGTAACGAGGGGAGACTTTCCAACGTTTGCGTGCGTCGCGTTTGAGGTCGGTTGCTTCAAGGCGGCGGCGACGCCCACGGGCGGGGTTTTTTGAAGCTCGCGGGGCAGCGCTTTCATGAATCATCCGAGGTGGGTCGAGCCGCGCTGCTGCCTTCGCTATGCACACAGAGACAGTCCCAGATCCGCTTGTAACAGGAATTCCGAGTCGTTGTATCATTGGCAGAGACACCGTGACGATAATGAATGTGCCCTATCTTAGGGTTACGGTGACTTATCGTAAGCGAAGGCGCCTAACGGGATAGAGTGCAAGAACTTGTTGGGCACATTCCACAATGGCGTCGGCGCCCTTGAGCGATCTACTATCCGTACCCTTTGGGCCTTTCAGGGACGAAGACGTCTTGACCGACGCCTGCAAGAGCGTACCCTCCAATGTTCTTGGCCTCCATGATTTCATGCTTGAGTTTCGTGGAAAACCGATAGGGTCAGTACCACCATGCGTCATCTGCAACGTAGCGTGGTCATCCCGGACAAGAAGGGCTTATTGTCTTACATCCTAGACTTACCCAATCTGAGGCCTACCAGCCAGAGTATCGAAAAGAAAGCGCCGAAAGGGTGCGCTTTCGGGGTGTATTGGAGATCAAGTCTCCCTCTTGGCTTACACTCGTAGCTCGCAAGAGCATCGAAGAGGAGATCCATAGGCGAGACCGAGTCCTCGCTGAAAGAGGCGGTCGTCGGGTGCCCTCTAAGTCTCCCGACCTCGAATGGATCTATAGACAGCGTGGTTATAATGCAAACGTTATCAAGGTCTTGATACAAGGCATGAAATACTTGCCCGCTGTTTTCTTGATGAGTGAGCTCTTTATGCCAATGTTCAAATGTTTAAAGAGGCTCCGATAACCTACATGCAGAGAGCAGGTAAGGAGGTCCCAAATGGTCTGAGAATACACAGCAAGCATAAGTACGTCAATGTCTGCGACATTTGACTACTTTCGTCTCATATCCGAGTCTGCGCGTCGTCAGTAAACGATATTACGAAGTTCTCTCAATGGATGTCGCGACCTATGCCTTGAGTCGCAAAGTAATGTGACATACCAATGCAACGCCACAGTCAGCTCATACCTCTCTTTCAGTATCTCTCTCGATACCGCACCCTCCGTTTACTATCCGACCTCATCAAGGTTCACGCGCAAACCCTCTCTTCCACCGGCGACCGCACCGCCCCACGCGAAGACCGCACCGCCGCGTGGTTTGCTGACCTTTACGAGGAGCACATGAGCCGTTCCTACTTCGCGCGCACGCGAAGGCTCATCTACGACTCAGGTGACTCTGACATCGAACCCCGCAGCGGTGGAAAACTCAAGCCCGGGCATGAGCACATACTACGGCACATCCCCCGCGCGGAAGTGCTCTCCCTGCTCGCTGCGAACGCCAAGTGGGTGTTGGAAGAGCAGTCCGCGCGGCAAGGTAACACTAGATTCCTTGACATAGAGGTGTGGAACACGTGGGTGCAAGAGTCCCGTGCGGCCAGACGAGACGCAGCCAGACAGGGCGCCAAATGGGGCAGAGACCTTGTTGAAACCTCCAGTGACGACAGCAGCGAAGACGAACGTCCCCCACGAATGATGCGTAACAAGCCCAAGTCGAAGGCATGTACGGCGAACTTGTATTATACTGCATCCTTACGTTCATTTCCAGCCGCGAGCGACCGGCTCCAAGGCCGTCGCGCGTCGTTCGCCCTCAATCAGCGAGCGGATGGTCGTCGATAATGTTGACCTGAGCGTCCTCCGCTCCTACGACCCAGACTTTTCACCGCCTTCTACGCCAGATGCATCCGACAGCGAATCGGAGCATTCTCTCCCGTCGCGCCCATCCACACCTCCCAACCCGTCCATCTACGCTCTCATCCACCCTGCATTTTTCAACCCCCCTAGGCTCCCTACGGACGACTTCACGTGGGTGTGCCCCGTCGACGACTGCCACTATCGCATCGCAATGTTGAATCTGACTGAGGGGAACTGCGCGAAACTTGACCCAGACGATGCGCAGCGCCTCAAGGCGGGTAATTGGCGCTTCCGAGAGATTTGGGTGCAAGGGTGCTTTAGGTGGATGGTCTCTTGTCACTTTGAAGATCATCTTGATAAAGAAGGAATTGTGGTGGGAGAGGATGTAAGTGATCGGCGTTATATTGAATACGTGCCTACTCTAATCAACGCTGGCGACACTCGTAGGGACGACCGGAATGGAAAAATCCCCGGCATCATGAGAGCACCCCTTGGCCGCCCTCTCGCATTGTACAACAAAGGGCTCGGGCGAATCCGGTCAAGGAGGAAAGCGACTGATTGGGGCATTCTCAATAGTTAGGTCAAGTGAAGGAGCACACTGGATGGAATGATTGGTTTTCGTGTCAGAAAAATGGAAAATGATTAATTAAAGGAGAATGCATAGCATCTGTTGGTTTTACCAAAGAGCGGACTGAATAAGAACCACATAAGCATTGAAAGAGACAACGACAATGAACTTCTACGTGGCGATGCCGCAGCCACAGCAGCCACAGGTGGCCACAGGTCCCTAACACCATATCGAAGATGCCTGCTGCCGAACAGCCTAATAAGGCATTTTATCTCTAGGCAATGATCTACTGAGGACATGTCAACACCAATCGAAGATTGCACAAAGATGGAGCAGGGAAAAATGGCTTCGTGCCAATCATACAGATGGTAGCGTATTGCTTTCGTTGCTATAGTACAAATGTTACCGTACTCTACATTGCATCAGTGTCCAATCGACCATAAACTACACTATCACCTGGAGAAGTAATACTAGAAGGCGCACTGCCTTAGTCCATTTCCTCGATGTCGATGTCGTCGATGTCGTCGTAGTCAACATCCATGCTGTCCGCACTCGCCTCGTGGTTCGGGAGGATCTGTAAGCGGTTGTGGGGGCCGTCGAAGCGCACACGAATTGTCTCGGCCTCGCGGACGCGGTCCGAGAGAATGAGCACCGATAGCGGGTTGAGCAGCTCGCTTTGGATTGCGCGGTTGAGCGGCCGCGCACCGTAGATGGGCGAGTAGCCCATTGACATGAGGTACTGCTTCGCGGCGTCGTCGATGTCGAGCATCATCTTCTTCTCGGACAGCCGCTCCTGAACCTCCTTGAGGCGGATGTCAACAATCTTGAGGACGTTCTTCTGCGACAGGCAGCGCTGCATGAGAATACAGTCAGTACTGCTTTCAACGCGGACGCACGCATCAGTGACACTTACGAAGATGACGATATCGTCGATACGGTTGATGAACTCCGGCGGGAAATGTGTACGGATAGCGCCCATAACGAACTCACGCGTCTCCGGCTTGACAGGACCGTCGCCCATGTCGTTGAGGAATGTTGCACCAAGGTTGCTCGTCATGATGATGACCGTGTTGCGGAAGTCAACAACACGGCCCTGGCCGTCCGTCAGGCGGCCATCGTCAAGAACCTGCAAAAACAACGTGACGAACTCGCGCGACGCCTTTTCGATCTCGTCGATGAGCACGATCGAGTACGGCTTGCGACGAATGTACTCTGTGAGCTGGCCACCCTGGTCGTGGCCGACATAGCCCGGAGGGGCACCGATGAGACGAGAGATAGAGTGTTTCTCAGAGTACTCTGAGCCATCAATGCGGATCATGGCATCGGGTGAATCGAACAGAAGCGTCGCAAGCTGTAAGGTTCAATGTCAGCATTCCATTCAAGAGTGACGAAAAGACGTGGCAACTTACTGTCTTGCTCAGCAATGTCTTACCCGTACCAGAAGGCCCGGCCATGAGGAAGCTCGCAATAGGTCTCTGAGCGTTCCTCAAACCGCTCCTGCTCAGCCGAATCGCATTTGCGACTGCCTTCACAGCCTCAGGCTGGCCAACAACCTGCACGCCGAGAATCTTCTCCATCTTCAGCAGCTTCTCCTTCTCCGTGCTCATCAGCCGCGTGACAGGGATGTTCGTCCACCTCGCGACGATCTCTGCAATGGCCTCGGGCGCGACGGTGTCAGAACCGCCGTCCGGTAGCTGCGCATCTTCCTCTGCCTTCTTCGTCTCGAGCTGCGCTAACCGTGATTGGAGGTCGGGCAGCGCGTAATAGCGCAGATCAGACGCTGTTGCGAGGTCGTACCGGCGCTCGGCTTCGTCTGCCTTCGCCTTCAGCTCATCAATCCTCTTGCGGACACTCTGGATTTCGTCGCCACGCGATTTTTCCGCTTCATACTGCGCCAGAAGCGGGCGCAGTTCGTCTTCGACATCGGCGATTGCCTTGCGTGCAATGGTGAGACGCTCTTTAGAAGCTTCGTCCTTCTCGCGCTCGAGCGCGTGGATCTCAACCTCGAGCTCGAGCTTCCGTCGCTGGAGCTTGTCGATTGCTTCTGGAGCCGTCTCACGGGTAACGCGGACACTAGAGAGTGGAAGTCAATTTCTTTCAAGTATTTGAGTTGCATGTTAAACTCACCTTGCGCAGGCCTCATCCACAAGATCAATTGCAGCATCTGGAAGACGTCTTGACGTAAGGTAGCGGTGGGCGAGTGTCGCTGCTTGTATCAATGCGCCATCCAAAATGCGCACACCATGATGGACCTCGTATTTCTCACGGATACCGCGGAGAATGCTGATCGTCTCCGGTACAGACGGCTCGTTAACGATCACTTGCGCAAACCGCCGCTCAAGTGCTGCGTCCGTCTCGATGTACTTGCGGTACTCTGCGAGCGTCGTCGCACCAATGCACCGCAGTTTGCCGCGGGCCAAGAGCGGCTTAAAGAGATTCGCCGCATCCATGCCGCCACCTTCCGCGCCGCGGCCGGCCATGATGAGATGAAGCTCGTCGATGAAAAGGATTATCGGGTTGCCTTCATCCGCAGCCTTCTCGACCTCGTTGAGGACGGCTTTGATACGCTCCTCGTATTCACCCTTGTACTTCGCGCCCGCCATGAGTGCACCCATGTCGAGCGAATATATGCGGCCAAAGAGCGATGCGGGAACGTCGCGGTTGACGATACGTTGTGCAAGACCCTCCGCAATCGCGGACTTCCCTACACCGGGCTCACCCAATAGGATTGGGTTGTTCTTGGTCCTAGTAAATTCGTCAGAGCTCTGTATTTGCCACATATATGTTTGTGACTTACCGTCTGCACAAGATGCGGATGACGCGACGAATCTCATTGTCACGACCAATGACCGGGTCGAGTTTACCCTCTTCGGCAAGTGATGTGAGGTCGACGGCGTACTTTTGCAGAGCATCGAAGCCTTGCTCTGCATTCTTACTTTCTACCCTCCTGTTGCCGCGCATTTGGTCGATGGCGGTCTTCAGGGAGGCTTCAGTGACACCAGCCTCCTTCAGAACAGGAGCTAATGACACGTCCTTAATGAGCCCCGCAAGGAGGTGGTCCTGGGCAATGTAAGAGTCGTGCATCGTCTTGCGAAGGTTCTCGGCCTCGCGGAGGACTTTCAGCGCGCCAGCACTGAGGGAAATTTCTTCTGGTGGTGGTGATTGTGTGGGCAAGCGGACAATGACCTTCTGAAGAGCGCGCTTGACGAGTGTCTGGGATGGGTGTCAGAAATCCGGGCTCCAATTGAGGGATCGAAATAGAACTCACTGGGTCACCGCCTGCGCGTTCGATCACAGAGTGAAATAGCGAGTTACCATGGGGTTGACTGATGCTCCCCGGGACAGACTCTCCCGCGCCCTCGTTCAAGAGAGCGAACCCTATGTGAGCGGGGTGCACTGTCCAATGGAATTAAGGAATATACGCTATGTTACACGGTATATGCATGCTTACCTTGAGCGTTTGCATAGTCCTTGGCCAGCTGTATTGCTGCTGCCAACGACTCCTGTGTCTTATCTGTAAAGTTCAGGCCGGAAGCCATGGTAGTCGTGAAGATCGTAAGAGGGGAAAGATGAGACGAGAATTGGTATGAAGATGATGGTCGTAAAGTATAGGGGGTCCAATGGTAGGATGGGGGGACCCGCTATTAGAAGGGACCAGGTTATATGCAACCATGTATTGCATTCTGGAACGTCCTGCACCAGCCTGCACCGAGTCGGGCGCGTCTGGCCACTTCTCCACCCCTCCCGAACGTTCCTCCTCCTCTTTCCGGTGACATCATGTGACGCGAATTCAGCTACACGCCTCCCATAACGGGAAACTCTCCCACGCCTTCGCGCCGTGCGTCGGGCATACCCGACGCGCTCGCCGTCGTCGTTACTCAACGACATGCTTGCTCGACGTCTCCCACGGCTTGCCCGCCCTTTGGCACGCCTCGCCTCGTCCTCTTCCTCAACTCCCGTCCCAGCACAGGAGGCCTCCTCAGAGGCTACTGTCGTGCCCCAGGCTCCTAACTATCCTGCGACATGGTCCACTAGCCAGCAACCGCGCCCGCAAGGCCAGTCTGGCCCTCGCTTCGAGCAGACCATCATGGAGCTCCAACCCAGCCCCCTCAGCGCGATGGAGCTGATCAGCAAGGAGCCCATCCGTGTCGTTCACGGTCGCAAGGCTGTCTGCGACGGTGGTATGTATCGATAATGTCATTGATTGCGGTGGAAAATGACCATGGCCCGCTCTACCTTTAGGAGGAGGTCCTCTCGGACATCCAAAGATCTTCATCAACTTGGTATGTGCCTCTATTTGATTTTGGTTACATTGTGTGATTTCTCATCTTCATGTAGGACAAGCCAGGCCCTCGGCCATGCGGGTATGTCATCTCGTATCCTTCTGCCATTATAGGTCTAATCGTAACGTTTACTTGCATTGAACAGTTACTGGTACGTTGTGGCCAGAGATTCACCGTATTCTATTTCCCTAACCCATGTCTTACAGCGGATTGCGTTTCGAGCAAGCTCCGCACCACGGGCACGAACACTGATAGCACGTTGTATCTCATCACCCGGATTCGGATTAGAGCCCTCAATTCGAGACCATTTTGAGCTTCTCTGCAATGAATCACTCGGTTTTGTTCACCATCCGAATCACACACTAGACTGTGCCACTATCAGTCATGTACCGTCCAATGAGTGGTATGATGACGATGGACTACTCGTCCGCTCCGGTGACTGTCTCTACTTCGTTCGCAGCCACATTTAGCTCTGTCGGTAAGTCGACGTCCTCATCTGCTTGTTGTTCCATACCTTCTCGCATCGAGCTGCACCTCATAATCACGATGCGCGTCAGGACGGATGAGGCTCTTAGATGTGTACACCTCCAGAATTGCATCTTCCTTGCGTGTCACACTCATGTGGGGTATGCGCATTCATTCTAGTGAATATCACCGACTTAGGAGGGTACCTCGCGTGCTCCACAAACACAAAACTTGCCACTCCCAGTGCATTACACGTGGGTGCTGGGGACAAAATATGCCTGATATTGCTTCGTTATTCGAATCTGCTACACGGTCAGGGCGGCGCTTCCACTTTGACTACAGGAGGCTCTAGGAACCTCCACACTCCCCCAACTGATGTCGCTAGGATTGTATCTGTCAATTTAAGCACGTCTTCGGCATGCTAATGTACATGCGGATGGGTGGGATGGAGTTTGTAGTGATGCCATTACATAACAGAAGCGCGCCACCACTCCTTGATAGTTTTAGACTTGCATTCTACGCGTGTGTTCGTGGATAAGCGCTAAGCACTAGCACCGACATGTATCTGCCAGTGGGGGCCCCCCAGTACTGTCCACTTCGGATTAGTACTGTGAAGCCCGGATTCACAAATGACTTCTCCCGGCCCGCTGCGGAACGATATCCCGTCGGTCCCCCATTCTGTGGATCCACTTGACAAGACCGTCATGATATTACATCAAGAGCCACAATCCCGACTCAACCCCACCGGAGCGCATCATGGGTTCAGCACGCACCGGTTTGTCTTTGACGTCGCACTTTGTGCGGACGCTTGGCGTAGGGTTCAGAGCACGCGGTCGACACCAATCTGGCAGTTGAAATCCGTTTGCACATCCCGCCTGCCGGCGGGATAAAAATACACGAAGTCTATAGTACTTGCAGGTTGCAGAACACAGAACATGTGCACGAATAGCGTAGAACGATAAAGTATTGCTAAGCAGATGGGGAGCGGTGCGGTGCGATGCGTGCAGGCCGATCGGAGGTTGTACATGCATGAACACGGACATGGATGAACGCAACCTCCTGGGTCCGCCCTGGAAATGCAAGGAATGATCCTGATGTGCAATGAGGAGGAGTGACTGTGAGTGATAAGTGAAGATGAGACGGAAACCGAAGATGGCAGCGAGCGAAGCAGTGGCGACTCGACGCGACAGTGAGGTGAGAGAGCAAGAACGGGGACGGGCCGCATTAAATTAGAAACCAAAAAGAGCGTGCGAGTCCTGCAAGTATGCCAGCGGTATAAACAGCGAGACAGCGGGGGCTGGGGTTAGCTCTCCTCGTTACTCATGTCGTCCGGCGATGTGAACGACATGGGTGAGAGCGGGGGATATTCCCCATCAGCGACCGCTTCGAGAGTGGAACATGGTGGCAAAGACCCTGGCCGTAATGGCGGCTGGATTGACATGTACGATTTAGTAACCCGACATGGAACTGGACGATCAGGGAATGAACTTACGACTTTGAATATCGGGTTGATCGCGGACTTCGGAGCAACGCCTGGACTTGGTGGGTGTCCATAGTTCTGGCCGCCGAGGTGATGAGGAAGTCGCGGTGGTGGGGGGATGGAGAGGGACATCAGTTCGGGGGGTCGCCGCACCATATTGCCATCGAGAAGGCTGCCATTTGCAGCGTGTTCGCGCTGCTGCTGCCATGTCGGTGACTGCAGCGACAGCATATGCATCGGCGGCGGCGGCGGCGGCGAACCCCCGTCTGACAGCGACGGCGTGTCGGCAGACGCGCGTACGTGGAAGTCATTCAGCTGCTGCTCCAGCGAGAGAGACGCGGACGACCGTCCCCGGAGCGAAAACTCGTCTACAGTAGTCCGCAATGAATTCATAGATGTCCGCCCAAGACTGCTGAACCCGCTCGACCGGTGGCGGGCGCGGCTGGGCCCAGGATCGCTGTCCACGGTCGCGAATGAGATCACGGAGTGGATGTCAGACGACGACGTTGTGTGATCATCATCAAACTCCCGTCGTCGCGCCTTAGACACGCGCTCGCTGTCCCCCCGCCAATCCGACCGCGAGCTCTCGCCCGCGCTGAACACGCCACCCGCTGCCTTGATGGTCTTGGCACCGGTACCGTAGCTTTGCGTCTGCCGGATGGGCCCTGTGGCGGCGTGCATCTTGTTCTCCGGCAGCCCCAGCAAGGCGTTGTTCGCGGACAGAGACTGCCAGTTGTCCTTGTTCTGCAACCGTTTCTGCTTCTCCATGACGGCGCGGGCCTGATCGCGCTGCATCTTCTGCGCGAGCTGTCGGCGCTGCTTCTCTGCCTCGCGCGCCATGCGCTCCGCCTCCTTCTTCCGCAACTTCGGGTCCATGATGGGCTGCGGGGGCGGGGCTTCCAGCGGCGACATCTCGGACAGCGAACGACTATCCGTGCTCGACGACTGTCCGTTAAGAGACGGAGTGGAGTTCCCAGATGCGACCTGCACCTCCTGCACAGGCGGCAGAACTTGCTTGTCGCCGTGCCCGAAGATGCTGCTGAGACCCCACTTGCTAGGTTTCTTGACGAAGCTGGACTTGCCCTGCTTGGTGCCATTCGGCTGGTGGCCGTCCTGACTTTGCGCTTGTGGATGCCTTTGGATGTGCTCGGGCTCCACAGGGCGTTGCGGGTACTCGCGCGCCATAGGGGATGTCTGAATTTCTGTCGTCGAGGGCGCCATGTAGTGATCGGGTGCAACCTCGAACTGAGGCGAGATGTCCATCGCGTCACATTCTGGTTGGCCACTATACGCATATGGCGAGTTTGCAATGCGATCTCCGCCGCCAAACGAATATACAGAGGAGCCGTAGGTTGATGAGTGCCCATCGGGGATCGAGTGTGAGCCATCGGTACCATTGGGCAGGCGTATTGAGTGGATGGCATCGCTGCCGTACTCCGATGTCCTGGAAGATGTATCTGAAAGGACGCGTGGGCGTGCCAGCGATGGGTCGTAGAAGGAGGTGCGATGGGAGGAAGAAGCGTCCGGTATATGCGAGACGGCAACGGGTGCGGAGGGCTGGAACTCCGGCTTGTTGTTGACAGATGTATGCGTGTGTGAAGGAGGTAAATGTCGGGGGGATATCGAGTGAAGGGCAGCGGCGCTTCGTATGGCCGTCCTCGCGTTCGTGGACTGCGAGGTTGGCGCTGTTTGTGTTGGGTGTAACAGCGGGACGGGAGGATGGTTCAGAGGTGTGGTCTCGATGAGGTATGGATGCTCGAGACACTGCCGACTTGTGAGCCGGACATCGGGATCGTACTTGAGAAGGTCAGAGATGCACTCTATCAGTTTGACGGGGACTGAACGATCAAAGAGCGAGTAGATATCTTTGGGTACAACCTATTGTGCCAAGATCAGTCGTCGAAACGGGGAAAAAGCAAAACGGGACAAACCTTCGGAAACGAGAATCCCACCGCCCTCGCCATTCTCACACCTCTCGTCCACTTGCCGCCCCCGATTGGCTTGCCCCGTGCATCTGTACCGTAGTCTTCGCACGGATCACCAAGCTGCTCGCAGATTCGCGCTACTTGGTCAATCTCGCCTTGCCCAGGGAATAGAGGTCTCAGATTGACAAGTTCGGCCATAATGGCGCCAAGCGCCCACATGTCGACGGGATTGGAGTAGTCCCGACTTTTCAGGAGCACCTCGGGAGCACGATACCACCGCGTCGATACATACTCCGTGTACGGTGGCGCACTGTTCGTCTCCCTGGCCAATCCAAAGTCAGCAAGCTTGACGATCACGACTACGTCTTTTTCTAGAGGCGCATCGGGGGATGCGAGCGGAGATAGTGACCGGTAGTCGTACAGCCCCGTAGTCGTCACAAGCAAGTTCTCTGGCTTCATATCGCGATGAAAGTAGCCAGATGCATGGATGTGATATAGCCCCGAGACAACCTGGCGAAAGATAGAAGAGACGAGGCCGCCTGCCAGAGGTTTGCCTTTGCGAGTCTTGATGAGCTGGTATAGGTTGCCCTCCATAGACTCGAAGACGAAGTAGAGCTCCTTCGAAGCTGGCAGGAGGAAGAAGTCGTATAGGGGTATTATATTGGGATGATATGTTATCGCACACAAGGACTGACACAAGGGCAAAAACACGATCAAATGCTGCAGTCGAGTGCGACGTCATGAGCACACACCTCGAGCTCCTTGAGCTTCTTGCACTCGTCCCATCCACCCTCCCATCGTTTCTTCATCCTTTTGACGGCGACCAGTCTCTTGCCCGCGTATTCCGGGCGTGCGCCAGCTCCGCACTGCATGGCGGACATGGGTGTATTGGGCGGTAGCGTCCCATGCCAATCGCACAGCCATACCGTGCCAAACGAGCCATCGCCCACGACCTTGAGTGGGGTGTACGATCGTGTAGAGGCTAAAGACGAACGATGGTCAATCAAAGGATTCCAAATGAGGTGACAGCATGACATGAAGACATCAGCTGTGAGAATACTGACTGCTCTGTGCGTCACCCACGACCAACTGGTTGTTCTGCACGGTGACAGAGGGGATGCCCAAGACCGTAACCGGCTCCTTGGGTGCTGGTGCAGGAGAGCGATGAGACTGGGGGGGAGGTGGTGGTGGTTGTGCGGAGCCATTGGGCAATGGCTGATGGAGGTGGCCGTTTGGCATGTGGTTGGAGTATGCGTTGTGAACGGTGAGGGAATGGCTTTGAGAGACATGGTTTGTGTACATGATATGGGTTGGACTAGCATCGCCCGCCGAGGAGTCGAGTTGGTGGATTAGAGGGAGTATGTGGACGCCGTATGCATTGGAATAGGTGATAAATACGAGGTGCAAGGGGGCGGGCAGGGGACTCGAGAGGGGACGGGAGGCGGAAGCAGGGGCGGGCGAGGGAGGGAGAGGTCGAGGACGACAAAGGCGAAGAATTCGGGCGAGGGAGAGTGGCGGATGTTTGGTGCAGCGAGCCGAATGTGATCGGTGTGACCGTTCTGGGTAATTACACTACCGCCCGCCTGTCATATAGCTCCTCCGGATCCAGCGATACTATCCCGAGTCGCTGAGTCGCAAATCGCTCTGCGCGCGATCTGATCTGCCCCGTACGCGCATTTCCTTCTGGACTTGCTCACCACCTGGCCGCCATACTCCCTGGCACGTCCTCCCAGGTAAATACATCGCCCAACACCGGGCGCCTCCCCAAAATGTCTGGGCATTCGGCAAATTCTTGGCTGTGCACTCGTGCTCGCCAAATCCGGCAGGACCCCGCCATCAGCCGCTTCTCATGTTCTATATCTGGTGCTCCTGCGCGGACAGCGCAGCCCCCCGCCCTACATCGCTTATCTCGCCCTTTGGCGCGGCCGCTCCCTCTGCGCTCATCGGCGGCGGCTCTGCTCTCCACAGTCCCCCCATCTCTTCTCCTCGCAGCCTTTCCGAGCCACCCTGACAGCTGACGCGAATATCCTGGCCGAGCCCGCGAGCTATCCTGCAGATCACCGCGCTATCGGGCACTGATGGGACGAGAAGCAGTGTACGCGTGGTCAGCGATGTCTCGCATTTGTCAAACCCGTCTTCGCTTTCCAATCCTTCGGCCTTCCTTTCGTCCACGCCCTCACCCTTCCAGGCTCCCCATCCTCTCTTCGCGGGATGTCCTAGATACGTGTCTCCGTGGATCTGTTCTCTTCTGTTGCAATGGACGCGGCCGCGAGGATCATCACCGCACGTTATACAAAGACGCTAGTGCTCACTGCTGCCGAGAGTCTGTCAGTCCGCCGTAGACGGATGATGACTACATGTTCCCATGGTGCTTCCCGAATTTTACGTTTGATTTTTGCTCCTTCTTCCCAACAAAGTAGCGTGCGTTCTTGCTCTTATACAATATGTCCGCTGACACCCTGATGCCTTCTGTTTACCTTCGACCCCACATTTTGACCGGTGGCTGAGTAATTGCATCAGGACTGCATTAGGCTAGAGCACCATCTGTTCGTCGCTCCAGAGGGTTGTCTTGTCTACATATGCGTTTTTACTTCGGCTCCGTGAGACAAACGTGGATCGTATGCGAAATGGGCGCCTCCTCACTGGGTCATGATGGACCCTAATGCATTCACATACAGTTTTGTTGACGTCGCTGCGAGCATTAGGCGATGGGGGTGCTGTCACTCGACACCATTCTTCCATGCAAGTCTCGCTTACGCGTGTGCACCGTGCAGTGAAGAAACGAACAACAATACGTCTATCCTGAAACTGAACATATATCTCTTGATGCTACAGCGTGTGGGTACGGTCGACACCCTGAGGTCCGATCCCGGCGATGTCTCTAGTACGGCACCTCGTCGAACAGTTTCGATACGCTCTCTCCATAGTGACTTCTCCTGACGACCTCGGCTAGCACGTTGCCAATGTCGATTACCTCGATTTTACTGCATTTCTCCTGGTTCTCTTGTTGCGGCAGGGTGTTGGTAACGATCAACTTCTCAAGCGCGCTTTCCTCTATGGCTTTCAAGGCGTTCCCACTCAGGATCCCGTGAGTGACCAGGCCGAACACTCTAGTTGCCCCGGCCTCGGACAGGTGTTGTGCTGCAAGACAGAGGGTGCCGCAAGTGTCCGCCATGTCGTCCACCAGAATGGCCGTCTTCCCCTTCACGCGACCGACAAGCACCATTCGCGACACTTCATTTGCCTTCTTGCGCTCCTTGTGGAATAGGGCAAAGTCCACGCCTAGCCGGTCTGCGATGGATGTGGCTCTATGGCGACAAACTCAGTCCACGTCTCCCGGCAAGACATATGACGTACCGCTTGGCACCTCCCGCGTCCGGCGAAACGATGACGATATCCGACAGGGCGAAGTTGGTGCGGATATACTGGATAACAGACGGCTCCGCATACAGCTAAATCAAATTCGCATGAAGGTTAGCGTGAAGGAACACACGGCCATTACTTACGCTGTCGCACAGTTCATGTAAGTTGTCTGGGGTAGGGGTAGTAGGATGTCGGATATACGCACTTGTCTACAGGCACGTCGAAGAATCCCTGTATTTGTGAGGCGTGCAGGTCCATAGTCTGGAGTCCCGCGTGAGCACTGGCCCGCCGGGGCGATGCACAAGCCGTGACACTCAAAAACTCGCACGCACCACTACATGATCGCACCCGGACTTTTGTATCATGTTCGCGACCAGTTTTGCGGTAATGGGCGCCCGGCTCTTGTCCTTCTTGTCCTGGCGGGCATACGGGAAAAGGGGGATGATGGCCGTTATGCGCTTCGCGCTCGCGATCTTGCAGGCATGCACCATGATGCACAGCTCCATGAGCGCGGTGTTCACCTGGTTGCAACCAGTGTTGATGATGTAGACATCGTCCTCGCGCACGGATTCGGCGATGCGCACGCTCGTCTCTCCAATGCCGCTTTTCATGACTTCTGCCTTGCTCAGAGGGATGCCGAGGCTGCGAGGAAGAGCACAAGTACGTAAGGCATGTCACACAAGAGAGACACGTCGCATATACCGGCGTGTTATGATCTCTGCGAGCTCAGGATGGCTGGTGCCTGCGAACAGCGGTCAACCCGTTGAATACCATACCAATCGATAAGGTGGCCGGTACGCACCAGAGAATATTTTGATTCCGTTACCAGTGAACATGGCGTATACATGAAACGAATAATGATATGAGGTGAAGTAAGGAAGAGAAAGAGAAAGGAGAAACAACAGAGCGGTCTGAAGGGCGGTGGTGGAGAGGTCCGTGAATCCACAGATGCGATCATGCCCAAACAGACACTACAAATTTGATTCTATTACGTCAGCGTCAAAGTGCAGCGCAGTGCGCCTATGTCTGTTCCGCCGCTCTCGGTCCTCTCGGTGGCGTGCACTGGGCTCCAACCATGCGCTGGGCAAAAAAATCTTCGCCATTTTAGTGCATTGTCAGATGTCCTGGATTGGTCAAACCAGTGTAACGAACTGATCCCCCGTACGCTCAGAACCAGTCTAGTCTTCAACTACATCCAGCCTACTTGCTTAGTACGCCCAATCACCTTGGTCTGTTCCAGCCGACTGTCCTTCCTGTTGTCTCGGTGCTACGTCTTGATCGGAATGTCGCAGTTGACACTGGAGGGCCGGCTCCTAATCCCACGTAGCGCGGGACTGCATCGCTGTGCTGCTCTAACTCGGTGAGTTCCGACAGCATGCTGTCATCCTTCCCGGAGTGTGTTTTGGCCCACCAATTTTGCTTGCTTGTACGCAAATAGAATGCTTCGGCTGTGTCCTGTGGGTATGGTCCGACGAATGCACCTTCGCGGAAGCATCATTCGTGCGGTCGAGGCCTCGCACTGTAGTCAGGTTCTGCTGAGGTTGACACTCTGGACCGAACGCCTGGGCGTGCCCAGGGGCTAAGCGGACAGCTAGGTTACGATTCCCCGCACCGTTTACCTACCACTCGATGCTTCATATGTAAGTAAATATAAATAGATAGACAGCTTGAATGAAAACCATGCATTTTGTCACACGTCGTACTAGCACGCCGGAATTACTGTGTACTCTTCCACGGAATAGCAACTGTATATATGACTGCGCTGGCTGTGCCAACGACACATCCAAGCTAGTTCCTTCATCGAAGTTTATATGCTGTGACTTTGCCTGTGCGCCTTAGAAATAGACTAGTACTGCGAACGATGACTACATTATCCATGATATGCGACTGAGTGATACGGGGTAGACATCTGAGCACTAAGCTACAAAACTACAAACGGGCGTGCACAACGGACATCGACAGGGAAAGCGAGTGACAAACACAAGAGGAGTGCGCGGGTCTCAAAACTGCGACAGACGGGACGATGTGTAGTGGGGACCGAACGTCTCATCAGGCATAGCTGGAAGGGAACGCAGGACGCGAGGGGCGGAGATAACGGAGAAGTGGGATGACGCACGAAAATGTACGAAAGAGGGAGAGGGGGGGAGATACGAAAGTCGAATCCCGATACTAGACCTGCCTAGTGGCAGGCTACAGTACGAGACGAACAATAGTGAAGGTTAAGACACAAGCAACTGGTCACTTATCGATAAGAAGAAATGGCTGAAATCATGCTACATGGATAAGTAGACGCACTGCAACTACGAAAGACGGAAAAATATATCATCTTGGACCCATACCGTTCATCAGACCGGCTTGCACAGGGACCGTGCGGTGTGCAGTGCTAGGAGTGTTTAAGATAGACAGCAAATGAGCGTTGTTCGCAGGACGCGGGGCATTAGGAGGAAAGGCGAAGGTAGATGAGGGGGATATAGCGGGGGCGGATAGCGGCGGTTGTTCGCCGTACACTGCTGCTGGGAAGGGTGGCGGGACTACGCGAAGAGGGGTGACCCCCGGCGCACCCGCCATCGGCTGTGCATGCAAAGCACTGCTCGGTTGAGTATAATGGGGGACCGACCCTGGCGGAAGATAGTTGCCTGACATAAGGGGTCGAGGCATCTGGCCATGCTCTATCCCGGGGGTCGTACGCCGGATGCTCTCGTCAAGGGGTTGACGGAACGAAGGCGGATAGACGAGAGGATGGAAGGCAGCACTGGTACGCGGCCTTACAGTGAACGGATCGTCATAGATAGGGGCACCATGAAGGGGTATCTGTCGTGGAACAGGGGGCACCCCGGATGCGAAGGTCTCCAAGGTTGTTGGCCCCGACGTATAGATCAGCGAAGAGTCCAAGCGACCGTACAATGATACCGGAGGGACAGAAATAGATGGTCCCGGCATCCCCGACGGTGGTTCAATGGGGTACACGAGCATTGACTGGTAGGAAGGGGACGCATGAATGCGCTGGTGTGAAATCTTGTCCGATTCCTTTGCCACATTCTCGAGCATCGAGATGTATTTCATCTCCTTTGATATATCTCGGGGACGGGAGAGATATGGAGAGATGTCAGCAGAGGCCTTCGATCCGTGACGCGGCCGTGCGAGCTTGGGCGACTGCTTGGACGAGGTCATGTCTGCCGCACCGGAACGCGGAGACGAAGATACTACTGCAGACGATATTGTACCGACCGTGTAGTCACCAGCCGAGCTTGAGGATCCAATGCGAGGCTGTGGCGATGAATTTGATAGACGCTGGACAGACGAACGCATCGGCGTCGTTGTGGGAGGGCGGGATTGAGATCGAGGCGAGACAGTAGTGCTCGGGGTAACAGATGAGCTATAACCGTTCGTGAGACCAGTAGCCACAGAGGACTCCTTCGTCGCGTAAGAACGACCGGAAGATTCAGCTGCAGCCATTGGTCTCGGAGCAGCATCCTTTGAGGTAAAGGATGATGGCAACTGTGACTGATCGATGGAGAGTCTGCTGTCTGCAGGGACCGAAGTTGTGGAAGCTGACAGGGTCAAAGAAGACAACAAACGAGCGAAATGAGGGTCCACCCCCGTAAGATCCAGGGAGTCTCCCGCATCGCTGGCCGCTTGTATGACAGGTTGCTTAACTTCGTAGTGGACGAGGGGTGCACTATACTGAGGTGATGGCGTTTGGGGCTCTCCATTGTCGGCAGATGACGACTGAGAGCTGGATTCCTGCGCGTGTAGGTCACTTGATGCCGCTTGGCACGATTCGATCGGCATACTGTCCTCCTCGCTTGATTGATGAAGTTCCTGGTATATCTGCATGCTGTCCGATCTGCGCGGACGACGCTGCAGATTTCGGGGCTTTCGACTATTAATGAAAGCTTTGAGAGGTCTGGGGCGAGGATAAGCAACTTTCTAGTCCATATAAGGATTGTGCACGAACCCAATGAAGGGAGATATAAGGTAGAACTTCCCTGGAACGGATTTGCTCCGCTTCCAGGTAGGCAGGTCCGACAATCTAAACCACGCAATTTTCTGCGCCAAGTTGCACTCAGGCGAAAAAAACTTCAACAGATGATGGTCTACGTACACTGATCTCTTTCCTTGTCCGAGTCTTGAAAGGGTAGTCCTCCGGAACTCCGGGCACAATATATAGGGATATTGATTGCTCTTTGATAGACAATTCAATCACGTCTTCGGGGACAATTTGTCCCTCGAGATCGTAACCTGTCTCTTCAAGCACCTGCAGCCACCAGATTGAGCCACAGTCAGTACAAATGGTATATTACCCACCTCTCGTGCAGCACAACGGGTTCGGGGCTCTTGCTCGTTGATCTTGCCTTTCGGGAAGCCCCATCCGGCAGATGACTTCCAACCTTTGACAAGAACGCACTGAACGCGATGATAATTCGTGTTAGGATATTGCCATTTTGAGCTAGGTTCCGGTGGCACACGCGACCTACCTTTTCCCAAGTGTCGTTCAGCATGATGGCCCCACATACTGGCACCCTTGTCTTGTATTTCATGAAGGACTCGTAAGCTCGTTCGTGATCATGCGCCCAGTGTTGCAATGGTGGGCAAACACGAAACAAAACTTCAGAAAACGTTTTCAAAGTGTATGAAGGGAACTTGGATGGGGCTTGTTCCCGAATGAAGTCTTCATAGTACCAATGTCTATCCACGATGCAACACCCATGAGCACTCTAGCGCACGGGTTCACGCAACGAGTAGCTTACGCTTGTTCAACTTGGAAGCACACTCGTTCAACGGAAGCCAGCTCCTCTCCTGGTAGGTTCAAAATGAAGCGACTGACAGATAGATCAAAAAAATGCACCTGATACAACATATAAGTAAATAGACTGACCTTGAGAGCTCCTCTAGTACTTCCTCCCGAGTGAGGTGAGCATATTGTATTGTAGATTGCGATGATCCGGTTGCTGCTGACGCAGCAGAGATTTCAGGCGATGAGGACGAAGATGATGCCATTGTAGTGGCACAATGGAAAGGAGAGAATAGCGGCCACCAGTGTATGGATATAGAGAGTGAGGACACAGTCGTGGTCGAGTGTCGAACAGTACGAGTGCCAAGACCAGTGGCCCAAGCGAAGGCTGTCGTCAAAGTCCAAGCATGTCAAAACATCGCCATCACGTGGTCTCATTCTAAACCGGACGTCCCGACACCCCTAGCGGCGCACCTCCCTCACTTCGTTTCTTGAACACCAACCGACCCCCTTGCACTTTATTTCTTGAACACCAGCCCACCTTATTTTAACAACCATGCCTCCCGTCAGAATGACTTACTCAGTGAACCCTTCAATAGAGGATGCTCTGTCGATTGAGCAAGCGGTGCAATCCACAATAAAGCCCTTCAACTCAGCAAAGCCGGTGATTTTACAGGAGCTGAACGTCTTCATCTTCGTGCTATTGGGTTGAAGGAAGGCGCCCGCGCTCTTGGATGCAATCACATCAAGACTGCGGTCTCATACAACGCTATTGGCGAATTGTATATCAACATGGCGACCTCGACAAGGCCGAGGAGTATCTGAAGAAGGCCACTGCGATCTGAGACGCGAGTAAGAACCCAATGGATGAGTTCGACGCCGCGGGTTCCCGGGAGAATTTAGCTGTGGTTTATGAGATGCGAGGCAACCTCCGGCGTGCTAAACAGCTGAGGAGGATTGGTGCCCCTGACAGGATGCTTTGCAGTAATTACACTGTACGTTCTTTAATGTTTCTTTCCATTTATACGCCGTGTAACGCAACTCGTTCTAGTGTCCTCAGCAAACCGTGAAACGTAGCAACCTTGCACAATGTAGCAAATGTGCTGCGAGTACCCCACCTATTATTTCTCATGATTTATACTAACATAGAACCGCAGTCCATTTATTATTGCTCACGGGATTGTCAGGTGGAGCTTTAAACAAATCTCATACGATGCAAGCACGCTGACTGCTTGGCAGGCTCGAGACTGGAAGCGCCACAAACGTTACTGCAAGCTTGTTTCCACAGCTTAATCGTCCTGTTGTCCATTCGTCTCTCCGCGCTCTGATGCTTGTATCATATCATATGCTCTGCAGATAATGTACCCGTTAATTGCTTACCTTCTCGTCTGAACTATCCATAACGATAGCTGTCCTTACTTCAAGCTCTCAAGCGCCACACGCTGAGCACTGAGCAGCCACCCGGAGTTAGCCGGAGTCTCAAGATCACTAAATCGCCCGCCCGCCTATAGAAAATGATGACAGGTATCTCGAGCTCAAGTCTGTATGTCTGTAACACTAAGTAGCTCACATCAAAAATATCTCATAGACTCAATGTCGAGTCAACGAAGGTCTGAGCAAGGTATGTGTGAGTGACCGACTTCCCTATTAGGTGGCTGAGACCATGTCCAAATATAGTATCAGGTTTCTCCGACCACTCGTGTCATGAAGTCACTATCACTGTACTTGTCATGTTTTACACACAGAAACATAAAGAAAATACTTACAAGTCACTGAAAACTTAAACGACTAGATTCGGTTCCCTCTTGAACGAGTTACAGCATCACGGTGAATGCATAACGCGCTTGCGCGCTTGTCGCGGCGTGTTTGGTTTTGTTTGCTCCCCTCGAGGTCTCAAGCACTCTCTACTTATGTTCGCTTCGTTCGCAATCAATCAGTGTCGCCAGCCCAAGGTGAATAAGTATTGAATCTCGGGTGCCATCATTTTGGCGTGCTACGGACTAGTGCAACGAGTCATGCCATCTCAACCGATAGTCAACAACAGCTTCTTGCCGCCCCCCACACATCCGTCTCTTCGCAGCACCCACTCGTCCCCCGCTACTTATGATGTTCGTCATGCTGTGCCCCCTAGGCTCCCTCCGCGGCAGCCGTCCTCGGCGACGGCGCACGTAGACCCAATTGTTGAAGAAGAGGTGGACATGGCGGACTTAGCCCCAGGTGCGTTCGGCATTCCTGCCCTGCCGAGAGAGGACGAGGGCCTGTCCGAGCATCAGCTCAGAGAGCTCTACGACGACGAAGAGATAGATAGATTCCTGCATCTCTTTTCTGCCGTAAGCGGCTAGTTTTCAAGATAATTCCTACATGGGTGACGAGCTGCTTGTAGTATGTGAGAGAAGCGCGAGCTACCGATGGCACGCAGCTCCTCGCGTCAATGAGCTCCGCGGGCCTCGTCGAAACTGAAAACGGCAATGATGCCATTGAGGGCGATGACGAAAGTCTCGACGAGACTGTGGAAGACAGTGAGCCTCCTTCGCCGCCCCCTCGCCCCATACGAGACCTTAGCCTGTCGGAGCGTGTGGCATTGGTAAGCTCTCACTGCAAGTGTAGAAAGTCGGGTCGGATCAGTATTCACACAGTCTAGGATTATCTAGTCCCTCTACTTCCTCCCGCGCCTCCTCCTCCACCTGCTTTCACACTCCATCGACTGCAGCTCACTGCACAAAGGCTATACCTGGCTACAGTTCCGGTCTATGCACCATTTCTGGAACGCCTAGTCTATCTGGCGACGTGGCAGGACAAGAATACGAGCCTCGTTTACTGCGCTGTCAGTTTCATTCACTCGTGATACTGGCGCCTGTATCCGCTAGTGACCACAAATGCTGACTGCGCGGATCAGGCTTACTGGTTCTTGTGGTATCACAACTTCCTCCTCCCTGCTCTTATCTTGAGGGTGCTATACTCACTCATTCGGCGAAAACTGCTTCCATATCCTAATCTCGAGGAACTGCGGCAACATCGCGAGGAAGTCATTCGGGCCCGTGAGTTCAGCACGGCCATAACATCTCGACTTGTTACTGCGCCTACATACGATGTGCAAGACGTGTGGAGCCTTATCAAGGATCTCAATAACAAGAGGAAATTGAAGAAAGCTGCAAAACGTGAAAACAGCGATGATTCGGACAGTCTTGCACAAGACGACCGTCTAAGCGAGGAACATGCAGAAGGCATAAAGACGTCGAACGACTCAACGCCTCCGGCGAGCGACGTTGATGTCAAGCGGACCGCGCTCAAAGCGGTGAATGACGTTGCTGATCTTCACGAAAGAGTAAAGAAGTACGTCTCGGTCTTTACAAGAAGGCTGGCTTCAATTGAGGCTTTATCAGTATTTTCTTATGGCGGCGGCCCGCTTCTTCGGTGACCTACGGCCTTGTGAGCCCCAAACTCTCATCTAACTTCTTGTTCGGTCGGCTGAGCGCACATGCAGGCCATGGGCGTCGTGTTCTGCATAACACTGCTCCCGTCTCAATACCTTGTGAAGTTACTAGGCTTGGCTTTGGGCGCGTTGTACTGGCACGCCATTCCTGTATTGGCTGCCATCCCTCCTGCCGATCGCGCTCGGTATGCACAGTCAATCGTTCATGAATATACACTAGTCTCATCGTAACTTCATAGGCTTCCTCCTCCTTTCAGCGAGGTGCCCACAGACGGAGATTATGCTATGGGATTGATATCACAGCGCGTAGCTCGTGGACTGGAGATCAAACCGAGAAGTCATAGAGCAAAAAGTGGCTCAGCAATCGACACAGATACTAAATCGGATATTAGCCAGACAGGCGAGAGTCCTGCCAAGGCTGCAGGCTCTGTAGGCTTGAGCACTTCTGTCGACTGGAAAAAGTGGGGAAATCGAATCGTGGATACGAAGGCGCGTTCGCATGAGGTGAAGAAGCTCTTCAAGGACGGACAGGTTAGTTTCGTTGTGGAAATAGCAATGCTAATACGTACTCATGACACCATCTGTGCAGTGGAAGCGACCAGAGAACTGGCTCGCGCTGAATCCGCTGTCTCCCAGCATTGCTTTACCAACTGGCAGCATCGAACCTCGCCTGCAGACATATAGTGAGTATCTTGATTGCCTCTTGACTGTGCCTTGGTTAACTCGGTGTCTAGCGTTCCCTGCTCAATACAAGAAGGCGTCTGGTCTCATTACGTTGGCATCTGACACGCTGTTCTTCACGCCTTTACTGTCTTCTTCTGCGAAGCTTATGATCCCGTTGACGCATGTGCTCGGCGTAAAGAAGACCGGACCGATGAGAGGCCTGAACTTACGATGGGTGCAATCAAGTCAAGATGGGGCAACCGAAGAACGCGAAGAGAAGTTTTTGTGGGTGGGTGCACGGAATGAGCTGTTCGCGAGGCTAGTCGCATGGGGCGGACGACGTTGGGCGAACATCTGACAGTGATATGGGGCGATTCATGCAGGCAGTCGTCAGAAATCCAGAACTTTGTCGTGCGTCTCACTTGTCATAACTTCTGTCTATCAATACAGTGCTGCCGCAAATCGTAGGAGAATAGTCCATTTCTGGATTAGGCAGGCTTGCTGTCATGGCTGTCATGAATAAATCGGTGCCTTGCGTGCATCCCGATATACCGGCCGTCTCGTAGTGTGCAAGCCTTTTGAGTGGTCTATCTCTCCTCTCTCCCTCATCGTTTGAGGCGCAAGACTTTCGAATCAACGTCTTCCGGCATACCTCACTGTGAGCCCTTGTGATGTTACTCAGGGTCGTGTATCGCTGACGACTTGATTCCTGCCCCACGAGCTAGGTACAATATTCGATCACCTTGGACATTTATTGTGCGTTGTACACAAGATCATGTTCTTCACACAAGAACTTCTGGAGCGGAGAGAAAGCGGATTCGGTCTGTTATGGTATCACGCTCTGATCGATTTCTTGTAAGATGTGTCGGTTGAGCGCGCCCGGATAGGCTGGCTGCAACTCTGGGTGCCAAGTCGTCCTTCAAGAAACTCCCAAAACGTTCTGTCCTTACTGCGGACATATCACAACTATGCGGATTGATCGCGCAGCCCGCTGAACCTCTCGCGCTGCGTCTCTCGAGCAATCTCATGATTGGTGTAGCTAGGTAAGTCATCTCTTTGCTGCATATATGCGCCCTAATTGGCCGTTGTAGGGTCTACAAAGGTCTCCCACATGTTTTATATCCAATGAACCGTCTGACTAACACTGCGCTTGCAGTCAAGCAAGAGATCTTCTTGACAGATGTCACGACATGCTTCAATTCACTTAGAAAGGCAGTCCAGGAATTCCATACATTAGCACAGTCAGCGGAATTGCAGATGGCCCAACCCAGCATGCGGTGCGTCATCGTTTCTTAATCTCACTGAGTATATCCGTGTCAATATTGCAATCATATAGACCGGATGCCTTGACTCTCGCTGCTGAGCCGGGTACCCTATTTGCGATTGATTTTGGCAATATCTTCGGGGTATGTACTTATCATCCGGTCTTGCTGTGTGCATGCTCCCATCTACGTACATAGGACTGGGACGAAACTGCCAAGGGTGGTATGCATATTTTAGTCTAAGTGTAGTGATGATGAGGCTCATGGCGTCATCAGCTACGAAAGCGGGGTCCGACTCCGAAGAGTCGGACGATGAGTTCGATCCTACAGCCAAGAAAGCAAAGCAGAAAGGTAAACCGAGGTCGAAGCCTCCTTCTTCGGCGATCGAGAATGCAAGGGCGAATCTGCATACACTGGACGAGCACCACGATCACCTGCTCTCTGGCTCATTTGACGCGTCGTTTAACGGATCGGGCTTCGGTGGCATTGTGCCTTCGTCGTCTCAGATTGACGGGGGCCTCGACTTCAACGACGACTTGTTTGCTCTACCGGGAGGCCTTGACTTTGGCGGCGACTTGGGCGATGATCTTGCCCGGGAGCTTGGTGAGGGCTGGGGCGGGTCGCCAGTCAGGGGCAGGGACGAGTTAGTAGATATAAAAAGCACTACCTTACCAGACTGACCGATGTCAATCTTTCCAGGAGCAGCATGGATGCGGGTCTGTTTTCCCTCAATCAGCAGGATGGTGGTCTCGCGATGGACTTCCAGTTCGACGCTGACCAGCCGCGAGAAGTAACAGCGGAACCTCATGAAGGCAATGCCCCTTCTATTTTCCTGCGCGCCCCACTTGAATTGATAGGAACCTTTGTAGGATCTCATATGCTTGAGGGGTCTATCATCGTGCCCCTTATGCCTTTCAGTCCCGTTCAGGACGGTGGCATCGACGCTGTTGCCGGACCGCATCTTGAAGACGGAGCTCAGAACAAACCGGCGCAAAGGAAGACGAAACGTGTGAGATTGCTCCTGGATGCCCGGACTGAATTGACGGACGATGAGCTCAAGGTAAGGCTGTTCATCGAATGCGAACACGCTGTTTATATGCTATGCACAGGCCGCTCGAGAAAACTATGTAGAGGGCCAGGAGAACATCAGGCGCGATCTTGTCCAAAAGAAATTCGAGAAGGAAAGCGGCAAACTCATTGAAGAGATGATATGGGGTATTCCGCGCGGGTGTATGACTAGGTCAGTTTACGGAAGGAGCACCAATACTGATGAGCGTTGCGTGCAGTGAACGCACCGGTTCTTGTCGACTTCTGGACAGAAAACTTCAGGCTGCAGGTGGAGGCTCGCGCCGGCGCACTCCACCTGGAGACTCAAGGTCAGCCAGAAATTGGATCACGTTGCGTTACAACAATCCAACTATTTTACAGGACAGCCGCCCACAAAACGCAGGAAAATCAACGAGCAACGAATCGAAGATGAGCTCATGGGCAACGACGATGCCGACAAGTTTGGCTTACAAGACGTCGACATGGACAGGGGGTTCATGATGGATGGCGAGAATGTTGCGGACTTGCGTGAGTGCTGAAGCCTGCCTGGGCGTCTACTCGTGTTCATTATAATGCACAGAGGCCCAGCAAGGGGGCTACAATTGGGACCATGAGTCCAGACAGCGTTCTTCGGAGGTGGGCGGCTTTCATGTTACTGAGCATGAACATTTATCCATCGCTGATGCGCCTTCACAGGAGCCCGGACAAGCTCGTCATGCATCGAGGCCAGTATCGCTGATTGGCAGCCAGTTTGGCCTGCTGGAGCCAGGCCACGACCTCTTGTCAGGTTCCCAGCGAAGCGCGGTCTTCCCTTGGGACAACGCTGGTGCCAGCTCATCCGTCAACGGAGCATTGGACTTCGGTAGAAACAGCAGCGTGAGGCGTAGCTTCGGCCGTGCAGATACTCGGTTGCGGGGAAGCTCGGTCAGCAGCAGACGCGAGAGCCCAGCTGTTCCTGGGAGGCACTCCGACTCTCCCTCTGGATTCGGCCACAGAAACTTGGAGATCGGCGAGAACTTCGAGTTTGATGGTGAGTAAATGACGGCATGGACCTGCTATCCAGCTGGTAATTGTTGGATAGTCTCAGGAGAGGACCCAGCACTTGAAGATTCTCAATTATCAGAATCAAACATTTTGAGGCTGGAACGCAACTCGTTCAACTTTCTCGAGTAAGTGTCAGCCAGCAAGTGTCATGTATAGTCTGCTGACTGAGCTTGCGCGGGAAGATATGCGAAAATGCAGCTCAAGACTTTCTCGACCGCCACCAACACACTCACGTTTGATGATGTGGTACCAAAGCTGACCAGTACCCCCCATGTTGCCGCAGCTGCTTTCTATCACTGCTTGGGTGAGTCTTCAGTTTGGCCAGCCAATAATGGCAGTACTGATTGTCGTCGCGGTCAAGTCCTTGCAACCAAAGATCATATCAGCGTCGCTCAAGACGAGCCGTATGCAACGTTGTCTATCACGGTGAAATGATGGTGCCGGGCATCTGGGGGACGTCAGGATTAAATTTGTGGTTGGACATGCCTCAACCGTGTAATAGTTTGGAGCAGAAGTCGCGTAATGAAAGCAGATATAGAAACCATGCATCGCAGGAATGAGGAGGTGACATATGGCCCGATCGAGTGTTGTGCGGAGAGAGAAAGGCTCGATCGAGTGTACCGATCGTACAAGCAACCTATGAGCGTCCGTTATTTCGAGTCGCACCATTCGACCTCTTTTCTCGTCTGGTCTTCATAAATATATGCGGCTCCCTATCGCCCAGCTCCTTTCCCGTGCCATACGTTCCACTCGCGCCATGTCGTCTCCCGCCATCGAAGCCTCTCGCGCCATCCTGTCCACCATCGACCTCTCGAAATATGACCCCGAGCAGTCAAGGCTGATGGACGAGCGGTGTATCCTGGTCGATGAGCAGGACAGGCCGCTGGGGGCTGCAGACAAGAAGACCTGTAAGCCTGGCCGCACCTCTCTTTCCTTCGCCGGGTTCACGGTCCTGTAGGCCATCTCATGGAGAATATTAACAAGGGCCTCCTCCACCGCGCCTTCTCCGCGTTCGTCTTCCGGCCGGAGGACGGCAAGCTGCTCCTGCAGCAGCGCGCCACGGAGAAGATCACGTTCCCGGACATGTGGACCAACACTTGCTGCTCGCACCCGCTGGATGACTTTGAGGAGGAGAAGGTCGAGAAGGACCAGCTGGGCGTCAAGGTCGCGGCCAGGCGGAAGTTGGAGCACGAGCTGGGGATTCCTCGGGAACAGACCCCGATCGACAAATTCCAATATCTGACCCGCATCCACTACCTGGCGCCATCAAATGGGGTTTGGGGCGAGCATGAAGGTGTGTGCGATGCAACTCAGCGTCAGAAAACCAATACTGAGCCGAGTGCAGTCGACTATATCTTATTCCTGACCGCTAATGTCACGGTAAGTCCCAATCTTAACGAGATTCGGGACTTCAAGTACGTGGACAAGGCGGAGCTGCAGTCCATGTTTGACGACCCGGGTAAGCGGTGCGACCCTGATTTTGCGCAATGCGTGCTCACGGGATGCGCAGCGAACTCGTTCACGCCCTGGTTCAAGCTTATTGCGAGAGACTTCCTGTTTGGCTGGTGGGACGAGCTGCTGCGCCGTAAAAGCGCAGGCGGTCTCCTAGATGCAAAGAGTTTGGAAGGCGTTGCCGACGGTAGCAAGGTGGTCAAGATGGTATAGACTTATATTAGATGCTTTTCGCTCGTCGCGCAGGATCTCCGGAAGGTAGTATTTTTTGTACATCTACACCCAGTATATATTGCCATAGGTCTGCCGCCCCCCGGAGACAGGAAACTTCACCCAGGGCATGATGATTCGCTACAGCGTGCCGCTTCCCTCAATGTAGATCACCGATCGGCTGACGGGCTCGCACATGTCAGAGTCGTTCAAGGAACGTAGTAGGTTGAAGGAACTGTCTAGTCTACTCTCAGGAGACTACATGAACGTGACTTAGACGCATCCAGAGCGTGTGCAGGTGTCAGTTACCGGTGCAACCTCCAAGTTGAACACACAGACGGTAGGTTCCTCGCGTCTACCTCAACGCCCTGAGGTATTTACCCCTGCGCCCTCGCTTTCTTTATTTCTGCGCAACGCCTTGCGTTTTGCTTGTTGGCCGCTCCACCTCGCGTCGCGACATTAAGCCCTCGACGCGGTGCACCGTGCTCGACGAGCTGCTGTCGCTACTCCTGATAACAACGTCTTTGCATCTACTATTCCGTCTTGTGGCCGGTTCTGTTATATGGATCGTGTTTACCCTCCCAGGATTTCGATGCAGCCCCTCACTACCGTTCAGACAAGTCCTCGTCAGAATGTACTGACATACCCTGTGCACGAGCCCGTTCCTCTTCAATGTTTTATTATCAATTGTATCTGCTGCACACTAACCAGTTTGATAACCATGAGAGCCCATGCAGTACATTGTACAATAGATGTATCGACGTCGCACTTTTTTAAAGATATGGCATGCATCGTAGGCAAGCGCATAACTATAATGACATAGTGAAGGAGCTGATAATACAATCGCAGTATCGAGAGACATAGATGTAGCGCATTGTTGAAAATGCGACATAGTACACAAGAGAAACTGAACCTACGCACGCAGATATTTGTGCGGTTGGCTTTGTTTTGTCGTCACGACATACATGCTACCATAGCCGCCACAAGAAATGCCACCTCGGCGGTGCTGGCAACCGCGATTCAAGAACGCCGACAGTGCTCTACGTCACGGCTACGAGGAAGTGCACAGCCAGAGAGGCCACAGTCCAGTACAGCAAGGCTTTTGGGAGGCTGTATGCCAGAGCGACTGGCCAAAACCCTAGATTTTCATGTTCAATCTCATCCATGTGCCCGGACTGTGCGTAAGCGGAACGGTCATTAACGGGCGCCCAGAACAAGACATGAAACGATGAAGACATACTGCGGTGTTTGCGTTGTACTCCCCCGCCCTGGAGTACAGGTGCATCAGGATGATACTTGCAGTCAAGGAACCCAGTGCGAGGACCGCAGAGATCAATCCGGTGCACCGATATACGACATTTCCGGATTTTGTAGTGGAGGCCGATACCGCGCTATCGAATGGTGGTCAGCTATCAGCACCATAATGCAACGATGCAGGACCATGTGAAGAGTACGAACACTAGGAGAGCTGCGGCCTGTGAACACGGATCAGCGCCATGGGCTTCGAGGAAGTAGATGCTGTGCCAAACATACCAAGTACGCGGACTCCCGCCAGCCGCATATTTGCGCGGATATGAAGGTTCGCCAGTGCATGTCATACGTCACACGATCAATGTAGAGCCGTCCTAGGCTTTCCTGTATGTCTGTCGGCATCCCGAAGAGAAGCCTCGAGCACAGCCGCATCATTGCATTGTTGACGACGAGCGGCACCTCACATCGCCTCTGGAATCTGTGCAGCCGCGCATGGTCTTCTCCATGGAACTGGGTGAACCTGTGCAGAGCTGTGCAGAACGTCAGCCGGCCTCCGTGAGCTCAGCAAAGAATGTCAGACGCACCAATTGCATGCCAAAGGCGCGCTAGGAGAGGGTTCAGTGAAACAGGACCACTTGACGCCAGCGAAGCACATACCGGCGATCCAGGTCGTGTACGGATCTGTGTCATCTGCACACCCAAGATCAGCACTCGCAAGCAGCTTTGATTTGCAAGACCACATTTACATTTTCCGTCGAGAATCTTGACGAATTTCTCGCACATGTCGGCGTTGTACGGGAAGTGCGAGGATTCTGAGGTCAAATGATCTGCAAAAAGTGCGCTGAGGGCCAGGGAACCAAGGACAGACGGACTACTGGGTATACCTGTTTGTCCGTGGCGCATAATTTTCACTAACTCCTGGTACAGCTGAGGGGGCACTGGTCGGTGAGGAAATAATGTGACATGACTCCAGTAGTGTTCCTGCAACGCAAACCCTACGGCGGTAGCTCGCTATCGCACGATGAGAGAACTTGTAAGCTGACGAAACTCACTGAGATGGTCCATGGACGAAGCATCCGGGATGTCCAAGACTTGGGTATCCATATCCTGCAACCACAACTCTGTCTGGTAGTCATGGTCTACGATGTAGTAGGCGCAGCCATCATTGCCTTCCTGAGGCCGCACGTAGAGCTCGCTATTCTTCGGCCACTTGAAGTCGAGACGCTCTGCAAAGTCTTGTATCATCTCGGTGGAGGCCAGCACCTTCTCGTAAACGTCCCGCTTATGCATCGGGGCGTCCGTGACGATGCATATAGTCGGCAATGTGTTCACCCAGTATGGTGCACCTTCAGGATTGATGTGTGGCGTCCACCCTTGAGGTACATAAGCGGGTCTGGCCGAAGTGAGTGCCTCGCTCTCGAACACGCAAGGTAAAACGCACTCGGGAAGGCATGTGGCGCTATGAGTGCTGGCAGGGATCCTGATCTCAGTAGGATAGACACTACAGCATGGTTAACATAGGTTTGTAAATAAGAGCTATAGCATCTTACATAGTATCCGTGTCGTAGCGTTGATTCTTCACTGCGGTGGTGGCCTGCAACAAGCCGTCGTCGGCGTATGAGGGAGGGACTATGGTCATATCATCCGGAGTATCTGTTGAGGGATCCATGAAGTCAGCAACGGAGGTGACTAGCGGTCGACGTGCAGCAGATTAGAGGAAGTAGGCCGAAGACGTCAAGGTAGACAACAGGAGGAGCGCCAGAAGAAATATGTGTGATCTGTGCGCCACACAGATATTTATACTGGGTCGCGCTTGTCCATAGGAGTTGTTCCGGATCTGTATATCTGAATGATAGTGGCGACAGATCGTACCTGGAAATGAAACGAGGATTGCGTCCAGAGGCCCTCAATTTTATACAGCACCATCAGATTGTTGATACCATGCAACGACTTGGGGCACATAGCTAGACTGGGGAATATGCTGGATCCAGTTGCACGCCGAGAAGATAATGCATCAGAATAGGTATATATTTTCGTCACAAAGGCCGCGGTATCCGCAAAGGCCGCCATACTGAGATATTTGGGAATGTAGGGGTGATTCGGTTGTTGGCGAGTCATCGGCAACCTGCCTCTTTGGGAGTCTACTCGATCCCATGTGGCATATTGAAGGTCGACGTGCCGGAGGAAGTGCACAGCACACGAAAGCGTTGAGCAGACCAAAAATATTGGCAACAGTCGTTGCAAACGCCTGAAGAAACAGGTTAACAGGAGTACACCTCCAAGTAAATAGGGTTTGATCTACCTGTGTAAATACCCAAAGCGTTACCAAGCGTGGTGCCTGCATCACTGAAGGGGCATCCTGGGGTTGGCCTCTGCATTAGTACTTCTTGAATGTAAACACTAAGGACTATGGATGATCTCTATCCGCTAGAGTATATGCTTGGGGCGCCAGATATCAAAGAAGCATCGTGCGCAGTGGCATATCCAGAATCGAGATAGGTGCACACCTAATTAATGGATAATCTGATCATAGTCAGATGTTTCTAAGGATGAGCGGGAAAGCTCTAGCTGTACCCAACTCATGCGACAGTAAAATCAAGGTCCGGCTCGGCTGCACTCTACATGTACCTACGCTGTATGGAGTACAAGCCCGCGGAATTGAGAAATTCAAGGTCCGAACGAAGACACAATCGCATCCGCTTCCGCCCGATTGCGATCATCATGCAGATGTACCACAGTCGTGGTCCACGAGCCCAAGCTCAAGTTCGCAGACCACGGGGACTGCACAAATGATTGACGTAGATCATTGAGAATTTTAACCAACAGCGACTTCGTAATCGCTACGAAGCCTGAAATCCCTGCGTTCGGAAGGGCACTGTCGTAATAAGAGGAAGCTAATAACTTAATCCGGTGTCCTGTGTAAGCCCCTATGTTCTGGAGTTCTGACGATTATATTGAGGTCATTCGGGCCTGCCCTACCCTTAGATTTAAAGGCCGGGCCTGACAGTTGCTCGTTATTGCCTTGCCATCACGCTCGCATTCTCTTACCAATTGGCGGGATCACGATGCTTTATGACTCCCATCCACGTTACAGCAGTGTACCGGACTGCTCCAGGTCCGGAGCATCGTGCTCGCAATTGGTTCATGGTCTCTTATTTGTACCAATCATCATACCGCACGGATATTCCGCGCATGCTTGACAAATTTCCCAAGTATGCAGGTCCTTTGTATCTGTGCACCGCTCTGCACCGGACGGACATCGATGAAATGTTTCCTGCACTGCATTCACCTATATGGACGCTCACAAAGGTATTTAATCTGTTCACCTCTGACGGCCTATTGCTGACCACGTCCCCTCTCGGTTCTTCCAACCTTCAACCCACGTGTAGTCTGAGACTAACTTGGCTTGTGGCGATTGTACCCGTTCTCCAATCTCTGGACTCAAGCTAGAGGTGGTACGTCGTCTGTCAAGTACAGAAAATATGCCTCTCTTATTCCTCTTCCATAGAAGAGATAGCAGAAGCAATGTCTTCCGATCATGTCATTTACCGCCCCGACACCGATGGTATACCTAACTCACCCGAACAATCCAGCGAGTACGTGAACATACTATATGCGTTAGCGTTCCTAAACTCGCCCGAACGCAGCGAGGACGATGAGCTCGGGTGGCTACCCCGGGGAAATCCCACCGCTGTTACCAAGGCTTTACCCTTTCCCAAATCTAAGACCAAATCTAAGACCAAATCTAAGACCAAGACTAAGGCCGAACCCGCTGGGTCTGAATCTGATATCAACGGCGGAGATGAATCAACACGCGACGGCTCCGGCAAGAACGATGCTGAAGGAGATGGGCAGCTCAAAGGCGAGCCTGCAGCTTCAGCTTGATTGATAATGTGACCTGTATCGTTGAGGTGGATGATATACGTACAGTACTGCCTGGATGTGAATATTTTCTCCGTGTTCGTCGTACAAGCGTGTTTTTCGTATTGAGTCTCGTCGGACTGGGAGGTTTATATGAATGTCAGGACGAACACTCGCTCTCTTTGAATTTTTATACGCTATTGTTCAGTTCATGTTGTTGGGTCTCCTTCCAATGGAAAGCAAATGCATCATGAACGAATGATCTTGAAGAAGACTATTGACTGAAAGGACGTACTATCCAAATCATGCATACCTACGTTTATGCTTCTTCAAAGCAGATTGTCCGTGTGGAAAACCAATTCCGCGTCGAGTCTAAGTCCAAGCGAACTGATGAGATGGCGTACGCCTTCGACTCGCCAGACGATCGATGAGTAGACACTGTCAGTGTTTCACTCCGACAAGCATGCCACGCACAATTGACATTGCGCAGTGAAAGCGCAAATCCACTGACATCGCTGAAGGAAGTGTGACGCAAGAAAATAACACAAAACTAGCTTGTTTTCCAAATACATCAAGCTACTATTGCATAACGTAAAGACGATGTTGAATCGCGAAAGCACGACTATGGACGTCAGTTCTGCGCTACCTGAGATATACAGATAGCACGATAATGATGACTAAGGCCCTCCATTTTAAGCCTTTAGGCCAGGTGAAGATGCTGCGTGATACCTTCAACCTGTTCAAGACCCTGAAGGTGACCAAGCCAAGCATTAAAATATATCACGGCTGACGTCCGTTATTTATTGCTAAGTAGGCTCCTCGACTTGAAGGATATGGTGCCGGCCAATATCATCATTGTGATGGTTGTCGCTATCATGGTGATGCTCTGCGTTGTGAGCGCATATGATAGCGTGTGGAAGGCAAGGGCGACCAAGGTCCAGTAGATCAGGGCTCTCGGAAGGCTGTGTATCGCGGCAATAGGTCCAAAGCCGTATTTGTCATGCTCGACCTCCGTGATGTGTTGGGCCTGTTCCAAAAGTCAGGCAGTGAATCGCAGAGGCAAGGGCGGGGCTGACCGCTGTGGCGGCATTCATTTCACCACCCTTAACGTATCGTTGAAGCAGTGCAATGCTCGACCCCAATGCGCCCAGGGAGAGCATAAGAGAGACCGCGCCAGTAGTCAGGCATAAGAGAGACCGAGAGAAGCGAAGAGCAATTGCGGTAGCCCTGATGGACGTCAACCTTCATCAGCGCTTGATCATTCACATATCGAGCATAGATACATACGTAATGAGTCCAGCAGACTGTGACAGCACGTTAGATATACAATCATCCCCGTTACTATGTAGCAGGCTCACCAAATAGGCAGATTCCCGCCAGCTGCGTTCTTGCGTCAGCATAAATTTGCGCCAGTGCATTCCATAAACGATGCGATCGACGAAAAGCTGCTCCAAGTCTTTCTGGATGCTGCTAGGCATACCAAAAAGAAGAGCCGAACATATCTGCGCCTTGATATCCTGGACGACAGGCGAGAGCTCAAACCGCCTTTGGAATCGGCACAAGCGCGCATGATCTTCTGCGTAGAATTGAGTGAACCTCTGTTGTGCTGCGGAGAATTTGAGATGTCTAAGAACACGAAACTAGTTCCATGACGTACAGATTACTATCCAGAGGCGTGCTACATGATCCTGATATCAGCCTGAATATTTTGACCTGCTAGTAGCGCATGCCATACCAATAACACATGTCATGTAGGGATTATCAATATCTGCCACTATACATGAGCGCGCGCGAATAGTGATATAGTATGTACATACCACTGCCTTCGATTAATGCCAGAAATTTTGTGCAATGTTCAGCGTCATACGGAAAGGTCGAGCTGTCGGATGTGAGCTGATCTACAGACAAAGCCTGAGCCAGGCCTCGAAGTGTAATGAACGGATTGATGCGCGTACCGACTTGTGCATGGCGTAACATATTGACCAGCTCATCGCGATGCTTAGTTGACACCGATCGATGAGGGAAGTATTCAACATGAGTCCAGTAATGCTCTTGGAGAATGTATTCTGTGCGTGGAGCCTAGGTCATGACGATACAACTGGATGAACAGATATAATACCCACTTAAATGCTCGATGGACGAGACATCCGGTATATCCAATTCCTCGCTATCCACATTTTGAAGCCAGAATTCGGTCTGACTGTCATGATCCACAAAATAATACGACACCTTGTCGCTAGTACTGCAAGGCTTGATATACAATTCACAGTCTGCAGGCAATTTGAATCCTAAATGTTCGACGAGAATATGGATTTTCTCGACAGAGGCGTGTATCTTCTCGCGGATATCTTGCTTATGAAGTGGGGCATCTGTGACGACGCAGACGGCACCGGCATTGTTTACATAGTAGTTCGCTCCTTCAGGATTGACATGATGAGCCCAACTCATCGGGAGATACTTAGGCCTGAGAAATGAGGTGAGTAATCGTTACGTGGGCGCAAAACGCAGGACGTGCTCTATGAGGCAAGCGGTGCTATGTACTCCAGCTACTATATTGACTGAGGTTGGATAAACCCTACGGGGAGAATTCAGCTCCTTGTCGACAGGGGAACGAGAGGACGTACATTTCTGTTGTATTGTACCGGTCATTTCGAAGTGCAGTGGTGGGCTGCAGCATGCTCCCCTGGCAGTAGTCCGGAAGCTCGATTTGAAAGGGCACATCTACAGAGTCCACATCCGTCGTTGTCGTCCCAGGAAAGCTCACAATGAAGCTGTCCGTACTCTCTCTTGCAATACACTGTGGCGAAACTTCGTGCATCGCGGGGAAAGGGCAGGGAGTGTGTCACCCCCCAGACGGGCGCATTTATATGCCAAATGACTGCAGATTGAATTCTGAGGGAAATGGGCTCCTCTCCAATGCGTTTACGACACGTTAGCTAATACATACCGGCGCAAAATCTTGAGTCTCCGTGCTGGACCTCCATATTCAGCATTGTGATACACGAGGAGCCGATATGATGCTCCGGTCCCTGACGGATATCCATTTTTCGGGATGGAGGCAGCATAGTTATTACACTGGAGGCAGTGCGAAAATACTATTATGTGGCAGTACTAGACGCCCAAGGATACTTGGGACGCCTGTTTAACAAGATCCCGATCTCAGACAATCGACTCTTCATCGTCGCTCCACTAGAGAACATCTAGCATCGCCTACTGCACAACTTGGAAGCCTCATGCGGAGCTTTCATACCGCACAGAATCGACGGTCACACTGGAGCCCCCAGCGCCCCGTCCTGCTAGTATCCTCGGATTCCAAATACTCTCCATACGCTCACTATATCGCATATCAAATATGTCAACATGCCGCGCTTTGCTGTGTTATTTCACACCTAGAATTTTCCTAGGGAAGGAAGCATGGTCCAAGAGCATTGCCCCGTGTCACAAATATCGTCGGACACCTTTTAAGACAGATGAATCTCGACTCCTTCACCTCCACTTCCGACGCACAATAACATGACTGACCACGCACTCAATGAGCTCCCTCATTCTGGCCTTGTGACTCATAGTTCAGCCGTGGAGCCCGTCGGGTCCACAAACATCCAGTGGGCATTTTTGTTCTGCGATTCATTTATGTTGACCCAGTGCTGCTACCACAGGACCGCTGAAGCCGCCATTCTACTTCAAGTTCACCGGGTGAACGGTCTACGCGATCTTGATGAAGATGATGAGGCACACAGGTGTGTCCATTGCATCACCTTTGCGGACCGTCTCTGACAGATTCCGAGTAGGGATGCTGGTGAAGACTCGTCTGAGTGAGGAAATCTCTGCTTGTCCACATTGCCAGTGTTAACGCTAGGAATCAGCGGCGAAGATGAAACATTCATATGGCGCCCCAGGGGCTCGATGACCGCTGTTACAAGCGGCATTCCGAGTCAGAAACGTGGCACAAGGAAACCCTCGTCCGCTTCTATCGGCAACAAGTCGACTACTGCTTCTGGTCAAGCAAAGACACCTGCGAACGTCAATACTGGCAAGGATGGCTCCAACGCTCAGCATCAATCTACGTCCGCTACACCTCAACGTCGCTGAGAAGTTGATGCCGTCGATGGAACCGATTTCACTTGCATAGTACACACTCTTCCGCGGACCGCTGTTTGTAGTTTCCCCATCAATTCCAGTTCTCCGTACTCTTCGATTCACGCTCGAGAATGCTACACCTATACTCTGTGCGTTTGGTGGTATAAATCCGATCCGGTCTGGAAATCTTCTCTTCGATACTTCAAGTAAGGCGGTGCTTTGTTCATGGTGCAGTGTATCAATTTGTTTTTGAGGCTGTTCGAGGCCCACCGGAAGCCCCTGATTTTATCCCCGGATTCAGTGAGCTCCACAGTTTGCAACGAATGCTAGCGGGAAGGCAGGACAGCAACAAACCCTGTACGCTTCTATAACGCTGGCATCGAAGTACCCACTGACCAATCCAATAGAACGTATTGTACATACTGCCCCGCTTGTTTTAACGCACCGTGTCTGCTTCTTAGTAGGCTCCGGCTCGCATACAATGCATTGCATCAGTGATAGCACAGGACAGAACCTCCGGATGCACAGTAAGTGTGGTGTATTGGAGCTAGGCGATGTACCTCTAGTCTTCACACAGCATGTTCAAATGAGCTTCGAGAACCAGAGAAGCATACTGTCTTCAGAAGCGGCTGTTCTACTTGCCGCATGTATCAGACCACAAAAGCGCCATGAAGATAATCCTGTATGCGAAGGTTTGAACCACTGAGGATAGCCATTCGCTGCCTCTTTGAGTGGTGAAGTTCGGCGCCTGAGATCGCACACATATATAGCTGAGCATACCATTCCCCCGTCATTTGCATATCTCACCTCATACTCAACTGCTCTCGAAGAACGAAGCTTAGACGGATATGGCCGCCGTGAACCCCGCGACAGAGAACCCCGCTATCGCTGATGCGACGCCGCTGTCGGAGGATGGCTCGCCATTGACCGAAGCGAGCACCCCAGAAGCTCCGTCAGCGTGCGTCCTGCCGACGTGTTTCTTCGTTATCGATACTGAAAGCAGGTCGACAGTCTCCAGCTGGAGGACAAGGAGCTGTCAGTTTCAGCCACGACAGGTGAAGGTGTTGCGCTTCCGTCCACGAGGTAGCTAGCGTGATTTAGATGTATATGATTGTGACTGACATGCATGCCTTTACGAAGGGTCCCTGTTGCTCCTGACAACGACGATGAAGAGGGCGATGACGATGATGACGACGATGATCCTGAGTTCGTAATACTTATACAAATATACTGTCTTGCTAACGCTGATGTGATTTTAAGAGAGCTTGATGACATATGGATCCTCAGGGGACCGCCCACTCCCGTCACAGTCGCCATAAAGCAGAAGCCTAAGCCTCCGCCCAAGCCTAAGCCTCCGCCCAAGCCGTGAGACAATGCGTTTGTACGGACACAGAGCCAAACTTTACGGATTGCGTTGATGTATACATGTGTGGCCTCAGCCGATTTCAATCGATGTTGCGTCCAGATATGATGTGTATCTTATATGTTCTCGATCTTACAGTACAGTAATCAGTCAGAACGTGGTCTGCGCAAAGCAGGTAATCATAGCATCAATGCGAGGCCGAAGGAAGATCTGTAATCATCTGTTCAATTAGTACGTGCTGTGACTGTATTCAGTTATATTGGGTTGCCATGAGCTTGACTTGTCTCCAAGGCCGGAAGTACTCGGGTATCGCTCAACTTCTGAAAGCAGCGGGTTTTGTACCGAAATCTTCCGGAAGAAGCCAGACATATACTCGCTCTAGAATGCTTGCAGATGAGACAGCAAGCAGCCATCAAGTCACCCAAGCGTCACGCGAAGAGACAAGCTACTGAAGTTGACACCAAGGTTGCCGACGGTTGCCTCTTCAAAACAAACAAAGGGCACTCAGCCTGCGAAAACTACACCAACCAAAATGAATTGACTGCTGCGACACCCCCAGTTCTGACGGTGAGCGCATAAATTGTTTTGCAGGAATGTTAAAATTGATCAACGAAGTAGATTAGTGAAGACAACAGCTTACGTACACCCTCCTAACAATTATTGTGATGATGTTGTCCCTTACCTATAAGCAGACCAATTTCCCAGTCTGCGAATTCGAGTTGTGGCTTGGGTTGTATGATAGAGCCACGACCGTCTCCTTGCTTTGCACCTACAAAACTCATGTTATCTCATGGGTGCTGGATTTGGGGAATATAGCGTGGCGAAAATTCACTGTCACTGTTCTGCTCTGACCGAATTTCTAGTTGAAGCAAGCACTGTGTCGAGCATCTTCAGCCGACGACTTGCATTCGTTGGCTTTCATTGCTCAAGGCGAGGGCGTTGAAGTCTTTCTTCACGTGTGTTATCGTGAACGCGATGACCTCCAGAGCGTCACCACAATGTGATGGGAAGGTTCCAGTGATCGGACCGTGCCTTAACTCACAAGAGTTCAGTACAGTCATATACGGTAACTGAAAATTATTTTCTCATCAAACACACGCACCGCGAGGCTCAAGGAATTTCGCAGGGAGAATGTGTGCACATTTTGTGAATCACATGAGCGGCAATCTGTTCTTACAATTCGGTAGGCTGTACCACGATCGGCGAACTGCAGAAGCACGAATAGAATCGGCGCGACTGTAGTCACAGCCCAGACCTCTCAAGAAGATGTAAGAACCCCTGGTATCTCTGTAGTAAGATATCAGTTCCCATCGACGTACAATAGCATGTCCGGCTTACCCCTTCGTAACTCATTACCAGCTACTTATGAACAGTAATGCCCAGGGGGTACAATGTGCGAGGCAATCCCCGCGTTATTCGGAGTCTGAACAATGTGGCCAATCCGGTAGTTGTGACTACAGAAGCTGAGAATCGTTGTGCTGAGGGCCATGTCGAACCTAGTCTAGGTGACTTCCGGAGATAATTCGGAATAGTCTGGAATAGGGTACCTGAACACCTTTTGTTCCTGTCAAGAAGCCCGGTCGTTTACCTCAATTGAAGGCAGCTCGATACAGCTCGATAGCGGACGGTCGATGGTAGAATGGATGTGACAAATATTAGACGCTTCAGCCCTTGGCATTACTTTAGCTGTAAATGTAAGGTTCGTGCCTGAGGTTCACGAAATATGGCTGCACGACCAAGACTCAACTAGAGACATATCAGAGAGCGATCGTGTATCCCTATATCACCTGTGATAGCGCCCTCATGTTCATACAACGTATTCTCACCTCATGACACGCCTCTGACAGCTTCGACTGGCCGACCCGATAATGTCTTGGGCATTGCGTGGGATTTACACAGCAAGTGACGGTCGATTACGTGTCCCTGCACTGCGTGGCTTCAAGAAGTCATGCATGCCGTCCTTGAACCACATGGGCGGCAATCTGTTATTGGAGAGGTTTGAAGCCATAATACTGTGCTCGAGTTGCTTAGCTACGAAACAAGAAAGTATCAGCGTGCAGACGCACGGCTGTGATGCGCGGAAAGATTATAAAGATGCCTTCGCACCCTTGCAATAGGACATCCTTCTGCAGCCGCAGTCACCAGCAGAACTCGTCCGCCCATCCGGTCGGCCACCTAGCTTCACCCGCAGCAGTAACGACGGTCAGGAAGAGACCATCATGCCGGAGGAGTCTTTGACCATCAGTCTGGAGGACTTGATCGATCAAGCTCCTGAGTCTCCAGAGACAGAGAACACTCCGTGAGTCAGCCCAAATGCAACCGCACTAGGCGCACCTTCATGACTCGAGCATGCCACAGTGGCCAAGAATCAGCTACAGAGAATGCTACTCAAATCATTGCAGCTCCCGTCCAAGCCGAGGAGAGTGCTGACCCACCCGTCCCTGAGGAGTGAGCGAGATTAGTGCATCCTCGAGTATAATGCTTATGTCATGTCGTCTTGTCAGCCTCGTGGGTGGAGAGGACGCAGATGAGTACGCACTTGTCTCTGATGTATCCATGAATCATGACCGAAAGGCACTCCACTTTCAGAGATTGTGAAGACTACCTTGAATGGCGCCCCCGAGGCAGGTGGGCTCCCCCTACAGTTGCAAGGCCCATCCCGAAACCCAAACCGGGCAAGAAGAAAGATGATGATAAGGATAAGGACAAGGACAAGAAGAAACGCAAGGACGATAAGGACAAGGATAAGGGTAAAGGCAAGACTCAGGCAGGGCGAGGTTAAGGACGAAAGCTCTCTAGTTCGATCCTTAGCCATTTTTGAAAGGAAAAGGCGCATTCCTACAAGGGCAGCATGGAAGACTGATTACCTGACTGTCTGGCAATCGAACGTATCTTTTTCGGCACTGCCTTGATTCTGAACGAGCTCAAAGCGACCTATGCCACGATGACAGGCAAGTCGCTGTTGCGATGAGGGCTTGCAAATTATACTTGGAATATCTGTGCACCTCCAAGAGTGAACAATGTCCGCAAAGTCCGACCGCGCCAGATGCCGAGCCAAGGCTGGCTTTGATGGAGCTGCAAAATGATCCTTTCGGCTATTAACAAATAAACAGACAAAGGTGACAGTCTTGCGTACACAGAAACTTGTGGCGGGTAACCACCCCCCCTCCAATCGGTACGACTTGTGCGGCACTCAAGCCTCGTTTGTTCTAGCCTCTTATCCCAATACTGTCGACATCCTCTCCTCCACCAAGCAGTCAATATACGTCTGTAAGTGCTAAGCAGTATTAATGGCCCCTCCTCGTGCCGGCATGCAGGTCTAGAAGGATCGACATGCTTCTCGCGAGGCAGTACGAATAAAATGCATCGTGTGAGACGGAAATGGGAGTGGCGGCTGAATGCAATAATCACAAGGGCAAACTCATCTTCCTGCTCGTTAGCATGCATGACAGACCAATGGATCCGGCGGGCGCGAGGGCTCACGCAATACAATGAATACCGCCGTCCCCTCGGCAAAACCACAACGCACCGCATGTATGTCTTCTCGAACCACGAACCGCAGGACCATATCAAATACGCAACAGAGCTCTGCAGAGCCATGCACTGGTGGCGGTAGGGTCGAGAAGAGGCACTGCTAATCAGAGCGTCAATCGGCATCTGTGAGGCAGGAATATATGCAATATAGGACACCCAGCGCACTTATCGTGATCACCTCTCCTGTGTACCACCAAGCCCTCGACCTCGGTACAAGGGCTGCTGGTTGACGCGCATACTGTCGTGTCCAGACTACACCCAATCAACCACGCCAGTGTTCAGGTTACGATGGGAAAAGCTAGTGTTACGAGCGGTATGCCCCACGACGCGTATATGCCCATCAGTATCCGTTTATGAGCAGCCTTATAGGAGTGGTTAAGGCAGGCAAGCTCAAGGAAATCACCAAGTACGGTGGATCCACCACCATGCAGGGAGGGAGCAGTTCCAAAGGTAGTGGATCCACCGCCACGCAGGGAGTTAACAATCCGAAGGGTAGAGGCTCATCCCAAGGGACGAAATCCACAGCATCGAACCTCAAGAAATAGTACACCCTTGCTATGCGTGGTGAGCCGTCAATACCACCACCAAAACCTCCTCAACTTCTCACGCTGAAATTGTGTCGACTAGATTGGTGATCGTGATGATGATACATTTGTGCATAACATCGCAGAGAAAATAGTAACAGCCGTCTTCCGGTGAATAATGTCAGTACGATTGCGATGAAAGAAAGGCTGGACGTACACATGTCATGATCATGAACCGATCCTCTACATCATTCCTTCAGCCGGACTTCCTGCCGTCGTATGATGCTCCGGAATATCCAAGCTTCTCTACGCGAACCGAACCCCAGCGGGCCCTTCTTTCCTAGCTGCACGCTCCCGTCCAGCTTGTAGCCAAGGTGATTGAACTCCCGCAGCATACACGCGTGGAATATATTCTTGCTCATCTCCCGCGCTGTTTAAGTATCGAGAGTTTAGTCATGTATCGGAATAAGAATTGTGTCTGACACCCACAGCGAAGACCATCTCGTTTGACCTCAATGATGTGGACGCCATCTTCATTCGCGCCAAATGATTGGACTTTGCGCGGAAATAATGGTCGCAGGGTTTGTGCCAACTGCTCTGCAGCGTCCGGAGGAGCATCAAGAAGAGACAGCCTCATTTTAGAACGCGAAAACATCGCCATGAATACGTGAGCGTCGGGATCGGCTGCTCCGTTGACGAAGATCAGCCGCGGAGGTCTTGGCTATATACCAACCATGAGAGCGACATCGGAGATACCAAGAAATGGCACCTACTGCGCATGCCGTTTGGACCGTGGTTAGGTACGAGTATCCCTGCAAAGGTAATCAGAAATGAACACATTTACATTCCGAATCCACATCATATACCTGTCGTGCCAAGACCACGAACAAGCGACACACGAGTCTCTGTGCTCTGAATACGCATGTCCGTTAGCGTCATAGAAAAACAAATTATGCAGACGCCGCACAGAATGGCATCTGCGCCAACACAGGTCCAAGGGCTTCCCCCGAACCGGACGCGCCAGTAATCACGCTTGCTCTCTTCGGCTGCGACACCTTGCGGCCACATCGGCAAAATGCTCTCTCTGAGATCGTCCAGGGTTTCCTGGTATGCAATGCTGTCCATCCTGATCTCATTTGTCCCATGCAGTGACAGGAACAGATGGTCTGCGGAAGTCACGACCGAACAAGTTAAAGAACTGTCGGATTCAGGTGATATATGCGACAAACCTGGAACAAGTGCAGGGAGCGAATTCGCACGCGGTCCAGTCAACGAGTTCACCCTTTGCCGGCTCTCGGAGGCTGCTGAGCGTTGTGAACGCTGTCTAGACAGTGAAACCGATCTTTCGAATGATTTTCTCTTCTTCATTGCAGACCTCAGGGGCGCCGCCGGGGTGGAGGGTCTGCTGTTAACGCTAGCAGTGGTGGTTGAAGATGAAGTACGGCCAAGCTTCCTCCGCGGCGGGGCTGGGGTCGGATACTGAGCCTGAGTATCATACGAGGCAGCATAGGTCGGAAACGGGGCCGCTACATTCTGCTGTGGCGGGGGGAGATAAGGATGGTAGGCCGTGTAGGACCCATAGTATGTCGCCTGCGGCTGAGCATACTGAGAGGGATAGTAGGGCGGTTCGCCGTTGTGATACGGCTGCATGACTGGGTCTCAGTGAACGGGAGGTAAGGAGGGCTCGACGGAAATACAAGACACAGAGAAGAGAAGGCGAGCAGAAGAAGATTGTGAGGTATTCATGAGGCCGCTGAGTTTGGGCGTCTGGTATAAGGAGAAGCCTGCAACGTGCCCTGGCTCAAGGCCTGGTGTTCGCAAGTCCTGGGAGTGCGCGAGAACGCATGTTGTTCTGCTTGGCGAACACGAGACCCTGACGCAACTGTTTGGGACGGCAAAAGGGGCACACCGCTGGACGTTTTACGCATTTCTAGTTCAAGAGGAGATGACAAGTGCTCGCTGAGTGCACGCGCGGACGAGACGGCAGTTTCACGCCATTACGAACCACTCTCTCACGCACCCGAGTCCGCTAGTGTACCCCACTCAATTTCCTGTTTACAGTCAGCGGGGTACGCTGTCCTTCTTGTCTCCAGACACTCACCATGGCCTCGACGTTCTTTTCATGGCTGCGCTCCCCAAAAGCACGAGAGTATTTCTTCAGTAAGTATACACATACTCGCCGCGGACGTGCTATGACTCTGACCCGATCTGGCACTCCAAGGCACTCACTTCTGGGGACCGGTTCGTGATTCGTACGTCCCTTTGTCTGCCCCGCCTGACCTCAGGCCAACAGGTCGCGAACTGGGGGCTCCCTCTGGCCGCTCTGGCCGACTTGCAGAAGGATGAGGACGTTATCTCGGGCGCAATGACTACGGCATTGACAGCTTACTCGTGAGTGACCTTCGCGTCTAGATTAGGCTGGTTGTAATAATGCCCCACCAGCCTTGTCTTCATGCGTTTCGGTGAGTATTGTTCCCTTAAGCTATGCGCCGCTACAGCTCATATGTCGCATCCAGCCTGGCGAGTCCAGCCACGCAATTACCTACTCTTCGCCTGTCACGCGACAAATGCGACAGCGCAGACGATACAAGGCGGCCGCTTCATCAACTACTGGTATATGGGTGGGAAAGAACGAGCAAAGCAAGAGCAGCCGCTGAAAGCATAGCATCCCATTGCTCATGTCGTAGCTATCCTCTCCTAGATCTGGTATGTACTGCCCAGGATAATTGTCCGATCCTCATACCCTACAAAATGAGATGATTCGCAAAATCTCCTTAAATTTACCAAAACCCATCGTCAGCGTCAGCTCCACCTTTGCGCTTCTTCCCGCCTTTGCTTTGTGCGAGGGCCTGGCGCTCATACATCTCTGCAATCTGCAAGGATGTCAGCTAGTGTACAGAATGACACCGACTAACACTACTCACCTGATCTGGCCCTGTCGCGTCGTCGGCGGACTTGTCATCTCGCACTCGAATGAACCGAGGGAACCGCAGCGAGATACCCCTCTCCTCAACCTATTGTGCGTTAGCGAGCGCAACAGAATATCAGCTTCGAACTCACTAGTCCTTGGGCCGCTGTGTACACTGGACTCAGACTGAGATCCGCAGTCAGGACCTCCCAAACAACCTTCGGCTCAAACCACACATCTGGCTTTGCACCGCCGACCTTGATATCACCGCGGGGCTTCGTGATCTCCAGAGGTTTTAACGCGTCGTAATGTGCCTGCAACATTTCTTCGCTGAATCCCGTGCCAATCTTGCAGATGGTCTGGTACTCCTCCGCCTCAGTATCGTAGCATGCCAGGAGGAACGCGCCGTAGACGTTCGTGCGCTTGCCCTTCCCATAGTATCCCCCCACCACGATCAGATCGAGCGAGTCGCCGACACCAGCTAGATAATCTTTCTTGAGCTGGAAAGCGACACTCGTCATGATCGTCGTTTCGGAAGCAGTTGGAGGTATTACGCACCTTCAGCCAATTGACACTCCTCCGACTTGGCTCGTAATTGCTGGCGTCGCCTTCCAGCATCTTGACCATGAGACCCTCGCAACCATCTTTGACGCTCTCTTCTAGGAAAGCCTGGATCTCGTCGGTAGTCTCGCTGTCCGAGGATTTCGCGAAATTAAACTCTCCATCCACGGGCTGGAAATGCTCCCGCAGAAGCTGTCGTCGTTCCGCGAGCGGCTTGCGCAGCAGGGGCTGATGGAAGTTTCCTGTATCAGTGCCATGGAGTGGAAACCGAGAAGCAGACTATGACGCACTTCGCCGTTGAGATAGAGTAAATCAAAAGCAAAGAGGCAAACTCGGACTTGGATGTCCTCAATCTTTACGTCCTTCCGCTTTCGCCTACTGAGTTCTTGGAAAGGCATCAGCTTGCCAGTGTCCTTGTCGATAGCGACTGCCTCAGCATCGAGCACAAATGATTTCGTGTTCTCCTTGATACACTGATGGTCGGCGTCAGTTATCTGCTAGTTTCAAGGAATAGTCAGTGACTGACATGCGGGAGCTGTTCAGTCAAATCAGGATATTTTCTGCTCATATCCTCGGAGTTCCTGCTGAAAACACCAACAGTGCCATCCTCCAGCAGGTGGACCTGCCAATACTTGTCATTGAGCCATCAGAAGAAAAGCGGATTTAACATTATGTACCTGGGCACGTTCGCCGTCGTACTTGTACTCACAAGTGAAGCGTTTGTTCTCGAACCTGTCAAGCACTTCCCCGATCGCCTTCGTCGGCTTTGCAAGCATGGGCTTGAGTGGAACGCCTGGCGTGAGCTTGCATTCATCAGGCAGTTTGTCAATGCCGGCTTCCAGTAGTGCGGGGATGACTAGGTCATATGTCGGCAGCTCGCTGGGATACTGCGGTCTGTGACTGAACAGTGATCAGATATGAAAGGCAGTCACCTATACACCGACTTGATGATTCCCGCGCTGTACTCCAGTCGCGCTGTGAGCTTTTCTTGGTTCATCTTCTTGTTCGCTACAATCAATGTGAACACAAAGTAGTCATTGCCCCAATCAATCGTGCACCTACCTCGTTCCTGCTCTGCCAAGACGAAGGCATGCGCCAAGGCAACTAGCACAGTACGCTCTGCGTTGCCTATGCGTAGCTTGCCCTCGAGACTGCGGACAATGTATTTCGCCTCAGAGCCCTGGCATGCCGCAAGTAATTTGGTGATGATGGACACTTTCTTATTTTGAGACTGCAAGGTCCGTTAGAGTAGTCTGATCCCAGCAACGAGGTCGACTTGCCGAGTGGCCAGTACTAAGCGCAATCTCCTTGAGATTTGCGAATACAAAAGGTACGGTTAGCGGCTTCGGTTTGAAGAGGGTCTTCTGGCTATTCTTCGAATTCTACGCAGGATATCATGAATCCAAACAGCATGTCACTGTCATCGCAGGCACTGACCATAGCTACAAGTCCCAAGTCGCCCTCCTTCTTGAGATCGGCCTTGACGACAGCGAGACTCCGGCCGGTAGATTCGCCGATGGCTTTGATTAGTAGACTTTCGCCGATACCAAGCTCGATGCCCACGTAATCTGGACTTAACTGTGGCGGAATAAGTATCGAGGAGAAACGGACATCGATGGAGAGACGCACGCGATTGATACACAAGTAGACCGCTTGCAATAATGACTTCGTGTCTCCTTTAGCACTACGTTGAATGACAAGCAAGAAGAATGCGGTCAGCAGAGCTGTCTTCTCTAGTCGTTTTGTCGTTGCTTCGATCAGAGAGAACACCTTCGCTAGAGCGGCATATGGAACACTAGTTGGGGGTACGTCAATGCAGGCAAGAGACTACGTGTTCACAGAAACGTACGGATCGCCCACTTTCCAGCCTCCTTCGATATCGACTTCTTTCGTCCTGGAAAGTGCTGCCTCGGCGCTGAGAGACCGTTCAGAGCAACAAAGCGCGAGGAAGCCTCATAGCTTACTTTTGTGACGCTACGCCTTCCTCTTCCTCTAATTCCTCTTCTAGGTCTTCCCCGTCCTCATCTTCATTTTCGGCCTCCGAGGTCGCCACTTCCTTATCTTCCTCAGGAACCTCCTTCTCAGGTTCCTGGACCGGCTGGGCCCTCCTACGTTTGGATGGCAATGGAACGGGAACCGCAACCACGTTGCCCTTATGTGATTTCCTGGTGGGCTTAGCCTTGTGCTCTTCCTTGGATGGTGGAGGCTTCGATTTCTCTATGGGAGCCGTAAGCCTACACTAGCGACGTGAGGATACTGCGCGTGATACTCACCAGAGCCAGAGCCTTCCTCATCTGAGTCGACAATTCGGCGTTTCTTGACTTTGGGCTGTTGATCTATCTTGTTCGCTGCTCAGGATTATCAGAGATTAATATTATTCACACTCGTTCTGGGCTCTTACTTTCTGCGGCGATAGGCGACTGCTTGCGCTTTACCGCGGAATGCTCTTCTAAGCCACAAGTCAGGTCAGCTCCGGTAGCGATCTCACGTTGTACGCGTACTAGTGTCCTCCGCAGCCTCTGCTTCGGACGCAGGCGAGCTTTCCTCTTTCTTAGACATGACCTCGCCTCGCTTCTTCTTGCCGGCCCACATCTCCTCAAGCTTCGACTGCTGGGCTGGTGCGGCTTTGGAACCTGCAGGCATTTGGAAGAATTTACCTACAGTTGAATTCGCATTCGTTCACATGGCCCGGGAGGAACGACCTACCGAGAGTCTGTTGTCGACCCATTGAAGCACGAGGAATAGGCAGAAGGTGGCTGAGACGCGGTAAGTACGCGCGCGGTCGGACGCGTCTGATCGTGACCGTGAGGAACATGCGGTTTACCACGCGTCGTGTCGCGTCGCGTCACGGTTGAGTCTGTCCCGCGTAGATGTCCCTTGAAACGACCGATGCAGGTATGGTCAATTGTTCGGATGCTTGTATCCTACACACAGTTCGTGGTCGGTTCTTAGCGGGCTAATGAGGTCACAATGAAAGGCAAGAGAGCGCTATCACACGTATTTCGCCTTGTTGCTGCATGTCGCCTTAAATGTGACATCGTGTTCACTTGTGTTCATCGCGTGGCCATGGGATGATTTCAGCACCAAATTTCCAACTGTGGATGCGAGTCGTCTCGCTACGCGCACTTCGAGCCGTGAAACCTGCGTGACGCCAGCTTCATGTATGTGTCATTTCCACTAAGCGTGCTGTTGAGGCAAACAGGCAAATCCGTGCTAAGATTATATTCTTCTACAGGAACATTGATGCTGACACATGTTGTTGCGGCCACCAAGACTCCTCAGTGGCCCGGCAACGTGATACAGCTCACAGATTTTCGGCCTCGGGCATATGTTCGTTGGTGTCCGACCAAGCTGCAGACCATACAATGGTTTCCGTCATCACTATTCGTGGGAATGATGTGGTCAACCGTGACAAAACAAAATTCAAATGGAAGCACTGGGTAAGCCTCCATTGGTATCACGACTGATTGTCTTGTACCCACAACCTATAGGGACGTACCTGTCGTGTAGTACTTGTGGTTCCCGTGAGATTACTCTCACAGCCTGGGTGACGTGTCCTGATGGAACTGTCTACCAGGGCCTTTTGCGCCGCAATGAAACGGGTCCTTGTTTTGCATCGGTCTCGATTTACGCACAGCGATCGAGACGGCTGGACCTGATATCGTGCCTGTGCCGTAAGTGTTTGCGCAATTGAGGTACTCCAGTCTCCTGGAAGCCTTCACTCCGGTCAGTAAACTATGATCGTGCGGTGCTTCCGTTCTAAATGATCATCATGGTCAGTGTCTTATCCCACGTTTCATCATCCCTAACACTGATTGTGAGCACAGGGTATATTTGTATATACAGCAAAGGGGTCGCCATCCCTCCCGGATACTTCAAAGAGCGCGCCTTCATCTCACCGCCCGACGTTGCATTGCGGTCCATCTCGCCTAATATCAGATGTTGGACGGCGTCCGCTCGTCCACCAATCCATGTACTCGCTGAGAACGCAGCTATAGGGCATCGTGCCACCCACTACTTCCACCCCGTTCGTATCCTCAGAATTATACGGGTTTCCTCGGTGGGCGGTGGGCGTAATGACTGTAGACATCCGGACTGTGGTTATAATTCTGCAGGTCGGTCTCATAGAGCGCGTCAGTGGTTTCTTTAGTGTTAATGGTTGGAATCCAGCTGGGTAGCATTGTTCTACTCTTGGCGCTTCTTGCGACGCCCACTCGAAAGCATCCTATCGTGAATACTTTCGTTGTTGCATCAATATCGCGCTCCATTATGGATGTTCTACCGTCTCTGCTATATGTCATCAGATTCTCAAGCGAGCTCGGGACGAACCTGGAGTCCCACCCAGGTTTAGCCCATTTCTGCATCGCAGATACTCTCATGTAAGTCTTCTAGTCACTCAATGGTCACGTTGCTAATATCGATGTAGCCTCACATATCTCACAATCACAAAGGCCGCTTTTGCAATCAGCTTCACACTGGTAAAACATCTGTTTATGCTCATCTACAAGATGATTGATTTGCATGATTGTGCCAGCCATGTCTCTACCTGGCCCACAAGTTATCCCGTCCTTGCGAAAGGCTTGAGGCTTCTGAGTCGACATCCGAATTCTATAGGCGAACTATTGTTGCACTTTGTGCTGGTCCCTTTGGTACGTCTATCAAAATTCTCAGGAACGCGGTACATCACATGAATGCCACTGGCTGTAGTTTGGGGTTTACCATGGGTCATTATCGTAGTTTCAGCCTTACGACATCCACTCCAGTTACATCCATCATTCAGCTCGGTGAGTCAATGATCCGCTTTCGATGGTGACATGGTTTATATTGTGTTTTTGGTAGACCGTCTGTACTGTTAACGCTACCAAAGCGCAGATTGCCACCTTGGTTTTCATACTCATCCCGCTGGCGATCGCAATCATTGTGTCGCTTTTGCTCCTACTAATACTGTGGAGAAATTATAAGCTCCCCGATCTCCACCATAGCGTAGAGCTTTTGCATCCAACCCGCATTATCCGCTTTGTTGCTCTAGTCTCAACAACCATGGTATCCGCGGTCCTGTACTCCATCGTCCTCGCGACGTGGGTGCATTCACGCCGCAACATCGAGTGGACCGAATGCTTCCAAGCATGGCAGGCGACAAGTGCAATGTGGGAAGGTGAGCCTCTACGAGTCTGAGACATATGAGGCCACTGAGGACACAATGCCAGCCATTTCACCCCTCATCTACTTCCTCATCTTCGCTGCGCAGGAGGAAGTGTATACGATCTGGTATAAGTGGCTCCGGTGGGCCACGTCTTGCTGTCGCAGGAGATGTTCGCGCTCAAGCCGCAAGACTCCCGCAGACAAGAGGAAGAGCGGCCATCCATCTCGCCAGCCATCTCAGGTCTTTGCTTGGCTACTCGGACTGTGTGCCGGAGCGGAGCAATCGGACGCAGGAGATACGACATTGTCGGAGTTGACTGCAACCCAGAAGAACCGCCCTCCAGTATATGAAGTGATCGAGGTTCCGTCGGGGGAGCCCTGCCGCCAGGAGTTGGCCGGGCACATCATTCAAGGACCATTTCCAATGCCATGTCTCGAACTTCGTCGTCACGATGGACTAACACCCGCTCCTCATACGTCCAGAAGCAGGGGTGAAACACCTCAGCAATCCCCGATATTTAGGACTATGCCGTCGCTTACTGCGCTCGGTGGAAAGGATGACGGTCGAGCTTCATCCGGACGATCGGACAAGGCAGACCAGTTGGGGGAGGTCGAGGAGCACGGAGTAGAGTCACAGGACAGTATTTGGTATTCCAGTGATGATTCAAGACCTCCAACGCCGGATTCACCCCCTCTGAAAACCCAGACCGGAACATTTGGAAGGTGATATCAACGAGATGCAGTGTATTGTATGTACCGAGCACCACCTGAATGTACTTGTATGAACCCAACATCTGCGTCGGGACATAATAAAGTACTCTGATCTCGTGAAAACGACGTTCCATGGGGTACTGGGAAAGATGTGTCAAATCGGCAATCACCGAGCTATACAGTTGTAGCCGGTGTGGCTTGCTTCCTGCTGACCACGTGCTCCCAGACTACCCGACTTGTGAGTACGGCCAGCCCGCGCACCCACTGTATAACGACCCCGCCCTCAAGACTCTGCCATGGCTGATATTCAAGTGCGCTATCTTATGCGTAGCTTGTGTCACTTTTGCTAACTGAAAAGCATGTAGATCGAGAAGGCATACCAGAAGCAATTCCTCTTCCAAAACGCCAAAGCCCGTGGTGCGTACAGGAAGACCATGGTTGTCGGAGGGATATTGGGGAATTGACGGATTGCATAGGCGGGAAGAAGGTCTCAACGAAAGAAAAGCGGTGGTACAAGGATGTTGGCCTTGGCTTCAAGACGCCTTCCGAGGCGATCAGTGGCACCTACATTGGTCCGTATCCAATATTCACTCTCGTGGATGCTCCTAGACCTGCGTGACAACAGACAAGAAGTGCCCTTTCACCGGTAATGTCTCCATCCGTGGGCGTATCCTGACTGGCCGCGTTGTCTCGACAAAGATGACCCGCACAATCGTCATCCGCCGGGATTACCTCCATTACATCCCGAAGTACAGTGAGTACAGTAGCTGGATCCGTAAGGCTATGGTGTCCTTGACCGGTTTGCCGCAGACCGTTACGAGAAGCGCCACAAGAACTTGGCTGCGCATGTATCGCCGGCGTTCCGTGTCGAGGTTGGCGATATTGTGACCGTTGGTGAAGTGGCGCTTTTGTGCATAGGTTCTACAAGTACTCATCAGCCGCTCATATACAGGCCAGTGCCGACCACTGTCAAAAACTGTGCGTTTCAACGTCGTCCGGGTGTCTAAGAACAAGGCGGCCGCCAAGTCGTTCGGGAAGTTTTAGACAGTCGGCGGTAGTTGTGGCGGGGGACCGTAGGATATTGTGTCGTTGCTTTCTCATGTGTTATGGCCATGCATTCAAAATGACTATTGTGCACTATGCAAAGCCACTGATAGACCGAGCTGGAGTGACGGTGTTATTATGCAATACCATTGGGCCGCTCGGTGGCAGTTGCGAGATATGAAGCGTTGCAAACATCAGAAAACAAGTTGATTGAGTGCGTCGAGTCGAGGTCGCATTTAGCAGTTGCCCGTTCGGCTCTTCAGCACTGCTTGTTCCACCGCCGCCGCCCCTCCTGTAACTTAACCTGGTGCCTTCTTGACGCAAACGACGACGACTTTAGTTCCACCATTTCTATACCCCGACTCCCTTTTACATCATTTCGACAACTTTAGACCAAGCTGGCGCCCACACTCCTGTCTGTCTTCACCTCCAGGCTTGGTAGGTCCAGGTCGCAGTCACCGCAACCAGGCTCGCCCTCGACGTCTCCTCAGGCTCTCCCCATGGGCCAGCAGCAATCCAAGAAGACTCGCAAGAATGGAAAGGACAAGGACAAGGACGACTCCACATTCCCCGACGCCGCGTCCGGCGATGACACTGCGCGACAAGGCAGCCTTTCTCGAACACCAGACACTGCGAATGGTTCTGCTGCACCTGCATCCACCAAGGGCAATCCTGAGATCAGCGTCACGGAACCAGATGGGGAGGCAGCGCTGCAGAATGGCCATAGTTCCAGACCACCTGGACCAGATACCCAACCTCAACCGAACACGAACTCCTCGAAAGATGCTCCCTCACTTCCTTCTACAACATCGACATCGCCCCCAACGTCGCCGTCGCTGGGCTCAAAGCCCCCTCCTCTTGACATTCCCATGACTCAGACCATTCTCTCGAACAATTCCCCTTACCCCACACCAGGTTCTACGAACAGCTTCAATGTCGACCCTCTCGGATCACCAGGAAACGGGCGTAATGGGAGCGGGACAAAGCAACTGGATATTGACGATATGATTCAAAGACTGCTCGACGTTGGGTACACAGGCAAAGTCAGCAAATCGCTATGTCTCAAGAACGCGGAGATCGTTACCATATGCCAAGCCGCCCGCGAAGTGTTCTTGAGTCAGCCTACACTCGTTGAACTATCACCCCCCGTCAAGATTGTCGGCGACGTCCATGGACAATACTCGGACCTCATACGTCTGTTCGAGATGTGCGGTTTCCCACCAGCCGCCAACTACCTGTTCCTCGGCGATTATGTAGACAGGGGGAAGCAGAGTCTGGAGACGATTCTGCTGCTTCTGTGCTACAAAATCAAGTATCCGGAGAACTTCTTCCTACTTCGGGGAAACCACGAGTGCGCTAACGTTACACGAGGTAAGTCGACGTGCTGCTATATTTGATGGGAGAGTAACCTTTGTTAGTGTATGGGTTTTACGACGAGTGCAAACGAAGGTGTAATATCAAGATATGGAAGACGTTTATCGACGTCTTCAACTGTCTGCCCATTGCGGCCATCGTCGCCTCGAAGATTTTCTGTGTACATGGCGGACTCTCTCCGTCGCTACATTCAATGGACGAAATCAAGCGCATACAACGACCTACAGACGTCCCTGACTACGGGCTCCTCAATGACTTGTTATGGTCCGACCCATCGGACACAGCGGTGGACTGGGAGGACAATGAGCGTGGTGTCAGCTATTGTTTCGGAAAGTCGATCATCAACGACTTTCTCGTACGATATGACATGGACCTCATATGCCGGGCACATATGGTGGTCGAAGACGGTTATGAATTCTGGAACGACCGGACACTAGTGACCGTCTTCAGTGCACCGAATTACTGCGGTGGTGAGTTACAACCTGCGCTACCCCGTCGATCCCGTGCTCAAATTGGCATTAGAATTCGACAATTACGGAGCATGCATGAGGTGGGGCTGTGGTTCTCCCTTGCTTTACATATTTTGACCCTTTACTCGCAGTGTCTCTGAGGAGCTACTGTGCGCGTTCGAACTTCTGAAGCCGCTGGATGGCCCAGCACTCCGGAAGGAGATGACGAAGGCGAAACGGAAGACGTACGCCATACTCCACTGGCATTTCGGCTGCGTTTCACTCATCCAATTGACAGGTTGATGGCCACTACCACCTGATCCCTGAAGTTAATGCGTCTTTGCAGCAGCGATATACGATTATAATAGTTGAGGTGTGCCCCACTTGTGGCACAAACGAAACAGGTAGTTGCACGGTCACGTCCAGCCCTCCCGTTCTGTCGGGACGTTGTGGTCGGTCAGGGTGACGGCCCCACATATGACTCTTGTTCAGGCATGTGCGACGGACGGGGGTGTCCGCACAGAGCTGCTTGGTTACGGATACAGCTAACTTAACCTATCTTTCTCATATCCCTCCTCCTTTCCGCCCTGGCTGTGGGTGGCCGATATATCACTGGAGTCACGGACTGTCGTCGTGTACGATATCCGCGCATTCGCTTCGTCTGGTTGCACCGGGGTGATCATTCGCATTATTCTCTTTTCTGTCCCTAGTTGATCCCTCATTAGCATTCCGTGTTAGGTCCATTATTCGCTTCATTTGTGCTGTAGCTACATTGTGAAAACATGCATCACGCCCACCCAACGACGTGTGGTGGCATCATCATGGCACGCGATGCGACCCAGCCCTGTGACATCAGGACGACGCTTCGGCGATCGTACTCTTCCGCGGTGCTCAGCATTCCTGCGGCGTCAATGTCGCCGCATCATCATGTCGTATGCCAGAACTGCGAACGCCGCCACAATGATTCCGGATCCTACCAGGCTCCATGCCGTTATTGTGTCCACTGCGCCCCCAAATACGATGTCCGAAATGAAGACCATCACAATGGTGAGCAAACTTCCGACGGAGGTCACGATTGGTCCCCAGAATCCGAGAAGAATCTACAGCCACATGTCAGCTGACACCCGGTATAGGATGCGAGACACTTGCCATGAAGCCTGCATTGAAAACGACACCACTCAAAGCTATCCCGGCAATCACTAGCGCCTGCCTTGCGGTTGTAGGTAGCGCAAGGCGGGCGACACCGAAGAATTGCAGAAAGGGAATGGGTATCCACAGGACTAGGAACGTACAGACCCCAATCGCGGAGGTGAGCATGTTCGGATAGAGGCCGAATGGAGGGGGATGCAGCAACGCCGCCTCAGGAAGTTCAGTTTCCGCAAATGAGCTCTCCTCTTCACTCAATTCATCGTACGGAGATGTGAGCGGCGCGTACGCTTCATTCTCGGTATCGAGAACTTCCGGATCATTGGGAAGAGCGGCATAGATCTTGTATAGGACCTGATAGGCCCCGTACAGAATAGAGGCAGAGAGCGTCAATAGGTCCCCTATAAGCGGCGCGCTCGCACTCGGCTCCGGGGCACGCTCAAGCTTGTTCGGCATGGAGGCTGATTCTCCCTTGTCTGGACTGGTGCCACTGCCGCCATACACGACGGCGGTCGCACCGACTATAGAAAGGATTACCGCCGCCAGACGCCGAGGCTCCCACTTCAGTTTGAATAGCTTGACCGATAAGATGTACGCGAAGAAAGCATTAGTGTTCCATAGCGCAGTCACATCCGTGATTCTAGATCCGGTGAAGGTTATTTGGTAGGCAGACGAACGAGATTGAATGAACTTACGGCGCGAGCGACACAGCCATAAACCATAGCAATCCCGGAAGATTTGCGCCCGCTGTTAACAGTAACAGGAACCGCACAAATTGCCACTTTGGAAAGCTTGCGGCCTGCAGTGCGGAGGACGAGGGATGGAGGTGCTGCTGCAGTGCATGCACAAGACCAGCCCAGTAAGCCCGAAGCGGTATTTTCGTGGTTAATCGAAGAAAGACGAAATGCAAGGGCAGGATTATGGCGAAGGACGCATGGACAATATAGCTGACCGTGGACCATCAGTTGTATTCCGTAAAGACCAACCAACGTCGTTCGTCTGATGCGCTTACAATATAAGGAATGGCTGTCGATAGCCAAGGTCTACTTGCACGTACTGCGTGTATTTCAGTGAGTATCGTCTCGTGCCGGTGGGCTGTTGATGAACATACCTGAGTTAGTTGCGTCTCCACAACGAATGCAATGAGGCTCAGAACGAACAGAGTGACTGCGGACTTGCCCCCCAGATGCACGACCAATCCTCTATGCGTGCCTGCGGACTGGGAGGTCATCTTGTGTGAGACTGCGAGCGATGTGAAATCAGGGGGTCGTTCCCGCTGCTTGTCATCCGCACTCGTGCTGAGGTCGAGGGGGAAGTGAGGCGCGATAGCAAGGCTCTATATGCGTGCGACCAGCGCGTTTCCCAGACAGGCTGTCCGACTGCATAGCGTCTGCAAGGCCAGGATGTACGATCGAGGGTGAGTGGTACCACGTGATTCAGCCCTCGGCAGCGAGCTCGATCTCGACGTCGCGGCTACGGTGTCTTTGCTGGACGCTGTTCACTATGCTCCGTGCACTGCTCACAACTAGCAGGCCGCTGCTGACCCGCCTCAGGGCGGCAGCCCTGCACCATCCTCACTCGCATGCACACCTCATGGCGCCTCCAAGCACCCAAGCAATACCGGCCCTGGCAAGGGGCATGAAGGTCCGGTCATCCGTCAAGAGGATGTGCGATGGCTGCGCTGTGGTCAGGCGCAAGGGCAGAATATACATCATCTGCTCCAAGAACCCTAAGCACAAGCAGGTATGGAAGTTGTCATTGTCTCTCCTAGTATATCGCTGACGACCTATTAGCGGCAAGGGTGAACAATCACTAGCCAACATAGACTCGACGTCTTTCCAACAGGCATGCCGCGCGTCCAAGGCCACGAAGATATGCAGACTATCGACCGCACGCTCTGGCGCACGTAGAGGAGAGGAAAATTGCGCTCAGCGCACCCACATCTGGAACTCGTATTTTACACCCTTTTCCTCCTGTATCCCTTGCGGCACCTCGAACCCGGCCCACTCCTGCAGCTCCGCGTGTGCAGCTCTCCTCCACGAAGGCAAACCGTTCGCTGAACCCTGCTGTGACAGAAAGTCGGGCATATACACATCGCATTGTTCAAAGGCCGGTGAGAGTATGCGTGTGAGCAGGACTCGGTCTACGAAAGAATCTGCGGTGGGCAGAAGTGCCAGTGTGTCACGGTACAGCGAGGCCCCGCCTATGATGAACGACCTGTGAATGAGGACTTCCAGCTTTTCTGGGTGTGAGAGCCTTGCTAGCGCGGTGTCCAAACTTGAGTGAAGGTACACGGGTGCGGCTGGAACAGTAGCATCCGCCGGCAGCCTGACGCCTAGCGTTAACATCCTTTTACTAAAACCATGTTCTCGCGACCACATACAGTTCGTATTGCTTGTTAGTGCTGATGACGATGTTGAGTCGTCTAGGGAGTGGTTTGAATTTCGCCGGGATGCTCTCCCAAGTGTTCCTGCCCATGACCACCGTGTTCATGCTACCATCTGGCGCACTAGATGTGATTTTCGCGAAGTAAGCCATCTCTTTGGAGAGCCGCCATGGCAGCCGCGAATTTTGGCCGATGCCGTTTGTGAGTGTTGCGGCGACGATGATGGTCAATCTGGTCATAGTTCAAGTAGGTCGCGGCCAGGACTAAAGATGGTTCTTGACTGAAACTGGTTGATGGCCATGCAAGTTGGTGATACCAATATTGCTGGCAACAATGCTCGATTTGTAGGTGTATTCTTTTTTGTTCCACGTCAATAGAGCATTCAAAGCTGAAGGCTTGTAATAGAGATATCCCAACGCAGAGCATAACCCCTCACAAGAGCCAACTCTGAGCCGGCGCAAACCATGATATGAATACGGAAGAATGTTATCACGAATCAAAACATCCGTTCGCTTCGGAATGAGAATCCAGAACGACTCGGCGATCTAGCTCTGCGGCACAAGCATTCTAGTCACGGTCCACCCGCTCAAAGTACCGCCGCCTGCGTTCGAGCCATCTCTCCTGCGTCTCGGCTTCCTGTACCTCGCGGCGCACGATACCGACCCAATCAAAGCACCTCTCGCAGTCCTTCGTCCCGTGCGTGGTGCACTTGTAATCTTCGGAGCCGCGGCGGACCGGGACGGCACCGTAGCTGTATGCGTTCAGCGGCGTGCGCTCCTACAGACGCGTCAAACGGGGTTTCCTGACGGGTAGGACGCTGCGAGAGACAAACCTCTAGACTGAAGCCGGACTCCTCCACATTGTCTGCGAAGGTGTTGTAGAGGTCCAGGACGTGGTTATTGCCGTCGCGGTGGTCGCAGGTGCACAAGTGACAGTACTCGCTGCCGTGCTGCTTGCAGAACATGAAGTCGTTCACGACGATCATGGCATCGGGGCCAGACATGGTGGTCGATGGTCAAGAGAACTGGCTGCGGCTCAAAGAGGATGCGATGCATTTAGTATGGGGGGTCGAAGGACACTTCGGAAGCTAGGCGAGAAGGCGTAGGCTCTGCACGTGCGCCCCGGGCATAGCAATGGGAACATCATGCTCAAAGTTCACGTACAGTGAGGGCTAAGGGCAAGAAGAGATCTGCACATGATAAGATGCCGTGTGGATGCTGCTGCACGTCAGATAACGGACGAAAAACCAGCTTTTTGATTGAGCAAACTTGCGAATACATAAGAGCAGAGAGCATTAGAGCACGACGACTGACAGTCCACGCACGACCAACCACCGAGATAATTTCCCCAGAGATGACGAAACCGAGCCGTGATGCAAGGCGAGGGCTGTGGGTCATACCGCCCACTTCTTCCACTCGCTGCCCTCCGGTGGCTTCACCTCGACCTTGCTCTTCCCGACCTCGTCCCAGTTCGTGCTGAGCGTCGTGCCGCCACTCTCCTGGTAACTCTTGAGCATCGCCCGACGAGTATCCTCGTCCGCATCCGCATACAGCTTCTGGAAAAAGTCGTTCACGGCGGCATCTCCGCCGACGTTTGGGTCCTCGTCGGGGTTAGCCGCCTTGTCGGAGGACAGGATCTCCTTGGTGAGCGCATCCCAATTCTTCTGCTTCTTGCGAGGCTGAGAGGTTGTGGGCGCGCTGCTAGTGGGCACGGGCGCGAGCGTAGCAGGGGCTACAGCAATGTCAGGAAGTCAGAGGACACCCGGATGGCACCCGCTACACGCACGATCTGGACTATCACCGACGAGGGTGCCCCATCGGCCACTCGCCCTCTTTGCGAGCCGGATCTCGACTTTGAACTTGCCCACCGTGTACTCGCATCTGTCCGGATCTATCTGGCCCTTGAGCGGCTCGAGGGCAAGTATCTTGTCGCCGTGCTCATACGTTAGCTGCAGCGCCACATGACATGGATGAGCGCGCTTGTCGCAGAGCATGTCTGGGAAACAAGGACTAAACGCACGCTGCGCGGCTGGAACTTGACGGAAACTTGCGCTGGATCCGCGCCTTTGTCGAAGACAGAGAGGGTCAGCCGTTCGTCGGTCTCGTAAAACTCATGTCTGAGGGAGGAACGATGAACCCGCACTTTGTCCGCGATGAGCGGCGCAGCGCCTACCTCGGGGTTGCCATGTTGCAGCACGATCTGCGGATAGGTCGCGGAACGGGATATGGGTTCCGCAGGCGAGTTCTAGGATAACTGGATTGATGAGCCTCGCGGGGGAAGACGACAAGGTGTTCTCTTATAGCGGACGATAGACCATCAGGGGGAGGTGGCTTAAAGCGGAGGAAGAGCGCAATATGGAAGCTTCGAGATCAAGGGCACGTGGTCACGACGCGCGTCGGGACATCGCGGTGCGCGTGACCGCGATCGCGTCGTGCCTACCCCGCAGACGTCATCGTTTGCCTGGAGAAGGTCTTCAGCCAGCCACCAGACCAGCCTCCCCCTCCTGGGTTCCGTCCGTCCTCCATATAGCCCCCTCACCAGCCTCGCCGTGCCGTCTTCGCGCCCGCACTCTATATCATGGCCTCCCCCGACCTGCCCAAGGCCGCGCTGTACTACTTTCCCAAGTCCATATGGTCAACCATCCGTGAGCACCGCGTCATGCAACCTCACACTCGCATGCATTGATGTCCCCTCGCATAGCTCTTCTCGTACTGTGAGTACATTGTATTAGCAGCATCCTTCCACGACATATCCATTGTGCAGAGAGGAGAAGGGCTACGCGCCCGATGAAATTGACCTCAAAGTTGTCGACTTGCGTACGTCACGAACCTTCTCGATCACAATCGATCGACCCGTCTGACCACAATTATTTTCTAGACAAAGGAGAGCAGTACACGCCTTCGTACTTGCGATTGAACCCCAATGGTGCGCCTATACTTGTACGTTGAATTGATGCGTAAGACATACCGTTGCAGGCACCGTGCCGACCCTCGTCGTCCCTCTCCACAAGACGCTCTCCCTAGAAATTGAGAGCCGCTACAAAGCAATCCAAGACTCCAAGGTGCGTGTGACAGCACTGACACCAGCAGAGCCTTTGCATTTACATGACATGTGCACAGTCCATTGCAGAATTTCTCGACAAGTCGCGTTCTACGCAGTCACGCACGCACACGACGTCCTCTGCGCCGTCGCCGTCGTTGAGCCCGGCGACTATCGCGTTCAGCGCTGTTTCCGAGAAGGTGATCGCGCTCATCCGTTCGGATGCCGCAAACCCGAACGCGCTAACAATCCTCAATGGTCACGACGAGGAGTCCCTCCGTGTCGTCACCGAGGCGCGCCTGTGGGTCCTCACCGCCCGCCAGCAGGCCCTCGAGCGGCTGCTCACAGACAACGAGTCTGCCAACATCAGCGTGTCGGAGAAGACACGACGGTTCTGGGAGACCAAGAAGAACAGCGTGGCGGATTACCTGCCTGTACTTCAGGACGCGGAGAAGCCTACAGACCAGCTCGACGGACACGCACGACAGGTGAGAGAGAACTACTGGAAGGACAGCAAGGCTGCGTGGTTCGCACTGCGCCAGGCGCTTCTCCAGCTGAACCAAGAGATCATCGGGCCCTATGTACTTGGTGCGCGTCTACCCGCGATGGCGCTGTACTGCGTAAACTGACATATCGCTGTGTACTGCGTATACAAAGGTGATCAATTATCGCTCGCGGACCTGCACCTCGCGGCCTGGCTAGCGCGCCTGGTCAAGCTCTCCGGCGGCACCATATCCGATGACGGCAACACCGCCATTGAACGTATCGAGGCGCATACGGGGCCCGCCTTTAGTCTGCCGAAGGACCTGTCAGTTGCCGAGGCGCGCCGCCGTGCCGGATTGCCCATCCCTGACGCCGACTCGAATGAGCGTCAGAACCGGCTGGCGGCATTTTGGGATGCAGTGAAGGAGCGGCCGAGCTTCAAGAAAGTGTACGCAGAGGGCTTGCACTGAACGAGCAGGGAGATAGCGTAAATGGTGTCAGATATGAGAGGGGACACAGTGCTGAGGGCGAATCGGATCCAAGGGTATGAGGTCGGGCGCATCGCAGATGTCCGTGGCGTTTGTATAAATAGCATGCTGGGATAAGTCAACCAACCAGAGACAGAACGTGTGGCTATCTTGGGTGTTGTGGTGCGTCGGGGCGCGTGCTCGAGGGCGTGGGTGCTGCGAAGCCCGTGCTCGAGTAAGCATTGTGTCAGAAGCGGAGTCTTGCGCACGTAGGGCAGAGACGTCGTGATCTTCCAAGACTTTGCTGACCCTGGTGGGCCTTGTACGTACCGAAGTTCCGAGAGATGCTATTTCCTGAGACGCAATGAGGTGTGCTGGAGCTGTGTGCTGGGAATGCAGTGACTGCGAGTAGTTTGTGACACCATTTTTCTTGAGACAGATGAACACATATGGGCGGCAGAGAGGTTGGCGGGATCCACGTGGATGGCTCGGTGGTGCGGTTTTGGATTGACCGTGTGTGAGTGTGTCTTCTGGTGTGCAGAAGCCTGGTGGCGAAGAGAGCAACGGGGTATATCTCTACTAGTACTGAGCCGCAGCTGTTCTGCAAGCAGGGACATGTCAACGCGGAGTGCACAGGGGCAAGATACGTGACCTGGTTGCCCTGCAGGGCGCTTCAGCGAGAATGGCAGGCGGGCGTCAGGCGCGTCCGAGTCTCATCTCTGCATGCTTGCTCGTGAGGCGGTTGCTGCTGCTGCTGCTGCTGCTGTTGCCGCTGTTGCCGCTGCTGCTTCTGTATCCGCCCTGAGCTGTATTTTGCGGTGCAGACGGTGGGCGTGCGAAGGGAAACGAGCGAGCCGGAGGATTAGCGGAGGATGGAAAATATATACGCGAGGTGCGCATGGCTGCGCCCGTCGGTGTGACCATTGGCGCCGGCAGGATTGGCTTGCAACCTAGTCCACTGCCTCCTTCCTTCTGCTACTATCAAGCCATCCGCCCGCGTCCCTTCTCCGGGGCTGTCCTCTGGCCGTCTTTCCTCGCCGCTCATCAAGCTGCGGTCAGGTCTCTGTCAAGCCAGCGCCGTCGACGTGTTATACCCCCCGTCTCCGTAGACTCGCCCGTTAAATCTCTCCCTCCCCCTCCCCGCTATATCATATTCGCTATTCTGCATCTGCACGCTCCTTGTTCTCCCGGCCATGTCCATCCCGTTTGGTCTCTTCGGCGGCAACCCGACGCGGCCTCGCATCCAGCTCTCGCCGGCGCCCCCGCCGCTCGCGCTCGAAGAGTATGACGAAAACGCCTGCGACTGCGACGCGGAGACCCTCTCTCCGCACTCGGGGCCCCACTCCGCCCACCGCCATCTTGCCACTCGCACGCCCTTCTTCTCGTCCGCCCCGCCCTCGCCAGACCTCAGCGCCATCGCCGCGGACAGGCCGTCCAACCGCTCGCTGCTCTATGCGCACCCCAGCTACCCCGCAGGCTACGTGCACTCGCCGTATTCCACGGCCTCAAACACGCCCGTGCCCTCGCGTACGTCTTCGCCCATACCTTTCTACTCGTCCGGCGCGTCGTCCTGCAGCTCAGAGAGCGAGAGCGAGCTCGAGGACGCGCCCTTCTCTAGCAGAAGAGGGCACAGGCATCCGCATTCGCAGTGGCGGGAGGAGCGCAGGCGTTGGTGGATTACGGGCGCGGTTCGGCGACGCCAGCGGCGAGAGCGCATGGGTGGCTGGAGGACGCTCAAGAGAGGTGTGCGCCTTCTCATTCGACATCCATTCTTTCCCAAAACACCCACTACCATAGTGAGTCCTGTCCGTATCCGTCGTCATCTGCATTTGTCGCTGACATTACCCCTAGTTGCTTACCCTCCTTCTCCTTACTATTTTTGGCGTGTCGCTCACGTTCCTGATAATCTACATCCTGAATCCCGACAAGGAGCCTCTGCCATGGCGCGGCTACTGCACCATCCCCCGGCTCTCGACCGCACCACCGTCCTACGACCTCCCCACCACCGCCTCCTTCCCGTTCCATCCACCAGCTAACTTCACCCCCCCGGATTTCCCTCCGCCAGATCTGGATATGCTACCGCCAGCAGGCGTGTTCGTCGGTGTCTTCTCGATGGACAACGCTGTCGAGCGCAGGATGTTGATTCGCTCGTCATGGGCGAGTCATCAGCGCAGCCGCGCAGGCGCGGGAGAGGGCGATAGCGCAGCGGGCACCTCGCGCACGGTCGTGCGGTTCATCCTCGGCCAGCCGCGCAAGGAGTGGGCACGCCGGATTAGACTGGAGATGGAAAGTACGTACTCTTCCCCTTCTCACGCGTTTTCTGCACGCGTGCGCGCGGAGATGAACACCGAGACTGACGGCGGCCCCCGCGTGCAGTGTACAACGACATGATCATCCTGCCCATCTCGGAAAACATGAATGACGGCAAGACGTACGCGTACTTCTCGTGGGCGTCGCTCGGCGCGTGGGTCCCGCCACTCTACTTCGACTCATTCGACGCGTTCGCGCATGGCTTCTCGTACGAGAACGCGACACACTTTGCGCCCGTGCCTGCAGCACACGACCCCGCCCTCGCGCGCCACGACTACGCGTCCGGCAACCCACAGCGCTGGGTGCGCCCGGATTATGTCGTGAAGACAGACGACGACTCGTTCGTCATGCTTGCGGAGCTCGAGGCGCGTCTCCGTGTCGAGCTGCACGCGACGCAGGAGGAGCACAACGGCACGCGCGACACGCCATCATCATCTCAATCCGCCGCGTCCTCGGCCGGGCGTTCCACCTCCGCGACCTCGGGCTCTGAGCCCGTGCAGGCGATGGTGACCTCCACGCAGTCGCCAGCCACGACCCCGTCCGTACCCGATGCAGGGTCCAACACGGATCCGCTGATCTTCTGGGGCTACCTCGTCAAGAATCGCTTCATGGCGGGGGAGCTGTATGCGCTCTCGTGGAGCCTGGTCGACTGGATCGCGCACGACCCGCAGGTCGCGGAGATGAAGAGGGGCGCGGAGGACAAGCAGACGAGCAAGTGGATGCGGCTGCACCCGCGTGCCGACGAGGTGCGGTGGGCGAGCGAGCGGTGCTGGATCTACGACCACCCACGAGCAGGGACTGTGTACGCTGCCTCTCCTGCAATATTGCTCTGCATAACGCTGACCACTATCTCGCTCGCATAGGTACTCGCATGGGTTCCTCTATCCGTCTGAGGCGCGGAGAGTGCAGCGGAGCGTCATGGATGACCTTGCGCGCGTCGCACCCGCAGAGGTTGCTGCACAGACAGCTGGTGCCATCGAGTCGCCCTTCGGCCCCAATGCACCGATTCCGGCGAACTGGGCACGCTCAACGGTCTCCAAGTTCGGCACGCGCTATAACCCGCCATTACCATATCTGAGCCAGCAAGCCAGCATCGAGGCCCTCGTCGAGGGCAGCGAGATGAGCATGTTGACAGAGGGTAAGCGCTAGCGTTCCCGACATTGCGCCGCCCTATTTCATCTGTTGCTGATATCTGATTTTTCGAATCCAGGGAGTGGTGTCAACCCGTGGACAGTGTGGCAGCGCCGCGAAGGCCGCAATACACGTTATGAGAACAAACGTGTCGGCGGGACGGTCGTCGTGCACTTCATCAAGAAGAACATGTGGTTCCTCGAGACGGCCGCCGCGCTGCTCCTCGGCGAGGACAAGACGGAGATGGAGCGCGGATACCACTGGGCGCAAGATGCATATGTCGGCCCGTCGACGTCGGAGCAGAAGGCGATCGCCGACTCGGAAACGAGCACTGGCACGGACCAGCGCCTGGTCCAGACGAACGTCCCGCGGAAACACCGGCGGCGGTAGCAATCACTGATTGCCTTCTAGGCTGTGCCCGTCCATTGTCCGCCTTTTCTGCCACGCCTCACTCATGCTCATGAGGACCGCCCTTTTCATTCGGGGGATGACTGCCACTCTGGGTAGCGACTCGTCTCTGTCTGTCCAGCATGTGTCCAGTTGTCTCATCGCATTTTTACGCACGCGCTACTGCTGTGTCGCTCGGATGGATGGCTGTTGTCCCTGTACATCTTACCAAGCTGTTTATTCGTGTGGCTTGCACGGACTGCAGCGCCTCGTCGCTCTGTACTACATTAGATATCTCCATTGTCCATACCGGAAAATAACGCTAACGGAGAACGCAAACATGAATGCGGGATAGTAAAAATACACAGTACGACCCATGAGCAAAGCAAATCAACTTAGTATGTCGGGCGATAGCCGTCCAGCAGCAGGGCCGCCTGTGTCGGCCGCCCATCTGGCTCCTTCAAGGGCACACTCGATTTCAGCCGGTTTGTGACTGCCCTGCGGATGGTGCCTTCCCACTCTTGGAACCACTCGCCTTCTCTGAGCCCCACCAGCCTGGCGATGCCCATTGGCGTCTGCATGATGCGATCATCGTGTATAATAGCAGCGGCGCCCGAGAAAGGCGGAGGCGGGAACGGAGGTGGCTGCTCTCCGGGGGTGCCTGCCAGTTGCCATGTCTTCAGGGCATACGCACCGCCGCAGACCTCCCATCGTCCGCCGCCCCTCCGACCAAAGCGCTTGTACAGCCAGATGAAGGGGTATAAGAGCAGGACGAACAGTATGAATTTGAGCCACTTGTTGGACAGTGTACGCGAGAGCCGGTTGTCGGGGCGGACGGTGATCTTCGCGTTGGTCGTGCGGAACTCGACAGCGAACCGACCGGTATAGTACGTGGACTTGATAGCGGCGGAAATGGCGGCTTCTAGGTTGGCGAGGTGCCAGCCGTACACGACCTGTTAGAGTACTCCGCTCAGTGCTACGTTCGGTAATGGTCGCAAATGGCAGCGCGGTGTGTACCTTCTCATAGGTAAATTCCTTGAGCAACTTGTCGGTGGCGCAGTATTCGTCCGCCCACTCCCGAAGTGTCTTCGACGACTTGAGGACAGATGACTGGTGGGCGAGGAGCCCCGTGTGTGTCGCGTCGGTGCCCTCATCTATTGCAGCCCATGGTGGCAATCCCCTCGCTCGCTTCTCCTTCTGGCAAGCGGCTGCGGCTTTGATGTCTCTCTTCGCCGCCTTCCGCCGTGCCAATGGCGAGCCGCCCTCGAGGGCTATGCCGCTAATGAGCCTCTCAGAAGGAACGTCCACCTCCTTGACCATGCCGCCCCTGTACGCTGGCTCCTCGTCAGGAAGACTCCAGTGAACAGGGCGAGAAGCGATGTGCTGCCCAACATCGATATCAAAGTCGAAATCTGTGCAGTGTTCACACAATAAGTCGGTGAACCGATGCGCGAAAAAGAAAACTGGGCCTCAGACCTGTGACTTCTTCAGTATAGTGCTCTTCGACCATGTGGTAGTGCCCATCCTTGTCCCTGGAGCTGACCGAGCGTGTCCGGCTCTCAGTATGCGTCCCTCGGAGATGGACGCGCACAGTAGGGGGCGTCAGGGAGTGCGACAGCAGGAAACGATACAGTGCCTCGCCTGTGATGGACCAGAGGGCTCGTCAGACCCATCTAAGCGTCGATCCTTCGGGCACTCACCATCCTCGTTCAAGTGCCGGTCGTGCGAGACAATGTCCCCGTCGCTCCCCGAGACGAAATACTCCGCCTCGTACGGCGTGAACTCGGGCGGTGGTTCCTCACCGCCCTGCGGGATGAACACATCCGGCGTGCCGAATTGGCTGTAGCTCGGGGCCAATGCGCCAGTGCTCTCCGCGAAGCTTGGCGGGGCAACGGGAGCCGTCGAAGGGCCACCCTGGGGCGGCCCTTCGTCAGAATCTTTCGCGTCCGGGTCCTTAATGATCATCGCGGTTGGTACAGAGCCGCACGCTGCACGAGCTCGCGAGTAAACACGCGTATCAGAGGTAGCAGGCAGACATCCTGCATACGCGCAGAGATATATGAGAGGCCATATGTGGACTCGTTCATCAAATCTTACGCCTGCGACGAATAGCCTCGGTCGCGCATGCGCAGTTCTGAGCTGGCCCGAGTCAATAGGGCCGACGGGCCACGTACGCAGATCTACGTGTGCCAGTCACAGTACAGCGCGCAGCCACTCTCCTGACGAGAAGCAGCGGAGATCATATAGAAGGACATCCAATCCATGAGACAGATTAGATACGGTAACAACAGATGCGAGACGCAGAGCGCAAAGTCCTGGGCAAGTTAAGCTACCTACAGTACGCGAGTGTCTAGAGTCCGCGCGAGTCGTGAGGGTCGTGTACGTGTGTAAGTATGCAACGTCCGACGACATGGGCTATCGTAGTGCGTGATCAAAAGGTCAAAAGAATGCAAGGAAAGCAGCGTTACAGGGGTCACCACGAGAAGCGTCCGAGCCATAGCAAATACACATGCAGTCGTTTTCGGGGGCGCCAGGGCGATTTGACGCTTCAAGCATATCGAGACGGCGCTCGCGAGACGTCGCCGCCCAGACTGGCACCATCAGGCAGGTTTCGCACCTGGAAATGTGGTTAATCCTACAGTCACAACTGAAAGGATCAGGCAATCACAACTCACCTCCAACGCAGGCCTCGACGTCGATGGCTCATCAGTCTGATCATCCATTGCCATTGAGTACACCGAGGACGTCATCGAGTCCCTTACGCCCGCCGATGTCTCGCCTGGGTCTTGATGCTCTGGTGTCTGTACAGTCTTCAGCAGCCGCTGTGGATTCCTCGGGGGCACAGTGAAAATATCGCCACTGCTCGAGTTCAACGCCGCGCTCGGCATCGCAGGTGTCGTTCCCTCGCTGCCGGCACGCATACCGCCAAGGAGCAGATCATGGCTACTTCCACTCGCGTGCGCCATGTGCCCCAAACCGACAGAGCTCGTGCTCTCGCTGCGCGTGCTGTGGCTGTGGCCGTGGTTCGAGTGTCCCGCATACACGGCCGCGAGCGGCGGACTGCTCGTCCGCGCAGGCGCGTACCCATCATTCCGTGACATTCCGAGTGAAGCCGCCGGCGGCGGGTGAATGGTCCCATAGGCCGCATACGGGTCGAATTCTCCGTCGTGCGCAGCCTCGGGGCCTGCTGCAGGGTCGTCCATATATGCAGACGGCGGCCGACCACCCGTAGCACTAGGCAGAGAACTCACGGTGTCACGGAATGGGTTGCCAGAGACCTCCGAGCCATCTCGTTGTCTCATTCGTGGGCCACCGAAATCGTCACCATCCAGAGGCGTGCGGTTGAATCCAGCCGCCGCAAGCGTCGACGCAACCGTGGTGTCGTGTTCCATTCTTCTGGTGCTACGTCGCCTCCTGATGAAGAAGAACAGGAACAAGAGAATTGATGCCGCAGCCAGTCCCACTATGAGGAATACGCCAGCGACAGCGCCTTTATTACGGAAGAACCTGTCCAGTACTGTTAGGCGAGACCGTCAATATACCAAAGTCCCCATTGACTTACTGCGATGTTGCGAGATCGGAAGTCCCGTCCCCGCTCAAAGGAGTAGGATTTGCCACAACAATCGTAACGTAGCTTGGACCATTACTTCCAGTTATCATCGACGTCTCCGTAATGAGTGGAGGAGCCGATGTCACTGTGTGACCCTGACTGTTGGTTGTGGTAATGTACACAGTGGACTGGAATGTGGTCCTATAAACGTTGGTGCAAGTCAGGTCGTGGCAGCTGTGTGAATCTTATGCGCAGAACTTACGTAGCCTCTGGCTGACTGGAAGACGATGCTGGCGAGGAATTGCCATTTACACTACTTGTCGAAGGCGTGGATGACGTTGTTTGGCTGGGCGAATTCGACGATCCTGAGGGCGAAGGAGAAAAAGCTGGAGGCGACGAGGAGGTCGGCGTCTGCGAAGGAGACGGTGAGCTCGAAGTGGTGTCAAAATTCTGGTCGGATAGTGAAGTGGATGACGCCGAGGAAGAAGACGGTGGAGATGACGAAGTCGTCGGGGTCTGCGATGGGGTAGTGGACGCCTCCGTCGACGAATGTTCTGTTGACGATTGCTGTGTAGACGAAGGGGTTGACGAGGGCGTCGTCGACGGGGTGGGTGTCGTGGAAGCCTGGGTCGAGCTCGGGGTCGTGGACGACTGCTGCGAGGTCGAGCTGTCCGACGTCGGCGAGGACGAGGCAGTGGTTGAGGAGTCTACAAAATCCGATCGAGAAGACGCGCGGGACGCCACCGACGCTGTGTTAGTTGCCGAGGACATGGGGGCTGAACTACTACCACCTTCGGTCGACGTAGGGTGCGAGGAAGACGTATTTGCAGACCTAGGGGCCACCATTAACACCTCGCAAGTAATGCGCGTAAAACTACATGTAACTCACGCTGTATCAGAGGCTTGGGTGGTCTGCGCAGACGAGTGCTCCGTGGTCGCTGAATCCGATGCGGTCGGGGACGAAGCGGACTGGGCTTGAGACGCTGTGGGGCTCGATGATGCAGTAGCAGCGATAGAGGACATAGAGCCCGTGCTCAAACTAGGAGTCGCAGAGCCCGTGTCCGTGTGAGTTGAGTCGGTGTGAGAAACTGCCGATGCAGACGCAGTATTGGAGTTATTGTCAGCAGTCGTGGACGCAGAATCCGTTGGCGAGTTTGACGTTGCCGTCACAGGAGCACTTGCAGTGGGAGCAGAGGCTGAAATAGACCGGGGGAATTAGATGGACGGTTCCACAGGGGTGCGACTGCGCGACGTAGAGCAAGCCGGGCGACTGCATAGACTGCCCAACGCTGCGCCTATACGCAAGCGACGCGTCTTGTGAGTGACTGAGAGCAGGTTGCGCTCAGGACTCGACCAGGCAATTGAGCGGGCGGAGAGACGAGGCTGGACTCGGCAACACGAGGCGCAACGCGGCGAGGGGGTGCGGGCATGGTGAGAGAGGGGTGAGACGCTTACCTGAAGTAACCTGGATGACGCTGGATGATTGCCTCCTCTCATGGACTCGAGTTGAAGCCATGAACTAGAGAGTGCGCATGAGGGGGAACGAAAAGCAGATCATGGCGAAATAATAAATGCGCAGAGGGAGCGAGCGATAGGGCAACGCGACCGGCACAAAACTTATCAAAACCAACGGGAGGCCCGTTTACATGCGGTGCCATGCATTATCGTCATCGGCTGCCCCCGCCGCCCTCATTGCTCCATACCGCCCGTCCGTCTCTTCACAACAACGGCCACTCATCCCCGCTATCTAATGCGCAATAATTTGGCTGCAGCTCCAAACACCATCAACAGCATATTGCTCTCGTCGACAGCGCAAGATCGCGTCTCATAGCTTCACGACGTAACGTACGTCGCACAAATGCCGACAAAGTCTATATGTTGGTAGGTCCGCAGCCGTCTGCATGCAGTGATAAAGTACCGGGGATGGCCGCCGGTCCCTTCAACAGAACCTTCCACTCCGCTGCAGCGTCTGAGCAATAAGCAAATCATAAGCTTGCATCAGAGGGAACGAATGTCAGATTTCCAGGGTCTGCCGTATACATCGTACAGATATGGAGTACATGGGTGACGGTGATTAGGGAAAAGATAAACTGCGGCAATCACGCGGCAATGTATGCGTAGAGAAATCTAGAGATGAGCAGAAAGCACGAGTGTATGAGAAGGTCACCAGCGAGATACACATGAGGAAGATGCTCGAGCGACAGGCCGTCTGCAGAATCCAGGCTAAGTACATCCAGAAAAGGCAACGGAATGCTGTTTGGGCATTAACCGTGAGGTATCATATATCGTCACCTAAGATTTTATAGGTAAGTCATGACGACAGCTTTCGCAGAGTGACTTACAGATCCATTGCAACAGGTCGTGAGAGTCCGTCATAGGGCCGTCAGGTAATGGAGATCAACAACACTTTCCGCCTTTGCCGGGGAGTCGAAGTTTCACGGTGCTGCGCCGGCGCGTGCCACTGAGACTGCCGAAGCTCAGTCGGCTCGAGCTATTGACGCGTCGGAGCGCTCGATCGCCGTAACTGACACCACTTCCCGCTTTCTCGGGGTCCAGGATGCCAGACTCTATTGCAAGCAGTATAGACCGCGCGCAAAGGAGAAAGGGTGCCTCGATGTTATCTCCCGTCAATGATGACGCTTCAAGGAAGTGGACGTCTATTATCGAGACGTGAGAGAGCAGTTAGGCATGCGTCAGGAACACAGGGGAAATCCACACACCATTGTCCGCGGCCCATTTACTCGCCTCCGCCCATTCGACCTCGCGGTCTTCTTCTCGGTCCGACTTGTTGCCCACCAAGACTGTGACCAGATGTGGACTTGCTAGCGCCCTCGCATCCGCCAGCCATCGAGAGAGGTTCGCGAATGATGCGCGGCTACAGCGATGTCCGTGAGCCACATTGGGACATAGTTATGGCGGTAATATGTACCTAGTGATGTCATAAACGAGGATTGCTCCGGCCGCTCCTCTATAGTAACTCCGTGTAACAGACCTACAATCATGTTACTCGTCACAAAGTGAACTGTCAGGACAAGATAGAGAACCCCACCTGAATCGCTCCTGGCCTGCGGTATCCCATAGCTGCAGAACGGGTCAGACGAATACAGTACTACAGCAGGGGGATAAAGGCGCACTTGTAACTTGATGCGCTTCTCCCCCAATTTGATTGTTCGGCTGGAGAACTCAACACCGATGGTATGTTGAGAATGGTCCTTGACTACGGGTCATGAACGCGTTGTTCAACCTCGACCAAATGCTGCATGCGCACATGTATTGTGTGTGAACTGGTGCAGCAAGCACGACTTTCCCGTTGCAGCCTCTCCTGCCTAAGCGTTCAGCATCGTGCGCACGCGCGGAGAACACCATGGCCAATACACACCAATGATAATGTATTTCATCAGAAAGTCTAGCACGCACAGCCCGTGAGCAGCGGTCTCGGACAAACTCTGAGGGCATACCATATGTTTCCATAAGCTCCGTCGCGTCGTCATCGTAGTCGCCGACAGGCATTGTGATAGACTGAAGTCGAAGCAGACGAGCAGGACCGTTGCAGCGCCGGCGCAAGGTCCAGAGTCGTGAGCGAGCGCCGACCAGGCGCCCTCGACGGATTCAGATAGGCACGTGCTGTGCGCGTCACTCTTCCCCAGCTTGCTGTCTCTGAGTCTGACCGCTGTTCTTGCTCAGACCATATCGTCTCTGTCTCCTGGGCCATTCAATAGCGGTCGTGTCTGGCTATTTACTTGAACTATACATAATATCGGGTATACATGCACTACTAAGGCTACAGTCCTTCACCATCCCTTCCACGGCACCCACACGTCCTCCACCATCTCTCCTTTGCTTGGCATGTCCGAATCTACAACATAGTACCATGGATACGCAGCTAGTATGAGGCACGCGTGCTGTCCGACCACCTGGATGATCTCCCCGACCTGCAGCTTATCCCGCGCGGTCTGTCGGGCGGGCCTCAGCTGCGTCAAGACTCCGTGCTCCTGAGAGATCCGGCTAAGCCGCCATGGCCGTCCGACCACCTCACCGAATCCGTCAATCGGCCCAGTGTCTTTGCTCAAGGCAATGGATCCAGCATCGCACAGCGCCTCGTCGGTCCCGCCCTCGCCACGACCAGGGTAATATGAGATGACTGTGGCCAAGACGCGCTGCGCTACGCGATTTGTGTCGACTAAGCCGGTGTGCAACTGCTGCAAGTCGAGGAGGGGATAGTTCCCTGCATCGTATTGTCAAATTTCAAAGTCGTTCCACAACAGATGAACCGACGTACCTGCGTGGATCTCAAGTCGGCCGTTCAGGTGAGTCGCTAACCGGGCGCGCGTCTCTGCTGTGGCAGCATGGGCTGTAGGGGTGGAACCGATAGCTAGGACGAATGGCTCGCGCGGCGGCGCATTCGGCGTCCCTGCCAGAATGGAGAGCGCCAGACCTGCTGCCTGGTTGACAGACTCGATTTCTTTTGTCAAGTACACTGCCGCCTCTGGCATAGACTTCGATCCATATGAATGGCCGCCATGGCTGTAGAACCCATACACGGAGATCACAGGGGAGCAGAAGAGCGCCATGAGGAGGTTCTCGAACAGCTGCGACGATGGCTCAAGACCCGCACGTCTGTACGGAATGTCATTGGCTGCTGGGATCGTCGCAAGCAGAACAGGGCGCACTTGTGTCCACAGTCGACTTTCACGAACACAGACCACCGTCGAGGATTTGGCCGCTGCTTCTCAAAGATTTCCAAGAATCTGATTTGGTCCGGATGATCAATTAGAATCCGGAGATGTGCATCAAACGCTGCGATCTCCTCCCACAATGAGGAGAGGTCCTGGACTTTGTTAAGAGCTACAGGAAGCCCATATAAGATCTACGGGCGGTCAGTCTTGGTACGAAGAGGGGGTGGGGTACGTACATCCTTGACCGTGCCATCAGCAACAAGTCCGTCCCTGATGACCTCGCATGCTTCCATGACTGTAGAGACTACGATCGCATGTGTCTGGTCCACTAACGAGACCAACTGCAATCGCGTGCCTTCTGATGTCTGTCGATTTGGCTCAGTCCGGACGACCAATCCTTATGTGTCTCCCTCACCTTGTGCGATTTGACATGAGCCCTGAAAGTTGCACCCCACTGTTTTGCGTTCTCGTGCATAAGCGCACAGTTCTTCGCGAACAGGGCGCGATCTATGACGACCGCAGGGGTCCGGATGGCATGGAGCGGCTTGCCCTTGTACTCGTCGACGAGCTCCTGCTTCTCGGGCTTTGCGCTGATGTGGAAGGGTGTCTTCGTCTGGACAGTGACGACCGACATCCTGCCAGTTTGCTTCTTTGGCGTTTGGGGGGGCGACAGGAGACTGCGGCGTCGGATGAGTACTGGTCGAGCATTCCCTCTCCGCACGCTATCATCCGAATCGATACTGACGATGTGTCGTCGTCACATGACCTCTGAATCCGCCGCCGCTTATCCGAAGTCCGGGCTCTTGGAGCACCATCAGCTTCTCCCCCGCAACTCCCTTTATGGCCTATGGCAAGCCCACAGTTTCTTGCACAATGTCACGGGTCCAAGATAGAGATACCAGATACCACACTCTAACTATAGCGGAACACTGCCCACAGATCTCATGTTCATACAGGATATACATTGAGTTGCCCTTTGTGCCTCACGGTTCACCCAGCGATCGTACTAGTCCTGCCATGAGTGAAACTCAACGCACAGTCCACCAACCCATTCACCCCGACATAGCGGGCAGGTTGGACCCGGAATACGCCAAGTTTCACAATGCCAACTCCGCGTATCTTGTCCCTCTGCACCTTCAGTCATGGGATCCTGCAGTGCGTCAGAAACCTGCCATCCTAGGTGGCTCCGATCCCCTCAAGGTCGGCGATGTCAAGGATCTGTCTTTGGGTAAGTATGCGATTCGGGTCTTCACACCAGAAACCTCGGCTCCGGTGCCAGGATGGCCTGTGCTGCTCTATTTCCATGGAGGCGCGTGCACGTTGTCAAATGAATTAAACGGCTGCTTACTGCCGCGCACAGGAGGCTGGACGTTGGGCAATATCAGTACCCAAAACGCTTTCTGCACTCATATGTGCAAGCGTACGTCTCCCGTCCACATGCCACACACATACCAATGGCAGATGTCCTACTATATTCAGGCGCAAGCTGCGTTGTAGTTGCGGTTGATTATCGGCTGGCGCCAGAAAATCCATACCCCGCTGCCGTAGAGGACGCGATAGAGGCCCTCGGCTGGGTCTATCAGAATGGCAAGGCTCAGCTGAACGCCGACGTCACCAAGATTGCAGTTGGCGGTTCGTCCAGGTATATCACTGTATTGCTCGTTGCTTGAAAACGCAAATGACACTTCGGCAGCGGTGCCAATTTAGCCGCGGTCCTCACTCACAAGGCGGCGCTCGCGGATCCTCCTATTCCTCTCGCCTTCCAGCTTTTGGTGGTCCCTGTTATCGACAATACGGCGACGACATCGGGTGTTCCCTACAAGTCTTGGGCTGAGAATCAGAACACCATCGGGCTCAGCGTCGGCAGGATGCTTTGGTTCCGGGACTATTACTTGCCGAATGAAAAAGATCGCCTGGCATGGGAGAGCTCCCCCATTTTCGCTCCAGAAGAGTCGTTCAGGAAGGCGCCGCCAGCCTGGATTGCCGCCGCCGAGCTCGACATTCTGAGGGACGAGGCCATCGTCTATGGCGAGAAATTACAGGAGGCCGGTGTGGATGTAGAAATTAAGATATACAAGGGCGCTCCTCACCCGATCATGTCTATGGACGGTGCGTCTACAGCCTGCATACTTACGGGGAAATAGAACTCATGACCACTCACAATTTGATAAAATCTCATCTCATGACGGGTCATCAGGGTGAATATTGCGGTCTACTAACCTGACAGGCACAAGCTAACTTCTGCTATCCAGAGTGCTTGCAATTGGTAGACAGCTCGTGTCGGACGCTGCTGATGCTTTGGGTAGAGCCTTTGAAACGCTCTGAGTTTTTGTGATAGTGATTCTCGTGATTGTGCAAACTATGCATCGAGAGCCATGCATGTCTCCTGGGCCCCACGAATCATTCTCACAAAAAATTACTATGTCCTTTTAGCAGGTCATCATTGCTTTTACATGATGCGATTGTATATACTCTTCGCTTGTTCGATGCCGCTTGTTCGTTCACGCAAAAGCTCTCCGCCACTTCGTCCGATTTCTGAATGTATGTACCCACCTTATTCACATCCAGAGTACCGGACGCAACACACTTTTAGCGACGGACTCGAGGCCTATTTTCGCGCCTGAGTCCTCTCATTCTCCTTTAGTTGATGCAGCGAAAACCTCGGTTATTTCAGGACTTGCTATGATAAAGATCCTTACTGACGGTGTCGGTCCCCTGCATGGCGGGCCATAGCCAAGAATTAAACAGCTGCAGTGGCATGCCATCCGTATCCATATATAACTAGCCACGCGGGCCGACCCTATGGAATGTTACGAACCTTTCATTTCGTACGCTTTCTCGGATCATACAGACCTTATTACTTACTTTGCTTCTTATGTTTCCATATATAGTATCTATTACTTACACATGTGTTCTTCATGTATGCCTATCTTTCTCTTCACAGATATGCCTATTTCACTATCTGTAGTCATATGTAGTTCGTCATGTAGTTCACGCAATATATAAGCAGACTGAAGCTGAGGGCAATCCTCAGTCTTCAGTTGGCACTTTCAACGCTAAAACCTAGCCGTGTCATGGAACGACTCGGTTACGGAGAGAGCCAGGAAGCTGCAGGAACGTCCTGAGTCATGAGTCTTGAGATTCGCTCGAGATACCGGATTCCAGCGATCTGGGGCTTATCCACCGGCCCTGGGTCTCAAGCAGCCTCTTAAGAGACGCAAGTTATCCATCGTCGCATCTACACCTTCGACGTCCCCGAACCCGCTGAACGACTACTAGCCATGGCCGAGACTGAGCGCCAGATCCACCAACCCATCCATCCCGACATCGCAGACAAGTTGGATCCCGAATACGCAGCCTTTCATAATGCTAACAACCTACACGTCGTCCCGCTGCATCTGAAGCCTTGGGACCCGGCTGTGCGCAATGGACCGCCCGTGGCAGGCGGCGCAGAGCCCTTGAAAGTCGGCGATGTGAAGGATCTGTCCTTGAGCAAGTGCTCGATGCGAGTCTTCACACCGGAAGGTTCTGCTCCAGAGCCTGGATGGCCTGTATTACTATATTTCCACGGGGGTGATTCTCGGATTCACTATTGCTCGGATGATGATCATTGAGATTTGACTATGCACAGGCGGATGGACTCTAGGGAATATCAACACCGAAGGCTCCTTCTGCACTAACATGTGCAAGCGTGAGCCTGTCTACCGTCTCGATACTGCTCAAGACCGACGCTGATCTTCCGAATCAGACGCGAGCAGTGTTGTAATATCAGTCGACTACCGTCTGGCGCCAGAAAATCCATACCCTGCTGCAGTTGAAGACGCGGTAGAGGCTCTTCACTGGGTATACCAAAACGGCAAGGCCCAGCTCAACGTCGATGTCAGCAAGATCGCTGTCGGGGGATCGTCCAGGCACGTCAGCAGAATTAGTATGTCGGACGATGCTCACCTTCTGGCAGCGGTGGCAATTTGGCTGCGATACTCGCACACAAGGCCGCACTCGCGGAGCCCCCCATCCCACTCACCTTGCAACTCCTTGTTGTACCTGTCACCGATAACACGGCGACGACATCGGGTGTGCCGTACAAGTCGTGGGCCGAGAATCAAAACACGGTTGCGCTATCTCCTGGCAGGATGTTGTGGTTCCGGGATTGCTACTTACCGAACGAGCAAGATCGCCTGGCTTGGGAGAGCTCACCCATCTTTGCCCCAGAGGAGCTGTTCAAGAAGGCTCCCAAGGCGTGGATTGGCGTATGCGAACTTGATGTACTCAGAGACGAAGGCATCGCGTACGGTGAAAAGCTACAGAAAGCCGGTGTTGATGTCGAAATCAAGGTGTATAAGGGCGCGCCCCACCCGGTCATGGCTATGGACGGTGCGTCGACGTGTGACCTAAACAATCATTACCGTGTTCACTAATGGTAACTGTCGCTCACGGCGGGGATGTGGACTGTTTAGGGTGAGTTACATGCACCTATTCGCTAGAACACATGCTGACCTCGATCTGATAGTGTTCTCGCAGTAGGTCGGAAGTTGGTATCCGACGCTTCGCATGCGCTTCATAAAGCATTTAGTTTGGTCTGAACCTGTATTGGAATATAACTGCGCGTGAAACAGATTTACAAGGGGTGAACGTTGTGCACAGTACACCTACACACATGCCCTCTGACGCGTGGGTCCCTACATCTTCGCCAGCCGCGATTGTAGCAGAAGTGGGTGACCGTTACGCAGTCACCAGCACGATGTAGTGTATAAAGGCAGACATTGGACTGATCAACACGATAACCACTGGCTCCATGAGCCGTGCGGCAATTATCCTGAAACCATGCATAAGTTTGCAGGACGCTGAGTCAGACCTGTCGTACTGTTTGAAATACTCATATTCAGAGCGCATTCTGAGTACGTGCAAATGGACACCGCCGTAGGGACTCTGCGGATTCTCGCGCCCTAGCCCCACAGGTTACTTAGTAGAATCCTGGAGTACGGATGGGAACATCACCTAGCTGCATTGACAATTGCATGATGGCCACCATGTAGCCTACGTGCAGCTTTCGAATAACGCGAGCAATGGGGTGCGCCTACGAGTCAAAACATAATGCTCCTACACTGACCACACGCTTACGTGGCAATTTGCTGGGTCGCTCATTCGCGTTCGGACTCTATCGCAAAGAAAGAATAGGTTGAGAGGCCATAGACAGGTAGCATTCATGTAAGCATCAGTAGTAGACCTGCCTATGCAATGACCCAATATGTGCTGAGATCGCTTAGAGCGATAGCGGGATCTGTAGCATATCATGAATTGAGAGAAGACAAAATCTGGAGACTCGAAGCATCATGATGTTACATATGAGTTTTTCCCCTGTCGCAAAACAGACATTCAGCAAGCGCAACCACGATAACCAGTAGAGCTTGTGCTTCTGTGTTACGGTGCTTATTGATGGGCTTGCATAATAGCATCTGATATGAAATTAGCCGAGACTTGATTGCCGCCAAACCAACGTCCGTTGAGGCCTTGAATTGCATTCTTGGCAGAGTCGATGGAGTCGAATTTTACATATATCTCACCCTGGTTAAGCTTGATTAGCGCACGCTCGGCAGATGTAAGAGGATAGTAGACCTGGGATTCCTTCTCCACCTTGATAGCTTCAACCTTGCCGTACTTGTATTCGCACTCGCCCTTGACGTCTTCAGCAAGATCTTTGTCCCAGTCCTTCTCGGTCTCACTAAAAAATAACAAATATAAACATAACGTCGACTGAGAGTGAGCTAACACGTACTTCTCAGGGTCAAACATATTCTTCAGCAGAACCGATCTAGACTGCATCTGTTGAGGAATGTTGGGTTTCATGCTGCAAAACCATGAATCAGCTGCAACATAGCACGGCCATTTTAGACGCTTACATCGGCTGAGGACGAGTTGAGGGTTGATCAGTTCTGGCTAATTTCTGCATCAGCGCCTGTCGAGAAGCTGCATTCAAGTTACCACCTGCAATACAATCAGCATAAATGTAAGTGCGAAGACCAAGTCTCCTCACCGCCGGCCTCGTCCAAGGAGTCCTGCTGGGTGTACTTCACACTTCCTTTCTCGTGTACGGTGTTGACACGGAGCTGTTTACTAAATGTGAGACGTGACACAAGCGAATCGCCACTGGGACGTACAGTGCGCCCAGCAAGCTCGAATCCTTCCATTTGCTCAAGTGCCATTCTAGCATCCTCTGCTCGCTTGTATCTGCACGCACAAGTTCGGCGGGTCAGTTGCAACTCGTCGCTCGAAGCATATCAACTTACTGAACGAACGCGTAACCTTTGCTGCGGCCGGTCTGTGGGTCTCTGTGAAGATCGACGAATTCAAGTTCGCCAAACGGCTCAAAGACCTGCTTGATGTCGGATTCCGTGAGGTTGAAATGTAAAGAACCAACGTATAGCCTATGATGGGAGGCGAATTAATGACATTACTATCGTCGCAATTGAATATGACTGACTGCATGCCGCCATGAGGAGCGCTGACCCCAGGTGGCAAGTTCAAGTTGCTGTAAGCGCGCAGGATAAGTGGGTTGGGGGAGAATGAGTTAGTGTTTGCTACATACCCATCGCCAGGGTGGAGCCTATTCCTCTCAGCTTCTGTGTGCTGGATCTGGATGGGAAGACCCATGACAATTGTTCCACTGAGGGAAATAGCCTTGTCAACAAGTTCAATTGAGCGGAATTCTACATAACCGATCCTGAAGTGGCGATCAGCTTGGAGACAAACGAACAATAACAAATGCATCGGCACTCACCCCTTAGAACGCCTGGAAATCCTGTCAGTCACGATACGTGAATCCATGACGGTGCCTTCGCCAAGTTTCTCTTCGAAGAAGTAGCCCAGGTCACGAGCGGTAAGTCGTGCGGCAAGCTGTGAGACAAATACAGACCGGGCTTCAGAGTCGTCCTCCCTTGGTTCATCAGGGTTCATGGGATCATCTATCGGGAGATCATACGAAGGAGAGGGACGTCTGGAAATATAGACGTGAAGCGGCTCAAGGACCAGGGGGAAAGTAGGTACTCACCTCACTGGAGGCGTTTTGGGATCCAGGCGGTCATCCAGGGGCACAGAAGGCCCACGACTTTGCCTAGGCTCGCGCTCACGATCTCTGTCGCGTCGATAGCGGGTCATGTCGTCGAAATCATCGCGGGGATCACGCGGTCTGGAGGACCTGCGGTCGATGGAGCGGTCTCTGCGACGGCGGGGGCTATCGGCCAAAGGCGGTGGAGGTGGAGGCAGTCCTGCAGACGGTGGAGGTGCGGGAAGGGAAGACTCTTCCGGACCATCGTCGTGTCGCTTCCTCTTGGAGCGCTCGTCAACGCCCCGAGTGTCGGGACCGTCGTCCAAGTCATCCCCGCGCTTTCTACGCCTATCCCGCTCATCGCGGTCGCGGTGGCTGTGCCGACTTTCAGCTCTTTCTCGGTCTGAGCGATGGCGTTCCCCGTCGCGATCTCTGCGCCTCTCGCGGTCCCTGTCGAGGTCCCGGTCCTTGTATTTGTCGCGGGAGCGTTCACGTTTGTCGCGAACGCGACGTTCATCATGTTCATCACGCTCTCGTCGCCTCTCGCGGCGTTCTCTCTCCCTATCCTTGTCTCGGGACCGTGAACGGTGTGAACGACGAGTACGATGTGTGTCAGTCGAGTGATTGCGGGAACTATAGGTGGCCATGAGGGACTCATAGTTGTGCACAAATAAACACTTACGACTTGGATTTCCTGTCGGGCGACCTCTCCCTATCTACATCCATCTTTCCGTTAGGCGAAGTCATTGTTCGTGACTGGGGGTTGATGACGACCGAAGAAGTTTTTGGACCGAAGAGGCAAGAACACCGGTGAACAAGCCAAACGACTACACAGTCACGGTCACACAAGTATGCATCACAGTGCAGTTGTGTGTCGCTTGTGATTCCCGTGACACGCTTGTTTTAGTCGTTGCGTGACTATCGGTTGGATGAGCCAGGAGACATGAATCAAATCCTGACATCATATTTGTACACGATTTTCCTGGTATTCTACTGCATCCAACGTTCTATACGATGGCTCTAGAGAAGATCCGCCAATCGAGCTCGCACTCGTTTCTCCGCCTTGACGAGCTCCAACTCGTCCGACTTCTTGTACAACTGGTTCAACGGGTTCTCGTCGCCTTCCTTCTCAAGGTCCAGCTCAATTTTGCTGAATGCAGCGCAGAACTTGCCGTTGAGAATCTGCACGACATAGGGCATGAGTAGGGTGTCGCCATGTGGTTCTGCATGCATCAGCAGACCTGGTTGTACAAGATGTTCTTGAAGTGTTCGCGTGTACTGGTCCCGTCGAGGGCTTGCGCACCGCTCAACTGACCGTATTGTGAGACCGTGGAGTGGTGCTTGAGCTGCACAGATAGGATGGAAAATCAATCACAAAATCGTTCCAGAAATGAACCACTCGAACCTGGGCAACAAAGCCGTCCTCTGCTGCGCGCTCGAAGATCTCAGCGGGCTCTTTTGACATCCACCTAGAGAATTATTAACTCCTGCCCTCACCTTGTGACCTTGAACTCACATCTCGTAGCAGAGTGCCTCGTCCGAGCATCCAGCTTCTTTCAAGAGATTGAAGGCCTCCCTATTGACAGCGACAATCGTCGTTAACCCTGTCCATGCGTAAAGGAATGGCACATACGTGAACAGCATGATGATGTTCGGCCAGAGCGCCTGCTCGGCGAACAAGTCCATAGCAGTCTCTTCATAGACGGATGACGCGATGGCTCCTGCCTTCGTCGCACCGATGGCACGGGACAGCGCAAGCGCAGACTCAAGGCCTTTGCCCGTGCCATTCTGCTCGACGGAAACGAAGCAGGGGAATCCTTGGCCCTTAACATACAGACTCCGCACAGACGAGCCGATCATCCTAGGGTTTGGTGAGCATGTCAATGGTCGTCGATTGGTTTATTAGACACAAACCTGGGCGCAACCATGACAACGTCTTGCGAGGGCTTGAATTTCAACAGTTTGAAAAACACATTATAGCCACTTGCAACCACAATTGTCACATCGTCCTTTAGGTTGGGGGCAAATTGTTCGTTGAAGACACGGGGCTGGACCTGGTCCGGGATGAGAATAAAGACAACTAGAAGCAACAAGTCAGATATATGCTTTCAATCCACACAACAAGACATCAACGTACCGTCTGCGACCTTCGCTGCCTTTGCGAAATCGTGCTCGACGGTGTAGCCCTTCGCCCTTGCGTCATCCGCATAGTAATCAACTCGGTTCGCAATGAGGATCTGCTCGTTGGGAATCCCCGTATCGCGCAGATTCTGAGCTTGCGCAGCTCCCTGGTTACCAAAGCTTTACATAAAGACGTTCGGTTAATATTCTCCGGAGTCAGAATGAGGCAGCTTACCCCAGGAAGACGATCTTCTTGCCCGTGAGGACACCGAGATCGGCGTCTGCGTCGTAGTAACTGCAGATTGCGCGATCAGCGAATTGTCTGCACAATAAAGTTCGATGCCCGAAGCTCACATCTTAGCGGAAGGCATGTCAGTGTATGAAACGCGACCGTGGAGGAATCCTAATGCTCATACAAGCTGCGGTCACATATATATATATATATATCTCACTCGACCCCACAACGTCGGAGGACGGGGCCGTATAGCGGGAAATACGACGACCCTACTATTCGTATCGCACATATGACATAGTCACCATGTCTTCCTCGACGAAGGAGCATGTCCCTGTGACACGGAGGCGGAGCACACGGACCGTGTCAAATGTGCAAGAGCACCCTGATGCGAGATATCAATTCTAGACCAAGTAAGAAATATGAACGACCTCCAGCAGGCAGCAATAACCAATTCCGCTCTACGCACCGCATCTCGCCTCGTTCGCCATGGCAGGCTTACTGTCCAACAAAGTGGTATGCATCACCGGGGCGTCTCGCGGAATTGGACGAGCGTGCGCGGTGGAATCTGCAAACCAAGGCGCAACCGGCCTAGTCCTCCATTACCTGGGGGACAAAGAGACGGAGACGGAGGCCCATGAGTTGAAAACGGAGATAGAGACGCGCTTTCCAAACGCTCGCGTCGCAATTGTTCCTGGTGACATCGCAGATCCCGCCACAGCGACGAAGGTGTGCCCATTTCACGTGCTTCGGGCTACAGTCTGACTGTGACTCTGCCACAGACTGTCGAAGTCGGAGTAGGCGCATTTGGACGCATTGGTTAGGATTATGATTCTACTATAGGCTAGTGTTTGCTAACGTCTATTCAAAGATGTACTGGTCAGCAATGCGGGCATTTGCCCGTTCGCTGAATTCCTCACAATGCCGCTCGCTACTTGGGAACGGACACGATCCGTGAACCTTGACGGATCATTCCTGATTGTACAAGGTGCGCGATGGAATCCGCTCTTATTGTGATCACAGGTGTTGAGGGCCAATATCAGCCGTAGCAAACCAAATGAAGAACCAGATCCCACAAGGAGGGTCAATTATCGGCGTATCCTCGATATCTGCCCTGGTCGGTGGCGAGATGCAGTGGTAAGTCTAATAATACTACATATCGCGCCTGGGGCGAAATCTCACTGGCCATATCGCAGCCACTACACGCCCACCAAGGCGGGCATACTATCCCTCATGCAGAGCTGCGCCGTCGCGCTCGGAAAGTACAACATCCGAGCCAACGCAGTCCTCCCAGGGACCATTGAGACGGACATCAATAAGCAAGACCTCTCGGACGCTGTCAAGCGAGAGAACATGATTAAGAGAACAGCTCTAGGACGCCTCGGCCGTGAGCATTCATACTTGACATGTATAGCGCCTCCGAATGACGCCATCTCCCACAGGGCCTGACGACCTCGCCGGTCCAGTTGTGTTCCTCGCCAGCGATCTGGCGAAGTACGTCACAGGGGCATCGCTGCTCGTAGATGGGGGGCTCTTCGTGAATCTTCAATAGAGGAGAAAATCGCTCACCCATAAGGAGTGTTTGTATCAAAGTAAATCTTCATTCTATTCTTGCTTGCATTCAATCGAAGTGTGCGAACCAGGGTCACAAGCTTATTACGAACGTCAAATTGTTTATCATCACAGGGTCTACCCTTACAGGTCGCGGGCCCCCTCAGAATGCACTGCTTATCCTCCGCCTTCGCGCGGGTCACCGCCGGACCTCCATAGGCAGAGGGATGCCATTTATCACAGCCGGCTTCGCGTCCACCAATACGGTCACCCAGCGGGCCCAACCAGGTCCTGGGTTCTTCCAAGCATGCATTGTGCCCCGCTGGATAACGATGTCCCCCGGCGTTTCGAACTTTGTCTCTGTTCCATCTTCCATAATCAGCACGAGCTTGCCCTGGACTGTAAGGGATCAAAACTGAGCCCGTCCTCCTGTTGCATCATGGCGGGAATTTCAGCACCCACTCAAGATGTTATAATCCAAGGACGATGTCTGGTGCTGAATGCGTCAATGTTATATAGCGTTGTCCACACGTACATGAGCGCACGCTGCACGTACCATAGCGGCTAACGCTCCAGGTGCTAGATCCGTATATCTCAAGACCGTGCCATTGTGCATCACAATACCCAAATCGCTATCAGGCTGCCTTGCAGCGCCGTCCACACTATCGTAGACATCGTGACCTAAGCAACAGCGCCGCCAAGACAGCTACCAATACTTACTCGCTGTTGTTATCTCCAGTAGGTGTCGCCTCCGTCACCCAAATATTGTTTCCCCAGACGCCAGGGAACGCCGGCGACTCCTGCGCACCCGCGAGTATATATCAAATTCGACGCCACATATGAGAGCGAAAATGTAATTCACACTCGACGGAAGCAAATCGTCGCTCCGGACGCACGCGGTACCGCAATCGTCATGACCGGTTACGGCACGGCGCAGATCAGCAGGTGGAGGCGGGGGATCAGCAGACAGCGCCATCAAGGCCGGGAGGAGATGCGGGCACTACCCCAGACAGTTGTGCCAGTCTTAATGGCGAGCACATAGAGACACGCGTATTTCAGTTGACGTAGACCGTCCAGGCGTGCTAATCACATATGGACACCTGAAGAATGCCCATAGTGCTACCGCCCTATCCACCTTCACGTGGGCATAGACGAAAATCAACGTGTGGTCGATGCGCCGCCTGACCGCCCAATTCACAGGATGCAGAGCGCGGACCGTCGCTGTCCGGGCCGTCGCGGGGAGTCCGTTCATGTCATCATGGTCTCTCGAGCAGCGGTCCGGATGAATCCATGGAATAGACTAGCGCGAATAGTACACGAGCACCAAGCAAACTGGGAGCACCAGACAAAGGCTGCAAGAAAGGTACACCGAATTAGGGAGCAGTATCTGGAGACAAGATTCAGTGTCGATTAGATGTGCAGGAGTACGTTACTCACAATAATAGTATTCATCAATCAATGGAATCCAGTCGCGAATGAATGCACCGACAACGCCCAACAGCGGAGCACGAGCGGTACCGCTTGCGAACGCCTCGAGCTTGGGCCTGTACCACAGTTGAGAACATGATCATCGCGAAATAATCTGCCACTCACTTCGACCAAGTCTTCCAGATAGACCCGCGCAACAGATACCACACGATGTCTTTGTCCCTAGAGGCATATTCTGAGCGCTCGAGGGGCGCCGATCGGGCAGGCACGCGACGCAGATTGCGCGAAACGAATTCCAATGCAAGAGCAGTCATCAGGGGCCGGTTGCTCTTGCGGTCTCGAGACAACATGATCGCTAAAGTACAATGGCAACAAGTTATAGTTTAACACGTGCAGGGAGCAGAGCAGGCTCGACTACTCACCGTAGACAAGAGGACGTGCGATGTACACCAACTCTGCAAGCCAATCCTTCGGAGATGTGAGGGGCTGCATGAGCGCAGTAGGTGCTTTCACAGCCGACGTCGTGAGGGCTTTCGGCAAGAGGTAGTCCTCGACTGGCAAGGGCGACTGGGTGGGCGGCGGCGGGGTAAGGAGCGGATGCAAAGGCAGTGGGACATGGTTATTCTTCAGGTGCTCGGGCGTCGAAGGGAGCGAAGAGGGCGGAGAGGATGGGGCGAGGGTAGGCGAGGATGTATCCGACTCGGGAGGCAAGCAAGAAGGGTCTATCTCCCGCTCAGGGATAGGCGGTGAAAGCACTGGTCGTCTGGTAATGCGCAACAGCACAAGACGTAGCACAGCCCTTCGGAGAATATCAGCGGGGAGTCAATTCACGTCGCGTGCGGTGATGCGTACTTAATGACCTCAAGCGACACGATGCCTCGCCAGCGGTTGCGGGTAGACGTCTTCCTCCTGAGCCCCATTTCGATCAGGAGCTCCACGAAGCGCACGAGCTGCAGCGTGCGGGCAGCCCATTTGTACCGCCAGTCCTTGTCCGACCAGGCCCGGGTGTATCGCGTATGCGGCGACGGGGGGATGAGCGCCTTGTACTTTGGGTCGGACTGCACGAACTGCGCGAGGAGCGTGTCATGGTACATGCTGATCACATTGAGCGCGGCAGACACTACGGTACATGGCGGCGCACGACATATGCAACACGAACGGCGGTCAGAGGGGCCAAACACGATGCACGAGACAACTAACACGCTTCGGACGCCAGCTCCGCATCCCTGAACCTGCCAGGGAGGACCCACGTAACGGACCTCAAGGTGCTCTCGAGAGACGAGATGGTGGAGACATTCTTGATGAGAAAGTGTTCATAGCGAGCGAGAACCGACGACATGGATCTAGAGGTGAGCGTTGGAACTGAGAGAGTGCGGAATGCCGCCCAAGACGAGGCGGGCGGAGGCAACTTGGACGAGCGCACATAGTGCGCTCGTCCATGCGACCATCCTTGCATCCTCCTCGATCAGGTAACCCCACCATGCTCCCTCTTTCCCCAATGTCCACTTCAGCGACTACGAGTTCTTTCCAGACTCGAAAGCACTGATATCCGAAACCGAATGCAGACGCTTAAATATCTTTTGTCACGTAATGGCATGCCCACATAACACGGCACGTACAGCCCAGCCGGGCAGGCGTTCATCGCATGCAGGATAACTGCCAGAACGCGCAATACAACGGCGTCAAGAGTCCTAATGTCCTTTGTCGTTACCTATCTGGTCTTCCTGGCGGCTCTTGCTGTATCTTTCAGGTCGGACACCGGATGATAGAATTCGGAACTCGCTATCCATTCGTAGTCCAGACTACAGATGCCCGCGATATGTACACATCCATGGCTCTGCCCCAGGGCCCATGATCTATATCCGATGCGGCTCACGGCAGCGATGCGCCATAACGCTCCGCCAGGAAGCTGGTCATGAACGTGTTCCAAGGCGAGCTAATCCGCTTGATCACCGAGCACAGTGAGCTGGAAGCGGCAAACAGGATCCCTGCAGACGCAGCCTGCGCTGAGAGAGAGGCCTGCAAATATTTGTGCACGCTGCAGGGCAAGCGATAACACGCGGACGGCTGCCATCAAATGCGGGATCTTAGATGCCAGACTCGTGGTCGCTTATTGCCTCTATTTCACAGCGCGATCGCCTTCTGTTATTTCCCCCCTTCATTTTCTCCTCGAGTCACCGCCGGTCTGAGTCTCTCTCATCTATCCACCGCCCGTCTTAACCTACGGGCGACACAGGAGCTGCTCCTCGCATGGCATCGTCCAGGCATGCCGGCCAGTCGCTCAATTACTTCCAGCAGAGCCCCGTCCGCGGGCAGCTGGAGGTGCCAGATGGGTACTCGCGAAGTGGGTGGCGGTATTTGCAGTGCACGGACACGCCAAACGAGCTAAGGGTGCGCACAGTCTCCCCTGCATAACGTGCGCCTAGCGTAACCCTGCCGTAGGTGCTCCTTCCTCCGCGCACGGCGCAGATCTATGGCAATCTGCTTCGTGCAGAACTTGTCGAGCTGGCAAAGGACAGGAATGCCTCCTGGGACCGTATCCTGCAAATCCGCCATCTCAAGGACCGCATGATTCGGAAATGCACCCGCCTCGCGCGCGCATCAGCCCCCGTTCCTGCTGGAAAGCAGAGCTCACGCTCGATGTTCTTCACTGTGCACGCGCCGCCCGACTTCCGGCTCAAGGAGATGGAGCGCTGGTTCAGGATGCAGGGTGCGGAGATCCCCCAGGACGCGGGCTCACCCGGCACCTCGTCTTCCCCCCCATACTGCTGCAGCAAGTGCAACCCTGCCGGGGCACAGGCTAGCACCAGCCAGACGCCGCACCGCCGCGCCACCTCAGTGAGTCACCACGGCGCGAGCCAGATGTCCCGCCGGGGAACCGTCTCACACCCAGAGGTCAGCCAACCGGTGCGGCGAGGGACCGCCGCGCCACCGCGCCATTCATCTGTACGCCGTTCGCCTGAGCGCGTCCCCCTGCGCCGCGGAGACTCCTCCAGCCAGGCAACCACGCTCCTCAACCCGTCTCCGCCCCCGCTGGACGGCAAGCCCGCGCACGCACACAAGCAGCAGCTCCTGAATGCCTTCAATAAAGCAGGGCGCGTCCCCTCCGTGATGCGCGAGGCCGACGCACAGTTGCGTGTGCGCTCGGTCGAACGCAAGCGGTCTGCGGCGTCGGACGCGAGCGCCATCTCGCACGCCGCGCGGCTCAAGGCCAAGTCGCCCGATCCGCTGCCTATCCCATTCCGCACACATGATCCGGACGCGGCGCCACCCACCGACTCGCCGTCGACGCTGCTCGACGAGCTCCCCGAGCCTGAGCCCATGTTCACGGCGTCCCCCGAGCCGATGGCCAGCCCGCCGAACGGGCAGATGTTGCCGACGATACACGAGGGCTCAGAGCGCGGCGAGGGCGAGGGCGACGAGGCGCACCGCCCGCTTCCGCGCAGACGAAGCAGCCTGAAGAAGTGTGGAAGCATCAGCCGGCTGAGCATCGCGAGCAACACGAAGTCAGTCGCGTGGGCAATGGACCGTGATTGGATTGAGCAGATGTCAAATTACATGAAAACGGCGAACGAGGCCGAAGTGTTAGGTGTGTAGGAGCCTATTCGTTGCTTGGTATCCCTTTGCGTCTTACAATTAGGATACAGGACACGAGCTTGATGGGCTCCGCGTGGGATACCAACAAGAGGTTGAGACTATGAAGAGTCTATGCAGTAACGTCCGCGATGCGTCGGAGAGAATCCGTCAAGAGATGGAGAAGCTCCAACGCGACGAGGAACTTGTTCGCAAGCAAGAAGATCGTTTATTGCACACGATTGAACAGCTTGAGCAAAAGGAAAACCACTTCAGGGACAAAGGTATGCGAATGATTCACGAACAATACACCCTGATACTAACGGCGCAACAGTCCTGTCCGTGCTCGAGGAAACTAAGCGCGTCGTTAACCTATGCGACAAGAAACGCGAACTGAACGAATTGTAACGATCTGAAATAAGCTGTCGTCGCTATGCTCTCGATTGAAGAAACGCAAGGAAATGTGTCAGCTCGCGCCCCATATTAGATTGCATCACCACTGGATTTATTGGAGCTTTTGTAGTACTACACATCTAACTTCAAGCACATACCCTTCTATCATATATCCGTTCTCCGTAAATATTTGTGGTCTGACGCCGTATGTCGCTATTATGTGACCATGTGCAACCATTCTTATGTAGTATGATCAAACAGAACGAGATAAGTTATGGTCCAAGTGGTATCCGCGGTGCCGAAGTGAATCAAACGTGCTGAGGCTACATTAGCCAGGAGGAATGGAGAACGCAGCGGATCAACCACCATGTCCATGAGGAATCATAATGTATCATAGATATTTCAAACGCCTCTTCTGCCTTGCTTGTATCCACCACATGCGGACCACGAAGCCATACACGAGGCTGATCATGACGGAGAGCGCGATGACCACCGCGAAGGCATTATACTTGTATCCATGAAGGTAGTTCTGCGGCAGATGAATGTTCATGGACACCAGCCCTACAAATAATGCGTCAGGTCGGTGCATGTGGCACGAGGGATCGTCTCGCCTTACCGATGAGCGTCTGGACAAGGAGCACTCCCAGACTGACGGTGGAGAGGGTGACGAGTGCGCCGTCGGTCCCGGACTGGGCCTTTGAGAGCGACATGCGAAGGCGCGAGATGTAGGTAGGATGCGCCTGGCTAAGCACGCGTTCATAATGGGCCAGCGACTGCTGCAGGGTGATGATGTGGTCTGAAACAACCTGTCAGCAAACCCGAGATTAGAAAGACCGTGACATCCTCACCTTGCACGTCCCCCATGTAAATGAACACGTCGTGGTCGTGGTCAGTCCCACGCCCAAGACCCCACTCGCCTATGGTGAGGAGCCGCTTTTGCAGCTGCGCGACGACCTCCGACTTGTGCGCCAGGAAACGCGCCAGCGACGTGACAAGCCTGCGCGTGCGCGCCATCCGGTGGACTGTGCTCGTGGAGGATATCGTGGACGTGTGCTTGAATACGACCTGGAAGTGTGCGAACCCTTCGCGAAGGCGCCTCCGCGTGCGGCGGATACACAATGGCCACTGCATAGGCAGGGAAAACCGCGTCTTGCGCTCCATAGACTTGAGACGCGCGGAAGCCTTCTCCGTAAGGGTCGGCGTACTCATCTTCTCAGACTCTTCTACGGAATCATGCGCAACCACCTGCTCCAAGTTACGTGTTCGATGCATCCGCAGAAGACTGGCCGCTGTTTCACTTGGAGAAGCTGAGCCCGCATTGTCTTTGTCTAAGACAACCAGGGTCTCAATCTCGTCGACTTCCTTCTCAATTTCCGCCAAGAAAGGAAAGAACGAGTCGACAATAGAATCCATGATGCCATGGGCTATCCAGTCTGCAGGAACATCAGACATCGCGAGGTTAGCGCAAGGCACCGGTGACACTAACCAGACGTCATGTTGACGCTCTCCGAGAGCTTCAGAATCTTATTACGAACACGATCCACGTGTTCTATTCCATGCATTAGCCTGCCATCCTACCCACCAGCATGTCGGTACCCACCTCCAATATCTGCGAAATGAAACTACGCGTACCATATCAGGATGCCGTGGGTTGGGACAAGATAGCGCGCCCATACTCACTGAACATATGCCTTCCCGGAAGACAGCCATGTAGACGTATACGTCGCCGACACTACCCTGGTCCATGAGGAATGACCCAGTTCCTTCTGGCGGAGAGTGCAGCGCTCGGTGGCGTTCTCGTGTTTTTTGACTTTCGACCGCTCGGAAGACGATGAAGTAGTAGCCGAGCTTGGGGAAGAGCTCCAGCTTCTCTCGGGGGTCTTGTTGCAGGATGTCCTCCAGCGTTAATGGGTGCAGATGCAAGAGCTGTCACAAGAGTGAACGGGGAGTGTCATTATAGAGGAAACACGGCGTACTTTGCCTATGGCACGCATATCCTCCCACGTTGGCGACGACACGTCAAGCCACCAAGCCTTCTCTGGACCATCCGACTCACTGCTGGAGGATGATGCCGGTGTTATGTGTGCCGATGCTTGAGCCGTACCAGCCCTCCGCTTGCCCTTCCTGACTTTCCGGCGTATATGCGCATCATGGTGCGCGGATGGTCCACTAGGCCCAGGGACATTCTCAACGGGCTCCTCTGGCATCATATAATCATGATATAGGGCAGGAGGCTGAGAGTGTGGTGGCTCTGGAGCCGTCACCTCTGGCCGGGCACGTTTCGCTCTGCCATGCTCTTTGAGTGCAGCGCCGAGGCGCGCCATCAATAGCGGGAGGGACTCGGTGTGAAGAAAACTCCTCTCCCGAATGTCTTCTCCTGCACCGGCATCGAGATAGTCGGGGACATAGAGGTCGAACGCACGGGAGATGTACCTTGCGTCCTCGCGGGCACGTATCCGGGCTGCAATCTCCCGCTCGGAGCGCTGGTTCTGGATGTCCGCCAGACTCATACGCTTGCGCCTGCGGGCGAGCTGCGACCGAGATACCGTGACTATGGACTCTTTGGAGGAAGAGGAGGTCGACAGAGACGAAGACGACGCCCATGCCCGAGCCCAGGTAGCAATCGCATGTTCGACTACGGCTGAGATTGCACCGAGACGTCCTCCAAAAACGGAAGAGGCAGATGAAGTAGAAGAGGTAGATGAAGAGACGGAAGTAGATGATGGCGATCGAGGGCGCGCAGGATGTTCGCCACGGTAGATGTTCTCGTCTTCGACCTCCTCCAGCGAGAGATGGTCTATTCTGTGTGTGTCCAGAGCAAAATCAATCGCCTCGGTGTCCTGGAGGAAGTATGGGGACTCGGAGTTGTTGGGAGCAATGGTGCGGTCAGAGTCGTCTGAGGCCGCCCGCGGGGGCCCGTTGTCTGCGTGTGCTGTCTGCATCTTGGGCGAGACAGCCCCAGAGAGAGAGCCTACGGCGGCAGGACCATGAGATGGATGGGCTGGAGAGAGCACAGGCAAAACGACCAGCCAGTTGCGGGCATGAGAAGTGTCCGAACTCCCGTCTGCTTCCAGCTGCCTCCCCCCTGATTGGTTCCGCAGCCTCGGCGCTTCCATCGATGCCTCTCTTCCATCCTCAGAACGGGCAAACATTTTCCTGCCCACCAATCGAAACCGGCCCATTACAGGGCAAATAGTCATTCTTTCCAAGGGTAGGTACAAACAAGAGTGAGTAAGGACCATACTCGCGTACGGATATCCGAAGGCAGTATCAACGTCTGCCTACGCTCAGCCCATTCGCCGCCGTTTCCCCGACCGTTGTCCGTCGTCCTCTGGCCCAGAGCTCGTTCGCTTGCGCGCAGGCCCGGCGGTTTGCCCCGGAGCAAACGGTCTACGCTTCTTCTCCTTCTGAGACGTCTTCTTCTGCCTCTTGTCGATGGCCTTTTTGACTGCTCCTCGTCCTCCAGACGCAGCGAGCGCATCGTATTTTGCGCGCAAGAGCAGCTCCTTCTTGTCCGCTGTAGGAACCCGTCAGCCTCAGAATGTGCAGTAATTACGAGGAGACCCACCGTTTTTGAGGTACCACGCTCCCTTTCCGGCACTACGTTTCTCCTTCTCTTCCTTCGCTACTTTCCCGAGCGCTTCATGCTCGATCTTTTCCCTGCGGTCCTTGCTGACTTGACTCTCCGCTCGCTTATATGCTCTTTCTAACCTTTGTACCTCTTGTTCGCGCTCCTCTCGCAAATCGCGGGGCGAGTTGGCCAGTAGTTTGCGCGCGCGCTTGAGGTTATCCCTCAGCGTTTTCATTTCATGCGTGTGCATACCCGCTAGGAAACCGTATTGAGTTTGGAAGCGTTTGGAGTCAAACTCTCCCGCTAATGTCAGAAAGCGTGGGTCGCGAGGTACCTGCAACAGAGTTTTATTATCTAGCAAAATGTAGTCAGCTAGCTATAACCCACCACTTTAGATTCCTCCACCCCCAGTTTCTTCCGTGCTACCGGCTTCTTCGAGCTCACCTCCTGTGGCCTATGCGGAAGTCTAAGCAGGGCGAGCAATTGATCAATCTAAATACGAACGAATGCTTGTTCTTCCGTTTGGGTATCTCCTTCTTGGGTTTCCGACCGTCCTCTATCTCCTTGCCCTTCCCTTTGGCATCAGACCTGGAGGTGTCCTGTTCCGGCCCTGAAACCTCGTCCTCCGTTTCCTCATCTTCCGAGTCGCTGAATGCAGTTGCGCGAGACAGAGTCTTTTGTGCATTCCGCAAAGCACCGAAAGGAAGAGAGGCAAGGTCTAGCAGGGGGGTGATCAGGAAAAGTGGAGACATGTAGTAGACCCATAGTACATACCATCCTGTTGTGCGCTAGTCTGAGTAACCAAAGTATGTCAGACATGTGTTTTGAATAACATGGTAATTCACGCACGAGATGTAAAGGCTCCTCCTCTTCGCTACTCGACTCAGGTTCACTCTCTGTGTCGAGCCCGTCTAGGTCCTCCTCGTCAACATACTGCGCTACCCGAGGGGCATCCACATCCACGTCTTCTATTTCATCTTCAATATCTGAGCCGTGACTACTATTGCTGGAGGATGACCCAGAGGCTGCATCCTCTTCTTCGTCTGACTCCAAGGCATCGTTCTCAGATTCAATCTCAGGGTCTGACGCCGCAGGATCACGGGGCTGTTCATGCTGAGACTGTTTTTGACGTGCAGCAGTCGGACTGGTCAGAGCCGGCGCAGCAGGGGCAACAAGAACAGCCTTCGGAGGGGGACGTCTGGTAGCAGGTCGAGGTCGTCGAGGCATTTTGTGAGCGCTGGTCTGACCGCTTGCTGTTTTGGGATTGTGCACCGTGTGCTCGATTGATCGATCGATCAGCGATTGGCGAAGTTCCCACTAGTACTTGTGCCGTAGTTCACCGCCTTTGCCGCAGGATCAGGTCGCAGTCTTGCCGCAGTCTCTGGTCCCCCTATTTAACGTAAGTCTATCAGGTCTACCATCTTTCCACACATCATAAACTCTCAGACACGCAAGGTGGGTACTACCTCATAGCGCATATGCCGCGGACACTGATGCGCGCTCTTTGCATCAGCCATCACCTCAGAATGCCGAAGATCGCTATCATTCCTGGAAGCGCGAGGGTGCCCGGGAACTGCAAAGGAATCGTAGCATGGGTAACACAACTCATGTCAGATCGCCTAGGCGGTCAGGATGGTAATCCACCTGAAATTTACTTCGACATCATGGCCCTCGATGTCACCAGCCCTCCTTATCCTCTCGGGCCCCTCGTCGACGGGACCCTGATGCCCGCGCAAATACGTGACTCTGCGAAATACCCCTCTCCCGCTATACAGGAATGGAGCACATTTATCTCCTCCTGCGACGGTTTCGTTATCGTCACACCGCAGCACAATTGGGGCATTCCGGGCGAGCTCAAGAGCTCGCTTGACCACCTCTACTGGGAGTGGCGCGACAAGCCAGTCATGTTCGTCACGTACGGTGGTCATGGCGGGTCCAGATGCGCCGCGCAGCTCAAGGATGTCCTCGGCGGTGGGCTCAAGATGCATGTGCTCAGTCGAAGCGTCCAGATCACCTTGCCGTCTGATTACATCACAGGAGACCAACGTGTTCCAGAAGACGGACCTATTCCTGATTTCTTGCAAGGATACGCTCCGTCCGTCTTGGACGCCGTTGACGAATTAAAGCAATTTCTCACCGATAAATCGACTTCCTCCGATGCGTAAAATAGCGGTGTGTAGTGATTGTCACCATGGTCGTAAATCATTACTTTGTCTATACATTAAATTTCGTCGACTCTGATGGTATGGTTGCTTCACCGTCCAACAATACATACCAGCCGTCCGCCAGCTGAGCGTCGAGTGCCAGGCCTTGTGACGGCGGACCAGACCGCCAGAACGGACTCACTCCAAACCAAACCGCCAGCTTAGCGAAGAATTGTCGATGTTTCGCTTTCCGTTTCCGTAAAGAATCGTCCAAGATTCCCTCCCATCGGTAAACCGGCCGCGCCCGAATAGTGGCGTCGTCGTAATCAGTGCCGGCTCCTGTACCGAGTGTAGATGGCTGCATCAACGTCCGTTCGTTAACCTCTTCCATGTCGAGGTCGGAATAGTCATCGCCCAGATGAAGGACGTTTGCCTATATCACTGCCTAAATATACTGCAGTCCACGATATACGAATTCTTACCTTGAAGGAACCGTGGAAAACGATGTCGTTCATGCGCAAGTACATCTTGTTCAAAAAACCTGCATCGAAGAAGTCGTCCCATTTCGGTTTCTTGTGCAGCAGCCCGCGCTGTGTCAGGAATGCTTCCAGTGCGGCTCGTGGGAGCGGTGTATAGGCAATGGACGTGGGGTAGTGCGGGTTGAAGTCAGACGCATGCTTGTTCAGCGCGCTGATCGTGTCATAGTTCCGCCTCCATAGATCGTCCTGTTACCGAATGAGCGTTCATGCCGACCAAGAGTAAGACGTCCTGCTTACCCAGAAGATGTACCACCACGTAGCGAGCTCTGACCGAGACACCGCGGCGAACCGCTCGTAAGTGATCCGCACAGCAAGCTCGTTATTCACGAAGAGCTCGCGGACCCGCTGGTCTCTCTCAAGATCAACGACGACCTGTGTCACTTGCGACATCTGCTGAGGATGATTGTAGACCGCCATCAGGAACCGATATGTCAAGGTATCTAGTTTCCACTGGCACTTCCGGCGGCTATGATGGCGATAGCTCCGGAGGATGGCCTCGAGATAGGAGAGACGGTCGGCAATGAGGAGCTGATTCATGACTAGGAAACGCGCGAGGGACTGCGTGAGATCAAAGTCATCCGTAAGGCCAATCAGGGAGCCATTCGCCTTCACGTCCTTATCATAGGTTAGCTCTAGATCAAAGCCGCTCCCAAGGTCAATCCCTTCCCAGAGCAGTTTACCGTGACGTTTGATGCGTAGAGTACAAGTCTCGTAGTGAGTGACCGTTTTCGCACCATAGCGTTGGCAACAGCAGCAAAAAGCATCACGACTGCCGACATACTGGAGGGAAACATGATTAAATAGGGGGAATCGCTGACTCGTGGCGCACTCACATGCGTATGATCATATGGCCAAATCACGACTTGGCCGTCTAGCGCACGTAACGCAAGTCGAATCTGGTGCTTGCGTTGAATGTGCTTGCTCGAGTTTTGAACAACGTACAATTCCAGATCGGCTAGATCTTGCAGTACTTTCATGGGGCCATCATCATATCGGATGACCTGACGAAACTGGTAAGTTAGGAACACACGATGAAGTGAAGGCGTGCGATTTACCAGAGTAGGAGGGAAAGGAATCCACCACGCGTTTCCAAAGAAATGGGAGCTCTGGGGTACTGGCTCAGTAGGAGGCCTCCAATAACAATCAGGACCAACGAAGTGGTCCTGGATGGTCATTGCCACACGGTGGAATCGTTCCTTGTCAGGTCCAGCGGTCAAGCTCACGGCTCTGTGATAAGCATGTGATCCAACGTCGCGAAGGATCTGGGAGTGTCACAAAGATGCATCGGGTAAGAGCGGATAAAAACAGAAACATACCTTCAGGTTCTCCACTATTCGTTCCCCGGGGGACCCGGCGAAGTCCAATAGATATGGTGGGTATTCACTATCTCTGGCTTGTTTGAACGCCATGCGTTGTGTGTGGGGTATCTCGCATTCCGGGCTTGTCAAGAAAAGTGTGATAATAGCTTCCTGCCAGATCCGTCTCCTCGTGTGTGGGCATGCAGGCGATAAGTCAATCCTGCAGAATATCAGCCCATTAGTCCGCATAAGAGAACAACGGTCTTACCGTGGTGAAAATATATCAATGCCTTTCGTGAATGTGAGCGAAAAGCACAGTTAATAGAAGACAAGTGAGCTTACTGAAATCTATTCGACGAGCTAGGCCTAGAATTAGTGATATAAGCTAACAGAGTCTGCATTATATGAAGCGACCATACGTTTAACAAGACGACGCATGAAATCCATGTCGATTATAGTGAAATCTTGACGTTCCGTTGAGCAAATACATCAGTATTCTGTTTGCTCAACTCACATATGCTAAGGCCATAAGTAACGATGTAAATCCTGTGTTACAGCGATCAGTCCATGTCACACAAATTATGGCATTGCAATGGAACTGACACATAAATCACTACCCCATTCAAAATATCCTTTCCGGGTATATTGAGTGCTACGCCCAGCGCAACAGCCGATGTCAGGACGTAGTTCATCCGCGATGTCCATTCGGAGGCGTTGTTGACAGGGTCCAAGAAAGGTGCATAGATGCACTGGAGAATGAAATATGCCAGCATGGAGATAAGGAGCACAATTTGGCGAGCCACAGCGATTTTATTCTGTGAGTATGTCCGGAAGAGGCAGTTGCCAGGGTCGATCACGGCGGTCACAAGCAAGGTCGTTAATTTCGCCATCAGAAATATCGATTCGTAGCTGCCCCATCCCCTCCGGAACCCTAACGGGAGATTATGACAACGAAACCCTCCAATGATAGGGTGACATACCACCATACAGAAAAGACAACGGATTCGGGTCGCGGTTCAACAAACGCTGATATTCGCGATCCATATCGCTCTTGCTCCTTGGAACCCCAAGTCCGGTGTATGGGTCGACGACCGGCACGACCCTGTTGATGGTTTTGTACAAATGGACAGGGAACCAGACTGTGAGCTACCATTGAGGTGTTAGATGGCTGCACCGCATGTATGCGTACTGAGACCGACCCCGAAAAAGCAGACAACGGCAATTATCACGATCACAGGCGCGTAATTGATTTCGTTTAACTGCATGGTAGTCGTGTAACAGAAGTCCAATGGGGCGCGATACTCGTCAGATGGGCCTAGTGGTGAGACAGACGGCGGGTTGGTAGTCGCGTTTGTGTAGGGATTCGGGACCACCCAAAGATCGTCAGACCAGACGAGAACGTGAACCGCCAGTGTGCTGATCGGCAAGTAGATAACTGTCAACAGAAAACTGACGATAATGACCAGCCAGGTATTCTTGGGGTAGTCCATGGGTTGTTGTCCCTCCGAGACTCGAACCCCATAGCATAGACGAGTTACACGCCAGAAGTATAAAAGCAGCACTGCGGCAATGGTCATGAGGACGACCAGTAATACAAGCGACTCGGTCAGCGATGTCCCAAAGTTTAGTGCAAGGACATTCGGTCTGTGGTAGGACATGTCAGTCAATGAAATACGTGGTATGACAAAAGTACAAACATCTTCACAAGGAAGACCGTCCGCCATCGTTCTTCTGTAGAGCCCTGATGCGACGCTGATGGTCGTCAGTATGCTGCATGAAAAGCACAATCGAGCATCTTTACCAAGTGTGCTCAAGATGAGTGCGAAGATCTGGAGTGTGTCAAACAAGCCTTGAACGCTATAAAAAGAGGCTAATGCACTCGAGCCCTGGGGTATGGCCCATTAGGCATTGAAATTGAGATATAGAAGAGGAAACATACAGTGATACCAAGCACGATGCTAATTAGGTTGGACAATATGGCACCACAGTTCCTCCACCCAGGTGGAATGGTTGCGTTGTGCTCCAAATCAGCGAGTGACTTCTTAGATGCCGCCAGCTGGTCCATTGGAGGGAACATCACTGCAGCCGGAGCCTTTGATTTTCCCTTTGCGTCATCTGCAAGCGATGGGAAAGATGCAGCTGGGAGTCTTGCAATATAGTCGTCCAATTTTGGAAGACTGAGAGGGACGGCTTTGCGGGAGAAGATAGTCGACAGAGGTATAGGATTGTGCGCAGGAGCTTTTTGCACCAAGGGTATGAGGGTTGTGGAAGAACTCCCTGGGTTCCTGTGTACGCCCGTCTGCCCCGAAAACAAGGCACTCACGGGAGGATATGACGGCCCTGGGGTATATATTGTCGAGGTCGAAGCATACGCGCTGGCATCTGCTCCATGCGGGAAAGAGAGCTGGTCGACCTCCACCCCGCCGAGACTTTTACCCATAGCGTCCCATGCAGGAACACTCGACTCATAGCGTCCGCTGGCCCCGGTCGAGCGAGCGGCCACAGAGACAAGTTCGTCGGTCACGTCTGCAGAGACTTCCCGAGGGTGTCTAACGCGCTCCAGGCTCTCAGAGGCTGCGCTTGTGTCGTTCAGCAGCTCTGCGGAACCAGAAGGGATTGTAACATCATCTGTCTCCTCGGTATGACTTGGTTCTCGGCGTCGTAACAATGGGTGAGGGCTCAGCCTGCCCTTTGCTTGACGCGTCGGCTCAAAGTCAGGACTTGACGCTAAGACCTGTTGCTCCGGTTGTGGTGATCCTGCCTCGTTAGCATGCTGGGAACCGGACGCGTGTGGGGAGGGCCTCTTGTCAGTCGGACGTGTCTCGAAGAGACTAACCAAATCTCTGACGGCCATGGTGACTTCACAATGGCGGGAAGAGGGGACGGGGACGAGATCACTCCAGCTCGCGACCGGTGGTCGAGGAGAGCTAGAAACTGCTAGGGCAAAAGAAATGGCATTATTATGGTCTACAACAGAGAAGCACCGTTCCGCCACCCACGTGCGCCCGCCAAGTGATCGAGATGCATGATCGGCTTCCAGAAAAGGCCATCGTAGTAGTCGTACTGTCCCCGTGCCAGTGGGACGTCCGCGACAGCGCCCATCTCACCTCCTTACAGTGCTCACGGGCCGTTGCTAGTTCCCGGACGAGATACCAGGCAGCGCACAACGGTCTATATTGGTAACGTGTTACATGGAGAGTGTACAAAAAGGTATAATGTTGGCGGCCACTTTGTCCTTCGCCTCATATCAACTCCTTCACGAGAGCGGCAACGCTCGTCTCCGCAGAAACGTTCGCTACCCAACTCCACTTGGTCGACGCCACAGTTGTCTGATGGGCCACCACAGAGACACTCGATTGAGTCTCCGAGACAGATCCGTCGGCTGACGTCGTGGCCGACTTTTGTGTCGCGGTCGCAGATATAGCGGACTGAGTTACCGCGGAAGGTCCGCTGGTCTTCCCATTGTCCGCGACTTGAGATCCCTGTTTTTGCAAACCTTGAGCATTCTCCTTGCTCTGTATTACTTGCCAGTTGCGCTTGAGCTCCTCCTCCAGAGGGAGGAGGGGGGCCACGAGGCCCGGGTTCTTCTTGACGTTCTCAAGCAACTCGGGTATGATCTCCGAGAGCAACTTCTGCTCAAGGACAGACGGATGTATTGTTTCATGTGTTGTTTCATCTGGAGCAGTGGGAATCTTCCGCTGGATAGTCTTTGCGAGGGAAAATATGCCCACGGCGGAACTTAAGAATACAGTTAGTACCAGCGGCTGTCTCATACCAGTATAGCTCACTTGTGCGACGCCTGCTCCCCCCAGAGGGCGACTGGATCTGGCAGGCTTGCGATGTACTCGACGTTCAATGACAGGATGTCACCGACATGAGCCTGATGCACTTGTCAGCGACGGAAAGATGGTGATTGTAGCGACACATACCGCCATCCAAGTGAGAGTCAGATCAGCCAGGTCATGTTCCTGATATCCTCCGCCAATCTATTGTATCAGCCGTCAGCAAAGCTTTCATGGCTGAGGAGCGGAATAACACACGTCCGAGTGACATCCTGGGAGGCCAAACTTGTTCAGTTTATATAATATTTGTAACTAACATTACGTACCAGTGAACCAGCACTATTAGAGTTGTTAAGTGTTATTCAATCAGTCTCTAGAACATGTTGAGCAACTCACTTGCTTCAACACTTGCCCTTTGCGTCTGCCGCTTTCCTGCTGCTCAAATTTGGCACAATCCTGTCCAACATGTAAGTCTAGGACCCAAGGATAATATATACGTTACTCACGAAATCGGCTCTTCTCTCATTGAGGGCCAGCGCTTGGTACGCTCGCTCAATGTGGTCTCCTAGCTTATTATCGCTGAACCCAAAAAGTGTCCTGATTCGGTTGGAACGCCGAGTAAGTTCCTCCGGAAGTCCGACAGAACCAACAGTGTCAAAAACGCCAACACATCTGATGCGACAAGTCAGTACGAGCATGACTGATACGTTAATGTCACAAACTTGATGGAGAACCCGTTGGGGCTAGCACTTGCCCGTTTCTTTCCCGGTGAATCCTCCGCAGTCCAACGAGCCAGGAACTTGGTTATGTCCGGCTTCCCCTTCTCTGTAAACACAATCTAAATAACGTTCGTAGAACATGCAATGTTGCAGCGCACCATCGTCGTCGTCGTCCATCTTCCCTATCTTCTGGAAAGCGATGAATATGTCCGCGAAGTGATCCATGTCCGTTCTGTCGAGAATACCAATCTTGCCCTATGCGTGTGTTTATTGTGAGCTACAGTCGTTGTACTTGGCGACCCAAAAAACTGACGATGAACGAAGCCACCATGCGAGCCGTGTACGCTCCCTGATTCTAATCAGTGTCTCTTCAATGAGCCCTATGCGCCCAATATCTCACCCTAGAGAATCCAAAGAGGAAGATCTGTACCAAGAAATTGAGTAACCCTGATATTCAATTGCACAAACTGCTAACCTCATCCCCCGGATGATAATTCCTAGAGGCAGAGATCGTCTGTAAATCGATGACGCCAGATATCAAGAAGAGCCTACTGGGCAATGAAGGCATATGCCTCCTCGACTTTCTCTCCTGCAAATCATGTTCAATTCATGTGATTTCGGTGAGTGCCATGAGTATTTGCCTAATGAAGCTCCGGTAGCACCTGTCTCTCGCGTCAGCGACATCATACTTCGCAAAGATAGGTAAACATACCATCCACAATCTGATCGTAGAGATTGTTTGAAGAGCCAACGCCCGACTGATAGAAGACGACCTGAGAGATAGGATGCCCAGAGGGACTGCGTTGAGGGACACAGTAAGAGTATATAATCTGTATCAGCGCTCAAAACATACACTCTATCGTCGACATGGTTGATTGCTCTGGAGAGACGCTGGGAAGAAACTGAGTAGCAGCAGAGGCAGAAGAAAGCGACCCTTACTAGAACATTGGTGTACTTCCATCTAGCGTCGACAACGATACCATCTTGCCATGTTCTATGTAGCCTATGTTGAAATGGACGCAGACAATTGACCCCAACTACATACCCGTCACAGCAGACAACGATTCTCTTGTGCGGCACTGCGCTCATTTCAGACAACAACGGAGGCAAGGTAGAGGCACGTCGAGGCGACGCTGATTCGCCGCGAGGCCGTACCTTGTCACGGGTAGCGCCGTTGCGCGCCGACAACGAGGAACTGGCAAGCTGGCTGGTATGCGTCGCCATAGTGGAGAATAGATTTTAGTGATCACTGTGTTCTGACTAGGCATCTTTTATAAAGTTATGAGGCGCGACCTGTCAGCCCAAGACAACTAAGACAGATGTAATGATCCGGACTGAGTTTACAACTGTTGCGTATATAAGGGGCACTGTTGTTTCAAGCTATAGGCCGAGATGTGAGGAGCAACTGCACAGCAGTATACATTTGGGCGAAGTCGCCTATAGTCGCCGAAAGGTGAAACGCGGAGCGACATGACGACGATCCCAACGTGCGCCCACAGACGCCCTCGAAGCTGCCAAGAAGTTTCGCAGTGGCACCGATCGTATACGCAGGACACGAGCGCCCAATTAGGCACCAAGGACTATAGAGGGCTATACACTACAACAGAATCAGTCTACATAGCTCTGTGGGAATCCTGTACATGCTGCCAGTCAGGGCATACCGTCCATGCGTAGGGTTCAGGTCCCAATGCACCTTTCTAGCCCCAGAGCTCTTGTACGTGAGAGCTCCTGAGCGCATCACTTCCCTAACCGCATCTGAGCAGCATTGAACTCATCCAGCGCACGCCTGAAGGCTTCTTCTTGAAGAGTTCTACCGGCACTGTGAGCGCCATATGTCGTGCGTTTCCATGAAGACTGATCATGACTTGATGATGCACTGACGAGCAACGAGTTAAATACAATCAAGATCAACTGCCAATAAACCTACTGGAACTCTGTCAGCCGCAATTGCCATGGTGGAAAGCCATGAAGCTCAAGAGGTAAATCAAGATGTTCACGGGAGACGTGGTGTATGAGCATGAGTTCTGGTTCCGGGAACCCAACTGGGCCTAGGGGACGAGAAAGCATTCAGAATCGCGGCGGGACCACAAGAGTCAAATGACTAGACCTTCAAGTATTGTGTTAAGTTCACTCTCAATTGCTCTGTCGCGATCGGGATATCCGGATGCTAAGTCTTCACAAAGACCCGCTCGGATGCGTCTTTTGAGAATATCATTGGCGACTCGAGATATAGCAGGCTTTCCGGCCTGTCTACTGATAATGTGTACGGTCAAGAGGTGTGAGCTGGATTCTCTCCCTGAGCGTCTTGTGGTTTGCTATGAGCGGTCAAAGAAGACGAATATATTAACTTACGTTCTGTTCGGCGATGTCTCACACCGGCTTTCAAGTTCTGTAACTTTCTTTGGACCTTGATTGGTATGCTCGGAATTGGAATCGTGATGACCTTTAGGTTGTGGTCGGCGTCGTCTGAATACGGTGAAATAGGCCTTGATTCAGAGTCATCAGAGGAAGGAGGTGTGAGGGGGTATTCAATGTCAGATTCCTCCTCATCCTCTTGAGAGGTGTCAAAGCGTTTCGACAGGCGGGCTCTGATATCAAGGGAAGACTGGGCCAGAATTCCTATGAGGTATATGCATTTAGGGGACACATGGCGAACACATGGTAGACGTACCTTGACCATCGTACACAGTCAAGCGGTTAATGCCAGCAGTAATGCACCAAGCCGCTGCCCTCTCCACACTTTCCGCCAAGAGACATTCCGTCGCTTCCAGATCAGTATGGACCTTCGGCGGGACAAAGAGCAAGGCCAAGTGAGAAGGCTTCTGTTTGCGTTCGGCGGTAAGGGGACATGGCGGGTCTTGCCAGGCGCAGAGTGACCTGATCGTGGTCACCAACCAATAAACAAAATGGAAAGCGGCAAGACCTAATGATGCCAGCCAGGACATTTATGAGCCAGCACGTCAACCGACGCGTCCTATAATTTAGGCAGAATTATAGTGTGATATCCTATAGGCCTCGTCGCGTGCACGACAATGAAAGCTAGCGAGTGAGCCGTTGCAAGGATGTATGACAAGGAGGAAGTATTGTACGCGACTCGCGACTTCCACGTACTGGAATCACGTGAGAATTGGACACCGGGAGAAAGGGACAAACGCGATGGTTACTAGTACTGTAGATTGTATTCCTGAGTATAAATTACACGACGCGCACAGCCTGGTACCACACGGCACACTATAATGAGACTGAGGCGATGATATTCAGACACTGTTACCACACAATCACGAGGTAACGATGCCATCTTAGGTGAGACCAGGCTCCTCCTGGATTCCCCTCTTGATCTTCAACAGAATATTCGTCTTCCAGTTATCCAACTTTGTAACCTGGTCAAACTCGAAGACAGCAGCAGTGTAGGTCTCGAGGTCTCCGGCTTCGATCGCCTCGATGAGCACATTCACGAACTTGGCCTCGCGTGTAGTGCTGAAACTAGTATCGAGAGACGAGTACTTGCCAAGGTTGCGCTTCGCGCTGACTGTATCCTGTTATAACGGATTGCCTGTGAGCTGACAGACAGTTTATAGACTTGGTAACCTACCCCCATGGCGAGTGCGCACAGGCTGGCCCGCAGCCAGTATTCCTTTACGCTGTACCTCGTGAGTGCGGATGACAAGGAGCCATTGGCTACCTGTTCATAACGCGCGATCGCTTGGGGGTATTCTTCCAGTTCAGCGTGTAGATCTGCGGCGTCCTTGTAGCACGAATTGGCAGTTCTGTTGCAAGCTATGAGTATTACAAAGAACTTCACCATATGAGGGCTGTACTCACGCCGTAGCATCTTCCTGCGCGTACCACTCCGCAGCCCGTTCAAAGCTTTCGCATGCTTTCCGCAGTTCATGGAGTTCCGTGAGGTATATCTGCCCGATCTCCTTCTCTCTATCAGCAGCCTGCCTGAAGCGTCCCCCTTGTGTAAGGTGTGTAATAGTATGTGTGAGTGCTTGGATGGCGACTGAACGCGAGGGATCAAGTCGATTAGGGTTATACTGAGGATCGCACGCATGTTACCGCACTCACGATCAGGATGACCCCGCTTGTACGCCTTCGCGGCGTTCCACCAGGCGTTCGCAGCCTCGTTTGTCTCCTGGCTCTTCTCCCTGCACTCCGCCTCCCTCGCATGAGCGTCCCCGGCCTCCCGGAATAGCTTGTCGATCTTGAAGGAGTTCGCAGCCTGCTGATACATGTCGCCGGCCTCCTCATACTTGGTAGACGAGGACGAGAACCAGCCCGTCGACGAGTTGGCTTTCTTGTCCGCCTTTTCCAGCAACGCCTGCGCCGGAGATTTAGATGGCATCGTGTCAAGTGGGTGTGATGTATATGGTCAAGGACAAAGGCACTGTGCTGGTCGCGACTGGGCAGTGGCGCCGGCGTCACCGCACGTGTCCGCAATGCATTGAGATCGAGATCTCTGTCTAGATGTCCTTGTCCATAGCAGCATTACATTTACTGACTCAACCCCCTTGCCCATTCACCGCGATCACCCCTCGTTGTATTCTCGTCAGCACGGTGTCTCTACGCGATGTCTGCTCTACCTGTTGACTCGCTCAAGAGTCTCGCCGATCTTCATCCCAAGCCCTCTCACTTAACCTTTCAGTATGGCACCGCAGGCTTCAGGACACTGTATGCATTGTGGCACACATTTTGTTGAGTGGCAGTCTACTCACAAATGGTAATACATACAGAGGTAGTGTGTTGGACTCTGTGATGTTCAGGGTCGGCGTGCTTGCCGGCCTGCGTAGTAAGAAGCTTGACGGGAAGACAATCGGTGTGATGGTGACTGCCTCACACAATCCCGAACCTGTGAGGATAGTGTGGCAGGAGGATGTGTCACCAAGCTAATCCATTGCTTAGGATAATGGTGTGAAGCTTGTGGACCCCCGCGGTGAGATGCTCGAAAACGCTTGGGAAGTCCACGCGACTACCCTTGCCAACGCACCGACCACCGACGCGTTTGTGGAAGCCCTGAGCGCTTTCGTCAAGGCATTGAAGATTGACCTTTCAAAACCTGCGAGAGTTGTTTATGCTCGTGACACACGCCCGTCTGGTCCCGCACTGGTCTCTGCATTGGAGGACGGCATCAAGGCAATTGGAGCGGAAGGCCGCGACGCCGGGGTGACGACTACTCCAGTCCTTCATTACTTGGTCCGGGCGATCAATACCAAGGGGACACCGGAAGAGTATGGCGAGGATTCCGAAGAAGGTTATTTGAACAAGCTCACTGCTGCATTCAAGAAGCTTGTGGTATGTTAGAAACCGGATGCATATGTGGATTGGCCTAGTTTTAACATAGGACATTTGTCTAGGCAGGGAAGCCCGCGTCCCCTCCGCTTATCGTGGACTGTGCCAATGGCGTTGGCGCCAAGATTGCTGCCAAACTGTCAGAGTCTCTTGGAGATACATTACGTTTGATCCCAGTCAACACAGCCACGACGACACCTGAAGCACTTAATAATTCTTGCGGCGCGGATTATGTCAAGACATCTCAGAAACTGCCGCCGTCATTGGCCTCGCAACTCAAGGCGGGACAGCGCGCTTGCAGTCTCGATGGTGATGCCGACCGCCTGATCTACTACTACCTGGATGACCGATCCAAGTTCCACATGCTTGACGGTGACAAGATCGCCGCTTTGGTGGCTGCCTTTGTCGTCGACCTTACCAAGGCTGCTGGCCTTGAGAGCCAGATCAAGGTTGGCATCGTCCAGACTGCATACGCCAACGGTGGTTCGACCAAGTACCTGTCCGAGGTGCGCTATTATGTACATGTCGAAGTGATACGAAGATGATACTCATTTCGCCTTGCACAGCGTCTACCTGTGAAATGCGTCCCAACTGGCGTGAAGCACCTGCACCATGCAGCGGAGAAGTACGACGTTGGCGTATACTTCGAAGCCAATGGACATGGCACCGTTCTTTTCTCTCCAGAAAGTCTGAAAACGCTCTCATCCCACCAGCCGTCTACGCCTGCTCAGTCAACCGCCTTGAACTACCTCGTCCAACTCACCAACGTAATCAATCAAACCGTTGGCGATGGCCTCTCTGACATGCTTCTCGTTGAAGTCGTTCTGGCCCACAAGGCGTATAGCGGAGAGGAGTGGGACTCACTATATGTCGACCTGCCGAACCGTCTGGTGAAAGTCGTGGTTGCCAACCGAAACATATTCAAAACGGAGGATGCGGAGCGACGACTAGTAAGCCCTCCTGGCCTACAGACGAAGATTGATGAATTGGTCCGTCGGTACAATGGCGGACGAACCTTCGTCAGACCTAGTGGCACGGAGGACGTTGTCAGGGTGTACGCCGAGGCAATTGTCAGGTCTCAGGCTGACGGTATGTCGACCAGTTCTGCTCTGTGCCGAAGAAGACACCTGACAAGTTATATTATGCAGAGCTCGCTTTCCGCATTGCCGGACTGGTCTATGATGAGACCGGCGGTGACCCCGCGCGTCGCCCGGTTGAGTTCCTGTAAAGTGGTGGATAGGAAGCCGGAAGGAACAGATTTATGTATAGTATGAGTGTCGTGTGCATGGACTAGGTTGCATTTCTGTAAAAGTATTCAGCGTGAAAAAGTGTACGGATGCGAAATCCGACCCGGACGGAGCATGCCACAACGTTGATCGCTCGGTAACGGCCGAACCCGGAGGATTTGTACGTCAGGTAACACGTCCGCCCGGAGTGGATGTCGCAAGAATGTCGACTAAGCTCATATATCCTGGTCTGCAGGCGGACGGGGTTCGGGATCAGTCCTGCATTGCATTACCTGCTTGTCTCCTACGCTCACCCCTACGTTGTTCTGAGTTTCCGCCTCTGGCAGAATGTGCCGCTTCGTGATCTACAAGGGGACGTCGCCTGTGCAGCTCTCGCATCTCCTGACTCGGCCTTGCCATTCAATCATAAATCAGGCATTTGACTCGCGGCTTAGATTGGACCATAGGAGGCCAATTAATGGGGATGGCTTCGGAGTAGGTGAGTAGCGCTATTGTTTCCGCTGCAGACAGTGGGTGAACAGGACTACAGGGTGGTACGATTCAAAGCATGACGAGGAGCTAGGTGATCATCCATGCATCTTCACGTCGGTAACCCCTGTGAGTGCCTCGCCTCAGCTATATAGACTTTCTGACAATCTTAGGCATGGAACAATGTCAACCTTGTCAGGCTTGCGGAGAAGACCAGGTCACCTTTGGTCTTGTAAGTCGGCCCCTCTGGATGTAATGCAAATGCGCTCATAGTCACGTTTGCAGTGCTCATGTCCGCGCAACGACAGCCGGCTCCCTGAGTCTAGACAACTGCCATCCGTGGTCGTTCGGGAAACTCATGGTATGCTGCTCTAATCAATTCTAAGGGAGAGGCATTTTAATAGCTTGATCTAGTTCATGCATAATGGTGGTATCGCGGAGTTCCACAGAATCAAGCGCAGGCTGCAAACATACTTGTCCGATGAGCTGTTCAACATGGTCTCTGGCAATACAGGTACGACAGACTATTTTCTTCATATTCACTAGCTCTCAGCAATATATCTTACATCACTCAATTGTAGATTCACAATGGGCTTTCGCTCTGTTCTTGTCCAAGGTGAATCTTGCCACTCATTGCCAGTGCTCCTCACTCTCACCTTACTTTCGCATCTAGCTCCCCGATCCACATGCCAAGTCGTTCACGCCTAATGTTCTCCGTCGCGCCATGATGGATACAATCGCACATATTAACGAGATGACAGAGGCAGAGCATATCATTGAGGTCCGTGAGCGCATTGTCCTCACTGCCGATACGTTTACTAATATTTCAGCTTCCCAAAGCCAAGTCTCATGAACTTTTGTGTCACCGACGGCGAAAGCGTGATCGCTACGCGGTACATTTCTTCGCGGCATGAAGAAGCTGCATCTCTCGTACGTGTACCTTGATGAGCTCTTTGTAGCATCGCTCAACTTTACATCGGAATAGTGGTTCTCATCTGGGACGACGTTCAGTGAATACGCGGATGGAGGACATTACAAAATGTCGAAAATGGACAAGCGGGAAAATATTATCATGGTGAATATGCTTGAGTTCCATGAAAATGAGACGGGTGTTTACCGTCTACGTAGATTGCGAGTGAACCATTGACATTCGAAAAGGGTTTGTGTCTTGTGCCTTGTACATGACTGTGTCTGACAAACTTGCAGCGGACTGGATGGAGATCAAGACAAATCATATGGTGGTTATCACACCCAAGATGAATCTGCTCCAGTTCCCCATCGTCGACAAGTACTACGTGCCGCCATCAGACCCCGCGGCTTTGAATCGTGGGACCGAATTCGCGGCATCGAAAGGCCTCCTGAGCCCACACCGCGATGTATCTATCCGGCCTGCGGGCGTCGCGGAGAACTTCCCTGTCCTCGTCATATGACACCGCATTGGACGATCTGCATGGATTCATTTACGTTATATCTGTTCGAGACTGATCTGGCGCCCGTGTTCTCTACTGTACTTCTATGCATGATATGCTGGTATTTGTAAAGTAGCCTCGTCGCTGTTACATTGGAATCCGAACCCAACTGGAGCTTTGCCTTTTTCGATGTTGCATTGCTGTGTTCCGCTCAAACACGTGTCGAAGTACGGTCTCAGGCCTCAAGGCGCGAAGGTGCTTAAGTTCAGGTTCGATGGAAGTAAACTCCATTGTAGGAGTACAGTACTTGCATCCTCACTCGCGACGACCTAGTGCCTTGGGAGACTCGGTCTCTCGGCACTTTGTCGCCAAAGCTGTTCATACGCTACCTCGATGGTCGTGTCGGGCCCACGGCTGTTATGGAGCGCGATATCTAGCACCGCAAGGTCAGTGCTGCAGTATACGCTCTGTACCAGCTCTAACAGTCTGCGCTACTCCTGACCAGGCTCTCCACGGTCCTGCAGATCCTCATTTTTCTGCCTTTGACTCTTTCGACACTCTCGACGTCCGCCTTTCTCCTGCTCTCGCTGCTGCTTCTGATCCACTCGTTCATCCATGGCACCCTTGTCCTCTTATGGGGCTCGCCGGCCCTCTCCCTCATGCAGGTGCCCATGCACCCGTTCCTCCTGCTCGTCTGCTTCAACGTCTTCTCCGAGCGCGTGCACCCACTCTTGCTCAGCGCCGCGACGTGGTGGGGCCGCCTGTTGAGGTGGTCCAGCCCCGGGTTCATCGTCATGGAGGGCCTGTCTAGCCTGCTGATTGTGCAAAAGCTGGGGCAGGTAGGCAAGGAACTTGTCAGCGAAGGAGAGGGGTATCAGTTTGGCCTGCTTGTGGCGGCAGCGGCGGCGTACGTGACCTCGGCGTGGTGGATTGTCGTGGTACGTCCAACTTTGCGTACATCGTTTGCTCGACTTACGATGGACAGACATATCCGGTCGCAGCGACATCCCCTCTCTCGTCTACTTTACTTGGGGTGGCATTGACCACCTTGACTTTCTTGACTCTCATTGGATTTGTGCTGCGTCGGACGAACGTCATCGAATCGTCGGGGTTGGCACTGTTCGTCGCCTACAACGTCTGGCAATGTGGCTTCGAACAGAGCTCCGTCTCGGGTCCTGCATCATCCTAGTAAGTTGTTGCTCCATTACGTGCCAATTCTACTTCACAGAATTCAACATCTCAGTGCGCCCTTACTATCCAACATCATGCCTCACATGCAGACATTGATCAACTTCGTATCGAACACTCTCCCTAAACCGGTGATCGTGGCTCTAACCTATCGATTGGTCGTTTTGCACTTCGCATCGCAGATTCTCCCTACTATCGGTGCGGATAGCTGGGAGGATGAATCTGGAGTTGTCGATGGTTGGGAAGGCCGACCTGTGAGTCAACCTCGCACTTCCTCATACCCTACGACGTCGCTGAATGACTCCGTACAGACATCCAAGTTGGCGCATTTTCTCCTGACATACCGGCAAGCTATCTTCGTAACTGTGTACTCGCATTTACTGCGTGAGTGTATGCGTCGATCCTCATCTATTCTTGCTTATTGATTCGTGTAGTGCTGGATCATCCCGCGCAAGTATGGTGGCGATGGATGAACATATTTATCACACTCGTCATCTGGTCGATAGAACTGCTCGTGAGCAGCGACGACGGTGACAGCGTCACAACGAAGTGGAAAGTCGATTGATTTCCGCGGGTTTGCATGTCATCCAAACCACCTATTTTTGACGATAATCAATCTCATGACGACTCCCAGCGACACCCATCGGCTAGTCTATACATTGGCCTTCCACTCTGCCTCCTCCTCTCGCTCTCCCTCATAAAACTCCCTCTTCCATATCTGCGCTTTCCTTTTCACTTCCTCCAAGATGTATTCACACGCCAAGAATGCTTCCTTCCGATGTGGTGATGAGACTGCGATGACGATCGAGGGCTCTCCCACAGGAACGGTTCCCAGACGATGATATACCGCCGACCGTATCAAGGAAGTCACGCCGCTCTGCTCTGACTGGTGGTCCGAACGTGAGTGGGAGGCATGCGCGGTGCGAATAATGTCCGCCATTGTCTTGATGGCGAGCTTGCTGTATGCTTGATAGTCGAGGCGGGTTACGACTTTACCTTTTGTATGGCAGAGGCGGATGAGATGGTTAGCAGCTGTATAATGCGATCACGATCACCTTTGAAGGAGTTGCGAGTCGTCCCGATGAATACGGCGGTGGCCCCCGCTCTATCGTCGCCGACAGAGCTGATAATTGAGTCGACGACGAGGGCATCGTGAGTGAGGACGCATACACCCTCCGGGATCTTGAGCAAGGCATCTGTTGATGCAGTGGGGGGAAGCGACATCTTGTTCTGGGGCGGCCTCGATGGTTGCACGAAGGCCGCTACTCTACTTCGAATGTACATCCGACGTTACGAAGCGCACGCTATCATTGCACCATAAAGAGCTAGGCTCATGTCCGACTCATAGCCATGCCTCTGTTATGCACAACCATTCGCGGGACGTCTTTGCACGGTCGTCACCTCAAGCGCTTCTTGTCCGCTCTGCCCGATAGTCTGCGCATACATGGACCCATCGACGTCCATCCCGAGGTCCAAGATGCACTGGCTAACAAGAAGCCAATCGTTGCGCTGGAGACTACAATAGTCACCCACGGCATGCCCTACCCTGTCAATTTGAAGACCGCCCAGTCAGTGGAAAGCAATGTTCGCAAGGCCGGTGCTATCCCCGCGACGATAGGCATCATCGGCGGTCGAGTCAAAATCGGCCTTGAGCCCCGTGAACTTGGGTATCTCGCCGATGTCGAGAACAATCTCGCTGTGGTCAAGGTCTCTCGCAGAGATATCGGGCCGGCAATTGCACTGAAAAGAGATGGAGTTGAGACCTTCCTCCACGATGTCATAGGCAACATTGACAAAGACTCAGGGCACGACGTGCAGTGCTACACTAATATTTGCTGCTTTAGCAGGCATTAAGGTAAGCAACGTGACTGATAGACGTGCATGCCTACTCGTTCTGAATTCGCGCTATCAGGTTTTTGCAACGGGAGGGTACGCGCCCTCTAGCTTATCACGCCGCTGCTATACACAAGTTATGAAACAGCTTGGGAGGCGTGCACCGTGGCGGGGAGATATGTAAGTAATATCTCGTACAACACGTCACTTACTTATGCACCTGCACACCATCTGAACAGCCATGGATGTATCCGCTGATCTGCACGAGTTGACGCGGTGTCCTGTCGCGTTGGTCTCGGCAGGGGTTAAGTCAATACTTGACATTGGAAGGTTCGTGCCGTTGAGGCCGCGGTGATACGCTATGTGTGGACTAATCAATCGTTTTCAGGACTCTTGAATACTTGGTATGATTTGTGTGGACCTTTCTGAGATCGCATTAGCCAAGTCATAAGTATAGGAAACACTAGGCGTTCCTGTCATCTCGTATGGACCAACGGAGGACTTCCCAGCTTTCTACAGCAGGCACAGCGGGTTCAAGGTACCCGGCCGAGTGTATCACCACTCTACATGTGATGATTGATTGGCTCTCTGCAGAGTCCCTGGAGAGTCGAGGACCCGATCTCAGCTGCCAAGGTCCTATGTACGTGACCTGGTATCTAGGATGTGCATGGAACTGACCGCTATTTCCGACAGATCATCAGTCGCAGCTGGGCATGACAAACGGCGCACTGTTTGGGGTTCCTATCCCTGAACGATATCAAGAAGTCGGGGAAGAGCTGCAGCGGCATGTGGAGCAGGCCGTCAAGGAGGCTGAGGAGAACGGCGTGAGTCGGCGCGGCAAGGAAGCTACTCCTTGGTTGCTGAGGCGTGTCGGTGAATTGACCGCCGGGAGATCACTGACAAGCAGTGAGCTGCACAATGCACTTCCCAGGTCGTGTTGCATGCTGATAACCGCACTTAGATGTAGCGCTGATTGAGAACACGGCACTCGTTGGTACGCACCATCTCAGAGGGGAGTGATTTGTGGACTCACTCATCCGCAGGTGGGCAAATTGCGGTCGCATATGCTGACCTCCAACACGACCGGAGTGAGATTGTGAGTGCGGCTCCATAAGTATACGCACGAAAGACCAAGTGTACATAAACGATACAGACTCGAATAGCGCTCCCGCGATCCCCTGCACCTCAACGTCCGTCGACAGAGTCGGCACATAATATTTCTTCAGCAGAGGCAACTGATGCCGAAGCTTTGGTAGTTTGCGTCCATGGTTCTAAATTCGTTTAATCTTACACACCATCCAGTCTCCAGCAAAGCTTGTTATCATTGGCTCAGCAGCTGTTGATATCACAGCACAGGCCGCTTCGGGGAACGAGTCGGATTCTGTCAGCGGCTCGCACACGACCGTACCTGGCACTGTTTCCTTGAATCTCGGTGGGGTAGGCCGGAATGTCGCGGAAGCAGCGCATCGCACACTGTCATCGCGACTGGGAAGGGACTCTGATGCTAGCATCCTCATCTCCCCCATCGGACATGATTCCTTCGGCCGCCTGTTGGAAAACGAAATGCAGCGGACACGGATGCGGACGGACGGCCTCATCCACATGGACTCAGTGAGGACTGCCATCTGCAACATGGTCCTGGACAAGGCAGGAGGGCTGACAGGCGGAGTGGCCGACATGGATGTTACACGCGCATTGGATCGGGAAACGGTATGCAGCTGCGCTCATCTGAAGTGCGGAATGTGTGCTCACTCTGGCGTACCTATAGGCGTTACGGCTACTCCGGAAACACCAGGCTTCCTTGGTCGCGGTGGATGGGAACCTCTCGGAGGAGACCTTAACGTCGGTTGTCAGTCACTGTCGCGAAAACAGCATACCTGGTACGTGATCTTCTTCATTTGTATATTCGTTCAAAGTTAATGCTCTTGCAGTCTTCTTGTCAGTCCACAATTCATGCGCATACTCACATGTTTTGACACATTTTCAGCGAGCCTACTTCAGTTGTGAAATCCCTCAACATATTCCCGGCCGTTGCTGCATCGCTCCCACACGTCGACTCAAATCACTCGCCGATAGCGTACGTCGCGCCAAACACACTGGAGTTGATGCAAATGTACCAGGAAGCTGTTGCGGGTCCCGGAGAACTCACATCACACAGCCATTGGTGGACCGTTGTGGAAGCCATGTCTCTTGGTTCAGTGTTCCGCATGGACCTGGAACAGCTCGCAAGGCTCAACGCCTGTGATCACGATCCAAGCAAGGGCACGCTGTCATTCCTGATTGATCAGGGCATCGCCCAAATGGCTATACATCTCCTCCCATTCTTCCAACATATCATCATCAAATGCGGCGACCGCGGCGTCGTCACTGTCTTCCGTGTCTCTGGCAAGTCTATGGAAACGTCAGCATGGATGCAGGAGCGCAGTAACGTCCGCCGCCGATACGTGGTCGGCCACGGGAAGTCGGGAACAGCGGTAGTGCAGCACTTTCCTGCTGTCCGCCTAGCGAAGGAGCAGATTGTGAACGTCACAGGTGCAGGGGACACTCTTGTAGGGAGCATGCTAGCAGGGCTACTGCACAATCCTACAGCATTTGAAGATCCAAGCACATTAGTTGATTTAATCTCAAAAGCTCAGGACGCTGCGGTACTGACATTGCAGAGCCCATGTGCGGTCTCGCCAGCCCTTTCTACATAATACAATGATATGATTTGGCATGTGTTCTTCGCCCGGTCAATGGCTATCCTTGGGCGTCAGCGTGCAGCGGGCCCACTTGCACGACCTCGCGCGCTCTTCTCTTCGTCTCCTTAGCGAGTGCCGCAGCCGCTTTTTGCCTCTCCTTCATCTTCTTCTCATAGCGAGCCTAGAGACGAGTGAGTACCATATAACATGCGACAATTCTGGGTACGGACCTGCGCGCCGTGCTTCAGCCGGCTGATGATGTTTGCCGCCTCGCCTTTTGTCATGGTAGCTATCTTCTGCTCCTGCGCGGCTTTCTTGCTGTCATCAGGGAAGAGACTGCTGTCACGCTTCTTCCAACGCGTATGGATCCATGCCTTTTGAGAATCGGTAGCAGGCTCCCTCCGCCATTTCGCGCTTCGACGCAGCCTATACGACTCGCTTCAGTATGCCTACGAGACGCCGGCTAACGAGAATGAATCACGAACCCTGCAGCCATTGGACCCTTCACAACCTTGTTGATTGCGTATGTGTCCGCGCCACGGATCGCTTCAATCAGGGTTGGCGCCTCGAGAATTTGTTTGGTGGATTGGTACGGCGGAATCTTGTAAATCATAGCTTGACGTAAGGGGATTACGGCGCGAGTCCAGTGGGCGCGAAAACAGGGTGGCGTGCCTATGGCGTCCGCAGAACTGAGTTCCTTCTAGAATATTGCCTGAACTGAAACGGGCACCCACCCTCATCACCTTCGATCCGCTCGATGCGAATGAAGCCCTTGCCGAGGCACTCGAGGACGTAGATGTCGTCCCCGCATCCAAGCCAGGCATTACTGCTCAGTTTGGATATATGCGGCACGCCGCATGCCTTTTCCACGAACTCGAAAGGGTTGTCATAGTCGATATAAGTAACAGACTTTGGATCCGGTGGATTCATGTTGTTACGTCCACGAATCGCCTCCAAGTTGACTTCATCTTTGGACATGCGTTCTTCCAGTGATTCGAGCGGTTCGTCTAAGAACGTGACAATCTGCGTGTAGCTGAGTGATAACAGTACACTCACCGTCGACGACTTCGGAAGGATCAAGCCCAAACAAAGTAGGCGTGGAGATGACTCCGGGCACTGCATTTGTAGAATCAACGAAGTCGATGATTCGGCAGTCCTCTTTGCCTGTGTCGGGAGACAACCGCATACCTCGCCCAATCTGCATATCGCGCATCAGCTAACGATCTATCTGCTCATCTTACGAGAGCATACACACCATCTGTGCGACAATGTTCCGCGACCGCGTCGGTCGCGCGACAACGACACAGTCAATGTTTGGTATATCGGTACCTTCCGTCAGTACAGCTGTGAAATCACGAGTCAAGATCATGCTCGAATTGAAGACAGGAATTCTACCCACCGCAGTTGACAAGCACAGGAAATCCGCCAGCCTTGAACATCTCGACGAGTGCGCGCCGCTCCACCGCGGGCGTGCCCGAGTACACGTAGCGTGCGTCTATGCCCGCCTCGCGGAATGCGTCCGTCAGCGCGCGTACATGCGCAAGGTTCACGCAGAACACGAGCGTCGACCGACGGTCTGCCGCGCGGTCGAGCCACGTCTGCACGATGAGCCGGTTCACAGTCGACGTGTTGATGACGTGCGCGAGGCTCGTCGCGTTGAAGTCGCCTGTACGGGAGTTGACCGTCACGCCCGTGAGGTCGATGTTTGCGCGCACAGAGGTGAAGCGCACATTGCAGAGCCTAAAGCAGAGGAGGCGTCGGCGGGGATCCTCTGGTCGGCAAATGGACAACTCACCATTGCTCCTTGATCATCTCGAGGAAGTCGCGGTGGTAGACAATACGCTCGAAGACGGACCCAAGGGCCAGTCCATCATGTCTACTGAACGTCGCTGAAAACCCGAAGATGGGCACTGTCGCCTTCGCTGGCGGCGAAGTAGGGCTGTCTGGGTTACCGATGGAAGAGTGGAAGTATGACAGTATGCGGCGATATCTACAGAATGTCAGGGCAGAATCTAATGGCCCGTTCTAAGGTTTACTCACGACGGCGCTGCGGCATGGTGCGCCTCGTCGACAACGACGGCCTTCAGCTGTTCGGGTCTGAACTTCTCCAGGCGACCAGGCTGTAGGAGAGTCTGGTATGTAGCGACAGTGCTAGACACAGCCAGCCAGATGGCATACAGTATCCGCGGAATTATTGGGCATGCTCTTTAGACAGTGTCCGATATTTGCGGGATATAGAGACTCACAAGGAAGCGTCCCCTGATGCACGGTGCTCACCGCCCTGCTCGATCTCGACTCGCTCTCCTGCACACTGCTGCTCGATCTGTGCCGCGACCTGCCGCGCAAGCTCGACACTATTGACAATGATTAAGGCATTAGATGCGATGGTGTTGCGTGACGGAGGGCGTATCCTGTTCAGGAGAGACACGAAAACCGTCGTCTTCCCCGAGCCTGTAGGGAGGGACACGCCAATGCGCGTCGAGCCCGATGCTAGGGCTTCAAGGCATGCGTCCACACACGATTTCTGATAGGGGCGTAGGACAACTGGAGAATTGCTGTGTGTCGCATAGAGCCGGCGCAGAGACTTGCTGGTCGACCAGACCAGCCGACAACGCGAGAGCATAGGACAAGGAGCAACTTCGACACGCTTCTTTCATCCTACGCCCTTCTCGATCATTTCAAGGATCGAAAACACGTGCATACATAGCTCAGATCCTGAGCTTGAGATGGCGAAAATTACACCATCACTCGCGAAGTATCGTATGGGGTAATCTGTATTTTGTATACCACCTTAAGAGATAATACATCCGGTATCGCGTTAGAACCCGTGAGTAAAGTACGCCCAGAGGCTCTAAGATCAGTATCACATAGGAGATAAATAATAACCAAAACATCAGCTGTAAACCCACTAGTCCCTCCGCTCAGCCAGAGCCTGCATAGAGAACCATGAGCGCTGTCCATGCACATAAAAGTCCATTATGAGGACATACCTCCGGAGTAGACCTTGCCGAAGAGGATCTCCTGGAACTTGTCGTACAGGGAGAGTACACCAGCACCCGCGACACCACGGAGGATATTCGCGCCAGCACCCTTGAAGAGCGACTTGATACCCTCCTTGGCGACAATCTGCGAACCAGCGTCGAACATGGACTTGTAGTGCGTCGTGGAGCCAGACGTCATCATCATGCGACGACGAATCGTGTCCAGCGGGTACGACGCAAGACCAGCGAGGTTAGTGACACCCCAGCCGAGCATGAACGAGGCAAGGAAGGAGCCCTCGAAAGCACCGACCAGAACGACAGGCTCTGCAGAACGTCAGCAAACGTATCAGACACTCGACCGACCAGAGGGCACGCACTGAGTGAGTCGTAGACACCGAAGTAGAGACCACGATACACGACAATACCGCAGACCGAGGGGACGAAGCCACGGTAGAGACCCGCAAGACCGTCGGAGCGGAGCGTTTTCTTGTAGACATCAACCAGGCCGTTGAACTGGCGCTCTCCACCGCCCTTCGCCGACTTTGCGTCGTTTGCAAGACGTGTACGAGCATAGTCAAGGGAGTAAACGAAGAGGAGGGAGGATGCACCGGCGCCGGCACCAGACGCGACGTTGCCAGCGAACCATTTCCAGTAGCCCTCGGACTTCTTGAAGCCGAATAATGACTTGAAGTAGTCCTCTGTAGGAGCGATGAGGAACAGGCACGTCAAGGGGATAATGCGAATACTGACTGAACGCGAAGTTCAGGGCCTGGGTAGGGAAGTACCGGACGACGTTCGCGGTATTTCCTCGCCAGAGGGAGAGGAGGCCCTCATCGCGGTATGTGCGGGCAAAGCAGTCGACAATGCCCTTGTATGGGGTGGCAAGACGACCCTGCTTGATCTGCAAGGCACGGTACGTCATGGGTCTGCGCCGGGCACACGAGCGCGCACGCGACTCACCATCTCATCCTGATTCTGGACCAGGAGTTTGATCCGTTCGATGGGTGCAGCAGACGTCTTCGAGACGGCCTACAAATCAAGTGCATCAGGGCCACTGAAAGCAAATACAGACCGCATGACCTACGGCAGAGACACCGCCCATCAAGAAGTCGACTGGGTACAAGATGAGCTCAGCGACACATGGCGCAGCTTCAGAGACAAGACACACCTGCAAAATCCTTTGGGGTCTTGCTCCTTTTTGTTTCGGCCATTGCGAGAAGTAGAAGTCCAGAGAGAGACTGAGTGGGGGATGGCCCTGGCTAGCGAACCTAATGACGCTTATAACCTCCTCTTTCCCCGGTGTGATGCGAATCTCGGGAGTCTTCGTGATCAAGATGCTCCTCCTTGACATTCAGCGCTCAGCGCTCAGCGTCGGGCACGATTCTGTCTACTTACCACATTCGTCATCGGACTGTCGGCTAAGGTGGCGACCCGTCAGTGACACTCCGAAATACAACACCTTCAACAACAGCTTAGAGCAATACCGCGTCGTATGCACGTAGTAGTGACATCACCTCGAAGTACATCTTGGTGCCCACGCTGTCACACCACCATGCAGAGCACATACAGACCACAGGACCACATCCTTATAATGACAATAAAGAGCTCACTTGAGACATGATCGCATCGAACTCACAGAGGACAGGTGTCTTGCTGTAATCGGTCAAGTCGATGCTGTGCGCCGAGGGCAACGATTATTTTGTCTACTACTGAGCTCACAAAAGCAATATCCCAGGACGGTATCAAGCTCCACACCAAGAGATAGCGTATGGCCGAAGGGTCTAAAATGTATGATCGTGCAGGCAATATACGTAACAGTACTATGAGGCTGATACACGTTATGATGTCCGCAATCATACAGTCTCTTAGCCAGATCCTGTACGACGACCGTGAGCAAAAAATATAAAGAGACTTCAATCAAAGAAACTGACCACCGGAGTAGACCTTGCCGAACATGACCTGCTGCAGCTTGTCGTAAAGCGACAACACACCAGCACCAGCAACGCCACGAAGGATGTTGGCACCCGCACCCTTGAAGAGCGACTTGGTGCCCTCCTTCGCAACAATCTGCGAGGCGGCATCGAACATCGACTTGTAGTGAGTAGTCGAGCCAGATGTCATCATCATGCGACGACGGATCGTGTCCAGAGGGTACGAGGCAAGACCAGCACCAATGGTGACACCCCAACCAAGCGCGAACGACGCAAGGAACGAACCCTCAAGCGCGCCAACGAGGACCACCGGCTCTGCAAAGAACAATCAGTCATTGATGTGACAAATTAGCGACCAATACTCACTGAGCGAATCGTAGACACCGAAGTAGAGACCGCGGTAGACAATGATACCAACGACCGACGGGACGAAACCACGGTAGAGACCAGCAATACCATCAGAGGCAAGGGTCTTCTTGTAGACGTCGACGAGACCGTTGAACTGGCGCGCTCCTCCACCCTTGGCCGACTTGGCATCGTTGGCCAGACGCGTACGCGCGTAATCAAGCGAGTAGACGAAAAGCAGCGACGAGGCACCAGCCGCACCTCCGGAGGCGACGTTGCCAGCGAACCATCTCCAGTAACCCTCAGACTTCTTGAAGCCAAACAATGACTTGAAGTAGTCCTCTGCAGGACATGTCAGAGGCAGCTCCTAGCAAGCCAGAGAAGGAAACTTACTGAACGCGAAGTTCAGGGCCTGAGTAGGGAAGTACCGGATGACGTTGGCGGTGTTACCCCTCCACAGCGACAGCAGACCCTCTTCACGGTATGTGCGACCAAAGCAGTCGGCGATACCCTTGTATGGGGTCGCGAGACGACCCTGCTTAATCTACAGACATAACTTATTGGCGCGACGCGACACGAGACACCGATTAATGACATACCATCTCATCCTGGTTCTGGACGAGGAGCTTGATTCGCTCGATAGGCGCAGCAGAAGTCTTTGCGACAGCCTATGGGAGAGTCGATCAGCTGCAGACCACGAGACACAGGCATTACTACGCACTGCTGAGACACCGCCCATCATGAAGTCGACTACACAGATATGCCAGGTCAGCAAACCACACAATTGCCAAAAACACCGCGCAACGCTACGACAGCACTGCGCTAGACGTGATACTGACTGGCGAAGTCCTTGGGAGTCTTGACCTTCTTGGTCTCGGCCATTTTGACGGAGGTAAACCGGAGGAGGAAAGAGGGACTGAGTGGAGGTGGTGGAGGACGTTGAAGAGAAAACTGCTGGCGTGCGACGCTTCAAGTACGTTCTCGGATGTTGCCGGACCCCGCGACCTCCGGCTGCCACCGGGCGCAGAGGGACCCCGGGCCGAGCGACGACCAATCGCGCTTTGCAACGTCTGTGCGCGACTAATCTGCGAGCGCGAGCAGAGCACTGCCGACACAGATTTTGGCAGGAGCCCGCGAACTCGCACGCGGGTCTCGGACTCTCGTTGTGCGAATAATATCGAGTGGCATTACTTATGTACAGTATTGAACCTTTCTAATGCGTGTGAAGACCAAGAGATAATAACAGAAACGATATGCTACGACGCCGTACATAACGATACCCTGACGCGCACTTGCTATGCGATGGAATAGTATGTAAATGCTACCGCCAGTTCTCTGGCGAGCTTGTGCCGTTCAACCTCGGCAGGTACGAATGCATGGAACGGATGTAGTCAGTACTAGTATTAAAGGCATTCTGATATCGCGAAGTTGACCCCGCTGATGCAGTTCCATTAGGAGCCCGCCACGAGCCTTCGTAGTGTGAGCCGTTCACATATGGTGCGCTGGGGCCTGCGCTGCTAGAACTCGGCGGAGACCCGAGGGCATCTGAGCGAGACTTCTTCCAGATCTGCTCGGTAGGCGAGGGGATATCATTGTCAACTGCCTTCCTCTTCTTTGTCGAGCGTGGTGGGGCCTCGTCCTCCGAGTCCAGAGTGAGGTCAATCACGTCAGACACAGCTGTCTGGCTTCGTGGTGGCTGTGTCGCAGTCCCCCGAGAAGACACAGAGCCCGTCTCGTAGGACCACGATAACTCCCTCTTTACTCTCCCCTCGTCCTCATCGTCCGAATCCAGGATGACAATCTCAGCATTACTCGGCCGTGGGTGTCCATTGGTACTGTTTACGGAGGGTTTGGCAGGCGAAGGTGAGCGTTGTTTGACGGGAGCAGCAGGAGCGGGAGTGGCGGGGACTGAAGGCTTAATGAACGGATGTGACATCTTCCACTCTGCCGAAGCAAACTTGTTGTCTTCGGTATGCCATTGACCATCAGCCTCCACAATTACATCCTCAACGTCCTCAGAAGTCGACTTCAGGATCTCGTCGAAGTATCTATCTAGACGTTAGAAAACGGCAGAAGCGCCATAAGCAGCATGCACGCACCCGTCCACTATGAGATCCTCCACATTCAGCATTTTCTCGCAAACGGGACAGAGCCAAGTAGTGGTCTGTTCCATCACCGAGAACCACGACAATGCGTCAAAGCATTGCGAATGGACGCACAATGCGGATCGACAAGGCGTGCTAATGCGCATATAGCTGAGCTACATGTCCAATATGAGTGCGAGAGCACCGACAAGAGTCATTGTACGGACGTACAGGGCACTTTAAGGACATTTTCTGGTGTCCCGCAACAATATCGTCGTCGATGGATGCAGCCTGGATCACTGCAGGATACGGTCAGCAGAGAGATGAGATTAAGTGTAATCGCCTACTCTTTCCGAGAATCTCTTCCTTGCTTTTGTATTTTCCTTTCTTGAGCCTGTCAATTAGTTGGTCCACCGAAGTGGTCTCAACTAGCATGACAACGAGGTAGTATTTCTATGTAGGACGTCGGTGAATGATCCCGGTGGCCTGGGCATTATAAACATACTTTGGATAATACGGGTTGTTGACTGTTTACGTAGACCATCTCTACCCGGTTCGAGGCTCCTGATGATAGTCGCAGGCTCTTGCCTAGCTCTGGTGGTGGGGCTGTGCCAGGTTTCTTCTTCATTCCTTTGAGATTTGCCGTCAATGGCGTGTTATTGACGCGCACTTCACAAGTGGGAGGGAATTCGATTGGACAAGGCCCAGTCGATGTTCGGAAAGCAGCCGAGGAGTGGAATGTAGACGATGTGCAGTATAACCGAAGCTGATACTTCGAACTGGAAAGTGCAAGATTTAGATTGTGGCAGAAACTATGCATGCAATGTACACCTACCTCGAACTGTTCAGCTTAGAGAGTATGTCGTTATTGATAGTGAAGGAGAGTGACTGCTGGCGTCTGTCCATCGAGCTTGTAGATTCTGAAGACAGTATTTGACGTCAGTGTCAGTGATCTCAAGGATCTAAACAGTCGCGTGTGATAAATGCTTACCAGGACATTCTACGATAGACGACACAGCACGTTCGACTCGAAAGAAAGGCGAAGGCTTGAATAGGATACCTAAAGGAAATACATCGTGAGTATGCACCTGTGGTGGGACTATAGAGGAGTACTTGCTTGGGCCAGGCGGTGCTGCAGATGTCGAAGCAGCGGGCGCTGCAGGTCTCCGAGGAGGCGCGTATGGATCATAACGGGGAATGGCGCTCGTCGAAGAGCCGTAGCTGTGACTAGACGCAACCGGCGGTGCATATGTGTGGTGCGAGGACGAGGCAGAGGCATATGGTTGCTCGGCGTTCATTCTAGACGGGCTGTAACTACCCACGGAAAAGGAAGGTCAGCATGAGACAGCCGAGTAGAAAGCACAATGCAATGGGTCCCGCAGACGAACTAACGACACTCACACCCCATATTGTCGCACCTGGTTCAATATGGTCTTCCCTCTCGCCCATTTCTCCACGCTGCCGTGATCTCGCCAAGTGTCCATCTCGCGTGTAATGCGGTCAATGAGCTCTTGCTTTTTACCCGACTTGGTAAAGTTCGTGCCACACTCGTCGTTGAACCCGGTCAAGATCTGCTTCAGTCGATCGACTGTGTTGAGCTTCACGTTATGTCGCAAAGTCTGGCCAAAGTCGAGGTCGTCATTTGTGGCCGATCGAGCACGGGATCTAGCATTGTCTTACCTCGTAGTCAGCCCAAGCGTTGGAACTGGCCATTGAGATTTCAGTAGGCAACGTCCCAGTAGTCTAAGCGGAGGCACCACGGAAGTTAGAGCCGACGACGCTTGGCGATTTGGACGCAGCTACCTCCAGATCTAGGCTTAGAAAGGCCGTGCGAAAATTGTGGACGAGACGGTCACGTGTGGTCGGTCGCGATCGAGATCTCGTATCTAGCAGTGGCGTCAGGACAGACAGAAGGACCCGGAAGGTGCAGCTTTCCAAGCAACTCAACACTTGCTACTATCAACAGCAAGATGTCTGCTCAAAAGGATGACTACGAAAAACTGTCTAAAGAGGAGCGCGAGGCTCGCGATAAGGCTGATCGACAACGCGAAGCCGCGGAGCAAGCTGGTGCGTTACCTTCTGTCTTTGAGGTAGAACTCTCACTGACCACGGCGATCAGTTTTGCCCTATAAATGGGGTCAAGAGCTCGGCGAGGTTGATATCGTAGTTCCTGTGCCCAAGGGCACGCGGGGCAAGGACCTCGGCGTCGTCATTCAGAAGAAGAAACTCAGTGTAGGTCTGAAGGGTAAAGAGCCCATTATGGCAGGCGAACTCTGCAAAGATATCAAGGTGGAAGATAGCACTTGGACACTAGGTACGCGATACGGGCATATCGACTCATACCGCCTAATCGCGCCACAGAGGACCAAGAGGCGGTTCACATTCATCTGGAGAAGATCAATAAGCAGCAATGGTGGGAGAACGTCCTGACACACCACCCTAAGATCGATACGACCAAGATCACACCTGAGAACAGCAAGCTCAGCGACCTGGACGGAGAAACAAGGTGCGGCCCTCAATCTATCCTCGATATTGCACTTGACTTACCACAACTATAGGGGCATGGTCGAGAAGATGATGGTAACACCCTTTCAACGTTGACGAAATCCCTCATCTGATGATCTTTTCAAAAGTTTGACAACCAACAGAAGGTATTGTGCCCAAGCGGTTCACATGCAGCGGAGAAGGCATTCTGACCAGTTCATAGCAAATGGGCAAGCCAACATCAGATGAACTCAAGAAGATGGAGGTCAGCTGCTGTCGGATCCGCTTACATACATGCACACATACTCAATGACAATGCAGGCACTGAAGAAATTCCAAGATGCTCATCCCGAGCTTGACTTCTCCAACGCGAAGATGTCGTAGTTCTCTCGTTCGGCCAGGCGTAGCGTCGAAAGTTGTACTAATCTCATCTCATCTCATCTTGTAGCAAGGATTGAAAGTATGTTGTATCAATGGCACACAGTTCCGTTCGTTGGAGTCACACTTGGTATCGGTAAGATCAACAAGATGCGCAATAAGCACACGACTGAATAGAGTGAATCCGTAGCAATATCAACACTTTGACGAAGGTATAAATCTACGTTTTCCTCCGCTTGCCAGGTTGTTGTTCTGCTGCAGCACTCTTGCGCTTGACGCTCTCTACAAGGCTCTTCAGACTGTCTTTGCCTGCCGCGTCCTGACGCTTCGCAGTAACAGGGACATCGGCATCCGTCTTCTCCTTCTGTCTCTTCGAGCGCTCTCCCAGAAGAGCTGCCATGCTCTTCGTTTTTTTGAATCTGCGGGAAGACAGTTCAGATATCGATCCAAGAGTCCAATAAGCCCATCGTACCTCGGATTGCTGGGGTCAATAGCAAACGCATAATCGTCGTGCACGGCCTTGAATCGGTCGTCCTTGAGATCGATGTTGAAGTCCTCCTGTAGCTCATTCTCCTCCTCCAGCGCGGCTTTCTTCCCTCTCTTCTTCTTTAGTTTCTGCTTCTTCTCCGCCTTCAGGACGGCCTTCATATTGAAGTGTCTGGCCTCGCCGTCGACGTTGTCAGACGCGGCCAACAGCGCCAGCTCCTCCGCAGTCGAGATGTGCCGGTCTTCCTTCTCCCCCTCCCCGTGCTGCTTGCCCTTGCGCTTGTCGCGTTTGCTGCGCTTATCGAGTCTCTCCTCCTCGCTATCCGCCTCCACACCGGACTCCGCGCCCTCATCTTCGCTCCCCCCCGCAAAGAAATCGTCGCGAGCACCAGTCTCCTTGTCCGCCTGCTCGTCCGCATCCCGCTCCTTGACCTCCCCCTTCCGCTTCTTCTTCTTCTCCTTCATCTTCCGCTGGTACTTCTCGAGCGTCGTCTCCTCGCGCCCCTCGTTCGCGTTGCTCAGCCCCGGCGTGAACGTGATCTCCATGTCGATGTCGTCCCCGTCATCTTCGCCCCTGCTCTGGCCCCAGCCCTCCGGGAGGTCGTCGCCGCCGCCGAGGAGCAGTGCGCGCAGCTTGTCACGGGACGCTGCCTTTGCGTCCGCGCCTTTGCGGGGCCCGCGCTCATCTTCGTCCTCGGAGCCGGAGGTCGAGGATGCAAGATACGCCTTGAAGTCGTTCTCGTCCAGCTCTTTTCGGGATAGGGCGCGGCGCGTGAGTTGCACGCGCTGCGGGTCGTCCTCGTCCCATGTCAGCTTCACTTTCGAATGCCGGAGTGCCTATTCCTCAACGATGAGCGTAGCCCCAAGGTAGTAACCTATGTCGTACATACATCTGTTCTGAAGTCAAGGGCTTTGTAGGTAGCACCGTAGTCCTCCACGGCCTCGTCACTGTGGACAGTTGTCGATTACCGCGTAAAATGAAAAGGATACGAGACCTACCGGCAATCCTGGTCAAATGTCATGTCTTCTGGAACGAAGCTTAAGTCGAAGACGTTTGCGGACCGCTCGAGCTCTGTGCCTTCCAGCTCGGAGTAGATATGTGATGCAGCTTCCACGCTGTCGCAGTCGACAATGGCATAGTAATATCTGTAATCATTGGGTCAGATGTCGGGCACTCGCCAATTCTGAGAATAACATACCGTAACCGCTCTAACTGATACTTCCTCAGCGCGTCTTCGTCGTAATCCTCCCCATCCCCGACCTCGAAGATGGTGCGCTCGTTGATGTCGTCCTCGTTCTCGATCGTCTTCTTCTTGAACACCTCCGGGGGTGGTCCCTCCTTCTCTTCCCTTGCCATGCGCTCCTTACCGAACTCGCTCGGGTAGACACGCACGCTGAGGACCTTGCCCCGGACGACGCGGGCAGCGGAGCCTTTCGCCCTCCCTTTCCTCGCATCCTTGGCGGTGTCTTCCGCAGGTCTCGGCGCGAGCGGCGGAGCGGTCGGCGACACAAGCGAAGAAAATATCTTATAGAGATGTATAGCGCGTACATGCTCCCAGTCGAGGTTCACGACAGCAAGCCTGCGTGTGCGCTGCCCTTCGTCAGCTCCGTTACCGTCCACCTCGGGGTTCTCTTTGGCATACGCGGCAGCCTGTGCGTCGAGCTCGGCGAATGCATCCTCGTCCAAGTCAATTTCGGCTTCGTCATCCGGAACCGGGATAGGCTTGGAGATATCGCGGCCAAGGACAATATGGCTTGCCGCATCGCTCTCGTCGTCCTCAGAGGCAGGCTCACGGTCATCTTCCTCGTCGGAAGACTCGAGGAGTACCGCGCCTCGTGCATAGTCCGGACCAGTAGTAGCCTCCGGCTGTGATTTGTCTTCGTCTTCGAGGCGATAGAAGCGACGTAGATTGTCCTGCTCATGCGTGTCTGCTAGTGGTCTTCCGTACTTGTCGACCCGGTCTTGAGAAGGGATCTGATTGAGCACTTTCTTACTAGATCACGAGCAAGTGGACGCACCTTTGTCCTTCTTTCCCTTCTTTTTCTTTTTGTCCGCGTCAAAGACGCCCTTGAACCGCTCGTCTACGACGACCTTGCCCTCGTCCTTTTTGATGCGCCGGAAGCGAGGGTCAGTCTTGAAGCGGGCAAAGCGAGGGTCAGACATAGCGGCGGCGGACGAAGCTGAGTGCTGCAGGAATCACGAGCCAATCAGGGCGAGTGATCGCAGAATTTACGGTCGATTGCGTTCCGTGGGGAAGGGACGGCGCTGATTGGCTGATTAGCGGAGTGGTCACTACGAGACAGGGCAACGACGGGCTGCCAGCTGCTGCCAGGAGTCGACTGCATCCAATCGCCAACTGTTCTGATGGCTGGCTGCCCCAGCAACCGATGTCCTGCCCCTTATATACCGCACCCTCGCCCGTCGCCTGTTCTCCCATCTCCTTTCTCGCGCCCTCTTCTTGTGAGCCTCACCCCTTCTCATAATCTACTCACACTAATTCCCCACAGCTTCATTCCTCTTATCCGCGCTTGGCCGCAGGACGACTTCGAGATTCAAACGGTTGAGCCGATTTTCATAGCCACCAGCAACATTTTCCCAAAGGCACCTCCCTTCGTCGTACCTCGCCATGTTCGCGTTCATCCAGTCCATTTCGCTTCTTCTTGCCCTCCTGTTCGTCGGACAGGCCGCGGCTATCCCCATGCCGATGCCATTCGCGGTACGTTCCCTTCAGTTGATGCTGTTTTGACTGGGTCTCAACAATAGGCATCAGCGCATGCGTCGTCTTGACATCAACACCTTCCCAGAGGCCAGTCCTGCAATGGCAACGGCAGCAGGCGTTATCGAGGCGTACCACAACAAGCGTGACTCCGCCGCTATCAACACCTTCCCTGCTCAGAATGCGGCGATGGCCACCCAGGCTGGTGTTATCGAGGCGTACCACAACAAGCGTGCTTCCCCCACGGCAGATGTGAACACCTTCCCTGCTCAGAACGCCGCCATGGCTACGCAGGCTGGTGTAATCGAGGCGTTCCACAACAAGCGTTCCAGCCTTGATATTAACACCTTCCCTGAGGCTAGTCCTGCAATGGCAACAGCAGCAGGCGTTATCGAGGCATACCACAACAGACGTGATTCCGTCGCTATCAACACCTTCCCCGCTCAGAACGCCGCAATGGCTACTCAGGCTGGTGTCATAGAGGCATACCACAACTGATTGTGATGGTGGTGAGTGCATTCCCTGATAGCCCTAGTTGACAGTCATGTTGATTGCATCTCATCGCTTAGTTTGACTGCACGAAGGATTAGTTGGACACGGACAGTTTCTGATGTTTGCCTGTTGGCGCGCTGGACGTTTTTGAATTAGTAGTCTCGGTCTTGCGCGGATACTCCCTTCTTTTAGTCATTCACTTTCCTTCGTGTGTTGTTCGTCACGGCGGCATGCAATCAATGGAGGCGCGAGATCAGGAAACAGACGTGAGATGTATGGTTGTCCTGAAAATTCAAGCATCGCGCCCAGCGAACATTTGTAGGTATACTCTACCACAGCTCTACTCTTCTGATGCTGTCGCCAGCTTGGGGATGGTTGGTGGTTGCTTGAAGAAGCGTCTCCGACGCTCTTCTTGCGTCTCGGGGATGCCATACAGGCTCTTTCCTCCGTAGTCAAAGGTGCCCATTGCCGCACCCATGACAGCACATGAGGCTACAGCCATTGGCAGTGATCGTGCTGAAATGTACGGTTAGGAGGGAAACTTGCCCAAAACGACTGACCCAAGCGCACCTCGGATTCCAGCCAAGAATCCGGCAGCGCAAGCACCTGCCGCCCCGTTCAAAGCATCATCCTTCTCTCTAGTGTTTGCGACCGCAGCTTCAGTGAAGGCGAACGTCGCACCCATAGCAGCTGTTCGATCACGGCGTTCAGAGCGCATCTGCCTTCGAGCAAAGTAACGGCCAAGACACACCGAACACGCCGATGGTTCCTCCACTCCTCGTCAAGAACCCCAACGCACCGCGCGTATGCGACCCGAGCGCATTTTGCACGGCACTGACGAAGGCGCCGATGCCAGCGGCCTGGAGGGCGACGGCGGACGCGTACTGGAGCGAGGGCTTGGGCGAGTAGGCCCCTGGTTCTGCGGCGGAGGCGTCGTGTGGTTGCCCGGCGTGCTCAGCCATGGAGGACGGAGGCGGAGGAAGACAGGATGGAGACCAGAGTTGTGTTGTGTGCAGCACGCGCGGGTCGCCTCGGGCACTTGCCCGTTTGGGCTGCTGTGGCGGGTAGCATCCTCTTCCTTCCCTTACCTCTTGTCGTCTCGAGATCTCCTCCTTGTTCTCGCATTTTTCTGTGTCTCGGATTTGGATATACTTGCACTCTGGCTGGTGGCTGCGTGGATGGCGGAAATACCCCCGGCAAATATAGAACAGGCTGTTCCTTGGTACAGAGCTTCTACGGATTCTCACCCATTCACTCTGAAGAGGCTTATTGCTGTCCGTCGCCCTACTGTGCATTCAGTTGCCACAGGCTGTTAAACTCTTTCTTAGAGTAACAATCGAAATGCATCTCCATTTCACTGTAGCGCAACCTTCCCTTGGGGCCCAGACTCGATGAGTACTTTGTGGGATGGCGTTGTAGCAGATGCAGAGATCTTAAGCAATTGGAAGGTTATGGTTCATGAGTATGCTGGTACGGTTGCGGTCGGTTGCACCGGTGCACTGGTCATCTTCTCCAAGTTCGGTGTGACCGCACACCGCATACGCCTCCACGACGTACAGTATCCCAGACTATTGAGCATTGTGCATTGAGCTTAAGATTGTAATACAGCCAACATGGAACGTCGCCTGTGTTGCATGGACCCTGAACCCGGAAGCTCCAACCGATCCCATGATTGTCTTCACTGCGACTAGTGTCGTATTCATACTCGACGTGAAGACCAGAAACATCGTAGGCAAGCTACGCGGACACGGAGGGGTAAGCAGCTCTGTACAATGAATCCTACAGTTCTGAATGGGTCTTGCTGTTAGCTAATAACCTCTCTCGCGGTCCATCCACACCATCCCTACATATTCTGTACGACATCCAGGGACTTCACTACTCGTGTATACGACTTAACGCTGACCCCAATACAAACCCCGAACAATCCACACTGGCTCCCCAATACAACCCCTAGCCTCGCCGGACCAGCGCATGGTCTCCATTCGTCCGAGCCTGAGGGCGAAGGCATCGGCCGCTGCGTTGCTGTATTAGTAGGCGGACGCTCCGGCGGACACAAGGGAGCCGTGTTCTGCGCGGTACACCTCTCTACAATATGATCGCTGTGATTTTCGTTATTGAGAGTTTCACCTAGGCATTTCATCCGTCCTCGCCGTTGATCGCTACGTGCGGTGTAAGTAACATACATCTGTCTGCGATTGACGTTCATTTCGGCTTCACCGTCTAGATGGACAGAGCCGTCAAGATATGGCGCATGCCGCCATACAAGCCAGACGTCCTCTCTCGAGAGGACAGGCCGTTGTTCAGTACCCATCTCATCCACAAGGCGCGAGTTTTGTCGATTGCGTGGTAGGAATCGCACGTTCTGCTTGTGTTGTGTTCCAGCCACTAAATATGCATCAAGGCTCAGCGGCGACATTCTTGTCTCCCACAGCGCTCCTGCAATCATGCGAGGAGCTACTAGAGATGATATGTACGAAGAAAATGGAACAGGTAATGATTCGATTGCCATCTCATCTCCGATAGGCTCATTCCCGCAGTTGTTATATGGCAATGGCTTGGGTTCGACCGCTATCTCCCGCCTGGGAAGCCAATACAGAAGGTCATGCGAGGTTGTGCTAGTGTATGTTTGCCTGTCGGCCTCACACTGTCGCCATCATGTCACTCATGCGCATGACAGGACTATCGCAACAGCGGTGTGTAGCGGCATCAGAGAAAGCACCGCAATGGTATTGATTGATGCACTGTTCCAGAGTCATTCAAGGTTCTGTCTGCATACCATCTGCCCATGACCACCCGTAACATGACAGTGTATACGTCGCTCGATCACGACCCGCTGCTCTTGGTCCCGATGGGCAAGACTATCCGCGTGTTCAATTTGTCGCAGTTCAGTCCGCGTGCACCCATACCGTTCCCCATTAGCGAGGACGTCGTAGCACTTACCGAGAATCTGAGGCTGGACGACACTGAACGGGCTGGTGGTTCTGGGAATGTGGAGGGCCTCAGCGCAAGCGCAGGTGTGGACACGGATGTGGGTGAAGATGGATTACAAGCCACTGGATACGGCGACAAAGAACAATCAAGCGGCGAGGACGATAGTGAGGGCAATGCTGTTGACGATGATGACGATGCACCGCCAGAACAAGGTGATGTGTACGATGCCCCATTTCCTGACTTCTTGCCACGCATGCCACCGCCTGCACCGCTCGCAGAATTATTTGACAGTGTGGACGGATGGGATCTGGACGTGACTGTGGACGAGACGCGGCGGTCAGAGCTCCCTGATATCACGGCATGCGAAGTTGCACTTGGAGGCAGGGTCGTCGTAGGAGTTGGCGGCAAGGGAACTATGTATGTTTGGAGAACACGCTGATGTTCGTTCCACTCTGAAGCTACGAAGATTTCACGTCGACGCGGTCATGATTACTTGATGCCTCACTAGCATTAGGACAACATACAAGAAAGTATCGTACTCGAGTGTTACAACGTGAAGAAGTTACAGTGACGAACCGGAGGTTCATATCCTAAGAATAATTCAGCTGGGTGACAAGATGTGGTGCGATCTGCGATCTCAATAGGCTTCTGCCTTTACATCTATATCTGCGTCGGTCTTGCCATCGGCATCTAACGCCTGGTCATAACCATCATTTTCATCGGCGAGACTGTTAAGTCGGTCCACCTCGTCTTTGATTTCAGGCCCATTCTTGACCCAGAAATCTTGCCACTCGCGCGCTGTCCGAGAAGGGTGCTATAAGAACGACATTTAGTACAGCTACCTAAGAGGGGAGCAGCCGACTGACCCATTCAGCCAGAGCTTCCCAGACTTGATCGTCCGACATATTGTCGGCAAAACCATCTGCAAAGAACTCGGTCATAGTCTTGAAACCATCCGGGTCGATGTCCTGAACAGACTGCTGCATGGAACCAGACGCTTCGGGTTCTGGCGACGACTTGTCCACAGTCGGAGGTGACGCAATAACGCCACTGGCCTCTTCTCGCTTTGCGACATTCTCGGCCTTGCGGCGCGCGATGAAGGCCTTCTTCTTGAGTGTATCGACCTCGCTGCTGTACCTTGAAATGAAACTCCTCCACGACTTGAGAGAATGATGGGACATCTGTGGGCGCATAAACTCTTAATGCCAGAGCAGGAAGAGAGGAACGAACCTTTTCATACATCTTCGATGCAATGGATGTAAGTGGCATCTCCGGGTCTCGCGCGATAAGGATGGGGAGGTAGCGGTTGATATACTCGCGTTCTTCTGCCGAGTAGAGGGTTTTGCCTTCTTGCCATACGGTTACTTTATGTGGTGGGGTTGGCGATCGCTCAGAATGCGACATCGGAATGACAGCCTCGCTTTGCACCTTCGGTGCTTGGGTTTTCTTATTGGTTGTCTTCGGCGTCGGTTTCGGTTTCGGTTTTGGGTTCTTGACCTCGACCACCTTGCGCGGAGATTTTGGAGGACGCCCTCGCTGTATCGGCGGCGCCTCCTCGAACAGATAGCTGTCCACGTCCAAAAGCGAGCCTTTACTTATACAGTCCAGTACATAACTGGCCTGCACAGCGTCTTTCTGTGCCTGCTCCGCCCGTTTATACCAATCGGCGAATGGTTTGGAATGCGGCGCGAGTACGACAACATCTGCTTGGGGAACGTCTGACACGATCTTACCGCCCATCCTCTGTTAAAGTAACCGAACGGCCAGTAAGAGACGTTACATGGTCGTTATTAGGGAACAACGTACCCTTATGGCATGGACAAGGTCGCCTCTATTCCGGGTTTCGATTTGTACATAAAATGACATCGATTCGCCTGCCGGAGTCTTAAACAGTTCAACCTCTGACGCATGCGACACAGAAAGCCGCCGTGCCGAAGATGGAGGAGAAGCAAGCTGACTGCCTGAAGAACGTGGAGTCGTGCTGCTCCGCGAGAGTTTGCGAGGCCGCTCGGAGGAACTGGCGCGTTCTTTCCCCTTACGAGTCAAAGGGAACGAGGAAGATGGTGCGGAGATTGGGGAGGCCTTGCGTTTCTTGCGCACATGCGATACGCTTTCTGATACCGGCGTCAAGGGGGCAGTTGGACTTTGTGGTGTAGCCGTGGCGGGAGGGGCAGGCTCTGGATAGCCATGCATAAAATCAGACGCTGCGAGGCTCGCATACTGACTGTTCTGCGGAGTACCGTTGTGCAGTGCGGTCGGTTGTACAAAGGGCAAAGGCTGCGATATCCCTCCGGCCTGGAGGAGACTCATCTGCAACTGCTGAATAGTTTGAGGAGGGAAGGTTTGCGACTGGGAGGTATTAGAGCCTCGTAAAGCATCTATCAACAAATTAAGAACATTAGATGGCCCCTGAGCTGATTGCTGATTTAATGCACTGGCGAGACTCTGGATGGGTAAAGGACCCCCGTTTGAAGGCGCTGCTGAGAATTGTGACGAAGTTGGCTGAGGGACCCCGAGTGAGTTCAGCTGGACAGCCCCGATTTCTTGGCTAATTGGAATGGTTTGTGACGCAATTTGTCCGGACAGTCCTGTTCCTGGGGGTGTGTGTCTGGGGGTAGGTAGGGGGCTTCTTCTCTAAGTCAACTTTTGGACAAGAGAAGAAAGCTCGGACACAGACTTATTGAGATCGACTTGTGCCTTGAGAGTATCATCGTGTTGATCGTTATTGACGCAAAACCCTCCCCAGTCATCGTCGACAAGGAGGGCTCGCCCTCGATCAATGCACTGACGGGCCCATTGCCAGTCCAATACCACCTTTCCCGACTCGGATCCCCAATCATTCACGAACTGCTTTCCGGCATCCGTCTCCAAATCGACCAGGATTATCTGCGCCTCCGTGGGATAATGAGCAATTGAGGCGCCCCCTTTCTGTGGCGTGTGTGAGCGCACAGTATCATATCAGAACAATGCACGCAACTCGTAGAGACCGAACGAGCTTAGGACGGAAAGCGAATTCCGACGTTTCCACAAATACACGAAGTGGCCGTCCGGAGTGATCCAAGAAAACTTGAGACGATGTCCCCTCAGAGGGGAGGGAAGACGCTGTCGCCACGATATTCTCGACTTGGACGGTGGTCATAGCATGCGAGAGTTGGTAGCACGAGAAGGTCGCAGCCACGGTAGTGCTTGCAACTTACACCTGTTTTGATGGGACGATCTATTCAGATGCCCAATCAACGCTCTCGTGTCACGTGTGTCGATGCAGGTACTCGGACTGAAAGTTATGAAGCAAGTTGCAGATTCGCAGTGGACCAATAAATACTATTCAATTGTCTCTGGGCCGGCTGTGCAACTTGCGAACGGACTATCCATAGCCAACTGCTCTTCCATGCATATAGCGACATAGCTTTCCAGTCCTCAGTCAGGTAGTGCCCATAAAAACTGCATATTGCCATGACATGGGAGTAGATACAATGATGGTAGAACATGACAATGCAAAGCGGATGGAGAGCCAATGCAGCTTAACGGTACCTGGGAGAGATTTTAGGAGAGCAGATCGGTTACAGAGCCAGAAGGATACGCACGATTTCTGCCTGCGAGCACGGGCACCTCCACCACCGAACTTCTTGGGCTCCATTCTCCTCGGGTCCGCGATCAAGAGCGTTCGGTCGTACGCGACGAGCTTCTTCTTGAGCTCCATCGCGCTGTATGCGTCGATGAACTTCGCGTAGTATGCAACCAGAGCCTTTGCGATCGCCTGGCGGATAGCGTACACTTGCGAAGTGTGTCCACCACCCTTCACGCGCACCCGGATGTCCATGACACCAAAGTTCTCCTCGCCGGCAACAAGAACCGGCTCGTAGACCTTCAAACGCAAGATCTCGGGCTGCAGGAGGTTGATGGGGGAGCCGTTGATGTGGATGAGACCCCTGCCCTCCTTGGCGTGTGCAACAGCAGTTGCGGTCTAACAGAGTAAGTACTGTGAGTGGGAACGGGAATGGCGCACTGGACAGACGTACCTTCTTTTTGCCGAACGTCTGGACGGCCTTCGCTGATGATGCCATTTTGAAGGAAAGGCCGGTATTCGTGGGCGACTAGCAAAAGCTAATGTGAGATTGCTTCAGCGATAGCCCGAGAGCACAGCAAGCAAGAAATCCGAAAGGTGCGCAGCCGCCTGAGAAGGGTCATCCGAAAGTCGCAAGTCGAATCCATCCCATTTCGTCGCATTTCGCTCGCGAAATTTCGTCGCCTTGCATGGCCAGCCCTAATCGAATGCAGCAGCCGGTTCAGAGGCAAAAACTCACCCCTTCGGAGGTCTTCTTGGAATCTGCGGGTCGGTATACGGGCGGTCGATAGACTTCGGCTTATTGTCACCGGAAGTGACAAAAGTTCCCACGCGACTACTTCACGAATTAAGCGCCTGTCTCAGACAATCCTGTGGTCTCTTCTCATGTTGTCTGCACTGAGACGTGCGCTGGGGCAGGTTAGCAGGCGGATGAGCTCGAATACAAACGACTAATTTATTCTTCGTCTAGTCCTCTCGCTCCGCATGTCGTAGCTTAACCACGGCCGCGAGCCCTGAGTCACTGTCAATACCTTCGGTTGTCGCGCACGATGTCGCGCTAACTCCAACCCAAATTGCGGAGACGAGGCTCTCTAATGGTGCGTATGTTATGAACGACATGTTTGAATGTTCTAATGCACGAGGCAATGCAGTGACGCCATTCAACCCGCCCGTCTACATCACGCTGTCTTCCCTCTTGAAGCCAGAGGAAGATAGCCATTCGCCAGCAAACAACGTGGTCGAACTGGACCCCACGGTTTTCTCACATCCAATCCGACGCGATATTCTCCATCTTTGCGTCGTCCATCATTTGGACTCCCTTCGACAAGGGTCCGCCTCCACGAAAACGCGAGGCGATGTGCGCGGTTCCGGCCGCAAGATTCGGCCACAGAAGGGCACCGGTAATGCTCGTCTAGGTGACGGACAGAGTCCCATGCTGCGGGGAGGAGGTGTTGCCTTTGGTCCCCATCCAAGAGACTTCAGCACCAAGCTGAACCGCAAGGTCATCCAGATGGGCATGCGGGTCGCCTTGAGTGCGAGGGTGAAGGAGAACTCTCTGGGTATCGTGGAGAGTCTAGAGTGGTCAAGTGCCAAGACGAGAAACCTGGCGGAGAGGATTCAGGAGCTCGGATGGGAGAAGACGCTCTTCGTGTCAGGGCATGAGGCAGTCCCCGACGGACTGAAGCGAGCGAGTAGCAACATCTACAAGGTGGAGACGACTACCGCGAAGGATCTCAAGGTCTACGATGCGGTGAAGTGGCCACGATTAGTCCTCGACTTGGCGGCGGTCGAATGGTTTGAGCGAACGCTGGCGAAGCCCGTCGTGCCTCCGCGTTCTTACACATTCTGATTTATCACAGCATTCCTGTACTACGCTGGATTCATGGAGAAATACCACGAATCATTGCCACGAATTATAGTGTGCTGCCTTATTATCTCTAAGACCTGAATATCTTGCACACATCCCAAGAGGCTCAAACTTGCAAAGCTTGAAGTCTGTCCGAGAAATCGCCGGAGAACGAGCGCTTAATGTGCCAGATGAGACGCGTTCACGTGACGAACGCGCGTGAGGCGCGGGGCGTAGTCTTTCTTAGAGCTTGTCTTCCACCATACAGTACTGCGCATTCGATTGTATCATTAGTCCTATTCACCACAAGACAAGCTATGGCATCGCTCTCGCAAGCATCTCAGATTGAAGAGGAAGAAGTTCAGACCTCTGGCCCTCTTCTGGTCCAGAAGCTGCAGGAAGCAGGCATCAACGCTCAAGACATTAAGAAGTTAGCAGAAACTGGGCTTCATACTGTCGAGGCCGTCGCATATACTCCCAAGAAAGCCTTGATGCAGATCAAAGGTATTTCAGAACAGAAGGCTGACAAGATATTGGCAGAAGGTAAGTCATGAGAAACCTCCAGACTCGGACGGCTCACCGACTTCTTGGTCAGCACATAAGATCATCCCACTTGGCTTCCAGAGCGCAACTGAAGTGCACGCGCGGCGGTCTGAACTCGTGCATATAACTACGGGATCGAAGAACCTCGACGCCCTCCTTGGTGGCGGCATCGAGACAGGCGCGATCACCGAGCTCTTTGGCGAGTTCCGCACAGGAAAGTCGCAGATTTGCCACACTATCGCCGTGACATGTCAGCTCCCAGTCGACATGGGCGGAGGCGAGGGAAAGTGTCTTTATATCGACACGGAGGGCACCTTCCGTCCGGTGCGGTTGCTTGCAGTCGCCGAGCGGCTGGGCCTGAACGGCGAGGAGGTGCTGGACAACGTCGCATATGCCCGCGCATACAACGCCGACCACCAGCACCAGCTGTTGACATCCGCGAGCGCGCTCATGTCGGAGTCGAGGTGAGCGGCTCAGCCCGACCTGATTGTATGCGCGAGTCTTTATCTGGGATCGTACTCATGGCACATTACCGCGTAGATTCTGTCTGCTCATTATAGACTCCTGTACGGCGCTATATCGCACGGACTTCAACGGACGAGGCGAGCTCTCAGCACGACAGGCCCACCTGGGGAAGTTTCTCCGCACGCTGCAACGGCTGGCTGACGAGGCATGTCACACGGGCCTAACACATTAGGATGCCGTTCCTGAACGTTTCTCTCCCCTCAGTTCGGTATCGCTGTTGTGATGACGAACCAGGTTATGTCCAATCCTGATGCCTCGGCTGGTCCATACGCCGCCAACGAAAAGAAGCCCATCGGAGGTAACATCTTAGCTCATGCATCTACTACCCGGTACGTGTATTCGTCGAATCCATCTTTACTCGACTTCAGCTGATTGTATGCGGTCAACATAGCGTGCAACTCAAGAAGGGCCGTGGGGCTAATCGCCAAGCGAAGATCTACGATTCGCCATGTCTTCCGGAATCTGAGACTCAGTTTGCTATCCTTGCCAGTGGTATCGGCGATCCTGAGGAGGATGCGTGATGAGCCTCGGACCTATGAACCACAGTTGTCTCGTTGTACTATTTTTGTCCGGAGAACTCACGGATGTACAAGATACTCCCGCACTACGTACTACTCACTGACTTGAGTCGGGTCAGACTTCACGATCAATCAATCCAATGATATTACATAGAGCAAGGTCAGCAAATATTGATACATCTTTATGGGCACCAGACTACACAAGATAGCCTCAAAATCCAGTTGAGTGGAAGTCAGGCCCGGTATATTATCTACACTAAGTCATGCGATGGCCGTCCATCCTGGCCTTTTGTACAGTCATGGAATCACACCCACATTTTATGCCAGCAGACGCGTCAGAATGTTTGCGCTCGTCTTGCTGATGAGCTCGCGCAGCTTGTTGATGTCGCTGGGGCTGACGTCCGCAATGTCCGCCATGAGGTAGGCAATATCGCCCTTCGATTCCGAATACTGCTTTTCCACGTTGTACGGCGAGAACACCTCGTTGACCTGCCGCAGCACGCCGGGGATATTATTGTGCACATGGCAGACGCGGATGCCCAGCTGCTCCGCAGTGATCGCGCGCAGGTCGACCTCGGGGAAGTTGACGGAGCCGATGGTCGCACCGTAGTTAAGGTAGCGGGTGAGCGCGGACGAGACCTCCTCGCCGATCATGCGCTGCGCCTCCTCGGTAGACCCGCCTATGTGCGGCGTGAGGATCACGTTTGGAATCGCGCGCAACGGGCTTGCCCAGGAGTTAAGCTGGTCGTCGAACGGCGCGCCATTCGCGCCGGGCTCAGCAGGGTACACGTCGAGCGCGGCGCCAGCGAGGTGCCCAGACTTGAGGGCGTCGATGAGCGCGGGGATGTCCACGACGCGGCCGCGCGCGTTATTGATGAGGTACGCGCCCTTCTTCATCTCCGCGAGCTGCTCCGCCGCGATCATGTTCGTCGTCTCCGGGAGCTCGGGGACGTGCAGCGTGACAAAGTCGGACTCGTTCAAGAGCGCGGTCAGCGTTTCAACCTGGCGGGCTGAGCCGAGGGGCATGATGTTGACCACGTCGTAGAAGAGAACGCGCATGCCGAGGGCTTCCGAGAGGACGGAGAGCTGCGCGCCGATGTGACCGTAGCCCACGATGCCCAGGGTCTTGCCGCGGACCTCCCAACAGCCCTTGGACTGCTTGTTCCAGAGGCCCTCGCGCATCTCGAACGCGCGCTGGAAGTACTGGCGCGAGAGGGCGATGACCTCGGAGATGACGAGCTCGGCGACCGAACGCGAGTTGGAGAAAGGAGAGTTGAAGACGGGGATACCGGCCTTGGCGGCGGTGATGAGATCGACCTGGTTTGTGCCGATGCAGAAGCACCCTATAACGAGGAGCTGATCACGGCGCGGACTCAGCATAGGCAACGCGTGATGGGCGGCGGGGGCTCACCTTCGAAGCGGCTTTGATGACACGCTCGGTGATCTTTGTCTTGCTACGGATGCCAATGGCGTGATACTGGGGGATCTTCTCGACGAGCTCGTCCTCGGACATGGCCTTGGCTGAGTGGTCGACATGGAAGCCCTGTGCCTGGAAAGCCCTGACGGCCTCCTGGCTGATGTTCTCGAGGAGGAGGAGGCGCAGGTCGTCGTTGTCGACGGGGTGAAGCACCTTGGGGGCGCGGACGGCAGGGGACGCGAGCGAGTCTCTGCGGTTCATGCGCTCGTGGAGGGCGGGAGGGGTGGAGGGGGACATGTGGACCTCTTTGGAGGACTTGCGTACAGGGATTGCGATGGCGGCCATGGCGCGTGGACGGGCTTTTGTATGGAGGGAGGCAGCGATTGCCGAGATGGGGGACGAAATGCAGGGCACAGTAAAATTACATGCTGCTCTGGAGTCATCGCCAGTCGAGAGCGAGGCGCCATCTACGCGCCATCCTCTGCGCCCTTAGATTAGATTAGATCCGCCTTCTCCCAGTGACTCCCTCAGCTGCAAATGTCTAATTCCCATTTCTCCTCCGCCCCCCATGGGCCTCTACCTCCTCGACTACGGCGCTGGCAACGTCCAGAGCCTCGCAAACACCCTCAAGAAACTCGGCTATGACTTCACATGGATATCGTCCCCCGCTGACTTCCACAAGGCCACCGTCAGTCCTCTCTCTGTTCCGAGCCTAACGGACACCAATCCACCCCCTCCAGAGCCTCATATTCCCCGGTGTCGGCGCATTCGGCAGTGCTATAGATGGCCTCATTTCCCGCGGCTACCTTGAGCCCCTCCGCGAGTACATCGCCTCTGGCCGGCCGTACTTTGGCATATGCATCGGCCTCCAGGTCCTCTTCCAGTCCTCCACAGAGTCACCTTCTTCGACAGGTTTGGGGATCATACCAGCTGTCATACAAGAGTTTGACCGGGCGGACAAGGCCGTCCCCCACATGGGGTGGAATGCGGCGGAGCTGCTAGACCCGGAATGCAAGACGCACGAGGGCCTCGACGAGTCGTCCCACTACTACTTCGTCCACTCATATCGGGCAAAGTACGACTGGACACAGCCAGACGCCGCACAGTGGGTCCACAGCACCACACAGTATGGCCAGGAGGTGTTCGTCGCCACCGTCCGCAAGGGCAACGTCTTCGGCTGCCAGTTCCACCCCGAAAAATCCGGCACGGCCGGTCTCAAGCTGCTCGCCGCATGGCTGAGCGAGCCAGAGTCCGCACGCGCGTCCACACCACCCACACCGTGCATCCCGCGCCCCCCAAAGCCCAGGGACGGCCTCACCAAGCGCATCGTCGCCTGCATGGACGTCCGCTCGAACGACAACGGCGACCTCGTCGTCACCAAGGGCGACCAGTACGACGTCCGCGAGAAGGCGCCGTCTGCGCCGGACGACACGCTGCAGGCGCGCACCGCGGGGGCCGTCCGCAACCTCGGCAAGCCCGTCGCGCTCGCCGCGCGCTACTACGCCGCGGGCGCGGACGAGCTCTGCCTCATGAACATCACGTCCTTCCGGCACTCGCCGCTGCGCGACCAGCCGATGCTCGCCGTCGTGCGCGCGGCCGCCGCGGAGGTCTGCGTCCCGCTCACGATCGGCGGCGGCATCAAGGACGCGGTCGACCCGGACGGCACGCCGCGCAGCGCGCTCGAGGTCGCCGGCGCGTACTTCCGCGCGGGCGCGGACAAGGTCAGCGTCGCGACGGAGGCGGTGTACGCCGTCGAGCGCATGCGTGCGCGCGCGGGCGACGGTGGGGTGGGCGACGGCGACGGCACGAGCGCCATCGAGACGATCGCGCATGCGTACGGCCGCCAGGCGGTCGTCGTGTCCATCGACCCGCGGAGGGTGTACGTCGACCCCGCGTACGACGGGCCGTACGCGGCCGAGCTCGTGCACGGCACGCCCGACGGCGCGGAGAAGGAGCGCGGCCGGGCGTGGTGGTACCAGTGCACGGTCAAGGGCGGGCGGGAGGACCGGCCGCTGTCCGTCGTGCAGCTCGCGCAGGGCGTCGAGAGGCTCGGTGCCGGCGAGATCATCCTGAACAGCATCGACAGGGACGGCACCGGGCTCGGGTTCGATCTCGGGCTCGTCAATCTGGTGAAGAAGAACGTGCGGATACCGGTCGTGGCGAGCAGCGGTGCCGGGAGGAAGGAGCACTTCGTGGAAGTCTTCGAGGGGACGGGCGTGGAGGCTGCGCTGGCCGCGGGCATCTTCCACCGGCAAGAAGTGGGAATCGACGAGGTGAAAGAAGCCCTGGCTGCTGCGCACATCAGTGTACGGACGTAGAGCAGCATACGATCCATCAAGTTTGTATTGGTTTAAAGTCGGTCGCCATGCTGTATTTATGGCATCCGCTGTTGTATCTCAGGAACCGAGATGGAAGATGCATCCTGCTAAAGTCGTCGCGCATCGTGATAAGTTATATTCGGTGATCGGTGAGAATCGTCAAGGAGGGGAGCTACATACAGGCCGTCGGAGACAATGGAGAAAAAAGTGCGTACTGTACCGACAGACAAGGTTCACGTAAGGTACACTACAGAGGGTGTCGGAACAAAGCAGTGGTCACTGAGCCAGAGATGGGAACGGAGACCAGAAACGGAACGAGCGTCGGTGTGGGGGGAACGGAGACAGTAAGAAGACCGTACACGGAACCGGAAAGATATGTTAGGTCTCTGATACTGGACAGGACGGGTCACTGCCCAACGAACATGGTGGCCGGAGCCTGGTATGTGCGCGATCGCAGCGGGTAGTATGCCATTCCGCACACGACGCGGGTTTCGTCTACAGGCACAGGGGAGGCAAGAAGGAAAGACAGGCGCAACGACGCGCGGAGCAATCAACCGAGATGGGACGACACGGCAAGGGAAGGAGGGGTGGGGCATAGAATAGGTTACTGCAAGCGAATCGCATTGAGCGCACGAATACAAACAACGGAGTGTGGGCGCCGTTCACGCCTTCGCGGCCTTGACGACGCCCCTGACCTTCTTCATAAGGCTCGTCTTCCGGCCCAGGTTCGACCCTCCGGGCGACACCGCGGCGTCGCCCCCGGCATGCTCAAAGTAGTCTGGCACGTTCTCGGCAGGAGGGCTGTACCCGCCACGCCCGGGCGTCGCAGGCAGCGACTTCTCCTTGTTCATCGGGGGCGGGTCCTCGACGTACACATAGCCTCCGTCATCCCTGCCTGGCGAAAGGTCGCGATTGGCGGCGCGGCCGAAGCGCCCGAGCAGCGAGTTCTGCGCACGGTGTGTAGGCCGTGTAGCGTAGGCGGGTGCCGAGTGCGTCGTCATCGCCGTGTTCTCTGCGGACGACGTCGGAGAAGGGTCGCGGCCGGCACCTTCATCGTCGGCGCCCAGGGGGATGTTTGGCGAGTCGCGCATTTTGCGGATGCGCCGGATGATAGACTTGGAGCGCTTGGGGGCGTCGGTCGTCGGCGAAGGAGGCTCGCCCTGAGCCTGAGCGGGAAGCTCCCCATCCGCCTCCGGCACAAAAATTGGCTGGGGAGGAGGTAGGGCGCCGCGCTTGGACTGCTGGCGATTGGCGGAGGGGCGCACATCCTTGGTACGCTCACGTTGCTTGTCCCGTTGGGCGCGCTCGGCGGGCCGTCGCGATGTGCCATTGCGCGAGGGGTACGCTTCGCTGCCGATCCTGGAGGAGCCGCCACCTGCGGAGAAGTCTTCGAACGGCTCAGGCTCGTGTATTCCCCAAGCCTCTGCGATGGCGTCGTACTTCTTCTTCGGGGCCTCGTAGGGCACGTAGACGTCAGGCGACGTCGGGTAGGGCGACTCGTACGCCCGAGGCATTTCCTGGGCATTGGCAAGCGCCTCCTTGTCGGCGTCGGTCACGGCACTCCACGCCATCATGGGAGCCTTTGTCCGGTGGCGGTTACGAGAGGGCGCGCAGGCGTCGAAAGGTCCATCATGATGGAACACTGGGGTTAACGAAAGCCAATTAGTAATCGTTATCGGGAATGCCGATTGCAGGAGTAGGTAGACGCACTGGGGCCGACGCCAGAGAAATCCAACCTATCGATAACGTCTGCATGGGACGAGCCCTTCTTGCCCGGGCGTGCGCGACCAGTAGACTTGTTCTTGTCGGGGGTCTGCATGCCGGAGTCCTGCGAGTGTGAACGGCGGGACGTGGGAGCGATGGGTTTCAAGGTTGGATGAGCTCTGATAACGGCCGCGTTGGCGAGAGGGGGTGTCCAGGGGACGAGGGCGAAAGAAGAAGGGGCGAAGTTAGAGTGTGAGCGAAAAGCGATGCAGACGATAACGTACGTGACGACCTCGGTGTTGCTCCTGTTCATCCTGGTTCGAGGGTTGGACTCGGAGCCCCGGACTTGGACGGTGTCACGGACAGCTTCGATGACCTGATCGCGGTTCATGGCGGAAGGCTGGAGCTGCCTCCTGGCGGTGGACTGCTTGAGAGGGACCTTGGGCGGGGGCGGGGGCGGGCGATGGGCAGAGTGCTGGGGAGGGGCGTTTCTGGAGAGGGTGGGGACGCCGTAGGAAGAGTAGGAGGGCGAGTGGGCGTGGAGAGAAGAGGGGTCGTTGAAGGGATCGGAGGGGGTCGCTCTGTGGCGGCGAGGCTTGGAGACCTGCATGACTAGAAGAAGAGGGACGGATGGATGGCAGCGACGGTCAGGCGGTAGGCTCGGCAACTTACCCCGGCACCTGTCAGCGGAGTCGCCAAGAAGTGGTGGGATCAACTATACACAGCCTGCTCGTGCTTTACAGCACTGGATTTGCAGACGACGGAACGGAAAAAGAGAGGGCAGCAAGTGCAGGAGTATATCAGCCGTCGATAGCCGTGGTCACCGCGCGCCAATGAAATACCCGCCATAGTCAGCCTGCCGCATTCGGTCACAGCCCAGGCCTCGCGCCTCGCTTCCCATCGCTGCCCCACAACGCCCTCTCCAGATGACGACAATCCCCCGTCGCCGCGCTGAAGCAATCCCATTCAATTCTTAATACTCCATATCCACTTTCGCGCAATTCCTACCCCCAGACCTGCCTAGCTACCTCGACCACCAGCCCCAGCTTGCTCCGCTCGTCCTGCAGCGACAGGCGTCAACACACGAACTGCCAAGAACATGTCACAATTTGTCAACCCCACGCACCTCCTCAGAGATAGGGTTACCCTCAAACACCGACGCAAACCCACACTGCGGGCTGATGCAAATTCTGCGATGGAGTCCGTCAGCCAATAGGGCAGCCCGAACGTGCGCAGACTAGGCCTCACTGATTTAGAGCGTCCTCCCTTGACCGCTTTGGGCTGCCCTGTGAGATAATCTCGACCGCGCTCTCAACGCGTGCCCGGATATCGTCTACACTTTCCATCTGCATCGCACCAAAGGGTTGAGCAATCCTGCTCGTGCGGACCCCGACATCGCAACTCACCTTCCCTGTCTTCGTCGTCACAAGGCCTAGAACGACAGTCTTGTTGAGGGGAAGGTGTCGCAGGGGTTCTAGACCCCCGGCACGTTCAGTGTCGTACTCTAGCTATAGAATTGATCAGCCTGATCATCCATGGAGCTGCGGCGAAGCATCGGTCATACATAGTAGCAGTCGATGTTCAGATCGTTGAATAACTTCACCGCAATGCGGTCGAGGCTTCCCCCACTATAATGCATTCCCTAGTGTTCGCGTCCCTCAGCTTGGTCCACACATCTCAGGAGGAGGTTCCCAACCTTGAAATTCCCGCGACAAGTGTGCAGCCCGAGCGTGAGGTCCGCAGGCTGGTCCTTCAGAATCTCGTTGTACACGTCGATATACTGGCTGAGCAGCGCTTCGTGGTCAACCCCCGCCTGCTCCATGCCGACAATCATCGAGTCGGCACAGAAGAACGCGAACGTCGGGTCGTCGAACTGGATGTGGCGACACCCGAGCTCGTAGAGAGCGGCGAGCTCCTCACGGTAGACGCGGATGAGGTCCGCAAAGTATTCCTCTGCGTGGCTAGCACAGTGAGACTACTATACGGCGCGCAGCAGAAGAGAGATGCGCACCATCAGTCTTGTACACAGACTTGTCGTATGTATACTCCGTGCCGTGGCGCAGGTGCATCCATGTCGGTCCGCAAACAGTGACCTTGATACGCTTCACCTCCTGCGTTGGTGGTGAGAACGGGAACAGTACAAGCGGTGCTACGTCCGTCGTACCTCGGGCGACACCAAGCCTTTCAGGAATGCGAAGTCTTCGGTGTGAATGCCTCTCTTCCGCTGTATCTTGCTCTGTGGTCCAGGCTGTCAGTGGTATCTATGCTCAGCAAAGACCACGAATTACAGACTGACGCTGCAGTATATGGACGAGTAGCCAGTCAATCCCATCATGTTGAAAATCGCGACATAGGGGACGTATTGCTACAGAACTGTTGACCGCTGGCGGAACATCGCCCTAGTCCGAACGGCATACCTTGAACTCCGACAACGGCCCTATGAAACCAGACGATCAGCCTCCTGCGCTCGTTCCAGTTAATGTATCTCATTTACGATTGGGTACGGGCGTCATGCCCTCGAGCTTCTCAAACATCCCCTCATAGAATGCACCTCTGTAGATCAGGTCCATGATTCTCATCTCATTCTAAGTACCGGCAAATAAGTTCTTACCTCCGCATCTCACCGTCGGTGATGGTCTTCACACCCACCTCCCGCTGGAGCGCCACCACCGCCGGGATGCTCTCATCTTCGAGCGCCCGCAGCTCCTCCGCCGAGCACTTCTGCGCCTCGTAGTCGAAGCGCTTCTGCACGAGCGTCGCGGGGCGGAGGAACGACCCGATGTGCTCCGCGCGGAAAGGCGGGTTCAGATGCAACGAGCGGGGCATGGCAGTTAGCAGTTACGAGATACCGTGGGGGTGCGCTCGCAGTGCTGGGCTGCTGGAAGCTGCTGCTTCTGTATATTTATGGCACCGGACGCAGACGTCGGCTACTACGCGGCGCCAGCTTTAACGGACATGCATGGCACATGCGGTAGGCCGATTGACGCAGTCGTGATGCGCTTCTCGCGCGCAGGATGATGATAATGATGATGATGATAGACAGTGGCCGACGCTCCGTGCCCATCGTGATTGATCGCTTTGTGGCACACCTGAATCTGAGAGTCGATGGCTAACTGCCGCACTGCGGCGGCGGACCCGGCAGAGCGCAGACGGCTCGAGACGCCAAGGTGCCCCCCGCGTCACGGGATCGCTGCCAGGTTCGCCTGTACTTGCGAGTTCCAATCATGAGGACGACGTGAGAGAATTGGAGGTATTGGGCTCTATGTATGGAAGCATACCTGCAGGGAAGCCGTGTTACCAAAATGCTGGGACGGACCCGAAGGACGCGGATTTTGCGTCGCGAGAAGTGGGTCTGCGGCGTATCGTGAGGTGACTTCAGACAGTGCGAGCTGACTGCGACTATGGACAGTTTGGCAGGTCTCAGGTAGGCTTTTGGGACACAATCGCATGCACGATGCACGTCCGCAAATACGGAGATTCAAGTGCATGCAATCTGATAAACGCGGAGCAAGTCAGTAGCCGCCGTGTGCATACTTACGTACTTAGCATTGTCCTGTACGGTCGTTGATGGAGTTAGACACACGAATTCATGCGCGTTCTGAGATCCTAGCATGACCGTCATGCCTTCTTCGCTCGCGGTCGGGGCGCCTCCGCGCGTCAGAACATGCGCAGGTGCAATTGATGCGCCACAATATTCGAAATTCGCCGGATTTGCGTTTGAACGCCACTTTTCACATTACAAACGTTCCAAAGATTTATGTACAGAACCGTGGAGGTGGGACGCTAGACCCGAGTTTCTGGCGGCCAATCGTTGCCCGAGGGCTCCCAGACTGACCTTGCACTGCATCGTTATTGGTACCGTATTGGTACCATTATAGAACCATTGCAGACATGCATTATATATTTCCGAGGATCTCTTCTGGCATACCTAGAGCGTGCGCGGCGCTACTGCGCAAGAGAAGACAGCCTCACGGTCGTCTTCAAGCCTTAATGCTTCTCCAACGCCTGGCCTGGAGCCTGAGGGCTACCCGTAGGCGGTCCCCAAATCTGCTTCGCGGCCTCTACCACCAGCCCCAGCTTGCGCCTCTCATCCTACCGGCCGGACAGTCAGCCACCAAGCCGTCAAAGCGATGATATAGCCATGATCCACGCACCTCTTCGGAAAGAGGGTTCCCCTCAAACACTGAAGCAAATCCGCACTGCGGACTGATACAAACCCTGGGAAGTCATTAACCAATTGCTCAGTAGGTGAGTCGCAGAGTACGACCACACGATGAAACCAAGCCGAACTCACTGATTCAGCGCATCCTCCCGCGATCGCTTGGGATTTCCCTGAGAAATGATGTCGACCGCTTTCTCAACGCGTTCCCGGATATCCCCTAAATTTTCCATCTACACGCTTTGTACAAAACGTCGATCCCGAGTTATGTCACAGTTTGAATCACGACGAACCTGTGCACTCTTACTTGTCACAAGGCCTAGAACGACAGTCTTGTGGAGGGGTAGATATTGAAGAGGCTCCAAACTGCCCGCGCGCTCGGAATCATATCCCAGCTACACAAATTGACATCGTCACCTTCCGTCGAACCATGACAAGGCATTGGACGTACATAGTAACAGTCGAAGTTCAGGTTGGTGAAGAACTTGACCGCGATGCGATCAAAACTACCCTCACTGAAGTGAATTCCCTGATTACATCCCTCACCTTAAGTAGTCGTCTGCACGGCCAGAATGATCAGATTCTAAGGAGCATGTCAAAGCAGGATAATCCGCACCGTCAGACTTGTAGACAGCTTGATCGTATGTGTACTCAGAGCCATAGCGGGAATGCATCCAGGTTAGTCCGCATATGGTGATCTTGAGGTGTTTCACTTCCTGCGTCGACAGTTCACGGATCAAGTCGTTTGTACCACAAATGGCGGATCATATGTACCTCAGGTGCGACCAGGCCTTTCAAAAATATAAAGTCTCCATATGAATACCTCTTTTACGCTGGATCTTGCCCTGTCCATCTGACTTAGTTGCCTCGCAAACTGAGCAATTACAGTGAATGATGGACTGACATTGCAATAGACAGATGTATAACCGGTGAACCCCATCGCCTTGAAAGCTGCGACATACGGAATATATAACTCGAGCTGTTGAGCACAGGGAGGCAGCTTGTGTCTGCCTAAAGTCTATACCTTGAATTCCGATAAGATTCCTACGTGCAATCAGTCTCGCATGTCTCGCCCGAGTGACGTAACTTACGATTAGGGATAATTGACATTCCTTCGAGCTTCTCGAACATACCTTCATAAAATAGGCCTCTGGGAACTACGTCCATTAGCAAAATAATACTGTATTGCTAGTGCCCGGACTCTCACCTTCGCATCTCGCCATCCGTGATGGTTTTCAAACCGAGATCTTGCTGAAGTCTCACAACTGCCGAAATGCTCTCGTCCTCTACGGCGTGTAGCTCTTCCGCCGTGCACTTCTGCGCGCCGTGGTCAATGCGTTTCTGCAGGACCTTCGCGGACCGGAGCAGCGATCCGATGTGTTCAGCGCGGAAGGGGGGGTTGAGGTGCAGATAGCGGGACATTGTGACGAGTATGCGATCTGAAAACAACAGAATTGGTGCAGCTACGTGCTCACAACCTCGCAGCATTTGATACCAGTGTGCAACCCTCCGAATTCCAATTGTGAGACGTCAGTCGTGACCGACATGCACGGTGTATGCGGTAGGCTAGACTCATGAGGCGTTTATTATAATTTAACGACTGGCTTGTTGCAATCGTGTAGAAGTTTCACAGTGACGGCGACGGTCAACTGATCGTTCTAAAATTCGAATGAGACTCTGCGATGCGCAGCAAATGAACACATGAGGTACCAAGGACTGCATAACTGCAAGCGGAGATCGGTCCAACATTGACATGGCATGAGAATTTTTGTGCTCTGCGGCCTCGTCTTGAATGTCGTTTGGGAGATGCTGGGATAGTACCGCAGCAAGACACCATTGCATCACAGGCACCACCGCAAATTAGGTGTGACGTAGCTGTGGTTGGCAACTAAGATCATTGCAGCAATTATGACCATTGCCGGGTAAGCATTGGTGTCCATTTCTGAGGCACTAGTAGTCGCGTCCATTCTTGGCGCGCCAGAACTCGTGTCCATTTCTCAGATACCGAAGAAGTCTCTTGTGGCTCAAAGCTGATGTCCAGGAAGCTCAGGGGCATTGCACACATGGCTTTGCGTACGACTACCTTATAGAAACACGAGACTCAGACCAGCGGGCGCAACAAGTACGCATCAGTACTGAATCAAAGTCGAATCCTTCGAGTAGGCGTGTCGAAAGCACAGCGCTAAGGTGTGCGTGGTTGATGCAGGAGCGTCAAGACACGTGCGCTACGCGGTATCGATTGACGCTCCGCCACAGCACCTCGCAAATTGCCGCGGCAGCAGACCGAATCCTTGTGTGTTGACCGTACCTCCCTAAGACAACCCTCCTCAAGGTCAGTATGCCCTTCTACGCACTGGAATCCATGCAGAGAGCCTATATGATACCCGTACGGACGGTCTGTGCAGTCATTTTGACAGATTTTGGTCGGCAAAGTGCTGGATCGACCGTCTGAACGGTGGATGTACTTGCGGTCTTGACTTGATGTCCCGTACTGTAACCAGTGTTGCTGACACTAATTTGATTGCCACAGACTAAGCAATGGGTTTCAAGCACAACAACGGTCTGTTCCTACATTTGGCACATGCAGAGACAGTACTCACAGGTTGTATTGCGATGCAGTTCTCCACCAAAACCATTTCCGTAAGGACTGGCAGAGCCGCGTCCGCACCTGGTTCGACCAGCCCGGCCGCAAGCTCCGTCGCCGCCAGGCCCGCAAGACCAAGGCTGCGTCCCTTGGTGTCCGCCCCCTCACCCTCCTCCGCCCCCTCACCCTCCTCCGCCCCGCTGTCCGTGCACAGACTGTCCGCTACAACAGGAAGGTTCGCGAGGGGCGAGGGTTCACCCTGGCTGAGCTTAAGGAGGCTGGCATTGGCCGCAAGGAGGCCCGAGGTGTTGGCATTGTCGTCGACCACCGGAGGAGAAATTTGAGCGAGGAGGGCAAGGCGCTCAACGTGCAGCGTCTCAAGGTGTACAAGGAACGCCTTATTGTCTTCCCCCGTAACGCGAAGAAGCCCAAGACGGGCGATTCAACGGTGCGTAAACTAATTCTGCATCATTTTTTGCAGCAACCAATGCTTCTCTAGGGCGAGGAGCTCACCGCACCCACGGTCCGCACGGGCCTGCCGCTTACCGACTCTTACGAGCACGAGACGCCCCGGAAGATCACCGAGGAGGAGCGCGAATTCGAGGCCTACCGCACTCTCCGCACCGAGCGCGCTGTCGCCCGTCACGAGGGCAAGCGCAAGCAGCGGGAAGCCAAGGTTCGTTTCACGTCCTTAACTTCTATAATTGCGTGCGCTGACCATCTTGTTTGCAAATGTAGAAGGCAGAGGAGGAGGCGAACAAGAAGAAGTAGGATATTCATCTGTTTTCGCTTCACGACCTCCCCTGCTATGTTCTTCGCGCCTCACCCCATGTACTCAAAATCCGGACGTGGCTATTGCACTACATGCACTATGCAATCATTATGCCCGTGCTTATCCGAGTATTCATGTCACAGCCTCGCATTCTGCATACGTTTCTGTTCCGTTCCCTGTATCGATTGGCGTCTGCCGGTCGATCGAGCGTTATAAGGGTGTCATCGCGTGAGTCAGAGTCGAAGACACTCGAAAGGGTGCAACAAAAGTTCTACAGGCTACGTTCATGAGCTCTTAATGGCCTCCTGAATTTCAGCATCCGCGACCATGCCAACAATCTTCACCTGGTCTGCTACCTGCTTCAGTACGCTCCGAACGTCACCGTTGCCTTCTACAAAGCCGAACTCCGCATACTCCAATTCCTGCTCCTTGGCAAATTCTTTGACAATCAAGCTAGCATCTCGCAGGTTATGCCGGGGCAAGCGCGGGAACATATGGTGGGTTACTTGAAGGTGAAGGCCGCCGTGAATGAATTCGATGGAAGGTGAGCAGATCACATCCACTGTCGTGCGGAGCTGACGCGCGAAGAATGACTCTGTCACCCCCAAATCTTCGGTCGAGCGTGAAAAGTGCGACAACACAATCTATCGCGGTTTCAGTATATCGTCATCGAGACAGGTGTAGTTGGCTCGCCTGAACATGAACTGGACTAGCGGCGATATGGCTGACGAGCAGATACATGAGTATGTTGCCCCAAGTACCGCATCCCTTCAGGATCGAAAGGTACCAGCAAAAGAATAGGCCAAGGGAGCCGATCTCGGCCCACCACCACCAGCGGCCCCCGACAGCGCGCTTAGGCTCAAACGCAGTCTTGGCGAGGTATGAGTATGACTGCACGTAAAGGTTGAATCGCGCTAGAGAGAGGACGACGTAGAAGAGCTTGTGCTGGAAAGGGAGGAATACTCTGGCAAAGGCATCAAATACCATGACACGTTTGTAGTACGAAGACCAGAGCGACTTCAAGAACACGGGAGAAATGGCGAAGAATGGTAAATGCTGAATGTCGGGATCACTGAAAGTGCAAGGTGTATCAATATTATGAGCTCATACATTCATGATAGCGTAGCACCCACTGAGTTGGATGATTGGTGACCACTTCGGACAACGGTGATGTCACTCAGAGTCGCATCACATAGGTATCACGCTACTCACAATGATGTACGTTGTGGTTCTAGGCGTATATTGATGAGAATAGGTACAGTCTACAGAGTACGAATTACTGACGTTTACCCACCACCCGATACTCAGACCACCAATGAAATCGGCAACAAATATGGCGATGAGACGGTCCTTCACCCAGTCATGCGTCACACCAAGATGGCCAAGGTCGTGTGCGAAGAATGTGAGCTGTTGCCAGAGCAACCCGAGGGATAGCGCGCTGACGAACAACCATCCCTTCGAGTAGGCGACGGCCGAGCAGATAGCTAGGAGGGAATACCGTACGAACTCCGGCCCGTAGCCAGTAAGAAACCGTGTTTTGTAGAGGCCAGCATTAACGACACGCTGGTGTAAGACTTTGTACGCTGCCGAATGCTGCGCCTGAAGTTTTGTAGTTAGAGCAGTGGGTGGGTGCTGAAGCGTCGACGGTGAAGGACAAGACGTAGTCTCGGCCCTCTTGACAAGCAAGATCTCTGAAGGCAGAGCCGAAGGTGATTCATCCGCCAACTTGAGCGGCGCTGCCTCATTGTGCCATTCGCGCTGGCCGCTCGGGCCAATCTTCCTGACCCACCCATTCATGATGGGAGGCATGAGGGGATCCCAGCCATCCTCACCAACCTCGACGCGCCCCACCATATATCCCTTCATCTTCTTTAGCGTCGCGTCGGAATGAAACGCGTGGACCTCATCCGACGCGTCACGTCCGACGAAGTGCAGGATGCTGAGAGTACCACCAGGGTGTGCCATGAGCCATGACTGAGGGATGCGGAGGACTTGGTTGTCTAGGATGACGAGGGTCTCGCCTGCGAGGATGCGAGCGGCGACCTGTTCGCGCGTCCAGACGGGGTGTTCAGCAGGAACCCCCATTGTTGCAGCTGTTGGTGTTGAGAAGCAACGAAGGCGCGACCGACTGCGCGTAGGTATACTTATTTCTCAAGGCTGGGACCGAGCCCTGATGTTACAGCCACTGAGAACAAACTGGGACAAACGCGCCGCTGTCTGATCCGGCGCGTCAAGTTCAACCTCAACTTGATTCCACTCCTGCAACACATACGGCCTGCTAGTCGCGCGATACCCGACTCCCACCGCTGCGCGGTTGGCACAATGGTTAAGTACATCAAGAACAGGGAGCGCACTAGGCGAGAGCTTCTGCAGCTCTGGAAGGATGAAAAGAAAGCGCAGCGAGCACCTAGGTCGCTGCCGTCATCCTTACCGCGCTCCGAGTCCTTCAGCAGTATCAGTGCAAGTAGTAGCAGCAAGCTTCGGGACAAGCGTCTCCTCCCACGGTCGCATTATGCGGGTGGTCTGCACAAGCCTATCAAGGTCCTCAACTGGCCTTCCCCGCAGAAGAGAAAGCTTTCCCCCAGGCTGGGATCTACCGATAACGATGAGATCCTGCAACGTTCGCGGTATGTTTCATCTACTTCATCACTCGCAGGCATGTTCTCAACACATTTCATAGTTCGGAAGAGGAAAGACTTTCTTTGCTGACGTCGTTCAAGGAGCGTGTCGTGCACACTGTGGATGAGTATCTGGATGACAAGGTACTGCTGAACACAGTACGGGGTCGGCCCAAGACTCCTGTGACGCCTCATCGAACGCCAGAGCACAAGCGCCGTCAAAAGCTACTGCAGAGGAGCATCGTCGGCAGGATTCTTCAATGGTCGCCTACTCCGTCTCCTAGGGTCGTACAAGGGAGTCCGCTCATGCAAAGCGAGCGAAGCAAAGTCTGTCGGACACTTCTCTCTCCTCTGGCTTCTGCGCCTAGGTCACCTCGACCTCCTGTGCCCGTCTTGCTGCGTGATGTGACGAACACTCGCTCTAGTGCTACTGCTGGACAGGTACCGGCCAGATCTGGTGATGGGCCTATGTCCACTTCTGGCAAGATCCCGTTAGCTATGCGAGCTAGTTGCGCTCGGCCTATCTCTAGGTCGGCCTCTGGGGTTATCTCTTTCCACGAGAAACCGGGCACCCGTCCGCAGCCTTCATGTCAACGAACCGGCGCCGCTAACTCTCCTAAGGTCAAGAGCACGCTACGAGCATCTATCAAACCTGTGGTTCCTGAAACCCTCTTGGACGTAAAGAGGCATTCTTCTGCTCCCTTGCTTTTGCCGCCTGTCAAGCAGGCAGTGCGTACAACTGTGCCTGCACGGGACATTCAGGACAGTCCGCGACGCAAGATTTCTATGGCGTCTGGTGTACATGGCTCGTCTCGTGCAGTTTCTACAGCAGACAGCCCAGCCAAAGTGACCCCAGTGCAGCGGCTGCCTGCTGTACCTGCAACAAAGCATGCTTTGTCTTCCGTATCTGCTGCGCGTCAACTGCCACCAATATGTGGTGCAACCAGATCCCACAACAAGCTGGACAACAGAGGCGCTGCGCTAGAATTATGTCTTACCCCGACATCCATGCTCAGGACCTCTGCACGGGCGGCGTTGTCAAGAACTAATGTCAACAATCTGTCTGACATGCAGAAGAAAGAATCTGCTAAGTGTATTGTCTCTTTGGAATCAAGGCGCGTCGACCCTTCCTACATGTCGGGCACGAGACCTATTCGGCACTTGGCTGTTGTGGGTACGAATGAGAAGCGTCGAGGCGTCAGCTCTGGCGCCACTACGTCTCCATCGGCTTCTATATCTGGTGGCACCCCGTCAACTAAACGCAGCTGCAGTACCTCGGACAATTTGACTCCTTGTGGCGTGCCGAGACGTGTTCGGACCTGCTCTGGATCTGGGTGTGCTGCTACGTCGCCTGTCAAGACTCCTTCTGCGCGGTCTTCTAGTCCTGCACTGATCTCTGTGACTAGAAGTCGTGATGCTCGTTGTCCAGCAACGCCTCTGCAAGCAACCGTCCAAACGGCGTCACCTGGAACTCCCGCGCCTAGAGCTGTCAAAGCTTTACCCTCAAGCAGGATACTGAACCACATGAAAAATGGTTCCTTTCGGCCCATCCTCCCCACGCCATTTCTCATCCTCATGGGCGCGCACGCCTCGCTGGGGAACCCAGAGGGACGCATCCGGGCAGTAGTCATGCGCCATGGCATGATCGTGCGCAACGTGTCACTCACTGAGCCTAGGATTCGTCCGCCGAGGCTTTTCAAACTTCGTCGAGGTCATTGCAATGTTGCGCTTTTCTTGAAGGCCTCCGAGTCGGTTCCCGCTTTTGTTCCTATGCCTCCAGTTGCCAGCCGCCGTGCTTCGCCGCGTTCGGTGCTGAAACCGACCCGGTTGTTGGGGGTAGACAAGGCCAACCCATACGCTATGGTACGGCCCGAAACTTACCACGGTCGGCCGCAACTCGGCACCGTCGAAGACTTGTCACGTAGCCCCTTCATTGACAGATCTAACGTCACTTGTATGGACGTAGAAGCACAAATGTTGGCTGTGGACGTCGGCGGGGCAAGCACGGACGATATCAAGGCTACTTTCATGGCCCCACTCGTGCGTCGACGCCGAATAGACCTGGAGGCACTTAGACTGTTGCCAGTGCACAGCGTTCGGGTGACATTTCAATTGATTGGGAGAGTCCTCTCGAGTCCCTGGAGGATGGTACTGAGGCTGTTCACGTCGGCGAGGTAAATATAACCGTTGTTATGGTGCCTCGTGGTTGTTTGTTCGGGATTGACCACATCACTACCACACGAACTTCATTTCGTCTCTAGAGTTGTTGCGCCTCGATATGTACGGTTCATGATACGTTTGGTCCGCGTCCGCATACATGTAGAGCAGATTAGGAGTAGAGATTGCTGAGGCAATGATGTTATACCAGCTTCGAGCACGCTTTCGAGGGTACATTTGGACTCAGCGACATTAATGACGTGCCTGCATCGGCAGATCGGTGATATGCACGACCGCCCACCGGCGCGTATTGATCAAGTGGGTCCCGCAGCTCCTGCCCGCTGCCTTCCTGAGCATTTCTCTCACCCTCTCCTTCCAACACCGCTCCGGAGCAGTCTGTCTCACCTTGCGCGTCGGCATAGCCTGGTCGCTCGTGCTTCTTGAGGCCCCCGGTCCTCGTTTGCAGGGCTACAACTTCTTCTTGTCTTGCGATTCGTTATTTTATGCCTTCGGTCATGCAGTCGCGCCTGGGCTATCTGTTGTCCATAATAGCGCTGTGTGCGTCTCAGGTCTATGCCGGCAACTTCACTTTCGACTACGGGGATGCTTCGCAATGCGACGACTTCAGCGTGTCATGGTCAGGTGCGCCAAGATGCTAGCTCGTCATGCGAGTATCCACTAAAAGCCGACCTGCAGGCGGAACTGCACCGTATCAACTCACACTCATTCCTGTGCGTGCTTGCATCGAAAGAAATTCATGTGCTGTGTCAATTGACCAAACATGTAGGTGTTCTACGGACGAACGCTGAATTACACCATTCCATCCTCTAGCTATAGCAATGGACAGGGCTCATACAAAGTCCAGCTACCGTTCCCGGAGAATCAGACCGTTATTGCAGTCATGTCGGACGCGAACGGCTTTGCTACAGGAGGAGTCTCCGATGTCATTACGACGGGGCCGTCTATCAGTCATTCTCAGTGTAACGTCACTGCGCAAGGTCCCCTTTCTCGCTGGATCTCTATCTGCTGTATTCGCTAATCTGCGTGCTGATAGCCGTTGACTTCTTCTTCGACACTGATATGGCCTTGAATCAGTGCAGGTAAGTATCTCAACGTTGGTCAATCAGAAGACCCAGGCTCACGATGCTGCCGGTAGAGAGTACTCATTCTCCAATTACACGGGTGCTATGCAACCGGCCACCATTACAGTATGCGTTTTCCTTTCTTATTTGTTCACATGCGCTAACTACTATCGTATAGGGCATCATTCCTGGGGGCGAGACATTTGTGCTCAATCCGCCTACCGGTCCCCCTGACTTCGAGTGGATAGCAAATATCAAGGCTTCCACGTCGATGCTGTTCTTAATGGTAGATTCGAAGGGTCGCCAAGGAGGGAGTACCCCTATAGACCAGGTCGGAGTGACAAATGATGCCACATGTCTCACCGGCTCCTACCCGTCCTCACTTGCAGTACACCCATCTGCCACATTTACGAGTTCATCAGCAAGCGCAACCTCGACCTCTACCCCATCAGGTAGTTCTTCCAAATCATCGGTCTCTGGGGGCGCTATCGCAGGAGGCGTGATAGGCGGCATAGTGGGACTCGCTGCTATCGCGCTTCTGGCCTACTACTTCCTACGAAGAAATAGGCGTACCAGAGGCAGGTTCTACGACGATGGCGTTTACCAGGCATATCGCGCAGGGCGTAGTAAGAAACAGAATGTCGACTTGGTCCACGAGACCAGCGAGGACGCACCACCTGCGATCGTCCAGCCGTACCCCCTCTTCAACCCAAGTGAATTCGGAGACGGCAGCGACCTTGGTGCTGTCTCGTCTGTATCGAACCTCATACAACCAGGTTCCCATCCTGGTTATATGCCATATACCCACTCGACCCACTCGCGACAAATGTCGGACGGTACATCTGCATTCCCAGAATCCATGCCTGGCTTGCGAGACAGCTTTTCATCCTCGTCAAATGCGCAAAGCATCTCCTCAGGCGCACGGCGGAAAGCAGCGATGGCGGGTATGCCTGCCTACCAGCCTCCGGCCCGTTTCATACTCCACACCGACGCGGAAGACGTGATCGAGCTGCCTCCGCAGTACAGCGCGTTCCGCGCGCCGTCTGCGACTGCACAGTCGGCGGACGAGGCATCGACATCTGGTGATGATGTGCTACCACCACCCCCGCCTTTTACGAGCGGGGGCTCCACAACAATGCCGGTACGTTCAGCAGGCATGTTAGAACAGGACGACGAGACTTCTCAAGCGCGTCTGCAGCAACCGCTGTCTCCAGGGCCGCCAACAGCCCTTCCTTCACCAACCTCTCACAATTTTTCATCACGATGAACAATGTGCACCAGCATCGTTGCAATACACCAGGGGCTCTCCAAAAGGCTGCAACAACTTGTCCTGGGACGCTGTATGATACCCAGACTTTTTAGATATTTATTGCCGATCTCTTTAGCTTGTCATCTTGAATGGTGCTCTCTCTGCACTTGTGCTTGCTTGGCTTCCAATGCGCCTGTGTCGTTCACTCGAGTTCACCCTGCCGCTCATTGCCGTTCCTCTCGTTTTGCATCTGCTTGTTATTGATTTGCACTACTTACACCTCGTTCTGATTCGCGGGCCCTTTGGCCGCCTCGTCATTGTTCAGCTTCTGTGCATGACGATACCCCCCTGCCCTGGACAGGCGATTTGTGTGTAAACTAACGCGCTGGTACGCCCAGCGCGCAGGTTTGTGCGTAATAGAATGTAGCAAAGTGAGCCTCTGAAGTATGTGGGTGTTCTTGGTCCCTTATAACCGGCGGGTCGAGTGAGCAAGCCTCGGTATGTTACCTACTTTCCTGGTTAACCTGTGATCTCAGCTCATATACCATGTCCTTGCGCATTTCAGGGGACGATCAGACGGCGTTGGTCTGACAGTTATCACCTTGGTCCAGCACACGAATGATAGCTGACAAGAATTCTATCGCTCCCTCGAGCTGACGGCACCCTGAACAGACTCTGACCTTGCCCTGCCCCTTCGACATAAGCAGAGGAAAACACCGCTTCGAGCTCTCCGGCTTCATTAGTTGCTCGCCCTGGCTGTGAAATCACTTCCACCGCATAACACTAATGCTCCAGTAATTGAGCTAACTAAAGATTCAGATCAGATTATGTGGGGTCGTGGTTAAATCTTGACATTGGCGTCGTTCTTGGGGCGGTGCAGTTGAAGTGGCTTTAGAGAGTACGGTGTAGGCCTTCTTTTCATATATCAGTCATTGTACTCAGGCGGCACTTCCATAGACGTTGTCTCCATGTGATATGCATTCACCTTGGACATACCGACCTATCGTCGACACTCAATCAAGCTACGAACGCGATGTGACTTTCGCCGACCGTTGCCCGATGCAAAAGAGCCAGTCCTTTCCTTTGCCTACATAATCTGTTAGAGATAGACGGATATCTCCTGGCGACATCTTATTTTGCTCCTGTCTTGTTCACTGCAGCAGATTTGAGATCTTTGTGGTTTGAGACCGAATGTCACCACCGCATGTCATCTCGGAGAAATAGACAAGCGTTGTCGTGAGCCCGCTTTATGTTCTGCGGAGCCACGCCTTGAACTTCACTTTCACGTATACGACAAATCCCTCGCAATGCGAGGCTTTCGCCGTCTCGTGGCAAGGTATGACTAGTACACAATCATCATGTCAGCGACCTAATTGTGCACACAGGCCACAGGGAGGAATGCGCCTTTACTCTCACATTCATCGAGGCAAGTGTACTTGGGTGAACACATTTCATAGGAAACTTTTGACCCAGTTACATATCTACGCGCAGTCGCTGCCAGTCAGCATTCCGTCGTCTAGCGTCAGCAATGGACGAGGCTTCTACCAGTTACCACTGCCGGTCAAAGCCAATCAGCAGCTAGTCGTAGTCATGTCGGACTCCAGTGGCTTTGCTTCAGGCGGAATATCCGATGTAGTCACAGTAGACCAACCACAAGACAATGCAGCTTGTGAGATCTCATCACTAGCTGAGTCTAGCGTCTTTGTCCAAATCCAATACCGCGCTGTCTGGTTCCCGGATTGAGGGGAGACAGTCTATTCCCAATCGACGCCACGCGTCTTAACGCACCAACGATGCGGCCGGGAACACGACTGACCTGTTCCCCCAATATAGTTCTCTCCCCTCGGACTTTCTAACTGTGCAACGCAAAAACAGCAGGGAAGGATACAGGGAACGCCTATCAGGCTCTCGTCTTCAGCTAAACAGTGCGAAGCTGTTTGGTTTTCGGAAACGGCATGCCATATGGTGTCCTGCAGCATGGATGCTCCGCGGACCCATCTGACAGTACGTACACAGTCCCATGTATATCGGGTCATGCCTGCAATGATGATGTCTCAATCATACATGTCCTCTGCTTGATGGCACCATATAGCAGTAGGTGTGCTCGCCACTGAAGCATGCCCCCCCCCCCACACACACGTACTTAATCCTCTTTTTAGAAGACCAATATATCTGCATCACAGCACGTGAGGGGCAAACAGAAATACTTCCTTACAAAAGCTCATTCTATACCCCCTTGTCTCTGTATAGACTACCTGGAGCGCGGACGCGACGACTCGACGAGGCAGACAATTCGAACTAGTGGAGACTCGACAAGTACAAATGCAACTAAGAGCTGCTCTATTGAACGAGTACAAGGTGGTAGCACAGGCAGTGGTATTAGGGTGCTATCAGTATGATGCAGAAGGCAGGTAGGTCAAAAGCCTGAGATGCTACGAGACGGTTCCTTTGGATACATACGATGGATGAATGAAATAGAAGACAGAATAGGAAGACAGGATACTAGAATACAAATACATTGATGCTTGCATCTCGTGGAGCTTCCTGCTTGCCATATTCATATCGTTGAGGGCCCGGCCAGTGGTTCGGGCGCCTCAGAACTGAGACCTGTGCGGGCAAATGCAGCCACCATGGAGTCCTGATCTTTGCGGCGTTTGTGTCGTCGTTTGCGGTCATCCTTGATAATCCGGGTTATGCGCCGGCGGTGCGCGTTGTGGGGGTCGGTTACAAGGTGTTTGCGCGAGTAGCAAGCAAGGTCAATGCTTGCGAGAAGACGAAGTGTCTCCGAATTGTTCTGTGCCTGTAACGCGATATCGTATTAAACTCAACACGACTTCATGTTTGACGTCTGCTCACGTTGAGGGACCAGGAGACTACCCGATTGCCTTCAACGCAGCCTATCACGACGAAGTTGCCTCGCTTCTCTGCTTGAACAGCGGCATCCTGGATGGTACGATAAGGCTGTTAGTGCATGCCCCTGTAGGCTGCTATGGTACACACCTCTCCAAAACTAGTCATAATCTTCTTCGATGCCGCTGACCTCACGACTTTATGCAGCTGATCAGCATACATACAACCCTCATAGCATATGGCTTACCAATGCGGTACGATTGTCCCGGTTGACCTGCACCTTCCTGCGAAACAATGCCACGACCTAGGTATGTCCACGCGTCCCTGTCCGGTCTCCTAATATGAACTTTGACCAACAGGTCACGAAAGGGGTCCCGGGCCTGCGGAACTGAAGCGACAAGTGCTCTCATTTCTTCATACAAATGGTCCATTTTGGTCAGAACTGGTACAACAGGATGTAGGCTACCAGCCGGCCAAGGGGGTTGACTGCTCACCTGCTTCTGCAATGCCACCAGCTTGAGAGACTGAGGTACGAGGTTCTGACGGTATTTGTGGGTTATAGGACTGAGAGGGTTCAACATCCATGAACGCCTCGGAGTCACCCATGAACGCCATGCCAGAGTCCATTGGGTGGTCTTCGGCCTGAACATGCGTGTCAGCTGCGAAATACTCGGGATTGCAGAGCAAGCAAGTTACAAGATCCATCTTCGGCAGGATATGTGCTGATTTCTTACGAGTTGAGTTGCACAAAGTGAACGTCGAGTGGTGAGAAGAGCTGGGACGTCGTTCAGGTCGAGCTCAGGTTCATGCCAAATCGGCGCCTTGGGCTTCGCGCGACACCATCACGTGACAATCATTAAAGCCGTGACACTGGAACTCTGGAGCGCGACGAAAGGTTCCCAACTCTGTATTCTTCAGTCATGATGCATGATGAGAATCCTCTACACATCGCGTCGTGAATAAAACATAATATCAGGTTAAGATTGGCCCTCATGGAATGCACAGGAATTACTGAAGTGAACTTGTAACTGGGCCTTGGTAACCTGCAATCATCTCAAGAGTCAAGCAATGGCAGCGGTCTGAGCGCGATTGGAGCGACATGCGACATGCGACGCGCCCGCAGCGCATAGAGCACTTCAGTTTCGGCTATGCATTGCAAGTAAGCCCTCATTATGTGAAGCACAATGGCTGATCCCATTACGCGTCCCATGAGGCCTGAAAACTCGCTCCCGATCTGCTCTTGACCTCAAGCTTTCTATGCCCCAATACGTGCGGTCTATGACTTCTATGCGCGTATTGTCTGTGTGTATCTACTAGGCGTGGCTCGACAGACCGTGACGAATGACTTACTGCTTGTACTATGTGAGTGACGACGCCTCGCATGTGACGTGTCTCCCCAATTGACTTGTAACAGCACGTCTTCTACAGCTTCTACGTTATATGCGCCCTTCTTACTCTTTCTAGAATGTCTATGATGTCTTTATGTATGATCGGCATGCGTAGAAATCAATCTCTTCTCGAAGAACGCGCGGTGCCATATGGAAGATCAGCACCAAAATCATTGTCTATGATCGTCCCCCCAGCAGTGCATTGTTTCCTAGTCGAACATTATGACAAAGCTCGTTTCGTGTTGTTGCGACAAGTGGCAGGCATGAACAATAGATGCAAGGAGTATAAAGACCTCAGAGGGCGTATGTAACGCCCACCAACTCTCCGCAATTTCAACGCCTCACGATGTCAATCCATGACAAAGATTACCTCCAGGACATCCTCGACGGGATGACGCTCTCGCAACAGGCCCGGGCTATAGGTCAAGACGATGAGGAAGATGCCACACAGGTGGGCCTCGAGGAAGATAACTATTGCATCTCACGATACAACAAGAAGGTCGGTGCATGAGCGAATGGTCGTCATGTTGATCTTTCAATAACTTCGTTTACCATCAGCGCGATCATGACGATGAGGACTACGAGCCCGGATCGAGCCCGCCGGATTCTAGCCAACCTAATTCCGCTCAGCCTGATGCTAGCCATGCGATCGAGCCTCCCCCATATGAGCTTGAAGCATATAGAACCCGCTCCTACTCCCGATTGCTATCAGACGTCCCGACGGAACCAATTGCGGATCTTGAGGACGACGAAGACGAAGACGGGACGTATATCCCCTCTCCGACCAGCAGCGCATCGGAAGGCAGTCATACATCGACCAGCGATTTCGAAACGGGCGTGGAGAGCGCGAGTACGTTCCCCGGAGACAAGCTTAATGGCAAAAGGCTGTGGTTATTCTCCCAGCTTTTGCGGGAAGTAGACCCAGCGAGGCACATGGAAGTGAAGGAACTCGTACGCAACTTGTGGCATTTATCTCGAAAAGACGCAACCAAAATGTACAACTTTTGGGCTAACCCGAAGCCTGAAGGGAGGTATGTTCAAACGAGATACCGTAGTTGTCTCTTCAACAAGCTTGGCTACGTAAAGCGCGTTGCGAAGGAAGAGTGGGATGAACTTTGAGCAGACGACGTGGATTTTGGCCTTGAGTGTCATCTTGTAATAGGTAGTACATATATTACACAGTTAGATTAGCATATGATATGTCCTTGGAAAACGACTGTTAAGGGTCATCGTTGCTCGGGACTCAGGTATAGACCAGCCGCTAAACAGAGGTTCCTTGGTGTGAATTGCACATTAATGACGGGTGTCCGTTTCGTGGGGAATGTTGCCATGAGGTCGGTTCTAGACAAGACACACTGTGAGTATAGCGTAGATGCAGTACATCAGGTTCGATAGCTTACGTCTCGATGCTTTCATCCTCCTTGTTGTGCGGAAGTTCGCCATTTGTAGGGCCCGTGCCATTCGTCAAGACGCCATTTTCCCGAGTCTTCGTAAGCGGCCCACCCGCGCTCTCCACGTCCCAGCAGCGCACAGTCCAATCAGCTCCGCCGGAGATTAACATACTAGATTCCGCACTGAAGGCGAGAGAATAAATGGACGCTGTATGGCCCGTCATCTTCTTGATTCGGCGGCCAGAACCAATATCCCACAGATTAATGGCGAGATCTTCTCCTGCACGGTCGTTCGTTGGACACCAACATTTTTACACACACAAAAAGAAGACACAACGCACCTGCACTAGCTAGATATCGCCCGTCTGGACTAAATGCGAGAGTCGAGACAATGCCTTGATGCCCGATGAAGACACGGACACAAGAACCCTTCTGTACATCCCACAATCGGGTTGTCCAATCACTAGAACCCGTGGCGAGGTACAATGAATTAGGATGAAAGCGGACACTCTGTATAAATCAGTTGAATGTGGTGTGTTTACTAGTTTCTAGGCCGAACTTACGTTGACATCGCTCAGGTGGCCCGCATATACTCGGAGTGCAGAGGTTCTGTCTGTTGACCACAGCCGTGCAGTCCTGTCTCTGCTGGCGGTTGCGAAGTAGATTCCCATAGGGCCCCATTGGACATCCCAGACTGGATTTTGATGTCCTCGGTATGCCGCAACGTTTGACATGGTATCTAGAGACCATAGCCGAGTAGTCGCATCCGCAGATGCTGAGAGCAAATAGCGGGGAGGAGCCGCTGACCCGCTGACAGGGTCGAAGGCAACCGAGTACACGGGGCCGCTGTGTCCAATCAGTTTGCGTGTGGTGTCTCCGCCCTTTTCGCGGACTTTGCGAAGAGATGCAGCTGTTGGTGTTCAGTTGTCAGCCAGGTGTTCGCTCTAGTGGCATGAAGCCTACTGACCGTCTTTTATAGAACTGGATTGAAAGTCGCTCCTATATCCTTTGAGCTTCTCGCCCTTAAGACTCCATAGCCGAATATAGCTTTCAGAGAAGCCGGCCGCCATCAAGGAGGTGTCCATGGAGAACGTGCAACACGGCACACTGAACAAATCATCGTGTCAATGCCAACGAACAGAAAGTATGACTCATAAGATAGACGTACCCTTCGCCTACATCGTGTAAGGTGTAGGCGCAAATACTAGGTAATGGGAGATTCCTTGGCGCATGCCCTTGCGACGCGGCTCCATGTGTGCTGGGGCGCTCAAGTCGGATCCTCTTTCGCGCATCGCGCACCCTCTCGACTTCCCTCTTCACATCAATAGTTTTGAAGGACGGAGGATAGGGTGGCAGGTCAGACGGAGAAGGAGCGACTACCCCTGGCTGCGGCGCTAGGGCCTTTGAGTACAGCTGAGGGTCATATTGAGCTCCCGGGTCGCGGTCCATCATAGCCTGTTCTCTCATGACGCGCTCTGCTTCTGCCCGGAGTTCTTCGGGTACAGGTGCCGGTCCTAGCTTCAACTCCCCCTTGGATGCGTTAAAGGAGTTGGGATTAGTGAGTGTTGCATTTCCATTCGCCTGGGGAATGGCGGAGGACAAGAGACCCGTAGACTCTTCCCATGCGTTCAGGGAGACGGATGTCGTCGACGATGGCGTTACTAATGAACATCTCGTGAGTATTCCGAGAGGTCCGCGTTGGTTGGAGCATACCGTCGAAACGTAGGTGGTTGTTTACCACTCGCAGCATTGCAGCTCGTCCTCGTTTTCCTTTTTCTCCTGAGAAGCCTTCCCCTTGTCCTGTTGCCTCGCCACCAACACCTTCTGTCAGCCAGCCAACAAGCAGGTCAAAACCTGAACGGCTCATCCGAATAGTATACTTCTCATTACGGAACCGCTGGGCAAGCTCATCGTTTTGCACATGCGCAGGGAGCAAGAGGGTGGATAGGTGGTGTAATGTGGCACTATGGGAAGGTCCCAACGAAGGGGAGAACTCGGTATAGAATCTGATGGCTTGAGAGAATGGAAGATGAGTTACAAGTCTCGGACAGAGAACGGTAATCGCAATACGCACCAGCTTCCTTGAAGCCATATTGTATGAGATCAAGGTAGAAATGGCAGAAAATGGGAAATAGGATAGGCCGAAACTCAGGCTAATTGGGGCTCGCATCAAGATTCATTTGCCTCAAGATACGTACATGCTCACTCGATACATGTCAAGCGACCCATCTACCCACGCTTCAAGCTCTCGGAAACCTTCTTGTTTGTCGGTTGGATCGAGCGACAGTATCTCTTCAGCACCGACCGCGTCTATGCTGGATATGAGATTTTGCACATTCGTTGAGTTGCCCAGGGATGCCAGTTCTTGCAAAGCAGTGGCGGGTTCCCTAAGGGCATTTTCTCCGGGTCGCGAGGGCCGCTGTGACTGCACAGCCTCAGACTTCACGAGTTCCTCAGAGCTAACTGTCGTCGACGTTGCGGCAGTAGCCTCCGGGTTCTTTCCCTTGTCATCTGAAGCAGGCTTTTCAACGGCCGCGAGAAATTCTTTTTCCGCACCCTTGTACCCTTTACTCCGCAGGTATTCGAGAATTGTGCGGTCAGTGGGGCTTATTGTGGACTCGGCTGAGGGTGCACTAGGATTGGCAGGTGATGTGCCTTCCGGAGTTGACGCAGAAGCCGTAGACATTACAACCCTTAGAAAGTGAGACCCAAGACTGAAGGATGGTTGTTCACAACAGAGCAAGGAGAGTGAGCCGCACAAGCTATATTCGAAGCCAGATGGCGGCACTAAACGGTTGGCAGTAATGCTAATGTAAGACGCGCGCAAACGAGGTACGAAATCATGCAGCCACACGTTCATTATCCACGATCATTGACGCGCCCACGTGACCAAGTCGTTTAACTTCCACTCGAACGAACCAGCTGCTACTCGTACATGCATTACTCCAGAAAGTATTGTACAAGAAAGTCTTCATGATGAACATCAAGTATACCTTCCTCTCCGAGCCCTCTTACTAGAGCCTCCGCGGCTTGTGCTACTGGTGCTTGACCGTGCCGGATATGAACGTTTCTGCGAAGTCCTGGAAGGTTGGGCAGACACAGCTGTCGCGCTCCGGGTGTAGCTCGCTTTGGCGCATTCCTTGTCGAACGCTTCAACAAGCACGTTGAAGTCGACCGAGTCCATGCTACCGAATAGAGAATGGTAGGTCGACCATTTTCCAGCCGTGAGCCTAGGTGAAGTGATGCCAAATGCCATGCGCGCCAGAAGACGAGGATCATCACGTTCTGGACAAGCATCCAGGATAGCTCTGATTTGTTTAGGGTCGGGAGTCGACAGTGCTGTCGGCGAGAAGTCCAGCCCTGCGCCAGACATGCAAAAGCCGCATTTTCCACACATCCCATCGGGGACGACATTGTCGTCTCCGAAGTACGCTGCCAAGGATTGCGCTAGGCCTGTACAGATATAGGTCCGTTGAACATGAGAAAGGCACGAGAACTTCCAGATTGTACTTACAATCGTCCGTTGTCACAAACTCGATGACCTGTCTCAGCTTTTCTATCGCTTCTTGTTCGCGCGTCAGCATCCCCTCATACAACTGATTCGCCAAGTCCTTGATTGCTGCGATATCTCTAGGCATGGGGTGGCGTGCATCCACATTGTAACGCTGACAGACAGATCAGCTAACACATACGCTGTCGGAGGAACTTATCACGGACCGTCCTGACTTGCGACGGCTTGCAAGTGAGCAACCCTGAGGATCTGATATGAGTTCGTAGATTTCGACTATGAAATATTATGGTTACCGTTGAGTTCCCAGATGCTGATTTGTTTGGCGATTTCAGTGCGGTCGATTTTTGCATAGGTGGCAGTGGAGACTGTATCAATCTATAATAGCACACAGACGTATATATGCGTAGACAACGACGAGTGCGGTCGAGAAGCCACGAACCTGGTAACCAGATGCCTTGGCGGTCCAATGTTTCCTGATCGTGATGGCTGCTGGCGACTTGTCTGCCATGACCTTCGACCAGCCGTCACCTCGACTCGGCGCAAGATCGTAGATGGTATAGAAAGGGGTGGTGGCCCTAATATGTCCGAAGTCCAGCTCGAGTTGTGCATAGCACAGGTTCAGCACAGTCGGCTGCACAGGATCGTCAGGGAGTACATTCACCCTCAGGCCATTTTCTCTCTTACGCGTATATCATACCTACAATGAGATTGTTGGGAAATGCAACCACGACCACGTGTGATAAGCGATGTACTCACTGTTTGGATTGCTGATATTGGTTGAAGTCTATAGTGCCATCGGGAGCGGGCTCACGCAATGCTACTTCTTGCAGCCACAGCTCTATGTCTCGCTTAGCGCATGTATCACCTCGGGCGAAGCCTTCTAATATAGGTATGTCGGTAGCACAGAGGAACATGAGACATGTGGACTCCAGTCCGTCTCTGCCTGCCCTTCCAACTTCTTGGCTGTAGTTCTCCAGCGTCTTTGGCATGTTGTAGTGAATGATCTACGCAGCGAGACATCGAAAACCCGGCTGGATAAGTAGCCACCTACGTGACTCACCTGACGAATGTTCGCTGAGGGGTTTGTTATATCGATGAGAACAGAAAACAAAATTGTCACTCGCCTTTGTCAATCCCCATCCCAAATGCAATCGTAGCGCAGACGATACCTCTATCCGAGTTCATAAATTTCTGTTGGACATCTTCACGTTGGTCACCGGGCAAGCCTGCGTGATACACCATGGGTTCAAGCCCATGAGGCATAAGATTGTTCGCTATCTCCTCCGCCTGTTTTTGTGTCGTGACGTAAACAATAGCAGGGCCTGTCCGCTCTTTGAGCATAGGAATAATACGATTGAGCTTCTCATTCGCGTTCTGAGCAACCTCTGCACGGAATGCAAGGCTATGCAGATGAATGAGCACACATGCTTTCGGAAAAGAGCGAAAAGCACGGACTTTGGGCGGAAGACGGGGGTTCGGAATACGCCTGCGAGAGGGTCGATGAGGAAGTTCTTGCAGATATCCTCGGCAACGGTCTTCGTCGCTGTAGCAGTTAAGCACAACACGCGCTCAACGTCCATTTCCTCAGCAAACCGCGCAATCTTGAGGTATTCTGGTCGGAAGCTGGCACCCCACTGACGGCTTGCTTGGCTCGTGGGTACAGCTCGGATGAGACGCTGCCACTTACCTGCGAAATGCAGTGGGATTCGTCAACTGCTAGCAGTGATATCTTCACCTGTCGCATCATGTTGACAAAAGATTCATTGTTAAGCCTGGGTAACATGAGCAATGTGGCTGGAAGCGTACACCTTGCTGTAAGACTAACCTCTCAGGAGCAACGTACAAGAGCTTCATCGAGCCCGAGACTACTTCGCTCTTCACCCAAGTAGACCGTTCTGCAGACAGAGTACTATCTAGGTTAGCTGCCTTGACACCGCGGTCGACCAGCGCATCGACCTGATCCTTCATGAGGGCAATTAGTGGCGATATCACGAGTGTGAGTCCCTAGCAATTGTACGAATTTCAGAGGTATCCCTGAGCATCAGGCTATATGCCTTACATCTAGACATAAAGCTGGCACTTGATACGTTAAACTTTTACCCCCTATTCCACTCCAACTGTGAGCAGGCAGAAACCAGTATCTATCGCAGTTAAGATCTCACCTCCAGTAGGAAAAAGCACAAGAGCATTGTCATTCTCTACAATCAGCCGCCGGATCACCTGAGAGACCGAGTGAAGTTGACGGTGGCGGCAAGTACACGAGCAAGTAGTGTACGCACCTCCTCTTGAGCAAGGCGAAATGAAGGAAACCCGAAGGTCTCTCTGAGTATTTGGTGGGCCTTCTCCATCTCTGGTTCACGCAATGACAGAAATAACGTAGAAGGCTATTGGACAGCTAAAGAGTAACAACGCGAGGCAGGACAAGAGTTTCGAGACGCGACCGTGACCATGCATCGCGTCGCGTAACGTGCTCGACACACATGTGGCGTGACATATTCGTCTATTGTCACATTGTTGCTCCTGCGAGCAGTCGCGACAATCCGTCTCAGCATTTCCTAGCATGTCGCGATCTTACAAATCTATTTGGGTGCATCCGGCAGGGAACGCGCCTGAGACGGCCAGAGGCTGAATTTGTAAGGATCGGTAAATGCAAGCAATGGAGTATCATGGTCGGATGTGCAGCCCGTTCACATTCCCACAGCAATTTAATTACTACAACAAAAGCATGGTTCACTCCTCTGCGGAGCGCCAACGCAACAAGATATGAAGCAAGGCAGGCTGATCAAAAGTGCTCCTGCATGGCGCACATGTAAGTAGTCGCACAGAATGTGGCAAAGCAGGACAAACCTTAGCGAAAGTGAAGTTGATGTTGGGAGTTGTCGAAGCCACGCAGGCCTCTTTGATGGCCTTTGCCATGACGCCAGGTCCGCAGAAGTACGTCTTTCTTAGAGTTCAGCATTCACGACTCTATGGAAACCATTTCGAAGTATACTCACGCCAACTTTCGTCTTGAGTTGCTCCTTAGTACCAGGGAGGTACTGACCCATTTCGATAGCCTGCTTCATGCGGGCGTAGATATTCTTCCAGTCCGGACGACCGAACATCGTACGAGTGCGAAGCAGAGTGAGGGGGTCATACTCAGCGCCTGCGTCGTTAAGGGCGATGTTCCATAGCATATCCTCGCCGATCTTCTGGGTAAGATAGATGTTGATGCGCAAGAAGTTGGCTACACAGAGTCGTTAGTTGCGCTCTATTTTGCTACGAATGGGCTACCCACGATCAACTTGGGCCTCCTCGACCTCCTGCAGGAGGGTCTGGAACCAGCCGAAGGACGGCGCATCACGGCAGACCCAAAAGAACTCGACCCGCTTCAAAGATTGAAGATTGCCCTTCTTCTGACGGTACCATATATGCTTCAAGATAGACGCAAACGGTGTAACACCTGTGAAGAGATCTTAGCATGTCTGAGAGAAATGGCAGCACAATAGAGTCTTACCAATACCGGCACCGACCAGAACAGCTACTTCGACGTTGAACACGTCTTCGGCCGGGGCGCCGTACGGTCCGTCGATCCGCACTGTTGGCAGAGGACGAGCACCTGAATCAAGTTCCACGAAGTCGCCACGCGTCCCATAGACGGAATCATCCTTCTCAGAGCCTATCATGGCAGCCTTCGTCATAGCAGCGACAACAGACGGCCCCGCACCCACGCGGTCACCAAGTGCCTGCGTGAAGTCACCGACCTGCCTGATATGAACGGAGACGTAAGGATCCTCGGGGGCCGAAGTGATCGTGAACTATAAAAACATCATGACAAGCAGACAGTCAGCTAGCAGCGTGGCATCAAGGACATAATTCGACCGTACCGGATGCCATTGAAACTTGGAGACCTCTGGGACCTGAATGAAGAGCCACTGTCCCGCGACATACTTGAAGCTCGGCTTGACAATTCTGAGTTCCATCGCCCCTGATATGATGTGAGATAGAGACACCATCACGCCGAAGAGTAAACAATAATCGCTTACCACTAGGATGAACGAGGACCTTAGACAGTCTGGTAGCACGCCTCGCCCTGACCTCCCTCCAAACGCGCTCTCCGAAATAAATGATTCCCGGCCAAATAGTGAAACGCCAACTCTCATAACCGAGGCAGAACTCTGCGTTATAGAAGGGAAACGTATCGATGTACGCTGCATTTGTGCTATCCCGGACGAAGCAACCATCGGCATGGGTCCAGAGAGCGATGAAGAAGAAGAAGGCCAGGTGATGCGTGTACCAGAATGCTTCGAAACACTGCTGGCGGACCTTGTGATGAGCGGTGGTGTACATGAGAACCATGCAGAGCAGCATGAAGTGCCCCGTGATACCACCGGCCTGCGTGTAATGGATTTGTAAAGCATACTCCTGGCGGACCTCTACAGACCGCTTTAGCCTACGCAAGAGGCAATCAACCAAGTGTCACATACGGGTTCGCTCGACATTGATGAAGTTCACATAATGAGCGGTGGTGTGAACCATGGACCAGAAAGCGAGACAGTATGCTGCTTGGCGATGGAACCAAATGTTTTCATCGGCAGGGAAGAGGAAGGCGACTTTAGGACGGATGACTCGGATGCAGTTACGCAGCATGGGAAGAAGCAGACAGGCGGCGAGGAAGGCCAAGACGAGACCAGCACCGCGAGATACCCAGACAGACCATTGCAGGGCATTGAGAGCAGCTAGTTTGTTATTCGTTGCCTGCAGCGAGGTTAAGAGTTCACTCGCACAGATAAGGTAGTAAATCGGCATACCTGCGCCCACCATCCATATGAGAAGAAGGAGACCTGGAGGCCAAAGAACAGGACGTTGAATATGAGCCTTCGGGGAGCGAGGAACTCGCGACGGAACCAGCTTTCGCCCATTGTCGTCCGCAATTAATGAGACAGATCAACTGCAGAGGTATCCTGTACCGAAAGAACTAGGGACGGGCCGGCCAAAAAAGGAGAACGACAAAGGAGAGGAATGCGTTAAGAGAGCGGAACGGGGAGCAGTCGTCGTGGGGAGGAAAAGAGGAGATATATATGTGGCGCTTTGTGGTATCATGGCCGCTACCCGGTTGTGACCATGGCAATTGTTCGACGACCTTTGATTGTATCGGGCATGGTCCGTCATCCACCTTCTATGGTGGATTCTCTTCAATTACAGGCTGACGACGGTAACACGGTTTGCGGGGGTTCTCAGGTACCCGTTTCCATGGCCCGGCGGAGCCACGGTCCCTATGCGGTCCCAAGGCTTAACTTAGCACGAGCTGATCATCTGTGCGATTCGTTGTGCATCGTCGCCGCAATGTGTACAAGCGTTCTATTAACAGACTCTGAGCTGTAGTTGCGAGTGAATATACACGCAGGCTTCCCAATCGATACAAGAGGCTTCCGACATTAATGCTATGTAGTCGCCGAATATGCTAGCACCGGTTCGCACCGCAACGCCGCCACGCATCATCGATTTCTCGATGCTTGCACCACATCATGTCAATGCTGCTTTACAGAGAGTCCATAGATAGCCAACACGAAAATAGCAAGAACAACCACCAACTTACGTCAACGTCCTTCATGATCATTGATGCGCCTCCAGCGCCTCACCCCTCGTACCTGTAAGCTACCATCGCTTCGATCCGATGGACATCTGTGCTGAAGCTTCGAAGCTTCACTTGCTGACTCTTGCTAGCCTCGATGGCGAGAGGGTCTGTATCCACCCATTCGTCAGCTGGGATATCAGCGGAGTCCGACGTGTAAGCGAGAATGTTGAACACGGTCGGCTCGTCGATGACAGGTAGAAACGTGACCGTTGATACGATCTGCTTGAGGATATTCCGTATCTCTGCCTGTATCTCCGCTTCGGGTTTGGCAGGTGCCCTGTGGGGTCTGTCAGTTCGTAACTTATGTTTTGAAATAGCATAGACATACGGCTCTGATGAATCAGCTGGTTGCTCGACAAGGTTGATGTCAAACACCCAGCGTTCTAGAGTTGTTCTCGAGTCTTTCGAGATGATGGCTAACACGAGCTGCGTGACAGAGCCGGTAAGGAGCCACTCTGCGTGCGATCGTCTCAGTAACCAACTGTGGGCATGGAGAAAAGAGAAGACGGACTGTTAACCTGCTTGAGAATCCTGTAAAGCACGAGTTGTCAACCTATGCTGCAACGCGAAGCATTGCATAGATACGCACTTATCAAGGTAATTCTCTAGGGCGAGGTCTTGTGTGACGAGGACCGTTTGCCCATACTTCTTGACCATGTGAAAGTCATCGGCAGGATACACACCACGCTGGAACAAGATGCTATTCCAGAATCAGTCGGGGCTGCTACTGCATGTCCGAGTGGCAACCTACGTGTTGGCAGCAAACTTGAAGAATTCGGTGACGAGGTTCGTAGACCCCTTGAGTGTGATGGCCTGGCGCGTGGGTGCTTGCTTGGTAGGTGCCATCTTCTCCGCAACAATTTGAGGAGCTCAAGGATGAAGAAAGTCTGAGAGACACGCCACAAACTCAAGTATGAACTCGACTTGCGCGCGTTCGCGTCACGGTCACGTGGTGAATGTGATCAGAAAGCGAGTGGCATCCCGGCATCCGTGTGGTATTGCCGCAGAGTATTATCTGTGCTCAACTGTATCCGTTATACTGAATGCAGTACATAACGGCTAACGTCAAGCCACCGTAGTGACTGCGATGAGAATTGAAACATGCAGAATCGAGGTTTCCTAGCAGGAGTACGCATACTAAAAACATATCAATTGCTCGTCCGCGCACATGCGACATTATCATCATAAAGCATATGGGGCTACTACTATGAAACGTCACCGTACCCTGAGGCTGAGCGTTATCTTGGTATTCCGGGAATAATCTCCTTCATCCTCTGTCATGTTTCTGACCCAAGCTCCATGTCAGATCCGGAGTCCACCGTCATACTTAACATATGCTCTAACATAATTTCTTCTTCTGACGAGCGATCCTCCTGGTCATCTACGATAGCATTCGACCGTTGATAAAATTGAGGACGATCTGGGTTCGGCAGAGGCGATCGAGAAGCGTGTGGAGGGACGGGGTGGTCGTGGCCTGTGGTACGATGTGAAATAGCTTTGCCAGCAGGAGAGTCCTCCTCGTCACTGGAATCGGAGACGACGGTGAGATCAATAATAATAGGCTTCCGTGAGCTCTTGGGTATTGGTGCGGAGGTCCTGGCGTTCGGCGTTCGCGGCCGAGAAGATGGGCTACCTAGCCTCCTGTCCGAGCCCCCGACAGACGAGACCACCTTGGACGTCATCATTCGATGAGCAGCTGACAACATAATAACTCGTTTCAAATGTGCAGGTTAAGTCTTGTAACAAGCGCACCCTTGACGGAACGTAGCGGAGATTCCGCGGCTCGGTATCTGGATCTAAGTGGCACTATCTTGCGTACCGCATGGCTGACCAATACTCTCGGTTTCTTGTGAGGCCTGTATACGAGATATTCTGGATCCTTGTCATATCTATGGCGCTTCTTCCCTGAACGATGCCTGTCGTCGCTGAGGAGAGTGCATTGAAAACTGAGCAGAACTCATACCATTCGATATATGTCTTCTGAGCCACGCTAATCAATGGTCGGTATATCTCTTTAACCCACTCGCAGAGAGCTTCGAAGCCCCTCTCCAGATAGTAAGCCCCAATAACCGTCTCGAACAGATCCGCCGTCGCCTTGATTTCGGGCTTCGTCTTCAAGATGGGAGCCGCAGCTGCTTCACCAAAGTTCCTGATAGTCAAGGCGCGTAATACAGAGCTGCTAACAGCTAAGATGTCAAGCTTCTCCGCAAGGTGCGAGAATGTGGCGTTAGAATGAAGCGCGGCGCGGACGTTCTAGGTGACGAGGAAGTCTGAGAAGTTCTCGTATGGCTAGGTGAGATGTATAACGTACTGTGTACAGATTGGGTGTCCCGTCAGGGATCTGCGCATACAACATGCGACCGATAGTCGCGTACATCAATGCATCTCCGAGAAATTCGAGGCGTTCGTTCTCATCGTGTGACCGGTCGTAAGGCGCAAGCAATTTGGCCCATGCAGCATCGGATAGAGGTGGCAGAGCCGCACTAAATTGAGGCTGAGAGATGGCAGTGATTATGGACTTCTGGATGGCGGGGTACAGAGGGGCCATGGCTAGAACTGGCGTACAGTGAGGCTATGGGAGTTTAAGACCCAATAGAAGGCAAAGGCGGCGAATAGGCTGGATAAACAGAGCGTTCTACAGAGGTTGACATGGACAGCCACGACTGTTACAAAGTCGAAACGAAGGACAAAGGAGAATAGGGACGCCACAGTGCCAGCCGCCTCGCATGCATCCCAACCCACATGACGCGCACCGACGCGTAGGCACGTGGCCATGGTAGACGCGTTGTGTTTTGCGTCTGATCGGCCAGGCCTCTTCAATTGTCTTGTGTTTCAAGACTTCAGCGCAGGTCCGCCCTGCCGCAGGCTTTCCCTCTCGCTATCAACCCCCACAGCTATCTAGGCAATGTACTCCTCTGCTCACGGCAAGAGCAGACCGCTCCAGTCAACTTCAAAGTCTGTGGCTACGTTGGACTTGCCTGCATTGAAGAATGCCTGTCATGTCCTGGAGGAACAGCTCAATAAGGACGCGCAAATCACTCCGGACTTGAACGAACTGCTTACAATACGTACGTGTACCCTTCCCCATTCTTCAGACGCGTACTAAAGGATAGTTACAGCGGGCATTCCGGCGTCTGCGGCATACACCGTCTTTCCGGATGACTACCGCGTCCCCTTCCAGAAGCGTAGACTCGTCGGAATACCAGAGGGACTCTTCCAATATTATACAAGTGCGGTCCTTGCTATTTGAACGCGTTCACGCTCTGACGAACAGCAGCAACGAGTGTCACATCCCACATGGGTTTGATGCCAGAAATTGAGCGAGTATGGATCAGCATCGACCACAACTTGTTTTTATGGGACTACATAGAGGGGTACGTTGCTGTCACGCTCTGCCCGCCCGCTTCCTAAATGCATCCTACAGCCAAGAGTTGAGCTCATTCGTGGATCAGCCGGACGTCATCACTGATGTTGCCCTCGTGAAACCCAAGCCAGGCGTATTCATCGACGACATTACGTCGCTGCTTGTCATATGTACGCCTGTGTCTGTGGTACTGCTTGGCGTCTCCACGAGTTCTGTCATGGGCCCCAACAACCGCACACACAAGGACATCAAGCTGTACGCCACCGACATGTCCATTGCCGTTGATGTCGAGATGACGTCTGTCATTGGGACGCAGGAGGGGCGTATCTTCATGTGTGGTGTGCAGGATGGATGCTTGTATGAGCTGCATTATCAGGAGAAAGAGGGATGGTTTGGGAAGAGAGTCCAGATCATCAATCACTCCGTAGGAGGCGTGCAGAGTCTATTACCCCGCTTATCAGCCCCAAAGTCAGAAGGTAAAAACCTTTTTGTGACACTCACATATGCTGACATTTGTGCAGACCGGATCGTCATGGCTCTTTCTGACCTCTCCAGAGGGTGCTTCTACACGCTCTCTGTGAAGAACACGATAACAATATACAGGACTAATGGCGAAAAGAGCGTGCAGGAAGTCCAGCACCTATCGAAGCTCTATAAGGCCGCTCAGGATAAAGCTCCTGGATCTCCTGCGTTGACGCCACAAAACTTTCAGCTGATTTCTCTTCACGTCATCGATCCATCTGAGTCTCGGGCAGGCGTCCAGCTCATGGCCATGACTGCTAATGGTATACGCCTGTACTTCGCACCCTCGGCCTTCAGCCTTGCCGTTGGGGCTGCCTCTGGTTCACAAACCCCTCTGCGTCACCTACAAGTCATTCATGTCCGACTGCCGCCTCCCAACTTGTTACACCCTGATGAGCAGACCAGCCCCCACCGGCCTGCCATGTCAGGTTACGGCATTGCTCAGGCGCCTCAACAGCAGACTTCACGGCCATACGTGCTCTCAGCCCTCGAGAATGTTTGTTACGCTGCAGGCCTCACGATTGCTGCCCAGCCTGGCGACGTCGACGGCCAAGACTATGTCCTCTGTATGTCACCCGACTTGACGAGATTCGGAAATCTTGGGCAGCTTCACGGATCAACGCCACAACAGCAGAGTCCCCAGTATACGAATGCCTCATATGGAACTGTGCCCGGCCCTAGTCGACCGCCTCTAACGGAGTACGCAACATTGCTTTCCATTCCTGGCCGCACTTGGGATATGGCGCCTGTTCCTCACTCTGGATGTCCCACAGCATCGATCCCGTCCAGCAGTCCTTCCCCTTTGGTTACTAATGAGCTGGCTTACCAATTCTCGGAACATACACGACAATTTATGATCTTGACGAACGTCGGAGTGACTTTCTTGGCTAAAAGGCGGGCACTAGACTATCTAAAGGATGTTATTGAAGAGTATCAGGTCGAGGGAAATGCGCAACCCCTCATTGAGTTTCGAGACAGGTATGCCATGGTCGAAGCTGTGTCATAGTGATGGGAATGACGTTTAGTAGCTTTGGCCGTGACCAGACGTGTGCAATGCTGCTAGCAATCGCCAGTGGGAACACCTTCCTGGAGATGGGAGAGAGGACATCGTTGGGCGGCATTAGTACGGTGAGCCCGGAGATTGCGATGGTGGCGAAGCAAGCGTTCTACGACTTTGGCGAACGCCCGATGTGGTCCGAACGGGTGACTTATGGCACAAGTACGTCGCCTATGCCAGTTACTGAGGTGGCTTCCAACATTCTTGTAGGCGAGGGTTCCGGAACAGCAATTTTCAGCGGTCGGCGAGAAGGCCTTGCTCTGTACTTCGCACGATTGGTAAGGCCATTCTGGAACGCCAAACTGACGAAGCCTAGGTGAGCGAATATTCATTTCCCAATGAGAGTTCGCTACTCACATTGTGTTCGGAAGCCCTACTGGATCGCACGAATTGAACATATCAGACGACGCACTTGTCGTCATCCAAAAGAATATGTATGCACTGAAGGAGATGCTGGACACAAATCCTCATTTGTTCCATTCCGCTCCTCATGACCATACCGGTGCCCGCCCTGCTATAGCGAGCGAGCAGGAGGCGTGGAAGGTGGGTAGATTCCTACCACACCTTCCCCTGTAACATTGGTTGACTGGCCGTTATAGGTCGAGCAAAATTCAGTCGCTCAGCTTCTCGACCTCTTGGCGAGAACCATCGAGGCGATTTCATTTGTCCTTCTCCTTAGCGACCATAGGATGGGGGAGCTGATAAGACAGTAAGTGCCGCTGCCAGTAGACAACCGTTCCCTCCATGCTGACGGCCGTAGATGTGACTCCGAAGTCCAGAAGCTGGTTACCAGTATGACTTTTGAAGAACTAGTAGTCGATGAGAAAGGCGTCTCCTCTGCCCGAGCCCTGGTCAATGTTGTCATTAACCAGCAAATAGGACAACAGATCAGCGTGAGTGACTTCTATCACAAGCCACCAAGTCACTTATATTCGTAACGATCGCGCCCACAGGTGGATACCATCAGTGAAGTGTTGCAGCAACGATGTGGCTCATTCTGCAGCACGGACGATGTGATGCTGTACAAGGTCAAGTCGAGCCAACCAATCTCTCCTTCGTATACTGAGTCTGTTATAACCAGGCGAGGGAAAACGTTCGCAAAGCTGTTGAAACAAGGAATCCTATCGAGCGGCAAACATTCCTGGGGGATTCCCTACGGTCGGTCTCTCTAAGGGTGATTCTGGCAGTTCACCTCATCTCAAACTGGTTGCAGGTTGTTCATGAAGGGAGCACGCAACTTGGAGTTTGAAAAGCTACGAGAGATTATTGGAGATTATCAGCAGCTCGACTACGTGCAAGGTATGACCCACTCGATATCTTATCTGTCATTGCATACGACGTGACTGTCATTGCACTTTTTGTCTAGGAGCGATACAACTGGCATTGCACTGTGCACAAATATATGACAGTGATGGGCAAGGACAAGACTACTGGTTGGCGGGATGCCCTGCGAACGATCCTCGCGCTCAGTTCTGGGAACGGCGTTCACACTGTTATGACTTGGCACTAGATTCACTGTCTGTATTTGAAGAGCGGAGCCCCAACACGAGGCAACCTCTAGGAAGTGGGGACGACTCCGACCGCGTTCGTAGTCACGCGTATGAACTTGCCTTTGAGTGCGATGATGAAATGTTCCATTCAACGCTGTATGATTGGCTCATACAGAGGGGTATGGCGGACGAGCTGCTTGCAGTGCGTGTTGGATTCTATTTTCCTCTTATCTCGCGCTGACTTCTCGGAAGATGAGACCCGCGTATCTCGAAGCGCATCTCAGGCGCGAACCTGCTACCGTCGAGAAGTTCCAGTTGCTGTGGCAATTCTACGTTATTAACGGCGAACCGCTTCGCGCAGCAGAGGTCCTGGGTGCATTGGCAGAATCAACAGAGTAAGCCCGAAAGACAAGCAATGATATCGGACCGATTGGATACTCAACTCTTCCTAATAGGTTCGACCTTCCTCTTGATGCTCGTCTGGAATACCTGACCTTGGCGGTGGGTAACGCCAAGTCACATCCCGTGTCCGTCGGCGGCAGATACGAGACCGCGATCGCATTCCTGACAGATCTGGAGGAGAAACTCGAAGTTGCACAGGTTCAGCTGGAGATCTACCATTCTCTTCTGCCCCGGATCAAAGAATCAGAGGAGGTCGGGAAGAAGATTAAGCTGCTCTCAAAATGCCTGATGACAATCACAGAGGTGCGAGCTCGGTCCCCTTGCCTGTCATTTGATGTGTTATTAATCGTTGCATCGCATAGCTCTTCCAAGAATATGCGGAGCCGTTCGACCTGCTATCAATTCAACTACTGATCTTGCACGTATCAGAACACCGAGACGAGAACATCGTCCGTCCAATATGGAACCGGATATTCGAGATAGGTCAGTTGGGAATTTCATCCACCATGAATAACAGCGTTGACTTCGCACAGCTATTGACAGCGCGGAGACTGCGGTGGCCGCGGATCGTATCGTCTCTCGTGTCACGGCAATAGGACAGCGGTTCTACCCATCAGATTGTGCATTCCCACTGAGTAAGTGCTTCCCGCAACTGTACTGTATCAGACCGAGTTCATCAGAGCTGTCTCTAGGACATGTTGCATCATTGCTGGTGCGGTTTAGTCTCGCCCACAAGGGTGAGCTTCCCTACGGGTGGGCTCCGCGGATATTGGTGCAATGCGGTGTACCATATCCTGATGTTTGGGACATCCTGTACGAGATGTACGAATCGCAGGTGAGTGTTGTGGTCGGCCTCCACCTACCCTCGGGTTACTAAGGCACGCCCGACAGGTACCTCCATTCAACGAGCAGGCAAACGTGCAGTCGCTGTCCTCAGACATCGCAGTGCTTCTGGCAGACTGGGTGGAGAACGTGCAGCGTCCACAATCCGCAGTTTCACGGAGCGAGTTCCCCGTATATCGGGTCGAGCAGGCAGTCGACCAGTACCTCTCGGAATTGGAGACCAGTCGAGCTGAGACCAGGGCCACATACGAAAACATTAAGCGCCAATTGCGAAGGAATTGGTGATTCCAGTTTTGTGAAGAACCGGAGATAGTCGTAGTGTATTATGCTTTCGATTCTGGATGTGCAATTGTGATGAGTATGATATGTAGCTCCAGGGAAGCAGATTTAGTACAAGAATTTCCAGAAAACAGCAAGAACGACAGCAACATAAATATAATACAGGACTTTGATGTTCATAGGTTAAGCGACTTCGAGGATTGCGTCCTCTGCGCGTAGTAGAAGACGCTGCGTGAGTCTCTCGGTCAGTCGGTACACTTTGTACAGTGCTCTGGACAGAAATCAGCGGCGGAAGCTCCGAGCTCTTGACCGGAGAACACTCACCTAGCAGCACCAATCAATACCACAGTGACAATTATCAGAGCCATAATATCCCTCGAGTCTCGCCCGCGATTGATTGTCCTGAGTCTGACCCAATGGAATGGCAAAGGTATAGACAGGAGCATGTGAGCAATCGAGCCTGCCCCGACGACAGGTAAGCCGAGGAGGAAACGGCGCACAAGCCGTTTCAGAAGGCCTGGAGGCTTTCCAGGAGCGCGTATATGAGAAGAGGGCGGCCCCTTCGAGAGGATGGTATCGTCGAGCAGCTTATCATCAACGAAAGTGTTAACGGTTGCCCGCACTAGTCCCTGAATGACATCGACTGGCGAGTAGACCCCATACAAGTATGTTGTTGTCTCCCTCTCATCGTCTGGCAACAGTGAAGTTGTGATGAAAGAGCAGCACAGGACGAGGATAGTGAATAGGAGAGACGAAACTGCAGCGACTACGACTAAAATGCCCAGGTGATGAGTGATATGCACGGCATACATCCCCCTGATACTTACCTGGATTGGTCGCAATCCCCACAACGCGGGTGCGAGCGAAATGGTACTTGTAACCACACTGGGTGCATGAGTAGAATGTACTACGGTTCGCTGACGAGTTGCGCCACCGATGCAGGCACTTAACGTGAACATGCTGGTGAGTGTGCGTGTGGGTAGTCAGCTACACAAAGAAGCACGGCACACTTGCGACACGTACACTGATGGATCCCTTGCAGAGACAAGGCCGAATGAGTCGTCCCAGCTCGGGGTCCTCACCGTCGAAGCATATACGACACTGGTTGCCCTCCTGCGGCGAGTCGGCCATCGCGCGTGAGACGGATGTCCACTCAGGCGGCTTTGAAGGAGATTAGAGTCAGTACGGTAGCGGGGTCAAGACAGACATATATGCCTGAGATGGAATCACTCGGGCAGTGGACAAGCAGCGGCAGGAAGCATTGCCGGGCGGTCACGATCACGTGTTCACATCATCGCGCCCTGGCATGCCCCACGGGTGATGCATCAAAAAACTCCGCCTTCCCCACTGCCTTGCGCTTGCCACAAGTCGCGCGGCACGAAATTCGGGGGAACGCAGCTGCAGACTCCGTTGGGCACTCCCGTGGCAACTTAAGATCGAGCTCAGGTAAGACCCTTAGTCTGTTGCCATCCCAGACGACTCGGAGATTGAGGTGAAAGTCGCATACAGGCTCTGCAACTACTCAGCGCTCCAAGTTGACCAAGAAACTGAAGCCATCTCATCTCGAGCTGCTTCTTCATTGTTATGGCTTCGCAACAGCCCATACCGAGCACACCGGGATCAGGCCCTAATCCCCACCCTCTGTCCGCTCTGGTCGCAGCACTCGCTACGCCATCTCAGCAACAGCCCCTTGCAGCATTTTTACCTCAGATACAAACCAACCCCATGCTAGGGCTTCTATTGCAATCTCAGGCTTTGGGTCAGACTTCTGCGCTCCAGCAACTTTTGAATCCGCTCGGTGTGATGTCCGGAGCAATGCATGTCAATTCGGAGTCTCTCCTTCAGCAGTTGGTCATGCTTCTTGCTCAGACTCCGGCAGTTCCGACTGCAGGAGCGCAAACACAAGGATTGCAGGCTGCTACAAGTACACAGGCCCAAGGGACCCCGACTCAGAGAGAGCAGACCCCAGGTGATACTGCGAAACTCGACACACTCGCGGGTAAATCACAGGGTGATGAGCAGATTTGCATAGATGCTCTCATATCGCGTAGAGCCAAAGGCCTGAGTGCTCGCCAAGTTCTAGAAGCTCTGCACGGGGTGTGTAGTCCAGATTTAAGCAGGGAGGACATGATTAACCTACTGAGTTTGCTAGGTCAACAACCACACCGCTGGCTCTTGGAAGGACTACTATCTCGAGAACCAAGATCATATTGATGCTCGGATTGCAGACCAGAAGTCGAGAGAGCAGACAATCGCGAGTTCCAAAACGCCTGTCCCTCCAGCGGCACCACAAGCGAGGGATGCCGGTTCGACATCACAATCGCGCATGACAGCTTCGCGGGCGAACGTGGAGCCCGTAGAGCAGCGCTTACCGACATCAGTGCGTCAACAAACCGCTATGGTAATCAAGTCAACCAAGTCCCGCGAGAAGCAATCCGAGGCGCAGACATCTCGTTCGCGCAAACCGAACTCAAGTAAAATTACTCGCTCTCACGTGTCGGATAAATTGCTTAATATCCCCCCGCCGCCGTCACGTTCACCGACCCCGCCACCATGTCCGAATATGAATGTGCGAGGCAAGGGGGTCTCCGATGTCGAGACAGATTATTTGGTCAGATCAATACAATGGCAGCTGCAACAGAATCCATCAGCCTCGCTCCATTCCATGGCTCGGCGATTAGCAGACAAGGTAGCATTGCTCTCGTAGTCGATAGGGAATGTGCTGACACCTCGTTATCGTAGCTGCCAACCCGCTCGTGCAACGGCTGGATATGGGTTATCGGCAAGACGTATCGCAAGACTGTCGACCAGCTGATAATTCAAGCTGGGGGTCAAGAAGAAGAATCCGAGCCTGAGAGCGAGGACGACCAGGACGACCAGGACGGCGCGGACGACGAAGACGACGGATGGGATGACCAGGAATTGGAATATCCTCCGAGCGACGATGGCGAGAATGAGCACCCCGATTCCAAACCTGCAGAACTCGGCGCTGAAGATGTAAATGTGGTCAGCCCAGCTAACAAGCAAGCACAGATTCGAGCGGAGCGCATAGCTATCGACATACATTTCGTGGCGAAATTCCTTGCTGATTCGGGTCTTTGGGAGAGTGATTGTCCGAGAATGGTGGTATGGAGAGAGTTGGAGGCGAAGGTAAAGAAAAAGCCTGCACAGGACCAGCTAGATTCAAGAAACTGATCAGAGGCTTGCAGAACCACGACCGCTCCGCCAAATCATGGGCCGAGTTCTACCGCAGACATCGCTTAGGCAAGTAGGGTGACGGACTTACTTTCATATGCCGCGTTTTCACACGCTGTTTCCTCTAGACGTCGACTATCGGATTCTCGAATACAAACAAGCATCCGTGCCCCAACACGAGGACGAGGGAGCAGATGACTCAGAAACAGATGCTGCCTCTGTCAGCATGCATAAACGGAAGCGGCTTGAAGAATCTTCGCGCAAGCCATCAGAGTCCCACTCAATACCGCTTGCCAAAAAACCAAAATTAGGGGAGAATGAAATGTGATCGTTGTGATATTCTCGCTTGCTGTCCGACTACGCTATCTCTGCTTTTTTGATCTCTCCGCGTCTCCATCAGGTACTGCTTACCATCTGTCTCTTTATCAGCTACGTAGTAACATTGTAGTATGTCCGTATCATCTTGTGCCGACGTCCGCCGGCGTATATCGCACTTAGTATCGTAGCTCGAAATACTGCACCGTGTATATTATGTTCCGTCCGTGTATCCAAGTAGTTCCAGAGTATCTAGTCAGATGATTATATTGGAACCCAAATGCCCTTGGATGCAGTCTCCGCGTGACGCGGCGAGACAAGTTCTTGATGCAAGCCCCGATCATCCAGGAGGTTGAGTGAGATCTAATCTGAGGATGATGGCGGCCCGATGCTAGCATGCCTCTTGTGCGCTTGCAGTGTACTCCAGGCTCAAGTTGGGATATGGTTGTTTGCACAGCCTAAGGTTCTCCGCACGCCTTCAATTCGTGGCGGCATGTCGTCTGAGCCATCACAAAGTGGACATGTCCGAATAGTGGGCTCATTAGCCGGCATTGGCAGTGGTGAGCTTCCTGGCACAGTCGCTCGGTTGCGAGAATGTAACGCCAGAGCTTCTTTGCAATGCTAGGCCTCACGAAGGTTCGTAGTGGCAGCAGATGTATCGGTACGATGCTGACGTGGCGTGACACTCATCTGCATAGGTTGCCGTTGGCCACGGGTGAGTGAGCAGCCACGGTCTGACATAGGTGGGTGACACCGAGCTATAGAATGTCAAGTCCAGCATGTTGAAAAACGCAATCGTCAGGATAGCATACGTGACCTCATTCAATACGTAGCTTTGACACTATCAAAACACGTCTTCAATGCTCCCCTCCAGGCACGTATCGCAATGCAGTTGACTGCTTCTTGCAGATCATCCGCAAGGAGGTAGACGTTATTACAGCTATATTATAATGCGAATAGGCTGAATTGACGTCTCCACTTTGTGCAGTCCGCATTCGCATTGTACAAGGGAGCGACCCCGCCAGCGGTAGGCTGGGCAGCTATTGATTCCGTTCTACTGGGCTCCCTACACAACTACCGTCTCTTTCTTATCCGCCACAACATGACCGAGCCTGTTTTAGGCAGCGACCAGAGACGGCTTACACTCCTGGGGCATGGTGTTGCTGGTCTGTTTGCTGGGCTCACGAGGTATTCCCATAGTATTTCTGCCACTCGCATTCGCGTTGAAAACATCGCAAAACAGCGCTTTCCTTGCCACCCCAATGGAGATGCTGAAAGGTATGCATTATCTCAGAGTAGAAGTAGTTTTGCCTGAACTCATACGCTTTCTCCGTGCCCAGTCAAGCTGCAAATGCAACATCAAAAGGCCGTTGCAGATCGGCAATATAAGGGACCCATAGACTGCGCGCGACAAGTTGTGCGAAGTCAAGGCGTACTAGGCCTATGGACAGGGTTCACCGGCAGTCTAGCGTTCCGAAGCAATTTCTTATGGATGTTCATGTCATTTGAGGTGATCTACCAGTATTACACTTCGGGCTGACGCATTGTAACGCCGCCTGTCACAGATGCTCATGCGCGGCTTCGCATCGTACAAGGGAACACCGTACGAGGTGAATGGCCTGTATCTCCCTCGATGTTGTGTTCTGACCCTGCAGTGACTCAGATTAGCGTGCCTTTTGCTAATTTCCTGTCAGGGGGCCTAGCCTCATTTGCATTTTGGACGATGGCTATGCCCGCTGATAATATCAAAAAGTAAGCGATCACCCGTTGTTCCATGGTGCTACATCTCATTACGTCGGCAGCCGCATGATGGCCACCCCGCCTACTCAACTTCGACCGTCGTTCATCGGTGTTGTGCGCAGAATATACGTTGAGGCAGGGCCACGCGGCTTCTACCGCGGCCTCGGGCCTTCTTTCGCGCGTGCGTTCCCAACGAACGCATGCGCCCTGTGGGTGTACGAGGGTCTCATGCGACTTCTGGGCGCAGAAAAGGTCGGTGACATACCACATGCTGATGTCAATCCAGATGCCTGACCATCTCGCCAGACTCGACATTGAAATTGACAATGACTAGAGAATCGAACCTAGATGCCGGCGACTGTATAAACCCATAGACTTGCTGGTCTCCCTGGATTTTGGTGTGTTTCATTGAGACGACGCCGAGCCAAGCCCGTATCCCGAGATGACCGTCCCCATTCTGATATTCCATCCCATCCGTTTTGGCTCAGTACAGACATATGTGTCATGATATAGTTTGTGCACTTTCTCTCCGATCTGCCCAGAGTTTGTACGCTACACCAAGAAGCGGAATCACGGAAAGAGCTACAACCCACGGCCATCTGGGAATGTATCGTAAAAACCTATGCTGATGCTGGTGTCGGCCTTTTGCTCTAGCAGTTTGCCGCTTCGCATTCTCCTGCTCGTCATCTGCCAGATGAATGGTATTTGCGAAGAGGCTCTCCAGGCCTGTCGGCTCCTCAGGCGCGAAGAAGCGTTGCGGGCGGAGTAAATCGCCATCCTCATCCTGTCCAAAGTGCGATCGGCCGTTCAGTGCATGTGGTCGGTCACGAGACGGTAGGGGCCGGATTGGCGACCAGTCCATGGCGTCCGGGTCCCGAGGACCCGTGGGAGACTCATCATCGTCTTCGATGTCCATCGCATTGCTTAGGTCTGCTTCGTGAGGTTGTGTCAGACTGGTAACGAGCGACGGCTTTCCGAAAACAGGTTTAGACAGGGAGATGTTGGCTGGTGGTGCCAAGATAGGCTTGGAGGACAGTGTAAGAGGTGCGAGAAGATCAGAGTCTACAACGGGTGTAGAGCTGCGAGTGGAGGGCGGGGAAATGGGAGATGTGACTCGTGATCTCTCCGCTGAGGAGTCTGTCGCAAGGCGAACTGGGGGTGGCCGTTCAAGGCGAAGAACAGCACAGGAAGATAGTAAGACCTGACACAGAGAGGTTCATATTGAGCACGCAATTATCGTCGTAACACTTACTAGGACTTCAACTAATAAGCATGCGGAAGAGAACATCCGCGTCCGGCGTGATTCAATGTCGTTCCACAGCTGCAGCTTATCCCATGGCTCTCCGAACGAAGACACGCCCAGCGTGAACGATGTAATGAGTCTTGTCAGCCAAGCCAGAGATTGTAGAATCTGTTGCATAGCGATATTCAATCCATCTCCCAAGTAGTTTATGATGCGGACCCTTACATTGTATTTTTTCTTCCCGCGTTGATGCACCATACGGCCCTGAAACTGTGCTCGTTTGAGAGATGCATATGTTGGATCCCATGCCGTCCATATCAACGAAATCAACGCTATGACAGGCAGAGCAAGTTTGAGGCTGTGGGGTATGCGACGCGGGAACTTCGCACAAGCGACTGGGACATACAAGTCAACAGTAGCACATGTAAACGGAGGTTATGATGTACTTGCGGCATGTCCGACCAAGGCGAAGAGGAGGCATCCAGCCCAGAGAGCTCCTCTCACTTTCCACATTGCAATCTCCCGTGCAAGCCGATCCTTGTCACGCTGTGTGCGCTCAACTTTGCGCTTGACTGGTTTGCTTGCACGGAGGAAGCCATTCAGCGCACTGGTGCGAGCCATGTGGTCCCGTCTCTGAATCTCTTCTTCGATCGTAGGTGCACAGTTGGCGCATACTGGAGGATACCGGGCTTCTATAGAGCGCCGGTACTCGGGAAGCGTTTGCGCACGCTGTTCATATTCAGGATCCTTCGCGAGCAACAGATGTCCGAGGGCGTGAGCAGATGGAGAACCAGGTGAGAGCAGGAGTTGTTATGTCCGATGATACCCGAGAATACCGCCACAAGGATACATGAGCCACACAGTGGAGACGAACGCGGACAAGGACGCACTTCAGGGGGTGGCAAGTAGCTCGACAAAAGGTTTGCGAGCAGCGTTTGGTTCATTCGGCAGGTATGACAGAAGAGACCACTGCCATACATAGTTGGTAAGCGGTCTTTCCGTGGGGAAGCTGGAGTGAGCAGACATGATTGATCGTACGTTCGCTAGGGCGATTTCGGCGGCATGCGCGCGACATGCTCACCTCTTTTCGCAAAGGACCGTGAGTTCAACTTTTCGTCGTACATTGCTGGTTCGTCCGAGATGATATCCCAGTTAGCATCGTAGCGATTCCAGCAATCGCATTGCGGGCAGCGGAAGGAGTGTGGATTGCGCGGGAGCGGATTTATGGTGGCCTGGCAGTAGAAACAGGAGACTGAACTCTTCTGTCGGAAGATTTTAGACATGTTTGTGCGGCTCACGAGCTAGTCATAAAGCAAGAGAAGACATAGGAGGATGTCAAACATGCGGGTGCGAGCGGCCTCACGGTCACGCCACGAGCGACGCGCCCGCGGTATTGCGGCTTGTTTGGCTCTCGATCGTGTCGCAGCGGGCGCTTGTACGCTAGAGCTTTCGGCGGTCATGTCGACTTCAGCGGGCCCTTCTGCCAGTCGCGGAGACATCACACTCCAGCCGTCTTACTTCACCTCCTCCTTATATGTAGAGCCCTTGCGTGAGGACATCTCAAGTCTCATCACTCTATATGCCCAACAGTACTCGCAGACCAACCCGCCTTTCGCACTCTTCAAGAGGCTGTGGACGGAGTTAGGATGGTCTTGGCTACATTTCAAAGTCTTCGATCCTCGTGCACGAGAAAGCTTCCTTAGGGTGACGCAGCGATTGTTCTTAGGTGCGCATGCTTGATACCTCTCGATGTAGCAATGGTCTAACATATGCAATCCAGAGCGCATGGTCGATTCTGAGCCGCCGCTAGCCAGAGTAGTGGGGTTATTCGCACTCTACACATTCTATTTCACCCAGCCTTCAACCTCAGATCCCTCTTTGCATGCCCTCAAGCACATTGACACAACGATTGGTGCGCTCACTTCCGGTTGTCTGCCGTCGGCTGACTTGACACACATTCAGACTTGTACAAATCTGTTTCGTCTCTTTCCGAGACCTTGGCAGATCCAGCTTTACTTCCGCTACAGCCTTACGCAGAGTTTGTGCTCTCAGCTCTGATCGATGCACAAGCGTTTCACATCCTTCCCCACTCGTTGCTGCGTCCTCATCATCCAAGTGTCCTCCCTCGAGAAATATTTGTTGAGGATGGCCACGAATCTGCCGTGTACGCCGCATTGACGGGTGAGGCGGCAGCTTCGCAGCCAATTCGCCCTCCAAAGAAGAAGGGTCGACCGTCAAAGCGCGACAGGGTCAAGAAAGCCAAGGATGCTCTTATCGCTTTGGAGAAATACGCTGACATTAACACCGTCTCGTTGGTCCCGCAACCCCCTTGGCCGGTACATTCAATGGCTGGGCCAAGCTCGGCTGCTCTTGATCCTACGGATACAACCCATATCTTGGTCGCACATCCTCCCATGACAACTCGGCACAACTACCAAGTGCAAAAGGACCAACTGCTAGACGCGCTGTATTCTCGGTCGGCAGATTCCCTGGGGTTGGACTCTTCTGAAGAGACTGTGGGACGGATAGCGCTGGAACGTGCGAACGAAGCGGTTCTGGCGCGTTTGAAGCTGATCGATGAGATGGCTGCCGAGAAAGGCCTCGAGGTGGGTGGAGAAGGTGGAGAAAAGACCGGCCTTACTAGGGTGGCGAGCGCTGTGCGCCAAGTCTACTCGTCCGGCACCACTGATAGTCAGCGAGGGGGTGTGCTAGGTCTACTCGAAGGCGCGGGCTTGGCTTTGGACATTGAGATGGGCGAGAATGGGCAGTATGCAGACACCGTAGACATGTAAACCGAGGTTCGTAACTACTTATTATATTTTGTCGCTTCCAATTCCCGACGCTCACCTGTGGAGCAGGTATGACGTATTGGTTGATGGTCTCACCGACACGTCCATATGCATCAACGCCAAGGCCGCCGTTCCCCACCCCGTTGATTAGACTTCCAGTGTAGCGTCTCGGTACTATGACAACTATGAAAAGAAGCCGTTGTGCGCAGTCCGTGTCTACCGAGACATCATCCGGGGTGTCCTTTGCAGCGGTCAGCGTGGCATATTCGGTACCGATCATTGGTGCGTTGTGCGGCGTGAACGGTGTTATATTTCAGAGACGAGGGTGCACCCCTTTCCTCCACACTGCTCCCTGCATCCCTTGTACGCTTACTCACAGTGTATATTGACGACGATGGCTTCGCGGGGCCCCCGCTATCAACCACACTATAATATACCGCCGACCACTCCTTCGACTACCAATCTTTTGTCTCCTCCTTCAGGAATCCCACCACGGCAAGGGATTCTTGAATCTGGTCGTCAGGGTCGCGATATCACGGTATGTCCATAGAGCGGAAGGCTGCCTCAACCGTCTCACTCTACTTAGAGCATTTCCACATTCGCTACCGGGAGCGCCGCCTCCGTATCGGACAAGGTTCGTTAATAAATGAGTTTGTATTTTTTTTGTCCTTGCTCAACTGCAAGATGGATCCCTTTCACTGCAGTTCTCCTTGTCTCCGGACCCAGCGACCTGGAATGCCCCGCTTTCTACTGACTTCCCGGAGGACGATGACATTCTGCACAATCCTGACCCGAAGCGAGATTACCGATGGGAGCAGGATCGGGATATTTTTACCTGCAGAGGCCTCGTCAACCTGGGCTTCCTTGCTGTGCTGTTTGTCGGGATTGTCACGCTCTTGTAGGTATAATTGCACATGTTCCGCGACAGCTATTTGATCTCTCATGCTAGTGCGGGCTACCCATTAATCGTACATTTTACCAAGCACAAACAGACGACTCAAGGAGGGTTCAACTTTGGCGGAATCAACGCGACGGGCCAGGTACCCAACTTACCCGGGAGCCGCGGTCTCATCGACGCTCACACCCCGGTGGAAGCTCACACCAAGGCCGACTATGACTCCGGCAACCAATGGCAGCTCATCTTCAGCGACGAATTCGAGGTTGAAGGACGCACTTTCTGGCCAGGGGACGACCCATACTGGGAGGCCGTCGACCTGCACTACTGGCAGACGGGCAACCTCGAGTGGCTCGACCCGACTGCGATCACGACGCGCAACGGCAGCCTGGAGATCACGATGTCCCAGAAGCCAAGGAACGGGCTGAACTACACCAGCGGGATGATGTCGACGTGGAACAAGTTCTGCTTCACGGGCGGTATGATTGAGGTGTCCGTCTCGCTGCCCGGGATGAACAACGTCGCCGGCCTGTGGCCTGCGGTGTGGACAATGGGCAACCTGGGCCGCGCGGGATACGGCGCGAGCCTTGAAGGAATGGTAGTATCGTCCTGCCGCATTGTGTTGACCGGCTGTGATTGCTCACATGCATTTTCGATCAGTGGCCATATTCCTATGATTCCTGTGACGTCGGGACTGCTCCTAATCAGACCAAGAACGGCCTGCCTGTCGCCGCAACGGAGAATGGTGATCCCCAGAACGGCAACGTATTGTCGTATCTGCCCGGCCAACGTCTGTCGCGATGCTCGTGCCCCGGGTCTTCGCATCCGGGCCCCATGCACTCGGACGGGACGTATGTGGGTCGCTCAGCACCTGAGATTGATATCTTTGAAGCACAGGTATGCATATCCTTCCCGTCACTCGGCGTGGATTGACGCTCTTTGGATGATAGATTTCGGGTACACCACCGACCGGCCAGGTGTCGCAGTCTGGACAGTGGGCCGTGAGTGCTGCGACCGTCTGACCTACTGATGTCATGGTTCTGATGTTCGCTCTCCCGCCAGCCCTTCAACGCGGAATATGAGTGGCTGAACAATTCAAATACTCTATTTATCAAGAATGACTCAATCACGACGCTCAACTCGTATCGTGGTGGTGTCTGGCAGCAGGCTACGTCTGCGACTACAGAGACAGGTGCGTGTCACTCTATTGATTCCGTGGACGTTCTAAGCTCGCCACAGACCAGACTGCGTATCAGCTTACTGGCGGGCAATTCTCCGTCTACGGAATTCAATATCAGCCAGGCTTCGATAACGCCGTAAGCATGGGTCCGCTTGTGAACGTATGGAGCGTTAACCCGGCATTTGTGCCCTAGTATATTAGTTGGATAACGGGCGGCGAAGTTGCGTGGACTCTGCAACAAGCTGGTTTGGCAGCAGATAGTCAGGTCGAAATCAGCTCTCGACCGGTACCTCAGGAGCCAATGGTATGCCTCAATAGAGCCTTGCAATAATACCCTAACGCCATGTCTCTTGCAGTACCTCATCATGAACTTGGGTATATCGCCGCAATTCGGCTTTGTCGACTTTGCGAACCTGGTGTTCCCATCGGTCTTGAAACTTGACTACGTGCGCGTCTACCAAGACCCCAACAATCTCAATTGGGGCTGTGATCCGCCGAATTTCCCCACGCAGGCGTACATTAATACGTGGGTTCCTCCATTTTCAACGCGTCTCGGCGTGCATCACTCAAATAGGTGTTTTGGCCGCCCCTTTAGGTACATGAAGGCGTACACAGACCCGAACCTCACCACCTGGCGAAACGACTTCGGGCAGCCATTCCCGAAAAACAGTTTCCTGGAGACGTGCTGAGACTCTGGATCCAGCGGGCTCTGGAGCCCTTACATGACGTGACGGCTGTGTACAAATACTCCCATCACCTTCTATATCTGCACTCAATGCATGCTTTTTTTAGTGCGCAGCATCCTTGACGGTGCCCGAGTCGGCGTGAGCGTGCAGAATGAATGCGTCGGTGCCCTGCGGGCCTTTCGCAATGGCGGTAGTTGGCTTGGCATTGCAAACCGCAAGATCAAAGTCAGGACCAGAAGCAACAGGACGCGGTCGCTATGCCGCGGAGCACGAAAGTGCGCTGCTCCGGAAGATGCCGATCCGCTGTGATTGGCAGGGATGTGCTCTGTTTAAGCGGAGCGTGAATACGTAGGCGGCGCTGAGTCGGATTGAAGCGCCGAGGGCTCCAGTTGCCTTGGTCTATGTACAATACCCTCTCTCGTCGTCGCACACACTGCTAGTATACCCGCTCCTCGTCCTCCTCTCTACCCCTCTCGGCAGCCATGACTTCTCTGGGTCCCAACTCTCAGAGACGTTACATCCAACCTGACTCTCCTTCCACCACCAATCTTTTGTCTCCACAGTCGAGACCCGGCGTGCAGGATGCGCCAGGACCAGCGCGTTCACTCCGCAGCGTGGCGAGTGATGCCTCACTGGTGAGCGCCCTGCCATATGTGCAGAATTAGTTGCTCAATCTCGTGTTCAGGCCGAGTCGTCGCGCTACGCGCCTAGTACGCCTCACTCCATTCCCCCGTCAATATCTGACAAGGTGCGCCAACCGATCTTCGCGTTCTCGACGTGATGTCTGATTGTAGCTGCATGTAGTTCTCGCTCTCCCCGGATCCGTCGTCCTGGGGCGCTGACCTTTCGCCCGGTCATCCTGAGGATGATGACTTTCTGCACAATCCTGATCCCAGGCGGGACCGCAAGAACGATAAAGGCGGGAACATCTTCACGTACCGAGGCATCACGAACCTCGGTTGTTTGTTCATTTTGGCTGTTGGAATCGTGACCCTTTTGTACGTGCACTCTGTTTCATTGACGCTGCACCTCTTAACAGAGCCCTTTGCCATACAGCGCTGGTTATCCCTTGATCAGCTATTTCACGAAACACAAGGCTTCCACCGCGGGTGGGTTTAACCTTGGAGGCATCAACGCCTCCGGCCAAATCCCATCTATGGCTGGGAACTACGCCATGGTCGACAAGCATACTCCCGATTCAGCATTGAAGAAAGCGGATTGGATGTCTGGAAAGGAGTGGACACTTATCTTCAGTGATGAATTCGATGTCGATGGTCGGACGTTCTGGCCTGGCGATGACCCGTACTGGGAGGCGGTGAATCTGCACTACTGGGAAACGAATAACTTGGAGTGGCTCGACCCAACCGCAATCACAACGAGTAACGGTAGTCTGCAGATTACTATGACAGACCAACCGAAGAACAATCTAAACTACACCAGCGGCATGATGACAACGTGGAACAAGTTTTGTTTCACTGGCGGCATGGTCGAGGTCTCAGTGCGGCTCCCTGGCACGAACAACATCGTTGGACTCTGGCCCGCTGTTTGGACGATGGGCAACCTTGGCCGAGCAGGCTATGGTGCCTCTCTGGAGGGCATGGTGAGTCTTTAAAGTACATCTATGCGTTCATTTACGTGCTAACCTTGTCGTAGTGGCCATATACCTACGATGCATGTGATGTTGGCACTGCGCCCAACCAGACCAAGAATGGTCTCCCGCATACGGCTACTGTCGATGGTGACCCAAGCAATGGCGATGTGTTGTCGTACTTGCCTGGTCAGCGTCTTTCGAGATGTACCTGTCCTGGTTCGTCCCATCCCGGACCCATGCATAGTGATGGGACGTATGTGGGACGCGCTGCACCCGAAATCGATATTTTCGAGGCTTTGATATCCGACGGGCGTGGTCAAGTCTCGCAATCGGCCCAGTGGGCAGTAAGTGCAGGCCTGTTCATGTCTCAACATTGGAGTGAACAATCTACCTAGCCCTTCAACTATAAATACACATGGGACAACACATCAAGTACCTACTCGATAGGTAATGAGAGTATCACTGAGCTAAACCCGTACAAGGGTGGTGCGTATCAGGAGGCGAGTTCAGCACTGACATGGACAGGTATGTCGCCAGTCTGATCTGCGCATCATACTTGCGCACTGACCATCCGTGCGCCTGATTAGACCAGACTGCATATCAGCTGAGTGGTGGAAGCTACTCGATATACGGGATTCAATATCAACCTGGTTTTGATGACGCGGTATGTTTACTTTATGTCACGTCTCGGACGTCGTTATGAACTTCATCTCCGTCAGTATATTACCTGGGTCGCTAACAATCAGGTCGCCTGGACGGTTGAGGCAGCGGGAATGGGAGCTGATACTGTGGTCGAGATCAGTGCGCGACCGGTACCACAAGAGCCAATGGTGCGCAGCTTAATATTTACCAGCCTTGCCGCGCGTCTTACACAGATTGTACCGACTCAGTATCTCATCGTGAACCTGGGCATATCGCAGAATTTCGGTCCAGTGGACACTACGGGGCTCATATTCCCATCGATAATGAGCATCGACTACATTCGCGTGTACCAGGATCCCGACAACATCAATTATGGGTGTGACCCGGACGACTTCCCCACAGCCGCCTACATCAACGAGTGCGTGTTCTTTCTCTGCACCCCTATCGCTGTGTCTCTCATGAACGACCAACTAACCACATATGTACAGATACATTGATGCGTACACAAATCCCAACTTGACCACCTGGCACGGTGACTACGGGCAACCAATCCCTGGCAATAGCTTCCTAGGACAGTGTTAGTTGTGTTGTTAGATCTGTCATATCGCCGGTTCGCCTTCGTTGTCCGTGCGTCTGCACTATCGGGCCTTTGCACTGTTCTCAGACTTGAGTCGTTGCACATACCTTCATCCTGCTCTAGCTGCGTCTAGCATATTCATGGTAGTTCACTTTGCTCTTCCTCAAGTAGACTTTTTCACATATGGTGGTTGGATATATTCTGTGTGTAATAATCCCTGGGTTGGCAGCCAACAGGGTTTGATCCATGTACAGTCGTATCTCCCTATCACTTGGTGTGTGGACACGCCCGTCCGGCTCGTGCCATGGGAGTTGGCAGATGCTGCGTCGCCGAAGCCTGCCCGGGGGATGCTCAGTAAGTGCCAAGGCGTCTGAACGTTTCGTAGAGCGATCACAGAGGTTCCATCGTGCCGTCATCGTCATTCTGCGGGATGCTCGGGCATCGCTTCGTATAAATGTGATTTCATAACGTTTTCACAGCACCGCGGCCACTGTTACGAGTGTCTGCGCATTGGATAGGGATATTCACACTGAGGATATACGGTGTTGTCCGCGCACCTGCTCTTACCGCTCCTCCACTCGTGAAACGCTCAGCGCTCACCTTTTCTGATCTCGCAGCCATTAATTGGCGATCGACCCGATCAATGTTATGCCTTCGTGCGCAACTGACACCCCGGTCATCGACCGAGGCGTGAAATCTAGCACGAGATCTGAGCTGGATTCCGTTACACTGTGAATATCCCTAACGTTGGACAGCCAATCACAAGGGCCTATGACGGCGACATCACCTTCTCCTCGTAGATTGATCATTTATGGTCCCACGGGCCACGGTAGCATCAGGCTCTACTAATTCATTGGAGCGCGCCATTACAGTGATATGGTCCAGGGCAAGATGTCCTCTTTCCGCCGTCTCTGATTTGGCGAAAAGGTATATAAGACTGCGCTGACAGAGGGCACGAAAGCAAGACATGTCGCATATCGATGTCTACACCGGCCTCTATGGCCTGCTCGCATCTATTCTCGTCTACTGGCTTGGCATGAGATGGAACCGCTCTCGGAGGTCTTTCCCCCCTGGTCCTCGTGGACTACCCCTCATTGGCAATGCTTTGCATATGCCAGCGGACCGAGAATGGGTCCAGTTCGCCGAGTGGGCGAAGACTTACGGTGCGTACATCGTGACGGCGAAAGTTCAGGCGTGTTTGATGCTAACACGTCCTCGCCTCAGGGAGTATTGTGCACCTCTCCGTCTTCGGGCGGTCTATTGTACTCTTGAGCTCTCCTGAGGTCATAACGGATCTCCTCGAGAAGAGAGGTGCTATCTACTCTGACAGACCTATCCTCCATTTCGCCGGCGAGATGTATGCCAGTCTGTCCTCGTTTGACATAAAATGCTGAAGAAGAATGTGCCTTCAAGGGTTGGTTATAACCGTTTCATACTCCTCGAGCCGTACAGTACTCGTTTGCGAGAGGAGCGCAAGATCATATTGAGCAACATCAACCCTCGTCGAGGTGCCGAGATACATCAAGTACAAGAAGCCAAGGTCATCCAGCTTCTGGACAAACTGCTCGATACTCCTGATTGCTTTCGGGATCACCTGCGATGGTAAAACTAGTATGCTCGCTGCATATTATATATGTTAAGTAGCCGCAATTCCAGGTTCGTCGCCGCTGTTGTTTTTCAGATATCGCACGGCCATGAAGTCAAGGACTTTGAGGACCGATTCGTCCGGCTCGCTGAAGAGACCACCCACGACTTCTCTTTGGCGGCTCAACCTGGACAGCACCTAGTCGACAGTTTACCATTATGTCAGGCGCTCATGAACGTCAGCTCAGAACATTTGACTGACCCTCGCTTGCCATCGTAGTGAAACGTATTCCTGACTGGGCTCCTGGCACTCATTTCAAAGACGTAGCTCGGGCGGGAAGGTTGCTATTGCGCCGGCTTCGCGACGAGCCTTACGACCATGTGAAGCGTCAGATCGTAAGCTGTGATGTTCAGCAGGACATTGCCGTTTTATAAGATTTTTGCAGGCGCGAGGAACTGCGTCCCCGTCTATCACAGCATCTGTCATCGAGAGCAACCCCAATCCTACTCCCGAGGAGGAAGATCTGCAGAAAAGCGCCACTTGTATGCTATATGCCAGTGCGTATTTATGTTTTGTAGGAATGTTATTTACTGACTGCCGTTTCTGTAGCGGGCGCCGACACAGTGGGTACATTTCGTGGTTAGCCGGTCGAGTCATTGTTGCTCATCTTGCGACAGACCGTATCCGCACTTGGCTCCTTCTTTCTCATCATGACTTTGTATCCCGAAGTTCAGCGTAAAGCTCAGGCCGAGCTGGATAGTGTTGTAGAGCACGGTCGACTGCCTACGTTTGACGACCGCTCCAAACTGCCTTACTTAGAGTGTGTCATGAAGGAAATTATTCGTTGGAACCCTGTGTCGCCACTAGGTAAGAGCGCTCTTTGCCAAGCTTTTTAAATCTTTAATCTGACTGCTGTTCAAACACGAGCATTACCGCACAGTCTCACTCAGGACGATGTCTATGAAGGGTACCATATACCCGCCGGCTCCACTGTGATCCCTAATACTTGGTACGCGCCCGATATGATTTTGAAACAAGTAAATTCTCATATCCTCTTTCCATGCGCAGGGCCATTTTGCACGATCCGTCGCTGTATCCTCATCCCTTTGAGGTCATACCTGAGCGATACATCGACGCTGACGACAAACTGAACCCCGATCCCCGGACGTTCGCATTTGGTTACGGACGACGGTCAGTCTCCAAATATTCCATCTAGCACGCCCCGCAGTGTCTCACATTGCCCTAGAGTCTGCCCGGGACAGTTTCTAGCTGACCACTCCCTCTTCATTGTTGTGGCAACGGTGCTCTCGACGATGAACATCGGTAGAGCAAAACGTGACGATGGAACGCCCATTGACATCCACGTCGAGTACTCCGGAGGTGCTATCAGGTCAGTTATTTCTAGGATGGTTTCTACTGTCTACTATTTAATTTGAGAGCTGACCTTCTCGCACTGTGGTAGCCATCCCAATGAATTCCAATGTTGTATCACTCCTCGTTCGCAGGAGGTCGGACGAATTGTCAGGCATGCGGCGGGTAGCAACTTAGCTGAGACGGCGTAGTCACGTATGTGCTTAAATATGTTACAGAAGAGACGACTGGAATTGCATTTGGATCTAGTTGCATTGGAGACAAAAACATGCGATAACGTCGCGTCCAACCGTTATTGTGATTCTAGTGTAGCAAATGACAATGTGTACTGGATACAATCATGGACGTCGACTGGCCCAATACCGTGATGTACAAACCTCGTACTGATACATGTGCAGAGTCAACGCTATGACTGCAAGTCGTGTGGGCAATAGGAGCAGTCCTTGTGCGCGTCCAGGAGCGCCTGGAGTTTGGTCAGCGTCCGTTCGAGCGCGATGATCCCACCTCCTGTCAGTCTCGGGACTGCCAAGTCTCGATCTACTTCCGTCTCCTCTTTCGAGGACCTGCTCTTCTCAACCAACTCTCGTGCATCATCTAGCACCTTCTTTAGTTTCCTATTCGTGTAGTAGAACCAGTGGATCTCCTGATCCAGAGCACCCAGGGGTATTTCGAGCGCACGACGCACGAAGCCTCGCGAGAGGACGTATGCCTTCTCATTATAGAGACGACTGAGACAAGGTTAACATCCCGTCATCGACAAACTGGACAATAGGAGCTGACCTATTGACGATGCCCTCTTCAGTACCCCTGAGCTTTTCATATGCGGGCTCGCAAAACCAGCTGTACTATCGATGAGTGGCCGAAAAAGGCGAACAGCTACGAACGTACGGTTCCTTGACAAGGACAAGACCCTGTATAGATACGAAGGCTTGGAGGAGCGATGATCTTGCTGCGCTCCAGGTTTCGTTTCTATCACCAGCCCACGTTCCCAGAATGGAGAGACAGACTTTCCCTTCTTCGTACAAGTTACTGAAATCGCTTGTTAGGATCCAATGTAACACAAATAGAGGCTATTGCTAACTCACGGATTCACTGTCGAAAATATGCTGTCGGTATCTACATGAGTAACTCAGTGATAATGACATCACGTACCTCGGCCATTGCCATTGGTCCAGCTAAGGAAGTGCGCAATGGGTGGGGTGTGAGGGAAATTTGAGTCGAGCATCCAATCAATCACGAAGGGGGCATCCTGGTAAGGCGTGTTCTCGGGACCGATGATCAAGCAGCGCAACAGATCCGTTCGGTCCTCAAATGCTCGGACGAGGATCGAATCTTACACCTTGTCAGACGAACGACGTGCGACAGCAATAATCGCACATACCTGGCAGGCTACTTTGTAGCGCTCGATACTCCTTAGTTAACCGTGCTAGGAAATTGCGAGAGGTCTGCGCGGGTGGTGTCGAGTAGAAAGCGTGATCAACAGGTGCCGTCGCCAGAATCTCGAAGCGTTTCCAATGTGCCTTCCCGTCCTCAGCTTCTGCCTTGTCCGCGTCATCTTCCTCCATAGCATCCTTTGGCACGTCCGGTGATACTGGCCGTACGGCCGGCGGGGACGACTGCGCCCCAGTAGTTACACTCTCATCAGGAATGTCAACCTCCGAATCAATCACCATCTTGGCTTCAATGTCTTGTACTGGCAGGACCGTCGGACTTGATGGAGACCACTCTCTCGCATCGACACTCATTGCGTCTTCCTCGTCAGTCGACCATTCCTCCTCATCCTCGACATCACCTTCGACCCAATGTCCATCCTCGTCCATGGCCCATACCTCTACACCCTCTTCGCCCTCTTCACCTTCGCCCTCAGATGCGTCATCGCCCCATAGGTCCTCAATCTGCTCTAAACCATCATACAGTTTAGTGAGCCGTTGGAGGGGCAGCACTGATGTTCTGCCATCCGGAAGCATTACGTCGACAGTACCGTCTAGCCGAAGCTTTATGCGAGACCGTCATTGGCAATGCATCTACAAGAGATGTATTTTTGCGTACCTCTGCTACTTCCCCAAACCAGTTAAGTTTCGGATTCCCCTTCTCCGGCCTTTGAATCTCGCCCTCTTCGATGCTGGGGTCTTTTCCACGTCGCTCCGCGATGCGATTACCAATGTCTGTCATCTCGCGACGCCAACCTCCCAGTTGACTAGTCTCTGGCGAAAGAGGAGGCTCCCGTACCCATTCTTCTATCTCACCGATCCTGGGGACCATAGGCGCCTCGGCACCATTTGTCTTACCTTCCTTGTGGATGAAGACGAAGTCGCCGCGGCGGACACCTAATCCATCGTGTGGTGCAACTGCTGACCAGTCCGACATGCCATGAGGATCTAGCTCAAGGACCGATGCAAGCTCAGTCATTGCTGTGTCGAGACAGAGAACCTGCGCTGTTCTGTCAACAGCGTTCACAGATTGCACAATGGCAGCACGTCTTTGATCTTCGGTCTTCCAGATGACATGATCGCCTGGCCTGCGAAACAATAGTGAATATGGTATAACTGTGATTTCCAGGATTTCGACTGAACGTACCAGCAATCGTATTCGTCCGGATTCAAGTACGGAATGGTCTCCGTTGCATTGAGCGTCTCTCGTGTACCGTCTTGCCACAAAACGGCGATGGTTGTCCGAGTTTCCTGAACGACGAATGTACGAACCTCTAACACGAGGTTTGGATCCTCTTCTTTCCCATGCCGGGTAACGGGAGCATCAGCCACGTCTTTGAGCAGGACACGATCTCCGACATGAAGAGCCTGTTCTGCTCGTCGACGCACTAGCGTCAGCTTTGCCAGATCGAGACCATACCAGAAACGAGCGGGACGGAGTCGCAACTGCGCCTCGGAGGGCTCCAACTACAGAACCTGTCAGTTATGCCAGGTACCAGTATGGTATAACCCACAGATTGATTTATGGCAAGCCATGCAATAGCCAGCACTGTGCGCTTCACGGAGACAACAGTGTCCTGGTTGCCTGGCCGCACATTGCCTGGCAGGAAGCCGAATATGCTCTGCACGCCAGACATTGGCTGTGGCAATATGTCCTGTGGAAGACATAGGTAAGATGCTACGCTAGTCGGTACAACATGCATACCGGTCCTTTCTCGCCCACTGCGAGACGGGCGCTGAGCTCTGGCACGCGCACAAGATTGCCGTTGCCCATATCGACGACAGCTTCGTCAAACATCTTTCTGTATATCAATATGACTTCCATGCGAGCCCAGTAGCAATGATAATCACCTCCACAACCTACGCATAATCAGCGTGCAATTTTAAATTGAGCAGCATACAAATACGCACCTGCCCGACCCAGTCATCATACACGACATAGTCACCCATGTCAATGTCAATTGCAGACTGCACGTCACTAGTGTTCTTCCACTCGGGAAGAGGTACAGAGCTGATGGCGTGCTCAAAGCGGCCATTTACATCAATACTGTATAAGGACGGTTCAAGCTCCTGAAGAGATTAAATGACGAACACACGCACCTGATGACCACTCCTGAGACTACATCATCTATACTGCGTTTCACAAGGTCTCCAGGCTGGTACATTCGATCGACCAGCTCCAGGTCCGATTCCGGTAGTATCTCGCGACTCGGACGGGGCAAGTAGGAGACACCGACTTCACCCTAAAGGAGAAGTGGCAGAGATGCTATGTTTGAGCGAAAGATGACGTAAAACAATTGGTAGAGACGCGCCTGCTTGAGTGGCCTCATGAGAGGATCGGTGTTCTCTGCCGGGGGCGGAAGTTCCTCTGCATCATGCCAACATCGCTAACAGCGTCTCTGGGGTTGAGCGACACTTCAGCACTAGAGACAAGAGACTGATAGACTCACTAGCACAATTCCATAGAGCTCAGGGTTGTCCTTGCGCCTGACAATATCCTCCTGGTAGAACTAGACGCAATGAAGGCGTTCGTATCTTGTGGGGATCATACCTGTCGCATTATATGGGCCTTACCTTAGCGGTCGTGCCACGGGACGCTGCCGGGGCCATCTCGTTTGGGGCTGCTTTGCGTAATTTCGGGTAGCCGAGGAGGAAGAGCGGGGTGAAGAGTGGTATGCACAGGGCTAATGGCCCAGGCTATGAGCAATCTGGCGTCTACTTCCTCGGCCTGACCATCGGGGGCCTGTGGACGACTGTTTGTTCCTGACCCTCGACCTGAGCTCAATTGTTATTATTGCTGGCGTTCTAGAGTGTTGTAGCATTGCTCTTCTGCGAAATTTCTGTGTGCCTGGCCTTTACCGTCTATTGGTCCTTGCAAGGCTGAACTTCATAGCAAATTCGACACTCTCATTGGTCAGGGATTTACTTTGTCTATCGAGTCTGCTGCGAGCTTTGCCAGCCACTGGATCTTGGGAGCAAGAAGAGACGCGCCCTGGGTTGGTCTTCTGCATCTATCTTACCGACGGGTATCGGTCGTTATCCTGCACATCATGCGCGAGTCGCCAGACCGCAACATCCGGCTACACAAGTGACAGCACAAATGTGGACGGTTTGCATGGCATTTGATCAACGGCAGGTTACTAGCAACACAATGAATAGCATGCTTTATACCAGGACTGAGTCTCGAACTAGTGTTCGAGTTGCAGTGCGGCATGACAATGGTATACGACATGCCCTCTGCTTGAAATCAACAGTAGGCTGCATCATCGTTGCACCTGGGCTACTGTGGCCAATGTATGTCCCCAAATCGCAGAGCTACAAACTATGGTAGTCCTGCTGCAGAGGGCTTTGGACTATATCGGATGTCCACTCAGCGTCTTCTCGGACCGGAGCGCAGCCACACTTAGCCACACTGGCGGCAGCATGTCGGATCACTTGTCGCTTTCGCTCTGAAACGTTCGCTGAGACGCGTCCACTTGCATTTGATCTAGTGTTGCCGTGAGGCAAGGCTCCTCAAAGCCTGAGGTGGAAGTGTACCTTGAGGCGCCTTGAGGACAACTCAAGACGACCACGGTTGCACAGGGAGCGGACACGTTACCGCAATGCGACACGGTTGGTAAGATTTGTCGTACAACGCGTGTCGGTCATGGTAACACCCACAATGGCTGTTCTATAAGCACGCTTAACCGGCCTCTTGCAGTTGGTATTAATGGTCGATCGCTGTACTACACACATGTACAAAGAGATTACAATGGATGCGCAAGACGTACCGCGCTCAGACAGTGGACACAGTCTGTGAAAGCAATTTCCCAGACTGTGAACATTCTGGTCATCTCTGTGCCATGCAAATGTGTATTCATTTGAGTGATGCCAAGTCCCACCGAGACTACATCGAAGCATATAATGGCAACAAGATAGAAGCAGTGTAAATAGGGACCGTGATATATCATGCCTCAAACTTCATTTCTCGGCCATTTGGTTAAGATTGAGCACACCAGCGCTCAAATTATGGCGAACGGGAGCTTTGACGGGTGCCACAGATGTCATTATTCTGGAGGAACTCCGCTGATCTGCTTCGCCAATCTGTGGGTCGGCGCCTCAAAAACCGACGTCCAGATTGTAATCTAGCGCCCACCTCAAGCCACCTCATTGAAGCACCTGAATTCACCTCACGGGAAACAGTAGTTTGGCCACCATGGGATCCCTTACTATCTACGAACTACCTGCAGAGCTCATTATACACATCTTGAATGCCCTTGATTATAAAACACTCCTGCATACCAGACAGGTAGACCCATCTCGGACATATCCAGCGATGCGTATCAAACCTCACATGCGTTTGTTCAGGCCTGTCGTCTGTTCAACAAACTCTATCAGAATGCAGCAGGTCTCCAGTACAAGGTCGAACTCGCGGTGGCCAACATGGAAAATGGCCCGCCGAGTGGCTTGGGCGCCGCTGACCGTCTGCAGAGACTTAAGCAGCATCAAGAAGCATGGGCGACTCTAACGCCTAACGCGCAACAGATCGTCCCGATGCTGAAAGGCTCGGTATGGGAGCTCTACGGCGGCGTCCTCTCGCAGGCACGAGGTTCCTCTACCCTCGCGTTCAAGCAGCTGCCATCGGTCGTGAGAGGTATCGAGGATAAAGAATGGACCGTCAGCGGTCTCGGATTCGATATTCGGGATTATGGCATGGATCCATCACAACAGCTTCTCGCTATTATACAGAAGCCTGCACGGTATGTCCGACTCTCGCCTTGCGCAATTGTCATTCACTGACCTCCCGCAGTTCCAGTGTTAATAACGAGATGATCCAGATTCATCTCCGCTCGTTGTTCACGGGCGCCTCGCACCCTGCCGCTCATGATCCCGCTGTTTTGACCCATACGCCGGAGGGCATACGCCACTCGTTTACCATTCAGATATCGTCTGTCTTCCTTGGCATCCTCTTTGAAAGTCGGGATGAGCTTTATAATGAGCTTGTAATATGGAATTGGCAAACAGGCGCTATCGAAATGGTAAGCTCCTTGCCGACCGGATCGCGCAAAGGTGTGCTGATGGGTGTGGCAGTGGATGAGCGGAACAGAGATTGCGTCCTTCCAGTTTTTGTCAGACCGGCACGTCCTGGTGGGCTATGTGATGCCCCTACTGAATGTTGACCAACTTGGAGCGCCGCCGCGCGAGCCGCGGCTCGTGGTGGTTGACTTCCTCGTGGCCGCCCCGGAGAAAGTGGAAGCGAAGCGTGCCGACTTCGTCTGCTCTTTCCACTTCCCAATACTGGCGCAGTGGGCGATCCCCCTCGCTGTCTCGATTCGGTCGGACCCAGCCCCGTCGTGGACACCACACCGCGATCTCCAGGTGCCGTTCTATACCTCGCGGGATGAACGACTGTTCGTGGTCACATTCTGGGCAGCCGACGGCGGCAATGTCAGGACGATCCTGCTCTTCACGCTGACGTCTTCTCTCTTCGCGCACATCGAGACGCTGCAGCCTGGAGAGAAGAAACGTCGCTTTGCCTGGGGAGAGTGGGGCCCCATGGGCAGCCGCATGATGATGGCGCCGACGGGGCATTCGGACACATGGGTGTGCTACGTCTACGGGACGAAATTCGTGTCCCCGCGTCGATGGGGCATGCAAAAGGGCATCCAAGTCTACGATTTCAACGTGCTCCCGTACAAGCGCCGGCTGGCCGAGTTGAACACGGACAGTGACGCAGAGGTGGAAAAGTACAGCTGGATCAGCGACCCGTCAGCTCTCGGCGACCTGGTTCTCATCTTCCAGGGACCAGTCTCGACGGGCCTGCCGTACCGCGTGCAGGTCATGTATCCGCCTGCGGACGACAACGGGAATGACTACGAAGCGGTGATGTTGAGCGAAGACACACTGATCACTCTTGCGAGCGTGAGTTCCGCGATTGCATGTGAAATAGCGCATACGTCTGATGATGCTACGTGGCCCGCATATAGCAGAACCGTGAACGTACATACCGCCTTATGACCTTCTGACGTCTTGGCAAGTGGAAGGCGTTTTGTTTTACGTATGCGGTATTATTCCCCATTGGACGGCACCGGAGACGATCGTTGACGGCCACTGGGTCACCTCGTGCAGTGATTGGAATGGACGACTGCTCGAAGGCTATGAAGGCCAACTTGGCGGCGCTGCCCAGTGCAGCGTTGTAGATCATAGCTTATAAAGGCGTCCGATCATGAGCATGGTTCATAAAGAAGTAAGAGCACGGACAACGGGGGGAATTGCGGTAGTACGATGGCGCGATTGTAGCGAATCTGTGTATATGACATGTTATAGGCTCAGCTGAGCTCTGAGTGAATTGCGCTGCTGGAAGTGTCCTTGCTGCCCCTCAGGCAGTAATTGCGCAGGCGCCTGACTTCGCGAGCAGTGCACGAGCGTTCCGAGTCAGTCGCTGTACGCTGTAAGATTTCGTTGATTACCAGGAACGTGCTCCCCGCTCGTCAATTCATCCATGATCTCCTCCTCATGACCGGAACCCTTAAAACAGCCCCCGGCTACCTGACTTTACCACCCAGCGTCTTGTTCCCCTCTCGTCTGCGATGTTTGCACCCTCCGTTCGACACAGCAGCTGTAGGGTAGCTTCGGCGTCCACCTCAAAAGCTCACTCCGCGCATACATTCAAAGCTTTTTATGCGGTGCGCTGTAACTCTACGTCATTGACAAGGTCAACGGGACTGACAATGGCTACAGACCATCCGTGACTTGCGGCGCTCGTCTGCGTCCGTTCCAGACGCAGAAGATGTAGACCCCTCCGACAAGGTACATTTCAGAGCCTACTGCACCCATTATCCTCTCGCTGACCCGCGCCTCAGGACTTCATTATGTCCATCCTGCGGGCTAACCCGTCTCTACGGGATACACGGTCATATTTCGCCTCATTCGGCCCTCGTCCCAAACCTGCGCTTCGTCCGTCTGTTATGCCCGTCGAGGAGCGTCTTCCCGCTCCGTCAGAAACATATGAAGCCGAGGAAGCTCGTCCGCCGGACATCCACCAGCAGCCGCGGAGCCATGTCGTTGCTTCCATCCTCAATCCCATTCACCGTCGCACCGCTCTTGTCAAATTGCAGACTCCATTTACCGACCGCCAGCTAGAGAGCATTGCAACAGGCATGGTGTACCTCGAAAAGCTCGGCCTTGTGAGCGTCCTGGTCATAGAGAATGACCGGCTTCCCAAGGGCGAGGACGGCGAGCGCGCGGCTCTGCTAGAAGAGACGATGCGTATCGTTAGCGCGCTCGAGAATCAAGGCGCAAAGGCACGGCCTGTGCTGGGCGCCGTCGTCCGCCTCGGACCGAAACCAGGGGATGAAGACGCTGAGCAACGTGATTTCGCAGTGCCGGAGGCCCATACATTCCCTTCAGACCTAGTCCACATTCGCTCAGCGCTGCGGGCGGGAGAGATCCCGGTTATCCCGCCACTCGCGCTCGACTCATTCTGTCGCACCGTACGTGTCGACGCGAATGACGTTGTGGCAGCGCTTGCACGCGGCATGGTCGAGGCTACAGAGGCGGACGGCCACAAGCGGGATGCAACATACGACGGCTACTCCGACGAGTTTGACCTAACGCCCTTGCGCCTCATGATCATCAACAAGGAGGGCGGCGTGCCTTCGTACGCGCGTTCGGGCATGCCCCACCTCTTAGTCAACCTGGACGCCGAGACCTCGTACATCAGCGAAACCTTCGACCCCAGATGGCGCGCCTCCCACCCGACCGCCCTCTCCAACCTGTCCCTCGCGCGCACATGCCTCGCGTACATGCCGCCCTCCTCGTCTGCCGTCATGGTTTCGCACCGCTCGCCGAGCTCCCTCATCGCGAACCTCATCACGAACAAGCCCGCGGTCAGCTCGAGCCTCCCGCACGCGCTCTTGCAGGGCAACCGCAAGCTCACGCCGCACACGCCGACGCTCCTCCGCCGCGGCCTGCCCATTCGCGTGCTGCGCTCTGTTGCGGAGATCGACAAACCCAAGCTCAAGGCGCTCCTCGAGCAGTCCTTCATGCGCACGCTCGACGAGGACCCCTTTTGGGCGCGCCTCGAGCGCCACCTCGACTATGCGATCGTCGCAGGCGACTACTCTGGGGCAGCCATCGTCACGCGCGAGTTCGAGGAGCGCGAGGGCGCCACATCGGGCACGCCCATTGCCTACCTCGATAAGTTTGCGGTGCTGCCGAGCCATCAGGGCGATGGCACCGTCGACTTCCTCTGGGTCGCGTTGCACGACGAGTCATACGGGCTTGGCCTGCCATTCTCTGCGAACCCGAACGGCGGGAAGCAGGGCGAGGGCGAGGGCTGCGACCTTGTCTGGCGCAGCCGCGCGGACAACCCCGTCAACAAGTGGTATTTCGAGCGCAGCTCGGGCCACCTGCGGCTGGGCAAGTGGATCATGTTCTGGTGTGATGCTGAGAAGCGGCTGAAGACGGTGGAAGGCCGCCGCGGGAGTGCAGGATTGTCGATTGTGGAAGAGTGGGAGCACGATCGTCTGCCGAGGTGGGCGGACGTCATTGAGAAGATACCTTCAAGTTGGAAGCCATGACACTTTGCGTCATACCTATTGAGTAATTGAACGCTGCGCGCTGGACGTCTGTGTCTGTCTGTTGATATAGCAAACATGTATACAAAGCATATAACCAGTATTATAAATTCCAGCAGAAGCAATACCGTCCCCGAGCAATAGTAGATCCATAAGCATAAATCGCGAAAACGTACCCAGCAGGAGGTATCAAATAGGGACCAGCTGCGCAAAGCAAGTTGACTATCGCCTAGCTCTTGTGGACTCGTCGTCGAACTTTGCGCTTCGGCGGCGAGTTCACAGGAGTAATGGAAGAGGCAACGGGAGTATCGCCATCTCTGTCACCTTTGACCATGCGGCTGATGTCCCCTTTCCTCCTCCAAGGCACAATTGACTGACCATCGTGGACGACGTCCATGACGAGCTGCGTGACCCCAGCGTCGACCCGGTCACGGAATCCGGTGACAGTCCACCGATCTAGGTTCCTCACGTACAGGTATACCTGCATGATGTCGCTAGGGTTATGCAAATTCCATTCGTGGAAAATGCCGCTCGTCCTGCGATTAATGGGGCGCGGTCCTGGATAGGCTGCGCTTTGTATAGTCTAGGAATCCCGGTGTCAGAGAAGTGGGGATCGTCATGGTATACATGCGAGGACAAAGACAAACCGGGTAAGATGCATTCGCTTTAACTGTCCACCAATCGACATGGGCTCTTACTGTCCCCTGTGCCCAGACCAGGCCGAAGATAGGTGTATTTACATGTAGCGCATGCAATTGCCTCACAGCAGAGGTCGTCGCCATCCTGTTCTGGCGATACGCGTCTTCGAGCAAATGATGCACCGGCTTCTTGTCTTCCCAGAATGTGCTTGCGAACTCGAAAGACGGATTCTCCGGCAGCTTCGTGCACGGGGTGCTCTGAAAGCGGAAGGAGGACTCGCCTCCCACACTGCCCGAGCTCGCCATGGAGCCATGTGCCTTGAGGACCTTGTACGCTGAGCGTGCGTCATGCGATAGATGCTGGATCAGGCGTGCCGGGATGAAGAGCGCACAATCCGGGGATGCTGTCTTTGCATTGAGCACCCGCACGGATTGGGTCGTGATCGTTAAATGGGGGAGAGGCTGGGGAAGCGAAATTGCGCATTGGGCACTGCGTAGCAAAGTCAGTGCTCAGCTGAACCAATATTATGGATACTGCCTGCGACGGACCGGTAGTCACTTTGATGCACTGCAGGGCTTCTGATTACGTCGTACCTGGTAAGCGGTCAATCGCAATTGGCACATTGTACGGGGGCCAAGCGTACACATTTGCAACATAGTCAGCTTCGGACCATATCCTGCTCGACTCTCGCATCTTCTTGATACGCGTCCATGCACTGAAGACGTTCTGCAGATCGCTGAGCAATTCCTTGCAGTCTGCCGCCCTCACTCTCGGAGAAAACAACTCCGGGGTTGCTTTACCAATTGCCTGCAAGAATTGGATAAATTCGAGCGGAAGGATGGATTCAATACCTGAATACGCATTCGACTTCTGTAGTAAAGGGGAACACCGATTCACTCGCTACAGAATGACGACAAGCGTGCTGCGAGCGCTTACCTTGTCCAGCCATTCCCGAGGAAGCTGAGCATTGACATCAAAGACATCCTTCACCTCAGCCTTAAAGGCCTTTGGAATGTCGTCAAATGCCACTTCTTCGCAACCTTGGTACGTCGCCCATGTCTCAAAGCTTTTGACATTCCTAGAGATCCTGTGTGGAGTGTTGTTATTGGCACACGCCCGCCTAGGCGTACCGGAGGGAAGCTTACTCCGAAGCAGACTTGCATCGCTGCTTGCGTGTCTTATCAGTGCCTTTCAGGTCTGATTCGCCAGAGTCCCGTCGGGGCATGATGCCACTGCGGCTGTAGCGAGCGTGGTAAGTTGAAGGAGGCGAGATCGGCCATCGCACACACCAAGCAGAAGTCCGCCTCTTTTCAAGTGCGGAAGATGTTACTGTAGACGCAACGAGGGGGAGGGGGAAGGGGAGGCGGGACAAAGAGCAGGAGACGCGCTCGGGGTGTGCATTCAACAATGTCCCAGCGCAGCGAATCACCATCGTCGATCGCAGAGGCATTCCCACGTGACCGCGACACGGACGCAAAGGCGCTGAACAGCCCTATTAGAGACCGCGTAATGGTTACAAGTTGTCTTTCTTCATTCTTTCGCGAGTGATGTATCGACTTGCGGAACTTAAAGCAAAGCAAGGTTGTGTTGCCTTTATCATTTGATGCATTGCAGCATCCGTGCGTTCGACCGTGCGTTGACGCCACACGAAATCAGTTGGCACGGACTCGTAAGACCCGGGAAGTGGAGCAGAGTGAAGGCAAAAGCTGTCTGTTTATTTGAGGCGTTGCAGTATAACGGAGAGCAAGTGCTAAAAGGTGAGAAACCGATATTGGCATGTTTCCTCGGTTCGGTCCTATATACACAATGTGAGCATGCAAGTAGGTGTGAAGAGGGAGGAGGTCCTCACCACGACTGCTATACCATCTTCCCACAAGAATGCCTCCGTATGTATGTGCTCGCCTGGGCGGCTCGTTACCGATACATGCACCTGAGTTACGCGGTACGGCAACGATGTGCTGACAACTTCTCGGAAGTCATTGGGCGTCCTGATGTGCGATGTCTCGTTGACCACATGGGACCCGCGCCCGCCACCACTGTGCGTAGCCGGTTCCTCGGCGAGCTCTAAATCTCGCGGCAGAGTATACGGATTAAAATCGTACACATTGTAGCACAAGTCTCTCCCCGTGCTGGCTTGCTCGATGATGGCTCTCCACCCCAGGATGGAGCCGCAGACGCCATGCAAGTGCTGCGTCGGCGGGAGCATCCTTGTTCGCGTGGGGCCCCACTCTTTCCAGGGCCAGACCCTTCGACCCGAGCCGCCCTGCGTCCGGTGCAAACACGAGCGCAACACAGACACGGGAACGAAGAGGTTGTACATCGACATCGTTTCCATGTGCTGCAGCCCGATACCGCGAACACCCATGACGATTCCGAACAACATGTCTTCAGGTGTGATCCCGAAGGGGGCAGTCGGCACCGTTCGTGGTACTGGGGACAGCCCGTTCTGCAGAGCGACCCACACCTCACAGACGCGGCGACCGTCCGTGATCCTGGGCAATTCTAAAAGGCATTCATATCCATGTGTGAGCGTGTCGACGTTGGATATCCTCCCTCAGTTGCCTGAAATGCGATATATTCCAAGGCTGGCATTACCACGTTGGATAGTGGAGAACAATATGTGTTGATCGTCCAGGAAGGCAAATGAGGTTGGTATGGGTACTCGGCCGTTATGTGCTTGTAAGTCCTACGAGCAGTATGAGCGGAGAGGCACGCGCGTAGTGAAATCATGCATACCCAAAGCAGTGTGCCCGTCTTCCAATTCCAAATGCGGAAGCGCGAGCTTCGCCCGTTAAATTGAGCCTGGATAACTTGCCATAGGATGAAGTCTGACGAGATGCACAAAGAGGATGCAGCCGCCTCGTCGTCAGCGGATGTATCGGCTTCTAGGATGGGTTCAGCTGCCAAGGGGTGAGGTTTGTGCGACAACATCGAAAGCAGGCGTATGCGTCCCAGGTAGGACTCTCTTGGATGCCATTAACAGGAAGCTCGCAACGCACGCCACGGACTACATACTCATCTTCCTCGGTCAGCTCCACAATGGCTAACAAATCCTGGGATGGGTCCCCGTAGGGGACGTAGATCTGGAATCCCAGCTCGGGGCCATTGATGGACCAACAGTCATCATGCACGAGCCTGATGTTGGAAGGTATGCGTATGAAGTGCATGTCATCTGTCGGAGTCCATTGGACGACTGTGTCTCCGAGCACTGCGTGCATGTAAGGGTCGCAGTCGATTATGTAGGTGGATGTGAAGCGCGGGTTGCGCCATGCATTTTGCAGCTCTTTCAACCTGCGTGACTTTTCGGCAATAGGCAGCTTGCATTCGGGCCCATCAATTGCCCCAATGGCAAACAAATCAAGCTTATACTGGATCCACGAGCTTCCTCTTACAACCTGCGCGAGAGCAGAGCATACCTACATCGATTCAGCACGGTGGGAAGCAAGGGAACAGCTAGCCATCTCACCAGCTTGCATATTAAGATGTCACGAACGGGGAGATGTACAAGAATGACCTCAAGCAATTCCACAGGCAGCAGGAACAAGCCCATGGCCACAAAGCGACAGACGGTGTACTATATGGCTTCTAGCTGACACTGTGGCAAGAAGTTCTCGATGCTAAACACAGGAATTGCGCGTGTTCGTTGAAGAGAGCCGTCGCGGTCCGGGTAGAGGATTAGGAAGGCGTCGTGTGGCGAGGATCTCGATCACAGAAGAGACTGCAGTCGCGAGGTAGGCACGTGCAAAATCGATAGAGGGGGCGACTATATGAGCCTTGGACCATACTGAGGTTACTGACCGCATCATCTCTCCTAACTTCCTGTCCGTCTCTATTTCTGATCAACTACAATGGATGAAGAGTACGATGTACATACCATCTCCTTTCTGACGCCGTAATGCGCCTATGGTAACGCTGATCGCCCGCAGGTCATCGTCCTGGGCACCGGTCTGACCGAATGTATCCTCTCCGGATTGCTGTCCGTCGAGGGCAAGAAGGTCCTCCACATGGACAGGAATGACTACTATGGTGGAGATAGTGCAAGTCTTAACTTGACCCAGGTCGGTGCATCGCGATCTATGCACAGGACTTGACACCCATTGGATCGGTCCTCATAGCTCTACCGCAAGTTTAGACCAGATCAGACCCCCGCCGCTGAGCTGGGACGCGACCGTGACTACGCCGTCGACCTCATCCCCAAGTTCATCATTGCCTCAGGAGAGCTCACGCGTATCCTCGTGCACACTGATGTCACCCGGTATCTGGAGTTCAAGCAGATCGCGGGCAGCTTTGTCTACCGCGACGGCAAGATCTCCAAGGTTCCGAGCACGGAGATGGAGGCGGTCAAGAGTCCTCTGATGGGCCTCTTTGAGAAGCGGAGAGCCAAGAAGTTCTTCGAGTTCCTGCAGGGCTGGAAGGACGAGGATCCGGCCACTCACCAGGGTGCGCGCTGTGGCACTCAGATCCCGCATGCGTATGGACTCACATTCACTCCAGGCATCGATCTTGACAAGGATACGATGAAGGTGGTGTACGAGAAGTTCGGTCTCGAGCCTGGCACTCAGGACTTTATCGGCCATGCCATGGCACTGTACCTCGACGACGAGTACGTGTCTATGCGATAATAACAACAGCAGTCTATTTACCCGCCTTGCACCAGCTACAAGACCAAACCCGCGCGGCCGGCCTACGAGCGCATCGTGCTCTACACGTCCTCGATGGCGCGCTACGGCAAGTCGCCGTACATCTACCCGCTCTATGGGCTCGGCGAGCTCCCTCAAGCATTCGCGCGTCTGAGTGCCATCTACGGCGGCACGTACATGTTGGACAAGCCGATCGACGAGATCGTCACGGATGCGAGCGGCAAGTTTGTCGGCGTGCGCAGCGGGAACGAGACCGTGAAGGCCAAGGCTGTCGTCGGCGACCCGAGCTACTTTGGCGCGGGCAAGCCCATTGAAGGCGGCAAACTGCGGGTCGTCGAGGAAGGCAAGGTCATCCGCGCGATCTGCTTCCTGAAGCACCCCATTCCGGGTACGGACGACGCGGACAGCGCGCAAATCATCATCCCTCAGAACCAAGTTGGCAGGCGGAACGGTATGCATCCGGGATAGGTAGCATGACATGTTCGACTGATCTCTGGGCGCACAGATATCTATATTGCGATGGTATCTTCGACACACAACGTCTGCGCGAAGGACGTATATGTCGCCATTGTCAGCACCATCGTCGAGACCGACAGGCCAGAACAGGAGATCCTACCTGGTCTCCAGCTACTGGGCACTATCCACGACAAGTGAGTCTTCAAAGGTGTCTGCCTGATCTGCTTCCTCACATCTCGTCTAGGTTCGTCTCTGTTTCGTCCTTCTACGCACCCACATCCGGTGGTGAATCGGATCAGATCTTTATTACGCGTTCGTACGACGCGACTTCGCACTTCGAGACCGTCGTCGACGACGTCCAGAATGTCTGGAAGCGCATCATCGGCAAGGACCTTGTTCTCAAGAAGCGCGAAGTGGAGCTCGAAGCTTAGACCCCACCCCACACGGTTCCGGACATCATTTTCATACTTCGCCTCTGGTATTGGAGTTCATTCGTGTAGTACCTACCATCATCATAAAGGAAATTTCATGTACTTAGATTCAAACGCTTAAGCAAACAATAGGTCGTCCTGCACGAGGGTCGTGGTGATCAAAAGAATGCACCCATGTCGAATTCTGGTACATTGACCGTCTGTTTTGCCGACTGCATCAAGCTACCCAGGCCAGCTTTTCGTGCAACTAGGTCTCCCTCGTCTTCCTTGAGGGGCTCCTCGGACGTTGCGGCTGTCCCATTCGCAGCAGGAGCGGGCGATACGACCCGTGTCGGAGGTCCAGATGCGGGATCCATGTCAATCATGATCGACGATCTACGACGAAGAGCTGGCTCAAGAGCGAAGCGTGTCGATATCGGGCTTGGTGGCCGCGCGGCTGGTCTGGCATCCGGGATCACTACGGAAGGCCGCTGGAAAGACCACGTCCGTACTAAGTCTAGGGCCAATACGGGGCAACCTGTATTGCATGTCAGCATAGAAAGGAATGAGAACAGGTTGACACCATACCCATTCTGCAGAAGACACGCGCGATTTGAAGAACAAAGTTGAACTCTGTTCTGCCAGAGATCTCGCTTGTTCCCTTCGCGGTCTGCAAGCTACGCAGCTTCAGCTGTGAGAACAGCAGGGCTAGGCTCGGGTCGTCGTAATGAGGTTCACCGATCTCTGTGACAGGTGCATTAAAGCTACTAGCGACATCGCGCAGAGGAGTCTGCGATACCCACAATCAATAGTGGCACCACAGAGACGTTGATAGACCTTACCACTAGAATCCGGACTGCAAGGTCACGCCGGTGCAGTAGCCAGAACGCCCAGCTAGCTAACCAACGATTGCCCTCTTTGAATGCAAGAGGCAGAATAGTGTTATTCAGCATGTCTCGCAAGATGGGACCCTCATCGCCTTCGACCACTCGTGCAAGTGCAACAGCGAGCTGGAAGTCATTGAGATTCTTAATGCACACGTTGACCGCATCCTTCAAGCTGCCCCCGAGTAGGAAGAAGGCCGCGGCATATTCTGGGACAACAATGAGCTCTTATATGGATTTCAGCATATGCTGACACATACCAAACCGGCGTTTGCTCAAGAGTGCGAACGCATTCTTCTGTGCAGCTGTCCGCCACCGCGGTTGAGTGAAGTCATTATTGAGAAACTTGAGCATCTGGGCGTGCTCTTTGTGCCATGCTGCCTGCCGCCAGAGACCATACACGAGCTTGATCTTGCCAAGAGCGAAGTAGAAGAGACTGCAAGCTGTCGGGTCGCGGTTATCACCTGCCATATACTGATTGCGCGCAATGACTTCCATATGCGCCCGCTGGAAAGTATGTTATGGCACCGCATACATCGACAACAAAACCCTAGGCACGTACCATGGATTCGCCAGGATGCATCCATAGGAAAACGCCTAAGGCGCGTGCATCTGGCCAAGTCATCTTGCCGCCACACGCAGCCATGGACGTCGAGAGCAGAAGCTCTTGGCTTTCGCTGTGGAACGCCCAAACGATGTCGCGATATCGAAGGCGTTGTCGCGGCTTAATCGTTCGTGATACGGCACCGCTGCGCGCGGATGCGGGGGTACTTGGAGCAGAGAGCCGTCGGTTGGTGATATAGAACACACGCATCGAAATCAGATATCTAAGACCATTCGCGTCCAGGGCACGCCGCTGCTCTTCGATCTAAAGAAGCCAGGGATGACGCCACACAAGATGAATAGAAGGAAGAAAGTACCTCGAGAGTCGTTTGAATGAGCACCAGCAAGGAAGCGTGTTCGTTCGGTGTCAGATGTGGAAGAGGTTGCTCTTCAAGATGTCCCAGGAGTTGCTCCACGCGGGACCGAGAAAACTGGTCCTCGTCTGTCCTGCCAGATAGTAGTTAGGGATGTACTTGGTAGAATATTTGTTAATCTCACTCTTCCTCCAGGTCTGGCATGCTGAACAGTAGGGAGTATTTTGGCTTTCGTGATGGATGGGCCTGCATTGCTAGCATGAGTTCGGTGTTCCAGTCATATGGCGTTCAATACGTACTGCTCTCGCCGCTTCGTCCTTCTTATAGTACTCGTTGATAGGAATATTCTTCCATTTGTGCAGGCTTCTCCTGTCTTCAACGAGCTTGGCGAGCTCGACGATAACCTTCTTGACCAGTTCCACTTTCTCTGACAATACATAAAGATATAAGTCTATGTGACGGCGGAGATTGAGGCTAGACGTACCCCAGAGCAGACATTGCAGCAGCATCTGCGGGTGATAATCGTCCAGAGGGCCATTATGCCGCGCGACATGCTCAAATAGCGGCTCTTCTGACGAGGAGTCCGCCGTTGTCTGTGACTGACCATACAGAAATAATAAATGACCCGTTCCAATGAGCAACGACCCGCGCGCAAGCCAGATTGAATCGCCTATCGGATGCGGGAACATCCTGTAGGACATGAGACCTCTACCCCGATGATAGTATCTAGAGCTGACCTTCCGACGTCAATTGTCCAACACCGACCCCAGCCAGGGGTCTCATCAAAGTATGTCATCCGTTGTTGACAGAGAAGCTCTACGCGATGCGCGAAGCCTACTGCAAGAATGGACTGCGAGTCCGGCGTTGCGGTCCAGTCGAGATCGTTGACGGGATCAGAGAGGCTGCGGGAAACAACGTTACTAACCTAGCGGCATGATCATTTCCGCACAGTCTCACCTGAGTACCTCACGGTACTCCAAACCCGAGGAGAACTCGGACATCTTCGAGTCCCATATTGTCAGCTCCTCGCCATCCGGCCCGGGAACCACTAACATGTACTTTCTGTTAAGCCATATTCTTCATGACAGTGTGTGGGGGAAATACTCACCCAACACTGACTTCTTTGCCGAGCTGCATACTGCCCGGCTGAAACCCTTCTTTCCGGTCCTCACACGTCCAGTACACCGCCATGTCGCTATCTTATCACTGGCCTTGCTTTTGGTATGTCCATTGGTGCCAAGTGCAGCGCTCTGTGGCAGGCCTTCAAGCACCCAGAACGCCAGTTCGCCATCCGCAGAAATGCTGAGAAGCACATCATGTGCCTCCACACCCGCCCCGCTCGCGTAAGAGCCGCTCCAGGCCATAGGGTCCACAGGCACTATGATCTCTGGCGGCGTAGACAGAGGGAGGGAGCTGTGGGACTGTAAACAAAGCGCAGGCGAGGGCGCCAGGGTTGTAGTGTAGACGTAGATACTATGGTCGGCACCAACCCCGACTAAAGTCGCGGAAGAAGCGGGAGCGGGATATGGGGGAAGAGCGGACGATGAGGGAGACGTGAGCGAAAAGAGGGATACGAGCGGGGGGACGGTCAGCGTGCAGGGCGGCGTCGTGTGTAAGGTCAAGCAGCTGGATGCGGACGAGTACGTCACGAAGGCTCTACCTATAAGCCGACTAAGTCAGACACAAAGTCGCGCACCGCCCATTCTTCAAGGCGCGGCGACCCGGAGAACGCATAACGCACCTCTGTCTAGTACGACAACACGGTCCACCTTCGCGTCTGGGTCATCTGCTGGCCCCCATCCGCCTCTCCGCTCCAGTGTCATCTCCCGTCCACGCCCGCCCGTGAGCACGCGCCAGGTCTGCCCGCTCCCGTCCGCATATAATGCCGTAACGCCCTCTCCCTCCGGCGTTCGAACGAAGCGCAGCAGCTCCCGCCGCCCCGCATTGCGCACATCGGCGGTCAGTGCGGCTGGCGGGTCTGCCCCATGCGCGAGCAGGGTGAGCCCGTCTGCACGTGCGTCGAAAAAGGGTAGGGGCGCGAGTGCATACGACGCGAGCGGCGGGGATGTGATAAGTGTTAGCGTGCTTATGCCGACGGCTGGGCTATGAGCGGGTGAGGATGGAAGCACGTAGAGATGCGCCGGCGGAGGAGACTGGAGGAGGCCTGGAGCGGACTGGAGCAAGGTAAAGTGCCTGAGGAGCGTGGGTGGGCGGCGATCGATATTCTATCACATATTATGAGCACTGAGTTGTATAGCAGGCCGCTAACCAAAGTCGATACAAGCCGAGAAGTACCTACAGCAACAGCCTGCACCACGAGCGAGCCGTCTGCGAGCACGCGCAGGAATAAATCCCAGCCCTCCTCTGCGATCTCGCGTACACGCCTGCTGCGCGCGTCCTCCGCGGCCCCGCTCTCTTTCACCATCTGCAGCACGCCCAGCATTGCGTCGCGGTCAAGCGGGAACACACTGGACGAGCGATCAGTGTCCTGTACTGCCTTGTCCTTTTCCCCACCCCCAGCATACAACGGCACCGCCGATGCGGCATCCAATGCAGCGTGCAACTGCACGCGTTGCGGGGCGTCGAGCACGGGGAGGAACACACGAAGCGTCCCGTCCGCGGTCGTGGTATACAGGATAGGGTCATCGTTGTGGACGTGCGCGGTCGGATGCGAAGAGAGGCGCGGGCGCCGCCAGGAAAGGTCGGTGAGGGGGCGCGGATGCGGGATGGACTGCGTTTGGCGACCTGAGGTGGTGGAGTGCAGATGAACGGCGTGCTTTGAACCGTAATATCATCAGGGGACGTGATAGCGAGGGATAATAGTGCGGCCTACCGCGGAGATAGTTGCAATGTACATGAGGGAAGGGGAGAAGCGTATGCGCGTGGGTGTTTTTGTGCTGTGAATACGGCAGTGAGCAGCAGATGTGCCATGAGTAGAAGATTCGTGCATACGTTCGCGTCCATTTGCGCGACCAAGTGGGGATGTCGTTCTCGAGGATGAGGGTGTACACAGATAGATTAGAACACGTCCCAACAGCAAGGAGACCTGTTGAGTCTGAGATCATGCAGCTCAGTGTAGTATACGTGTGGCATACCTGATTTACAGTCTAGCGCTGTAACCTCCTGGTTATCCGGTATAACAAGTGTCGAGTGTAGCCTCCATGCATCCTGCGGCTGGTTCGAGGTCGAACCCGAGGCAGACAGGACCCAAGCGGCAATGCGGTAGCCCATGGAAGCCACGGCCTAGCGGGGTACTTCTGAGTCAGCATCCTTGCACACATGCTGCTGCGTTCCGGGAGGCCAGGGAGAAGAACGCACAAGCTTCATGCCAGGATCTATAGCGAGACATCGAACAGAGTCGTTGGAGAGTCGTGCGCCGGGGAAGGCCTCCCAGAAAGCGAGGGCGCGGAGGAATGCAAATGTGCGGGAATTAAGCACGACTATGCAGTCCACAGAGGGGTAGAGCTAGAGACCGATGACATGAGGTGGGTATATGCGGACATGGATCGTGGGGATGCTCACGAGCAGCGTCTCGCGGGGGAGGACGAGAAACTGAAGGCCAGTCTTCGGGCAGCCTGTGTAGGCATGGAGAAGCTCAAGCATCTGTGTTTCAATGTCCCTGATGATGGCGCGGAGAACGGTCTAAATCTATGGACGAGCACGAGCCATGGGCACTGTGAACGGCGACGAGCGAGGAAGGACGGACGTAAATGGGCGTCTGTGTGCAAGACAGACGCCCGTGCACGTGTTTCGGGGACGGGGACGTCATGCAGCGGGAAGCAGTCGCGCCCGCGCAGTCCTTTCTGGCCAAATACTCTGCGTTCGCTCTTCCTCTCACTCTGGCTGCCTATTTCTCTTTCTCTTTCTCTCCGCTCCAGCCCTGCGCGCAATGCGAATGTGGCCCCCTGGCCCCCTGACCCTCCTCCTCGCCTTCCTTCCGCTCGTAGCGCCCGCTCAGCTGCCGCTGCAGCCACCCGTACATCCCGAGTCCACCACCCTCCTTGACGCCCTTTCCGCAGACCCCGACTATGTATCCTTAATCAAGCTCCTCCAACTCGCAAAGCTTATTCCGACCCTCAATAGACTCAATGGATCGACGCTCTTCGCACCTACAAACGACGCCATCTCGAAGCACGCGGGCTGGCAGGATGCGCTGACCTCCGATGATCTCCGCGACAATATCCAGGAGGAGCTGCGCCAGCAGCTCTTCTACCATATCCTCAACTATACACTCACACCCCTCCCCACCGAGCAGACACCCCAGGAACATGAGACCCTCCTCTATCCCCGTACCATTACAGAGCCTCCCACGCGCGAGCCTCCTCCCGGCCCACCATGGATGCCTGTGCCTGGGGGTTCCCTCGGAGGAGAGCCGCAGCGACTCCGTGCCTCGTTCCGGGACGACAGTATCTGGGTTGGCGCGGACGCCTTTGGTAAGCAGGGTGCCCAGGTCGTGAAGGACAAGGTAGACACGGTGAATGGGGTTCTGCTGGGGATTGACCAGATGCTCAGCATGCCTCCATCTATTGGTGAGTGACCGCATGTAGTCTGGCTTTCGGCGACTAACCATGTTTTAGCCACGGTCGTTTCTCAACATCCGTCCTTGTCGTATTTCGCCAACGTGCTCACTCCGGAGATCTCTGATCTGCTCAACACGTCGTCCGCCCTGACTGTCTTCCTACCAGTCGACTCGGCATGGGAGGCACTGCCGTACTATGAGCGCCTGTACTTGCAGAGCAAATTCGCTACGGACGACCTCACGCGTATCGTGCGCATGCATGCCGTCGCGAACAAGCATGTCAAGTACGCGGATTCCTTTGGTGATTCTTTGAATTGTGCGTCAATCAACTCGTGTTGCGGCTCTTGCTGATTGCGTGCAGTGACAACCATTGATGGCTCAGAGCTGCAGATCGTAAAGGAAGACGCAAAGGTGACAGTGTCATCTGCTCGCCTCGTAGAGCCCGACATCTACGCGTCAAATGGTGTTGTCCACGCTGTCTCCTCTCTCCTCATCCCTCCTGGCGCTCTACGTTTGACACCGGAGAAGTATCTTCTCACCCTCAACTGTACATCGTTCGTGGAGCTGCTGCATTCTGTAGAGCTCACATCTCTCGTGAACGACACGGAGGCCGAGTACACAATCCTCGCTCCGCGAGACGATGTGATCAGCTTGTTCGGTGACGGAGGTGAGATGCCAAAGAAAGGGACGGAAGAGTTGCGGAGGACCCTCAAGTATCACTTCATTCCCGGCAAGTGGACGCCAGCGAAGCTGAAGGAAAGGATGTTACTAGAGACAGCGCTGGAAGAGCCTGGACTAAATGGTGGAAGGCAGGTGCTTAGCGTAGAGGTCAGCGAGGAGAAAGCCAAGAAAGGTGACGATGGGAAAGGACGGTCTGTCAGGTTTGGCGGAGCCGGTACCATTGGCGATCATGGTGCGTTCATTTCCGTAATTCATTATAACTCGGCGTTCGTTCAATTTGACTGATCGGTAATGTCAGTCGAAATTAACAACACGTTGATTTACTTCGTCTCGCGGCCGCTCTCACCGCCCGCAGATGCACTGCAGACTGCATTGCCGTCCCTTGAGCTCTCCTCATTCCTCGCAGCCGTGTTTTCGACGAATCTCGCTGACACGCTACGCACGTTCCCGCGCACGACGCTCCTCATCCCGCCGAACAGTGCTTTCAAGCGCCTCGGCATGCTCGTCTCCGCTCACCTCCTCGCCGCGTCTTCCAAGGCAGACCTTGAGCGTGTCATTCAGCATCACGCACTAGCAGATGTCGAATACGCCGCGGCGCTCGTAAACGGGTCCCAGCGCACCTTTAGCACGCTCGAAGGCTCGGACGTGCACGTTGACCGGCGCGCGAACGGGAGCGTGATCCTCAGCGCGAGCGGCGGCTGGGCAGGCATGCAAGCGCAGCTGGAACCGCGCGACCTGCTTACACAGACGGGTGTTATCCACGAAGTGTCGGACATCATGATCCCACGCAGCGTGCAGCTCACCGTGGGCAAGCTCGTGCGTGCGGCCAAGGGCATGACGATGGCCACAATGATGACGAAGGCAGGACTTGACTGGATCCTCAACGGCACTGCGCCGCCGGACGGCTCACCTTGGGCGAGAGAGGGCTTTGGCGGCTCGGGATGGACACTGCTATGCCCAACCGACGATGCGTTCAAGCAGGTAAACCTGACCAAGCTGTACGCCGACCCAGAGGAACTGCGCGAGATCGTCAGCCAGCATCTCATTCCACCCTCCTCATCTCCCATCCGGGAGCCGCTCACAGACGTGATCGATGTGCTGAACAACAACCGGCCCATCGCGATGGACGACAGCGCAACATACACGACGTTACACACTACGGATTCTGAGTCTATCTACGCGGACGTCGTGTTCCGCATACTGGACGGGCAGGAGGGCACGGTCGTCGGCGTACGCGGTGCGCGCGGGAAGGACGGGCAGCACGATTGGGCACGTGTGCTCTCGTGGGGCCGGTCCACGACGGGCGGGGGCACCGGTGGTGTTGTGCAGATTGACCGGCTGCTCATGCCGCACCGTCCACCATGGTATATTGCGGTCGGGGCACCAATCGCGGTTGGCGTTGTTGGGGTGATTGCAATCGGAGCGTTCTTCTGGTTTGTGCGGCTTATTTGGCGGCGCGACACTACGGAGGCGACGTATGAACCCATCGGAGGATTCGTGCAGGACGATTCTGAGGAGTCATGACGAGCGCGTCGATGGCGCTGCTCATGCTGCTGTCTCACTATGGGTATGTCCTTGGTTGGTTAGACAGTGCTGGCGGATAGTGAATTGGCGGATAATGTGTATTATGATGTATTTTCTATAGTGACTATGTTATAGACGGATGGGTTGGGCTCTGCATACCCGAAAGTGGGGACGCAATAATCAGCGACGACGCCAGGCCCGGGTCGTTTCCCCGCCGGGTTCCCCGCATTTGAGGGGCGGGAGAACAAAAATCACGAGCCTAAACACGATCACGGACAGGCTCGGCGCGATCGCACGCTCTTTATAGTCGTCCTAATGCAGGCCGCCAGGGATCTTCGCGCTCCCTTCACCAGCCCTTCCGACGGAATCCCTTGTCTCTCCGCAGAGCGCAACCTCTGCCATCGACCACCATGGTGAGTCTATGTCGCCCTGGGGGATGTGCAGCCAGGTCTGACGACCAGTGATGGACAGACCGAGCCTTCGCCAGCTGAAGAGGCCAATGTGAGCACGTCCGGTGCGCCAACGTCCACGACGGAGTCGCTCAAGTCTTTCCTTGCGGGAGGGTTCGGAGGCGTTGCGGCGGTAGTAGTAGGTATGTGGTTGTTCTAATGCCTATTGCGCACGCGCCCTGTCCTAATGGCGAATCGGCAGGGCATCCGTTTGACCTCACCAAGACGCGACTACAGACCGCTGCACCTGGAACCTACACTGGCGCGATTGATGTTGTGAAGAAGACCATTGCGCGAGATGGGGCTACAGGGTAAGCTTTGCATGTGCACACATGATTTTACTCCTATAATGACTCGTGTGCTACAGACTTTACCGCGGTGTAGTCCCGCCACTATTAGGCGTCACACCAATATTTGCCATGTCGTTCTGGGTAACAATAAGCGCATTCTTGTGCAAGTTACTCTGTTGACCGCTATTCAGGCATATGATATGTCCAAAGCGCTGATCCTGGCTGCAACGCCGAATCGCACGACTAAGGAACTATCCATCGCTGAGCTTGCGACAGCAGGCTTCCTATCTGCAGTACCCACTACACTGGTCACTGCACCCGTAGAGCGCGCAAAGGTCCTACTGCAGGTGCGAATCATACTTCACCACACTCAGCTTTCGTTCATGTTACCCTAGGTTCAAGGCCAAGGGCAGGGTGGTCGGCAGTATACCGGGGTATTCGACGTTGTCAAGCACTTATACAAGGAGGGTGGTCTTCGGAGCGTGTTCCGCGGTTCTGTAGCCACGGTTGCCCGAGACGGGCCCGGCAGTGCCGCGTACGTACGATCACTATTAGATATCCTCGATGTCTCGCTTGACAAATCATCCCTTCTTACTCAGATACTTCGCCGCCTACGAGCTGACGAAGAAGATGCTAACGCCAGCAGGGGCATCTCCATCAGAGCTGAATTTGGGAGCGATCGTCGTGGCAGGCGGCACGGCGGGCATTGCGATGTGGTCTATCGCTATTCCACCTGACGTGCTCAAGTCGAGAATCCAGTCTGCCCCCACAGGGACGTACTCCGGCTTCATGGACTGTGCGCGGAAGACAATAGCAGCAGACGGCGTTCGCGCGCTTTGGAAGGGCTTGGGTCCTGCTATGGCAAGAGTATGTTCCGTGCCATTACTCCCGTGGAAATACCACCCTAACATCTATATTACAGGCATTTCCTGCGAACGCCGCAACCTTCGTGAGTTATAAACTATTTATTGGACTGACATCTGTCTGACGTACAAACCAGCTGGGCGTGGAGGCATCAAGGAAACTTATGGACACATATTTCTAATATCTACGAGAAACTATCACTTGTATATCAGAGGGCCACTTTGCAACACGAGCCATTGCATTCAGCCACTTTGAGCAATGCACTGTTTGACCAGACTGACCGCCGAGCGTAATGGTGATTTGTCCTGAGTTCGGTTTCGGGTATCAATGATGTCGTCCCAGATCGATTCCCACGTTCGTCCTCGAAATTGAAGCGATCTTATGCTGTAGTCTACCATTTCCCCATCCTCCTCTGACATCTCAGGAAACATAATCTATGACCGCGTAACTTACTCGGCGTTGAGCGCACTACATTGAAAAAATCTGGGCAGAACAGATGAGTCCCAAGACGAATGACGTTGCGAAGACTCTCCGCAACTTCTCGGCATCCGAGTGCGTGCGGTCGCGTACCGAGAAGTCGTGTTGTTGTGAAGAGGAATCGCCCATGAACGTTTGAATTATTACCACAGAATCGCTCAAGACCCGCGGAAGTTTGACATTTGGGTGACCCACCATAGGTGTCAGACAGTGGGATATTCCGACATTCCAAAAGCGTACAAGGCAGACGTCAAGCAGGTGTTCAAGTTTGAGCGGCGGCTACCCATGTCCCTCCTCACCGATGTATGTGCAGACAACTGACTGCGGTCTGGACAATTAGTGAATACGATTCATGACATTCGCAGCCGGACCTCTGGACGAATGCGACCGAAGTCAAGGAGTTTCTGCAGCGGGCACATAATAAGGCGCCGCACTTGTTCTCAAGTAGCTTGGAACTCGATGCTGAACACATGGACAGGCTGCTTGGCGAGATGCGGTTCGTACATGCAGCTTGGAAGGCCTTGCGATCGCGTTCCAAGACAGGAGACCCGCCATGGTCCGAGAAGGACTTTGCCGTGAACGTGTATGTGTGTATTTCTCCACGTGGGTGCACATGTATGTTCTGACCGACTCCGATTGCGACCAGCTACGATCGCATCCGATTCAGGCGCAATGGTCGCGGGAGTGTGTATCGGTATGTTATCGCCCACAGATCACATGAAACCCGTGTGCCCTGCGCTGACGATCCCCAAGGGCAGGCTGTCATATTGCTTTACCGCAGCCAATCAAGCAATTTCCCCCAGAAAGCGTCCGCTACCTGGCTGCCTCTTCGGTAGAACCTGACTGGACACTCTTTGTTCCCAGGTCTATTCTAGAGGAACTGTCGCAAGCCGCGGACTCCCCTTATAAAGTATTGGAACGGACGTTGCATGATACCATCTCATTCGCCTCTCGGACAACACCCTTAACGACATTACCAGACCCACCCGGCTTTGTCTTTGCCGGAGCCTTCTTTGAAGACAAGAAGGACAAACAAGCATTCGGATGGCAAGACGCGTATCGCCAAAACCGTATGGCGACGACGTCTGCACTTCGACAAATGCAAGCATTAAATGTGAAGTCACCCATTTTTGGCATTCTGTGGACTGCAGGCGAGGTTAGGGCTCACGCCGATTGGTGGATTCTGACCGCCGACAAACAATATGTGCGCTCACTTGTAGCATAGTACTACATCCTCGGCATGCTAATGAGTCACCTTAGAGCTTCTACTCCTGTCTCTATCCCGGCCCCAAGGGAAAGACTCGACGAGACTTCAGATGGAAGCTGAAGATGCCCGAAGATATTTTGCAAGTCTACCTCTTGGTTGAAAACCTTGAGCACTGGACGTCAGAACAATTTCAAGAGTGTATAAATCGCGACATCCACTCTTTGCGAGAGGATGTCGTCGACCGAGGAAGAACAATTATACCCTGGAAGCGGGCTGGAAACTTGAATGAACATCCCCTGCTCAGTGGAACAAAGAGGGGGGCTTCTCCTGACGCTCGCAGGAGCCCGAAAAGACGCAAGAAATCAGAATAGTGGGCTGAAGGTTGCGATTTAAATTGCAGCTGCGACAGCATGTCGTGGGGTCGCCGGTTTAGACCGGGTGTTTCATGCAACAGGGCCTGCGTAACAGACCATTCAGAAAGACTGACCGGATTGTACTGATCAACCAGACTTAACCACATCAATGTATCGAACCTTGCTATATACAGATACCATAACACCGACAGAATATCGATTTCTTTTTTGTATCGTCAACGCATGCGCACGCGGTGACAGTTCTTGCTCTTGTCGAATGATACCATAAGATGCCGATTTCGAAGGTCTGTCTTCATACCATTGCAGGCGTTGCACTTTAGTTTCACCTGGTGCCTTGTAGCCAACGAACGCACTATCTGTCCGTCAATTTCCACGGAACCTATTGGATCAGCAGGTCCTGAGTCCGTGCCGCAATGCAAATGTATTGCCCTTTTCTTGACCTGTGCATCCCACACAGATATAGTTTCCAGGTCTAGTACGGACATCAAGAATGTCTCGACCCACATTAACCTCTCAGACCTACGTTTCTTTGATCCCCCGTGGCACTTCCCAGACTTGTCTTCCGTCAGTCCATAGTCTAAGAAGGACGCTAGTGGCTGTGCACTTCGTTCGACGGCACAGCCTTGTGTGTAGACAAGATGTGTCGTCACTGAACGAATGCCCCTCGCAATCTCTCTGCCTCTGAGGATGTGCCGTCATGGAGTTTTCATGGAATACTACCGAGTCCTTATATCATGCTGTAGAATTGCAAGAGATCACAGAAGGTATAATGTTCCACCAAAGATACGATGAGCAAGCTATTCTGACATTATCGAGATGTTCAAAGCAGACTTGGAGGAATTCGCCGAAATGAGGGCGGTCATCCCTTGGACAGCTTGGTGCGACCCAAATACTTTAATGCCACGGATATCGTGATTCCGTGATCCTGACAACGCCGTTCAACGACACTACTCTGCGATTGCATGTATGCAGAGACTGTTGTGAGTCGGGTATCGTACTCCGGCTCTCATATCGTTTGTAAAACATTCAATTTTAGACCTGTACAAAGGGGATTTGCAGGTGGCACGAAGCGAGCCACAGAAAACTAGTACAACAGCAAAACACAGCACTCGTTCTGGGATTTATATAGTAATACAAGACGGTTCAGAGGGAACAACATACATGCATTCAGAGAGATTGAGTCACGGCCGTCAAGCCAGCAAGGACTACATGTTGTATGACCAAGGGGTCTAGTTAAAAGGTTCCGAGCCGTTGATGTTTTGCATCGGGCTCACTGATGTCCAGGTAAAGGAGCTCCGCGCCCTCGCGAGACCGTTTCAGTGAGTTTTGTATGACTCCCGAGGAAAGCGGCTTTTGCTCCGTTGCGGCAGAAACTGGTTTCTTAGTTGTACTGACACGTTCATCAGTATACTTTGCCGTTTTCTGTCTGTACTTCTTGGCCAGATTGTGAATCTCTACAACGAGCAAATCGATCAGGCCGTGTATCAGTAAAAATGACATGTCGAACGCAATACGCACTTTTCTTCCGCCCTTCATAGAACGCAGCGTATGCCTCGAAAGATCTCCGGTCGCCGTACTGAATAGATTGTGAGCGTGCATCGATCACTTTGAGACGAGACTCACCTTCGCCCGAAAGTCGCCAAATCGCTGACTCCGCGTCAAAGACAACCAGTTAGGTGTGCGGGCAATATGCTTCGCGAAGAGACGCAGCTCAACGTCAGTATATAAGTCACCGGTCGTGCCCAGCTTCTGAGCATCCTCGTCGGTGGGAGGATCCGACTCATTGTCTGATTCCTGGCCATCTTCCGATTCGTCGTCGGAGCTCTCGTCCGCACGGTTTGCCCTTGCCTTTCTCTTGTCATTGTTGGTAATAGACAAAGATGACGACGCTGGGGCCGTCTTGCGGATGGTATCGACCACACTTTTGTGACGGCTCCAGTACCTCGACCAGCCGTCGGCGTCGTGGTGGCGAGTCTAGGAAGGGGCCCCGTCAGTTGCCACTCTGCAAAATCGGATGCGACCCTTACCTTACTCGCCATCTTCCTACATACATCATCACGGCTTGCCCGTGGGCTGTTCTGAAACTCCCACTGGAGCGTCTTGAGGAAGAACGTATGATCTTCTTCAGTAAAGCGGATACCTCTAGCATGATGTTGCACGCGAGTTGGAGGCGTCGGCGAGCGAAGCTGCCGTGCTGGAAGCTGGATCTCATCATCGTCCGACTCCTCCCCGTCTGAGTCCAGTATGTGCACGACGGATGGAGACCGCGCTCGTCTGTCTCTGGCACTCGTTTGTGCATGCACTCTGTCGCGTTCTCCGGCCGCTCCGTTCTTGCGCGTATGGTATCTGCCTTGGCTGGACGAAGTGTCGCGAAAAGAGAGGTTCGATTGGAGGGCATGCGCACGGGCACTGTGGAACCCATGCGGCTTGGAAGATGACGAAGATACAGGCGTCACTATGCCAGAAGGCATGCTCACTGGTCTAGAGCTGGATGGTTGGTTGACCTGAGTCGTGTGAGATCTCGGGATAGAAGGGCTGCTTGTCTTCGGTCGAGGGGCATTACGTAGACTATCCACAAATCCATTGATGCGCCTGACATGATCTAGGTAGTAGTCTTTCCAGGACGCTGAGGTGTGATTGTTCACCTATTACAAGTTCAGGCATATCTGGAAGGACACAACATTAATGACTTACACCGTGAAGAGATTCGATGGCTTGGCGGTATGTCTGCCCTGTACCCTCACTGACAAACAACGCCCGAACGAGATGCATCTCGTCATCTGTGGAGGAACCTACAGGTGGACCCGGAGGTTTTGGCGCATTGTTGACGAATACTGGCGCGTTAATGTGGTTAGGGGTATTTTGGGGGAGTATAGAAACGTTGTTTGCTTGAGCAGTTGAGCCACCCACCAACGCCGCGAGGATATTACTCGCGAGTGCGTTGGAGGCAGCATCATTCACGTTGGGTGCAGCTGCAGCATTGATGCCGGAGCTTGGGATAGAAGAGCGACTCGAAGGCATTGCAGGTGCGCTCGCGGCGTCATTGGGGACCAACCAAGGAGACCTCGCGAGTTGAAGGAGGTTGTTCAAGAGGGTGATGTTATCTCGCCCCTCGAAAGGTGACGGCGGGTCGCTGGGATTCGGATTCATGATGGAAGGTGGAGGGAAAGAGGGGCGGACTGCCGCAATCACAGCCCGATGAGCCCTTTAAGTGGTCGAGGGACGCGCCTTGTTCCAGAACAAGGAAGCGTGATCGTGTCAATCACGTGATAAGCGCCCCATACACCAAGATCAAGATCTTGACTCGATCGTCAGCTTCAATCTCAAGCTCATCGTGTAGACTGTGGTACACATGGCCCCGTCCGTTCTTATCGTGTGTCTGGGGAACATATGTCGCTCTCCCATGGGCGAAGCCGTTCTAAGGCATGTAGCAAAGGAACGCGGGATTGATCTCACCGTAGACTCGGCGGGCACTTCGCGTTACCACATCGGCGAGGGTCCTGACTACCGGTGAGCAGTCCGCATCCCGCCGCTCCGTGTCATCGAGAAGAACACCAACGGAATGTCGTGTGCACAGCACTGTAGAAGTGTGTCGCGAAGTGAGTCATCGCACCATGTATGAAGCTATTGTCCCTGATCTATGAGTCGTAGCATCTTGTACCAATCCGGCACTCCGCACAACAAGTCACAGCAGAGGACTTTCGCAAATTCACGCATATCCTCGCCGCTGATGAAGCGAATCTGCGCAGTCTCGAGCAGAAGAAGCCGCGCGATGCGACGGCCGAGGTGAAGCTTTGGGGCTCGTACCTTGACAATAAGCCTATCGGAGACCCGTACTATGGCGGCATGGTGGGTTCTCTATATTGATTCCTCCACCTCATTGAACCCTAGGATCCCTACTCCTGATTACAGAAAGATTTTGAGGAATGTTACCAGCAATGCGTGAACTTGTCAAACGCATTCCTGGACAAGGTCATCGGAAAGTAGATGCTGCGGTCATACGACAATGTCGAGATTCATTTACACCTTCGACTTAAGGTGGGATTGTACGTAATGAGAAGAGCATGATGGATCCCGGATGTACTGAAGTAGAAATACACAATGTAGCCATACCCACTCATACCGGTTTCATGTAGTTACAGACGCATTAATGGTGTGTGGGCATGTCAACGGAGGCCTTGTTGCCGATTGCGTCCTCAGCTCTCCATAACGCGGTCGTGGTCTGCAGGGGTTGGTCAGCTGCGATTTACCGTCGTGACGCTCTCAGCTGACCTTGTTCTGAGTGTAGAAGTCAATGCCACTGCGGTACGAAAGCACACATTAGTAACATTACTTGCAGAGAAGCCTATAATCAGCATACCTCCGCCCGTAGAACGGGACATCGCCGAGGAAGCTCGCCTTGAATACATCACAGTCAACCACGGCCTCCCGTAACGCAAACCAGGATGACGCACCTTGTTACCGCTCCACGAGAACATTGGCAAAGGCACGGGGATGGGCACGTTAATACCGACCTGCCCCACCTCGACCTCCCGCTCGAACTTCCGTGCTGTTGCGCCGCTCTGCGTGAAGATCGCCGTGCCGTTGCCGTACGGGTTCGCGTTGATGATCGCGAGCGCATCGTCAAGCGTATCTGCTTTCACCACGATCAGGACTGGGCCAAAGATTTCCTCCCTACACCCCGTAAGCGCGAGAATATGCACTGGGAGGACGAGTACGTACTTGTAGCACCGCATGTCAGCTGTCGCCTCGATGACAGTCGGACCGACCCAGTTTCCGTCGGGGTAACCAGACACCTCCAGCCCCCGCCCGTCCAGTGCCACAACGCCTCCCTGTTCTTCGGCAGATGCAATCAGACCGATGATGCGTAGCTTCGCCGCAGGAGAGATGACAGGCCCACTGTCCGTCCGTCAGTCAAATATGTCACGTCAGAAGCTCAGTGAGATGCCCGACGCACAGGTCTGCGCCCTTTTCAAAGCCTTGACTCACGACGAGCTTCTTCGCACGCTCGCATAGCTCTGGCAGCCAACTTTGTGCGTTTCCGACCAGTACGGCTGTGCAGTGGGGTCAGTGTACCGTAGCTGGTAATTCAGGGCCTTCACACATGCCTACGGAAATGGCCATACAACGTTGACCGGCAGCTGTAATCCATGGTGTCAGTATGTGACCATTTGCGAAGAACGGAAACACTTACCGCCAAAAGCAGCACCAATTAAAGAGTTCAGCGCGTGATTCTTGTTTGCTGGATGTTGTTAGTAATTAGCTCTCGATATTCATTGCTTCAGCAATGCGCACCATCTGGCATCAACACGGCATGGTTCTTGGCACCCATATTACACTGTGGACATGGTTTCAACGCTTTCCTCAGTCGAATAAGCACTGCGCACCTGTACACGCTTTCCGGATTTACGCCCTCTGCAACGAGATCAGTTTCCACGCTTCTCCTGCAAACAGATGATCCTACCTTTCATAGATGTGCTTGCCAGCACGGTCCCCACCCACAAAGCTGATTGCCTTGATGGATGGGTGGTCGCAAATCGCATTGACAGTGGGGACGGTTCCGTGCACTACGCTCAAGACGCCGTCAGGCAAGCCAGCGCGTTGGCATAGCTCAGCGATTATCATAGCAGCGCCGGGATCACGCTCGGAAGGCTTCACGATTAGCGTGTTGCCAGTTGCAATCGCCATTGGGATAGTCCACAACGGAATCATCCTACCCTGTTATGAGTGTGTATTCGTCTTTGTGTCCTGATGTGATGCTTACGCAGGGAAGTTGAAGGGGGCAATGCTAGCGCATTTACAGCCAGACATGAGATGATTAGCTACGACAATGGACGTGATCTCACCTTGCGCAAACACCAATCGGTAGTCGTCTTGTCGACGTGTCCATATCCTTGCTAACTTCAATCATGAATCAGTCTGGCAACATAGCTTGCAGAGCCAGGGCGACACACCTTCAATTGTGTCGCCTAAGAGGGCCGTCGGGATATTAGAGGTGGTGTCAACCACCTGGAGACCTCGAAGCACGTCTCCATGGGCATCTGAAAGCTATATTAGTTCACGATATTTCTTTCTCAGCCAGCGTCCTCACCTGCAAGGGTCTTGCCTTGCTCGAGCACGATGCTGCTCGCAATGGCATCCGCATTATTACGTAGTAGATGCTGCAGTCTACACAATATTTATGGCTCCGAATAGTCTCAAATAACCTGTTATACTCACTCCAGAACGAACCGCTGACGAGTTAGGACACTCGACCGGCTCCATGTCTTGAACGCTTCAGAGGCAGCCGCCACGGCCTGATCGAACTCTGTGCTCGTAGTTTCTGGCACCCTAGTCAACAGAGTCTGAGTAGCCTGTGACCACGCATGAGCACCGCCGCACTGTCGGGTAAGGCGATCACATACTGGGTCAACGACGTCGATCCACGCTTGCGCCTTGCTTTCCACAAACTCGCCGCCTATGAAGTTCTTCGTGTTATTTCCCGAAGCACTTGTCCCCTTCCATTCTGAGGATATTTGCTCTGCCTTTGCGCGAGCAGACGCGCTCAGAGCACTCAATGGTGGGCGCGCTGCTGTTGCGAGCGACCTGCGCACGAAGAACTGACCGGAGCGGAGTAGCTGAGCTGGAGACATGACGGTCCAGTTTCAAGTCTGACCCGCTCGGCGGCGTGTGTAAGCGAGGGACTCTGAGCGCCACAACATCCGGGGACGGTCGCCCTTCCGAGGCGCCGAGCGCGCCGTGGAAGCGGGGAGCGGGGAACACGCGCGGGGTCATGAGATCGGCGGAACGACCCACGTGCCTGACGCGTCTGATCGCAGGCGACGTGACGAGTCCAGACCTCCTTGACAACACCGACTCTGCACAGTGCATACATACAACTAACCATGCCACCACCTCCAATTCAAGTCTTTCTCACCACAATCATCTCTTCTCCTACAATTCGCCAACGGCAAGGTCTCTACTGCCGTCGACTGTGCTTACACCCCAGGCTCACGTTCTCTGTGTTGCAGAATATATCCTTCGCGTTTTACAAGTCAAGAAGGTTCCATTCACGTCTTACGACCTAGCTTCGGACGACGAAGCAAAGAAGCTATGGCGGAGGAAGGCTCCACGAGGCTAGTGCTGGTCCGCTCCACATCATCTATTTCCGCGTGAGCAACTGATGTCTCACTTCGCAAACAGACAAGCAGCTACTGCCAGGCATCCTTATTGGCGACGAGTTCCCCGGTGTGAGTGCATATAGATACATGCCACGAAATAACACGTCGCTCACTTCCCATCTTCGTAGGACTTCGAAGCATTGTGCGTCTTACGCACGCCACAGCGCGCCACAATTTCATTAATATGCTGTGTAGCGAGGAAGCTGTCGAGTTCAACGAGCTCGAGCAGTTCCTCCGTCTCAAGGAGGAGTGGAAGCCGTTCGAAGATGACAAGCCTGCACTCCCCGCGCAGCCCGTCGGCGTGGCAGGAGCGTACACGCCCGCACAGATGCATCCCCACCATCAGCCCACACCTTCGCCACAGCCTTCGCCGCTCAAGAGTAAGGCGAAAACAACTGCAAGCAAGGCAAAGGGCTTTGATGCAGGGGAAGAGCTTGGTGATTCCCGGCTGCAGGGCGTCAACGTAACCGATGACGACCTCCTGGCGCTCGTAGAGGAACTTGGCCTCGGAGGGGACGACGCGAGCGACCTTGTGAAGGGCCTCACCGGTGACAGTCATACTCCAGCAGTGGATCAAGAGGCTGCGACAACGAAGGTCGATGCAAAGCCTAAGCCAGACGAGGTGAAGGGCGGGGAGACCAAGCTTGACGAGGGGAAAGAGAAGCTCCAGCTTGAAGAGAAGGAGGACAAGGATGAGATCAGGGAGCGCAAGTCAGAAGAGAGCGCGCAGCCCAAGCTAGAAGAGACAAGCGAGTCGACTTAGAAGTCGAGACGTGGAACCTTCGCGAGTCTTCATTTTGCCTCTTTTCGCGTAGTGTTGAGCATACAACACGCGATAGCTATCATTTTGGACCTCTTCATTTAGTACAACGGAATATGGATAGGATTGCGGGTATGGGGTAGGAATAGTGGGTACGTTACCCTGCGTCAAAGCCACAACCACTGCAGGTACAATTACAATACTGGAACATTCATCACACAACAGCCCACCTAGCGGATGTCCGAGAGAAAATGGGATTATCACTAGTCTCCGTCTCTTGCAAGATCCGGTGCAGATGCCCGCGATCGCCGCCGACGAAGTGGCAGAAAAGGCGTCGAGTCCCAAATATCGATAGACCCCGACCCTGGTGTCATTGCGATAGATCGTTCGGTGTCATCGTATTCGGTTCCCTCTTGCGCTCGTCTAAGCATTTCCTCCATGTGCGCTTGATAGTCTTCACCCGTCAATGGCCCTTGTTGCAGATTCAGCTCAGGGTCTAGCGGGTCTAGCTCGATCTCTAGCTCCTGCTTGACTCGCGGCTCCTGCTCAGTTTGCGGCTCCTTTCAGAAGAGTTAGATTGCTATTATATGTATGGAGAAGAAACCTACCGAAGTTGGCGTCGTGACCGAGTCGGGTTCGGTCACGCTTCTGCTCTTGCTCCTGCGCATATTGGATCTCTGCGTGCGCTGCTCGTCTGAAGTGGTAGCGTTTGGGTTAGGGCGTTGTCGTGGACGCCTGCGTATCCTTGGTGGCGGATCATTGATGTGGGGATCACTGTTGAAGCGAAGCTCGAGGGCGGGGAGGAGGCAGGAGGCCAAAACGACGAAACCGATGAAAAGAAATGCGCATGCCGCGGCAATAGCTGAGATGATCGGGAAGCGAGCGACCAGACCTCTGTGGGCATATATGCTTTAGACAAAGTCGAATGTTGTCATGTATCATTGCTTACCTGACGCCCTGATGTACAACTGTGCCGCGGAGCACTGCAGATAGAACACTCAGCTCGCGGCCTTCGCCGTTACCGATGCCTTTCCATTGGTCTTGGCGCCCGACCTCCACGCGCGCAATGGCACGCGACGTGTCAAGGGCAAACCCACTTAGCAGATGCACGGTCAGATCCACCGTGCCGGGCCAATTATACAGAAAGGACCATGGTGCCGAAGAACGCGGGGGAACCATGGACTGCGCAGAAGTCAGAGCAATGTATCGAGGCTTACAATAACGTTCTCACAGGTTTGCGGATATATGCAAGGGTCCTATTTGCGGGAGTCGTAATCATGAGAGAGGTCATGAAATTCCCAAGGGCATAGTTGGGTTCGGTAGCCGGCACGAGAAGATGGAGGGAGACATCGTATGGCTGGTACGTAATTATGGTTGACAGAGGGATCTCGGCGTATGGTGACATACCATCCCTGATGTATGTCAGTGAGGCTGAGTGCGTGAGAGGTGGGTGCTGCTTTACGTACCCGTACTGCAAAGGCAACTCTAGTTCCCAGGCAACAGCAGCGCTCCTCCACACAAACCATCCCGCGGAGATAGACAAGAGCGCGATGACAGGCAGAGACAGCAGAAACACAGCCAGTGGGATGAGGTTGGGCGTATACGGACTCACGAACTTGAATATGGCCGCCATGATGTCGCCTAGCAGCTTTATGGGATAGTGAAGCGGAAAAAAGTACTCTCCCAAATTGTCGGCGTCATTGATGATCCGCTGCTTGAGCTGGGCTTTATCCTCGGTGTTGGCGAATCTCTGCTGTGTAGGGGAGTCCATGGTCGCTGATGTTGAACATGAAGGAGGCTGACAGGGCTCGACTGCGAGTTCGACGCGTCGACAGCTCGAACACGCGAGCCGCTCGTTTCTGCCCGTGGACGTCATCGCACGTGATTCTGCGCACTCTGACCGCGACAACGATCATGGCGGACGCTGCAGCTGCATCGCTCGACATCAAGCAGCTCCTCGGACGGACTCCCTCGTCTCTTGAACTCTCTACTTATCTCTTAGCGTTAGCCGCAACAGTGTCTAAGCAGGATGTGACAATCCCGGACGTCAAGTCTTATTCTGACGCGGTGTACTTCAATTATTTCATGCTGGGCCTCAGCTTGCTGTTCAAGCCAATCAATGGGTATAAGCCGAAGACTAACGTAAAACGAGAGGAACTGAAGGATGCGGATCTGGTGCTAGACGGCGTCGATGTGTACAACGTCCCGACACCGAAAGCCGCCCCTGCGTCTGGGAGCAAATTGAAACCAACTCATGCCACCTATCCAATATCTCCTCTAATTCTATCATTGTCTTCGGAGTCTTCGGAGAATGACTCTAAGCAACGCCCTGCGCAAATGACCATAAACCCCGGAACTACTGGGAAGGAGTTCGTCGAGACAATGGGCGAGCCTGATCGCAAAGGCGGCGGCGCAGGTCCCTCCTCCGGGTCGATCGGCATCTGGTGCGAGTGGTCGAAAGACGGTGTGATGGTTGAGTTTGGCGGAGATGAAAGCAGAGGCCCGCAAGCATGGGAGCGCGGCAAGGATGCGGTGTGGAAGGTCGTCACCATCTTTCCACCAAAGTAGGCATGAGTTATTGTACAATTGGGAGGGTGAGTGGATATATACACGATAGCACGATCCGGTTATAACTTATACAGCACTCTGGTATCCATCTATCCGCAGAGGGGTTTTGGACGGGCTCACATTCACAATGGTCCCTCTGTGCGAATCCGTATCAGCTCTGAACCACAACCATCGCCTCAAACAACTCACTGTAGTCATAAACAAGACGAGACTGGACTTTCTCTCCCTTGGACCCAGTGAAGGAGACATGTCGCACATGTCTCTTCTCGCCGTTTATGTACTCAAATCCCCATGTCTGTACGTATTTAGCTGAGGGGTTCCAGGCGTCATGAGATGTGCCAAATACTCACCTGAACAGCGTTCCAAACAATCCCATTCTTCTCCGCATCGCTGTCCGCATCGGTATACACGATGTCGAAGCTTGCTGTATCCTCGGTCCAGCCGCCCCTCAACCAGTCGTTCTTGATCTCTTTCAAAGGCACACGTTTCGTTTTAGAGATGACAATACCGAAGACATCATCCTCATGCGAACGTTGTTGCCAGTCAAGAATGCGATCCTCGTTTGTCGTTGCAAGCCCTGACAGACTCTGCTCGATGTCGATATGCTCTATGGACGCGTCGTCGACGTAGTGCTTGACGTTGAGATACAGGGTGCCAGCGCTGATGATCTTGCGCTTAAACCAGCCGACGCCTTGTAGTTGCAGGATCTCGTCGGTATTCGTGCTTAGTGCTTTATTCTATGGTGCGCAATTACATCAGTGACGTACATGAATTGGACTGCGACCAGCTGCCTGACCATTGTATATTTACCAGTAATATTCATGACGGTCATATCCGGTGGAACAGCCATTGTGAATGTCGAGTATGAGTGGGTGGACGTGGCAGAAAACGGTTGTGAGGAGACACTGCGAAGCGACGTTGGGCTATTTATGAACTGATCAGATCTAGGTCCTGCGCCCGTAGCCGCACAGGTGGATCGGAGCTGCCAACATCAATCACGATTGTAAACACATACACGCACAGGCTGTGCGTGTCAGCGACCAGCACCAGCTGCTGCAGCTTGAACGGCCTTACGCCCTCTCTTGTGGCAACGAGAGTTTTGATTGGGTGCTTGAGCTCCGGCGCGCTATTCCTGTATGTTTGGTCTCATGCTATAGACTCTGTGAGAGATCCAGCCTCGCAAGTATGTTTAACGCAACGGAGGGGGCTCACGCTGGCTATGTGAGACATCGCCGCGGTTACAGGACTGCGCGGGATCATGAGCGCCCCACAACCTCTCGTGCCTCCTGACAACACCGTGCGCCGCATCAGGTTTCGCGCATGTCGCTCGCATAGCCTACACCCTGCCTACACCCATCTACTAGTCTAGCCGCTCTTTAACCATGGAGTCTGCTTCTGTCACAAGCTCATCTCGGACCGCTCATGTTGATACCGAATTCGACTACAGCAGAGCCGCCGAAACGCCATCGAAGCTACCCACGGATGCGTTCCAACTTGAAGAACTGACCTCGACATCACGTCCGTGGCATGGAAGGCCCAGTGGGGTTCTGGCCTCGAGATTTCCTCGTCTGGCACGCTTCGTGCGGTATCTCAGGGGGCCCCGCCCAAAGGTCGATCTGCCTGGTGAGGCTATATCTGTTCCCCTGAGCTCTTGGGTACGTGCTCACTCCGATTGGTCGCAGACCCAACTCCCTTCCTGAACCTTACCCTGCACGGCGGTCGCCGTTCGTACAGTCTTGCGCTTGAGCCCGCCCTCGTTCGTGCAGCTCGCCCGTTCAGGAACCCATGGTTATTCGTGGTCCTCGCTGCGGGATACATCATCGGCTTCGCTTTCTTCGCCCGTGCGCAGTCGTATCTGACCCCTGCAGACTCGTTCATCAGTTGTACATCGACGTACTGGGCTGCCAATAATGGATGCGGGCTAGATGGGGAGAACTGCGAGCCGTTCAGTAACTCGACGTTTGACTTCCGGTGTCCAGCCTCGTGCAGTTCTGTAGTACTGCAGAACCCACGGACAGTGGGCGATGTACAAGTCGATTGGGTTCCGCTCATTGTGGGCGGTGGAGATGACAATCGAACATATCGAGGAGACACGTTCCTTTGTGCGGCAGCAATCCAATCGTGAGTACTTCGTTTCCATTTTTGCCATCGTCTCCCGACGCCGAACTTACACCACTGCCATCTATAGTGGCCTTATTACCGATTCCAAAGGCGGTTGCGCGTCTCTGGCGTTAATTGGAAATTACACAGACTACCGCCCCTGGACAGCCAATGGTCTGACCTCCATAGGCTTCCCCTCTGTCTTTCCCCTCTCCTTCCAGTTCTCGCCTACGACGCCTCTGCATCATTGCACAGACCTCAATACACCTGCGCTTGCCTTCAATGTCGCGGTTACAGCGCTCATCTTCCTTGTCTTACGTCCCAAGCCCATCGTGACCTTTTGGAGCCTTGTTTGCATCGGTTTTTGGCATGTCGCGCTCTTTTCAGAGCCCATGGCAACACCGCCGCCGTTGGATCAGGCCTTCCAGGCCTTTCTTCCTGCGTTGTTTGTAGCGTACGCATTTTGGAGGCTCGCATTTCGCTTCACATTGCCAGCGTTCCGAAAAGCACCTATAGAGGCTGCCATCTGGTACCTCCCAACGTTTTGGGCTGGTGTCTTGACGAATAAGACAATGGACAAGATACCCATAGAACGCCTTACTGGCTCCGACCTCAAAACGCAGCCAGGCGCTATCACCGCACTCATTGTTATTGTCGTCATAATCCTGGTCATTGTCCTCAATCAGATTCGTGTCATACGCAAAACTGGATGGCTACCATACTATTTGGGCTGGTATGTAGCCGGCGGCCTCACAGCTATGGTATTGGCGCTGTTGCCTGGACTGGAGTTCCGCCTACATCATTACATTCTTGCCATGGTCCTCATCCCTGGGACCGGGCTCCCGACTCGGTTGTCGGCTATATATCAAGGTTTCCTCCTAGGCATGTTCCTAAATGGGGTGGCGGCTTGGGGCTTTGCATCGATTCTGCAGACCGCAGCTGACGTGAGCGCATGCGACACGTTTGAGTAATTGTTATGTACTGATGCGACTTTTTACAGCTACAAGGAGACGGTGCTTCGGGCTCGGCCATGCCCTCTTTCGTAACGAGCTCTATGAATTGGAACGTATCGAGCCCTCTCCACGAGCAAACCATATTTTGGACATCGCTTCCAGATGCGAGCGAGGGTTGGACGGGATTCTCCCTGATTGTCGACGGTGTTGAGCGATACGTCGGGACGGCTCTCAACTTCTCGCTCGCTTCGTTGCAGGCGGGTCTGCCGCATTTCTTCCGCCTGGCCGTAAGTGTCGTGTCTTATGCGGCATATGTGGTGTAGCAGCTGACCTCGTCTTGATCGTCAGTACGTCGATTCGGATACCAGTTTGACAGGTGATTACACGATGCCCGCAACTTTGTGGCCTAATGGGTCGTGGGTCGACCCTCTTCCCGGGACTTCTACATGAGCCTATCAAGCTCTTTAGCGAACGTTCGTATCTTATTTCTATCTGCATGTACATTACGGTCATGGTGATACCTTACATTGTGTGTTCATATCCATCTCGAATTCCACGGACTTTAGGACAACAAGAAATCCTTCTGGCTCGGGAAGCCGCAGCACCTATGAGTGCGATAATGACCCGGTAGAAGCACGAGAGATCTGCCCATCGTGGATGTCTCAAGAACGGCAGCCCAGACTCGCGGTGGAGTCCTGTGGCCGGAGCGTAAACGATCATTCGGTCACGTGCAAATGGGCCTCTTATGCCGATCTCAGATTTAAAGCGGCCTACCCAACTCTCACCGCTGCCACCACCGTCCGCTTGAGTGGCAACGACCGTCTCTGTCTCTGTCTCAAGCTTCCTTTATTGTAATCCACCCTACTGCTTATTATTCTACGATGCCTCGACGCAGCGGGTCCTCACGATCTTCAGTATCCCTACCCCCACCAAGAGTCAAGGACAGAGAATGTACGCTCTTCTTATTTGTGATTTGAGCCACTCACCGACGATACGATTGCACGACTTGTAGACTTCCGCCGCGCTGACGACCAGGGTCGGTGGCTTTGTACTGTTCCCGGATGCGCAGCGAAGACAAAGGCCATGACGGTGGCGGATGCCGCCCTTCACTCTCGCAGCACGGAACACAAGCGTCATCGTGCGAAGCTCGAGCCGAAGGTCGACACCTGGAAGCAAGATGACTCTGGCTGGTATGTAGATATCACACCAGACCCCGAGCATCAACGCGCATGGGAGCAGCAAGGACGGGTGGATCAATTGAAGGATATGATCCCGTTCTGGTTGGAAGGGGTTATGGCTGCAGAGCGAGGCGAGGAAGCGGGGAGGATGGAAGAGTTCCTTGAGCGGCTCGAGGAACAGTGGAAAGGGCTGAATGAGTGGGGCCTGCCCGCAGACGATGGATGGGGCCATGACACAGGCGAGAACGTCTGGGGCGTTAACAACTGGGCAGCGGCGCATGAAGCTTGGATGCCTGGCGCTACCTGGGACATACCAGAAGAACCTCAGGAGGAGCCTGTGCAGTCGGTGTGGGGCAAGCAGGCCTCTGGCTGGGATCAGCCAAATCAGGCGTGGGGTGAGCAGGCTTCTGGTTGGGATCAACCTGATCAGGCATGGGGTGCTTCGACCCCGTGGTCCGACAAATCCGGGACAGAACGCGAGACAAAGTCTCGGCCACGGCGAACGCATAACGGTGAGAACCGTGATGCATGGCAGTTTGTGGAGAGGGTCGCGACGAAGGTTGAGGCAAACGCTGAGCAGCGACAGCGAATGCATCAATTCTTCGAGGTGAGCGAATCGTAACCTTTCACATATCTTGCATATATGTTAACCTCACTGCGTTCGCAGATGCCCACTCAACAAAAGGTGCAGAAAATCCGAGACGTGATCCGTTCCCTCCAGTCTCCTGCTCAGTACGACTAAACTACCTGCCGAGCATCTCTCCTGTCACGATCATCACGACTCGCATATGCTATCCACATCGCTAGTTACCATCATGTACTGTACTATATACACATTGGATGTACATTACTATCATCGCAGGTCCTATCAGTGGTTAACAAATAATTCGCATCACTCATGGTTCACTCCTTGCTGTACTATACTCAGTTCACGGCATCGTCCGGTAGGTTCGCGAATTCGACTATGTACTTGATGAATGGGGGATCGTCGTGCGTACCGGTTTGTTCCATGGGCCCCTGTCATAGCGCGCATGCAACCTTTTTGTGGCGAGAGACCGCAGTCAAGGTTCAAGGCACTGTTTTGGCCCGAAATGCAATGAGGCGTGACATCGGCGGCACAGTCATCAGTGGAGCACTGCCCCCTTCATTCACCTCATAGATATAGAACCATCTCGCAGTGTGGTCCGGCCTCACAAATCTTTCTCATTCGCTACTTCACATTCGACATGAGTTCGCCAACGCCCTTGCCAGCAGGCTGGATCCAAGAATATGACCCTCGGACCAAACATCCATTCTGGGTGAGTAATGCCTCTCGAAACTGTCGCCAGAAGCTGACTTCGCGGCCTGCAGGTAGACACTAAGGCCGACCCACATCGATCAATATGGGTGCATCCGTACGAGGACGAGCGGTTCTTGCGCGAGCACCCAGAAATTCGCGACAAATTGGCTGCGGGTGGTTTCTTGCCACCGAGTGATCAACCGCCGCCGTACTCTCCCAGACGTCATTCATTCTCCGGCTCCTCTTCCTCGAGTGGCGGTCTTGCGGTCCCAAAGATGGACGGCCGGAACGCAACATCACAGCCGGGAACCCCAGGCGACTCGAATTCGCAGCAGCAGCATAGGGGCATGTTCGGGAGGCTGAAAGACAAAGCCATCGGAACTAAGGAGGAGAGAGAGGCCGCAAAGAGACAGGAGACTTTGGTACGTTTGGTGGTTGGAGGATTTGTGCGGACAATGCTGAGGGACGGTACTTAGCTGAGACAACAAGAACGGCAGCGACAGCGACAGCGGCTCGTGGAACAAAGACAATGGGAAGCTAGAGAACGCGAGGCACAGCTCGAAGCTATGCGTCAACAACGCATGAGACCTTCGTCAAGTTCATACGACCGTTCGGGATACGGGCAGCCAGCATATGGCCCACCTCAAGGTGACCCGTTCACCTACAGGAGCGGATTGGGCGGTTACGATAGGTTCGGCGGCAGAACCGGATACGGGGGCCGCAGAGGGTTTGGCGGTTTCGGTGGTAGCAGCGGTTTCGGCGGTAGCAGCGGTCTCGGGGGTGGATCAATGGCAGTACCAATACTGGGTGGTCTAGCGGGAGGTCTACTTCTCGGAGACCTTTTGGGCGACTTCGGCGGCGGCGGCTTTGGCGGCGGCGGATTCGACAACGGTTTCGGTGGCGGTGGTTTCTTCTGATTGTGTTGTGTCGCCGACGATTTTGTAACTGTAGTTTTCTAGTATCTTGGATGACATACACCTCGTAGTCCACACGGGCCTTTCGTCGGCAGCGATCAAGCAGAACAAGATTCATTCGACTGTCCCAAGATGTGACAGCAGAACGCGCGCTGCAGTCACGCAGCGTGACTGTGCCCGTCTCGCGGTGTATACCAGCCACCAGCCTGCCGGAGGCGAATTTGCATGGCTTGGTGGATTGTCTGCTTCATTGGTTTCTCTGCGTCGTATCTTGCACCACTTTCCAGACATTGCTGCCTGCCAAAGCACGGGCTCATAGGCTGAATCTTCATGGCACCGACGCTACCATCTTCGCTTAGTCCTCATGTCTGCATACTGTCTTCACCAGATGTGCATGAACTGTTTGAGAGTTCAGGACTTCCGCCAATCGCGCAAACGCTGCAATCTTTTGTTCCCCTACCCCAGGGTATGTCACGCAGAACGTCCATGTATCACCGACCTTGTGCTGACGGCGTTGACATACTCTGTACACTGCTAATGTCCTACGTGAAACACAGTGACCACACGCACGACGTCCCTGACATCAGTATCGCACAATTCATTTGCTCTGCGATTCTCGGATCTGGTTGAAATTGAAGCAGCTTCTCACGAAGATGAAGAACATCGTGCTGCAAGGACGATGGATTGGGTCAGTGCCCGTGTGGGGCACCGTGCTATTGACTGGGTTCAAATGTTGGAAGCACAAGCCGCGAGTGGGAAAGAGAGTGCTTGGAAGGACAAAGCGCCATGGTGGGAGGAGCTGAAACGATGTATAGAGGGCGACCATATCCCAAATAGCGACGAGGGATGGAACCATCCGGTTGCCCGTGCGTCTGGTGGTTTCATTGCTCTGTACGTATACCAACTGATTAATTCCTACGCTATGGTCTATCAATGCAGTCATTTTGGCCGTCACAACTCTTGCCGTGAATCCCCTCCAAGCGCTCCAGGACCTGAATTCTCGCGCTTTCGACTTTCCACCATGGGTCGATACTACTCACATGCGGTATTATCTGATTTTGCACCCCGCAAATTCACCTCTGGCCGATCCAATGTATGCGGTGCTCTTGGTGTGATTAATGTGTACTGATGAAATATACTTTACTTCTAGTGCGGAGGCTCTATTCAATGCTGTGAAGAAGCAGTATGGCCTGCACAGTTACCTTCTCCCCTTGGCACTCCCTACCGATCCATTACCGGCTCCAGTGCCAGTCCCGCCTCTGGCACCTCGCCTTCCCTTACCGCCATCCGTTGCTACGGACACGCCACCTCTGGCACCTCGCCCTACCCCGGCCGCCCTCGCTCCCCCTCACACTCCTAGAATGGTGATGTCACCGGTACCGCGTTCACCAGGCCCATCGATGCTGGCCACAGGTCAGCGTCAGGACGCATCGGCAGCAGCCCCTGCTGGCCACTTCGTACGCCTGACCGAAGGTGACATTCAACAGACGGGAAAATTCGTCCGTGAATTTGTTGTGATGAGTCTTGTTCCCTGGATGGAAAAATGTGTGATGGATTGGAATGAAAATGTGGGCGCGCTATTCTCATGCATACAACCATATTCACGATAAGCCCGTAGTTCTCGTCGTCGCGCCGTCTTCCATCGCGCCTATTCTCCTCCACTCGCCGACTCTTCGGTACGTCCGCTGCATCTGCGGCGTCGACGCCAGCATCACCCGCCCACGGCTCGAATCCCTCAATATCGTCTATGCCGTCACGCTTTTCGCACGCACCTAGCGGTTCTATCTCCTCTATTGCATCGGTGTCATCTATCGGCACAGCTAGTGGAGGTACGATCACTCAGCAAAGGCGGCTCGCCGAATTTGCTACCATCCTTGGAGACTACAAGCTCGCCATCGCTGTATGGGAAAATCTGCGCAAAGAGGGACGGGGAGGATCAGTGCGTATATGTAAATCGCATCAAGGGTCTACTCATTTGCGAAATGGCACAGGATATTCTTCCTCTACTTCTCTCGTCCTCTCCTGCGCTAGCGTTGCATGCTGCGCATGCATTATCGACACTGCGCTCACAAACGCACAGCCATCAGCCGGTGCGAGCCCCGGGACAAGCACAAATACGCGCCATTTCATACGCAGTAAGATGGGCCATTGGGATTGACAAGAACGACTTCATCAGCCCTGCCCTGGAGGGCGAGAGATGGCTAGTCCAGGCGGCCGGAGGTGTACGTCTCACTTGTCGTTGTCACGTCCCAGTCCTCTACTCTGTCCGCACGTATGCTTTACGCAGCAGTGTAAGGGGCGGCCAGAGTAGATGACTGTGATAGTCGTACTTGTGCAGGCTGATGTAACTAAGGGCTTATCAAGGCAGAAGAACCTCCTGCTGCCATCATGCTATCTTATGCCGCGTACCTCAGCGAAAAGAAGGGTGCTCGCCGAAGATCTGCTCTATGGTTCCTATATGCGGCTGACAGACTGGAGAAGGGTGGTATTGTAAGTACTTCCGAGTGCGTCAAACGCTACCACTCACGTTGACGACACATAGAAACCACTTGCGATGCATTTTTTCCGGAGGGCCCAAGAGCTATATTTAGCTCGGCGGCCAAAAGAGCTATCGCCCTCGTTCTGGGACAGTGAAGGTGTAGATCCTGATAGTTGGCCAGGGTTTGAGTCGGTACTTCCTGGAATTGAGCATGAGCTAGGTGCATATATTGAGTCAATAAATGTATTGATCCCTGGCTGATAACGCTAACAGGTCGATTGGTATACACTATGGGCGATACTGAGGGCGCTGTGCGATACTTCATTGGGCTCCTCAGGCGACCCTCAGTCTCAAGTGAAATCCCACATGACCAAGTTCAGGTCGGTAGCGACGGTTTAATCGAAGCAGAGATCTCACCCGACAAGGTCTTCCTGGAAGATTTCCGTGTGGCCTTGAAGGTGCTCAATATGATATCAAGTACCAGTATTCGTTGACCAACTCGTTATAATCACAGCACTTCAAGGATACAAAAGGCGATCGATGGGAAGGTGTATCCCTCACGTTACCGGTGACCTTCTGTCAGGCTAAGCAAACTAGAGTGCGCTTCCCTGGCGATACATTTGAAGGTGATCAGACCGAATGGGATATGCGGGAAGAGGATTGGAGGAAGTTCTGGGCTTCCCGTGGCAAGGAGAAGCTCGAACGAAATAGTAAGGCTGCTGTGGATGGTAAGAGTCAAATGTTGCATTCTTCATTCTGAAATTGATCTATTGAGTCAGAGAATTTCTGGGTCGATGTCGTGATGCGCAATCCGCTCAACGTGGACGTTACGCTCTCTGGCCTTTCCGTCACTGTGAGTGAGGCATCCGCCGAAAATGCAGAGACATTCAAGGACGAAGTGGAAATCGAGATCATTGACGACATTACCTTGGGAGCGAGAGAGACTCGCACAGTACGTTCTTTATCGCATCGCAATTCAGTTTTCACTATTTATACGGCATGCAGATCCCAGTCTCTGTAAAATGCAAACGGAGGGCCTCATTGCTCATTACTCATGTCAACTATGACTTTTTGTCGTTGCTCCCAGTTACCGAGTCTCTCGCAGTACGTGGTCAACGCCTTCACGATACCCCCCAACAGAGACAAAGCAAAGCATATGCTCCGGACATAGTGATTAGAGTAGAAGTCGAAGAAGCTGTCCAACGTCTGCATGCTACCTTCATCGATGACGGGCATCTCGTCCTAGCTCATGGCGAGCATAAACACTTGCGCTTATGGATTTCGAATACTGGCTCCAGAAGTATCGGCGAGCTATGGATGGTTACCGGAAGGCAGGATGAAATCTGGATCAATGCGAAGGATTCCAGTCACGCAGGTGACTTCGTCTCAATTCTGAGTGTCTGCAGCGTCTGATATTGGTACAGGCCCCTCGCAGGGTCTTTCCCAACCCTCCGAGATCTTACAGTTATCGAACTCTATTTCTCCTCAGACGCCATACCAAGTTCCGTTGGCAAATCTCCATGGAGCCTCTGAGCTTGCACCTGGAGAGAGCTTACAGCTCACCGTACTTTTGCATGCATCCTACGTGGCTGAACAAGATCTGTCCCTACTGTTTGTCTTCCGAGAGGTGAATAGTTTAAGCATGACGCGTTTTCTGCCTGACGCTAACGGTACGCAGGCAAATGGATCGCCATTCCACTGTACACGACTATTACGACACTACGAAGTAAGACCAATTGCCAAGGTCGCCGTTTCGTCACGGCCGAGCGGATCATTGTCCCACTTCTTCTTGTTAGACATAGATGTGGAGAACATTTTAGAATCCGACAGTGTGCAGATAACGCAGGTCACTACCGTCAGCCCGATTTGGTCATGTAGACCACTTGGAAGAAGTCATATGTAAGTCTTGGTGCATGTCGCGTACCCCACATACCTCTAATATTTTGCAGCGATACCATCTCGCCGCACCAGATCGCGAGACTAGAACTAGGTGTCAGTCCGTGGTCAGAAAGATCGCGTTCCGAAGACACGATGCAGTTCATTGTTCGCAAACTCGGAGATGTTCTTCAAGGCAATCAACCAGAGCCCACTGATCCCCCTCCACTAGACCTCCTCTGCGGACATGTTTCTGCGGTCCGTTTAGTTTCAACCACCCTCATGCAGACTTGTTGACTGATCCACTGGTTTAGGTGGATAATATCTACTCGCTCACTACCCCATTCCTCCAACACTTCATACATTCAGGCAGACGGAATCACTGTGTCCACTCGGCTGCCTCATCGCATCCGTACATCCCGGCTGATACCCACCAGCACATCTTTCCACTCTACCATCCTTGGTCAGTGGACGTCGTTCTCTTCTGGGACATCCCTATGGAGGGTCGCTCGGGACACATCTTGATACCAGGCTTGACGATAGGAGCAAGCCATGCTCCTCTCAACGAGCTCATTGACGCTGCTGAAAGCGCCAAGGCGAAACGGTCCATGTATGCTGAGACGCACCACGAACGCCAAGAAATCCTGCGCGCCGTGAGGGAATCAGAATGGAATGCAGAGATGGATCCTGTCGTTGTAACACTCTTAGCTCCTGGAACAATCGAGCACGATTTCTCCGAGGGGTATGTCTCCGATCATGATTCAAGGGGTTTAGCTGATTTATTCGTCATCAGGCCTTGCAACGTCGCCGTCTCCTTCGTCCTCCGTAACTTCTCGTCTACCAACCCATGTCGTGTTGTTCTTAAACTGTCTTCTGACCTCGTCAGCCCGCTCACTCTGTGCGTGTATAACATACACTTCTCAATGATGATCACTCATGCACACCGTTCACAGGGAGCTCCTGCCTCCTCGATACGCGGGCCGCCTGACATATCGCGCCGTACTGCAACCGTTCGAATCAGTCACCTTCCCAGCCAAGGTCTGGACAGCACGTCCCGGGGCCTTTGCCGTAGAGGGCTGGACAGTCGAGACGGAGGTCGGAGAGCTAGCGTCTCCTCCACACGGCGACGCGGAGTCTGCTGCTGTGAAAGCAGCCGATCCATGGAGGTCAAGACACTTCCGATATGTACAGGGTTCGCGACCAGAAGACCGGTGTTGTATCATCGTCTCAGACACTGAACGACAAACGCAGTATATATAGCAGTGCGTCGACGTAACTTATTCCCTTGCGTGTTCGATGAATGGAAGACTACATACTCTGTGATTGTGTGCTAAAAGGGACAGACAACATGAGAGAAATCAATGGCCTGTGAGCATGTGGTGCGGCGATAGTGCGCTCATGACAGGTCTGTATAACTACAGAACACGCAATAGCATTCTTGGTTCATCCTTCACCATCACAACCAGAGCGAAAGATGAGAATGCGCAGGTAAAATAGCGAGAGGGAGAGGGTTTACGCGGCGGACTGTAGACGAGGAGCGAAACTAGGCAAGTCACTCCTTCTTTTCTTCCTCGTCCTTCTTGGCTTTCGCCTCCATCGCCATGCGGATCTTCTTCAGCTTTGTGTTGAAGTATGTCTGGAGGATGGGGCATGAGCGACAGGCAACGATGAGGAACAGCACACTCACGCCAGTGCAGAATTGCACCAGGTTGATGAAGGGTACCCATAACTCAGGGGCAAGGTAGCGTTGCGCAATAACCATCGTCAGAGGCAGCGTCATCCATGTCACCTGCAACGCCTTGAAGAAACCTGCCTTGAGGGTCTTCGCAACGTCGTCGACACTTCGCGCGCCATTGATGATCGCGGTAAACGTCAAGTACACTGGTCCACCGGACGGTGCTTGTCAGCGGCGCATCACAGCATACAGAGACCCCTCATCGCAGGGTAAGGAGAGTGCCACGGACCTGCTACCTGGATGGGCGCGACCACTAGGTTCCCGAGGAGCAGCTGGCCGATCTTCGCCGCCAGGCTCGTCTTGCCCGCGAAGAGCTTTTGCACGAGGCCGACGAGCGTGTGGCCGAGCGGTGCAGACACGCAAAAGCCATACAGCGCCATCTTGTAAGCCTTCGGGTTGATCTTCGCTGCCGCGAGGGCATGCGCATACGCCGGCGCGTCCTTGGACACGCGCGGCGCCCGCTCGCCCGCAAGATGCGTCGCGAGCACCTCCTGGAGGAACTGCAGCACGCCTGTCGAAGTTCAATGGACAAAGGCTGGCGGTCAGCAGTCAGGGGGACACGGTATGAATGGCCCGCGGAGATACGCGTGTGGACATACTGGTCGTGATCGCCTTCGTGCGCAGGGGGTGCGCGGCGAGCGAGGTGAGGTAGGCCGCGAGGAGGGGGCTGATCTTCTTGGGGGCGGCGACGGTGCTCATGGCGGACGAGAGCGTTGCTCGAAGGGGTGGTAGGTGCCAAGAGAGCTAGTGTGAAAGAGGCTCATATGGCTGTCGCACACTCCCATGATGAGCCTGGCTGCGAAATCACGGGGAGGAACCGTTGGGGCTAGTCTAGGAGGCGCGGGAGGGTTGCCGGCCACCTGAAGCTTGCATGTCGACCCCGCTGTAATCACGGTCCCCAGTACTAGTGAGGTGTTTGGGGAGAAGCCTGTCGTTGAGTATTGCACACTGTGTGCACGAGCGGTGATCATCTACGCGCGAGATCTCACTACCAGGTCCAACCAATGACAGTGCGTAAAAGTCATTCCAGATTGTTATAAAGCATGTACGATAGCAACAGATAACTACTGGTATTCGGTCCAAGATGACCCAGTCCACATAGATGTCTAAGCAATATGAGCAATAACGGTATGCATCGACCACAGCATCTAATTCTTCTTCACCCTGCACGCAAAGCATTCAGCGGTCAAGAAAGAATAACAGACATTCATGCCAGTACGTACCAGACCTTCACGTAGTCCGCAAAGGACACCATGCAGATGGTTTGCCAGATGCCGAGACCTATACGGGGGGTAACGCCGCGGTAGAGACCTTTGATGCCGTTCTCTTGGTAGACATACTTCAGTGTGTTGAGGATCGTGACCTTCTCCGGACGGTTAGGGTTCGCCGACTTCGCCATGGATTGCATCTGAACCAATATTGTCAACGTCCGGATCCCACGCGGGACATAAGCACATACCTCTACTCGGACGACCTCAATTGGCTGGTTCCAGGTCGCGAGGGCACCGCCGACTGTGGATGAGAATATCTTCTCCAGTGCACTGAGCTTCTCAGTCTCAGTCTTGCCCTTGACTTTCCGGATGGTGGTCTCGGCTAAACGCGCGAATCCCATGCTGATGCACTCAACGCTGTTAGCTGGACCTCCTCGATGAGCATTGTAGCACTACTGACCGAGAACCCCAGTTGGTCATTTGTCGTACGGCGACGGCGTTGACGCCCTTGTTGATACCCTTGATACCCTCCCGACGGTAGATGTCCATGAACACCGCCCAGGTCGATGGGGGGTTCACGCCTGATACTGCCTGCTTATGCCGCGTGATCTCTGCCGTCTTCATACATGTGCAGAAACCTGGCGGTATGTATGGATGAGCTACCAAAGCGAGGGCACCATGCACTTGCAGACTCACCCATAGTAGCATATGCCTGGGCAACACCACCGGTCATACCGCCAATGAGACCAGCTGCAGCCGGGCTGAGTCCCATGTTGACCGTCGCGCTCTCTACCTCCGACGCGGTGAACAGCAAGACTGCGCCCTTTGTCGATGCCTCAATCCATGCCTGTTACACCTATCAGTATCACGAGCCTCTGCGGTCTCAAGCCAGACGAACCCATGGAATGAGACCCTGGTAGAAACCCAAGGCACCACCGCGACCCCAGATCGTCTGGACCGCCTGGAACATAGATTGCGATCGCACGGCAGCCATCTGGGTCTTGAGGACCTCTAGAGGCTGTCCTAGTGTCGTGACCTGTATTGCGGCGTGTAAGTCCAGACAGCACGGCGCCAGAACACAGAAGCCCGCTTGCCTCCTGTTATAGATGATCGACGTCAGTCACGATTCCAGCTAAACGGTCGCGAATTGCACACTTACGAACTACGTAGCGAACGCGCAATGAGGGCCATCGAAGGTTAGCATGCGACATTCTGGGGGAGACGCAACATAGCTACCATGTTCATTATGCCGCCTGAACGACCGAGCAGATCAGTATTCACGTGCGAATCGTAGCCACCGACGCGTCGACGCACCGACGGCGATGTTGGACCAGTTGATGCCTTTCTGACCGGGCTCCTTCTCGATGGCCATGGCTGCGAGGTCGTTAGAGAGAGATGGGGAGAAGGAGGGGGAGAGAAAGGGGGAGAAAGAGAGGCCTGAGCTGGCGTGAGCGTGCAAGATATTGGGGAGGGGTGAGGGGCAGCGGCTATTTGGCAGCAGCAAATAGGATGGCTGGGAGGCCGTCCCGTGCGGGGTTACTCTCGCTTGCGGGGTTCCCCATATCGTCCCATTCCCGATGGTACGACCGCTCTCCGTCCGCCTTGTCTGCTGCCTGCATCTCCATATTGTCTGTACTGTGTATTGCAGATGCGGGACGACGATGTGCTCTGCAGTTGGACGGAGTGCTGCTCGATCGAATCTCGCCCCAAACCGGTAATCAGCATAGCCAGGGGCAGCTTCTAACCTCGCCTGGAAACACGTTCTTCGGCTACAACTCGAAAGGCAATCGTCATGATTTCGATATCCTGAGACGGGCCTCGACCTCTTAAGGATATCATCGTGGCGACAGTGAGTGCACGCAGCTCATCTGACCCAGTATTGAATGTGTAATTTCCCTGTTTATAGGCGTCACAAGTCTCCATTGGCTAGCTGTAGCCAATACATTAATTCACTCAAACGCATTGATGGACTTACCCGGGTCGACACCCGTTGGCTTCCTGCCACCGTTTTGCTTGCATCACTGGTCAGTAAGAGAACGCCGGCTGTCATCTTTACGTGTTCCGGCCACCGCGTCCGTCCTGATCGCGTTGGGCCCACCAGGCAGCCAGACGCCCTCACAGCAGTTCGCAGTCTCGAAACCCGACAGTGGGCCGCCCAACTGTCGTGCGGGGCCCTACCGATGTGCACTAGTGGTGCCCGTTCTCTCACGGAAGGGTCGACCGAGCCGCCACCGCCCTGGCTAAATGTGACGTTTTACACAACCTAAAAGGCCCGTAAGACGAGAAATGGGCGAGAGCTGAAACGTTATAAGTAGATGCGCTCTGGCGCGCTCTCGCACATCTTACCGTCCACCCTGTGCATTAACTTCAGGAGCTCGTGACGTTCGCCACAGCACCCTTGTTTGAGACCAAAATTGCAAATTCGACGCCCCAGGTGAGTCTCAGCGGGCCACCTACTTATTGCCCGTGAACTCAACACTAGCCACACTTCAGCACCATGTCTTCCGTCCCCCCAGAACTCAGCGACTACATTATAGACTTTCTGTACGACGATCCTCGGGCACTGGCAGCTTGCTCACTTGTCTGCCGTGACTTCCTGCCTACCGCCCGTTTTCACTACTTTTCCAGCATCCCGTTATACGGTATTAGGCGATATGTAAGCTTTGCCAAGCTGCTCGAAGGATCGCCTGCACTTGGACGGTACGTCCGCGAGGTGAACATTAGAAGCCTCACTCCAATCCGTCCGGGCGAGGTGCCGCTCGTGGAGAAACCCCTGCCCAACATTGTGGCGCTTCTGCCACAGATGAAGACCCTTGATATGTCGTCGCTTGATGTCAGCAACGCGGTGAAGACAGTGCTCACCCAAGCCACTCCTGTGACCGAGTTGCGCGTGCAGTATTGCGTCTTCCCTTCCTTTGACGACTTTGTCGAGCTCTTCTACTCCTATCCCCGCATCGAGGAACTTACTCTCCGCGGTGTCTCATGGAGGTCCCTGTTCCATCACTCTCGGGACCACATCACTCCGGCACCGCAACTGCGCAAACTCGCGTTGGGCAGAGACGTCGACGCCAAAACCATCATCGATTTCATGATTGACGGGAACCATATCCCCCACCTCGAAACACTGTCGGCGTGCTGTATTTGCGACGAGGACGCCGCCGCCGTAGGGGCGCTGCTGGACACCTTGGGGTCGTCTCTAAAACATCTCGAACTCGAGTGGAACCCCTTGCACTCCGCAACGAATGGTTTGTCTTGACACCGTGTGGCTCCCGCCAATGTTAATATTGTACCTATTTATAGCACTCTTCCTGCCCAGTGGACTATCGATACAAGCATGCGACAACCTTGAGACACTCTTCTTGCGCTGCGTCATTACCGTAGGCCACTCGATACCTTGGGCCTCGTCTCTTTTGGCGGATCTGCGCGCGACTGCCATCAAGAAGATTAGTATAGAGATTCGTCTCCTCGGAGATCTCGATGCGGTCAACTGGACCTCGCTGCAGAGGACCCTCATCGACGCGAAGTTTGGCTGTTTGCAGTCCGTCACGTTCAAATTGAAGATTTGGTCCGGCGTTGGTCTTACTGCCCCGGAGGTGGAGGGGATGATTCGCGAACGAATCCCTTTACTGGAGCGCAAGGGGATCGTGCATGTCACAAGCTGAACGTCTTGTACCGCCTTCGCGGGAGGCTGGTGCTGCCGTACTTACCGTTTCATGTCTCGTACATAGCCTTATAATTAATCGTTCTGTGAACTGGATGCCACCTCCGATATCCCATCCCACTCCATTATACGACGACACAACAGTAACAGGCAGGCGATACAGTAGCAAGGGATGCATGTGGTGTGAACGCACTACAGAGGGGGTATGCTTGGTAGGGTAACATGTGCGGGGCGAGGACGAAATGAAAGCAGCGAGCGGAGAGACAGGGTCCCCGGCATTAGATCGATCCGTACTGAAGGTGAGAGAACTTTTCGACAATGAAGAGTCGGGACGGAAACCAGGAGGCAAGCTAGCGTTGTCCTGCGTCGGCCGTGATCGTCGCAGTGTGCGCCGGAGATTGGTGGCCACGAGGCGAACGCGCCGTTGCGGGATTTGCTTATTCTTTGGATTTCAACTGCTCCTTGAGTTGCTCGACGTCTTCTTCCAATCTGCATGGCAAATGCGTATGTGCAAAAGAGAGCGGATACGGCATGAGTATTGTAAATTAAAGTCCAGATAAAATGAGATATAATGAGATCGTCCAGAGAGAATGAGTGAGGAAAGAAAAGAGCGTGGTATGCAGAGCATGCGGGAATAATTTAGAACAATCCGTATACCACGGCCAGCGTGAACATTGCTCCGAGAAAGCTCTTCAATCCGAAGACTTTGACATACCGTGTTATCTGATCCTGGTGTTCATCCTGATCTTGTTCGAGGTATTGGATCTCCATGGCCTTCCGCGCGACTTCTTGTTGCAGCTCATCGGCCTTCGACAAGGCGACTTCAAGCTCCTCTCTCAGCGCTCTGATCGACCGCTCATGTTCCGCCTGTACATCGTGGATCTTCAGATTATGCGCCTCATGCAGTCGCTGGAGTTCGTCCCGCGAGACACTTGATGCCCGCACGTGTGCAGACCCGTTGCTCTTCGAAGGCGTCACGGGCTCTGCAGCCACAGTCGCCTTCAGAGTCGCAAGCTCGCCTTCAAGGTCTGACAGCATCGTCTGCAATGCAGACTTCTCGGATGCCAACGCCGCTACTTCATCCTGGTACGCCGTTCGGAGCTTAGTGACCTCCTCAGCACGACCCATCGCAGCTTCCTCGAGCTCTTTCTGGTGGTTCTTCGAGACTTCAGTCAAGGATTCCTTTGTGGCAATGAACATGTCGTTCAATGAGGCGTGGTCGTCACGCGCATTGGAGAGGTCCTTCGAGAGACGAGCGATGACTTCGTCCTTGTCGGACTTGTCGACTGCGGCAGCAATCTGGCGAGCCTCGTCAAGCTGTACCTTCAGCGACTGCAGCTCCTGAGTTGAGGAAGCCAGGGCAGCTTTCGCCTTCGCGAGGTCCTCCTGCGTAGCCTTGAGCTCGAGGCTCTGATTGGTGATCTGCTTCTCGAGCGTCTTGACCTGGTTATCGAGCGCAGCTTGATGCTCAGCCTTGAGCCCCTCGATCGTTGTTTGATGAGCAACACGGAGCTGCTCGATCGTAGCCTGAGACTCAGCACGAAGTGCATGGAGATCCTGGCCGTGAACATCACCAGCCTCATTCTACTAAGATGTCAGCATTGCATCAAAATAAATGTGGGTGAATTTAACCTTAGCACGCTCGAACGCCTCTTGCAGCAACTGATCATGCTCAGCCTTCACGTCGTCGACCTTCGCGTTGTACTTGGCTTCTTGGTTCTATACAAACAATTAGTGCCAGATAAACATATTTTCTACTAAACACCTCACCTCGAGCTCCGTCTTCGTTGCATCGAGCTCTTCGGTAAGCTTGTTCTGGGCTTCCTGCGCAGCAGCCTGGAGCTCCTCAATTTGCAGGCTATGCGCTGCTGTAAGGGCTTCGATCTCCGCCCGGGCTTGCTCCTGGCCCTCCAAAGCCTTGGCGAGGTTCTCCTCGAGTTCCTTGAGCTGAACAGATAACTTGTCATGCTCCACGCGAGCAGCTTCGATGTCCTGTGTGAGTAGCTTCGCGACCTCACTGGCTGCGTTTAGCTTCTCAGCTTCCCGAGCCTGGGCCTCTTCGAGGGCCTGCGTCATGGCTTCATTGGCTTTCACGAGTTCCTCCTCGAGGGAGAGAATGCGAGCGACAGACTGCGCGTGCTCGTCCTCCTTCTGCTCCTGCTCCTCCTTAATCTCGAGGATCTCGATCTCAAGCTCCGAGACCTTGGTGGACTTCTCGTCGTTCTCGGCCTTCAACTCTGCGAGCTGTGCCTCGAGCGCCTCAGAGCGGGCCGCCTGCTCCTGCAGAGCAGCGACCCTGGCCTCAGCATCGGCAAGAGCTTCTGCGTGTGCAGCCTTGAGGCTTTCCGTCTCAGCCTGGATCGCATCGAGGTCTTCCTTCGCTTTGACTAAGGCTGCATGCTCGGCCTCTGCTGCGGCTGCCGCATTGGTGGAAGCCTCGTCAGACGAAGAGCGGAGAGTATCTAGATTCTCCTTTGCGGCCTTCAATTCGGACTCAAGCAACGCGGTCTCAGCTTGCAGGCTAGCAACAAGCTCGGTCTGGGCGGCCGCAGTGGTCCATGCAGCCTCGAGCTAGTTGCAAAGATGAGACACGGACGAATTACCGAAACGAGAAAACAAACCTCTTCACGAACAGATTCCAGCACGGAGTCGTCCCCAGAGGGACCGGTTTGGAGCTGATTGAGGTTCTCCTGCGCTTCTGCGAGCTCTTTCTGTGTCTGGGCCTTGGACTCCTCCAATGCCTGAAGGACGGCTTGCTTGGCTTCCATTTCGGCAGTCGCGGCCTCCAAAGAGGACTTGAGAGTGCCGACCTGTGCCTCGAGCTCGGTCACTGTCTCTGCCTTCGCGGCAAGCGACGTGTTCGCCTCGTTGAGCTATTCTGGACGTTAGCACACGCATCGCGCCCCCTTCAGACGGTCGACGCTGACCTTGGTCTGCAATTCCTCAACCGCTTTGCTGTCATCTCGGACCTCCCTGATAGAGGATATGGATCCAGCACCAGGAGTCCGCGTAGGCCGCGTAGAAGCAGTGCTCGGCGGTCTGTTGCTCGACGGGGCAAGACTAGCGCGCGGGCCGCTAGCTGTTCGCTTCACTTCACCGCTCACGGAAGCCCGCGGACGAAGTGCGCCGGCCGCTGAATCAGGTGTCGCTGCCGGACTACGCGAGGCCGACGCGGTGGTGGTCTTGGGAGCGGACGGTGCCAAGGACGCTCGCCCAGAAGACGGTGTCGGCGCCTTGCTAGTGGTGGGCGTAGGAGCCTTGGGCACGATGGACTGTCTCCGCGTAGCCGCGGTCGTTGGCGCAGACACGGCGGAGGAGCCCTGCCTGGAGGACGGCATCGTCGGTTTCATCGGTTGCGGAGCCGTGCTGGTAGATTTGCGAAGGGTGGATGTCGCGGATGTGGGGGACTTGGCGGACGTAGCAGTAGAAGCGGTGCCCGTGCCCGTGGCCTTCGAGGTAGCTGTGGTGGGCGCGTGCTTGACCGCGCCTGCGCCAAACGTGCCCGAGTTAATGATCTGTGCGCGCGGCAGCGTTGTGTTCAGCATGTCGTCCACGACGCGACGCGGGCACAACTGGGCACAGTATGCGCATGGACGCTCACCTTCTTGACCAACGGCGTAGCTGGAGCACCAGCTGCCTTCGCGGGCTTCACAGCGATCGACGGCTTCGCGGTAGGCTTGGCCTTAGGTGCGGTAGGTGCAGGAGCCTCCTCTTTCGTCTCTTCCTTCACGGCCTCCGTGGGCGCAGGCATGTCCTCTGCAGGGGCTGCGGGGGCCTCAGCAGGCACAGATGAGGTCTCTGAGCCGTTTGCCATGTTGCCTACAACGTGTTCGTCTTCCACGCCGTCCGCCGGCTTCTCGCTAGACACAGACTGGGACTCGACGGCGTCACTTGCCTCGTGTTCTTCATTTGACTCTGCATGTGTCTCTAGTTCCAGCTGCTCGGGTTCTGCTGGTGCCACGCTATCCTGCGATGTCTCCTGGGGTTCGTCGGCCATTGAGGTGGTGGATTATGGGGGCTGCAGTAGTGTACTGCGCGCCGGGTATCAAGTATTAGATGAAAGATACGTAGATGGTGAGCAAGCCTGAGGCTGCTTGCACGCCGGGTGCGAAAGAGAGCGGTGCACAAACAAAAACAATACGCGTACGCGACGCGTCCCACGACGCCACGTTTCTGGAGCGCTAAGAATATCGCTAGACTCCAGTGGGACAGCTCAATCATTCTGCTTTCTCCGGCACCAGTATGCGATACGATCGTCGACGTTTAACTCTATTGTTTGTACGACTAATATTACAGCGCTGGGACCATCTACTTCGGCGGGGAATACAAGTTTAGCGCATTCAATGCGGGTTCTGCCAGATTGTGGTGATTGTAGCTGAGAATAGCGACCTATACCAGCCGTTACGTAACTGGTTCTCATAAAATTGGGAGTACGTACCCCTGCAGGTTCCACGTTGAAGTGTGTACCTGAGCGTTCAGGTCAACAACCGGGGTTCTCGTTACTTTATGAGACACATACCAAGAGAAAGCGGGAAATTGATCCAGCGCGATATGAGGACACGGTTGAAGTGTCCATGAGCTATGATAACTACATCGCGGCAGCCCTTGCCTTCCTCGTGCCATTGTTTGTGGTGCTCCTTCACCTGACGGCACCGAATTGAATTTCAAAATTAACCCGAAATGCTTCAACAATCGAGCCCACCTTCGCAATGACACAATCCACTCGGTGACACATCTCTTCCGTGCTCTCGCCTCCTGGGCACCTGTGGTGCCATGAGCGAAGGACATACGGTAGTGGTCTAGATGAACCCACCCATCTTTCCAGATGCTCCAGTTTGGATTTCTCTCTTTGATTTCCGCTGGTTTGAGCCCTTCGTATTCTCCGTAGTCCCACTCTCTGACCTCTTCGGTGGTGACGTGGGAAGGGGGGTTGGCTAAGTGGTCAAACATCAAGTGGAAAGTACGGTGTGCTCGAGTTCTGGGGGACACGAAGACATTGCAGATGTTTCTTGGGTCGATGACCTCTAGGATTCAGTGGTCAGCGTTGGGGGGTAGACTTTAGCAGTAGGCTGATTAACTCACTGCCTTCCCCTACGAGAACCTTTGCCTGTTCTGCGGTCTCTCTCACACCGTTCTCAGTGAGCGGAATATCAGTCCGGCCTGTCTGCCATGGGAACAGATTGTGAGCTTCTCATGATTGAGCGAGTGGTGATAGACATACATGACGACTGTTGCGAGAGCATTCCGAAGCTAAAGTCAGCCCAGAGCGAGATGGCACAAGCTGTGCCTACCCATTGAGAGACCATTCGGTCTCGCCTAGTCTCTGCGATCAGAATTCGCATTATAAAAGCTGGATGTAAGCACACCATGGCGAATGAGAACGAGACGAGGCATGGGACGCGACATGGTGGATGGAGTACTGGCCGAGTTTGTGTTGGGGACCAGAGTTATAAGGAGAGGCCGCCAGTCTCTCCGATTGGATACCGGCCGGGGGATGATATCATCGGTCTCTCGTCCGATCGACGAAACCCTGTCGAACGCTCCCTCGAGTCTGTCATCCTCCGCCATACGCCGCGTAGCTGTGACTGTTGATGCAGACGTCGTGTACGTTTTTGTCGCTGACATGCACACCCTGTGCTGTGGCAGCCGAGATGAATGGATTCCCAGTCGCTTTCAGGCCTTTGCCTTTGCGCAGTGTGACCAAATGGAAGGCGGTCTCAGCGCTCGCATACGAAACACGACCGGTCCATACCCGCCCCAGCCCGGAAGGCAATTGTCAATTCTGCGGAGACAGGAAAACTGGACGAATGAGATCCGTCACTGACTGTGCGCTCGTGGTGCATTTCATCTATCCCAGCAGCAGCATCAATTTCCTCGTAAAAGAAGTTTTCCTTCGAGAGGAGCGAAGGCTCGACTAAGAGAACACCATTTTCCACAGGCGAAGAGGAGCAAGACTAGCCGTGTGAAAGAGGCACTGATGGATGGTTGGTAGAAACATGAAAGCGAACCAGTCCGGTCACGCTGTCACTCCTGGCCAGATAGGGCCATCTCCTCGTCCATCAACCGTTCTCCTGCTCGTCTGTGTTTCTCTTCCTTGCTCCTTTCGTCTTGAAGTTGATACCACGCAATTCCTTTGGTTCCCCAGTCCTCTTCAAGTGCATTGTCGAGGTGAACCAAACTCCCGTCATCAGAACGGCTTAAATTCTGATCACTTATCGCGTCTAACTCGCTCGGTCCGCCCTCTCGCCCTTGGCCAATCTCGCTCCCCGCACTGCACACGCACGCAGGCAAACGCTCCGACCTCTCTCTTACCTTTAACGACCTAGACATCTTGGCGAGTACACAGAATGCAGGCCATTAAATGTGAGTGTTGCCGCGCTGAAGTCTGCATCACGCCGCGTTGCCAACCCGATCGTGCGTAGGTGTTGTTGTAGGAGATGGTGCTGTCGGAAAGGCAAGTGTACCAGTCTCATGGCCTAGTCAAGGTCGACTCATACCTCCTTGTAGACATGTCTTCTCATCTCGTACACGACAAACGCATTCCCGGTGCGTAGCTCCCTTTGATGCGGCTGTGCTGATTCTGACCGACTGCGGACGTGTAGGGAGAATACATTCCTACTGGTACGCATCAAAACGCACGCACGAGACATTGCAGACTGAACAAATCTTACAGTATTCGATAACTATTCGGCCAACGTCATGGTCGACGGTAAGACCATCTCCCTCGGTCTATGGGATACGGCCGGTCAGGAGGATTACGACCGTCTCCGACCACTGTCATACCCTCAAACGGACGTTTTCCTCATCTGCTTCTCGCTCGTCAGCCCACCGAGTTACGAGAACGTTCGAACCAAGGTACGTCGTTCAGGTGTTGCAAGTCGGAGTGTTTACCTGAGAGTCATACCCGCTGCAATCAGTGGTATCCCGAAATTACGCATCATGCGCCGTCGACCTCGATCGTGCTGGTCGGTACCAAGCTTGATCTTCGGGAGGATCCGGGCACAATCGAGAAGTTGAGAGACCGGTATGTCTTACAATCCCCAGCCGATACAAACGGGCGAACTGACAGTACCTGTTCGTGTTGCATAGTCGCATGCAACCCATCCAATACTCGCAAGGAGTAGCCATGGCGAAAGACGTTGGGGCAGTGAAATACCTGGAATGTTCGGCGCTGACACAGAAGGGTTTGAAGACTGTCTTCGACGAAGCTATTCGGGCCGTCCGTGAGTGTTGCCTGCCTGTACAAGAGTTCCCTTCTCTGACATACCTCCGCATCCAGTCAACCCCCCGCCACAGCCCAAGAACAAGACCAAGAGCAAGGGTTGCATCATCGCTTGATGTGCTCGCGCTGCCCTCCGACCCAGCGGTATGTAGGACTCCTAGGACTGCGCTGCAGTAAGATTGCACCCGTCATTTACAATCTGCACCCATTTACGACGTCATGTATCGTTCCCAGTCCGCCACTTCGCCATCCGCGCTTCGTTCACATGAGTTACGAGGTACCACGACAGTCGGATTGCCATTATGTCTTGCATGAGTAGTTTTCCGGGGCCTCCTCGTTACCACGATATCCCTTTGTTGGTCCTAGTCATTTCCTCTACCCAGTGTTTTTCATAGTTTCCCTTGGAGATATTAGTACGCTCTGTTCATCAGTAACACCGAGCCTGAGCTCGAGCCAACCGCCTTGTCGTGTCGGGCGCTTGGGTGTGGACAATGCGGTCACGTGGGTCGTGTAGAGTATCGCGCACAAATCGTACCCTTCAACCGCGATCATAAGCTGACTTGCTGTAGGTCTTGCCCGGTGACTCAACGTGGCTCTCTGCTGCTTGGTATCGCGTGCATCTAGTGCAAGAATACGCGTCCTTGGCCTCCCAACTTTCTGTTTCAACCGTTGTTTTCGCAAGGCAGCTAATATGTCTCAAGAGTTCACGCCTACAGCCGAGCAGCTCGCAATGGCGGAAGAGCGGAGACGCAAGAAGGAGCAGCGGGAGTTGGCAGCAGCCAAGGAAGCAGAAGAGAAGAGCCGCATACTTCCACGAGAATGGCTCACAGTCCAGGATGTCCCCAGCATAGAGACGGGACGGACCGTTAGAGTAATGTCTTGGAATGTGCGTATCCGAGCGTGCTCACCCCGGAATGCATGCACCCTTACAGTTATGATTGTCGCAGCTGCTTGCACAATGCCTTGTTCGTAAGTTGAGAAGTGAAAGGAGCCGTGCCGTAAATCGTGACAAAACTTCGCAGGGCGTGAGCTCTTCCCAACGAGCGATTGTCTGAAGGCCAGTCAACGAGAACACATGATGTACCGCGAGATCCTGTCGCACCAAGCGGATATATGCTGCCTACAGGAATCTATTGTCCGCCGCGCCTAGACGTCCCTCATCTGATTCAATTACTTGTGCAGGAAGTGGACCAGCTCGATAAACTACTTCCGGTCCTCGACGGTGCTGGGTACGCGTGGGTGTACAAGGCCGGTCCTCGGAAGAAACACGGCTGTCTCATCGCGTATCGCAAAGAGGCATATACTCTAGCTGACGAGGAAATCGTGCTGTACGACGAACAGGACGTGCGTGAAGATGGCAGCGACAGAGCACGCCGGGGTAGCAGCTTTCGCACGAAAAACATCGCCTCCCTTGTCCGTTTGCGACGATCCGGGACAATGTCCGAAGGGCTGATAGTAGCCACGACGCACCTCTTCTGGCATCCGTCGTAGGTCGGAATTTTACAACGCTATGTATTATTGACTAAGACAATGCTTAGATATACCTATGAGCGCACAAGGTGGGTGGGGTATCTCACTGCTTGTCAAAACCTCATCCACAGCATGTTCTATAAGGCAAGCGGGTATTCTTCTACGGGAAGTCGTGAAATTCCGTGATAAGGTCTCGTCCGACGGCAATGAATGGCCTTGCATTGTAGCCGGCGGTGAGCTTGTCTGTCAATGCAGTCGGGAAGCTATTCTTAGCTGCCGTAATCTAGATTTCAATTTCCCGCCAGACGACCCTGCTTATTCGCTGATGATGGGGGACCCGCTTCTCCCTGAACAGAAAGCTAGGCTAGCGGCGTCGCGTGTGGTACACATAACAATTGACCCCGATGTGTCGGCTACCCCCAATGTGGATACGGTGGAGGGGGAAGAGGGTGGGGAAGTTGGCAAGACGGATCCCGACAAAGTCATCACCAATGCTCGTCCAGCATCCGCAGATGACGGCCTTCTAGCGGACAACGAACTCCAGGACTTGTTCAGCCGATCGGGCGCGCCCATGAGCATTTATGATGAAGGGCAACGGAGGCTTCCTTCTTCATTGACAGTAAATTTGACATTCCAGAGCCGACAATCAGTCGATTCGTCCCGGCACGGAGGTTTTGAGCCTGTTTGGACGAGTTACACCCACGTACGTGCGGTGCTTTCTCATGTGAACATAGTCTAACCTGTAGCATGTCTGCGTGTTTCAGTATTGGCAGTCTGTATTAGGTATGATGAATGCGCTCAGCTCCGCGAAGCCTCCAGATCTCATCGCGCACTCATAGATTATATCTTCGTCTTGCAACCTCGAAGGCTTGGCATCGTTACGAAAATTGCTCAGCCGCACCAGGCCGACGTGCTCACGCCGGGTCTCCCGCAGAAGGGTGTTTGTGGCAGTGATCATATTTCCCTCGGCGCCGAATTATTCCTGCCGACGTGAACGGCTGTCCCGGTCTCCAAGAGTTGCAGGTTCACCGTGGGGAGAGATGCTGTATGGGCAAAAAACTTTGTGATGAGATATGCAAATTACATGACCGGTACAGTAGTAAATGTTGACAGTGCGCAGAACACATTATAGAATGGTACGCCAATGGTCCCAACGAGTTGACATGACGTTACGGAACATATTTATCCTCGTCCATAAGCGGATCTGTCAGAGCCTTGAATGAGGCTATCGAATAGTCCTTGCGCTGATTTTTCGTTCCGGAGCTGGAGCATGTAGATGACGCCCGAACGTCGTCCTTTGGCGCTCAATTCCACTGCCACACCGGTCTTGCCCACTCGCTCGACACCATCGACCAGAACGATTGTCGAAATCAAAATGGACTTGTCTTTATTGTCAGCTTCTACCACGAGCTGCTTGACGTTCGTCGGGGACTCTACATAGAGCTTGAGCTTCGCTGCACCGAGCGACTTCCATTGCGCATGCTGTTGTTGGAGGAAGACCTTGCATTTCAGTTGTGCGGTCACGGCTGTCGTGGTGGGCCCTATCGGAGGCCGCTCCTCAACCGGAGACACCGGGGGACTTGGCTCCTGAAACGAGGTAGCTGTCGACATTGACTGCATGCTCATCTGCTCGGACGGCAGGAGGGGTCTTGACGGAGGTAGCTGATTGGGGAGCGAGCGCAGAGAACTTGATGACGCCGTGCGGGGGATGAAGTTACGCCGAGGCGGAGCCAGGTCTCCAGGGTAGCCAGGCATAGGCGGTGCCGACGCAGTAGACATCATTTCATGCTGTGGCCGTAGGGATCGGGACGAGGTCGACCTCCGAGGACCTGATCCTTCGCCAGAGGAAACATTGGACGGGGCTCGACTAGGTGGATTTGAGGCAGGGTAACCGTGCGCCATATGCGGGCCTGATGGCCCATGGCGTCCCATCCCAGGGCCAGCTAATGGGGCGGGCCCCATACCTGGTCTATATGGACCTTCTGCAGGATCCGTGAATCCGCTGTCTGGAGGAGCAGATCGCAAGCCGCTGTCAAGCCTGCGCGGAGCAACCATTCCAGGGTCCACTGACAAATTCGGTACTGCCCGTTGGCTGCCTGGTTGCCGGGGTGGCATAACTTGACCAGGGCCGAACGCTGGTTCAGGGGGGGCCTGCTGAGGGTGTGGAGGGTGAGGGGGCATGACCTGACCGGGTCCATAACCTTGCGGGGGCATAACCTGACCGGGGCCGTACCCTTGTGGAGGCATGACCTGACCAGGACCAAACGTCGGCGGCGTCATCGGCTGGCCTGGGTGAGTTGCCTGAGGAGGGACAATTTGCCCAGGCCCGAACGATGGCTGCCGCATCAGCTGTCCTGGCTCGGCCGCAGGTCTGGTCGATCTCGAGGAAGACCGCGACGGATACGCAGAATGACCTTGTTGCGGCGGCGGAGACCTTGCCTGCATCTCGGACGCAATGGCCAGTTTCGTCATGCTATCTGCCAATGGTGCATCTGACGCCGCACTGGAGCGAGATGATGGGTTCGAATGCATCGTATCGGGCCGATGTGGTGAGACGCTGTCAGGGGATATTACTCTCGAAGGCGGACTCATGGATTCTGCATGCCGCTCGGGCGACATTACTTTGAGGTCGGAATAACGGCCCTGATTATTCGGGTTCGATGGTGGCGGGGCGCCGCCGCCCGTTGTTGGCAGTGTAGGAACAGGCGGTAGGGAACTCTTCGAGGATGAAGGCGCTGCTCCTGATACACCGTCAATGTCGGTTTGGTCAATGGTGATGAACAAGAGATCGCACCATTGTTAGCTACACCAATACAGTCACTGAATGCCGTCAACAATTGATTTCGTAACGCGGGGGACCCAACCTGAAGGGTCAGGACCTCCTTCCGCAAAATTGTCAACACGAGAGCAGTGCCTGTGCAGGCGGCCGAAGTCAATATCAAATCGGCTGATGAAATTTGAGCATTGTAGAACTAACTGGAATTTTTCGAAGGCGCTATACGAAGATGCTTGCCTGCCAGCGGTGGGTAAGACAGCCACATATCTGGTCCATCAGGTCCCCGACGGCTGCGCTCTTGGGGTACCATCCTCTCACAGATGAGTAACAGATCAGTTAGAATGAAGAGATGTCCGAGCTGCGTGATAACCTCCACACCCGTCGACTGCGGCGTGAAGCGGATGACGACGTCGCCGGAAAACCGTAATTCACGCGGAGACGGTAAGTTCAGAGGTGAGATTTGAAGGCGAACTTGCTGCAGGAATTATCTGAGTGAGCGACTTTCCGCCAGCTTCAGACAATGCGTACCCGAGGTCTCATCGTGAAAATATCCAGAGTGCGCTCAGTGACGAGGCGTCGCTCCAAATCGGAGATCGGCATAGACGGCGGAGAGATAGATGCATGTTCTGCTGGATTTCGCATTTGCCGGTCTCTACGCTCAATGTCAGTAGCACTTCATCCCGTCATGCTTACGTCTACTTACGCGCCACTAGAGACGTCGCTTCGTGCATTGACGTTGGGAGGGACACCGCCCGCTCCATCAGGTGGGGGGAAGGCGTTGTTTCGTGAACGCATATCTATAACGATCTCGTCTTCCGGCTCTGCCGTCGCCACTGGCGCGACGGCCTGTGGGGCCGCCCGCGGGGCGCCAACCTCGAGGCCGCCGCGTTGATCGAGAGTTGTGAGAAGTGTATCAATTTTGTCGAGCGCGTTTGACAGCAGGCGGTGGTCCTCCCGGCCAGGCACGGTGCTCTTCATCAATTTGGTGTATAGCTTACGGTAATATTCAAGGCGGTCTCTTGGCAGTAGGAACAGTCTGTCAAGAGTCCAGAGCGGTGGCTCCGCCGGGTGTTCAGGCGCCGTTGCAGGAAGAGGTGGCGGGTTAGTGGCCGAGAACATCGCGAGGACTGTGGGTAAACGCGAGTTCGATTGGACAAGTTCCCAGGTATCGAAACCGGTGCAGAACTTGCTACAGTATGAGGCGTACGCCGTCTCAATGTGATCGACCTAGAATACTGTTAGGATTGTGCGAACCAGGCAGTAATATACGGACCCATCTCATGACTAAATCGCCGAGGTCCCTGGCCGACGAGGAACCTGAGTTTGCGCCGACGTCTTTTAGTTTCTTTCATACCAATTATATCACTGAGAAGTTCGGACCGTGTTTAACGCGTACATACCGACAGCATGGATCTATTGGCCTTGTATATGCTTTCGATCCCCCGGAACATAGTATCCAGCTCCGGGGGAGGTAGATTAGAGCGAGACCATGCGCCCGCCACTTTCTGGTTGAGACATGTAGGTGAAATGAACCCATACCATCATCTGATTCACAACACATACACGGATGATGCCAGCAAGCAGCTCGACATACGATCTCTCCGTCTCGATGAGATCGTTGAGTGTGTTAGGCTTCTTGCCCTTGCCTTCTGTGGAAGACGAGCCGGATGACGGCAATCGGTTCTTGCCCGGCGTGGGTGGTGGCGTCGTACCTTTCCCCATTCAGGCGATGTATAAGAATGCCTGCGCCGCAGTACGTCTCGAAATCCAATTCTAGGCTCACCGGAGGCATCAACGCTAGAAGTAGAACCACCGACGGAGCGGACCATATTGGAAGCCGGGGAGGAGCTAGTTCTGCCTGGGGTAGGCGGGGGAGTGTCTCTAGGTGCGTCAAAGTCAGACGGGGGAAGGGATGGTAGCTTCTCTAATATGGCTGGAGGAGGAAGAGGTTTCCCATATGAATCCAAAGCCCCATTGGCATTCATGAGCGGTGAAAGGGACCAGAGTCAAGCCAGAAATGAGCGTGAACGTATGGGCCAGCCAGCAAGGTAGACGAACAAACGAGCCGAGTCCGAGCACCCGTATGTACGCTGCCCTGCCCAGCCCAAGCGCGACGATTGGCGTGCACGTGACCGACGCGTCCAGCGCCCTGGAATTCTCGGAAATGCCTCTCCGATGACGATGTAATCCGCCCAAGTTGACCTCCTGCTTAGCTCAAGTATATTCGTCTACACACTATTCTCTGCACCATGGCGTACCCCATTCAATGGCTCGATGCCACGTTCAGTTCGCGCGCGCGAACAGAGGAGCTCCTGCGCCCTGATGTCGAGTCTGAGCTCATCACACCGCATGACTTCCAGCTTGCCGCCGCGTTCCTCCCAGGGTTGCACCGCTACTGGCCTGTTTGTAACACGTTTGAGCCTGTTGCGAAAACACTGACGAGATGTCGCGTCGATAGTACGGGTATGCCATGCTCGGAAGTGGTGCGGCGGCTGGCTATGCGCGGTTCTACAGACGGCCCCCTGCCTCTCTCAACCGCACGTCACTCCTCGCCACTGTAGCCGGCTTCCTGGGAGCGGCGTATGGCCAGTTTCGACGTGCCAAGGCGCACTGGACCTTCACACAACTTCTCGACGATCCTCTCGCGTTCAGCCAGGCCCTGGAGAACGTAAACCAGCGGACAGGGGGTGTCAGGCCCCTCACCTGGACACTGCAGCGGGCAAAGGACGTGCCCGGGCGGGAAGATGTGCATGGAGATGTGCCTCGCCCAGCTGAAGACGTATGGGCTTCAGGCGCAGACTCGGCCACTCAACCTGACCCCGCGCCCAGGAGCGCGCAGGTGCCGGCGACATGTATGTGTCCGCTGTACAGGGGGTTATAGCGCGTGCTAACATTAGCTTGCCAGCGACGTCAGAAACGATACTGAAGAACCGCTGGGAGGAGATCCGCGCAGCGAATGCACGGAAGGCCGGCCAGTCATCCAGCTGGGATGCACTGCGCCAGAATCATGAGCGCAGTCGCATGCAGGGTCAGAACGGGACGGCAGGAGCTGAACGTGTGTCTGGAGAGACGGATCGTGCACGAGAGCAGGCACAGTTCGATGCACTTTTGGAAGCAGAGAGGCGTGTTGCTAGCCGGTGAGGTGCTAGAACCGGAATCGAGCTTTGCAAAATCACAATGAGTGCATCAAAGCACTTTGGTGTGTCTATCCGGACTGTAGCATAGTATTGCCGCCGAGGATGTCGGAGGTGCATTCCCCGCACCAAGTAGGGACTGCATACTTACTGCAGAACGGACAGAGATCAGGCAAATGCCGTAGATCCACTTCTATGATCGGCCATTCGGTTATTGTGATCCGCACGTGGCTCGTCGCGCGTTTCAACTACAACTTCAGGCACTGGCCGTCGCGCGCAATCTCAGGCAATCTCTCGTCGGGTTACCCTCATTGACCGCCGCGAATCTTGCGATCTCCCGATTCAAAGTACAACAACAAGAACAACAAGTACTGGAATGGGCTGGCAAAAGACTTTTGCACTCGAGCGCCGTTCCAAGGGGTGCCATCTCGTTACAGACGAGGTCTTGTCACAGATCCGGCCTGGCTTGCAGGATGTGAAGGTAGGTCGGTTGCATAACGGCAGTTCCAGCTGAGTGCGAGCGAAACAACGTTGCAGGTCGGCATGCTATACCTCTTCATGTAGGTACAATCGCCGTGCGTCGAGGTTACGGTGCAGTGCTCAGAAAGTTACATCGATCTTGGTCGGGTCCCGCTGCAGTCAGCACACCTCTGCCGCCTTGACTATCAACGAAAATTACGACCCCGGTGTGTGTCAGTGCCGACAAGGCTTAGTTCCGTGAAGCTCACGTGGATCTTCCCAACGCATCTGCGCGCAGACGTCCGACGAGGTATTCTGCCCAACGCTTCCTCAAAGGGTGATGGTGTTAACGTCATTGATACCGAGTCCCGTAGATATGGACATGGCGCTCGACAAGATTGTACCCGAGCATCTGAACTGGGTGCATACAGATGAGGGTCCAGAGTGAGTCACTCGCAGCGCGCTGCTGCAGTATTATGTACAAATTACTCATGGACACGGCAGTGATTCGTGAGTTTCTGCGCGCCGCATCATTGACCTCGCTTAGGACAACCTCTTACTTTGCACAAACTTTGACAGTGTGTCCCACACTAAGACCTCTCTTGTCGGCACCTCCATTTGTGTGCCGATCACCGATGGACGGCTGAATTTAGGTACCTGGCAAGGTTTGTGTCGCGTCTGCGGCTGCGCCACTATTACATTCCCCTGACCTCGCTTGTGGGCTCGCAGGAATTTACCTTACAGAGTTCCGCCACGCGCCGCACACCAGGCGGGTCGTCGCGACAATATTGTAAGTCAGATCACATCCCTGGAAACAATCAAACCGACGAGCTGGGCTTCTTTGTGCAGGTCGTGAGCGCTAGGCCGCCGTTGCCGTCCTGATTCTCCGACAAATCGGAGGTGGTGACCATAGGACGCTGATGCTGGATTGACGGTGGAGCCTATAGGACGTTCTGATCAGACTCCCTGCTCGACGTCCTGCGTTCGGGAAGCCAAATTTGTGTATTACCACCACTATAGCCCCTGTAGAATAATGATACACGTGGCGATGAGCAATGGCATATAGGGGTATCTCAAGTAAAAGAGTACTGTGCGATAGAGGTACCGCCCGAATGTGATAATTCCGCCGTGAGCGGGCACATGTTTTTCTTGGCGGCGCGCGGAGAGACGTGGGTCAGGCGCCCAAGCGCCGCCGGCGCGTAATGGCGATACGCTAGGGGAAGTACTTGAAGCTGGTGGTGACGCACTGTGCGAAAGCTGTGCGGCAAAATGCAGGGCGTATCGCTACAGCCGTGGGCAAGAGCTGATACATAAGGGGAGGGGATTCGGCCGAGGGTGAGGAGATCTTGACCGACTAGGCATCTGGGTATACGCTTCGCTACGCCTACGCGCTGGATGATGACTTGCTGAGAAGACCGTCGCCGCATCGCAGCGACCAGCGGCGGAGAACTAAAAGACAGGACGTGGTCGCATCAGCTGGATCAGCCGCAGTTTCCGCTTCCGATATTCATTTTTCTTGCCCCCGATCGCGCATTTCGATCGCAGACCCAGCATAAATCTGCCAGAAACGAGGGAAATCGCCGGCGGAACTGCATTGGATCGTGCTCAAAGACCCCTGCGCTCGCCATCCAGCCATCTCTCCCTGGCGTCTCTATAAACTTCCCCGCGTCTCTCCCCCAACGCCGTGCGTGCTCGCCCTCCTCGTCGTCCGCTCCGGCCTCACGTCGCTGCACGCCGTTCTAGACATCCGGCACCATTCTGATCACCGCGATCAAAGCCCAAGATGCCCAAGGCCTGCTCCTCCTCATCGGCCCGACCTGCTCTACGAAGAAACCAGGTATGCCGCCCGCTCCGTGTCTGACGCGCCACTGTGCTCACACCTACACGATGTCCAGGCATGCCTCGCATGTCGCAAGAGGAAACTGGTGAGTCGCCTCCACCCACCTGCTAGTGACCCGGACCAATCTCGGGCATAGAAATGCGACGCCTCGCGCCCCCACTGCGGCACATGCGTCAAGTGAGTCGCGAACCATCCTTGTGCATGTCCCCCCCTTACGAGTGTCCTGTTGTCCACAGACAATGGCAGGCATTGATCAGTGTCCCGCCGCCAGTGGGTTATGCGTACGTCCATCATGCTTCCAATACGCGCGATGTCTCAACGTCTTCCAGGCATCCCCCTGAGCCTCAATGCTCCTACGACCCAATTGAAGGTTTGGCTATCGCTCCTGACGTCGACCCCACCGAGAAGATCAGGATTCTCGAGGAGCAGATATGTACGTCCGCTAATCATAGTACTCTCATAGGCCTATTTCTTAGCAAGTCTCTCAGCCCAACTCAAAAGCCAGCTCAACCAAACACGCCGGCTGACCTCGGGCTCCGCGTCCCCACCGGGGCCTTATCCTCGGCCAGGGTCCAGTCGTGTGTCACTCGCAAGCGGGCGCTCTCCCGGGGGAAGCCCGACTGATACAATCGCGTTACTCTCACATGAACTGGGAGGCAGCATGTCATCAGGCAGTCCAGACTCGCAAGGACGTAGCTTTAGCGGCAGCCCAGACCTGTCTGCCGCGAGTCAGCCACCTTCTATGGCGGAAATGGATATGCTCCTGAACGGATGGGATGTTGATCTTCCACGGCGTGATGTGCTGAATCATTAGTGAGTGCATTTGCATATTCCAGAGGCGAGCCAATCTCATCATGGTACGTAGTGTGGATGTCTACTTCCGCTGTGACCCTTGTAGCACGCATGTACTCCACCGCCCGTCGTTCCTCGCGTCTCTAGACCTGCATCCAAGAGATCCGAGCTTTCCACACTCAGCGATACTGCATGCTATTGTACGTTTCTTTTACTTCGCAACAGCTCCAGCCTAATCTCCTCCGCTCGGTGCAGTGTGCATCAGCATCACGATGGGTTTCCAACGATACCGTCACGCTACCTGACGGTACGCGCCAGGACAAGTTTGCAGAGCGGCACGTCCGCAAGACACGCGAGTACATCGACAAGACCATGGCGACGGGGCAGGACATCTTTCAAGTGCTGCAGGCATGCTTGCTGCTTTCGTGGTACTTCTATCAAGAAGGCCGCTGGGTCGAGGTCTGGATATTCGCGGGCTTCCAGGCGCGCGTAGCCGTGCCGCTCCGATTGAATTACCCCGGCACGTTCTCCGCGCAGAGCTCTAATGCACCCGGGGGCTACCTCCCGCCGCCGAGGGACTTCAGGGACCTTGAGGCACGGCGGAGGACGTGGTGGATGACAGTCATGTTCGACCGCATTGTGTCTATGGGTGGGTGGGTGCACAGCATTGACCAGAGGGACATCGGCACGGAATTCCCCGTACGATTGATCGATTTCGAGGCCGACGTGAGTGTTGATTTCATGTCCCCTCTCCCATGCGATCTGAACCTTCGTGGACAGTCGGGGATTGCGAGCAATCCGCAGGATCTGGCCTCGAAGGAGGTGTTCATTCGGCACCCGCCGGAATATACGGATTCGTTCTTGTTGTTCCTCAAGTCGGTCATGCTGTTCGGGATGGTTACGGACTACAACACGCGGAGTAGTCTCCGCGCGCCCGCGCCACCGTCAAAAAACCAGAATCCGTTTCATATGCACGGGTTCCAGGAGCTTGACAAGCTCGTGTGCCTCGACTTCCTGGACAGCTTCCCGCAGGCGTTCAGGCATATGGGTCTCACTGGTGACGCGGGTGTTCTTGACACAGACCTGTACATGGCGCGCATAGCACCCCATGCGTAAGTGTTTGATCACTACCTTCCTCTTCTTGCAGCGCAATGTGCTCATGCGCTCATTTCCTCTTATGGTATATGCTATATGCTATAGAGCGGCGATCACCCTCCATAATCCGTACATCAACTTCAGCGACCCGTCAAGCGTCTCGACAGCCCGATGCGTCACAGCCACCAGGGAGATTCTGCGGGCATGCTACAAGCTTTCCGAAACGTCCCTTGAGACCACCCGGTTGCACCCTTTCGTGACAGTGAGTTCATCACTCATCCTCCCGCGGTTGATGCCGAGTATAGCCTCTCTAGATCGTCTGGTACTTGGCTGCTGTAGTTCAGATCCAGCTATGCAAATATTTCATCGAGATCGGCGATGTCGCGCGGGAGTCGACGGTCTGGGGCGAAATAAACGCACTCCGGTTGGTTTTGATTCGCCATGCTCGCTGGGCGCGCGCTGATCTCGTTCTGCGACAGCTTCGCCATGCTTACCTACGGCAGCCGCTCGCCCATCGGCAGTAAGTCCCCATACAGCCTGTGTGATCGAGGATGGACCCACTTATGTTGATACGCACACAGCCCGCCAGGAGAAGCTGCTGCAGGGCCTCATGACGGAGATCGTCCGCATGACGTCTCAGCCCCAGCCGCTCGAGGTCGGCGTGCCGCTGTATCCCTTCTCGCACGCGAGCGCGTTCTCGAAAGAGGCGACATCGCAGGACCTGGTGTGCGCGCCCCTGCCCGGGGCGCAATCGTTCGAGGTCCCGTCGTCGATGGTGCCGCCCATGATGCCCACGCTGCCGACCCACTCCGCCGCGGCGGACAACTGGGCGCGACACGCCGTCATGTCGCCATCTCTCGCACATGCTACTGCTACCAACATGCACCAACACCCCACCGCCCTGTCCGTGTCGTCCTACCCGAGAGGATACTGAGAGGACCCACTTCCGTGCAGAACAGGCCCATGCGCCATGGACCATTATAGTTCTGCGGAAGTTTCATGCACGCCTCCGCTGGTCTCTACTCCGCTCACGCTTATACCTATGCTCTTGTACTTGTAGGGACCTATGGTGCCCAGACTACTAGCTGTATATTATCCGCCTTACATTGTAGTATATCTTCCGTCGTTTAGTCCTTGCTATCTGCCTAGAACCCTGGGGATGTATCGTTATTTTTTGTTACACATTTAGCTATTTTGATATCCGTCTGCATGTGGGTTGCCGTGCGCTCAACGATGCGTAGCGTATTTTATTACTGCAATAAAATGGATTCACGGAGTATCCTATACACGACCGAACGTAGAGAATACACCATCCTTCACCGCCTCCGAATCTGGTTCCTGCAGTGGTTAGCGTAGTGGCCCTTCTCTCCACACTGTGCGCGCGCTGTTAGCGACCATGTGGGCTAGATCATGATGGAGACGGACCTTGAAACACACAACATCCTCGAGGTTCCTCCGCGGACCAGGGGGGCCACCAGAGCCGCCCGCACCCGGCGGATTGGGACCTGGGAACGAGCCACCGAATGGACGGTCGAAGTCTGCGTACCTGCCATAGCCCGGTGGAGGGGGGCCAAGATCCCGCCCCGATGGCTGAGGTGGAGGTTCGTACGCCTCGGCAGGGGGTAATTCCGGTTTCGGGCTGGTAATAAAGGTGAGTATATAGGACGTGAGTCGACCGAAAAGTTGTATCAATACTCACTGGCCACGAGGGCAATCTGGGCCTAGCGGGCAGAACCCGGTCAAATACAGCTGGCATGCTACCCTGCGGATGTGTTTACGTGGGCAGTCCGGACCTGACTCATCGACGTCAGGCCACCATTTGTGCAAACTATGCGGGCCACATACCGAGTTTACAGAACCCCCTGTTATAATCCGGGCACTCTATGCGACGCTCCTTAGGGTGGGCATACAAACATTCGTCTCCGGCCGAGCAGTACCCGTATTTTGCATACCACCAGCAGTCCGGCATGCGCCTCAGGTTATACTCGTGCAAAAACTCACAGGCATCACCCTTCTTGCATAGGCCGCGAAGCCAGTGCTTGCAGACGGTGGCCAGGCGTTCTCGCTCGCGGGGATGGGTCGGCAGCTGCTTTGGCGGTTGGAAGTTCTGGGTGGATGGCGTTGTGTGCCTCAGGGGACAATGAAGAAGACCCAAGGGACACCCTGCTGCAGTAAGGGAGAGCCGACATATTTGGTCGTCTGTACAGACAAGCGAGATGTAAGAGACGGAACGGATTGTAGCTACTGGGGAGCAATCTGACCCTTATCAAGCTTGATGCCCAATTCATTCTTTACAAAGAGCTCTTCCTGGAAGTTGTTCTGGTGGAACTGAGGACGTATGATGTCCCGCAAGCCCGAAGGTGTTGTGAGCGGATTCGCCGCGGCGGACGCCATGCTTATTTGTTGTGTGCAATATTAAGTTACGACCTGCCGGGATGGTCGTCGCTGGCCGCTTTGTGGCACCCGAGCCAAGTCTGGTTCTTGCGCGCCTCTCGGAGACTTCCGACTCGCGTGATACAGAGTTTAGACAGCGGCATCCCGGCATGCGAGCGAGCAACGCCCGATTTGGTGATTCTTGAGCGTCGATCAGTGCTTCCGCGAATAACGCCTTCCTGAAAAGGAATAGTCTGGGGTCTGCTCGTCCTGAGGCTTAGATTCGCGGGACCATTGGCTTGTCCCTGCACGGTCATTGGTGCCCCGTTGCCTATAGCGGCCTCTGGAGCCACAGCATTCCCATACTGGCAGGCTTACACAAGGCTTACCGCGCATTAACATGACATCGCTTAATATACTAGTGAGGGGCAGCGTTATCACCCCAGCAACTTGTCCCCCACTTCCCCGCCCTCCTCAACACGAACCGACAGCGCATGGAAGGCGAAGACATCTACTCGGTCCTGCTGCAGGCACGCAACATGACAAGCCTCCTGTGCCTTGCTGCATTCTTTGCATTTTTTGCGTTTCTGTACTATGGGCTTGTGAGACAGAAATCACAACGCCTCCCATTGCCGCCTGGGCCAAAGACGTCGATGTTCGGCTCGGTAGATCTGCCCAAGACATACCCATGGAAGACATATGCGCAGTGGAAGAAGACCTATGGTCTGTCTGATTGGCTTCCGCACCCGGCTTCTCGTCTTTGCCGCGTCTTGACGTTAATAATTGACAGGCGATGTCATATACATCCATGTCTTTGGCAATCCAATAATTGTATTGAATTCGGCAAAGGCAGCCACCGAGTTGCTCGATAAGCGGAGCAGCATCTATTCCTCACGGCCCCAGAGGACCATGGTCAGCGAGCTGTGGGTCATTGCACTTGATTGGCTTCTGCCATTCGAAACTCAGAAATTTAAATCGACTAGCATGGGCTGGGATTGGCTTTTCTCCACTGTACCCTATGGTACATGGTGGAAGCGACATAGGACTTTGTTCCACCAATATCTCAACGCGAACACCACACCCAACTATCATCCCATACAGACGGACGAGACGCATGTGATGCTCAAGAACTTGGCAGCGACGCCCGACAACTTCCTACACCATGTACGAAGGTTGTAACGATCTGGATGTGGTATGTCATGAAGTCTGTGCTGACTTTGACGGCCTCGCAGAACCGGGGCCGCCATTGTTGTAAAGGCAATGTACGGTCATCAGGTTCGTATCTTTGGGGGTCAGGTCAACATGCATCACACGTTAAATCCAGATCTCAGGTTGCGCCCGAGGGCGACGCCTTTGTAGCCCTTGCCGACAAAGCCCTCGCATCTCTTGCGCAGAGCGGGATCTTCGGGACATATCTTGTCGACTACATCCCCCTACGTACGTTTTAGCTTGCTGACCCTTGTCACTGTCGTCCTCATATATTTGTCGTATAGTCAAACACGTTCCCGCCTGGATCCCTGGGGCAGGATTCAAACACCAGGCGTCAGAATGGCGCAAGCTCAATCGCGCGATGCTCAACCAGCCCATCGAGATGGTCAAGCGAGACATGGTATGTACCATATAACCAGATACCATGCAGCCTAATAATGATTGTTTTCAGGCTAGGGGGGCAGCAGTGTCCTCTTTCGCTACCACCGAATTAGAGAAATGGTATAACTCAGGACAAGACCCTGACCAAGAACGGATCATCAAAGACGTTGCGGCAACCACATACGCAGGTATATATCTCCCCTTCCCGCCGATTTCCCCGTTGAATCGAGTGGTAACCTTCCAATTGGTTCACAGCGGGTGCCGATACCGTGCGTGGCATGCATCACTTTGGTCTCGAAAATATTAGCTGACAATTCCCAGTCCGTCTCCGCAGTGCAATCGTTTTTCTTAGCCGTTACCGTGTACCCAAATGTTCTAAAGAAGGCACAGGCAGAGATTGACCGGGTAGTCGGCTCTGACCGTTTACCTACTTTCAACGACAGGATGTCCCTCCCTTACATTAACTGGATAGTCTGGGAATGTCTTCGGTGGAACCCTGGTGAGCGCGGTCAGGCCGCTATTCCCGCGTGGATATCCCGGAGCTCATTGCGGACAGTCACGCCTCTCGGACTTGCACACAGTACCACAGAAGACGACGTGTACGAGGGGTACCATATTCCTAAAGGCACCACTGTCCTCCCGAATGTGTGGTGAGTCAATTTCGGTGACTCAGCGCGCGGCGTCTCACGCAGACCGCAGGAATATCCTCCACGACGAAGCAACGTATCCAGATCCATTTGCCTTCAACCCGGACCGATACGCGGACGCAAAGACTAATACAGAGCGGGGAATCAACGACGTGCCATGGGCCGCCTTTGGCTTCGGTCGTCGGTAAAGCCTCGTCTTCTCCTCTAGGTGTCCTGCTCATGACGACATTTCGCGTGTCTCTCGCCAGGATGTGTCCAGGGCGATGGCTGGCTATCGATACCATTTGGATAGCTGTTGCGACCGCGGCCGCGGTGTTCGATATTTCGGCGCCGCTCGACGCGGAGGGTAGGCCCGTCCAGCAGACAGTGGAGTACACATCGACATTGCTCAGGTATGACAACATTCAGTATACGGAAACCAGCGAGGATGACTTACGAATGCTCCAGTCGACCACACCCCTTCCGTTGCCGCATCGCGCCCCGCTCGGAGGCAGCGGCAGCCCTCATAGAGCAATGCACACAGACATGATTATTGAAAGACAACGATACCACGAATCGGCAAAGTACCTCCCTTGCTTGCATTCTCCTTCACGATACGATACATCGCCGTATGACACATCGTTCCATTACTATTTTCACATTAGGTACATGTCACGTACATCTATCACACAGATGGCACATCACCACGACTGCTACCACACCCCAAGGACAGTTGCCTCGCCTCCCGCTGCCTCAACACGCTCCAAGCCGGCCCTGATCCTGCCATGCAGCGCGCTGTGAGCGATATTGCCGCGGTCTATATACTCCTCGGCCGGTATGCTTGTGGGGTCCTCGAGCTCGATCATGTACACGTCGTCGAAGGGCGTGTCCGTAAGGGACGGCCTCCTGTCTATTCTTGACGCAGGTATGCTGAACGTGGTGAGCAAAGTACTTGTGACAAGATGCAGCAGACGGTTGCGGGACGGCGCGTTCTCCTCCTCCTCAATGTCCTCAGAGGAATTGAGGCTGACGCGCACCAATGCGTGCCGTGGAGGAGGCACTCGGAACCCTGACGGCAGTTTGATATTGAGGGAGTTTGCGAGCAAGTAGAAGCGCGTGGTGTTGGCTGCCGACATGGGCCATAAGTGTTATCCAAGCGGACAGTCATCGTTTGCGCTTACTATCGCTATCCTGAATGCCTTCGTGCAGTATTTCAAGTCCCTCAAACACGGAGGCGCAGAGTGACGAGGATATCGCCGCGCTCTCCAGCGCCCTATCCTCGGGGTCGTCGGAGAGCAGTGCCTGTGCGGCAGCCGAAGTCGAAGGCATCTTGACGCGCGCTGCTCCGGGGAGGTTCGCGGAGAGGAAGCGGGCGCATTGGCCCAACGCCTAAATGCTCGCGGATCAATAAGATTCGGCTACTGAGGCTCGCTGAATCTGTATATCCCACCTGCTCATGGCTCATCACCCGCTGCACATCCTCGAGCTTCACGCCGCGTCGCACGAGGAGTGAATGCCGGACGGCGTGGGTGGTCTCGCCCCTAACGAACTTATGTTGTCCGACCTCGGGAAGACGGAGGAGGTCGTATGTTTCGGTGACTGTTCCGAAAAAACTGTTCTCTTGAGGAATCAGCGCGAAGGGGATTTCCTCAGAGACGGCGTTGAATACGTCTGTGGATTCCCGTTGTGAGCGACCGAGCGAGGAGTGGCTTGTAAGGGAACGCACCTGTAATAGTCTGCCTCTCGATATATTCCACACTGTCCCCAAAAGCGTTGCGGGCGCACTGGTCCCCACATTGGTCATTTGACCACATTATGATCGACGCTGCACCTACTTGATATGAGTGTGACCCTAGAGGTCCGAGGAAGGACAGCTTCGGCAGGTTCGCGTCGTTTGAAGTCATGGAGGAAGCTTGAGGATAGCAAGGGGCGCGACGAGTGGCCTTTATACTCGGGTTAGGTAGATGTTTGATGAGAAGAGTGCATGTTCAAAAGTTGACCCCGTCGGACGCCGTCAGTCAGGCGCCTGCGGTGGACGGGTAAAACGCATCGGAGGCTACTAACTGCGAAGCAGGAACGGCGGACAGACATAGACGCGTGGGTGGATCGGAGAAGGCGCAGTGCCTTTGGGCGGTGGGCTAATACTCTCAGCGGCGTTCGCGATCGGACTCCCAAGCCCACACCCACCGATCGGTCGGAAGGAGGCAAGGTTCGCTCACGCACCACCGGTCATGTCTGCTTCCACTTTCGCGCGATTGCTCACGTAAATAAAATACTACATACATATCTAGTTGACAATGACAGAATGTACAGCCAATATAATACAAGGAGTCTTCGATGTCCACAACGGGCAAACACCTGCGAGGACCGAGGTGTACACCATGATTTGATGTTCCGAGCACCGCCCAACTCCGGTTGCATCGCTGCCAGCTATGAGCAAGAGGGCAGCTGCTTGCATCAGACCGGCAATATCGATTCGCCCACAGTAATCTTCTGGGCTGACTGCGTGTCGTACGTCTCGTCGACCACCTTGGTGATGTTGACAGCAACAGGCCGCATCCGGAACGAAGTCATGTTTGACCCTGAGCTTGAATGGCGAGTTGATGGGCTGGTCGGGGATTGCGCGCGCTGCGCCCAGCCCAAACCCACGCGGACGTTGACCAACATGAAGGTGATGCCGCATACAGTGCAAAGCGTGTCGATGGCCGTATATTGTATATTGCTCCGCAATTGGTAGGAGAGGAAATAGAAGATAGTATATGCCCTGCAATCAAGACGTTGATCACTATCCTTTCAAAGACGCAACACAAAATACTGTACGAGTAAAGTGCGGCGCTTTCGACAACGGTGACCACAGTTCTCTGTTGGTTCGAGATTAGGTACAAGGCATGCAGGAGTAGAACATAAACTATACCATCAAGCGTCCGGAAGCATTCACTGACTCTGGCAACCTCTGGCGAGCGCGCCAAACACGGTATGCAATCCCAACTACAATAGTATTGGCAAGAAATTCAGAAGATTTTGCGGCAGGCTCACCTGAGCTGTACACGTTGGTGCTATTGCATGCGAAAGCGTTTAGCGATCGTTAGCGTCTAGAACAGCCGCCACACATACACGATGGTGAAGCAGTAGTAAGCGTATACCCAACGGCTGATTGATTCCGTGAATACTGAACCCATCCCTACACGCGAAGATTGATATACGACTCCGGGGCCTGCCACTAAGAGAGATTCAGCTTAGGTTAATCTGCACAGTTGACATTGATGGTGTGAAAACTCACCACATAGACCGAGGAATGTACAGACAGGGAGAATGATGATATATTTATTGCAACTCCACACGATCCACAGTCGATAGATCTGTTAAACGATTCAGTATTGCCCCCGACATACCTCGAGCCTGATCGAGGAAACGCTTACAAACAGCACATCTGAGATCATTAATGTTACGAAGAAGAACGCAGTTTTGACTATCTCAGTTGCAGACGAGAGATTGGTCAAGTAGTCGACCGAATCTCTCTCCTTGTGGATGTGAACAAACGCAGCAAACAGACGTGTGACCGTCAAGATCCAATGCTGTCCCGCGAGATTAATATAACGGATAGGCGGGAGAGATTGAACCAACCCCAGTCACGGTCAGTGTAATAATGATAGACCCAAGAATCGCCGGGGTCAGGTATGCCGAACGCACGACCCAATAAAATGAGGACTGGTGCGATCTTGCACGGCTCAAGTGCAGATAGAGAGCGCTGACGGCGAGGACAAGAAAGATGCCATAGAGCATGCTCTCTATAGCAATGGTTGCAAGGTTGACACTGATGATAGACGACTGAGGCATCGTGTGGTATGGAGCGCAGCAGTCTCTAGAGGAGTTAATTGCGACGATACTCGGTGCATATCGTCCAAGTATTTAAACCTGGCGCAGCAAGATTTGATCCCTTGCGACAGTAATCGGCCTTCACATTAGTCCCGCTTATATCAGATTAGGACAGCCAATACGTATGCTAGATGTCGGTAGTGTGTGAACGCTGAAAAGCACGCCGCCTCATCAGTCCTCGGAACAGCCGTAACGCCACGACGAGATATTCAACTCACGTGGCCTTTCATTATTATACTGTATCAATATGAATTATGTGTAAGAGACGGGACGTTCGCAGACGTCAGTGATAGGTTCAACGTACCAATTCTGACCCATTCCAGGCTTCTGCGGTCCCAACCACAATGAACTCGGAACAATACCACACCCACAAGACGAAGAGGGATGCCATTCACAATCGGTGAACGATAATATCATCTGCTGGTAGGTAGAGCAACCTCTTCTCTCGAGATCCTATCGACCTTCGATTGTAGCGTTGGAGCGGACAGAGCCCGCCATGATCATGATTGCTCTGACTTTACGCAAATATCAGACTGTAACCCGTTGACGAAGCGTTGATGATCAGACACACATTCTCTAAATCCTCGGGAGCTTGGCCACACGTAAAGACACAGTGAATAGATATTAACGCACCTATGAGCGCAAAAAGGTAGCACTCAATGCTAGATATGGAATGCTTGAATCTATGCATCTCAGTGAATATCTAGTCCCGTGGTGCACTGGCAGTCGTTCCATTTCATTGCGAACAATACTAGGGGCAAGATGCTCATTTTGAGCTTGACAGATGGGGAGGCCTTCCATCAACACTGCTTAATGCGAGTAAGCGAAGTATAAGCTTTTGGCAGTCGAAGTGTACATACTGGCATGCTGGCATCAAGTGGCCCCGTGATGATCGAAGATGACATCCAGAAGACAAGCACGTTAGGTTTTGGCTTTACACTCTGGGTTTTGCAACACAATCAGAATCATGATACCCCTTATCCATTCTGTTGTAGAAGGAATCAGTCAGATGCAGCTTTGTCCGCGGGAAATGAACGTCGAGCAAGGAACGAAGAGAATAGTCGAGTCGTGAGGATATATATGGGAAGGCGTGTACTTCTGAAATGCTGCCGTGTTTGGCAGCCACAGAAAGTGGAGTTATCGCGGGCTCCAAGTGCCGTGTCCTTTGTTTGCACTGCCCTCAGGCTGAGACTCCTAGTATTGATTTATCGCATTGCTGTCCGCAGGAATCATCCGTCCACAGCCCTATTCTCGCGCACGATTTGGTGGTAGTTGGGAAAGATGAAGTATGCACCGCCTTCGGATTCGAATATCGCCGTCATCATGGGTTGTAGACCTCGGACATCACGTCCGTTAATGAGACTGAACTGGGATGAGGAGCGACTTAACGCAGTAGACAGACGCCGAAGGGTGTGGCGGAGTGATCGAAGACAAGATCGAGGACGTGATTGCAGCATACAAAAAAGGTAGTCCACGGTAGCGTCAGTAGGCGCCGTCTGCTTACGCCGTACCTGCTCAGACCACACTGCTCTATCTGAAGGTCTACTGCCTGTACTGGAGACACGTAACGCTGTGTGTACTACCAGTGTCTCTCATTTTGCTGCTGGATGTACCGTCTCCTTGTCTCATCTCGCCGTTCAACGCTCCTCACTGGCCAGTCAGCTAGGCTTCATCGTGGCACCCTTCGCTCTCCATCCATTCGCCCCCATCCTCCTGTAACATTACCCGCTACCTTCACGCTACGTTGCAGTCTACATACACAGACGGCTATGGCTCCTAGCACAAACGGCATCAAGACTAATGGCGCTCCGACCGAGAGCTTCGGCAACTTTGACCTGGTCAAGCGTCTGAAGCTAGATAGTTCCGACATTGTTTTATCCAAGTGGAAGAGCAGGGTTACTGGGCTGTCTATAGTACATCTTGACTACGATGGTAAGCGACCCGAATTCTTATAGTCGTGTGATCCATGCTCAATACATGTATACTGTGTTGCAGCCCCCATCGTGAACGGATATTTCGTGATTGCAACTGAGAGTACGTACACATACCAAGGCTTGTTTCCCCTTTGTTCCGGCCGGCATGCAGTTTTCGTGACTGTAACAGGCGACCACGGGACCATGCCGTGCTTTGGTCGGATGACTGGCCTGAGGGCACGCTTGTCGCGCCATGCGTACTCTCAAGTCTATATTCTACCAACAACCACTTGCGTTCGGTCTGCGCGGAAATTTTGCGCTCATTGACACGTGCATATCCTAGTTTTCGATGACAGTGGATGTCCTCATACGCTAGAACAGTAAGCACCAGGGCCTCACTGGCCCTTGCAATTTCTCACAAAATCACAGCTTGGTTTTCATGGGCTCCGAGAAATACCCCTACAAGGGTATCATAGACCACCTAGCAAACCGCGGCTTCTCGAACGGAACAAACGCCTGGACCGACACCGATCACACTGCATATACGGTCTCCACTGCAGGAGAGCAAGGATTTTTACAGCTGCTTCCAATATACGTAGACCACATCCTATACCCGACCCTCACGAAGGCGGGCTTCATCACCGAGGTAAATGATTTTTACACAAGGTGCATGCGCTCAATTTGACGCGCTCATACAGGTCCATCATATAGACGGGAAAGGACAAGATTCTGGGGTTGTCTACAGCGAGATGCAGGGCCGCGAAAACACGTCGGGGGATCTCATGGCTCTCCAGTAAGATTCAACCACCGAGGTCATGCACTATACTCACCTTACCCAGGATGCAGCGTCTGTTGAATCCTCCGGGAAGCGCCTACCGAAGCGAGACCGGCGGTCTCATGGAGGCTCTTCGTAAGCTCAAGGTCGAGCAAAGTAGGTCGCCGCGGTATAACCTATATAGCGGCTGTGCTGAAGATAACGCATATAGTCAGGGACTACCACCACAAGTACTATGTGCCACATAACCTCTCGCTTATTGTTGCCGGCAAGCTGGCTTCGGGCACCATATCCCTGCTGAATGTCGTTCAGACCCAAGTTGAACCGTCGCTAGTTGCGCACGAACAAAAGCACGGTCCACGGCCTCAGGGCTGGAAGAGGCCATTCTTGGAGACAGCCAGTGCCCGCAGAGGCCCTATCAAAGAGACCGTCAAGGATACAGTTGAGTTTCCGGAGAAGGACGAGAGTCAAGGTGATGTTCACATTGGGTTCATGGGCCCACCACCCAACGCGTTCCTCGAGCGCAAGGTCTGTCGAGATTCTTGCCGTATGATTTCTCGTGTCTGACTCTACGGACCTTCAGGCACTGGACATTCTCGGTACCTATTTGACGTCGTCCCCTGTTGCTCCTCTCACCAAGGAGTTTGTGGAGATCGAGTCACCCCTGTGGTATGGCTTCTTTTCATTATGCATGTATGCGAATGTCCGTTACTCACCTTCATTTCACAGCACGTATATCTATTTCGGCGAGGACACGCGCGCGACGTATGTCGATCTGCCCGTATACGTCGGTTCAGTCCCTGTGGAGTACATCGATACCTTCGACGAGAAGCTGAAGGCTAGCCTGCAACGGGTCGTAGATGAGGGCATCGATATGAAACGCATGGCCATGGTCATTAACCGTGACGAACGACAGGTAATCCTGGACTTTCCAAATTAGTAGCGGCTTGCTCACTGTCACCCTCAGCTTCGAAGCAAGGTTGAGACTTCCAAGGGTGACACGTTCTCTGGTACTGTGATTACCGACTTCCTCTACGGCGCGGAAGACGGCTCCGAGCTTGGACCATCTCTGGACGAATTTGCACAGTTCGCGGAGCTTCGTGCATGGACTAGCAAGCAATGGACGGACGTACTAAAGAAGTAACTAGGTCGTTCTATCTCATCAATCGCACGCTGAAATGTTTGTCTTGCGCTAGGTACTACGTGGATCCCCCTCGCATTGTCATCCGCGGCAAGCCTTCTGGTGCAATGGCAGATAAACTCGAGCAAGATGAGAAGAAGCGCATCGCAGAACAAAAGGAGCACCTAGGACCCGATGGACTGGCCGAGGCAGCGAAGGAGCTCGAGGGCGCCAAAAAGGAACATGAGGCAGAGATTCCGAAAGACATCTTGACCTCGTTCCCTGTTCCCGATGTCAAGAGCATATCGTGGATTCCGGTGCAGAGTGTGCAGGAGGTGGGCGTGGGTAAGGGCCGCAAGCGGATTGTGCATCCTACTGGCAATGCCGAACTATTGAAACACATTGAGAGCGATGGGCAGACACTGCCATTCTTCGTCCAGTATGACCATGTCCAGGTATGGAAATTTTAAACATTGGCATATGCCTGCACTGATATTCATGTCTTGCTTTCAGTCAGAATTTGTGACGATCAGTGCCTACTTCTCTCTCACAAACATCCCCAATCGTCTACGACCGTGAGTATTTTTCTTTTCATCTCTACCAAATCCTCATCTCCCGCAAGGCATATAACGACGTACCTTGCTTCATTCTTTTCGCTCCCCGTGAAGAGGGGCAATGGACAGAAGCTGACTCACGAACAGGTGGTCAATCAGCTCGACAACGAGACAGTATCGTATGAGATTGGTCTTGGCATAGGAAGTGCCTTTAGTGAGACAATTCGTGTCTCGCTGAAAGTCGAGACAGAGATGTACGAGAGCGCAATAGCTTGGTTGAAAGACCTCATCTATGGCAGTGAGTTCGACAAGGACAGGTGAGCTTGGTCTCGGTAAGGTCATCGCCAAGATATTCAGCCTATTTACTCCAGATTACAAGTCACTATCGCCAAGGTTCAGCAATCGCTGCCGGAGATGAAGCGGGATGGAGACACTGTTCTGTCGTCTGTCTCAACCGACCTGCTGTACAGTAGCAAGTCTACTTCCAAGCACGGAACGGTCCTGCCACAGATTGAGTTTAATCCAAAGCTCGCACAGCAGCTCCAGGAGTCGCCACAAGACGTCATCAAGGACTTCGAAGAGATCAGAAAGTATCGTGAGTACCAATTAAGACCCCTTTTGTCCTCGCCATTGAACTAATAATCTGTACTCAGTGACACAGCCTTCTGGTGTGCGGTTCTCCGTCACCGGTAGCGTTCTGGATCTCAAGCAACCAAGAAGCACGTGGGGAAAGTACTTTGGGGAGCACCTGCCTGTATGTGATCCACCTCACGACTGTATGCCATCAATGACGCTCATAGATCTGTGTAGGCGACCGAGCTTGCGCCTCTGACTTTAGCTGTCGACACTCTCAGCGCCGTCGGAAAGAACCCGGTCAAACAAGTAGGTTCCTGCGTCGTCATGAACGAGCTTAGACTGAGCATTGGTGCTCCCAGGCCACCGTTGTCAGTCTACCTACAATTGAGAGCTCCTATGTATCACACACGGCAAAAGGGATTCAAGGCTTCGCACATCCGGAGTACCCCGCGCTACGAGTCGCATCAGAATTACTCAACGCCACCGAGAGCTTCCTCTGGGTATGTGTGAATAAAGTAATCATTGGCATAATCTTAATGTGTTCTCACAGCGTTACATTCGTGGTTCGGGCCTCGCTTATAGTGCCTATGTTTCCATCGATCTCGAAGCTGGCCTTGTTAGCTTTGGTCTGTACCGCGTGGGTCTTAAAGGTTCCAGTGGCAAAGCGTATTACTTATGACACATCTGAGCAGAGTTCGAATAGTCTGAAGGCTTTTGAACAAGCAAGAACCGTCATGGAAGGTCTTGTTGATGGCACAGTACGTACTTCTGATGTCGACATTGCAGTAGACCTCATTCCGCCCATAGATACCATTTGATAACACCGCGCTTGACGCCGCAAAGAGCAGTATCGTGTATGGCGTCACAAAGGGCGTCTCAACTCCCGGTCGCGCGGTAGGCTTCAGCAAGCTACTGAACATGCTCAGGAAACTGATAACTGGCCTCAGGCAACGAGTTCCTTCTTGAACCAAGCGTTCAAGGGGTTACCCCAGAATTATAACGTGGAGCTTCTCGAGAAGTTCCGAGCTGTGACAAAGGATGAAGTACTTCACGCATTGAAGACACGGTTCTTACCGCTCTTCCATCCTTCATCCTCGATTGCAGTGGTTGTCACTGCGCCATCTAAGGCCAGCGAGATTAGCGAGGGACTGACGGCGATCGGTTTCGATGTCAGCCAAATGACTCTTGAGGCCGATGCTGATGAGGATGGTGAGTCGGACGACGGCAGCGAGAGTGATAGTGACGAGAGCAGTAGCGATGGTAGAAGTAATTAGTGTCATTTGTCCATAACTACATCTACCCTTTTGCTGCATGAATGAAGTAGGGCTTACGAGAGCTACCCCAAGACAGAGCAATCTAGACGTCAACTATGATCGTGAGTTGCTACTAGAGAGTCAGTACTGAATTGCCGCCTGCCGGGTCCGTAGCAGGAGTCGATGAAATGACCTCTATCATCTTCTCAGATGCCTGTCCAGGTCTGAGCTCGACGTTCTCAAGGAAATCGTTGTCGACAAGGAACCGGATAGCCTGAGACAAATTAGACACGGTCATTCGTATCTCTGGAGTGAGTAGCTGCCAGCAACATGTGTGCGTCAGCGTAACTTTCTTAAGGGACATGTTCAGCACTCACATTACGAAGAAGGGAGTGGCGCGATGCGAATGGATTGCACAGCGGTTTTCGAGGCTGTTTCACAAAGGGCCTCCTCGCGGTCTCTGGAGGTTCCGGCACAGCGGTGAGCTCCTGTGTACGTTCTGTTTTTGTGGCATCTTTGTGGCCAGTATCTTGCCCTGTCGTTTCTGGAGACTCTGCCGAGGCAGCTGCCGGTATCTTGGATGAGACGATCTCCGGTGCATCATCCGAATCTGACTCTGATTTCGACTCGTCGCTGTTATACGCCACGGGCAGAGAAGGACGTGCTGTCTCTGGGCGATGAGGTGGAGCAGTCGGCTGCGAAGGAGAGGGCGGCCGTGGTGGTAACGCGTGGACTTGTGTCCTTTGAGACTGCACGCCTCCGTTGCTCCGACCTTGCCAGCCCTGGTCCGTGCCTCTACCCCTGCCTCGACCACGACCACGACCTCGCCCACGCTCATGGTGCGCGCTGTTTTGCGAGTCGTCCAGACGGCGCTTCTTGCGATTTGGGAAGTGGTCATTGTTGAGCGGAAGCTGTCCTCTGGCGATGGCTTCCTGAGCCTTCCTCTCCTTGTCTTCCACTCGAGACGCAGTGGGGTATCTCTTCTTACGTTCTGCAATCCAAGCCTCAATCGCCTCCGGCGTGTCCAGTTTGACGTTGGTGCCCTGGATAGGGATCGGTTTCCTTGACCAGAAGGTCAGCATATAGCCGAAAATTCGAACGCGGTTGGCATGCCTGACCCTTTGAGACTAGGGTCCGCGTCCCAATCCGACTTGCGTTTGCGGTTCTCCCACCCAGAGGGATAGATGAGATGTCGGTCCATCATGTGAATTTCAACCGACTTTTGGGAGCCTACGAAGTTGCACCCGGGCCTCGTGCATCGTGAGTTCCCCGACTGATACCAGTGCGCCTGCGCTTGGCCATAGCCCCCAGGTCTGGCAGTCGGTTGCCGAGGCCGTGAGGACGGTCCAGGGAAGAATGGGTGATTGTGGGAGCTAGGGGTATATGTCGACGATAGCGTGTACCCCTCAGCGGTTACAGCCGGTCCTGACATCGCTGCCTGATACTGTGCGTATGCTTGGGCATAATGAGGGGCCTGAGAGTACGAATACATGGCATGGCTCTGGGCGTACGGGTTGGAGAGCGCAGCCGCCGCTGCATGGGCGATGAAGGCACCAGAGACTGGAGCAGCTTGCTGAGGTGGAGGTACACCTTGAGCATAAGGGTGGCCCTGCATGTTGTCTTGAGACGGATATAAGAGGCACAGCTCGAGTTTATAAGGGCAAGAACGCGTCGCGCCTCAGAAAGTTTTCGGAATTCGGACGCGTCACACACGTGATAGGATAGGAGAACTGTATTCACTACGGCAGAGCAATATATTTTCGTATACCACAATTCATGCTAGGATTACGCTATGCATACTTTTAGTGTCCCTGTCTCGCACATATGCAAGCACACGATAGAATAAAGCACGACAGACGGAGAGCGAGTCAATCAAGACACGTCAGGAACGCGGAGGTAGCCCACGGAGGGCGGTAGAGTTCACAGGGGTCGGCAAAAGATTGGATGGCATTGATGAGGTTTGAGGAAGACGGACGACGGAGTAGGGAAGGATAGGACTGAGGACGAGACAGAGGGTCGATGGGCGAGTTTTAGGAGTTTTGCGGTAGAGTTGGAATGGTTTGAGAGGGCTATGGACAGGGCCAATGACTTGCTACCAGTCGATTCTTGGGGCGTTTGAATAGCCGGGCGGGCAGCATGACGGATGCAACGCATCGGCCGTAACTTTGTTTCTGAGATGCGGATTGTGGTCCTCGTGTGGGATGCCGGGCATCTGGATCGCAAGATGGCAGAACAGAGTTGGGAAAAGATCAATCTTGAGCTTCCTCCTGCTGTTGTTGATCCCTGCCTACTCGCCTTTCTTTCTCGCTCTCCAGCTGGTGGTAGAGAAGAAAGAGAGCCTTCTCGTTCGCTTCCGGAGTACCCACGATGGTGAACATTCTCTCTCCAGTCTCGTCATGAGGCTCCTTGGCAATAGAGATTTTGGATCCGGAGAGGCGTCGAATCTCTGTAATTTTCGTGCCATTTCGACCGATAATGCAACCCACCATGTCGGACGGGATGGATATGTTCTGTGTACGGAGGTTGGTCGGTTGCTGTGATGGGGATCCTGGTGAAGGAGACGTGCGCCCGCGGCCGGATGTCGATTCACCATTGTACCGTCGGCCAGCGTTGGAAGACCGTCGGCCCGACCTCTCCTCCCCCGTGCCCGGATGGAACAGGACAGTACCCTGGCCCCTCTCCCAGTCCTCCAGCAGACACCGACCGATCTCTTCAATGGCGCGGCCAATGGAATCAGCGGTTCCCTGGACCTCCACAATTCGTTCCGTCGACTGCGGAAGCATATCCTTGGACGCCACCATGCGCGCGCCGGAAGAGTCTTGAATAGCCTTGATCTTGAGCCCGCCGCGTCCGATGACGCTGCCCATGAGATTGTGTGAAATAAGAAGACGGATGGCGGTGTTTGGTGACGAAGGGTTTGCCGAGACAGGAGAAGAGGGGTTTGCGCTCACGAGTTGGGAGACAATGAGAGCATATGCCTACAATAATAGTGAGCATACACGGGTAGTCGCGGATTGAGGTGACAACGGACCTTGGCCACACCCTCCACCGAGCCACTCACGGTCAGGACACGCTCATGCACACCAGGGACAACTTTGCTGACGCCGGCCTTCACACCGGTCTGATCCCTGAGGTCGGCGACATTCCTGCCAGCCTTGCCAATAATGACACCAGCATCCTTAGTGCTAACGATGGCACGGAGGGTCAGCGTGTCGACCCCTGCAGGGGAGGAGGAGCGAGACTGAGGCGAAGAGCCTGAAGTGATGTCTGAACACAACGTTCCGAGCGCACGTGCCACAAATCGATACTCACCTGCCTCACGGTGAACTGGAGAGTCGGAGGGCATAGTGATACGACGAAGAGAGGAGGAGGAGGAGGGAGGGACGACAGCGAGGAGTGGTAGGGTCAGTGCAAGCGTGCGAAGAGAATGACCCAGACCGCGCGGCTACGGCGGGGATTTGACACACTTTAAATTTAAATCCCCGATAGACTCCGCTCAAAGGCGCCGCCGGCGAACTGGAGCGTTGAGTCATTCGCGGAGGTCAGGCGGGGAATTCGAGGGCGGGGGAGCAATTGTAATTCAGTTGTAATTCCCGTCCAGACCAGAAGCGTCGTCGTTCTCATCGTCTCGGGCAGTTCATTATACAGAATACACACCGGAAGGGCTCCATCGTCCACCTCGGCAGAGAAAATATCATAATTGCACGACGCCCCCGCACAGCATCCCTACAGACGCGCAGGCATAAAGAGCAATATGTGGTTACATGGATTATCTCATGGCATCTGGTCATAGTAGAGCGCAAGTGAAGAAGGTAACAAGCCATGTAATTATACCGCCTAGTAGCCGAGCTGAGTGAGGTTCTCGAAGGATGATGCGGTATCTGCGACGGCTTTTTGACGCAGCTTGATCGCTGCGAGCTGTGAGGGGGTTAGTCAAACGTTACACATGCAGCAATGAAATGCGTACCTTGCGCTCATGGAAGGCCTGAGCCTTGATCTTCCTCTTCTCCTCCAGACGGTCAACAACGTCCTTGTAGCCCCAGCCAACCTCGTGAGACAGACGCTAACAGACGAGTCAGTCAGATAAGCTTTTGCAGAAATGTGCTGCACCATATGTGCGCACCTTGACTGTGCAGTACTTGCGGCCAGGCTTCAATCGCAAGACTCGCAGAGCCTCCGGGACAACCATTCGCTTCTTGCGGTCGTAAGGGGGGGGAACACCCTCGTAGAGTTTGAGGCGCTCGAGAGCTGCCGCACCGCGTGCAGTCTTGTGCGGGACCATGCCGCGGATGGCCCGGTAGAGGATCTTCGAGGGCGCGCGGTGGTGGAAGGGGCCAGACTTCTTCGGGTTCACAATGTGGCGCTTGTGAAGGAAGTTGTGGTACCGCAGCTGTAGCAAGCCAGAGGCTGTATGAGCGCGAATTCCAGCGACTGCACGAATTAACCAGAGACCTTGTTGCGGAAGAAGCTGCCCGAGATGTTGATCTCCTCGCACCGGACAACGACAATCTTCTGGCCGTTGAGGACCTGCTTCGAGATAATTGAAGCCAGCCGACCCAGAAGATGGCCCTTGCCATCAATGACGATGGGGGTCGAGGAGAAAGTGGCCATGGCGAGTCTAACAGACGAGTGCGCAACAGATCAATTCCGCAGTTTGGTGCCAAAGAAAGCGTTGGACTGACCTAGACGAAAGAGGAGAGTGGGAGGAGGAAGAAAAGCGATACCTTCAGACGCGTTCGTGGCTGATACCTTGAATCTCTCACCTTGACGATCTTGCAGTCGTTAGTATGCTGGCCGCTGAGGGACCAGTGAGTGACTGACAGCCACCGTGACCAAGAGCTGCATAGTTCCAGCCGGCAGTTGCCGAACCTCAATGCTGTCGCGGTTTGAGCGTCTATTTGACTACCGCTGTGATATTCTGCGCGGAGGCTCGAAATCTGAGTGGTTTCTTGGAGAATACATGCGTTCCGGCTCCATGAATCCTATCTTTGACTCGAAATCCATCGTGTTGTGGTGTGCAGTGCAGCGCCAAATGCGCTTATCTTCTGTCCGCGTTGCTCCTGGCTTCCCTCTGGTACATGGATCGGACTTATTTTTGGCAAAAATCGTCAGCGTTGTGTCCTCGGTTCGTCGCTAGTGACAAGATGCAAGAATAAAGATTGGAGAAGTAGGATGTAACTCATGAGTGTACGAACGTGTTACCGCCACTTGTCTTTGTTGTGTCGCACTAGCGCTGGCCAACAGCTCGCTTAGCCAGAGTGATTTTCATGAACAGGAATTGGCATGTATGAGCTCGAACGTTTGAAAACCCTGGTCGCAGATCGCGCATGTGCACGAAGACTGTAACATGACGCAACTTGCCATATAAAATCAACCCATAAGATTCAATGAACCCAACATTGCAATCGTTATTGCAAGTCTGCGACATGAAAGGGGCCGACGCGCCCTGACGCGCCCCTAGCGAGTCACGTGCCGCGACATATCCTCGGTCGCTGCCGGGGCGCCGCCGAGAGCGACAGCACGAACGCGTCCTGTTCTTCAACCCGCCTTGCTTCAACATGTCCTTCTTTCGCCTCGCTGCCCGTAGCGTTGCACGACCACGACTTGTGCTGGCCCCACGGGTGGCCACGGCATTGCCCCAGCGCAGTCGGGTTCTGCAGTACGCTGCATACTCTGCGTCGGCAGGTCTCTCCAAAGGCGATATTACGGCGCGTGTGATAGATGTCTTGAAAGGATTTGAGAAGGTGGATCCTGCCAAGGTATTGTCCAGATTGTTGTCTACCGCTGCTAAATGTGCTCACCATTCATTCATCTGTAACAGCTCACAGAGACGTCTAGGTTCTCCGAGGACCTTGGTCTGGATAGTCTTGACGCGGTTGAAGTTGTTATGGCAGTTGAGGAGGTACGCTCTCAGTGGACTCACGTCAATCCTTGTCTCTCAATGCGTGCCCGACTGCACAGGAGTTTGCCATTGAAATCCCAGACGAGGAGGCGGACGAAATCAAGACCGTACAACAAGGTATATATCCGTTCGTGTGTTCACAAACAGGTCTAATTTCCACGTCTATCCCAAGCCATTGATTACATTGCCAAAACGCCGGAAGGTGTGTCTGCTTTTTGCGCTGATGTTGTTGACTATCCTGCTGAAACGCCGATCTAGCTCACTAGAAGCGTTTCACATGACGATCCATAGTCACTGTACATGGCCTTAATTTCATCTGTTCTCTTCTGCTGTCTCGAAGTGTCATTGCCGTTGGAATTCTCCACGTGGGGCGCCGGTATCTCTTTTACTTCGATCGATATGACGTGACGCCTCGAATTCCTTAGATGAAACTGCCATCCTCAAGTTGCTACTCAATGCAGTTAGATTGCCTGTCTTGTGATTTAGTCGGGTTGAGGTAGTCCAGGCTCGGCATCTGAGAGCTTCACTTTACAGGCGTGCAAGATCGGAGGATAAACACTTAGCCCCATCTACCCCTAATATGATATGCCCAATTAGTGCGCAGAAACATCCTTCCCCGCTCTATAAAAGCAGCGTGCGTGTAAGCGTTGGGCTGTAGCTCGGTCACTGAATTCACTGCCACCATGGGTTATACTTCGCGAACAATCGTTGTCGAACGCCCCTTGCTCAGGACTCAATGTAGATTGGGCGAAGGTAACCATCTGGTAAAGACGATCGTCCAAGCATTTGACGTTGAGACTTCATTTAGGTCCTCTGTATGATTCAAAGGATTCGCTGCTACACTTCGTCGATATCGAAAACTGCAAGGTGCCCTCACGCAGTGTGTGTTCTGATGCGGTCGTTCATGCTTTACTAGGTCTACCATTTGAATATACGTACCTCTGAGCTCACAGCTGAGCAATTCAACGAGCCTATAACTTGTCTCGCGTTACGGCGAAATGGCACTGGGGTGAGCGGTGGCTTGTAGAGCGATAAATGCAACAGCTAACTTGAGTAGCTAGCGTGTACAACGTCCACTGGCTTTGCGCTTATAGAAGCAGAGTCGAACCTGCGTTATCTGTCTCAACCTCTACCCTCAGAGACTCAGCCATACACTAGGTTCAACGATGGCGCCTGTGACAAAGAAGGCCGTTTTGTTGCCGGGACACTCTACTCCAAAGAACACAATGTCCCAGGACAGCTGTACATGTTCGATCCCGCGAAGGGTGAGTGCAAAGTCATTGATGATGGTCCATTTACGGTGAGTTCCGGCGGCGAGTTGTCGCGAGCCATCTGACATCACAACGGCCTAGGATTCCAACGGCTTAGGATGGAGTGAAGACGGCAAGACCATGTGAGCGTCTATTTCTCCGCCCATGAGCCGCGATTCACTTCGAGACTAGGTATTTCACAGACTCATTGACGAACAAGATATATGCGTACGATTATGATACAGGGAAGGTGTCCAATAGACGGGTGTTCGTCGACCCAATCTCCCACGGCCTGCCAGAAGGGACGTACCCCGATGGCCTCTGCATCGATAACGCAGGGGGCATATGGTCTGCACGGTCCGTCCGCTGCATCCGCCCTGGCATTCCACATACTGATTATCGCCGCGGAGTAGCTGGGGTGGCTCCAGAATCATAAGGTACACCCCGGACGGCGCCATGGATCTAGAAGTCTTTTTCCCCACCGTTCTCAATGTTACGGCATGCTGCTTTGGAGGTCGGTAGTTCTAGCCAATTCGCCCGATGGATCCCCTTAATTTGTCCTCGGAGCAGGTCCGAACGAAGATCAGCTATACGTGACCACTGCTCATTGTGGCGCATGCGGGGGCGACGCTAGCCGACAGGCCCTCTATCCTGACTCAGGGGACCTATTTGTGGTGGATTTCTCCGGTCAATTCCGGGGTGCGAAGTGGCGGCACGAGTTTGCGGTCTAGCCACACTGATTAACGGTGTCTTTCGGAACGAGCAACGGAAGAGTCGTGTAGTAATCAGATGAACTAGCCTGTACAAATACTACGCCATTGCCAAGCACTGGACGTTATGCCCTCATGTTCATGACCTAGTGATGATTTAGATAGCTAGAATTTCTACTTGGACCTTTCCTTGGAATTCATCGACGTTTTTGCCAAGCCCTAAGAAGCGATCTAAGTTGCGCTCCCTGAAAGAGATACTCTAGTGTACAAATAGGGGTCATGAATCTGCTCGCGCCCATCTTGATTTCGTATAGGATGTAGTTACTATGGTCGAGAATGCATCGTAACACATGTCAAAAATATCCAGACAAGTCGAGTAGGGCACCATTTGTACAGGTATATGGAGGTACAGCAACGAGACAGTGCCTCATTGAAATTTCGGCGGAGACGGCATCCATACGAAGGCCGCTCCAGACGGAGAGTGAACGCAACTTAAAACGCTTGTGGCGCTAGGATGCGCGTTACTGATATCGTGAAAGCGGAGGCGGCCCGCTGCGGTATATGGTGCTCTCATTGCCGTAAGACGTAATTGGCCATCGTTTTGGTTCACAGAGGCGAACGAGACGAATGCCTATCGGCCTTACTGATTCAGATATTGTGCAGATACGCATAGCTGTGGTACACTGCTGTGTACCGAAGCTGTTTCCCATGGTGTCACTCGCCCCTTTCCCGGGATGTGCACGTCGAATTATGCGGTCCCTTGATGTCGCGCGGCAGTTTTCGAGAAGAGATCCCGCAACGATAATGACTTGCAAAGCCTCCGTCGCTCCTTTGCTCGTCCTATCGGTAATACCCCACGTCAACGAACCCACAGTCAGGGTCACTTCGCGGCATGCCGTGACATCGGGGATTACGCATAGGACGCTTTCCCCCCGCAGACACCACGTTATAGACGGCGCGAGAAGTATGACCGTGAGTGCCCCATGTAGTAATCCAGTAAGCTGTCGTCTGTTGCAGGGGTAGTCGACAGTCACTATAATATGTATTGACATTAGGTACCTTGGGTAGTAGCAGCCTGTTATAGTGCGAAGGGCACGTCCTTTTGGTATGGCCACGGTGCTTTGTTAGCGGATGACTTGATGATCGGAGGATGACGTTCCTACACTAGAAGGTGAACCACGAGCTGCGCAGTGTGGCGAGACTCCGACCTCTGTGTGCTGGAAATGCTAACAAAGACATATCGAGACGCTATCCGCACCATGACGCGCTCAAACTATAAATTCGAATATGATACGGAGCATTCTGCAGCTGATTGCACGCTGGATAACAATGTCACTGTCGACTTGACCACGCATGTTTACGAAAAGTGACCGAGATTGCACACCAATATCATGGGGCAGCTGTCTAGAACGTCGTCCAAAGGGTAAGTTTGAGGTTTTGTACACCCTTCGTACTTATTTGAAGACGTTTGCGAAGCCGCAGATGTCGAAGATCAGCGCGAACGAGATGATCGAGGCGGAGAACCCCCGCTGCGTCGGGAATTGCCGCAAAGGGACTGCCATAAGCGCCCCTGGCTTGCTGTCTAATTGAGCATTAGCAGTGGCTCTCATTTCACCGTAGCCGACCGTCATGAAGCATGGGATCGCCTTCCGCAAGTTCTCGAGGACGTCCTCGCACAGAATGCTCATGCTGAGGTACATCTTGTGACCTCTTGTGCCCTCTGTGTACTGACGTACCCGTCCAGGAATCTGGTCACCTCACTTTTCGAGCACGAGCAGATCAAGACCACGCTGCCTAAAGCGAGGGATACTGCGAGGCTGGCGGAGAAGGTTCGTCCGGTATAGGTGCTTCATACGATTGCGTTTTGCTAAAGCTCAGCTAGATCATCACCATGGGCAAGAAGGGCAGCCTCCCTGCATACCGACGTGCGAATGCGTTCCTGCTCAAGCCAGCACTACTTCCAAAAGTGTTCAAAGACTTTGCACAGCGCTATGCGGACCGCCCTGGTGGGTATACACGGATACACAAGTTTGGTAACCGTCCAGGTGACAATGCACCGCATGCAATCCTCGAGCTGGTCGACAACCCACGAGACCTACGGTTCGAGATGACTGCGCGTGCCGTCGGATGGGAGTTGCTGGGGAAGCGGCTGGGTCCCGGCGGCCCGAAGGCGCTAGCCAGGTCTGGCATTACAGACCTTGAGCAAATTGTAGAAAAGGAGCGAACACTGGGGCCGGATCAACGAGGTGAATTGCGAGCGAAGACACGATGGAACGTGCAAAAGCTCTTGCGGTTTAGAAGTGCAGATGCGGCGGCGACGTTGGTAGCAAAGGCTGAGGACCATGCAGTATGTTCCCCCCATTGCTTTTCAGAGTGTTCGTCGATGCTAACCACTATCTCATTCCTAGGACACGCTACTTGCGCGACCACTTGCCTCCAAGGAGGCTGTCGAGAAGGACGCCAACGATGGTGACGAAACACCGTATGCGGGCCTCAAATCCTTGAGACTGAAGGCAGGTCAGACGTTGCCGGGAGGAGCGCGAAGCGCCCTCAGTCTCGCCCAAGGAGCACTAGGCAAAGAGGTTACTGGCCGCCCGAGGTGGTTCGAGCGGAGAAAACTAGGCATAGACAAGGCTACCATCTGGGATCAGGCTTGAGTATGTCCAGACCTGTTTGCCTGCATATGTTATGTCGTGTCACTACTCTCCGTGCAGTCTGCCGTGCTTGCCATAGCGACTGTTAGCGCTTGTGTGTGCAGCAAATAGACTAGATTCGACAAAGACCCCTCCCATATGGGTCTTGTTTTGAAACCTAACACTCTTGTCGACACGGCTAGATTCAATTCGATCAAGCGACGCCCTGAAATTCTTCAAGGTGCGTTTCAAGGACCATATCGATGAACGACGCTCATATTTTGAACAGGGCTGTCGACGTGAGGCAACGCATTGAAGAGGTGTTTCAGGGCCCGAGTTAAGATACTGATTACATGGCTAGTGACGCCAACTGTTACAAATTAATGGTACTGTACAATTGCTTTCCTACTGACTTCCTACGTCATCAACCTCAAACCGACGCCCACTCGCTTACTCGAGTAGTAGTTGGGCACCCGGGGGACGGAGGGTTGGAGAACTTCGTCTCGACAAAGACCTTCTCGACACCGCCCTCGCGCTTGTCGAACGCCTCGTACAGCTTCGGGAAGTCTTCGACGGGCACACGGTGCGTGATCATACTGTCACAAACTTTTCAACACCGGTACAAGGTAGCTGAACAATCGGTTCACTTACAATGTGGGGTCGAACTTGCCAGGAATGATGTAGTCGTACAGGATCTCCTTCCACCATTTGTGAACAGGAGCCTGTCCGTTTCCAATGAGGCGGACACCCTTCTCCATCAGTGCACCGATGTTGAAATGGTTGGTGTACCCGGCGTATGCAGCAATGATGCCGCAGCGACCGCCCTTCTTGACTGCCATGATCATCTCGTTGACAATTTCGGACACGTCGGTCTCGAGCATCAAGGCCTTCTCAATCTTGTGTAAGGTTGTTTTCGGTTGGTGGAAGGTGCCTTTATGCAGTGTCAGTATCAGACTAACGGTCAGGCAGCTGTAGCGCTCATACGCACCGCAGTCTATGGCTACGTTAAGGCCGCCCGGAGCAACCTCCTGCAGACGCTTAACGACATCGCTGTGTTGCGAGAAATCGAGAGTCTCGATACCGAGCTTCTCACGAGCGAACGCCAGTCTTTCCGGAACTCTGTCTACGCCAATGACGCGTTTCGCACCCTTGAGCAGCGCCCACTTGGCGACGCACATTCCAATGGGACCAAGGCCCTGACGCCGGACATTAATGTCTAATACTCTTGAAACTGTCATCAGAACTTACCCAGACACCAACGATGTCTCCCTCGTTAACACCAGTGTCCATGACAGTGTGGTATGAAGTCGCCAAAACATCCGAGAGGTAGAGCGCTTTCTCGTCTGACACTCCATCAGGTATCGGGAGCAAATTGACGTTGCCCTTAGGCACGCGAACATATTCTGCCTGACCACCGGGGAAACCACCAGTAAAGTGGGAGTAGCCGAAGAAACCGGCATCCCGGTGACCATACATGGCGTTCTGAAGTCTGCGAGCACTTTAGAAGCTGGAGAGACTATCACGTCTGCACCACTTACGAGGATGGGTTTGTGCGATCGCAGAAGGACGAGAGCTTCTGCTTGCAGTACTCACATTCACCGCATGCGATCTGGAAGGAGGCAACTACGCGCTGCCCGACTTGTAAGTTTTTGACGTTAGGACCGATGCGGTCCACGATGCCCATGAACTATGAGAGGTGTAAGTAATGACCGTGCTGATGCGCGTGCCATATACTGACCTCGTGACCCAAGATGTCGCCCTTCTGAAGATTCACGATTTCGCCATGGTAGAGATGCAGGTCTGAACCACAGATAGTGGTCCCGGTGACTTTGAGTATCACATCGTCGTCTTCGGTGATATCTGGAATGGGTGCCTCGACGAGGCGCACATCCTTAGGCCCAAACCACGCCAGGGCCTTCATTGTGCCCCCCTCCTGGCGAGCCCTGTACTCTGGGTGAGCGACGGTTGGAAACTCCCCCATTGCCTACAATCCGCTGTCAGCGGGCTCGAAATGAAAGCGGGGATCAAATATACTCACGCTCTGCACTGCGTTGGATACTGCTTGCATGGTGGTAATGCGGTGATATGTAAATGGTAGTTGGGGGTAAGCTGTGTGGGCCGTTTTTGGCTGATGCGGAGCTTTATATGCACCTCCCTCCAGGAGTCGGTGGGTGCTGAGGCGCTGACGACGGTGGGCGTATGAGGCGCTTATGACGTCCGCCCTCCGAGAGAGCCTCGATGACGTCACGCGTGGTCCGCGACGCGACCCACGTGATCGTGTTGCACCCGTATCGCTCAGGCTGCGAGTGCCGGGTTCAGGCTTCAGCTCTCGCGTCTCGGTGTTCCTTTTCCGAATCTGCATACACGGTGCCGCTCATTTGTGACGCATATGTGGAACTGGGATAATACGGCTCCGAGTTATCGTCTCGCCCCAATTGACGGTGTAGGATCTAGATTGTCACTGGATGCACACCTGACCGTCTTGCATCTCAATATAGGTCCCCCTCCCCATGATTTCGACTCCGGATGGTACTCTGCATGCGTGCTGTGTCATTCTGTGAATGCATTCACCCGTCAGCTATCCGGCTGTCTCATTCCTTCTGTATACACTCTCGGATAATTCGCACGCTTCTTAGACTAGCTATAGTCATGCTTAACTCACGGCTACGGCTATTGGTCCGTATGTAGTCTGCTCGGAAAATTTCTCACCGCGAAGTCAAGACGCCATCTCGATCTATACCGATGCATGTTCGGTGCCACCCGCCGCTGTCTGGTGAGGTCACGCTTGCAATGCATGTTCAAATTGCGATTGACCCTTCCCGGCCTCTGACGCCACCGCCATGCATGTGCCATCAGTCGAAAACCACTGGCATGCTACATGGAAGCCCGCATCGGGTCGATCGCTCAGATCGAGAACAATGTGTGGTTTGTCAATCATCATTGTGGTCCAGGTTATTGGCCGGTACTTTTATATCTAACAAACTCGATGTTCGTCCGTGGCAATACTTGCGCGCATAGAGCGAACTTCTTGTCGGTAGCATAGGAACTGTGCGACTCGTGCATTGCTGCCTCGCGGCAAACATGAGCACCAGGCGTTTCGTAGTTGGCCTTCTTCGCTTCTTTCGCCGTTCCTGGCGGAAGCTCCCATGGTTGAAGCCGCCGGGACATGCGGCTACCGCGCTGTTTCCGTCCACACAAACGCCGTACTGAGTCACGGGAAGGCTCGCTCTCACTCGTCGTTAATGTTAATAACGGGGATAATATAAGCTACAGACAGCTCCTAGGATATATCGACTACAGGATCTCGTCCGGTATACATCAAATGTCCGTCTCACAGCCAAAAACCGGTGGCCGTGACGGCAAGATACGCGCCCTGCCTAATGTCTGCCACATGTTACCGCGCTCATCTCTATCACTCAAGCAACTTGACCAGACAGCCTCACGGTGGTGGAGATGACGACATATTCCTGCTATGCCATGAATCAGGTAACAGAGGTCGCTGAACATTATTCACAGGTCAGCGTCTTGTGATACAACTGTCATGTCATGAATCGGCTCACCTCAGAGGGCTATGGATCGTTCCACATGCAGAAGCGCATATCGCGCCATAGACGGTCGACGGTAATTCCGTTTACTGGTCGCCATGGCTCCGACGACGCATTTGACATGGTATGCGAACCGTTGGGGAATAGCTGGGACACTGTGCAAGTCACATCTCTCCACGTCCTTGCTCTGGCAGTCCGGTCAGCCTTGGTAGCATAGAGCAGGTCGAGGCAAGCAGACTCACGTTACATTTGCAACTTTTGACCGTGTCTTCAGCGCGTACTGGTACACCGAGCCTGCGCAGACGATTAGACGCCACATCGTGCTGGTCTATGTCAGCTTACCTGCGTCCAGAACGAGGGAGACACTCTCGCCAGGGTGTAAGAGGACGATGGAGCTAGTATTTCGCCCGTAGGACCTCAGTAGCTGCACTGACGCGCAGTCGTGCGTATCGTTCGTAAAGTCGAGGAGCACTTCATACTGAGTGCTGGCCGGCATCCTCGAGAGCAGCCAGAGACAAGATTGAGAACCAACGAGTAGGCGATAGCGAGAAACGTGACTTTGAGTCGATGGGAGAGCGCGAGAAGGAGAGAGCGTAACGCCAGTGAGGCACACGAAGTTATACTCTGCTTGGCGATGACAATTGCTTCGAGCTTCTGCGGGCCGTCGCGTTTTACGGCACGCTCACGGACTCAAGGCGGTTTCACAATATTTAATTGCGTGCCAAAGCAAGCTGTGCACGGTATGGCCGCAGTACACAGCCAGAGCTGACGCTGCCTTTTACAACGGCGGTACGTGGCGAGAATGGAACAAAGCGGACCTGCTGCCACGTCGTGAGCGGACTGCCTATTGTTTGTGCAGAATTAACCGGCCGGCGCTGTGCAGCTCGGACCCGGAAAAGGAACGCAGGGCGGCTGACGATGACAGGAGCCTAAAAGGAGAGAAAGGAGTGGGATTGGAAGAGAATGGCATGCATGGGCAGCGAGGCGGACGACGGAGGCGAGCGAATGCGTGCTTTGAGTTCGGAGTCTTCTCTCTCTCCGTGGCTACTGTGGGCGCCTGAACCCACATCCATATATGGTTTCTACTCAACGCACATGATCGGTCTCTCCGAGAATCTCTCGCCAACGCCTCTCTGTCAGCGAGCTCAGCCACATCCTCACCGCGGGCTACCGCCGCAGGCAATGCACGCTACTGCCTCGCCCCCCTCGCCCCGCAGCCTATTCTAGCTCACTGTGGGCGGCATGGCCACCCATACTTTCCTCGGGATCCCCCCTGAGCTCCGTCTCGCTATATACGACGCCTATCTCGCCGAACACCAGCGCGTGAGGCAGAACCGTCAGCCAACTAACGAGCACATCAGGGTCCTGCACACCTGCACCCAGATAGACCGTGAAGCGAGACCCCTGTTCCGCCGGTACATTTCCCTGAGACATGAACGGCAGATCAATGCGTTCATCCTGCGCGCCGACGACGCCCATGCAGGTGCAGTCCTCTGGGCAGATGTCGCAAACGATGGCCGTGTGCTCGTCGACGCTGCAGCCAGGGGGTCAAGCAAGTCCGTCAAGAGTAAGGTAAGGAGAGGCCCGGTATTCTAAAGTGGATCCTCTAACTTCTTGAAAGGCAGCGGCACCTCTTTCTCACCTTTATGCTGCCCTTCGCCGCATGATATCGCTGAAGCGCCTCCGCGTCTTTCAATGTCGTCAGGGGGTACCTGTCAACAGACCCTTGAGTGCGTCTGTTACAACTGCGTGTCGCCCTCGTTACCGGTGTATTTACCGTACTGGTGCAGAGACAAGGACAGCTCACGTTGCGATGCAATTCGAGGTTGCCATGTACCCAGACGGCGGTCAGCCTCACCTTTCTGCATACGAGCTGCATCTGGACGCAGAGACAAGGGTCTCACCGTTCGAGGTTATTTCCCCCAGGGACGTCGAGCAGCTACGTCTGTCCGGCAACTGCCAGATGCCCACCTTCCCACCTACACCAGCACTTCGTAACGTGGTCCTCCACGGCATCACCGGGAACGCCTTCGACAACAACGCCATCGATAAATGTTTCTCGCAATCCCGGCTCGAGTCATTCTCGTACGGGATGGGCGATAAGCTTGGGTTTGAGCTTCGCGATCGCCATATCCAGTCTCTTGTCTCCCTCTCTGGGGCTCGTCTGCGGCGGTTGGTTCTACTTGAATGTAACCGCCTCAGCAGCAAGGCCCTCGCAGAGTGCCTCGACGGTCTACCGCACCTCGAATATTTTGCGCTCCACATAATAACGGTGGAGGAGCTGCGGTCTAATTTCGTGCTGTCACTGGCACCTTCGGTACAAGTTTTGAAACTGCACGTTATAAATGCCTGGTACGCAGTGCCACTTCTGGCGGAGGAACGCGGCCTCTGCGATGCTGTGGAGAATGCTATTCTAGATCGCACGGTCGCACCTGTGGAAGTCTCGGTACATTTCCGTGAATTGCTGATGAAGGAGGACGGGAGACAAGCTCGGTGGCAGGAGATTGCTACCCAACGACAAATACAATTATCTTTCGGTCGTTGGGAAGACCGTGAACAGTTAGAATTGTAATGTATCGAACTATTGTGTGTGTTGAATAGCCACGGACAAGATGACATAGGATACTTTAGCAGAGCGGCTAATCACAGAAGTCAAGCTCAGGCCATAGTGGTGTGAAGTCCGGATAACATGCAAACATCGTATAGGCAGAGGCTAAGGCTAAGTACATCGAGTCCGCGAATACCGTACGGGCAGCAATGGGCAACTACATAATCACTACTGTCCATACCAATAATGTCCTGTCCTGGAGAGCTGTCTAGTAAGGCTGCTGGAATCGTGGGGGTTTGCGCCCGAAGGAACCTTCCGCTGCGACCGAAAACAAAATGAGAACGGGGGCAGCGAGGATGACACGCAACACACCTCCCCCAAATCAAAGATCTGACGCACCAGGATGAGGTTGACTGCGTTGTGGGTATTCCAGACCACTGTCGTCGCCATCTGTATACCGCGTGTTCATTGCTGCAGGGGTTGGTCCAGGTTCTTCGGTGTAAACGTATCCTGGCTCTGTGGGGTATGGTGTCTGTTCGTAACGGTCGTAGTCACGCGGTTGCTGGACTTTATCACCCATTACAGTCGTGACACTGGCAATGCTTCCTGACCTGTCGTGATAGCCACGGGGGTTGGCAAATGAATCCGTGGATGGACGGGATGCCCAAGGGTCGCCACGGTTAGTGAGGGGGATACTGTCGCCCGCCAGCGGCTTCGTCGGGTCATACAGGGAATCGTACTTGCTGTGATCGCGTTCTTGTCCGGCCGAATAGGCAGCCAGAACGACATAGAGATATGTCTGTAAAGTGTTCCACGGCAACAACCAAGAAGGAATAGAAATTAGGCGTGAGTAACGAACGAACAGCGGTAATGAAACACTGACTTGGGCAATGGCCAATATGACCCACAAGCCAGCCATAATTCCAACGTCGACCAGAGGGATAATCTTGCACAGAATATTGCTCTCGTCGTTTGTGATGGTGTTGTCCTCAGGATAAAATGTCTTTGCGCAGTTAGTTTGTGCAGTCGAATGTTTGACCCCTGACAGCACAATCCAGACGGCTGCTACTGAGAACGCCCCAAGAGTCACGAGCAGATGAAGGGTGGTGTATCGGCGGAAGAGGATGGGCTTCTCCTGCAGCAGAACGTGAGATCATGACGGAAGGAGGCTTCATGCAGGTACGGACATTGCGGACGGCAGCAAAACCCATTAGCTGGAGGGCTGCCCCGGTATAGCATATGATTGCGAAGATCCATTTCCCTGCAGCTGGAGAGCCGGCAGCTCCCACGACTAGTAAAGAAATCGGTTAACCCAACCCAGTCTATATACTGATCGCGAGGTGAATCGCACTGGAAGGTGTGGCAAGTGCGAGTGTGCCTGCGAGGATGCCAAGCACGAATTGCTCCGTTAACGTCGTGTAGATACCAGCATAGATGACCGGGATGGCACAGCAGCAGTATTCTCTGGGTTTCATGACGTCGGTATTAGAGTGCTGGAACAGTGTGCGGTAGACAACGAATGAGACGGGGGGTAAAGGCGGGGCTCGGTCCAAGAGCAACAGTAACCAGACTGAATATGAGAAGGGCCCGCGATGGTGGTCGGGCAAGAAGGGGACGCGCAGCAGCGAGCTGTGTCGGCGCGCACACAGCTACCCCACACTTCAGTTTTGGAAGGTCTCTCCCACGCTCTATTTCGGCTACCCGCACAGGCACGCCGTCACTTGAACGGAGCTCGCTGTAGTGGACATCCTAATCCGTCCTCCCTCCACAACCACGACGTACTATGGCTCGTTTCGCATTTTTCGCATTTTTTGCACTTGTCGTGGGCTCTCTATGTGCAGCCAAGCCTACTGAACAGGAGACACTCGAGGACCTGACTCTGAAGAGCGACAGATGGGACTGGACTGACTGCGGTTCGTCGTCTTGACCAGCACACATTCATCGCGTTGACCATAGAATGCAGGTACACCCCAGCACCTCGTGCACATCCAAGATATCCAAATCACTCCTGACCCGCCCGTCAAGGGTGAAGCTATGACCGTGACGGTTATAGGAACTGCATCCTCCCAGATTGAGGTAATTACGTTCTTGTGCCGTCTCGAGACAGCTCATCATCATGTGTTACCCGTAGGATGGTGCATATGCCGATGTCGTTGTAAAAGTTGGCGCCATCAAGATACTGCAGAAGGAGTTCGACGTTTGCGAAGAGGCGTATGTGCGACGGTTCAGCGCGCAATCAATGTTACTTATTTGGTCCACAGCCGAAACGCGAATGCCAGCATACAGTGTCCGGTGGCTGAGGGCAAGTACACCGTTACGCACACCGTGGACCTGCCCAAGGAGATACCTCCTGGTATGTCACATACTTATTACACAACAACTGTGTGATGACGCATTCTCCCTCTCCTTAGCTCCGTTCGCAGTGAGTGTACGTGGTTACACAGTCGAGGACGAAGACTTGGCATGCGTCGACATCAAGATTGATTTCAGGCCCAGGCGGGGTCTACTTGGCTGGTAGACTTGCGCATGTCAGACTGTCCTGGCGAGGAATTACTACGCTTTCATGATCGTTATGTCCTTTGATATCCATCGCATGTCTTGTGTTCTCGCGATTCTGTAGTCCTGTAACGTGGAGACGAGTATCAATCCCAAGTTAGGAATGATCTGTGCTGAGATGGGAACGTAATGCCATCATAGCTCATTACTCAGTATCGCTTCCGTCACTGTATCCGACTTCGACCTATCTCACCTGGTGCAATCGCCTTTCTTCTGGAATTGGGGACTCCTCGCACATAGGCCGTGCATTACCATCTCCTGTCTTCCGGGTCCTGCATCTGATCATATCATAATCGTGAATTATGATCAACCGCACTTTCGGTGCTATCCAGGTAGCTACTCGTTCTGCATCTCATCACGCTGTTCGTCGTCGGGCCATGGCTCAGTCAAAGTTACGCCACCTCCTGGTTCTCGATTTCGAAGCTACATGTGGAGACGAGATTAAAGGGCAGAACGAGATCATCGAGTTCCCCACTCTCGTGTATAACCTGGAGAACGATGAAGTTCAGGCGACGTTCCACGAATATGTCCGCCCCGTCGTCCATCCAAGGCTGACGCCGTTCTGCACTGATCTCACAGGCATCACCCAGGTTAGGAGTAGTCGCACCCGATGAGCAGATGGACTGATTTGTTCATAGGATGTCGTCGACGCTGCGGACACTTTCCCCGAGGTCTGGAAGCGGTTTCAAGACTTCCTCAAGCGAGACGACCTCTTGGGTGACCCGTCCTCTTACGCTTTCTTAACCTGCGGCGAGTGGGACCTGCAGGCCATGCTCCCACGACAGCTAGTCACCAGCAACAATGACCACGGTTTGGATGAATCGGGTAAAATGATACCACCTTACAACCGCTACATCAACGTCAAGAAGGCCTTCCGGAAGCATTACAAGCTCCGTTATGAGCAGGGCATGGCGTCGATGCTACGACACCTGCGGATGCCACTCGAGGGAAGGCACCATTCAGGTATTGACGACTGCAAGAATATCCTGGCGATTGTGAGACGGATGCGCGAGGACGGGTGGAAGCCAGAGTGGAATATCTAATGAGGTAATTGGTTCGTGCTGCTCGTCTGGTGGCTCACTTTCTGCAGCGGCTAACAGGCGTTTCCAGACTCCCGTCTACGATAGCTACTAAAATATTGTAGGCACATCGGAACGTTCTTGATACACAGGCGATCATTCTTATCTCCTGAACGCCCATCTCTGCGCGTATTCCTGGAACGTGATCATTGCAAGAACAATAGCGAATGCTCCACCCTCACACGAGATGAAGGCCTCCATAGCTCTCTGCTTCTCCTTGTTTTCCTTTTTCGCGCGAACAGCTCAATGCGACTTTACCATCGCACCGGCAGTCCACTTTAGGCAATTTGAAACATACACCGGCTCGTGATATGTATCGTTTAGATCGCGGGGTTGTGGCATTGCCTATTTCAAGGTTCCTCTTTGGGAAGACAATAATGAACTTCGAACATGTGAAGGTGTCCTGTGTTTTCTTCCTCTTCTAGGAAGATCCGGGGACGGTGGACATTCTGTGTACATATTTGCCTCCATGGGTAAACGCAGACGTACGATAACCATGCCCCACTAGCCCTCATATGCTATGCCGACATCGACCATACCATTCGAAGTTCTCTTCGAGCTTGTGAACGATACCCATGAACCGGTCATGATGCAAGTATTGCAACAAGAGGATGGCGAGCGCACTGGGGCGACAGTGTTGCTGCATCGGGGGGAGACCATCTCGCTCGTGTTGACCGCCGGTGTTCCATATAAGTACGCCGTGAAGCGGAGTGGGCATGAGGCGACACTGTCGTGAGGTTCTTCTATGTGGTAAATGGATGTCCATGTTTTGACAAAAGATCTTATTCCTTCACCAGAGTCAAGTTGTGGAAGGACACACGATACTGCTTGTGGAACGTCTTTAGACGGTCAAGGCCATCCACAGACTCGGAGAAAGGTAGAGAAACGATGCTCGAGGGTGTCGTGGTAACGTCGCAAACCAATACCAGAACGTATGCAACCAGATGAGACACGAGGTACAGATATTTCGGCTTGCGGTCGATCGGGAACGTATATAGCTCTGACGTTTATGCACACACAGATGACGACAGCAAAACTCATGCCATAGCCGAGAGACCAACTGGAATCTCGGAGGTCGAGAGACGTTATATCCTTATGTAATGCCGTTATGTTGCCCCTCGTGAATGCCATGAGGACCATGGTCCGATGACTATGGGCCCGATCGATAGCCTTGCACAACAGCAGCCGCCCTGCGAAGACATAAGTGCCACGTATTCTCGCGGGATGTGCAGAAACTCGGCTTACGTGAAGACGTCCCAAACGGCAGTCTGGTTGATGTAAAATGTGAAGCCTGGGAAGATGTTCGTCAGAGTGCGCAAATTATAGACGAATAAGCCCCACCATCGTTCGGCGAAGCCTGGACAAAGAGATACATATGAGAGTCCGTACGGAAATTATCAACGGTGCCATTCACGCACCCCTTGGTAGATTTGGTCGGTATATTTGATGACACGATTACCACCGTCCTCTGTCAAGTTCAATTCGCCGAACTGCCAAGGTTCAATGCTGCAGAAGCGGTAAGTATTGGGTCTTCCCATATGTGCGGGTATGAGCTAATTACCCGCTGCGCAAAGACGCCGTCAGCATTATCGGTAGGGCAGTGGGACAAACACTACTCACGCATGTCCTGATGCCAAAGCATAGCCAACCCAGACAGGGTATATCTCCGTCTTGTTCTCTGACAAACAAGTAAGCATGACTGTAACATTTGTTGAGACGTCGATGCGTACCCAACCCTGTCACGCCGAACTCCTCAATGAGGAGAGGTTTACCAACGTATGCTGCAGCTACACAAGAATGAGACGACATTGATCTATTCGGGCGTGGGGAGTCGTAACGTACTGTTCGCATGCGCTTCGATCCATCCCAAGCCCCATTCCTCCACCGAGAAGTTAGAGCCAGGGTAGTCCTATGGAATCTGTGAGGCCGTGTTTGCTTTATGCCAGGACAAACTCACCAGCTCTGGATACCTGCGCAAGTCACTTGAGTTCGAGACATATCACGAGAGCGCATGTGGTTGCTTACCAGGTCTGAGGGTACATGTGCTAAAGACGTGTCCGAATACATATATAAGGAGTCCGCAAACCTCTACCGGAAAATCACTCACGTATGTGCCGAAGTCGATGTTGGGCAGTGCAAGGCTAGCCTCAAAGTCCTCCCCGGCTGCAAAAGGATGAGCTATTGCTCATGGCGAGAAGAGAACGCTACCTGCCTTCGCCATTAAAGTTGAAGTCGCTGACGAGGGTGCCATCATACCAGCTGCATGAGAGATGAGCATGCGAGCAAGTCTTCTTATGTCCAATGAAATACCGTACTATTCTGGGGGCTGCGCCCAGTAGAACTGACCCTCTCCACCTGTCGTGATCATGTGGTACGGATCGCTAGGATAAACGCGATCAGGGACTTGTATTGTGTGACTGCAATGTTGACTCACAGGCTGCGGACATAGTCGGACTGAAGCTGATACCAGGTGGTCAGAGTCTCGGAGCCGGGCACGCAATCCGGACCTGATGGGAGAGTATCGCCTGCGCAGCGAGCCTCGTTCATCAGCTCCCAGGCGAACACATTTGGAGAGTCCTTGTAGCGCTCAACGATTGTTTGTGCGTATCGCTCTAGATTTTGATGATGAGGGTATAAACACTGTAAACATCCAGTACCACTTACGGTAGGAAGCTATGATGGTCGGGTTCGTGTAAAACTCGTCATGAGTTATTGCAGTGTTGCCCAAGATATGGTAGATGTAGAGTTCCGCTCCCTAAAACGTTGTCAGGCAAACGCAAGAAAGCACATTTTGCCATCAGCATACTCCGTAGCCGAACCTGGTGATGATTTATAGTACATAAGAAAGAGCTGTTGCCACATACACAAATCTTACCAATTGTTTGTGAATGTTAGAATGAGGCGAATGCCGTATTTGCCCGCAGTTTCAACGACATAGTCCAGTCGCTCCAATCCTTGTGAGCCTTCATTGAGAGTCCAGTCACTGTTGTTCCAGACTTGATAGTAGGTAAGGCCAGATTCAAGCGCATAGGGAAGTTCCGTCGCATTGATGGCGTTGAAGGCCTGAGCGAGATTAGGCCACGATCATTCCCCTTAAACGATCGACATACCCAGGTGCGCACAACCTGTACCCCAGCACTTTGCATGGTTTGGAATGTAGCATCAACATCGTCTTGGGTAAGCAAGAGCGGAAGCCACTAAGTGATGCAGTTCGGCATTTATAAACGGCGATCAACACAGTGGGTAGGGCTGAACGTACGAATGAGTTAGCGCCAACGAAGTACTGCCCAAGTGATTAGAAATTGAACTAGAAAATCACGACAAATACATACAAACGGTTCTCCGTCCAAGTCAAACTGAGCTCCGTTCGTGGTGACGAAGCCGGAGGGAACAGCTCGCTTTTCGATGGTCGTTGAGGCATGGGACGCCTCGGCTGCCACAGCAGCACAAGACAGCAAAGAGGCCAAGCAGCTGAGAGCGAAGAGATGCATCCTAGCCAGTGCAAACCGAACGACGGACCGCTACGGTACAGAACGCTGTCCGTCCCTTATATCCTGAGTCCAAAATAGTGTGGACATCATCTCAGAGAAGCCGAGCAAGTCTGCAGTCGGTAGAATGTCGGGTATGGGTCAGGTGAATGATCATGCATGCTGAGAGCGGAATATTCGCTAAAATGACATTCTACGAGAATGATGACTGACCGGCCGTGAGCATAAGCAATAAGCGTATATTTGTCCGACCTGCTGATGACCTTCAGTACTTGTGTTGCGTATACGGTATCGTGGGGAATGGCTGAAATTTCAACGCTGGCAGCAACCAATACCACACTCAACCTCATGTTACTGGAATGCCGCTGAAGATGTACTAGTTGACCGGAGTGGTACAGTGGGCGTTTTAACCGTCGAGGAGCTAGCCAAGTTGAGTTGGTCAATGTTCTGTTCCTGACCAGACGCGCGTGGGGTTGTCCCGGATCAGAGATCTCCCTGCAAGATTCTCCGACTCGATCACACCAACCTTGTCCAAGAACACCTTTCTCGCCCAGACCGTCAGAACGCTGTCTCAAAATGCCGAAGAGCTCAAAGAAAAAGAAGGATAAGGCAGCAGACTTTACGGTACTTTGCGTGCCTCGATGGCCGCTTTCTGCACACTGAAGGAGAATTTCGCAGAAAGCCAAGCTGAAATTAGGCAAGGGCAAACAGGTACCCACCAACGCGGTCGATACATCTTTCAAGGCTCGCTGTACGTGAGAATATCCTACACTTCATTTGAAATCTGAAGTGTGATCAAGGTAGCCATCGCACTGCCAACCCAGAGCATTGTCCTCGACAAAAGTAGCCAAGCGCCCACAACCAAGAGGAAGCTCACGTTTGACGACTTGACATCTCATTTAAAACATTACAATGCTGCCACCAGGAGAGGTATGCTCTCGCTCTACAGACGGTCGAGACGTCCATCTTATACTTGTCACAGATGCAATACTGGGTCTTCGAGAGCTTCTCGAGTCGTATCCGGATCTCATTGGTTCAAACTTGACAGCCCTTGTAAGCAGCTGTGTACGCGCCATAGGAGACGAGGTAAGCCGAAACTACGTTGCAAAGTCTAAGAGAAGTTCTTACGTTGTCTGTAGGATGCCAGCGTGCGCAAGGCATTGCTGTCATTCCTAGGCTGGCTACTTCGCCAGGTTCCTCCCGTATGTTAGAGTGTCACTCAAAACATTTTGATCTCAATTGACTATGTATCACAGGAAGACATACTACCACATTCTCCTGTGCTGCTCCTTTTTACCACCTCCGCCCAGACTCATATCTTCCCCGAGATACGCATCGACGCCATCCGTTTCCTGGACCTGTTTCTAGAACTAATTCCCGACGTCGTGACGGAAGACTGGCTTCAGCCCAGCAGTCATGGAAGGAGAGTCCTTGAAGGCTACCTTGGTATTTTGAATGCTGGCACCACATACGGCGAAGGCGGAGGTCGGTAACTTCTTCACGACTACGCATACAGTCACTCGACTAAGCCCTCTCAATCAGATACGGGGCCCGTGCGAGCAACGAGCACAGCAAGCGTGATCCTGTCACCTGCGGTACGCCTGTCTCAATCGTGGCGTCTTACGGCATACTGACATGCCACATGGGATTGCTGAAGTCGAAACTCATCGTCTTGAAGTCCTTGTCGTCATTCCTGAGCCATGCACTTTCCGCAACTTTGTCTTCCAGCCAACCGAGCAGCTCATCCTCCGCGCATCCACCAACACCAACCTGGTTCCTCTCGTCGTCGTTCACCTCTCTCAAGGCTTACGAAGCGTTCGAGTCCGTCTTGCGTCCGACGTACCACGCCTCACAGTCCATGTCAAGTGCACGCTATGCAGAACGATGGTCAGAAGAAGCCGATGTGGATGTCACTTTTGAGACGTTTCCCGGCCAGTTTGACGCAGCATCAGCTCCAACAGGAATTTCGTGGAGTCTACAGGAGCTGATGAACGTTGACGTGCAAGAAGTCAATCAGTCTGGGGATGACAACAAGTCACCGTCTTCGTTCGCTGTGGTACGTATTTTCGAGCAGCTGCGGATAGAAGAGCCTAACACTCACGAGCTCCATACAATGCAGCACCTTGCGCGTACGTTGCACTCAACGGTAGTATCCACGCTCCTCGACTGTGCACCGTCCGTCTTTTCCCCAAGTTCAGTTCCTCCAGAGAGGGAACTGCAAATGGTCATAGTTTTGGGGGAGATCTGCCGTACTCTATACGGTTCGATATTGCGAGAAGCCGGCGAGGTACGTTTCCTCAGGCGTATATTGTGTCATGATTCCGATATCCCGCAGGGCGACAAGGCGGAGAGCACAGCAATCAAGGAATTAAAGCAGATTCTTGGATACTTGTCACCGTACTTCCCGTTCACAGTGGCAGGCTCTGTCGTGGCAAAGCGGGACATCAAGGTATGCCTCCCATAGCATGCGGGTGCGATGGCTAGTAGCTGAGCGAATCCAGGTCGAACAAGCGTTCCAAGATCTCAACCTCGTCTTTTGCGAGCTGACATCCTTTCTGATCCTCGCAACCTCCCCGGTGGGCCCTCACCCACGCCATCCGCAGGTAGTACAGGGCAAGACACGCCATCGCGGGAAGTTTCACCCTAGCGGGCCATTAGAATCGTCGCCGCCTCTGCAGACATCAAATGTCCGCGATTACGTCGTCCAGCTGCTCCGCGGAGAAGCGTCTGCAGGCTCATCACAGCCATCCATCGCGCGGCCAATCACGCCGGCCGCATACTCGGCTCTGCTGCCCACCATATGGTCGCTGCTCAATAGCGCATCTACCACCGTGGGTGCAGACAGCACCTCGCGGGCGGTCCTGCGCGTCGTCGTCGAGCATGCGATCAAGGCATCATCGACATCTGTCGTAAAGCGGTCAACGATCGATTTCCTCGCCCGTTTGGTGTTAGTGAGTCCACTATAATTACTCTCGCGCTGAGAATAGCACAGTCTGATCGCACGCCTCGCCCAAGCTCGAGCGTGAAACAGAGTACCGCGGCGTATTTATCACCGGGCGGAATTCGGAAGAAGACAGGGTCCTCCAGGAATGGCTGCTGCACCTGCCGAAGACGCTCTGGGAACTTGGCGGAGCCAGCCTGCCCACGACGGAGGTGCGTCCCCGACGCCTATGATTCGGCCTCTACCAAGCCCCTCGGGCTCACATAACACCCGGACATAGGCTATTCTGCGGTTCCTTCTTCGGCTGACACAGCGCAAATCGCCACTGCTACCCGACGAGGTCCGTGATCGCCGGCCGATTGCCCTGCCGTATATAAGTGCTCATGAGTTGTGCCCTGTTGCGTTTTGCAGACCCTGTCCTTTCTCCGTAGCCGCCTCGCGCCCTACTTCGTCATCTCGCATGCGACACGGGGCACGTTGCTGGGTCCGTACAGCAAAATTCCGCCCGCGTCGCCGTTGCGCAGATTGGTGCTTGACGTCGTAGTGACCATCATCTCAGGTGCAGGTGGAGACGGAGGACGTGATGGGCTGGTGAGCGCAGTAGATGAGGCTGTAAAGGGGACAGAGGAGCAGTCATACTGGATTTCTATGCGGAGATGAGTCCTGTAATGTACTGAGATATCGTCATACCTACTTCGACGTCTATGAAGGTGCTCATGGTTCACATAATGAGAGATAAGAGATAGCGCAGACTTTCATTCCATTCATTTGACATCTACCCAGGATGTGTCTACAACATAAGGGCGCAGGCATAACCAGAGCTAGCGACCGACGATTCCAGGCATGCTCGATGCGATACGTTAATGAATTCAATACGAGACAGCCCTCCTAGCCTCCCGCCCCTCCGCTTGCAAAGGGGGTCGAAAGGAACACCAACGCCCGGGCGTTGAGGGACGGTCTGGAGCCTTATAGCAATAAAAAAGTATGTAGAGAGCAACGGAAATGTAGATGGTATGTGCAGCATAAGCAGCAGATGCTGCTCACACGCTGGTATGCGCGGAATGCTTATGTTGACCAGACCCAGGTCATACCAGTGAGACGACCAACGGCAAGTTGAGCCATATCCTGGAAGGCAGTGGGAGTGAAGTCCAAGCTCGTCACGTCGCAGCCTGTGCAGCGGTCGGTGACCGTGACCGTGACCGACTTGCCCTGGTCTATAAATCCGATCATGATCAGATAAGCATGCCCCTTGACAAAACGAGAACCGCAAACGCACAGTTGGCAGTGATCTGCTTGTTGCAAACAGGGTTGGTGTTCGGGTTCGTGCCATCATAACCCCTGAAATTTGAGTGATTGTCAGGAGTGTGATGCTGCGCAGAAGACAATTGGCACTCACGGGTAGTTGTCAAACAGCTGCCAGGAGACTGCAACAATGTAGTCGGAATCGGTGTTAGTGATACCGCAAGCACCAAGACCAGCCGCGTAGAACGTGGCTAAGGGAGGAATAGTTTAGTAACGATCACACTAGGACTAACGAAGATGCCCCACCATCACCCGTGTTGGTCTCGTAGAGCCAGGTAGGACCGGAAGCAGCAGCCGACGAGGTGGATGTTGGCGTGTAGGTCGGCGACGGAGGAACATAGGTGCTGGTGGGCGCCACATAGGTGCTAGTGGGTGCCACATAGGTGCTGGTAGGCGGCGCTACATAGGTGCTGGAAGGTGTCTCATAGGTGCTGGTGGGTGCGACGTATGTGCTGCTGGGGGTGAAGGCAGGGACAGACACGACGATCGAAGACGAGAACGTCGGGGGCGCGCCACCAACATTGACAGGAGCAGAAGAGCTCGCGCTAAGGACAGAGGAGGAGACGATGGTCGATTGGGCGACATCACTTGTAGAGAAGACGGATACTGACGGTGCAGCACTGCTAAGGACCGAAGAGGCAACGACCGTGCTGTTCGCAGAGGACGAAGGAATGCAGCGCTTGTTAAGGGAACGCTTGCGCTTCGGCTTGACTATGACCGACTCGGGCTGAGCAATGACCACAGGCTCCACATGGTGGGCAGCAATGGAACGATGGTGGTGCGCATTCCGGGCGAGGTGCGGGGTAGCAAGCGCAGAGGCGTAGAAAGCGAGCGTGAGGGCGACGAGTGTCTTGGCGAAGAACATGGCGACAAGAACGTGGGTAAGAGAGTGGAGGATGGAGAGGGTGGTCGGGTAGCGGGCGGGGCGAGCTGAACCTCGGGAACAATGAGGGAAGAAAAAGGAGGGCCTTATATAAGGAGGGACGGAGGAGGAGCTCGCAGGGCCAGGAGTCGTCAAGGACAAAGCCAACCACCGGTGGTAAAACGTGGGTCAGGGACAAAGCACGCAAACAATTTTATTTATGTGTTTTTCGGGGTGGGTCCCACGCCACCATGCAGGCTAATTGCAGCCAATGGGAGGCGGTGTTCCCTTGCCGACCCCTGTGTCTCCGGCCGTGACTGTTGTCCACAGAACAGCCGCAGCAATTATGCCTGGGCCGTTGCCTTCCCCCGTACAGGCCTCCATCTCCGGCCTCATCTCGAACATACATATGCCTCGCGCGCGGTCGGCCCTCGCCGCACTGCGACATGTGTCCACCGCGCGAATCACCGAATCACACTCCCATTTCATCATAATGTACAGCAATTACACACGCATCACACCCCCGGGTTAGCCTTTGCCGCGTGCATCTTCACCAGCCCTGTACTAGACGTCTCCGCTAGGCTCTTCGCGTACGCATCAATCTTCCCCAGCAGCAGCACGCTCTCCAGCCGACTCGGCTCCGGCGGTATCTTGAATAGTCTGTTCACGTCCTCTTCGGGCAGCGGCGCGAGGCCCTGCGCCACACGCGCGGCGTTCTCCTCCTTCCGCTTCGACACATACGTGTCTGCCCGCGCCTTCTCGCGCGCAATCTGTCGCTGCAGGTAAGCCAGGTTGCCTTCCTCGGTCTTGTAGTTGTCGAGCGCCTCGATAATGTGCTCGAGGTTCCGCGACACGCTTGACGTCCCCAGATTTAGCGTCGCGAACGAGGGCGGCAGCGTCGTTGATGACGTCGCCGATGACGGGTTAACATCAGGTCCTGACAATGGCGCGCTCTCTGTCAGCGTCCCCAGGAATGCACTCAGCAGCGCGTTCGTCCGGATCTTGAGGGGGATTTCCTCCAGGATAGAGGAAAACGTAAGCCGGTGGCTGATGAGGCTAAAAGTGGCGCGCACATAAGCTATTAGAGTTTGCCCAGACAGATCCCATCGTACCTCGCCGTGCTGAAATTGTTTCTCTTGTACGCGTCCAAGAACGCTTTTGTAAGCCGGAACGCCCGGAATGAAGCGTTCCCTCGCGCAGTCTGCGACATGTCTAACAAGGTGCGAGGAAACAACGTAAGTCCGCAGCCCAGCCGCACGTGCGCTCCGCATACCGTGCACAATTACGATACCCCCATGTCTAAGTTTTTCCTGATGAATAGCCTGCGTGTCGACGAGCGTTTGATTGAAGAACGACCCAAGCGTCATGGCCTGGTAGAATCCCACGACGCTGTCATCTGCCTGAACCTCCTTCAGCGAGCGCAGCATCGCCGCCTGGAACCGGGCTATGTTTGGCCATAAACGTGCTCAGTGTCCGACATACCAGACTTTAAGCGCTATGATGGACTCACCAACGCCTTTGGGGGACTTATCGTCCTCATCGGATGGGAGGGGGAAAGAGTTGGACACCTCCAGCGTCCCGTCGAGGTCGAGACCAAGCACGAGTCCGTGAGCGGCGGGGCCGTGCGCCTCTCGGGAGTGCTTGATGATCTTCGTCACCACCTAAAAGCGCCGCACACAGCGTCCGCGCCCCAAAATTGACATCGAGCGGTTTGAGAGGAGGCAGTCAGATATGTGGTTCAACAGATGCGCTCACACCGTGTGAGAATCGGTTTGGAAGCGTCTGAAACGCAAGATGGAACGGGGAGAGAGAGCGCGCGGGTAGGGTAGAGGGGAGAATGTACGTTCCGAGTGTGCATCGAGATGCAGAAGATGCGGGGGTAGCGAAATAGGAAAGGTCAGGCGTACTCACCATACCGTCGAGCTGCACGCAAGTCAGCGAGATTTCTGCCTCAATGTCAATTGCCTTGGACATGGAGGCCGGGATGGCTTCATATGTGGGGGCAGCAGGTGTAGGTGCTGCAACCGGCGCGGGGAGAGAGGCTGCAAGGGCAGCTGCCATCGAGGTTGCCGCAGCCATTTTGATTGAATTTTAGCCTGTGCGAGCCTTGTCTTGGTTCTGCGAGGATCTGTCGCCGTGAAGGATGCGTTGAGCAGAGGGGAGACGGAGAGAGAGCCCTGGTCGCCGGTAAGCAGGTGGAATGAAAAGTGCCTGCAGTCGGCTTTGCGACTTACCAAAAGCGGAGGGCTCGTCCAAGTCACGTGAGTGAGAAGCGCAGAAGAGGCGCCGACCTTTGACGAATGGACCTTTGACGGTTACGAGCTGTGTCGAGATCGTCCCGAAACCGAGCTCCTATGGCATCATTGAGTGGGAAAAAAGCCAGCAGTTTATTGCCGCTGTCATGGCAGCATGGCGAATGCTCTGCAAGTGTCACGCAAGCGAGAGGCGGCCGACATTCAACCTGAAACAGCCTGTGGCCTGTTGTTCTTCAGGCGTTTGCGACGGCCGTGGCTCGTCCACTCAGTCTCTCTCCAAATACTTTCGCATCTTGTGCACTACACATACTGAATGAAGGTATGTATGCATAGCATGTCGAAGGCATCGACGAAAGATTCAGGGGACCAAAAGTTAACGCTCAGCTCCGCCGGTGCAGTGGCGGGGGTGCTAGCATTAAGGACGAGGTCGAAGGAGATACTTATATTTTCTTCGAAGGACCACTAGTCCCAAAAAATCAGATGGCCGCCGGAGACAAGGCAAACCTTCCGACGAAGAGAAATCCGATCAGCATTGCGATTCACGGTTAAATCTGCCTCATGGCGAAATGTCACCAGAGCGTCCTATGTAGGGTTCATTTACCACAGTCTTAAAGCCAGTGAATGGCTGAGTTGACATGTAGTATATCGTTTGCACGCGTATGACGACTGCTCACAGGGCTTGATGATAAGCCTCTGGGTTGCGATCGCGTCTTTGGGGCGTGCGATGCAATGGCAAGCCAACAATAGGAAGTATCTCATTGCCCAGGTACAGTTTATTCCATTTACATCACGGGTCATGCTCATCTTTTGCTGTAGGATACGGCGTTTTTATCACGATATCAAGCGCTGCGCGCAGCAGATGCCAAGGGAATCACGAAGTCAAGTTCAACTTCGGGCGTGCACTTAATTCCAGCAGCCAGGTATTTCTTTGTGTCATCCAAACTCTCCAATGCCTGATTATAAGTTTATTCTAAATAGTATTGCACTCTCTTGTCGTCGTCACGAAAGGTCGTCGTTACTGCTGAACGCAGATATGGGGACGATGCCAAGGCATATGTCAAAGTCGCCCGTCATTCTTCGGCTGATACGTCTTTGGGCTACAGGCAGATTATGGGCTGGCGCGCGAGGCGGCTTACAATCTCTCACTAATATTTGGTGCGACTCCAGCCGAGAACTTGTACAGGCGATGGCGGTCTCTGTAATTGCGACCCTTACGGGCGGTCCTCGAAGTCGCAGCAGTCTCATTTTATACCGTGACAGTCTGTCAGCGGAATCGTGCTGGCACGTAAGTGATTCTCAGCATCGCAATTTCAAGGCGCGTGGATCACCTGTATAACTTAAATGCGTCGTGCATGACGACGACAACTTCTCTATGATGCTCAACGTGTTGAGTACCACCATTTCTCACTTCCTTTGCCTCGCCCCGTCAAGATGATACGTCTATCAAAACAAAGTTTGTGGACAGCCTACGACGAGACGTCTTTTGTGAGCAGATCGCAGTAAGTAAGCCTCACTCGAGTAATGTTTGAAACAGTACCCAATGATTGTCAGCCTACTAGCATCATTGACTTCTTATGCTACGACATGCTTTGCCCATATATAATATTTTCCTTATATGAAAGGAGGTCGAGCAGTTATTCTTGGACGAACTCCTGCAGATATAATCGATATCATCCACGTTCCGTTAAAATTAGATACCTTCAACACCTGGTGACCGTACGCAAAGGTTGTGTTCTCACAAAATGCCACATGCCCTTCAACTTGTAACCTAATCTTTTCAATGAATACTCAAATCGGCTCAATGCCCTGTGCCTGGCCTATGTTGGGTTTACGTGCGTCACGTCGTCCTATCGTTGGAAGGCAGGATCTCGCTGAGCTGAGCTGCGTGAATAGATGCTACAAAACGACTTGCGACATTGGTCCGAAGGAGTCTATCTTCCCATCAGTCCATTTTGTTCACATTGCGACCGAGGCTCCGAAGTAGGAAATAGCCTCAGTTGCATTCGCTAGCTCGCGAGTGGCGGGCAGCATGAAATGTCAGATGTCCGCAGGGCTTATAATGAATAGCGTAGCGGGACACCTCTTGAATAAGAACCCTCGTGCACATGGAAGACCCTATTCGCGAACCCAGGTACAGTTTCAGTTCTGAGTTCTGTCAACAGTCGTATATTTAGCACTGCCGTTTTGCTCGCGGCAGACTCGTCTAAGACTCAGCAAGGGGTACCGTCGGCTTTCCGTCGAGACGAATTTCCTGATAGTCTAGATGGCATATGGCGCTGATTCTCGCTTGATCTCGGTGTCGTAGAAGGATAAGGATAGCAACCCTGACGCATGGAACCGCACGTATATTGTCTTTGACGTATCCGCTCTAAAGTGGCGCCGGTATTTGAGGTCTTTGAGAGCTCTGGGAGCCGCGTACACCCGCCGCCTTGTAGATAGTTCAAGCGGTATTTGAGGAATGTTCATCTGAAGCAAACAGGAACATGGGGGAGACCGACGGTGGCTGAGCGCTTGCAACCTACCGTGATCAGCGTGAGATGCGATCGCGAAGCGAGAGCCGTAGTTTGTGTAACGTGCACGTGATCGTCGGGGCAGCTCGATATGGGCGTCTATGACGCTTCATAAACTTACTCCAGCTCTCTCAGAGGACCGTATGAACCCGCTTCTGCTTCCACCATGAATCGCCAAACACGTATTATTCTGCTACTGGTCATAGATGTCTTGTTTTTCTTTGTGGAGCTTATCGTCGGTGCGTTGTGTAAGCTCCATGATCTGGAATATCAACGCTGATTGATTACTTTAGGATACGCCGTCGGTTCATTGGCCCTTGTGGCGGACAGTTTCCATATGTTGAAGTGAGTGTGAAGTAGGATCATTCTGGGTGAGACATTGAGACGAAACCCTCTCAGTGATGTCATGAGTCTGGTCGTCGCCCTATATGCGATTAAGGTGGGGCTATTCCCTACACGGCAACGCGCTGAGACAACCGATTCCCCGTCCTGCAGCTCACCAGTCAGACAACAACTGACGCTCGTTACTCTTATGGCTGGCATCGCGCTGAAATCCTTGCTGCCCTGGTGAATGGCGTGTTCTTGCTGGCTCTTTGTTTCTCTATTTCTCTGGAAGCGATCGAACGATTCTTCAGCACTCCTGGTGAGATTTATGCCGTCTTCTGCGTGCCCGACACTGACTCATGCCATGCAGAAATCTCAAACCCCCGTCTTGTTGTGATTGTAGGGTCATTAGGTCTTGCATCAAACATCGTGGGATTGTTCCTGTTTCACGGTTGGTGCAGTAAATCCGCCGGTACTTCGAGGTCCTAAAGTTTTCCCTTAGAGCATGGCCATGACCACGGACACTCGCACGGCAAGGAGAGTGCTTCGTCCTCGAAGCCTGCTAGTGTCCGCTCTAACGGCGAAACCGAGAATGACCCTAAGCGCAAAAGCGCCCAGGGGACATTGCAACAACCTCGTTCGCGTGGCCGCTCGGACTCGCTCTCGTCAATGTATGGACATCCTGCTGCTACGCGTGCATCGATGGTGCAAGCAGCGCAAGACATGGCGTCCGCACGATCCCCATCCCCGAACGGCCGCGGTGGCAACTCTCGTGCCCGAAAGTCGCGTTCGCGCACACGTTTTGTTCCCAATGAACCCCAGGTCCCTGAGTCCATCGCGGGGTCATCGACTGACCACACCCATCGCACAGATGAGACGACACCACTACTGTCGTCGGAGACGGCGTCAGCCTCGTCGGAGGGCTCGCACTCCGAGCATGGGAACAGCAAGCATGCGAGCGGCCACTCACACGGACACAGTCATGGATCAATGAACATGCACGCCCTTCTTCTGCACGTGCTAGGAGACGCGCTGGGTAACGTGGGTGTGATTGCGACAGGTCTGATCATCTGGCAGACGTCGTTGTCGTGGAAGTACTACTTCGATCCAATGATCAGTCTAGTGATCACTGTGATCATTTTCTCGTCCGCGTTGCCTCTAGGTGTGCAGTATTATGCACCTTCGCGCACAGGTTTATTTAACGACCTTTATGTGCAGTTCGCAGCACATCCTTCATCTTGCTCCAGGGTGTCCCTTCGACAGTGTCAATAGAGGATGTCAAGGATGCGATACTGGCTGTAGATGGCGTGTTGTCGCTGCATGAACTTCACATCTGGCAGCTCTCCGAGTCTAAGAATGTTGCATCTGTCCACGTCATGACCTCGCGTAATCACGACTTCATGCCGGTCGCCGCGCAGATCCGCAAGGCTCTTCACCACCAGGGCATTCATTCTAGTACGATTCAGCCGGAATATCATAATCCACGCAATCCATTGCCAGAGGAGAGCCTCAAGGTTAGCAACTCACCTTTGACATGACCTATGACCGAAGCTCACTTTGTTGCTTGCAGACGTCAGCGGAGACATCGTGTCTGATCTTGTGCCCTCCCGATGCAGAATGCGACCAGGAAAATGCATGCTGCGGTGAGTGTTCCATACTTGATTGAGTCATTGGGGTTTTCATTGTACTGAATGACGGTGCCGATAGCTCCATCATCAATGGATGTATAAGATCAATTTACTACTTCACTGTCACACAACTCTCCCATTCCGGAACATAATTTACGACATCATTGTCATCATTGTAATGTCCTTGAGCGTAAGCGAACGAGGCAATCTGTCTGTATCTCTAAAGGTCAGCCATGAATGTCGGGAAGTTGCCAGCAAATGGCTGCGAAGTGGTTAGCCGCTTCACAATCATCGCCGCCGTAGCTCCATTTCCTTTTCTGCGGAGATCATTGCCCAGCCTTCGAGCCATCGCAGCAGCTGATTGTCCCAACACCATTTGTTGCTCTCCACATACACTGTGAAGGGCGTATTCGAGATGAAGAGCGGCTGTGAGAGCGGAGGAAATGACGGCAATCAGCAGTTCGCCAGTAGTTGCCTGTTCTGATAGAGAAAAGCCGTCTGCTGCTGCAACCAAGCCGGGAACATGCTCGTGGAGGAAGATAGGTAGCAGTGGCGGCGATTGCGCGCGCCGGGGCATCGTGAGCACGTACGTTGCTATCCGCTTGGGGGTCTCGATATTCCCTCGTGTCGCGGTGACTGAGATTTCGTTCCAGAGCATCATGAGGAAATCCATCGGAGAATTGAACAGGAGACAGCGGTCGACGTCTAGCGCGGGCGCCTGAGCGTCTGCGAATGCATTCCTAATTGCTTGCGAGGAATGGTCGGTCCAGACGGTGTTCTGGCCGAGAGAGCGAGGGGGTTCTATACAACACAGCCTTTAACAGTGGCTTGGGGCATGGCGCATGAACTCACCTTCCGTAGGTGCTCCAAGAGCATTCAAGGCTGCACGCCGGATCAGCGCGGGGTCAAAGGGAGCTATTCGCGTGAGCTCGTGTTTAGGAACGGCAGGAAACAGCCTGAGTACAGATGAAGCAGACAGACGCAAAACGGTCGGTGGACAGGACGACGATAGAAGTAGTGTCTGTAGAACGTCCAGGTGGAGAGGTGCCCTGTACCTAAGCTTTGCTGTTATGAGAAAGGCCATCCGAAATCGAATGGTTTTCGTACCCTCTCCGACGAATCTCCGTCATCAGAGATTTCGCCACACCGACCGAAGTCCAGTTGAGGAGCGGGTCCATGAAGAATTGAATTCCGTTGTTTAAGATACTCCTGTCTATCTTGCGTTCGGCGCAGAAGATGATAGCTTGAGCGAACAGAGTGGCAGCAATGCGCAGAAGAGTCTTCGGCCGTGTATTCCTACACTATGATAAGAACCAAGCTGGCGTGTAGTACCATTCCTTTACTTACCGGAGAATGGTGTCTTCGATACCCTCGCTGCTGCTATCGAAGAGAGCCTTGAACCAAGCTCCGTATGCTTGTTTATCGTCTCCTTTGAACTCCAGGGGTGGGCGAGCAGTGGATGCTGACCGTATCAAGTCCAAGCTTAGCTGACGCTCGCCGAGACGCAGAGTAGGATACGAGACCTTGGCACAAGGGCAGACGTAAGTGATTCAGTGAAACCTGTTCTCATTCTCACAGACTCTCACGTTGCATCGGACTATTGCTTCCTGCACGAAGAGGACAACATCTCCTACATGCGTTACCGCAGTCCGTGGATCGCCTATGGTCAGTCAGCAATGCGCTACACTATCAAAGTTGTGGGACCTACCGACGGTCTCACAGTCGTAATCCTCTATGAAAGCGAGTGCATATGCTACGAGCACTTGTGCCTTGACATGCAGTGATACTATATCGAGGGCTAGGTTGTATCGGCAGAGAATCCTGCATGTGTGGCTCAACGATTCTAGGTCGACGGAGTGTGAAGGCGAAGTGAATCTCTGCAGGACCCATCAGCGTCGTATCAGCGTCGTCTGAAGGACGATATGACCTTCTCAACGACTTTTGCAAAGGCTGCATGGCTACAGGGATCGCGACAGCATCTATCCACAAACGCGATGGCATCGTCGATGTTGCTTTCAGCAACTAGTTTTGACTCAATGTAGGGCTGCCAGCGCGTTAGCACAATCGATGTTTTGATAGACGGAGACGTACAACTAGGTCCATCCCCGCCTCTTGCGCCTCCATAGGCAGACGCGGATGAAAGTCACTGAACAGGGCTGGGTAAAGAGTGGCACCTGTTGAGATTTCCATGAGACCAACTGACACCAGCTGGTGTAGTATCTCGACCGCCACAGGAGGACTATGTACGCATGTAGATGATATGACTTCGCTTGAGGAAGACTTAAATACCTCGTTTTTTCTCCGAGAATGTCAGAATTCATCTGTAAGCTCATGTTGTCACATCTTTGCATGAGATCAGAGCGCCGTAGGACCAAAGACACAGCGTTTTGCAAGGCCCCGTGCTGCAACATTCACTGAGGATTACCACGGTTCACCAGTGTAGCAGGACGCACCCATTCAGCATCTGGAGCACTATCTCCTTGTACTGCTGTCTGGAATCTGTGCAGCAACAGTGGCAACTGAGGATAGTTAAAGCATGAGCCTCGAATTGCATTGGCAAGACTTACCCGACCAGTGACGAATGCTCTCCAAATCAACGCCGCTCGCGTAGAGTTAGGACCCGCATCCACACTCTGCGCTAGGCAGGTGAGTGATGACACGATGAGCTGTGTGTAAAACACGACCGGCTTCCAGGCAGACCACCTGTATAGTCCCACAAGTAAAGCAACTATGTGATCTCCATCTCCAGCTCCGAATTCACAAGCTCTCCCATGTATCTGCGAGGTTCAGTTAGAACGGCACACTACTGCAAAAGATGAACAGGGGCGCACTAGGCCGTTCAAGATTAAACTACAGGTGACGAGGTCGGTATCGGAACCGGGACCTGTCAAGTCACCCCTGCCAATTGATAGCACCGTGTGCATCATTTGTGCTTCTCTCGCCACCTGGGTGTCTGGGAGTAGAAGGCTTAAGGAGAATGCGAACGAGTCAAGATCTTGCCGGACCGCGGGCGCAAGCCGCAAGACTTGCAGCATGGCATTGACCTCCTCATAACAGGGCCTCACAAGTTGCGGAGGCATTTGTGATACATCTGTCGCGAACGGCAACAGTAAGATAAGTAATTCTGAAGCAGAGGTTGTCAACTGATGGAAGTGGGAGATGGGAAGGGCGTGAGCTGTTCGGAGCAAAGCCAATGAGTTGAACACTGTTGCCAGTAGATCGTGGATCTGTTCTCCATATGGTACTATAGAGCCCAAGGGTGGCATGCCCGATGCGTAGTGAGCATCTAGAGCCACTCTACAGAGCATGTCCAATGTGGCGGCATGATGCAGATTGGTGGACTTTGCTGCCGATAGGAATGTTGAAACAAATTTTGGCAAAGAAATTAATCCATCATGTATCGCTTGCTTGAGGTATACTTGTAGTGTGGGATCCCCAGGGTAGTCGCGAAAAAGGAACAACACGGAGTCTGGACAGCTGCACATTAACGCACTATGTGGAAAGAAGTAAGTGTCCACTCAACTGCTAACATCTATTTGAACATTATCTGTGACAAAATGGATATTTTCGTTAGCAAGGAACAGTTTGCACAGATTGACCCACTATGCAGGTTTCGTAAATTCATACTTTATTGGTCCAATCAACCGCTTACGCACTTTCTGGGCAGACACTCCGCTTTGGAATGCGTTACGCGTAAGGTCGTTGATCGACATATGGGCTAGTTTGATGATAATTAGCTGTGTCCGCCGAATGCAAACGCCGACCTGGAAGAGCAGCGGGAAAGATGCCGCGGCGATAGATCTCGATCCTGTGTGGTACCCACGCACTTCCCATTAGCCATATCAGGCAAGTGTTGTATTCGTGTACTGGCATTGTGACAACAAGACACCCGAGTCAACGCATGCATGTAATTATAACCGAGGCGCGTAAATCCGAGCCATCCCTTGTAATAGAATACAAACGTAGTTCGTGCGTGACAGACCGTTCGCACATCATCATCTGCACTTAAACAATCATGACCATCGTCCAGTCGCTGCATGTAGCACATGGCAGAGTGGATATCATACATATCTATAGACAAACCTCCTTGAAACATCGAAGTGCAATCAAGTGACGCGGGATGCACAAAACAAGAACACAGCATACATGACTGAATTGTAAGCGTCCCAGGAAGCCTTCGGCTGTTAGATAAATATTGGTACGGCAGGAAGAGACACTTGCAATGTACAACAGCGGGACAAGAGACTACGCTGAGGAGACGTGAGAGGTATATACAACTCAAAAGGGTCACAGGTAAACGCAGTAGCCTCATACTTTCGACACTAGCCTTCGGGTTTCCTGAGGCGTAAAACGTAGTATCGTGGACAGAATCCTGACAAGGTGCGGCTATGAGAGACGATGTTAATGTCAATCTCAACGGTACATTGCGTGGTATCGCACGTACCCTCATCTCCTTGTGTTCCAAGAACTGCAGTATTATGTTCCTTAGATATTCGACGTTGATCTCTTCGTCAGACTTCGCCACCGCAGGAGAACCGGGTCGAGAAGGAGTATCCCTCGTAGTCAGATCTGACACAGAGGACCGTGGCGAGCGTATTTCGGGACTACTCTCTTGCCGTGAAGCCCAGTACCCGACTCCAGGATTGCGCTGTCGCTCCAGCAACGCTGCCGAAGATTGCACTTTGCGAAGCTCCTCACGCAGAGTCTTATACAAAGCCTTAGTAAGGCACACCCTTGTTAGATGTAGTCAATTACCTTATTGTGCGTGCGAAGCTGCGCCTCACGCGCCTTGCCATCCTCGACAAGCTGCTGGATGGCCACTATCCGAGCATTGAGCTCACCAACCTCGGTGTGTGCATTGTTCTGCCAGAAAATGTGAGTGACGAGTTGAGGGCGCATTGCGCTCTTCTCACCTCAACTTCGGCCGCTCTATCAACTTGCGCCTTGAGCTCCAGTATGCGTGCTTGGTATGCCTGGAGTTCCGCCTTGAGTGCGTCGATCTCCTCCCGCAAGCTATTCGCGCTCTCGGACTCTTCCTCTCGGCTCTTAGCTGAGGAATTCAGTACTGCCTTCAAGCTCTCCAGATCTCTCATCTTCTCGGAGAGCTTGTGGCTCCACTCAGCCTCGCCCTCGTCCCGCTCTCGCTCGACCGCACTGAGCCGCTTCCGTAAATCGCTGATGCGTGATTCGTACTTCACCTCCGCCGCAGACAGGAGACGCGTAACCTCTTGTGCCGATGGACCAGTCGACAGCGCTCTGCTCTCATGTTCGCGCCGTGCATCCGCGAGCTCCTCGGAAAGGAGTGCGATACGCTCCTGAGCCTCGTGCAGCTGGTACTGGTACTCTGTCGTCTGGCTCTCCATGGTCTCCAGGCGGGATCGGGATGATTCAAGCTCCGCTTGACGCAACTGAAGCTGGTCGAAAAACTCATCCTTCTCTCCTTCCAGTGTGCGTACTGTAGTTTGGAGCTCGGATACACGCGAGCTCTTGCTCTCAAGCTCACGAGCGTGAGAAGACTGGAATAAACAGTTACGACGGGCATATTACATCAATAAAGGGCACCGCTCACCTTCGTGGCCATCGCTTCCATTTCAAACTGACCTCGAAAGGCTAATAGCTCCCTCTCCTGCTTGTCCTTGAGCGCATTCATCTCCTTCTCGAACTGGCTCTTGAGGCTGTTTAAGGCTGTTTCTTTGTCCGCAGTAAGCCTCTCGATCTCGCGCTGCAAATTGAGCTTTTCAGCGGCCTCCTTTTCCTTCTCCTCCCTCTCCTGATCCTTCATCGTGCGCATCTCCTTCAGCGCATCATCCCGCTCCTTCTCGGCTTTGACGAGTTTCTGTCGCACGGTCTTGAGCAGTGTGACAGCTTTGACGCGCTTTTCCTCTTCGTCTTTCGCCGTCCCGTTCGCGCGTCCAACATCCGCCTGCAGTTTCTCAATCCCGGTCTTCTGTTGAGTCAGCTCTTGCTCGAGTTGAGAATTGGTGTTCAGCGACGCCTTCAGCAAAGCCTCCGCCTCGTCGACCTGACTTCGCAGTTTCTCGATCTGATCAGACTGAGATTTCGACTCTAATCGGTGAATGTCTCTCAGCTCCTCTATCCGCTCCTCCTGTCCTACCCAAGCCAGATGAACTTCGCGCGGGAGACTTCGCGTGAATCTGGTACGTACGAGTAAGCTTCCCTGACAATCGTTTGATCTCATCTTGGGCCATCTGCGTACGGGCCCTTAGCACTCACAACCTATGTATGATATGAGCTTCTCACCTCAGTCTTCATATTCATGTTCTGCAAGTAGTCGCGCAGGCTATCCAGTTCTTGCACGCTCTCCAAAGGTGTGAGCTCTCGCAAGATCCTGTCGGCAGCCATCTTCTCAGCCTGCAGTCTCTTGAAAGACGTGGAGACATCTTGCGAACATAAATCAGCAAATATGTATTTTATGATCTCACAAGTATACCTGAAAATCGCTTCTCGATTAGCTTCAGACGCTTTTGCAACCCTTCAACATCTGCTTCTTCTCCCTTCGCTTCTGAGCCTGCAGAGGCTACCTCAACAGATCCTGGTGCCGCATCGAGCGAGGCCCGAGCAGTATATCCAGGCTCCGATGCCGGTACTGTTTCACTCGCGACCAACACGCTGGCGCCTTCCAATTCCCCCATATGACGTGCAGATTCGCTAATAGAGTCGGGCCCACCCGATGAAGCATGATCGCCTTCGCTCAAATTAAGATCGTGCACGAGCTCAGTGCGGAGAGTAATCTCTTCTGCGGCTGGTGGCGTGGTGGACGAAGCCTCCTCTTTACGGATCACGTCCGCGTAACCTTCGTCCGCAGTGTGGATGGTCGCTTCATCCTCGGCGGAGGCGCTGTCTGATAGCGCATGGTGATCGGATCCCTCATGCAGGGATGCAGAGGGTGTCCCTTTAGCGTCATCGACAGATGCCTCGACCTGAGCGTCAAGTGTGACAGAAAGTGAATCGTCCGCATGCGTTATATGAAGCGCGGTGCTGAGCTCCACGGGATCGACGACAGGGGATAGCCTTGGAGAATCAGGTAGGGGTGTGGACGTAGGTGAAAGAGGATTATGTAAAGGCATCACTTGGGCTATATTGACCGCCTCCGTAGACACAGACACGGACAAAACCGATGCGTTATCCTGTATGCCAGCAGCGTCCAGCTTTGGTGGAGATGATGCATTAAGAGACAGAGCGTCAAGAGGATCTCTCATGTCGCCACTCTGAGGATGCGGTGAATCAGGCAGCGGTGTAGAAGCGGGGGATAGTGGTGGTATTGCTGTATAATGAGGCGATGGAGACCCTTTAGATGAGCCAGAGGACGTGGAGGGGTTCGACGCATCGCTGGCAGCGAATTTGGCACGAAGACGATCCTCAAGAGTAGACCGGTGTGTCTGCTGCCTTCCTGTGCCTTCAGAACTAGCAGAAGGCGTGACCCGACTGGGTCCTGGACTACCAGAACGCTGGGTGGCTAGTGTCTTCTTCAGATTGGTGAGAGCAGACTCTGCTAGCTGAGAGGACGACAGCGTTGCACGTAGTCCAAGATCCGAGGAGCCTCGACTTTGCTGCTCATCTGCGGTCAAGTCCTGTGAGGACTTGGGCGAATGCTGAGCAAGGCTCTCTACTGCCTGGCGCCACGAGAACATAAAGTTTTTCCTGGATGCTCGTAGTAGTAGATGCAAAGCACGGGTACGATGATATGTTCGTTTGAAAGTCGCCTCAGAACGCTTAAGCTGAGGGTGTACAAGCGGTGCGTCTACGAGTGCTCAGCGGGCGGATCCCGTCGCGGAAAGTACCTGCACGCTAACAACGAGCGCCTAATTTATAACTCGCGTCGCCGTTACGAGCACGTGGCAGCATCATTCTTCTCGACGATTGGTCCAAACTTCACGGTTGACCGAGTCCGCAACATATTTGGCAGACCGAAATCATGATGCATGATTCATTGAATGGGGGAAGACGGCTGTCAACTGCGATATGTACTACTTTTGCTCATGACTCCTTCCATTCATGATATATTAGTGGTCAGCTCCTCGACAAACCCTCATTGAAACGCCGACTTTGAACCAGTGGCGTTATGCCAATGGGGATCCGACCACGGAGGGAAGAGATGGACTGATGTCCACGAGAACCTCGCCCAAAAGTCATGTCGGAAGCTGCTTTTTTTCATGACAGGGAATCCGAAACAGGACCATGCAGCTCTGAGACACACGCCAGGCATCCACCTGACACTGACTTCCCGAGGCACTGTTCCTCGGAGGCACGTCGCTGGACCACACATCAATACGCTCCGTTCATTTCACCTACCATTCGGTAATTTAGACCGATATCGTCCTCATAGCTACCGCCTAATCGAACTTGTGCCACCGGCTAGTTCTGCGCATTGCTTGAGCCCTGTGCCCAGCCGAGTTCCTGGACTCATTCATTGTTGCTGTCTTCAACCGCAGAGCGCTCTGGATAGCGACTGAATGAGCGCAGAGGTGCTCCGTGATGTCCGATATGTCCCTGTATCGACTACTTCCAGCCGGTTCTGTAGGACGCTGAGAGATACAAGCTACTCTAAGACAGTTGCGCCGGCCTCGTGTCTTGACTTCCATGGAGGACTTTGGTTACTGTATATTCGCCTACGTTACACCACCTCTCAGGGATCTTCTCTTTCTCCATCTGGTGGCAGCCTCTACTCGCCGCATGTACTCCAGGCTGTTTCTGTCCGCATCGCGAACACCGGGTGATTGTGGGACTGAATAGACATGGAGACACGCTTTGCAGCCATATGTTTATCGGCCTCGCAGTCAGCCGAGCTGCCGCTCGCTACACTTTCATTTGTTGCTCTGAAGTGTAGAGTTTGTAGACGATATAAAAGGCGGGGCGTTGCCCACGGATGTTCCCACTCAACCAACCTCTCACCCACTTTCTATCAACCATCTGGTATGTATGCGTTAGTCCGCCACTGTCTAATCCAACACTGACTCCGAATACGGTGCAGCTACAAAAGTTTCGCTATGTGCGTTGGCGAGAATTGTGCGCCCCAGGCGACTCGTTATATACAGGCACAATTATTGGCCCTATACGAAAACGCGCAAGACTGTATCGAGTTACACCAAGATGCGAATGTACAAGAGCTGGATTACAGTACGCCACAGTAGTTCAAAACTCTCAGCTCACGCGCTGACTTCGTGATACAGGGCTATCTCATTCCCTTGTCGAGTACCAACAAAGCCGGCCTCTAGCTCGACAGGATACGACGTCTAGAGCAGTATTCGAAGCTACATTCGATCCGCCCGAGATTCGGTTCATTTGCGACCACGACGCATGCTTTCGTGTCAAGATAAGCGAAGGTAGTTACTCACCCGGTAGCGCCGGACCCGGCAGGACACCACTTGAGAAGTACACCATATCTTCATCTGCGTCTCCTCAAGCCTGAATTTACCTTGGCAGCCTACCGATCAACGACCTACAGATTGAGTTCCGGGTCAACTACGATATTCGCGATCTCAGCGGAGTAGACTCCAGGATTGGTACTGGGAAAATGCGGCTCTTGATCCTTGATTTCTCTAGTGAGTGCATCCGTCATGATCAAAATGCTCCCCTAATGGCCGTGTCACAGATGCCAAACTCATGTCAATGGCGCCTTCGATATCCATGGGCAAGGATACACTCCTGTCCTACCTCGTCAAGTACCTTGAGTTTCTCCAAAGTGCTGGTCGTCATGTGTTCTTCTCACTGCCCGAATTTACCGCCCGCCCCTCACTCACAATCAATCACTCTGCCATGTCCAGCAGTTCCCCTGACGTCCAGGAGCTGCAGCATGTCCCGATCGAGACGATCAACACACAGCTTGCGCTTAACTGGCTGAAGGCTGCCATGGATTCTATCGAACCTGCGGGTCGAGCCGTGGACTGGCCCGTCATCAACATGGCAGAATTTCGTGGTTTCTGGTCCCCCGACGAGTCACTGAGTTCCGAGGCGCAATTTCAAATTAGGTTTGGTGCTCCTCGCATCATGGGAGTGTGCTCTCAAGAGGCCATACTGTGCTTCTCTCTCGATGAGGTATCGTTTTACGAAGGCAAAGACGATATTCTTGACCAGTGAGCGTCTGACATTCGATTCATTGTTGTATTTCCCTACCTTCGTTTGGCAGGACCCCATCCCGGAGCTACTCGAAATGGGAGGTTGCGTTCCTCGTTAAAATCACGCGAGTAGATGAGACCGAGGGGGGAGCTTACCGTTGCGTAATCAATCTTAATGGTACGTCGAATCAAGACAAACTCAAAGCGCTTGGATTCTGACACCCATTCCCCTCAGATACCCAAATTCGAGATGATCTCTCCAAGTTCGAGGGATTGGCAGGCGATGACGACATGGGAAACGCTTACTGCGATCTCCTTCTGCAAGCCATCGAGGAGGAGTATCTGCGCGCTCTGGCGGTTGATTCTCAGCTTATCATCTATGATTCTCGATGGTCGACCTCAGCGTGGACGTCCCTCGAGGATTCTCTCGACAATGACGAGGATGTGTCCTCATGGCACCTCGACTCATCTGATACGGGAGCGATCAGCAACAGACTGCAACTCTGGCGACAGACTATCAAAAAATCTGACATGGGCACATTCGACCAAATCATTGCCATATCGCAGTCGTCCCTGAATATCCACTTCAACAAACTCCACGCATCCGCACTTCCAAGGTCTCTCACATATCCATTGGCCAATTGGACGTCCGACCAAACCTTCACCGCAACATTCCAGCCGATCAATGTTCGCCTCCTCAGTGAAGATCGTGCGATCATCTGGATACACCTTACGAAGGGACAAATCAAGCTCTTAACGAAAGATCCCTCGGTGACGGAGTGAGTCAATTTGAGCCATCACCATAGACATAGGCTCACGCTTTTGGCTTCTGATTTCAGGGAGAGACATCAATTCGAAGACTGGCGGCTCGCATTCGAAGTCACAATCAAGATAGCCTCTCACGTTGACATATTGGGCAACGACCAACCTCCACGCTGGACACAAGAACCCTTCCCCTGCAAGCAGCATGTAGGCAAAGATGATCGTTATTTGCGCCATATCTATCTCGACTTCCGAAGTACGTCTTCGCGATAGGTCCTCCCCGACATCGACTGACCATTTCAGATGCCGAGTTCATACACGAATACTCGCGTTTCGACGATTTGTTGCATACGCAAAGCTCACGTCCGATAGAGAAGCTCCGTGCGATGGTCTATTACCTCCGCACCCAATACTTCCCCGCTCTCATGGACCGTGGCGTGCACATTCTGCACACTGTGCCGGTTTGGACATCTGAGAAAGACTGCCCAACATACGCGTTCACCGATGTAGCGTTCCACATCTACTCCAGTGCCACCATCAGCCGCCAATCTCTGACGAGTGTCACGGACATTTCAGAGCCTGCCATCATCGTCCTCGGCATGACCAATTTCCACCGTATGCTGCATCGTCGCCTCGCCTACTCCGCGGACTGGGTCATCAGGGCGAACAAAGGAGCTACATACGGGACGCTCGCGCTGTCTCGGGAGGTCTTCTTGGAACGAGCGATTCTTAAAAGTTTGTCTGGTATCAACGCGATGACGACAGTCATTCCTTTGGTGTCGCCTGTCGACGAGAATGGGACGTGGAGCCCCCGCCTCTCTACCTGGGCGCTGGACGAGCAGCACAAGAGCCAGGAGTGCCGGTGGATCTCGCAGACACCGGACGCAGATGGACGGCTCAAGTACGAGTGGAATCACCATGTCGACTTCAAGTACGAACACAAGGGCAGTGGTGTCGTTATGGGCGCACACGCTGTAGCGTGTGAGTCTCAACTTGAATATCTCTTAATTCAACTTTACGCTAACAGACACGGTGACATAGGCACAACGAACAATCGTTTGCAGCTCCCCCCTGCGACACGGAGCGGCAGATTTGAGATCAAGATCAGCGGCAAGGTCTTGCTTAACGTTTCTTTCGCATCTGAAAATCAGAAGGCTAGGTCAGTCATTCACACCATATCCGCCGAATGGATCGAGTTTTGATATGCTTGTTGTACATAGTGCTAAGTTTTCCGCTGAATGGTCCGCCTCGTTAGTTCTTCAGACCGATACCTCCGGAATCAAGGCTAGCCTCCAAGGGTCCCCGTCACCGACTTTTGATGGTGTGTGTTTCGAAGGCGAAGCAGAAGAACTATTGTCCTCCGATCTCGAAAGTCAACTCAGGGCACTCTTCCCGGATACTATCAGCCTTGACGATGTGCTAGATGAACTCAAGCAATTCGAGGGAATCTGGCAGACCGCCTACCCGGGCATGAAAGCTCACTGCCTCGTTAACCCCATTTTCAACTCACATGGAGACTTGCTTTTCGAGTTACAACCCCACGCTATATTGCAGGCTCAATCCATTCCTGGTCCTGCTAGACCTTCAGGCGGAAACAGGCCTCGACGTCGGTGGAATGATGGAACCGCAGCTAATAGAGGTGTGTTGACATTTTCGGATTTGATTATCCTTTGCTTAGCAACGCTACTTGCTCCAGGTAACCAGGCACCACTGACTCCTCGCGGGTCCGTCATGAATGACAGCAGTAGCAATTATGGCTCTGAAACCGTGACAAATAACAGTAATCTCAGGCGCAGTCGCGTCCGGTAGTAGCTTTCTTGTCTCATCGCAAGACGTTTCGCACTCTCACCTTTTTGCGTCACACGAAGTATGATACCTTGCTATGACGTTTTGTATCCAAATGATTGTATATAACACACGCATACAATGTATCAAGTATCGGCTACATGTGAACTGTCGGATATGACTTCGACCTCCTTTCCTTTGCCATTAGGTAACAACGTCGAAGAAGCGGAAGGTGACGCATGTGATGGGAGAGTGCCAGCGTTTGCTCCATTCTGGGGAGGACCAGCTAGTTGCCATGCAGGGATTGAAGGTTTGCTAGGGATAATCGGAGTGGACATTCCACTGGAAGTGGGCCCACGACTCAAGAGCAACGCCTTCAGTGACTTGAGCTCTTGATGCAGCTCGGCTAGTGACTGCAACTGGCTCTCTTTGTTCTTTTCAATCATCTACAGAAACTATATCAGCACGATGAAGTCGTGTGACATTTGCGGCACAGACCTTAGGCAACATCTCGCGAACATTATTCACTTCATCTCTGATCTCGCGCATTTCGTCCCGAGTCTTGACTTCACTGTCTCTCATTTCTCGTACTAATGTTTCAACCTCCTGTGTCGCACGCTCGACCTTCTCGTTCTGCTGATCCACTGCTTGTTTCATAGCTGCCGACTCAGCCTGTATTTCTTTCAGAAGTGCCTCCGCAGCATCAAACTGAGCGGACAAGGCGTCCTTGTCAGCCTCATATGCTGTAGCTGATGGAGGTTGTAGATGCGGCATGACATGTTTCTACCCGTGCAGGTATAGCGTGCGGCTAATGAATGAGCAACGGGACGAACCTTGAACAGCGATACCGCACCATACGCCACGGTGCCGGAGACGATGGCGGTGATCTGAGATGCGTTAGCGACGCGTCAAGATGGCGCACGAGCACCCACAAAGTAGTCTCTCCAGTCCCATGGTTGTGTCAGAGGTTGTGCGGGGAAGGGCGCTGGACCGTACACCTGGGGGTACACAGGTCCATACGGTTGTGCAGATATGCGTGGTGCGGAGGCAGTTTGGCTCAATGCTGCCTGTCTCATTGCCTCGTCAATTTCGGCACCGGTCAGACCCTTGGCTTCCAGGAACTGCACACGCTGTGCTAAGGGCGACGCCTGCGTCTTGACTTGGATTAGTTAGTGTACATTGCTGGGTGTAATTGAACCACACATACATTGTTATCTGTAAGAAAGACGACGGCATTGCGAACGAGTTCTTGTCGCTCTGGGGTGGCCATTGCGCGCGGGAGAGGTGTCGAATGGCGGCGCCGATATTACGGGACAGCCGCTGATGAATACACGGAGACTGAAGTATCTCCCTATGACGGAGATCGAAGTGTCTCCGGCATGGGGAGATATCTCCGGCGTGTGGAGACACCTCCATCAATTTTCCACCGCGGGGCGCTTGCTTCAAATTATTTGTGTCCCCTTTGGGCGATCACGTGACTGGATCACCATCGCCCGATCTCTTCATCGGCTTTCGGTAAAGTCCGGTCCTTTCTCGTTATCTAATCTGAGTTGCTGCCAAATCAGGCTAACTCAGATTAGGGTTAGAAACTCGCGTTTTACACGCTTTTTACATACTTTCCCGCACCCTCCTGCCTTTTCCGGCGCTGGCCATGATAAATATATTTCCATTAGAGGCCGAAAACTGGCCATAATGAAACTCCCCGATACTATACGAGACAAAATCTTGGTCACCACCCAAAGCGGCAAATGCACGTGACTTGGGTATTTCTCTCGCACTGCACGTGATAGAATTTCCGTTCAGGGAGCTAAGCGCCCCCTCAGAGAAATATCTCTTAGACGCCGGAGATATCTCCCCATGCCGGAGACACTTCGATCTCCGTCATAGGGAGATACTTCAGTCTCCGTGTATTCATCAGCGGCTGTCCCGATATTACCCGCCACCATTAAGATTCGATCGCCGCTCAGCGCCTATAATTACCGGGACGAATATTTTCTAGCCGGTAACGCTTGCCAACACTCAAGAGCCTACTAGCATACCGTCATGTTCAGGACGCAGCTGGCAACCTCCAGAGTCATCTCTCGTCGTCTCTACAGCTCGAGAGGTCAGTTCAGCTCTTCTCTGCAGGTCTGGTAGATGTTGTAACGTGTCAGTGTAGCGACCCAGTCATCAGTTTACGCATGCTCGCGAGGTCTCCTCAGGAACTGTTCGCGGACAGCGCAACCGACGCACCTTAGACCAACAGGTGTCAGCCGGGGTAGGCACGATTGTCATCGATTTTGGTACAGGAGTTGATGTCGCAGGGATAGTCTCCTGCAGGGGATATGCAGATGCTGCTGCGTCGAAGTTCTCGCGGGCGAAACCTCATCTCAATATCGGCACAATCGGTACGAGTTTCCTTCTGAGGCGTATCCGTATTATTATCTCACCGTTCCTCGCAAGGTCACGTCGACCATGGCAAGACCACCTTGACGGCTGCTATCACCAAGGTTCTTGCGGAGCGCGGCGGCGCCAAGTTCACCGACTACGCCGATATTGACAAGGCGCCAGAAGAGAAAGCTCGTGGTATCACTATCAACTCCAGTCATGTCGAATACGAGAGCGACACACGGCACTACGGCCACATTGACTGCCCCGGGCACGCTGATTGCACGTAACCTAAATCTCATTATACCGCTGTGCTGACAGTAGCACAGACATCAAGAACATGATCACTGGAGCCGCCCAGATGGACGGTGCTATCATTGTCGTCTCTGCGACTGATGGCCAGATGCCTCAGACACGAGAGCACTTGCTCCTTGCCCGTCAAGTCGGTATCCAGAAGCTCGTGGTCTTCATAAACAAGGTCGACCAGATCCAGGACCAGGAGATGCTTGAGCTGGTGGATATGGAGATGCGTGACCTCCTATCGACCTACAACTTCGACGGCGAGAACACTCCCATTATCATGGGCTCTGCTCTGGCTACTCTGGAGGGCCGCAATCCCGAGACTGGCGCTGAGAAGATTGTCGAGCTTGTCCAAGCTTGTGACGAATGGCTTGAGATTCCTCCTCGTATGTCTTCGGAACCTTTCTTGCTATGTCGTCGCGTCTAAGAGCTGTCTCAGGTGACCTCGACAAGCCGTTCCTTCTGCCTGTAGAGGGTATGGTCATAAGTCTCTGCCTGCGTGTCAAAGATTTAACAGTCTCGTGCAGATGTATTCTCTATCTCAGGTCGTGGCACTGTTGCAACCGGCCGTGTCAGTATTTACCAGCCTTTCATTTCCCACACGCTGACGTACTCGACAGGCTGAGCGTGGGGTATGCCTCAAGGGTGACGAGGTCCAGATCATTGGGTTGGGTGAGAACTTCAAGACCACCTTGACCGGCATTGGTATGTTCTCCTATTCACTCGGCGTAATATTGTTATTCATTGCAACTCCCAGAGATGTTCCACAAGGAGCTTGATCGCGTACGTGCTTTGCAAGAGATATTATTCATTGTCTTACTCGGCCAAATAGGGTGAGGCCGGTGACAACATGGGTGCCCTCCTTCGTGGCGTCAAGCGTGAGCAGATTCGCCGTGGACAAGTCATCGCTGCTCCTGGTAGCATCAAGGCCGTCAAGAAGTTCCAGGCCCAGATCTATGTACGTCCGGATTTACCAAATTTCGGGGGTGTCTGGCTTTGATACATCGAAATACACGCAGGTTTTGACCAAAGACGAAGGTATCTAATCGCGTCCCCCTTAACCTTCTTCTTAACTGACATGTTGCCAAGGCGGACGGTACACACCTTTCATGGACAACTACCGCCCACAGCTCTTCGTGCGTACTGCGGACGTGACGTGCGGTCTCCACTGGCCTGAGGGCACTGCTGATGCGGCCGAAAAAATGGTGTGGAACCAATGCTGCGCGTTGTTATGAACTTCCTGCTGATGCCTGTGTAGGTCATGCCCGGTGATAATGTCGAGATGGTCTGCGACTTGATGCACGATGTTGCAGCAGAGATTGGTACCCGGTACGTTTTTCGTGAGCACACGTAAATGTAGCAAGGTTAACGAACGTCGTGTGCAGTTTCACTCTTCGTGAAGGGGGCAAGACTGGTATGTTACTTGATCTTTTATTGTTTCCTTTAATTGTAATGCTCACATGCCTAACAGTCGGCACCGGTATTGTGACGGAGATCTTGACGTTCGCGTAGATGTTAGTAGTTGCTCCTATATATTGCATTAATGTCCGTGCTTTGTATTGCTACTCTCCCCACTCTCGCAAAAGTAGTTATCGGACTAGCACATCCGATAGTTGCCTACCGCGCATCTGTCAGATATCGCCATGCTATGCTCATAAGTTTTGAGGAATCCCATACTTTTCCATCCCTGCGGACGGAGTGAAGTCGGCGCTAGTGCGCTACGAAAATGAAGTCAGTTCTAAAAGAGGCACGGCGGACTGCCGTCGGGTACTCAGACTGCCTGGAAGCTGCCCACGTACATCTTACAACCTGCTGTAACCGTGCTGTTCGTCCAAAATGTTCTCTGCTTTCCGACAAGTCTCTCGCCCTGCGGCGTTCGCTGTGCGTGCTGCTCACAGACCGTCTGTAGGCGCCTTCCGAGTCGCCTCTTTTGCGCGAACACTTGTTAGTGAGTGCGACGCATGCATTGGGCGGTGTGGCAGTGGTAGATTATGTGGGTGAAGCTGTCAGGTATACGGAAGATCATGAGGCAGTCAAATTTGACGACAGCACGGGGACGGGGACGGTCTACATCACGGACTACGCTCAGTCCAGTTTGGGCGACGTGGTTTTCGTCGAGCTACCGACGGAAGGAACAGAGGTCTCAAAGGGCGGTAAGTCACAATTGTCGAGGTCTCACCAGACGCGTGCTCATTGAAGAAATGTTACAGACCAAATTGGTGCCGTCGAAAGTGTGAAGGCTGCCTCAGATATCGTTGAGTGGTACCTTCACCTGTCTTTCTGCTCACTGTGCTCAAGTGTCCTGCGCATATCAGTACGCCCCTATCTCTGGCACAGTTGCAGAGGTCAACGCCGGCCTCGCAGACCAGCCGGGATTGCTGAACAAGTCCCCAGAAGACAAGGGTGAGCGATGTTCCCAGGAGTTCTCGCACAACCAACACTTAACACGCTACCTCAGGTTGGCTCTGCAAAATCAAGGTTAAGGACGCGTCCGAGGTGCGTACGTCGTGTGTCCCATGTTGCACACGCTCATAAGCTTCGGCAGATTGAGTCACTCCTGACGGAAGACGCGTACAAGAAGCACTGCGAGTCATGAACATAGCATGCACGCATGCGCGTAGCGGCCTTATCGAGACGGCTTCAACTGCCGAAGGCACTTTCGACTTGCAGCACGGCTTCGGGTGCTCGCAAGATTCTTTGTTTGGGCATAGACCTGTTGTCGCATATGTAGCGTACAAAATGACAGCAGATTCATATTGATGTGGTGATCGCAGAGAATGTAGGCATTAATCCAGTTAGGTCTACAAAGACAACTTAAGGGTAGTCTGTCTTCTCGCCCCGAGCCTCCATACGAGCCTTGGCCTCATTGTACGCCCATGTACGCATGCTAGAACCACCGTCAGCGACTGAGCCGGAATCATTCTAGTGGTGGGACGCACCTCGTGTCGGGCTTGTAGTACAGCAACACTGCTGCCAGCGCCATGGTCCCGTACATCCCGACGTACCATATCATCTCCCAGTTCTCTCTCTGACGCTTCTGTCCTGGCGCTGGAGGCTATGTCAAGCATTTGGCACAGCAGACAGAGAGGCGGACATCACGCAAAGGTCTCTCATCAGTGAGTGTTATGGACATGATGGAAAACAGGCGCACCTTCTCGCCAAAAAGCCAACCGGAAGGCTCATTGTAGCGAGGTCCGTGGCCGTGAGAGGCATGCCGCCTGATCCCTGCGGCAGGGAGCCTCCGCTGCGTAGAGAGCTGTAGTGTTCGCAGCACGGATGTCGGCGGCATAGTCGATGAAGTGTAAGATGCGAAGCGCCGAAGTCGCAGACGTTCTGACGCGAGACCTAATCTAGGGTTACATGAATGATCACAGTCTTTGTACTACATGAACATATTCACGTCCGAGGGAGAGAAAGCGACAAAATCTCATAGTCGTACTCCTCTTCGTCGTCACCCTCGCCTGTTAAGCCATCCTCATCTGAGGCCTCATTTCCAGCGTCATCTGAGGCCTCATATTCCGGGGATGTTTCATCTACCTCAAACCTATCAGCGCAGGGTCAATTATAAGTGTCTTTTAGCTGGTGGATAAAACACTCCACCCCAGTCGAGTGTAAAACTGCCGTGCTATGGAGTTGTCTATAGTTGGTTTTATCAGCCGCGGCGTCGTGTATCTCAACCTAACGCACGTTTGAAGACCGTCAGCATGACCTTTTCCATGTGCCAGCGAGTGCTGATGGACTGCAGCTGATGCATCAGGAATCTTCCCAATCCGCTACGTCGCATATCTTTGCAGACCTGCAACTCGTAGCTCCAGATAGGTCAATCATCTGAGCATCGAGGGTTTATGCAGTGGCCCACCAGTAGGCGACATCCTCGTCCTCTTCGCGATCGAAGCGAAACATTACATATGCAATAATGGGTCTTTGTCCAGCCTCGTTTGTCGTATCATTTGTTATCACGTCTTGGTTTCGCGCAAGTATAAATCGAGAATACGTGTGGAATAATTCTTCCTGTTTGGCGGCAGGATCCCATCCCCAGGAGGAGTCCACGTACCTACGAAAGTACGATATCAGCATCTACCAGGATAGCAGTGAAATCAACGTACATATCTTGCATGTTGTCCTGCAGCGTGGCCCATATGGCGGCTCTTTCGTCTGCCGAGAGGTCAGAGGTTGCACGGACCTCGCACATAAAACTAGAATGCTTCCATTAAGCGTAACATAGCTCACGCATAAGTACGCACTTTGAGCTGCTCTCAAGCGACTGTGAGAGCTCTGCCGCGGATGCCTAACGGTTCGCGGTCGATGGAGACATCAAAGAACGTGGCTCAGACGTAAACTATTCACTTTATTTGCCCTTCGGACAGCCTGAGACATACTCGTGGCACCTCTGCACAATACCCTTCTCTATTATCCTTGCGTGTCAGGCCCCGGGGCGTGGGAGGAACAATATTGAAAGAGGTCAAGGACGCGTCGCGTCGCACTAGCGTGAATTAGGAAGACGCGCCGATCGAGATCTAACCCGATCACGGCTGCAACACGTGCCTGGATGCTTTTTGCTCTCGATCACTTCGACTTACGCTTCGTGCCGCCGGTCTGAGGACTCGGATTGTGGCTATCCAGTACATCATATATCCATAAACTCTCAACCGTAACCGAACCACATACCACTCAGTCTCAAAACCCTTCGCAAAAATGAAACTCGATGCGACAGACCTGCGCTATATCACCACGGATGAATTCCGAGTCCTTACCGCGGTGCGCCAGATCCCAAGCTATCCCACCGCGCTCATGCATACTGACTCCTCGGTTGCCTGCCGCATTCAGGTAGAAATGGGCTCGAAGAACCACGAGGTGGTGCCCACCCCCCTGATCGTGCAGATCTCTGGCCTGCGCAATGGAGGCGTGAACAAGAACCTCGGCTCCCTGGCGAAGCGCAACCTTGTCGCACGCGTGCAGAATGCTCGATGTACGTCGCATGAATCACTATACTTCCAGGTATATGAACTCCATGCAAGATGATGGATACAGGCTGACGTATGGCGGGTACGACTACCTGGCCATGCGGGCGCTGTCGAAGCGGGACTCGATGTTCTCGGTCGGGAACCAAATAGGAGTGGGCAAGGAGTCCGGTGAGTCCTAGGAAATACACCAAGTTATTGAAGACTGCTCATGAGCATGCACAGATATTTACATTGTCGCCGATGCTGAAGGCAATGAGATGGTGCTGAAGTTGCATCGGTATGCACTCAAGTGGATCATCGTTTTGTCTCCTGTTTACATGTTATTACTAGCCTTGGCCGCGTGTCCTTCCGCGCCATCAAAGAAAAGCGAGATTACATGGGCAAGCGGAAATCAGCGTCTTGGATGTACATGTCCCGATTGGCGGCAGAGAAGGAGTGGGCCTTCATGAAGGTAATGTTGCTACTTCGATCTTTCTTATACCACCCTCATCCCGTAAAGGTCTTACACGAACACGGCTTCCCGGTGCCAAAACCCGTCGACCACGCCCGACATTGCATCCTTATGGAATTTATAGATGCCTACCCTCTGTAAACATCCCTTCCACTCCTATCATTTATCGAATTGACCGTTGGAATTCACCCAGACGCCAAGTCGCCGAACTCCCCTCTCCTGGCAAGTTGTACTCTGACCTGATGGACCTCATCGTCCGCTTTGCGCGCGCAGGTCTGATCCACGGAGACTTCAACGAGTTCAACATCCTGATTCGCCGAGAATCGGGCGAGCCCATCGTGATCGACTTTCCCCAAATGATCAGCACATCCCATTTCAATGCAGAGACGTAAGTACAGATTTCCGACGCGTAGGGTTTGCCAGAATACGCACATCATGGGATACGACAGGTATTTCAACCGCGATGTGCAATGCATACGCAAGTTTTTCCGCAAGAGATTCCGGTATGAGAGCAGCGTTTATCCGCGGTTCTCGAGCACGAAGACCATCACGGCCAAATCGGAGGACAGCGAGGACTTCCGGCTGGATATTGTCGTGTCGGCCAGTGGGTTCAAGCAACGCGACCAGGAAGTATTGGAAGAGGTGTGTTGTCTTCACGGATTCATCTGAGCTGCGGCAGGGCTCACGAGATTGAATCATAGTATATGAACCACGTCTTAGGGGGAGGATCTGACCGAGAAGACGAGGAGGAAGAAGAGGAGAGCGACGACGACGACGACGACGAAGAGGATGGCACAGAGGAGCTAGATATGTTAGCAGAGCAAGGCATCGCTGGGACGAGTCAAGTCGCGTTGTCGGGACCGCTCTCAAGTAACAATGTCGTGCCGTCGTCGTCGATAAGCGATACTCAAGAGCAAAAGAGCAAGGCCGAAGGTATAGGCAGCGACGAGGAAGATGGACGTTCTTCGCGGAGCAGTGCCCGGTCGTCTACTCGACAATCTTCTCGCTCTCGCACACATTCACCCGTCGACATTGCGGAACGCACCGCGACGTTATCCATTTCCGGAGCACCCGGCGAATCGCAGTCTGCTGGAAAAGACTTTACGGAGAAGGTACATTCCGAGGTGGTGAAGCGACGTGCGAAAGAACAGCGGAGGTATCACTCGAAAAAGGGAGCGCTGCGCGTAGGACGACCAAAGGGCAGCAAAGCCAAGCAAGACGTCAGGCTGAAGCTGGACACTGGAGGATGGGACTAGGGCGACGGCGATTATTGTTTTCATTGTGCATTATCATTTGTACCGGAGTTACGCATTTGTAGTTAGCCATCTGCTGTTCTTGCTCTGATGCATGCGAGGCTCGCAAACATTCGATTATCCACGCACGTCCCCTGTCACAAAATGCGCGAGCGTGAAGGCAGGAGCATATCATCGATGACGCAATAGTCGACCTGAGACTTGAAGCTCAAATATTGATACCCACACGCGAAGGTTTCGGCTGTACAATGATGCAGTGACTCCAAGGAGACTGGAATGAAAGAGCCCCATTGCGGAAGGACGCTGTGCTCCACTGTGCTGCCAAAGGAGGCAATTAGGTCATAGTACTCGGTACTTGTCAAGCCAAACCTGGAAGCGATCGCCGTGGAGCGGGATGGATCAGGCCAAGATCCCCAATAAAGACATACGGATGGTGTCCGCCCGAGATAGTCAAGATCCAAGACCGATTGACGGCCCCTCCACATTCCCGACACCTGTTCACTGTCCTGTCTCGGCCAGATCTGTTCGTATACGGCATCGATCGTCGCAGAGATGAGTGTCCCCACCTCGCGAGTGACGTAGCCAGTCACTAGTCACTAGCCAAGTCCTGGAGGGCAGCCCCAGCATGAGGTACGATATAGTGACCTGATCGACCAGGCACTTTCGGCATCCCCGCAGACGGATTGGGACGAGCAATCAATCGAAATGAACTCAGGGAGGCCTAGACCATCGTGACACCGACGACATTCCCAATCTCTCGCCACATCTGGTCGAGGTCGGTCGGTAGATTCCACCACCCATCGAGCTCACCTAGCCTTGCAAGTACGATGTACCGGCGGTATCTCCGACGCGAGTAGAGGCAAATTCGCTGTCAACCCCTGGCCCTTTCTACAAGCGGCTTCCATGCATCCTACAACTCGATCGTGCATCAGCCTGCTTACATCAGTGTAGTGGCCAGGTAGATCTAAGTTTACCGGCGAAACTTTCGTCGCGTGCGTCAAAAACCAACGAGGTGCACGTACAATCCAGCCAAACCCTCTCAAAGATCGCGCACACAAGACAACCGGATCGCGCGCGGCGACTGAGCCACGTATACGTCATAGTGGCAGCACATTGGTGATGGATGTCCTTCCTTCAGCTTGCGTGTGCAATGCGCATTATGTGCGGGGTGAAGATAATCCGTACTACAGTAGGCGCGCGTCAGCGAGCTGTGCGCACATTAGTAGCGCTCCGAGCTCCAGGCACCGACATCAACCGACGGTGTATTAGTCCAGTATAGACTAGTGAGACACTTTGGAACGTACGCCGCGATGGTCAATACATCGTTCTCCAAGTGCTCGGAGGCGGTATCACGTCACCCTGGGCCTACTTGTCGGGGAAGAGGGGAAAACGTTGAGACATGAGTCTAGAAACAGAGGGAAAATAGCACCGTGCAATGTCTGACAGAAAGCAGCGTAGAGCCGCGCTTGATCTTGAGCAAATTTATTGCAATGTATCGCGGACCTGCCACATCAAGCAGAGTTACCGTTATCATACAAGTTCCAAGGTACAGCAAATTGAACGACGTATGCAGCACATCCTGCGGTCAACTTGAGCACAATGACGTCAGGTTGAGATGAATACACGTACTCCACCTCACGCGTTCGGGTCGTCCTTGGCCTCAAACTTATGTTTGTGCCGTGCAATCACCTCCGTCATCCCCTTCCCGCTGCCGGTGACGCCAACTACAAGCACGCTCCATTGGCCAGCATCCATAGCACGGACGTAGCGCACGCACCTTTCCCTAGCGGATTGTCTGGCGTCTTGAAGATGCTCGTGCCCGACACGCCTGCGATGTGTATGCCCTTCTTCTCCGACTTCTTCGCGAACTTTTGCCAGCTCGCCTGTTTTTCCGTCTGTTCCTTCGCCTTGGCCGCCTTGACCTCGAGCTTCTTCTCGTTCTTCTTTTTCTTCCGCTCCCGCTCCTCCTCCTCCACCTTGCTCAGCTTGCGCTTGCCCGCCGCGGATGGCCCCGCGGACTGGTGGTTTGCGGGCAGCGCCTTCAGCTGCGAGGCATTGACCAGCTCCGTGCTGTTGTACCCCTTGAACATGACGCTGTATGCGCGGTTGTCCGCCGAACCCCCCACGGACGTGATTCGCGCGGGGTAAAACTGGCCGTCGCCAGAGTATTTCGCCAGACATTCGTCGCCCGCAGACCACGTACGGGTCGCGGTCACGGCCGCGGCGTGTTTCCGTGATGACTCGGCCTTTGAGGAAGATGCGGCTGCTTCTTGCTGGGCGAGTGCTGCTTGTGTGAGTTCAATGAGCTCTTTGAGCTCAGAGCGCAGAGATGACAGCTCGGGATTGGCAGGGTCCGAGGCGAGGGCAAGCTCGACCTGTGAGAGCTGGACCTGATATGTTTCCAAGTCGCCCGTGTCCATAGCTGGATATGTATTTTGGCACGCGATAGAACAATAGAAGAGTGAAAGAGAGGCGGCAATGGTACCAGAGATAGAAGTGGCGGACGATAGGGGCGCGCCTACCTCGATGCACCGTGGGAAGATTCGGGCCGCCACTTTTGATGACACCCACACAGTGCACACCGGGCGCCCACACAGGTAACCTTGCAAGTTCTCGCAAGTTCAAATTTTCAAAGGTCGAGGTCAACGCTTGGCATTCGGAGAACCTCTGTGTTGTAACACCATAACATGCGCGAACATCCGTCTTTTTGAGGCGCTTCGCTCCCACAGCCTCTTTAATCGTTCGGAAATCAAATTACCTGTGAAAGAAACCGTAAATACTGCTACTATTGTGAACACCGTAGCATGTGGAATATGCGTCTCCATGATTGTGAGCTATTTTCGGCCTTCATGTGCGGGGAATAATCGGTTTGCTTTGGTTTCGCGCGTCCAGTGAAATCCCTCCACGGCGAGCTGACTGTTGACTGATCTAGGATTCACATATTTGAAGTAGTCTGGTAATCGAATAGAGACACTGGCAATACTTACAGATCCGGCCATGATGTCCCCGACAATTTGTCCGCCTCTGTTTCAATATTAACTGTCAAGTGTCATGGAGGAAGCTCTCTCGGAATCCAATTATCCTGTTTCAATTTATTTTCTCTGCCCATTGCTTGTGTGCAGCTGATCGTACTCACGCGGGTCCCTCCTGAGAGTCTTTACATTTACCTTCGCGAGCTGTGGACACACGCAGGCCATCAGCATCGAGAACAGACGTCTTTATCGAACTATAGATCCGTACCGATCTTCTCTGTGGAAGGATGGTCAGTTTTTGCGTTTTTGGCAAAGAACTCCCCAACACTTACGCCTCATGCCAGCACCCGCCCGCGCAATCACAAAGTCAGATTCCTGGCTCCTCCCGTAATCTTGCCACCAACAGAGATCCAGCAGCACTCGGTACGGGCAAGTCAATCTGACGCGCCAGACAGTCTCGCATCAATGCCAACGTCAAGCTGAAAACCGAGTTGTGTGCGGTCCTGCAGAGTGTACTGATGCTGATGTTTCCAGCGAGGAGTACAGGCAGGCAGGCCAATACGAAGTATGTGAGTTGACGTTTAACGAGCCGATAACAGCGCGAGGTGCGGCAGAGAAACACTCCGGATGGTTCAATTCATCAGGCACAGACGTAGTCGACCTGACTTTTCCATCTGGCCCCTCCGCATTTCGTCTCCGCGGAGGCTCTAAGATCTCCTCGATGACGGCCTTGGGTGCGCAGCAATGTATCGCAAGGTCGTGGGGACGTACCACGAGGGCAGCGAATTACAAAGGAATTGCCATTTCATCTCAGTCCTTTTTCTCACTTCGAGATCAATTTGATGGCGACTCGCTCGGCCTCGGGGACCCTCGAATTTGGTGAGGGATACTTTCGACTCAATGATGGCAAGCTGACGGGCGATCAACAATGCACGAGATATGACTAGCCGCCCACCACTTGTCGGCTTACTGTTCAACCGTTCGTTCAGCAACGAAAGGCTTTCCCTAGCTATCTTAGGCTAGTAAACAGGGGTTTCATGGCCCATCTGCAAGAACGTAATCTCCGACACTCTCACCTGGCCGTCCATCTCGGGGCCCAGCCTGATAGTCGAAAGGCTGTACCTCAGGAATCAGCACCATTATGGTGTCCGAGTGAAACGTGAGACAGGCCTCAGAACAGGTTCCCAATGCAGGTCACTCGGTCCAAACACCCAAGGGATCTGCATTCGTATTTCCTCATATCGCTGGTGCGTGTCTTTGTGCAAGACGCCTGATAACGCTACGCGAGAATTACTTATAGCCGTCCACCATTGATACCCAGGCTTTTCTCCAAGGCCTCTATATCGCCTGGCGTTGTGGTCCATCAACAACCATTACGACAGTCGGACCCCGTGGCGGCTTGGTGCTGAAGGTGCTGCGGCTCTGGAGACTGGGTTCGTCGAATCGCACGCCAGCAATCCCGGCATCAGCTTCAAGGGATGCATTTGTCATTGACTTGACACACAGCTGCTCCACTCTCCCTAGACTAGGACGCACACGCACGTAAGGCGTCACTGCCACTTGTCTTGATGGAAGGCTTGAGTATCGCACATAATTAATGTAGGTACCGGTCTCACGCACGAGCGCGTCTTTACCGGCCGTCCCCGCTGCTTGTCATTTTCTCCTCGCGAGTGGGTGCTTACTTTCTAAAAAGCATGTCGTCCACAGAGTAGCGTCAGCCGCATAAAATCACGAAAGCACGGAAGCCACATTAAAAACCTGCAGAGTGTTACGACGGTGAGGATATAAATCTGCCTTATGTAGCCAGTAGTAACACGGTGGATCGGTTGTACAATGGTCAAACGAACTTGATCATATATATATCAAATCATGCCGTATCATACAAACGCACATACTTCGAACTGACGCTGCACTGCTCTGATGCAATAACACTGTCGTATCATTCGGCCGAAAACAGTGATCAATGACGCTGGGCTCATCCCGCCCGAAGGCATGCCACGATCGCAAGTATGTGCGATAGCGCGTCACAGCGGTAGGTTCGAGGTGAAGGGGGTCTGATTTATTTCCAATCTTATGCCGTATGGAGTTACACGCCGATCCGGTAGCGAAGTATACCATATGGAGTAATGGCACTCAACTTACAAACATTTGAAAGCACAACAAACATAGTAAGCCCGACATCACCATGACCCTGGCTGTCAGGATCCAGGACCCTCGGAGATTGCCCTCGCCGCTGGTATTCGCACGGACACATCGTCCAAGACAAGTCCGCGACGCAGGCACTTCGGACCTTTACCCGAACAAGTACCGTCGATCAGCTTTGCACGATCGACTTCCATGCTGCGCACTGCTGTCTGCAGTGTGACGATCCGAACAGAAAAGAACAGACCACCGAAATTTCAAAAACACAGTGATAATATACTTCGGGAAATCATTCGTAAGGTCTGGGACGCTCGGCTCAATACCGAAGGTGCGATGAGAGTGTAGGGGCAGGCTGGAGGAACGGTTGCGATGAGGCAGAGTCGGGCACGGTCGCGATGGAATGTCGCCGACCCTGATGAGCCTCTGCTGAAGCTAGCTGCATCGAAACTTGCATTTGCAGCCTCAGGAACTGCGTACGGAATGTAAATTTAACGATCAAGATCAAGGAATATTGAATGGAAGAAGCCGTACTTCTTGCTCTTCTTCTAGCGTCTGCTGGTTCAGCTTTCGAATTTCGTCTTCCATGTGTACGAGCAGAATCTGTTGCACACATCCCCATCAATATCGAACGAATCGACGACATCAATGCCACTGACCCGGATGGACTGATGGCTGAGACCAGGATATTTGTTGACTCGTTCAAAGGGCACTGGCTCCTCTCCAAGGATGCGTATCTGCTCGTGCAACCAGTCCACGTACTGCTCAACGCATTCCAGATAGTGACGCTTTTTGTCATGTGACGAGATTGTGTCTCTGATGGGCGCGCGAGTTCAGTCCGTGACACGTAAAAGGCCCAGGAGACAGGCAACATACGGATTCGTTGGCGTAAAGCCGATAGCTTCTGCAACGGCGCGGAAGTAGGCCTTGCGTTGTGTCTCTTGAGGTTTCGTTGCGCCATTATTGTTGTCAGTGTTGTTATGACTCGAGCCTGGCTTGCTCGCCTTCCGCTTCATAGGAAGACTTTGCGATTCTGTTGACTGTCGAGACTCGCTCTTCATGACTGCACTAGTACTAGCGGTGGTGGCCCCGCTTTCTCCCTGTGCATCGTCTTCGTTCAAGAGATCCGATGGAGTGGGGAGAGTGGCTCGCGGCGCATTGCCGAAATACACTAGCGAGTCCGTCGAAGGACATGTCGACGCTGCCGCATTGAAGGATGGGAGGGTGGGCAGCTCGATGGGCTGCTGTGCGAGGTTGCTGGACGCGTTGGAATCATGTTGAGAATAGGGAGACGCGTGCTCTTGGCCAGAGACTGGAGGAAATACAGGAGAATGCGGAGAGACGGACTGCTGCATGATGAGCGTCGAGTAGCGAGACATGGGGACTGGCGCATGAAGAGGCGTCTCTTGCGCATATGGGGCGGAGGGCATTTGCGATGGAGGGTTCGAAGTACCAGGAGGGTAAGAGTAGTCATCAGGAGGCCCTTGATGATCGTATGCAGACTGAGGGTATGCATACTGGTTGAGGACGGAGTAGTCGTAATGGAACGAATACGGCACGGAAGGGACGTGCGCGCCCATATTATGCGCCGGGTAGGAATCTGTCTGGTATACCAAAGTTATTCAAGACATGTTAAGATAGGATTGACGGGACGGTGTCCTACCGTTGATGCCGGGTGCATGGTGAGAGGAGAATCAGCGTAAGAGTAGCGCTCCGAGGATTCAGTGTAGTATTCCATGCTGTGGGGCGAGGTTAGGAGGACCGGGAAATGCACGACGGTGGTGCTTATATGCAGCGCCATAGCACGGGCGGCGGAGATATGTATCAGACGGAATGGAGAGACGAGTGAGTGGCCAGTATAGTGTGACCGAGAGCATGGCTGGTTAGGAACTAGGACTGCCCAAACGGGATGGGATGTGACGAGTGGGCAAGCTGGGGGCCGCTTCTGGGAGGCGCGCCCAGAAGATCCCATCATCGAAGATGCGGCGTCACCAACCAAGATCCAGCACACCTCCTCACCGTTATGCCCCACCCGAATCAAGCCATATCCAGCGCCTCTCTTGCAGTCGGCCTACTCGGGCACCCTCAAGTTTCTTGACACGGCGCATTATCCGCCCGTCCACCCTTTGAGTTGGCGGGGCTTCCAGGACGCACCGTCACGCACGCCCAGTGCGTTCGCCGTTCCCGTCGCAGACGAGCACGAGCTTGCGGCTGGACTAGCTCGGGGACAGCCGTGCCATCATTTATTGCGTTTAGACCCGTGGACCTGGCGGGTGCAGATGAGTAAGAATCTCCCAAGGTTCATGCGTACACGTATTCAGGTCTCCAGGCCCACTACTGCGCCCGGTGCACCCTGATACACACGAGGCGTGGTGTTGGAAACTCATGCCGAGGACTGCATGCGGGCCCTTGACGACACTGTCCGTTTCTTACAGCCTGCTTGCAAAATTCGAGTAGCAGGTAAGACAGCCACCATAGTCGTCGGCGAGTTTCAAAGCAATGTAGGCAAATTCGAACATGGTTTGCCCGTAGCACAGGGACTGTGTGCTCGTGGCGCGGACGAAGGGCCGATCGCAGCGTGAGAGCTCCACGTAGGGCGCGATGATCCTCCTGAGCAGACAAGTAAAGCAGGAGAACCGCCCAAACGGTGACGTTCTGGACCGCCGATAGCCTGATCAAGGAGCAGTCCCAGTGCCGCGGGACCGGGTATCCAATCAGCGCGCATAGACGTGCCATTGACAGAACTCAATACCTTGTTTTTGGGGCCCGCGGCACTGGGAGCGGCCGGTTGTAAGGGGGAGCAGTTGAACGGGTACGCCACGCGGCCATCCAAGCGATTGCGTCCGGGATATTGGCGGTGTGAATCAATTAATAGATGCCGACGTGCTCTAGCGTGCAGGGCGCTGTGGCACGCGCGTGGGGGCGTTAGTGTGTGCGTCAGTGGTGACCGATGGAGTAGAAAAAACCATCGCCTGGTATTGGGTCCGAGCTGTGACATGGTGCAGGTGAAGGGGAAGACCTCGATCGGGTCAACCTTAACGCAGCAAGGAGCGAGCGACGTGGGCGGAGACGGACCCCGCCTGGGCATCACGCCTGGCGGAGAAGATCCAGCTGCCCCGCACCTTCCAAGCACTATAACCCAGACGGGCGACCGACAAGTCGGCGCTCGCGTCTCCCGCCACAAGAAGCAACGCGCTCGTCTTCTTCGCCCCACCCACTGGCTCGGCCGAGATCGCGTGTGCCCATTCGGCACGTCGCTGCCCATCTCTACTTAAGTCCTTCGACGATCTGCGTTTGACGATCAGCCCCCGCTCCCGCTTCGCGCCCCGAGTCCGTATATTTGACTCAGACCAGCAGTCGCGGCACCGCCCCCACCCATCCCCACAATGTCACCCGACGCTATCACCGAGTTGCAGATCCATGTTGCTTCCACCCCTCCAGCACTCTCACCCTCCTTCCCCGTCGACCTGCAGTATCCTGATAGCGACGTCTCCGACTCGCCCTCGCCCCATGATCTTCCGGCAGATCATGAGCCCACTTACCATACGCCGGCTCCGCTCGACCTGAAGCTTGTCTCCAATGCCTTCCCAGGCAGCGGCATGTCGCAATACTCGTCCTCGCCGACCGAGAGCGAGTACTTCTCGGATTTGTACTCGTCATCGCCCGTCGGGGTACAGGCGCACCTGCAAAGTCTCTCGCTTGTCCAGTTTCCTGGCGCACCGCCTTCGAAGTCAGGCTCCTTGTCCCCCGTAGCTGCCGCTACGCATGGCTTGGGCATTACCATCCCTGAGCCGACTCCAGACTCAGACTATCGCTTCCCGCCACCCACGCCTCAGTATGGTCGGAGCACATCATCCAGGCCGCATGTCCGCTCCTTGGTTTCGCCCGCTTCGCCTGTGGCCCGTCCCTCGGCGGGCACTTCGCGTGCGGACGTTGGCCACCCGTATGCCCGCCTGTATACCCGGCGAGAGAGCACGAAGCGGCGCAAAATTTGGAATCACGCACACGAGAAGGCGCTTTTCACTCCGCAAGAAATGTAGATCGATCCACTCGTGTTGCGATTCGATGCTGACCGATATTTGCCTCCTTGCAGATCGACAATCGGTGCTCCGCAGCGTCGGACCACCTATACTGCGAGTCTGGAAGCACATGTCGATCGTCTGCACGAGCAACTCATGCGTCTCTCACTCTATCCTGTGCCATATGAGTCCATCAATCCCTTCTGTGGGCTCAATTGCAAGACAGCGAAGGTTAGCATTTTACTGAAGATGATCAGGAAGGAATACTGACTTGTCTAAATGTACAGAGCATGGTTGCTGGCCTCCACCAGGATGCAGCCGACTTGAAACTGAAGCGTCTTGAATTGAGCCGTGCAGTAAGCCCATTTCTGGCACTGCCTCGAAGCTGTGACTAACGCGTAACAGAGTCAGGCATTGCGGGATATGCTATACAGTCAAAACTCAAATAACCACACGATGCTACCAATGCATGCGCAAGGTCGTCGACATTCCTGTTAGTTCCAGCATCTTAACCCATACCTTCTGCAATCGGACAGTCTTTTCTGTGTCGAAAGGGTCTTAGTTACAGTCATCATAATTCATCGTCGGGGTCTGTTTTGTTCATGGTTTCACGGGCGCATCTGTATCTTGTAGGAATAATCTTGTCGCATGCGCCGTTCGGGGGCCGGCCTCTGGCGTCATCATCGTGTCATAGTGTAGTCCTGTGTCCCTGTACTAATGTATGCAATCTGTCCAGCTTGCATGCAGTGTCTTCAAAACGCTATATACGCGAATCTCGTCTACAGAGACCTCCGGTACGAGATTCGGTCCACGGCCGACCTTCTCGACGATCCGTTTGTATGTCTCTGAACTGGATAGCCGCAACGACCTTCGGAACTAGAGCGATTAAGCTCCTGCGTTGCGCCACAATGGACAGACGCACCGAAAACGGTAAGCGAACTTCTGCACTTGGTTGGGAAGATCATGTGAGACCATGTCAGATGAGGCGAGTTCACAAGATCGGTCGTCGGTGGAAGGTCAGATTTGGAGACAAACTGGATCAGAAGCGCTGCCGAAGCCTGTCAGTCGGGCGAGATCCTGGAGATTGGACGAGATGAGCCGGCGGCGAGCACGGCAAAAAGGCTAAATTAAATGGAATCCTCTTCAGGTCTGGAAATTCCGCGGGACAGGGAGAGGGTGGCGGTATTCGTGGGTTCGAAAGAACGCGGGGCGTTCCTGGCCATTGACTCCATGTGCACCTCGGAGGGTGGCCGTGCACATGGACGCGCCGACTCCGGCGTATTGCTTCCCCCGAGGAGGGCTTCACACAGTTAGGTCGCCGCATGGGCGGCCTGCGCAATGGAGACATTCGCGTGGCGTTGGATCTTCTCTTCTGCTGGGACTTGCGAGATCATACATATTCGGACAAGCACGCCCGGCATGAACTACATGAAGGGTCTGCTCAGAGGGCTACCAATGGGACAAATGTGTACTTGACACTCCTCGTCTCCGTATAAATCCGCGGCCTCAGGCACGCCAGGGTAACCGATGCAGGGCCCTTCGGAGATGTTCCATACATGTACATCTCCGTACGTGTACGATGGCGTCAAGGAGTGTGTTGCTCGGCCTGCACTGCACAATCATGACGCCATCTGTGAGAATTCTACTGTGTAGAAGAAGCGGTCCTTGTATCGTTGAGAGATGGGAATTCAGTGAGAAGCATTTTGCGCGAGACGTTCCGCTCACGAGATGTCACTGCTAGCAACACCTGCTCATGCCTCTTGGTGCAGTTCAATTCTTCACGCTGACCGCGAAGAACGGCGCTAGAAAACATAGCGCTCTAGTATGATTGTCTTATATTTTGCGGGTCCTAAGAACAAGTGTGCAGCCCAAGAATGCATCCAAGAGCTGACTTGCACCCTGAGCAGGATTCAATCATCGTCGAGCCGTGCCGGACGGGCCGCACGCAAACGTCACGATCACGTGGGTCGCCGAGTCGGCACCGATCAGTAACGAGAAAAGGCAAAGGAGGAGCCAATAGTGTTCGCCGAGTCAAAGATTCATAACTGCTCATTACAAACGACCACAACCATCTTTCCTGTACACATACAGTCTCCTCGCTACAGTCCCAGACCTGCAATCGCAGCTCTCTTTCCATCCCTGCTAGTCGGCTATTCATTCCTTGGGAAGACAACTTGCTCTAGACGAGTCGAGACTTCCTTGTTACCCAGAGCAATCGATTGACATCGTCGCAATACACCGCCATTGTCTCCCCGCCACTCGTATTATACCTTCTTGCACAATGTCCTCTGTATCTGGTCTGCCCGCGCCCGCTCTTCAGGCCTCGCAAGCGGCCATCAATGCCGCGTTGGCTGAGAATGAGATTAAAGAGAACGGAAGGGCGAATGGCGACGAGGCAGAGCCTGGCGAGATCCAGGAGGTAGACATGCAGCAGCAAGCAGAGAACATCCGCACGGTCTTCAATGACCCAACCAACTTTAATGTCAAGGTGAGCATCATGATTGACTGCTTTTAACGGGAAGAACCGTTCTCTCTGTGGGTATGGCCATATGACGTTCATACTGACCGGGTCATTCGTAGCATCCTCTCTACTCACCATGGACCCTCTGGTTTGATTCCCCCGCAACAAAAGGCCGCAACCTTCCCCAGACTCCCATGTCGTCATTTCCTCAGACCCCCCTACTCCAAACCCCCGGTGCTGCGGCAGCACAAGGCTGGATGGAGGATATCAAACGAGTGATTAGTTTTGATAGCGTTGAAGAGTTCTGGGGGTAAGTATGGACCTGCGTGGTTTGCAAAGAGGCACTCAGCGTTACTTCATAGATTGTACAACAACATTGTTCCTCCATCACAACTGCCGCAAAAGGCGAACTACTACCTCTTCAAGGTGCGCACGTCCCACAATTCACTTTTTCAGGTTGAGATATTGACGCCAGTCGTAGGAGGGTATCATTCCTGCCTGGGAGGACGAGGCCAACAAAAACGGGGGCAAGTGGAGCATTCAGCTTCCGAAAGACAAGAACCGAAACAATGTCGACAGAATGTGGCTGTATACGGTGCGGACCCTGAACCCTGCACAAGGCACCGCAGTAAACTTATTGTGTTCACGACACAGATGCTGGCCGCCATTGGCGAGACATTCGATCCTTTGTTGTCAAACCCGGACGCAGAAACGCCTTCCCAGTCGTTGATCACTGGTGTCATTGTTTCCACGCGGCCGCAGTTCTACCGACTGTCCATATGGACACGCATTGCGCCGACAGGAGCAGGCGGTGATGATGACAAGCTGCGCGAGCGGATCGAGTCGGTTGGGCGACATTTCAAGATGAACGTGTTAGGATATTCAGACTCGCAGAAGCTGTCTGGCCCTCTAGCGACGGAGGTAGAGTTTCAGTCACACAAGGACTCGGAGAAGAAAGGGAAACAGTCGGGCAGGAAGATTGTTGTCTAATATGTTTCTGGGGACGCCGGAGACGGGGCGTGCTTGTCCTTCGCACTATCGGTCATTTATAACATGTCTATTTACTCTCTCGCCGCTGTATAGCTCTCGAGTACATTAATCTGCCGTCGCCACTCCACGGCGCGTATGTTGTGTATTTCGAAATCATTTTCATTTTCGAGGCTGTGGAGGGCTGCGGGCGGCTGTGAGATTGTCCAGTGAGGGTGGCGATGACGTACCGCTGCGCACCTGATGGCGACCATCTACAAAAGCAATTCGCCGACATGATGTCTGCCGCACTTGTTCCTTTTACCCCCCCTCAACCATGTCTGATTTTCTCTCCTCGATAACGGGAAAGGCGCAGAATGCGCTCCGATCTGCTGGCTTCAATCCTGGGCAATCAGGCGATGCCACAGGGGGCCCTCAAGGCGGAATCCTGAAGTCGCATGCGGTAGAGTCCATCCACCACCAGCTGCGTACATTCCAACAACAGTATTCGTGCGTGTGGCGAGGATATGAGATGCTGATCAGTCGCTGATTATGTCCTGATTGTCCCAGAAGTAATACGACACCGGTGCAGAAGATCATCACGACTCAGAAGGGTGTCGCGCTCGACTTGGACAGTCTTTCGACCGACTCGCACGCACACAGCAAGGAGCTTTATACTTGGGGCCAGAACGAAGATCCGGACATCAGGGATGGTGCGTTCTGACGCTGCCACTTTCATCGTCTTGCGCTCATTGTGGCGGCAGTGACTGATCGCCTAGCCTGGATCAACTACGTCGAGGGCGCCCTGGCGCATACGCTTGCCACGCGCTATGACGCATCGCGTGCGCCTTTCAAGGCTCTGCGCGATGCTGAGACCGCGCTCGCTCCTCGTCGCAACGCCCGCGCCGCTTTGCACAATCAGATCGGACGCGTCGAGCACGAACAACAGCGAGGAAACGAACCGAGGCTAGCAGAGCTCAGGCAGCAGCTGCAGCACGCGCAGATCAATGACGAACCCCTGGAGAAAGAGATTGCGCTGTTGAAGAGGAAGGCCGTTAGGGAGAGCGAGCAGATGAAGTGGCAGGCCGTCCGAGAGGTGTGTGTATGCGCTAATTTCTTTAGTCTGCAAGCGAACTCACGATTCCTCGTTCAACCAGTACGCCGAGAAGCTCATTCTCCTCTCGCAAGGAGCCAACGCAGTGATAACCGCGCTGCCCGCCATTCCTCCCTCCGACAAGCAGTACCACGGTGCCGACATTACTGCCTCAGTGCGTGCAACGCTTCAAGAGGCTCTCGACAACTACAAGCCTGGTGACATTAATCTGCCCCTTCGGTCCCCTGTCTCTAAGGACCTCAGTCGGTCGGACACACGCAGTTTCGGCGAGACGCATGCGAAGGAGCTTTCACGCATTACCCCAGTCGGAGACTCAGTACAGCCTAACATCCCGCTTACGCCGCCCCCCACTGGGACCGGCAGCGCTCTCCCACCTGCACCGTCCCAAAGCGCTAGCAGATCGTCCTCGATTTCTCACGCAACGCAAGGATCTGTAGGGTATTCCTCACCTATTACGCAACGCACCTCGCCGACTATCCTTGCGTCTCCTCCGCCCGTTGGGTCGCGCTCCCCTCCCTTGAACCCAGCTTCCCTGAACCAGGCCCCTGCACCTATTCCTATCAGTTCGTCTTTGCCTCCTCCCGTCGTTGCACCCAATCCCACCGATCCTACCGTGAAAATCCCTTCCGTGACTCCCACGGTCGCCGAGACTGGCGTGCCCAAGTCGGCTGGGTCAGAAGGCCCTGGGCCGTCAAGTGGCTCACTGCTTGATCTGAAGTCGTCATCGCCCACGTTGACTCGAGGTTCGGATGCACTTCCGAGCTACGGGGTCATGCCTGGATCCTCGGCTGACCCGGCTCCGGAGAAGTCGGAGAAATGGGAGTCGGCAGCAGATGAGAAGAAGCGTCTGGAGAGAGAGGAAAGGGAGAAAGTACTGGCAGCAGGAGGTGGTGTGGATAACAATGCCGACGGTGGACCTTCGAAGGAGGACGATCTGCCCCCCTACGAGGAGTTCCCCTCGGGAGGTGTGTAACCCGAAGATACGGATTACAATGGACAGGGTCTTGCTGGATACCCCCTGAATCTGAATGTATAGTTTGTGCTTACTTTTCAAGTGTACGATATGGTGTACGATGCTTCGGTATGATATTTGTGTTGTCCAATCAACGAAAACGAAGTGGAGCCAAAAGCCTAAATAGCGATCACCGCATCACGGCTCCGAGCGTGGACCCATAATGATCCACATTCTCGCGCTTACCGCGAAACGCGTCTTGACCACTTCCATCATCGACCGCACCAGACCGTGTCATTGCGATATACCGGGCTCAATCTCACGCACGCGTTCCCACACTCCGCAATTTCACCGTCAACGGTGAGATACTCTGAGACACCAAATGGCTCAACGAAATCTGGCGCGACCTCGTTTTAATCCGTCAACCTGTGAGCCTGCAACTCTGCAGTCATGCCCGCCCCTTCTATCTGTGCACCAACAGCCTGAGATCATATGGACGCCCCTCATCTGGTCTCCTGCTAATTTTCCACTCGAGCTGGTGAGTGCGTCGCAAAAAATGAGTACCAAGCGTTTCATGGACAGGACTGTAGTTTGAGATCGCGGTGTCGCAGCTCATTCATCACCCAGAGTATAACTCCACGTTGATTCTGCGCTCGGAGATTGTGTCTGAGACGACATCGGCCTTCCCGGAGACCATTCCCATTCTCCGTGGTCTACGCCCGATTCGCAATATTCATAGGAAACTCCTACCGCGTCGACCAGGGCGCGACACTGGTTTGGAGCAGCATTGCACCTTGTATGCATCTACGGACGAGCACGACCAAACACCCTCGACCCTAGTCCTCACACCCATTGTCAATCCAGGAGAGGTCCTCCCGTACTACCATCCCGCAGTCTCCTATCTCGCCTTCCGTTTTATCTCTGGTGACACACCGATCTTGCGAATTGAGGTGGTCCCCTTGCCAGGCACACCGACAGATCCTAACTCTAGGCTATACCGAACATGCCTAGCTCTTCTGGAGATGTTGCATAGATATGGGTGGGGCGCCATGACAAATTACAAAAAGCGCGTTCTGCACGACTGTATTGTCCCCCGAGAGGCCTACCAGGACCTCTATTTGATTATGCGTGAGCGGCACAAGCACCTGGTCGGCACATGGCAGGAAGTCACCGATCCACTTAAACACGTCTTCGAGGCAAGTGATGGAACTTATTATATCAACATGAATTGATGACGTGTCATATAGGATATCGGCATCGCTACTTTCTTAATGCTCTTGTGGAAAGACACGTATGAGGACCCTGTGGAGCACACAGCGAACGCCACGTTCGAGACAGAGCCATGGAAGCAGTGGCCTCGTCCCCCAGCAGGATTCTTGGACTTAGGGTAGGTTCCTCCCAATCCTGCCATAATAATAACATTCATCCATAATGTTTCCAGGTGTGGGAACGGCCTTCTTACACATATTCTGGTGGAAGAAGGATACCCCGGACATGGTATAGACCTAAGGGCGCGCACCTCATGGACTCACTACCCGGAATCCACTCAGGCGCACCTACGGGTTGAAGCACTGGATCCTACAACCTTAGTTGGACCGTCCTCTTCCGTGGAGGACCACCCGTACCTGCGCCCTGGCGTGTTCATTATTGGCAATCACGCCGACGAACTTACGCCGTGGGTCCCAGTACTTTCGACGCTATGTTCAGCATCCGGGTACCTCTCAATCCCTTGCTGCGCATGGACGTTCGACGAGCGCTATGAGCGCTCGAGCACTCCTAACTATCCTGTAGCCGACGAGGACTTTGTATCGAGTCTGAACCTGGGGGGCGACGGAAGCAACGCAAGCTCCTACTCAATGTATCGCATCTGGGTCGCCTCTTTGAGTCTGTACTGCGGATGGAAGGTCGAATGCGAGACTTTGCGGATTCCCAGCACACGAAATTGGGCTATCATTGGTACAGTCAAAATCATTCATCGCTCTGCATTGTCATCTAGATTGAACGGTTACATAGGGAGGCATCAGACATACGATAGTCCCGGACTAGCCGCTGAAATACGCCAGCGTATAAAAGACATCGTGGAACATGTGAAGGAGAGAGGCATGTTCAAGACGCGGAGACCAGAGGGGAAGGCCGGAGACCACTAGATCTCCGGCTGATGCGTACTACTGATCATCTGAGCCCTTATAGTAGATTCATCGTCTGTCCCGCTTCTGAGGGATCCTCTGCGTGTTCATATTTACACCGGAACGTCTCGGAGCCACAATACGAGCAGCTACGTCTGACCACATGTCACTCATGCCCGTATCCCATGCGTTTGCTTGAAAGAGTCGTAGGTGCGGGAATAGCTGGCGAATGAAAGATGCGGTAGCTTCGACGTCCTGTATCTTGACGTCCCCGAGGAATCGCAAGGCTTGCAAGAGATGTGGAGGGATTTTGATATTACCCAGACTGGATACTGATTGGGCATTCATAGTTATGGACAGGTCACGGAGCTCGAGGCAGCGCGATGCAAAGGAGTACAGCGACTCCACTGTTGGCGAGTAAGATTCACGTCCTGGGGAACGGTGCCAGACGTGGAGGCGTCGTAAATGCGGCCAGGCAGACGCCATCGCCGTCATGTCGGAATCATCGCAGTACACAGGATCGTTAAAGTCGAAGCTTACGTCTCGTAAGAGGTTCACCTCAAGGAGAGGCCGGATTACGTCCATAAGGGGAGGTGTATCGCCATTGTTGGTAGTAAGGGCTAGGCGCAAATGTACCCGCTGCAAGCAGGGTTGGAAATGTGGCCGAGATAATAGGGCCATGCAGGTCGAGCAGTCTGAAGGTAAGTACGGTGACATGGACGTGATAGTGACTGATCGCAAAAGTCTCGACTCCACGCTCTCCAGAACGCAGGCGACTGCAGATACATCTCCTGAGACCACTAAGGATTGCAAGCTGTTAAATCCTGTCCATTTTCCGCATGTGATTTCTCCGCCGACAGTGACGCTAAGACCAGCAAGTAATGGGAAATTTGACAGCCCAATTACATGACTGACATCAATCAGCCCTCCGAGTGTCAGATGTTGAAGGGACGTAAGGCCTTGGATGCAAACTGCCCAGCTTGACGGACAAGGTCCGTCGAAGATCAAGCGTTCCACTCCAGGCGAGTGAGCTAGAGCCATGTCGAGGAAGCTTTTGACTGAATGGTTTTCGCATATTTCTGGATCGCAGACATCCTCAAAAACTCCCGCACCTGACTGCACTAAGGAGATCGCAATGCTCCGCAGGGATGGAGAAAACAGCATAGGGGATAGGTCGTCAACATGGGCTGCTTGTCGCCATTGGAGGTTGCGTAATGAGGGAAACATAGAAGAGTATCCGAGACGTTCTCGCAGACGGGAATACGCCGACGGATGTATTCGACTGTGCTGCTGATATACGAGGGTTTGGATCCGCTTTGCATAATACTTGAAGCGCTCCCAATCCTGGTCGCCGATAGGGCGATCAAACGACTGGCATTACCCGGCTCAGTCAGCTCACACTTAGGATATATAGTGAGTTTTCTTACATATGATCCGCCAGTCTCTTGAAACGATGGGATTACCCTGAACAATGGGAAGAGGGAGATCTGCCGTTTCCATAGCTCGTCGAGGGCAGGATCTGTGAACAAGCGGCAACATCGTGCTAGTCTTGCGAGAGCCTTCAATTGAATGGATTTTCGGGGGAATCGATCTGATCCTCCAATGTGGGACAAAATGATGACGAAGATGTCGTAGATCAAGAGAGCTTGGTGCATTATTCTGTGCAAGTATGCAGATACTTCCGCAATTTACGGTAGAAGGTAGAACAAATGTCTCCAGGAAGGAATATGCCCTCTGAGGGTGATGATGGCTAGAACCAAGGAGTGGCGGTCGATATAACAAGCTGGTACAGTGCTTCAAGACATAATAAGGTGACAAGCGCCCATACTGAAGAAAGATGGCACGTGATATGACGCGACAATGATCTGAGATCGACCGATCAGGTTCGAACTTGAACCAAACGACTCAAAGTGGCTGGGCAGGAGATACAACGCAATGCCTTATGAACTCCCTCCAGAACTGTGGCTGCAGATATTCCACTATGCTGCAGAAGATGAGCCCTTATTTGACTACGCGCTGCCGACGTCCATGACCGAATCGTCCTGGTCGAAGAGGGTCATGAGTGATGGCTGGACGCTCAGAGCGCCCAACGATCTCATCGAAATAATGCATAGAAAGAGCTTTGCAACCAAGAAGGTATGCGTGTATCCTGGTGGCCCTTTCCCTCGAATACTAAATTGTATTTAGGCGATTGTATCTACCTGCAGGGCTTGGAGAGACCTTGGTACGGAATTCTTGTTCCGATGCTTCCTCTTCGGCGACCCGTCACGATTTCAACAATTACGCGTCATACTTGACGCAGACAACTCCCTCGGACGTCGCGCCAAAAGGTTGCACATCGCTCGCTTTTATGCCGGACACGGGTCGACTCTGGAAGAAACTCAGGATGCCCTTGTGTCTATCATCCGGCATTGCCCTAATCTCGAGGCATTTATTGTTACCTGGTCGTTCTCCAATTCTCTCGCCGCTGTGGTCGATGCACTATGCACGTACTGTCCTCGCAACCTACGCACTCTGCAGCTCTATATCCCCACCTCAGGCATAGCTAAGGCCATCCTCATGCTAGACTCCCTGCCCGCACTCGTCTCCGTGCATTTTCAATTTGAAGGAGTATCATCAGAAAACATCCGGCTGGGATCCACGTCGGCGGTCACATTGACCTTGAACTCCCTCGAGCAGCTACAGCTGCGCGGGCCGTTCCAGGAGTTCCTCGAGCAAGCGACAGGGTGGAAGCTACCCGCCCTACGCAGCCTCTCTCTCGATTTCCTCAGCTTCCGTGATGACCTGCCAGACATCATCGAGTTCCTGACCCACCACGGCGACGACCTCACGTATCTTGATATTAACTGCGTTCCCGCGCTTGACGTCGCTACGATCCTCGACCTCTGCCCGAACCTCACCACCTTCGCATTCAACCCCGACTGGCGCATCGCGAGCACGTACGACATCACGGGTGTCGGGGGCACGCTTGTGCACCGCCCGCACGAGCACATCACCACGATCGGGTGCCACCAGCTACTGCACGCGTTCGACGTCGGCGACGCCGCGAAGCACCTCGCGATCGACCCGCTCGCCACGCTGCTCGTGCAGCGCCGCAACGACCGCAACTTCGCAGCGCTCACGAAGCGCGACTTCCCCCGCCTGCAGCGTGTGCGTGTGCTGAACCGCACTTTGCTGAGGGACCTCGAGGCCGCCGACGGGCCGCAGGGCGACGCGTACGAGCGCTGGGAGCGCTGGTGGGACCAGTGCGCCAGGCAGGGAATACGCCTGGAGGACTGTACGGGCGCGTTACTGGGCACGCTGCCGCTGGAAGAGGAGGACGACGAAAGCGAGAGCGAGAGCGAGGACGATGAGGCGTACCTGGCGCCATTGCGGGAGGTGCTGGAGGAGTGCAGGCAGTTGCCAAGCGTGGACGAAAGTGAATACTTCTTCACTCATGCGAATGGCTCCATGCACCACAGTGAATGAGCCATTTGGGTTCCTGGACATCGTATATGCGCTTCGTAAGTGCAGTATGCAGGATAATCCTTCGTCTCACTGACTTTGTAGTTAATTCAATAGGTGTGAATAGGTGCGAGAGAACGTTTACCGTCATCACTATGCTTTTGAATAGGACTTGTTGCTTTCCTGCTATGCTGAAGCTTTGAAGACCATTGCTATCACTGCGCAATATATCACAAGCTACGGACCCTTCATATGCCTACTCGTACTCTCACGACACAGGTCGAAGTACAATGAATTGATGATTCTCGTTATTTAAAAATCGTACAAATCTGGCCGGTCCGACATAAACGCGACCTTTTTCTTCACCTTCGTCTTCTTACCGCCCGTCGCCGTTCTCTCAGACGGCACATCTGTTATGCTCAGCGCGGCGGTAGTGGCTGAGGCCTGCTCGATTTCGACGTGCACAGCAGCTCTGGCAGTTGGTGCAGCAGTCTGATCTCCATCCGCATGCCCATATACATGGCTGCGCACAGGGGCGACATCGTCGAGAGCTATGGCGTTCGCGGAGGGCGTCGTCCGCCGCTCGCCGACGCCGCCCTCGAGATCGAGATGCAGCGTCTCGAAGATGAGGCGCTTGCGCATGCACTTGAACGCGAGGTTGTTCTCGCCCGAGGCCGAGAGCCCGCGCAGCGTCGAGAAGCGGTCGCTCGGCGGGAGCAGCGTGTGCGGCGCGGGGAGTGTGTGGATGTGCACGAGCCCGTGGTGCGAGGAAAACATGGCGGTGAGGGAAGGGTCGGCTGGGACGGGCAGTGGGTGTGAGGGGCTGGAGAGAGTGGTGGCGTGCGAGACTTACCGGTGAATGCTGCGAGAGTGATGCAGGCGTCGGTGAGCCAGCCCAGCTTTTGGACCCAGCCCGGCCCACCCCATGCATCAGTGCACATGCGAGGGGGGAGTGAGATGGATGCACAGGCGCTGGGGTAGCGGCGCAATAGCCCACGAAGCGAGAAGAGGAAGTGGCAAATTTCCTGTTGTAACCGTGATATGCACTGTGTTCACGATCGACAGGGCTCAGGACTGACCTGGGGCAGGACGTCGCCCCATGCTGACGAGCCTAAGAATGGGATGCAAATCCGGATCGGACCTGGCGAGCCGGACGATGACTCTTGTGTGTGGTTCGCCAGGATCTTTTCGAGATGGACTAGGACACTTCGACATGGCGAAACGTCCGCAGCATCCGTGGTTACGGGAATCTCATCTAGTTGTCCGGCCTTGATTGCGGACTGCACGATCGTGTCCGGTATTCGGCACGTCAAATCGAACACACGGCAGTAGTCTTCAGAGGACCTTAGATCAGGATGAGTCCCTGACTGGGCGACGCAGAGGGGAAACTTACGACATACTGGTTTGAAGTTGGCACGGTCGTCTGGAACTGCTTCATCTGCTCATAGCGCCATGCGATTTTGATCTTTGTGTCGTGCTGAGCGGCCTTTTCGTCCTCCTCATCTTCAGCAGCGTTGGTGGAGGCGGACGGAGCTCCTCCGGGCACCCACATGCATTCCGCCAGTATATCCCTAGCATCGTCGTCTACAACGCATAACTTGTGACCAGACACGAGGCCTTGTGATATGAAGTACTTCTGTACTAGCTCCCCATACGCCGAGTGAGTGTCCGGTGCGAGCACGAGAAGAGAACATGACAGAGGCAGGCCGCCGCCGAGGATGTCGTCGAGGGAGGGGATACCAGTGGACGTGGTGATGGTAGAAGTGGAACCGGGAGAGATGCGAGTGCCGGAAAGAGGGGGCGGTTGTGTAGAGGACGCCCTCCTCTTGAAGGAAGACATGGTGGTCAATGCGAGATCAAAGTCAGATTGATCCGGAGCGCGTCGATCACAACTTCTGCAGCCTCCGTCATGCGCCAGGCGTAGGGCCAAGTTTACACTCCGCAAGTCCTTCTCATGTCCGGCGTGCGTTTCGCCAACGCATTGCGCGACTTTGCGCGCCGCGCGCAGGACAAGCCATGGCGCAACATGGCCAAGACTGCCACCCTCTCGACTCTCCATGTCCGTACAGTGTCTACACTTGTGCCGCACTTCTGAGCATTCACACAGGTCATCAACTTCGTGTGTGCAGCACATCTCTTTGCCGACAAAATTGGCTGGGTGGCTTTTGTGCGTCGATTCTCTCGTCATCGGATATTGGCTCACGAACCTGTGCGCATGCGCAGGTCGACGGTCCGTCCATGCTGCCTACCATGAGCGTTACGGGCGAGGTAGTCTGGGAGAACAGGATGATTACGCCCGACCGGCTTTCTCGCGGTGACCTCGTCACCTACGTCTCTCCCTTGGACCCCACTCGGCTCGTCTGCAAGCGGCTCATCGGCCTCCCGGGAGACGTCGTTTGCGTCGACCCAACGGGTACGCTAGCACCGTCTACTGAACATGTCGTGGTACCCAAGAACCACGTCTGGCTCATTGGCGACAATGCTGCTGCATCTCGCGATTCAAGGGTGTACGGACCTGTCTCGATGGCACTCATCAAGGGACGCCTAGTGGCGAGGGTGAGTAAAGAATATCCCTATATTGCAAGAGATCTCATGTGGTTTCCAGGTCTGGCCTCTGTCGCAATTCACTATATTCCGAAGCAACTTCAGCTATATCGACTAAGCGTGTGAATGTGTGCTACCCAGGTCAGCATATCTACACGCCTCACCCTGCCACATTATCCCGCGAGCTCGTTCGACGGGACATGCAGGCGTACCAGTTCTTGCAGTATGCTATACGACAAGCTGGCCCCCCTCCTCATACGGACTGGAACCGGCGGCTCCATTTGCAGATATCTGTCTATCTGACAAAGTTCATAGAATAACCGCCTTGCCCATTGGGTACAAACTGGAAGTTGTCTGTAGACAGGCCAAATCGTCCTGTGCATGTCGTGAATAATATGCACGCGCGATATACTTTTTCAGCGTACCTAGAATATTGTTCCCTAGACCCTTCAGCTTGTCAACCATCTCGGCGGTCTCCTCCTTCTGCGCTGCTTCCACCCGAGGCTTCAGAGACGCTAACGACCGCCTAATTTCTGGAAGCTGTGGGGACGACGGTGGCAGGATCTCGAGCAGCTTGTTGTAGTCTGTGTTACAGCTCGGTCTTGATAAGCTCCTGTGGCATACAACCGCGGCACGAACCTTCTTGTGCACTGCTGAGTGAGGACCATGTGTTCAGCTGCTCGTTAGAAGCAGCCCGTCTTTGTAGTGCTTTCACATATGTCGGGTCGTCAATGAGTGCTAGAGCGGCTCGTTAGTGAGGAACGTGCGGCAAGACGAACCGGCCTACCTTGAGTACATGCCGCCACTACCTCCTTGTGTTCCCCCTGCACAACATCTTCAGCAGGAACTGGGAATCACGCAGCGTACACTCACGAGTTTGACATAACATGCACCGATGTTGGCGTTCATGACCGCACGGGCTTTCGCGCACTCGAGCTCCAGTTCGCTCGGTGGCTGCTCCGCTGCTGCCTCTGGCGCAACGTCCCCTTGCGCCGGCGCGGGACCTTCCGATACGCCTTCCGCATCTTCATCAGAGTCTGGAGGGCCTTCATCCCTGCCCTTCCCCTTGTCTTGCGAAGACGGACCACCACTGCTTGCGGCTTTCCGCTTTGGTAGGCGGCCAAGCCCCGCCCTGTACGATGCTAGCGCCTCCTCCCACCGTTTCGCGCGAAAGTGCTCGTTCCCTTCTTGCTTCAGCTCATCTGCGTCTGCGAGGCATTTCTGGACAATGCGGGTAGCATCCGGCCTGCGTAAGTACACAGTCTGACAGCATTTAAGGACCGTCTCACCTTAACCCACGCCTCATCCTCGATGCCAGCATCTTCGTCTACTATTTGGGATGTATGGTATGTGCCATCTGCGGCTGAGCTGCTGGGTTCATTCAGGACGTCTGTGCTTGTCTCGGGAAGAGTGGATGTGCTCATGGTGGCGGCGACTAACGAGATGATCGGATGCGGAGCCATGGGTGAGTACCTAGATTAGATTAGATCTGGAGACACTCGCGATCGTAAGTACTATGGCTTCAGTCGAGGTCGCATCGTGCCCTCCTCAACCCGTACAGTTGTAGACATTGATGTGAGATAGGGAAGAACAATACAGGACAACAGGATGAAGGACGAAGGTATACAGCACTCAATTGCCAACAGATTTACTTGAATTCGACACTCAGCCTCGCCGCAGAGCATCCAGCCGGGCTTGGAGAGCATCTTCGTCTGACATACCGCCTCCTGGACTACTACCACTATCTCCCCCACTCGGGTGCGGTGGCCCAGATGCATCACCCAGGGCAACCGCCTGCCGTGGCTCTGTGAGTGACGAGCTGACTGCGAGACCTGTCGGCGCATCTGAGAGCTGAACGCGACATCAGAGCATGTACACCATCATCAGAGAAAGCCGCTCACCTGCTGGGACAGATCAACGCCGATCTCGTCGAGGACCTGTTTGAGGATGTTGTCGCCCTCCATCTCCTCGTCCTCCAAATCATCGTCCATGACATCGTCGACCGCGTCAGACATCATCTCCTCCTTCATGTCCATGGTCGCGCTTTCTCTCTCGAACTCGTGCATGATACGCTGTATCTGCGGCAGGTTGAGGCCGCGGTTCATGGCCCCCATAGCCTGGCACACCACGACATGATCGCAGTCAGTCGCATACTCATCATTGTCAGGATGGGTGAGCACTCACCCGCGTTGCGCCTCGCATAGCCTCAGCCATCTGTTGATTACTCCGTAGGGTCTGTATCCGCAGGCCGACGGCCTGAAGCTGTGTCCGCATCTGATAGAATTTCTGGACGTAGCGGCGTGTGCGGACGAGGTCTTTCGCCATGACCTTGCACGCGTTCTAGCGTTCATGAGAGCACCATGAGTACTTAGAAGACACTGTAGGCGGGATAATACGCACCAGTTGACCGGCCTTTGCACTCTTCTTTATGTCCATGATGAGTTTCTTCTCCTGCTGCTCGAGCTTTGTGCGCTCGCGGTCGAGCTCGCGCTGCGCCTTCGCGAGGGCGCGCTGGTGCTGCCGAAGCCGCTCCGCAGGAGTGACTGTACGGCCGAAAAGCGTTTCCTATAGCCATCAGTAGTCATACTTTAGACAGGAGCGGTGATGGAGGGAACTAACGATGATGTTCATGGCTAGCGGCAAAGGTAGGAGGTAGCGGATGAACCACGCGTGTGGGAGGGCCATGCTAATGGAGATAACGTAAGGTTATATGTTGCTGTCATCTGAATCGGGTTTGATTAATTGATTGCTGCTGCTGCTTTGCGCCACTAGTAACTACTCCCACTCGGAGTCCGAGCAGTATAAAATGACGTCGCACGCCTGCATAATCCTTCATTCTTCTCTTCCTCATCCCAACCACCCCCCGCACATACCATGCCTAACATCACCGACTCTAAGTGTGTTCTGGTTATCGGCGCGACCTCTGGAATTGGACGCGCTCTTGCACTCGCCATTCATGACCTGCCTTCCAAGCCTACTGTGATCGCCGCGGGCAGACGGCAGGAGAGGCTCGACGAGCTCGCTAAATCGAGCGACCGCCTCAAGCCCCTCAAGTTCGACGTGAACGGCGACCGCGATGCGCTCAAGCGTTCAGTCGACGACGCCATTGCCAAGTTCCCCAACGTGAGTAGTGCAGACATATACTAACAATGGCCCCGCGTTAACGAGAGATATGCGTCCACCTCAGCTTGATGCTGTGCTATTTGTCTCTGGCATCCAGCACATCTTCGACTTTAAGAAGCCAGATGAAGTCGACCTTGACAGTGCGTACTTTCGCCAGTGTCGAGTTCCAAGGCTCTTTCTGATGCAGCATATAGAGCTCGAGACTGAACTGAACACCAACTACACTTCGATCGTGCGAATGACCAGGTTCTTCATTCCTCACTTCTTGAAGCTTGGTGTATGTATGCGCCATACGGAACCCTTTAGTTCGAGCTAACGCGCGTTCTGGACAGGCCGAGGGACGCCCCTCCTTCCTCGTCACAGTCACCTCCGGTCTGGCCATTATTCCTGGACCATGGGTCCCGAACTACTGCGCTACAAAGGCCGCCCTTCACAGCTTCTCCCTTTCGTTGAGCCTCCAGCTCAAGGATACTAACATCAAAGTTATGGAGGTCTTCCCTCCGTGAGTACAGCAGCCTGTTTCAGCGTCTCGAAATCTAACGATTGTAAATACTGCAGTCTGGTTGAGTCGGAGCTTCATGACCGTGAGTGACATTGCGTACATTCTATCAGTGCTCGTTCTGATTTCAACGTAACGGCAGACCAAGGCACAACCCCCAAGCTCGCCAAGTTCTGGTTGCCTCTCGACGAGTTCACGAAGCAAGCCATGGAGGGCCTCAAGCGTGGAGATGTCGAGATCCCCGTCGGCTCGGCCCTTGGTCAGTGGAACAAGTTTGAGAAGGGCAAACTCGAGGCTTCGGCTCAGGCGCTTGCATTGTTGAGCGCGAGTGCCCAGTAACTGTATTGGGCTCACGACGGTGTCCATTAAAAAGCAGTAATGTACAGTAAAATTCTGACGCAACATTAGACATGACGCATGAATTACATGATGAGGTATCATAAATGCGGGACGGCCAACAAGCATGTGCATGTGCGGCATGCGACCTATTCCGCCTGGCGCGATGATGCTTCCGCCAATTGCGGAGGAAGTGAGATGAGAGAAACTTCCCTCGTCGCTGTCTGAGATGGATCTAGTGCAGGTGTTGTCTTGGCTCTTTTGCCGGATGAACCTGAGGGGGCCTCTGCACAACCAGTTGTTGCTTGGGGCGCTGAGGTCTCCCCGGAAGTAGTCTCCCGTTTCCGCTTCGAACCCTGCTGAGGGGCGACGATCGTTTCATCGACTGCAGCTGCCTGTGCGGCGACCAGGTCTTCATAGAAGTTGACATTGAACAGGAGGCATTTCAAGAGGACACAGGGCAAGAGGAGAACACCGGCATCGTATTTGGTGCGTATGGATGTAACGGACCTTTTTCTCCAGGATTGCGTGCGCCTTGAACACTCGGCCTTAACCTTAGTATCATACGGGAGAGAAGTCAGGCACAGCACGTTGAGTTACTGTTTGGCACACCTTTTCGGGGAGGGTATTACATTCCTCCAGGGAAAGCGCGTCGACCTGTATAGCCTCGTACTGTCCACAGTATGTAAATAGTCCTCCGTAACCGACGAATAACTCGCAAATCTTTGGGGTAATGAAGTCATTCTTATCGAACCCAAGGCGGGCAAACATGAACCCGTGCTTGGTCGGGCTTGTAGGTGCCCAGACATCGAACTCTATCTGAGGACAGATGCACTCGTTCAGAGAGGACTTGCTTTCCAGCGGCGTCGGGTCAGTGATTCTGTGTGAAAGACATATTTATGAGCCACCCTACTTCAGCAGAAAAACGGTGCGGTACGTGATTGATAATCCTTCCCAATGGCCGCCCAAGACCTGCGCAAGAGTCCTTTGGGCGAAGCGATGATATATTTCTCCCGGGGGTGGCACAGCATTTACAACAGGCAGTGTATTCATGAGTTCTTCGCGACGAGGGGAAAGAGGAGTTGCATGCCGAGACAAGTCTAAGACCTTGGTGATCCAGCTCGGCCCAGGGTCAGCGCTTCTGCGGCTAGATGTTGTGACAGACTGTGTTCTCTGTGCTTGAGATACAGACTCTGACCTGTAATACATCGTGAGCTCGAGTTCAATGCATATCATCACGCTCACGAACTCATCTACGGCCTTGGTACTCAGTGTAGTACTCGATGCCTGGCCGCGGTTGATTTTCCAGCACATGTTTGTCAACAACAGATGTTCAACTTACATCCCGAGGTTTCTTAGGTGAGCTGACAAAACATTGCAATAGCTCTGCGGCTTGACGGAACCGCTGTACCTAAGGGAAGATGGATACCAACTCGGTTCACTACAGAAATTTCAGACCAACCTCTATGTCCTGCTCAGTGAACTTCCTGAGCAGCTCTTGGTTCTCGCGAGAGGTGTCTAGGAACTGTCCTGCGTATGAAATACGAGTTTTAAATACAATAAGCACGAGCATACCTGTGTCCTGACCTCGTCCAGCTGGCGCAAAGTTGACTCTTGGGCATCTCTCGCTTGTTCCAGTTGGACAACCTTTGCTTGCTGAGCTTCGTTGTGCTCTGAGGCTATTCTGTCCAGTTTCGACTGAAGTTCGCTGCAAAGAAGTTGCGATGCCGCGAGATTGGACTCTACACCTTGCAGCTGTTTTATTGACACGAGCGTTGGTAGTCGTTTCGGAAATCGTGACAATATTCACCATTGTATTCTTTATCTCAACCTGACGCTGCAATTCCGTCGTGCTCTCATGCGATCTGATCTTTGCCCGATCGTTAACCTCGTCGCACTGGGCAGAGATTGTCTCACGTAGGCTGTTAGCCTGTAGGCGTACATCTCACAGCCATCACGCAGACATCGAGTAGTTACTTACCTCTTCAATAAGCGCAATGGTCTCGCTTGTGCTCTCGGTGTAAATGTGCTCGAGTTCTCTCTTCAGTCTTGCGTTGTCCTCTAAGAGGCGCTCGTGATGTCTCATGAGTATTTGTTTCTCTGATTCCTTCCTTGAAAGCTGTCGATATATAATGAAGATATGACTAGGACCATGGATGACAGGGACGCACCTGACTGGTGACACTTATCACTTGGCCGTTCAAGAAGTCAATCCTCGATTCCATGACTTGTAACTTCTCTACAACGTCCGCTTGCATCAGCGCCACAGCCTCGGTCGCGCTTTCTGACATAGAGTTCTTGATGTCCTGACATTCTGATTCCAACTTTGCACTGAATTCTTTCAGGCTATTTCGCTTCCATACGGCACATATCATTAACATAGATACGAAATACTCGGCAAGACACTTGCCTCCTCTTGTATTTGGGCAAGAGCCTTCCGTAACTTCAGATTCTCCTCCGTGACCTTGAGGTAAAGTCGAGCCTGTTGCACCTTCGCTTCCCCGTCGATTACGATGTCCATGTCTAGTGGCAACAAGAGGCGCCCAAGACCGCCACTCTCATGGAGTGCTACCGGCGACCGGGGTCCTGGAATTTGATTTCCGTAAATTTCTCCCTGCAAGCGCAAATCCTTGAATTGAGTTCCTCTACCTTACATGCTTTCAGTTTCTGTGCACCTGAGATGTCGATTCGATAGACGAGGCTATGTGGGTGAGGAATAGGAAGTGCAGCTCTTCGATGCTTGTCCCGTCTTGGGCTCCGAGTCATCCCGCGATCTAATCTAATCTGTCGCTGCACTGTACCAGCCACTGTGACTGCGACTCAACATGGATTGTGCATTATAGAATGCAAATGGATGGATTGGCTGTATGACATAACGCCGGTGAGTTGATTATAATATTATTCTACAAGTCTTTCCTCGCAGCGAGGGCATCCTCAAGTCAGCAGTGATGATATCGAGGTCCAGCATATAAAGCAATAAAGCGGTGATGCGAGTGATCAACTTCAATAGGAGGACCCGCTCGCAAATTGGCGAGGTGGTATACAATACTCAGATCGTAGGCAGTATACTGCGTGTGGAGCGACCATTACACAACAAACATATTCTACAGTGTCAGATTAATGTGATTAGTATATGGTGGTCGAGAAAAGATGCGAAGGTACTGTTGAAAGGAGCAGATGGAGAAAACTTGAGTCATAGACTTACGAGTATTCGGTCTGGAACCTATTCCGACTCAATGCCAGAAGATGATGATAATGATGAAAGGTCATCACTGTCATTATCAACGAGCCCGGCTGTTGGTATCTGCTGTGTCGAGGATATACGGCTCGATTTTCTCCGTGTACTTGGTGCTGGTACAATGATCTTGGGCTTTTTGATCTGGGATGAACCTCTTACTGCATCGGCGATGGGGGCATCCTTCCTCTTCTTTGGCACAGCAGATGCTTTCATGGTCAGAGATGTGAAACCTCGAGCTGTAGCTATAAGGTCATCAAAGAAATCTAGATCAAACTCGATGCATTTGAGAAGGATGCAGGGAGCGAGCAATTGTCCATCCTGGTACTTGTTGTAGATCTCGGCTACGTTTCCGTGATTTTGATGTTTTTCCTTGATGGAGGTTGTCTTCGAGTATTCATGCCTGACCTGATAGTGCAAGGGAACAGTGAAATATGAGAGAGAGTAACAGGTGGCGGTGAGTGAATGAATGCACTTTGTCTGGCAGTGTATTCCACTCATCGACCGACAAGGGTTCTACCCGGGAAACCTCGTACTTCCCACTATACTTGAAGCGACCGCCGTTACCAACGAATATGTGCCGGATTTCCGGCGTATTGAATCTCGCCTTGTCTTGTCCCAACCCAACTTGCATATACCCATGTTTACCAGGGCTTGTGGGTGACCATGGGTTGTGATCCATTTTTGGGCAAAGATATTCGTCGACCTGCCATCTAATCGCAAGAGGTTTTGCGCTTCCAGTTATTCTGGAACCAATAATCAGAACCTCAATTCCAGATGCTCACGGGGAGACCAAGCTCTCACCGAACGACCAGACCCTGCATACTACCGCCCAAAATCTGCGACAACATAGTCTTCGTGAAGTAGATTTGCTCAGTGCCTGCAGGCAAGGCAACAGGAATCCCCGGTAAACCGTCAAGGATATCTTGGCGACGCTTCGGCAGTGGAGACGCATGTTCAGCCAAGTCAAAAGGCTCTTCCACGGTTTTGTCGGCTGTAGATGTCCTATGGCGTGCAGGATGCCTGTCTCCAGCAACATCAATCGGTGACATGTTCACGTAAGAGGGAATTATAGACATACGCCGAAATGCTTTCCGGCCGTGCATTCGTAGGTGCTGCCACCGCAAGCTCAGATGGATCGACGCCAACGCACACGGAGCGATATGTTGCCTGTGCTGAGAGTTGGCCTTCGACATCCCTGAGATGAATTCCATTTAAATTCATGTGTCTCAGCCGCTCTATCTACGCATTTCCAGCCGACCAGAGATAGCATCCAGGTTACATGCTTACCTCGAGTCGTTGTTGATTCAATCTTTCCATAAGTTGCTGATGTCCAAGCTATGCATGATGTATGACGAGCGTTCGAGACAATATGAAATGTAGTAAGACGCACTGGTGGTACCTCGTCCTGTGATTGACCTGAGATCGCGAGCTCTGCAGATGTGGGTTCCTTGCATGGATTGACGTCTGATATCGCACTCCGAATGCGTTGTAATTCAGCTTGACTCTCTTGAAGCTTCCACAGCTGTCAGCTTATAACACGGTACAAGCATGGAGCACGCTCACCATAATATCCTTTGATTTCAGTCGAGCCTGAAGAGAGTTTACTAGCCTATTCAGAATGTCGAGCTGTTCTCGAGCAGATTGCTCCTGCTCCTGCAAAGCCCTCTGTAGGTCATTACGCTGTCCATGAAAAGAGCATCAGTGTCATCATTGAAATTTGGGAATTTCTGAACAACTCTTACTTCCTCAGCAGATGCAATGACCTCATGAGAGCATTTTTCTTGCAATTCTGCAACCTCCCGTCTCAATCTGACGTTGTCCTCAAGCACAACAGTGAGCTGTGTCTGAGCCTTGTCATTCTCGACCTCCTTTTTCGCAAACTACAGGCCAAGTGCAGCGACGGCGACGCAGCAGGCGTAGTAAGGTGTTCACTCACGTCTTGTTTTAGGGCGTTCAAGTCGTTTTGAAGGCCTTGGATCCCCAAATTGGGCGCTGAATCCGAGGCAACTGCACCCGCCTTTGAACTCCTGCATTCGCTTTCTAGTTCTGTTATACGTTTCGTCAAACGGTCGAGCTGTATGTCGGTGGCTGGTTTACACTAGCGAGCTATCGTGGACCAAATGTTGCTACGTGCCTGTTCCCGTGATTGCTCTCGCTCTTTGCGTAGAGCGCAGCTCTCCCTCGTGAGTGTGAGAAACAGCGTTGCTTGTTGAAGTCTGATTTCCTCATCAAAGAATGCATTGTCAGTTGGCATACTCCTGGTACAAAGTCGATGTGACCGAGGCGCGATGGATTATGGAAGGTACGTTGCGAAGGGCCGCCACCGACGCGTCGGGTTACCAAAGAGACGTGACCATTCTGCGTCCTACTTAGGAACTTAGAGACGCCCAATCATAAGCCTGCAATCTGGCGCTAAATCCACAACAGCTCCGTTACCCAACAATGACATAACTAAGCTAATATGCAATGACTAATGGTAAGAGCAGTAACAATCTAAGGTGTCGACACCGACAGCGTTTTCTGCATCTGCATCTAATCAGAGCATGAAGGTCAAGGGGTTCTCCAGGTAGCCCTTGAATGCCGTCAGCCATCGAGCACTGACCGCACCGTCAACGGTTCGGTGATCTGCGCTGAGCGTAACCTTCATGATCTGCGCCACCTTGAAGCCACGGTCCTCTTCTGGTGCAGGTACCAGTATTGGCTGTGTCGCGCCGATAGCAAGGATACACGACTGGGGCGGGTTGATAATGGCCGTGAAGTGTGAGATGCCGTACATGCCCAAGTTTGACACCGTAAATGTCCCACCCTGGCATTGACAAGGTCAGATACTTCCTCAGTCAATGGGGAATGATTCGAAATTACCTGATATTCCTGGGGCTGCAGCTTGCCATCTCTCGCCTTCTTGGCAAGTGCTTTGCTTTCCGCAGAGATTGTGGCGAGACCCTTCGCACCCACGTCTTTGACGATGGGTGTAATGAGACCCGTGGGAGTAGCGACGGCGAGAGAGATATCCGCCTTCTTGTACCTAGAATATCATAGGATGAATCAGCACCGGTCACACACTAAGCAAAATAACACGGTGACGTACTGCCTGATTACCTCTCCCAGCCACGCAGAGTTGGCCTCCGGAACGTCCGCCAGGGCAAGAGCAACAGCCTTCATAATGAAGTCGTTCACACTCAGCTTCGCGGACTTGTCCTTCTCGCCCAAAGTCTTATTGAAGACCTCCCGCAGTTTCACCACCTTGTCCATGTTGATGTCCACTGTGGTGTAATAATGTGGGATCTCCTGCTTGGATTGCGTGAGACGGGTGCCGATGGTGCGACGCATGTTCGTCACAGGAGTGTCAACATAGTCCGGGAGAGATGATGTTGGCTGCGGGAACGATGCAGTAGAAGCGGCGCTGGCGGAAGGCTGGTACTTTTCCACGTCCTCGCGGAGAATTCGGCCTTCCGGACCCGAGCCCTTGACTTTCGCAAGAGGAATACCGCGTTCGAGCGCGATCTTCTTCGCGATGGGAGACGCGAAAATGCGGTCGCCCTTCGGGATCTCGGGCTTGGTCTCCGTCTTCGATGAGGGCTCGGACGGCTTGGGTGCAGACTCAGCTTTGGGAGGTTCAGGCGCTTTTTCCTCCTTGGGTGGAGGTGGTGCCTGTGCAGAGGAAGCCTCAGACGCTATTTGGTCCGCACCGGAGAGGTCGTCGCCCTCCTCTGCTACGACGCCAATGATTGCTCCTATGGGAACGCCCTTGGCACCATCTTGAGCCTATCGCAGACGGGGGTTTAATATACAAGCGAAGACATAAAATGTGCATAGGCGTACGATAATCTTTGCAAGAATACCATCATCCTGGGCCTCTACGTCAATCGTCGCCTTATCCGTTTCCTGTGACGCGCGAGCAACGCCCGTGAGTGCATACATATGTAGTAATGAACAGAACATACGATCTCCAGGATGACATCACCCGCAGCGAAAGACTCTCCCTCCTTCTTCTTCCAAGACGCAATGCCACCCTCTGTCATTGTCGGGCTCATTGCGGGCATGGTGAATTTTGAGAGCGCATTTCTCCGCGCTGAGACGTGCAGACCTGGTCATGACGTCTGCGTTAGTAGGGCGACGCGACATGAGTACCGTTCGTGGACGCACGTCTTGTGAGAATGCTGCGGGCGAGAGCAGAGGCCATGGTGGACAGTGACCGGGATGGAGGCGAGACGGGGCGAGACGAAGGACGGAGGATGAAGATGAATGACACGACCAGGCAAACAGGCACAAATCCGCTGGCGACGGGCCGCCGGATTCGGCAGCTCTCGGGTGCTTACACCTCCCCACTTCCCCAGCTTTTCTCATTTTATCCCTCGCTATTCGACCCACTTGATGTCGTCCGACTTGGTTTTGCCTGGCCAGCCAATTCCGCTACCACGGGGCCCCGTTCCTCAACTTGCGGGCGGCATCTACTCCAGAGATGGTCATGTAAGAGCAAGCCTTGTCGGTGTGCCGCGCTATGAAGGATCTGTCGGTCTCCTCTCTGTTTCACCCATGGTACTCTAAATAACTTCGTCGTGGCTTTTCCGTCGTCTGTCCTTCGTTGTCGCCGCGAGTATAGGCGCTGGCAATACCGCGTACGCGACCGCATCCGCCATCGCCTGATTCCACCGTGCTCGGCTTTGTGTCGCGGCTGTCTCCTCAGCAAGCAGTATTGTCCATCACGGTTGTTGATGGGGTCCCCCTTCCACCGGGCGAAGAGTTCACTGGCGTGATCCGAGTCCAGGATGTCAGAGCGACCGAGAAAGACAAGGTTAAGATCGCTGACTGCTTCAGAGGCGGAGATGTCGTAAAGGGCTTGGTGGTAAGCAGCACGCCCTCAAAATTTGGGTCGACTATCTGCATCCCTAGATAGATATCCTTGGGCGATGCTCGAAGCTACTATGTGACCACCGCACGGAACGACCTTGGAGTCATATTCGCTACAAGCGAGGCAGGTGAGTATCTACTTGCAGTTTCTGGCGCTCGGGACGCCGATAATAGATGTAGGGGTGACAATGGAACCTGTTTCGTGGCAAGAGATGCGATGTCCAAGAACAGGCAGAATCGAAAAACGCAAGTGTGCAAAACCAGAAGGACTGTAGCATCTACATTGCAGCCTTCATCAGTCCTTTGTTTTATGTATCGATCTGCATGCCGTTTGTATTTCTAGAATGGCTCTAGAGCCATGACAGTGGACGGCCTCGCCTACCAATGGACCGCTCTACGTCCGCATCCCATGCATCTGCTTGTTTACTGCTTTCCTCGTGATGCCTGCGTCCTCACCAGCTTTGAACACAGAATGATCGTCATCAATCTCACCTATCTAACTGTTAACGGCTAAGTAAGTAAGGAATTGTTTATCATGTCTGGGACGAAGAAATATGTCACAACAACCCCGAGGAAGCCGCAGATTGCGGCGATGATGAACGTTCATCTACGAGCAGCGTATGTAGAACCATATACTTTCTGCATGAATGTTCCTGGATATCTGCGTGCCAGCTGCAGCCCCATCTTGCCGATGAGAGCAGACATTCGTGAAGTGTTCCTTTGATGGACGAGTCATTAAAGACAGGCTGAGTATGATAGCTACCAAATGCACATGCTCGCCAGTTGAGCGGACGTTGAGCAGACGAGCACTCCCTAAGGCCGGCCACAAAGTTGGATCATTGTGCTTGCAACTCGGCAGTAGGAATAGCGGCACGAAGGCATGATACAGATATTTTTGAGGCTTTCATCGCTCGAGCAGAAACTGCAATTTCAGAGGGCTACTATAAATACATGCCGATCGTCCCGATCACAAAGCCAGGCCCCTGCGTCTGAATATGGTAATGCCCATTATGCTCCAAAGCAGGAAATATGGAACCAGATGGAAGCCTGTTGGTAAAGGGAGACAGTGCGCCTGGAAAGGGAACAGCGCGTGGCGTCTGGACGACAACTGAACTCTCCGGCTGACCCATCTCACGGCATTCGACTCCCTCTCGTCTCTGGTTCTGGCTCTGGTTTCCGCCCCGGTTCTCGCTCTGTGTTGTAGTCTCTGCCATGACTGCTGTCCTCCAAGCCACAGATGTGCTAAGGAAAGACAAAAGCATGGCTGCGTTCGATGACAATGCAATCAAGTGAAGCAGTCGTGCTTGGCATGTATGCACGTTGCTGATATCCCCCCCAGCTTTACTCCTTCGACTGACTGGAAGGTGAAGTATTTTGAGGTCGCCGATATGCTGGCAGAAACTCGCGCCGAACTCGATGACTTCCACCATTCCAGTAAAGAGTTGGAGGAGGAACTTGAGAGAGAATTGGAGCGGACCGAGAAAGCGCAGCAGGACCTGAAGGTGAAGGTAGCCAGAGCCGAGCAGGAGAGGGATGAGTGGAAGGTGTGTGTCGCCCTTGCATGTATGTGGCCTTGCTGCTAAGGGTCAACATTGTAGGCCAAATTCATGTCGCTACAAACGACGCACAATACCACAACCACTTCACTGCAACGCGAATTGGACACGTTGCGCGGGGATTATCAGAGGATCAAGATTCAACTCCGGGAGTTGGAGATGGGCAATGACGATTTGGAGAGGAACGAGCGGGCGATCGCATCCAGTCTCGCAGATATTGAAGGGAAGTATGCGCGGGTGCTGGAAGAGAAGATCTTGCTCGAGCACGAGCTTCTAGATAAAGCAAATGTTGAGGAGGAGAGTCAACGCTTGAAGGATGAACTAAGGGGTATGTTCATCGGCAGTATATGCGCTCAGTGTTTACGGCTTACGCTCGCAAAGATGCCAACGAGGAGATCAATATCCTGAAGGACCAGCTGGGTGCTGCTCATGCTCGTCCTACAACTGCTACAGAGTCAGGCTCTTCTGCACCATCGTCTATAGTATCCCCCAGCACACCATCTGTGTCCGAAGACAATCTCCTCAACATTCCTATTCCGCCAGATCTCTCCTTGACTGATTTATCTGCCGGGAAAGAGAGCCCAACGAAAGAGTCGCCCTTGTTCACCACTCCTCGCACCGCAAAGTCGCCAGGCGTCCCTGCATACTCGCAGAGTCCTTCAATGCAGCGACTCGCCCAACACCTTCCTCGCACTATGTTGTCGACCCCACCTGGGGGAATCTCAGGTTTCTCCCGCTCAAGTACCGTCCCATCGCTCTCGTCTACACCATCTCGCGCGCCAAGTCGGACACCTGCGCCTCGTCCTGCCGTCAGTCGTAATACATCAAGCACCAATTCATCGAATACGACGGGCAGTGTTCCGATGACGGCGACGAGGAGCAAAGGCGTCCAGATGGTCTCCGAGATGCGGGCTCGTGTGAAAATTCTGGAGCAGAAGATACACACGCGCGTTCCGAGACTGAGAATGGGGAGTGTCACCAGCCGGGCGGGCGCGAACTCAATGCCACCGCCACCGCCGCCGCCACCGAAGGCTGGACCCTCGTCGGCCACTGTATCTCCTGCTCCGTCCACTTCTTCTTTGAGATCCACCAGTCATGCTAGTCATGCCAGTTATGATGAAAGAGCTGCGCATGCCCGATCGAGACGGCAGAGTATCGACCTGGACTCTGAGCCAATGCGAGCGCAGGTTGGGGACGCGTCAGGGTGGGTGCTGATCATGGAAGACTCGCCCTCGCCACGCAAAGATAAGGACAAGGAAAGAAGACGAACGTCAAGTCCTACTGCACCGTCATCATTCAAACTGCCTGCGACTCCTCCACACGAATCATCCCCGTCGGGCATTCCCAGGGCTCCGAGCGCAATGTCACAGAGCGGAATGCAATCGGGAATCCGTCGGCCCACGTCGCGCCTGTCGGTATCTACAGAAGGACGGAGCAGTGTCAGCACGAACGCGACGTCAAGCACCATCAGCTCAATCCCAACTCCGTCCTCCCGCCCGTCCACTCCAACTTTCCTCCCCATTCCAACGTACGGTGGCGCCAATAATGGCTTGAAGGTGTCCACCGGATCGGGGTCTGGGGCGTACTCACAGCTCAAGCGGTCATCCCTAGGGTCTAACCCGCCGCGGTCGCCGTCAATGTCAAGCCCTGGCATGCACATTCCACACGTGAACGTCAGTGTGCGGCCCACGTCAAAGTACTCAGTGCCGGGGTCGATGTCACAGAGTCGGATAGGCAAGCCGTTACCGACCGGGGGACGGAGGAGCACCGGGGATGCTGATGACATCGGAGGCAAGAAGAGAGATCTATCGCGCGCGCGATCCGGAAGCAACACAGCGTTTTTACGGTAGGAATGGACTCTGATGATCATACCGTTTCCTCTATCAGTTGTGAATGTTTTGCGTTTCCCGGTTTGTGTCAGTGCTCTCTTATGTTGCACGGACGAAGCCGTGTCTGATCATCCCCATTCGTTACCCCAGTCAGCTTGTTCTGCCGCCTTCTTCCCGCGACCTCGCTATCATCCCCAAGTATAATGACTGACGAATCGTCCCTCCCGAGGTTACGACACGGCCGTGCCCGTCGTCCTGCGTTCGTGGCTGTACACTCATGCTCTTTTTATAACCATGACACTATGATGATATCCGCCCCTAACGAGAAAACCCACATCACGCTCATTCTTGCCGTTGTGTTACCAGCTTCTTTATTTTATTTTCCACCGTCCGTTTCCTGTAGCTTCCATTCATCGGCTATATCATCTATCGACGGCTACTTACTACAACCTAATATTGTCACGTACGTAAGCGCGACAACACGGTTTGCACATTAACTCACACTCGCGAGTGTGCGACGGCCGCGCGTCGAGCGCATGCCCTTTCGGTGACGGATTAAGCAGGGAAAGCCAATGATAATTTGAACCCCCTCTAATCGACGTGTACAAAGACAAGTTCCGGGTATATACATTTCAAAATGTCTGACGGCGCCTCGTGTATCCCAAGGTAAAGAAAATATGACGTCATACGCTGATGCTCGAGACGAGTGTCACTTCGCGAGGAGGAAGCTGATCTGCCTTGTCTTGGCTTCCCTCAGATGAATCGTCGCATGGCCGTGCACTCGCGTCTGCATTTCCTGCGGATCTGAGATCGCGGAGGAAGTCTTGAACGCGCTTGATCGCCTCGACATGTTCAGCAGGCAAAGTCACCGGAGACGACTTGGTGTCCACACCGAACGGCCCGAAAAGACCGTCCGCGAGGTCGCTCACCGTCTTGACGGTGATCTCAGAGAGGTGCTTATAGAGTGTCTGCTCTCCGCGCTCAGCGCGAAGGCTCAAGAAGTCCTCCAGCGCGGAGCACATGTCCTCGACGTCGTCCTCGTGGCATTGAACGGACAGCTGCTCGATGGGCGAGTCCGCGAGCGTCGTGAGCGTGTCGACGACGTTCTCGACGGGGAAGAGCGGCGTGAGGTGCACCTTGCGCAGGCGATGGAGGGGCGGGGTGTCCGCGTGGCGCGCGTACTGGAACGTCTGCGGCGTGAGCGCGGTGTTGAGGGCGAACTCGTCGACGGTGTGCCCAACGGCGCCCATGATGCGCTCCGTGCAGACGCGGTTGAAGTCGAGCGACTCGTGGTAGCACGAACCGAGGTCGAGCACCTCGAGCGCGCAGTGCACGGGCGTGCACGACCACTGCGGGTCGCCGAGGTGCGTGTCGCGGATGCGCAGCTTCGTGAGCGTGGGCAGGCGCAGGAGCGAGGGCAGACGCAGCTCGGCGCCGAGGAGCGGGTGGTCGGGGATGTCCTCGTCGCCGGCGACGATGGGGATGAACGGGTATAGGCCGACGAGCTCGGGGGCGTGGAGCGCGGAGCGGGTGACGCGGTCGAGGGAGAGCCGCGTGAGGTTGGGCACAGACGCTGCAATGGAGACGACCAGGCGCTCGCTCCTGTGTGCATAGCTATCAGACGAGACGCGCGTTTAGAAGGCAGGACGAGCACTAACAATGGGGATGTATCCTCATCGCCACAATGATTGATGGTAAGGCTGGTCAGAGAGCGAAGCTTGGCGAAACACGGGATGACAGACTTGGACAGGGAGCTGGCGAGGCCGAGGGTCAAGTCCTCCAATTGGGGACACTGACCGAGGAGCTGTGACACTGCATCTGTCACTCCGGGGGGTGGTGCTTGAGTAGTGGAGCTTTTGGTACAGATGTTGAGGCGCCTGATGCACTGATTGTACGACTGGGGCACACTGGACAAATATGTCTGGAGGTCCTCGCTGCTGGGTATTTTCACTTGCTGCAGGCACGATCGGTGTCAGGCTGTGAGAGACTTGCGGGCTAGAAGAGCACTCACTCTGAAGATAGACGGGACACATAGGGTGTAAGACTCGCGATTGACCATTGCGAGAGACTGGATGGAGTCGAAATCAAGGAGATCGACTATGGACAATTTCATTTCGGCGGGGAGGCCATCCCAAGCACGGAGCGCGGTGGTCATGGTTGTGAGAAGGGGGAGTGGAGGTTGTGAGATGCTGTGTGTGGTCGGAGGAGAGTGGGGGTCATGATCTTCGAAAGCGAGGTTTAAGAAGGATTGAGGATCCGACGAGCTCGGTGGAAGAGAAGAGCGCTGTGGGCGCTAACAATGATGTTGTGCCCGAGCGAGGGTCCGTGATGGCGGAGGCGAGGTCAGCAGGCGCCGGCGTCGGACACGAATGGGTCCATATGCAGCCCGAGAAATCTCAGCGGCTCCTCCAGGATTTGTGTCACTACGCCACCATCAGCTTTATGCCCTCTCCTCCGACGTCCTCGTTGTCCATCCACAGCGATCTAGCATCCCCGACTGCCCCGGTCTAGGCCAGCCAGCTCCCCTCAGAAATCCAGGCTGCGCCGCTGCATCAGGGCTATGCTCACAAGCACCGCTGTTGCAGGATCTACCTACGAACCCAGACATATCCAGCTCTTCTCCATATGTTCTTGCGCCGGCTAGTACGGGATAAGACGGGTGTTCCAGCGTCATGCTCTGTTTGACCATCAAGCCCCCCTGGAGCTGCATCAGACCTAACAGGTAGGTCCTCTACTATGCGACGCGGGATGCTAGCGATGCCAATCACGCGAGTGATCCTGGTTCGCCGGAAAATACCAAGAGGTGCGTTGGTGCGAGTGCACTACCTTCAACGAGCAACTTTGCTGACATTGATCCACTGACCATGACAGCTGTGGCAACATACCCGAGGTGTAGCATATGTCGGAACGCGACAAATGCGCCCATAATACTCCGCTCGCATGGAGCGCTGGCCGGGCCATGGGCGCATTTACATTGTCCCACTTTAGATGATACATGACTGGTGACCATGACAATGTGCCCTGCTCCCCGGCTCACTCCCGCGACGCACTAACCTCCGGGAACCCGGACGCTTTCCGACATGACGTTCGTCAGTTTGCGCCGTCGGCCGTCGGGCTTGCGACATTTCATGCCCACCAAGCCCGTGTGGAATTGTGGAAGACTTTGCGCCTGTCATCACTGCGCACGCCAGGCCTCGAGAAAGCCGGACATCGGTGCGGAGATGAATGTATTTTGTGCATTGCAGGCGCGATGCTCCCGAACTCTAAAGATGATTCCAATGGTGAAATTTCGCGCCGCTGATCAGACGATCTGCTTCTCCTGGTCACTCCTCAGCTGTATAAGCTCTATCAGCTAGCGGAGGGCCGTTCGCAAAGGCAGCTCTCGCACGGCCTGCACTGCACTGGTCCTCGATCGGGCAATCATCAAGATCCGTTGGACACATCTTCTGAACAGCCATGAGGTCGTGAGCGAGAAGCTGCTGTGGATGGGAGGAAGAAGCCCGTCAATGATTGATGGGCACATCTCGGTGGCCTCGCAGCTCTATTCCGGTGCCCTCGAGGCGCCCTAGCCAGCGTCGCAACTTTTCGACCATGTTCACCGTCTGATATCATTTATTCCGGCATTATCTTCTGTAGGTTCCTTCAAGCCTTGACACGCACGTTCGCTAGTCTACGTCTATCATGCGTTGCCAGCCTCACAGCCTATAGTTGCATTGTTTCGGGCCATCTGCGTCTTTGGTTGGATTGTCCGCTCTAACCCCTCACGATTGGCGTATTTCATTCTAGGTGAGGTGCTGTATGACGTCTCACCCCGTCCCGCGCTCGGCCTCACCGGGCGGTCGCGCGAGCCCCTATGGCTTCGAACGCCGACTGACACTGTCTTCGGGCAGCGCCTTAGAGATGCGAAGGTCCCATCAGTATCAGGAAGATATTCAGGTACTCATAATATCCTGTGAAACCAGCTACAGCACCGCATGCAAAGATGGCGAGCCTGGTGTTCATGTGGATACCAGCCTGACATCGCTTGCTTCTACGACGCCCATATAGGTATTATTACACAGATAAGCGGAGGCGCTTTCGCGGAGAGCGCTGCATGGAATGTACGGTCATGATCATCAGCCTGCTGCCTGCGCCGTGGTGAGAGCGATTCTGGCCACTCCGACTCTTGGTTTGCCATTTATACCTGGTCTGAGAGCAGACATCTACCGCCGCACGTCTCGCCTGTCGGTCGTATTGTGCGTGCGGACCTCTTACGTTGCAAGCATGACATGCGTGTCTTCGGCGTCGCAGCGAAGCACCCACCTCTCAGATATACTACCCGGTCTATGCTGCATTGTGTCGTTCTCCCTGCCTTTCATATGATCACCTACGCTCACACGATGCGCATGGCATATGAGCGTTAGACGTGTGCCTTTATTCCTACCCAGGCATATGACGTCCACATCTCGCGCCAGAGATGTGGTCTCTGCTCCGACGTCCATGCAGACACACACCAGCGCTCCTTCAATGACTTTCAAGGGTCTATTTCATACAAACTACTTGTTGATACATGTATAGTTCTGCTGACGAGCTTGTGGTATGATGCCAATATATCACTCGACGGTAACCGTGGGACCGGACGACGTCCCCGGAACGATCCATCGAGCGCTGTGAAGATGTGCAAGGAGTCATCGGGACAAGAAAAAAGGGACACCCATGAAACGGAAAAGGTGCCCCATATTATGCGGGTAGAATGGTTGTAGGATGGTATTTGACTCTTTCGAAAATGCGGAAGAGACTGATGACGAGGTTGAAGCAGTACATGAGAAGGCCGACGCCGACGAGACAGATCATCGCCAGCTGGTCGTCGCAGATGTAGTCTCCGACGGTGCCTTCGCTGCCAGTGACACCCGGGATTGTCAGACGAGGGAGCTCGCTGTACCATGCAATGCTAGAGAAGGAGGCGCAAGGGATCAAAGAGGTGAAGAAGTTGTCGAAAGAGAGTGCGAGCGCCGCAGACCATGCACAGATGAAGACGACCTCGATGAGGGTATATGCGAGCTTGCTGGATGTGTGCCAGAGGCCCACAGGTCGGCCGAAATACTCGACCTGAGCATTTTTCAGAAGTCTGTGAATGAGAGCGCATACAGCCGAGGTAGAGCACGCACGTATATGGCTATCATGACGTGAACCAGGGTAAGGCAAGCGAATATGATGATAATAGTCCTGAGTAAACTGTCACCAATAGTGTGCCTCGGGTGATCAACCGAACTCACGGAGAAGAACCGACAATACCCATGATGCCGTTATGGCGTTCAACTGTGCGTATGCGAATAGCGACGGCAAGCGCGGCGGTGGTCAACGCAATGTTAATGAAGCGGAACAGCTTGACTTGTGTGTTAGCACAAGTGGTTTCACTCAGTAAGCAATCGACTCACTAATGGAACATATGGATTGTATATCATGTATGCTCGGATTCTCTTCCGCCTTCTGGCCCATGAGTTGAGTTTCTCATTGTCGTCATGATGGACACCTGTCGGCGACGGCGATTCCACGAGCTCATCTCTGGAACGCTGTCCCCTGCTTGAGAAGTCTGGAGGCCTAGCTGTCCAGGGGGTGTCCCAACCCGGGGTAACATTCTGTGCCAGTGTGTGCGGCTTGCTGTGAGGGGGGATATCGACGTGCAGGGGGTCAGCAGCGAATCGCGGCTGCTCCGGAGGACAAGGGGTCTCTGGGTCATTCGCCTGGCCCGTCCCGGGACTGTCCTCTTGCGACCGCCGATGGTGCGTGACACCAAGCCATGGTATGGACAGCGAGCGGTCCCATTCACGCAAGCCTTTCCGCGAGGGCGCTCCAGAGAGTGGAGTGGTCTGCGAGAGATTTGGCCGGTGCCGTGTGAAAGCCCACCAGCGGGAAGGGCCTGGGTCTTCTGGTATGGAGGTGGAGTCGTAGGAGGTGATGTCGGACGGCCGCGGACCATTGTCGCTGGCTCTGAGCGTCGCAGGGTTGGAATCACGTTCGGTTGGGGATGGTGGTTCATCACGCGCCCAAGCTGATCAGTGAAACAGGCTGAATTCTAATGGCAAAGGGTCCGAGAATGGGACACACACGCACGAGGATAGGTGATCACGGTGCGGACGGTCGAGGGGGCTGCGCGAGAGCTCCGGACGCTGTGGGACTTGTCGAAACTGTTGACGGAGGCCGAGGACTGACCATCCGAGGTCATCGCAGGAGGAAAGTTGCAGACAGGAGAGCAAGGAGAATGAACAAAGGAGGGGCTGTCTCCTGCTGCTGCGAGAGAGCTCGATGGCTGCGTTATGAGAGGCAGCTGCAGCCGGGCCCATTGCACTGGCATGTGCCGGCCATCTGTTCTCCTCGGGTTCTCACGCAGCCCTTACGCGGGCCTTGCCTTTCACGTTCACCATGGACGATCTCGACGCCATTCCTTCTATTTCCTCTGGTGCAGTCGGCTCTCGCTTTGTCACTCAATCGGAAGTCGAGACTGCGAAAGCCCGCCGCGACGAGCAGTGGCGAGCGGCGTATGCTAGGTTGGTTTTCAAACCTGGGTCCCGTCCGTTTCTCATGCTGCGCTTCCAGACTTGGGCAGGAGCCACCGCCTCCTCCTGCAGAGGACGCCTTCGATGGCCGCAGCCTTGCGGAGGTGAGTCCGCAGTTTTTGGCTACCTACGTGCTGTGCTAAGACTGCCCGCCCAATCTCCAACCCCGTAGAAACTGGCTGCCAACAGAGTAAGCAGCAGCCCTTGCGAGCGGGGACGTGAGTCTCATGCGTTCTAGGCAGCCAAGCAAGAAGAGTGGGAGGAAAGGAATAAACTAGGTATGTAGTCCCGTGCCTTTGCGTTCGTTCAACACTGATACGACCATAGGCAACCAGTTCCGTGCACTTGAGGAAGATGAGGTACTCTTCTTAGACTCCATAATGGAAAAGCAACGAGAAGAAGAGCGTCTCCGCAAGGAGATGGATGGCGAGGAGCTCAAACACTTTCGAGAGTAGGTGTCTCCGCTCATGGCAGAATATTTGGTCGTCCTGAATCACTAATCAGGGCCGTCGCGGCTCGAGAGACCGCAGCAAGTAAACCTGCTGTGCCGACAGCCTCCCTTCCCGCACCCGCTGCCGTGAACACCGTAAAGGGCAAAGTACCAGCACCTCCATTAGGCAAGAAGGATGCCAAGAAGTCCCTGAAAGGTGTTTTGGTCAAGAAGAAACCAAAGGCTACCCCGACTGCTGCGCCGCCATCCACTAAGGAGAAAACCAAAACATCCGTGGCACCCGAGACCAAACGAAAAGATACAGAGGACAGCGATTTTGACGGGGAAGCGGAGCCTCAGGTGAAACGGCGGAGACTTTCCGAGGCAGATACGTGAATCCGTGTGGCAGTTGCTTCCTGTTTAGTTCTCTATGTTATATGACTTATTTCACGGGTTATTTCCAGAGGGCTCGGCGTTGTGCTGGTGATTTGCGCTAGTCGACCCTTGAAGCACGCACATAGGAGGCGGGCACCTTCTAACGCTGATACAAGACCTCAAATTATACACTCCCGCCATCTTCATCAATTTCACGCCCCAAACGTTTAGAGGCGGGTTGCGCTTGTGATCGAACATCACATCTATGCAATGCATGGCCCTTTAGTACAGCGCTTATGCGCAATCGATGAGCTTGCCGTGCAGCAGTGAAGTCTCCTCAGGGCCGTCTCAACGATATTGTCTCCTCGTGCCGGGTTCATCGGCAACGTAGGAGATATATAAGCCTTCTTGTCGGTTTCCTGATCGTCAGAGCCTCTAGTCCTCCAGTTGCTTAATCATGGCTCCTGTTACTCGCTTTGCCGCTTTCAAGTACAAATCTGGCACTACGGATGAGCAGAAACGCAAGATTTTGGACGGTCTGATCCAGCTTTACAAGAACAACGAACACATGATCAATTATGGACCAAGAGGTAAATACACTAGCAGCATCAGCGTACACGCGAGGGACTGTTGCCGCACTAATCTAGGGGGTCGCAACAATAACCCGGAAGGCCATGACAAGGGTTTCGATGTCGTTTTTACCGTTCAATTCAAGGTGTGTACACATCTGCATCGCAAGAGATTTCGGGATTATACAGACCTTGTGTGTAGTCGAGAGAGGCTCGTGATGAGTTCATTCCGGACGCAAAACATATTGCATACAAGGTGAGAACTGAGTCCTCGGCATATGTGCTATTGAGCTCACAGTGGCACGTGGCATACAGATGTCAATATTGGACATGGTCGAGGATGCGCTTGTCTATGACTTCGAGAAGAACGATTACGGGTACTAGTAGATCAAGAATCTGTCTGTTCCCTTTGCTTCGAGCTACGTGACCGATATAAGGCATTTCATGGTGGATGGTTGACGCAGACGTCCACGACTGAGGTGGTCAACTTCTCCGGCATCCAGGTATGTGTTTACGTGAAATGGTAAGCTTACAGCAATCCCAGAAACGATAGACCTCCCACGCAGATTGTAGTCTACGGCGAAAGTGGAGCAGCAGAGCACGGCAGCGGCACAGAACCTCGCCCAGCCATCGCTTTGTGGCTGGACCGTCTGTTATCATCCCCAGTGCCTCGGGTTCCTCGTCGAGTCGCATGAGTCCGCTACGCACATCCTCTTCCTGGTTGTCACCACTGAAGGGTCTGATGACGATGCGAATAATGATGAAATTGCCTGCTTCTCCGATGAGCATTTCCCCACTCCGCCCTTCTTGTAGATCCTTACTTGGTAGTGTAACGCATTTGCAGCCATCTTGCAGTGGCGCGGTCAGAAACTCCCCGAAGCTCCGGGGGATCTGATAACACACACAAATATTCCCCGGATGTCTTGTCGACGTAGGCGCACGCCACATACGTGACTGCCACACAAACTCCCTGTTCTGTAGTCGCTATGATGATGTCCAGTCGGCGCACGAGGCAGCCCGACAGCGACAGGTCCACGAAACCTGGTGCGGGGCTCCCGTGCACACATGAGAAGAATGCGACCGCATGCACTGTGTGCCCTGCCACTGTCATAGTAACGCACTGCGAAGAATGTTCGCCATCAACACTTCCTAACCTACATGCCTCTGCACTGCACCTCAAGGCCTCATCTGTCACACCTGCATGCTATGGCCGCCACCCACCGGTTGCTCGCTACATATGTGTCCACCACGTCAAAGAGCCCATGCAATGTGCTACCGATGATGTTCTCCACGAAGGATATTCTTGGAGTCCGACGTGTCCCTGCACGCACGTTGACCGTTGAGCGCAAACCGGCCGTCCTCAAGAATTTCCTGACTCCCGGGAAATGGCGTCATTCACATTACAGTTTATAGATTTCCCGCGTAGCATTTGACCGTGCTTGTAGTGAGTTCTGAGATCAGATTCAAGGTAGTACAACGGAAATTATCGTTTGCTGCGTGCAGGATTGAGATTATGTCCAACAGGTTGTCCGGAATAAAGATAAAGATACTACAGTAGCGAGGACTAAGCAATCGCAGTCGCAATTGCACACGAATAGCATCCGCCCAAATACTCTTCATCTTCTCGTTACGGGACTCGGAGTGGGCGTCCACCTCACGCGATTCAGGTCTTTGTCCTTCGGCTTGGCGTTCCCTTCCCAGCCTGCTATCCTACCCATGGCCTCAGCTCTCCGTGCCGCGGCTGTCCCCATGGTTGACCTGTCGAGAAGTCGTTTTGCCGCGGGAGTCAGCCCACCCTCTGCTCTCCTTGGGGTCCACGAAGGCGGTGCCATAGATCCCTTCGTTGCACTTCCGCCCACAGGCGTCCGTGATATGCCCGATATACCCAGTAGACCCGCTTTCGCGCGCAGGCTTTTCGACGCATTCGTCGAAAGCCTGTGCGATAGTCGCTCGCGGGGGGACGGCTCAGCAATGCGAAACGGTGTATTTGGGGTTGCCATGGAGGAGGACTCCATAGGGTCGTCTGACTGGGACAAGACGCGAGGCGTTCCAGTGAGCGTCCCCCATGTTACGAGCTGTTTGACTGCTTGTGGGCCGAGCTCCGAGGGGGTTGGTGATGGTATTGAGGGCACGAGCGAGAAGCTGCCTGTCGTAGGTGATTTTGGTCGGTCTGTGAGCTGCTCGTTAGTAAAGTAGCACTAAGAGTCAAGATGGGAAAGCTTACAGGGTGTACCGGCAATCGCTGCGTCAATTCGACTTCGAGTAGGGCTTGGAGGCGCTGATACAGGTCTTACTGAATCGTCTTGTTCAGGTAGCCGGGTGCTACCATGCTTGATTGTCTTGGGTGCTCCCTTGACCTCAGCCGCTCTTTTTGTCGCAGATGGATCATAAGGTGATACGTCTGCGTCTGGCGGAAACATTAGAGAATTTCGCGTCTACTCGTACTCGATCAGTGGATATGATATGTGGGTGAGGCATGCAAACGCACCTTGAACCTCCAGCCATCTACACCGGCAGCTCGAGTGTCCTTCTTGGGAGCCATCACATCAACTACATTTTCTTCCTCGTCTCCCAGAACCGTCAGCACGACCTCCTTGCCTTGTTCGTTGTGCTCTTCGTCGCCAGGCCCACTTGGTTTCTCCACCTGCATAGCTCCGTTCGAACTAGCAGAACCATCTGTTAACAGACCTGCGGGAGTAGGTTGCTCAATCCGGAACTTCTCCTTGACCCCTGTAGCTGTTGGAGCCTCAATGAGAAGCCTCTCCCTTCCCTCTAGCATCTTCCCCCGCTGTTCTTCGACCCTCTTCTGCGCATCCCACGCCCATGCCCACTTCTCTCTCCGCTTCCTGTTATCGTCGTCGAGAATCTGCGTAAAACTCGAGTTATCCTCCGAGGTATACTTAGACTGGAAGTGGTCAAGGCTCATGTCGGTCTCATAGCGGGTTCGCTTCACAGGAGGTTCTCCCCGGGGAGTATGTATGGGTGTGTCAAGGGGTCCTGCGCGGTACGGTGTTTGTGCAGGAGTCTCCCATGGCCGATCACGACGGGTCATCGGCGTAGTGAGCTCCTCAATACGGCGTACGGAAGCTTGAATGAGGGCTGGGTCGTTGGTGCGCAGGGCATCGAGGTAGCCATTGGTCGCATCGAGATGGACAAGAGAAGGGAAAAAGTCACGGGCTATGATATGTGACAGAGCTTCCGTGTACTCATCCTCTTCGAGGACGACTTGGCGATTAAGAGAGCGGGTCGGTTGTGAACTTGAGGACGCAGTCGGTGTCGACATGTGTAGTAGAATACAGTACTGGTAAACATATGTAGACGCCCATGGGAGATGTGGCGCTTGTTTAGCGGCACAACAGTTTCCCATACGCGTATTACATCAATGCCTCTGTTGGAACAACGGTGCGACGGCGCGGGGCGCGTTTGTCCACGGGCTTAGCGATGCCCGTAAGCCGTAAGGGACAATCGCGTGCGGTACCAGCCTCCTAAAACCAGCCCCACAATCGTGTTCTTCACTCCTACATATGAGAGGCCAACTTAGTGTTATATACGAAAAAATAAAATCACGTGATTGATCCGAAAGCGAGAGCACGTGAGAAGTCAGAATAGCCGAATAAGAGGAGGACGAATGCTACACAGGGAGGTCACGGTACTCAACACGGGCGGACTTTCTGTCACTCCACCCCAGGTTAATAATCGATGAGTCTGGGTGGAAAAGGTACGGGCGGACTTGAGCCCATCAGCACCTATCTCTGCCACAGCACCAAATTGACGGGCGGGCTTGAGCCCATCAGCGCACATCTCCGCCCCCACACGTCAGTGACATGAGCCCCGGGCGGAAATCATCACCAAAGCACGTGCCGCTCCTGGTCAGGTGCTAGCTCGCCACATAATGTGAATAATGCCTTTATATGGACATAATTATTGGTATTTGTGGAAAATAAAACAATTTATGTATTTGCCCTCGCAGCCCATTCTGCAATGCATGCAGTGTAGTATACAAGGACACTGTTCGTAATTACTTCATGCATGCATGTTCAGCATGCATGCAGCCTCCTGCTCTACTCACGAAAATTGCACCATCACTGGGCACACATGCCCACCACCCGCTCTGTTAGTTCAGCTCGCAGCCTGTGCATCAGGTCGCTGGACCTGTATTAGAAACACTCACTCATTAGCAACCACCTTCAATACACAATCACCATATATTAGGACTCACCAGTGCTTGCACCACCCAATCTTACCATGCTCATGTTAAATGCGGGGATGGGAGGAACAGCTATACAATAATATATTGGCTTCAGTGCGATCTCTATGAGCAACTGAAGCCAGTCTGCATATGCGATTCGAGTATTTTACCTAGCAGACCTGAACTGTATAGTGAACCAAATATGAAACAAACAAAGTTCTCACTGCGCCACCGGCGCATCACCACCAGACGTCTCGTATGTCCGGGCGCCAAGGCATCAGTGTACCTGATCGAACTCCAAGGCGTCCTGCGCCACAGCTTATACTTCAACAGCTCAGCCCCACCGCGCTGCCCTCTGCAACCAAACACACACTGTGCAGATGCATATTTGCGCAGGCCCTGTGACTCAAGATGTGTTAGTATATCATGGGGGCACATGAGTTGACAGGCTCTTGCACAACCGCGAGGTACTGGCACAAACCACCAGGCGACAGGTGTTGCAAACATGAACAGGGAGCAGAGAAAAATGACGACAGAGCACCAGTCATTGCTCTGTTGACCACATTTCTTTGTTCTTATTTGTGCCCCTCCACTCTTGGTCGCTAAGTCCTTTCGATCAAGCACATTTCATAGACTTAAACACGGATCACATGACCATGCTAAACTCAGCCTGGGGCGGATGGAAAGGTGGGTTCGGCCAGGATGGACTCCGAGACGGAGTGAGGCTCATCGATATCAATATGGACTGAGATTGGACATGGGCAGAGTGTAGCTCAAATCGGCATGCATCACATGACCTTGAAAGTCTCAGCCCAGGGTGGATAGAAGGGCCTGTTCAACAGGGGTGGATAGGAGGGCCCATTCAACAGGGGTAGAGTCTCAGGCAGAGCGAAACTCATTGATGGCAGTATAGACTGAGTTCAGATCGAGGCGGAGTCTTGCACAAAAAATTATTTAGGTTCTGATCTAAAGGAAGTGCACCAACCTCAGTCTATTTGAATGTCTGGCTGTGTATAGAGGGGCTGGCATAACTGGTCGCCAAGTCATCCCCGAGCGCTGAGGTTTCAGTTCCTAAATTCCCCGCTCCTAACCCTGACATAGGTTTTGATTTATTCCATTTGTGTGAGTGCAATAATCTCATTCAGATAGGCCACACTCTTTGCAGTCTCATGCACCCACGCCTGCAAAGGCGCACGGGTTGCCTGAGCCATATGAAGGGTATACATCATGGGACCTATGTATCCAGTGATATCATTGAGTACTGACCAGGAGGCCACATTGTCGCTGAGTAGCAGGGAGACCAGAAGTTCAGGTATGTTTCTTTCATGTTTTTTCAAGCATCGGAGAAATGCTTGTAGACTGTCCGAAGAGAGGCATTGTAACAAATTATATTCTGCAGGCTATGATCTATGTAACTTCTTCTAATCTAGACACGTAGTGTCATGTAAGAAGTTGAATAGTGGATTCGACTTCTCACTTTCAATTGCAGTTAACAGGCTGATCAGGGTGTGCCGAACTGCAGCTGGAATTGCTACTCCGCAATCCAGCCAAAATAAGACCTACGTCAGGGTTAGGAGCAGGGAATAGTTATTTAGATGCCAAAACCTTAGCACTCGGGGATGACTCAGCGACCAGTTGCACCAGCCCCTCTATAGTGTTCGTCCTCCTCTTATTCGGCTATCCTGACTTCTCACATGCTCTCGCTTTTGGATCAATCATGTGATTTTATTTTTTCGTATATAACACTAAGTTGGCCTCTCATATGTAGGAGTGATGAACATGATTGTGGGGCTGGTTTTAGGAGCCTGGTGTGGTACGTACATCACACAGGGTCATTTTATACTATGATACGGGCCTCCACAGGTGATACTGTCATAGCCATGTATGATCTACGCTAACTAGCGGTCAATCATTGTACATGGATCATGCTAGTTAGCGATCCAGGTGAGTTATACATGACACTACCTCGCACCCACATTGACCTGCATATCCGCTGTGTCGCTCATGTATGGCAGTGCCTTGCACCCTGCATTTAGTGCGTGCGTGCCATCATACATGGCAACACCGGGCCTGTGTATCTGTATCTACTGCTTCGCTCATACATGACGCCGCCTCGCGCCCGCATTCAGCATGAGCACGGCATCATGTATGGCAGGGCTGACCTTCGTATCAGCTGCCCCGCTCATGTATGGCAGTGCCTTTCACCCGGCATTCAGTGCATGTGCCGTCATACATAGCGGCACTGACCTTCATATCAGCTACCCCGCTCATACATGACACAGCCTTGCACCCGCATTTTCACGCATATATGATGATGTGTCGTGCTCCACATTCAGCGCATGTACACCGTCATATATGGCAGCATCTGACCTGTGTGTTAGCCCCCTTGCTCATGTATGATGGTGTACATGGCGGCATCAGTCCTGCATATCCGTATCCACAGCTTCGCTCATGTATGGCGGCACTTCACACCCTGCGTTCAGTGTGCATGCACCGTCATACATGGCGGCACCTGGCCTTAGTGTGAGTGCACCGTTAAATGCTGTCATATAAGCAGACATGCATATTATTTACTTGCATTTTTACCAGGCCTTAATTTTCAGTATCAATTGGAGTACTTGGAATGTACCTATGACATGCTATTGTACAAAAAAACAAAATACACTGCTTATTCAAGATTCATGCCTTCTGCAGTAAGCTCCAAGTCGATAGCTATGGTATTTGACAATGGCTCATGATGGGCCACCCACTGTGGTACATTGCGCCAGAGATGCCTGCATTGATCCCACATTGTGATACAGAGTTTGAAACATTTGTCTTTCCGTTCTATTCCTTGTATTACTAGCACCCATACTGGCGCCTGTCTTAGCACTCACCCGCAGGTTGAACATTATGTAGCTTACATAATGGGGTCCGTGCGCACTTCGTACCTGGTATCGTGCCACTACATTTCTTTCTTTACTAAACACGACCACACAGACACGATGGTCCATGTCGCGACTTAGGGTCAAGCGACTGGGGAAACACAGACAAAGGATGCTGGGGGTGTTCGACTGGGTCTTACCGAAGCGATGGTGAGCTTATGCTCAAACCTAAGGCTAGGGACAAGATAATATATTAGTGAAGTAAGAAAAGGAATACAAGGGATGCTTACTGACCTAGGGACAAGAGGTCGAAACTGAGGTCCCTAGGGCAGCAGAGGCCGGCTTTATATACAGGGGAAGTTTAGGGGAGGCTGTGCGCACTGGTCCGTGCACAGCTGGTCCGTGCACAGCATGCTGACGCGGCCCCGGGGGCCGGTGAGTCAGAGAGGCTGTGTCAGCGGAGCCCGAGCTGTGCCGTGCACTGCCACCCATCTAATCTAATCGTACAGTAGATAGTGATGCGTCCATATCAGGCATGTAGTACAGAGGTCGCGGGTTCGAGCCTGCGAAAGGGAAAAAATTAAAAAAACAGCTAGACGCCGTACCAACTCGTGACAGTCCGTGCGTAGCTGGTACTTGTATAAATAGTTGTACCATTAGTCGGTCGAACCCTAAGTTCGACCTGGTTATTCATTCAAGTCTCTGCTCCTCCTCGCTTGGGGTAGTGGTCATTCTCGACTTCCTCGCTCGATCTTCAGGACGACGTACTGTCCATAAGCCCTCGCTCATCGTCTACGAGTCAGGCATCGGTATAGGAGTATAGACCGTTGTATCAAAAGGTCGAACTTTCTAAGCTATGTTCCTAGTTTTACCTAGTCGAACATCTCATCCACCATTACGTCGAACAACACAGTCAACCCGGTTCCTTTGGGACTACCAGCCCTCGCAGGATCACCGCTCCTCCAGTACGACCGAGCAGACCGCTGCTTCGTCACCTCTACAAAAAGGGCTCCCATCTACCCTCGAGGCGGCACCTGGTGTCATGCAACCGGTCCAAACCCGCAGGTCGTTGCCCATCAAGAACTCATCAACTACTACCAGAGACACCCACCCGCTCACCCAGAAGATGTATTCACCATCCTATGGATCGATGTTGAACCTACACAAACAGCAGAAAGCGTGCAGTCACCCATCAACGAACAACCACTCGAACTCCCTGAAGTTCAGTAC